GCCAGCTCAGCAATGTCGAATTGGGACGACAACACATGTGGACAGCTATTGAGAGTACAATGACGACCGCCCAAATCTGGTAAGCGGTGCATAATCCATCGCGGGACATGAATGGTGCCGGCAGTGCGAGTTGGTCNGAGTCATTGCCGGAATAGACAAGCCCAAGCTGGTAGGGCGCCGATAGACCAAGTTGCCANNTTNCGGANNNTTNGANCAGTCTGACCAGCCGCACGGCACAGATATCATATGATGCAAGCNCGATAGACATCTGCTGAGTGATTTGAGATCGTTAGCTGAGATATGACAGAAAGGGCTCATTTCTGTCGAGTGGCCTTGCTCGACGATGACTCGATGTGGTGTGCATGTGCAATCAGTGTGGTGCATATACTGGCAGGCGAGAGCGTCTGTTCTTCTGATCGCTGCCGTTCTCACTGGAGTGGATGAGATGGTCTTGCTGGCAGTTCTCCAGCCTGACGTGTTGNCTCGTAGCTAGTCGCCAGTAAGAGATGATTGCTCGCTAGTGTCCCACGCTCTCTGACTATCGGCGCTGTGACGCATGATCTGACCATGTCTGAGCGTATCATCAGTGACTGTAGCTCGCAGTGTCTATAGCTGATGTCTGCGGCATGAAGGAAGATAGGCGACGCGACTTGGCGTGATTTGGCAGCTCGTGGCAGTCGTGTCGATTGGACTCTGCAAGGTATGCGCTACTCGACGATACATGATTAGACTGGACGACTGAGCGAGAAGTGACGAAAGGAAGGTATAGCGGAGAGCCAATCCATCTGTATGATATATGTCGACGATCAGAAAGGATAGCACCGCTTTGCCATTGGCGAGTAGTGAAATGCCAGGGAATTTCTTCAATTTGCTTTGCCAAAACTCAACATTGCGTAATTCATGGGGAAATTATTAATCACCCAAGTATCTGAGTGGCGTGATTTATTTAGGCGCGTTGGCAGGACAATAGCTTGACCACAGCGACTTTAGCGAAGACATTCATACTCTTCACTCGGTCGCACTGCTGCATTTCATTGGTGCGGTAGCCAGTCGCCATCAGTATTTACACCTAACGAGTTGCAATCTGAGAGATCGCCTGAAGACTGCCTGCAACGACTGCACCGATTCAAAGGGACGGACAGTCAGTCTGCGCCAAAACAGTATCCACAGATATGCGTTCGTACTCCGGAGCAGGTTGAGCTATCTTCACTCGCAATACCAGCTCATTCAGAGAGCTCGATGTTGCCTGTCTGGCNGGCAGTACGACTGAAGTCATGCCTTGAGACGGTACCATACATCAATAGTCTCCAGGATAGTATCCAGCGGACGATTGATGCAATATTGCTCGAGCGGATGTCGACAGCAGTAAATGATTTTCTGCTGCTGAGATGCGTNCTAAATGTGGTCNNGATGGTCATCGCTGCGCTCGTCCAAGTGATATGCTCCATCAGATCATTGCAAGCGCTAAGCCACCACTAGCTTTGAAGACTCAAAGAAGGGCCTGCCACAGTGCTCGATATGTGACACGGCGAGTTGTACGGCTGACAAACGGCTTGTTGCTTGTGATGACCTCTCGCCGTGTCTTTACTATGCACTTGACATTCTCTAGTGGATAGTCTTCAGGTCCGGCTGTTTGTCTCGACCATTACTGTCACTTTCTGGGGCGTTTCTTTGTCTTCCACGAGGTGCTCACTTGTTGCTGAATTGTCAGATGACAGATTCAAGATCCTTGGTGCCTTTCGATTTCAATGCACCATTGGGAGGATCGATGAAATCAGAGACTTCGATCGCTTGCAGCGGATGTTATTCAACTTGAGCTGCGCGTATGATGTGCATGAAGAGAGAAACATGTATCAATGGAAATCACATGCGCCGGCAGACAGATCGATGTTCTAAATTCGTTTAGTATGCGTCCGCTTGACGATGATGACAGCGTGATCTGTCAGCTTGTATTCTCCACTTCCCTCGCGCGAAAGGTTTGATGGCGGCTGAGCCTGAATTGCTCTTTTCTGACCAACAATTGATGACAGCGCGTGGCTGGACCATATCGGGTAGCGAACGCAAAGCCGAGAGTTCTCGCAGGGGAATCAAAGATCGCTCGTCGGATCTAGCTCGTGGCTCGACAGCAATACAGCCGACTTACCGGCAGCACTGACAAAAGCAACACCTTCTTTCCTCAGCGCTTACGTCTGCAATGCATCTACATTGTCTCGCTGCTTGGCGAGGCTTCTCTCTCATGAGGCAATTCAGATCATGCCTCCACGGTNAGCCTCTCGCNGCCCNAGCGATCGNCNGCTGATGTNNNAACAGCACTCCTGTCAAATTACATNTTGAGCAGTCGTGGAAGACGTGCTGGCCGTCTTTGGACTGGACGCTGTCGACTACTCATCGCTCAAAGTGCGCCGAAGAGCTATGCGAATATCAAANAGCATCTTTCAGTCGGTTGCTGCCNCAGTCAAGGTAGCNAGCCTAGAAAATGCTCGAATATCCCCATGTCTATCTTATTCTGGCATCTCTTATCTTTCATGATTTTGCATTCCCTATTCTCCGCATAGTATCAGGTTGACTTTGTCTGTGAGTGTAACACCGATCTCGCGCGTACCGGCCGCGCGGCTCTTGTTATACGGCAACACAAGCGAGCTTGAGGTCAAACGAGACGCAAAGAAAGCGCGCGGTGATCTGAAAGCATTCCTTCGGGGGACCTATCCCGTTTTTGGAATCCTTGATGGCTTTTGCAATGCAATCACAAATTCAGTCGTGCTGTTGCCGCACAGCCGCGTGCGTGCCGCAAAGACGTCCTTGGACTAGGAAAGTAGTAGGGCCGGTGGAAAGCGGTTGACCAACAAAATGTCAGCCTAAAGTCAGCTGTTGGATTCCTCAAGGTGCCCACATCGGGCAGCATGATACATACACCCGCGAATGACAGGGCAGTCATCATGAGCGAGAAAGCAAGAGCGCTTGACATCACTAGGCCGGGCGTCGACCGAGGAGAGCCGAAGTGATCAGCTCCGTATAGATCGCCGACGGACGGGCATAAGGCACGCGCGGCCAAAGTCCGACGGAGCTTAGGAATCGCTGACTGATTGCTTACTCCGCACATGTTCGGCACTATCGCGCTTGTCCTCGGTCTTATTATGACTCGAGACACATAAGAAGCNAGGCCGTGAAAGATCTCACCAGCAANCACACTAGNAAGCACACAGGCAAGCAAGCAAAAGAGACACAATGACAAAGCTTATCGTCGTGTTCAATGCTACTAGCCAACAAGGCTCAACCATCATCGAGTCTATCATTCGTGATGACCAACTNTCCCGCCAGTTCAGCATCCGCGCGGTCATGAGCGACCCAGAAGAGCCAGCTGCAGCAGAGCTAGAGGCAAAAGGCATCGAGGTCTATGCGGGCAGTCTTGACGATGTCGAATCAGTCACCGCTGCAGTCGAGGGTGCATTCAGCGTCGTCGGAATGGTACCTATTGCGGATGACAGACTTCAAGCAACGAAGATGAGCAGGCAATCGAGCAGACAATGCCGCTATAGCCATAGTCAACAGAGCAGGCAGCCATCACAAAGCTCTCGCGCGCCCATTGAAGCCCGCGCTTGGCGAGCTGCTCGGCAATTATTGATGTAGAGATCGCCTGCCACCCTTCATCTCGAAATATCTGCCCCCTGCTGTTCGCCTCGAAGCAATCAGCCAGCATCTGTCGGATTAACGCCAAGACCATATCTTCGCGGAGACAATTGGTGCGCCCAGTCGCAGCACTGCTTCACCGCGCAACCAGCTCGTTGTCCTCGATGAGGACAGGCGTTGAGCTCTAGGTGACTACTGTAGAGTCTTTGACTTGTCGACCAGTATCAAATGCAAACGCAATGTTTATTTGCTTTTCGTGCACTCTCATGTGAACAGCTCTATCGCAGGGTGTGTGCAATGACGAGACATTCAGAGCTTCAGAGACCAAGCACGGCAGTATATATGATCGCGCTTGCAAAGATTAAGCGACCACGGGCTATGCGCCAGACATGGCTCAACGGATGAGCGTCAAGTCGGGCTCATAGCCTGTAGGGCTTTTCACAGACTCACGAAGCCATGCATCTCAGCTTTGCTCTTCATACGTCACCATCTCCTCGAGTCAATGTCAGTCGTCATCTGTCGGCACTTGCCGTGAAATGAAATGCTGGTGATCATACAATCCATAAATTCCGCTTTGGCTTGGCAAAGCTGTTGATTACACGTTATGCAATCTACAGATCACATTTTTTGGCCCCGAGAAGACCTGCAGCGTGCTCTATTGTCGCACGATAGCAGCCGCACGCCCACGAGCGCCTCGTCCTCTGAAACCACCGCGTCTGCCACGGTTTGCGACGCCAGCTTCACCAAAGGTATTAAGATTTTTGTTTCGTTCAGCATTGCGATCGAAACGTTGCTCATTGTTGATAGCCCGCTCTTTGATCTCTGTGGAGATGTCGTCAAAAAAGCTGCTTTTCTTGTCATAGAAGGTCTCATCCGCAGGAATCGTGACGAGGTCTGGCGCAGCGTCCTTGCTGAATTTCGCATTGCTCTCTTGAAAGTCGAATTCGGTGGCAGGCACGTCGACAGGTCGTGCAGGTGCTTGTGGAGCCCGTCGACTACCGCCGCCACGTCCATTCGTCGCCTCGGCTCCAATTCCCGGATGTCCGCGCCCTCGACCTCTTCCGCGGCCTCGTCCAGTGCCTGGATCTTGCTGAGGCGCGCGCTGCTGTCGCTGAGCTGCGCTCTGATCCTGCATAGTCATCTGACCAACGCCTGAGGCGAGCGATTCGATAGGCGGGCCAACGTTGGCAGCTGTCGCAGCCCGTGGTACAGCGGGCGCAGCAGGGGAAGCTTTGACACCGGCAGCAATTTGAGCCATTGTGCGGGGCGCAGGAGGCACGACAGGAGTGGGTGCGGGCGCTGCTTGGTTGGCCGGAGTCGGTTGAGCAGGTAAAGGTCCGCGTGCAGATCCGTTTGGTCGGGATTGTTGCAAGGGCGGTGCTGGCTGTGATGGTCTCATCGTCGCCGTCTGAGGCTGACCTGGCTGGTAGGGCATATGTCCAGGATGAACATATTGTGCAAACTTGGGCTGGATAGGAGCGGATGGCTGGGGATGTGCTTGCTGGGCAGGTGTCCTCTGCTGTTGCTGCTGCTGTTGCGGAGCCAGAGGTTGCTGAGGAGGAGGTCGCGCTTGTGGCTGCTGAGCTGGTGGTCTCGCTTGCGGTGGGGCGGTAGTCTGTCGGCGTAATGGATCAGACAGGCTCGGCGCAATCTCATAATGCAAGTACAGTGAGAATCGCTGGGTCCTGAGGTGCTTGTGCTGCAGGTGCGGCGGGAGGCTGCTGCTCGATGGAAATGTCCTTGACTTCCGATGCCTTGAAGAGCACATATCTGTCAGTAAGATGCGTCAGCATGACCGATCGACCGCTCGATAGACAAGCAACACACTCGTAAACGTCCTTGCCAGCAGGTATCTCCCTCGACGGATCCGCTTGACGGCCCTCCGTGCCCAGCGAGGTCACTGCTTGCGAGATCAGCCGAGTGAACGAGCTACAGGCAGCGAGCCGAGCACCATTGGTGAGTGTGAGCGTTGCTGCGACGGGGTCGATGGCAGTCAGAGTGCCACGATAGCGTATCTGAGCCAGTGAGCGAGAGGTCAGACGAGGGCACCGAGCAGACTCTTTGCTTACGTTGCTCGCCGAGATCAGCGAGATCTGGCTTCCGATGAATGGCGCTGCCTGGAGGATCGCATGCCTGCATGAGCAACGCTGTCGACTCTGTGCGGTCCTCCACTGACCATGCTCCAAACCGGCGGCTCGCTCTACGGTCTTGCGCTAAGCCAGACGCGCTCAACTTTGCTCACTCTCATCAGCATGACCGACTCCTCGTAGGTACATGCATGACTAGCTCCACGGGTTGGCTTCAAGTACGGCCTGTGTCTTCTCGGGACTGCTCGCTTGTTCTTTGAGAAGCCCTGCAGCAGTCGCTTGCTCTTCCTTTGTGAGCCCGGAAGCCTCTGGAGTGTTGCCGCCGTGAACTTGCAGAAAGTCATCGACTTCGTCCATAAGTCGCTGGTCATCGTGCGACTGAGCGTGATCATCTGCCTCGTCTTCATCCTCCCCAAAATCAATCGCAAACTGGGGTCGGCTGGCAAGCTCGACAGGATCTGGCCCGACTGCCGGGTTATCGGGCGAGGGGTCTGCCCAGGGAGACGGATATGCAGGTTGTCTCATTGCGGCTGCCGATAATGGGTTGATATTCGTGGCCGGCGATGCTGGTACGAAGGAGCCTCCCGGACGAGGTGAGTACGGGGTGAGCAGCGATTCGCGCGCTTTTGGCTCTGCATACGCTGCAGCTCCTTGCAGCTTGCCGATGGCAGGCTTATTCTCGACGGTCTGGATCTCAAGACGCTGACCGACATGATCTGCCAACCGATTGATACGCTCACGGTTGTCATCGTTGACAAACATGCCAATCAGACCGCCCAGTAAACGGCCTGCGCCAGTCTTGGGTGCAACAGGTGTCTCGTCAACGAGGACTTCGAGCTGCCATGAGTGCGTCAAGTCGGCATCGAAGAAAGACTCGAGCAGTTCATCAGCCAGAACGACCATCCTGAAAGTTGCCAGATTCAGATAGGGGTGCCGGGAATTCTCCTCGACAAGTGACTTTCGCCGTCCATGCGTCTTGCGTTCTTCCTCCTGCCTGTCTTCTGCCGCCTTATCTGCCGGCGGTTGAAGCGCTTCTGCGTATTCAAAGCAATTCTGCATGAGATTCGACACGGCGCCGAGATATTGATCCCCAGGTTCGTTGCGAAAGATAAAGAGCAAAGACTCTGATAGCTGCAGTACCTCGTCCTTTGTCAGAGCGCCATCTTTGTTGTTGTCGTGCAGTGTAAAGAACCATTCGATGTTGCCCATCAAATCGTTGAACATGGCACGGTCAAGTCCCGAGACGATGTTCTGCAATGAGAGTGCCCCCTTGCGGTCGACATCCCAGGCGTAAAAGATTCTGTTGATCAAGTCATGGTCGACAGGCATGCGCACGAGATGCTCGTGAAAAGCGTTGCGAACAATGCGCTCATCTCTCCCCCAAGTGGTCAAATTTGCCATGAGCTGTTGAAACGCAGTACGATCTATGCGAATTTCTGGTCGATCCGGATCGCTTCTGTCGACGACGACGCCTGGCCTCGCTTCCTTGGAGCCCGTCGCCTCCATCGTCTCTTTAGTCTGGAAGATCGCCATCTGAAAGTTGTCATAGATGATGCCCAGCTTGTCTTTGTCAAGCCGACCTGGCCGCCGCAGGTTACGTACAGCTGTGCGCTTGGCATATGTCTCGATTGATTCGACGATCTCGGTCCGAAAGCGCTTCCTCTGAGCTGCGATCGTGTCTTCCGTAATGTCTGCACCACGAGTCAGCTGCATCCTTTCATGGCTCGCAAGGAGCGTACGGGAGAATTCTCTGAAGGCGACGACCAGTAGTTCCTGAAACTTTGTCACTTGACGAAGCCGCGAATCATCAGAGTCTGGATGAGCAGACTGGCCGAGTGATGCAAAGTAGGTCTTTATGCAGCTAGAGAGCGCGTCAGCAGAATGGGTGCGAGGCCTAGACTACTCACTTGATAAACATGCCATCGTCTGTGACCTGCAATAGCTCCTCGCCGTTGATCTTGAGAATGGCGAGGCTGATCTGGAATAATACTTTCGGACCCATGAGGAAGAAGCAGTCGACCACGCGAAACGCAAAGACCATCGGCATAGAGCTGATGAACAGACTTAGGAACCAAGGCAGCGAGACGACTTGAAGCTGGACGTCAGCCTCGCGAAAGTGATCGTGTATGATAGGCAATGTCTTTTGCACCAGAGTCTCAAAGACTTTCTGGTCTAGCAGCGTGCCGACCATGCTCTGATGAACGATCAGCGCAAGCCCTTCGCCTCGTAAGCATGGGCAAGCTTACCGGACTATAGTAGCCAGGAACCAGTTGGTCGCAGAGAACGTTGAGAAGCCAGAAGCACTGCTCCTCCGATAGATATATGAGAAAAGAGGCGACGATGATGTTCATAGCCTGGCAATAGCCTAGGTCGGGATTTTTCCAGCTATAGGCTGACAGAACGCGGCGCAGAGCAGCGATGCCCTCCTCTGTTTGGTATGCCGGATATTCCGGCAGGCTGCGGTACAGATCCTTCTCGATTTCGTCTGTGCTCATTGAAGTCTGACCAGCGTGATCAACTAATATTCGCTCGTATTCGCCTTGATGCGACATTCGCAGCAGGCCAGAACCAGAGGTGATCTCCCAAATCTCACCTCTCAGACGATTGGGCAGGCCGACTTGGATCAGGCGCGCAAATGACGGATACTGTACAAGGGTGAGATTCCGTCCGTTTACTGTTTACGGAATGAGCGCGCTGAACAACACATGGCCGGCAAGACGCACTTCTGATGAGATCCTTCCACAGCTTCATCTTGCTCTTCTCGCGTAGCTTGCGTGCGTCGCCGGGATATCGGAATACAAGGCCAAGACCGCCATGCCAACCTTGATCGAGCCCGCCGCGCGTTGTCCAAGGTTGTCCATGACCTTCGACCTCCTTTGCTTTGCCTTTACTATCGACGCCGTTTGGTATGAGATCGTCATCGTCCATCAGATTGGGGGACGCCAGAGGTGGTAATTTTGGCACAGCGTCATCTACAATGCCAGCTTGGACTTCCTCTGCAATGAGAATCTCTGAGAAAAAGGTAGACGTCGTGCGCTTCAGCGTCTTCATCTCCGGCAGAACCGTCTTGAGTTGTGACTTCAAGATGCCCGAGAACGAATCGCAGACGTTCCTGAGTGCGTTGAGCTGAAGCATGATCTTGCTCCCATGCCAAGTCTCGAGCGAAAGCGCGTATACACCCACGCCGACGGTCACGACGCGTGCCGGTGATTGTGATGAGCTCCCTGGGCCGTGCTTGGCAGGTCCACTCGTCAGACCGGTGCCCGTGCCGAGCTTCTCGACCCGACGGATGCAACAGAGTGGCATGACGAGCCGACATGCTCGACGGTCAAGGGAAATGAAGCAGATAAAGCGCGGCGTCAAATGTACTTTGCCAGACTGAGCTGGCGTTCAGCTGAAGCCCAAGACTGCGACTGTAATACGTACGTATAGTTCGGTCTTTCCCTTGAGTCCGAGGATTGAGTTGACTTCTATCAGGCTGCTCTCCGTCTCGGGCAAGCCAAAGAATCGCCGAAACAGCTCCTGCGCCGAGATTGGATCAGATACGCGGACGGGACCTAATGAGTCGGACGAACATCTTTCGTTGGATCCTTGAAATACGTTTGGTGTTGTGAGCGCCGCAGCATTGCGCCGGCGGCCGCCTCGGCGGTATGCGATACGCTTCTATATATGAACTCGGGCTAGCTTGCAGAGGCGTCCCAATCGATGCATTCCGATCCTAGCTCGCTGTACTACCGTCAGCGTGAGGAGAGATCGAGGAGCCCAAGTGGCTAGCCGCTGCGGCAGGATGCCACGAGCTGACTGTCGCGTGCTATTGACGACGCGCTCCTGCCAGCTCGCCGCTCGAATGCCGAGGGGCACAGCATCCTCGGCCAAGCATCATGACTGCTCACCTTTCCGTCTTCTCGCTATCGATGTCAGGCTCTACCGAGTGAGCAGAGCCTGATGGCACCGGGGATGCTAACGTCTCTGGCGATACTGTTGGTCGCAATGTCGGTCAGCTCGCTCGCACACATGGAATTGAAACATCCCTGGCCTTTCCGCTCGTCTTTTGATCCGAACAACAACTGGTCGACGATCGACTATAGCATGACGAACCCTCTCTGGCTCAACGGCTCAAATTATCCGTGCAAGCACTATCACACCCAATATCGATCAATGCCGGTCGTTGATACCCTCGTTGCTGGCTCGAGCTACCAGCTGCAGATATCCGGTACTGCCTACCATGATGGTGGCTCTTGTCAAATTGCAATCTCGTACGATGGAGGCCAGACATGGGGCGTGATGCAAGTCTTTTTCTGCCAGTGCGCTCGTAGCTCACCATCATGTAGCCATTCGATCGTCGGCGGATGCCCCCTTGTGCCGACGTACGACTTCATCGTCAATCCTGACCTGCCCAGCACAAGCAAAGCCCTGCTGAGCTGGACATGGATCAAGTGCGCTGTGCACGTGACGCTTGTTCCTCGTTGACCCGTGAACAGCAGCAAAGTCGGCTTTCGCAACCTCTACCAGAACTGCGCCATCGTTCGCGTCAACGGAAGCATATCGAGAAGCATCACCCTTCCGGCGCTCTATCTTGCTAATGTGCAAGGCACTCAATGCCTGTAAGATTCTTGCCAATCGGGTGTCACCAGTACGTCTCACGAGCAGCGCAGAACGGTCGAAGGGACCGAGCCCGTCTATCCTGTTCCCGGCGCGAGTTGGCAACTCGGTGGCTCCTTCTCAATGTACACGAGCTACCCGCCGGTGACTGTTCTGGCTTCTTGCTCGATCGATTACACACGCAACGTCACCATCGGCCCGCTCTCGAACGACATTGCTTCGCTCGACGTCAGCACAGATCCAGGTCCTAGAATCCGCATGGTTCGCTCAGTCGTAGAGCCGAGCGAGTTTGGTCGCTTTGTGCCTATCGGTACCCGCTTCTTTGCAAGACAGCATCCCGGCAGGCTGTTCTGGCAGATGCGTTCAAGCATGCAATGATCCACGTGTCATTTCCGTTCGCGCAAAACGCCAGGTGTTTGCAGGTTGGAAACGTCAAATAGTGTTTTGAAACCAGTCGGCAAGGTGAGATTACGGAGAATGACTCGTTGAAGGTGGGGAACGCCGCCCTGAATACGTGACCAGTCCTTGTATCCCATGGTATAGTAGGTGCCCGCTCGATAGCCAGGGTAGTCAATGTAGCCTTGGCGTTCGAGCTTGCGCTCGAGTTGTATGGCGCGTAGCGAAGAGTGGCAGAGTTGCAGGCAGGCAGCTGCAATATCGAGGACGGTCGTCGTGCAAGCTTCGATGCGCAGTTCTTCAAGAGTATCGCGTGAGTGATAGAGGAGCAAGCCGAGCAGATAACGGACAATGCTGCCCTCTTCGGTCGATTGCTCGCCATCGAGCTGACCGTCGAATTCGAGTGAGATACGCTTCAATTGGAGCCGCAGTGGGCGTATTCTGGACTTGCACAGAAAGTCGCCCAGTTCGCGTTCGATTTTCCAGACGTTCCAAGCGGTGATGGTGAGCTCTTCAAGTACGGATGGATCACACCGATCGCCATAGTCACTCATGACGTCTGCCAAACGGCCGTCTTTTGACTTGTCAAAATGTCTCGCCCCAGGCTCGGCATCGTTCTCAAGTGGCTCTGTGGGCTGCGCCTCGAAATGGCAGAGGTAGTTGAGCAAGGTGAGCAGACCTGGATCGCCCTTGTTGATGTTGAAGTGGAGGCTCTTGGCGCTCAGCAATCGGAAGACGGGGGGCACCTGAAGGTCACTGAGCGGTCGGCCTGTCATGACGAGTTTGCGAATTCTGCCCGAGCGATGGACCTGGTCGTCGAGGTCCGCTGTCTGAGGGCAGAGCATGTGTAAAAAGCTGGTGAACCGGCGTTTCTCGATTTGTACACGCCTGATGTAGGTTGACAGCTCGCTCCGTGAGGTACGAGCAGGCTCTAGTCTCAGCTGTGTGACGTTGGCGGTAGACAGGTAGTGGCCCTCGGGCGTCTTGAGAAGCTGGAGAAGCGCTTCTGATGATGGCGGCGTGTAGTTGATGCCAAAGGTGCGCAAGAAAGAGCGTCTGGCAGTGTAGGTGAGGGCAGAGTTCAGCACAGACAATACGTTGAGCTGAGCATGGTCCTGAGGGGTACTCAGTCGATTCCGATAGAACAAGAGATCGTCTTCAGGATGGACATCTTCGTCCCAGATGTGGTCAAAGATGAGCGACCAGATCTCGCCGGGCAGGCCGACTACATCTTCCTCCTCTCCATTGTCCTCGGTGCTCTCATATGCCGTCCCCACGTCGTCTGGCGCATCGTTATCCGAGCTCACAGTGGCGTGGCGAGTTCTTGGCTGACCATGCGATGCGCTCGGTCTTGCCTTTGACTTGCCCTTGCTGGCTGCTGTCCTACCTGGCCGTATACCTCGCCTGCCGACCATCGAGGGGCATGTGGCAGTGTGCCCTGTTGCGGATCCGGCTGGCCGTTCGAGCGAATTTCGAGCGTCGCGACGATGCGATCATCGATTTTTGGCTGTTGCCGAGCCACAGAGAGAGCGATGCCTCGACTGACGAGACTGATCAGGCGTCAGACGGCGGTAGTCGAGCGGGCAGCACAAGCCACTGCATCTCGTCCAAGCCATCTCATGCAAATTGGTGCCTCGACCGCAATTGCTCGACAAACGACCTGCCTAGATTCAGGGCGGCAGGCACGAGGTGAGCGAGTCTCACACTCTCTTCTCACCTACGACTGAGCCTGATCCATGGGGAAGCACCCGACTACCGATCCCTGGTATCGTCTCTACTCGCCGCTCGGGGTACGCCGCGAGAGTCCAGTCTTTTCGCTCGCCCGAGCATACTGCTCCCTTGTACGACTGGCGGGCTTCACTCGAGCATGCTCGGCAGCATACGTACGCATGTCAATGGTACAGCCTATCAGCCTTCGACTCGCAAGCGCAAGCGAAACTATGGCTTTCTCGCCCGACGCAGGAGCAGGACAGGCACCAAAATTCTGATTAGGCGAAGAGCCAAGGGTCGCATGTACCTCACTCATTGATCGTGCCTTTGCGCTTGCTGTGCATCTCTCCTTGAGCGCTAGACCGCCATGGTCATGATGCCGACTGCCTGCATGTATCGCACTCGGGCCGCGCTGTGCCTGTGTCGCGTCTCTCATACTTGCTCGATCGGCTATCGTGACTTGCAATAAGCGGATGACCATACGAGCCGTCATCTTTGACATCGGCGGGGTATGTGCTATCTGACAGTCGCTCCGGACAACCTGAATTTCCGATCGCAGGTCGTCGTGGGCTCGCCATTGGCCGGCATTGCAAAGTACGAGCTCGAGCATGGCCTGCCGGCACATTATCTCAATACTGCCATCACGGCTCGAGGCAAGGAGGGCAGCTTCCAACGCTTCGAGAGAGGCAAGCTAGAACTGGGTGCATTCCTCGAAGAATTTGGCATCGAGATGAGCGACGTCAGCTTCAACAATGAAGCTTACTCGGCATACTGTCGCAAGCTCGCCAAAGGTGCGCCCTCTGATCATCCGAGTGAAGCGATCCAAGCGACAAGCTTGATGTGTAGATATACCCAGCCTGCCGACAGAGCTTGATGTCGATGGACAGGACTTGTTCATCGTGTACATGCTGGGCGAAGCTTCAAAGATGGACCCGATCGTAGTCAACGCGATCAGGCGACTCAGGCGTCAGTCTGCTCGTTGCATGTCCTCCATACACGTTCACACTGACGAGAGAGCGACTGTAGAGAGCAAAAAGTACATTGTCGCCGCGCTATCCAATTCTTTTGAAGCGCCAAAAAGTACCAATGCATCTCAAGTCGGACCACCTCCGGAGCTTCGAGCCCTCTTTGATGACTACGTCGACAGCTGGGTCGTCGGCATGCGGTCCGCGACCGCTCTTTCAGATCTGTTCAGGCTTACAGACGGAATGCTAGGAAACCGGATCCAGAGATCTACAAATACACACTCGAACGACTCAAGATACGGCCCGATGAGGCGGTCTTCCTTGATGACATAGGCCTGTGCGTAGATTTCCTCTCTTGCCGCACGCTTACGCTCATGAACAGGCATCAGGAATCTGAAGCCGGCTCAAGATCTCGGGATGAAGACCATCCGAGTCTATCTCGGGAAATCGCGCGAGGCGATCAAGGAGCTGGAAGCTGTGCTCAGCATGGATTTATCTGCACCAGCACCAGAGAGCAGACTATAGCGCCTTGCAGTGTTGTATGACGATCTTGATGTGACGTGGCCCGTCGCTACGCACCATGTCACTGTCTGACGCGACCGTCAACGGCGCGCACGGCGATAGCGCGGGGTCCCTCCGATAAACTGAAAGCAGCACCCGATGGCAGGCATGCCAGGAGGCTATTCATCCAGTCCGGAGCCCATCGTCACACGCTCGATGGCAAGAGCAGCCCGAGCTCAGTCTGACTCACAAAGCACGCTTGACACGACCGACTCCTCCGAACTGGGTCAGTCGCTTACCGCAAGTCTTGCGAACCTCTGCTGAGGCTGGCAGAAGATCTCGAGGACGTATACTACATACAGGAGACTGACGAGGATGCTGATGCGGCTTCGATGGACGAAGATGGCACCATACGGCTCGCCGATCTTGACGAATTTGACGAGGACGATGACGATGAGGATGAGGAAGATGACTTTGAGCCTGATGACGATGATGAAGCAGAAGATGCGATGGACACCGCCGAAGGTGCAGAAGCTATCGAGAACATGACGATCGTCACCTCTTCGGGTGAACAGATCAGACTGGCAGAATTGCTCGCCGATGATCCGCCGCCGAGTGATGAGGCAGCACCAGCCGGGGTGCCTCGTCGGCCTATGGGTCGCACAGCCATCCAGACGCTCTTGAGAGCGCTCGCAAGCGGACGAGCAACTGTCCGACGAGGACCGGCAGCGCAAGCAGCGCGTGAGGCGGAAGAGGAAGAGGATGACGATGGCGACTATCAAGAAGAGGAGGAGGACGATGCATTTGGTGATCTCTTCGGCTATCGCAGAAGGCCGGCACGACGACAGCGTCCCCTGTTTGAACCGATCAAGAAGCCACTCAAGGAAGGCGTCGCACTCGAGCGATCAGGCGAATTCGGCCGCCCTCCTCAAAGATACTATGCCTCTGAACAGCAGCGCACCCTCCATGCCTCACGTAACGCCTTTGGTCTCGTGGATATGATGCGCAAGAGGGAGACAACGCGTGGGCGACGTACTTTCGAAGACTATTCCGATATTGCAATACCAAACACAGACGGTACCGAAGTCGCTCAATATGGTTCATCGGTCTATTGCGGCCAGTACTCCGAGGACGGTTCCTTCTTCTATACGTGCGCTCAAGACTTCAAGGTCAGGATCTACGATATGACGGCACCCTTGCGCACGACTCGCAAGGGCATCCTCGACACCTCCAATGGGCCATACCGCAATCCCAATCGGCGTGGCCAAGGTTACAGTGCATATCATGATGACAGAACGTCGCTCAAGTTGCTGAAGACGATACGTGCCACGCACGAATGTCGCTGGACGATCACCGATGCTAATCTATCGCCGGACAACTCTATGCTGATACACTCGACTATTGGATCAACAGTCAGTCTCATCAAGACGCGTGATGTCGATGAAGGAATCGAAAGCTCCAATCATGACCAGCAGCTGCTCAAATTTGGTGCGCACGCCTATGACGATTTCGGCATCTGGTCGATCCGCTTCTCTGGCGATGCCCGTGAAATCGTGGCCGGGGCGAGTAGAGGCAAAATCTTTGTGTACGATGTCGAAGCAGGCAAGCCCGTCCTGCGCATCCGAGCACATGACGACGATGTCAACGCCGTCTGTTTCGCCGACTCACTTTCTTCGAACGTCCTGATCAGTGGATCGGACGATGGTCTGGCCAAAGTCTGGGACCGTCGCTCGCTTGGCGACGGTCGAAAGGCCGGCGTGCTCGTCGGACATACCGAGGGACTGACCTTTGTCGCACCAAAAGGTGACGGCCGGTACGTACTCTCGAATGGAAAAGACAGCTGCGCCAAGCTTTGGGATCTTCGCAAGATGTACTCTTCCGAAGAATACGATAATCTTGAAAGACTCGATGTTGGTGTGCAAGGCTTCGACTATCGATTTGGTGGCTACACAAAGCCCAAATATCGCCGCCATCCTCAGACATGCGAAGTCACTTCATTCACGGGTCATTCAGTCACAAAGACGCTCATCAGAGCGCACTTTTCACCCATCGCGACGACTGGCCAGAGATACATCTATTCTGGTTCGGCAGATGGCAGGATTCACGTGAGCCGCACAATCTCCTTCCTTTTGAGCATCAGCTGATTGCCGGGCAGATATGGTCGCTGGATGGTCAAGTCGTTCAGATCCTTGACCGACGCAAAGCGACGCCCTTGTTTGGCTCAGACGGGGAACCGAATGACCCTTCTGCGCCCGAAGCGCCGCCCAGTCAGCACAACTACGATTCAGTCGTCCGGGACGTCAGCTGGGCACCCTTTGAGCCGACGATCATCTCGACATCCTGGGAGAGCTCTGTCGGCTCGTCTGGCTCCATCGCAATGCATGAATGGAAAGCAGAAGGCAAGCATCATGATGACAACCGAGGCATTCAGCGCAATTGGAATCTCGCCTAGTATGCCCGTTGTGTTCTGCGTGATATGTATTGAATGATGTACTTGTTGTGTGCATCATTGCAAAAGGCTGCTATCGCATCGCGCAGTGCTAGTGCGCCGCTGCGCAGAGGCCTTGTCGCGACTCAGCAAGATCACCGTCGCGCGCGAGCCGTGCTTTTGTCGTTTGATGAGCTCTTGACCTGTGCCGATCACCACAATATGCGCCGACTCGTGCTTGCCGCTGCTTGCTTCGTATCTGCTGCAGCAGCCAATCGTCTTGGGCCGCGCAAACTTGCTTTTGGCCGTGCATCGTCTTTATCAGAACATGTTGCAGCGCTCCCGGGCGAGTCGGCTGCACCTTACCAAAACGTGCAAGTTACTGTTCCGCCTTTGCTCGGTGATGCGAAGAAGCTCTGCGATCAGGTTTTGCTCGATCAATATGTGTTTGCCAACAGCTTCTACACGCCTGCTGCGAGTCTCATCGTGTCTGCCTTGCGAAACGCCCACTGAGCCCGAGATGTGCAGATCAAGGGCTTTGCAGTACCAAGCGAATGCGGCGCACTCGCAGACATTGATCGGCTCGTTCTTGAGCTGACTGTGCGCTCGATCGGCACTCAGTACGATCGTCTTTCAAACATCTTTATCAACGATATCGAGGTTCTGCGCACATCGACAGCTGAACCCATCAGACGACCGCCGGGTATCACTTGGACTGTGACCAAGGATATCACACGCTACCTGGGTCTCATCGACGCCAAGACCAATCGCCTTGTCATGCACCTCAACAACTTGCTCGACGCATCGGCTGGGCTTGACGGCGTTTACAACGTCACTCTCAGCCTTCAATACTATTCCAAAGGTGACGGACGCCCTGCCACTAAGTCACAGGTGATCTTGCCTCTCGGACCGGGTGCTCTGCACGACAAATCGCAGTCGTCCGGTCTCTTCGTATTGCCCGGCGAAAGCCGTGCAGAGACGATTTTGCAGATACCAGAGACGACAGTCAGTCTGCTCGCAGAGATCTATGCGAGTGGTGCTGCGAACGAGGAGTTTTGGTATGCGTCTCCTGTCGATGAGCTTGTGCCCGAGATTGGACCGCAAGAAGGCAACCATGGCCCATTTCGAGAAGTTCAGCTGCACGTCGACTCCGTACTCGCAGGCGTTGTCTGGCCTTTCGCTGTGATCTATACCGGCGGGATTTCGCCGGCTCTTTGGCGGCCTATCGCAGCTTACGGCGCGTTTGATGCCCCATCATACTGGATCGATCTGTCTCCTTTCATACCGACGCTTGTAGATGGCAGGCATCATTCATTCGAGTTCAAAATCATTGGACAAGGGCCAGGAGGTGCTACCAACTCGAGCTGGCTCGTATCAGGCAATTTGCAGGCATTTCTCTCGCCTACGGGCAAGAAACCTACTGGCCGGATGATCTCGACCACGAATGAGCCGATCGACGTTTCGTCAGAGATCCTGCATCTCAGCAAGGGCGAATCGGGCGCCATTGTCACTGCTAAGCGTGATTTTACGATCACTGCCGAGCTCGATGGGCTTCTGACTACGTTCCATCAAAATCTGACGTTTACGAATAAGCAGATCTACACCGATTCGACACAGATCGTGATTCAGGATACAGGCTATACATCTATGTCTGCACGTTCTGGGCACCCAATCATGTCTGTCCAGCAACGATTCCCACTCCACATGACGACGACGATGACTGCGGCAGATTCAATCGAGGCAGTCGTCAAACATGGCTACGAGTCCGTCTGGACAAAGTCGGGCGTTGCAGATGGAGGTAGTATCAAAACGGAGCAGATGGGAGTCTCTATGCTCAAGCTGGATCCGAAGACCGGCCGTGTCACAGCCGGCACTGGGAATACGACTCAGACCTACAGATACCAGGATGCAACGAATCTCTATACTCGTGACATAGAGGCCCGTAATCTGACGATTGTGAGAGACGAAACCGGCGGCAACGTTGCTTGAGGCTGTATGCTTGTACTTCGATATGCAGTTTTTTGATCAGAACAACAAAATTCATATCTAGACGAGACTGGTTCAGTGCTGACTCCAGTCAATCTTGCTGATGTCGATGCCCTCTTGGACCATCTCATAAAGCGGTGAGAGATCGCGCAGTCGCCTGACGATCTGTACCATCTTTTCGGCAACAAAGTCAACCTCTGCCTCGGTAGTGAAGCGTCCCAGTCCGAATCGGATCGAAGAATGTGCCATGTCTTCAGCCGAGCCAAGCGCGCGAAGCACATAACTAGGCTCGAGTGATGCGGAGGTGCAGGCGCTGCCAGAGCTCAACGCGATGTCTTTTAGCGCCATGAGGAGTGATTCGCCTTCGATGTATGCGAACGAGAGATTAAGACTTCGATGAGAAAGTCAGCGGGCATGTCTGACAGCGAGAGCAAGACTGACCAGCCTGGATAGCCTGCGACATCACCGTTGCGGACAATGTCGGTGCAGGCGCTAGTCAATTTGTTGTAGAGCCGATCTGACAAACGTTTGACATGCTCGTGATCAAACTGCGCACAACCGTCAGCGGCCATACAGTCGGCGCACAGGATGGAAAGCGTCAGAACCCCTGCAGAGAAGCGTCATGCGGTCGCTGCAAGCGCCGTCTGATATAGATGACAAAAGAGGACGTCTTCGTCATGCTGGGGGTACAAGAGGAAGGTCGCGGAGAAAGCGCTCACTTTCATGTCTTCCTTTGCAATTCGGCAAGCCTCGCCGAATCCCACGGCAAGAGGCGCAGGCACGGTACCGGAGCGCAGGCCGCGCTCCTGTCCGCCACCTGTCATGATGGGCTCAAGTCTGACTCGAGGCCGTCGTCGGACGTAGGCAGCTCCAATGCCTTTGGGACCGTAGATCTTGTGGGCAGATATCGACATGAGGTCGACGCCCATCTCATCGACATTGAGCGGAATTTTGCCAAAAGCTTGTGCGGCATCGGTGTGGAAAAAGACACCCTTGTGCTTCTTTGCAATGGCGCCAATCTCCTTGATGGGTTGAATGGTACCAATTTCATTGTTGATCGTCATGATCTATGTGAGCGCGTTAAATTTGATCAACGAGTAAAGGTGTGTCACTGACCGAGATGAGGCAAGTGTCGGGCCTGATGGACTTCTCGAGCAGCTCTAGATCGACCAGTCCGTTTTGCTTGACGGGCAGATAGGTCACGTCGAAGCCTTCATCTTGCAGAACCCGACAAGAGTCCAGGACGCACTTGTGCTCCGTCTGTGTGGTGATGATGTGCTTTTTGCCCGACCGACCGTAAAAGCGTGCGACACCCTTTATCGACATATTATTGGTCTCGGTAGCGCCAGAAGTGAAGATGATGTCCTTTGGGTTGGCGCCAATCAGGCTCGCCACTTGAACACGAGCATCCTCGACTGCCTTCTCAGTCTCCCAGCCATAGGCATGCGTGCGCGAATGAGGATTGCCAAACTGGTTCGTCATGAACGGCATCATGGCATCTAGCACTCGTGGGTCGATGGGTGTCGTTGCCTGTCATGCGTAGGCTGACCGGTCAGTCATCGACAAAATGGGCGCATCGAAAGACTTGCCTGCATGTCCAGATAGATTGGCCTCCCAAGCATCTCACTCGTGGCATTGTTGACCTCGAAGCCCGGGATTTCTTCGCCGGGCTTGAGTATAAGATCGTCGGGGCTGTCACGCATTGCTTCGATATCAGTGTCCAGCGGCGAAGGCCGATGCTCTTGCGTGTCTGCAATTGTTGCGAGCGTCCGGGTCGCTGCCGGAGCAGTCGATCGTACTGATCTATTGAGACTGAACAAAGCAGCGTCACTTGCTGACCGGTTCGGTACGGGAGTAGCAAGTCTCGGAGTCGATGTGATTGTGCGATGGCTGGCGGCAACGATCCGCGAGGCATGGTGCGCACCAGACAGAGTCCGCTTGGTTGCTTGGCAGCAAGACCTGTGCAACATGTTGCTTGTCGATGCAAAGGCAATGCTGGAGTGCATCTTGGTGCTCCGAGCAGTCTGCCGCTGTCCTTACCATCGACAGCCAGTAATTGACACAACCATCGACGTGTCAGGCACGCGGTTCGCCACACACAAGATCACTCGCAACAGGCCTGGCCTCGAGACCACTATTCACAGCAGTGCTCGTGAAAGCATGATACAATTATTCGCCCTCGCGGACGACGGCATTCTTTGAGCGCGCGCGGATTGCGCGGCCGTACTTGAACAGTACGAAGGGCAGAGGAATGAAGAGGATCGCCAGGCCTCCGAGCAGACTGCTTGCGCCGGGTATGCCGAGCTTGTTATACATCTGAGTGGCGAACAGGGGTGCTGCCGCGCCAAAAGCTGAACGCATTACCGTGTTGGCCGCCAGTGCGGAGGCAGCATTAGCAAGGTATGAATCGATGAGATAGGTGAAGCCTGCAAGGAAGACCCAAAGCACACCAGCGCCGAGTAATGCAGTTCCGAAGATAGGTGACCAGATTGAGATGGAAGGATATGAGGTGAAACCGATCCAGAAGAAGGAGACGGCCAGCATCGGTCCGGCAGCCATCATAATGAGCAATCGTTCCTCCGGTGGCACTGGCTTGTCGCCGAGCGCCGTTGCTTTGGCAATGTATCTCCGGTTGAAATAGAACACGTAGATGAGCACAGCTGCAAGACCGCCCAGAGGAATCGGCAGGAAAGTAAGGCCGATCAAGCCCGCAGTGAGGCCGTGATTCTCGCCCATGATGATTGGAATGCTTTCAAACTGGATATAGCTGCAGTATCACAAGACGCTGGGTCAGATGGGTGAGCGTTATTGACGAGGTACATACATTATCATGTAGACGTAGCTCATCAGCAAGGTGATAGCGAGAAGCATGGGCTCCTCATATAGCATGATCAGCGGCTTGAGCAGTGTGTGCTTCAGCTTCTGGCCCATCGATTCAGGCTCGTGACGTTCCATGGAAGCGTGGTATCGCTCGTCGCCAGTCTCCTTGCGGACTTTTACTGCTTCTCGCTTGAGAATGATTGGGATAAACGTCTCTGGTAGTAGAACGACGATACCGACGAGACAAACGCCGGCCTGCAGACGTTATATAAGCACAGGTCTCCCTGCCAGAGGGGCACGAACAAAGATTGTCAGAACCCAATATATCCAGCGCCAGCTCGTTCCTGTGACCTCCATGAAGCCAGAAACAATGGGAGCGATGGCCGGGCCGGCAAAGGGCGCGAGGGAGAAAATGGCGAGCGCGACACCTCGCTCGTTCGGACCCCATCTAAGGCCAGAATTAGGACCCCCTCATGAAAGGCGAGGGAGAACGTACAGATCCGCGATGATCCCTCCGCTGACTGTCAGAGGACTGGATGCGAAGCAACCGCCGAGGAAACGGAAGACTATTGCGGAACCAATGTTGGGCGCGAGTGCGTTGCCGACTTGCCAGGCCGTATAGGGGATGAAGGAGGCAATCAAGGTCGGCTTTCTCCCGTATATTTCTGACATCGGTCCAAACACCAAGGGGCCGACGCAGTACGCCAAGACGAAGATGGCGATGAGCAAGGCGCCTACTTCTTCTGACACGCCATAATAAGCGTCGATCGAGGGAAGCAGATTAGATGGTGCAGAGGACGCGAAGGTCGCATTGAGAACCTTTGGCAGCGTCAGCTGGATCCTCCATCATGGACGGGCGACGCACCAGGATACCGGCAAAAGCGGTAAGGAACCATCGGTACTTAGTATTCCACGTATGGGGATCCATATGCTCGCGACCAATGAAAGTGACGAGATGGGGATCATCTTGTAAGGCATCCTCTTGCTTGACGCGCGCTTCTGCTTCCTCTGGCTCCATGCCTTCCTTCTCGAGCTGCAACCTGCGCTCATGGTCCTTGTTGGCCTCTAGATCGTCGCCGGCTGCGGTCTCGTCATCTGACGACGAGGGTGGCTGGGTTTTCTCGCCCGCTTGTTCGCCTTCATGATGCTCTGGAATTGCCGAGCCTCGACGTGGAGCGGTAGACAGCGGCCGCGTGAGGGTGGGTCTGCCTGTGGCAGATTGTGCAGATGTGTTTGAGCCGGTGAGCGCGATGGGGGAGCCCTGATAGCCGGACGATGTAGAGGACGCTCGGGAGCGAGATCTGTGTAGGTTGTGCAAGTACTGCTCGCTGTGATTGCGAGCAATGCCGTCCCAGACCATGACGGCGGCGGCGGCGGCGGCTTTAAGAGGTGTTCAGATCGACCGAAGCGGCAAGCGCGAGATGATCGTGAGGGGTGGCTGAGGGATTCGTTAGTGCTGTGCACTGCGACCAGTCAGACTATCTGCTTCTCAGCCTGATAGTCTGAGAATGTCGGCAGTGATAGGAATTTGATAGATGCGCAAGCCAACAGATGTTCGCGATAGTCTCCGCGGGTTTAGCGCTTGGCTTGTCTGTGGCCCGATGTATGCAAAGGTCGACGAAGACGAGGTTGGGCGGTGGAGGCCTTTATAAGTCGGCCTCGCTAGCGCCGACACGCCGGACTCGCCTGGTTTCGTTCGACTTTTTAACTCCGACACGGCAAGGAGCGACAGTCGCTGAAAAATGATAGACCGATCATCATCGTCATCGCGATTTGTCATGCAGTCGAACGGCGGAGGCGCAACAGCAGCAGCCACTCGCTTATCGATGACCAAGATCGACCTGCTCGAGGCAACCGTCGAGCAATTACACCAATGTCTCGATCGTGGCGACATCACTGCAGTCCAGCTATGCAAGGCCTATCTCGCCAGGATCGAGGAGACGAGGCACCTCAATGCAGTCATCGATGTGCCGACAGAGGCTGCTCTCAAGGAGGCTGAAGAATCTGATGCACGTCGAAAAGCTGGCAAGTCGCTCGGCATTCTCGACGGTATCCCGGTACTTGTAAAGGACAACATCGCGCTCAGACCGACCAAAGGTGTTCAAACGACCGCGGGATCCTTAGCCCTCGAAGGAGGTATCACTTCGGCCGATGCGACCATTGTGGCCAAGCTACGGTCGGCAGGGGCTATCATGCTTGCCACTGCCAATCTCACCGAGTGGGCCAACGGAAGGGGTGAAAAGATGCCCAATGGCTGGAGCGCCCGAGGCGGACAGTGTACTTCGCCCTACCATGAGAGAGGCGATGTCTGCGGCTCAAGCTCTGGTAGTGGTGTTGGTATGGCTATTGGCCTTGCAGCTCTAGCTCTGGGATCAGAGACTTGCGGATCAATCTGTATGCCCGCTGGAAGGTGCAACGTCGTTGGCATCAAGCCGACCGTCGGACTGACAAGCCGCTATGGCTGCATTCCTATCCTGGCCTCTTGTGACTCGCCGGGTCCGATGACACGCACAGTGCGTGATTCGGCCATCCTCTTGCAAGCAATCGTTGGCAAAGATGATGATGACAAGCATTCGCTTGACCAGCCCGACACGCCGCCTGATTATCTCAAGGCGCTGACGGCGGATGGCCTCAGTGGCGCTCGTATTGGCGTCTTGCGCAGTGTTTACACCGACGCATCCGCCGACAATGACTTTCCGCAGTCTATGATTGATATGTATAACGAGCAAATTGCGTCTGTCTTCCCTAAACTGGGTGCCACCCTGGTCGATCCGGCCGAGCTTATCTGCAGCGAAAGCAAGAAAGACCTCGAAGTTCTCGAAGACGCTCTCTTTGCACTTTCACCCGCAGAGATGTGCAATGGCATAAACTCCTTTATCGACTTCCTAGCCACTCGGCCGCCCGGTATCAATACCCTGCGCGACATTGTGTCCTTCAACAGCTCACATGCGAGCGAAGAATTGCCAGCCTGTCGAGCGAGCCAGGCACAGTGCGTCCTCGGTCACTTGCTCCAGCTATCTGCAGCGTACTGACGGTGCATACAGCTTCATCAAAGCTGTGGAGAATGCTCAAGAAATGGACGATCCTGCTTACCTGACGCAATTGGCATCGAATTACGAGATAGCGCGGCTGAAGGGTATCGATGCGACGCTCAAGAAATACAATCTTGACGCATTGATTGCGCCAAGCGACTCTTGCATCCGTGTATTGCCTGGCTTAGCGGGCTATCCTTTGATCAGCATTCCCTGCGGCTTCATGTCCGAGGATACAAGACCTTTGGAGCAGACCGACGAGGAGAGGGAGCATGGCTTACCCATATATCCTGGGCCGGGGGTCCCTTTTGGGATCACGTTTGTCGGGACGGCTTATAGCGAGGCTAAGCTGTTGAAATATGGTTACGCTTATGAGCAAGCGACTCAAATTCGGACAAAGCAAGCACCCATGAGGTCGGCGACTCCCAAGACGCAGCTTGCAGACGTGAACGTCTAGTATGTTGACAACAACACCATGCAGGAGTTTTAGAGGACTTCTATCGCAAGATCTTCGTCCTCTTCCTCATGTTCTACTGTCGCAGAGCCGACCACTTCTGGCACAGCTTCTATGCGAGTGTCTGGGCCCTCGTCGCGCATAAGCAGATTGACCAGCCTGACGACCGCTTCCGCGACCTATTTGTGATGTCAGCATACCAAAGACGCGAATGCATCATGCCGACCTCGTGGTCCTGCTCGGATTCGTGCAGGACTTTGACGACGCGATAGGCATTCTTCTGCCGCAAATGCTCGCGGCCCGTCAGGGTCGTGCAGAGCAGGAGCAAGGTTTCGACGTGAGTGAGTCGAATGTACGGGTCTGGCTCGCGAGTCTTGTCGGAGGAGAGCAGCTGGATCTCGGTGGGGAACTTTTCCAAGTCCTGCCTTGTGTTGTGAGCATTTGTGAACAGGGTCAGCGAAACTACCTACGTCCAAGTCATAGTCCTCATTGCCACAGAGCGGTAGCAAGACCTTTGGAAGCATGTTGACGGACGATTCGTCCAGAAGCGCGCCATGTGCTTCTTTGACAAAGCAACAGTTCCTGCATATGTACGTAAGCGTAGACCTCGGAAAGCGTCCGACTGCTTGCTTGATGATACTAGCGACGCCGCCTCGTCTGATCGTGCTTGCATGTTCGGTGAAGACAGCCAGCTTGGTAAGCGGAACGTCCGAAAGATCCTTGCCAGAAGGAATTGGCTGGCCTGGTTGAAGCCTCAAGAGTGCAAGACGACCGGCGGGTAGCTTCGCAGACCTATCAGACATGACCACGAGACCCGTGGGATGATCATACCAGAGATATATTGGCGACGACGCTGGCGAGGAAGTCATAAGTCGCGTGTGGGTTGTATGTCTTGTCGTCACCGAGCAAGAAGACTTGCACGAGCTGCTCAAGCGCGCGAGTTGGATCGCCGGACGTCTGAGGTGATGTCGAAGGCAGCGTGAGTTTGCACAGGCTTGCTGCCACAGTCTCAGACTTGGTAAGATTTGAGAGCAGCATGCACGCGAGATCGGCCAGCAAAGCTGTCCTCGACTGGGGGACAAATCATGAGCGAACACTCGGATGTCATCATCATCGTCATCATCACTGACCACGATCGTACGAACGATCCAGCTGAGCATGACGGGGTTGCCGCATTGGCGTTGCACAGATTCTTGATCGGACAGGTTGATGAGTGCCTTGAGGGCGTCGTGCGCGAGCGCTGCTGCATCTTCTCGAGCGATTCGTCCGAGAGCATCGATCGCCGTCGGGGATGCTAGTATGACTTTGCGCAGTGGCTGAGAGGAGGGAGTGAAGCCTGTCACCGCTTCGAGCGCCGCTTTTCGTATTTCTATCTGCGGCGCACTCAGAAAGCCAAGCAACTAGCTCTGTCGTGGTGAGGTCAATGTGAGGCAAGCATCAGACAGCTGCGCACTTCTCGTACTTGGCCCTCCATCGCTCGGCAAAGCAGCTCCGGCTCTCCAAAACCCGAACGCAAGAGCTCAAAGTCAGGCTCAAGACTGCCCCAGACTGGCCAGACATGGCAGTGTGTGGAGCGCTCTCCAGCCGATGACACCCACCGGCTGACGAGTGATCCCAGGAGAGCAGCATGACCGAAGCCCATCCGCTCAGTGTGCGAGTGCTCAGGCTGCTCCGGCCGAGCGCAGCCAAGGAGGACACTATCTACATCGACAAGGATGCCGTCGACCTGCTCGGCGCCCGCAATAGTCTCCTTCGACAAGATGTAGCGCAATTTTGTGACTTCTCGGCAGCTCCTCTGCTCGCCCTCTCCTCTGTGTTCGGACAGATCTACCTGGGAGAGACCTTCAATGGCTATCTCGCTGTACACAACGATCAAGACAGCCCCATAACGGGGGTCAATCTCAAAGTTGAGATGCAGACTGCCCAGAACAGGTGGACACTAGCAGAGACACGCTCGGGTCTGCTCAAGCCACGCGAAAGCCTCGAGACCGTCGTCAGGCACGAGCTCAAAGAGATTGGCGTGCACTCACTCGTCTGCACTGTCTCGTATACTGTAGCCGAAGGGTCCCAGCAAGGCTTCGCCCCAGAACTGGGAGCAAGTCAGCGTGTGCTCAAAAAGTCGTTCAAATTCTCAATGTCCAACCCGCTCAGTGTGAAGACGAAGATACACATGGCCAAATCGGTGACGGCTTTGCTTGACAAGAATCAGCGAGAGACTGCCTATCTCGAGCTGCAGATTCAGAACATGACTTCAGCTCCTCTCGTCTTTGAGCAGATGCGCTTCGAGCCATCCCAAGGGCTAACATTCGTCGACGCGAACTCGTCCATCTTTGACAACGAGGCAGCTCTGCTATCGCCCGGGGACATCAGGCAGTACCTTTACATCGTCAGCCCGGCCGTGACTCCTTCTCCGGTCTTCGAGAGTGGCAAGGTCAACGGACAGATGAACCTCGGCAGACTCAATATTGTCTGGCGTACGCCCAATGGCGAGGGCGGCAAGCTCCAGACGAGTCAGCTGACGCGAAGAATGCAGGCTCCAGCCATACTGAGTGCTCCTGGAAGCTATGCCATGCATGACGAACACGCCATTGCAGCGAGCAAAAGCGCTACGGTAGTCTCGCCCCAGTCTGCAAACAGCGCTCGCAAGTCGGATGCGACCGAAGCCAAAGGACCAGACGTCTCCGGGCTTACATTCGATGTCTCGATCGAGCTACCCGTTGAGCCGCTCACTATACATACACCATTTCAAGTGCGCCTCAGCCTGCGTGTCCGCGACAGGGCCGGTCAGCGTCGAGTCGTCGTCCTCGCGCTTCAACATGTCAGACCTGTGTCCCTGAGCAGTCCGGCGGATACCACTGCAGCTGCAGGCGATAAAGCACGGCAGTCTGTTCTGCTTTCGGAGGCTGATCCGCCTGCGAGTCCGGCACCACCGATGCGGAGTCGACTGGCGCCAGCTTCACTTCTGGCTGATCTGACATCTGGAGCACCATCCCGACGAGCTAGCGCGGATGTCAGTACACCTGAGAGTCTGAGGCGACGCAGTGCGCAAATCGATCCGTACGCTCGCGATGCACTCCTGCAGGCCGCAACGTCTGCAGCCGTCGTCTCTCATGCAGGCGCTGACATTGTTCTCCCGGCGCCTGAGCCAATCAACCGGCGCGCTGGATACACTGGAAGTATTGAGCCCTCGTCGACCGTCATTGCCCTGGGTCCATCGCTTATCGAAGTCGAGCCTATCGAGCTTGGAAACGATGAGACCGTCATCCGTGTCGTCGAGCTGTCTTACCTACCGACTGAGACGGGTCTACACCATCTCGGCGGCTTGCGTGTACTCGCTCTCGGCATCACGGAAGAAGGCCAGGACGTGAGCGAAGGACGTGACGCGTTCATTGTGCGCGAAAACAGTGTGCTGGGAGAAATTTACGTGCAAGGTCGCCCGCCACTGCGTCTATAATATGCATACATTCCGTGATATGCACAAGCTCTGTCATTCACTTCTTGCCCGACCTGCTTGACCTCATGAGCATCGGGCGCTATAGTGCATATTGCAAGCCCACTTTTTTATGCCAGCGCCGCCCATAGGACCGCCTTTGGCAGCTCTCAGCTGCAGGGCCACGTCAGTGCGTGCAGCATGAGTACGCTCGGCGGCCTACGGCAGCCTCCTTGGTCGCAGCAGCATCAGCCTTTTGCTTTGCCTTGAAAGCAAGATCATCTTCATCTTCTTCACCTGTACGCAAGTCTGTCAGCAAGGACGACGTGAGGCTCTCAACACCGAACACACGCTTCTCCTTTTTTGGCGCCTTGAGGGGCTTCGCCTTGCCTCCTGCTCGGCCAGTCATTGTCTCGTTTCTCCTGAGCTCCACAAATCTGCGCGACTGCGACATCAACAGGCGATCCGAGATGTCACGCGAACGCAGCATGGCGGCACAGGCTGATGCTCAGTATCTCATGAGGTGTGTGCAGACGGGCGACTGATTGATGCACGATCTCACTCGTCAAGACAGGCATGCAGCGATCAAAGTCGTACAAGGGACGGTCATTGCAGTTCCACCTCTTCTGCTGGCCACGCAACTCTACAGGCGTACCTTCTCACTCAATCGGTTCCTGAGGGGCAACGCGATTGCTTCGCTTGTCGGCGCTGCAGGCGGCGCTGGTCTGTATTACGGACGGGCGCGCAACTTTGACGATGTTGCACTGGCAGATCGTGTTCAGAGGCTAAGATCCAACCGCTCGCAGGCTCAAGTGGACGACTGGACGCTCATCGGTAGCATCATCGGCTCACTTCTCACGACGACGCTCTTCATGAGACGTGCCAATGTGCTCTACTGCCTCCTTGGCGGCGCATCCCTCGGAGCTGGCGGCGGGGTGCTCACTCACATGTACCAGACGTACGGTCTTCAAGGCAGCATCGAAGCTGTCCAAGAGGGTCCACCCGGCGGCAAGATCATTGATGATCTCCAATCGGGCAAGGCAGACGAGGTCCTGAAAGGAAAGCCTACATAGTCACTTGGGACAATGTTGTATTCGCATGCTCATGCACTATAGTTCACAACAACAGCGCCTGCTACTTCTGAAACGTCACATTCTTGTTGCCGCTCTGTTTGTCCAGCGTCAGCGCCTTTGGCTGGCGACGGAATGCCGGCGTCTCTATTGATGCCTGATCGAGTTTGCTCTTCTTGGCGGCGCGCATTGCCTGCACATCGAAAGCCTCTTCTTTGTATCCCTCGAGGACAGACTTGCTCTTTGAATAATCATATGGCTCTACTTTGATATGCTCCTTCTTCGACTGTGCTCTGCTTTGCTTCGGTCGGATCTCGCCCTTTGGCGTGGCCGGGGCATCTGGCCGCGCTCTCTTCTGACACGCGTTTGTCTTCTCCTGCCTGACTGTTTCGGAGATGTGTAATACGTCGTCGCTGTCATCGCTCGATGAGGCTGCAGACGCTGCGATGGCTTCCTCCACCCGTGACTCCCCAGAGCTGACAGGGACCAGGATCGCCGTCGAATGCATGGCAAAGAGTTGCTCCGAAATAGTGCGCTGAATATTCGCGACGGCTTTCTGAGCTGGTGTAGAATCCTGCGTGCGCAACGTCGTATAGAAACGGCTTGCACCATCGTTCATCGGCACTGGCATAGGAGGCCAAACTTCTGGCAGAACCTGGCGGATGCGCGGTTCACTCGGACTGGCGACGAGCGCAGAGATTGACTCTAGTGTCGATCTTGAGGAGACTTCTGTGGCCTGCGGCGTATCGAGGGCAGCTTTGATGACTTGAGCGAGTTCTGAGGCACGCCTCAGGACCGTCTGTGAAGCTACGCTGCAGCAAGCTAGCACGTCCGCAGGCCGTGTAGGCCTGACGGTTCCCAGCCGGCACACAAGGTGATGGGACATGATATACCGAGGCGACTCGTCAAGCTCGCGGGCCAGCTGATCGCGCCAACTGTGAGCTGCCCGGAAAGCGGCAAACTCTGGCCCTCTGCCTGAGCTTGTCTCGCCCTTAGCCAGGTTGACTCGATATTCTGCACCTTTGTTCATGACACGGACGAGTCCTCGCCAGCCATTTGCTCCGAGTCCGCTCTCGTAATCGTAGTCTGATCCATGATACGCTTGGCTCGCGACGATACGTGAGCGGCGATCGACACGCTGGAGCAACGTTTCGCTGCCGTCGAGTGCGTGCTCCGGCGTTGGGTCGAGCTTGGTAGCAATGAGGGCTCTACGTAGATGATCATAGATGTTCAAGAGGTAGTGCGTATCCGAGCGAGCGTAGTCAATCATCTCTTGAGGCAATGGACGCAGGCGCCAATCTGCCAGCTGATACCGCTTGTCCGGCACAAAGTGGGTATATTTTGTCAGTAAAGAAGCCAGCGATCGCTGGCCGTAGGCTGTACGATCATTAGGTCGCAGGGTCTGAGATTTGCGAGGAAGACGTACAGAGAACGACGGTGGCATGATAGGTATCGAAGAGATTCACGATGTATAGCCCAAAATCGCGTTGAAGCCAGATTACATCGGACTGCGCTCCGTGCATGACTTTGACTTTTGCAGGATCTGCAAAGACTTCGTTGAGGCTTTCGAGTCGGTCTCTGACCTCGGAGACGAGTGTGTCCACGATCCAGTCGTGGGAGCGAGTGCTGATCTGCATGAGGCAGACGAATCCAACATAGGAGCGGAAGTCGTGATGTTCTAGATCAATGGCAATCTCTGCATGGTCTGGTCTCTTGAGCTCTTGCAGCAATCTATCCAGTTGCTCTGCTGTGTCGACATAAGTGAAGGGCGTCGAGGAGAAAGAATCTATAGCTTTTTTTGAGATTTCGCTTGGGAGGTTATCTGGCGAGGCGAGGAGAGGGAGGGCTTCGATCTCGTGGCTGTAAGGATTGCTCTCGCTGTCATCAGTGCGGTCAGTAAAAAGGTCGACGCGTGTGCGAAGCTAAACGGCGTGCCTGGTGTCATAGGTAGCAGGGTCGTACGCGACAAGCGCATGAGGCTTGCTTGTCAGCAAGGGGCGGAACAACTGGCCACGAGCGTTGTTGACAGGCCGCGAGAAGTGGATCTGAGGCTTCTCGAGATCTTTGGCATTCATGAGTGAGGCGGGCAATCTCTGACGAAGCTCGGCAGATCAGCGCGAGCCAGATTCGAGAACAAAGTGGGTGGACCTGATCAGTGGTTTGCGATGTAGTTTGGAGAGGCTTGGGCTTGTGTCTGCCGGACAAGAGATCGAGCTGGGCGTCCTACAAGCCACGCAAGATGAGCTATGTGGTTGGGTTGGCGGAGGCCGAACGAACAGCAGCTTCAAGGAGATGATCGACGACATGAACGACTGATCTCTCAAAGCGGTCGGTGACATCGTCAATGTCCTGCAGCTCATCTGAAGATTCTTCGTGCAGCGATGATCTGACCAGGCCAAGCAGCTTGTTGGTGAGTTCAAGGACATGCCGAGAGGCAGAATGGGCGTCGCTTGCAAAACGATCAGAGACTGTACGGCAGTAGGCTACGTCCTTGAGCTGCCGTGCCGCTACTGTTGCCGGCTTGATGACCTGACTGATGGAGCTCTGATAGGCCTCCCAGTCTTGACCTGGGTCCGTTGTAGCCATGGCCATGGGCAGAGTAGTGACGTCTGTCGCCCTCTTATATATATAAGGAGCAGAATGCGCGGACAAAATCGATCCTCTCATCAACGGCTCGACAGACGATGACGACATTCGCCAGCTTGGTCAGGCACGATGACAGGCCGGCTATCGTACTGCCTCGTTCGGCAACGGGTGTCAACGCTCGTACGGTCTCGCACCACGAACTAGCTGAGCTCATAACCTCCTTCCAAAGTCAGCTATCCGGTGCAGGCACTCAGCCGGGTGATGTGATTTCTATGAGCCTCATTAACTCGCTCGACTTTGTCATCGCCTTTCTCGCTGTCGGACTCAACCGCAGCATTGCTGCGCCCCTCAACCCGGCCTACAAGACTTCAGAAGTTGATTTCTATCTTCAGGACACAAAGAGCCGCTTGCTGATCGTGCCCGCCGGCGCAATCCAAGCCAACACGGAGGCTGTCCAAGCTGCCAGAGCGCTAGCCACGAAAGTGCTCGAGGTTTCAGTCGATCTGCGCCGTCAGCCTCTCAGGGTCGCGCTCACGTCAGACGGCAAGCCCGTCCCATCTGCATCTGCGGCTGCTGTGCCCAAAGATGATGACGTGGCCCTCATCTTGCATACTTCAGGCACGACAGGGCGTCCAAAGGCCGTGCCCCTGACGCATCGTAACCTGCTGACGACAATGTCGAATATCAAACGAACATATGCTCTCACTGAAGCAGACCGATCTTACCTCGTCATGCCACTCTTTCATGTTCATGGTCTTTTAGCGGGCTTCCTTGCTCCCATCTATGCCGGCGCATCTGCCGTCGTTCCTCCAAAGTTCTCTGCTGCGACATTTTGGCCGGAGCTCATCGAGAGTAAATGTACCTATTATACCGCTGTACCGACGATACACCAAATCCTTCTCAAGACAAAGCTACCCGACAACTTGCCCAAACTACGGTTTATACGGTCATGCTCCTCCGCTCTATCACCCACGACTTTCCACGCGATCGAGGAGACATTCGGCGCACCTGTCCTCGAAGCGTATGCCATGACGGAGGCCGCACATCAGATGACGAGCAATCCCTTACCACCTGGCAAGCGACAGCCGGGCAGCGTCGGCGTCGGTCAAGGCGTCGCCATCCGCACACTGAATGATCACGGCATGGATGTGCCCGAGGGCGAGGTATGCATCAAAGGTCTCAACGTGACCACGGGCTACATCAACAACGAAAAGGCCAACAAGGAGTCATTCACCGCCGATGGCTTCTTCAGGACAGGTGACAGAGGCCGACTGGATTCCGAGGGCTATCTCTTCCTGACGGGGCGAATCAAAGAGCTTATCAACCGAGGGGGTGAGAAACTCAGTCCGCTCGAGATCGATGCCGCCTTACTCGCCGTCGATGGCGTTGCCGAGGCAGTCGCATTTGGTGTGCCCGATGAAAAGTACGGCGAGACTGTCTGGGCAGCCCTTGTGTTGAAGGACGGCAGCAAGTTGGACGCCAAAAGCATACAAACAGCAGCAGCTGGAAAGATTAGCAAAGTATGCTTCGCCACCCCTGTACGGGCTCTGCTGATAGTTGATGCAGTTCAAGGTACCCGAGCGTATCTTTCTCGTCGATGCAATCCCAAAGGCAGCAACCGGCAAGATCTCTCGGCTCAATGTCAGCAAGACGTTCCAGGCCAAGGTCGCCGCACAAGGCAGGCAGAGCAAGCTATAGACGTTGTGCTGGATTGCATACATCTGTACATGTGACTTTGCAAGCTCTGCCGGCCTAGGACGAAAAGTCCAAGCACTCCATCTCGTGGACCCAGCATGGCAACTCCTGGCCATGCTCGAGGTCGTGTCGCTTGAGCATGTCCTCCGAGCAACCCTCAAAATCAGACATGCACATCAGATGCGCGAAAGTTGTGACTCTGCCGAGCTTGTCTGCGATGAAGGTCAGTCTCGAGGCGAGAAGGGCTTACGGCTCCAATGTGACTAACGTTGGACGACCGAGGGTCGCATGCTAGCCTAGCAGTCAGCTCGGCAAGGAAGACGAGTCGGCACAGCTACCCAGCGAAGAAGACGATGCGGCAGCATTTGCGCAAATCAGGCGTGCCTTGGGTGAGCTCTCGCTCTGCTCGCAGGGCGATGCCTTGCTGATCTGGTTCATAATCTCTCGTCGAGCCTTTGAGAGTGACGTTTTCCTCTAGAAAGAAGGTGGTAACGATGTTGTCTTCTCCCTTGGGTCGAACAAGGATGAAGCCAAGTGTCGCTGTTCCCGGCAAGGCTACTCAGCCGCAGGGAGCGGTCTCCACTCAAGCAGACGCACACTGATTGTCGACACTTTGAAAGGCCGTCTCGCGGGGACAAGCCAGCGCTTGGTATTTACATTTGACGACATACTGCTGCGAGTCCTCGCCGTGCGGCATCTCGAGTTGAGCAGACCCATGTCGAGCGAGAAAGAGTCCGAGGAAGAGGAGCGTCCGTACGGGTGAGAACATGGCGAAGCAGGGGGGTTATCAGCAATCCGTGGCTGAAGCTGAAGGAGCAAAGTGTGATGTACATTTGAATAAATTCGACTGACACCATCAAGATGCCTCGAGTGCTTTGCCGGCGAAGCGAAGTCCGTCGATTGCCAGCAATGACGCTGCGCTGCACCTGCGGACAGGCTCTACGCTTCTCATCACGCCGGAGTCAGAGACGCTATGCAACAGAAGCAGCAGCAGAATCGCGTTCGTCGGCGGACAGCGAGCCTGCAAAGATTCTTGCATCTGCTCTTGTCTCGCGGCCACCTCTGATGCTGCCCGCGCTCTCGCCCTTTGAAGAGGCATACTACGCCTATCATCGCAAGATACAAGCAGCCCTCGCCAAACCTTTCGATCCTACATTCTACTTCCGCCAGGGCTCTGCAGCCGAAAAGACGTTTGTGCAAGCAGACAAGACAGGAGAGGACCCAGTGCCGTCTGCGATTCATGCAGCAAGAGATGAGCGCTTGGCGAGGGCGGAGAAGCAGAATGAGAGATCGCTCGAGCGTCAAGTGACGAGGACGGTCTACTTGCTGCTCAAGCAAGGCACAACCTGGCGATTCCGTGAGTTCAGCCTTTCAAATTTGCAGCTGCACTGAGACGTCTGCATCAGCACGAGGTCCAGTCGATACAGCAGCTTCGTTGAGAGAAGCGGCCCTGGTCAAACTCGAGACTGAGGCTGGCCTGAATATGGACGTCTGGCCAATAGCGGGCGTACCCGTCGGTGTGCATTCTACGGGCTCTGACAAGGTAGCTACTAGTCAGTCTCCGACGGTCAAGCTGACGATATTGCAGACATTCTTTCTGCCCTATCGCATCCTGCGTGGGCAGGCCAGCAAAGGCGACTTTGCCTGGCTCACGCGCGAAGAGATTCAGCAGCGCGTTGATGAGAGCTACTGGGCCTCTGTGGGCGATATGCTCGCTAGTGTATGATCAGTGCATGCTTTCGAGCAGCCTAGTAGCGTGCATGAGCCATGATCAATTGCCCGAGCACTGAGAGCAGGCCGATGAACACGAGTAGCAGGCTTGCGATGGAGAAATGACTGATGCTCGTACCGACTTCTAGCCAGCTTCCCTCAGTCTTGATGAGATAGAAGAATGACATCGTCAACACATCGCTGATCGAAAGAGCTAGCAAGCTGATGGAGTAGGCTGGCAGGCCGAGCGTCCTTTGCAATGCTGCCAGAGCTGCCGATGCAAAGACGAAAGGTATCAGAATCTTGAAGATGAGAAGAGCCGACATTAAGAAAGGATTGAAGACCGGCACGAGTCGATATACGGGCTCCAGGTAAAATGACGAGATCGAAGCAATGTTGCCCGTTCCGAAGAAGCCGACGTGAATATAATGCAGGAAGAACACAGCCATGCGGAGATGAGTCAACCCAAGCTTGCTTTCCCCTGGCTGACTCTGCCGCCGTCGATATGCATTCAGTCGCGTTTCGAGGACGAGCCAGAGAGCAAGGTTGATAGCATAAGTCAGATAGAACAGCGTCTCGTATGAGATCGACAGAAGGCCAAAGGTCGGCACGAATGACAAGCATAGCAGTAGAAGTCGCTGTATGTAGTGCTGACGGCCTTGTAAGCTTGTGACGAGCACAGCGAGCGAGAGTGCGATCAAAATCCAGCCTGCTGCTTGGAGAACCACGGGCAAGCCTTGTTTGTTGCGCAAGCGGTGGGCCGAGAGGCTTGTGACACACATGCTTACTACGATGAGAGCCGTCAGCATGGACAAGTAGTATCGGGTTGTCTGGTTTTCGTCTAAGGTCGCCTTAGCCACTGGCTGCGTCTTTATATCAGCAGATTGCAAGGTCGGGGACGGGCGCTTTGCTGCTGCTGCAAAACCAAGGGCGGCGAAACCGAGGCCTCCCAGCCATATGAGTAGCATATTCTCTCCCTTTTCGACCGGCAAAACAGTGAACGCGCTGGCGGCTAGACAAGAGACGGTCCATGCACCGCCCAGCCCACGAATTTCAGCCTGGAATTCGGCTGTGGTCGTTGCAAAAAGCCACACGGTGCCCATGAGCATGAAGAGCGCGCTGAAGACGGATCGACGAAAGTAGCCAAGCAGCATGAGTTCCAGCACTAGTACCGTTGCTACCATGGCGAGACCGCACTGCGCCAGCTGATCGTAGCTGATGCGTTTCAAGGCGGACCTTATTAGGGGCAAGTTTCGCGCGAGAGCGGTGAAGAAGTAGGCCGGAAAGGCAACATATAGGAAATATGTCCATTTGGCCTTTTCGAGGGCAAGACGCAAGCCGATGCTCGCAAAAAGGCCCGCTGAGGCGAGAGCAGACAGATTCCATGCTGGCTGAAGATTGGGTGGCACTGCCACGAGCACGAATGCCTTCAGAAGATGCAAGAGGCTGAGGAGCATCCAGCCGACATAGCCTGCCGTGACGACTGAGCGTAACAAGAGCCAGTCGTATCGGTGCAGGTAGTCCAAGCCGGACTGTGCTGCGTCGGCAAGCTCGCGTTGTAAGACCTCTGCTTCGTCGTATGCTTGACGATCGAATGCTTCATTGATCGCGGCCAGTCGCATGACGCTTGAACGCGCGTCCGTAGCATCGTCTGGTAGTTCGCCGAAAGGCTTGAACCGCAATGCTGACTTTGCTTTCAGGTCGTGTTTGACGTGGTACTGCTCTAAGCGCTGACGCGTGTTGGCCAGCGCGGCAGTCACCTTGTACTTCTTGTCAGCGGCAAGATAGTCTGTCATGAGCGTACCTGCGCTATTTGCAGGGTCCGGTATGCCCACGAGAGCTGCCATGAGCGAAGCGATGTCTGCTTGGGCAACATCGTTCCGCGTAGATGCAGGTAAAGACCATTCGCCAAGTATGCCGTCCAGCTGATGCGAAGCGACGCCTGAGCCCCAAGCAATGAGAGGCGTACGGGTATTGTCCGGGTCTCCATCGCCATGATTGCCAATGTTACTCATACCGTGATCAGCCGTAAAGACAAAGGCGGTTTTGCGATCGCCGTAGAAATCAGCGAACTTTTGCTCGACCTTCTGAACGATGTCGTCGACGACCCGGATATTGTGATAGTATTCTGGACCGTGCGGGCGATAAGAGTGGCCTGTCGTGTCCAGGCCAAGCAGATGGAGGAAAAAGATAGACTGTGGCTCCCGAAGTTGATGGGCGAGAGTAGCATCTGCAGAGGCATTTGCGAACAGCGCGGTGAGCTCATTGTACACCCACACATCGAGAGCTGTCGCATCGCTGGTGAAATCCTCCTCTGACTCGTCATAACAAAAGCTCTTCATCTTTGGCTGGCCATCCGGACGGGGACTTGCTCCGTGCTCGAACATGGGAACTATGTCAGGCGAGCCAAATCCCCAGGCACGACATGACTGATTGAAGACGGAATCAAAATTGACTGGATTCAGTTTCCAGCCTGCGCAGAAGCGTGAGTGATGTTCACGAGGCGCAGGATAGCCACAACCTTTTGTAACGGCGGAGACGTCTTCGTACATGCCTGCAATGAGAGCTACATGACCAGGCCGTGATTCTGTGGGGACTCTGGTGTGCGAGACTCCCCAGGTCGCTTGACCACTGGTAAGCAGTGATCGCAAGTAGGGCGCTGGCGTTGTCCATCCTGCCGAGACAGTCGCGCCGTCGGTTGAAGCCGGTATGAAAGGAGGCAGAGCATCAAATGCTGGCTCCCGATACAGCTGAAATAGCTTGTCTGCTCTCAGACCGTCGCCTGGACAAAGCATGAGCTGTTTGTAGCCCGTCGCGCAGGAGGGAAGCAAGTAAGTCAGGCATAGAGAAAAAGAACGTATAGAGATCATGTCAGGCCACCGGCTGGCAGGCTGATCATTTAGAAATCTCGAGAAAGATCTTTCATCACTGTTGGAGCGGTGGGATAGGAGCTCGACTGACCTACTATGAGCACGAGTCTATCCGCTAGTCCTGCCTTGGATCCTTGAGCGTCCCGGCTGGCTAGATCGGCCTCGCCGTCGCGCAGACGGGCGCTTGCGATGCTGAACCGACGCTGGACATGGATGACCGGCGAGACAAAGTAGATGTCAAAGATCGAGTAGAGCGAGACAAGGTGAAAGGCCAGTCCAAGCAGAACCAACGGTAGCGCTGTTCTCACAGACGAGCGCGCCTTTGCTGATCGTCTCGGGCCGCTGGAATACTTAGGCGTGTGCTGGGTAGCCTCGAGGGCCCCCGCTGAGCTGCTCATCGTCGACGGCTTGCTGTCATACTGCTGGCAAAAGTCGGTCAGGTCAGCGGAGGGGCATTCGATCGATCGTTCGGCTTGGACGCGACTCGCGATTGACCTGCGCGGAATGTGCTCGATGATCACTTTACAATGCGTGGAGGTTGCAAGATGACTATTGTCACAACAAGATTATAAGCTGTGTGATCCAGGAGCGCCAGCGTGTCGCAGATCTGGGCTTCATACTGAAGGGATCAATGACTCTAGTGTCGACATCAGCGCGTCGATAGTGAACGGCTTCGAGAGGCTGCGAGGCATGTAGATCAGCATCGCACACTGATCACTAGAGCTTTTACCAACCTTGCGTCCATGCCTGCCGCAAGCATCTCGTCTACCTGCTCGCCTCGCGCGTTCGCGCTGATTGCAAGGATGGGAATCCGTGGCGTGAGTTTACCCGCTGCTTCGAGCTGTCTGATCTCTATTGTAGCCTCGATACCGGTCTTGACGGGCATAGTCGCATCCATGAGGACGACATCGTAAGCCTGATCAGTCTGTCGGGCCTGCTGATTAGCAACAAGAATGTCGATGCATTCTTGACCGTCGTAAGCCGGCGAGACCATGCAGCCCTTTCGCTTGAGCAGCGCAGTCAATAGCTTTGAATTGATCTTGTTGTCTTCAGCCAAGACTATCCTCCATTGGCGGGTAGGTACCGCGGCGATGATGGGCGGCGAGGGAAGATCGACCGCAGTCGTACCAGCGGACACGAGACTGATGATGCTGGAATCCGTGGAGCAAGCAGAGAGAGACGGCAAGGTGGGCGTCGGTGAGGGGGGAGGCAGCGTTTCTGTTGCCTCTCCGCGCGCCCCAGTCACATAGAAGCTGAATGTCGTACCCACGCCAGGAGCTGAGATGAGCCCGATCTGGCCATGCAAGACTTCTTCGACGACCTTCTTTGAGATGTAGAGCCCAAGGCCTGAGCCGCCGTACGTACTCGAGCTACCTGCGCATCGATAGCCGTGTCAGTGGATATGCATTCGAGACGGGTGTATGGCCTACTATGACTCGCTTGGGCAAAGCGTTGAAATAGCCGACTGATCTCTTCCGACGAAAGGCCGCAGCCAGTGTCGGCCACGTGCACGATAAGAAATCGCGTATCGTCGCCGTCGGACTCATCATCAGCCTGATCTCGGGCTGTCGTTGCATGTGTAGGCAGCTTGGGTCTAGTTGTGGAAACATCGACAGTGACGTCGACCTTGCGAGTGACACTTTTGCTGGTGAATTTGATGGCATTGGTGATGATCTGTAGTCCTCGTCAGGTCCTCGTCAGCTTCAGCGGTAGCGTGAGCGGGAGAAGACTTGCGTTGATGAAAATCTGGTCAATCTTCAGCTGATCAGAATGAAAGGTCTGCAGGGGATCGGCAGCGAGACCGGGGCCGGGCACGACAGTGAGGGCTATATCCTTCGCTTTGATCTCTGCTGCAAACATGCGAAGGTTCTGTTTGATCACTGTCAAGGGCTCGAAGCTCGTTTTTGTGACAGTAATTAGATCGTGCTCAATCTTAGACAGATTCAAGAGACCGTCGACGAGGCGATGAATATGTCGCGCACACAGAGAGATCGTCTCGATCTCTTCGCGCACCATTAATTCCAAGTCCTCGCGCGCCGAGCTCGCTTTCGGCCGAGTGAGGTCGTCCAGCATCAGTGCGCAGCTAAAAGTGACGGCGGATAGGGGGTTGCGGACCTGTCGAAACGTCCGTTGAGTACTTAGAGGAGGATAGAGCGCAAAAGGTACCTCGTGCGCGAGACTGTCGATAAAACGAGTAAGGGCCAGCTTTTGCGAGAGGACGTCTTCTGCCCGTCTTTTAGTGAGCGCTTCGCGATGCTTACGCTCGGAAATATCGACGACCGAGCCAGTATAGCCTAGCGATACGCCGGTCGAGCTTGTATACCACAAGCAGCGTACCTCAGTCCACCGATCGTATTCGCTGTCTTTGTGTTCGGCACCTGTCCATCGGATCTCAATTCTGATCTCTGGCTGCTGCTCCCGGATGGCAGTGGCCCAGACATCGAGTCCGAACTGCACGTCATCTGGTGGGCGAAACGATCAGACAGGTAGATGCCGTACGCAGTCAGCTTACCTTGATGGATGGAGCGGTGCCACTCGTTGAGCGAGACATCTCGAGGATGGCCACTGATAGCATACCACGACTCATTCGCGAAAAGAATGTTGCCCTCGAGATCCGAGAAGAAGAGGCCGGATGGACATGCACGAGCAAAGCTTTCAAAGCGCGATTCGGACTCGATAAATTGGGCAGTACGCTCTGTGAGACTCTCCTGCACTTGAGCCGCTTGTTTGCGGGCTTGCGCAACTAAACGGATACTTGCAGTGCCGGCAGATAGCTGACGTCGCATGAGATGGATGAATTCGACGTATGCCTCGTCGTAATCACGCCGAGTCGACAGACACATAAGACAGACTGCCTCGATGGGATCTGCCAAATTGATTCTGATGGCCATGATGACTACCCGTTCTATGAGGTCGCCAAAGGAAGGACACTTGACTCCCGCGTATAGTGTGCGAGAAGTCTGATCGTCCAGCTCAATTGCTGTCTCACCTTTGTGTAATCGATGAAGGTATGGCTGGAGAAGCAGTGCTGCAGCCGGCAGGGGACCAGCACTATCGCCCGTGAGAGCAAGATCAAGGTAAGGTGGCAATGTGGCACAGGCAACGTTAGAGAAGGCCAGCTTGAATCCGGCGGCTGATTCGTTCGGTCTGTCGCCTACACGTGTGTAAAAGGTTGCGTAAGGGGTGTCCAGGCAAATTTCGGGTCGAATAAGGGTGTCGGTGATCCGCGCCCAGTATTGGTCAAGTGAGGCGCAATCCGCAGTCTCGCCGGCTAGAATATGCAAGGTCTTCATTCGACGACGCGAAAGAACTGAAGCGGTAGTATCGAAATTGGGGACAAAGACGGCCGGGACGCCTTCGCAAGTGCGCATAGGTATCATTGAGTAGGAGAAGTAGCGTTCCTCGAGTCCGTTTGGCACAGTCAGAAAGAGCTGCGCCTCATCATAATAAACAACTTTGCCAGCGAAGCAGCCGGTCAGGATCTGGACCATCTGGTCGTATAGCTCTGGCCAGACCGCAAAGTAGGGCGTGCCGAGCATGGCAGGATGCCGAGCGCCCATTGAGATCGAGTGAGCATAATTATAGACGCAGACGAGGTCGTCAGACCAGCACATCAGTGTCGGCGTGGGCGAAAGCAAGATTGTGTCTACGAGACATCTGAGCGTGTTTGACCAAGTGTTGGGAGCGCCCAGGCTTGTAGACGCCCAGTCGGTCTGCCAGAAGTCATACAAGAACCGCCGATACTGCTCGGGCTCTATACCAGGCAACGTACAATCCGCAACGTCGTAGTCGTGCATAGGGATCTTGGCATCGAGTGAGGCATCCATAAATTTCTGTCCAAGCGCTTTGCGCTCGCGATAGGATTCACTGGCAGATCTGCCTGCCCGCTTGGGCGTCATCGATGGCGGTGTGCTGTTGATGCTCATTCGGCGGTCGAGCTCGCTTCCCAAGACTTCCATCTCGCCGCTGTCGTGCATTCGCGCGCCGAGACTGTCTACGAGTGACCCACGACGAGATGCAGCAGGCGATGGACCGTTCTCCGTCCTGGTGGCCAGCAGAATGCCAGCCTTTGCGAGATAGTCGAATGTCCAAGGCCGTCCAGACGCGTTGACGCTCGTTGTCATACTCTCATCGATGTGCGAGCCCAAGTAGGGCTTTACGGCTGCCGAGAGGATATCGGTCTCTGAGCGACGCAGCCTTCGCTTGGCTGCGCTGTTCTGCCATGGATGCTGTCGGGCTGACGAGAACAATAGTATGGGCTCCTCTTTCAGCTCCAGATATTCGAGCAGGGCCTGCTCCGCATCCGTCACATCGCCCTGCAGCCTCTCCATTGTGCCCTCACGGTCGCTGAGCGTGCATATGGCCTGTCCTTGAGCCTGTTGATCGCTTGTCACGAGATGGATTGATCGTCGTCGTCGTCGCGCGCCTCGTCGAATTAGCGGGAAGGCGCCGCGGGGAATCGTCATCGATCCCGATCCGCGCGCTTTCCGAGCTTCCACCAGCGACCGATGCGCGAGCTAGTCTTTAGGGCGAGGCAGCTTTACAAAGAGGCTCGCCGGTCAGCATGCTTGTATGGCAGATGCTGAAAACGGCTGCAGCTGTCTGTGCTCGGCCGATCTTATCCTGATCCTAACTATCGCTTCCACGAGAAGCTCCGACGTTGTTTTGCGCCTCAGGCAGGTCAGCGCGATGAGGAGCAGCTCAAGTCTGCGATAGCCAAAGCCGAGTTCATCAAGAAGTATGCATAGCACCACAGAGTCTGTGATATGCTGACATGGGCGCAGAGAGATTGAAACACTATACTTTTTGAAGAAGTATCGAGCAATGAGACGAGCATATCCGAAGCTCGAAGAGTGAGGAACAACATGGATACATTGCATGACTGGTATGTTGTACACCAAACTGCATGAATTGCTATCATTACGTGCCTGCGTTGATCCGCTGCAAGAACGGCACGCATTTCTCAAAGTCGTCCATCGTCTGCCAAACCTCATGAGGACACGTACTCTGCTCCTAATCTGGGAACCCACCTTTTTGTGCATCTCAATCTGTGCTTCTGCGAGTTCGGTGAGGATGATCTTCATCTCGATCTGCTTCGTGCGATCAAAGACAGATTGCTCGCGTAGTACTTCGTTACTGAATGCTTCGCTCGTCGTGTGCGCCGCGGTGACTGCTTCTTGCAGCTGTATGCGAGATCGATCAGTCACGTCTCGATAGTGTATGAGCTCAGGCCCCGTACCTCTTTGATCTTTGAGTCCAGCTTTGCCATCCTCGCCTCGCGTGACATATCCTGCTGACTTCCGCGCAGAGTGTCGACTTGATGCTTCAAGTAACCAGAGATTCCCAGCTTGGGTCCTGCACCTGATGCGAGGCGATCACGTTCGCTCGTCATATTTGATAGGTAGGCAGATAGGCCTTCGAAGTCGAGTTGCTTCTGATCTCGTAGCTTTAGCACCGACCGAAAGGCCGACGAATAGGCCAGCAGAGATTGTAGATGACTCATAAAGGGGTTGTAGATGGCCTGGTGCTAGTGTTGTACCTGTGTGTCAGCGTTGTTCTGCACCGGGACAGAGGAGACGGACGCTATCCTTGAGGGTCGCCTCAAACTCATCGAGCGAGCTTGCGAACCGTGCGAGAGGTTCTGTGATACCGGATTCGAGAAAACCCAAGCCTTCTATCGAGCCCGAGAAGTCGGCGTAGTCTTGAGAAAGATCTGTGCGGGCCCTGCTCAGATCCAGCGCGAAGAGCCCGATCAGCAGGATGACTTGCCGCCAGTACGACCTTTCATCCGATGATGCAAACGCTCAATGCGATCAATGGATTCTTCAAATTTATCGAGCTGCTCCCTGAGCTCTGTAAAGCGCTCATCCGGTTTTCTGACTTTGGTGAACGCATTGACGAGCGTGTCTGATATGTTATCGAGGAGTGATGGCGGTGAGTCGGGTATGGGCGGATGTGCGAGATGCTTGTGCATTGTCACCGTCTGTTCTCCGGTTGAGCGAGCACAGCCGAGCGGTCAGCTTCGCACGCACCCATTCTGTCGATTCGAGAAAGGCTTGCAGCAGACGCGAACGCGACAAGGTCGGATGCCTCGCCAGACGCTGCAGAAATCGCTCGAGACTGTTGGATGAGATTTTGCTCCATCAGCATGCGTACAAGTGAGAGAGCATGCACTGACTCTGCTCGGCGTCGCTCGACGAATTCCGTGCTGAACCTATCGCCTTTGATGTATTCTACGTATTCGCGACGATGATGAGCTTATCAATGGATAGCCCAGAGCTCCACAAACCGAGTCTGTGCTTGTCAGGCAGAGGCGGCACGACGCAAGCTTGGAAATCCTTGGTGAGGTGATCTTTGAGAAAGACAAAGTCTTGATAGCGCCGCCTCGTCTCGAACTGCTTGCTCGTGAAGTTGGCGAGATCAGTCTGAGCCAGTCATCAGTCTGCTGCGACAATATGCGTGAACGCCGACCCGACCTCTCCTCTGATGAGATAGCTGACATAGGCCTCCTTGGAGCCCTCGAGCTCCTTGACTGGCTCGCTGACCGATAGATCGAGCTTCCAGGCCGTCACTTGGCTTATACCAGGCATCGAGGAGGTGAACGCATTGCTAGCGATGGCATCTTTGCTAGGAGAAGGTTCCGAAAGGCCAGGAATGGCCGCGTAAGGTGACTCGCCGAATCCGCCATTGACGTCGCTGTGTCGACTCGTTTGGGTCGCGGAAGCAGAGTCCTCGGCCTGGTTGCGCTTGTCGTGCTCAGGCGTGTCCCAGGCTACACTCGCAAACGTTTCCTCGTCGTCCATCTGTGAGCTTAGGCACTGCCAGCTGACGCAGACAGACCGGCGCGCGCGTCGAAACCGAAGTTCTCCTCACGATCATCGCGTCACGACTGCAAAGACCAAAGGCTAGTACAAGTCCTCGTCCGCGGTCTTGCGTTTCCCGTTCACAGTGACAGCCTGACGTTGATAGGCTTCAGCGATCTGTGCCAGGGAGGAAGAGTCAGCGTCAGCGTTGGGCTTTGCAGCATCGTTTGTCGAGAACGTACGAATTCTGGCGTCGTGGAATCCTCAACGCCCTTGTCATCCCGAATGCTGTACCCCTCATAAGTACCGATATACCTCATCTACACAGATTGCTTACCGAATGAAGCGAGGGAAACGGAGCGACACGCCGCGTTCGCCGCCGAGTTGCTCGCGCGCAGCCGTGTAGACTGGGCTCAGAGAGAGATCGGCCGCCAAGACTTCCCAAACCACCCTGGGCTCGAAGTAGACATCTGGCGTAGCTGTTCCGACCTCATAATATCCTCGCTTGCCACATTCGTGAGGCTTCAGCACGGTGTAATGGCTGTCGAGGGCTTCTTCGCTGAACCCTGTGCCGAGCTTGCAGACGGCTTGGTAGGATTCCGAGTCTGGATCGTAGCAAGCAAGTAAGAAAGCGCCATAGACTGCCGTCCGTTTGCCACGGCCGTGGTAACCTCCGATCACCGTCAGGTCAAAAGAATCGCCTACGCCTTGCAGATAATCCTTCTTGACCTATCGAACGCTCGTCGGCGTCAGTGCTACAGGTACCTCCACATTACGCTCGGACAAACCTTGAGCCAATTCATGCTGCGTCGGCTAGGTTCGTAGTATGCTCCTTGACCGTGCAGCATTTTGACCATCAAGCCTTCGCAGCCTTGTTTGATACTCTCATCCAAGAATGCTTGAATATGTTCTACGTCAGAAGCATCGGCGGACGTTGCAAAATCAAATTCGTTAGCTACTGGACTGAAGTGTTCCCGTAGTAGCTTCCGGCGCGAGTCGAGATCCGTCTTGAGAAGTGTCTGCAAGGCCGATCTTCAGTGACATGCAGGATGTGACGAGCAAGCTCTCTACCTCGCCGTTCAAATAAAGCAGGTCAAAGGCGAATAACTTGACGCGAACGGTGACGTCTTCGATCTTGACGCCTTTGCGCTTGCGTTTGCTGAGCTCCTGAAACGGTAGAAGCCGTTTCTCGTCCTTGCTCCATGCAGTACACTCCGCGTCGATGACGAATGACTTGACGCTCGGTTTGATGCACTGTCATGCGCAGACACCTGAGCTCGGATCAAGCTCAGTCTGGATACACTCACGCGAGGCAGCTGTTCGACGAGATCGGGATATTTGATAGACATATCCTCTGAGTTGCGAGAAAACACTTTGATCGAACCGTCTTCTAGCATGTGCACTTGGGCTCGCTCGCCATCGTACTTATACTCGCAGGTAAAGTCCTGGCCCTCAAATCTGTCCAGTACTTCAGTGATGGCTTTCGTCGGCTTTGCTAGCATAGGCTTCAGTGGTATGCCTGCGCGGATGTCAGCCGGGATTGACAGTGAGAAGGTGGCAAAACTCGCCTGCAGTGAGAGCGCAGACATCATGCAGCTTGTCGATGCCTTGCTCAAGCAGAGCAGGAACGATCTTATCATACGACGGGAGCTCGCTAAAGACCTGCTTGATCATATCCTGGCCGGCTTCTATGCGCTGCTCCAATGCTGCCTGGCTGATCTTTTTGCCACTCTGCTCTATCTCATGTCTCACGACCGCAGTGGCGAGCGCGATGAGCACCGTGCGCTCGGCAAGGCCGATTCGAAGTTTGCCTTCGAGCGACCGGATGACGAACTTCGCCTCGCTGCCCTCGCAGCCGGCTAAGAGCTTCTTGATGATGCCCGTTTTCTTCGCTTGTGACTATCGGAAATTTCAGAAGAGTGACTCTATGCAAGCTGCACATACACACGTTTTGGCCAGATGCAGCAGCAATGTCCTTGAGATTTTTGAAGACGACGCGCACATCAAGCGGCTTTTGTTTGAACATTGTCGGCTGAACTTTTCGTGAGCTCTGCTGTAAGGATGAGTACATATGTGCGATGAGGGTCATCGGCGGGACTCGCCTGGGCGACCAGGCCAAGATCGCCTGTCTTGACATAGTCTGCCTTGACTTGGGCTAGACCGCGCCCTGTTGCCTCTGCTATCGCTTTCTGAAGGAGTCCCTCCCCAATGCCGAGCTCCAGTCCTTCATAGTCCGGACAAAGCTGTGTGTGTGTGAGACGCTTCAGCGTGAGCTGTCGTCTGAGAGTGAGCTACATACTCTGTTGATGCAGAGATAGACAACCCGGGTGAGATCTTCTGGCGAGCGCTGGATGACTGCAAGCAGATAGGCTGACAGGAAGGCGCTGATCTCGAGCCGCTTCGACGTTCCTTCGATGAGCTGGAATGTTTTGACCAAAGACGCGTACGGCACGCTGACAGTGCCCAGTCGCGCGTCAGTCTCGGCGCTTACTGATAGTGAGGTACTGACGGGTCGCCCGCTTTCCAATCGAGGACGTTGTGCCCGCCAATCTCTGTCGAGGCACCAATCTTCTTTTTGGTGAATATCTCGGCTCTGTTGGACCCTCAGCACGATCTCGGCAAGAGCAAGAGGCCGTACAGTTTGACAGCCTGTACCTTGTCCTGCTTGCGTTCCTTACTTTCATCTTCCACCTGGGCTTCCTCCTCGCTGTCGGTCTCTTCTGATTCCTCGGACGAGCCTTGTTCGGGGGATGATCTTGATGTTGAGGCCGACGTCGGCTCTTCCGCCTTGGTGCTTGAGGCCTTGGCTTTGGGCTGGAAAATGGCCGCGACGGCTTTCGCCTTTCCTTTGCCATTGGTCGATGATGGCTCTTCCGCTTCTTCGGACGAATCCTTGACTACTCGGCGCTTCTTCGCTGGTAACGTCGCATCTATGTTGCTATCATTGAGATGCATGGCAACGTGGAGCAGGCAAGAGATTGCACCTTGTGAGACCTTTGCATCCGGGGATGCTGACGCTCGCTTCCTGTCCACGGATGAGGCCATGCTGCCTGCAAGAGCGGTCGCATTAGAACGAGATTCTCGGGTGCACGGACGTGGTGCACAGACTCGCGAAGCTTGCTCTCTGCGGAGTTCGAGCTCGAAAAGGAGCGTATGGTGCGGATCGAGGTAGACCCGACAGCGACCGTGCGAGCAAGGTGAACCTGCTCTTGAGTTCGTGTGCCAACAGACTGGGCTGGCTGAGCTCTCAGCTTGCCCCGAGCGAGGCCTCTTTGCTCAGGGGGAGACTTGGTGACGACACGATCGATGGGCACGACGCGTCGATTGATTCGCGCGTAAGAGCAAGGAGCTCCTTCGTCTTCCGACATGGGCCGAGCTTCCAGCTTCATTTGTTCAGATCAACAACAGCAAGGACTTGATCAAGCTTGGACAGGAGCTCCATGTGGCCGCCCACAATCTCGCTGACATTGACGTCCTCCACGCCATCAATTCCCACAGGCTGCAGGCCTGCCACGCGCAAAGTGAGCTGTGTCGAAACGAGCGAGTGTAGTCGGACGACGATAGCGAGAACATAGTCGTTGCTCGAATAGGCATTGACGAGACGGCGCGAAACGACATGACGCGCTTTCGCCCATTCTGCCGGCGAAGGTGATAGAGGTGCGCTGATGAGAATGACGTCAAAGAGGAGATGAGCTAGACCGCGACTGTGCAGCTCGATGAGTGCTCGGAAAACAATGACTGCGCCCAAGCCTGCACCGATGAGCGTCGTCGGGCGTGCGCCTTGGACGCGCTGCTCCAGCACGTCGGCCAACAAAATGCCCGCCTTATTTGCTTTGTCCTGCCACCGTAGACTTCAGCTGGTCATCGCTCGACGCATGATGTTCGGACAGACCCTAGTCCGGATGAATTGATTGTCGAGTACGGTGCCCGCGCTCTTGTAGATGGCAGCCGGCAAAGCGACGGCAGTATAAAAGGCCGCCAGCGCCGTCCGTTTGACGACTTCCGTGGCGCCCTTCATGAGAACGTAATCCCTCACGTAGGTATCTAGATCCTTGCCGGCCGAAAGGAACGCGGCGGATTCAGTCTTGAGTGCATAGACGTCCCTTCGGTCTAAAGTGTGGTTGCATGTAGGCCGCCAAGGATCGATATAGTCGTTCTCCTTTGTCATGAAGCCGGTGCAGACAATAGTGGCGTGCAGACTGGGTATCTGAGGCAACTCTGGATCGTCCACAATCTGATGAAACTCGAATTCGTCGATGCCTTGGATCCTCCTTCGCGCTCTGAACGCTGTGAGACCGCCGCCAGCAACGCCAAAGAGCGTGCCGAGTACTGCTACAGTATCAGCATGATGACCATGCTGCAAGCAGGAGACGGACGGATCGCACCACCCGAGGTGGCGAGAAAGCCAAGGGTGCCTGCACTGGCTCCCACAAGCAACGGTGCAAGCACGGGTGCGGCGAGTCCGCCGGTCAGACCGATGGCTACGCCGCCTACCACAAGGCCGGCGCCCGTCGCAGCCCATTTCCATGCTTTGGATGTCTTGCGCTTCTCTATCGCTTTACGCGAGGTCTCGTCCATCGTTGCATGCGTTGTGTCTGTCTCTGCCTGTGTGACTTCTCGCAGGATGAAGAAGAGCTGCTGGGCGATGGCTTTCTCTGACGTATACACGACAGAGGCAGGAATATCGAGCGTGGCGGCGATGCTGAAGATGAGTGTGCGTGCTAGAGCGGTATAATCCGGCTGAGCGGGGGCTTTAGGGTCGACGGCTTTGCCTGCCAGTCCAAGACTGACGAGTACGAGATCAGACACAATCTCGTTGTGTATTTGGGAGTTGCTCGGCAGCGAGGAGAGCAGCGGACGGAGCTCCTCGAGTCGTGGCGAATCAGGTAGCGCTTCTCGCTTGACGTTGAGATGTGTGCAGACAGCTGCGAGCCAGTCTGCTTTCCAGCGGGCTCTCTCTGTTCTCCGCTGCTTCTCGTCGTGCTCTTCCTTCTCGAGAACGCTCTCTTCGAGCTGAATTGCATGGACCTTGTCGCGTATCTGTTCATCGCTTGGCCGAGGCGCATCCTCGATGGTCAGGCGCTGTAGGTCCGGCAGCTCTGAAGTCTGCGCATCTTCCTTTGACGCTTCATTGAGGTCAAAGACGGTCTCTGAGACGCCCTGATCTGGCAGACTTGATACGGTGATAGATTGATCTGTCGGCAGTGCCAGTGTACATACATACTTGCTCGTGATGGCGAGGATGAAGCGTGTGGTGTCGGACCATGTCTCAGCGTTCGGCTTGATGGCATCCATAGCCAGCACGATCGCCTGCTGTCGATCGTGTCAGTACGTCAGTGGGCAGCAGACTTACCGGTTGCCAGCAATTGACGCGAAGTCAATCACATGAGTACGCCAATTCTTATCCCTTCTTGACATGTCGCCGTGCCATCTCATTCTGTCTCATCTCAACAGCTCCCAGAGATGCCTGACGCCCTGCATTGCCGCGCTGTGTTGGCCCTCGAGCCAGTCATGTGTAGGAGCAAAATCAACGTTTCGGACGTCTACAGCATTGCATATGATTGTCGCTCTTGACGCACAGATCTCGCCACAGCCTATCACTTTCTCGGCAAGACGAGTCATACGCTGCATTGTTGAGCCAGGACCAGTGCGACAGCTCCTGATCTGCCTGATGCCTTTGCAGCCACAATTCTCGCAAATCTGCAGATCACCGTCGGCGACAATGGAGCTACATGCGTGTATGCGTTTCCCTGATGCTTCGCATTGAACCCCGCCATCGCCCTTGAAAGATACACGAAAAGTAAGGGTCAGACATGGACAAATGTCGCAGGAGCTCACTAGACCATGGCTTTACCGTCCATGCGCTGAGTCCACTTTCGCTACCCTGTTACGCCTCAGATGTTTCTTTTCCTCTTCGTCGGACTGATTTCGATCTCGTCTGTGTTGACCGACTGGCCAGCAGGCCGGAAGAGCGACGTCATCATCATCTGTTGGTTGCCATCAGTCACACCAAAGCATCCGCTGATCGATGCAGACAGTCTTGGCTCGGGCAGTTTGCATAGTCATCTTGCTCACAGAAGGCGTGGTGTCAGATGTCGTTGCTCAAACCATCGCACAATCGAGCAGAGTCGATGTGCGCTACTCTGCTTCTCTGCCGCACCGAACTGATAGATGGTGGCGGCATCAGCGTGTAGTCGATGCAGACAATGGTGTCCATGTCGTTTGTCGACCCTTGCTGCTGCCGCTGCCTGTTGACGAGCCACTGATGTAGACCACTCGCTCGTTGCCTGCTATCAATGGTCTTTGATCAAGGCTATAACCCAACCACGAGCAGAGTCATCCTCGTCAGCGCAAAAGTTCAATCGCTGACAGGGACAACAGAGCAATACGAGCTGGCTATACGTACTCCCGCTCCATCTGCCGCGCCTTATGACTGCGCCTGTGGGAAAGCGACGACGTTGACGATCTGGCTCGGTCTGGAAGACACAGGCAAGAGCAATACTCGCGTCTCAGCCTGGAATGACGAAAGCTTTGTCTGGATGCTGTGTGGCTCCAGACAGTTCTGTGCGGCCACAGTCAGAGGAATGTATGATCGGCGAAGATCGCTCGTACTCGATCAGCCCTGCTCGAAGCTCAAAGTCCGCTGTTGTGCCGATTGGGCTTTACTGCTACGCATACGATGAATTATCTTGCGCGCTCATCCTGATTGCCGTCACTTTTCCTGCAATGTTTCTGCTTCTGCTGCTCTTTAGCCTCGCCAACTGTGCACACCAGGTCTGCAGCCAGGACGGCGTCTATCGCAATCACGACTTCGGCATCAACTCGGTCACTTACCAGCTCAAAGGTGACCAGGACGATACAGCTAGCAACTTTGACTGACATCCGCTCAGTCGCCGGCACCGCTCGCTGCTCAGAGCGTCAGTCTCTGTCTTTTCTCTGAACCCTGTTGATCCAACAGATCAGAGGGCTTGTTCGCATTTGATGCCGCACTACAAATCCTCGTCCTCTCCGATGGCAGAGGCATCAAACAGAAAGTCATCCAGCGTGAGCACGACTGGCCCACCACGAGACACACACTCACGCTGTGTCAGGGACCAACGCTCGATCGTTCGTCAGCATAGGCCTCAACAAAGACCCGTACGGCCAAGTGCGATCGAGTTTGTTCACCTTTACCATCGATGCTACCGATGACCAAAAGATGTGGGACGACACCGCGCGACGATGCTGCCGAGCTAGCGTCAAGCTGAACATCACCTTGGGCGTCAACGATGACTTTCTCTCGCCCTTTAACACTGCTACAACAGCCATCAACTGCGGCCAGAAGGTGACGGGCAACCCAGAATGCGAGCCAGGCAAATCGACAGCAACTTGTTCTGAGCCTTTCCGCTCGATCCGCCCCGAGCCAGTCGCGGAAGTGGACCTGCCCTTCGTGCGCACGTACAATGTCTTGTACCAGGCAAATGCGCGATGCCCCATACCGCGAGAAGGCGGAGGCCGTTTCCCGCATGCTCTGTATAACACTCAGTCGGGAGCCTTCCAGACCACCGTCGTCCTCGTTGGCAGGGGACCGCCGCGCTATTGGGCACCCTCTCATGCCACCTTTGGTATGTTCCGCGCCTCTGTCTCGCTTGAAGCAATCAGTCAGACCCCTCGCGATTCTTGGATCGACTTTTCTGTTCGCTTCCGGTACGTCTACCGCCTTGAGTCCTCATGACCACCTAACCCATGCAAGTATAGTGGCATTGGTGAAGATCAAGACGGATGGCCCGATAACGACAAGATGTGCTGCGATCCCATGGCAGAGTACAAATTGCGGCTTTTTCTCTCCCGTCAGAGCGGTACCTGGATGAGTGGACCTGGGCGGGAAATGTTCGTCGCTTGTCTTCCAAGTATGTTCGCATCTGCTCTCCCTTTCCCTTGAGTTGGCCACTCATCGCAGAGACAGGCAGACTTGCTTCTAGCTCGAACAGCCGCGCCAGGTGCGAGACAACGCATCCGTACCCTTACGAATACGAATGCTCCTCAATCTCGCGGGAACTCCAGATTCAGACTGTTGGCAGTGCGACAATGTAATGCAACATCGTTCGCGGAGCTACGGAAATGGCGGCTTGACAACAGCCTGGCGCGTTGTTCGAATCCCTTGAGGCGGTTGTGACCTCACGACGCATACGTTGCCCAGGCTTGGGGTGCGAGTGTCAGGCACTGACAACCATCTCCCGTCCGATGTGCCGTTTCCCTCATTTCTTTTCATCGACGATAAGTAACAGCAAGAATGTTCAAGGGCTTGCTCGCTATCACTCTTGCCGCTACCGGTGCCCTGGCTCAGCAGTGGCCCAATGGCAACACCGGAGACTTTGAGATCTTCCTTGGTGGTAAGGCGTTGTGCGGCGCCCTGTATCTGCGGAATGGCCAAGGCAAGTCCGAGACGTACGACGTAGAAGTCGGTCAAGCGATCGTCAAGGTGCGTTATCCTCTCGCTGGCTTGTGCAACGGGCCCACTGACGAGAGCGATGCTCAGTTCCGCCTGACTGTCGGCGAGCGTATCAAGATTTTGTCAAATATTGGCGGTGTCGATCTCGTTGACAGCGGCTATGACGCCAATACGGGGTGAGTCTGTACGCGTTCGGCCAGCAGCCTTGCTGATGAGCTATGTCTATAGCAAATGGACCGTTACCACCAATACCAATGCCCCTATCTCCGGTACGAACATCGTCGCCGCCTGTGGCTGTAATGCTACGATGACGCTGGCCTTCGACGTTCCTCTTCGCGGTGGCCGTACGTCAGAGCGTTTACCCTGAATAGTCGAGCCTAACTTTCCATTTGTCTTGTAGCCCCTAATGCCTTCGTTCATCTCGATCAAGGCAAGATCACGGAGGCATGTGCTGTGTCGCCAGCTTGCAAGGACCTTGGAATCACCGGTTTCGACTTCGATCCCGAGTGCACTATCAAGAACGCTCCTTACGGCACACTCAGCCCCGCTGAAGGATGATGCACGCAAAGTTGTGGGATTCTATGCAGATCTCGAAAATGTAACCTGCTGCTGCTATCCTACGAGTATGCAGGCTGCTCTGACACGATTGGAGGTAGTCTCGATGAAAAAGCTGCATTCCGTCGAGGCACTTTCGTATCTCAAGCGAGTCCTGCCAGCTTTTCAGATGCATTGTAACGAGTGAGAGCTGAAGCAATGTGGGTAGTCTCGTGGGTTCATTTGTAGCAGAGCCTCGAGACAGATGTCGACTTGAGCAGGAGTGTCGAGGTCGACAAGAGGTAGCATCGCTCGAGTCAACCTATCCGATCGCGTGGCGATGACGAAGAGTCTTGTGAAGCGCTCGAGAATGAGGAAAGCCTTGCTCTGCTGATTTTGCTGAGGATGCTTCATCACCGCGCCGCATTGCACGAGAGCTCCAGACCGATCTGGATTCTGGATCGAAGGCCAATATGAGTAGCGACCGTTTGCTCGAGAGCTCAGGAAAGTTCAGAATCTTCGACGAATTCGCTTCCTTCCGCGTCATCTCCACCGTCGCTTTTTTTCGGTTGTGGCACAAGATTCTTGCAACTCAAAGAAGGCCACCATAGCAAGCCAAGGGTATCTCTGATTGAATCCGTCATGCTTGAGATTGACGAAGACACTCTGCTTGATGCCCGCTGTCTGGCAACTCGAATGGATAGCGTTTGGAGAGAGTGAGGTACCTCGCAAGGGGTCATAGTCGCCAACCTTCTGCACTGCCCGGACGGCCTTGTAGACTTGTGTGCATATCTGTACCTCGCGCGTGATCACTTATGATCTGGAACTGCATTCCTCGAAGATTGGGTCGACCGACAAGAGCCGGGTAGCTTCCTCGAGTACTTGTTCGCCGAGCTGAATCGTGTTGCTCTCCTTGCAGACCTTGAGGAGCGTCTCGAAGAGGACGCGGCTGCGCGCTTGCTGTGCCATCGTTCGGCCTCCTGGTGCGCGCGTCATCCGACCCTCGTACCACTCGTCTCGTAGTCAGCAAGCGAAAACGGGGGCGGAGGGACGCGTCAATCTTATCTGTGGATGAGCTTGCAATTCTACACTTCCGCCCGTCTGACGATGACGAGGGCCGATCGGCTTGTCTGCCATGAGATAGCTTGTCACATCGACGCCACGCGATACAGCCGACCCAAAATGCGTACGCACTCCCTCTTGTCGGCCTTGGTGTCTCTGACAGAGAAGCAAAGACACTTCACATTGCATGACTTGCTGGCGCGAGGCCGCCAGTCTACGATGGCTATTGTTCGCAAGCCTCGTTGATCTGCGCGACCTTTGACACATGGCTGAAGACAATTATGGATGAGTCTCTGTCGAACAGCGGACCGAATCCGCCTCGTTTGCCAGTCTGAGGATCGTTTCGAGCGAGGTCATGATGAGGTCGGGGTCATGTAAGTCAAGCAAGGTGAGCATGGCATTGGCGAGTGACTCTGATCGGTATGCAGTGACGAAGAGGCGGATGAGTCGGTCTGATGCAAGCCATGTATCTATGACGGTCCACTGAGTGATATGCGAGACCACAAAGCCGAATTGCTCTAGAGCGCCAAGGCCTGGAGTGACCCTCGAACGTAGCGGTTGACTAGCATCGTACTTGAGGTGCGGCGGAGTTGCAGGCGGGAAGGTGACGGGCTCGCAAATGGACAGATCGACCAAGGTGGGTGAGGATGAGCGTGTGCGTGTCTCTGAGGAGAGTATGGAAGCTCCATCGCTGATGCAGCTATCGACTGATACTTCTTCGTCCTCGACCTCTTGCTGATCGTGCAGAGTGGAGAGCAAGTGACCGAGAGCGGAGAGAGAGGCCCAGATCGCTTGCCATTTCGGCGCCATGCCGTCGAATCTGATCGTTCCCAAGCTCGATCTGACTACGCCTGCGCGAGCACAAGCAGCCTCGAATGACGCTTGTGAAGTTGTGCCGGTCTCGATGTCGTATCGTATCTCGGTACGTAGCTTGGTGACGGCATCGTAGATGAATTTGCGGTATTTGACCTGGCTCATCAAGCGGCGAACTGCCGGGCATCCCGCTTGAAACTCTGGCGTGCTGCTGAGAGATTGATGCACTTGCTCGTATATGGCTGCCGTAGGGCGCTGAGGCTTGGGGTCCTTGCACAACCCATACAGCGTGTCAAAGAGCATGTTCAGCTGGGCGGCCGTCATGGGCTCTTTGGAGACCATCATTGCCGCTTCATCTGGCTCGTTCCGAGACGTATGAACCAGAGGCTGAGAAAGGGAGTCCGGCCGAGGAGGACGATGTTACGAGCGTGCGTCGCCAGGCCACAGCCCGCCAGCCGGTAGGGCGCGTCCTCTGGCTGACACACATCGACGCACTCACCCACTCACTCTCCCTCGCCTGGCTGTCGGCGAGAGATGAGCAACCCGAACAAGTTTGCCGGCATCGCTAACGGCAAGGCGAGACAGTCACACAAGCAGAGTACTGCTTCGCCCTTGCCCTCATCGAGTAGCACGCCCAAGCCGACCGCTTTGACGGCGCCATCTGCAACTCCCCATGTGGACGCCTTTCTCGGTCGACGGATGGTGGAGTACTCGAGCGAGAACGACAAGTGTCCGGTGTGCAAGTATGACCGCTACTCGAACCCGAAGCTGCGCCTGCTCGTCTCGAGATGCTACCACAAGATGTGTGAATCCTGTATCGACAGACTCTTCACCCTTGGACCGGAGCCATGTCCCCAGTGCGGCACCGTCATTCGCAAGTCTGGCTTCCTGCCGCAGACGTTCGAAGATCTGGGCGTGGAGAAGGAGATTGTCATCAGGAAGAGACTGGCAAAGTCGTTCAACAAGAGGCAGACTGACTTCAAAGAACTCAAGTACTACAACGACTACCTCGAGCAGGTAGAAGAGATCACTTTCAATCTCATCAACGGCGTCGACCTGCTAGAGACCGAAGAGAGGATACAGAAATTCCAAAAGGAGAACAGCGATCTCATTACGAGCAATAGGCAGTCGAGCCTGCGCGAGGCAGAATCTATCAAGCAAAGGGAGGCTCAAGACATCAAGTCTCGTCACTTGAAAGCGCAGCAGCTACGGGACGCAGAACGAGAAGAAGAGCTCGAGCTCGAGCGCAGCAGGGACCAAGTCATTGCCGAGCTGGTACGCTCCTCTCCCACCATGTGATGACTCATCTGAACGCGTCAGCCGGACAGGAATCGACCGACAAGTCTGCCAAGCGTATCGTCAAGAAGCATGCACGAGAAGTGGCAGCACACCAGATCGACACCACGACCTCGCGCTCTACTGCCGGCTACAACTTTGCCGGTCTGATCAGTGCAGAGGACCAGATGGGCATTGACGAGAAAGAACAAGAAGAGCTGGATATCGATGGCGAACTCGGACGATGGGATGACTATACGACTTTGTACGACGTACCTGCCGATGCCAAGGCTTACCAAGACGAAGAGATGCTCAAGATCACTCAGAGTGCCCTCGTACAAGCCGGAGGCTACAGCATCCTGCCAGTCTGGAACAGATCCATTCAGCTCGCACTTGGCTCACTGTTCCGACCGCTAGAGGCCTAGTCACTCTGTTACTCATGTTGTCGTATATTGCTACGTCTGTCCTCATGACGGGTGCTTTGGCTACAGCGTTCTCTCTCATCATGCATCTGACCCCAGCTTGAATTGCGCTGCTTGCTGTTAGCGATGGGAGACATCAGCTTGCTCTGCTGCATTCCTAACCCGAGACTCACCTCTGGGTAATGTTTGACAAAGTCTAGTTGAGCTTCTGCTGCCGCGACATATGAGATGGCATTGACGAGCTCGACCTCTGTTCTGGCCAGCTCGACAGCTCGGTTGAACAGCTTTGCAGCTGCCGGAATCTGGTTCTGCTGTAGCTTGAGCTGCGCGCATGTCGCCACGGCAACATCGCAATTCTCGTCGATTGTGATGGCGCGTTGACATAGTTGCTCGGCTTGCGCAAAGTCTTGATTCCACGTGAAGACACAGAGCGCCTGGTTCACTAATGGCAGCACGTTGACTGGTTTTGGACTGTAAGCAAATGAAGCTGTTTCAGCTCAAGTGAAGCAGCAGACAGCGAGTCCCTACCCCGCAAGATTCATTTCGACGGCTTTGGCAAAAGCAGCATAGGCTTCTTCGAATTTCTTGAGATCGAGCAAGACCTCGCCATAGTAATTATGTATCTCGCCGCTCGTGGTACCGAATTCACGCAGGCCTTTTTCGAACGCCTTGAGTGCTCTCGCTTGGGAACCTGCCTTGTAGTATGCGACTGCGAGTTGGATGTGGCTATAGATGAAGGCTCGATCGAGCGTGACAGACTTCTTGTACTCTTCGATTGCCTTTGTATAGTCGCCCATGATGAAGTGCACCTGGCCGCGATGATAATATCTGTCCAGCCGACAAGAGATGAGTAGGAGCCGTCAGCGAGCCAAGATCACTGACATGTCCGGATCATCAGGATTGACAGAGACAGCCTGATCAAAGTCGGCAAACGCATCCTGGGTCTGTCCTAGCTCCATGTGGACGCTTGCCTTCTTGACCCAGGTCTGTGCGACACTGGGCGCCAGGTCTGTCGATCTGTCGAGATCGGGTAGGGCTTCCTTTGCTTTGCCCATGATGAACCTGTATCCCATACAAAGTGTCAGCCATTCGCGCGATGCTGAGGGCTGCATAAGTCACCTCATCGTGCCTCGCATGTTGAGAGCATAAGCTTCGAGCTCAGGAGAGCTGATACCTTGGCCAAGCGACTCGTCAAAGAGCTGATAAGCGTGGGTGTAGTCCTTGGCATCGAGCGCATCGCAGGCCAGACTCAGTGTCTGTACGCCCTGTTCGGCTTCTGCTGGCATGTCTGGTCGTGCCCCTGTCCGCGCATGATCAGCGAGTGCATCCTAGGATAGTAGGGGGCGCACTGGGACGGAAGGCTTCCATGTAGGCGCGGATGAAGGTCGGGCTCGGCATGCGAGGCTCTCTTGTTTCCATGATTCTCTGGGCTTTCGCGACTGAGAAGGCCTTCATGACCCGCTCTACCGCTTCCGCGGTTGCTGGGGTGTTGAACTGCTCCAGAATTGCGGCTGCGGTGAAATCTGCGCACATCGAAGCGGACTCAGCTGAAATGAAGCTGTCCCCTCAAAGAAACGTGCCACAAAGCGCTGCGTAGAGCTTCTCCTCTTCGCCTGTTGACTCCCTTGCGTTTGCTCGACGTACGAGAGCTTTCACATAGGTCGGATCGAGGGCCAGGGCTTTTGTTGTGTCTTCGATGACGCGCTCTGGTTGCCCAATGTTTGCATAGCCTGTCCGTCGCCTCGCACTCTTGAGCTCTCAGATCAGGCTTCAAAGACGTTCACGGACATGCAGCGCGGTTGGAGAAGTAGACTGCTGCCTCTTCGTGTCTGAGCGCCTGAGTATAATATTCGATGGCTTTCTCGAAGCTCTTGCTCGCGTAGGAGCTGTTGCCTTTGGCCTTGAGGGCGTCTGCTGCTGCGTGCTTGTCCTGCCAGCCGTGTGGTGTCAGGCGTGTACATGCCTGCAGATGTCAAGGTTACCTCGCGCGACCAAGTCTTGAGCTCTTTTGTCAGGGTTCAGTGACGCAGCTTCACATGATCTCAACACGGCTCACCTTGATCAGTAGGATATGCATCAGCCTCCTCGACGGTTGCAGAAGTAGCTTTCTTTGCGGGCCTCCTCTTGCGATGCTTCTTTCGGCCGGCTGTACCTGGCTGACCGGCCTGATTCGCGTCTGTCTCCTCACCCGAAGCGCTCTCGCCTTCTTCCTTGCTCGACCGCCTGTCCTTCCTCGTCCGTGGGGCATTGCTCGCGCTGGCATAGTAGTAGATCCCACCAGAGAGCAAGACGACGCCCGCAGCTGCGAGGACTGCTCTCTTGTTGTCTTTGACAAAGTCGCTGACCCGATCGACGAGCGAGGTTGATGCAGATGCACTGCTTGGCTGTGTGGCGTTGCCGGGCAATAGTGAGCCGCCTGTGCCGGGCGCTAGGTTGCCCGTGGCAGGCAGACGATCAGCGTTTTGCAGGAAAGGTGCGCCGCCTGGGAATGCCGGTACTCGTCCCGATGAGGCCATGGCAGCTGACTGTAGCTACCGATGGGCCACAGCCGAGCTCTGTCGATGTCGTGGAGGCTCCTCGGTGGCAGGACAGAGTGCAACAGCCGACGGCGAGCAGGCGCAGAGCTTATAAGCCTGATGATCGATTGATCCAGTAAATGCCACGCGTCTATGATGCTCACGGCTTGATGTTGACTGCTCGCCGGACTCTTGAAGCGATCTTGTAGGTCAACTGTGCTCTTCACGATCTCTAAACTTCCGGAGCTAGGCCGTCCATGATCGCAGGCTGACGAGTGCAGCGCGCAAAGTCCCTGAAGTCTGCAAAACGCGCTCAAGCTCCTTACTCTTTGCCACGACCACAGAAGACGATCAAGCGCACTCGCTGACTCATCCCTCGCGCCCTGCAGAACGCTAGAAGAGCACCAATCATGTCGGACACCGAGCCCCAACCGAAGCCAGAAGGTGGCTCTGAGCACATCAACGTCAGTCGAGATCAGAGCAGTTTCCCTGAAATAACGCCAAGCTGACGTGTTCCGCTCGATTGCCAGATCAAAGTGACCGACTCGGGAGGTCAAGAGACCCATTTCAAGATCAAGATGGCGACCAAACTCACCAAACTCGTCAGTCCTCGTCGAGCTTGTGCTTTGCTTTACAGCGCTGATCGCAATCCGCAGATGACCGCCTACGCGGACAGACAAGGCGCAGCTGCCAACTCCGTACGATTTCTGTACGACGGTAGACGGCTGACCGGCAATGAGACGCCGCAAGAACTGGACATGGAGGACGGAGATACGATCGAGTGCCACATCGAGCAGGTCGGTCGCGTCTGATCTCAAAATCACTCACAGCACTGATCCATGCTCCCTCCTGTTGCAGCTGGGTGGCTTGTAGACAGACTGTGCGAGAGGTTGTGGTCTCATTATATCGCCTTCCGCTCGGCCTTCTGCTCGTCTATCCGACGGCATCAGACTTTACTGTCTTTTTCTTCGATGCAGTCTGTATACGTTGCCTTCGTCGCCTCGAGCGACTGAAGATGCGCCCACTTCAGCACTTGCACCCAGACTTTGACAAAAAAACTGCAGAGTGGCCGACGCGATCGACAACCACAGCCCAATCTCGCCTCCAACCCTCCTGGTTGCCGTCCTCGATGTTGCTCATTCCACAAGCACTGTCCCTCGCTTGCATAGCTCTGAGTCATGCCAGCCCGGTAACCGCAACGTGACGAGTCTCCAAGCTTGCGCAGATGAAAGTCTGCCCAAGTTTGATCTGTCCGCTGTGAGCTTCACCCTGTTGACCATCGACGAAAAGTATGAACGCTCTGCAGATTCCTACAAGGGATGGACGCGCTTGCATACCGCAGCAGAGACAGTCAAATTTAGCGATGTCTACGTCTATCTGGACGCTTACAAAACGCCCCAAGGCACGCCAACGCGAGTCGAATCGACCGCCGTGCGATATCCCTATGCCATCTAGAAGCCAGCTTGTTTTGCGTTTCTGCAGCGATCTCCTCCGCATACCATGGACATCGAGTCCAAAGTTCAACCGAGTATTCGACTCCTTATGGTACGACTCGTGGCTACGTCGTCAACTTTCACTTCTACGGCCCGCGCTCGTCAGCCGCTCGTGTTGGAACTTCGACTCATTTGAGGCGCATGCAGCCTTCTTGCCAGCTTGGACGTTTCCATACGGAGACTGTCGCTCAGTGGTATGATCGGCTCCCTGGCTGTTACGAGCCAGAGCCATTTACAGCCGTTCGAATGTAGAGAATCCAAACGAATCTCATCCTCGATTTCAGAGCGGGTATATCGCAGGTCCCGACCTTGACCGCAGCCTACTCTTCTTCTGCCCCAGACAAGATCATATAAGAACCGGGCTCGGAAGGCCTGATGTACATCCGCTTCGCCAGAAGGCCTCGCGATGAGGATACACGCCAATAAGCAGATTGTGCAAATACATGGCCGTTTAAAGTCCCGACTATCCCAATAAGATACAGGTCAGTCTGTCAAGAGGGGATTTGCAAGCTTTTGCTGACGCGTAGCCTCCCTGCAGACTTGTCAAAGGTCTACAAGAAATCTTTTCCGGCCGTTGCGAGAGCGCGTCCCGGGCCTGCGAGCTAGGGGATTCCTCCGATGCTGCGCACCCCGCTCCGTCATTCAGGAGCCGTTGACTCCGCAGTTGTCTGACCCCTGCGTCAGCATTGCAAATTGCCGTCGGCACGATTGTTCATGTCTACGCGCACAAATGCTCGCCCTTCTCGCAGCCTTACTGAACGCGTCCTCATGGGTCCTTGCTTCTCCTGTCAGCCACACAATGTCCAAGCAAGTCGATCTGCCATCTCCCAACGAGTCAGCAGCTCTTTCGCCGATCATGTGCGCCGTTGCAATGCTCTGCATGACAACAACTAAGACTCATACGAGCGCAGTGTGACCGGGCCATACCTCGCGTTTCCTCATACTTGGCAGATCACCTGTCAGTATTCGATCTGGCCGACAATCTGGCCTGCCCCTCCTCATGAATGGATGAGACAGTGTCCTACCATGCTCGGGTGCAAGTGAATCGAACGATGCGCACAGTCAGCGCTCGTAACGTGCTCCTCAACGTCGTAGCAAGCAGAAGACCCCACTACCCAAGGAATGTATGGGAAACAACAGCCGTACATTCGTCTCGTTCCGATCGGCGCGCCTGTGCTCAGCTCTTCCATCAGGTCACGGGCAGCCCCTTTGTAACCGTCTCCAACCACTTTCGCGGCGAGGATTACAATCAGCGCGGCGAGTTTGCGCTATTCGAAGCAACCGAGACCATTATAGGCGAACGTGAGCGCACTTCTCAGCCGCGCCGCTTCATTTTGATCGTGGCACAGCTCGAGTCACGCCTTGGAACGATCCTCTTGAAGACTGCTGTCGCGTAGTCAGTCCTATCTCGCATTGCTTGCGTCACTCACAGGCAGCAGGCGATTCGCTGGTCTTACAACCTCAACATGGACACTGGTGAGCTTTCGCCTATCTCACGTGCGCAAGCTGAAACTGTTCTCCCCAGGCAGACTCAAATACAGGAGACCTGTTATCAGCGTGCAAGTGATGCACTCAACGTGCACTGCGCGTGCTGACTAATTGGCTCTCAGCATCAACGGCGGAGCGCGCTGGAATGCAGGCGATCCTTTCTGTCCTCGTGACGTCGAGATCGAGGCTTGTAAGGAAGACACATTGGTGCGGATATGCTGGCTAATAATGAGCAGATGATGGCCAGCCGGAATACCAGCTCATCTGGCGCGATTGGACGGGCACCCCTGCTGATCAACCTGCGACGCAATAATACTTGGCCTGCAACATTACTCCATACGTCTTGCTCCTGCAATTTGTCCTGCTCGTATTTCGCCAGCTTGCTTGTGCATGATGCAAAGCGCACTACTATGCCACTTGCTGCCTATCCTGTCGGTTACTCTCGCTTTCCCGGCAGGGTATACTGCCAATGATACGCGGATACACAATCTTGCAAACCTCGCAGGAACGACCTTGATCTCCTCAAGAGAAGCAATGTACACCGGCGGCTTTGATCGCCCATACGCACACTGGCGGGCGGCCATAGCGGGGGCCCAGGATCGAGATAGCCTCGAACTTGGGGAGATACCATGTCGGTCCTGATGCAGTCCGCCAAGGCTGCACTGACGAAGGGCGCGGTTAGCTACGTGTCCCGGTTCAGAGCTGACCGTACCGGATACATCAGCAGTGTTCGAACACACACTCGTACATGTCGTCGGATCATACAGCTCACAAAGCCACAGACTGGAGTTTGAGATGCTGCCGGTATTTCCTATCCGAGCTGGTCTGTGGAACAGCGGAATTGGGGCAACGCAGATCACTAACAAACCATCGTTGAGGCTGCACCCAAACGTGTTCTCGCAGAGCATCGGAACCGACTACGATCTTGTCTGGTTCGCGCTGGACGAGCTACCTCTGAGCGCGTGAATACGACGACACGCCTCACCCTTCGCCTAGCTGACGATCTTGTAGCTCTGATCATGCCGTGGGATGATCTAATGGACAGATGCTGCTACTGTGTCGGTTCAGATCGGATGTTCTCATCAACCGGTCGTGAAGCACAAGTCGCAGCCGTCTAGCCTTGAATTTTGGCATCAATGTGGGATCCGGCAAGCCGTTTTTGACGATGACGGGTACGAATCTCATAGTCTGATGACGGGCAGGCGAGCTGCAAGATAGCCGACCCGGCTTGCGAACGCGCGTCACTCGCATTTCTCACCCTCGAGGATCAGCTGATCCGTTTTGGACAGCCAATGTCGCACGCCGCCCTGCGGACAGCCTGATAGGGCGTTTTTGCTCTATCCCTATCCGGTCGACACTTCAGTTTCGTCGCCGATCGCTTCTCTGAGCGGGAATGTAGGACTGAGGCTTGCTGCAGACTTTCGGGAGCCCCTTCTGGTCAATGCGAGCCATCAGAGCACGTCATCTCCCTGGTTGTCCGGGTGACGATCCAGATATGCAATGAATGTGGCATGTGCTCTTGTCACAAGGCCTGCAAGTTGGGTGTTGCAACCGCTCGACTTGTCCGTTCGACGCGTTTTCGCGCTTCGGGCCTGCAATTCTGGTGCTGTCACTCGACCGCAGAGGTGGACGGACGTGGGAGGTGTCACGATGGGCGGGCAATGGACGGAAGAGCAGATGATCCTCATGCTCCGTGCCGTCAGCCGCAGATTGAAGGATAGCGAGGATGTCACGATCCGAGCGCCTTTGGTGAATTACGTGCGCGAACATCTCCTGCAACTGCCACCATTTGACGAGCACGCCGATTCGGTGACTGATTCAACGATCCGAGGCAAGATTGGCAACTGCCGAGCGGTCTTCAATGCCGTCAGGAAGCTATCGAAGCACTACGTCAAGGGCTATGACGTCTACTCGGGTTGCAAGCTCTCTGAGGAGCACTTTGACGATGTCTTTGAAGAAGCCGGCCTCAACGTCAACAACAATGTGCCCATGATCAAGCATGACGGCCTGACCCCGTACTGGCAGACTGTTTGGCCCGCTGTTGTCGAACTGATGGAGCTCCAGCCGGCGCAGCCTATCGTCATCAAGCCCGACGAGGACTCGCAGCGGCCCACCAGCAGGACAAGAAGAGCGGCCGTTAGTGATGCAGACGATGCCAGTCCACGCGCCAGTCACCGACTTGCCAAAAGAGCGCGCATCAGCATGTGCAGCGTCAACGGCAAGGGCGACTCTGGGTCTAGCAAGCAAAACCCAGAGGTAGAGCCAAAATCAAGAGTCCAAGTGGGGATGAGCGCACTCGATCAGTTTGGCCTCGTCATGTCCGAAATAGAGAAACACGAACAGGTTAAGCGCTACATCACCAACGAGATCTTTCTGCGCTTTTACGTCATCGCCGTCAGATCGCCTGGCCTCTCTAAAGCCTTTCCGCCCTTGCTGGACATTGATGACCCTCAGCGAATATTGCTCTGCCTTCAAGCGATACTCAATATGGCAGAAGCATAGTCGACCGTCGCTTCGACCGAGCAGACATCACCTTGTAGGACAACCTAATGTCATGAGGGTTTATACAACGATGATTGCATCCTGCATCATGGCTGTACAGCACTTCTCGTCTATTCTCTCGCAGCAGCCAGATGTAGCTGCCAATCGAGCCAGCTACATTTGATCTTGCCTGCTCAAAGCGTCAGCAAACGGGCCGCATCACCCCAATGCTTCGTCCACTGACGTGTCCCTCTCTGCTTCGCTCTACAAGCCGGCGGTTCGTTGGGTCCAAAGTTACATTCTGTGCTCACACGCCGGGCTCCGATCACCTCTTCGAAATCGAATGCGCCGACGCCGACCCAGAATTGGGCTTCATAGGACGTGCGACATGTGCACGCCACTGCAGACGTCAGTAGTCTTTCTCTTATGGAACAAGACTTGCTCACGATCCGATTGGCAGTTGCCTGTCAGTCCAATAAGTGTCTGTCGATCACACAGTCAATCAAGAAGATGCTATGGTCTCCTTAGCTGGCCAGCTTACGCGATAGCGGAACCCGGTCAAGTCGTCTTTAATCGTTTCTATGGTGTAAGTATCTGCGGCGGCATCGCTCTAGAGCAACATCAGCGCTCGATCTTTATGAAGGCGTCAGCCACACACGCTGGATCTAATCTCGCCATCGACGGCTATGACTGTGATCTGCCATCGATCGAGCCGCACATCGCCTGCGAGACCTTCACATTGCCCGTATCCCGCTCTGTTTACTGCTAAGCACCTTCGTCGACTTGCACGCCGCTGACTCACAAGTCGATAGGATACACAAACTTTTGACCTGGCAACGCCGCTACGCCCGACACACCATAGCCCACCGCATTATGCAAGAGGAGACTCGCGCTTGATCTGACGATCGCCAGCAGGAGACGAAGCTGTTGGCGAGCGTTCTTCATCACGGCGAGATTGCAGCAGGGCTGAGACGTGTTGGCATTGGCCCCTCTCATCCGCCTTACCCCTGACCTCCTCTTATCACATCACCGACTCGCATCAGACCTTGTCCTCGACTTCTCTAGATATCTCCTCGGTCTGTTGCTCGACCGGCATGTCACGCCCAGCATTGAACGACGCGCAAACCAATCTCATGTTCGAGACACTACACTCACTGCTCGAAGCTGAAGGTACCGGCATTCTCACTGCGGCCATCATCGATCAGGCCGAGGCGCAACTCAAAGCACTGCCCGAGTTTGACGATTTTGTATTCAATGACTGTTCGATTCGGAGCAAAGTCAAGCCCTGCAAGGATGTCTACAATGCCGTCAAAAGGCTATCACAGCTCTGCGATTACACCATCTTCACGGGCTCAGATCTATCAGATCAAATTTTTGAAGAGCTATGCGATCGGACTTGTCGCAACAAGGCCATTGCCAGCGAGGTCAAACGGGCCGGCTTGGGGTCGCCTTGGATTGCTATCTGGGATCGTCTATCGGCTTATTGTGAGCTGCAAGATCGTCTCCGTCATACTACCGATACGGACAAACAAAATGATCAGGCGAAACAGTCAGACCTAGTCGAGTGCGGGGGCTGCGGTGCCACGACTGCGCGCAAACGCAGATCAAGTGTGACCCATTCGCCACGCAAGCTTGTCAAGCTGAAGCCTTGGGATGCAACGTCTAGCACGCCTGTCAAGTCAGCAACGATCGTGCCAACTCTGCTGCACAGCCCACCGAGCAACGCAGAATTACTGGCCAGCAAGGCGCTACCCAGTCTAGGCGCGCTCGAACAGTTCGGCTACGTGATGAGTCACATCAGCCAATTCGAGCAAGTCAAGACCTATCTCGACATTGGCGTGTTTGCAAAGCTCCACGTGCTGGCGATACTGAACGAAGAGATTGCTAAAACACTCATTCCGCTACTTGATCTGGGTGACCCCGTACGGATCATCGTCTGCCTCGAGGCGCTTATGCAGGTCGATGCTCACGCAGAGCTGACGAGCTGAAGCTTACTGCAATGACTCAGCCAAAAAGCTGTACAAATATGCAGTCAGCGCTGCGACCTTTGCGTGGGTCGTCCCATCGTCACGCGCTCCCTCTGATTTCTGCGGAACCGAGGTCCCTTCGCTTGAGACTCTCCCCTTCCTTTCCAGCCGATCTCTCTTCTGAGCCATGACACGACTCACGCGCTTCGGACTGACAGCAAAGCAGACTGTCTTGCTCTTCGCCACCCCTCACAGGCTCGTTGAACGAACAGACACGTGGCAGCTTACGACCAGCATCCTGACTGAAGCGGTCAGCCACCTAGCAACGTGATCAGACTTCTCACATGTCAATCTCACGGCGGAAATAATCAAACTGAAGGTCGTCAGCAGCTGCAGGCTGGTCTATCTACCTGGAGACGCCTACAAGCACAATGCGACTTTGATCCTCGCACAGGCACGTCATTGTCGGCTCAAGCTTTGGCGCGTGTTTGCGATTGCATGGATATCTCTGGAACAGGCAATGAAAGTCATCGGACGGCACGGCCTTGGCGTCTCCTTGGCTCAGAGCCTGGGATACTGTTTCCAATTTCTTCGAATTGCAAGCAAGTCTGCGCAAAACCTCACGTCATGCAAGAAGCGGAGATCTCGAGGGGGCTGACAGCCATACACGCAATGACGGGATCAGCGATGACTCGAGCACAGACCACGAAGAGCCCGGTCACAAGATTAGAGACGAGCTCACGGAGCTTGATTTATCATGACCAAGGCTTGTAAGATCCTCAACGACAATACCGCGTCCAAGGATCGCCACCTCATTCCCGACATCCTGCAATGCCGATGGCACGGTGACAAGGTCATCTGGCAACATTTTTAGCAACTCTTGCGGCATTGTTCGTATGATATCACACGAGGCATCGACTTGACGGAGCAAGATCTCAGAGACGGCAAAGAACTCAAAGATGAATCCAAAGCCATCTGCACACGAGCAGTTGGGCTTGTTCATGCGCACGATTGAAGCGTTCGACCACGTTCAAGCGTCAATCGCCCACGAACATTGCGTGAGGCTTTACGTCATGTCTTGCAGCTCGCCTAACATCGCTAGAGGCATCGTAGCTGTCGTGGATTGTACGCAGCGCCTATACAACCAGCTGATGCCCAGCCCAGACGATCGTCTGCTTGAACTCCTTGCTACATGTGAACGTCAACTTGGATGCAGTTCCGAAGCAATACGTTCTGTCAAGTCTTGGCACCGTCATTGTCGTATGGCCGAATGCAGCAGCAACGCAGGCTCATGCGGCAGCACGTTCGATGAGATCCGCAGTCCATTTGAGCTGTCGGATGGCCGGCAAAGCTGGTGAGGTATGTCAGCCGTGAATCATGGAGAACGGATATCGTGTAGGCCGCACTCGCGTCTCGGATACCCTCGTAGTCGAAAGGACAGTTGGGAAAGTCTGCGTCTTTGATGTCACCTCGGAAGGGCTTGCAGATGCTTGTTGTTGCTCTGATGAGCCCTCGGACGATCGACATGAATAAGTCTCACATTGTGGGAATCGAAGGAGCTACTTGGATCGTGCCTGTTTACTCTGGTCGCATCAATCGGGCTGAAATTGCGACGGGGCTTGGCTTGCCGAGGAAAATGTTGATGAGAATGGCAGATTCAATCTTCTGCTGAGCACAATGAGTCCCTAGACCGAGCACGCCCAGCAAACGTACGACCATGCAACAATCCCTGTAAGGCGCTGTCCAAGGATTGATATAAGGCTGAGAGCGTGCATGAGTAGATGTCACTGCTCAAAGGGACTGATCACATTGCCCGTGACCTCAAACTCGACGGTCAAGCGTCGCCACGCTTCTTCCGGGTAGTCTGACCCGTCATCCTTGGCGATGATGACCTTGAGATTGCCATCATCCGGTTCAAACTGCATACTGCGTCATTGCTGGTCGAAAAGATGTACAGCAATCTCTGACGGCATGCGTGATGAAATTGATGACATTGCCACCATGAATCGGATCTCTGCCTCTGTAGGCCCTTGCGCCGACTTGAAGATTACGAAAGCGAATGTCCTGGCTCGTGCCATCAAGCGTTACTTGTCCAATATAGTCGACTGCTGCCGACGCCATCAGCTCGGTCGCTGTTTGAGAGCGCTCGCTGAACAGTAGATATTCCATTGTCGAGGAAACGAGCCAGGCCAGCGAGAGTCAAGGAAAGGAGCTGTATGATGAGCTGAAGAGGGTATCGCTGCGTGTGAGTAGCCGAAACATAGAGCGATCTTGGCTGTGAGAAGAAGAAGCCACATCAGCGACTGCGATACTTCTGCCCCGCTGTCGATCTCCACGCGACGCGAGTGCGTCATAGCATCACAGCCAAGCGCCAACACTGACGCCTTGCTCGTCAGCATGGAGACCGTTCTAGGCCGCACGGTCGAGCTTGATCCAGCCTCGCCTGCGCTAGTGCGGCTGCAGATCATCACGCCGCTCTCCATCTTGCTCAGCTTGGGCGCTAACCTCGTCTGCGCGCTCGCCATCAAACCTGGTCTCGGTGCGTCTCGTCATACGAGCTATTGCGCTTGCGCTCACGTCAGTTCTGCAGGGCAAATCAGTGATGACTAGTACGTTGACGCTTTGGAGCGAGTCCGTACGGCTGAACCGCGAGCAGCTTGACGATATTGACGCCAAGAAAGAGCCTCATTGGGATCTACTGGCTCGTCCTCTACGTCCTGCAGATCGGCTATGCGGTCCTGCTGGCAGTCGTACGGAAGCCAGAGACAAGAGCACTCATCATCAACGGACTAGGCATCCGATTTGTGAGTCTCTATCGCGTCTCGTGTGACTGCGCTCATCCATTCTTGCAGGTTCTCGCCAATTTTGTTTTTGCGTTATGGGCAGTCTTCTGGGTGCGTTCCTTGATCGATCTCAGATGCGCCCCTTTGAGCGTCAAAGGCAGACGCTACGCATCTTCCTAGCATCCGAGATCTGTCTGCTCGTCTGCGGCGTTCTGCTGCTATCAATCTGGCTTACCTTGCTGCGATGGAACACGACCATATCGAAGCGACCGCTCGATTATATCCTCATCAACATGCCAGTCGTCATGTTCCTCCTCGTCCTCTGGAACGTCGACATCTGGCAGAACGGTCTGCTCGCGTTCCACTGGTTCAAATACGTGGGCAGCGATCCTAACGAAGGCCCCGGCAAATGGCAAGTCCACGACGAATGAGTATGCATTTGCATGCTGACAGAATGATCGTGCAGGGAGAAGGAACGTGGCAAGCATGCATGGATCATCTTTGGCATCGTGACCGCAGTCGGCCTGATCAACTCCTTCATCGTCTTTATCGGACGCGATCTCGTCTGGGCCCTCGCGAGTATCTATCTCTACATCGCTCTGTTGCTCAAGGAACCCAAACCACCTCAAGTCGTCGTAAGTACGCAAAGTCGCATATCTTCCGAGCTGATAGCCCCGCAGATCTCATTGATCCTCGTCTCGGCATTGCAACTCATCGCATTCGTCGCAAGCGCGCTGTGGTACCGCTACAAGGCCAAGCAAGACGAGGGCCGCATCTTACTGCCTGCCGATGATCTGGTCGAAGACGATGCAGCGCGCGCTGGCTTTGTCTCGAACCTCGAAGAGGACTAACGAATGGCTATTGTATTTCGCATGCACTCATACCACATCAAGACAGCACGCGTAGAGGATTGCAATACTGTACAGGGCTCCTCAGGCAGGCGAGACCGTGGCATAGGGCGCCGCGGTGATTTTGCAGCTCCCGTTGCCTACGAGCATCGTGATGCCCATCTTATTACAGCCGGGCGTTACGACGCAGGTCTGCGAAAATTTGCCGCTGTTGAGATAGACAAACCCGTTTGCAGCTACATCCGGGCACAGATCAGTCATCGACAGCAACTAGACAGTGAACGCAAGCTTACCACCGCCCTTGAGAGGAACATCGATGGCGATCGACATGGCAGCGCCGCATCCACAGCTCTGAATGCCAGTCTCGGGTGCCACCACGTTGAAGATGATCTTCCATTTGCTGTTTGTCCTGATCAGCTGGTTGCACGCGAGTCAAATATCCTTGCTGGCTGACCCATTAGCGGGATTGTAGCCAGCGTCGCCGAGCGTGATGCCGGTATGGTCACCAATATAGGTGATGCCCACGCCAGCAACGAGATGGAACTGTCGAGACATCCTGTCAAATCAAGCAGTAGCGGACACTGTATATCACTGACTTTGACAGAGGGCGCTCCAATGTTGACAGTGTAAGTCGCGTGGCCAGGCACCTTGTTCTGCAGCCAGAGTGCACCACATTCTGCCTGGCCGGTCACTGCCTTCGAATATGAGCGTCATACTGCCAAAGCTTTGTGCGGCTTCGTACGAAAGACTTCGAACGTGCCAGTCTTGCCATCGCTTGGCCATTGCTGCGCGAGTGTGCTGGTAGCTGCGAGCGCGAGGGCGATCAATCCTTTGAACAGCATCTTGGACGTTTGGTTTTGTGTGTCTCAACGATGTACCGGCGCAAATGAGGACAGTGAGACAGTGACAGGCAGAGAGGAGATGCTGCACAGCAGTGCGGACACATAGCCGGGCAGTATGCGGAGCACGGTGTGACATGTGACACGTCTTGAGGCCGCGTTGTCACGTCATGCATGTCGTGTCGTCGTGCAGGTACAGGCATGACGCTACTCGCAGCCGTTCTGCTATTGCCTCCCATGACGGCCGATCGGATCCTCAATACTCGTGACGATATGGCTCTACTTGCCGGTCACAGGCGTCTATACTGGTGTGAGCACGCTTTCAAAGTATCCCCGACAAACTTCGACCATATTGGCGGAGCCGTTGTGTGTCATTGAGAGCCACATGAGTGCTTGATGGCTGCAGCATAGGCTGTCGCACGGTACTCATCAAACGCCACTGGCCATTTCGACGTCTGAGTAGGAATGTAGCTTGCTGAACAAGGGGGTAATAGCGACATGATATGTCTCGTCGCGGTAGAGACGCATCGACTCTTAATCATGACAGGGCTCCGCTTCACCACGAGCGCGTGGCTGGACGAGCTCACCTCTCATCGTCGGAGTACTTGTGCATGGAGAGGTCAGCGACAGAGAGAACAGGATACCTGGGAGTCTGACAAGAAAGCAGTCGCGTCGCGCAGACTTCGGCTTCTTCGCGTCATCTTCGCCCGGCCACCTGACACATCGAGACTTCTGTTGCTTTCCCCAGAAGCCAAACCTTGCAGACGACGGAAATGATTGTCATAAATCTATAGGGAGGCAACTCCCGCCCGTCTTTTCTGCGCTCCTCCCACTCGAGCCTGCATCATCTGAGAAGACGACCATTGCCGTAGATCAGGACGGCAACCAGACTCAAGGCTATCAGTCTCGTCCGAGGATCGATGTCATCACCCTCCGTTCTCGAGGATGGCGACGAATGCGAAAGGCCGGGTTTGCTGCCCGACTGGAAGTCAATTGCCTCGTCAGAGACTCATCCATCTTTGTATTTGCCATTTGCTTTGCATCATCGATGACTCTCCCCCGCTGCCTGGATTCAGGTCCGCTGTCTGGTCATTGGCTATTTGCCGCGTCCATGAGGCGATGCCCTCTACTCTTTCAGCAAGTCGGTTGTCTATCTCGCTTCATCGACAAGGACGACGAACGCCATGCACAGGCTCGCTACCTGCCCACTGGCTAGCTGTCTCGTCCTAGCTGATGCATACTCTCGACATACATGCACCCAAGCTCTCTTTCGAGCCCTGCACGTGCTCTCCTCCTCGCTTCGAGCTGCATTAGCACGCTACCATCCGTCGCGCAAGCCAGTCGTGTTGGATGGACATCATGCTACTGGCTTGCGCGCAATGCATGAGCTGAGTAGGCAAAGCTGCCCTTCAGCGGTTATCGCGCTCGCGACACCGACCCTATGGTTGCTTGGGTGTCTCGGCGCCCTGTCACATCCCTTGCAAGGCGTGGGCCCGACGAGCAGCGTCGCAATGGCAACTTACACACTTTCCACCATCCACACAAATCTTGTGGTGCTCCCGCAGACGCTGCCAATGCTTTCACTACCTGTGTTCCTGTTCTTGCTCGGCCTTACGCATGCCGCGCCACCACCGCCATCTTTCGCTGTGAGCAAAGCAGTGCCTCAGAAATGGCCACAGACGTGGGAGATCAAGCGTCAGTTTTGCAGAGCCATGCGCTCTCCGATATGCCTGAACGTGTGCATTGACAGTGTCTATCTCTGCTAGCGATGCCGACGAGGCTGTCACACGCGACGAAGCACAATCACTGGCTATCGAAACTTTCACGGTGCGCGTCACGGCGCAGATGTTCGTGAGATCGCTCGCGTTCGATCCTGTGATCATCACGAGGCTGCGCAACGTGCGACCCATGATCAGAAGAGACACTTCGGTCATAACACCAGACGCCAACTACGTTTGGTTCAGGCTTTTCATGGACATCGAAGGAGCGCGCAAGTGATTCGATGGTGGCATCTATGAAAGTGGTAACATCTTATGCACGCAGCTGTACTGACACCTTGGGGCCCGCCACTGTTGAACTGTTGCAAACTGGTACGCGACCGAACAGGCTTTACAGCCGATAGGCGCTGATCGTCCATGCAGAGACTGCACAACAATTTTGGATTGCTTCTTCAAGAACGTATGTGAGAAGAGAGATATGTCGCGTTAGCTCATTCCTGCGGTCAGAGGATGTCTACAGTAACATGCCGTCGATTGAAATGTAAGCATATCCTTGCTCGAATATGACTCCGCTCAGCTTCGGTCAGTTTCTGCAAACGAGATGCTGGTACAGTGCGCGATGCCGATTGGCCAGCCTGTCCCTCCAGCTACGTCCCCATCGAAGCCCAAAGTGGGCGACGCAATTCGTTACAGGGTTGACGCTGATGTGCAATGCAGATCTACCGACTATGCGACTTCGCGAGCACCGTTTCACGTCCCGTCACTGGTACGGTGACGGTGATGACGTGCCCGCAGAGACTCGGTAACCAGTCCTCGAGGGAACGAGAAGCTAGAAACGGAAGGAATGCAATGCGATTGAAGTTTGCCAGTCGCGCCCGCCTTCGCAGACACTTCACCGATGCTCGTCATCGTGCTCTTTCTTGTCACTCTCCTTTCTTCATGCTGCATTAAGGCTCAGACTGCATTGCTCCTGCCCAATCGGCTCCAGTATCCACACAACTGGCTCATCGAATGCAAGCATCGTCGGATTTGCGTCGGCGTTCTTATTCAGCTGCGATGGAGACGGTGGCTTATACAGGCGAAGTGACCTTGTTCGGCGTTGTGAAAACGTCGCAGTTCTGGAATGTCAGGATTCAGCTGCACGCAGTTCATCACGACGAGCGGACCCTTCGCTTCGTTCTCGCCTTTGCAGTACGTTCACTGGCCAAACGTGACCCACAGATTGTGTGATGTGTTTGCAGACCAGACGACCCGATTTGACGATGACTGTCCACCTCGGAGAGCCGTATCGTCTGGCTGACGATAGAGTTGCACGCTTCAGCTATACTATCAAGTTTGAAGGATTCAGTAAGTATACGCTCTCGGCAACTATGAATCTCAATCTCAATCTCATCTGAGTGAAGATCAGCCTATCTGAAGCCTTGGGGATCGCCACTCGCTGATTGCTGCTCGGCTGTATGTCTCCTGCCAGCATGATACTCGAAGGACGGGCTGACGGACCTCACAGGGATTGGGTGGCATGGTGATTGTCAGTCTGACAAGAGGTGACTTGATCATCTCAGCTACTACAAGAAGCTTCCTATTCGAGCAGGCACTGTAGAGACGATCACGCCACGAGTCGAGATGTAAGCTACCAATCAGGACGATCGAGCAGACTCGTCCAGCACGACAAAGACCGACAGTCTGTACAAGATCTTTCCTGGTGACTTCCCCGAGAAAGAATGGCCAGCCTGCCCGTCTGCCTATGAGCCCATCAGAGATGCTGGTGCGTGCGCGCGCGCGGATTGTGATAGTTCTGGGCTATATCTATGGACAGATTTGCCGGAAGCAGTCAAGCGCGACTCCCGCACGGTGGCATAGGATTGGGTCGGCCAGAGCGAGTAGGTCCAAGCTTGCTGCTGCAGACATATACTTGCGCGAAGCTTGCATTTCTATCTGCTACAGATTGACGAGCGCGAACGCAGCATCGAACGGCCGGCCTCTACTGAGGACCCCAAGGCTCATCGTCATAGGGATCAGGCGGTGGCACATCCGGGGGAAGCGGTTGGGGTGCAATGTCCTGCTCCAGAAAGACCGAGTGTAGGCAGGTGCAGCCATTTCTGAGATGCGGCTGGTAAGTACAGAGAGGGTTGTTAGCTATCATCATCGTGCAAAGGCAACGGGCTGACATTGTCGAGCTTGTCCATTATATCCCTATTGCACGAGTCGACGTTCTCCGCGCCAGTGTCAGGCCAGCAGTCGAGCTCCGCGATTTCATCGTAACGAGACCAAGCATCTGTGTGAACTCATCAGCAAGATGACAGAGTAGGACGGGCAAGCGTCATACGGTAGTAGGTTCTCACAACGAACCAGTACTTCTTGTAAAAGGTGCAACACTGGCCGTATCCCTTCTCGCGCGGAACTTCCTTGTCGGTGATCTGAATGATGACAAAGTCGTCTGCATTCAGGTCTGCCCATCTCTCGTGAGTGTGCTTTCCCTCTTAGGGAATCAGAGAAGAGGCGCACAAACTTTGGCACTGTGTAGGTGGGCATAGGCTGTCCAGCTGGTGATCGTCTTGTCTGTGCAGACCTTGAGCGTCAGGTCACGTTGGGAGTTGCATGGGACCATCGCATACGACCGGTATGGGTCAACGCGACGCCAAAGTGGCCCGGTTTCTTGACCGACATGGCTTCTTCTGATGCTAGACAGTGGCAATCGTACGAGACTGGCTCGGGCGTCAGTACTGCGCCCGTCTCCAGGCTCAAAACGGACAGTTGAAGTTGTACCTGCACTCGCATCAGTCATAGATCAATCAGCGACTTTGTTGGCGTACTGTTGGGCGTAGTAGCCGGGATCGTAGCTGAGCGAGCTGTAGCTCTTGCCCGTAATCTTCTCGACCAAGCTGATGTGGTCACTGAAGCCCTGTCTGGTCTCCTCGGGACCAATCCTGCTGAGATCGAGGACATCTTTCGGACTGAGACTGAAAGTGTCAGTCGATGTGATGACGGGGGAGGCATTCAGTGCCGCAGCACCGAACACGACGGCAAGCACGAGGCTGAACATCCGTGTTGGCGAGGAGGAGAGAGATCTGAGGGAAAGGCGACGTGAAGGAGGCTTGACGACCTGGAAGCCCTATATCGCCGATAGGAGTCGTCGGGTGCATAGTGGTATCAACAACAGTGGCTGGGCGTGCAGATCCGGGTGTGAAGATGAGCGCTAGGCAAATTTGATACCATCGCTCGACGTGTCCTGACCGACGTCTGGGTCGTCCGTGCCCTTGAAGATCTGCGCCTTGCCTTGCTTGACCAAGACGGTCATGGCCAGTCTCAACAGCGGCACCGGCATCTCGTAGAACTCTGCGCATGGATTTGAGACGAGATGAGCCAGCCGTGAAGGACAGGGCGCACCTGTCGTATGTGCAAGGTCGCCACCTTTGACGAGCTCGTAGGCAGTCATGATGCTCCCGTTGAGCCCGTTTCGCGTGATGAAGTCGTAGATGACGGTCGCCCACTCGGCCGGAGTGCGGGTGTAGATCAGTAGTCTGTCGTGAGCTATGGCACTCTTGACAGGCTGGACCAAGGAGCCCTCGACGGGATAAGATGCAAGATCTGCTCCTCGTCATCAGTTGGGACGTGATGGGGCGATGCATGGCGCCGACCCTGGGAGATGAGATAGCTGATGATAGCTTGTTGCAGTTCGGGCGTCACCCGGCGCTGCTGACCGGTAGCACAGGCTGGGTTCGTCCAAAGCTCTCCATTGCGCGATGCTGTCAGGCTGAGCTCAAGCTCGAACAGTCTGAAGTGCCGGGCATAGGCGATGATGAGATCCTTCCATTGCAGTAGTTGGGCATCTCGAGTCGCTTCGTGAGGCTGCAGACTGCCTCACAGACAGAACATAAGCCAGATTGAGGTCACATTGTCCCTGACTGACGTGAAGAAGGGCGGAAAGCTGAAGATGCCCGGGAACGCGAAGGAGCTGTCGATGGCACTCTTGCGCACTGGCAGCTGGCTCGCGCTAGCCGTCATGGCTGAGCAGGAGGCCCCACTCGATGCGACGCTAACCGGCTTGTTGCGCGCTGACAGCTAGCTTACACGCGTTCGCTCAACTCTCGTACGGTTGCGATGAACCCCTCGCAGAGGAGTCAGCTCCCCTCATAGCGTCTCCCTCTCTTCATCTCGGCATGGCCAAGCAAGTCATGGTGGCCGTCTTGTTCGCCGCCTGCTGGCTCTCGCTACTCCTGCCGACAGGCGCGATTGTGCCCTCCTTGCACGCCCAGCCACTCGTGCCCGTCAGGAAGCTTTCTGACCTCATTGACATGGCCAATAAGGCACCTCCTGAACATCAGGAAGGATACAAACGACACCTTGCAGACATCAAGGCCCACCTCGGTCAGGAGCTGTACGACAAGAACCCGGGAGCGATCTACCAGAAATATCTCTTCAATTGAAAGGCGCCCTGCTTTCCTGCAATGCGAACGTACAAACTGATCGCTGCCTTTGACTCGTCACAGTCACCTATTCTTGCTACGCCGGCAAGGGAGAGCACTCGCTCGTCAACAAGACTGATCCTGGTCATGTCTCCATCATCATCACCCACACTGGTCGTACGTCTTGGCCTCAGGAGTACGGCAACAGCGACTTACTACAGTCCCCGCGCCGGACAGACATGACCTTTGTAGAGTTTCTGGCGCAGCATCACATCAACAGGGCCTTAGTTTGCAAGTCGCACGGTGAACTTGGTGATGCCTGCTGAACCTTGTCACGATAGTGGACAATCGTATCGGAACCGTGCTCGTCGAGGTGTCCGACCTGCTCGAGCCGACAGAGCCGATCTGGGACGTCAGTCTTGGCTTTTTGAGCCCTTTCGTGGCTGACCACTGTCCGTGGGAGCAGGAGTGCTGCAGCCACAAGCAGACCTACATCTTCTTCATCCATGCTTACGTTCGTACGTCATCTGCGCCCTTCCCACCTTCAAGATCATCTCACTCGGTCTTGATGACTGTAGGTGCGTGGACGCCGGATGACGAGACGAGCAATCTCTACTGCTGGCCGGGTCAGTCTACGATCGGCATGACACGGCCTAGCGTTCGACTGAATCGCTGTTCCACAGATAGTGGCCATGGCTGGGGACACTGTAACGCCGACATGCTCGCTGCGATCGGCTATCCTCCCATTAAAGAACGTACTCGATGCCCGGGCGACATGTTCTCTCTTTACGACTACAGCGGCGAATCACCCGTACCCGCCAAGATTGAAGCACTGCCTTATAATCCTGAGGATCCACAGCCGGGTGGCGGTAGCAGTGGTCAAGGGAGCCATGACGGCGGGGGCTGGGGTCACTGAAGTGCTGCCGATTAAACGGAAGCCCGAACAGGCTCAACTCAATGCAAATAGATCCGCCTGCGCAAGGCAGAGATGCCATGCTAAGCGACGGTGCATTGTGCTACAATGTCTTTCGACAATGAGTCATGCGCGCGCTCGCTGCGTAATCCTGCAGACAAAAGGGTATGGCTTGCTTGACTGGTCTTTGTAGCAAAGGAGATCTACAGACCAAGAGGGCATCAAGACTGAACGCTTCGCCGAGCGAGAGGCGAGAGGCCGGCTTCGGCGCGAGCAGATGGTCCGCAACTGGACCGATGGGTCAGCTAAGCCCGTAAAGCTGTAGCATGACGGGGGTAGGCCAAATCTAGCCGAGCACTTCGAGCTTCTGCTTCTTCTTTTTGCCACCCGACTGGAACGAGCGCCAATCTTGTACTCTGCCCTCGCGTGTGTCTATCGTTGCAATCAGCACCATCTCTCGCGCGCGAGCTGACTCGAGGCTTACCCTCCCATTTCTTCTTGTCCTCTGTCTTGCGCTTGTAAGCTTCCTGAGCTTCTTCGACCCGCTTGGCCTCTGCGCCTTCTGCAATCATGGTCATCTGCTTCGCTCTGCCGTCCCCTTGAGCATGGATCTAGCTAGCTGCCGAGGTGCTCACCGTCTTCTCCGCAATTCTTCGTCTATCAGGATCTCCTTGGTCTTCATGCTGATGCGTTCGTTCAGAGGTGGATCGCGTAGACGGCGCAAGACAGGATGGTCGTCCGGCGTTTCTCGGGGCAAGGGAGGCACGAGTGCTCTGAGTACGAGCATGCGGGCGTCCTTGATCGTCACGTCGAGGGAAGCGCGTAGATTGGGCGTGAGCAGGTCGGTCGAAGCTTTCTTGAGCTTGTCGAACGCTTCGATGCCTTGCGGATGCTTGAACTTGTCGGGATGGATCATGAGCGACTTTTTCCTGTACGTCTTGCCTGTCGTGATGAATGAGATGAGCTTGATGGCCAGCTAGGCTGATGGCAACGCACGGATGTCATCGTCGGTCACTCTGCCCGGATCCATGGGCAGATCGAGGATAGCATAGGGATTCAGCTTGAACGCCCTGATGACGCGCATGACCTGCAGTACAAGCCCCGTGAGCAGTTGGTGCGGCAGACAGAGGCGCACAGACAGACCTCTTGTTCTTTGGCAAGGGATGACGCTTCAGCGTTGAGGAACTTGTCGATGTCAAAGCCATCGTCGTCTGGCGCGTCAATGGCGGGTAGGGATGCTTCTGCCTTGATGCGCGCATTGTCGATAGCCTTTGAGCTGCTGCTCATTGCGGCCGCCGAGCGTTCGTTGGCTTGGAGCGCGCTCGGCAGCTGAGCCTTATCGAATTAGAAACCGTTGAAAGACGCGCACTGAGTTTTCAAGTTCTTGCAGGCCGCGTCACCTTCACCTCGAGTTCGCCCCAGACTGTACAAGAGCCAGAATGGCGGCGCTCAACGACTCCCGCACGAGCTCCGGCTTCGACTTTGGCAACCATCTGCGCAACGAACACCTGATGGGCATGCGCACCAGCCAGGCACATGCCTCGACAAGCTACAGCGCAGGACCGACCAGTTCACGCGCTGTTCAGCTTCCCAAGAGCACGAGCACAGGCACGACCATCGTCGGCTGCATCTTTGACGATGGCGTCGTGCTCGGTGCAGACACACGCGCTACAGAGGTTCGCACGAGCCCAATGTCGCGATGACTTTGCTTGACGATTGCCTGCAGGGACCGATTGTAGCGGACAAGAACTGCGAGAAGATCCATTACATCACTGACAACATCCGCTGCTGTGGCGCAGGCACAGCAGCAGACACAGAGTTCACGAGTGCGCCCCCTGCCGCGTTCAGTCTTGTGTCGATGCTGACAGCAGGAACAGCTGCCATGATCTCATCGAACATGCAGCTTCACTCGCTCAGCGTCGGGCGACCGGCCCGAGTGGTGACGGCCATGACGATGCTCAAGCAGTACCTCTTCCGATATCAGGGTCATGTCGGCGCAGCTCTCGTGCTTGGCGGATACGACGTGAGCGGACCGCAGCTCTTCACCGTCGCGCCTCACGGATCAACCGACAAGCTGCCCTATGTCACCATGGGCTCAGGATCACTGGCTGCCATGGCAGTCTTCGAGTCAAAGTGGACCGCAAAGATGTCAAGACAGGACGCGATGGACTTGGTCGCAGAAGCCATCGAGGCCGGCATCTTCAACGATCTGGGTTCCGGGAGCAATGTCGACGTCTGCATCATCGAGAAGGGCAAGACGGAGATGCTGAGGAATTGGCGGAAACCGAACGAGCGTGTCCAGAAGGAAATGTCTTACAAACCAAAGCTAGGCACGACAGTCGTTCGTTCCGAGGCTTGCTCTGTCACTGTGAGCTGACGCATCGCGAGCAGTGGAAGAAGGAGATGGTCAAGTCTCTCATAGTCAAGACAGAAGTAATTCCTACGCAAATAGCGCCCGTCACAGGTGCAGCAGGCGACAGCATGCAGGTTGACGCATAGCAGAATGCATCTCTACCGTTGATACATCGTGTCAAGCGTGTTGTCTAGCGAACGTGAAGGCGTTCCACGATGACAGAGACCACCTTGCGCAAGGGTCGCGACCTACTGGCATGTTCGTCTGGCAGCTGACTCGTTGAAGCCTCTGGAGAAGGCAGTGAAAGCTCTGTCGATGTTTGCGAACCACTCTGGCTGGCCAGACTGAGGCGAGACGGTCCTGATCTCACAGCGCTGTCATTCGACACGGTCCGCCTAAGCGCTCCTCGGACTGGCTCTTGAGAGCGCTCTCTGACTGTGCTCGTCCGCCCGTCGGCGCCGTCTGCCCATTCGAGAGGCTCGCCCCCGTCGTTCATTGTCTCTATGAAGCCAGGATGTAGATGCGGCGTATCTCGTGCCGGCCTGATGGGCATCTCTTGATCGGGTTCGATGACCTCCCAGAGGGGACAAGCAGCAAGATCCTGTCTTATCGTCTGAGCATATGCGGGCGGTTCATGGATTCCGTGAAAAGACGTGTAGGCTGGCACAGGAGCAGAGGTAGCCCTTCCGTTCGTGCTCTGCGCAAGGACGTCGTCACGATCGAAGAGATGTTTCGCAAACCAGGGCTCGCCAGGCACGCTGATTTCGCCTTGCAGTTCGTGCAGCTTCGCTTGAGCGAGCCTGTGAAACTTGCCGCCCTTGACTGGAATCACTGGTGGTCTCGGCGTTGTCGAACTCGGCATATAAGGGCCCATACGAGCCAGCATGGCAACGTCGGGCTGGTCCTTCCACCAGTCTTCGATGGCAAGACACCAGTCGTAGATCGTTGTATTGAACTTCCATGCCGAGCGGGCATTATGGATCAGGAATTCGTCGACAGAATTGACTTTGAGTCCCTTGCGGCAGAGCACATAGACCGCTGCCCAGCCCGCCTTGGCTTCCTCTGCCCGCTCGCGCCATCTTTGCGTGAGCTCTCGGAAATGACGCGGATAGCTCTGTCGGTAGCTGTCGTCATCGAACCAAGGCAGGATGCCAAAGTGGACAGGCTCGCACGCTTCCGGCCCCAAGAAGTCTGCGATTCGATCTCGGAGACGATAGTGGTCCCAGCGAGATTTGCCGCCGAGCAGCATCTTGTAGCCGTCGATCAGGTCATTGTCAGAGACGGTGTAAGCATCTTTCTCGGTGAACTGCATATCTATACCGCCATGATCTTGCCCGTTTTGCATTTCTTCGAGCGTCAGGGCTCTGAATTGAAAGTAATTGAACGGGCGATGAGTGGCATGGTGAGTGTTGACAATGTCGGAGATGGCGTAGCCCCAGGCTGTGTAGGGTACCGGTGATGCAAAGGATCCCCTCTCGAGCTTCGTCGGTGGCGGTGGTAGCGTGACATTGGCCCAGTCGAGCTTTGGATAACGATGGAAGATTCGGACTGCGCTCAATGCGATTTGGTACATCTCAATCGCCTGGGCCCCACGTCAGTCCAATGAAAGGAATTGAGAGACCAGACACGGACGAAACGACGGCGTTGCTCGAGCAAGGTATACCACAGGTGGTCCTCTGGCAACTTTGGAGGAAGCGAGTCTGGTGCTGCAAGTAGCAAGATAGGTCGGCGTCTATGTTGACGGGACTTGAGCTCTACCAGCGGCACATCGTCATCGTCTTTTCCTGCCGAAAGCGTGTCGGGTTCTTCCGGTGACAGAGTAGCCGCGCGATATCGCCAATACTGCGTTTGAAAGACATTGGAATCCGCCGGGCTGCCCATTACAGAGTAGTGTGCTTTCTCGACCCATCTATTGCGCTTTCTGGGACGGATTTGTGCCTGTTCCGCAGCAGTCCATTGTGCGATTCGTTCGCTGTCGGCCTTGTAGATCTGTGCGCAGCAGCTAGCGCGACATCTGGCGCCGGTGAGGTTGTCTTTGTCTGCAGAGCGATAGACTGGTCTGTCGAGATCTCGTACCATGGCGATGGTGTACTGGTAGCGCTGTACAACATGTAGCCAGGCTTCAGTAAGCTGAAGAGCTTTTGCTTCGGTAGCTGCAGGCACTCGTGCACTGAGCGATCTCATCGTCACTTTGCTGTGTAGGGACATCTTGCTGAGCAAGACAGTCGAAGTTGTCTTATACGCTTGTGTGACGTATCCAAGCCATTCTGGTTGGGATGCCAAACCGTCTGCCATTTCTCGAATGCAGTGGACTGGTCCGACTGTTCAGACTGATCCAGTCTAGCATGCTACTTTAATGGTGCATGCCATCAGGACTCTTGGCGATTGCTCGTTGATCAAGAAGGAATGGATGCATATGTATACGAAGTCATGACAGCAACATCGTCTACCCGTTGCGCAAGCCCATCGTCCTCGCGTTGTCATATCGTTGCCCAGTCAGCAGGTAGTTCCGGTTTTCGGTGAACGCGAGAAGTGGAATCGGAGAATCGGCGAATTGGCTCGCTTGAGCACAGAAGGGCAAGAGAGTAGGAGCATCGAGCGATTGAGCAGGTTTGTTCGTCGCCGCAAGCACAGGCAAGGCTATTTGAAAATTCAAAAACTCCACCCGTTCGGCACAGCGGGCCGTTTGGGACAAAATTTCTCCCGTGGTGCACACCCGTCGAGTGAGTTTGCAAGTACGAGCTACTTCGACATCAGCCAAGATGGTGCGTTCCCCGCCTCATCAGAGTCTGTTGCAGAGCTGATCGTGCGCCCTCACTGTGCTCGCTTGGCCGTCGTCGCTTCTCTGCTGCCTGTTGCACCTCATTGCCGTTTTGCGGTGTCTGCGATGTGCTTGCAGTCCATGGTAGCGCCGGACCCGAATAAGAACTTCCAACATATCTTGCGATTGCTCAACACCAATGTCAGCGGTAACAAGAAGATCATGTTCGCCTTGACGGAGATCAAGGGTGTCGGTCGCCGATACTCCAACGTCGTCCTCAAGAAAGCCGATATTGACCTCAACAAGAGGCAAGCCGGAGCAAGTCTCAGTAGTGGGCATGTGCTGAGAGGAGTGCTCTGCATTGTAGGGCTGGAGAGCTCAACTCTGATGAGCTCGAACGAGTAGTCACGATCTTGCAATCGCCTCAAAACTACAAGATCCCGATGTGGATGCTCAACAGACAGAAGGACATTGTTGATGGCAAGTACTCGCACATTGTCTCCAACGCACTCGACTCGAAGTACCGTGAGGATGTGCGTTGCCATGTCTCGTAGCTCGGCCACGTAGCTGACCAGTCACTTGCAGCTCGAGCGACTGAAGAAGATCCGCAACCACCGTGGCCTGCGTCACTTCTGGGGTCTCCGTGTGCGTGGTCAGCATACAAAGACAACCGGTCGTCGTGGAAAGACAGTCGGTAAGTCATCGCAACCTGTGCTACTGGCTGCAAGCACTGACTCGGGGTTTGGCTGGGCAGGTGTCTCGAAGAAGAAGGGTTAGATGACTCGCTCTGTTCGTTGTACGCATCATCGATGCACATTTGCTCGCATTCCCCGCCTCCCTTCGCTGTCACGCCGGTCCGCGCGCGTACCAAAGCAACGCCCATCGAACTCCTCCGTTGCTCTCTACCCTTTACGTCTCGACTTTCTCTCTGTCCTGTCCCAATCATGCGAGCATACCTTGCGCTATCAGCACTTGCCTGGGCAGTCCCATTTGCCTCGGCAGCAGCCATCAGTCCGATCGTGTCTAACGGACGAGGCTGGGATGTCCTGCGTAAGTCTGACTCCTCTCGATCGACCGATGCCAACGCCTCAGAGCAGTCAGCATCCATGGAGATTGTTCGCAGAGAAGCAATCTCGGTCATTTCAGCTTCTTGGGACAGCAGATTCGGCTCTACACAAAGGACGGCAAGACTTTGCAAAAGGACGAGGTGCGAACTTCTTGCCGTCGGGTTGCGCAGCCTCATTCGGTGCTTGCGATGCGATAGTCAGCCAGTCAGCCATGGATCGAAATCGTAGCCTCTAAAATTATCGATCCGGAGAAAGGCGAGCGTGGCACGGTCATGCTGATTTTGCTCGAGGCAGTCATCGTAGGCCCAAGTTGTCAGTGGCATCGACACCCCTCAAACAATCTTGCTGATACCTTTCTACGACAGCGTTTATGCCTGATTGGCCGTTCGATGGCACGTGCTGTCAGGCCGTCAGTCTGAGCTCACAGCGATGCGCTCGATGATGACGCCCAGTGGTCTCGCAGAAAACCTCGTACCGTCTTCGCATCAACCTTGAGACAGGTACGTGTGCTGACATTCGTAGCCCATCAGGCCTCATCCGGATGGCAGGCTCCGTCAGAAATACCAACACGCTCACATATCGGTACTTGATCAATGACAAGTGCGGCTTCTGCTAACTTTCGAACAGCTCCTGCAAGTCAGAGAGCGGGATGACCCCCGATCAGCGCTTCCCAGCATGTCCAAAGAGCTACGTGCCCGAGCCTCCTTGTCAGTACATCAGTGCTCGACGCAGTCTCGCTGACCGGCCGGCAATCAGTTGTCGCGTTTTGCGATTGGGCAGCACGTTCGATGCAATACCTCACTTGGCCTGTGTACGGCGATACATCTTAGCTGGCGTCGAACGATGTTGTGCATCGTTTGGTGCAGGGGAAATGCAAAGCGCGAAAGCTACTCGTCGCAGGCTCTGTTTACGTTTCGTGTCGTCTATAAGAAGGCTTCGTTTGCTTCGGCTCACTTAGCCCTACGAGGACACAGAGCCAAACAACAGTCACCATGTTCTTCAAGTCCACCATCGCTTCTGCCCTCGCCTGTCTTATCATCGTCGCGTCCGCGTCGCCCGTCACGCCCAAGTGAGCTCGACTGTGCGTGCTCTGTATCATGCTGAGCGGCATCAACAGCCTTGACGCGCGTCAAACTGTCAGTGATCAGGCGTATGTCTCACTATCATCATGTTCGGCCAGTGTTCATGCGAAGTAACAGAGGATCTGCGCTCAAAGGCGCCAAATTGGTCTGCGGTAGCTGTCCAAAGCATTGGACATGTTGCGGTACTTTTCCTTCTGATGTATTGGGAGAACAAGCTGATCTTATAATTTCTTGGCAGGCAATTCATGCTGCATCATCGACTAAGTAGCTCCTGTGCATGTATTGCATACAATTTGACAGCCTTAGCATGTGACTCCTTTGGCTGCAGCCGTGCCACAGCGAGGCAGGGTGTAGGAGCCCATCTTGAACGTGCCATCGGTGGCCTTCTTGCCACCAACGGTCGAAGAAGGCGAGAGGAACCATGACTGGGAGCCTCCGCTGGAAGGATCGAGACTGCCTTGCTCTTCAGCGTTGCATCCTTAGCTAAAGCTCGCACGCACATGAAGGTCCAAACAAAGCTAGCGTCTGCTGTCGAGAACTGAGCAAAGACCGCGTACTGATCCGCTCCGGGTGAGTGTGATGCTGACATGAAGCTCGACGGACTCACCCAGCCATTGAGGGTCGAGACGGGCGTTTTGACAGTGACAAAGTTGCATTGGTTCCAGCCGCTCACTGTGAAGCGCTGTTGTCATCGGTCAGTCATCCTGCTAGCAAAAGCGGAGATGAAGCAACCTTGTTGAACTGCGAGACAGTGTTGTCCCAGTTGCAGTTGAAGGAGCATGAAGCAGAGCCGCCTGGTCCGCTGATGTCGATCGAGCAACTTTCTGTCCAAACCTGAACGTCTCGTTCCACAGGTTGACCGAGTGCTGTGGTGCTTTCCTGAACGGTGGGGATAGCGCTCACGAAGCCGAGTGCGGCAATGAAGGCAACTCTGAGCAGCATTGTCGTTGATGAGGACAGTCAACGCTGAGAAGCAAAGAAGTCAACAGGCTGCACCGCACGAATCTCCGCCGAAACGCAGATGCGATGCAATTGATGTCCGCTTGCTAGCAACTGACACCTTTCGGATTACGGCTGGTGTCATAGTAACATCGCGGAATGGAATCGTTGTCAAGTTGCAGGAGGGCGGCTGTATCGTCATTTAGATAGGTGTCGCGGAGGTGCGAGGCCGCCGACAGAAGCCAAGCGGTCCAGTCACCCGTGAAAGGATCGATGCTGATCCAGTGTGAGTGCATGTGAGCGAGGTTGACGCGAGTCTACAAGACACGTACACGCCACTAATGTAGATGCTGGTGCTCTCAAAGACGCTAGAGACCTCGATAGCCGCTGCGGACTGCGTCTGCACGTCAGCGCAGTACGTGATCGCTCGTCGTGGGCGAACAAAGTCTTCTTCCGGCAAGAAGATGTACTTGGCGCTATCGATTTGACAATTTGTTGAGGGGTTCTGAGCTGTTATACTCTGATCTGACGAGTGAATGGCACGTAGCTCGTAAACCGGAGGCTGACCTTTTCTGCGGAGTACCAGGTCACATCGAAGGTGCAGTCCCAAAAGTCACCGGCATAGACGTAAGCGCTAAAGGTCTCGCCTCCATGGCGCTTGACGACTGTCGTATCTTGATCTCTCAAAGGTGACAGACTGTGCACCAATGTTGCTGCGCAGGCGAGCACTGCGGGTATCGCCGAATTGGGTCTCATTGCGCTGAAGAGCAAGCTGCGAGCCGCAGGAAGAGATGGACAGGGATACAGGAGCGGCAGTGATGAAGCCGATACGCAATACGCCGCATGACTACGGCTGCACTGACGACCGCGATCCGTTCGGGCAACACAGAACCGGAATCACACCTTTTTGCCATGGCTTGAGGGAAATGCATCTGATTCATAGTTCGTATTCTTAGCAATCGATGCCGGGAGGGTCGCGCTTGGTGTCGTAGAAGCAGCGCGGCAGTCTAGCCGTCCCGGAGCCATCGAGCTCTAAGAAGACCTCTGTATCATCATCGAGATAGGTTCCGTCGATTCGCGAAGCAGTCGAGAGGAGCCAAGCAGACAGTTTCCCCGAAGGACTGACGCTAGCATAAGACGTCGTAAGCCTGCAGCGAAAGTAAGAGGAATTGAAGTACTTGCGTGGCGACAAAGTAGACGTTTGTCCGCGGATTTGAGTTACTGGCGATTTCGATCGAGACATCACACTGGCGCGAAGGCTATCAGTCCTAAGCAATGCAAATTATTCTAGCGCCGTCATACTGTGGCTTGGCTGGGAAGACAGAAAGCCGTTGCGGCTACGGCGTGACAATTTGGGGCAAAATTCTTGATGACCGCTTGCTGGCGCTCAATCATCAGAGTGGTCCAGACTCTTTGGCAGGGATCTTACTTTTGGGACTGGATGCCAGGTCACATCGAAGGAGCATGTCCAGGGTGGATTGGTGAAGTCAATGTATGCAGCTTGAGTATGGTCTCCATTATCGCGCCGAGCGACTTCTGGCTTGTGCACTGGGCTGATGGCGGCACTGCCGACGAGCGATGTTGCAAGTGCGCCGAGCACGTGTCTTGTAAGGCCGTGTCTCATGCTGCAGCTTCACTTGATGCTTTCACGGGAGGTGGGAAACGACGGAGAGCGACCTCTGTGACATGGGCGCATCTACACACTGTCTGAACGTTCTCCGTGAAAACGCTGCGACATCATTCCGCGGAATCGTCAAAGGAGCCGATAGCAGTCGATGCTCGAGTAACGCTGCGCGTGTTGTGTGAGCTTCCACAGAATGCCATCTACTGCGACGCACCTCATCGATTGATAAAGTCGAAATCGTAAAAGACGATGAAAGGGCGAAGCCTGTGTTCAGGCTCAGTGATGATGAGATAGACTGGCCATCCGACATTGCCATTGCGTTGCTTTAGACCGCTACTGTCTATTTTGGCGTCGACAACGGCGCCACGAGCAAGTAAGACGAAGCTCGCAAGAAGCGCAATCAGTACATCAGCTAGCCGTCTTGAACATGCTGTATAATAGCTCGATAATCAATGCTTGCAAGCCGGACTCCAGAGCAAATTGGCACAAATGTGAGGGACGAGATTGCATCGTGCGACATGCAGCGACGTTGCTGTCGCGATGACCGAGCGCCGGCGCGGGACCGTGCAGAGCCTCCTGCGACTCGCGGAACCCGCTTGTCGTTTGAAAACGGCAGGATGGGCAGCTTGAGAGCCATCGCATGTAACATGCCATGCAGCTGTTGCGCGGAGATGATGAGAGTCTTACACACTGGCCCATGAGCTCTTCACAGCTGTCTTATTGCGATGACGAGCCCGTATATGCATTGTCAACCTGCCAGAGCCCTAGCAATTGATGCCTGGCTGATTGAGCTTGGTGTCATACAAGCAGCGCGGAACCTCGACGTCGCTGTCCGGTGTCTTGAACCTGAGTATCGCATTGGTGCTGTCACCAAGGCCGATTTTCCCAAGATGCGAAGCAGACGAAAGGAGCCAAGCTTGCCATGTACCCGTCTCGACATCGGCACTGTAAGGACTGCTCAATCGTGGCTAGGAACATGCTGCTCAGACCTACGTCACTGAAATGTCGATCTTAGTTGTCTTGTCATCATTGAGGACCTCGATGAAGACGCTCTGACAGCCTTGGTGAGCGGAGATTGCAGGGAAAGAGCAGCTCCACGGACGACGACGCTGAGATCTCCCCAGAATTGGCTCGTGATCACGTTGCCGAGCTGACAACCTTGCGCAAAGTTACGAGGCTCGTAGCGCTACTTTACCGAGTCAATACGAGGACTCTTTCAGGATGGGGAGATAACACGCCTTGCTGAAAGGCACGCCAAAGGTGACGTCAACATCGAAGATGCACTCGAATGTCTTTGCGCCCTCGTCCACGTGAAGGTCAACCGTGAACGTGTAAGGCTTGTTGACGAGTCGCTTGACGATGGCGTTTTCGTCAGCTCTGAGGCCACCGATGACCGCAGCGTGGACGACGGTCACAAAGCCAAGCGCAAGTATGGTGGCACCCCGCATTGCTGTGGTCTTCATCGTGCTGTACAGTATCGAACGAGACACCAGTTGCTGAGAGCCATGGCACGGAAGCTTATAACGGTCGGATTGACAACGCATTGAGTCTCAAATCGGCCATCGCGAACGTTTTCGCGATTCTGGTCGCTTCGAGTCGTGCGGAGCGGTCGTCGATACTCGTATTAGGATGGAACTTTGCGATAGCCGTATTCCATGTAGCAATACGATCCCTGATAAACTTGTGCAGTGTCGCAGAAGACGGCCTGCAACCTGTTCTGCTCGCAAAAGGCTCATCGATGCATTGTACATAGACTAGCATTTGACGCCTGGTTTGTTGAGCTTGGTCTGGTAAAAGCAGCGAGGGACTAGACGACCGCTGTTGACACCATCGATCGCGAGTGAGGCGTCAGTCGTGTCACCAAGATAAGTATTACCGATATGCGAGGCGGTAGAGAGGAGCCAGGCTTGCCAGTTGCCTGTCTTGATATCGGCACTGCTCAAGCCGGTCAGTCACAGTCGACTGTAGTATGATGAGAAGATCTACGCTATGGAAACGTCGAGGGTCGTCAACTTGTCGCTGCTGAGGACTTCGATTAAGACACTCTGAATGGCCGCGTTAGCTCTCGAAGCTTATGATGAGATAGTCCCCGACAACACGACCCAGAAGCTCATTCGTCGAGATCCTGCCGAGCTGACAACCTTGCACAAAGTTTTGTGGCTTGTAGCGCTGCTTGACAACTCATTATCCCAGCTTGCCAATGGACGAAAGATCTACGCACTTGGCTGAGAGGCAAGCTGAGATCTACCGCAACATCAAAGACACACTCGAAAAAGTTCTCGTCGCCGGCGATGATGTCAACAATGAAAATTGACGGCTGGCCAGCTCGCTTGGCGACGACGTTTCCATCGGCGGGATCGCCGCCGATGACTGCAGCATGGACGATAGCCACAAAGGCGAGAGCAAGCATGGCGAATGAGCGCATCGCTATAGTGTGAGAAACGGTATGCCAACCGATGGACACGAGCGAGGAGAGGAGAGGATTCTTTGGTGGGTCACGACGACGGATACGAATTGTCGCGAATGCGTGTATGTTTCATGCTTACTTCGGGAGAGGGCGCGTGATCAGCGTACTTTTGCCTGCTCTTTGTAGCTCGTCGTCATACTCGGAGTCTGTCGTCGCAAATTCGTGTCAATCGACGAAGCGAGGAATGGAGATGCATGCTTGAAGCGTGCAGCAGCTGAAAGTGGCGAATATACGCGACGTCCAGATGACTAGGCTGTGTCGCTGCAGATAGCCTCATCGATGCATATCATGAACGTCAACAGCTGACACCTGGCTGATTGAGCTTAGTGTCGTAAAAGCAGCGCGGAAGCTGGGCGCCGCTATCAGCATCATCATTAAGCAGGAGGTCTGCGCCTGTCTTGTCGTCAAGGTAGGTGCTGCCGACATGTGAAGCGGTAGAAAGAAGCCAAGCTCGCCAGGTCCCCGTCTGCATATCGGCGCTACTCGCAATGATCAGCTGGGACGCAGTCAATCGGAGCGCAACCTTACGCTACGGAGATGTCGATGGTTGTAGTTTTGTCAGTACTGACAAGCTCAATGAGTACGCTCTGATAGCTTCCGTCAGTGGCTGACATTCGGATCGGGAGATCCACGGACAATGTCACCGAGGAGCTCGTTGACCGAGATCCTGCCGAGCTGGCAGTCTCCGTGAAAATTGCCGGGCGTGTAGCGCTGCTCGACAAGTTAGCCTTTGGTAGCTTGAGAGCGGGCGGACAGATCGGTCACCTGGCTCAGAGGTGCGCCAAAGTCTGTCTCGACGTCGAAGATACACTCAAATAAGGTGTTGCCTCCGATGAGCAAATCGACCGTGAAGACGGTTCGGGGGATCACTCGCTTAGCGACAATGTGCGAGTCATCATTGTTGCCGCCGCTCGTGGCGGCCTTGACGAGAGTAACGGAGGCAACGGCGAGTAGTGCGAGAAGGCGCATCGCTGTAATGTTTATAGTCCTGAGATGGTCTCGCACGAGAAGGGGTAAGAGGCGACGAGCGCGCAAAGCGCTTCGCACAGTCGCATTGGCGACGGAAGGAAATAGGGGCTCAAACACGGCAGTTGATGTCAGCAGTATCGCTGCATCTGACGTGTGCCAGATCCATACCGTCGTCGTGGAAGAGAACGCGATACGCGTCTCTTTGGCGCGCCGTGATGAAGATCATGGGTAAGCAACGAGATGCGAACTGAACGTGGGTCAACTGCGCAAGTCAGCCTATGGGATCAGAAGTGACGATCTTGCTGCGTCGTTGGAACAGGCTCATCGATCATCGATGCATTGGACGGATATCAACAGCTGACGCCTGGCTGGTTAAATTTGGTATCGAAAAAGCAGCGCGGAAGCTCGTAATCGCCGTCAGCCACGTGAACTCTGAGATCTGCGCTACTTTCGTCGCCCAGGTATGTGGCGCCGACGTGCGAAGCGGTGGACAAGAGCCAAGCTGTCCAGATGCTCGTCTGTTTATCGGCACTGGTCGACTTGATGAGCTACAGTGCAGATGGTGCACATCGACGGGAAGACTTACGTGATGGACAAATCAATCGTTGTGCTCTTGTCAGAACTAAGAACTTCGATAAAGATGCTCTGTGAGCGTTCGTCAGTCCTCGACTGGTACCGTTTGAAAAGTCACAGACAATGTTCCCCAAGAGTTCGTTCGTTGAGACTTTGCCGAGGTGACAACCTGGCGCAAAGTTTGTAGGCTGGTAGCGCTGCTTGGTGAATCAGTCTAGGGTCCTGTTGAGATGAGGCAGATCTCTTACCTGACCAAGAGCTGCATCGAAATCCATTGCGACATCAAAGATACAGTGGAATGGCTTTTCGTCATTAGTCAGGAATTCGACTGTGAAAGTACCGGGCTGGTAGAAACGTCGCATGGCGGCGGCGTTCGTATCGACTTTGATGCTGCCGATAACTGCAGCGCATACGGAAGCAGCAGAGGCAATGGCGAACACGGCGAAAGAGCGCATCTTAGCTTCGATCTTGCAAAGGCTTAGCAAAGCGAGCGCAACAAGAACGTCGTAGGACTGTGAGGCTATTTCCAGCAACGAAACGGTGCAACGATCGCGGTGACAATGCATTCGGTCTCAGATTGTGGTCACGGCAACTGATTCAACAGGTGGGGCCGCACTTGGTGCTGTAATAGCAACGGGCCAGCTGTCTGGTCTGGCCAAAATCGAGCGTTGCGAGCGAGGTGTCGTCGTATGAGATTTTGCCGGTATGGGTACCCTTGGCAAGCAGCCAGGCCGTCCAGCCACCTGATTAAAGCTTATCAGCTGTGCTATAAGTGCATCGTCATTGGCTTCACCTGTGGCAAGGTTAGCTGAAGCTGTGATGACCCAGACTGACTGCTTGTCGTCCGACTGAAGCTCGATATAGACGCCCATCTGGATATGAGTTCAGCAAGGCAGACGCGCAAAGCAAGCAAGTGAGCGCACGACACCAGTCTTGTTGGGGACGACGACGGTGATGGTACGGATGGCAATGCAGCCCTGTGTACCAGTAGCGACCATCTCTGTGTATCTCATCAGCTGATTCGGAGACTGTTCTCTCGCAACACACTGCTGGTAGCCGGATTGTTGGCAAAGAACTCCAAGTCAAATTGGCATTGGACGCTGACGGGCGTGTAGACGTTGAGTGAGCAGGCCCAGGTGTCTTGGTCAGAGTCACGCCGGGTGAGACTAGCAGATGTCAATGTCAAGGCTTGGACTTGCTCGGCGGGCAGGGCAAAGGCAACTGCAACAAGAGATGCGACGAGAGCGAGCATAGCATTCCTGCGCATCATCGTTGGAAGTATGCGTGGACGTAGAGAGTCATCAGCATCCAGGCGAGATGCCTTCAGGAGAGGAGGGAGCAGTGCAGAGACGGAATTTATTCGTCCAGAGACGATTTCGCCGTGCTTCTCCGCAGTTTTGCCGTCGCGTCCATGTCGACCGAGAAGCGTGAGAGATTTACCAAAGAAGGCAGGCGACGCCAAAGCTGGAGTCGACGTCAGCTCCGCCAGCGACTAGTCGAGTCTACCTTCCAATATCTCAGACCTGCTCGAGCGGACTTGCATAGCCAGTGACGAGATATACAAAGTAGGTGCAGCCCGCGAGAAAGCGCGGGACTTGCCAGTCCAGCAAGAGTCTCCGCTAAGCATTACCGCCCTGACAGGAACATTGGCAGCACCGAACATGGTCGAAGCAGATGCAGCGTCACACCGGCCCTCGACGGTTGCCTCGCGCAAGTCGACGATGAGCCGAAACTCTCAGCTCGTCAAGAAGGCGACAGGCAAGTTGATGCGCTCGAGCCCCGGATTAGACACGAGCTGACGCCAGGGAGATGACAGGTCCCATGGAACTGCGACCTTCGGATATTCTCATCGACAGATTCGTCGGATGGAAGACCATCACCAAGAATCTGATTGCCTACTTTGAAGGGTGAGCGACAAAGGCGCTTTGCCCTCAGCGCGGACTGACCTATGGCCGGATTGCTAGCATTGCGGACATTGAGAAGAACACCGCCAACGAGCTCACCAAGCTCGGTGGAGTCATCCAAGTACCCTTCCGTCAAGGCAACCAGTTCCTCGGTGAAGGCGGCATGCAAGATATCTTTTATGGCATTGTTAGTACCACGGTTTCTGCTCGGCTAGCGTGCTGACGGCATCGGTACGGACAGCGGGAAAAGTCGCGCTCGATTGCTGACCATCACGCCAACCTGTCCAAGACTGTGGATGGCTCGATCGTGCAGCACCTCCAGCGCCTGCGAGCCGAAATCAAGGCGCACATCAAGAACATCCAGATGGACACAGGCCGACTTGCAAACGTATGCTCTGTTCCGTGTAGATCTCCACAGCCTCGCTGAAGTTGTCTGATCTGCAGCAAGTTGCAAAGGAACGCGAGCTGTCGACAAAGCAGATCACCGACCTGGCCCGCTCAATCACGTTGCTCAAGAACACGCCCATGGGAATTGGCGCCAAGGAGGATCCCTGGTACACGAACAATTTGGTCGCGCGTCAGCTCCAGAAGCAAGTCCACGAGGAGAACGCTCTGCAAAAGTCAATCATCATCATGCAGAACAACTCTGCCCACTTCGAGGAAGGCGTCGTCAAAGCCATCCAGACGGCATGGGAGACCTTTGACAACTGGTCGAGCCGATGCCAGTCCCAAGTCCAAGAGACCTGGGCAGTCATGGGTCAGCTCATGAAGACCATCCAGCCCAACACCGAATGGATCGCCTTTGCCGCTCGTTCGGACCACCTGCTCGATCCAGACACACCTCTGCGCAACCCCGATCACATCCTATACCCTGGCAAGGACGATCCTTCGGTCATCCCGGTTCACATGGGCATGCTCGAACGCAAGAAGCGCTTCACAAAGTCTTACAAGGATGCTTACTACATCCTCACGCCTGCTGGCTACCTCCACGAATACCGTACCTCGGATCTTGACTCCAACCCGAATCCGGATACGTCCTTCTTCTTGCCCGAGTGCACACTCGGAGCACCCACGAGCGCCAACGCACGCTCGCACAAGTTCCACATCGAAGGCGGCAAGGGCATGTCGGGCAACAAGCGTTCTGGCTTCCAGAGCATGAGCACTGGCCGAGAGCACTCCTACACCTTCCGAGCTCGCTCTCACGAGGAGATGATGGAATGGTGGTCCGATCTCCGTCAACTCAGCAAGGTCTACCTCACTTCCTCTGAGCCTATGGATCGATCCGGACCCGTTCCGGCTGCCGTTCGCGCTGCTGGCTACCTCTCGGAAGACGAAGAAGAAGGTGGCAGCTCGCTCGAAGAGGACGAAGAAGAGGAGGAAGAAGAGGATGAGGAGGAATCGGACGAGGAGGAAGAGGCGGAAGGCCTCGAGGCAGAGACCGCTCCCGCTGGCGAGAGCGTCAAAGCAACCGAAGCTGCCGAGGCGCAAGGCATCACGACCGATGCCGCGCCAGGCTACGAGACTCCGTTTGCCAATTCGGGTATCGCGATCGGTGAGAACGGATATGCGGTAGAGAAGAAGGAGGGAGAGGCAGCCAAGGCGGCCGAAGGAGCAGCAGAGCCCTCATCTACAGGTGAGGCGGCTTCCCTCGAGACTCCTTCGTATCCCGATGGCGCAAAAGCGAGCGAGTCCGGTCCCTCTGCAGACTCGCAAGGCGGCGACTCTGGTGCTCCTGCCGGGACAGGCTTGCTCGGCAGATTCAGAGAACTCCTCTAGATCCCATTGCGTCTAGCAGGACAAAAGCTGACGCGCTCGAGAGTTCTTCAGCCTGACCATGACACGCTCTTGCTGCGACGCAAAGGGACATTCATCACTCTTCTTGATCACTTTGAGTCTATTCGTCTTAATTGCACTCATGTAGTTGCCTTCTGTCGTCTCGCACGTGTCAAAGTTCTTTGGGGAAAAGACGCGAATAGAAGGCAATTGATCGACATGTGTCGTCATAGCCGGACGATCTTGTCGTGTGCTTCGTCTGTCTTGTCCAGAACAATTCTATCAAACTTATAGACCGTTCTACACATATAACCACATAGACAGCCTATAGAATGAGCGGAGAGGCACAGACGGGCTCTGGTCAAGCCGGCCAGGATATTGGCAAGGGTGTAAAGGTGTGGCAATCTTGGCTTCATTGCCATTGCCGCGGACGAGTCTGACATGCTGGGGGCGTTGTAGGGCTTGTTCAACACGATTCACGGGGCAGGCGAGACGATCAGAGGGGTATGTGGAGCGTGTTGAGCAACAGGCTGGGGAAGCTGACCTGGAGCCTGCAGACGATCAATTCCACGCTTGACGGACTCGGTGACGGGGTCGCTCAGCGAGAGTCCGGCAGCGCGGCCTCCAGAACAGAGGCACAGTCGGGAGATTCGACCGTGCAGAAGGGCCAGGCCGAGTTCAAGCAAGGTCTGAGCGACATGACGGGCGGAAGCAAGTAGAGTCGAACTTGTCAGACACTGGACAATTGACTTGCCTTTGGCTTACTGGTACATCCCTGCGCAAGCGAGCCGCATTGTTGTCATATCACACATGACAGCGCTTGGTTCTTCTGTTGAGGAGAGATGGATGCTTGAGGTGAGGGAAAGTTGCGTTCAGAAGTTTATTCGGTCTTGCTGCTTGCCTATGCCTGCACCGAGCAAGCGTCGGATCTACGCCAGTCGAGCTCGGGATGTCATACAAGGCAGGTGAGACGTCTGCCTGGCCTTACTGCTGCTCAAGGGCGGAGGGAACGACACAGGGCAAGGGGTCTTTGTGAGCTGCGCACGAGGAAAAGAGCGGATCGCTGGACCTGAAGCGCTCGAGATACTCGACGAAGTCTGCCCCCTCACCGTCTTGATCAGCCACTCCGTCTGATGGAGCGCTCTACATCTAGTCTGCTCGTCGGTTGGGCTACGATCCATCTCAAGATCCTCGGCTTGTGCAAGTCGACGACACACCGGATGAGCAAGATGACGACAGGGATGACGACGATGTAGAGGCGCAGATCAAGCGAGAGCTAGCCGAACTCCATCAGAACAAGTCAAGTGGACCCCCTCAGCCTTCTAGAAGCGGACAGCGACCGCCAAGATGGCTCAGGATCGTCTATACGGACACACAATGCAGTGCGCCTTGAGCATCATACACCCGGACTGAAGCTCAACATGCCGATGACAGTACTGTTTATCAAGATTCCGATCTTCATCGATGCTGTCCTCGTCGTCGAGAGCGCTCTGAAGCATCTTGCATCCACAGGCGAGATCAGATCGAGGCGCGTGATCTCAACTCGTGTGACACCACTTTGATGCTCAGCCGGGACGCTCGATGAGCACAGATGTGTCCAGAGACTGACACCGATCACTTTCACGTGCGTCTCAGCAGATCTTGATGCCATTGACCGAACCTGCCGGCTCGTCATCGGCAAAGCTTGGGACCCTTCACGCACACCTGGATTCATCACAGTCGGTCTGGAGCAGTAGGCAGATCATTATCAGTGGCTGATCTGAGCTCGCAGTGGCGCATTGAACAGAGAGTGCGGGATCACACCGCGCCCCTGAACAGGGACGTCATCACGCAGAGGGTGGGCGCAATTGCGCAAGACATCTTGGCCGTCCCCGAGCAAAATGGCCAAGCGGCCAGCTCCCGAGGCAAGGTCAACATTGGCTCGTCAAGCCATATCATCTCCATCGATGTCTACCGCAACGTCTTTGGCATCAGCGTAATTGACGGAACGCTCTGGGATGGTGCGGGCAAGCGGTTCAACGTGGAGCAGATCTCAGCAGCGACTGTAGCAGCACAGGCCGATGTGCAGATGCAACAGTAAAAGTGATCCGACGACCATGGTGTGAGTGCAGAATAAGGTTACAACATACATTGCGGAGCCGAGTGGATCAGGCTGCTGCCCTTCCGTGATGATCACGCCACTTTACGCTGACGTAGCGTTGGTGAGTGGAGAGGCGACTCGTCGCTGTCACTCGAGCTGCCCGATGAGCTGGACTCGTTCAGGTGACGAAGCGAAGAGGCTGAGCTGAGTCTGGCCATACTTGTCGCCCGTTGTACTTCCTCATCGGAAGCTTCTGCGCTGTTTGTATCGGCAGCCAGTCTCTCACTTGTCTGCCGCGTCATCTCTGCCTCTTTGAGCTTCTCGGATTCATAGATCTCTATCGCTAGCTGTCTCTGTTTTTGAAGCTCGACTTTGGCCGCTTTGCGCTTCTCTTCGGCCGCCAAGACTGCCAACAGAGGATCGTCTGTCTTGGCAGGTTGTCGGAAGGAGCCGCCGGCTTTGTCGCACCAGACGAAATATTGCCCGTAATTGACGTTGACTGCTCTGGCGCATGAGTCATGCTCTCATTAGACAGACGAAAGCAAGTGCGTACAGTGGATATGGTGCAGGGTATGATGCGCAGGACCGTTTATCCACCGTTCGAGCGGATGATCGACAATCATGTCCGAATCGTGAATCTGTTTGAGACTCATCAGCTTGAGCTGCCAAGGCATGGCAGTGAACGAGCGCACCAAGATTGACCAGAGATTGACAAAGACAAAGAGGCCCATATAGAGCCATTTGTGCAGCGGAACAATGTAGGCAAAGATGTGATAGGGTAGTGATTGAGCGTAGCCATCTAACGGGTGAAAAGCGTGCGATGCAAACGGCGTGGGAACTGTATTTTTGGTCAGTCAGGTGTCTTCATATGAAGCACAAGTCAGCGTACTAATCCATCTGTAGACAAGGCAATATGAGTGCTGTCCCGATGGATGAGCGGGGATGACTGACCTATGGTGAGGCTTGTGTATCCTTTTGTAGACGAGCGGATGGTGTTCTGCCCGGTGGACAAGATAGATACAGACGTCGGTGAACCAGAGAAAGAAAGCGCTGCTGAGGACCATGTAGGCGATGCTCCGCCACAGTCCGTGCCCGAAGGGCGAGTCGTGAATGGAGTCGTATAAAAGTGAGTAGCCTCTCACTTCGCCCAAGAACCAAGGCGTCGTCATCAGGTCTAGCCATGCTGTTGAGATAGAACGTCAGACAGCGCGTATGGAGTCCGGGTAGGAGCGTACGGAAAGCGTTGAGGGAAGAGAGAATCTCCAGCTTGACTTGGTTCTTGAGGAAGCGAGGATGCTTCATCATCCGTTTGTCGACTGCGTGGGCGGTCAGCTTGGCCCAGAGCAATGGAAAGCTGGTGTACGTACAGACATAGCGATAGGATAGACCGGCAACGATAAAGTAGAGCGTGAAGATGGATACGAGCACCATCGCATAGAGCTGTCGCAGCATGAAATGTCAGTTTCCTTGGCATTCAGACAAAGGCATGCGCCAGACTGACAGAGATGTACTGCCTCCTCCAATCATCTCTCGGCCATGCGCTCTCGTAGAAGCTGCTCCTCGACACTGCCTGGTCGTAGTAAGACGAGAGGGAGGCGGTAGGAGTCAGATTGGCATGTGCTGAGGAGGCCATGGAGCTAGGCAGGACATAAGCCCAGACCCTGTCGAGCAAGAGTTCGTCGCATTGACGGAGTATGATGTCCATCTCTGATGACTTGTATGCTCTTCCGGCGTCGGGGTTGGTGCGGATTCAATGTCAATGCTCGGAATGGGACAGTGGCAATCCCTCTCGAGTGTACTGGGCAAAGGTCCGTGCCTGATCGTCCGCGGGTCCTGCTACTTGCGTCCAAAGGTGGCTGCACTCTCTCGCTTGCTTATGTACGGTTGGGCAGACAGTCAGATGAGCTGCTCAAGGACGGTCTTTGATGACTGGAGAGCGATAAACAGTCGTGGCTTTGTGTGCGCTCGAGTGACAATCTCGAGGGGTATAAACGCTTGCTAGCAGTGTCTTTGCGCGCCTTCTGATCCGTGTAGCGCTCTTTGCTCTCGTCTGGAGCTGCCCGTCCTTCTCTTTGTGCTGGCCCACAACAATTACGACTTGCTCGGTAAGATCAGAAAATCGCACCACTTCCACTCGGCCGGCATTCACCCGTAACTACATTTGACGCGTAGATCTCGGCATTGCTCGGCTTCTCTATCGCTCTTCACGAAGCGCGTCTACCATTGAAGTCATAGCTTCTACTCGGAGTAATGATGCATTGATGAGGTTTCATCAGTCTGTCACTGTCTGGCGTATGCGTGGCAACTATCGCGAGCCAACGCCGGTCGCTATGATGTTATCAGCTATCGGCGGTGTCATCTTTGCAGATTGTCAAGTCGACGCTATCCAAGGGTCATGTGTCTCCTCTTGTCTGGCCTATAAATTGCGCCTTGCATCGCTCTGATTGCCATCAGGACTACTCGCCATCAACATGTTTGCAAAGTACCTTGCCATCGCTCTCGCTGTTGCTTTCGCTGTCCAGGCTGCCCCCACGCCGTGAGTCTCGCGGCTGCCAATCAGCGTTGCCAGCTCACCGGTGCATGTCCTCCAGTGAGGTCGTCGAGCGTGAGGCAAAGCCTTTCTGCGTCGAGATCCATGGCGAGTGCATCCCGTATGCCGTCGGCCACCCTTGATCGTATGTTCTCGCTGTCTCCTTGAGCACCCGCTGATGCTGAGCCAAGAGACCTAAGTCGATAGCTTGACGACTTGCTCCTGTAGCAACGTTTTCAGCCTCACCGCTTGTGCATTCGAGAGGGGACGCACCGAGCCCGGGTAATCCGGCAGATCGAGCTTGAATCGCTGAGCAATGTGAGGCGGCACGAAGCGACCTCCGAGCCAGTGAGTGCCTTTGAACGACTTTGAGCCAAGCTTGGGCGCAGTGAGCGAGATGAGCGAGTCTGTCATGCCAGGTAAGCGCGAGTCGGAGCTGTGTCTTGTGACTCGCCCGGAGTGAAGGTGCCCGAGACATTGCCCTTCTCGACATCCCAAGCAGACGGGATATCGACCTGCGCGAAATCTCAAGCCGTGTCTAACATGTCTGCTGCGAGAATACGCACAGAGAGGATAGGCTTGGTGGTCTCGTTGAGCGCATTGATGACGGCATCAAAGGGCGGCCTCGGCTCGCCGTGGAAGGAGAAGCCGAAGAGACTGTCAAGTACGACGTCTGTCGTCTCTAGTGCTTGCAGGAACGCGTTGGAGACGTCTTCTTATGCAGCTGATGCAAGGCTAGGCAGCTCAGGTATGCCGAGATTGCTCGTCTGCTGCTTCAATCTCTGCCAAAGAGAGGTTTCTCTGAGCACTCGGGAAACGTTTGATCCGGGGGAGATGCTGACTTTGTACAGATCTTTGTCGGTCTGCTTGGGGTAGAAGAGCGTAGGCTGGTAGCCGAAATGCCAGAGATGTCTGGCTGCAACGAGGCCATCGCCGCCTTGATTGCCTGTCCACATGGGCCGTACCTCAGACCGACTTGCGCAGACCCACAGGAGAATGCTGACCCGGTCCAGCACAGATGAGAACCTTTGGATGCGTACAAGGCTGATACGTCTTCTGTAGAGCGGTCGCACATGCCAATCCGGCAAGCTCCATGAGTTGATCGATTGAGAATGCACCGCCCGAGGGGTCCATGAGCCATTGGTCGATGTCCTGAGCTGTCTCCTGGCTGATCAGAGTCGTCATCGTTCTCGTACAGACGCGGAGAGATCTATTGAATCGCTTGGAGGTGGCAGCGAGCATCGGCGCGCGCGCGCTGTGGCCGTTGCCGAGGAACGATCGACGCACGGGCTTCGAGTGGCGTTCTCGATCGGGTCTCCTGTTCGTCACGCAACGACGCTCGCTAAATAGCGCGAGCCGAGTGGAAAGCTCTTGCAAAAGGCAGGGCATGGCGACTTGGGAGTCCAAGCTGGACCGCGAGAGGCTCGATAGGGATCGCGAGAGGAGAGATGCAGACCTGGAGAGAGAGCGACAGGCTTTCTATGCTGCCCCTCAGCCCCGTGCACCTCTAAGTCATGGCCACCATCTCCATCATTCCCTGCAGCCATCGAATGGCCAGGCCGGCCAGAATGGACAGTCGGGCCTCCAGCCGCCCGGCCAGGGTACAGAGATGGGCAACCATCTCGCCAACATTTACAACTCTGTCCTGCCCAGAAGACCATCGGGTTCTCCTTCTGGCGCGAGACAAGGTCCGCCACCCTCCCTCTCAGCCGCTTGCAGCTCGGTCTGATGTGTGTACAACGCAGGACCAGATTCCAGCTTCATGACGGACCAGCACAGGAATCAGGGTGAGCTCGTCGTCAGGCTCCGTGCGCACGCGATAATGACTGCAAATATCGCAGACCAAGGCGCTCGTCAGGAATCCCACTCCGGCATGCCTGCTTCCTCTCGGTCAGTACAGCCCGAACACGCAGACGTCCGACCTTCGTCTCATTCGCCGGGGAGCGGGCATGGCCACGTCAACGCGTACTCAAATGGTCAACGGGCAAATCCAATGTCGATGTCCTCGCTCCTGTCTGCCGATCCCGACTCGTCACGCTCGAAAGCACACGATGCATATGCCCCGAGCAAGCCAAAGGAGATATCCCGCGAGCTGAAGGAAAAGCTCAATCCGGCCAGTATGACAATTCCACCCTTTCGCCATCCTTCTGCCGGCGGAAACCCGCCTTTTATGGGCGATAGGGAACGTGATAGCAAGATAAAGACCGAGTCTCGATCCATGCTTGACGGGCTCAGGGGACCGCCACTCAATGGTCTCAACGCGCCACACGCGCAGACTGGCAAAGGCCTCAATTATCCTAGCTGGAACACTCACAGTGCAGCGGGCTCGCCGTCTCGACAGATCGGTCAGACTGATCCTCCAGGCTTCGGGAGAGACCGTCAAGCCGAAAGGGACCCTCAGAGATCAGCCACGCTCGAGAGATCGCCCTACAATCCGACGAGCTCGCAAAAGAGGAGAAAGCCTTCGCCTTCTGAGCCGAGACAACATCAATCGCCTGTACAGCCGTCTCGCCACACGTCCCATACCCATTTGCAACCTCATGACGAGTACAACGCCTACGGCAACAGCGGCTGGTCTAATGCGCCTTCGCCTCAGCAGCAGCGAGATGCTGCTTTCTCATCCGCGCAATTCAATCCCCAGCAAAGACGCAGACAGAGCTCCTTTGATCACACCACAAACCTGACGAGTGAAGGGCGAGCAAAAGCGGGCAGGATATCGCCTAACCAGATCATCATGCCCAGCTTGCACAGGAATGCCGAGACGATGAATCATAGCGATCATGGTAGGCATGTCGGTTCCAGCGGGCACCACCGATCGGCTTCGATGAACCAACCTCAGCAGAATGTATACGGGCAAACTCAAACGCAAGGTCCAGCACCACCGAACTGGACGACTTTGCCGCCGCTAGCTCAGCCGCAGATGGGCGTCTTACCCAATGACTATTTCAGCTCCGACCCACAACGGACAAGCGAGCCTCAACAGCGCAACGTAATTGGCAGGCTTTGTCTTAGCATACAATGCTGACCTGGCAAAGCAGAGAGGACCGCATTCGTATCATGCCATGGGACCTACAGTCTACGCAGAAGAACCGATCGGTCACGGGCACTCACGCTCGGCTTCCTGGCATCAGCGTCACGGAATGGCCAATCAGATGCAACAACGTCACGACGATCATCATTCGTACGGCTATGCTCCGTCCCAGTCTTCATTGCTCGGTCAATCTTTCGAGCCTGTGCCGGTCGGCTCGCTCGATCAGCGTATGGAGTGGTCCAACAGAGTCTCCAGCTCGAAGAGAGACCATCGAGACAGGGAGAGAGATAGTCATCATGGCTCGCCGAGTCACTCGAATCACAAGAGGAAAAGGAGCGATCATCCGTCGAATACTGCTTTTGCTCACTTGCCACCTCATGGTCTGCCGCCTGCTTCTTATACTACACCGCTTGTCGAGCCTGACCATCCGATCGATCGAACCGAGCCTAGACCTACATCACCGCCTGTACAGAAGCGAGAAGGCCCGCTTTACACTGTCGGAGATCTCGAGAAAGCGCGATTACAGCCGCCGCTGTTGAGGGTAGACAATCAAGCCATACTGGACGCCATGGCTGCCGTATCGAGCTCTACGAACGAAACACCCCATCTAGGTAGCTATCGGTATTCGCCATTTGTGGGCACAGCGGAGATGTTGCCTGCTGAAGTCTTGCAACGCTTCGTCGGGGGTCGATTCGAGATGATCATCGATACCTGCTGGCTCAACAACGCCGGTCTCTGGTCCGTCTCTGTTCAAGGAACTCTGGACGCACCACAGGAAGCAGGGAGCGTGATCGCAAGCGGTGGAGAGAAAGTGAAGCAGGATTGGTCATTCTGGGATCTCAAGAGTATCAGGGAATGTCAAGTTTGGGGAACGGATGTCTATACTGACGATTCTGACGTTCTGGCAATGTGTCTTCACTCGAATTGGCTCAAGTTCTCAGACAGTCCCGTCAGTGAATCGGCAAGCAAAAATCACGAAGCGATTGCGGTGACCGTGCGGGTCGCGCCAAGGCTATTGGTCTATGCTGGCAGCTTACGCAATGGCCTGCAAAGTCGGAGCTGGGGCAACAGTCACGATGGCGTCAGTCTCTACATTGAGTCGATCAAAGCCACTCAGGTGTGTGCCTAGCGGTCTCAATGTCACCCATGCTAATGTTTTGACTAGGACCGACGAGCGGGGCGGCGAAGAAGCAAGGCATTCGCTCATCTGGGCGAGTCTGCACGAGGCAGAATCCGGCTAGGCTTTGGAGGGCCAGTGGAAGTGATACCGGATGCTCTTGCTGTAGCTTGATGATGACCGCAAAGCAAGTATGCACGAACGGAGAGCGCGAAACTTTGCAAGAGCGCGCGCAAGTACAACACTCTGGAGCTCGCTGCGTGAGAGCGAGCTCATGAGGCACGGTTGGTGAGGATGCCGTCGAAGCGAGTCTTGAACCATTCCTTGGTGTCGTCCTTTGTGACTCTGTGCTTTGCTCCGACGGTGGACTTGCATCGTCTTCGGCGGGCGACGCGGGCGCCTGGTCTGCCCATGCAGACGTAGAAGTCCATGCCGAAGATACCGATTCCGGGGTCGTACTTGATGCCGAGATCGATGTGCTCTTGGATGCCGAAGCCAAAGTTGCCGGTCTGGCTGAAGTTTCTGTTCCTGAGCTCGTACTCCTTGACCTTCAATCCTCTCTCGAGGCTGGGTGACCAGCAGTGTCAGCACCTGGCAGGGAGCAGATCAAAGGGCGCAGTCATACATCTCTTCGGCCTTGGGACCCCGAATGGTGACATGGACGGCAATCTTCTCGTTACGACGGATGCCGAACGATCGAACGGTGTAGCGTGCTTTGGACGTCACGGGCGTCTGACCGGTGAGTTGTTCGAGCACCTTTGACGCTCTGGTCAATCTGTCTCCTGACTCTCCGACTGAGATGTCTGTTCGCTCGAGGATGGGTCAGTCATGGGTTCGCTGTCGGTGAGGCAGGTGTGGACGAACTGATGACGAGCTTCTCGATGCGCAGCTCGCGCATTGGATTCTGCTTCTTCTCTGCCTGTTGGGATCATCGTCATCAGGGCTATCGTCGCTGTGGTTGTCAGGAGCGAGACTGACCATCTCTGTGCCTGCAAGCGGACGCTACACGGACTTGGCTGCTTTCAATTCTCGGCCTCGCGCACTTGCGGCTGACAGTGTAAGACACTTACTATTCCGTCCTTTACCGTGTCAGCGGACAGCACAGTGACCGGCGGCCAAACTTTGCGTGGACGCCGAGCAGGTCTTCATCATGGTAAGCCGTCTTCACCCTCGCTCATCAGCACGAGACAGTTCTGTCAGAAGACAGCTGTGCCAGTCAGGCGGCGGAGAGGAGACGAGTCAGCATGACTTGATCGTCGAGAGATGCTCTCTGGCATCGCGCAGACAGTCTCTCGCTCGTCCTTCCCAGCGGCACAGCTCCTCCGCCGACAGCCTTCCAACTGACCTCGCAGTCAGTCTCAACCGACGAGCAGGCTGACATGGGTCCGCGTGACAGTCGGCCAAGAAAGGCGGCAAGATGACGTCCCTGATCAACTATCGACTCAAGGTCACCCTGACAGACGGACGGTCAATGACAGGTCACATGCTCGCTTTCGACAAGCACATGAATCTCGTCCTTGCCGACACGGAGGAGTTCCGACAGATCAAGAAGAAGAAAGCCGCCAAGTTGGCCGCTGCACAAGAGTCGGCATGCTGTCATTCAGCTCGGAGACTTGAGCTGAAATGGCATTGTGTGACCAGCGAGGAAGATGCGCCCGAACCACCACAGGAGATCAAGAGGACGTTGGGCTTGGTGATACTGAGAGGGGAGATGATTGTGAGCATAAGCGTCGAAGGCGGACCGCCCGCGCCGGGCACAGACACGGCCTCCAAGCTCATTGCCGGCGGAGGAAGAGGCGCACCTGCAGGTCGTGGCATGGGCATGGTGGCTCCTCGTCAGTCTCTTTCGGTCGGTCTATGCGACAGTGCTGATACTCTGACTGTGTGACGCTAGCGGGAGTACCGCCGCCTATGATGCGAGGCGCGCCCATGTCCTTCATGCCACCACCTGGAATGCCAGGCATGCCACCGCCAGGTGAGCCGTTCCCCTCGCGCTCTTGTCAGCATCACAAGGCTAACAAAGCTGCGCACAGGCTTCCCTATGGGTCCACCACCCGGTTTCCAGCCTCCGCCCGGATTCGCACCACCGCCTGGCTTTGCTCCTCCGCCGGGATTCGGGCCCCCGAGATGATGCTGTAGGATGCAAAGACGATGTAGCAACAACAGCCGGACGGTCTACAGGCTCGCTGAGTGATCTACGAGAGGAATGCGATGACCTCCTCGACCTTTTTGCAGTCGTGCTCACCCAGACGGCCGCCAATCTGTGGACTATGAGCATAAACAAGCAGAGAACCATGCTCGGAAACCTTACTCGGCTAGCAAGGGAGTCTGAACCCGAGTGTGTGACAGCACGGAGCTTGATCAGAGTTGGGATCTCGGTGAGAGAGAGAGGCAGGGCTCTGAGCGGATTAGCTTCGTCTTTCCATCTGTGTGTTTCCATCTCAGCACATTTGAGCTGCGCAGTAGGACAACCAAGGCCGTACTCTCGCTTGCTGCCCGCCCAAACAATCAGGCAATCTTTCTCGGGACCGACATTGAAAGCTGCTTGGAGGATCGGCCAAGCTTCTGTGCAGTCTCCGCACCACATTTCTTGCGTTCTGTTAGCACAGGCAAGCATGAGCCCGTGATACCGAGCTGACGCCGTACAGTGCTGACGTGGCATCTCGAGATGAAAGGAAGAGGACATAGCAGGCTTGTGGGTAGTTCTTGAGCGCTTCGGTGAGACGATAGACCGAGTCGGACGCTTCTTCGAGCTCGATGAAGCCCATCTTGATGACTTGCAAGGTCGTTGAGGGGGTCCAATGGCAGGATGGCAACGTCGCCTAGCGTGACACGCGACGAGTCGACGGCCACGTGTCACCGTCAAACGTCACGTCAAGTCAAGTCATCAAGGGTGCGTGTCCTGTGTCATACTCTGCCGGATGGATGCCTCTGCCTGTGCCAGTCGAACGATGGCTTCGTTCGATCTACACGAACACGCCTTTCGACCAAGAATGGCTCGACGAATGCTCAGACTACCTCCAAGTGCGTTCGTCTCGGCTCAGTAGCCTCTATAGCGTCTGAACGGACCGCAGACGACTCTGCCCGAGAGCGCAACTCCTGCAGAGTGGAACAGGATGCTTGCCCATCAGCTCATCCACTCTGATCTGACGGCTTCGCTCTCTTCGGCAGCTCTTCCCTCTGAGGCTGCACTCGCCTCTGCAGACAGAATCGCGACTGCACGAGGGGGCATACTCGTCCAGATTGTGGCAATGCACGATATTGCTCATCCTGCCCTGACTCAGCTCGATATACTCAAGCAACGCAGAGCAGAGAGGAAAGCAGCAGAAAGAGGCGTGGCCCCTTTGCGCGTCATCGGCGGGACGGAACAGCCCTCCGAAGAGAATGCAGAGGTGGATCAAGACCCTACGCCTGTCTTTCCGAGAGGCATGCTCAAGCTGACCTTGTCGGATGGGTACAATACTGCTCAGGCGATTGAGATGAACCGGATTGACGCGCTCTCTATGATGGCCACGCCCCTCGGTGCAAAGCTCGTCCTCAAGAATGCCAGCGTCAGAAATGGCATGCTTTTGCTCGATCCTACCAACTGTATTTGCAAGGGCGGAGCTATTGGGCTCTCTGACGGAGAGCTCGAGGATAGACTCGAAGCGGTTTTGAACGCTCGGTTGCGGTGCGGCTGGCTTGCGGACGATGGGTCATTGCTGATGCACAAGAGGCGCAGACAGGACGCCCCAGCACAAGAGGTTCCGAGGCCGCGAGCTAAGAGGGAGACGCCTGCGGCATCGTCACGAGCACCTGCGAGCAATGCTCATGCAGTTGGCGCAAAGGCTCATTCGAGGGCGACAGAGGCTTCTCATCATGTCGATCTGAATGACATTGACTTTGACGACGAGGATCTGCCGGACGAGGACGAGCCGGCGCGAAAAGTACAAGTCCTTTCATCCAGTTCGCCTCCGCCAGAACGCAAGAGCACGATCAAGCGCAGCAATGGCAAGACGACGAGCGCATACTTTGAACTATCAGACTAGCGTCTCCTTCTGCAGAGGTATCTATGCAATTTTCGCGTGCTTCTTTTCCCAAATAGATTAGAGAGTGCCGAGGTCATAGGATCACCAGACATCGCCGACAGCCTTCATTGCGTCCAATGTCTTTCTTACTCCGGCGATATTGGCGCCAGCGACGAGCGAGGGTAGCTTGCCTTCCTTGTCGAACTCCTGGGCAGTCTTGAAGCAAAGCTTGTAGCAGTCTGCCATGATTCCCTTGAGCTTCTCGTCTACCTGATCTGTCGTCCATTTCACTCTGCTACTGTTCTGCGCCATCTCGAGTCCCGAGACTGCCACACCGCCTCTGCAAGCTCTTGTGAGCAGAGCATCGACATCGAGAATGGGGAGACATACGAGTTGCTTGCTTTGCCTGGTCCGTCTGGTACGGGCAAGACGATTAGCACGATGGAGGCAGAGATAGCAAGAGAGCTTACACCAGGTCTTGCCACCCTTTCTTGCCTCTTCGAAGACTTCAATCGATTCCTTTGTGCAACCCTGCAAACCAACAGCTGTCAGCTGCGAGTGGAGCTGAGAGCGATAGGACCTACCATATTGGAGCCCTCGGCGACATACTTGACGCCGGCCTTGACGAGCGCCTCTGCTTCCTCCTTGCTGACTTCGTTCTGCGTCGCACAAGGCAGAGCGATATCGAGCTTGTCGAAGTGCGTCCAGGGACGAGCACCGTCGATGTATTTGTAGGACAGCTTGGCATCCTTGAGGTAGCCACGCTTGACCTTGAGATCAGCAATCTTGTGAACATCCTCGGGTGTGATGCCCTTGTCTGCCGAAGCGATCAGAGCGCCCTTGCTGTCCGAAAGTGAGACGACAACGGCGCCCAGTTCGATCGCTTTGAGGGCGGCGTATTGGGCGACATTGCCCGAACCGGTGATGGCGACCGTCTTGCCTTCGAAAGTCTTGTCGAGCTCCTTGCTCTCGGCTTCTGCGATCATGTGCTGGACATAGTAGATCAGACCGAAACCGGTTGCTTCAGGTCGGATGAGAGATCCACCAAAGTCGAAACCCTTGCCAGTCAATACGCCAGCCCATTCGTTGCGTGCCCGCTTGTATGCGCCGAACCTGCAGTCCTTTCTCAGCCTCGGCTTGGGTACATCCGACGCCAGGCTTACATCCAGCCAATCTCGCGAGGAGAGACGCCAATATCACCGGCAGGCACATCGGTGTTGTCACCAATCTGCACGACCCATCAGCCGCGCCAAGCCCAGCACGAGGATGTGACGTACGTGGCGAGAAAGCTCTGCCATAAAGGCACCGCAGAAGCGTCTGATCTCGTTATCAGACTTGCCCTTTGGATCGAAATCTGCTCCTCCCTTGCCGCCACCCATGTGTAGACCGGTCAAGGCGTTCTTGAAGATCTGCTCAAAGCCCAAGAACTTGAGGATGGAGAGATTGACGGTGGGATGGAAGCGGAGGCCGCCCTTGTAGGGACCCAAGGTCGAGTTGAACTGGACTCTGTAGCCTCGATTGACGCAGACCTCCTGCTTGTCATTCTCCCAGACGACGCGGAACTGAATGATTCGCTCGGGTACTTGGACGACTGCGTTTATCAACATACTTCGTCAGCAGGCTGCTACTGAAGAGTGACATGTCTTGCCTTCGAATGCCTTTTCGTAGAAAGAGTCTTTCTTGAAGAGCGGACCGAGGGAGCTCTTGATCTCACCGACGGCCTGCTCGAACTCTGGCTCGCTCGTCATGATGCCGATGGATCTGGCAAGGGCTTGTGTGAGTATGGACAGTCTCAGTAGCCGGTCGCGGGTGAGCAGACTGACTATCAATTGGGGATGATGTCAGAAATAAGAGCCGAGTGCGTTCAGGCTGTCGGATCTGCTTCACTGCTCGACTGATCGGCCTCGAGTCAGCCATCATCGCTGCCAGACTCTGTCAACGCAGATCGGCGCACCTGTGTCCGTTGGGTAGCTGCTGAGATGACGCAGAGTGCAGTCGACCGGGCGGCGACTGGCTCAAAAGATAACAAAACTCTGACAAAACTGCCTGCCGAAGTTTTGTCGATCATCGAGGGAAGAGGGGGGCGTCCTGCCGCTCCGTGCCTGGGTCTCAGGCGATCTACGCCAGCTGGAAAGTGCAAGAGACAAGTCGACAGGCTTACTCCACACTGTCGTCAGAGGCTAACCTTGTTTCGCAAAGACGCCCCGACTCGAGCGAGCGTGTGACTGCGCGTGCGGCGCGCTCCAATCGACTGGCCTGCCACCGGTCGGACGACTGTGAAAGACAATAGCCAGTCACGCTACCTGTGGACGAGGACTCGTCCCTTTGAGTGTCTGTAGACTCGCTCGACCACGTGACAAGGCGTATCCACGAGACGAGCACCCGATAGCAACGGGCTCGCGACAGTGTCTTGCTCGCCAGGGTTGCCTCATCGGACACTCCCTTGACAGACCCAAGTTCGGCAGCCGAACAGCGCGAAACACGTCGAGTGAACAGCCCAGAGAAGCTAGAGCTGCAACGGATAGAGATGACGACTGCTCTCCCGCCCGCTCTCGCAAGCAACGGCGGCATCAAACCGAGCAGCTCATCCCGACGGGGCGCCTCACTGGCCACGGGCGCGCTCCTCTCTGCCTCCGGCGCGAACGGTCACGATTCTCAGAGCAACGGCAACATGGCCGGCGATAGATCGACCAACCGCTACTCTGCTGCCGTGCTCTACTCCCTCGCGGCAGAGCAAGACACCGAGATCGAGGATGACCTCGCGCGTTACCAGAAGAGATTGAGAGATCTCAAGTCGCGCATCTCCGCCCAATCCAAGAAGAACTTCTTGCTCGAGCGAGATGTACGCTACCTCGACTCGAGAATCGCGTTACTCATCCAAAATCGTATGGCGCTTGACGAAAGAGAGGAAGTCCGTGAGCATCTCGAGGAAGTGGACGAACAGGCCGGCGACCATCTCGATGATAGACGTATGCAGGTCGGTCTGACCGCATTCACGCCTTGACAGCACTGATGCCGCAAGAACAGCAATACGCGAACCTCTTCTTTCTACTTCAGAGCGAGCCGAGGCACATAGCCTCGCTCTGTCGTCTCGTCAGTCTGACAGAGATCGACACACTCCTGCAAACGGTCATGTTCACTCTGTACGGTAACCAGTACGAATCTCGCGAGGAGCATCTCCTCTTGACCATGTTCCAGGCAGGTCACGCCCACTTGCTTCATCTTACCAGATCTGAGACCAGGTGCCAATCTGCAGGGCGTACTTTCTGCTCAATTCGAGACTGCCACAGAATTCGGATCTCTACTACGAGCCAATACACCCGTGTCTCGCATGATGACTACTTACACCCGTCGCGGTCCCGGTCAGAGCTATCTCAAATCCGTGCTCGCCGAGCGTATCAACAGCCTGATCGAACATCAAGACCTGAATCTGGAAATCAATCCTTTGAAAGTCCGTCTGGTCTACTGGCGTCATGACCCTTTGCTGATCGACGGAACAGGTCTACGAGCAAATGTATGATCAGATCGTAGAAGAGACGGGCACAGCCCCGGCCGACATGCCCAGGAGCATCTCGCCAGAACAAGCTGCTAGCCATACAGACGTGCAAAACATAATTGCGCCTAGGCTGACCATGCTCATGGAGATCGCAAGCTCCTTCCTGCTCACCATTATCGACTCGATCGATTCCGTGCCGTATGGCATCCGATGGATCTGCAAGCAGATCCGTTCCCTTACCAGAGTCAGTTCATCTCGTCTGCTCATATCTGCACGTGGCTGAGAGACGCAAGCAGAGGAAGTATCCCGAGGCAACAGACTATGCCATCTGTAGTCTCATTGGCGGCTTCTTCTTCCTCCGCTTCATCAACCCCGCCATCGTCACGCCACAGGCTTATATGCTCATCGAATCTCTACCTGCTTCGGCCAAGCATCCTCGACGGACGCTCACCCTGATCGCAAAAATGCTGCAAAACCTGGCCAACAAGCCCTCGTATGCCAAAGAGACCTATATGATGAGCCTCAATCCTTTCGTTGAATCGAACAAGCAAAGAATCAATCAGTTCCTCAATCAGCTGTGCGAAGTCGGCGACTTTTATGACTCGCTCGAAATGGATCAATACATGGCGCTTTCGAAGAAGGACCTGCAAATCTCCATCACGCTCAATGAGCTCTATAATACTCAATCACTCCTCTCGCAGCACCTCGACGTCCTGGCGCGCAACGACAAGCAACACCTCCGCATTCTGCTCGATGAGCTCGGTCCGGTACCAGCCCAAGTGCCGCGCAAAGAGAACAGGACGATCGAACTACCACTCTACTCTCGATGGGAAATGCCGATCCAGGACATCACTACCGCCTTGATGGCAGAGAACAACCTCACACAGAATGACATTATCTATATGGAAACAAAGTCGATCTTTGTCCAGCTGATCCGCTCGATCCCTCAGCTGTCCGACAAGCGCCCTCTCAATCTGCCGGCAGTCGCAGAGCGCGCAGCGACGGCGAAGGATGCCACGCTCGTTCGGAAGGGTATCAAGGTGCAAGAGATGCTCAGAGAACTCGAGGAGCTCAAGCTGGTCGATCGCAAGGATGGCTACAAGTTCATCACCGAAGAAGTCACGGGCGAGCTCACCCATCTCGGCAACCTGAAAGAGAAGGTCATTCTCGAATCGCGGTCGCTCGATGCGGTCTTCAAGACCATCTGTGATCACAACAACTACCTCAGATCGCAGCTAGAACAGTACAAAGCCTACCTTCAGAATGTCAGGCAAACCTCGGGTGCGCAGAAGGGCAAAACGGGCGGTGTAGGTGTCGTGAGTGTAGACGGGAAGGACAAGAAGGTCGTGAAGACGCAGGCACTCGGTCCTTACAAGTACACCCATGCCCAGTTCGAGAAGGATGGCATCATCGTCGATAGCAATGTGCCAGACAACAGGTTCGCCCTGACTCTCATCGATCTGAGTCAGTCTGATGAAGCGTCGTGCGCAGGCGTGCAAACATCTACTTCCAGCTCACCTCGCCCACGCCGGGTACCTTCCTTATCGCGCTGCACTGTCAGTCTCTTCCCCCCTTTTCCAGCGAGCTGGGCTGATAGAAAGGTGCTGTTTGCAGACAAAGGAAGAGAGCGCGCTATACTCGAGATGGACCTCAAGCTTGGTTAGTGAACGACGGAGTATCCAGCATCTTTGCTAATGACTTGTGGGTCTGCTGCAGATGATCTGCTAGAAAAGCAGAACGACAAAGTGGCAGTGCTCGATCTCGAATATGTCTCGCTCAGCGTGACCAAAGTGCTCGCGCTCCTCACGAAGATCTTCCAACGAAAAGGCCGATGAAGTCGTTACAAAGGCTGTGCAAGTTCATGAGCTCTCTTATCACGTTGTATGATATGTAATCATCCTTTCAACCTGGCGTGGCTTTTCGTCACCTTGCCGCGGCACATGTCAAAAAAGTTGGAGACGCGACGCGCCGAAAGCAACGTCTGACGCTGAGCTACCGGCCGCATTGGCCTGTCATTGCTGGACAGGATGCGCATAGAGGAGCTCATACTCGATGGCGTAGGCAGAGATGTTTTCTCCTCCATTCGCTGGCTGATCGTATGTGTGCCGGGCAGTTCAAGTCGTACCCTGTCAGGACGACAATATCAGGCTGGGATGCTTCCTTCAATGCGTCAGTGGAGGTCGCCACTCATCACAAGTCATTCGCTGATGAGGATCTGCCGTTGCCAGCGTGACTGGCCTCAATGGCTCAGGCAAAAGCAACATCCTCGATGCGCTCGTCTTCGTGCTCGGCATCACGAATCTGTCAATAGTGCGCACACGTTGCCCGTCAAGCCTACGTGTCTGACCGGCGGTGGGGATCACAGGTCAGAGCAGCGAATCTGCAAGATCTCATCTACAAGCGAGGTCAAGCCGGCATCACAAAGGCCTCTGTGACCGTCGTCTTTGATAACTCAGACAGGGCCAAGTCACCGGTCGGCTTCGAGGGCTACAAACAAGTCGTCGTCACTCGTCAGGTCGCAATGGGAGGCGTGTCCAAGTACTTGCTATGCGGACATCGAGCGACGCAGCAGACCGTCCAGAATCTCTTCCAATCTGTCCAGCTCAACATCAACAATCCCAACTTTCTCATCATGCAAGGCAAGATCACCAAGGTTCTCAATATGAAGCCACAAGAGATTCTCGGCTTGATCGAAGAAGCTGCTGGCACGTCCATGTTCGAAGAGAAGAAGGACAAAGCGATCAAAACGATGGCCAAGAAGGAAAAGAAGATGGAGGAGATTCAAGAGGTTCGTCGAGCCTGCCTGAATCAGCATGTAGCTGAATAGGGCTTTCCTGTTCGATCAGCTCCTAAGAGAAGAGATCACTCCCAAGCTCGATCGCCTGCGCGAGGAGAAACGGTCTTACCTAGCATATCAGAAAGCAGCATCCGAGATTGAGCGTCTGACGCGTCTTCTGGTCGCTTACGAGCACGTCGAAGCGACACAGCGCCTTGCAAAGCATGCCGAAGCTACCGCTGCCAAGCAGGCCAAGCTCAGAGAAGGCAAAGACGACCTCAAGCGCATGGCGACTGAACGCGCGCGCATGGACAAAGACTTGCAAGATCTCGTCAAGGCACAGAGCAAGGTGGCGTATCATCTCGATACTTGAGTCTCTTGAGGCTCATCCAGGCTGCAGAAGTCCTCTAAAAATGGCGTCATTGCCTCTCTCGAGGCGGAGATCAAGGAGATCGCTCGCGAGCTGGCCAAAGTGTCTCAGCAACTCTCGCTCAGTCGCGCGTCAGAAGCAGAAGAGTCAACTCGCATGGAAGAGCTGAGAGTGAGCGTCAAGGAAGTGACAGGGCAGCACAAGAGAAGGAAGCTGCAAGCCGAAGAAGCCAAGGCTAGGTACTCGACCAACAAGGAAGCCTTCGACAAAGTCTCGTCAGAGTTGCGACAAGCAGAAGAACTTCTGCAGAACCTGGCAACGGGCGTCTCATCTGCTGGCGTCGAGTCCGCCTCTGCTGGCTACCTTGGTCAGCTGGCAGCGGCCCGGGCTAAATTGGCCAGCGTTGGCGCAGGGGCAGACCAAGCCGCGAAGCGAGTCGCTCACCTTACGAAAGAGCTGAAAGCAAAGGAACCGCGCGCTGCAAAAGCGCAGAGCGAGAGCAAAGGTCTGCTGTCTGAGCTGGCCGATGCGCGCAAGTCTCGAGACAGCCTGCAGAAAGAGATCGATCGCTTGACAGTCAATTCCGAGGACGTCGATCGGTTGCGAGATGACAAAGATGAAGCTGAAAGGCAAGTCAGGACTTTGCTCGAGCAGCGCAATACTGTCAAGTCAAAGCTTGCAAGTCTCGACTTTGTTTACACTGCGCCGCCTTCCTTTGATCGCTCGAAAGTCAAAGGTCTTGTAGCTACGCTCATCTCGATCGATCCGTCGAAGTATCAGTATTCCACCGCACTTGAGGTCTGCGCCGGTGGAAAACTCTACAATGTCGTCGTCGAGACGGACAAGGCCGGCTCCGAATTACTGGAGAAGGGCAAGCTGCAAAAGCGGGTCACCATGATACCGCTCAATCAGATCAATGCATTCCGCGCAACGAGCCAACAGATTGGAGCTGCGCAGAGACTTGCGCCTGGCAAGGTCCACCTCGCGCTCGATCTAGTGGGCTATGAGGAAGAAGTGGCAGAAGCAATGGCCTACGTCTTTGGTCGAACTCTCATCTGTCCAGACTCGCAATCTGCAAAGACTGTCACTTTCGACGCTAGCGTTCGGCTGAAGTCCGTCACTGTCGACGGCGATGTCTATGACCCGTCCGGAACGTTGTCTGGCGGCAGCAAACCGAATACGAGCGGCGTGCTAGTCAAAGTTCAAGAGCTGCAAGACCTCGAACGACGCTTGAGCGATGCCAAAGTTGTCGCAACTGATGCAACGGCGGCGTGGAAGCGCGTCGCTGCATCTTCCGAGAGACTCGATAAGCTCAGCAGCCAGCTGGACTTAGCCACTCATCGTGTCAGGTTGCTTGAAGAACAAGCAGAAGAGAGCGACGCCGCTCGACTTTTGAACGAGCTCGACGCTCTGCGAAAAGAGATTGCGACGCTGAGCGAGACAGTCAGCTGCGTATCTGGTAACAAGAAAGCAGTTCAGGCAGAGATTGCGCGTATAGAGAAGGAGATGGCCGAATTCAACAATAATAAAGACTCGAAGCTCAAAGATCTCAAGAACGATGTAGCGACGAAGAAGGCTGCTGTCCACAAGCAGGCAACTGCGAACAAAGCTTTACAAAAAGAGCTGCAGACGACCACGCTCGAGGTTGAGCAAGCCGCTGTCGAGATCCAGGTTGCAGAGGCAGAACTTGCAGACGCGATCAAAAATCAGGGTAAAGGGAGCAGTCAGATCAAGCGATTGGGTGAGACCGTCGCAGCTCTGAGTGCTCAGCAAGCGGACAAGGAAGCGCTTCACCGAGAAGAGACGGCGAAGCTGCGTGCTCATCGACGTGAGCTCGAAGAGCTTGAGAAGGCTGTCCAAGAGAAAGAGAAGGAAATCTCGACACTCGAAGTCAAGCAGCAAGAACGCGAGCACGATCTCGAGAAAGCGAGCGCCGAAAGAAAGCGACTCGATCAGATCCTGACCCGGCTTGAGAATGCCTACGAATGGATTGCAGCTGAGAAGACGTAAGTGCTCCACACGATGCACTGCTTTTGTGCGCTGAGCTTGCAAATGGCTTGCAGCGCATTCGGCCGACAAGGTAGCGTTTACGACTTTGCTAGCGAGAATATGGCAAACGTCCGCAAGTCTTGCGCCGAGCTCGAGCAGAAGCAGGAAGGCATGCGAAAGAAGATCAACCCAAAGGTGCTGAATATGATCGATAGCGTCGAGAAGAAGGAGCGCGAATTGCTCGGGATGCACAAGCAAGTCTTGCGCGACAAGTCAAAGATCGAGGAGACAATTGCCAAGCTGGATGACTACAAACGGGATGCGCTCAAGGAGACCTGGACTGTCGTCAATGCTGCTTTTGGCGAGATCTTTGGGGAATTGCTCTCTGGCAACTTCTGCGCTCTCCAGCCGCCAGAAGGCATGGACATCACTCAAGGGCTCGAGGTGAAAGTCAGGCTGGGGCAAATATGGAAGGCCAGCTTGACCGAGCTGTCGGGTGGCCAGCGCTCGCTCATTGCTCTGTCACTCATCATGTCGCTCGTACGTTGTCTCGCTGCTCGTGCTGTTCGGGCTGACATGTCAGGACAGCTTCAATTCAAGCCTGCGCCCATGTACATCCTCGATGAAGTCGACGCTGCGCTTGGTAGGGTCTTCTTCGGCTTCTGTCTGCTAAGCTAACACGCTAGGACAGATCTGTCGCACACTCAGAATATCGGCCATCTGTTCCGAACGCGCTTCAAAGGCTCGCAGTTCATCGTCGTCAGTCTCAAAGAAGGCAAGTCTCGCTCGCATGCCCGTCAAGAAGCAGGCCTGACGATGAGGAGCAGGTCTGTTCTCGAATGCGAATGTGCTCTTCCGGACGCGCTTCAGAGATGGCACGTCTGTCGTCGAGCGTACCGCCACGCGAACGACATCGGAGCTCTACGCAGCCGACAAGGAGAACGCCTCTCAGCGTCCCCCGGCTGCAAAGAAGGCGCTAGAGACGGGCGCGCGTGCTGCCAGTGTGACTGTTGCTTGAATGATACAATGTACTCGCGCTCTGCATGTCGTACATACGTCTCGGGATCATGAAAGGAGCACGCTGATGGCCATTGCCACGCATGCCATCGCCAGCCATGGACTGAGTCTCTCGCCTGCGGCCACAGTGCCTCGCTCAGCTTGCAGCAAGTGGGTGACGAGACAGACTTGCCTATCCTCGCAAACTTGAAGAAGAGGCCAAACACCCTGCAGTGCTATGTGTGAGTTTCGTGAGAGCGCAGACGGAGGCTGCTCGCTTGCCCCTCCTTGTTGCGGTCGACCAGAGTTGGCACGGTTGCTCGTGCGTAGGTGCATGTGCAGATGATCAGCAGTATGACGAGCAGGAGGCTCTGAAAGTTGAAAAGAGCAGACTGTGAGTCATGTCAGCTGCGAGTTCGTTGCATGCTGCACCTGTGTGAGGCTTACCATGCTGGCCCTGCTCCCTCGTCGCTGACAGCACGATCAGTCAGTCAGTCGACGCGAGGCCAAAGCTGCAAAGGCGCCCATCAGCGAGTGTGCGCAATCCCTTCATGTCCGCCTCAAGCGGCCGTCTTCAGCTCTTCCACACATTGGAACGTCTCAAAGTGCGCCGCATAAGACGTCCAAGCGAGCTGTGTCTGATACGGTCGCACGCCAGACACAGAAACGAACGGGATGGGTTCGCGAGCAACTAGAGCGGCCAGAGAGGTGCTTGCTCACGTTCTCGATCGTGTCACGCCGCTCATACATGGCAGAGCACAGCATTGCTGATCACATGTACCGGTTCGTGCGCTCGTGCGATGCTTGCAAGGCGCGCTCATCCTCGGTGATAGCATGGCCGTGCTCGCACTTCTCTCTGAAGATATCCAGCTCGATATAGCCAAGTGGGTGCCCCGAATGACCTCAGAAGCCGGACTGTAAGCGCACGTACAGGTGTGTGTTGCTTGCAGTGGTGCACGACCTGGCAGAAGCCGAAGCGGGCGACATCACACCTTTCGACGGCATCTCACGCGACGAGAAGCAAAATCTCGAAGCAAAGGCCATGGACCACATGCTTCGTGAGCTTCTGCCCGCCGACTCTCACGCTTCGAAGAGGATCATGGCATTGTGGCAAGAGTACGAGGATGCGACCACGCCGGAAGCCAGGTTTGTCAAAGACCTAGATAGAGTAGAAATGGCTTTGCAAGCTGTCGAATACGAGCGAGGTCAGTGCTTGTTCGTCTAGACAGACGCACGTATCGAGACGATGGGATCCATATAGATCAAACTCGAATACTCCAGCCATTCCTCGAAGCGAGTGTACCAAAGATACAGCATGCCGAAGTGCGCGGCTGGGCTGACGACCTGTCAGTCTTTCACCATCGGACGCAGACATCCTCTGATGAACAGACAGCATGGCCGAACGTGATGAGCTATGGCGCAAGCGTGATCGTCTCTCGGAGATCAGGCCAGTCAGCACGATCTCGCCCAAAAGTCAGGGTCGCAGCCAGAGAAGTCTCATCATCGTCATGGGTGTCTCTGGATCTGGGTATGCTTGATTGCATGCATCTACTTCCACGGCTGACGAGCGGGCAGGAAATCGACAATCGGCAGGGGCATAGCAAATGAGCTCAAAGCGACCTTTATCGATGGCGACGATCTGCACTCGCCGGAGCATGTAAAGAAAATGGCGAATGGCCAGCCGCTGACAGACGAGGATCGATTACCTTGGCTGCACAAGATCCGCGAGACCGCCAGCCAGGTATTGGGTGAAGCATCGCATCAGTCTCTTGTTTGCATCGCATGCTCTGCTCTCAAGCAATCGTATCGTGACATTTTACGCGGAAGCGCCGACGAGCATCCTATCGATCTCAAGACGTACTTTGTCTATTGTGTGTCAAGCTGGCCATGTGCGCTCTGTGCTGATGGCATACGTAGGCAAAGGCAGTCAAGCGCTTCTCCAGGAGCGCATCAGCAAAAGAGAGGGCCACTTCATGCATGCCCACATGCTTCAAAGTCAACTCGATACGCTCGAGGAGCCGAGTGCAAACGAAGACGAGACTCATGGCGTCGTCATCGTCGACATTGATCAATCGCCCGAGGCCATCACGACCGCAGCCGTCTCGCAAATTGTGGCCCTGCTCGATCTAAAACAATCTTTGTAACTTGTACAAGGGCTAGCAGATGTAACAGGCTTGTATTTCGTGACGAGATGTGGATGTAGGAGAGCAGGCTCAGGCGATTCCGCGTGATTTGCGGTATTCGCCGTCGGCCTGGACGGAAGCCTCGTCGAGGCTGGCAGTGATACCTTGGAGCACCTTTGCTGCTTGTTCGTGGTAGCTCTGTTGCGCCTTGGCTAGCGCTGCAATGTTCTTGATTGGCTCCGGCTGGTGCATAGGTCAGCTTTGATCGAGTCGGGAGGACTGTGGGGACTCACGTTGGCGAGTAAGGAGGCCATGATACCAATGGCTTGCTCTGTCTCTGTGACCAGTCGCTCCTAGATAGCAAACCGAGATGAGCTCGAGGTGCAACGCTGAACGAGAACAGGCCTGCCTCTGCAGCCTCGACTTCGAGACGAGCCTGTTCTTGCTTGGCAGCAGATGCATTCTTGAGCTTGGTACGGCAGGTATCGAGATAGAGTCTCGCAGTCTTGACGCTCTGGCGGGCTTTCATTGCGGCGTTGATGGCAGAATTGAGGGTCGCGCTCCAGGGATTGTTGAACTCTGCACGGATGAGCGCATCCTGGTCGAGTCTGAGCTGCCCGACTTTGTCCTGAGCGACTGCGTAGGTCTGCAGGACTGATCCGAGTTGGTCGGGCTGTGAAGACTTTGACGTCAGTTCGAGCGCGCCTACAGCGCCATCGTCATGAGCCATATGCCAGGAGGCCCTGAGGCTGGAAGAGACAGACTGTTTGCAGAGGCGCGTGACAGAGCGTGGGAGAGCGTCTTGTGTTGCTCTGGAGCCTTGTCGGTGACGGTGGGGGCGGGCAAGTTGGTGCCTGCAAGGGCTCGTCAGTGAGCAAGGCAGGAGCGCGTAGGTAGGTAGTCGGCTCAGGAGCTTGCTTACCTTTGGCGGCTACGGCGGCCCAAGAGGTCAGGGAGTGAGAGACGAGGGCGAACCCTTCTGTGAGACTCTCGTTGATCTGGGTAGGATAATCGTACGTCTCTGTCTCGTACTGCGATGCACGCTCCCAGACTCAGCAAGTGGGCAGTGAATGCAAGCAGTGCAGGCACGGACAGCTTTAGTGATCTTGAGCAGAGAGAGATGCGTCGCCCTCAATGCATCGACCTTGCGCTCGAGCGTCTTGTACTCCTCGGGCAGCTCGGTCACGCCGTCCTCTTCGAGCTGGCCCGTCGTCTCCCTCACCTGCTGGGAGAAGGTCGCGAACTGCTTGTTGAGCTTCTCTGTGGTGTTGGAGAGATCGACGTTCTTGAGACCGGAGGTGAGCGAGGTGAGATTGCCTTGGAAGGCTTTCCAGGATGACATGCTTGCTTCACTCGGCCAGTCTGACGTGGATGCGCTCCCTCCCAATTTCACAGCGCGAAGGGCAAAAGACGCGACGGTCCGCTTTCCGAAGCGTTCAGCGCTCAGCTTCAGGATGACGTGCAGGCAGATTTTTCGAGATGACAACATTCCGCCCGTCTGGCATTCTAGTGTGACTGCACGGCCAAGTCTCGCCGGTGAACAGATCTCCCTACAGAGGCAATACGATCTGCGCAATCTTGATGGCGTTGGCGACGACGCCCATGGCGGTGACGGCGGCACCTGCACCCGCGCCTTGGATGATGAGCGGGTTTGGGCTGTATCGCTTGGTGGTGAAGGAGATGATGTTGTCGGATCCCGAGAGCGATGAAGCAAAGGGATGATCGAAAGGATATCTGCCCCATCGTCTCAGATGTCAGCCACAGCAAGCGAGGCTGACAGGAGAACAAACGAGCCTCTCTAGGCCTGCTTTGATATGACCCGACTGTGGATCGAGGACGCCGACGTAGCGCAGAACGCAGCCGGCTTGTGCTGCTTCCTTGTTTTGCTTGGCAAAGTCGGCATCGAAGTCGGGCAGCTTCTGCACAAAGTCTGAGCCGTCCTGTATGTCTTGCAGAGCTGCAGGAACGAGCGACTGGGTAGGGACGGAGAGGAATCCCTCTTTGAGCAGATCAGAGTTTGACAGGCTGGGAATCATTCTTGCTAGGATGGTGAGCTTTCGGGCTACGTCTGATCCATTGAGATCGTCGCCCGGATGCGGCTCGGTGTAACCTGCTTCTTTGGCACCCCTGAGGATCTGACTGAATGGCGTCGTCGTCGTCGTCGTCGTCGTCGTCGGCTTGGGTTGACTGTACTCGTTGAAGAGGAAAGAGAGTGTGCCTGAGAGGACGCCTTCGATCTTGAGGATGGTGTCGCCGGTGTTGATGAGGTCATCGAGTGTAGAGATGATGGGCAGACCCGCGCCCACTGTTGCCTCTCGTAGCACGATCGCCTTGGACTGCGTGGCAGCTCTGAAGATGTCGGCGTACAGCGTTGCACTGGACGAGAATGCCTTCTTGCTGGGCGTGACGAGATGGATGCCCGCACCGACGAGGGTCGGGTACAGATTGGCGACGTCTTGCGACGAAGTATTGTCGACGAAAAGGTACTTGCCTCGCGAGCCCTCTGCGAGTTCGACGATTTCTTCAATCACCTTGCTCAGGCTCAGCCCGTGAGGCTCTGTCTTGCTGAGCTGGGAGAGCGCGTCCTCTGCTGTGCCTGTGAGCCCGGCTGCGACATGGAGGCGTTGCTTCGAGTTGGCCAGCCAGACGATTGAGAATTGGGATGCAAGATGGGTTGGTAAGTCGCTGAGCAGCTGATGGATGACCTGTTTTCCGACCAGGCCCACACCCACTGCAACCGGCAATCAGCTGAGGTCCCATTCGGTCCCTGAGGAAGCTTACGGACGAGCACTTGCAGTTTCTGGGAACTCATCTTGCTGGCACAGGACCGACCGTCGTCATTTTTGATTACGCGTCCGCTCGAATCAGATGAATACGCTCAGCGCACCCGCCAGAGAATTTTCTCAGGCGAACCCCTCGTCGACCGTTCGACCGCCTTGCACGATGGCGGGCATCAGCAAAGCTCGCCAGACGGCCCAGCACACCAAAGGCGAGAACCACTACCGAGATGGGAAGAAGGTGCGACAGCTCAAGATGCTCTCGTCCGGCCACAAAGCGATCAGAGATAAAGACGGCAAGATCCTCAAAGCTGCGCCTTTCCAGAGCAAGGAAGTCACCCCGGGCCGGGTACAGCCCGACCGACGATGGTTCGGCAACACACGTGTCATCTCACAGACTGCGCTCGATCACTTCAGGACGAGCTTGGGCGCAAGGCAGAATGACCCCTTTGCGGTCGTGCTCAAGCAGAACAAACTGCCTCTCTCGCTCTTGCAAGAGTCTACAAAGGTACGCCGTTCCCTCTCACAGCTTCGTGTAGCCTGGTCTGACAGCATGAGCAGGTCACCCGGCCCGATCTCGCAGTGGCAGAGCCATTTGCAGACACGTTCGGACCCAAGTCACAGCGTAAACGGCCACGCTTAGACGCCGCCAACTTTGAAGAGATGCTAGGCGCCAGTCAGGCACACAATCAGCGCGACTCGGACGCACAGGAAGCACTCCATGTCGCAGCAGAAGAGGCTCACGCCAAAGGAGACGACCCTGTCTTGCCCGCCGATGATGCCAACGATGCGCCACTCGACAAGATCATGTCCGCCGGTACTTCCAAACGCATCTGGGGCGAACTCTACAAGGTCATCGACTCCTCCGACGTCATCCTCCACGTCCTCGACGCCCGGGATCCGCTCGGGACACGTTGCGAGTCTGTCGAGAAGTACCTCGCCAAGGAAAAGCGAGGCAAGAAAGTTGTCTACATCCTCAACAAAGTCGATCTCATCCCTGGCTGGGCAGCTGTAAGTCTTCCCCTGCATTCCACCTCCCTCCTCTCCTGCTCCTTCGACGCTCGCCCGCAAAACCCACAAACAGTCAGGTTGCCCACGGAGAACCGAGAGCGGGACTTCTTTCGCGAGAAAGATCCCCAGCGAGGATTTCATTACCCATTGTGGAACGACCGTTACGTCTGTGGAAGATCGAACGACACAATGCTGCGGAAAGTGGAGAAGATTCACGAGCAACGTGCCTCGAGAGAGGTCGCTCGGCCGCCGAAAGACGGATGGATCGACTCCTAGTTACGCACTGTACAACGCTTCTCTCGCTATCTCTCGCCTCTCTCAGACCGTAGAGAGTATCGAGCTGATGGGCGAGACAGGCGCGATGGGTCAAGTATCTATCACAGTTTCACCCGACAATCGCTTTCCACGCTTCAATCACCAATTCGTTCGGCAAGGGCTCTCTCATCACTTTGCTCCGACAATTCTCGGTGCTCTTCTCCGACAAGAAGCAGATCTCCGTCGGCTTTGTGGGCTATCCCAATGTAGGCAAGAGCAGCATCATCAACACACTCAAGAGGAAGAAGGTCTGTAACGTCGCGCCCATTCCTGGTGAGACAAAAGTTTGGCAATACATCACCCTCATGCGGAGGCTCTACCTCATCGATTGTCCGGGTATCGTGCCACCTTCTTCGCGAGATTCGGAAACGCAAAAGGTCCTCAAAGGCGTCGTCAGAGTCGAGCATCTCTCGAGCCCGTCTGACCACCTGCCGCCTCTGCTCGAGAGGGTCAGACCCGAGTATATCACTCGAACGTACGGCGTGAAAGGTTGGAAGGATCCGGATCAGTTCCTTGCCATGCTGGCCAAGAAGCGAGGCAAGCTCGGTCCTGGCGGTGAGCCAGAACTGGACACAGTTGCAAAGATCGTTCTCAACGTCAGTCCTGCCATCCTTCGAGAGCATGCACGTGTCTGATAACGTTCGTAGGACTGGATAAGAGGGAAGATCCCCTACTTTGTCCGACCGCCCGATACGGACGGATTCCTTGCCGCTCAACAGGAGAGCGCGGAGCAAGACCAGATCGAGCAAGCCAAGCAAGTGGGAATGGGCAAGCTCAGAGGCGTTACCCAACCGCTCCATCAGATCGTGAGGAGCAATGCCTTCCTCGCCGAGGACGAACAAAGTGGCGCGATTGCAGCCGAGGCTGTCGACGATGACGCTCCCACAGATTCGAGCCCGGCGGCAGTCCCAGATGACGAAGCGGAAGCCGCGATAGAGGAAGAGGTCAGCTCGGATGACGAGGAGGATGGCGAGGCCGCAACAAGCAGCGAAGATGAGACGGGCGCGATCGACAGCGGCTCAGAAGGCGAGCTGACTTGGGACGACCTCGTTGGCAGCAAGCCCGCGCCTGAGGTCAAAGCAGAACAAGCCCTCGTCGACTCAGATGACGGTGAGCGGCCCAAGAAAGAGCCTCGTATGAAGACGCTCAAACGCAAGGCCGAGAACTTTTACACTTCCGCCAATGTCAAGAACAGGAACCGATCACGTACAGTGCCGAAGCAAGTGGGCAAACGGTCCCGACGATGAACACGTTTTTGTTTTGTTTTGTAGTAAAGACTTGCTTGCTTGTACAGACTATGCAGTCGCTCTCCATCCTGCCCTCAGCTGACCGAGTGCGGCTATCGTGCCAAAGAGTCCGACCCAGACGTCGTTGGTGAAGATACCTTGCGGGAGTGACCAGTGCAGCGTGAGAGGCGCATAGCCAGTGTTGATGACGAGCTCGGTGAAGATGGCCGAGCTCTTGAGTGCTACCTCTCTGTCCTCTTCGCGTTGTACCTGACCTTGCTCCTGCGTGGGTGCACGCTTGGAGCTGGCTCGTCGCTGTCTGATCGCTTTGACTTGTCGCGTCAGGATGCGCGATTCCTCGTAGAGATGGCTGAGCTGCAGGACGACATAGACGAGCCAGAAGCGGCAAGACCAGAGTCCGATCTTGTTCATCGTCTCTGTTGACATCTTGATGATCTTGTGAGCAGCGAGGTAGTAGGTATGCTCGAGAGGATAGTAGAGCAGCATGGAGTAGCCTTGCAGTCGTTCTATGGTGTGAAGTCTGGCTGAAGTGGGCGACTTGGTCTGTTCGAGTCCCCTCAGCCATTGGAAGATGGGTAGCAAGCCCCAGAAGCGCAGCCTGTCAGGGGTCTCTCGCTTCAGCCTGGCGCGTCGCTATAGCCGAAAGAGAAAGAGCATACAAAATCCGGGCATCCGAGACGATCGCAGACAGCCCGGCTAGGCTATCTGCAGACTGGGACTTGAGCTGACGTCGTCTGAGGATATAGATCAGGAGCTTGGACGAATATTGGTAGGACATGAGCACTTTGTCTGTGCCCGACCATGTCGATAAGTATCGCACGAGATGGTCCAAATTCGGTGTCTCCGGGAACGCCGAGAAGGGCTTGATCTCGTCCAGAGCCATGCTGCCACTCTCCTGCCTGTTGCGTCGGGTGAATCGTCGGCAATGGCGAGCTGGCTTGCGCTCAGAATTGACGCGACCGGCGCTCTTCGAGACGAGCGCCGTCGACTGTCTGCCTTGTCTGCCCTTCTGCCTGCCCGGTTGCCCAGCGCTCGACCCAAGATGGACGAGCTCAGCGTGACACAGTTGGTGTCTCTCAAGGAAACGATGGAGAAGGCGCACAAGGAGGCACGCTATACTGTCCGTCAGACGATCGTGGCTCCTTTGGCCGGGGCTGATGCCAAACTCGGCCATCTACGCAGGAAGTCCTCGACATTCTCAGTCGCTTGAGATCTTGGAGCCCTTCTGCCGACTCTCTGAGGCAGACCAAGCTGGGCATCAGCTTGACGGGGCTCAAGAAGTCTCCTCACGAGTCTATCAAGCAAGAGTCCATGCAGATCGTTCGGACTGTGCGACACATTCTGCTTGACTGTCACGTAGCACTGATGATGATCGGACAGTGGAAAGATGCCGTCAAGCCAAAGGGCGGCAGTGCTGCCAAGACAGCGACGCCAGGTCGGTCGCCTCGTCTGCTCACAGATGACACTGTCGCTGATCTCACGAGACGACTGTCTAGCCGCGGCAAGCACGCCGGGCGAATCCGCTGCGAGTCCAGAGGCAGCCAAGACAGGTACGCCAGCTGCAACTGTCAAGGAAGAAGCTGCGCCGGCCAAGTCTGCGCGGACAAGCGTGCCCGTGTCAACCGTCAGAAAGAAATCAGAGACGCCCATGAAAGTCCTCACTGGCCCGCGGAGCCTCAAGACGGACGGCATCGAGCTACCCGAACTAGACGAACGACAGCGAGATAATGTCGTGAAGCTCTTCTATGACGCTCTTGCTTCTGACTCTGCTGCCCGTCAGTCATTCCTCCAAGATGCCTCTAGACTTGCGCTGATGATGGCGTGCAGCGGCCGATATGATCGCCACGAGGGTGATGGATGTAGAAGAAGCAGTCTACAAGTTCTACGAGGGAGACACGTCGGGAGACTACCGGCAAAAGACGAGATCGCTCCTGCTCAACTTCAAAGACAAGAAGAATCCCGCCTTGCGCGAGGCTGTCGTCTCCGGCGAGCTCAGCGCGAGCAAGCTAGCCAGCATGAAAGCCTCTGTCCGTTCCCCACCTCCTACATCTCCAGCGAGGCCTGCTCACGAGTCAGGACAGGACTTTTCATCAGAAGAGAGAAAGGCAGAAGACAGAAAGCTGGCCGAACAGAACATGTTTGCCGCACAGTCTGCTGCGCCCGCCGCCGGACAGGCCAAGACAGACGCATTCAAGTGTGGCAAGTGTGGCAAGAGAGAGTGCACGTACTATCAGATGCAGACTCGCTCGGCTGATGAACCGATGACCACATTTGTCTGCTGCATCGTCTGCAACAATCGCTGGAAGGTGAGTCACAACCCCTGCGCTCGTTCGTCAGCTAGTGGCGCTGACTTGCGCTCAACACAGTTCTCGTGAGCATCTATATCAGTTGTCGTTGTAAAAATGTTGTGCAATCTCCATCGAGCCGACGTGCGAGACAAAGACGCGTTTTCTGAATGAGGCGCGCGCCGCCAGCAGGGTCAAGCCAAGGGCGAAAGACCGACACAACAGACGACACTCTAGCAGAGCGTGAAGGCTAGCAAGCCGAGGAAGCTGCACCTATACCATCATCGCCCACGATGAGAGAGGTACGACATCCTTCCGTCGCTCGCTTCCCGGTTCGGCGTCGAAGGACGAGAGAGAGGGGTCGAAGGCGTGTGATCGCTAGCCCCTCGCCCATTGTCCTCGCCTCGCCTCACTCGTTTTTCAAATAGCTCCTCCTCCTGCTTCGGGCTCAGAGAGAGGGAAGGACGAGAGCTGATCACTGTTTGCTCCTCTCGCTCTCGCTTCTGCCTCTGTTGCAATATTGACATCGACCTGTACCTATACCAATGTCGCCCGGCTCTCAGATTGTGCACTTGCAAACAGGCCAAGTGAGTCGCTCGTGTCTACTCTATCGTGTCGCACGCAGGCTGATGGGCCTGTGACGTCCAGTGCGGCAATCAGATCGGTCAGCTCGACTCTGTGTGGTCACCCCAAGGAACTGCGCCTCACACCGTGTTGGACAGGTGCCAAATTCTGGGAAGTCGTCAGTGAAGAGCACGGCATCGATCAGACGGGCGCCTACGTAGGCACCAACGATCTCCAGCTAGAGCGCATCTCGGTCTACTTCAACGAAGCCTCTTGCAAGTCCACCTTGGCCCGTCACTGTCTCGTGCACGCGCTGATGGCTCGCTGAGCAGCGGCAAAGTATGTACCGCGAGCCGTCCTCGTCGATCTAGAGCCAGGCACAATGGACTCTGTCAAGTCGGGTCCATTCGGTCAGCTGTTCAAGCCAGACAAGTCCGTTCCTTGTCGCCTTCACGCGGCCGATCTGTCAAGGCTGACGGGCGCTTTGACAGCTTCATCTTTGGCCAGTCTGGTGCAGGCAACAACTGGGCAAAAGGTCACTACACAGAGGGTGCTGAACTGGTCGATCAAGTGCTCGATGTCGTCCGCAAGGAGGCAGAGGGCTGCGACAGCTTGCAAGGTTTCCAGATTACCCACTCGCTCGGTGGCGGTACCGGCGCAGGCATGGGCACCCTCTTGATCTCAAAGATCAGGTCGGTGCTATCCTGACTTGGGCTGATATGTACGGACTGATGCATACGCAACAGAGAGGAATTTCCTGACCGAATGATGGCGACTTTCTCAGTCGTGCCTTCACCAAAGGTGACAAAGTCTGTCCTGTGCTTCCCGACAGAGCTCAAGCGACTGGCAGGTATCGGACACAGTCGTCGAGCCATACAACGCTACCCTGTCTGTCCATCAACTCGTGGAAAACTCTGACGAGACATTCTGTATCGATAACGAAGCGCTCTACGACATTTGCTTCAGAACGCTCAAGCTGACCACACCGACCTACGGCGATCTCAATCATCTCGTCTCTATCGTCATGTCAGGCATCACCACTTGTCTCCGCGTACGTTCCTGTCTTGATCAGCCATACGATCTGACACGAGAGCCCACAGTTCCCCGGTCAACTCAACTCCGATCTACGAAAGCTTGCCGTCAACATGGTCCCCTTCCCTCGCTTGCACTTCTTCATGGTCGGCTTTGCACCGTTGACGTCTAGAGGCAGCCAAGGCTTCAAAGCCGTCACCGTGCCCGAACTGACTTCGCAAATGTTTGAGTCTCGCAACATGATGGCAGCCTCCGATCCCCGCCGAGGAAGATATCTTACCGTCGCTGCTTATTTCCGTGGCAAGGTCTCGATGAAAGACGTAGAGGAGAACATGATGTCGGTCCAGACAAAGAACTCATCCTACTTTGTCGAATGGATCCCCAACAACGTCCAGACCGCTTGCTGCGATATTCCTCCTCGCGGCCTCAAGATGTCTGTCACTGTGCGTCTTTGTTCGCCTATACTGTGACGGCAGAGCTGATGTCGTGAGCAGTTCATCGGCAATTCGACTGCAATCCAGGAGCTGTTCAAGCGTATCGCCGAACAGTTCTCTGCCATGTTCCGTCGCAAGGCTTTCTTGCATTGGTTCGTCTCTCTAGCATTATCAGTAGCTGCTCAGGCTGACTCGCTTCGCAGGTACACGGGCGAGGGCATGGATGAGCTCGAGTTCTCAGAAGCAGAGTCGAACATGCAAGATCTGATTGCAGAATACACACAATATGAAAATGCGACGGGCGACGATGGCGAGGAAGAAGAATATGCCGGGGAAGAAGTGGCAGAGTAGCAGATGCTCGCTCGATGATCCGTACCGAACCGAAACGATAGGGCTCGCTCTAGAAGAAGGGACAACACTCTCCTTTTGCGCCATGATCTAATGTTCTTTACTACTACCCTCTACGATTGCACGCTCTGTGTGCGCGTGTAGCTCTGCTCTGTTGCTGTGAGCTGTGTGAGTTTTGACTCAAGAAGCGGGCTTTTGCACAGAGCTACAACAGGGTGAACCTACATCTCGCCGCTCTGATGCTATACATCAGCATCATATCTACTTTGCTGTGAGCGTTGCAACTGCTTGAGAATCACGAACATACTAAGGAAGTCTCTAATGTCCACTGATGTCTGACCCACACCCTCAGCGTGGTGGGCGTCTCGTTCGCTTGTAATGGCAGCTCGACGTGAGCGAGATCCCACCAGCACTTCCTCGCAGGCTTCCGCCAGAAGAGCAAGAGTTTCTGAGCAGTTGCAAGTTGGGCGGCATTGACAGTGACATCTGCCATGTTCTGGCTCGCTGGGGTACACGACTGCGAAGGCGACCCGGGAGGGGACGTGGCAGACTTGTGGGTGATGCCGGTCTTGAGGAGGACGAGAGCGAGGGAAGTGATGCAACACCGGTCTGGCTCTAAGGCCCTGAAACCCCACGAGTCGTCTCTGTTGAAGCCACTGGACAGCCCACAAGAGTGTTAGCTCATGATCGAGCCAAGACAATGTCGAGACGTACGACATGCACAGCATATCGATGAGGTGTTGTTCAGCGAGATTGTTTTCTCGGTTGACGTTGCGCTGCAGAGCGGTGAAGATGGCCCGCTGCTCGAGCAAGTGCTGGCCACAACGCTTTTTGAGGTCGATGACTTCCTTGACGGGTACGCCCTCGTCATCGACCGTGGCTAGCCCTTGAGTCTTGCCGGACGGAGGCGCGGTAGCGAAAGTTGTATTGGGCGCGATGAGAAAGAACTCGAGTTCTTCGCGCAGGACGATGATGGCTTGTTTGAGAAAGAGTGGGTTCGACATTGATTGGCTCGCATTGGAGGAATCTTCCTGTTCCCTCTGGATCCGCCGCTTTGAGCCTGGCGGACCGTAGAAGTTGGTTCGCGCCTCGTCGAAGAGGTTGAGGATGTAGCGCAAGCACGCGCCGTCAAACTGTCATTGCAGACTGTGATGAGACCAAAAGTGGCAAAGGGCGCATAGGTGGGCACCCACGTCGACAAAGTAGACATCCTCGTCTTCTTCTCCGTCTGCTCCCTCTTGTCGCTGTGTGTTGAGGACGACCCCGTTTGGAAAGAGACAGAGCAACACTGATTCTGGCAGCTCCATCAATGCCTCTCTGTTTGGACAACACCATGCTGAGTCAATGCTCTCATCTCGGCCAGAGAGACAGCTTGCCTATCGACGGTCAGGCGAGTGCCTCTGAGATCCAAGTGGACTCTCGTCGGCGGTCCAGCCTCACGTGCGGCAACAGATGTACTCGCTTCCCCATGCTGATCAGACGTGTCTGACATGACAATCTGATGCTAGCACAGCTGTCAAGCGAGACTTGGAGACTGCTCGCTGGCTGTTGTACGTGCTGGGTCGCTGCTGTCTCCGTCCTCGCGCTGAGCCGAGACTGGACGATAACAAGCGACCTTTGGATGTTCCCTGGCGAGTTCGCTGTACGCGCTGTACTCTCTGGCGCTGTCGGAGGACTTCTCGACTGCTGCTGACTCGCTGGCCAGTGCTTTGACGGGGCTATCGAGTCGCTAATTCGCTGTCGAGCTGTCGCTGGCTGAGGCCGGGCGCGCGATTTGGCAAACGCCAGCCTTGCCGAGCCCTGAAATCCCAAAGTGATGAGTCGGAAGCTGCTCAATGAGTTGCCCCGAGCCCCGCTCTGGCCTCTGATCGACTCTGGTGAAGCACAGCTCATCACACAAGGAGCAGAAGCCCAAGTCTATCGAGCTCGATTGGCTCCATCATCGATTTTGACTCGTAGCACTCCCTCGGCCTCTGCAGACGAGCCGTCCATCGCTGTGATCCTCAAACATCGCTTCAGCAAAGCGTACAGACATCCTACACTCGATCGGACGCTCACGCGCGCCAGAATCACCTCGGAAGCCAAGGCTTTGATGAGATGCACGCAAGCCGGCATACCCGTTGCTGCCCTCGTCGCGCTCGATTTGGACCATGCCATCCTCGCCATTCGGTACATAGAAGGACCGGGAAGCGTCAAAACGGTACTGGGCGGCTTGCCCGAGCTTGACACCTCGCCGGATGCCCAGGCGGGCGATGTGACCGAATCACCCAGCTTGCTCGACGCGCTCCAACTCACTCAAGGTCTGCACTAGACACTCTGCTGTTCTTCTTGCCTGACGTGAAAGAGTGACAGCGGACTTGATGGTCATGATCGGCAGCACGCTGGCCAAGATGCACCAAGCAGGCACCATCCATGGCGATCTGACAACGTCGAACATGATGCTCGAGCAAAGTGGCGATCGCTTCCAGCTCGTCCTGATTGACTTTGGCCTTTCGACGATATCTGTCTCTCAGGAGGACAGAGCGGTCGATCTCTATGTTCTGGAAAGGGCGATGCAATCAACTCATCCCGAAGCCGAGGGACTGCCCTTTGCTGCGACACGCTTTGCCAGCATTCTGCAAGCGTACGAACGCTCTGTCGGTCCTGCTGAATGGGATCACACTCGTCGTCGTCTGGAAGATGGCAAGCCTTTCCGCGCTGCTGAGTGTTTCTCCGCTGATGGCATCATCATAGTGAGACAACGAGGCAGGAAGCGCTCCATGGTGGGATAACTTTAAGAAAGCATGCGCTGCACAATGTCATCTGACGACCTGACGAATCGCACGCCGACCGGCTGGCAGGTGTCCCGAGCAGAAGACAAGCCGCCTTTGCCGTCGACGGCTTTGCAAGCATCGCTTATCACGATCGTCTCGAAGCCGAGTCGGGCTGCATCTCTGGCTGTCGCAGCCACACTGTCCTCTCTCTGCTGTTTCAGCGCACATGAGCAGCTGCAGAAGCCCCGACAATGCGCACCAGTAGTCTGTCGCGAGGCCGACGACATAGACACTCTTGATCTTGTGCGAATGCAAGTAGGCTGCCAATGGCGAATCGTCTGGTCGATCTGGGTCTGCCGTCCCTCGAGCGAAAGGTGCGAAAGCAGAGTAAGCGTCGACTTGGACGTTCGTCCCCTGCTCAGTCATATATCAGCGCGTGCTGTAATGGTGAGAGAGTCTTGGCGACTATACGCGCCTTTTGGACGATGTGGTGCCTGTCCTTCCAGTGCGAAGAGGATAGGGCACGCAGGATCCGCTCGTCAATCTCACTGCCAGGCTCGTGCTGCACGCAATGGTCAGGCCAAAGCATTTGCTGGAACGGCTGTCCGTCCGCGTCTCTGAGCTCAATCTCATCGAGCGGGCTCAGACCATGTCGGGATGCAAAGGAGATGTGTGACCGCGGATGGTAGTCCTGTCCGTAGCTTGCCTTGAGATTCTGCGAGGAGCTGTGTCTGAGCCAGCTCACCTGAGAGGCAACGATCATCGACCACCGGCCTCTTTCGATCAAGTGCTCAACAACCGGCAATATAGTCTCTGCCCCTTCGACTGCCAAAGCACCACTGATGAAGTCTTTCTGAACGTCGACGATCAACAGGGCCGACATCTCTCCGAGCACCGTCGCCGTCGACATCCTACCGATCGGGCGCAAGGCAGGCGAATGCCCCCGAGCCCTGACAGGCCTGACATCAGTCAATGATACGGCGGCAGGCTCAGCAGCTCGCACAAGATGCCGCACGTAGCAGCAAACGCAGATTGGCTTCTCAGGCATCTCCGCTATCCCTCGCAGGCCTCCCACTTCGCCTTGCTATCGTCGGCTCAGGTCCTGCAGGCTTCTACGCTGCTGGCCGTCTGCTCAGCTTGCCCGGCACTCAGAACGTCAGGATAGATCTCTTTGAGGAGCTCCCCGTGCCCTTTGGACTCGTCCGCTTTGGTGTAGCACCGGACCATCCTGAAGTCAAAGTGCGCATCACGCTCTTTTTCTCAGCTTGATGATGTTCATGCCGTACCGAGTTCCAGAATTGCCAACACAAGTTCGAAGAGACGGCTACAGATCCTCGCTTTCGCTTCTTTGGGAACGTCCAGATCGGTGGCCTCGTCGATCCGGATCACGCCTACGTATCGCCCACGCCCGCCGCTCGCGAATCCCGCCAGAGTATCGCACTTCCTCTCGACCGGCTGCAAGAGCACTACGACGCCGTCCTGCTCACTTATGGTGCCTCTCGTGATCGAGAGCTCGGGCTAGCCGGCGAGGACAGCCTGCAAGGCGTCTTGTCCGCACGCTCATTCGTACATTGGTATAATGCCCATCCGTCACAGCCAGACCCGACTCAGCTTGACCTGGCCAACACGGAGCATGTCACTATCATTGGTCAAGGCAACGTCGCTCTAGATTGCGCACGCATACTTTTATCGCCAATAGATTCGTTGCGCAAGACCGACTTGCCAGAATATGTTCTCGCCCAGTTGGCGCGTAGCAAGGTCAGACACGTCGACGTAGTAGGCAGACGCGGGCCACTCCAGATCGCATGTACTACCAAAGAGTTGCGCGAGCTCCTTGCCCTGCCCGATGTAGCTTTTCGGACCGATCTCAATCTGCTGGCGGAAGCACAAAGTCAGCTGGCAGGCTCGCCCGAGATGAGTGGCGCAAGAATGAAGAAGCGCCTTCTGGACCTCATGCGCAAAGGAACGTCAGACGGCAGCAAGAGCTGGTCCTTGTCATTTCTCAAGTCGCCAGAAAAGCTCATACCTTCAGAAACTCAGTTCGACCGTCTGTCGGCGGTGCGATATCGCCACAATGCGCTCGAGCTCAGACAGGGCGGCGGCGGCCGCGGCGGCGATCCTAGCGAGGCCAAAGCAGTACCCACAGACAGCACATCCATACAAAGTACAGATCTACTACTCAAAAGTGTCGGCTATCGCTCTATAGGCATTCCAGGCGTGCCATTCGATGAGCAACGTGGAACCGTGCGCAATGTCGATAATCGCGTCATATCATCCAACGGCGTAAAGGCATGTGAAGTCATATCCTATAGCTACTAAGCTGAGAGTACGTGGGAAAGCAGGTGCCTGGACTATATACATGCGGCTGGCTCGCAAGAGGTCCCAATGGCGTCATCGCAACGACGATGTATGGCGCTTTCGGCACCGCCGAATGGATCGTTCGCGACGCACTCGACCGGCATTTCGAGATACGTGATCGTGTCCCACTTGATCCTGCATCGCTCTCGTTTGGGCCACAGCGGAAAGTCATAGATTGGGGTAGCTGGCAAAAGATTGATCACGAGGAGCGGCGCCGCGGTGCGCGGCTGGACAAGCCGCGCGAGAAGATACTCGAAGTGTCAGAGATGCTCGACATTGCTTCTGGCTGAGCTGCCCTACCGGACCATGACAACCCAAGCCTGACGAATGGTTCGATCGACTCGCCCAACGGACTTCTCCTTCATACCCTGCTCGTCACGTCGCGTCAGTGAGCCGACAGATGGTACACGCGCGCATGCACTTACGCGCTTCTGGCAACGTACGGTATTCATGCAAGCCGCTCGTGCACGTGATCTGGCTCCCTCCAGACACTCGTGTTTTGGCAAGATGACAACGGCGAGTCCATGAAGACGGATCGAGCAGAATTGGGTGCTCAAGCTCCACATTGGCAAGGAGAGTTTTGGAGCGGCACACACGTCTGCGCGAGCAGCTGCGAGGCGGAGGCCCGATTGACATGTAGCTCAGCTTAAGCGCGGCTCACTACATCGACTCATGCGTGCATTGCGCATTATCGACTACGCCTGCTGAGAGGTTAAGATGTTGACGCATTAGTCCAATCGCGCGTGAGACGGTAGTCCACGTTTGAGCTCTATCCTCGCGAAAGCTGCAAGGAGCGAGGGCTGAAGGACAGCTAACTCTCACAGCAAGAGTTGTGAAATCGATATGCTTTCATGTTCCTACTCGCCATCCACCGACTCGTGAAGTGTAGACAGTGGACCCGCGTAGTGCAACTCGACGATGAGCGCGGTGATCGAGCACCGACGATCGAGCGGCGTGTCCGTCGTCGACGCACTCGAAACGAAAAAAGCAAATGGCTCGTGAGACTGACGGGTAGCTTTGTTAATGCTGACGAGGGAGCTACTCAAGCACGAGATGACTATCTTTCATCTGAGGAACCCATTTGGGCGATACAAAGGCCCCGCCTTCGATCGTCTTCAAACCGGAGTGGACCAATCGGCTGATGAGCTCGACTCGCGTGTCTATGGACACCGGTTGCTGCTCATTCTGGAGGCCGTCGCAAGCGCCGACCTCGACGATGTTGACCCGCTTTTGAGGCATGCGGTACATCCGGTATCAGCCTGCTCGCCGCAATTTAAGTTTACGCAGTTGACATTGCCGCGATGCTCTAGCTGGAATCTGTTGAGCCATTCAAACATATGGAGACTCAGATACACTCTGCTTCGAGATAGCAGATCATCGCTCTCTCTATCTCGAAGCAGATCATCGCTCTCTGACACAGTGGCAAGGGTGTATCCACTGATCAAGTGGCATGGTACGCAGCAGGCGACCGTTGAGGTGACAGATGGTGCTGAAGGTCTCCATCTGGCCGCTTGCATGATTGCACGCACGAAAGGCACCCTGAGGCAGGAGGCTGGAAACGTATCATCGGTCATGTCGCAAGGTATCTGCATCGCTAGCGCCTCGCTTGTGTCTGCTAGTCACACTGACGGAGAGCTCTGAGCTGGACTTAAGGCTTGAGGTTGCCATTGCGGTCGTAGCATCGCAAAATGTCCGTTGGGGGCAGTATGACAACTCGAATAAGTCGCAAAGCTTCTCAAGATTAATTTGATGCGGTGATAGACAGGATCATCACGAATGCAGTCGTGATCGCAGACTGCCTGGTGGGCATGTGAGACAGTGATCGTGATCATTGGGCGCGCGCGATCACTTGAATGTATCAGAGCTGCTGAAGATAGTCCAATCTGTGGACAGCAGCCGGTGCATCAATGCTTGACCGGGCTTGCGTCGAGGTTTGTATAGCTGAGCATATTTGCGCATGGATGTATTGAGAAACTTTGAGGGCGACCTAAAGCTTTGGGCGAGTCTTGGCCGAAGCAATCGCGGATGCAAATCGGCTGATGATCACAGACGAGCAGCGACCGAGGGCAGACAGGTGAATCTCGAGGACAGGTCAGCTTCGACTTGGCCTCGACCAGTTTCTTGCATCGAACACGTGTCATGATTCGCATCGTATACGTGTCGTGATTGCTCTCACGTGATCACTCGATCGCCATGAAGTCGGACTCACGTGACCTCCTCCCAAAGATCACCGAGGTCACAAATGATCTTACTAGATGTCACATAGCATGCCATGCCTCTGAGCGGAATCTGCGGGCAAAATCGCTGAAAAGTTGCTGTATGGCTGCAGCTACATATAGAGGACCCCTGACAGATTTTCATTGGAATCGATATTGAGCCTCGTCGGACGCGGCTGCTGTCTGTAGGCGCTTTACCACTCCTCCTGGCGCTGTCAGGAGCGAATCGAAGGAGGTCATTTTGAGAAATAGATGATGCAATCACGTGATGTATGCGGCGCTCTATAGCGCCTGAGTTCCCCGCTGCTCGGGACAGTCTCCGCCCGGCCGAAGGGGCTCTCCGCAGCTCTGCGCGACTCTGACGTGTCAACTGCACGATGCAACTCAGTCTGAGAGCGCTTTCTACTCAGACACATCGCAACTGAGCATGGCGGAGTATTTCCATCGAGTTCGCGCGTGAAGATAACGACCTGAAATGCTCAGACGCAAATGTGTCTCAATCATGCTCGCTGGGCCCCAAGTCCTCTGACCAACAGAATGTACCTTTGCGCAGTCTATGCTAGGCGTTGTCAGATCTGTCAGAGCTAAATGCATAGATACATGATATCGGAGCCAGTAATAAATGCATATGAAGGAGCTCATCTTAAGTGAGCTACGTTTCCCAAGCCAGGCATCGTGCATCGTGTACGCGCGCAGCCTGACTCATTTCAAGCTAGTGCCATACAGCAGGTCATGTCAGCGCATGAGGAAGAGGATGACGACCTTGCGCTGTTCTTTAGCGAGGTCGATGCCATCAAGGCGAGATCGCCACCGGCCGATGAGTCCTCGATACCGACTGCGAGCACAAGCGCCTTGCCCAATGCAGCGTCGGCAGCCTCGCAGCAGCCACAACAGCCTCAAGCGAGCCATGCCGCGCACGCAATTCAAACGGCGTATGCGCCACATCTTCATGCTGGGCAAATACAACAACAAGAGCAGCAGCAGCAGCAGCAACAAAGGCATTGGTCTGGCTATGCTGCGCCGCATCAATCTTATGGTGCGCCAGCTCAGCAAGGTTACGCACCGCCAGCGGCAGGCTATTCTGGACTTGCCCCAAGCTTTGGACAGCGCAAACGTCGACGGCCGACTCTGAGACTGGTCGTACAGCGATCCAAGATACTGACGCCGTCCAGTGTCGCCATGATCGCGCCGGACGAAGATCCGACGGATGTTGGGCGAGATCTCGCGCACGCAAAACGACTGCGACTCAAGGAAATGGAGGTCAGTAAGCTCCATGCGACCATATTCTGGTCTACTGCGCCTGCGGTCGATAAAGCTCACTTTCACCAAGGATGGAGGTAATCTGCCTTGCCGTTCATGCTTTCAAGCCAGCCTTATTGACGCTCCTCGTTTCTCTCCCTCAAATCAGCGTCATCGACCGCGCGAGTACCCAGGGCACATTCCTGAACTCGCCAGACCAGCCGGTTCAGCGGCTTTCTGCAGCCAAAGCGACCTCGCGACCGGTCAAGCTCTACCACGGCGACGAGCTTACTCTGGGCACGACGACGTTTCAGGTGCATCTGCACGACACGTTTGCCTGCTGGGATGCAGAAGGGCGATTCGAGGAGCAGCGAGGCGATTGCCCCGGATGCGTCATTGCGCAAGATCAGTCCAATTGGGTCAAACTCGAGCGCATGCCCTTGGAGACACGAGGAGCAGCAGCGGCGCCGGAACTTGCACCACTCGATGTTGAGCCTGGCCCGGACGGTAGGATCCCGCTTGTAAAGACAAAAGCGATCAGAGAAAAGGAGCGCGTGGCAGCTATGTCCGCTCTGCGGAAGCGCTACCTGCGCGCAAAGTCAGAGGAAGAGGCAGACCGGGAGGACGATGTGGATGGCACACCTGCATACGTCGATCGTTCAGCTATACGGCGGTCTACGCAAGCGTCAGATGATCCGCCTCCACCGGCCGCAAAGCGAGCAAAGAAAGGCGGATCGTCATCGCAGCAACCTGAACCAGTCAAGCACGAGCCAGATCAGACCGTCTTTACGGACTCAAAGGCGGCCCAGATGTTGCAAAAGATGATGGCCAACTCTGCTTCGACCAGTGCAGACCCCTCTGCGACCGCACCGACTGGACTGGGCACTCTCATTGAGGCCAAGACGCTTGGCGTCGAGCGAGCTGGCCTTGGTTCGCGTGAAGCTGTCACGGCTGCATCGCTCAGCGAGGCTCATTCAGGATCCTGGCGCGACAAGGTCAGGGAACAGAATAGACAAAGGTGGCAGGAAATGTCAAGGAAGCATTTGTGAACATCCTGTTGTACTGTCGTCTGCTTGCCGTCCTTCGACCGATCCATCCAGCACGCGTGCGCCGCGCGCGACTTGGTCCCAATGGAAGCGAAACGACATTCTGATGATGAAGACGAAGACGGTCTCGAGCTGACTCAAGCCGAGCTAGCACAAGATGAGCTCGACCGAAAGGAAGCCATCGGGTCCGCTCGAACGCTTACTCTGAACGCTAAACAAGCTGAAAAAAGCCGTTGCTACAGACTGCTCCTACAGCACATGTCCCCAGAGCAGATGGACCGCTACGAGACCTACCGTACCTCTGGCTTAGCCAAGTCAGCCATCAAACGACTCGTCGGCGTTGTCTGTCAACAGACAGTCTCGCCCAATGTCATCGTCGTCGTCCGTGGCTTCGCCAAGATCTTTGTAGGCGAGATCGTCGAATTGGGTGCGTCTCGTGTGCTCGGTGCTGGCCAGTCATGCTGACATTGCCTGCCTCGCAGCGCTCAAGATACAGCGTGACGCTGGCGCAAGTGGTCCGCTTGCGCCTGATCATATTCGCGAGGCCTATCGACAATGGAACTATGCAGCAGATCAGCCTGGCAGCGACCGCAAGAAGCTATTTGTGCGGTAGCGGGACCGCTCTCACACCAGGCTATCAATACGACCCATGCTGTGCTGGGCAGGCGCCAGCCGATGCTGTCTCCACACCGAGCACGCAACTGCCGAAGTGCATCAGTCACATCGGAGCATGGATGGCCCACTTTCAGACAGCCTCATCGACGCAGCCGTCAACGATGTCGAATCCTATTTCGTACATGCATGCTCATCGGAGGACGTGCATCCTGTGATGGCCGAGTGAAAAGCCAGCTAATTTGATTTACAGTAGCGCTGGCACAGCCAGCGCAAGTGGTCGAAGCGGTCGGGTCTCCTCCAGCTGAACGCCGTAGATCAGGCAGTCTTGAGCCTTTTGTGGTCGTCTGGTGGCCTCATTGACCTTGGCTAGAAGCAGCCAAGCTTCTGGTACGTCCCATCCGTTCGTCTGAGTGAGGATATTGAGTAAACCCTCGGCAAGCTCGAAGGAGCCAGCGTCGATGAACAGCGTGCTCATGTGGATCACAGCTGGGATATGGTCCAGCGAGAACGAGAGCGCTTTCGAAAGTGCTGTGGTGGCGAGATTCTCGTTGGCGGTCGCGAGGTGGTAGAGCGCTAATTGCACCCAGACATCGGGGTCATCAGGATCAGTCGTTTCAGCCTCTTGGATAGCGCCTCTTGACTCGTCTGGCTTCTGCCATCGTCTAAAGGTAGCAGCTGACATCAGCCAGAGTTTGACCAGCACAGAAGTCAGCTCGGGAGACCGCTCAGAAGCCGACGAGACAGGTGAGGCAATCGAGTCAGCTGTCGAAGGCTGTCCATTACTCGCTTGTGGAGTAGGCTCTCTGATCTGTCGACTCGAGTACTCTGACTTGATCGATGCACTTCGCTTGGGCACTCTTGACGACACTGGGGGTGGCAGCTGACCCTGTTGAGAGGCATGCAACTCGTTCGACTCGTCTGCGTGTCCGTTGGATCTGTCCAGACTGCCGCGTCTTGCTGGCGCAACAGAATGCTCTGGTGATGCGACCGATTGACTCAGTTCCGCAAAGTGGCGGAAAATGGCCTGCTGGTCTTGCAGTGCAACCTCGGGTCCTTTCAGTGCTTCTAGGATGACATTGCGTGTCATCCGCAGCTGTAGAGCGATGACTGCCGCCTCTGTCGGTGTGACCTCATAGTCGAGCTCGTCCAGCTGCTGTCGGTGGACTTGAGCATTCGGTGACATGCCGTTTGTCAATGGTGCAGCAAGGTGGCCGTCACTATTTCCGCCATTGACAGGATGGTGTAAGCCATCAGCAGGCTCCTCTGGCGTTCGAAAACCATCACTATTCGCATTAGAGTGTGCAGGGCCTAAAGCCTGTGTTGACTCGTCTAAGGCGGTATCTGCCAGGTGAAGGGCGCTTGCCAAGTCTTTCTGGGCGGTCGCGATGAGAATGAGTACATGCCAAGCGACCAGCTGAGTCGGGTCCAGTTTGAGCGCAGCCCGAGCATGTCGATCTGCATCGCTGACGTGGCGCAATTCGAGATGCAGATACGCCAAATGATAGTGCGTATCGAATGACTGCTCCCCCAATCCGACTGATTTTTCGAGATGATCAAGAGCTTCGGCTTGCAGCTTGGGCCGCGTATCTGGATCGCGGTCGTGGCGAGCCTTTGCTGCTGTTGCGATACCAATCATTCGCTGCAGGCGTGCTTCGATACGCTGTCGATCGGTCAGCGCGTCCGAATCTGCGAGTGTTTTGAGTGCAATTCTGCTATGCGCCAGCGCCGCATCGGGATCTTCGAGATATTTGCAAAGCAGTCGCATGCCGAGCAAGACGGTGTCAATGAATTGCTCATCGGTATCGAAATCTGTTTCGCCATGACCGGCAGGCGCTTTTGGTTCGGCCTGTCCGTCTTCGGCTTGGGAGGCCTCGCTGCCCTCTTGGTCGTCATCCTCAGCGTCACCGTTGCGCTGTGAGCCGCCGCGGTTGCCTTGCTGCTGACTTTCAACGAGCTCTTGTGCTACTTCGGCCATGTTGGTCTCCTTGGCCTTCTCGAAGAGCTGCACATATAGATCAAGAGCCTTGCGAGCATCTGGATACTCCCTTGTCGCGATATGCAGCGGAATCAGATAGCGTAGCAATCGCTGAGATTGGAATGTGTGAGTCGTGCAGCGGTACATCAGCTGGCGGGGCACAGCACATGTCAGCTCACTCTGGTTCGTGGGCTGTGCAAGAATCCTACCTCAATGAGCTCGGGCGCATCAGTAGGGTCTGAGCCCGCAGCGCGCCACAGCTCGGCGACGCGGTCGGTCAAGTCCACGACAGGCTTGTTGAGCGCGCCCGCCTTGGGGAATGAGGTCGACGTCCGCAAGACATCCTCGTACCCTTTGACGACGCGAGCGGCTTCTGTGCGCCACGAGTGCGCGTCTTCTGTACTCGTCTCTGACGTGGGCGCAGTGTTGATAAGTGCGCGAAGGTAAGATCTGTAGATGACGGAGCGCTTCGAAGTACAGTAGCTGGCAGGCCAGGTCGGTACGGCAGCAATGTATGCACGATGATAGTCTATGATGGTATCGGAACCGCTGAACAGTCCAAGTCAGTTGAGGCTGTGGCCAGGGGAACCACGCGACTCACGAGATGAGATTGGACAGAAGAGCGGCCCGATAGAGAGCCTGCTCGCCGTAGACTTGGAGCTCGTCAGATTCGGGTGAGGTGGAGTGTAGATGACGATAGAGCTGTACAGCATGTCTGTATGTTGCGAGCGCGTCTTGCGGCTCGTCCTGTTGCTCCTGCGAGAGAGCTGCGAGCAGCCAGGCAGTATAAGCAAAGACCTCGCTCCTGAAGGCGGAGCTCGCTGACCGAGAACGAAGATGGCCATGAATTTGAGGTCAATGTCGTGACCTTGTGCGCCCGAGAAGAGGCTGTTGGTCTCGCCTTGCGCGAGTTCGTCTGCAAGTGGCTGCAGGGCTTGTACGGCCTTGTCAAAATCATGGACGGCATAGTAGCCTAGGGCGGAGATGTAGGCTGCGTTCTGTGTAGGCTTTAGCGCATCAGAGCATGCTTGTCAAGATGGACAAAGACAACGTGCCTGCGAGTCTCCGGAGGCGCGCGACTCGAGCAGATGCATGGCCCACTGCCAGCCATCCATCTCTGATTCGGGTATAGGTGGGGGTATTGAGATACTAGCTGTCGTCTTGCCCCTGCTGGCATCATCCTGCTCGTCGGCGGGGAATGATGCGAGACCAAAGTCTCGCTCGTGGGCATGATCATAGTGGAAGCCTTTGCGCTGGGCGCCGAGCCGGAGAAGGCGATAGATCGTCTGTTCGGACAGTGCCGTCTCATCCCGAGCTGCAAGTTCGTCGTGATCAGCCGCGGCTTGGGGGAGACAAGAGCAAGAGATGGCTCACCGTTTGGATTGTGCTTGTTGTACTTTCTGACGAGCTCGGACCAGCTCAGACCTTGCGAGACACCCGAGGGTAGACCGAGCGATGCTGTTCTGCCCGTCGAAGTATGCTCCTGCGGCACACAAGACAAGTTCAGCGAGTCAGAAAATGGTCCCGTTGGTCTTGCGAGCAGAAGGAGCTCACGCCTGCAGCCAAGGGAACTTGGGCCTGCCAGAAGCCAGAGCGTCGAGCATAGTCTAGCGCTTTGGCATAGGCTTGCCCTTTGGCAGTGCTCGACTTGCCGACCATGCTTGGCAAGGGGGAGGTCGTCGTCGTCCGCTATTTGTCGCTCGTCGATTTTGTGGAGATCGTCGCTTCTTCTCTGGCAATTGCCGAACTTGAAACAAATCTCGTGACGACATCACCAGCCGGAACGCCAGCGAGATGGACACGCCCGTCGAGCCACCTACTGGTCAGGGAGGCATGTCGTGAGGACTGATTGAGGCTCATGCTGCTAGGCAGTACTCAAGCTGCTGCTGATAGGCAGCTCATCCGTCGGCAAATCCTCACTGCTCACGCGATTCACCGACGAAGTGTTTGCTTCGGATGGCGAATCTGCGGCCACGGTCGGAGTGGATATGAAGGTCCGTCGTGTGAACTCTGTCTTGCCCGGCGCTCGAGCTGACCACGGTCCAGGACAGGTCAAGCTAGTCAAACGAACGCCGCCGGGACAGTCGACTGCAAAGACGTACAAGCTCGCCCTCTGGGACACAGCAGGCCAGGAGAGGTTTAGGACGCTCACTTCGTCTTACTACCGAGGAGCACACGGTGTCATTGTCGTCTACGATGTCGCCAATAGAGAGACCTTTGTCAATCTTGACACCTGGTTTCAGGAGCTAGAGACTTTCTGCCACAACGATATTGTGCGCATCGTCGTCGGCAACAAGACCGACAAGGTGAACCTTTTCTCGTTGGTGCACGAGCATCAGATCTGATGGAGAATGCGCCAGGAATTTGCGAGAATGGTGACAGCAGAGGAAGGTCAAGCTTGGTCGGACTCGCGCGGGTGCCTCTTCATGGAATGCTCTGCCAAGCAAGGCAAGAATGTAGAGTCGCTCTTCGACACCGTCATCGACAAGGTATGGCTCTCGCTTCTGTCTTTCGAGACCTGCTGACGTGCAGCTACAGATCATCGAGAATCCGAGGCTGTACGCAGCGCCGAGAGCGAACAGGTTACCAGGCGGTTTCAATGGCGATCTTGTCAACCTACAAAGTGCGAACGACGTCAACGCAGGGTGGTGCCGGTGCTGAGATAGTCGAGCGTGTTGAGCACTGGGAGCAAGTTGATGTTGTTGAGCGAGCCTATGCATCTTTATACCACTTCTGTCGGTATTCAAATCGAAGGCTCATATGGATAGACAGAGACTGGCTTCTCTTGTCAGGACAGATGCGCCCAGGCATCTCCAGTCATGCTCGGCATCACAAAGGCGTCCCAGTACGTCGTCGCGCTCGAAGAAGTCGACGCTGCTGGCGTTGTTGCTGTGCTGTCCTGAGCTTGCACCGCTGCCTCAGCTGTGTCATTGTCTGATCCATGCCCTGACGTCTCTACTGAAGCTTCCTTCGGCCCTCGTGCTACGACTCGTTTAGATCAGCGCGGTCATTGGAGATTCTGCCTAGCGGTGCTCACTAGCTTGTATCCCATTAGCACCCGTTGCAGCATGCTGGGTCGATCGCTTGCTATGCTCCTGTCTGTTGTGCGAATCGATCTTGCGCTTCTTCGTAGACTTGTCGCTCTTTGTCTTGGGCGCAGGCACTTTTGCAGGCTTGGTGGCCGCACCGCCAAACGAAGCGGGCAAGCCCATTGCGGCAAAATCAATGACCTGATCGTCGCTGGCCATGATCCGAGTTCGCAAACGCTGAAGGGAATTGTCAAGGCGGATAGGCCTGGCGAAGGAGCGACCGACTGTCCGCTGCCGGCGTCGCGCTGGTTGCAGCAGCTAAGCCCAGCCCAGCCAGCCATAGAGCGACTCGAAAGTCAAGCCCTGGGCGCCCAGCATGGCGCAGTCCAGCCATGAAGGGCTCATGGAGAGCCTGAGGGAGCAGTTCAGGCAGAGACACTACAAAGAGACCATCATGTCAGCTCTCGTGATCATTTTGCCCGCAGGTGCACTCGCTCATCTCTCTGCTCTTTCATCTCTCCCAGACCCTCGATCGAACGTAGACGGCTGCTCTTGATAGAGTGCTACTATCTCATCGCCGATCTCAAGACACCCCAGCTGCTCGGTGCAGGCTCGATTCCGAGCAAGGCGTCAGGCACAAATGAGGCCGACAAGGCGACAACAACTCGGCCGGCGCCCAGGACTGCCAGCTCCGTCGAGCTTGTCCAAGCTCAATGTCAAGCCTTCGTCGAGCGTCATCTGGCCAACAAGAGGTACGTATGCAAGCGCACAGTCTCGTCCCGCGTGATCTCACGCCGAGACAGTGACATCAACGAGATCCTCAATTTGCTTGTTCTTCCCCCGCTCGACCCATCCCCGCCGACAAGTCCAGTGGTGCCGCGGTCTACGAATACCGCCCCTCGCGCGCCCTCGGCGAGCTCCAGCGCGCCCCAGGCTGCAGGCAGTACAACGAGCGCGACTCAGACCGCGTCTACTGCTGCCACACGCACCGCGCCTGCGCCTACTCCCGGCGCTGCATCGAGCTCGCGATCTGCAACGTCACAACCCCCGCCTGCCACCGTCTCGCCAGCAGCGCTGACCATATCGGATCAGCCGCCGCCCACAGCAAGGCCAATCGCCTCGAGCAGCGCCTCTGTACATTTCACCCCTCTTTTCCCGCCTTTGCCAGATGAGCTTATAGATAAGCGGCTACATATCGGCAATCTTGCCGTCTTTGCTGCGAACGCGCCTGGTAGCAGCAAGCAGAAGGGCAAAGAGGCCGCGCGAGTCAAAGAACAGCTGCGCCATACAGCACAGCCGGGCGCGTCAGCAGCTTCGCCTGCCCAGGTCATAGGCATAGCCCCTCCCATAGCTTCTACTTCTGCTGCTGCGACCGCCGTATCGCCAGGTACGACCCATCGTCGAGCTTCCGCCGGTCCAGAAGCGCTAGCAGCTCTTACAATCACGCCACTCAGTGGTGGCATGGAGCTCTTCAAATTTGGTTTAGCGCGGGCGACGCATGCTGGCGTGAGGGGCCTCGCTACTGGCTTCCAGATGGGACAGTCGATGGCCACTTTTGGCGGCGGAGGGGCAGGGGTTGGTGACAAAGCTCCAGTGCCGCCCTCAGGCGACAAGACCATCGGCAGTCATCTCGACCGACGCTATCGACCCGCCAAAGTCGTTCTGACGGCAGATTGGAACGTCGCCCTTTTCGAGCTGCGGGCTTTGCGAGCTCAAGAGAGGATCGAACAGCTTAAAGCTGATGGTCTATGGAGCCTACGACAGCCAAAGAAGCAGCGAGGACCTGCCGTGCCGAAGGCGCACTGGGATTATTTGCTCGAAGAGATGCGCTGGCTTCAGACTGACTTCAAGGAGGAGCGTCGTTGGAAAGCCGCGACGTCCTACATGCTCGCCCAAGCTGTTGTTGCTTGGCATCAAGCAGGCGAGACATACGACCCGGCAGGAGCTCGAGCAACGCTATGCGTCAAAGTCCGCGATCCAAGCGTGCGAGCGGGATCTGCCGACGAAGTCACGAGCATGCTGCTTGACGTGCCTGCTGATGCATCCCTCCTCGAGGCCGGCAGCAATCAGACAGCTTCCGAAGATCGCGATGCCGATGCCGATGGTGACGCAGAAGACGCGGACGGCGAGGATGAGATGGAGGTCGACAAGCCCATGACAAGCGATGGTGCAGAGCCACGCGCTGCGGCCGCTGCTGTGCCTGAGGTACCCGCGGAAGCACCACCAGCACCTACAGACACCGGTCCAAGTTTTGGTCAGATCGTGATGATAAGACAACCTCTCTTCGAGATACCCGAGACGTCCACGCTCGTCGATGTCGCCTCCTTCAACGGCGTGGACGAGCTCGACCTGAGCTCTAAAGACAGCCAATCAGCTATCAGCGCATTGTTACCTGACCTGCCACTATACACCATTCCACAAACGCCTTCAGACCTCGGCGTAACCCGGATAGATCGACGTTTCGACGAATCTTCGCCGCATTATTCTCGCATTTCCCATATTGGCAGGCGCGTCGATTCCAAGCCGATTCTGCTAAGTACTTTACAGCCCGGGACCAATCTGCAGAAGCCTGGCAAATGGTCGAGCAATCTTGCGTGGGATCTGCTTTGCGGGCCAGGTGCAGGTATAGAGCCAGAAATGCTGGAGATGACACACATCGAGCCTGCCAGCTTACCATCTGGTCCTTTTGCGGGCCGCAAGCCGAAAGAGATTGTGCATGCTGTCCCTGTCAATGCACCTCTACCGCCAGCCAACCACGAGCACCGTACAGGCGCATTCGAGTGGACAGACGAAGATGACTCGATCTTATTGGGACTGTCGAAGCAGTACGTTAACAACTGGCAACTCATCGCAGATCTGTTTCATGGCACCAGCAAGAAGAGCAATAGCGACAAGCGAGAGGCATGGGACGTATATAATCGTTGGAACAAGCGATTCGGTCCGGCTTCTGCGCCGTCGATGCTCAATACGGAAGTAGTCGGCACACCTGGAGCTGCACCACAGTCAGCAGATGCTGCCAGTACGTCTGCGTCCCAGGCCGGCGCCATCACGTCGAACGGTACTGCAAAGGTCATAAAGAAGATGCCTACCAAATTTGAAGGCTCTCGTAAGAAGTTGCGGCACCTGAGCATCTACGATGCAATGCGTAAGACCTCGAAGCGGCGAGAAGCTATTGCGGCTCGGCCAGGTACGTTCGACACGCGATAGCTGCGCACTCTGCTCACGTCGCTGGCTTGATACAGGCGCACATATGCCTCGCAAAGTCAGTCTCACCGCGCACGAGACGCACGCCCTTGCCCAGCGCGCCGTAATGACACCATTGCAAGTCACGCAAGTCAAGATCGAGCGCGACAAGAACGAGCAGCACCGCCGACAGTTGATACAAGAAGCCGCGCATCGCCAGCAAATTGCCGCTCAACAGGCCGTAGCTCAACAGCAAGCCGCTGCTGCAGCGGCAGCAGCCGGTCAGCCGGTCAGTGATACATGTTGGCTAGTCCCTTGCTCGGTGCTGACTTCAATGTGCTTATGCAGCCCGGTCAACGAACGCCAGGTGCAGTGCCAGGTGTTGTTCCTCAAAATCGGCCGCCAGGGCCGATGAGTGCGCTCCAGCAGCAGCAGATCAGGCAGTCACTTGCCGTCGCTGCAGCATCTGGTCAGCAGCCGCGACCAGGCAGCGCGGGATCCCAGCAGAGCCCACCTCTGATGATGTCACCAGCACAGAGCGCCGTGTCGCTTCCGAACGGCGGTGGAAGCAGTAGCCGACCGAACTCGCCCTCTCCTCTGATTCAGCAAGGCTTATCGGCAGCAGCGCTTGCCAACCTCACGCCCACGCAACAGGCGGCGCTTGCAACGTCGATGCAGCAGCAAGCCGCGCAACAAGCTGCACTCGCCGCTCAGAGCCCAGCCGCGCAGTACAACGCCGATTCTGCCAGGCAGATCCGCTCACGTATGATTCAGCAGGCTGCGCAGCAACAGCAGCAGCGATAGTGCTGTCTAGCCACATGATTGCAAGCCAGTCTACACTCGGCAGCTGAATGCGTCGTATGCAATTGGCACATACAACGCTCATTCGACTTGTGCACCGTAGCCTCTCAGGCGCTCGGCAAAGGCCCATTCGGTATCTGAGGACATTGGCTTTGAAATCTCGACACCCTCTTTGGTGATGACTGCGAATTGATACTGCCTTGGACGTCAGTAATGGTCAGCGAGGAGACGAGAGACTGACCTTGTTGAGACTGCGCGCGTCTCGATAGAAGAGGACCTTCATGCACTTTCGCAAGAGTGCCTCTGCGTCGTCCTTGGTGAGCTTCTGGCCAGCCGCATGCTTGTCTTCGTAAGCTTTCCTCAGGAGCGGCTGAGCAATGTAGGCGCCATAGCCAGTCGCTAGTGTCGGTGAGCTGTACGTCGTTCCGAGCAGGTCTACGTAACCCAGGAATCTGTATTCAGGGATCAGTAGAGCATCTGTGATGGGCACAAGAAGGCTCACGGCTGATCGTTTTCGATGCCAGCGACAAGGAGGGAGTTCCAGAGAGGATCAAACTTTGATCGACGGCCGTACATGACCCTGCTGAGCCACTCGTAGATCTGGGCAGTCGTCAAGGTCGAACCATCATCTTGCAGCCGCTCCTCTCGCCTGCGCATGGTGATGAGATCAGTCGCGTGCTCAACACTTCAAGCCTTGCATGGACTGACATGAGTCCATCGAGCATATGCTGTAGCTGTTGGAAGTCCGACATGTCGCCGCCCGCTGCTATGCAAGTGTGCGGGCCGACAGGATGAAGTCGCTGCACATCGTCGAATCGAGCGAGTGAGCCATATGACGCTGCAAGGCTCGCGTCAGCGCCGGGTGGCAGTCTACGATGGGCGCGTACCCAATGTATCGGCCGCCAGGATGACACCGCCATCGAACTTGACACCCAGGACGGATGTACCTGTCACGATGGGCTGTCTGTGGGCCGGCGAATGAGATCAGCATGTAGATCAGTATGGCCTCTTCAAGACCGACTGAGTACGTTGTATCGCGTCTGTGTGAGCATGAGACGGTCCAGCCTCTGCCCAGGTCTGTCCGGGCAGTGAAGATGGCGCTGCGAACATCTTGTAGGGAGTCAAAGGCACAGTCGTTGATTGGCGAGCCGGGTCAGCAAAGCAAGCCGCGTCACTCCGAAATTGTTCGTGAACCGATTCGACTCGACACCGCACCGCACCGCACCCGTCGCCGCAGACTGCTTCCGCTTTGAGTCGATCGAACAGCGGCAGATGTCATCTGTTGATCCGACGCCAGCAGAGGCGCCCGGCAGAGACTACGCCCCGATTGAACACGTCGACGATGAGTCCCTGGAACCCCGCCGAGCATCGTCACGCCGAGGCTGGATCTTTCCCGTGCTCGTCTTTGGAGCCATCATACTGCTAGGGATCTTGCCTGGCGAGTCTGATGGCACACCTGTGCGCGATCAGCCCGGTCGTGGACACGACGGCCAGCGCAGTCATGGTGGCGTGCTCGATAAGATAGGTCACTGGATCGGCGACACCGTCGGCTGGCGGTCTAACAACGGCACAGCTGGCAGCGGCAGGCTCACATGGGGATCGTTCGCCTCGGGCTGGTCAGAATCGACAGTCTATGTCGTCTCCACGGACGCTTACTACCGATCGCGGCCGGCCTCCTTTGGAGCGCACATCTCTGATGAACAAGGCCTCAGAGGTTACCTTTTGCCCATCTCCTCGCTTGCCGCACGTCAAGCAGGCATGGACGAAGCAGATGAACTCAGTCAGGAACGCGATTACGCCTGTGAGGATGCCCAGCCCAATCGAGATGGCAGAGGGAATAACGATGACTTTGACGACGCCATCAACACCGTGCATCATCGAAGAGACAATGGCACTGACACCGACGAGACCGTTCAGTTCATAGCACTCATTCTGCGCGGTAAATGCTCCTTTGCGGACAAGGTCAGACGCGCCCAAAGCTTAGGCGCCGTGGGCGCTCTCATCGGCGACAGTGCACCTCACAATAGTCCTCTGCTCGGTAGCGGAAGCTCGCTCGTCGGCATGTGGGGTCCAGACGCTCACGATATCATCATCCCATCAGCCTTTGTCTCCGCAGAGTCTTACAGCGACCTTAGGCGACTCTACCAGGAGTACCTCGATCACCCGAATTCTGAGCTTGGCGTAGCCTTTGCCGATCAGTCGACGCTTGTCCAGGCCAGCGATGCGACGTCTCACACCGCTAACGCCACAGCAGATCGCGGACTTGCCATCGTCATGTCGCAAGGTCAGTCTGGATGACCGTCAGGAGTATGTGTGATCTGATTGCTATTGACCTTGCGCAGATCAAGCTTTCGACTGGCCCTTGATGGATCTGTGCCTCCTCTTACTCTTCTTGCCGTCAGTTCTCACCCTTCTCACCCTCGGTCTGCATCGCGTCAGGGTCGCCCGGCGCAGAAGACAGGACCGAGCGCCCAAGCACGCCGTCGAATCACTACCTTGCATCTTGTGGTCCGAGCATCTCGACGATGACCTTGAAAAGGCGGAGCGCGAAGGCCTGTCTACTGCCGAAGTCCTCAAGAGTCACGCGACGCCGACGAGCTGGCTTGCAAGGATAGGCCTTCGTGCGAGAACAGTGCTCCACGACGCAAAGACTTACGTACTGCTTCGACCGACCACGGCAGCACATGAAGACGACGCCTCGCTGCAAGATGCGTCGCCAGAGGCAAGCGGATCTTCAGCGCCTCTCCAGGCCGTCTCTGCAGCCTCACTCACGCCCGCAGCTCGTAAGCGTATCTTTGGCCAGCGCGAGTGCAGCATCTGCTTGTGCGACTTCGAAGTCGGCGAAGCAGTGCGAGTATTGCCTTGTGGTCACCTGTTCCATCAAGTCGAAGTCGATCCCTGGCTCTTGCAGACCAAGCGAGTTTGCCCTGTCTGCCGCACATCCATCACAGACGTACCCCGTCCGACTGCAGCAGCCAATGCCGTGCTTGTGCCTGTTGAAGAGTCTGCAGACTCTTCGAGGCAGACCAACAATGAGCGCACGCCTCTGCTCGATTAGTTCCGCCACTCATTCACGCCTTTTTGCTTAGTCATCTGATGTTGCTATAGCTGTATGCATCTTGTAGAGCCTCACAAGCTTTGTTTGGGCACCATCGGCACTGCCTTGGGCGCTTACCAATCACGCTACAGACGCAACTCCAAGAGAGCAGGACAATACAGCGACATCCACCACAGGTGCATCCGTCCGGTACAATGGCAGACCTAACAGGCTGCGCGAGCAAGGCGCCAAGCCTAAGGCTTGCAGTTGGGATAGCACGGAAGCTGGAAGCAACCCAGTGCGGCGACCCAGCCGCAATACTTGTACTCGCGCAGACATTCTGGGCAACATCCGAGTCAGCGCGATCAGAACGACAGAAGTTTGCACGCACGATCGTGATCATTGTCGTTACAGTACTGAATTCGCTTTACGAGATTCTCGCCATTGTCAAGGGGCGCAGCAACCGAGTGTTGGGCGGCGGAGAGGACCATAGCAGTAGGGAGAATGATGGAGAATTGCATCTTGAAGCTTGGACTCGTTTATTCGCTGTTTGTCTGTCGAAAGCTTGCTATGAGTTTGTCAGCATGTCAGCTGAGCTGTGCACTCGACTCGACTCGGCGTTGCGCTCGTTTCAGCCTTCTTGCGTCAGAGCATGGATTCTCCTGCAGTACAGATCTTCGTCAACACGGTGGCGATCGATGCATTTAGCGCTCGACATCATTATCACTTGCAGTTGCCAAAGCAAGGAAGCTCGATGCAACCAAGTGCAGCGTTCCATCCGCAGAACGCCGGGTACTGGAGGCACTCTAACGAACGATCGAGTGAGCGCGACGACTTGTATGAGATCAGTGCATACCATCGCGATTGTAGTTGTGGCAGAAGCTAGCCTGCACAGAGACATTAGCAATTTTCTGACGTTGTCAAGAGCATACTCGCCGAAGTCTGAGCGACGAACAGGGCAGTGAGAGCAGCGAGGACAATTGAGAATTGCATCTTTTAGCTCCGGTCTTGTCTTGCTTCTTGTCTTGTGATCTACTTGTCGGTCTAAAGTACGCTGAGAAAAGGCGGTTGAAGAGGATTCAGAGGACGACGGATATTGCTACACTTAATTGGTAACCATTGTGAACGGTCGTCACAACGAGCGGCAAACCTGCAGTTGCCTCGAGACTGCTCTCTGATGGTCTCCTGGAGTGTTAGCATGCGAACAGATCTGTTGCCATGACAGCTATCGATGCATTGGGTGCTCGACATCTCTAAGGCTTGCAGTTGGGCGAGCACGGGAGCAAGAGGCAACCGATCGCGGCATTCCAGCCACAGGATTGCGGCCATTGGAGACAGTCTGTCCGCTTCGATCAGCGAATTCACAGAGCGAGGGGTGCTGCCAACCCTCGTGATTGTAGTCGGCGCAGTAGAAAGCCTGTTATGCCTTTATTAGACAAAGTTTGCTGGACTGGCAAACACGAGGACGTGCCGAAGTCTGGGCCACGAACAAAGCTACGAAGGCGACAAGGATGCTGCTGGATTGCATTTTGCAGGTTGTATCTTCTCTGGCCGATGTATGCCTATGTTTGCGACGGATGGAGCGCTCTGAGGAGCAACCTGTGGCTAACCTGCGCAGTCAGGAGAGCAAGCGAGGATGTTAGGCATGGACTTGAGGCTGTACCACAGCGACGCGCCGCTACAAGTCTCAGCATCGCCTGAATGTTGCCCGCAGCGCAGCGTCAGGCGGCGCTCAGCCCTGACGAGTAGCATCGCAAGGCTCTTGATGCAATGGCTTGCTCGACATCGCTACGGCTTGCAGTTGGGCGAGCAGAGTTGGACGATACAACCAAGTGCGGCGTTCCAGCCACAATATTCTGGCCATTGGAGGCATTCTGTGCATCGACTGGGTCAGCAAGATACCAAGGGTGCGGCCGATACCTGCCTTCGTGGTTGTAGTCATGGCACACGGTCGCCTGCCTTGTCACATGAGCAAACCACTGAGATCATGAAAAAGGCGCTTGCCAGAGTCTGCACGGCAAAGAGAGCCACAAGTGCGGCTGGAATCATTGTCGATCGCATCTTGAGTGCTGTTGATGCTTGACCCGATATGGCGTGATCCGACTTTGAGTTGTTCAACAGTAGCTGTAGTCTGAGTGGAACTGCCGAGAAAAAGGATTGCCACCATGGCCACGTAATGTACGTATAACCGGGATCCGCATTCCGAGAAATCAACATCAACGATGGGAATATCAGCGATGCGACCGCCTCGGCATCGCACTCATTCGGTTGATCAGCTGGCTCCTGTCCGCGTGCTGCTTACGAGCGACTGCTGTACGGCCGGTAACTATCGTTGCATTGGGTCTTTGACATCGCTACGAGCTGCAATTGGGGGCGCATGGAAGCTGAAAGCAGCCCAAGGCTGCGTTCCATCTGACTTCATGTCAGCTGTAGCGACTTCGACGATGGACCAACCAAACATACCCGCAGAGCTTCGGCGCGAATCCGCATTCATCTTTTGGAAGTTGGCCACATGTGACAGCATTGACCATCTGTAGCGAGTCATGAGCTGTAGCGCCATCGCCGCGACGCCAGGGCTTGCCAGAGCTTGGGAGATGAGGGCAGCAAGGGCCACGACCAGCGTGACAAGCGGCTTGCTTTGTCGTCCGAGCATTCTTGAAGAGCTACAATACTGCTCAGAGGCTTTGACGTGGCTGAAATGAACGATGAAAGCGATGCAAACACAATTCTGCAAGCGAGGCCGTCGATATGACTTCAGATTGGTTGTCGCAGCACGTGAAGCCCGGACAACCAAGGTTTCGGCTGAGCCGTCGCAGATTTCCAATGGCAGCAGACCAGCTGCTGAGGCTACAGCTTGGCAGCGCGCCTGAGTGCTGCTAGTGTGGCATTGCCTGCTCGACTGGCTCGTCGGCCGAGCTTCTGACTGATCCAAGCGCCTGTTTCTGCTACTGATTGCAAATTGACGCCAGTCTGGTAGCCCATGCCTTCCAACAGAAAGAGCACATCCTCTGTCGCAACATTGCCAGTTGCGCCCGGCGCATATGGACATCCACCGAGGCCTGCCACAGAGCTATCGATCGTTCTCACGCCATGCTGCATGTCCTACTTAGCGTCGCCAACGAACGGAAAGCGCTGTCGATGCTTACGTCAAGAGAGGTAACAATATTGGCAATGGCCGTTCCATAGGTGTCGTGACAGTGCACAGCGAGCTTCTCGACCGGCACATCTTTCAGGACGGCTTCGAACATGGCGTCGAATGAGAGCGGCGTCCCGACGCCTATTGTATCTGACAATACGACTTGGTAGCAACCCATGGCGTCAATCTGTTTAGCGAGTGCTCGGGTCGCTTCTGGGGCAATGACACCCTCGAAGGGGCACCCCACAGCAGTCGAGAGGTAACCTCGTACTCTCAAACCGAGCTCGAGACCTCTTTGAGTAACTTGAGCGGCGTCATCGATTGCTTGAGGGGTCGTGCGATTGATGTTGGCCCTATTGAAGCCATTCGAGACGGCAAGGAAGATGCAGATCTCATCGGTGGATGACTGACTGTTCGTCTGCACAAAGTTTTCGAGCGCTTTGAGGTTGGGCGTGAGGACAGGGTAGCGTAGTTGAGGCTGACGAGGGAGCTGCTCAAGCACGAGATGGCTATCTTTCATCTGAGGAACCCATTTGGGCGATACAAAGGCGCCGCCTTCGATCGTCTTCAAACCTGAGTGGACCAATCGGCTGATGAGCTCGACTCGCGTGTCTATGGACACCGGTTGCTGCTCGTTCTGGAGGCCGTCGCGAGCGCCGACCTCGACGATGTTGACCCGCTTTTGAGGCGATGTGACGGTGGCCAATAGCCGCGTCGGTGGTAGAGAGATGGTCGTGCGTCGTTGAAGCACTGATCTGGCTAGGTTGAGCGCCATATGAGTCGTGGCATTGGCCCTTCGACTGAGATGAGCAGCTAGCTAGCTGATCGCGTCGCCACCTGCCGGCCTGCCTACCTGGCAGCAGTCGACCCGTCCTCCGTCGCAGCGTTCACGAGCTTCTGCTCGTGACCATGCGTGCAAAGAAGCGCAGCAAGCGCACAGACGACAAAGTCAAAGTCACGCCAACATCTCAACTCATCGCTCGCTACCACGCTCTCGAAAAGCGCCTAGCTCGTGAGACTGACGCCATCGTGCGTGCTCAGCTCAAGGCAGAGCAAGAAGAGCTTGGCGGCTTGGCGACGTATCAAGACAGTTCGCTGCAGGGTAGCGACAAAACCAAGGGCGGCCAGACGGCCAAATGGTCCGTCAAGCAGCTCATCGAGCTTCAAGGCAAGATCTCAATGAGAGTGCTCGACGTCGGCGCCATAGAAGGCACCGCCTACGCTAAACAGTCTACCTGGCTGGACGTGACTTATCTCGACCTGAATCCTCGCGCTGACCATGTCATCAAGGGAGATTTCCTTACCTTTCCGCCAGAGACGGACAAGCAAGAAGATAAGTTCGACATGATCTGTCTCTCGCTTGTCATCAACTTCGTCGGCGACATCAAAGCGAGAGCCGATATGGTCAGACGTGCTCATAGGCTCTTGAGAGACAATGGCTTGCTCTTTATCGTCCTGCCTCTACCGTGCCTAGAGAACTCGCGATACCTTAACTCTCCACGCTTCGAGGCAATCTTGGCAACCCTTGGCTTTGCAAGGATACGACAGCATGATAGCGCCAAGCTGACGCATTGGCTATTTCGCCGGACTCAGGCAGGCAACACTACAGCCTGGCCGAGGCGAGAGGTCAGGGCTGGCGCTAAGCGCAACAATTTCGTCCTCATAGTCTGACTGTCTGAGGCTCCCTCTCTCAAAAGTACAAGTTACCGCAGCTTGACCAATGACGCTACGGTCTCAGCCTCATGTCGGTCAGAACGAGATCAAGTCCGGAACGCTCTATTGTTTGCCCCTGCTGTCGGCCTAGCCGATGCATGCGACGTTCATATGCTTGGCGGCAATCAATGATGATTGAGCTCACCGCCAGTTGCCACTGTGGGTGGCGGTACCAGCACTGTTCTGCTCTGATCTCCCGCGAGCGAGCAAAAAAAAACCCTGACGGCCCTTGGATCTCATTCAGGCCAAAGACCGCGTCAAGTCAAGCACGTCAGAATATCTTTCGAGCAAGCGAGAGGGGATCATGGATCTGTGCATGAACCCATCAAGTATGACTACCGTCTAGACGTAGCGGCAGCGCGCTCGAGGCAGTGTGTCTTGTATGCCGGCGCTTCGAGTGGCTCGTCAAGTCGTACTCAAGATCTCGTTAGCAAGTGTTGACGAGCTCGATGCAGTTGCTACGAGTCTAGCATCCATGCGTCAAGTCTACATCATGTACAGCACAGTCGCTTGTGACACGAAGGCGGGCGCGATCGGCGCTGGTACAGTGCTTTGCGCAGAGGCATGCGGTACATTCCGTACCAGCCTGCTCGCCGCAATTTACGCAGTTGACATTGCCGCGATGCTCTAGCTGGAATCTGTTGAGCCATTCAGGCATACGAAGCTGAGCTTGTTCGAAGAAATCATTCGATTCTTCGTAGTACTGGATTGCAATGGCTGCCAGGGTGTATTGGTGGCATTTGATGCCCTTGCCCGAGCTTCGCTCGCCAGGACGAGCAAGGGCGCGAATGTGAGCAGGCTTCAGCCTGAGTCCGAAATTGACCAAGCTAAGGCCATGGCCTTGGGTTTCCATGGTCGCAATATGACGCCAGCGTTCTCTCACCGTGATGAGTGTCAGGCCGGCCTGCGAAAGGTACTCGGGGTGGCTTTCGAGCCAGCGATTGAGAGCGTCAAATCTGGCCTGGAACGCTGTCTCGAGCTTGGATCAGCCAGACGAAGCACAGAAGCAAGGGGCGACATACCTTGGACAGCTGCAGCAATCTCTTCAAGTCTGACGGGACGGCCGCACTCGCGATTGGCGTACGATACAGCCATCGTCTGGAATTGAGCCGTGAAGAAGGGCGGCAAGATTGCCAGGGGATGTGTGAGACAGAGCGGGAGGGAGTAATGAATTTTGAAGAGTTCCTCCGTCCGTGCCTCTCTGCCTTGCATGCTGGTGTATTTGCGGTATGAACCCTTCTTGTGCTTCCTTTGATGAATTGAGCGAGCGCAATTTCCAGAGCGGCCGAATTGTAGATGACGTTGTGCCGCATTCCGACATGTACAAAAATTCCCGAAGCCATCGATGACCGATCATGACTTCGAGGTTCTCTCGCGATCGAAACGGGATCAGGCTGCTCCTGCGTGCGCTACGAGTCGATACTCGATGCGATACGGGCGTCTTGAATTGTTTCTACTGCTAGTCTAGTGTATGATACTCCGCCGCAAATTCCGCGAGATTGACCCTTGAGCACCTCCTTTAGACGCGATTGAAGAACTTGCCACCGCATTGTTCTGTTAGCAGATCAGTGACCAGGTCGATAGCTGCTAGACGAGGGTGATGCATAGCCAGATTGCATGACGATTTTCAGCCTCGAGTCCCGTCTGCCCTTTGTGCTGCGGAACCGACGCAAAGGCTCCTAGGAGCTTACTGCTCGACAGCTTAGACCTTGAGGCTACAGTAGCTGGCGTTGCTGCGACAGCCAACTTGCTGTGGGCTCCGCGCTGACAGATTGCACATGACGAAGTGCCATGCGATGCCAGGTTTCGATCATCTGCCGTTTCTCGATCTTTGCTTGCTTGAGCTGCTCTTCGAGCTGGACAGTCTTCATCTTCAGCGTAACTGCGTCATCATTGCTGCTCGCCATGGTCAGCAGTAGAGCAGCGTGAAAACATGCTATGTACCTTTGCAGATCAAGCAGACGATCCTTTAGACGCGAAGACGATTCCGACACTTCCAGCTTATCGAGCAACAGGTCGTTCAACTGGTCCGTCAGAGTCCCTATCCTCGCACGCAGCTCACTATCGGTAGCCTCGTCAGACCTGTCGGCTTCGGCGACTTTGCTAGTGAGTCGATACCGAAGCGCTTCGTTGGCTTCCGCTCTACCCCCTTCTCGTCAGCTAGTCACCATCGAAGAGTTCCATGCGCACCCATCGCCATGAGTTGATGTACCACTGCTAATGATTTCGAGCACTTTCTCAGCTGCCAGTCGAGCTTGTCGTTGTTGCAAGCATTCTCGCCGAAGTTGATCTAGCTGGTCATTCTTCAGGCTGAAGTCAACGGCAACATCTGATGAACCAGAAAAGCTCCGAGCGGGTCGGAGAGAATGTGAAGCAAGGGCGAGCTCTGCGCCTAGTGCGTTGTTGCCTTGCCAGGTCGGATGGGACGGACTGGGTGGCTGCGTGTCGAGCGAAAGCAATCGCGCCGTTGCTTGCTGCGCTTCGGTCTCTGCTTGTGTCTTGCGCACGGTCATGGCCTCCAGCTCTCCCCTGAGCGCCGAGACCTCGTTCGCTAGCGTCTCGTTACGAGCTGTCTCTATGCGGAGCTGTATTGTCATACTGTCGAGCGCCTCACGGGTTCGCTGGCCGGTCGCACGAGAGGCATCGTTTCTATCTTGCTCTTCCCGAAGAGTTTGTGCAGCGCCTTCATTCGCCTTCGCCTTGGCAGCAAGTTCGTTGGCTTTCGACAAGTGTGCTCGCAGTGTCGCGAGCGCTGCCTCTTGCTTTACGAGCTGAGTCCGAGCAGCGCGATTCTCGTCCAGCTCGTCTTGAAGCTTATCTGCTCGAGCAGCCTTGTCTGCCAATTCAGAGACACGCTTGTTGAGATCTGCGGTTGTCTGACTTTCAGCAGCAAGCTTGATCGCCAATGCGGCAATCTCTGCTTCTGCAGCCAATATTTTGCTTCTCGCTCTTTCGTCCTCGTTCGACCGCGTTCGCGCAATCGTTTCTGCCGTCTCTCTGACTTCGGCGAGCTCCTTGCTGAGGTTGTCGTGTTCGAGAAGTAAAGCATCATGGTCCTCGCGTAGACTGTCCATCGCGCGAGACTGCTGAGTGCCCAAAAGGACGGGCAAAGCAGAAGGCGATGGGCTGTTGGGCGCGCCTGGCTTCAGCGATAGATGGGCCATGATCGCCTCTATGGCGCTTTTGAGCGCATTCTGACTGTCTTCATCGAGCGATTGTATAATCTCTACGTGCTGCTGTGCGGACCTCGACTGGACAGAGCAGGCCAGAGCCAACGAAGCCAATTGGCTGAGCGCTGTCGCGTTCCCTTTCGCTGCCGCTTCTACGTCTGGCTCGAATTCGTTCAAGATCCATGAAAGCTCGTTGCTGAGAAAGGCAACGAGGCAGTCAAACACCGCCTTAAGCTTGGCATAGGACTCTCGTGAGGGTTCGTTCCCGTAGGCTCTGAATTGGTATGGCTGCAAGTCGAGGCGCAGAAGGAGCGCATTGAGTGCATGACCATCTGCCAGATCGCTGAGCTCATCAATGTCGCTCCGTGTAGCTTGTCTCAGCCAAGCCAGCAGTGCGCTATCGGTGTCCATGTATCTATGTATGTATGGCTTCCTTGGGCAGCTCCGGCTATCGAACGTTGAACAGCAAGCAGCAGCGCGTCGCAAAAGAGCCTCAAAAGAGGAAGCCGCACTCGAGCGCAGGCTTGCGACGGCATGGCGAGCACTCTCTTTGGACCTTTCGCCAGGACATACCGCAGCCTGGTGAGTGCACAGGACGCAGAGTGCGATGACGCTGAAGAGGGCGCTGCAGCAACGCAATGCGCACGAGAATCCTGCGATTTTCTACAGCATCATCATCGGCGCCGTTGGGCCCATCGCAGTCCTGACGGTGCCGCCCATCAGGCGTACCTACTTTGGCTATCAGACGCCGGACCGAGTACCGACGAGCTACCCATGTGAGCCCCTCAGCGCGGATGGGAGGGATCAGTCGCTCATGCCGCGCAACAGTACCACGGAGACCGAGAGACGAGAGCCTTTCCGGCTATGATGACGAGTAGATGTCAGCTTTGGATGCATCTACCCGTCGTATCGAGGCATCTGCCGAGTCTCAGCAGAGCATGGATCACAGAGGGCGCGATGTAGCGCGTGCGCTCGTCTCGGCCAAATAGCGCTTCTCTCAACTCTGTCAGGTGTGCTGATTGAGCGCACACATCAAGTCTACAGACAGGATGACAACCCAGCACACCGTCGTGATCTTTCATAGCAGACCAAATGACCCAGCCTTGACGACATAAATCGCCCTTATGATTCCGTCGCGCGACTCCTCCACTTCGTTCTGTGCTCCCTACTCTTCTCGACTCCTCTGGCCAACCAAAGCATCGCTCTCGATCTCACATGGCGCCCAATACCATCGCCATTCTGCTCTGCCTGGTCTCGACCCTCTCCGCAATACCTCTGCCGACCTCAAAGACGTACAGCTACGCAAGAAAGCAGCTCCAGAGATCGCTCAGACCCTCGCTGATACACCTTGCCTCATTCAGTGCGTGGTAGTGCCATCCCTTATGCTGCGCCTAGAGCCATCGTCTGGGACATGTCGGGTACCATCACGGTCTCGCCCACTCAGATTACTGCTGCAAGTGCAATGGTCTCGGGAGGCGACCGCATCACGGCTGACTTCAGAGTGCAGACCAAAGTTCCTGGACCGCCCTTCAACGTGAAGAGGGTTGCTGCAAAGACTCAGACGGACGAAATCTGGCACGATGTCATGTTTGAGGCGTACATCGCGTATGGCTGCTATACATTTTTTGCGCAGCGAACGGTGCGATTCCACGCAAGTCCCACATGTCAGTCTCTCCCTTTTTCAGGCATGATCAGTCAGCTAAGCGAAAGCACAGATCGCTTCGAAGAACTCAGCTTCGAGGCTTTTACCTTGCCTGACTTCTCTAGACCCGGCTGTCGAAATGTGTCGCCAGGCAAACGCACGGTGACGCCAGCAGAGAACTCTCTGTAAGCGCTTCGATCACACATGCTAAGCCTCGTTGAAGCGACAAACAGGCTTATATTCCCAGTATCGAACATAGCTATCGCATAGCCGACTCTTTCGCTATCAATGCATCGGTATGAGGCGCTGCTGCTCTTTCGACGATTGTGCAGCGGCCAGATCAGGCCGATGCACGCATGAAAACTCGTTCACATACACCTCGAAGGGTGCCGGCAGTAGCAAATACGTTTCGCCGTTCAAATTGAACAACGGCTTGTCGCGTGCTCTGTCCGAGCATCTCGGATTTCTCTCGTCGGGTGCTCATTCTACTCAGCCCTCCAATGCCAGCCGAGAGTGGCAATGCGTCAATTCAGCGAACTTGACCACATCCGAGTCTGCGGGGGATGAGGGTACTTTGCCGGCTGCGACGTTACGCGTATCAAGGGTTCCTTATCTCCTATAACGATGACGACAAGGGCAATCCTATCGCATCGCTTTTCCTCCTCGACGTTGGCGTTTCTTCCTTTCCAGTTCCACAGCAAGCTCAGCAACACGATGAGACCCTCAGGACCCCTTCAAACCCTTGCTATCGTGTCCTGCATGATCTCACTACACTTCGCAATACCCTTGCCGCCCTCAATGACTTACACCTATCAGAGAACGCCAGCTGTTTTTTTCAAGTATGACCCTGACTAAATCGTAGCGTATCAGTGGTCGGAGGATGCCTCGCTCCTACTACGGCTGTGCCCATCGTTTGGGAGATGACGGGCACCGTGACGGTCTCGCCCAAGGGTGTCCACCCGGCGAGTGCTGGACTTCTACGAGCGATCACCAAGGTGACTGATACCATTTCATAGACCAAGAACGAGCCACCGCCATTCAACGTCAACCGAGTCGACGGCTATAACGGACCAGATGGTATCTGGCATGATGTCAAATTTGAGGCATACGTTGCGTACAGCTGCTACACGTTCTACGCGCAACGAACAATGCGATTCCACGCAAGTCCTACATGTTGGTCTTGCGTCTTTACGCCAATGGCTCAGCTGAGCGTGAACACAGATAAGTTTGAACAGCTTAGCTTCGAGGCGTACACGGTACCCGATTCCTCGAGACCTGGATGTCAGCACGTATCGCCTGGCAGGCGCAACTTGCCGACGGCGCGCAATACGTGGTAAGCATCGTGAACATTAATGGAGACGGCTCGCTCAGATGACTGGCAGGGAAATTCTTCCCATCTCGAACATAGCCATCGCATAGCCAACGCCGTCGCTTTTAATGCATCGGCGCGCTGCGCAAGTTATGCCATCGTCGTCATCGTCAAGTGGAACACTTTGATAACCACATTGTCCGGTAGATGCACTACTGTGCAGCCAAGGCGGCATCCCTCTGTAAGCGATCACACAGCAAGCCAAAAACTTTAGCTCGTTCGGAAGTACGAGGGCAGCCTAGCGGTCCAGGCTGCCCCTGAACTCGCTTCAGCCCAGATAGCGAACATGCTTCAGTCCGCAAGCAATAGCCCAAAAATGCTATCTTGAATCTCATCAGATCAGATCGTACAACGTATTGACCCGTCAGGAACGCCGGCTTTTGCTGCTCTTAGCGAGCACTTCCAGTGCTATAAACGCCTGTCGGCGCCTGTGGCGCGCCCCGCGCCCGTCACTGGCACCTTGAGCCTTCCATTCAGCCTTGGTCTTCGGCGTCTGCCTGATCATATCCAACGAGCGAGCGCGCGACCTCGTCTTTACAGCTTGAACTCAATGATGCCAGGTCTACGACATAGGAATCGATTGCTATTCCCGACACACATCCCTGTTAGGGTCCATGGCTCCCATAACGATGACGACCACGACGACCCTACTGTATCCATCTCCCTCCTCGGCCTCGTCAAGTCTGCATCTCTGCCTCAGCTGTGTGCTCAGCAAAATCATGAAAGTTTCGATTTCCATCCATAGTCTTATCGTCGCGGCCTGCCTGCTCGCGACGGTCCCCGCCATACCCCTACCTCCCTCGATAAAATACAGCTACTCGAGCAAGCAGCTTCCTCCATCCTGCTTGGCCCCTATCTGATCTGCATCTCAGTGGCTGGCTCAGCCCTTCCTCCCGGGGCTGGCGAGACCGTCAGTTGGAACATGGCTGGGACCGTCACCGTTAGACCAACTCATATCGATATAGCAAGTGTAGTCAATCCACGAGCAAACTATCAGGGGGCTCACCTGTAGCGACAGACAAAGCTCCCCGGACCACCGTTCATCGTGAAAAAGGTGGCTGGCTATGCCCAGTCAGATAGTATCTGGCACGACGTCATGTTCGAGGCATCTCTCGCGTACGGCTGCTATACCTTCACGCTACAGCGAACGATACGCTTCCACGCATCTCCTGAATGTGAGCACTTCATACATGACCACCCTCAGTCAGCTGAGCACGAGCACAGATAAATTCGAGCAGATCTTCCAGGATATTTACACGATACCCGATCGCACAAGACATGGTTGCCAAGACGTGTCGCCGGGCAAACGCGATATAACACCGGCACGAGACGTCTGGTCAGTACATTTGTCACTTGCACAAATTCTACTGATGGTGCAAGCAGGGGCATCATACCAATATCGAGCATTGCCATCGCGTAGCGAGTCCTCACTGGGCAGCTCGACCGTAGAGGGTAGCTCTGTGATTGCATCGCGTGCTTGCAGATGTAGACGGCGTGGGAGCTTCATCATCGCTTGGAATTTTGAGAGCTGAAGCGCTGAGAGACGCGTCTACAGCGCTATAGCCAGATAGCAGCACCTGCCCCTGATACGCTACGCTAAGCTAGAAGCATAGCTGTCATCCGACATGGCGGGCGACTCGCCCCGGCTCGGGTCGAGCACACAGCGTGCGCCCAGATCCTCGCTCGGCTCGGCGAGCTCAGCAAGACGAGTACTCCACCATGAGGCCAACGTGGTCAAAGGTCGGCGAGGCGCAGTCCTCTCTCGCGGGCTGATCCTCAAGACTGACTTCTACCCATCCGGACGAGCGCTCGACCTCGACTTCCACTTGCAAGGATGCCCAAACTTCCGCATGAGCGAGTCGCTTGATGTCTATGGCACGGCCCAGCCAAGTTTGCACGGTCTCAAGACATGCCTGTCCTTGCTCAACTCCGACCCGGACAAAGTAGCAGCAAGGACGACAACATGGATCTGTGCACGCGAGGAGCCCGTCATCTACATCGGCGGCCGACCGTTTGTCCTGCGAGACGTGCTAAGACCGCTACAAACACTGGCCTTATCAGATAGAGCAGAGAATCTGGAGGAGATAGAAGTGAGGCTCAAAGAGGATCTGCTGAACGAAGCCAAGCGATTCGGCGGACTTGTCATGGTGCACGAGGAAGTGCAGGATGGTCAGATCCTATCGACGTGGATCCAAGCAGACTCGAGCACGATCATGTCCATTCGAGAGATGTTCGAGACGATCGCAAAGATAGGCTACCGCGTCGTCTACCACCGTATACCCACGCCTTCCGATCAGAACCAAGAAGACGGCTCATTAGATCGCTATCTCGACGTCATCAGAAATGTGCCGTTAGGCTCGCCGCTTGTTCTCAACTGCGGCGCAGGCATTGTACGAACGACTTTCGCCATGATATGCTCGATAGCGATACGAAGGCGCTTGTCTATGGCGCAGGGTGGCAAAGATGTTTTTAATTCCAGCAGAAGCGGTCCTAGACCATCTACAGACGGCACGCAATCGCCTGCACTGCCGCCCGTGCGCAAGCTACAGCAAGCTTCCGATGATCAGATGAGGACAACCTCACTTCTACGTATGATGGACGTCATGCAGAAGACGCTCTCCCCAAAATCGCAGCAAGTCGTATTGGAGCTCTGTCTGAGCACGCCGGCCTTGCTCGAGGGTCTCCGCAACGCCATATCGGGTAATTTCGACATGGTCACTGCCCTTGTATCCTGTCTATCAGACGGTTCGCACGTCAAGCGACTCGCAGACGCCATCATAGATCACTGTTCGTCTCCTCCCATGTTCTCATGTGCATGCTTGCTGACGTAGGCATAGGCGACGATGTGGTCAATTTACGCGAGTCAATCTTGAGACATCGCTTGCTCTTTGCCACCATTGCCATGGACCAAGACGAGAAGGAGCGGGAGATCCGAAAGGCGCTCAACCACCTCGAACGATACTTCTTCATCGTCGCCTTTATGGGTTTCTTGGAAGACGAAGCCTTTCTCTCTCGATCCTTCTCATCTTGGCTCAATGAGCGCTCCGAAATCACCAACATGATTGTACGCATGCGCAGGCGATCCCACTTCTTCTTTCAATTCGCACCTGTGCACGACCTATCGGCCATCTCGAGAGGTTTAGCTGGCTCGGGAAGCCTCAGAACGTCGACGGATCTGGCTCGTACCCGATTCGACGATGCTGCGCGCGAAGGCTCGACAGTCATCGGCGACGAATACGCGACCCAGATTGTATTGAATCGCAATGGCATGACGCTTCGATCGGGAATGAGTCAGTGCGATCTACCCATCATGCTTGCGCTGATCCCAAAGTCACTTTTGGCAGTTCTCAAGGCAGACATATGGTACCGAGGCTCAGCCATAGAGACCGAGTCTCAATCTGTCGTGCGAGGTGCAGTCAATTTTCGTAGGATCGCAGACGCACAGCTGTACGCCCTATCTCAACCTACAGAGGAAGGCCTCGACGGCGTTCTGGCCGTACTCAAGCGGGAATCACCTGCGAGCGAAGGCATCGATCCGCCTGTCTTCTGGCTAAACCTTCGCGAAGAGCCAATTCTGTACATCAACGGGCAGCCGTACGTGCTCAGACAAGAAGCAGTCTCGCTACGCAACATCAAGTCATATGCCGGCATATCTACCTCGCGCCTCGAGTCACTCGAGGACCGCCTGAAGGAGGATGTCTTGGCCGAGCTCAAGGCATTCGATGGCCGTCTCTTGCTGCATACCGAGCGCGAAGATGGACTAGTCGTACCAATTTGGGAACCGGTCGAGGCCCACCATGTCAAGACTCTACAAGAAGTGATGAGCCAAGGTCGCACAAAGGACGCGGCCGTGGCTTTGACATATCGGCGGATACCCACCACGGCCGAGAAAGCGCCAGACTTCAACGATGTCAAGCAGCTCGTGCATGTCATCGCACAAGCATACACAAAGCAAGCATCCCTTGTGGTCAATTGCCAGCTTGGCAGAGGGAGATCAACGCTCGCATCTGTCATGGTTGTCTTGGTGCAGACTTGGCTCAAGCACGGCACTCTGACTGCGGCGTCGTCAGATGTTGTCAAGGCGTCAATACGTCCACGATTGTCATGGCAGGTCATTAATAATCTACTACGGGTCATCAGACACGGCCATGAAATCAAAGCGGCCGTTGATCAGGCGATTCTGGAATGTAGCGATCAGATCGACCTGATAGGCGCCATCGAGGACGCTAGACAGTCTGCACTGGCAACAGAAGATGAAAAGGCTAAAGCAGAGTGGACTCAACGCGCGCTACACAATCTTCGACGATACTTCTTCTTGATCCTCTTCAGCGCGTATCTCAACGAAACACGTGCAGAGACGCTTCGCGATCTGCAGGACGAGACCAGTTTTGGCGATTTTGTCTCGTCTCGTCCCGTCTTCGCTACGATCCAGAAGGAGATTGACGATCTGGGTGCCCAGGCACTCGTCCCCCTCGAGAAGGTCGACAGCAGTCAGATTGCAGGCTCAGACGAAGTGACTCGCGTCGTCACTCGCCGATCCGGCCGCATCCTATCCGCCCAAACGATCCTCAAATCCGACTTCTTCAGCAACCTGCAGAAACTCTCTCTGCCTGAGCGGGTCGACGGCGTGCCCAATTTTCGACGCATACCGCTATTTCTACGGGGCGAGAGGAGCGACATTCACCAGCAGCCGGCGCAGTGGATCTTTGGAACAGGCATGCCGAGCGTGCAAGGGATGCGTAGCGCCCTGGACAAGATGGAAGCGAGTCCTGACCACGAACGCGTTGCTGTCTGGACGTCCATGCGCGAAGAGCCTGTCATCTACAGTAAGCCCGGCCTGACGTTCTTCGATCGCGTCCTTGCTGATCATCCGCACAGTCGCTGGTCGGCCACATGTTCTCCGACTCCTTGATGCGCCATTGGAGAATGTCGTGACCACAGGCGTGACTGCATCAACAGTGGAAGCTATGGAGCAAGCGCTAAAGAACGACATCATTGCCGAAATCGAACAGAATGCGGGTCGGTTGCTCTTGCACGACGAGAAGCCAGATGACTCTGGCTCGTTCGATCTCACCGCTGTCTGGGAGCAGGTCACCAAAGCCGACATTCTCACACCGCGCGAAGTCTTTGAGAGTCTCAAATCCACGGGCTATCCCGTCGACTACGAACGATTACCGGTGACTGACGAGCAAGCTCCTATTCCAGGCGTCTTTGCCCGGCTCGAAGCGCGAGTCCGAGCAGCTATCACCAATCCTGAGCTCGCTCTGGTCTTCAATTGTCAGATGGGTCAGTCGAGACCGTCATCATGCGAGTCAAGCTGACTCTCTGTGTAGGTCGCGGGCGCACAACGACGGCTATGGTAGCTGCCAGTCTCGTTGCCAACATCATCTTCTCGCCTGATCAGAGCACGATCACCGAAGCAGAAGGGTCAGAGGTGGACGGCGCTTCGTTGCTGGGGGAATCCTGGCAGGATGATCGCGAGGAGCTGACCTACCTGTCTGGCGATTACAAAGTCATCTTGCGCTTGGTCAGCGTGCTCCAATACGGTCAAGCAGCTAAACAGATGACAGACCGCTCGATCGATGCTATGGCTGGTGTGCAAAACTTACGAAAAGCGATCTATGACTACAAGATCCGTTCCGAGTCAGCCGGCCACCCGGCAAAGGCCAAGAAGATCGCTAAGATGGGCCAGAATTATGTCTATCGGTACGGCAGTCTGATCGCATTCGCTTCGTATCTCTATGAGAAATCCGCTGGAGCCCCGAAACAGCAGACGTTCCCACAATGGCTGAGCGAGCGAAGAGAGATCTCTGCTCTGCTAGCTGCATCGACACTCGACTGATGTACAACAACAATACCCAGCTGTACGGAACATGTTGTTTCAGTATACAGACGTTTTACGGGCTTGCGATGAGCACAGGCTCTGGCCGTTTGGTGAACAGGATGCGTCTGTAGAGCATGCCGACAATCTCGTGCTTGCCACGCTTCAGCTCGCTCACGGTGAAGGGTGTGGCAGGCGTGCGCTGAGCTGACGACGACGGCTGGATGATGCTACGAAGCTTGTTATCGCGCAGCGGTGTCTGATCGACAACCTTGCGAAACGTCTCTGGGCTACTCGACGTAGCGACGACAGCCGTCGGCTCAAAGTCACCGTCGGCCGTTTTCCGCTTCTTGGAGGCTCTCTCGCCTTGCGGATCCAAACCATCATCCGAGTCTGGGTCAGATGGAGGTATTGTGTGTCGCAATATGGCTAGCGGTCGCTCCAAATTGGCAAAAGAGCCAACCAGACGGTGGTGTCCTATCAGCAAGCTCGGTCGCGCCTGGTTCCCCACCCTTCAGCTTATGCCTTGCTCTGATGGAGTTCCGGACGTACTGGGTCTGACAGATCTAGCGTGCCTATCTTCTGGCCGTCTCTCAGTGTCGGATCGTTGACGAGCTCATCGTCGACTTCCGTCTCGAGCGTGCCTTGCATCTCAATCAGGAAAATCTCGCCAGTGTCTGCCTGGAGGGTAAAGGGTGCTTTGGGATCACTCTGATGGTCGAGCGAGATGCTGAGGGGCAGTCGCATTGCCGGCAATACGCTATCGCCAGAGAACCATGCAAGCTGCCCGAGACGCGTCGCTAACTCGCCACCAAGCTTGCGAGCAGAGCTGCACCTATGCTGGCGGCTGTTGCGCAGATCTGCTCCAAAGCGAGCGTGACAGACAATGCGGCGGTCTGTGCCAGTGTGATCCGTCGAGCGGCAGACGCAGGCGCAGCTCTCGTCGCTTTGCCCGAAGCTTCAGATTTCATTGCACCGAGCCATCAAGTCCACAGCCTGACGGCAACGACCGAAGACGCTTTTGTCCGGATACTCCAACAGCAGGCACGTACAAGCCGGATCGAAGTGACCGTCGGCGTCCATGAAGCGATCGCCGACTCGAGACAAGTCTACAACACCCAGTTGTTCATCAATCGCGACGGTGAGGTTGCGCAGAGCTACCGTAAATGTCATCTCTTCGATGTCGACATCAAGGGCGGCACGACCATCCTCGAGTCTGCAACGACGAGAGCGGGCGAGAGTCTAGGTGATCCCATTGCGAGCGGAATAGGCCAGCTTGGCTTGATGACATGCTACGACTTGCGTTTCCCAATGCAATCCCTTCTCATGCGCGCAAAAGGCGCTCAAGTCATGACATACCCGTCAGCTTTCACAGAGCGTACCGGCGCTGCTCACTGGGGTACGGCGCCATCGTCAGGATGTGTAGTCTCACGCTCAAAAACTCGACAGAGGTCCTTTTGAGAGCGAGAGCGATAGAAACACAGAGCTATGTACTCGCACCAGCTCAAGTCGGTTCGCACTTTGCGCCGCGGGCCGAGGAGGCAAATGGCAAGCAGATCATCAGGCCAGGGCGGACGTCATATGGACATTCGATGATTGTGGATCCCTGGGGATCGGTCGTTGCTCAATGCGCGGACAACGTCTCGACTCAGAGCGACACGAGCAGCGTTCACTCGGGCGCCTTTGCTCTGGCAGAGATCGACCTCGATTGGGCGGCCCAGATCAGACGAGAGATGCCAATCTTACAACAACAGAGAAAGGACATCTACTCGCTGACGGAGATCTAGGCTTCTTCATCCGTGCTGCCTTCCTCCTCCTCGGACTCGCTAGCTTCGCTTGATTGCTCCTCCCCTTCTTCGGAAGTAGCTTCATCTGACGACGCTTCCTCCCCCTCGCTTGCGAGAAAGCTGTCAAGGTTGCGGGGCCCACGGGAAGGAGTCATATCACCGCTCCGCGCAGTCGGCGTCAACACGACAGGCGAAGCAGTGCGGCTCTTCATTGACACATGCGAGCGCTCCGAGGAGCCCGCAATGCTTCTGATCGCACCATTCGCCGTTGACTCTGCAGACTGTGCCGGTTCTCGGCAAAGCGGGTCCGTAGCGATCTCGGTCCAAGGCGGCAAAGGCCTGTCGTCCGGCATCCTCTTGCCCGCTAGCCTCGAGAGAGGCCCGAGATCGCGGTCATGAGCCAAGGATAGCTCTGCTGTAGCATCGTGCTCTTTGAAAAGGATGTCGCATACTCGCTCTATCGAGAGTGGGGGATCTGCGGCTGCCTCTGCCTCTGCCTCGTCCTCTATGAGCAGCCCTTGCGCGAAAGAGGACTGCTTCTCTGCTGCAGAGGTAGTGTCGATCAAGCCAGCGCTCGTCAAGAGGCCAAGCATGAAGCGCGCCCGGTCTCTGACTTGGTAGCTTAGGTCATAGCGCGACAAGGCGATGACGTATTGCACCAGTGCGAGAAGCTTCGTTGCAAGTGGAGAGTGGTCCATCTGAGCTCGCACGACAATCTTGGCCGCCATCGATACGATCTGCATCTTTGTCTCCTGCGTCTGTTTTGCCTCATCAGCAAAAGAGCTCTGTCACGGGTCGGTCAATGTACCTCTGTGGCGAAACCTAACGCAGCAATCCGCAGAGCGTCGGGCGCAATCGTGCTGAGCAAGCCTTCGCCTGAATACTGACCCACGAGCCAGTAAATTTTGCTCTTTGACCGCGCTGATGCGAGCTTGCCCTGGTGTACCAAGCCGAGCAAACGGGTCGTGATGGCCGCGCGCGAATGCTGCAGCTTTGGCTGACCTTTCGGTTGCTGGGCGAGCAACAACTGGATGACTGTGACCGACTGATCGACCACGGCGCCTGATCTTCATATCAGTATGATCTTTGTTTCCATCAAGAGAAGCAAGTGACCCTTGGAGTGATCGATGAGATCAAGCAAGGTAGCCAGAGCTTCTTCCCGTGCTTGCGGCTGAGCAAGGGCGCATCTTCCCATTGCATCGATGGCAAGCGCAGAGAAAGTCTCATCGACATCGCCGACGTAGACTTTGAGCTCACGATAGAGTATCTGCACGTTACTCTGATTGGCCAGTAGAGTCAATGCCAGCAGCTTCAGTGAACGTGTTGCGCGTGTGTCGGATGATCTGATGAAGAACTCTGGCAGGTAGGGCCGAAGGAGCGATCTGACCTCAACGTCAGACTCGATGCAGTCAATGAGTGATAGCAGAACGCTGTGTTGTATCTCAGACGTGGTGTGGAGCAACCTGAGCAGAGGCCGTATTGTCCTTTCGATGTAGTGCCGTGGTGCGAGGTTGCGCAAGAGGGAATTACAAGCCATAACGACCTGCTTACTTGATCAGTCTCGAACACCTCGCGTTGATCTGGCTACTCACAGCGGGGTTGCAGCTCTGTAGCAAGGGCTCGGCTGCTCTGAGCAGCAGATCAAGATCGGGATCGACGAGTGCTTGTTTACCATCTATCCCCTTTATCGTCCTATCAGGATCTTGGAAATTAGATCGAGCATACGCCGACAGGACGCGCATGAGCGTGATCTGGCCCCACTCGTCTGCATCGACCAAGAGGCGACAAGTCGCGCGGTAGTGTGGGTGAACGAGATCCCATCTGTTCAGGCACAGCTGTTCGAGAGCGCCATATGCTGCACCCAAGACGAGCGAAGATCGATCGCCTAGTAGGAGCGAAAGTGTGGGTAGCAGTTGGGGCAGCTGGGACGGGTCGAGACGCCCGATCGCTTCGATTGCGCCTGCAGACGCTTTCCTGACATACCAGCTGTTGTCGCGCGAACAGCGTTGCAGACACATGATGACGAGTCCGATGGTCGAATCGAGATTCATGCCTGACAATGTGCGCAGTGCTAGCGCTCTGACGAGCGGATTGGAATCCGCAAGATCCTTTTGATAGGTATTGACGACCATGAGCGCGAGGTCGGGCGATTGGGTGGCATAGCGAACGATGTAAGTCGAAACGAGCGATTTCACTGTCAGTGAGGATGAGGAGAGACAGTTGCTGACGAAAGGGAAGAAGCTGACGGCATGCCGCGCATGTGTGGCACCTCCCAGAGAGGACTCGCCTGCAGATGGACCTGCTTGGGCTTTTGACATGATGGCGAGCACTCGTCGCAGTCCATCCTCCCTGTCCCTGTCCCGCGTAGACTCGAGTAACCTTCTCGTCTCCCTGAAGCCTTCCTCGCCCGACAGCGCACCCGGCTCGAGGTACTTTGACGAGCCAGGATTGAGGGCTCCGTCGAGAGCGGAGATGCCGAGATCACGAGTCGACTCGGCGAGGTTCTCTTGGAGCCGAGCTGCCAAGCGCTGTGCAGTCGCAAGAGCCGCTTGCGTGCCGCTCATCGTCGGCCGAGAGCTGTCGTCGCCGTCGCACTGACCGTCGTTCCTCGCCCAGCCAACGCGCGCCCTGTCGCCGTCGTCGTCGTCTCGCTGGCGTCAGACCAAGCAAAGGCGCTATGTTCTCGGTGGGCAAGGACTGGCTCTTGTGAGTGCGGACAGTCTCACAGAGTGCACTGGAAGCTCACCACACGCTCGAGGCAGCCCGAAAGATGCCAAACTCGCCTTTCGACAGACCGGCATCGCCAAGCTAGCAACACAGCCTGTGCCGCCCGAAGATGTCGCTTACTGGGAGCAGTACTGGCTCGTCTTCGACACAGCTTGGGATGTCACGACCCTCATCACGGCGGCCGACGTTCGCACGGCTCTCAGGGATCAGCCAAGCAATGTCAAGACGCTCATCTCAGTCTTGGGCGGCAAGCTCCTGCAGATCCTCAGCGAGCCTGGCTTCCCTGCACCCACCCAAGCATCTCTCGCTGCTGGTCTGACAGCTGCTTGGGGAGGGGGCACCGCAGAACCGTCCGACACTCGTCAATTGCTCAATTGCGTTCGCGTTCTGACGCGTGTCCTGCCCTTTGTCTGGGAAGGTCAAGCTCTTCCCAATGCCGCAGGAGAGTCCGAATCATCTCCTGCAGACGTAGAGGAGTTTGAGGATGCCATCTTTTGGCGAGCGACGCGGATTGCTCAGGCTCAGTCGAGCAAGCAGCACCTCGACGGTTCGGCGCGTGATGATAATCACTTCGTTCTGGGCGCAGACGAAGATGAAGAGGGCGAGCAGGATCCGCTGAACTCGAGCAAGCCATCGTCTCCTACATCGTCTCGAAAGCTGCAGACCGAGACGCTTCTTCCGCCGCTTGGCGAGAGGCTCTTAGCGGCAGTAGTAGACATGCTCTTCTTCGCTGGCCTCACTCTACCGCGCGATATAGTCCCCAAGGAGCTCAAGATAAGCTATATCATCTGGGAGGCAGGTGTGGGTACATCTGTCTCTGCAGGCGCAACACGCGAGCTCGAGTCGAATCGCCTAGAGTTGCTGCGACTCTTGCTCGTACTCATCGCAAAGACAATGTACATGCCCACAACGGGCGAACATAGAGTACAGAACAAATGGACAGAAGCACTCGTATCACTATCGGATCGGAAGGTCGTCTTGTCACTGCTCTGCTCCTTGCTCAACACCTCGCTCAACAATGCCAATCCTGGCCTGCTCAATTACGACACACTCGTCCTCAGACGGGAAGACACAAAGTCTCAGCTCGCTAGCCTGTCGCTGCTCGCACTCGACATACTTCTGGTATGTCAGGATGGTAGAGCAGACAGTACGTCAGTCCCGTCAACGCCTATGCCATCCCTGAAGCGCAATACCTCATTTCTCTCGGATGCGTCCTTTTCGAGCATGGCAAGTCCAGCGACGAGCAGCAATACCTTTCTGCATTATCTGAGCAAAGTGCATCGTCAGCCGGACATCAGATATCTTTTCAGCAACATCATAGCGAGCCTGAACCGCGAGCTATCATCGCGCTTGCCCACCCGCAAGATGAACATCAACGGACTCGTCACTTCTCTGATCTTCCTCTGGAAGATGTTCGAGTGCAATCCGGTCAGCTGCATGAACCTCCTCTCAGTCATTGTAAGGGGCTGACAATGAACGGCAGAAATTCCGCGAATATGCGCTCGAAGGTGACAAGCCAGGTAGCTTGGTCGTCTACCTGCTTGGTCTATCCCTCGAATGCAGGGGTGATCCCGCAAAGCTCGGTCTCATCCGCCTCTGCGCCTTCATCCTGCACAGTCTGTCAGCTGACCGACGTTTTGGCTCACGTCTGAACGGCTCTGCCGATCCGCAGGGGATTCTCCCAGCTAGGCATGCAGTCCCGGGCAGCACAGCTGATTTCCTTGTCGTCTCCATCGCTCAGCTAGTCTTCACTACCAAAGGCTCACTCAACACCCTTTACTCAACGTATGCCATCATATTAGCCAACACTAGCCCGTATTGGAAAGCGACCTCGGTGCTCGCTTCCCAGCGGTTGTTACAGCTCTTTATGGCAATGTCAGCCCCTTCCTTTCTACTTGCGGAGGAAGGCAACCCCGGCACATGCCTCTATCTGCTCGAGGCGTTCAATAATGTGATCCACTATCAACTTTCGGGTAGGCACACATACTGTATGTTCTGCGCGTGTCTGATACGGCTGTTGACAGACAACTCGAATCTCGTGTACGCCATACTGCGAGGACATAGGCGATTCGAGGACCTTGGCAATTTCACACTCGACTGGGCCGTAGACGAGATCCAGCGTAGCAAGACTGCAAAGAGTAAAGGAAGCAGCGAGTCAGAGCCACTTTCGCGATCTGCATCTGCTCGTACAAGCTCTAACGGCTCACTCGGAGCTTCTCAGACCTCTTTAATCTCGCCTTTGCTTGCACCAGTGGACGAAGAAAAAGCTGCACTCGCAGCAAGAGAAGCAGCTTCGCCAGTATCGCATACAGAGGCACCCGCTCCTCCATCGCCGTCTTATCCACCTCGCGCGGCCACAGCTCAAATGCCCATGTCCGAGAAGGCTCTGGGCAAGCAGCGTGAGCGTACGGAATCGCAAAGAGGGCAGCAATATGTCAGCAAGACTGGCTTCATCCCATCAGATGCGTGGATCGCCTCTTGGCGCAATATTTTGCCCCTCGATACCATCTCAATTTTGATTGCCGAGCTATTGCCTCGGGTGTCATCACTCTTGCGCACCGGATCAGCAAGCGCAGAGCAATCTGCACTTGACTATCTCAAAACGGCCACGCTCGTCGGCCTCCTACCTCCTCCGCCGCCAATCGCTCCGCGGCCATATTTGCATGTGCAAGCGTCGGTCACATGGCTCAAGTCGCTTGTGCTGGGTGCAGCATTCACGGCGCCAGAGACTCTAGGAGTCTTTGCCGCGACTTGCCCGCGACTGTTCACACTAGTCACCGTCGAGCCTGCGCCTTCTGTTGCCCAACTCGCATCGCGCATGGCAACGTCGCTGATCGCGCGGCCGCCAGCAGCAACACCAGCGTCGCCACCGATAGCAGCCAACGGCTCTCTCGAAGGAACACAGACGTCTCGGAATGTGTAGTGTGACATAAGTTAGATTGCAGCGATGGAGTAGACGCCAAAGCCGACAAGCAGATTCTGCGAAGCCCTGAGACGTACAAAACGCCAGCCCGAGGCAATCTCGCCATCACGCATGGAGGTATTGATGAGGATTGAGCACTCTTCGAGATTCCTGTTGCGCCGTCTTCGCGCATCTATCCATCCGAACCAATTCTTGCTCTTGTTGATGTCGCCAATCCTGATGCGTTGAGCTGCGTGCGAGAGCCGATAGGTCTCCGGAAACGAGTACTCGGGCATTGTCGAAGTATGCCGGGTTGCACGACAATAGCTCTTCTGGGTTTTGCCAAGCGCCCATTTGACGCCGTCTGCCGATATATCAACTTTGAGATAAGGTAGCACGGCATCATGGTTTTCAATGACCAGCTTCAGCGTGAGCTGTGGCTGATCGCGCACGTTGACTGGTCGCAAGAGGTCCAGCCCAATGAAGTCGCCCTTGCGAATGACTACTCGAGCAGAATCAGTGTGTTTCTAGAGAGAACCCGGTGACTGACCGTCTGGGCTGCGCCAAGCTGTCTTCCACGCGCCATCTACTGCACCAGAGTATCCCCAATCGAGTGCCCATCGCTCGCCATCTGCGTAGGGTTCGCCGCCTTCGACCCAGCCACGCGCAATCCAGCCGGTACTTTGCTCCCATTGATCGAGCGTGAGATTCGATCCGAATGGATATGTCACGCTATTGGGAGGCGGTAGCATAGGGACATTGGTCATGAAGAGACAGCTACCGGACCAGCAGGCTGACCGAGTGTGATGTGTGTAAGGATGCGGTTGTAGCGGTAAGGAAGGTACGGAATACAGATGATCGCTGAAATGCTTGAGCTTGTGAGTGATAGGTTCGTCGGATGAGGGCATAGTCTGCGCTTGCGGTCTGAGCTGAGCTTGTACACGGTGGACACCACGCTGGATGTAATCCTTGTTGCGCGCGATGCCCGAGCCGTCGCTATAGCCCTTGGGCTGGGAAGGTAACGCGATGAGCTGTGACCGAATGACGTATGGCGGTTCGTTGAAAAAGGTGGAGAAGAAGTTGTCTGCGTGACTCAGCTCATCGTGTGGCATGGCAGACTGGGTGATGTCATCTAGAAACCGACGACTCCTCTCGCGGGATGTCAGAGCGCCTGTACCCAGCCAGGCAAAGCAGGTATGCAGCTCTGCGTCTGTCGAGAGGCGAGCGAGGATCAGTCCGGACCTGGCAGACAACTCAAGAAAGCTTACTGAAGAAGCACCATTCCCATTCGTTGAGAATCGCAACCTCGTCATTAGTGTTGACGACGAGGCGCTGGTTATGGTGGCGCTTGAAGACGGCATAAAGAGCATCGAGTGACCAGACGAGCCAGTCATCGTCTTGGAAGAAGCAGTGCTCGGTGCTCGCCTGGCCGCAGGCGAGATGACGGGCCAGAAAGAGGAGGTTTTGCGGCGCGTTCTGGATGCGGATGAGATGACTGGGACAGTGCGTGGTATCAAATGACTGCCACAGAGTTTCAGCGACTCTTCTGGGTCCGCACGAGTGCGTAAGCTCACATCGTGTGAGAGCGGTGCGAGGGGGTTGTTATTCCAGATAACGATACTCGCGATAAAGTCGAATCTACAGAGGTGGGAGACAATGAGGATGACGTTGTCCGGTCGGTTGTAGTTGAGCACGATGGCTGTCACATCTGCTACAACTTTGCCGCTGGAAGCGGGCAGGTTGTAGGTTGAACCTTCAAGTTCTATTGCTTCTAGTTCGGCGAAAGTAGGCCCATTAGGAACGCCGAGCTCTGCCAGGACATGGTAGGGATCTCTTCCGCGGAGGACCAATTGTTTTGGCTTGCCGGTCCGCCAGCTTTCGAATATACCGAGCAAGAGGAGCAAAGACAGGAACAGAGCGGCAACTCGGCCAACGGCGACTCGCTTGACGCTTCTGTCCATCCAGCGAGAGGCTCTGCGAAGTATCCGTCCCTTGTTCGAGCCTGTAGGCGTATCTGGCTCCTCTTGTTCGAGCTCGTCGAGCTCAGAGACGGACATGAGTCTCTTGTGCGCGACCTGATCATCGACCATGAAGGTCGCAGAGAGCAAGGCAAGAACGACATTCCACACTCTTCTGGGTATACCTAGCTCGTCTCTCTGTCCATATCTATAAGTCCCACTCCTTCTCCTCCCTCGCCTCACTGCACCCCGTCTGAGACTATCGCGTTCAATCTTTTTGAGTTGTGAGATGAGCGTAGTCGTGAAGCGCTCGCTAGCCTTCCTGCTCGTCTCTGCCGTTGGGGACACCATCTCGGGTGACAAGTACCCTGAAGATGAAGGGTCGGAGACCCGCCTCGGACCCATCGAGGGTGGATGATAAGCTCTTGGCGAGCGCGTGCCCGTATGGACTGACAAGCTGGGTCGCTTTGATTCTGTCACGGGTGATCCTGGCTGGGACGTCCGACGAGGGGGAGGTTGAAAGGCAGGGAAGCCGTCACCGGCGTGGGCAGAGAGGAACATGCGAGGGGAAGCAGCTCCATCGTAGGCTTGTCTGATATGTAAACCCTGTGCGAGTCCTTGCGTGTCGATCGAAGGCGGCGCGGGCGTACGAGGCTGGCTCGACCCGGGCGATATGGAAGCCGGGCTGACATCGCGATCCTCGGTCTCCATGGCCCTTGGAGGGTGACCGACTTGGCGCTTCCGCTGGACGACGGTCGGCGCGAGCAGCGACTTTCCTCACAAAATTATCGACGACGGCAGGACGAGGCATGGCGAGCCTGAAGCGCAAGGCTGCCAGCAACGGCAAGCCGGCCAAGAAGACAAAGATGCAGCCTCGAGCGAAGCCAGTGTCAGCCAAGAAGCGGGTCGGCTTTTCGCGAGAATTGATAGCACCGCCAGCGACTGCAAAGCCTAGCTTGCCAAAGAGCGCACTCAAGAAAGCTCCCCCAAAGCAGTCTTCAGATAGCGAGGAAGAAGAACGAGATACTAGCGAGGAAGAGGATACTGACGAGAGCGAAGCAGCAGAAGCGCCAGGATCAGAGCTCGAGGATGAATTGTCAGACGAAGAAATGGGTGCTGCAGCGTCAGCGACAGTCAAGCCGAAGCGATACACCAAATTTGAGATCATAGCAGGATCCTACGAACGCTTTCTGTACGGTCTCGAGGTGTCCATGGCTCGCACGGCCGATCAGAAAGCGCCGAGCGTGACAATCGCTCCTATTTTCCAATTTCCCGCCCATCTGTCCTGCATAAAGGCAGTAGCAGCCAGCGAAGGTGGACAGCACCTTGCCACAGGTAGCACAGACGAGACGATCAAAATTTGGGATCTCAGGCATCGCAAAGAGGTAGGACACCTCGTCGCGCACGAAGGTCAGTCGCGCTCTGCCTCGACTCGCGCCCTCATGCTCACGGTCCAGCACACGAGCAGGCTCTCTATCTGATTTGATCTTTCCCTCCCCTCGCATACTCATCTCGACAGCGTCAGACGCTCAGATATGCCTGTTCAGAACACGTGACTGGGCGCTATTGCGTTCGCTCAAAGGACACAAAGGTCGCATCAATTCTCTCTCGCTACACCCGAACGGTCGCATATTGCTCTCCGTCGGACAGGATAAGCATCTCCGCGTATGGGATATCCTCGGCAAAGGTGCAGGCGGCGTGCCAGGTCAGGGTACCAGCACGCACCTCGGCGCAGGTCAGAGGCAGTGCTCTCTTCTTGCGTACCAGCTGAGCGTTGGCGTCTGTACAGAAGCAGATCTCGTGCGCTGGAGTCCCAAGGGTGATCGCTTCGTCGTCATACTGACAAGAGAGCTGCGCGTGTACTCAGTCGTACGTCGCCATTCCCGACCCTGCTTCGTCTACTCACGCAGCTCACAGGCCATGCAAGAGCAGCACAAGATGACTGCACCCGCACGCTTCCTAGACGCATTGTTCTATCCGACTTCTGTAGACAGCGACGACCTGCTAGTCGCTTGTGACGATGGCAAGATCAAAGTCTTCAGCAGTTCAGGCGGCTCATTCGCCCAACGCGCTCAATTCGTCGGTCATACGAATCGAGTCAAATCAATCAAGACCGTCACTTTGACAGACGCAGACGGCGCGGAGATAGACTTTCTCGTATCAATTTCATCGGATGGCAAGATCAATATCTACTCTCTCGATGCACTCTCGAGACCCGCCGACGTCGAAATTGCACCCCTCGCTTCGTTCGATACAAAAGGCTCCCGACTGACGTGCCTGACCGTCACTGGCATCGAAGCCGGCCAGAATGACCGGCGTCAGGGAGAGCTCGTCGGCTTCCTGTCTCAAGACGAAGACAGTGACGATTCAGAGGCCGCTGATCCTGTATAGTCAGGATGTAGCTTGCTGTGGATCTTGTCTGCGATCTTCTTGTGAAAGGCAGTCGTCGGATGAAGCGTGTCCCAGTAGAGATAGGTATCCCTGCGCAGGATCGTCACTACAAGCTCAGAAATACTTGCGAAAACTTACGGCGTCTTGCATATTCCACCCGTTGTGGAGTTCCAGCAAGCATCGTTGCCATCGGTCAGACCAAGCTGCGCGCCGCATAAGCGTGTATAAACGACGCCCTTTGAATCCTTACCTTATCGGGTGAACTCATGCCCTCGCTGAAGTATGCTTCGGCATCAAAGGTATAGATAGACTGTCCTATAGCCATGCCCGCCGCTTTGACATCCTCGATGAGCTTGTCGAGCGCAATGTTGAACTGACGCGTGAGTGCTGCGAGCACTGCAAGCTGAGTTGCATCGCCAATCGGTTTGGCGAGATAGCGCGAGGCGGGTACTGAGCCGAGAGGCGGCAGAGGTAGGATGACGAAGTCGGCTTTGCTCTTATCGGCTTGACCGGCTTGAAGCGCAACGATCTGTACTCCTAGATCGGCGACAGCTTGCGAGACCCGTAATTCTGCCGTTGCAAGGGTCGAGCTTCCCTTCTGCCAGTCTGACCAGATCGAATATAGAATAGGGTTGATTCCGTTCCAGATGACATGTAATACACGACCTCTGCCAGGTTTGAAGGCGCCACTGCGCACATCAGACAGATATGATGCTATCTGACTTTTTGAGTCGGGCGGCGAGCCATTGTAGCCCGTCGCGTCGTTATTGATATGTGCGCCAATGTAGGCATAATTGGTCATCGGCACGTTGAGCTTCCTGGCTAGATACTGTAGGATGCTTAGCAACGGATCATATCGAGAGGCGAAGACCTACTTCATCGAAGACTGGTCCATTGGAGCGACGACCGCCAACATAAGGCGGGCCCGAAAGCGTGAATTTGTAGACATCAGGCCGGGGATGTCCGTTGTCTGCATCGATGTCAGCACTGCTTGTCTCATGTGAGGGCAACGCACCACAGTACGAAGCGCCAAAGACGACGAGAGCCGAGAAGGCAGCAGCGGCAGGCTTCATGGGTTTTCCTTTAGACTTTCCGTCTCCTTTCTTCGAATGATCGTTGAGCGTCGTCCGGTCGGTAACAGTTCGCTGAATAGACGTCGAATTCTTTGTCTCCGAGATTGTGTGCTCAGTGATGTTTGAATTCGCTGCACGGACCCTGCCGTCACCACTGAGCGAGACATTGAAGGCTTCGGTCGTGAAGTTCGTTGGCTCGTCGCCCTCTTCTGCGTAAGAGCTGTCCGTCATTGTCCAGGGAGACGTCGTGGCGATGTCTTCGGGAAAAGAGGCATTGCTAGCAGTTGCGAGGATCTGTTCTTGCAGCGCTCGACGATCGTAGGGATCGATCAAGCTTTCGCCATTGATTTGCTCGCTTGTGGGATCATCGCTCTCGTCGATTGCATCAGCGTTTGATTTATGCGTGTGGTGCGACGCGTGAACGTGATGCTTGTGATGATGCTTGTGATGGTGTAGCGACTTGCCGCGGTCATGGGGGCTGTCTTCAAGGACGGCCTTGCTTTGGGCAGCTGCTTCGATTGCACCGTCACGCGAGCCATCATCAAGTGCGTCAGGTGGCACCTGTTCGTCATGCACGTCGCGACGCTTAAGCCTGGACGCGCTCGTAGCGATACGATCGCTGAATTGAGTATGAAAAGAGGAGCGATGAGCACGACGACGAAGCGATCTTTTCCATGCGTTGTGAGCGTTTGCCGATCTGGCTGCCTTATCCGGGTGCGAGATGAGATCGGCAGTGACAGAGATAAGCATGAGCGCAAGGCCGAGCGCGATGATGCTGATGACGACGACAGTGCCGAACCGGACCTTCTTTGGCTGTTGAGCTCTGCCGAAAGCGGCTTTCCAGCGTGCATGCCGAGCTCTCTTCTTTGGCGTTTGCGCCTCCTGTGAGAAAGCAGACGAGCCAGACATGGTACGCTCGACCAATTCGACTCCGATATCTGGTCCTGTTGTACGATCGTAGCGAGTCACTCTGGCAGGCAGCTTGAATGTAACAGAAGCCTGACGGCCCTCCTTGGCAGCACCTCGGTCGCTGTCAGTCGCACGAGAAACGTCGACAGGGCACTCATCAGAATTTGGCTCATCGAAGCCGTTCGAGTCAAGTACAGGCGACGCATTGGCTCGGAGGCGGGCGCCTGTGCTGCTTGCGAGGTCGTGCGACGTCGTGGCGGCCATCACAGTATCATCTTGCTCAGTGCGTTCGCTGATTGACGAGAGCGGGCCGGACGTCAGGTCATTCTCTGGGTCTAGGAGTGAGGCAGGTAGGCCTAGGCCGAGTTCGCTGACGTTGCGAGCAGGACTCATCTCCCGAATTCGTCGCTAGCAGTGCTGGCGAGGGGAGATTGAAGCGAGACAAAGCGAGGCATCAGTGACAGATCGTGAGAGATGGATATGATCATCGAGGGCGAGCCGCTCGAAAGAAGGCCTCGGCGGTCACGGCGCGTCGCCGCCGCGCCAGATGAACTTTACATGAGGCGGTGGCTGATTTGTAGCCGTGTGCAGGGCAGGCGCGGTAGGATCCTCGGGCCCCCGGTTGATAGCTTGCTCCGGCTGGTCTACAGGTGGAGTGGGCTGCCAAGGAGCAGGCGAAGTGAAGATCAATGGTTTCGGCTGCCGCCGCTTTTCGAGCTCTGCAAGACTGAATTGCGGCTGGTCAAGCTTCCTAGAGCCAAACACTGGCGTCGCACGCGCGCTGACTGCTCTTTGTGCTTTGCGCGGACTGGCAGGCGGCGTGGCAGCATCTCCGTAAGCTTTTGGCTTGCGCTCTCGCAATGACATGCTGCTCGGCGCCGCCGCTGCTGATGTGGCATAAGCTGTCGATAGATCTCGGCCTTGTATGACGGCGAAAGCCTCTGCAGCTTGCTTGAGCCAGTCATGCTCGGGAGCGGCCGCCTGATCTTTGCTCTGATGGGGTTGAAGCGTCGCGCGCCTGCCTGCTTGCTTGTAGCCGACAAAGCACGTCTTCTCTAGCTTTGCGAGCGTTTTCGGATCCCATGGCGTCTCTGTATGCATGACCGCCTGCTGATCATCGCGCGTATGACTGACGAGGCCAGTAAGGTAAGCAGCGACGCCGCTACATAATGCGGTATCCGAGTAGCCGCCTTCGAGGACAGAGACTAATTTACCGGCAGCGAAACGCTTAGCGAAACTAGCGGCATCGACAGCAAAACGACTGAAGAACGATGTAGGCACGCGCCTATTATGGCGTTGCATGCTCGAGTACTCGTGCTGGCTCGCATCAAATCCTGCACCCTCGCCTGGTCAGCCAGGTTGCGGGGATCATGTCAGCACGCACCTGCAGAGACAAGCACGAGCGTTCGGGACGGCTCAGCATCCGTCTGCTCGATGAAGCGCTCCGCTGCGCCGATCAATGCAGACCGATAGCAAGGGTACAGTCGCTCGTGAAAGTCAGTCTCTGAGCTATACTCGTCCTGCAAGCGTCAGAGCGTAAGCAGATGCGGGCTGCCCAAGGCGCAGACAGGACACACCAGATGCGCATTCGAGATCCACTGGCCATGAGGACCGGCGAGTGTCACAGAAGCTGCTTGCACTCGGTCTGGATCGCCATCTTCACAGGGGTAGGACATGACATCGTGTAAACTACCATAGAACACTCGCAAAGGATCATGCTTCGCCGGTTTCGAGCGTAAAGGAGAAGTCGTCGGCGTGGTTTTGCGCGAGTCAGACAGTAACGCGTTGGCTTCGGCATTGAGCCTGAAGGCGATGTCCTGAGATCCATTGCCGTGATGCAGATCTTGATCGAGTAGGATGACTCTATTGATGTTGTGTCTGTGGAAAGCATGCGCTGCACCGATCAAGACAGTATTGACAAAGCAGAAGCCAGAGGGTGACGATTGACCACAGTGATGGCCCGGCGGTCTGACGAGCACGAGAGCAGATTCGGGTTGAGCAGAAGCAAGGGCATGATCTATTGCTTGACATGTAGCGCCGAGGGCTCCCTGTATTGCGTCTAGACTGCCGGGACACAGGTAGAGATCGCCCTGAGATAGATGTGCAGGAATCTCGCTCTCTCCGGGTGTGATAGCGCGGCAGGCCTCTATCCACTTGATCAGATCGCTGGGATAAGCGCTCGTGCTAGCTTGCTCGTTCGCTTCCAATCCACCGTGGATGTGTTGCACGCTCGTATCAGTAAGGGGCAGAGAAGCGCTGGACAAGATAACCTCGAAGGGATCTGTGTCAAGCAGAAGGGTCTCTGTCCAGCTCAGACTATGCTCTGACGTTTGGCTCGACGTCGCATTATTGACAGAGAGGCGATTCATCAAGGCGTCCAGTGAGGCGTCAGCATCTTCACGCGCAGCTCCAATGGATACGCTGTGAGGATTGGTTGGTGTCGGGACAGGCTCGACGGGACGGCTGGGATCTCCACGAGAGAAAGCCCAAGCGCCTGCAACGCCCGCATGACAAGCCTTCAATCGCTCTGGACGCTCGACAATTGTAGCCGAGTCTGGTGTTCTGACGTATTTGTGCTTCGTACAGTCTGGCTGGATATACACTCGGATCTTTGGGGTATCGCTCGCTGGCTGCACCGAGTCTAGCAAAAGAGTAGAGAGCTTGACAGCTGTCGCATCATCCAGCTGAGGAAGGGTTCCTTGACTCGCACCGGGCTCAGTGCCGACTGATGGTGAGCGTTCAGACTCTTGCGCAGTAGCATAGCCATCAGAGGATGTAGCGCCCAGACTAGCCTCTCTATATTCCATGACGGCGCACGAAGTACGACAGGTTGAACGCGACCGGGCCAAGGCGCCGAGGACGCGACAATGTGATGGGACAAGTCCACAGGTCATCAGCTGGACATGATGATGCAATTTGCCACAACAGATCACGGCAGTCAGCTACGGCGGAGACCTGCAGGCATCCCTCAGCGCGGCACAAAAGGCACAAAACAGACGACTTATAAGAACGAGTTCGAGCAGACGAGCAGCTCACTATCGCGAGCTTGCCCGTCCACATTGCCGTCTCGTCTGAGAGACCGATGCGATGCCTCGTTGGACTTGCAGAGACATCATGGCGAGCAAAGTATGACGTCGACTGATCGATGATTTAGAACACCTGAAGTCGCTCGTCGCACTCGATTCCGGACGGTAGTCTCGTCGTCGTGATCAGTCTGCTTGCCCCGCTGCGATAGTCGTCCTTGAGCATGACTGCACTAAGCCTGACCGTCGTCTCTCCCAGGTGAATGAGGGGGGAGAGATGGTCAAGTAAGCATAGCATAGCCAAGACTGTCAGTGGCCCGCTAGCCAGTCGTCTTCGCCGAGATCGCCGCCGAGAGCGTCTGCCTCAGCCAGTCATGAAAGAGAGGCCTCACTTGACTCGACGCTTGACCACTTCGAGTAACACCTGCACCATTGAGATGCGTGGCCTGTCGCCTTGTCGCCCACGGCTGACAGGCCGGGTCTGTACCGGTGCACAGACCACGACTGCCTTGTTGCCAGCAATGTCGATCTGCCTTGATGCTCGCCAGTCGTTGCCAGAAGTCGTGGATGGGTTGACCAAGTTCGGCGGCGAGTGCGGCTTTCGAGCGCGCACGGGCTTTTAGACCACGTGACAGATGAAATCATTCAGCTAGACATAAGCCAGTGCCACCCTGCCATGGCAATTCCTGCGAGCATTAGCTCAGTGTCACCGGCTTATTGCGATGCGTTGCGGTCCATGCAGCCGATCAGACACCGTGTCTCCCTCAGTCACATCTCGGTAGCTCCATCTAGACTGTATCTGGCTCGCGCACGACCCCTACAGCAGCACGACACGCCGATCCAATTTCGACGAACGATGCTAGCAAGAGCCATGTCGACAGCCGTGCAAGAGCTAGCAAGCGAGCCGCCAGTGCGCAGAGGAATGATTCAGCTTGACAAGAGTCTATTCAGCAAATCACTCGAGATTTGGAGCATCGTCGTACCCGCCAAAGACGTCGTTGCCATACGATCTCTTATTGGCTCGTGAGCATTCTACCTCCAATTCTTCGTCCAAGGCGCTCAGCAAGCCCACAGTCACTCTCTCCAGCTCGCAAAAATCTCGAACGTTCTCAAAGACGAGCGGATTGACCCATCAGACCGCATGCTGCTCACCAACGCGCCGAGCCAAGGTCAATCTATGCTCGCTTGGCTAGCCAAATTTCTCACGGCCGGTTGTCGCTAGATCCACCGCCAGAGCGTATACAGCATGTAGTGCAAGAACATGGGCTACGACTCCTGTCATATCTGCTCACTCTCGACTATGACTATTGGACGGCAGGTCAGCTTGATCTTCATCACACGAAAACCGATTGACATGAGCGACAGATCAGATATTGAGAGCGATCCTGCCGGAAACGGTGGTCGAAGAGTCGCCCTCTGGCTTTGCACAAACGGGCCACATCGGTCATCTTCTGGCTTGTCATCAGACTCTTCATGACTGATATCGATGCAGCTCATATGAACTTGCGCGACGAGTATCTACCTTACAAGCATCTTATCGGCGAGGTCATCCTGTCTGTACGTCCACTTTCACATGGAGTCTCGTTCTGGCTGACCAAGCACAGAAATCGCATCGACTTGAGACCGTCGTGAATAAGCTCGATACGATCGATAACGAGTTCCGCGTTTTCAAAATGGAAGTCATCGCAGGCAAACCAGACTTTAACGTCACCATCGTGCGTGTACATTCCTCTGTGGTTCCCAGCGAAGCTAAAGCGGTGCTTTACTCAGTCAGAAGAGGGCTGCTCGTTCGGCTTTGACTTTTCGAAGGTCTATTGGAACTCGCGACTGCAAGCAGAGCACAGGCGCCTAGTCGCTTCCTTTGCGCCTCTGTCCGTCATCGTCGATGCTTTCGCAGGCGTGGGTCCGTTTGCGATACCGGCCGCGAAGAAGTCTTGCGCGGTCATGGCGAGCGACCTCAATCCCGACAGTGCTCGGTACTTGCGAGAGAATGCAGAGTCGAACAAAGTATGCTTCGCTGGCTTGAAGCTATATAAGCTAACGGACGCTGCAGGTGACCGAACGAATGCGCATCGATTGCAAAGATGGTCGTGAGTATATCAAGCATGCAGCATTAGACATTTGGCAGCATCCCTTTGGGCCACCGCCGACAAAGCCCGCAAAGCGTCGCACAGCAGAGAGAGCCCCTGCAGCGCCGATATCACCCTTTAGACCTCGAAGGATCGTAGACCACTTCGTCATGAATCTGCCGGCCAGCGCGCTAGAGTTCCTCGACGCCTACAGGGGGCTGTACGCATCGATCAAAGAAGATACAGAGTATCAGACGGCACTCATTCAGCAAGGACGACCGCTTGTGCATTGCTATTGCTTTACAAAGCTCGAAGACGCAGCAGCAGCAGAGCAAGACATCTGCGAGAGGGCATCGCTTTCGCTCGCTTACCCCGTCACGCCCCAGATGGACGACTACAGGCTTGTTCTGGTTCGGGCGGTGGCACCTCACAAGGACATGTACTGCTTGACGTTTCGAATACCGGCAGAAGTATTGCATGCTCAATGAGCCGCATCTTTGACAATGACGAGAGTACAAGAGATGCAATGCGAACGTCTATGATCGTTTGACGCCCTGCGTTCCCCGTGCTCCCCAATCAGAATGCGCGCTATGTGAAATCATTTCAGCTGGTCAATGCAAGGCGGGGGAAGAACGTACTCTAGCAACACTCTCAGAGCATTGCGAGCCCTGATGCGGGTAATGTCCTCGCTGCTTGCCAGCAAGCTGCTTGGCTTTTTGCTGCCTGGATATGGCAACGCTGCCTGCAAGTATTCATATGCGACCAAGGTGACACCGAACTGGGGCGAAGATCGCAGAACTCGCGCAGGTCCTCCCTTGAACAGCGCCCGCGCGCCTTCTTCTTGAACTGTGAAGCAAGAGATATCAGGCCGACTGTGACGGTCATGATCTTGACATATTTTTGACTCACAGATTTTTGTGCCAGCGTCCATGAGGCCTTTGTATGTCGACTCGCCTTTACGCGCCTCACTTTGCAATCGCGTCTTGATCACGTCGGCGGGCGTCGTCAGATATGCCGATGGCATGCCCTACATCAACATGTCAGACGCATAGTCCAACGTAGGCGCGAGAGACGCACAGCAATGGAGGCGGCCGCAAGTGTCTCGCCGAAGCCGAGCTTCTTGCCATCGCGGCCCTCGTGGAAGATATCAGACTTGAGGTGAGAGTAGCCAGTGAAGTAAATTGCCGAAAAGGGCACATCTCGCAAGAGACTGCAGCATTGGATTAGAACAGCTCGTCAAGCGCACTGAAGGATCTGACCATGCCGAAGAGCCTTTGTAAAGGCCTATCAGGCCAAGCTGACGGATGATATGTAGTGCCCCGCGCTTGATGTTCTCTGCTCCTCTCGTCTTTGCCGCCTCGCCCTGCATTTGCAACCGAATCTTGACAACTATCAATGATGTCAGCTAGGCCACAAGCCGCAGAGGGGAAGAATATTCACTTTCGAGCGGGTTTGTGAAGACGACTTGCGATGCTCCTGCTGTCGCGCCGGCAACCAGCTCCCAGATCAACGGCACTTTGCCTGTCTCTGGATCCTTCGTTTTCCGCCGCACAAGGTCGTTCATCGTCAGTTTGATCGCCTTCTCAGGCGCGACACCCTGCATTTCGTCGCTCTCTCGTGAGCACAATCGCACGGGTAAAGCATTCGACGCACAATGAGCTGCGGCGGCAGGCCGCGGTAAAAGCCGGCAAAGCCCTCGTTCTTATAAACCTTTCGGACGCAATCGAGACTGTTTTTATAGAGCAATTCGCCAACGACTTTACTCCTTTGATTCTGCATTCGTGTCTTGACGAGATCGATGGGATATACGGCCGTCGCGCCTGTCGCGCCTGCAATGCCGCCCAGACAGAAATTATAGGCTGACTTTGCAATGTCGGTGAGAATCGAGGTCGTCAATGGCTCGGGTTCGCCCATGACGGGCCGTTCCCACTTTGGATCGAGAAGCTGAGCAAACTGACTGAGCTTGAGTCGAGGATCTTCTGACCCCATGCCCGCAAAGTGAAAGATGATTGAGACTTCCATGGGCGTGAAGATGCCGTATCGCGTAGACTGGGCGGCGGAGTTGAGGAAGTCCTTACGATCGATTTTGCCATCAGACGACTTTGCAATCGCATCTCGGATGACTTTCTCGACCATGTCCATCTCACGTATGACATTATGGAAAGCGATTGCTTCTGAATAAGACACTTTGCCGCCGGGTGTCAGAGACGCAATGGTTGGCAATCGCTCGAGAACTGATTCGGACAGCTTGTGTCGGGCCAGCTCGTTGATGATGCGCGAGAATTGCTCGACGGTGACGTAGCCCGTGCTCTCCTTGTCAAGGTAGTGAAACGCTTGTCTCAATCGTTCGCCTTGAAGACCCTTCATGAGCTGTGTGAACTCTTGATAGCCCAGAACGTGATTGCCAGCGCGTTTGCCGAGGTACAAATGCACCCAGGGTGAGTCAAAGTCGAAAGGAATGGCATCAGGACCGAGATTGGCAGCAAAGACGTTTTTGAATTCGTCAAATGTGATCGTGCCGGAGCCGTCGAGGTCGAAGAACTTGAAAGCCACCTCAAAATCTGCATCTGGCTTCTTGAGGAGCGCTTCAAAGGCGGCAAACTCTTCGAAACTGATTCTTCCCTTTTGTTGTGCATCTGCGACTCTGAACAGGTTGCCATACTGCCGCCTGCCAATCTTGCCGCTGAGGTCGCCTTTGGGCGCTATCGCGTCGACGAAAGAATCGAGATCGAGGTACCTGCCGCAAGCAACAACAATGTGTGAGCGTACATGCAGGCAAGGGATAAGTCACTGACTTTGTATCTGAAGACTCCGATGCTTTGGCGTTGGCTTCAAAATTGCGTCGCCATCTCGCGAGCTCTGATTCTGTTGTCGCGCCGGACAAGCTCTCCGGGTTGCTGGCTGCTACAGGCAAGCCTACCGACCGCGCTGCAGAGCTCGCAGTCTCTCTGAGCGTCTCCTTCGTCTCGTGCGCTTTCTCCTTGATTTCCGCCATCGAATTGGGACCTGTACGCGTCGTTCGGCGTGTCAGTGCGGCACATAGCTGTTGCTGTAAGTAGCGTACCTTTGCTGGCCATGATGGCCTGCTTTGCGGTGCAAGGTGTCGATGTGTGTGTGTCAACGCCACGACATCGGCTATCCGGACTAACGGGCCGTTCTAGTTTTGACGCGTTCGTACGCTCACACTTTTTATCGCTGCGCCGTCAGGACGCAGGCGCTCCTGTCTCAGCAACATGAAGAAGCCTGTCAGTGCGCCGAGACGGGGAGATCAGCCGTTAGCCGCAGCGTCATCTGCGCCAAAAAGCAAGGAAGACAAAGCGCTGCTTGAAGAAATAGTGGCACTAGGAGGCGACGAGCAAGACTTCGCCCTGCTTGCAGACCTTGACTCTGCATCCGAGGACGAGGCGGCGGAGTCATCAGCACTCCCGATAGATGACAAAGCACTTAAAGCGCTTGCCTCAGATATCAAGCAATTTCTCAAGAGCAATGCTCTCAAGGCAGAGCCCGTGCCAGACATTGAAGCCTCGAGTACTTCTGCCAGTAGCGAGGACGAAGCCGCGCCGGAACCTGCAGTCAGCTCTGTCAAAACAATCAAGCAATCGCTTGAGAAAGGCAAGGGTAAGGCGCTACCCGAGCCTGCTCCCGTCGCTACCGCAAACTCAGGCTGGCTGGTAGACCCAAACCCGAGCTGGCACACGCTCGAGTTAGACGCTCTGCCTGCGCCAAGTACGAGCAACGGGCATACAGACTCTGCAGATGTCAAGCAAGCCCTACAAGCTCGAAGCGAAGTATTGCTCGTCGAAGCATCTCAGCAATACAGCGACGCGCTCCTGCCCGATTCCTCTGCCTCCAACCATTATGGCAAGACGGCCAAATCGACTCTACGAACAGCCCGACAGATCCCACTGAGCAACTCAGACAAGGCGTTTGTGTCGTCCATACTCGAGTCGGGCACTTCAGCAGACAGGTTATCCGCTTTACTCCTTCTTGCACAATCTAGTCCCATGCACTGCACACGCTACCTGCAGCAGATCCTTGCACAATGCCGCAAGAAGAGCAGGAGCGAAGCCGCGAAAGCGACTAGGCTCGTCATTGAATGGTGCACCAAAGCATCGCCATCCTGCCTTCTGCCGACAGATCGCAAGCTGCGTTTGTTTGTCGACCAGCCAGGTCTGACGGCTCTCATCGCGCTGTCGCACGACAAGACCGCCGGCAAGCATCAGCGAAAGCTTATAGAGCAATATCTACTGCTATGGGCGTTCGAAGATTGGCTCAAAAAGTGGTTCTTCGAGCTGCTGCAAGTCGCAGAATCGTTCTCGAGTGATCCTCTGCCTTTTGTCCGAGGTCAAGCGCTCGCTCACTTTGCTGCTTTGCTTGCTGCAACTCCCGAGCAAGAACAGAATCTGCTCCGACTGCTCGTCAACAAGCTGGTCAGTCGTATGCCTCATGTTGATGCGCTCGTCACTCATGGAAGCTGTCGTTGATAGGGGGACAACGACCGAGCGATAGCTTCAAAGACATCTCATCTCATACTGCAAACGCTCCAGACTCATCCCATGATGAAAGCCGTCGTTGTGCGAGAGGTAGCAGAGATAGTACTAAGGCCGATGCCACAAAGTGCAAAGGACAAAGGTCCCCAACGGGGTGGGCAGCACAGGCGATACTACGGCATGATCACACTCAACCAGATCATGCATACTCGCAACGAGCAAGGTCAGCAAGTAGCAGACAAGGTACTCGAAGTATGCTTCGATGTCTTCCACGAGCTCGTTGGCGATACGGCCGAAGAGGCAGCTCTGCCTGACAAGAAAGACAAAAAGCGAAAGAAAGGCCGCAAAACTTCAAACGTCCGTCCTGCTGAGGACACAGACGGCAAGATGATGGCTGCTGTTCTTACTGGTGTCAATCGCGCTTTTCCTTACGCCTCATCCGACATGACGATGCTCCAGTCTCGATTGGATCTGCTTTTCCGTATTTGTCACAGTGGCAACGTCAACGTCTCCGTGCAGGCCATGTCGCTTTTGAATCAGATTGCGAAGAGGAATGAGACTATCAGCGATCGCTACTACAAAACTATCTACAATTCGCTCCTTGACCCCCGTCTCGTCAACACGACAAAACACGCAATGTATCTCAATCTGCTCTTCAAGGCTATGAAAGCGGATGCAGTACCAGCGAGGGTACAAGCCTTCGTCAAACGTCTTGTGCAAGTGCTGTCGCTACACCAACCTCCCTTCGTCTGCGGAGCCCTGTATTTGCTCGCAAAGGTAGGCAACGGATTCGATTGAAGCGTGTCCACGCTGACACTGGGCGGCAGCTCATGCAAGTCACACCTTCGCTGCGGAGCATGCTCACTGTTCCCGAAGATGCGGACGCAATCATCGAAGCCGTCAATGAGGGGGAGGAAGGCGCTCCTCAAACCGGATATGACGGCACAAAGCGAGAGCCTCGCTACGCACGAGCGCAATCATCATGTCTCTGGGATATCGTGCGTCCCTGCTTGCATGTCTAGCAACAACAAGCTGACCAAATTGATAGCTCTATCTGACGAAGCATTACCATCCGGCAGTCGCGCAGATAGCAAGCTCAGTTCTCGAGGGCGAGGAAGTGCAGATATCTGGCGAACTCGAAAGCTATACGATTGTCCACTTCCTCGATCAGCTGGCGTATCGCGCTCCGAAGCAAATCAGCAAGGCTAAAGGTGCTTCAGTCATGCAGCCCGCTTCTGCAGATCGCGATGGATTGTCTGTCTCGAACCGCAAAGGATTAGGCCAGAATGCTACCGTCAATTCTGCCTCTTTCGTACGGCAAAAGGCAGACGATGTCCCCGCTCAGGAGCGCTTCTTGCACACATACTTCCGTCAGCGCGGCGTCAAGAACAAACAGGCAGACGAGGCTGCATCTGAGGCAGGTAGTCTCGGCTCCGTCTCATCTTTCGAAGAAGATCTCAGTGATGTCGATCTCGACGAAGTGCCGAATCTGGACCTGAGCGAATCTGACGCCCAATCCGAAGAAGGACAGGAAGGCGGCGAAGAGAGCGAACTGGATGAAGAGGAAGTCTGGGCTGCAATGCAGGCGACTATGCCGCCCCTCGATGAGCAGTCCTCCGACGCAGGCGAGGCTAGTACAAGTATGATCGACACGAGTGATGTCGATAGCAAAGCACTCAAGGGAGACGACGCGCTGCGGATCGACAGTGACTTTGACGACGAGCTTGTCCTGAGCGAAGATGCGCTGGAGTCCAGCGAAGAAGAGAATGATCTGGTGCGCGATGATGGCGAAGAGAGCGATGAAGAGGGAGCTGCCTTGCTGGAAGACGAGGAGGATGCTGTGCTGAGCAGCGAAGAGGAAGAAGCAGCACCGGAAGAGCCAGCTCGCAAGCGAAAGAAACGCAAGGCAGATGTACCCACGTTTGCCGACGCAAGCGCTTACGCTCATTTGCTCGGTCAAGACGAGAAGGAGGACGAGTAATCACTCGATGCACACGTTCTTGCCACATAGATCGTCTTCATTGGTACTACTACTGTAACATTAGGCTTCGCGTCGTACAAAATGCGAGTAGCTCTCTGGCGCAGATACAAATGCTTGCTGCGATGCCGCATGCGACTGTGCAGGAGGTCCGACTGGCCTGGTAAGCTGATGCTGGTGCTGCGGATCTGGGTGGTGACCGGTCTCGTACCGCGGTCCTGCTGAATACGGGAGGGGACGATAGCTCGGCTGCTGATCGTACTGATACTGCCTAACAGAGGGGTATGTTTCGTGCTGAGCGTATTCATTCACATGACCTTCCTGCCGCGGGCCCAAGGGCGACGGTCTGTCTTGGTCTGTAAACGCATTCGGGTATTGATAGGCATTGGGGAATGATGGCGCAGGCGGCGTCGGCGTGGGAGGCGAGAAAGCGAAATTGACAGGGCTCGCCGCATGCCTTGGCGGTGGCGGTGGAGCATGCATACCGGATCCCGCGCTCTGAGGAGATCCGTGCAAATTGCCGCCGGAATTAGAGGTCGGCATAGGCCTATAGGGCGAACCAGTCGTAGCCGGTCTATCGCCGTAAGGACCGCCGAGCTGGCTGTACGGTACTTCCGAAGGCACCACTGCGCGAGGCATCCCTTGTTGCTGTGAAGCGTCGAAGTTTTGGATCATCCTCATCGCGTCTTCGTAGTCTGCAGGCTCGCGCCTTGTATCTACCACACTGGATGTCAGTACACAGCGCACAAGCAAGCACGCGCGTACTGACCTAAAGGAGGTGGAGGCATGCGAGACGAGATTGTGTACGGGTGGTAGCGATCTAATTGAGACACGCGAGCTGAGCCGCTCGATTGCGCTCTCGGCATTTGCGGTCTATTGTACATGCCATTTGATCCGATAGGCGGTCCAGAGGAGGATTGCGGCCGCCCATTTGGGTCTGGATACATGCCATAGGGATGTCTACTGTAGCTGCTGATGGGGGTCGACGCCTGCATCGATATTGCAGAATCGATACCGGGCGTGATCATGCCAGATGAGCCTGAGGAGCTCGAGACAGGCGACATGAGTTCTTCTGGTTCGCCTCGGTACCGAAGGACGCCGTCTAGGCCTTGCTCGATCTTTGGCGGTATTCGGAAATGACTGGCGCTGAGGAACTCGGGCGAGATGTCTAAGGCAGCCAGTTCGAAGAGTGATGATGGTGTGCGCAGCCGATGGTGCAGTACATCCTCGAGCGCATAGTAGCCAACCATGTGCAGTGTGCCGATCGAGAACGTCTTCTTGACGAGACCTTGCGCTTTGAAACGGACCGATGATGTCAAGCTGCCCACGAGGGCTCGTTCTCTCGCGCGTTCGATGAGGATGGCTGCGTCTGTGGACGCGTCTGAGCTCGCCCTCGCTCGGCCTGGCACATCCGTCATGGGCATCCCAGATGGCATCGAGGGAGAGTTGCCAAGTCCGTTGGTAGATAGCTTGCCCGTAAAGGAAGGATTAGGCTCTCGCGAGTATATGTTCTGCGCCGAGTTCTCGCCAGATACAGCAGATTTGCTGGAGACGGGCAACTTCTTGTCCTTGTCCATCTCGCGATAGACGAGGAAGTTATTGAGTATCCTCGACGGACTCCAGATCATGCCATCAGTCCATCGCTTGATGCCTGCCTCTTTCTCATCAAAGACAAAGATTGAGCCCGATCGGATGAGCTCCTTTTCCTTGTCTTGCAAGCGCCGTGGCACTTTGGCCAGTATGCCACGGTGGCATGCTTCGAAGACGAGCAGGGCGTCCAGCGTTGTCTCTACATAGCCAAAAAAGGTCGGCTCTTGCATCTGAAGAGACGGCAAGCTGCTGTTACTCCCCGATCCGCTGCCAGCAGAGAGAGCGCTACCGCCGCCGCCGCCGCCGCCGCCGACAGCTGATGTAGACGGCTTTGCCATGACTCGCCCACGATTATAGGCCCATTCGAGGGATAGGTGTCTTTATCAGCCAAGTGAGCGACGATGATGTGGCAATCCCTCTGTGTGTGCTAGCGCCCTCTATGTACGAAGCCGGATGATCTCGCGCTCCGAGCGTACAAAGTGTCCGTACAGTGTGGGCGGTGTCGTAGTGAACTCTCGAGCAGCTCGAACGGTGCCCAGCCTGCCTTTGTGTCGAGCAAGAGTGTGCGAGCGGACGCGGAGGTGCCCAGATGAGCGGCCAGAGACGGCCCTGATCGGTTGCTCCTAGATCGTCGACTATCTGGCTAAATTGCGGTCTTGGTCAATCTGGCTGACGCTAGCGGAGAAGGACCCCAGTGGTACGCAGGCCTCGGCTCTGGGCCGTCCCTCAATGCTCAATTTGCTCTCGCGTGCGACTACCACAGCTTCTCCTCGTGGCTAGGATGCTGATTTAGGCAGATGATGTTGTTGATGATGATGCGAGCTGCTCGTGGCCTAATGCGCGAGACCAGTCTGCGAAACACTGCCGTCGTTCGCCCTAAAACTCGGCATTCGCGCTAGGCTGATCAGCTCGCGTGGTCGGCCCGATCGACGCTCAGCTCTTTTGATTTTCGTCCTTCGCGGTAAGAGATAAGTGGAATCTGTTGACACAGGATCTGCAGCAGCAGTAGCAGCAGCAACAGTCTTGGGAGGGGCAGCCCTCGATCCCACAGTTCAAAAGGAAAGTCTGTCCCGCTCTGCCCACGCCATAGAACTCGCATGCCACGGAATTACCGCTATCCACGACAATTCAGAGAACATTTCATCGAACAGATCCGACTTGCACTTGAAATCAAATGAAATCTACAGCAGTCGGCCGAATCTGTCGACTGCCTACCGGGTTCTTCTCCACCCAGACTTCCTCTTCTTTCACGCGCCTCTTGACTGCGGGACCCAGATTCGGGTTCGGCTTGGCTTTGCGCCCACTCTTGAGGTCCGCGTCCGCGTCATCTGCGCCATCCTCGACGTCGAAAGAGAGTACACTCTTGTGAGGTTTCTTCTGTTTCTTGATCTTCGTCTTTGTCGACTCGGTCTTAGCAGCTGTAGGTCGTGCCACAAACGTTGGCTTGAAGCTCGACAAGTCCACTTGCTCGACATGCCCCGGTTTGGGTGCTTCGTAACGAATGCCATGCTCGGGATCAAACCGGGGCACAGACGCGACCGTAGCCGCAGCATCCATCATGACTGCATCTTCCGCTAGCGCTGTTTCCGGCTGGACCGCTGATGGGTCCGCGGGCGCATCAGCGTGCTCCACTGCAAGCGTTTCTTCCTTCTCATCGTCGTCATCGTCAGAGTCTGCGAAGATGGCCTTGAAAATGTCCATCGAAGGACGCTCATACGTCAGCGTATCTCGACCTTGATTTTCGTCGTCACCGATCCCGACCGTAGCAAGATCCCTCGGACCAGAGGGTTGTGCCTTACTAGCCGCAGGCTTATCAGCCATAGGTTGTACGGCCGTCATGGCTTCTATGGTCGCTTCGTCCAGATTGCTCGAGCGCACAATACGATCCATTGCAGCCTTGTTGAGCACATCCTTGCTATCGTCTTTCACGTTGACATGCGGTCCTTCTGGATGCGGGTCGGGTACGTTGAAGCGTTTGCAGAGCAGCCGGTTCGGGTAAAAGGGCGTTTCGCTCCGTGTCAGTGTGCCGAACATGCCTGCTCTTGCAGCGTTCTGTGCAGGCGTCAGATTCTCTTCGATATATTTGGGTGTTTCCGCTTCGCCGGGCTGAGCATCCTCAGACAGAGCAGTGACTTTGCGCAGTCCCGGCTCTGGCTGATCGGCTGCAAAAGTTGTAGACAGTGCTGAGCCCGCCGTGAAGCGCGAAGCCATCATGACGCTCATAGGCTTGAAGATCTTTGCAGATCTGGCAAAATCTTGCAGCTCTCTGTTCAGCTGGGCTACCGTCATATTTGCCAGAGGTACGAAGCGAACATCCTTGCGCAGACCCGCCGCGCTCTCGAGAAACAGACGGTAGCGTGTTTGGCGGGGGATATCGTCCTGGTAGGGCATATAGCCGCCCAGAGCAGCTTTTGCCGTCACGACGTCCACAGAAGGGACCTCGACTTCGTTGGATGGCTCCGGCCCCGTCGGAATCGCCTCTGAGGTCGAACCGTTCGGAGCCGCAGATCGAAAGCTCGCTAGGCGCTCTCGATCTTTGGCACTGATAAAGTCGAATACAGAGCGAGCAGGCCCTTTGATGGGTTCCTCGCCGAGCGCATGCGCTCGCTACAGCACAGCAGACACCGTTAACAGAAACAATGCCAATAGTGAAGACCACTCGCCTCGTCTGCATTCTTCACGGTCTGCTTGCTCGCTTGCGGTATTGCGGCACCCAGAACACGCTCAGGTCGTGGCTGCCATTCTTGTGGAACATCCGGAGGCTCGAACCTGCGATGATATCGATACAGGCTGAGCAAGAGCCTGCTGAGGCAGCGATTTTCACTGACCATGTATCTACTGGAACAGGCTGTACAGCGAGTACGAAACCAGCTATTACGATAGAGTCGTCCTTGAATCTCTGACCAGCTGATGCAGGCCGGGTTGCTCGTTCTCGCCGTCTGTCGGCTTGTACTTCGGACTGGCCAAGCAATTGCGGACCCTTCCTTCTTCGTTCCTCAGTGGCTGTCCTGAGTACCTCTTCGTCTTGAGGCCGCATGGCATATATGTCCGCATCGTCCTCATCTAATTCCTCTAGTGCGCTGATACCGAAAGCGCCACCTCGGGGGAGAGTGATGTCGCTAGCCTTTGCTTTGCCTTTGACAATTTGGGATGTCTCGGCTTGTAGCTGATTGAGCGTCATGCCTGCAATGTATCCAAGACCGAAAGTATTGTCCTTGGCAGCATAAGCGACAAGAGGCCGGTCGAGAGGAGCAAAAGAATGCTTGAGCGCCTCATCATCGTCATTCGCAGACGAAGTGTAGAATGAGCCTAGACCGAGTTCATCTGCTGTCCGTTGGCGAGCTTGAGCAGATACGCGAGGTCCTGCCCCTTGGCCTTCCCTCCAACCCATTCGCTTCATCAGCTTTTCGCCAATCGCGTCTGAGCGCGGCTTGACCATATCGCCCAACAGCGCATCGAAACCGGTCGCACTTGCTGTCTGGGGAGCATCAAAAGAAGCAGATGGCTTCAACGACTCCGTTGCTCTGAGTTCGACTAGATCCTCTTCGTCCATGAAATCCTCAGGACGTTGCATTGTTCGCTGCTGCGTGCTCGCGTCTGATGCATTTTGACCTGCTGCCTCTTTGGTCGCTCGGGAGGACTTGAATGTCGACGGCGTCCATCCTTCCTTTGATCCGACAGTATTGAAGTAGCCAGCTGCAGATCCTGCTGAGCACTGCGGCTAATCCGAGTAACGGTAGGCCTACCTGAGAAACCGCCTGTGAAGGCGCCATGAAGCCTCCGCCTGCCCTTTTCGTCCCTCACCTCTTGCTGCCATACAGGGACATATTCATTCTTGTCTTTGTGGGCGATAGAAGGCAAAGGCGTGCCATAGCTACAGAAGTTCTCGTTGAGGCCTTGCACATTGAGCTCCTCCGCTTTGCGCTTGAGCCGGTTGGTCGCCATCGCATCGCCTGTAGCTCTATGATGCTAGTACAGAGACGACAGTCAACGAACGCTAGACCTGCGCACTCCACTGGGCCAAGTGATCGATGACAGAGGGGTCGAGGTGATGATGCAGGTGATGATCACCTCGCGGCGACGTGGCGACGACGCTCGCGCCAGAGCAGAGCATCATCCAGCCCCGGCCATGGCACCGCTAGCGCGACGCCTGCTGGCTGAACTCTCGGACTACAGACGCAACGCTTCCTCTTTTGATCACTTGCTGTCTCTCTCGCCCGTCTCCGACGAAGATCTCCTGACATGGCATGCTCGCCTCAAAGGTCCCAAAGATTCGCCATTCGAGGGTGCCTAGACGCTCAGCTTGCACCAGACAAGCACTGACTTCTCAGCCCAGACTTCGACTTCGATCTCAGCATCAAAGTGCCTGAAGCCTATCCGAGCAAACCGCCATCAATCTACTTCACAACTCAGCTGTGCCATCCAAACGTCGCAGTCAAGGTACGCAATACCCCGCGCTCCGACTCCTGTGCAGGCGCTGATGTCGTCAGATACTCAGACTGGAGAGATCTGTCTGGATGTGCTCCAGAGCGAGTGGTCGCCAGCATGGACACTTGCGAGCGCGTGTACTGCCGTTCAAGCACTGCTCGCCTGTCCCGAGCCTTCTTCTCCTCTCAACGTCGACGCAGGTAGGTACTTTTCTCTCTTGCACATCATATCTGCTGCTCATGTCAGTCTGTCGGGGCAGCCAATCTTGTGCGATCGGGCGACAAGATGGCCTACTATTCGATAGCGCGTCTGTACGCACAGCTTGCGGTCCCAGCTACGCCCTGACACTACACGCTTCAACAGCCGTCCAGCGCTACTCAGCTTCCGAATAGCTACAGTCCAAACAGTCGCTTGTCCTGATACAGCGATCACAGACTGCACCAGTACAACACCCATTCAGACTCGCTGTCATATCACTAGCTAGTCTAGCCTGTGAAGATGCGTCTGACAGTACGGCGATCTCGGTCGCCAGTCACACGCACGCTGCCTTCGGTCTCGAGCGATTTGACAATATCCGTGAGCTCCGTGGGCTCGACAGCCACGCTGCTCTGGTCATTGATGGCTTTTGCAAGATCGCCCCAGCGCATGCCTCTGTCGATGTCGCCAGATTCGAGAAGGACAAGTATAGCCGCTTTGAGATCGTTGCGCAGCTTAGTTGCGGCCATGCCGTGGCCCGTGTTGAGCATGTCGAGATCGAGCAAGCCTACTCACGAGCAAATCAGCTCCGTGTCGTACGAATGCGAACGAGCGAACCTGTGATGGGATCCGTTGCTGACTCCTTGAGCGCCTCCCGAATCAAGCGGAAGGCTTCCTCTACGTCCTCAGCATCCACCGTGTCCGAGAATCGCATCCGTGCGTGCGCCTCGCTCAATCTGATACCGCTCTCGAGCTGTCTCGTGGTGGCGGTAATGCGCCGATCGGATGAACGAGGATCGATGCCTGCCTTGCGCATGGCGACGTAGTTCTTGACGAGCAAGTCTGACGCTTCCTGAGTCAAGCGAGGATGGATGTGGTTGCGAGCAAACGATACATAGGTAGTGAGCTGTTCGACAGGCATGATGTCGCTTCCACCCGTCTCGGGCCTGTCCTCAAGATAGAGGCTGACGAGATGCTTGGCCAGACGACGATCATGTGTCTCGTCGACTCTGTCCAGCACGAGATAGAGCAGATCGAAGCGAGAGATGAGCGTAGGCGGCAGATCGATGTTCTTCGTGATAGGCCAGTGCAGATTGTATTTCGAACCGACTGGATTGGCTGCTGCAAGTATAGAGCTGCGGGCATTGAGCGTCGTGATGATGCCCGCTTTTGCAATCGAGACTGTCTGCTGCTCCATCACTTCGTGTAGCACGCTTCGTGTCGCGTCTGACATCTTGTCAAATTCGTCAATACAGCACACACCACCGTCGGACAGCACCAGTGCGCCAGATTCGAGGACGAGCTGCTTCGAATCCGGATCGCGAGTGACATAGGCTGTCAGGCCGACGGCTGACGATCCTTTACCAGACGTATAGATGCCACGTGGAGCAATCTTGTGGACGTATTGCAGGATTTGCGACTTGGATGTACCGGGATCACCGACCAACAGGACGTTGATGTCGCCACGATAGCGAGGGCCACCGCTGCCTCCGCCGCGACTGATCGACTTGTTTGTGCCTCCAAAGAGCTGGAGCAAGATACCCTTCTTGATATCGTCCATCTCCCAGATCGAAGGAGCCAGCGAACGCGACAGGAACTCGTAGATGTCTGGGCGACGAGAGAGTGCGACGAGTTCCTCCTGATGACGTGCACGGCTTTGTCTGACATTATCGGGCGCATCGGCGAGCTCATCTTGTAGACCGAGCTCTTGTTCGCGTTCAAAGTCGTCCTCCCCTCCGACACCAACGTGGCTGCCAAACCGGCCTTCTCCTTCGCGAGTAGACGTATCGAGACCAAGTCGTTTGGCATCCGTCTTCTTGACATGCAAGACGTCGATGTACGTCTTGAAAAGCGACTTGATCGTGCGTTGACGAGGGTTGACTCGCACGGCAACAGAACGGAAGATGCCAGTGATTGTGACGCGATCACCCGGCTTAGCGATATCGACGAGCTCGTCGTACACGCAAAGGGAGACAGTATGAGGCGTTTGACCATCGGGTACAGCGTCTGCACACTGATGAGTACTCATCCAAGACGAGACAGAGCGACTGACCTGGCGTTTCCTGAAGACGGATGACCTGACGGTCAGAGAATTCGCAGCGGTTATGGATAAGGCTCATGCCGCCTTTGAGACCGCAAGTCTCGCGAGGGCAAGCAGCAGGTTCTTCGATGCGACCTCTATCGATATCAGCCGTGATGGTGTGCATGCAGGTGAGACAGCGAAAAAAGGCTGTGCTCCTCGTCAGCTACTGCATGTCATGGACGGTATGGCTGGCTTGCCTGATTTCATGTCAGGTATGATGGGAGTAGCTCGGATGACGAGGCCCTTGATCGTGACGAGCTTGTCGATGTCGCCAGGACCTAGGTCGCGCATGTTGACGCCGATGTGACGATCAGTCGACATGGCTTGATCGCGATCTCCTCTGCCATGCTCGGTGCTAGCAAAGGGTCGGATCTTATAGATACGGGAGTTCATTTCGTAAATCTCGTCGTCCGTAATTGGGCCGTATGCGCCCGAAGCCTGATCAGCCCAGCCGAGGTCGATCATTGCACTATACGATACGCGAGTTCAGTGAGGCTGCACAAAGGTATCGTGAGACTGACTCTTTGAGGACTTGATCGCACATGGGGACGACTTCCTGCGGATACGTTCGCAGCCAGCGCTCGAGCTTACGAGTAGGCGGAAAGGCAGCTAGATTGAGCATGTCTAGGTTGAGATTCGTCTGACTCGTCAATCGCATCGTTCGCATACTGCAGCCATCCGCGTCAATCATCCGTCGCGCAAGTATGGGAAATGACATACTAGTGCTCATAGAGTAGCTTCTCGCCGTCCAACGCTGCGTGTTGCTGAGCAATCTTGTCCTCGTCCTCCATCTCGCCATTGAGGAGTGCTTGCTCCCTATCCCATTGCATGCGATACTTTGGCTTGTAATCGCTCAGGAAAAGCTTGAAGGCCGTCATGGCTTCATCCAGCCCGACACTCGTGCCCCAGATGACTTTACGCGGTCCGGTAGCATCAGGATCGGCATCCGATCCGTTGTGAGTAGCAGCACGAGAACCGGCTCCAGTAGGCACGAGCAACCGATCCGATCCTGTATCTGACATGCCGCCCAGTGCAGAGCTAGCCAGACGAGAATGGGGCGTTGCACGAGGCGCTGGGCGCATCTCGACGTTCCGCGTACCGGTCGTGACTGCGCCAGGTGTAGACGGAGGCATAGAAGAGTGGATGTCGCCTCGGATATTGCGTCGAGGAGCAGGAGAGCCTGCATCAGACCTACAAATTCGTTAGCTCGAGTGCCTTCGAACAGAGGGCACCGTACATTGGGAAGAAGAGAGGTTCACTGCTCGCTTGGCTGGGCAGGACTGTCGAACCGCGTGAACGGATGGAATGAGGCGTGCGGCCATTGGGAGGTCCTGCGCTGCTGGTAGGCAGCATACCGCTGCTTTGCAGTCCGCCGACGTGAGGCGTGTTCGGACCGCTCATCGAGGAGGATGGCAGCATGCCACGGGGCTCGCTCGAAGGCTGAGAAGGCATATCGATGTCCATCTTGAGACCCGAGCCTCTCGCAAAGTCTTGCTTTAGCTCAGTGTGAAGCGCGTCGAACGCGACGCGTTAATGAGGTGGCGCAAGAGCATGCATTCGCCGCTATTGGCTCTTTTTGTCGATTTGCTCTAGAGCAGCCAGACGCTCAATCAGTGTCGGATGACTATGATGGAATGCAGAGTAGAGCGCATCGTACGTTAGGACTGCGCTGTTCTTACTCATCAGGCGTATGAGGCCGACTTTGAGTTGCTGCGCGTAGCCGAGATTCTTGGCAAAGGCGTCTGCTTCATATTCCATCACACGGGACTGCCAGTTGTTCGCAAACTGCAGCAACGTATCTAGCGGACCGAGCAGGAACTGGCTGAGCATCAATCCGACGATGATCGGCAGATGCTCTGACGGGTCTGCGGAGAGCGACAGATACTTCTGAGCTAGTGTCATCTCGGGTCGGAAGCCAAAAGCGGCATAGAGCGATGGCGAGAAGAGAACGAGACTGATCAAGCTGAGGTTGACGAGCAGGATGACTTGAGCAGATCCCATCATTCGGAGCGTATGGTTCAGCTTCCAATGACCCAATTCGTGTGCCAGTACGGCTTCTACTTCTTCGGGCTTGTTCTGATCGAGCAGCGTGTCAAAGATGACTACACGTTTCGGGAAGAAGGGTATGCCGATAAAGTAGGCATTCGAGTGAGCGCTCCGCTTGCTACCATCGACGACCATCACTTTGCCCAGAGGAAATCTGATAGAGTTTGCCAGTTTGATCAATCGTTGGCCCACATTGACATAGTCTGGCTTGTCTGTGAACGCGCTCAACGGCGTAAACGTGTTGAACAAGGGCGCCAGTACGTAGATATACGCCGGGATGACGAGAATCTGCAAGACGGCGACAAAGACAAGCAGGTAGAGTACAAACGTCTTGCCGGCCCATCTGATGATGGCAAGCACGCCGGCGAGCAGAGGTCCTCCAATGGCAGCTGTCAAGACGAGACTCTTGACGAGATCGGTCGTCCAAGTTCGGAGATCAGTCTTGTTGAACGAATGACGCTCTTCTATCACGAATGTCCTGATCAAGCTGAACGGCGCGGACGTGATGGTGGAAATGAGTGTGAGCAGGCCTGCAAAGACCAAAGAACGTCCGATCTCTCCTTGCGCATAGCTGCCTCCCAGTTGTCCAGCAAGGTTCCACAATCCCTTGAGTCCGGTCCAGTTGTTGGGCTCGTGCTTGCCAATGTCGAAGAAGAATTGCAAGAAACCAGTGAGGAGGCAGATTGTCTCGAGCTGGCCAAAGAGATCAGTCAGGATGCCGAACTGGAGCTTGTCGAGCGAGTAGGCCTGAGACTTCCAAAAGGCATGAATTGGCGTCACACTCTCGTCCTTGTCCTTGTCCAACTGGCTCGCTTTGTCCTTCTCAGCCTCGCTTGCTTTGCTGAGCTCGGCAAGGTAAGGCTTCAGTGTCTTCGGTACGTCCTTACAGGTCAAATGGGGCAGCTGTCTGGCGCTGTGCGGAAGTCGCTGTAAGCATGGCAACGGCCCCATGAATGACACGGCACGCACCTGACGTAGGTCTCGAACACAAAGGCGGCCAAGCTGATACTCAAGATGATGGTCGAGTACGGCAGTCCATCTGAGCTCGACATCTAGCGTATCGCCTCGTCTTGTGATCGAGCTGATTGGTCGGTGACACGGCAGTGATGACGGCGTACGACAGCGGCGACGACGCGCTTTTGGACGTGACGTGGACATTGCCGGCACTGTCCATGTCGATCCTCACGATCGAGAGCACGATAAGACAACAATGCAACATCTCGTGAATCCATACAGGTCTACGGTCATTGCATATCTTGCGCTGCAGTGCTCTCACTCTCGGCAGAAGGAGCGTCAAGTTGCAGGTGAGAGAGCATACTCGTCCCATTCGTCTTCTGTGATCCCCGACCAGCCCAGATAGATCAGGACGATAGTCACCGATTCGAGAAAGGTAGCCAAGAATGATCCATCCACTTTTGCGCCACTCCTGTCACGCTCATGCTCAGGGTGAGTCCGACAAGGAGAGACAAAGGCGACTTGCCTCAGACATATCATCTCGCTGAGTCCATAATAGATGCCTTGCGATAGCACAAACGTAAGCAGAGCCGCGAGGAATATCACTGTCGGAGTCAGGGAGCCTGATCAGTATCTGCTGATACTGAGCGAGCAGTGAGGACTGACGGGCAGGTCTGCCCTCGCGCAAGACAAGGATGGTCACGCCGAGCGAAGTGGCGAAATAGACGACCGTTGCGATCAACGGCCATACTATCGTCAGCGTGAACAGGAAGAGCTCTTTCAGTCGGCCGGGATGTATCGACCGATCCTCGAAGAAGGCAGTAATCCGGAGTCCCTTGTCGAGGGAAATGTAGAGCGTGCCAACAAAGGCGATCAGGCTACCCAATGACATGGGGATCAGACTGGCAGCAGTACCGTCATCGACGAGTTGTAGACCGAGCAGACCTGTCCAGGTGAGAACGAAGAACATTGCCACGACGGTGGCGAGATGGAGTGCTGTCAGTACGACGACAGCCGCCGTCCCTTGGCCGACGATAGATCCCAGTGTGACGATCTGCAAAAGACACTGCAAACCATAGAGTGCAAAGAAGACGGTGATCTCAATACGACCTGTTGTCATGTCAGGCCAATGAGATCGACGGACTGGCTGATTCGACAATGAAGTGACTGACCGACTGCCGCTTGCCGCCTCTTTGCTTTGTGAATGAGCACGAGCGCGAGAAGGATGCTGAGGGCAGCAAAGATGATATTGGCAAGGTTGCCCAAGTCATCTTGAGATCCCCCGAAAGTGCTCGCACGTGCAATGGCGCATCTCGACCTGACTCCCACGCCTTGATGAGCCAGTATCTCCCCGAAAGTGCCATTGCTTGCTGGATCTGGCAAGTTGAGCAAGTAGGGATAGCTCGAGCTCGGCTGTGTCCGTAGCAAGGAGCTCAGGAAAAGGTTGCAGACCGGCAAGCTGGGCACATGTCGACAAGCATAGCCAAATTCGCCATATTCGAACAGCGGCATGCCCTGCTGTCCAGCTCCCCGCTGAACTCTCTACCGAGCTGTTCGAGCCGTGTGAGATGCACCAGATGGGGGGCCAGGCACATTGCCCGTTGTCAGGCAGATGCAGAGATGTGTGCGGTCAGTGCGCAGACCAGACGCGTCTCAGAGGGGACCGCCCGGTGGAGCCCATCAAGCGCTCAAGGTCTTGGAGGCAGAGTCGCGCACAATACATTCATCTAGATGCAAACAGGTGCGCTCGATGCGACCGTCTTCATGATTTGCTGGCATGCACAATATACCTGGTCGAGCTGATGAGTGTCCGCAGCGTGTGAGAGCAGTCGGACTATACCCTTTGTCCGCGACGACATTGCGCGTCTTGTACACGATCGTATACTGTCGCAGCGAGAGAGGTATTAGCTCGACCGGCGCGAGCTAAAGCAGCCCACGCCGACCTTGAGCACCCAATTGACCGTTCCCCAAGAAGATCCTTCTCCAATCAATGCTTTCGGCAACCGCGAGCCAAATTCGTCAAGGAGCGCAGAGAACGTCGCAGGCGGAAGTAGATCTATAATCGCAATACCATCAGTCTCTGATTTGTACGCTCCTGAAGACGACCAGCCTGAACAGTCAGAGTGGGTGAGCAAGTCAATCTTGTTGTCTTTCATGATCGCCATGTCTTCGGGTGAGACAGAGCAGCAGTCTCTCAAGTTGATCTGGTTGACTCTGGGTCGCCTTATGCTCATGATCTCTCCGCTTGCTGGCGCAGACCGCGGCGGAGGAACCGTATATGTCGGCAGCTCGTCCAACAAGAAGCGCTTCATTCTTGCCGATGAAAACTCTGACAAGCCTAGCGAGCGTAGTGAAGGGTTGGTCGACATGCTCTGTCGCGCACAACCTCGTCATCAGACTTGAGGGAGATCGACAGTAAGTATGTCACTCACCTCCCAAACTGGCCTCAACCTCGCAAAGACGTCCTCCTGTCCTCGTTCGTCGAGCTGTTGGAACAGCCCGCTCGTTTCGCCCTTCTCTCGCCTCTTCTTGTTCTCCAGACAGCCCCCGTCCGGATCATCCTCGTCGTACACAACCCCGGGCAGACTCAGAATGAGCAGATCAATCTCGTTCAGACCGGTAGCGAGTGTGAACTGCTGGACAGCTTGCTCGACCCATTCCGGATCGAGATGTGGTATGCTCGAAGACGTGTGTGGGTTGAGATAGAAGAACTTGGCGGTGATATCGAGCGAATCTCGCTGTTCGGTGGTCAGGTCGTGATCGAGCGAGAGCGGTGAGGGAATGGACAGCGCCCTTTCCTTGGGTGACCATGCGCACCATCCTGCTTCTATGTTGGTCTGACTGCCGTTCGTCTGCATGGGCTCGATCGAGCTCGACTCTGCTTTTGAGCTCTCCGACGCGCAGCTCGAGGGACATTGAGGCAATGGCAAGCTCGTCTCGAGCAGTGTACGGAGCGAGTAGACGAGCTCCGAATTGGATTTGCGAGAGGTCAGCGAGACGCTGGGTAGCTTGCCGAGGCGCAGGATAGACTGGGCGTACAAAATGAGGCTCTGTCGATGACCATGAGCTCTCTTTGCATGACCATGCCATCCGTTTGCCTCACCTGTACGTCCGATGCATGCTGTAGCGTGTTCAGAGCGCGCTCAGTGGGGCTCGTCGGCCTGGGGAGGTCTGTGCCGTGCTGGCTATGATGGTGACCGTTGACTGCCGTTCGCAAAAGTGTCGACATTCTTGACTATCGAGACCGGAACAGTGGAGGAGCCTGCCTATGGTTCACTTCATCATCATCCTATGCTCCTCCGTCTGCGTTCTTGCCAGCCAGCAGGCTCCAGACTGGACGGATCTCGAACTCTTCGACTGCTCCTGGCTCCGGATAAAAAGATAAAACTGCCGCGCGTCATCGCGTCATCGTTGATATCAAGACAAGCACGAATGCAGCTTTGGTACAATCTAGGTCACAGAGACGTGATGAGATGACCCATGAGAACCTCTTGCTCCTCTTTCGAGATACGCAGAAGGACCTTCCAGAGTAACCGACTTGCGGCAATGCCCGCACTGCCGTCTTCTTCGAGTGCCTCGCTCGCGGCACTATCCATCCGCCAGAGAACAGCATCCCGTTCTGCTGTCACCGTCGTGTTGCGTTTTGAGCCGCTGAGGAATGTGAGCTCGCCTGCGACTGTGCCGGGCAACATCGATTCTGTCATGTGTCCGTGGCGATCCATTGCGGCCAACGGTGCATAATCGTATTCTGCTCGAAGCATGCCACTCTCGATCAAGAAGAACCTGCCATTGGTATCAGCAGATCATCGAAACTAGACGGCGAGCTGCTTGCCCGTCTGCGGGATCGCCTGCACGCCAAAGGATCGTTCCTTCTGGCACATGCACGCGATGAAAATGCGGCACAAGCTTAAAGAGAAATTCGTCCGTGATCGGTTCTTCCTTGGTCGCAAATGGTCGGAAAGCTTGCCGAAAGATGAGCATCGGCTGACCAAAGTGGGTCTTTTCCTTGGGCGTTTCGGCACGCATGAGCGTATTGCCTGCTGCAGAAGCAAGGTGACGCCTTCTCGGCGAGAACTCGAATGCAGATGGATTGCTCAACGCAGGATCGTTCAGCGGCGCAGCTGGTTCGTCATCAGACCTGTAAGCTGAATTGATTTGCTGAGGGCAGAAAAACTTGCATATGCTGATGGCAGATCCGTCTGCTACTTTGGGAGGATGCAGATCGCGCGAATAGAGGCTCCTAAGTTGGGAATTCTCGCAATGCTGCCAAGGCCCCTTCAGCTCAGCGACACAAACGCTTAGCTGCTACAGGTGGAACAGACCTCGAGAGAATCGTTGAGAGACTCAAAGACTTTGAGTGAAGTCTCGCCATGGCCTGCCCAGAGGTCGACGCCGCGAAGTGCTCGACCGATGGGCGACTCCGGCGGGCATCCGCACAAGACGAGACCGACGCTTTTGGTCTCGCAAAGCCGCTGAACGCGCAGGAAGGCTTCGGCGGCACTGAAGTCGACCCCTGTGACGACGTCGCTTGTCAGCAAGTTTTTGGCCACCCAAGCGAAGATGTGCCGACCCGAAGCGAGCGTAAAGTCGAGCACGAGGAACCGTATTGGACTCTTCGACCACGCGGCAACATCGAGTATCTCGCGGATCGCTGTTTCGCAAGCTGAGGTAGTTCCGAAGAAGAGAAAGCCTTGCAGTCTGATGACGCGAGTCTGAGATCCTACTTCTCGCAGGAAAGCGCTCTGTGAAGGTGGCCGCCGCACAGTCGATCTGAGAAACGTCAGCGCGGCGAGATTTGACGAGTCCGATGCTCACTTTGCAGTCTCGCCACTGATGATGCTTCGGATGGCACGTCGTTGGCTTGAAGTGACGACAAAGTGCGCGCAAGCAACAACGATGCCAACGCCGATACCAACGACAAAGTCCCAGACTGTCATGGCGATGATGATGATCCAGATTGTCGCATATTCGGCTCTGTCAGTGCGGCTCAGCATGGTCCGGCACGAGTGTGACATGACCCACGGAGAGACACGACCCCAAGTATCCCAAATGCCTTCCTTGAGAAGGTCGATGCCAAGCAAATGAATGAGGGCGCCGACGACCATGACAGGCAGGTAACCGATGATGCCTGGCCCCGCGAGCATGACAGCAGCTGTCGCGATGGCCAGCATAAAGCCCGCCAATCGGGTATCGCCTCCAATGCGATAGAAAAGGACACTATTGACATAGCCTGTCCACCACGCGTCAGCGCTGCACTTTCTTGGCTAATCTTTGCGCACAGAGATAATTAGGGATTGTACCCAGCAAGCCCGCAAGAACATTTGAGACGCCATGGTTGACGAGCTCAGTGTCCGTCTTGACGCCATCTTCGCCGATCGATAGAGCCAGCGCAGGCACATTGATGGGCACATGTAAAATCGCAAAGAAGCAGAGTGCGAGCTGAGTCGGTATCGTTGCAATTAAAGCTCCCCAGTCGCAGTTGCCAAAATCTGTTACACACGATAAGCCCGGCTCCCGTGCACACGGATTGGATGTCTCACCATAGAGCGTATAGAAAGTATACCAAGGGGTATTGACGCCGTCGAGCTCAAATATCCATCCGCTCTCTCGCAGGCCCGGGATCGACAAGCCGAGTGCAGCGACACAAATGTAGAAGATGATGGGCACGGCGATGAAGTACGCTGGCACAATGAGGGGATGCGTGTACCGATGCGTGATGATGCGAAGCAATACTGCTAATGCAAGTGGGATCGTCTGCAGCACTCGTCAGCTCAACACTCAGATCGAATCCAGACGGGCAGTACCCATAACGGCAAAGTGTCTTCGCGCATGAATGTCCGCAACGTGTCCATATTGAATTCGAGCTCGCCTTGCATCCTTGCAGTGACCGTGAGTCTGCCGAGGTGAAGCTGAGCAACGTTTCGAGGACTCAGAAGATGATCTTACCCTGTTTCAACGAGAAATGCGCCGATGCCCGCGACACAGCCAACGAGGATATGGCGAGGGAAGAATTCGATGAGCTGGCCTAATTTTGCCGCGCCGAGGCTGAAGAAGACGATGCCTGCCCCATCGATTTAGATAAGCATGACGTTCCACGTGCACTATGGCTGGACTTGCCTGTCAGAATCGAAGAAAAGGCATAGGCGAACATGGTGGTGGAGATGATGCGAGCGTCTTGACCGTCGCCAATGCTATCGTAGATACTCGTTGAGATCTGATGGAGGAAAGGTACGATCTCAATCATCATCGAACCGTTACCGGCCTTGAAGATACTGCTGGTGGAGTACACGATCTGACTGATGAGACAGCTGGCAAAAAACATCGAAACGCCGATACCGCCAAAATTTGCAAAGAGCGGTAGATCTGTCCGGAACATGATCATGCCGTAACTGACGCCGTCGAGCAAATTCATCAGTATGCCTAGTATGACTGCCGGGATGAGTTGTATCGGTCTTCGAGCGGCCACAAGTAAATCTTCACGTGACAATTTGCGAAAGTCTTGCAACGCGTTATGACCCGCTCTGGAGATACGTCTGAGTGGGTGGATCCTTTGCGCAAGCGAGGACCAAGAGTGGTTGGTCTGAAGCAGCTCTGCAGGCTCAATTTCTGTCGTCTTCTTGAGCAGCAAAGGCGTCGTCTCGTCAGACTGAGCAGCAGGCTCAGAAGCTTGACTCCATGCAGCGGCAGATGAATTCGGATCCTCAGCCGTCTCATTCTCCGCGCAGAGCGAATCCCTCGTGACACCGGCTTCCATGTTAGTTGCAGAGATTTCTTGGCTCGGCGGCGAAGTATGTCGTGAGCGTGGGATGGGAGTTCTCTGACCCGAGCTAGTCGTCCGACCAGCTGTAGGCGCGGTCGGTGATGTACCGGCTGAGCCAGAGGCAAGCATCGCAAGAGACAGACCCGAAGGTGCGCTTCGGATATTCACGCTTGTGCCCGCGACTGTCTTGGCACCATTGCTCTGAGCTGAGAGTCCAGGTATGGGTTTGCCCATTTGCGCTTCATTCTTTAAGCTCTTTTGTGCGCCCTTGAGGCTATGCTGCTCGAATGATCCCGCAGCATCTACTTCGTCTTCATCATCACTCCCATCTGTCAGTCCGAGCGAGCCCAGGCGGGCAGAGCTTGCTCTGCCATTGCAACATCATTGAGCCTGAACTTTGAGCTCACTGAGAGTTGACTGACCTGATGTCGCCCGCAGACTCAGTCCAAGAAGCTGAGAGTGACTCGCTGAACGGTCTGTGCTGATGGTAGCTTCGCCCGAGCAAATTGATCGCAGAGGGATTGGCTGCACGAGTTTGAGAGTGGATGCCGCTCGAGGATGTCGCACTGGGCGTTGGAGATCCGAGCGCTTCTCTGTCTTGCCTCAGGGCTTTTCGTATAGCTGCGCTAGTGCTCCCAGACAAGCTGCCCTGCCCTTCTGGCCGCACGCCTGACGACATGAATGCGTCTTTCGAAGCTCGCGCAAAAGCAAAGGTAAATCAATCAATCGCTTGGCCTTGCGATCAATTTGATTTGATAAGACGAAAACAGATGCTGACGACAAAAGGGAGCGCGGCTCAGCGCTCAGCGCACCACAACGGTCGAGGCACCTGCAACATGGAGACACAGGATGCCCTCAATCACCAGCTGAACCTTGGTCGAAGCTCAGATCTATCCATACCTCTCTCCTTCAAGCTGCAAGTCACTTCTCGCCTATCTTGTCTAGGCTGACGCGCCTCGACAGTGATAGCCTCGAAGGAAAGCGTCCGACCAAGCCACTTTCCTACCTCCTCGAGCATCCCGAGGCAAGGTTTGTAGGCGTACATAGCTCTCGTCCATCCGATCTCTACATCACAGTCCAGCTCTATGCAGGCAATAAGCCCATGACAATCGAATTTCAGACTCCACACAAGCGATTCCCTGCCTCCTCGAAGGGTCCGATAGACAGCTATACGTATGTCCTCCTGGCAGTGGTCTCATATCTTCCTGAGCGTTGCGCAGATGGAGTCAACCGATGACACTGCCCGTTCCCATCAAACTGCTGCCCCTTGACGCGCAGCTTGCCATCACAATATGGGACACTGCTGGTCCTTCTACAGGGCCCACAAGCAACGGCTTCAAGGCAATCGTTGGCGGTACGACGCTCTCGCTCTTCTCGAGGAAGCGCACACTGCGCAAAGGAAAGCAACGCTGCTTAGTCTGGCAAGGCTCACATGCCGATGGATCTGTTCACACCAATACGCCTGCAAAGGTGAAGCCAGACGATGGCGAAGCAGATGAGATGGGAAGACTAGAGAAGCTCGTCAAGAAGTACGAAGGAGGGGATATAAAGCCTCTGGATTGGTTAGACAAGCTAACGTTTCGAGAAATCGAGAGGATCCATGCTGAGGAGTCGGTCAAATCCAATAAGCTCTATCTCTACGTCGATCTGCCAAGATTCGATCATCCCATCATCTTTCACGAACTAGAGTACCCACCTCCTTCTCTTCCTCTTCTGTCTGTGCCATCTAGCAACACTGCGCAATCTACCACGACTACACTCACTTCTTCCGCCTCCTCTCATAATCCCAATGCGCCCGCACAGTCGTCATCGCTTGCCAACACGGTCCAATACGATGTCTTCAAGGTCGTCGATCCAGAGATATGTCGGCCCAATCCCGTCGAAGCAAAGCACAGGCGTCTTGTTCGAAGTCATCGTTCGGGCGCACTCGATCGCGAGCTCAAACCTGAAACACCACAGAAGCGCGATGAGCTCAACGAAATATTGCTCTATCCACCCACGCAGCCCCTGACTCCAGATCAGCGAAACATGATCTGGAAATATCGCTTCTACCTGAGCAAGGACAAACGAGCCCTGACGAAGTTCCTCAAGAGCGTCGTTTGGTCTGATCTGGGCGAAGTAGAGCAGGCTATCGACGTGCTCTTGCCGATGTGGACAGCCATCGATATCGATGACGCTCTCGAGCTTCTCGGTCCCGGTGAAGCGTTCAGAGATAGTCGAGTCAGGAGCTATGCTGTCTCTGTGCTAGCGCGCGCGGATGATGATGTAAGTCTTTGCTACCCTCGAGCTGACACAATCTGACAGGCCGGCAGGAATTGATTCTGTACTTGCTTCAGCTCGTGCAAGCACTCAAGTTCGACGCCTCGGCAAGCAGCGCGGCGGTACATCAGAGTGTCATGGCTTCGCGCCATTTCAACAAACGATCTTCTGTTACCCAGAACACGCACACCCAAGTCACTTCGCTCGAGGACTTCCTCATCGAGAGAGGCGTCAAAAATCTCGTACTAGGCAACAAGCTGCACTGGTACCTCATGGTCGAATGTGCGGACAGGCTGACGGGAAAGCTCTACGGCAAAGTTGTCTGGCGATTCATGACGCGCATGCTCGAGCGGCCGGACGGAACGGCGCAGCGTGAACTGCTCAAGCGGCAGGGCGAGTTCGTCGCAACGCTGAGCAAGCTGGCAAAGGATCTTCGCTCCAGTAAAGATGCCAGGCCGAAGAAGATCGAGAAACTCAAAGCGAGCATCAACGATCAACGAGCAGGCCTGCAGCATTTCGCTCCATTACCTCTACCGCTCGATGCTCGCATTGAGATTGTGGGCATCGATGCAGACACGTCCAGTGTGTTCAAAAGCAATCTGTATCCCCTTCGCTTAGGCTTGCGACAAAGCGATGGCTCAGAATTTCCCGTCATCTTCAAAAATGGTGATGACCTGCGCCAAGATCAACTCGTCATCCAGTTGTTCACTCTTATGGAACGCTTGTTGCGCAAGGAAAATCTGGACCTCAAGCTGATGCCTTATCAAGTTCTCGCTACCGGTATAGCAGACGGGATTGTGCAGTTTGTTCCCAGTCGAACGCTCGGTGAGATATCGAGCGAATACGGAGGGCAATTGCTCGGCTACCTGCGAGCGCATCGTCCTGACACGTCAAGCGAAATCACATTCGGCGTCGAAGCTTCGGTACTGGACACCTACATCCGAAGCTGCGCTGGCTATTGCGTCGTCACGTACCTCTTGGGCGTAGGGGATCGCCATCTCGATAACTTGCTACTATCACCGGATGGTCACTTCTTTCATGTCGATTTTGGCTACATACTCGGTAGAGACCCCAAGCCATTCCCGCCTGCGATGAAGATCTGCAAAGAGATGGTTGACGCAATGGGCGGCGCTTCTTCACCTCACTACCTGCGTTTCCGCAACCTCTGCTTTACGGCCTTTACCATTCTGCGTAAGAATGCGAACCTGATTATCAACCTTGTCGCACTTATGGTGGATGCCAATATACCCGACATTCGTCTCGAGCCGGACAAGGCAGTGATGAAAGTACAAGATAAATTCCGGCTCGATCTGTCGGAAGAGGATGCCATCCGCTACTTCGAGGGCTTGCTCAATGAGACTTCGTCCTGGGCAGCCGTGCTCGATCGACTTCACGCTGCAGCTCAGTATTGGCGCAGATGATCCCAGACACGAGAGAGCATGCAATGAATGAGTTGAACTGTTGTTGATGTCAAATGGTTAATTGTACAGATTGGCACGCTGTCTTGACTTATCGATGGCCATCTCGACGAGCGCGCCATCGACGTAGTCGTTGAGAAGAATGACAGTGCCTTCGTCTGTGAGTTCATGTTGCTGGATCCAAGGGTAGATCTGCCTATCATTCTGGGGCTTCATGTAGTTGAGCAAGGAGCTGGCATCTGACCAGGACAAGCTAGCGAAAGCGTCTTCTGATAAGCTCGACGTGGGCGTAGCCTGGCACTGGTAGATTGCACCCTTCTTTCGTCCATTTGTCGATGGATCCTTGTCTGCTTGTGCTAATAGCTCGTTCAGCTTAACAATGATCGTTGCCGGATCGATTGTATTGTAAGCAGGATGATCGTACGAATCTGATCTTTGCCACCCTTCGGGGTCATGCACGCGGTCAGCGATGATGAGTCGCTTGTTTGCCTTCAGCAATTCGCCAATCGGCGTATCGAGATCTTCAGGACCGCCGACCTTGATCGTGCTTGCTTCCGGTTTGTTGCACGCTTCGAACGCCTTCCTGAGATATTCGGCAAGCACTTCGGCAGTAGGGACCATGCTGAGCGCCACGACTTCTCCATTGCGCTCGATGGGCTTTTGCAGAATGATGCCGTCGTTCTTGATCTCGTAGAAGACGATCTCCTTCGGATGAGTGGCGAGGAATTCGATAACGTCGTTGAGGAAGACTGCATAGCTGCAGCCAGGTACGAGCGCATGAATATGTCGAAGGTCGCCTTGCTTCATCTCTACCACATCGGTGAACGCATATCCCGGTCTGTTGCCGCGGCGACCCATCAGGTGGAGAAAGCGCAATGATGGCAGCGACTGACCTAAAGTCGAAGAAACGAACGCCAAGCTTGAGCTGGTTCGCAAATGTGTCCTTCTGCGTGAGGGCAATATTGTTGATGATGCGTGCAGGATCAAGCTTGATCGCCTTAAGGACATGAATCAGGGCATGTGCAACAGGCGTGAGCGTCTCTTGCACTTTACGATGGCCGAGCGCTTCGTTGAGCTTCCCAGATTGTATCAAGGCTGACAAGCCGGGATCGAGCTCTGTGAACATGCCAGCATCGTGTGCACCCGCCAGCACGAGTTTCGAGAACGGCTTCTCGAGCCATGCCGCATCTTCGGCGATCAAGTCTCCGAGCCAATTTTCATGTGAGATCGTAACATAACAGTAGAGCTGATCCGGGCGACCCTGCAGTGCGTCACTGAAGCCATAGTTCATTGCGAGCTTTCCGTCGGGAGAGAAGCGAGCAGTAGACACGCGAGTGGACACAAACGGCTTGCCGTGTGCCTTGCCAGAAACAGGATTGACCCTCGCATGCCCTTCGAAGAAAGGCGTCTGGTCTTGCTCTACGAAGAGACCGACATACTTTGATGTGGTTCCTTCGAGCTCGTGCTTGCTGTATCTGATATCGCCCGAACGAGCAGGTGGGGCAGGCTTGTTGTATTCATGATAGCGAGCTTCCTTGCCCGCGAGAATCGTGACTCGACCTGCTAGATGGGACACGTAAGTAGAAACCTCGAGCCCTTTGCCCAGCTCAATCTTGCTGGCCTCGTGTGTCTCATCGTTGACCTGATTCACCTTGTCGGCAATCTCGCGCGTCAAGACAAGCTGTACTTCCGTCGCGTCTTTGTCTGTGAAGGTGCCTCTTGCTAGCTCTCCCGAAGGCTGCGGCTTTTCGTCCTGACTGTCTACATCTAGGTAGCCGACAGATGCTTCGACGATGCCATTTCGATCGAGTTTGAGATAGGCTTGCAAGTGCAATCGCGAACTATCTCCCTTGATCAGGTCAAAGTAGACCCAGCCGAAGTGGGGATGAGATGCCACGACGGCCTTGACGCCTGCGTGGTTCTGTCTGATCGAGCCTAGCGATATGTCTTGCTCGTCGTAGCGTGTGCCGGTCTTTGGCACTGTGCCATCGAACGCATAGCCCTGATAAGGGAGTAGCTTGCACACGCCATCGTCCTTGGTGTCGTCGTCATCTGTGGATTCGGCAGGCGGTAGTGCATCCCCGTCGACATTGAGTGCTTTGGCAGACACGTACACAGGCCAAGCAACGATTTCGAGCGGCAAGCCCGTCTCATTGCGCAACTTGAGCTCCACCCGACCAGCAGTCGCCGAACTGACACCGACTTTGAGCTTGTCTAGGCCTTTCTTGAGCTTGTCCATGCTGTATCGCGTGGCGGGGACTTGCTGCTGCTGACTGCCGAATGTCGTCCCGCCGCTATCTGCGCAATCAATCTAATCTTAGAACAGATCGCGTAGCACTCTCATATACTCTCGAGCCAGGCTGGGCAGCAGACCCGATCAGCACCTCTCAACCGCGAAGAGCATTAAAGTATGCACAGCGATTCGGGAGCTCTCAGTCAACCCCAATCGGCATCAGCTCGCAATCCTCGAGGGCATCCGTGCCACGCCTATATGCATGCAACCAATCGTCAACTCGGATACCGTGGTGTCACGCTCTTGTGTGCATGCCCATTACGTGTCGGAGTTCCTGTGAATCTAGCACATGCTGACGCGCTGCTTTACTCGGCGTTATTCTCTGAGCTTCCTATATCGTCAGGCGTGCCATATGGAGCATCGTCTCTCGATAGACCGTGATCGTATATGGGTATCCTTGGCCATATCGCGCTCTTTGCGCTTTCCGTAGCTTTGAGCGCCAGTGCCGCACGCATTCGTCTATTCCCTGAGCCGTCGAGTCAAGACGTTTGTAATGCTTAAAGGCCTCGTATCACACATGTTTGAGAAGATCTCCAGCGCCGCTTCTTGACAATTTCTGGTTCCGAATAGCCCGCAAAACACCGACCGGCGAGCTCCTCTTCAAGGGCAGAAATCGTCAGCGCATCAAGCTCTTCCCGATCCCACGTCATGTGATATTGGACGTCGACAAGCTGCAGACCTTGCGCCTCAAGGGCTTTCTCGCTGAAAAAAATGGACAGATCTCTCACTTGTGGGGCCGATGTAGCGATGAGCTTGTGTCCACTTGTTCGATCATGACGCAGGCACTCGACACGCAGACAGCTGACTCGTCGATGCTCGAGTCTCTCGAAAGCTTTCTCAGCTTGACGTTTCGCGTCATCTGCAGACCCAACAAGGTTGTTGACGTCTTGCTCCAAGTCGTCCATGAGAGCGTATAGGCTCTCTTGCAGTCGCGCCGTGTGACGGCTCTTGATCTGTCAATCAGGCATTGGCTTACGATGATAATGCTGTTAGACGTAGTCTCTCAGCCTCGTCGACATCTGCAAAGCCGCCCCTCTGGTCCTCAGGCCCGGCTTTGCCAGGAAGTCTTGAAGGCGATCTCCAATGAGTGCAGCAGTAGTGGTATCTCGATTCCGTCGAAGACGATTGTGATGCTGTTTAGCAATGCGGATGTGGAAGGGGGACAAGGTCGTCTGCTGATGACCATCGCTCGAACGTACACGCCTTGATCACTTTCCGATGATGCCATGATGGAGCAAGAACGCGCGGTGGAGACTTGTGGCCGAGCGGGAACGAGTCGGCTAGGGGAGCAACGCTTGATGAAAGTGTCCTCAAATTCAGATAGAGAATTCAGTTTGTCACTGTTGGGCTCTTCGCTCAGCGCTCGCCCTGTACCATCACCTCCTTCCGCTATGAAGCGCTCTATGCTGGCACTACGACGGTGCACATGCACCAGAAGTCTGTCTGTATACGTCATCATACATCGCGCGCTGATCTGGCCTGGCAGCGTTCCACTCATCGCCCTATCGTCGAGCCATTACAGAGTGAGCTCCTTGGCATTTGAGCTATCTGACCACGTCTGAGAGGAGCTCGCGCAGGCTGAAGATGCCTTCCATGTCGCCCACGATGGAGCAAGGCAGTATCAGCTCGTGGAAAGTACGCCCACCTCGTCGACTAGCGGTTGAGCTGCTCACGTCCAGCGGTGTCCTCAGGTCAAGGAAGGCGATAAATTCTCTGCGGGGGATGTGTTGCTCTCTATAGAGACAGACAAAGCAGAAGTGGACGTAGAAGCGCAAGATGATGGCATAATGGGCAAGATACTCGTTCGTCTCTCGTCTACTGCATTCAGATTGCATGCTGACATCCATGATGCGAACAGAGTCAGGATGGTGCTAGTGGGATAGTAGTGGGGAAGACGATCGCACTCACTGCCGAAGAAGGCGACGATATCTCTAATCTGGAAGCACCCAAAGACGACGCGCCTACCAAGTCAGAGACCAAATCTAGTCATAACCAGAGCAAAGAAGACGTATCAACCAGCGAGCAGGACAAAGGCAGTAGTAGTGCGACCGATGCGAACAAGAACACTTCGGCAGACCATCATAAGACTTCACCAGAGTCCTCAAATGACTCTCACTCGCAAATTATTAAATCTGAACGACCTCTCGGTCCGTCGGTAATGCGATTGCTCATTGAGGCAGGTATCACAGACTCGACGCCCATCAAGGCGACGGGCAATAAAGGTCTGACAAAGGGAGACGTACTTGCCTACCTCGGAAAAATCAAAGATCCTTTGGGATCGCTGTCTCGTGCTCACGAGCGTCCTCTCGATGTGCCCGGCAAAGAGACTAGCAAGAGCGTAAAAGCACCTGCAAAGAATCTGCCGCCGCCCGACGGACCGACTTTGCGTCGTTTGATCACGCTCGGGCTGACCCAGCCAGCATGGCAGCAATCTGTCATCAGAGATGTTCCTGCACGATCTGGTATGCTCACTGATGTAGGATGTATCTCGTGCTGAGGACCCGTACAGCTGTAGACGTATTTGACGATATCGTCAGTGACTACTTGCCTGCTTCAACGCCGGCTCTCTCGACATCTCCTACCAAGAGCGCTAGAGCCAGTGATCCTTGGTTAGAGATATTGTCTTGAGTAGGCTGGCAATGCATGGATGTTGTATAACATGGTACAATCAGGTCTCTGATAACGGCAAGCACTGCGTTCCGCTTCAGCATTCCCACATTAAGTGAGCGAAGAGAAGTTGACCAGAAATTCGGCATAGCCAATACTTGGTTTTGCCCTTCCTCGTGCTGAGCTCATGGGCAGCATGAATTGCAGCGACAGCAATCCTTCCTCATCTGTTCGCATGGACTGGCCGGGCTACACGTCAGAGCTCCGGTAGGCTTCAATGCAAGGCCACGGACTGTTTTGGTAGAAGCAGATAGGGCATTGAAAGCGAAGCGCAGGTGGTCAAACTTGTAGGTATTGCTGACCATGCCGACGCATTCGAAAGACTCGACGATATCCTGATCAAAAGGAAATTCCATCTGATCCGATCGTTAGCAACCGTCTGTCTTGTGCCAGAGATATTTGACGCACTTCTGCGCTACTGCCGACGTCGGTGAGGGCTTCAACACGGAAGAGAGGACGAGGTCGACCAGCTCGGATAGCAGCAGGATTATCCTCGGCCGACGCAAAAGTGAAGCATATCCTATCGCAGGATTTCTCAGCTTCCGACAATGCGTTGAGAAGCCATTCGCTCTGCTCTCTGTCAGCTTCAGCTGTAGGATTGGTACGAAAGCTAGACCTTCATGATGACTTTCTGAACGCGAAGCTCTTCCCTGAAGCTGATATCGAGGATCTCCTCGGGTACGAACGTCGTAATTTCGCAAGTCGTCACTACGCCGCTTTCTTCCAATCTGTCTCTTCATCAGCTCACTTTCGCAGGTCAGGCTGGACAGAAGTCACAGTAGGACCAAGGGGTGACCTACACCGCGATAAGACAGCTTCATCGCCGTCTTCCTCGCATCTCTCTCGTTCGGCGTCTTCGACCGCGTCTCTCTCGCCCAAGCAGGTTTATCCTCCCCCTCCTCTTCCTCCTCTTGCCACGCTCTCTTCCTGAGCAAAGTATGAGCAGAAGATGAGGCCGCTCCCCCAAAGATATCGAGGCATTGTAGCAAAGTAGTCAGTCGGATCTCGAAGATGAGCTCGATCTCGTCTTGATCTTCTGCTGTCAGTGGGCCTGGCGAAGGACCGTCTGTGGGAGGGTGAAAGGAGAATCGTTCAAAGACGGCTTTTTGAAGGAATGCGTGCGCTGCTGATGCGCGTGAGGGTGTCGCAGAATTCAAGAGGAAGTGGGCTTGCCTTGAAGCGCTCGACCTGCTTCTACCGTCACATTGAGTCCGGTAGACGTCACGACGACGATAGCTCGCTGAAGGCACCATCATATGAGCTCGTAGGACGCAATTCCGAGAGCGATCGCACCGGATGAAAAGCGACGGAGCGCAGAAGAGTCGCAATCGGCTTGACATCTGCCACTTCGGCCTCCAGGATCTGCGCCACCATCAGAGCAAATCGCAGACGAGCTCGTTCCACTGAACGTTTCCTTGCTGAGATCGAGCAGTGAGCCGCGTACGGCTATATTCATCCTCCGCCATCAGGCTCTGGAGCAGCTGCTGCCCCAAAGGGAGGCCGAAGGCGGAAGAAGGACGCGACGCGTCGATCTAGCGCAAGCTTTTTGGTGACGACACATTGCCCCTAGCTTGCGTCCAATACAACATGATTGACCTACACGAGTGCTTGAACGATATGCTGAACGCGCAGTGAGCGGAGATCCGAGTATGTCTGCTCACTTGTCAGGAGCAATATTGGGAAGCTAGATGAGGAGAGCTCACTTGGCCAGTACCGACGAACAAGACCGGTGCGCCAGTCGTATAAGTCATCGAGAGGACCGCGCCTACTTTCTCACTGACCGTATCGAATTTGCTCACGATGATGCCATCGACACCTCGTTGACTATTGCTGAAATTGCGCAGCGAGTCGTTGAATTTCTTGAGCTGATCGACAGCTTCATTGCCTACGAGTGCTTCGCCCACGAAGACGATCTTATCCGGTTGATTGACCATGACGAGTTTGGCGAGGGCACGCATGAGCGGTTCGTTATCCTGCATTCTGCCCGCAGTGTCGATCAAGATGACGTCGAAACCTTCTTGCTTGGCGTAGGCAATGGCGTCTTTGGCAATGCCTGCTGCATCTTTCCCGTAACCTCGCTCGTAAAGCTCGATCGAACTGCGACCATCTATTCTGGGCTGTACAGACAGCTTGGAGAGATTGTTGACATGGACTCGAAGCTGTTCGACTGCGCCAGACCGGAAAGTATCGCAAGCCGCTATCATCACTCGTAGCTTGTTCTGGAGTAGCCAGAATGCAACTTTGCTGAGATTCGTCGACTTGCCGACGCCATTGACGCCGACAAAAGTGATGACATAGGGGGTAGGAGCAGACATGATTGAAGTGGATCGCTTGCGGGTGATCTCGAGCAATACATCGGTCGACGTACGCGGTGTGAGGATGCGCACCAGAGCAACTTCTAAAGCCTTCCTTACTTCCGTCTTGACGGACGCCATGCCAGATAGGGTCGTTCCTTGCAAGGACTGGCCGACGGACTCGCAGATCTTCTCTGCCACGTCTCTCGCTACATTGCGATTCATGAGATGCTCTCTCATCGTCGACAGCACAGGCTTGAGCTCTTCTGCCGTCAGCTTCCTCGAGCCCAATCCTACCGATGCGGTAAGCTTGCTGAATAGGCTGCCCAGGCCGCCGGTAGATGCTTCGGCAGGGGCAGCAGCAGGTAGCGCGTAATCTGCGACATTGTAGAGGCCATTTCGATCTACCTGGCCCATCGCTCTGGAATCTACCAAGCCAGAAGGAGCAATCTCCTCATGACCGTTCGCATCGTTCGAGCTGAAATCGAGTGCGGTCATGTCCTCCTCCGTTGGCACACCGTCGCCCCACTTCCTCATGACTTTGCTCGCCTTTCGCTTTGCATCAGATTCAGGTCCAGTGTCACTTCCGCTGCCTGCCAATGAGGCTCTCGAACTGGGACGAGAAGCTTGCTTGCCACCGCGCAGACCTTTCTGCCGTGTTTTGAAGGCTGCCATGTTCTTTGATATCGCCTTTCCGTCGAGGGGTTGATCTGGCTCTGACGCAGGCGCGCTATCGCTGTCCTCGGGCGAGGCGACAGCCAGTCCGGGCGTCTTTGTCGCTTTCATTCCCTGCAGGATCTCACGATGAGTACGAGTGGGGATCGTGCAATGTCGGAGCTCACCCTTGAGGAAGTCTTGTCAAACTGTTGCAACAACCTGGCAAAGGCGGCATCCCATCCTTGCAGCCAGTCCGGGCTCGCCAGGCTGATACCTCCCAACTGCTGCGCTAATGCCTCGACAGCATTCACCTTGAGAGCGTTCGACAAGGCCGACAGCTTCGTTGCAAACATGGAAATGAAGAGCGCCTTGAGAGCCACAAGGAAAGCAGGCAGGTAGCTCAATTGGATCACTCGAGGATGAGCAATGGCCAGAATGAGATCGTACTCGTTGGCGAGCGTATAGCCCACAGAGAGATTATCACACTCCCATGTCTGCGCTTCGTCGGCAGAGAGGGAGGAGTGAGATCTGCCTTGGATGAGGACATCTCTTGCTAGGCTGTTCATGGGATTGCGGGAGCTCCCGTAGCTGCGTGACCAGAGCACTAGGCCGCCCTTGGTGAAGATGGACGCATGATCGATCAGTGCGCCGGGTGAGAGCTCCATCCTGCGCTCTAGAGACTCGAGGCGATGACGTTGATCGGGTCGGTAGATGTGATTGATTGATAGAGCGACTCGCGTTTTGTCCACGCCGGCACGAGCAAGCATTCCTCGAAAGTCGTCGGCCGGCCGCCTGTCCCGCCCCACGAGTGGAGCATGTCAGTCCGCCAACTCTACAATGCGCTCGCTTCCCAAGACCAACAGGCTCAGACGCCCTCTAGCTCAGACGACATACCAGCCCAGCTTGAGCTCGACCTGCGTGCCTGTCAGTCCTGCTTGCCAGACATATGACGTATCCGTTGACGGCAGCGCCATCAGTTGGTAGCATACTGATTCAGCAAGCTGGCGTACTGCTCAGGTTGCCGCAAATCGTCATGGCTACTGCCTCGGTACTCTACCAGCGATTCTGGTTCGTCACTTCCTTCAAGCATTTCGGCGTAAGGGTCCGTTCATCACGTCCACTACAGCTCTACAAGTCTGAATAAACCTAGCCACACACAGGATATAGCACTCGCTGCGCTCTTCCTGAGCTCGAAGCTAGAAGAAACGCCGATACGCATTCGCGACCTCATCAACGTCTTTGACTGTCTGCTCAAATTTGTCGAATACCATCAAACCCGACTGGCTCTCACCCTCGCGCGAGGAGCTGCTCAGCAGCATGCTCAAAGTAGGCCCAAGGAGTTTCGTTACTTGCCCATGGACTACTTTGCCAAAGAGTTCTACGATCTCAAGGAAGAGACGGTCATTGGCGAGATGCAAATCCTCAAAAGGCATCTGCTCTCTCCCCGATAGAGCAAGACGTGGAACTGATCTTGCTAGCGAGCGCAGGCTAGGCTTCGACGTATCTGTCCAACACCCGTATGGTGCACTCGTCAACTACCTCCAAGTCCTCGAGCTAGCCAACCGCTCAGACGTAGCATCCAAAGCATGGGGATTCTGCAACGACGCGTAGGTCTCTTACCCATCATTAGAGCGCGGCTAATGCTCAACATCCAGACTTCTGACGCCTTTATTAGCTACGCATCCGCCCGGGGATGTCGCAGCGGCAGCGATTTACTACGCTTGTGCAATGATCACACCGGCCGTCTCGCTGCCGCTGAAACCCCGACCTTGGTGGGAGCTCTTTGATGTCTCGAGCGAAGAGACACTCGTGCACATCACCGAGACCGTGCTAGACCTATACGACAGATGGGCTCTCACTTCTCCAGACACAGACCAGAGCGCAGTGACCATCTGGGAGCAAGCCGCCGCTAGAAAGCTGCCAACGACGAAATCACAAGTCCGTACATCGCTAGAAAGGCAGTCGAGGTGACATCGGCTAGACTACAAATGCATCTGACTGCGCCAACTTGTTGTTGTTCTATTCTTTGCACTCTTCGGTCGCGCAACGGATCATCTCGTAATCATTGCTTCTCGACCCGGTCCAACGCCGATGAAGCGTATTCTGACCCCAATGAAATCTTCCGCAAATTCGATGTACCTCTTGCAATTCTCCGGCAGATCTTCGTACTTTCTCACATCGATGATACTGCTCTTCCAACCTGGCAGTGTGACGTATCTGACCGATACGCGAGAGAGCAAGTCGAGATCGGCAGGGAAATTCTCGAGAGGTTTACCATCGAGTTCGTAGCCTACCGCCACCATCAACTCTTCCAGATCGTCAAGAATGTCGAGCTTGGTCAGATTGAGAGCAGTGTAGCCGTTGATGAGGGCAGAATAGCGTAGCACGACGAGATCGAGCCAGCCGCATCTCCTCCTTCTGCCCGTCGTGACGCCAAATTCTCTGCCGACTTCTTGCAGATGCTTTCCGATGTTCTGTTCTCGACTTTTGAGCTGTTGGATGAAGGCAAAAGGTCATGCGTACATTCAATTGTTCGGTGGGAAAGGGGCCAGCACCGACACGAGTCGTGTAAGCTTTGACGACTCCGATGGTCTCGCCGATACATCTAGGCGGGATGCCCAGGCCAGTACACACACCGCCAATACTTGTGCTCGAGCTTGTCACGAATGGATATGTTCCGTAGTCAAGATCGAGCATGAGCGCGTTTGCTCCTTCGACGAGGATACGCTTGTTCGAGGCTAGCGCTTTGTGAATGAAAGTGATACCATCTACGATATGCGGCTTCAATTTCTCTGCGAAAGCCTGTCCCCAGAGCGCTCAGATCCCACAGAGCGTGTGCTCTGAAGGTCTTGCATACCTTGTAGCGAGCAATCTCTCCCTCGGTGTCGTATTCGAAGTGACCGTAGCGCTTGAAGCGACCCTCGACGAGCTTGCGAAACTTGATCGCGAACGCGTCGATGTCATAGAGATGGTGGATTCTCAGGCCGGAACGTGACGCTTTGGAAGAGTAGGCGGGTCCGATGCCTTTCTTGGTCGTGCCAATGCTGTCGAGTCGCTTCCTACTTGAGCGCAATCACACAAACCCAATGACAGAGCGCCTACCTTGAGCCGCCGAGCTCGACTTCTTTCAGACCGTCGACGACTTGGTGAAAGTCAAAGACGAGATGGGCACGATCAGATACGAACAGTCGCCCGTCACAGTCCAGTCCTGTGAGCGAGCGCATGTCAATCGCGATAGGACAGACAGCGTTCTGATGACGTACCTTTCTTCTGCAGCGTGTCGAGCTCGGCAAAGAACGAGGGCAGATGCACGACGACACCCGCACCAATGAACCCAACGCACTTGGGGTTGACCAGACCTGTAGGAGCCCCCAATGTCATGGGACACAATGCTGTGCTCAAGCTGCGAGAGACCGACCAGAGGGGAGCAGGTGAAAGTCAAACATTGTCTTTTTCTTCTCGCCATTCGGCTGGGGCATATCGACGACGATGGTATGACCAGCATTGTTGCCTCCTGCACATCTCGCGCAGATGTCCGAGTCGGCTGCTAGGATGTCGGCCAGCTTGCCCTTGCCCTCGTCTCCCCATTGAGCTCCTATCACGACCCTGACCTTGTTCTCAGGCGAGGCTGCATTGGCTGCTGGTAGAGTCGCCATGGCGCGGGGTCAGCTGTGTGTATGAGCGCTGTTGCCGGCTGAGGCCCGAGAGGCTCGGCAATTGGCCAGCCCCAGGGGTGGCAGGCACACGAGAAACTGATTTCTTTTCAAGAAGGGTCAAGCACAGACTGGTGCCCCACCGGACAGTCTGGGCGCGATTTAAAAACTCCTGCGATCCATCCGCCTGCCAACATTCGACTGACTTTGAGCAGGCTTTGCTCACTCGTCATGGGCCGTCCAGGTCAGACAATACGTGTTCTACAAGCAGATGCAGTGGCAGACGCAGCGCGATCTGGCCGTCACGATCGCACGCCGGACGATGATGTGACCGTGTCGAAGAGCGACGTGATCAATGGCGCCCCTTTCAAGCAAGGCGGTCGCTTGCTCACAGACGAGAAAGACCCATGGGCATTCAATGCATGGGATAACGTCGAATGGACGTCTGAACAGGAAAAGGTGGCAGAAGAAGCAATCACCCGACAAAAGCAACATCCTGTTCCTGCTGCCTTGCAAGAACAAGTCAATGCTACCCCTGCAATCCAGTGGGACAACTTCTACGCACGCGTCAAGACGTCGTTCTTCAAGGACAGAGCGTGGTTGACCAAGGAGTTTCCCGATCTCGAACGAGCTTGTCGAGCCGATAGAGGTCCTTGCACGGTAGCAGAGTTGGGCTGTGGCACGGGCGCCACTGTCTATCCGCTTCTCAAGGCGAGCGAGAACCCGTTACTGACGGTGCACGCGCTCGATTATTCACATGAAGCGATTCAGCTCGTCAGATCGCATCCCGACTACAACGTAGCCAGAGTCAAAGCGGCGGTCTATGATCTCGCTTGCCCAGGCCTACCTGAAGGCATGGCAGAGCACTCTGTGGATATCGTCACTTGTATATTCGTTCTGTCTGCCCTGCACCCTCGCGAGTGGCACCATGCAGCTAGCAATATCTGGCGCATGCTGAAACCTGGCGGCATCCTACTGTTTCGCGACTATGGAAGATACGATCTGGCCCAATTGCGATACCAGAAAGGCAGATATATGCAAGACCATCTCTACATACGCGGCGACAATACGCGATGCTATTACTTTGAACGAGGTATGCCAAATCTATGTTGTGTATCGTCTACCCATACTGACGTGCCCTGTGCGATAGAGGATCTCATCAGTATCTTCTCGAGCGGTGAGCCTAGTGGAAGTGCCCGCTTCGAGCTCGACAATCTCGGTGTGGACAGACGGTTGCTGCTCAACCGACTGCGCAAACTCAAGATGTATAGGATCTGGCTGCAAGGACGCTGGATACGATCACCTTCTAATGCTGAAAAGGCTACAACATCGCTCTAATGCTCTCGCTATCACCCGATGCTGGCAAGCGAACGGACCGGATCCGGACCTGCTTGCCGGCACTGATGATGCGAATGACCTGATCGATCGTACTGAACCAGGCAAAGCCTTTGCCGCCGTCTGCTCGCCAGGCTGGGCTGAAGGCGAATCGCTGGAAGCGTGACCGGAACGGCAGTCCGAGCACATGCAAATGCAAATGGTTCACCTGCGTAGCTGTCATTCATCCACCGCCGATTTGCAAATCCATAGGACCCACAGAATAGATCGGGGGAGTATGGAAGCCAAGACTGCCTCTGATGTCAGCCCACTCACGCGTGACACCAACACGATACAAGCTACCTTTGCTCTGTCGGCGCATAGCCCCGCTCTTCGAGCAGTCGGACGGCTATACTTTTCATCTCTGCTAGCATCGCCAAGTCGCTTCTCTTCAGTATCTTGACATGTGGGATATGCGTCTTTGGAATGCAAAGCAAGTGCGTTGTTGCTGCTGGTGACCGATCCTCTATCACTACAAAGAAACCCGACTCGTAGACGATCGTGAAGCCCTTCTCCGCTCTGATGCCGCAGAAGATACAGTCTCTGAGCTCGCTGTGCCGTTCATCTCTTATTGCGCCTGATCCGCAGACGATCATGCAGCCCTTTCGGCCATGATCAACCTGACGCGCGACCCGAGACGAGACGCGAATGTGGGGGTCGCAGTGACGCAGCAACGTCGTGGCCCTGGCGCCCTGTCGTGGCACAAAGGCGCTGATTGGACGAGCTTCTGATAGTATTCGCAGGGGAATCTGTCAGGCGATCGAGCTCTCTGGAGCCAACAGCAGGTCGCAAGACCTGCGAGGAGTGTGCTACTGCGCGCAGTCACACCTTTTGACTCGAGCATGGCAGCCGGTCAGCCCGAGTCAGCGGTCGAAGCAACACTAGACGAATCCATAGGCTCACCCTCAAGCAGTTCTCCGCCGTTCACGTCGAGCAGCCCACTGGACGCCCTGCTCGAAGCAAGAACAATCGAAGCGACGGGAGATATCCACAGCGAGAGGACAAGATTAGACTTGCTCGTGCCGCCTACCAATGCCATCTTACCGCTCGACGCTTCTCACGTCGAAGTGTCTGATGCTGCGAGGAGCCCAGAAGAAGCGAAGCGCGAGTCGTCCTCGTCGAGTCTGCAAAACTCGGCTTTGCCTGCGATTGCTGGTAAGCTACATCCTGCCGACAGACAAGACAGGACCTCTGCAAGTTCTTCAAAGGAGATCCTCGCTCTTCCTCTCACGAACTCCTTCTCTACGGGTACTCAAACGCCTGTGAACGATGTCACGCCTAGGCCAGGATCTTCATCAACTTCGACCCATTCTAGGCGGTCCTCACAGACCGCAGCCTCTGTAGAACCCGCCGAGCAAGCCGGCACTGGTCTTGGCGCACCGCGGTCAACCTCACCCGATGCGAATAGGGATAGTTCGACACAGACAGATCGTCAGAGATCGAGCACGCTCACTTCCATGACGGTTAGCGAGAACACGGCACACGAGTCTGTCTACTCTTCCAAACCCAACTCGCGCCCTCATTCCATCTTGGCCTCTTCCATCGATCACTCCAACCTCAACGCCCCGCGAGCGACCCTTGACCCGGCAGAAAGAAAAACAAGCGCGTCGGGTATGCTCCCTTGTCCTACCTCCTTGTGTCAAGCTCACGCCGTCGTCGTAGGTACAACAGGATCAAGAAGAGCTTCGACGGGCTCACCACCGCAAGCAACAAAGCCGCATGCAAATGCCAGAACGGCGCCAGAGGACAATGGAAGGGCGAGGGCGCCTTCTGGCTCTCGATCAACGGCTTCAGATACGCTCGTGCCTGGTCCTTCGTCCAGTGCCAGCTCGAGCAGGCGGCAATTAGGCGAATGGGTTCTCGGAAAGACCTTGGGTGCAGGCAGTATGGGCAAAGTGAAACTAGGACAGAGTGTCAAAGGAGGCGACAAAGTAGCCATCAAGATCATTCCCCGCTTCACATCTACTGCAGCAGCACAGCAACAGGTAGCACAGTCTGAACGAGAGAAACGACGATCTATAGATCAGACACACGCCGACAATGGTACAACGTCTCGCTCGGGAGAGGTGGCAAGCAGTAAACCCAAAGCCGTCTTGCCGCCCTCGAAATCTTTCTTGGAAAGAGCACACGCAAAGGATCTGTCAAAGGAAGTCAGAACGATCAGGGAGGCTTCAATCGTCTTGCTACTACATCATCCTTATGTTTGTGGGATGAAACAAATGCTCGTCTATCCGAATCACTATTACATGATCTTCGAATACGTCAACGGCGGCCAGATGCTCGATTATATCATCTCTCACGGACGACTGAGAGAGCGAAGTGCTCGGAAGTTCGCGAGGCAGATGGGTAGCGCGTTAGAGTATTGCCACGCTAACAGCATCGTACATCGAGGTAGGCAGTATCTCCCCTCGCCCATGTCTCTGTACTGACGAAGCCCTCGGTTGCGATGCAGATCTGAAAATCGAGAATATTCTCATCTCAAAGACAGGCAATATCAAAATCATCGATTTCGGTCTATCCAATCTTTTTTCGCCCCATTCTCACCTCTCTACCTTTTGCGGCTCGCTCTACTTTGCAGCACCAGAACTGCTGAATGCCAAAGTATATACCGGCCCCGAAGTTGACATTTGGTCTTTTGGCATCGTACTCTACGTTCTCGTGTGCGGAAAGGTACCCTTCGATGATCAAAGTATGCCCGCACTGCATGCAAAGATCAAACGCGGTCAAGTCGAATATCCCAATTGGCTCAGTGCAGGTGGGGCGTCACTTCGTGTGCGATGGCAGGTTCTGACTGCGATGCCCAGAATGCAAGCATCTGCTATCACGCATGCTTGTGACCAATCCCGCCAATCGAGCCTCCATGGCCGAGGTGCTTTCGCATCCCTGGATAGTGAAGGGATATGAATCCCCGCCTGTGCCTCATATTCCTCACCGAGAGCCTCTACGGCTAGGCGAGCTCAACAGGGAAGTCATACAGGGTATGACAGGCTTCGACTTTGGGACGCCAGATGAGATCGAGGCACGTCTTGGCGACGTGCTCACCGGTGAAGCATATACAGCTGTCTTGGCAAGTCACGATGCCAAAGCAGGACGAACGACCTCTGTTCGACCTGACCGAGACCTATCGAAGCCCTCAAAAGGTAGCACGAAACGTCTGTCAGGTCTAAATTTCTATAGCAAGAAGCTCGCCGGCGGTTTAGCTTCTGCGCTGGGTGGGAGTCCTACGAGCAAAGATCGTCTAGAAACACAAGATCGCACAAACGGCTCTGGCTCCTTCACGTTACCCAATGGCATGCGACCAGATCAGATGGATCCGACGCGAGGATTCCATCCCCTCATCTCGATTTATTTCCTCGTGCAAGAAAAGATCGAGCGGGAGAAGATCTGGGGTCCCGGCGTGTTTGCATCGTCTACCTTATCCCTACATGGTCCACTAGCGCCGCCTGCACCGCCGAGGAGCTATGACAGCACAGCCGTCTCACCAAGCGCGTTTGGTACAGCTCAGGGAGTCGACCTTAGCTCACCCTCACCACGACCGGCTAGCACTGCCATCTCGAGCAGCGTAATGTCGCCCTCCAATTCGACACCAGCTCCCAATGCACCCATTCGCGCACGTCCTCAAAGCACATCTGCATATGATCGCACAAAACCCTTGGCCGACTTCGACAATAGGCGCAGCTTCTCTGCGGGGCAACAGAACGCTGTTTCGGCATCTGTACCTAATTCGCCACGACCGGGCTACATTGCGAAGCCAAGGCCTGTCGAAACTTCGTCAGTAGCTCAGGATGGGGCAATCCCAGCCTCGCCAAACGGTGAACCGACACGAGATGACGATGTTGCCTTACAGCCTTCGACGCTCGTTCGTCGCTTCGGAACGCTGCTAGGTCGGGCTACTTCGACGAACGACACTGATCTGCAGAAACGAGCACGCGCCCGAGCAAGCGCGGCAGGAAGCTCCGGTCATCGCTCGAGCGGCTTGACGCCCGCCTCGCCCTTGCCACTAGTCAACGAACCCAATCTGAACGTTACACCGCCGCCAAACTCCAAAGCGACTGGCATGCTTCGGGCTAGTACCGTCAGTGGCGATCGCAGACGACCTAGGGTGGCGAGGCAAAGCGTCGGGCCAGAAGTCTCGCCATCTGCTTTGCAGACCGACACACTATTTGAGGATCACGAGGAGCGACTGCAAGACGGATTTTCGACTGAGCCAGGCCCGGGTCTGGATCGTCATGCAGCGAATGGTACAGCAGCAGACTTATCAGCTTCACCGAATGATCAGATCAAGCCAGTTTATCTCAAAGGTCTCTTCTCCGTCGCGACTACCTCGACAAAGTCGCCGAGCGTCATTCGCGATGATCTTGTGCATGTCCTCGACAGACTGGGCGTAAAGCATCGCGCAGTCAAAGCTGGGTTCGAATGCGCCCATGCCCCAAGCATCAGCTTTGCATCGCAGGCACCTACCAATCGTGCCGCAACGCCGAATCAAACGCCCGAAGGACTCAAACGCGGCACGAGCTTGCTACGAAGAGGCTCACGCATCTCACGAGGCCGAACTTCGACGTCTGCACGTGAGGAAGGCGACACGAGTTCCCCAGATCCGAGCCAAGCGGCAACACGACTCGCTTCGCCAGCCAGACCCAATGAGAGCTCCTCTGGATCACTTCATTTCATCGGACCCACGAATGGAGCCGGCGAGCGATCTGGCAATCTGGTGGACAGCACGGGTGCACCCAGCGCAGGTGCAGCACCTCAAAACGAGATGATCGTTCGATTCGATGTCTTTGTCGTCAAAGTACCTTGGCTGCCTGGCATTCACGGTCTCCAATTCCGTCGTATAACCGGCGATCCATGGCAATATTCTCAGCTAGGTCAGTCAGGCACTGAATACAGCAAGCACTAAGAGCTAATATGGGTGTGCATTCTCAGCTCGGCGAGTGTTGAGCGAGCTCCGATTGTAGACAGTGTAGATTCGTGCTCAATGGACAGAGCGTCGTAATTTATCGAGCGTGACCAATGTCTCATCACAGTGCATGTTTGTACCCTGAGCGATTGAGAGCAGTCGGCCGATGTCGTTTACAGTGACATCGAGCTTCTTGGCAGGCGCCGCTGAAACGGCGCTGTCTTGACCCTGGACTCGCATTGATTTGAGTAGATCTTTGAGCCCCGTGACGCCCATTCTGCTCGCTCGGCGGTTTTGGCGTGGGGATCCGTCGGGTATGAAAGGCGATGAAGGTGTAGATGCGGTTGAGGAGCTGGCCAGCAAGCTATCTATGACAATGCGATGTCTTTCTGCGCTGCTCTTTGGTTGATCCGTAGACAAGCGCCCGGCAATCTCGCCCAGGAGGTCTTTAATCGTGCCCGCTTTGGCATTCTGACATGCTAGACGGTATCGAGCCAGCCAGTCCGTGTTGCCGACCTCTTCCTCAGACTCGCTGTCGACATCTGAACCGTCGCTGAGCAGGATGAGCATCTTTGCAATGTCCCACCAGATCGCAGAACGCTCGATTGCTTCCTTCAGGCTTGTGACCTGTATTGCGATTATCTCGACAAGGATGGAGTCGTATTCCGATTGAGCTAGTCTTAGATCTGGGCAATGTGGTCAGCGAAAGTGCTTATAGATGGTATTGCCAATGACCCACTTTCGATCGTCACCTTGAACTGCCTGATCAGACGAAGATTCTCTGTGAGCTGGCCTTGCGTGCTCATTATCCTGCTGGGTATCTTGAGATTCCCCAGACTAGTCTGACGAGCATGTCTTTCGTCGAGACTGCCCGCTCTTTCGTTGAGATGGGGTCGTGCACCTCTCGCCCAAGGAGGATAAGTCGACAGCTGTGCTGCCTTTTCATGCGCATCTAGCTCTGTATCTGACAGCGGCAACCGATCTGGTGTTCTGTCTATACCCCGTCGGAGAGGCGGTAAAGCTGTACCCGTCTCGTCCAACCCGTTCTGCTTATGACTTTGGCGGGATCTTGCGCCTAGCAAGCCAGAGAAGGACCGTGATATCCTGTTGCCTGCCGTGGCTCTTCTGTCTTCCTTGGGCGAGTCAGGCTGACCAGAGAGCGAAGGATGGAAAGAAGGTAGAACAGGGCTGAGGGTCACGAGATGAGCGTCCTCAACGTCGAAAGCGTCATCGGTAGCAGACAAGAGCGGCAATGCGCTAGAATGAGCGAGCGAGCCTTCCGAGTGCTGCGAGTCGGAAGTCCTGTAGCCTCTTCTGGTGATGTTGGCCTCTTCCTCTGCAGTCTGTAAAGAAGCCGTCCTCGATTTCTTTCGCAGTTTACGGGGCCGATGTGGAATCTGACTCGATCCGGATGCCAAGCTGGTCATACTACTGGGTGTGGTGACACTCGTGCCCGACTCGGGTGGAGAAGCATCCGTCTCGCGCTGTGATAGCGGAACGGCAGCTCGCAGAACGGACGAACGCAACTCTTCCAATTTCGCCTCCGCATCTGCTTCCGGGGAGACAGAGTTCAGATTCGGACTAGCATGCGACATTGAGTTTCTGTTGAGTGCCAGGGAGGACATATCGTCTAGGGTGTTTTGCCAAGCCAGCGCGGGTCGCTTTGCAGCGTCTATTGCACCTGGGTCATCTATGTTCTGCTTTGTGACTGCACTCTCTGATGAGGATGTAACGAAGAGCGAGCGAGGTCGTCTGGCGACATACGAAGCTGACCGGCTGATTCGTCTGAACAGGCCAGGCTGCGACTGACTCGCTGGTCGTTCGGTCGCGCTTGTGGGTTGGTTGATGGGCGGTCTGCTGGGCACAGAGAGATCGAGAGGAGAAGGACGTAGTCCAGCAAGGCGTTGACTCGCTTTCTCTCTCTCTGCAAGGATGTCGAGAGCAGAATCGGGCGACTTGGGATCGCTGATGACTCTACGCGCGGCGCGTGTCGATTGGGTCGACGGCCTTCTCGACGTTGGCTTTGAGAGTCGGCCGGTGGCATGCGCTGTGTCATCTTGACCCCAGTCGGGTACTTCCTCCATCGAGACGTTCTCCTCTATGCTGTGCTCATTCGAAGCAGACCGAGACAACCGCTCAGGTAATTCGACCTGAGTGATCACCAGACCACCATGACTCGTGCGACCTTTCACGCTCGTCACGAAACTGTTCCGTTTGAAGTTTGTGGACTCAGCTGAGCGAGCAGAGGTCGTCTTGACGGGCGAGACGGAGAGAGAGCGACGTTGCAGTTGAGATGAAGTGGATGCTGCCAAGGCATTGTTCGGTATCGCATCCTCCTCGAACGCAAAGTCATCGTCCCAGCATTCCGAGGAGCCATGGGTCAGTGTGACTGTCGATGTCATGCCCTCATCGCCCAGCACACAGCACGAGACACACACGGCGGCGACGAGGGATGATCGAAGGAGACGACGCGCTTCGACCGCGAAGCCAAAGCCAAAGGTCGCCGCCGCCGCCCAGCGAGCCTGCCGAGATTGTCTGCCTGGATGGCGAGCCAGACGAGCACCGGTACACTCAACGCGAGCACGACCGATCCCAGTATCTTCCAAGGCGCGCCAGGCGAGCGTCCCTCCTGATGTGCTACTGTCCACGTAGCTCAAGAGGAGTCAAACGCAGATGGCTATGTCATCCCACGCTGGCCGGCCTTGTACGATCCTTCGAAGCCCGGCGTGTATCTCTACTACCCCTACAGTCAGTCGTGGCTTCCTCCGATCATGCTCAAGCCGCTGAAGGCTAGGCGTGTCGTGACTAGCCATCTGGCGCTTCACCGTTTATTGGACACTGCTCCTCTCGGGCACCGTCTTCCTCGTCTCCGGCATCACCGCCTTTCTCTTTATAGGCAGAGGTAAATCGGGACGACAGCTCATGGCCGTCATTGCGATCCCCGTCGCGTTTGTCTTGTTCGGCATGATCACCATGTTTGTCTCTGCAACGATTGTAGGCAAGCTCCCGTCAAGTAAGCTATGGGGACCCTTGCTGACAAGTGAGCAGGCTTTGCACTCGCTGCACTGTACACTGCTGGCTTCTTGAGAATGTCGACCTGGGTGCCCTTTCTTTGGGCGCTCACTCAGATACTCGTCGTAACCATCTCGAGCTACTCGACTCTGCCGACAATCATGTAGCTCTCACAGCAGCTCTCTTGCACGAGATCGACTGCGCTAGGAACCTTACTGACATGATCAAGAGAGCGACATACTGATCAGATCATCTGTCGCCCTCCGGTGGCAAGCTGCAGACACTTTTGAGGCAGCGGGAACCACCAACTTCGCGACTAGCCTCACTCCGTCCGAAGAGTCTCGGACAGACAGCTCATCACTTGAGCCCCACGATGACAGCGTTCCTGCTTGGCACATCAGACAACGCCATCATCGGGCTCTCTATAGCCGCTGCTCAACGTGGCAAGCGCTACGTGTCATACGCCCATGTCATACGCTTGCCGGACAGCACACACGGCACGCATCAAGACAGCCCTTCACGACGACACTTGATAGCGAGTGTTCTCCTGTAGGCCTTCTCTCCATAGGCTCTGCCATCTCTTGCAAGGCTTGCTGCTGCCTCTCGACAAAACACGCGTGGCGTCTTGAGCTTGTTGAGAACCCCTCTGCGCCGTCAGCGTGCACGCTACACTGACGTGTGCCCCTTGATCGGTGTGGGCTCGGGAATGGCAAGCCGTGCTGGCACGAGGAGCACGAGCCAGCACCCAATGTACCGTTCCAACGGAGCTGCAACGACTGATCGATCATCTTACTCACCCGACTTGACCGTCCAGCCCGACACGCTGACGGGCACGACGAGCAGCGGGTCGGGCATGCACCCTCCTGGCAGTACCAGCATGGCTGCTCCCCAGCTGGCCATCGCCGCTACCGCTTCCGGCAAGGAGAAAGGACCTCCTGCCTTTCTCAACAAGCTCTACACGTACGGATTGGCCCTCTCGACAGTGTGGATGCTCAGGAAGATTGACATGGCTCGCATGACAGCATGGTTGAGGACGAGAGCTGTGACGATCTCATCCGGTGGAGCCCTGGCGGTCTATCGTTCATAGGCAAGTGCTCGTCCACGAGCTGACGCTGAGGAAGGAGCGACAGAGCTCATCGGACGGACGAGAGAACAGTGACGGACCCAGAGGGATTTGCAAAGCGGATACTCAAGCTCTGGTTCAAGCACAACAACTTTGGTTCCTTCGTCCGTCAACTCAACACGTACAACTTTCACAAAGTACCGAGGATCCAAGCCGGCGTTCTCGAGGCGACGCTCAATGAACTGCCAGAGATGCTCGAATTTCGCAATGACTGTGCGCTCGCTTGGCTGTACCGAGCTCATCGCTGATGGTCTGTCTCGATCTCGCAGACTTTCGGAGGGGACAGCCAGAGTTACTGATGGAGATCAAGCGAAAGAAAGCATCGGCAGAGGAGAACAGCGCGAATCCCCAACTCGATCTGGCCAACATCATGAGAGAGTTGGCAGCGATCAAGAGGCATCAATCCGATATTGCAGGCAATCTCGAATCGCTCCAGTCGTCCAACAAGACACTCTGGCAAGAAGCCATCTCCTCACGCGAACGTCACAAACGTCATCAGGAGACGATCAACAAGATCTTACGATTTCTCGCTTCCGTCTTCGGAGGCAAAGTCCTGCCCGGACCTGACGAGTCCGAGCTCCGTCATCTACCTGATGATGCCGCTAGCTCGAAGGAGCCCTCGCCTTTTACGCCCGCGTCGGATAAGGCCTTTACGAGGCCGGTAGCACGTCAGAACGGTGTCATACCGTCTCCGCATGGCAAGAAACGATTGCTGATCGAACACCAACCGCTCGATGTTGATTCGGGCACGCCAGCCGGTCGAGCGGCAGAACTGATAGAGGAGATCGATGACGATGAAGCGGACACGCTGACGACGATTGGTAGAATTCACACTGCCAGTCATTCTCCGCCCGACTTCAGCCAATCTGCCACGCCTTCGCCTCACATGTCCAACACAGAAAAGTTTGGCAGCAATAACTCCCAGTTGGTACCTTATCTCGGAAGCAGTATGAAGAACCCTACACCGCAGGCATTGATCAGCCAGCTCAGTCCCGATCTAGACGACGATCTTACACAAAAGTATCAAGCACACCAGTCCAAATTGAACGAGGCCCACGATGATCACCATGCTATTTCTGCCCAGATGGATACACTCCAAGCTGCTCTGGACAGACTCGTCGGTAACCTGCCATTGGACGACAAGATGATCGACGTCCTCAGTACGGCAAACGAGAATGGTCTCATCCAGTCTGAACTGCCGAGTCACTCTATTGAGCCGTCTGCAGACTTTGACCTCGATTCCTACTTGCGCCACTTCCGTATGTCTCTTCTCTCACCTCTGTTAGAAAACTCACGCTGATCGATCGGGGGCAACTAGCCACGACAGATTCCGGGCATGTTCAGCCTTTGCTCCAGAATGACAATGATGACAACTTGGGCAGATATGTCGATATCGACACTCCCTCCGCTGACGATGCTGGTCAACCTCTCGGAGAACCAGCGAGCAAGAAGAGGGTGCGCGAAGAGAGCGCTACGCCCGTTCGAACGAGTCCGAGGCGGAAGAGCTGAGACTTTGCTCCTCCATGTCACCTTTCGCCTTGTTCTTTTGTGCTTGCTGTTGTTGTTGCCTTGCGAACTATGCATGCTCCTTCGCTCTTTCAACTAGCCAATACAACCCTTGCTGCTTCGACAATGATCTCATGCTCTACCGCGTGGATCTTTGTTTCTAAGGTCTCTAAAGTCTCCTGTTGATCGATGGCGATCTCTCTGATGACGATGGGCGGTCCTGCGTCTACTTCCGGGATGACATGATGGACCATACACCCTGTCGTTGTCACTCTGCCTTCTTTGTACGCTGACAGAGCTCTGGGTATCGCGTTGGCTCCGTCGAACGCGCCGGGCAAAGCAGGATGCAGATTGATGATCGGTATACCCTCGAGCAGCTTCAAGCCTTCCGCAGAAAGAACGTGCATGAATCCCGCTAGAACGATCAAGTGCGGTTGACCGGAGAGGATTCGTCTGGCCAGCTCGGTATCGTAATCTTGTCGTGTCCGGCTCGGGTCTTGCTTGAGAAAAGGTTGTAGAGCGAGGTAGTCTGTGGGGATACCGGCTTGTGAGGCTCGTACGAGTCCGTAGGCTGCTTTGCGGTTACTGATGACCAGACTGACTTGGCAATGGGGTAAGAGTGCGGGAGTACATGTGCATCCGTCCATCAAGGCTTGCAAATTTGATCCTGACCGTTCTCGTGTGAGCGTCAAGCGTGCAAGACTGTAGCGACAGACGAACCTGAGCCAGAGATGAGGACGACGATGCGTCGTTCGGCCGTCGACATGGCTCCAATGACGAGCAAAAGTGATGTCACTGCGCAGAAAACCCGTTCGGTCAGTGAAAGGCAAGCAAGCGCGTTTGCCAAGAAGCGCGAAAGGCGGAGTCGTCGCCGTCGTCGTCGTGCTGGTCGGCTGACCATGGCAGACAGCGACTATGCAGCCTCTCATCATGCCTACCATCCTACCCGGGGCGGGTCACACGACGATTCATCAGCGCGGCCGCCGCTAGCAACGAGGGGCAGCCGACCCGAACGCACAAGCTCACGCAATCACCTCGACCTCAACCCGTCCGAAGCTAGCTACTCTTCCCATCCCGCCAAAGGCAGCTTCCCAGTGAGGTCAGCGTACGATGGAGCTGATACGCGTAGGGCGATGGTAGAACAAGAGCAGAGACTGCAGGAGCTTTACGCGCATTTTGGTCCTCTGCCCGACAATTCTTCCTCCTCAAACTCATCGTCACGTCCCTTTCCGTCACAGCCGACAAGTCCAGATGGCCCAGAAGCAGACCCTGCAAGGAGTAGACCTGCACCTCGCGCCAACGGCGTCAGGAGGTTACCCGAACGACCCAGTTTGCCGAGTTTGCCTCTGCCTGGACTGCCACCCATACCGTCCAGTCCGGTCCAGCAAGAGCACGTACAATATGCCAGTCGAGCGAGAATATCAGCCTCACCTAGACCGCTACCCGTCGTGCCATCAACCTCATCCAACAGAGTACCAACGCCACCTACCGCCTGGCCAACTTCGCGGACCAATTCAGATTACTCCTTCCCGACCAGCAATGGCACACCAGCATCTTCTGATCCTACAGGGCAAGTACCGTTTCCCCAACCGAGACCAGCACGACCGAGAACGACACCGAAGCGATCATCGCAGTTGTCAGACTCGTCTGAGCACCACCAGCGTACACCTTCTACTGCATTCAGTCGTCAGTCTACCGATACAACGACGAGTAGCGGCTGGCGACATTCGCTCGATCGAGGCTCCGAGACGAGCTTGTCCGCTCGTTCTACGACCACCCTGGGGAGTTACAGAGAGAGTACTAAGAGCCCAGAGGTAGACAGGCAGAGATCGTCTTCTACCATGAGGCAAGGGGCACATCCGGATTGGCCAGACACGCCCGGGTTTGATGCACAGCTGCAGAGCACATCGTTCAGACCAGAAGTGAACTCGTCTGGCAGCTACAGACACGACTCGCTTCGACCTCAAGATGCCTTTGCTGCCTCGCAGAGGATACCGCTCAGACACCAGGCATCCTCCTTCTTTGCTCAGTCAGAAGTCTCCTTCGGCGGCAATACTGCCAGTCCGCCCCATGCTGCTATGCTGTCCTCCGTTGCGCGCTATGTGCTCGACAATACACCCTTGAAAGAGAACGTCAGACGATCTATACCCTACCCGAGTTCCTTCACAGGTACAGACCTTGTCACGACCCTGCTTGCCATCCTCCCAGAGCACGAGTCGGGCGACCGCAAAGCAGCAACATTGCTCGCCAGAGAGCTTCACGCGCAACTCTTCTTTTTCGAAGTCCAAGATAATGGCATGACTTTGCATGACTCCGAGCGAGAGGTCTACACGTTTGGAGAGACGATGCCGACCATCAGCGGACAGGAGGAGAACCCGTATGCTGCACCGGGCCGAGAGGCAGCCGATCACTTCGCGACCGAGCTGCCTACTGCTGTTTTGACGGCTTACCTGGGCTGCTACTCGCCTTTTTGCGGAAGAGATCTGACTGGTGCAGACACCCTGTTTGCTTGCTATTCTCCTTCTTGCCCGAATAATCCAGCCAGGAGGGTATGCTTATGGTGTTGCTCGATTGTATCCAAGCTGATGCAGTGGGCAGATTGGCGTCAAGCGGAAGGCAAGCTCGGGATCGCTCGCACAAAGCAAGGAAGAGGTATGCTACTTGCGACGCCTGTTGACACTGTCTGATCTGTCTTGTCTGGCAGCGACGGGATGAAGACCGCGAATGGCCAGAACTCGTTCAGGCGAGCGTACGGGAAGCGCTTAACAAGACAGAGATCGAGCGACAGTGTAACATCCATGAGCTCATCAGACTTGAGTCCAATTACCAACGCGAGCTCGGTTCCATTCAGACTGTCTTTGTCGACGCGCTCGTCAAGGAAGAGCCTCCCATCATACCCAAAGATCGTCTGCCTCGCTTTCTAGAAGATGTATGGGGCGGTATAGAAGCAGTCCGAGAACAGAGCGCAGTCTACCTCGACGCACTCAAAACTCGCCAACAAGAGCAATGGCCAGTCCTGCGAGCCATTGGCGATGTTGTTCTCGATGCTGCTCTCGCCTGGGCACAAGCTTACTTATCTTGGATCGTCTACCAGCCCATGGCAGAAGTCTTCTGGCGACAAGAGAAAGCCGATAATCCCGCTTTCGATCGATTCCTGACCAGTTTCCCCTCACGCATTCCAGGCCGTCACGAGTTCCGCGACTTGCATTTCAGAGCGATACCCCATCTTCAGCGTATCAAATTATCACTCGAGACCATACAGAAGCATACTGCACCCGAAAATCCAGATGTGGACAACGTCGCTGCGGCCATTGAGGTCATCTCCCGTCAGTTGCAAGAATGCGATGCTGGCGTCGCTCTCACAAACGCAAAGATAGAGAAACAAGTCCTCGCGCGAGGACTCATAGATCGCAATGGCAACTCCGTCGTGCGTATCGCCACATGCTCAAAGTATTGACGCTGACGGTTTTGCAGGACCTGGGTGTGCTCAATCCTACCAGGCAGCTCATCCGACGCGGGCGTATGCTACGCAAGCCTGAAGGCATAAACGATTGGAGCGAGCTGCATGCCGTCCTGTTTGATCATTGCTTCGTGCTCACCAAAGAGCGCCGTCGCGGCAGTCGTTCGACGTTCACCATCTGGCGCAGACCGCTGCCGCTCGAGATGCTCGTCGTCTCTGGCTTCACCGAGCCACCTGTCTCGAGGAGTACAGGCTTCAGCCTACGCGCGATCACCGGTGGCACTGATCGATCAACGCCGCAACCTGGCTACACTCCAGCCACTGGCGATGAGCGGCTGGTCTATCCGATCACGTTCAGATATCTTGGCCGTCACGGAGGTACTTTCGTCCTCTTCGTCGATTCTCCGACTCAGCGTGCAGACTGGCAATCGAGTCTGACTGAAGCCACTCGCGCTCGCGAGCTCATGTGCGATCAGACGAAAGTCATCGAGCCTTTCGTCATGAGTGATCAGACCTTCGTCACTAAGGCACCTCCTGTCGAGCTTGCTCGGTCACATGGTACAAAGTCTGGCTCAAAGGTACCCTATGGTGCACCTACCTGCTCTACACCGTTTACGATCGCCAGCGGGCGGCAACTTGTGGCTATTGGCAATCGCGATGGTCTCTGGATTGGTCTTCGACACGATCCGACTTCGCTGCGTCTTGTTGCGCACTTACATGACATCACACAATGCGCGGTCTTACAAGAGTTTGGTCTGATGGTCTTGCTGGCGCACAAGAAGCTATACGCTTACGCGATCTCAGCTCTGGTACCCTCCGGCTCCAACAGTGATGCACCGCTCGAGCCTCAGCATCTGAGCGGCAACAGGGATGTAGCTTTCTTCGATGTCGGTAAGACGAACGGTCAGACCTTGGTCATCTACGTCAAGAAGTCTAGCGGCCAATCCGTTTTCAAAGCGCTCGCACCCGTGCCCATGAGCTCGCGCACGCAGAGTCGTGGCGTACTACGGCGCAAAGCAGAATGGTTCACAGTCTACAAAGACTTCTTCTTGCCAGCTGAAGCCTATTCGATCCTGTTCCTGCGCAGCCAGCTTGCTATCGTCTGCGCTCGCGGTTTCGAATTGATGGATATGAAAGTCGAGCCACTGCGCGCAACGAGTTTCCCTGAATGGTCGCAACTCAGAGCAGATCATCGCGCGATGGAATTGCAAGCGAGGTGCAGCAACTCGCGAGCTCTGGGCATGTTCAAGATCTCACCTGCCGTCTTCTTGTTCTGCTACTCCGACCTGGCTTTCTACACGGACAAGCATGGCGATCCGCTTCCGGATCGATACAAGGATATCATCGACTGGGAGTGTGAGCCGCGCGCAGTCGCTTACCAAGCACCTTTCATCCTGGCGTTCGATGTTAACGTCATCGAAGTCAGGCATGCGGAATCAGGTCAGCTATTGCAAGTCATCAAAGGCAAGGAATTCGCATGTCTCTACAACGCTCAGGCAAGTTTATCGACGCAGCAGCCCGAATCCGGCTCACGCGTCGACGAGGGCGCTGCACACGTTCATGCTGCGCTAAACATTGGCAATCACTTTGCGATTGTCGAGTTTGCGCCGACGGGACATGCTCGTCAGCATTACGTCTGACACTTCATTGTACTCGCTCTCAGGATGACGACATGATCACGAGACAGATTGTGCTTTTAGCTAGTGTGTGTTGTACAAACCGTGTCTTGCTAGCGTTCAGCTTACAATACTGAGCTCCCGCTTGCGATGAGGCGCGTAGATGTCCTTGTAGTCATCCCAGATCCTGAAAAAGGATGAGCGTGGCTGAGTAGGTCGGGAGACTTGACCGACCTGGTGAGCTCTTCGATATATCGCCCTTGCACCTCATACAATTCTTCGATAGATGGCTTTGCGTTTTGGGTGACCTTGACGGGTCGACCGACGACGCTCGTGATAGGATGTCGGAATGGTAGAAGCCCCAGGTTGTCTGTGCCATTTTAGCAGGAAGCGAGCGTAAAATGGGAGATGCGCTTACAATTGAAGACGCCTCGCCCGTGTACGATGGCTGTTGATAGGTCAGCATGAGCATGCTACCAAGCCGGTGAGATACGTACGAAGCGTGAAGCCAAAGACAGATTGGAACTTTTTCTGCAGCGTGTATAGCCTCGTGCCCTTTTCGTTCGCTAATTGATCGAAGATCTGCAGGAGGCGCACAATTGGTCAGCTACACGAGCTGACGAAGGTGCTACACTTGCATCATTCTCTCCAAAAGAAAAGACGGGTACAAGATCTGCACCCTCTCTGATAGCGAGCTTGATGAAACCCAATCTTTTCTTCAGTGTGAGATCGTTTGTGCCGGGATGAGCTGACAGTGACTCCGTCGCGCCGCCAACAACGATCGTGAGCGATGAGCCGGGGCCCTGTCTGAGGATATGCGAGCAGGACTTGTAGCTCACACTGCAGATGCCCATCGCCATGAGAAACTCGCGATAGAGTGGGATCTGGAAGTTGCTCGACAGTGTCATCAGATGCGGCTTGATGCCCGGGAAGATCTTTGAGAAGTTCGTAGCTACCCTCTCGCGTCATGAGTACAGTGTGCCGTCATACTTTGACGAAGGAGACAAACCATCTGAGCCAAAGTTGGAGACTGCGCCGATGCCGATGATTCCATGGGGATGATAGCCAAAGAGGTATGTCCGCTCAGCGGGCAATTCGGTTGTCTGCACGCCAGTAAGACTGATTGAGGTAGCCTTGTGCAGACGCATACTTTGATAAGGCTGACGGGGTAGTAGCCTGCAAATAGCTTGAAGAACTGGTGTCCTCTCAGCCAAGCACTTGGCCTTCCGCCATTGTCTTGTGCAGTGTCTGCCATACCCGCAGCCTCAGCGTGATCGCGCTTAGGATGTCCATGCACTTGCCGAACCCGAGTGCCCAGATGAGATAGACGATGATGATCGGCCAGAAAGGCGGTATCGAGCTGGATGTACTCTTCAGCTACGTCCGCATCCACGTGATGAAGAAGCTCGCCATAGCATGAAGAACAGAAACAGAGCAAACGGCAGTGAGACGCCCCATCCGACGACAGCGGCCGTCTGCAGTCGCCGAGCTCTGGGTATACTCAGCGGAACGAATCTGCGATGGTCTGTCAACCTCATGCCACAGCTACTAGGCTATACGGGAGCGGACTGTATCGATGAGGAACGGCCAGTCTTGGGAGAGGTCGACTGGGACGGCAAGCTGATCTCCGCAGCTGCAGCGAGCTGCTTCGGGTTCTTAGCTTCGCCATTGCTCTCGATAGCTTCGGTCGTCGTCGATGGACTTGCAGGCTTCGGCCTATCCTTCAGCTTCGACTGAGTCTCAGCCATGACACGGCACCTCAATTCAAAGCAAGGACGACGTGCGCGGGGTACGCGAACTCTTTTGCAATTTGAGCTCTTTGAGACAGGCCGTCGTTCACGGTTCAACGGTGTCGGCGTACCATAGTCAGCACGGGGATGTCAGAGAGCCTGTCGAATTCACTGATCTCCACGGGGAAGCGATCGCTGTCCAAGTCAGACGAAGTGCGCGTCCGAGTTGCCAAAGGCGCGAAGTTTTCCTTGAGGGAGCAGTAAAGGCCGAGCTCAGGCACGAAGATCTGTGTGATCGTGCTTCGGTCTCCACCGGCGCTGGTAGCATCTAGCGTCGGCATCGCTGTCAGACTGTCGAGCAGCCGAGATAGTTCTTCGTTCTTGCTTTTGCCCGCCTTCAGATCGCGCCATGCCTGCTCAAAGACGTAGAAGAACAGCGCAGTGTCGTATCGCGTCAGCGCTAGACGAACCGCTCGACTGTGCCGGTCATAAGCAATCAGCAGAGCATGTACGAATTCTGTCCGAGGCGCTTCTTGCTCCGGCCATGGCAGATTTGCATCTTTTGCTAGCTGTTGCTTCAGTTGCCAATGTGATACGAGGTCGACAGCTCGTCTGAGAGGAGACGTGACGCGGACATACGCAGAATCATCCGGGATCCCCATCAAGGGCCAGCCAGACGGCACCAGCGATGTCTGATTGAAAGTGAGCGAATACAGCATCCGTTTGGTCTTCAGGATCTCTCGTATAGGCATACGACCCGTACAAGGATGACGCGCGTTGAAATCAAGGGCGGGCAGGATCGAAGCGTCTCGTGCATAGCCATGCGGGCGAGAAAGGTAGATCGCTTCGACCGATCGACGCCTGAGATATTGACCTGCCATTTCGCATGCCATACTCATGAATGTAGCGATGACCTGTGCGCCATCGTATCTGCCGTCGGCGCCGCCCGAAGCCGAATCATATTCGTTTGGCGGGAACGTCACCCTGAGAGAAGGCAGACCAGTAAAGGGTCGTATGTCGCGTTCAATCGGGCATAGAGAACGTAGCTCGTGGCCATTGATGACCTCAAGCTTCGGCTTTGCGATCGTTGCCTGGGTCAATCCGCAACTGACTTTGTAGCTCGTGACAGCCTGACCATATTGAAGCAATACGTCCATGATAGCGCCATCTGCGTGCAGCACCGGCTGTTCCGGTCGTTGTTCGATTGTCTGCACTTTGCCAATTTGAAGCGTAAGGCCGACCTCCAACGGAGCCGTGCCGATGTGTTTGTCCAGAGCAGCGTACGTATATCTCTGCACGTTGCGAATGTACGCCGGACGTACGAGCGTCTCGATCGATACACCTGAAGCATCAAGACGAGCGCTGAAAGTCAAGACGGGCAATTTGCCATCTTTGGCTGCCTCTAGTGAATGAGCCTTGCTAACTCCTTCATCGAGCATGGCTCGGGCACTCTTGCCATGGGTGTAAATCGTGCTCAACCGACGGATAGCATCTTTGGCAAGAGGATGGCCAAGCGGTAAAGTAGCTGTGGGATCGGCTATATGCACATGGATCCATTGAGTTGGCTTGCCGTCCTCTGTAGGCTCACCAGGCTCTGTCGAGACTCCATCATCCAGCTCCTCCGCACCCGCATCGTCAATAACGAGCACACGCTGATCGCCGAAATCGTATCTGATTGGCTCGAGCAGGTCCCGAGCGAAGAGACCGTCCTCTTTGTAGAGATCGGGAGCGATCGACAGGTCTGTTGGCTTGGGAAGAGCTGGTAGGTCAGCATGCATCATCGACAGAAGCTCTTGTGAGGCGTGTTCCCAAGGCGCAAAAACAAACAGTGCTCTCAGCAATGTACGCAGATCTGACAGCGTAGATGCCAAACTCGGGAGAGGCGATTGACCTGGCCAAGGTCGGATCTGGCGCAGCAACGACGAGAACAAGATTGGCTTCGAGTTCTCTTGCAGATATCTTCGCTGGACCGACGCTTCCTTCATGCAACGCAGTATACGCATCTCAGAGTCCGTCCACTTGCCAAGAGATCGCGCTCGGGAGTCCGCTGGCTTGTCGGGATCGTACCGTTGTGATTCAAAAGCCTCGACACACCGGCTCGCTTTGTCAACAAAGGCTTTGATGTCGGGATGATTGGACTCGACCATCGCTGCGATCATCATGGCATCCTCTTGGTATGCCGAATCGACGACAATATGCGTTTGCGAGCGTACGTGTTGGACCGGATCAAGCAAAACATGATCAACGTTCCGGCTAAGGTTGACGTGCACGGCGAGCGAAGTCTTATCATCGATGGACAGCTTATTGCCACTTCCGAGCTTTATCCAGCCCAGCGCTTGGTCAAGTTTGATCTGGTCATGCGCGTCTGCGAAGAGCGGCAATGCTGTGACACCCATTTGGTAGACGTCACGGACCGCACGAGAGCTATCGATGTCAAAGCGGCGAATGCGCTGTATTAGCTTGCGTGAAGCTGTGAGAGACGCCGCGATATCTACGTCGTAATCGCTCGTGGTTGGATCGAGGCCTCGTATCCACCATCCCATTGCCTCGAGGTTCTCCGCGTCAGGATCTTCAGGATCGGGGCTTATGCAAAGATCTTCATCCTCTTTGTACGCTGCAGCGACTAACGGATCAAGCGCAGCTTCCATGTCCTTGGCAAAGGGTTTGATGATTGTCTCTATCAAGCGAAGATCTTTCTCGAACGCAGGCAGGACCCATGTGGCCGAAGAGATCGCAATCGGCTTTATCCTGCCCGTTCCCAGCAGCGCCAAGACCTGTGCTTGGGAGGGTACCGATAGGACGATGCATAATGTATATTCTCCCTGTCTGTCTGACTAGTCAGTACTGCGTGGCAGAAATTCTGCAAAGGAACCAACGCAAAGGTAACGAGCAGATCGCCTGCTTGAAAGCGATAGGTAGAGGTCGGGTAGTGAGCCTGCCAGCTTAGCGAAGCCACAGGGAGGTCGACAGTGCGAGTGGCGGCATGAGTAGCAAGGGTCCTTGCTCGCGGCACATCGCCCCGAGTCGCATAGCGGTTTTGCCTCGTCTGAGCACTCTCTCCTTGGATTCGCTTTACGAGAGGCGCAAAGTCAAGATAGCGATGCCTATAAGGCTGTCTGAGATGCTTTGCGGGCTTGTCGTGGAGATGAGCGGCGCTTGCACGCCAGCCTTGGGCTTGGTATTTAGCAGTATGGCCTTGAAGAAAAGACGTCAGTGTGTCTAACGCTGCCTTGAGCTCAGGCGCCGGCAATGCGTCCGGATGTCTTGAAGTCGATGCTTTCGGGCGACCAGCCTCCGATGCAGCTTTAGCCGCCTCGCAGCAACGGCAGCTCAAACGCATCTCGACAAGTGCAAGAGAGGCCGCAGGCGATCGATAAAACCAAATATCGCGACTGGCCGGCGGCGTACGCGGCGTGAGCGCTTGACGGTTCTGCCCACCGTCAGATCAACTGGCATCCACCCTCTGCTCACAAAAATCAAGCGAACTCTATATGGGACATGCATCAATTACTTCTAGCTGGAAGAATGCCCAACGAAGCCGAGAGTGACAAGTGTGTCAATCGATATCGTGCAAGCCTTTTTGGCTTCACGTCCAGAGTATTCAGCTCGATCACTCCAACGAACGGTGCGATTGATACCTTGTGGAAACGCTCTCCGACATTCTGGCGTTGTCGAGCAAGATCGTTTAGCTGAACTCGAAGTATGCTCGACTTTGCCTGTCCCAATATTGAATGTGGCCACAAAGGTGCCATCCTACCATCAGATTGTGCTCAGCGGGCCTATCGAGCACTTCGAGTGTTTGTACGTGCCATGATACAGCAGCGCTGTGCCTGTGGTGTCCATTCGACTTCGTTGCCTGCCCACCAAAAGGGACGATCAGTGCGACATCCGGCCCTCGCGCCTCACGAACCCCGGGAGCTTGTCCAGACTATATCTGCGGGCACGACTCTACCCGAATGATGACCTGAGACCGGGCCAAAGATGCCAGAGATGTATCGTTCTTCGGAGGTCTGCGAATCCAAGTCAGCCGATAACCGAACAAAAGAATTCAGCTTACAGCAACAGTCTGGCCGGTAGCGATTGTGTGCTTTACCGTAAAGACCTTCTCATCGAATGAGACGTATCCTATACCCTCACAGTGCGCCTCAACACTTGCTGTCCAACCGTGCGTCGTCAGCGTCCCTTCCAGACCAAGAGGGCAACGTACCTCGCATCGTCCATACCTTTGTCGGCGAGGCGCCAATCTGAAGCATCAACCAGCATACTACCCATATGGTGCCCACGAGTGACATTGCTGTGCGATTGACAAGGCAGAGAGGCTCTCAGATCAGGAAGACGACCGGAAAAGCCAAGCCGTCACACCTCGAAACCCCAGCAACAATCGTCAGGATCTGATCGAAGCATACAGGAGTCATCATCCGCGTTATTGTTTTGACTTGATCTGCTCCCACGCCGATTCACGACAGTACTGCAAGTGCTCAGCCGTGTGGTCAAAGCCCAAACATAGCTCGGCGTATAACCGTTCTTGCAGCTATGGCAGACCAGTGACGCCATCGACAACGAGCGTGTCTGACGAGCTGTCCGCGTAGCACCCTATGCTGCAGCAGACCAAGAGATTGTAGATTCATAAATGGGATGCAGTCTGGAGCAATCAGCGGACCAATGCGAACAAGTCCTGATCGACTAAGTCATGCCATGGGGAATAAGCTATACTCGCCGAATTTCAGAGCAATGTCGTAGCTTGCTCTCTGATCTTTCAGTCAGCGAGGATGGACTGCAGGTAGAGGTATTCACCGCTGTGCAGCTACGGCGCGATTCATCATCCCAGTCCACGTGGGTTTCCGGACTGTCGACGAGTGTGATCGTGCCAGGCAGTATCTCTGCGCCGCTTGGTACTGTCACAGCAGGATCGAAGCTGTATGTTCAGAAATCCGTATCGGCTTCCTGCCAGTGTGTGGGCATGGTACTGGTGAGGCAAGTCTCACATAGTGAATCGCCGGGCCATTATAGCTTAAGCGGAGAAGATTATCCTCAAAAACGATTCTGCCAGTATGGGAACAGTCCACTGTGACAGGTACTGCGGCATTGCGTGCTCAGCAAGGGCTTCCGCTGTACTACAAACGCATCACTCAAGGTCCAGAGCGTGTCAACGGCGCAGGTCGTGACAGCGACCTGCAAGGATACGAACACGATAGCTTTGACAAACAGCATGCTGTCCCCATGGCCAAAGATATGACAATTGTAATCGAATGAAGATGCCCCAGAGACAACATGCAAGAGACAACCCTGACGCGCCCGAATGCGCTGATAGGCTCACAATCTCATTGTCATTAAATGCTCGACACTCGATTGCGTGCACGCATCGCCGAATCCAAACGAATCGCAATCACAGCCGCAACGAAAGTGGTACAAAATTTAATCCGCGTCACGTCAGGATATTCCTAATGATCTCCACCTTGGCCTCCCTGATATCGCAGTAGCCCGCCTCTGCTTCCTGTCAGCACTGACGTGATCTCTCTGCGCAAGGTACTCGCCCTGCATGCCTCGACAATCTGCATAGATCTCCCAGTCGGTGTGGCAACGTCTACCGCTCCTATTGCATCAGCACAGATTAGCCAGTGATGCCAGTATGCACCTCTCTAGCCAGGTTGCACTGTGGACAGTCTGCAGAGTACCAAGCGACAAGCCAACGTGGATTTTTGCCGTCTGCAACCCAATGAGCTTCGTTCGGATTACTCTTGGGCGGCGAACGAATTCGCCGCAGCAAGCAGCAGCTGTGTAGCTCCATCCATGCCGATCTTCGTTCCTGATCGAGGCTGTGAGTTCCATGGAGAGCATATCGCCTCTTGGTGTCGAATCTCGCGAGATCTGCCGCGCTGTGAGCGTACTGTCCATTTGTGTCTGCACCCTGCTTAGCGGAACCGGAAGTATAGCGTGGGCGGCGCACGATGGTGAGTTCATCGTCTTGCCAATCTACTTTGATCGCTCGTGGCTCGTAAACAACGGCATCGGCTCCGGGAACGCTATTCGAACAGTTTGCGATTATTTCGGCTGAAGTGACTCGTCAGCCAAACGCAACGAGCAATCGTAGCGCCTAGCTCTTGATGACCCAAATGTGGCGATTGGGAACTCGCCATGCGAGTGCACTCGACGCTAATAGAAGGGTGAAAAGAGGGAAGGTCAGCATGACAGCGGGCAGAGGCGCGAATTGGCGACGCGGCTTTGCAAAGTGTACAACAGAGGGGGCGAATTACTCGTCTTTCTTCACTATGCTCTCCTCGAGCTCGTCGGCTATCACGACATCCTCCTGATCCTCCCGGGTATCTTTGAGCTCCTTGAGGATCAAGAGTCGATAGAGCAGTCGCCAGATGAGGAAGTACCAGAATAGATTGACGACCTGTAGCAGGGCAATGGGTGTGAAGACTTGATACTTCATCCATGGAGCAAGCCATGCGCCAGTATCCGCATTGAAGAAGACCTGCGATTCTTGCGGTACGAGGCGGTCATAGTCGAACCAAACGCTGTACAGGATTCGGAGGTTCTCGTAGTGGCGGAAGTAGGTCCAAACGCCAATGAAGATAACAAAGACGACTTCGCTGATTTTTTCAGTCTTTTTGTGATAGTTGAGCATCTTTGCCGCAGCGAGAAACACCTGCTCCGGCTTTCAGCGAGCGCAAGAAGAGGCGCCGCCGAGACTGCACGCACCTCTGGCACATCCATCGACACAAAAACGGCAACGCCGATGTAGGTCAGATTAATCAAACCAGACCAGAAAACGAGCCATAGAGTTACGGCATCTGTCCAAAGCGTCAGGGTTGATGAAGAAAAGAGGTCTGGCCATGACTGACGATGAATACAGAGCTCTAAGAAATCTGTGCGAGGTGCCTCTATGCGTAAGATGAGAACGAGCATCTGACAGAGCCAGTATGAAAACTGGAGCAAATAGTACAGCTTGAGTTGCGGCAGTAGTTGCCAATGTGGGTAGCCTTTCCAGAACGCATCCGTTCGATACCACCATACCGGCAGGTCTTTGTAGACCACCAACCCAAAGACGGAGAATATGCCGTGATAGATGATGGCATAGCCTTGCTCGGTAAATCTATCGCGCTTGCGTCCTTTGAGTCCTGACCAGACCGCGAGCGGTTGGAGGAATTTCTGCACAAGCATTGCGCGTAGGAAAGCAAAGACGATGATGTGGAACCCGATAAAGTAGAGGTCATCGTAACCTTTCTGAAAGTACCGCGTGCCTTGTACAGTCGACAGGAATGTCTTTGAGGACAGGAGCGAGCTCGAAAGAGGCACGGGATGGGAGATCATCACAAAGCGAGAGAATGGGTTGTTCGCGACTCTGGCGATGAAGCACGCTAGCCAGGCAAGGTAGATCGTGCCGATGATCTTGCCCGAGGAAGCAGGGTGACGCATGAAGCTGAGCGAGTAGACATCGCGTAGCAATCCTTGAGATGGTCGCAAGTAGGATGCAAGTGGCTGACCATCTGAACATCCGGCCAATCAGCCCATGTGTACTTCTGACGGGCACCACCACGTGCTTGGCTTGCTCTGATCGGCCGCGGGCTTGGGTTTGCGCTTGTCGGGCGCCATGATGACCGGTCGGAGCACGGCCTTCCGCTGGCTTGGTACAACCACGACGCGCGTCGGTGTGAGTGAGTGATTGATCGGTTTGGCTGATTTGTTGACGACACTGTTGTGGTCAGACGACGCTGACAGGCCAGGTGGGCTCTCTGTACGACAGCTTGCAGACAGTGTGAAGTTCGACAGCGAGTCATAGGAGCGTCTGCGGCCTTGGCAACGAGCTCGCGACACGGTGACAAGCGTCGCATTAGCGGACCGAGCACGAGCCTCCCATCGAGCTCGCAAGGTCTGTCCGGAGCAGCCCGACAAGTCGCACTCCGTCCCATCGAGCTCCATTGAGATCCAACAAGCTCGATCCATCCTTCTGCTGCTGACTTGACGAGCCCTGCATTGGATCTCGGGCAAATATGGCAGTGCATTGCCAGCCTAGCAACTGAGCACCGCCCTTTCTGCCGGAGTATCGACCAGCTTGAGCCAGCTCGTCAGCCGAGATGGACAGACACAGTCCGTCTGACGTCAGGACGCCTTGGCAGCCTGCTGTGTCGCCGACAAAGTCGGAGAAAGAACGAAACAGGCGAGCACCGCTGCTCAGGTCGGCTTCAACGTCGAGCGTGCACAAGGCGAGGAGAGCTCAATGTCATGGCACGCAAGACGATGGCAGGATACTCCCTCGTTCGCCCGGCTTCGGCTCTCGTCACACGCTTGCGCAAAGACGACTCGACCTGGCTCACACGAGCAGTGAAAGCTTCAATTCTCCACCGCTCACGGCCAACTCGTCATCTAGCAACACGCCTGCGGGCTCGAAATCTCCCAATGCGTTCTCTGCCGTCAGGCTAGAGAGGATGCCAATGTCGCCCGCTCTGTCGCCTCGACTCAGCCGAGAACACACCTGGCCGAACACAACACCGGCCAGTATGAGCCAGTCATCGTCCGGCGAACTGTCAGCTTCGACATCGGCATCAAGTTCACAAACGACTTCGCCCGTCCTGTCGCCTTTCTCGCTCTCATTGTGTCTCACGCCACATACTTCAGGATTTCTCGGCAGTGGCTTGCCCAGTCCATCCTTGCAGCGATCCCAACTAGACCTCTTGCCCATGTCCGAAGAGGAGGACGAGGATGCGGCAGAGTTCGATCGACATGTCGCTACCTCATCACCCCTTGCTCGCATCGGCTCAGGAAGCAGAGATCGTAGAAAGAGTCCACTTGCAATCTCGACTGCTACCTTCAACACACAATTGGACGAAGAGCCCGAGGAATCCAGACTCAGCAGAGCGATGAGAGATCTCTGGAGCTCAGACACGCTCTCGTCCTCTTCGCTCTTCACAGGTGCTTACGATCCTGCTCGATCGATGCCCCACGACGACGCATCTGGCATGAAGCGACTGCTCAAAGCAGATGGTCTCGTCGTGGCCGAACCCAAGTCGCGCAAACCGCAAAGAGACGCACTGGCTATCCATCCGGACTCTGTTCTTCTGCGAGATGATTTCTCGTTCAATCAGAACATGAGCACGGAGGAAGAGCTCTACGATGAGGAAATGGACGAAGGCGACGAAGAAGGAGAATACCTGACGCCGCTCCAAGCGCCATCATACCCGAGTCATGCTTCCAGACAGCCCGGAAGACCTTCGCTTAAGCGAGGCAGCTTCTCTGGTAGCAACGGCACCTCATCGCGCTCCCTCTCGCCTGCATCTAGCTCGACTTCTCTGTCGAATGTCAGGTTTGGCGAAGAACCTCAAGTGAGCGTAGTAGACACTTGGGCTGCAGTAGACTATCCAGGCAGGCAAGTCGTACCCATCACACCCCCCGAACATGAGCTCATATGACGTGAGCAGACGAGGCAATCCTCCAATTACCAAGCTGTCCTTTAGAGACGTGATGGAAGTCAGGGAGATCAAGACATCTCTAGGCATCTATCAGGCGCCACCGGCCTCACCACGTACGACGTCGACGGGCTCTCAACTCGTACCAGATGGTCAGATCGGGCAAGCCTCGTTCAACATCAGCACACGATCATCAACATCATGACAGACTCGATTACCCCCTTAGTCGCAAAACCTCACTTCATCCGTCCTAGCGCGCAATACCCCTCGCTCTCGCAGAAGCCTACACTTACGATCCTCAACTCATGCAAGAGAGCATCGTTGTGACTAATCCTCATGTGTATACCTTCTCCGTCACCAGTACCAGTAGATGTACCGCCAGCAGGCTGGTAATGCATGGACTACCTACCCAGTTCAGCTCGATGAAACGGCTTGAAACTTGCAATGCATCCAGCATGCCTTTTCATGAACTCTTAACGCGTGTAGCCTAAGCTTCACTTGATCCTGCTTATACTGACAAGCCCGCTGCAGCATCGCCGCGAGCTCGAATGGCTGCTTCTCTGCTTTCTTTAGCTCGATGTCGGATTTCCGCATGCAGCACCATCGAAACGATCTCTTTGGCATCGTATTCGGTCAAGAGGAAGCTATGAATTTCGACAAGAGTGTCATAGACGCCTGAGTCTGAGATGAAGCGACCGCGAAGAGCCTTCATGGTCTGGATGAGCTTTTCGATCTGCTCTCGTACAGTCGAGGGCTGGCAGTTCAGGCCTTCGTTGGTAGCAAAAATTTGAGGCCAGACAAATTCGAAAGCGTCTGTTAGATCGAGTTCATCGTAGTAGCTGCTGAGAGCTCTTCGTAGTGATGCCTTGTCAGCAGCGTGCAAGACAGGTTCGACAATGCTCTTGACGCTGAGCGTACCATCACTGAGAAGCTGTGCGGCACGTTCTTAAGTCTGTAAGATCTCCTGCGGTTGCTTGCTTGCAACGAATACTTTTTGTGCCTGGAGTACGGTCTCCCGAAAGCTCTTGTCGATCCGAAGGACTTCTTTGACAGCGTGGATCGTCACGTTAGGTCTCATGGCGAGCTTGACAAACTGCCTGCGAATCGGATGATCTGCATCGTGATCAAGCATTCGCTCTTCGAGGCTCAGGATTGCAGCTTCAGTAATTTGAGGAAGCTTCATTTTGGCAATCCCTCGCGAGGAACTTTTTCGCGACAGTCGCTTGTAGGCCTTTGATCTGAGCTTCGGAGTAGACTTTGACCGCTCTGTCGTGGCTATCTGATGCTTTACTGAGCGTGCACACTTCTCGCAAGAACGGAAGCTGGTCGACCTGAGCTATTGGCCATGTTGCTTTGACGAGATACTTGGTCGTCCTTGTGTGATGACTACAGATCTCCAAACGGTATCAGCATCATAAATGGCTACTGATGTACAGACTTCCTGGCATGCAGAACGGCTCGCCATCTTTGAAGTCGAAAGGGAAACCTTCAGCCAGTGACGAGGGTTTCGGGAGCGCTTGCAAACAATGCATCTATTTTTGTATGCAAAAAGGGCAGTAGCACGCCAGGTAGACAGCTTGGTCAATTGAGTTGTGTATGCCGAGACACCTCGGCCAGCAGGACGACAACCGTATCTAGCAGCTCGAGCCTTCCATGCCAATGAATCCGAGTAGAGGGCCTGTCGCCACGATCGAGAGACTCTTTCGAGCGATAGAAGATCGCAAATGCGCGAATCGTATGAGACATACGATGCGATGAGTCTCTTGATCTCAAGAGGCAAGTCTTTGTCGACGTTTGACTTGCTTGGCGGCGTTTCTCTCGTGACTTTCTCAACGACGTAAGAGATCAGGCGACCGAGTAAGGCACCTTTGTTGCCATTCGCAGGCAATCCGCGCGTTTTGAGCTCGGCTTTGAGATCTGCCGAGGTAGCCTTGTCGAGCTCTTCGATGCGCAATACCGTGAGAATATCGGTTTCGGCGGGGGCCAGGCCGCGAGCAGCTTGAGCATCATCAGTCATCTGGAGCTTTGCGGTAAGCACACGGTTCGTTTTGGCTGGTCCTGTGGCAACTTCTTGCTGGTCTGGTCCAATAGTCTCTGCATGAGCGACAAGAGCGTCGTGGAGCCCGAGAGTCTTAGCTAAATCGGATACGGCCTGCTTGGCCTCTATATCGATCAAACTAGCGATATAATCCATCTTACCAGCTCGGGCAATGAGCTCTTCGATGGGTAGACTTTCGATAGCTTCGGCATCGGCGGCAAACGACTTCATGTCGGTGCCTGAGACTTCTTCTTTGCGGCGCAATGCTTCGATATGGCGCATCAGACGTGATTGGCATTGCCAGAACCGGCCGGCAGCGGAGAGTTCAGCTTGCTTGAGAAGTGCTTTGACGTGAAAATCAGACAGGCCACGAACAGTGTCCGCCGTAGTTGGCATGGGAGGCACGGGCTTATTGCGCTCAGCAGCACGAGCCTGAGTACGTCCATACGTAGACCCGCGGCGATAGTGCCACTCAAGGCTCGTCATCTCGTCTTCATCGCCGCTAGGGGACCAGTTGTCCTCCTCATTATCGAAGTCATCAAAGGGGACCATTCTGGCTTGCCAGCCGATAGAGTGAAACTGCCACACCGAAACCGAACGACTTAGTGCAGGTCTGACAATGCATGGTCGATGAAAGGGCCACCGGATAGGGCTCGGAGGGGAGTTCGCTCGGCTTGATGGGACCGCGCAGATTTTGTGTCTTATTATGCGCGCGACTTCGCTTGCTTGCCACAAGACGAGATGCATAACAACAGTGCACTGCGCACGTAACGCTACGTATCGCAGACTGATATACGACCGGCTAATTGGGTACCACGAGAGCTGTACAGCCGCCTTGCCAAGTCTCGACGCGGAGTCGTGCAAGAGCTGACATGCTGCTTCTTGCCGTTCCCACGAATGCCTGACTCCGCGCCATGACTGCGCCAGCCACGATGCCTGCAATGAACGAAGGGCTTGCGCCCTTTGAGCGCCATTCCGGTAAGAGATATCGATCGACAACGCTCAGAGTGTCGACGGTGTGCCAGCCTCTCTTCCTGGCCTCTGCCGAAAAGTCCGGATCGCGCTCGTCTGTCAGGAGGAGTACGTCTGTGACGGCTTGCATCGCATCACAAGCCTCGGCATTTGAGAATTCGTTCAATGCTTTTGCGTAAAGGTCTAGGGACTGAGAGTGAGGCATATCGCAATTCGCCCTATGAAATCGTGGCCTGCAAAAGTCGCCCCTGCGGATGTGTACCGACACGAAGCGAGCACTCACAGTCGACAGAACGCTCTCGATGACAAGATCAGCCAGTCGCTCGATCTCGGCAGAGAAGAACAGATAGCGGCCCCAATCCTGCCAGGCTGGATCGGTGAGCATCATGATCTCTCCGTCGAACTTGTGGCCGTAAATGCTCTCATATTCTTGCTCATGCAGTCCGAAGGCCGGATAGACGCAGAGCACGTCGGCCTGCGGTCGCACGCGAGTGGTATATCGACTATGGAGCTCTGTTGCGTTGCTGATGAAGCTCTCTAGCGCGACGGGCATCAAGCTCACTTGCTCAACAGCTTCGTAGCTGTCCCCGCTGTAACCGCCGAATTCTGGCATCGGCCAGGTCTGGATGTGTAAATTGCGCTCGTCCAAATCTGTGTCGGTGCCTGTCGTCAGACAACCTACTTCCACCCTCTCTTCAGTGACATTGTGAAGGTCGTAAGAAGGCATGCCGCCCGCCAGACGGGACGCGCCCTGATGATCAAAGATGCTCGAAAATGACAAGGGGCCATAAGGATCCGTGCTGCATACCTCGTGTCAGCTAGTTCTTCGAGAACGCTCCGAGAGCCTACAGGATGACGCTTCTGTTCGTTCGCACGCCTAGATAACCTGCCTTCATGGCGATATAAACGTGATTGCTGAACCCCCACTTGCCGGGGAAAAAAATGGCGGATGTGCCATGCAGTGCGCGAGCAAGAGGCTGGATACTCGTTTCGGCCACCCAGCTGACGCTCGTGCCGCTGCTGTCTTCGAGCGCGTCGTGAGTCGCACTTTCGCTGGCCTCGGCATTTGTGTCTAATGTCGAGCCTAGCTCGGCATTCAGGTCGAGCGCGTTCGTCTGTGTATGTGTGTTGTGGACCGGCCTGAGCAGATCATCCACCCGCAACATATGGTGGGGATTCGAATGAAAGCCGGCGACTCGTGCAATGACATTCTGCTCAATGTCAGGCAGCATATTCATGCGCCGACTGAGCAATGTACGACCTGCTGACAAGAGCAAGAAGCCACAGCAGCCGACGACCGCGAGTCGGCCTGCCCAAGCACGCCTCCTGCCCGTGGACGAGCTCTGTCGGCTGACTTCCGGCACCGCAGATATAGCAGGCTGGAAGGCTTGCTTGCTTGACAGCGGATGTCCGAGCTCGGCGCTGCTCATCGACGTCGGTCTATACTTGCGACCATTGGGGAGACTGGTCATCTTGCTCATCTTGCCCGAAGACTGTCTGGATCTAAGCGCTCGATGCGCGTGAGCTCCTTCTTGAACAGAACATGACTGGTCGCAGGACGCTCGTCGCGTTATGGGCGAGCCGGCCATCGTATGTTCAGCACGCTTTCTGTCGGACCAGTCAGTGGGAGCTCCACGGGATCATCCTCATCGACATTGTTGTGACAGGTGAAAAGAGCCACTCCCGACAATGTAAATCCTTCATACAGTCGGAAATAACTCCTTCTACGATGATCTGCTCCCCGGACTTCTCGGGAGTTCGGAGCAGCAGATCACATACATGCGCCCGGCGATTTCTGCGTCGCGGACGACGCGTGTGCGACGCGTTGACTCGCCATAGATGTCAGATGAATTCAATCAGGTAGTTGGATCCCACGTGACCCGCCTTGCCAGAAGTCAGCTTTAGCGCCGGACAGTCATCATCTGGCCTAGGCTGACAGGCGATGCTTCCGGCTGACAATGATGCGCGTGATGGCAAAGGCAAGGCGCGAGAAGATACGGCATCGCAGCGAGCAGCCAGGCGTCAGCCGAGCGAGCAGGCGATGTCGGCGACTGCGCCCGAGCGATTGTTCTACTCGACTGTCGAAGATGAGCAAGATGAGGACATCGATCATGAACCTCGTACATATCAAGCTCATCGCAGGAATCTGCTCGAACGAAGCGCAATGGGCATCAGCCATTTTGCGAGCTTGATAAGGTTACCGAGCGGCGTAGATAGCCATGGCGAGGAAGACGAGCGAGAGGACGAGTACGGAGGCTTGGGCAGGCCATCAGGATCATCAGTACTCTCATCTGCCGCGCTAGAGCAGAAGAACCGTCTCGAACGGCAAGATAATCTCGATCCATTTCGACGTTCCCAAGCGGAGCTGATAGCACAAACGTTATCGCCAACGACCGACTCAAGCATAATGAGCCACCATGCTGCCCCCAGAGATGGATGGAGAGTTCATAGATCTTCTGCGCTTCCTTCTACAACTAGCGGCGGACTGTCAGCTTCGAGTAGTCGCGCGTCGTCACCGCCCGTAAGAAAGGCTGACGACTCCCCCGAACGGGCTACCTCTCTCTTCTTGCCTCATGCCTCTGTAGCGTCATCGCCGCCTCGGAGATTCGACTATGCGCGCAAGGGGGTTTCAGACGACGTGCCTGCGACCAATCGTTTGTACGTCTATCCGTCCAATGCCGGCAATCGTATACGACTAGAGGCCGATGTGCCGAGGATATATTACAGAGATGCAGCCTGGCTGGCAGCCTACTTAGCAAGTCTGTCGACAGTGGTGTTATATGGCTTCTATCAGTCGTTCATCGGAACGCCACTGCTACCGCCGGAAAGTGATATGCCATCAGAGACCGATCGACCTACAGAGACGATTGCCTCTAGCATACCTCTTCTCATCATCCTGACGCTGCTTTCGCTGCTATCGGGCGTAGCAGCGACGGCGTCGTTGGCGTTCTACAAGCGAGGCGCGTACTTTGTCGTCCACGCAGCGGTCGTTTCAGTGCCATTACTACTGGTCTTAGCTGGGGCATGGAGCTACGCTGGCAGCTATGTTCTTGTCTCGCATGACAACGAGGAGCATGAAGGGCATTGGCTCATCCTAGCGAGGACGCTTTTGCGCGCATTCAGCGTGCTTGTCATCTGTGCAGCCGGTTGGCTTGCTCAAACGGCATATAAAAATCGCAAGCGCTTGCAACAAACTGTGCATGTCCTAGAGGTGGGCTCTCATACGAACATGGTTATTAGTGCTGATTCACGATACAGCTGGCGGCGACAATCATTTCGGATCATCAAGCGCTGCTCGTGCTTTGCCTTGGCTTCACTGTGGCATTTACGGTCATCACATTTCCCTTCTTGTCGATCTTCAGCACAGCAGTGTCGCATGGCGTCTACACGGGAACAGATAAGGAGCATGAGAGGACATGGCATGTCGATTCGACTAGCGGAACGTTTGCTTGCTTCGTCGTCTTCACTTGGCTATGGACGCTCGGCGTCATGCGTGGGATACAGAGGATGACGGTCTCCGGCGTCGTCGGCGCATGGTGGTTCTCCCGCCATGATCCGGACAGTCCCACGTCGAACGAGCTCATCGTCGCGTCATTGCAAAGAGCGACAGGACCGAGTCTGGGCACCGTGTGCTACTCCGCTCTTTTGCTCGCGTTACTCGACAGTCTGGCGCTGGTCTCGAGCAAGATGCGGAATGTGACGAGATCGACAAGCAGACTGCCTGGTTTTCTCAGCCCGCTGTACTATCTTGCGCCCGCCTTTGCGCTGGCAGCTTCGTTCTTCGATGCCATCAGCTCATATGCTCTCGTCTTTGCCGGCCTGACTGGACAGCCTTTTGCAGAATCTGCGCGACGCAGTGCTGCTCTGATCTCGAGCAACAGGACGGGATATCTCCTTGACAGTCGGTACCGATCACGCTCCATTCTGTTTCGGCTGACGCATACCCTGCAGACTTGCTCGTCAAGTACGTCCTCAACATGATCTCGCTAGCACTGGCAACGCTCGCCGGGCTAGCAGGCTTCATGTTCGCCACCTACACCGTCTCTGAAGCTCACTATGCACCTCTCATCTCGCTTCTCTGTGCCATCGTGCCCTTCTGGACTGTCCGCTTGTGCTCGGACGTTCTCAGCAATGCGTAGGCTTCTTCGCTTCGCATTGCATCGGGGATGAATTCTGATGATACAAGGCAGGGTCGATGGCATCTTTTTGTGCTACAATCTCGATGTGGCGTCTGGCTCGACTCATTGCAGCAAGGCAGTCGAAGTGGTAAGCGCTCTCGAGCGGCATGTGCATTGATTATGTGCTGACATGCGCACAGTTTGCGGAATCCGTGTTGCCACTATAAGCCCTATTGTCGTTGTTCAAATCATGTTGACATTGGTTTTGTCACGTTTTGAACGGACATCGTCGCGCGTGCGGGATTATCCGAAATTGAGTCATCGAAGTTGTTACATCATCGGCGATCATCAACACTGATCAATCAGGCTTTCGTACTTGATAAGCTACTCAAGGCTAGCGACACAAGATCACAGGATCATTTGGCTCCACCTTAGCATTGCACGGACCTGGTCTGCAACGCTCGGATCAAGATGACGGGCACAAGCATCGCCCCAACGGCTTCCCTCCGAACTCACAGTCATGACGATACGTCGAGCGCAGACACCTTTGCTGCACGCTTTGCCGCTTCTAAGCGTTCTCGACGGGCTTCGATGGCAGCGATGACTCAAGCCATGCCAGCACACCATGCTACTTCGCCTCCGCTCGGCTCGGGAGGCTTGCACACAGTCAGAGATCTGCCAGAGACGCACTATTTGGCAGCGCAACATGCCGATCTACGGGCATTGCCACAGGCGAGCACGTCAAAGACACCCTATGGCCCTTCTACGCCAGATGTACGCTCTCGATGGTCCACGAGGCCAGACACGAGCTCGACGGCGTCTGCCGATTTCGATGTCGATGTACGATCGGGCTTTCTACCGCCACAGGAGCCCATTCAGCGCCTGCTTGGCGAGCTCGAAGACTGGGAGCTTGCGTTAGATGCACGAGAAGGAATGAGGTACGGAGGGGCAGCCTTTTCTATTGAGGCTGCAGAAGCTTGGCGAACTGGGATCAGGAGCGTACGTGCTCTTCAAATCTAGCCTTGTTCGATCTGACCCTTGCTATAGATGCCAGTGCTATCCGTCACGAACCTGTCGACGCTACCGCTACTGAGACGAGCTCACGTCGTGCTCTCGTTCCTTGGTCACGCGTACATTCACTCAACGTTCCCGTCGGGCAACGTCGTTCCTGCGAGTATCGCAGTGCCCTGGGTCGAAGTTTCAGAGCGACTCGATATGCCACCCATCTTGACGTATGCCGACACTGTCCTGTGGAACTGGCGGTTCAAAGACCCTTCGCGTGGCTGGCAGGCCGACAACTTTGAGATCTCACAGACTTTCACTGGCAGCAAAGACGAAGAGCATTTTTTCCTGACTTCGTTGCTCTGCGAGCTACGCGGCGTGCCTGCCCTGAGGCTCATGTCACATTGTCTCGACGAAGCCTGGCTTGGCGATGCGGTGGCAAAGACGAGGATCACGCGCAACCTCGATGATCTGGTCACTATCGTCGAATCAATTAGTCAAACAATCATCGACGTACGCACTGATTGTGCACCACATGCTTTCTATTTCGAGATTCGGCCATGGTTCGTTGGCGGTCTATGGACGTACGAGGGCGTTCAGTCTCACCTCGGATTGAGAGAAGTGCGCGAGTATGGCGGACCGAGCGCGGGCCAGAGCTCCCTCATCCACTCTCTTGATGTTTTCCTGGGCGTCGACCACTCCGCCCGACCCGAGCCCGTCATTCAACGCCTCAATGCTGCCAGCAGACCACCGCCAGCCGATAAAGAGTCGACCTTCATGCACCGCATGGCATTCTATATGCCGCAGCACCACCGTCAATTCCTATCGCACTTGCAAAGCCACCCCAGATCAGTGCGAGAGCTTGCTTTGGCAGACATGATCGATCCGGCCTCTGCCGATCTGCGCAAATCTTACGACCGAGTTGTGCAATCGCTCAAAGGTCTACGAAGCGCACACATGAATATTGTGACGCTCTATATCATCACGCAGAGCAGAGCGCTTCCGCCACCTGGCTCGAAGTTGCTACCACCGCCCGTTGTGGCAAAAGCAGAGCAAGAGCTCAAAGGCACAGGCGGAACGGAACTCGTCCGCTTTCTGAAGATGTGTCGGGACCGTACCGTCGAGGCGCTTCTGATAAAGCAGTGATGTCGTCTATGCACCTTGTCACCTCGCTTCTTTTGCACGATTGAGCCACCACTGAGTGTCAAATCCTGCTTTTGCTCGAAGATCAGTCTCGTTAGCAAGTGATTGGCATCAGGCATGTGACCTTCAAAGGCAAGTGCGAGCTCTCTTGCTGCACTCTGTGGCGAATCGGAGCCGTGGAATGCATTGCGAGTGTCGCTTATGCCGTATCGCGCGCGCAAGCATGTGGGATGTGTCCATTGCGCTCTGCGACACGTATCAGCCGGACGTCGGCGGACATGCTGCGCACGTGCTTGTACACATGCGTGGGCCCCATCAGTTGACCTGTAGGTCGCAATGAGCCACTTCGCACAAGCCTTTGGCAATCGAGACGCACGCCATTTAGTGATAGCAGAGGGTGCAGCGAGTGCAAGCGCCATCATAGGTGCCTGCGTAGCCGATGCAACCAGTCGAGGGAAATAGAACTTGCCTGCGAGTCTCGCTGAGTGAAGACTATGCAGATGAGACAAACTCGAACTGACCATCGTGCTCGGCGTAGAAAGCTTGTGCCTCTTCGATCGTCCAATGATGACGCTGCGTTCGGGCAATGTCGAAGCCTGCAGATTTGATTTCTCGTAGGACGGCAGTCACTTGGGATTGCTGAGCGAGCAAGGTAGGCTTGATGAGCGCCAAGGTGAGCTCATATGCCATTCGTGGCTTGGCGTTGCAACGTCAAAACGTTCAGTCTGACGTTCAGCGTACGCGACGGCGCGACGACACTTCAGCTTCAGTCCGTCCAGATTGCCCTTTGATCTCGTCGCAGCGCTTCTCCTTTTATTGAACTCCTTGGACGTCATGTCATTCACAAGTATCTCAGAGAGCCTGCTGAGCCTGCTCGTCGCTCAAAGTTTGTTTGCTTGCAAAGCCAGACGATGACGATTCCTCAGATGAAGATTCCATGGCACACAGCGCGTTGCCGGGTGACTCTGCAGGCACTGCCCGCCCGCGGGGAGTTGCACGACCTACCGGAGAGATGCCCGTGACTCAAGTCACAGATCAAATACGACAGCCAAAGAATCACCGTCTAACAGCTCGAGTCGACTAAGATGCCTTTCATCATGACTGCGTGGATATATAATGAACGTCTAGGCAATGCAATTGACATCCATGGGTAGCCTTGGCGCGCGCAGGCATGGACTGCAAGCAAAAGGAAAGATGCATTACGAGAGTTGAAGTCTGCAAGGCGGGCTCGAGTTGAGGGTGAGAGGCTTGCGGGCACTGCAGGCTCGCGTATCAGCTCGATACAGGACTGAGATGGAGGAAAGACGTATGGAGCGGGACCGGGCGGCAGACGATACGCCAAAGCGAACGCCTGGCCGCCCGAGCTCTCCCCCCTAGAAGGCCGGCAGAATCAGATCATCGCCAGCAAGAGTGCCGCTCGTCAAGCTCTAGTGGAGATGCACATGATAGCAGGCGTAGGGTCTGACGGTCTTCGACGGATCCAGAACAGCCAAAGCCATGCAAGCACTTCCTGAGAGGAGCGACAAGCCAGCGTAGCCGCATGACCAGCGCACGACACCCGAACGGGCACAGAAGGCGAGGAGAAGCCAGATTCGCCGAGAGTCCGTCAGCACGTCAGCCGCCAAGGCTGTCCGAAGCTTGACGAGGCGTCAGCTCCGCTGCGTCGCAAAGAGCCCCTAGCAAGTCGATCTAGAGAGAAGTGTGGAAAGTCGAAGGCGAGCGAGATCTTGCCATCCTCTGTAAAGGCCACTATCAATACGCGACGCGTCTCCACAGCAGCCCCATCAGAACGGTCGATCTGGCTCTCGCGCGTCTGTCGGCAAATTTGAGATCCTCAAAGCTGTGCGTCGTCTTCCGTGTGCTTCCTCACAAGAGTCGTCGCTACCGTACTTCTGTCCGCAATGAGTGCTGCCCTTGCCAGAAGTACAAAGAATGCGACTTTCGATCTCATGTCCGCTCAGCTGCGACTGACTCGTCCGTCACTCGATGAAATCCGATCAGACGAGACTTCAGCGACACACAAGCGGGTCACTCCTGCTATTCGAAGCCTTTCGGACATTATCGAAGCTCCTCAGGCTGTTGATGAGCTCCATCTTCGAGAGATCAGACATTTTCTTGCCGTGGCAAATTTGCCCACCGACGGTGTTGCTGGCTGGCGACTCCGTCGACGACTTGGGGAATATGTCAAGGCTCATAGACAGCGTCGGGCAGCATTAGCGCAATTCGACGAGGTGGACCAGCGCTACGACGATCGATTCGCCAGGGTGGAGCTTCACCTTCCTGACCTCTTCAATGATCTTGCAGTTCGAGAAACGAGCGTGCTACAAGCCTTTGCTGCGGCTCACGAGGCTTATACCGTTGCGATCGACGTTCACAGCGCGACGCTCGGAGATGATGCTCCACTCATCCAAGGAAGGATCGGCAAAAGCAATGTGTCTGGACACGCCGAGCTCGCCAAAGATTCGATTTCGCTCGCAGCGCGCGGCTTTGACTCGAAGGCCACAGACACTCTGACCATCTGGCACGTCGAAGAGGTCGATGCAATGACAATGGGGGCGCTCAGATCAGAGCTTGCAGCTCGCAAGCTGAGCGACAAAGGCGCCAAGGCAGTATTGATCTCTCGACTGTTTGAGAGCATCGCGCAAGACGTTCCAGCACAGAACAAAAGCCACTAGAGCGCGAACTTCCAATGGAAATCAAACGAATCATTGCGGATCAAGTGTCATACGACGATCGACTGCTTGATCTGCTTTCCCTTGAGCAGGTCTCGAGATCGTGGCGCCAGGCAATCTATGGCGATACACTTGGATGGAAAGCTCGGGCAGATCGCTGGGGCTACAATCCAAAATACCGCAGAACGGCAGCCAAAGAGGGTTTGACCAAGCAGACCTGGCGAAGCACCGCTCTCGATGTCTACCGCCGGCGCTGCCAAGCATGCCACACGACGGGCAATTACGACGGGGTACACTTTCCTTTCGAGCTTCGAAAGGATGCAGAACCGATCGGTATGACAGTATGTTCCTTTGACGAATATGTGGTCGCTCTCTGATTTTCTATTACAGGTTTGCCCTAGGCATGTGTCGACCAGGAATGCGTCTTGGAGCAAGTATCATCTGGTGCATGCTGCATGGCCTTACAAGCATATGGCCAACCTCAGACATGTGAACGACTTCAAGCGCTATCCTACTGGCCGTCGAATGTACTATGACAGCGACGCAAGATTCAACAGAATGTACGCTAAGACACAAGTCGAAGCTCTGCAGGCGGCCTTTGAGACCCGGCAGCGTAGCCGTATACTCGCAATCATGCCCGATGCTCAGAGAGTTTTTGACATTACCGACCGGCTTCGCCAAAGTCCCGCGATCGATGGCGATCTACAACAGAGGTATCGTGACATCCTCAGTTCGGATACCGTCAGCCGGTTGGAAGCCGAGAGCCTGCTGGCTACGGCTACGATCCGACCAAGGCAGCAGACAGTATTGCAATCAGCGGACGCCACGGTAATCACAAGACAGCTCACACAAGAAGCTTGGACCGCAACGAGTCGTTCGCCAGCTGCAGAACGCTTCAAGGAACTGTATGCTTGTTGCTTGCACGCGCTAGACAAGCAAGCACGCTATGAGGCTCTGCAGCGCTATCACACCGTCAGGTATGGTGACGAGGGTCGCAGGTCGTTCAACGCCGTCTGGGACCGCGATCATGCTACGTATCAAGGCCACAAGTTGGACAGCAGGGACATAACCTATCGTACCGACCTTCTATCTGAGCAACATAGCATGTTACGCGATTACTGCGTCGAGCAACAAGGTGGCACCGTCGAAATGCTGGCTAATGAAACTCCAGAGCGCCAGAGCTGGTCCGACCTTCGCCCAAGCGAGATCGCGCTCATCTACAAACACTACTATGTCTTAAAATGAAGGCCAGAGATGCATCATTTGGACTTGGCGTTCAGATTGGAAGCCACAATGCCAGAGTTCGAATCGCGAACCTCGAGCGTTATTGTGTTGCAGACCGTGTACTCTGGCCTGTTACATCAGCGCATGATGGTCAAAATGACGTGAGTCACACCGTCTGGCACGCCCATGCGCTCCATATTACAGCGACTCGCAGGTCTCGCATCTGTGCCATTACCACATGATAGACCGAGTTCCCACTCTAGCAGCTTGAGACTCGCATCTGCCGCTCCTGCCTCGAGCGCAAATTTGATGACCGTGCTGCAGCAGAATGTGTCTATGCAGATGCATCAGTTGGTCGTTATCCCGGCTGGCGGGATGACCTACATTGAGCGCGAGCAGGGCGCTGCAAGGCTTCGAGAAGTAGATCGATACTGGCATGAGGTCTCTTGACATGCACATTACCTGACATCGAGAAGGGCATGTCGACCGGATTACTGAATTCTGCTCTGACATCGTCTCCTCCGTACCAAGAGGTGATAGCCTGAATGCTCGGCTCGTGGACGACTGACTCCAACGAGACAAACTCAGTCTCGCCGTTCTGCAGGTGGACGTCGCAGTAGCCCTGATCTGCTGCTCAGACTCGAAGATGGAGCCAGTAGCTACTCTGAGCTCACCCCGTAGTTCACTGTGTGGCGATCAGCTTTCCCTTCACATTCTGTTGCGCTACAGACGGACCGGAAAGTTGATAATCCTTTGTATGTGGCTCGCCTCGAATGGACGACGATAGTAGCGCGGCACATAGAAGAGCAAGCAGGTAGGCTTTCATTTGTTGTTGATGTGTTGCTGAGCTCAGAGAAGGAGACAAGCCACAGGAGATGTCCGTTGCCGTGTTGCGCGAGAGGCTCCTCTACGCGCACGTTTGCACATTCGATGCATTTTGCAGTAATATGCGGTCGATTCGATGCATGATCTAACTGGACAGCACGACACACTTGAGAAAAGATCGGCTTCGCTCCGCGCGTAGTCTAGAGGCAAGGGTCTGTTGGATGGACGTAAGCAGATTTGTCAGCATTTTATGAGGTATGTATACTTACGGACAAGTCACTATTGCAGTACGAGGAAAGCCATGCGCTTGCTGATGGGGAAGCGCTACAGCCTCCCAGTTCTCTTCCACGAACTTCTGACATATAGCACAGCGCTGGCGATACCAGTGTAATGCAATATAGCGCCAGGTCACTGTGAACATAGGAGTACGAGTCCCACTTGGCACGATTTGACGATCTAGCCGTTGATGGCCCCACCTGACAGCGAGCGCTTTCCACATCAAATTCCCAGGATACAGGGCCTGTCGCTAGCTGCGGGAACAGCGAGCTAGGTTAAGCAAGTCCATGATGCGATTTGAATTATGAATCCTGGAGAAGGCAGCTCGCCACCATTCGCTTGAGCTCCATTGGCATCCGGTCACGATGCTCATTGCTTTGTAGAGGCGAGGTTCGACGGGCGGCGTCATCAGCAACGAACGAGAGCAGGCGCGAGAAGAGGGCTTTCTTGGATCCGAAAGTAGACTGCCCCCGCTCGAGAAGGGCCAGCTTGAGGTCATACGGCTTCATGGCATCTGCTTCATCGACTGCCCAAATCGTGAGGCTATCGATCTTGACGCGACCAGTGCCTCGGGCAGCGCAAGTATGTGTGTCTTCTACAATCTCGTCGAGCGATAAATCGATAGTTGTAAAGGTCTCCAAGTTAATCGTCGGCATTGTCTCGGCCTGCTTGGACTTGGCTTCGAGAGCCTCGATGAGCCCGTCGCGGTTAGGCAACGCGTCGTACAGAGCGACACACTCTCTCTTTCCCCAAGCTTCCGCTCATAGCATCTAATGCGAGAACGTGCACAGAGAGCGTATGAGCCTGTAGGCTCGCGAAGCGATCAAACGCAGCGAAGTCGTCTTATAAGCCTATGAAACGTTCACGAGGCTCGCCGCTGTTCTGGAGCACGTGAAGGTCGAAGAGAGCAAGCAACCGCTTAGCGTGGCGTCTTGGTATTCGCTGTAGGCGGACTGAGTCCATCTCAACTAGAGCCTGCAGCTCTGTTGTGGCCTCAGGCAAAGTGGGAGTTTCAACCACGCCATCGGCTGACTGTCCGGCTGTTGATGTACATCGACATCGTGTGATGATTCAGCATCGCTTGCTTCGCCCTCGTCAGGGCTGCGTCTCACCCTTTCATCTTCCGTTTTGACGCTCAAAAGCCCGTCGACGGCGGAATACGATCTGCTCGAACAAGCTCTGTTGTGGTGCCGAGCTCGAATAAAAGCTGAAGCAGTCTAGCGTGATCGAGAGCTTCGAAATTGGTCGGCATGAGATGTGAGGGGCAAGCACGAGAAGCAGCAAACGCGAATTTGCGCATTGCCGATCGTCACACGCTGAAGCGAAGCAGATCGAGAGAGACATGATGCATTCGTATACATGTGACAAGCCCATTCAATTGCAGACCTTCTAAAGCGTAAAGGAGCAGTTTCTTCATTCTTCGTTGCGCATCAACCGTCTAAGCAGCAATCGCCTGTTGCTGCTGGCTAAGATGGTTGATACGATATTGTCGACCGGGTATCGATCCTGCAATAGGCAGGCCTGAATTACCCATTAGGTAGTTGTCGACCTCTGCAGCTGCCTGTCGACCTTCCATGATCGCCCAGACGATCAGAGACTGCAATCACGAGTCAGCAAGAATGATGATACGGATGAGCTGTGGACGTACTTGGCCGCGACGGCAGTCACCTGACGCAAACACGCCGGGTACGTTGGTGCTGTACTTTCCGTGTGGTGTCTTTACATTGCCTCGTCCGTCGACCTCGAGACCGAGGGCCTTGGGTATAGATGTTTCTGGCGAGACGAAGCCGAGAGCGAGCAAGCAGAGCTCGCAAGGGAAGAACTGCTCGCTGCCAGGCTTCTCGGACATCTTCCAGTTGCCAGAAGCATCCTTTGTCCATTCAACACTGTCATGCACAGCATCAGCACAGAATCACGGGGAAGACATGAGTAACATACCGAACAGTGTTGATGCCCTTGAGCTTGCCATTGCCGTCCGAGACGAACGACTTTGTCATGATGGAGTATTCTCGAGGGTCTTTGCCAAAGTGCGAAGCAACTTCAGTGTGACCGTAGTCAACCTTGAAGACACGAGGGAATGTCGGCCAAGGGTTATCGTTGGCGCGCGAAGCGGGTGGCTGAGGCAGCAGCTCAAAGTTGGTCACCGAGAGCGCGCCATGACGAACAGAGGTGGCAAGACAGTCATTGCCTGTATCACCACCACCAATGACGACGACGTTCTTGCCCTTTGCCGAAATTGCACGGCCATCGTCAAGGTTCGAATCAAGCAGTGATTTGGTGTTCTTTGTCAAGAAGTCCATTGCAAAGTGGATGCCGTCCAAGTTGCGGTTGGCGATGGCGAGATCGCGGGGCCAAGTCGAGCCGATCGCACTGACGACCGCGTCAGAGTTTCGACGGATGTCCTCAATGTCTGTGTTGACACCAATGTGCGCATTGGCGATGAACTCAATGCCTTCATCCTCCATGAGTGTGATACGACGCTGGACGATCTGCTTCGACAGCTTCATGTTGGGGATACCGTAGACAAGCAGACCACCATGGCGGTCATTGCGATCGTATACAGTGACTGAGTAGCCAGCGCGGTTGAGCTGATCGGCACAAGCAAGACCCGCAGGTCCCGAGCCGATGATTGAGACCTTCTTGCCTACACGGTGCTGAGGCGGGCGAGGGACAACCCAGCCCATCTCAAAGCCGTGATCGATGATTGCGCACTCGATCGACTTAATGCCGACAGGCGCCTCGTTGATACCCAACACGCAAGCGCCTTCGCAGGGCGCAGGGCAGACACGACCAGTGAACTCCGGGAAGTTGTTGGTCGCGAGTAACTTGTCGAGCGCTTCGCGCCATTGGTCGCGGAAGACAAGCTCGTTCCAGAGTGGAATGAGATTGCTGATCGGACAGCCGTAGTCGGACTGACAGAAGGGCACGCCACAGTTCATGCACCGAGCACTCTGTAGCTTGAGGCCATCCTTTGTCAGGCGTGTCGACAACTCTGACCAATCTTGCGTGCGCGATCGCGGCGAGCGATAAGCCTCGTTCTGACGCTTATACTTCATGAAGCCACGAAGCTTATCGAGCTTGGCGACTTGCTTGCCAGCCTTTTCGCCATCGGTCATCGAGTCTTCGAGATCGACGAGCGTTGGCTCGGGGTGACCTGGCTTAGCAGCTGGGATCTCCTGCTGGCCAGTAACATTGCGCTTAGCTTTGTCCTCTGCCGGGTTGACGCCGTCGGTCTTGGCGTCAAAGCCGTGCATCTTGGCACGCTTCTCGGCCATCGCCTTTGCTGCGTCTGCTTCGAGTACCGCCTTGTAGTCGAGAGGCATGACACGCACGAAGCGAGGCAGTATATGGTTGAAGTTGGTAAGAATGCGCTCGGCCAACTTCGAACCCGTCCAGTGCTTGTGATCTTGGATCATGTCGCGCAAGGACGCAATCTCGTGAGGATCGTTGACCGTCGTGAGCTCGACCATCTCCATGTTGACCTTGGCACGGAAATCCTTGTTCTTGTCGTAGACGTAGGCAATGCCTCCGCTCATGCCGGCAGCAAAGTTGCGGCCAGTCTGACCCAGAATGACGACACGTCCGCCCGTCATGTACTCGCAACCGTGGTCTCCGACGCCTTCGACGACGGCGACAGCGCCTGAATTGCGTACGGCAAATCGCTCGGCAGCGACACCTCGGAAGAACGCTTGACCGGTCGTAGCGCCGTACAGACAAACGTTGCCGACGATGATGTTCTCCTCCGCCTTGAAAGGCGAGGCTTTTGGAGGGTATACGATGATGCGACCGCCCGACAGTCCTTTGCCTACATAGTCATTGGCATCGCCTTCAAGCTCGAGCGTGATGCCTGGTGCGAGGAAGGCACCGAGAGATTGACCAGCCGAACCTCGCATATTGACATGGATGGTGTCCTTTGGCAGTCCCTCTTCGCCGTATCGCTTGGAAACACGATTCGACAATGTCGTGCCAAGCGCGCGGTCGGTGTTGACGACGTCACACTCGATGCGAACGGGCAAGCCCTTGGTGAGTGCAGGCTCTGACTCGTCAATGAATTTGTTGTCGAGACGAACGTAGAGCTTGTGATCCTGCTGGCGTGTCTTGTAGGTAGCGACCCCCGGACGTAGTCGCCATGCAGGCTTCAAGATAGCCGACAAGTCGAGGTTCTTGGTCTTGGGGTTGCGGAGCGTATCATCGACGCGCAACTTGTCGGAGCGACCGACCATCTCGTTGATCGTGCGGAAGCCGAGCTTGGCCATGATCTCTCTGAGCTCCTCGGCGACGAAGTAGAAAAAGTTGATGACATGCTCTGGCTGACCAGTGAACTTGGCGCGCAGAACCGGATCTTGCGTGGCAATACCGACTGGGCACGTGTTAAGATGGCATTTGCGCATCATGATGCAACCCATGGCAATAAGCGGCGTCCTATAAAGTATGATCAGCTGCGAAGAGAAGATGACAGCAGAGCACCTACGTGGCGAAACCCCACTCCTCTGCGCCGAGCAGGCAAGCAATAGCGACATCGCGGCCAGTACGGATCTGGCCATCGGTCTGTACGGTCACACGGCCTCGTAGATCGTTGAGAACAAGCGTTTGATGCGTCTCTGCAAGACCGAGCTCCCATGGCAGGCCTGCATACTTGATGCCCGTCCAGCGCGATGCGCCCGTACCGCCGTCGTGACCAGAGATCAAGATGTGATCTGCCTTTGCCTTTGCAACACCGGAAGCAACAATGCCGACACCGACTTCCGAGACAAGCTTGACAGATACACGAGCGCGAGGGTTGGCGCACTTGAGATCGTAGATCAGCTGCTTCAGGTCTTCGATACTGTAGATATCGTGATGACTGCAGGGACGGATTAGCTGTGCATCTCAAAGAAAGTACAGTGAAACGTACGGAGGAGGTGAAATGAGACCAACGCCTGGTGTGGAGTGGCGAGTCTTCGCGATCGACTGCGAGACCTTGTGACCTGGCAGCTCACCGCCTTCACCTGGCTTGGCGCCCTGAGCCATCTTGATTTGCAGCTCATCGGCATCGGTCAAGTAGTGACTCGTGACACCGAAGCGACCAGAAGCCACTTGCTTGATGGCGCTGCGCATTGTATCGCCATTGGGCAACACTTGCGATCGCTCTGCATCTTCACCGCCTTCACCCGTGTTGCTCTTGGCGCCGACGCGATTGGCTGCGACAGCGATGGCAGAGTGGGCTTCCATTGAGATCGAGCCGTATGACATGGCACCCGTGGCAAAGCGACGGACAATCTCGTGCCATGGCTCGACTTGCTCGATGGGAATGGCTTCGGCATCGGTGTAGTCAAAGTCGAGCAGGCCACGGAGCGTGACTGCCTTGACTTGCTGATGCGCGTTCTTTGAATACTTCTCGTAAGACATCTTGTTCTTGTCGCGAACAGCGTCTTGAAGCATAGCAATACCGACGGGATCGTTGATATGAGCCTCGCCACCGTCTCGCCAGTGGTATTCGCCGGATTCTGGCAGGCCAGCGATGCGCACGATATCGCGAGAAGGCCAAGCGCGTTCGTGATACTCGAAAGCATCCATGGCGAGCAGCTCAAAGGTTGCGCCTTGCACGCGGCTCGCGGTGCCAGTGAAGCACTTCTCGACGACTTTTTCGTCAAGACCGAGGATCTCGAAGATCTGAGCGCCCTTGTAGGACTGCAGCGTCGAAATACCCATCTTTGACATGACCTTGAGGATACCATTGTCCGTCGCGTGGCGATAATTCTCGATGATCTGATCATTCGACATATTGACTTTGAGCAAGCCCTCGCGCTGTAGCTTTAGCATTGCCTCCATGATGAGGTATGGGCACACGCCGTCTGCGCCATAACCAACGAGAACGCAAATGTGATGCACCTCGCGGGCTTCGCCGGTCTCGATGATGAGAGCGATCTTCGATCGCTGCTTGTTGCGCACGAGATGATGGTGAACGCCACCGCATGCCATGAGCGCCGACAAGGCGACACGATCAGGTCCAATATTGCGATCAGACAGGACCAAAACGCGCACACCATCATGAATAGCCTGACTGGCTTCAGCATTGACGCGGTTGAGCGCGCCTTGGAAGCCAGCGGGTCCCTGCGACTTGGGAAAGGTGATATCGACGGTGCGAGCGGGCCAGTCTGAATGGACTTCGTGCAGCCTCTTCAGCGCATTCGTCTCTTCGACAGAAAGCACAGGCGAAGGCAGCATGAGCCGATGGCATTGCTCTGCGCGCATCTCGAGCATATTGCCCTCTGCACCCACGTAGCATTCGAGCGACATGACGATATTCTCGCGAATGGGGTCGATAGGCGGGTTCGTAACTTGCGCAAAGAGCTGACGGAAGTAATCGTAGATCAATCGCGGCGCAGTGGCCATGCACGCAAGAGGACCATCGTTGCCCATCGAGCCGAGTGACTCCTTTCCGTCTACGATCATGGGACGCATGAGCAGATCGAGCTGCTCAAAGGTATAGCCGAAAGCGAGTAGCTTAGGGTCTTGCGAGATCGACAGCTCGTCGAGGACAATGCCAAGGCTAGCACCGTTTGCGCGCTCACGCTCGATGAGGTGAGGCAAGCGAATGAGCTGAGAGTGAACCCATTCGGCAAATGGCTTGCGAGAGCTAGTAGCCTGCTTAAGCTCCTTGTCGTCGACAATGCGGCCCTCGACGGTATCGACAAGGAGCATCTTGCCAGGCTGAAGACGACCCTTGCGAGTGATCTTTTCTGGCTCAATATAAATCGTGCCTACTTCGGAAGCACAGATCATGATGTCATCTGTCGTGGTGACCCATCGGCACGGACGGAGACCATTACGATCGAGATTGGCGCCACAGTATCTTCCATCAGCAAAGGCAAACAGAGCGGGGCCATCCCAAGGCTCCATCAGGCACGCTGCCCATTGGTAGAAAGCGACCTTGGCAGGGTCCATCGATGACTTGTTCTGCCATGCCTCAGGCACGAGCATCATGACTGCTTCTGGCAACGTGACGACACCGTTGACAGTGAGGAGCTCGAGCACATTGTCGAATGCAGCTGAATCTGAGCCTCCGAGCTCTATGATGGGGTATAACAGGTCGAGCTCGTCTGCGAAGTTTACAGACTGCAAGTTGCCTTCTCTGGCGCGCATCCAGTTCTTGTTGCCTCGAACAGTGTTGATCTCGCCATTATGTGCTGCCCATCGCATAGGCTGAGCACGATCCCACGAGGGGAACGTGTTGGTCGAGAAACGCGAATGGACGAGGCAGAAGTGAGACTTGAACAGGACGTGATTGAGATCGTGGTAGTAGTTGTAAACCTATTGGAGAGATCAGCACTGTCTCCGCTGAGACCGAGGGAGTGAGCATACCTGAGGCGGGCTGAGCTGGCCCTTATAGACGATGTTCGTGTTTGAAAGTGAGCAAACGTAGAACCAGTTGGCGAGGGTAATGGTATGCGTCGCGTGCTTTCGCAAGACGTAGAGCTGTCTCGAAAAGTACTTGGCATCGAAAGATGCACCCTCTTCTGGCTTATTGCCGTGGCCATAGCTCGTCGTGAGAACGACCATTGGCTGCAAAATCAACGGCTCTCGGCTGAGCGCTGCGGGACCGAGGATCGAGTTGTCCCGAGGAACCTCCCGCCAGCCCAGTATGCGCAGATTGAGCGATTCTGCGATGGACTCGAACGTTGCCTTGTGTTCTGCAAGCGTATCGGCAGATCGAGGCTTGAAGAAAACATTACCGACAGCGTATCGGCCGATCTCTGGCAGAGTGACGTCAAAATCGCGCTCAAACTCTCTGCGAAAGAATGCATCGGGGATGCCGACCATGACACTGGAGTGGCAAGTCAGTAAAGTCTGGCATATCGCGCCACAAGTCGGGAGAACTGACCCTGCGCCATCGCCATCGCGTGCATCTGCGCCGACCGCACCACGATGGGTCATGTTGCAAAGCAACGATCGAGCATCAGAGACGATCTTGTGGGATGGCTCCCTGCGAGTATGGCACAATCAGCTGTGGTCGAGTCAGGCACGAAAGAGATGCATACCCTTTGATGTGGCACACGAAGCCGACACCACACGAATCCTTCTCATTCTCGGGGTTGTAGAGACCTTGCTCTGCAGGGAGAGCGCCTCCCCACGAGGTCTCGTCCCTAAGGACACCTTCGGCTAGCCCAGATGGGCCTGCCACTGCGCTCGGTTGAGCCGGGAGGACCATCGGAGACGAAGCTGACGTCGTCAAGGCAGCAGACAGCTGGTGTTACTACTGTAAAAGCTTTCGAATGGCAACAAAAGGTTTTCTCGATCGAGAGGCAAGCGAGCAAGAGTCGAGGCAAAGTCTAGCAAGCCCCGATCGTCAGGTGACGCTTGATAGGTGCCGCTCGCGCTGATGATCGAGTCACTGAGACACTCGTGAACGTGCTGAGCCAGTTAGGCAGACGATCGATCCTTTGCCTTCTCTCCTCTGACTCCTGGGTTTTCGGCTCTGGGACGAGATAGAAATTTTGCTGAGCCTATCGCCTTTGCCGATTTCCGGCTGGCCCCGCGGCCTGCAGATCCCCATGTGGGGGGATGTCGCGACCCTTGTCATTTGTCATTTGGGCGCATACTACAGAGGCAGGTCAATATGAGCTTCGTCAGGCTGCTCATCTTGTCGATGAGCATGCTCATCGGCACGCTCGGGATAGGCTCCATACCGCTAGCCTTTCAGCTCTCGCCGCGCCGGCTAAGAGCTCTGTCAATCTTTGGTGTTGGCTTGCTCGTCGGGGCAGCGCTGACGGTGATCATACCCGAAGGCATAGAAGCGCTCGCCAACGGTACAGAGTCTATGCATGATCACAGCGATATAGTACACGGAGATCACGAGCACGGGGCTATGGACCAAGGGAGATATATCGGGATATCCATGCTTGCCGGATTCATGGTCATGTCAGTCTGGCATGTTTACTGGAGCGATGTGGCTCATGACATCCGCCAGGCTCTTCATCGAGCAACTGACCTCACACAGCCATCCAGTGCCCGTAGCACCTCACCGCAAGGCTGTCCAAGAACTGCCATTACATCGGACCACGTCACGATCAAACTTTCGCAAGTCGGCCGAATATGCCACGCTCAATTCGCCCACTCGGATCAACGTAGAAGATGCAAGTGACGAGGAGCAGCTGACAGAAGAAGCGAACACCTCACGCCATCCTTTGCTCGCGAACGGGCTCAAGGCGACCGCGCGGCCTGCACGGATACAGAACTTGGGCCATGCGAGAGATGGATCATTGAGTCACATACATGGCGATAACACTGCTCGATCGCTCAGTACGACCATCGGTCTGATCGTGCACTCGGTGGCAGATGGCATCTCGCTAGGCGCGAGCGCAAGTGCGACCGCGGCAGGCAAGCAAGCAGGCGAGCATGCCGAGACAAGCCTGGACATCATCATCTTCGTGGCCATCATGGTGCACAAAGCACCAGCAGCCTTTGGTCTCGTCTCTGTCTTGCTCAGCGACGGCTTGAGCAAGCCCAACATCAGAAGAGCCCTGTCGGGCTTTGCAGCTGCAGCGCCACTAGGCGCAATACTCACCTATACCCTTCTTGCGCTGTTGGCGACAGATTCGCAAGGTCTACAGTGGTGGACCGGCATTGCTCTGCTCTTCAGTGGAGGGACGTTTCTCTTTGTGGCGACGCATGTCATGCAAGATGCCGAGCAAGAGGGCGAAGGTGGCGTACAGGAAATCGAAAAGCTGGAACGGCTCGGCTACATGAGCGTAGGCATGCTCGCTCCCGTCATTCTCCAGTCAATCTTTGGTCACGGGCATTGAGCATGCTCACTCGACGGTTCAATGTTGGCGAAGTGAAAAGTTGCATTGTTGTCATCAGTCAACAGCATTTGTTGTACGCTCTTGTATTCTGTATGCTATGGCGTCAAACGAGACTTTACTGCTCGCTCCCTCGCACCATCAGAGAACACAGAGAACAGTCTGATCACAATGCAATGACGTCCCGATGGCTACTCGAGTTGCCGAGCAGCGATAGCGTTAAGAGCGTCCCCAGCACGCGATTCACAATGACCCGTCAAATCGGGCTTGTCGATGATTTTGGCAGGCCTATGTACTTCGTTCGGCACATTGCTTAACACGGCAGAGTGTTACCTGAGTTGAGGCTTCTGAGGCTCGCGACCTCCAAGACGGCGGACTGAACCGGGAAAGCTGGGCCCGTCTGCGAATGCCTGAATACCACAGGCGGGGGGCTTGAGCACCAAACTCTGCGCAACGGACTACATCCGACGAGCTGCATCGATTTTCGCTGTCATCGGCTGGACATCTGATCCGTGGGCTCGAAGTGATTGGGTAGACGGTCAGACGATCGTCAGACACGCCGAGCGCCAATCTGTGGACCTCGATTTGGCGACGGGCGAGCGAGACCGCACGATCCCGCCAGCGCTTCAGCGACTGTGGCCTGGGCCACGCACAGCTAGCATGTCCCTTCAGCTTGCATCAGCCTCATCACTTGAGGCATACGAGGCCGCTGGCACTCCAGAGCTACGCCAAGCATGGAATCAGTAGAAAGAGGCGCCATGCCTCCTCTGTCAGCTCGGCACAGAGCTACCATGTTGCCGAAGCTTAGCATATGCGATGGACACATCGTCGACGAGTCCGGCGAATACGTACACTTGCGAGGCGTGTCGTTCAGCGGTCATTCCAAACTGCCATCAAGACCAGACCTGCCAAGTCACTCACGCGACCTCGAGGCCGTGTTTGATCACAGGGTCTGCTCTGTCCGCACGTCAGCGAATGAAGCTGATAGCGTCAAGCGATAGAACGTCTCCTTCGTCGGCAGACCGTGTCCTCTCAGCGAAGCGCACGAGCATCTGGCACGTTTGCAGCATTGGGGCTTCAATCTCATCAGACTTGTCGTCACATGGGAGGCATTGGAACATCAGGGGCCGTAAGCTCACTCGCGAAGATGTGACGAACTCTTGCTGACGCTTGCGACGAAAGGGGTATATACGACCGAGAGTACATCGATTACCTCGTCGAGCTCGTCGCGCTCTTTCCTCGCTATGGCATCTACTGTCTCGTCGACGCCCATCAGGATGTCTGGTCTAGATTGACCGGCGGCTCCGGCGCACCGGGATGGACTCTCGAGCTATGCGGCTTCGATACCCGTCAGCTCACTGCTACCCTCGCGCACCACTTGCACAATTCTGCACACCTTGCGCCCGGGCAACCCCCCTCGAACGTCTGGCCTGCAGGTTATCAGCGCTTGGCGCCCGCGACTTGTGCGACGCTTTTCTGGGCTGGCGATCAGCTAGCGCCCAAGCTATTGGTCAATACGAGCGAGCATGCCAACGGCGAGCAGCTCTTTGCCGGTCGGAGTACCGTCGGCATTGGCACATTCCTGCAAGTATCGCTCATCGAGGCCTTCGCTCAATTGCTGCACCGTCTGAGCGCATGCTCGTCCGTCATCGGCTTTGAGGTACGATACCGAGGATAACACTTTCGTCGGAGACTGACTTGCCTGGCTTCAGCCCATGAATGAACCCCACCGAGGCTATATCTCACTCCACGATCCGTTCAGCTGGAACCACATGACTGATCTCGCATATCACCTCTTTCCCACGCCACTACAGACGTGGGCACTGGGCGAAGGTTATGCTCAGGATGTGCCCTTTTATGAGGCATCCTTTCCGGAGCCCACTGCATTATCTCACTATGCTCATGTCGATCCAAAGGGCAAGCGCGCGTGGTCGAGTGAGTGTATCTGGCGTCAGCACGGCGTCTGGGAATGGAACACGGGCACCCAACAGCCAGTATGTCTTCGCAAGGACTATTTTGAGCGGGACCCGCAAACGCACAAAGTCATCGAATGGTACAGTCAATGCTGGTGGCCTTTTCTGCGTCGCTTTTCAGTACGTATGCAAAAGATACAGTCTGGCTGGCTATGTTTTGCCGCCGGTATACCCAACGAATTCAGTCCCACTTGGCCACAGGCGGAACGGCCGAAGAACCTCGTCTACGCCCCACACTGGTACGATCTCCATTCGCTCTTCGGCAAGGCCCATGGCAATTTTACTGTCGACGTACAATCGCTATCGCGAGGTGGCAACGTCTTCACTTCAATCTTCTTCGGTGCAAGGGGAGCCAAAGCCAACTACGCCCGACAGATGAAGAGAATAGCAAACAATGCTGCCAGAGCGGTCAGGGGCGCTCCTGTGCTCATCGGCGAATGCGGCATACCCATGGACCAGAACAGTAAGCAAGCGTTCAAGACGGGCAATTGGCGTTCGCAAGTCCGGCAGCTCGACGCGCTCATGAGCGCTATGGAAGCCAGTGCGCTGCATTGTGTGCTCTGGAATTACAACCCGCTCAATACGAATGAACATGGCGATGCATGGAATGCCGAAGACTTTTCGATCTATTCGCTGTCTGAAGAACAACTGCGCACGCAGAGGGACGCTATTGACCAAGGCGCGCGCGCTCTGCTCGCCTTCAAAGTGAGCTCTGCCTTTCGTCTTGCTTGGTGGTGCTGACAGACATCTAGCGACCTGCTCTGGTCAGCAGCAATCGACAGCAAATCCGATCAGAGTACGACATTTACAGTCGCACGCTCGTTCTGCTCTTTGCAAGGTCCAACGATTCTACCCTGCACGCCAGCATATACTGTCCCCATCGGCTGTATCAGAACGGAAAGCTGTCAATCCGAGCCATCGATGTTCGAGGAACGCCGTTAGCATTCGAGGCGACTTATGACACTCAAGTGAGTAACGTCAGATCGTCCAGCTAGACTCAGCTGAACTGCACGCAGAAGCAACATCTGCATATCGCACTCTTTTGCAGCACGCAATGCGGTCTCGAGATCGAAGCGAATCAGCTTCAAGCTATCGAGAGGCCCAGCAATATCGATCTCGCGTTCGTACCCATCAAGCCGATTAGCGCATGCCTCGCTCTTCTCATCGCACTCGTAGGTATGTATGTCTATCGCAGATGATACGAGAAGCCTGCTGTTGTACAACACAATCTGCATGCGCAAACGAGATCACACGATCTTCTCTGCCAGCGCGACGATTCTCGCCCAGCCCTTGTGCTTGAGCTCGGCAGCTACAACGCCCGTGATTCTCGTCCCTAGCAACTCTTTGCGGTTGTTGATGAGCACGCCGGCATTGTCATCGAATCTGAGGACTGATCCATCGCTCCGCTTGGCTTCTTTGCGAGTCCTCACGATGACCGCTCGCCTGACATCACCTCGCCTGACCTTATTCGCAGCTTGCGTCGTCGTGAGCGCTGCTGGGATCGGCCTGGCTTTCTTGACCACGCAGACGACCTCGTCGCCTGCCATACGTGTCAGAGCAGAACGCTAGCAGATGGAGGCGACGAGCGTACCGACTCGTGCAAAGCCATGGTTTGACTTGTGCTTCAAAACGTTGACTGCATGCTCTGTCAGCCTGTCTTACGACGAGAGGCAGCGAGCTAGCGCACCGACTTCGCAGATGATTGCGCCACTGTTGTCAATCGCATTGAAGGTCGCTTTGAGACCGAGCATGGAGCCCTGATCGTCCCTTTGAGCCGGCTTGGATGTTGGACAATCGCGAAATTCGACTTGTCGCTCGACGTCGACTGGCACTGCAAGACTGCGAGACGATGGCGAGTCCTCAGCTACTGTTCTGTCGCAACTGGTTCGTGCTAGCCTCGTTTTCTGAGCTGCTGCACAGACTCATGCGGGCAACGGACGAACAGCAACAACCTCCTCTTTCCACGGGCAAGCTCGCCGTAGGCTCCTCAGATCGCCTGCTGAGCAAGAGCTCGTGCGTACAGGCAGATGCGCAACGGCAGGATCTCTTGTACCGGTGCAAGAACTGCCAGCACGAACAACAGTCACGCAATCCTTGCGTCTACCACCACGACCTGTCATTGCTAAGCAAGTCAGTCCAGCCTCGCTCCAGTGATCCAGGAGGTCTCTGATGCCCCGTCTGGTTCGCAGGCAGACCGCAGGACAGACAGAGGACCTTCAGAATGATCCCACTCTGGTGCGGTGCCCTGCACCTGACCTTGCAGAGCCTGCTGATGGATGCAAAACGACGACAGCCCAAGCAAACGATCAAATGCCCAAACCCGACGTGTCCTTCTGAAGAGTAAGGCGACCTGCATCTTAGGCGTAAATGTTCTCACAAGATGCACAGAGCCGTCTACTATCAAGATCAGAGCATAGGCAAGGACAGAGGTCTGACGCTCTTTTACGTCTGTATACGGTCAGTCGACAATCGCGCCTTGTGTAGTCCATGACGTTGATGCTCTAGCGTTCGTCTCAGCTGTCATGGGGTCTTCCGAGATCCACAGCTAGACATCAACAAGAAAGCAAAGGAGCGGCAAGCTCGTCGGGATCTTGGTCTTGCCTCGCCTGACGAGATGTCATGACCGGTGGCTGACGCGCACTCCTGGACGTGCGCCGGCTGAAGACGCACACTCCTGATCATCGCAACCACTCGGCTCTACTGCAAATCTGTACGGCACTGTTGTAGCACCAGAAGCCGCCTGTCGCGCATGGCCAGCTCTGGCGCGTGAGCCTGTGAGAGATTCGAAATTATTTTGACTTTTGCTGCAAGGTCGAACACACTTTGGCAGCTGATCTGCATGGCTCAGAGGAGCGCCTGCATCTGCGCCCAGGGCAGCAGATCGCTCAAGGCGAGCGGCAAGGCGAGAGAGCTGAGCACGACTGCTGGTCCGACGATCGATGCAGCCAGACGAGCTAATAGAGAGGACATCGAACCTCTCGGTCAGACGACCCGGTCACCCAACACGATAGGCCATGCGAGGACGAGGAATGCACTGAGGAAAGCTCAAGCGAGAGCGATGGATCATCTCAAGCACTTGTACACGCCCCGGACCTTGGAGCCAGTCGGCAGAAAGCTCGATCAAGACCAGCTCGCTCTCCTCTTTGCTCTCCAAGTTCCTCCCCCTACCAGTGCCCTGTCAGCTCTGGCGGCGAGAATCGGAGGATTGGAATTGAATGCGAGCAACGCTGCTCATCTGGCCTTGCTCGAGCAATGCTGCATCGATCCTAGCTTTTGGGCAAGAGTGGCTCAAGTCGAGCCCTTGCTGCCCCTTCGATCTCAGAGCACGAAAGCATACAGCAACTACTGCGATCCGTCCAGGAGTGACAATGCCGAGCTCGCAACGCTCGGCAATAGCCTGCTCGGGCTCTTCACGGCCGAGCATCTGTCCGTCATGCATCCTCACCTGCCAACGCTGTAAGCTAAGCGCGATCTCGCTCGTTGTTCGTGTATTCATGCAATGTGACAGCGCGACGAAAGCAGCTCTGACACTCATGGTCGGTCCACGAACATGCGCCGACATTGCTCTTTCTTGGGGCATCGCACCCGGCACTGCATCGTACGGTCTGCCCGCGCGTCAAGGTTACAAGGAGAACGGGGGCACGGGCAGCAGGGGATCCTCCCGTCGAGGAGTTGGCGAAGGTTCGCGTGCAGGCACGGGCTTGCTGCGCTGGATCCGGAGCGAGAGCGAAGAATCTGCCGTACTGTTTGAGGAGGCACTGGCCAATGCTGCCAAAGCTATCGTCGGCGCCGTCTTTCAGGAACACGTATGCGTACTCGTACTGCTCGACTGCTCCTGCTGATGGCATATGCAGGGCTTCGAACGCACAAGGGCATTTGTGCAATCGCACTTCTTCAGTCGCAAAGCCGATCTCGCTTCCCTGCTCAAGTTTCCGGACCCGCGACAAGCGCTCGTGGCAACCATGCGAAAGTACGGACGCGAAAGACCACTGACCAGGTAAGAATCCTTTCTGATCATCGCATGGCACAATGTTGAGGTTCTGCGGCAGAATACTGAAAGAGACTGGTCGGATGAGCATTTCGCCCGTCTTTGTCATTGGCGTCTACACGGGCGAACACAAGCTAGGCGAAGCATTCGGTAACTCGATCAAGATGGCCGAACATCGCGCATACGAAGATGCAATGAAACGAATATACCTCAGCAGGACCTTTGTGGGCGATGACGGTTTGACAGATCTGCACATGTCGCCCGCTCTGCCCACGGATACCCTGATCGACCCTTCGACGACTTACAAGCCTGCTTTGCTAGGCGACGAAGAAGTAACGTTTGCCTCTGCCGGTCGGACGAAGAGAACTGCTGCGGAAGTGGCGACATATCAAAAGCAACTCTTTGCAAATCAGACTAATCGCATCCCTCTGTGAGAACAATTGCAACCGCAGGCTGTTTTGCATCCTTTTGTACAACGCAATGCAAACGATGCAGCCCATGCGCACAGACGAATCTTTCGTGAATGGACTAGAGTTTGGCGGGACGCTCGTACTTATTGTAGAGCTCAGCAGCGGTGGGACCGAAGCGCTGGCGAGCGACGTTACTGTGAACAGAATATGAGCACTTTTTGCGCGAATCCGAACACATCACTAACCGCTTGAGCTTGCTCGTTGCCGTGAGCAGATCATTCTCGGCAGTGAAGGCTTCGGGCACAATGGCGAGCTGCTTAGCGATTTCGAATCCTCGTAGCTTCTGCTGCTTGGCGACTTCGTTGAGTGCCTTCAGTGTAGCGTCAACGATTCGAGTATCTTTCGATGCTGCCTCGATTGACATGTCGCAACCGGCGACGCGCTTGAGGAACTGAGGGAAGTTGACGGGATCGGGTACGAGGAAAGCGATGAGGTGGTCGCGCAAGCTGTCGCCGTGGATGTAGACTTGGAGTGTCAGTGGCGAAAGCGCGTAGATTCCCTCGACCTTCTCGGGTGAAACATACTCGCCTGAACGAGCATCAGTCATACCAAAATGCACAGGACGAAAAGTCGCACCTTGCGAGAGCTTCAGTATCGCCTTCTTTCGATCGATGATCTTGATGCGACCGTATTTGTCAATCTCTGCAACGTCGCCAGTATGCAGCCATCTGTCTTCGTCAACAGTCTCCTTTGATTTGATCTCGTCCTTGTAGTAATGTGTGATGATCTCGTCACCCCGAATGCAAAGCTCTCCTCTAGGTTGAGGCTTATCATCAGAGGTGTAGTTCATCTCTGGGATGTCGATGAGCTTATACTCTAGACAAGGCTGTATGACGCCGACTGCACGTATGTGATGAGCAAAGCATGACCGATTGGCAAGAGAGCTCACCGGAGCCATAGCCTGTTCGATCACCCACGATCATCTTGCTTGCTGATCCTGTATTTTCCGTCGCGCCAAAGCTATCCGATGGAAGTAAGTAGCAGTACGCTGGCGAACAAAGACAGACTCACCCTTCTGTGACTTCTGCAGAAAAGGCAACGCTGATGAATTTAAGCACATCTGGCGCGATGGGAGCGGAGCCTGTGCCAATCTGTCTCACCCGCCCGCCGAGTACTGCTCTGACCTTGCGCAGTACGAGTCGATCGTAGAGAGGGTGAGTGACCTCGCCTGTGGTATCGAAGTTGTGCAGCTTCGTATTGATGGCGCGGCGACAGAGCTTGCCCTTCAGACCGGGCGCATCGACCGTCGAGGCTTTGACGGCCAAGTAGATACGATTGAGCACGCGCGGAACAGACACGATCCATGTGGGCTGGCTGATCTGAAAGTCTTCGAGCAATCGCAGGATGTCGCCACATGCGTAGGCAATGGGGATTGCCAAGAAGAAGGCGATCTCCTCGACGAAGCGCTCGTAGATGTGAGATAGGGGTAGGTATGAAATGAAGAGCTCGTCAGCATTATCGGGATCCAGATCGCTGCCGTGTAGGTTAGAGATGACTGCAGTCGCAAGGTTGCGATGGCTCAACACGGCAGCTTTTGGCATACCAGTCGTGCCCGAGGTGTAGCAGAACGAGGCAATGTCGTCCGATTTGGGCGGTGTATGCGGGTGAGGGTGCGTTCGGCCGAGAGTCTCAAAAGCAGCCAGATCGTAGATCAGGACGCCTTTGCTCGCGCCCCATTGCTTAAGCACTTCGCTCTTCTTCAGCGCGCCAGCTCCCGGTCCGCCTTTTTTGAGATCTATAGCATCGAAGCTGCACGCGCATCAGCTTGAACGTCAATGCTGGCAGATGTAGCTTACTTGTCAAGCGAGACAATAACCTTCATGCATGGGCATTGGTCAGCCATCTTGAGCAAGGCAGGAATGTGGGCAGGATCGGCAAAGACGACGGCGGCTTCCGAGTGCGTGATACAGTAGGAGACTACAGTCGGGCCGAGCGTGTCATAAAGTGAAGTATATCGCATTCCGTACGCAGCCGTGGCGAGAGAGGCGAGCTGCCATTCGGGTCGATTGACAGCCCAAACGGCGCAAGTGAAGCCGTCTAACTGCCCGGCAGGCAACCCAAGCTTTCCCTCGATGGCCAGCTGACGAAGAGCAGATCCGATGTCGGTTCTGCGTCGATCCACCTGACCAAAGTTCTGCCACTCGAGAAAGTTCTCAAAGTCGTTTGTCGTGTAGTTCCACGGTCGATGACCCAGGCATTTGCGCTCCGGCCCACGCGCAAGACCTCGATTGAAGACTTCGTAAGACGTCTTTGGAAAGCTGGGATGCGAGTCGACTGTCACGAGATTTGGCCAAATTGCGTTCCGATAATGGGCTGAAGCGAAGCATAAGCTTAGCTATGAGTGATCAGTATGGGCTTACCTGTTTGCCCGGGCTGCTTGGTCCCAGGTACCTCCTGTAAGCGGTACAGCGCATCAGCAAAGCACATTGGGGCAAGTAGCTCGGCATACGATAGACTGCTGGTTGAAGTGGCTCTTTGGCAGCGCCGGAAGCGGTATTGGCAAAGTGCCATCGTAGCGTTGATACTCGCTAGCTATGGCTGCCATCTCGAGCTGGTCCGTAGATGAGAAAAGGCTCCGGCTCTGCGTTGCCGGAAATTATGCGGAGAAGAGGCCGTCAATTGATTTTTACAACCGATCACTTGATCGAATCCGTCCCAGATTCCTGCCTTACGCTCATGCATGCTCAGCAGCATCTGGACACCCCATTGTATCACATTGTGGCGCGCATTCCACGTGATGCATGATTGTAAGCCACAAAAGATTCGCTAACGTCGACGGTGTTTGGCATGAAACATCACCTGTGCTGTACCAGAAGCAGACGATATTTCTCACACGTCGGGCTGGACAAGGGCAAGCCTGTGACGTCGTCGCCGTATCTGGATGGAGAGACAAACGTTTCGATGGTGTGTTTGCTGAGCTCTACAGCCAGTTCGCGCTGATCCCTGTAAAGTGGCTTGAAGGTAGCGGGGAGGACTACCCGGCCCAGGAGTGGCAAATGGCCGGCTTCGAGGGCCTGAATGATGGCCAAAGTACAGTCTGAGGCTCTATCGTTGTAGTCTACTGCTAAAGCGACGAGCCTGAGCGCAGTCAGCCAGTCGATCCAAGGTGCCAGCGCCGTTTTCATAAATACGCAGACAATGTAATAAAGGCAAGATGATCTCGGCTGTTTATTTTGCTGAGGTGACAGCGGCAATGCGAAGCATCTCGAGGGCGTCCTTGTGAATCTGTAGCATAGATGCTAGATCGTTTTGCAGTATGGCGTACTGTAGATTGAGCGTTCTCAAAATGCCTTGACACGGTTCTCGCCATATAGTCGTCATCAAGTCGAATCGAAGCATACTTGTGACCGAATACGGGCACAGCGTAGACTCCGATAGCGAGGTCAATTGAGCAATGACGATTGTGAGAGATTCGACATGCCAGTCAGCAAATTGCTTGTCCTCACCGTCAAATTCGTTGACGTATAGCTCCTTGAGTCCTGCACAGGCTGAGACGATCTCGGCAGCGTTTGTTATTTAGCTGAAGCTCTAGTCATCAGTCTCAGGATAATGAGGCTCGTAGGCGCTATAGCCCGAGATACGCAAGGATATGATGCGGGCTCTGAGCCATGCACAGTGATCATCGTTCCCATTGATCTTGGCGATTCATTTGGAATGACATGTTGTCCAGCGTGAGACCGTTGAGGCCTTCGAAGATGGTCAAGCTCGGAAATGCAGCTGGCACACGGAAAGTCTTGGCCTCCGCCTCCTGCATTCCGTACCCTCCCTCAACATCCATCGTCTCGGCGTCTTCGCAAAGCTGCGCGATGGTCCCTATCACATGTGCTGGACATGATCCATGGCAAAAGCTCCCCCTTTGTCTCTGGCGATGTTGAGAAGCTCGAGCCAACGCTCTCCTGACTATGCGGCTAGCCCTTGCCAATGAAACGTCGTGTCGGCATCTGGATCATACCTTGAAGAGCAGATCTCGGCTGACTTCGCGTGCTCGCCTCGAGGCTTGATTGAACGCGATGTGGCCCCGACGACCGAGATGCACGATGACTGTGAGGAGAAGCTCCGTAGGCATGCGATCAAGCAGCGCTGCTGACATGTTCGCAGACTATCTAACAAGACTATTCTTCGCTTGAGCTGCAAGAGGTGTAGAGTAGAGGAAAGACGTGGACGTTGACGTTGCGCAAGGAAGGCGAAGAAAAGCGCGATCAATTGGATTTTTGCCAGAGGCAGCTCGACGCAGCTGAACCGACTCAGGAGGCACCGCTCTGCCAGATCTGAGCCCATCGCCCGCTCGATCGCACTGCAGACAGGATGTCACCCATGCCAGCTGCTAGCGGGGCAAGCAAGAAGGACAGCGGCTTGGCGCGCACACTGGGCTCTGCCACTGCAGGTGAGCTCTCTTTTCGGCCACCGAGCGAGATGCGTGCTAGCGAGCACGCCTGCTCGCATCTCGTGGCAGTCTCTTGCAACAGACAGACACTGAGCCTATCCGAATGGCAGGCATTGCCGAGTTGACGGTGTTTCACAGGCAAGTATGACTCTGCCATCTTGACTTGTCGAGTGCTCATCCATTGCATTGCAGCGTTGACACGGTAGCAAAGGTCATTCAGCATCTCAGTATGCGCCGCCAAAGCTCAAAATGAAGAGCGGAACAGAGATTGATGTCCAACAAGACGTCTGTGAAAGATCAAGGTTTCAACAAGGTCGTCTTTAGAGAATTCGCCAGTGCGAGTGCAGGCCGAAAATTCCTCTCGCTCTTCCCTGGTATCGGCTACGCAGCAGGCTACAAGATCACCCAGAGGATCTACAAGTATGCCGGACAACCCTACGTGAACGACTACCTCAACGCGAACTATCGAGGCTCATTTGTGGGGATATTCGGCGAGAAGAACGGAAAGGCAATGATGCAGGCTACTGCTGGTAGTATCATCGGGATAGGAGAGATATGGCTCTTGCCGCTCGATCGACTAAAGATCATCAGACAGTCAGTTGACACTCCCTCTTGCACACATCTCGATGCATCGGGCTCACAAACCTGGGCAGAACGAATCCAGAAGTTTTGCAAGGAAGGGGGTTGTTCAAATTGATCGCAGATGAGGGCTTGGGACTCTACAAGGGCGCAGGCTGGACAGCAGCGCGGAATGCGCCGGGCAGCTTTGCGGTCAGTGGACCTGGCTTCTCACATCACCGTGTGCTGAGATGTCAGAATTCCGTGACAGCTTTTTGGCGCCTCTGCAGCTACGAAAGATTTCATGGGCATCACAGATTACAGCAAAGCGACTTGGACGCAAAACTTCATCGCTTCCATTGCGGGATCAGTCGCATCCATCGGTATCTCCCAACCTATCGACTTGATCAAGACGCGCATTCAGAACCAGGACTTCAAGACAGGCACGGGTGGTGTCGTCATCATCAAAGATCTGATCAAGAACGAAGGCTTCAGCGCCTTTTTCAAGGGCTTTGTGCCAAAGGTACACCGCCCTTTTATCGCTTCTGCCGCAGCGTATTGACATACTTGCAGGTCCTCGTCGTTGGGCCCAAGCTCGTTTTCAGCTTCACAGTAGCGCAAAGCATGATCCCGATGTTTACGAACATGGTCCGTTGTGTGTCACTGAACGGAGCACGACTGATCGTGCAAAACCTGGACAGGGTCTATGATGATCTCCAGCAATCGCAAGGAAACACCTCTCACGGGCGCAGGACTTGTACGGTCTTCTTCATTGTATGCTCTACAACGGCGTGTCTACTCGTCACTTTTCTGTCTGTGCTTTCCCGTCTCACATACGCACTCTGCACATCTTTCAATGGGGCTCGATCAGAGATGAGCTTGAGCCTTGTCAGAGTTCTCGGACGATTTGTCTTCAAAGATATCGAAGCCAGCCAAGCTCGAAAAGTCTACAGCTCGCTTTGCTTCGCCGCGCTCGATGATGGACTGCACCTCCTGTTCGAGTGCTTGGAAATCTTCCTTTGAGAGGTCAATGTCTGCTCAGAATGTGAGCACGTCAAAAGTAGCGTACTTTGGAGCACGTACCCTTGAAGTTATGCTCGATGCGCTTGGGCGTGACTGACTTGGGCAGCACGACAAGACCACGCTGGATGGCATGCGAGATGAGGACGACGCCTGTATCGGTATTGTTCTTCTTTGCAATCTCGGTGACGACCTTGTTCGATAGCAGAGGAGCGCCCGCACTGCCGAAAGGCGAGTAAGCCTCGAGCAAGATGTTGTTCTGCTTTGACCAGGCTAGCAAGTCTGGTTGCGGGTTGATGATCGACAGCTCGACCTGGTTGATGACGGGCTTGATCTTTGCGTAGCCGAGAAGTTCCTTGCAGCGACGGATATTGAAGTTGGAGACACCGATATGACGGACTTTGCCAGACTCGACGAGCTTTTCCATGGCACGCCAAGTAGGCTCAAAGTCCTTTGTGAGCTCGTGGTCAATATCCAGCTCGCCCTTTGCATTCTTGGGTGTGCTCTTGATCTTGCCCTCTTGCTTGTTGTAGGCAACAGGCCAATGACACAGGAACAAGTTGAGATAGTCGAGTTGCAAGTCTTGCAGTGTCTGATCGAGACCCTTCTCGACGTACTCGGGCTGGTGGTGCGAGTTCCATAGCTTGCTCGTGATGAACAGATCATCACGCTTGATGCCGGCTGCTTGGAGACCCTCCTTGATCCCTTGGCCTACTTCTTTCTCGTTGCCGTAGATCGGTGCGCCGTCAATGTGACGGTAGCCCGTCTTGATCGCATGAGCTACTGCTCGCTTCACCTCGCCAGGCTCAGATTGCCATGTACCTGTGCTTGACAGTGTCAGCCTACCCCAGAAAAGATGGTCGAGTGGCAATTGGGAGCTGCCAAGCTAGACTCTCAGACTTACCGAGGCCAACAGCGGGTATCTGTGAGGTCACGCTGCCCGTCTTGATCGTGAAGCTACGTGCCAGTGCCATTGTCGTCTCTTGCTATTGTGAGAGGAAGAAAACTTGGGAGAGCCACACTCGCAAGGGGCGTGGGCGGAATTGGCCACGCGAGCAATTTCAACAGGCAGACGTCACCGCGTCACCAGTGTCGGGGTCATTCAGGAGAAAGTGTGTGATGCAATGGATGGTAATGTCTAGACGGGATACATGCTCTCGAGATGCTTGGAGATGATGAGCTTCTGTATTTGCGTTGTGCCTTCGTAGAGCTCGTAGATCTGTCCCACGTTGAGTAAGTGGTGTGAGGACTAAGAAGGCGTGCGATGTACCTTGCTGTCCCTGAAGAGCTTCTCGACAGGCGCCTCTGTATTGTAACCCATACCACCTGTATGTGTCCTCACTCAGCCCTATTGAATAGTAACTAAGAGACGAGGGCATACCGTAGATCTGGACAGCATTGTTGGCGTTGCTGACTGCGGCAGCAGATGCCATACACTTTGCAATCGAAGCATAGTAGGCTGCAAAGTGCATTAGCCGATGTCGAAGAAGCAGAGCAGAGGGACTGACTGTTACGCTCGCCGACGTCCTTCATCCAGCATGCCTTCCACACCATCGCACGAGCAGACTCGACGGACATTGTCATCTCGGCCAGCATAAACGCGATAGCTTGATGACTGATGATCGGCTTGCCCATTGTCTTCCTCGTCTGAGCGTATCGCGCAGCTTCCCATAACGCGCGCTGAGCGAGTCCAGTCGCTCCTGCAGCAACAAGAGGTCGTGTGATATCAAAGGCGGCCATGGCCACTTTGAAACCCTCGCCCTCTTTGCCCAATACATTCTCCATAGGTACCTCGACGTCCTCAAAAGTGATCATACGCGTGTCTGAACATCTCTGACCCATGTTGATCTCTTTCTTGCCGATGATGATGCCTGGCGTGGATGCGTCGACGACGAAGCCGGTCATGGACTTGTGTGGTTTCGCATTCGGATCTGACTTGGCGAGCACAAAGTACCAATTCGCGTGACCGCCGTTGGTGATCCACATCTTTGTTCCGTTCAGAACCCATTTGTCGCCTCGCTTTTCAGCCTTGGTCGAGATGTTGGCTACGTCACTACCTGCTCCTGGCTCGGTCTGTAGCGCTCTTTGAGCGGCGTCTTTTATTGAGAGGGATACCACACGAACCACACAGTAGGCTGCAACAATGGGCTCTTCCGTCATTCTACCGACTGAATAGGCCTATGAGCAGTGAGCGGAAGCGAGTGACAGTCTTGCGTACGATATTTGAGCTTGGTCTCGTGCGAGCCGGCAACCTGCAAGAACGAATGCATCGCGTGAGCAGATATGTGGCGCAGAGGCACTGAGCGCAGCGTACAATCAACGGTGCTTCGGCCAACCCTAGGGCTTCGCATGCGGTCTGCACTCCCGAACAGGCTGACACCGGCCATGTCAGCTCTCTCGGTCTTCCCGATCAACGCGTCTCTGTAGCTTACCAAACGCCAATTCCTCGCTGATGAGCGCACAGTCCATCAGACTCAATCCTGGACCGCCGTACGCTTCTGGAATATGCGTGTTGAGGAGACCAGCTCCGTGTGCCTTGCGAATGATCTCCCAGGGATAAGCCATCGAGCGATCGAGTTCTGCCGCGACGGGTATGATGTGCTCAGCAGAGAACTTTCTCGCTAGATCTATACATCGTCGCACGTCAGGCAGATCAGGCGTATGCCAGGCATCATGGCGTACCTTGGTAGGCTCGCTGATCCTCAGAGAGCGAGAAACAGACGGAACCGGCGCTTTCGGTCACGCTGGCATAGCTACGTCGTGCCGCATGCTGAGATCGTAGAGAGCCTGTCGAGGCTCGTAGCAGCTGTCTTGCGAGTCCTGCCGTCATACTGTCAAATCGCTCTCTGCGGTTCAGAGAATTGATGGCTTTGCGATGTCGATCGGTCACCAAATTCCTCGAAGCGGAAAAGAATCGCGTGAAAACTGCCGCGAACTTGTCGTGGTCAGTCCGATGGCACACGTCTCATGAGCCTCATGCGTTGCTCCCTTCCTCCCGTCGTCATGACCGATCGCTACTACTCGAGAGCTATTGCGTCGCTTCCGAAAACTGGTCTGTCGCAATCCTTCGCTATTCACAACAAACCGCAACGAAAACAAACAGCAATCGCAAATATGCTCGCCTTCAAGATCGTCACTTGTTTCGCTGTGTTGGCCGGCTACGTCTTGGCCGACTGCGGAGAGGATCCATTTGGTGAAGGATGCCGGCCATGTTACTTAACCCCGGAAGGCTGCAAGACGCCTGTTCCTACTCCATCGCCTTACCCTTGCAAAAATTGTGTCTGTCAGTGATCTTCCTAGTACAGCATCAGATCAAATCTATGTGACCAAACAGGGCTCTTGGATCCCCATGGCGGCAATACATTTGAGGGCCATAAGATCTCTGTCTTCAGACTGACGCCCTTCGAAAAAGGCTACAATACCTGCCAGACGTACTTGTGGGTCGACCATCGCTTCAGCTGGGCTTCTTGCTCATACACTGAGCTATGCAGCAAGCCTTGCGTCAATGGCAAGATCCCTGGCACGACCATCACGTGCACGCAGGTCGATAACAACGTTTGCTAAGCAGTACGATAGCTTCATTGCAACCGTGCCATATTGCTCGCAGCAACGGCAGACTGTGCGCTGAACCTGTACTTGCGTTCAAACAAGACCGAGACGTTGACACGCTCGAATTTCTCCTACCGACACAGCTGTGCTTCCCACATCTGAAGCTGCTCTCTCACCAGTCTTGAGCCAAATACGACGGCAAGAATGCTCGTCTCCATAGTCATCTACTTTGTTGTGATGGTCGAAATTGTACAATAAGGTCAGCCACATCCAGGAAAGTTTGTTGTGCCACGAGAACGTTCTGGACTGCCTGCCCAAATCTCATGCTCCCGTGCCGCTTCCTTGCCCTTACTGTGTCTGCATGTCACTTCCTTCTGATTTGCATGCACTGGCTAATGTGGGTGCAAAAGCTCTCGAATCCGCGCGTACACGTGCCATTGCTTGTTTTGCTCGTTGCTCGTATTGAACACCGCAGCCTACGTACTATAGCAAGCCTGCATTAAGTGACATGACAATGACCCTATTTCGAATGTGTTCTACCGATGGTTGCGAGTGCAGACAAGAGTAGTGAAGTGAATCTAACAGCCAGCCGGATTGACGGGCGAACAGCATGTGAACGCCGTAATGGCGCCAGATGAGAATGCTTCGATGATGGCTTCGATCGAAGAGTAGGCCGACAGACCTGTCATCGCCAAACAAGCAAGGAAGATGATGAAGTTGAACGCTTTGATATACCACCAATGTCCAATAGCGCGTTTCCAGCGAGACATTTGGCGCCAAGTGTCCTTGGTAGGGTTGGGATTGGCCGGATCGAACTCGCCTTCGCCGCCAGGGAGCATGACCGCATCGCGCTTGATTTGATAGACGACTGAAAGTCCGATAGGGAATGTGTAACTGAATTGCAGAATTGCAAAGGCAGCGACAATACCCGACAGAGCGCTGAAGGCAGGAATGGCTGATCCAATGGCGAATGCACCAGCCCAGAACGCGATGACGACCGGGATCCAGAGCATTTTGCCGCCCTTTGTGTGAAGTTCAGGAGCTTTGAAGAATGTCACCAGTATGTTGTTGTAGAGCAGCTTGATGCCGATGTTGCCATAAAGTGCAGCAGCAATGATTCCAGCCGTAAGTGAGATCATATTCGTAATGGTCTGCATGACGTAGCCAGAGATGCCTGCAAATTGAAAATGTCAATGCGCGTCGAACACTGCTCGTTGATCACTTGCCCTGGTTAGCCGGATTGACGACGTATTGACCCTGCTGTGAGTAGACGACTAGGCCGAAGGTCATGTAGACTGATACACACGTCAGCAACTTGTCCTTGAATCAGTAGGCCAAATTAAGACTAACCCACAAAAATGAAGAGCTGGCCCCAGAGCATGGCCTTCCAGAAGTCAAATGGCCTTCGCATCTCTGACATGAACTCGCAGAAGACCATGGCTCCTCTTGTCGCGCCCACTTTAGCGTTAGCGTATGTGTGTGTGGACGTTGTAGGTGAAAAACTAACCCATAAGAGAAGACGACTTGAAGGATACCGACGAGTTTGCCTTCGAAAGGCTGAGAGACTTCGAGGAAAGTTTGAACGGGCATCCATGAGCCATCAGGGTTCTGGTATTGGCTCTCGCCGTTGGCGCCATAGTTGGGCACTTGATGACAGACGACACCCATGGTGATGATGATGACCTGAAATAAAATATTATAAATATTGTGAGCAGCAGACGCGTCGCGTCGACTTACGAGCAAATTCATGTAGATGGCAAGCGTGGCCAGCCAGCCGAACTTCTTGAGCGTGCGCACCTGACCGAGGATCATGCCGGATGCCATCCAGAGGACGTTGCAGACGACGAAGCAAAGCTTGAATTTTGATACTTGAGACAGACCTTGTCCGTTGCCGAGTGTGATGATTGCGACATTGGTGATGAGCTGAGCAGCTTGCAAAAAGTTTGACATGTGTCGCGCCGGACGGCCCAGTACTCGACCACAGAGATCGCCGAAAGTGCGCATGGGATATTGGAGCGAGTCGAGACCGAGGAACATGTGCCAGATGAGGAAGCCACCGTAACCAGCAAAGATACCAAAGAAGATGACTGCCGCGTGCTGCATAAGCTCTAATTTGCAAATGCTTGACCAGAAGACTCACAGACAGTGACACCTGAGCCATACCCGACTTGGGCAAAGAGGTAGGGGGCAGAGTACGGGCCGAGAATGTCAGTCGTGATGAGGTAGAAGATGCTGCCCCAAGAAGCAGTACGGAGAGCGGCTGACGCGTTGCGGTGCATGGCAGAATCATCGTCGACGATAATGTGTGCTGCCTTTTCGTCGGTGAGAGACGAGCCGTGCTTCTCATCATTCTCTCCGACCATGGCTGCTGCAGGTGCATGCTTGCCGGTAGGATCATCGATTGCCTCTGGAGCGACATCGGCAACTTTGCGATTGGAGAGCTTCTTGAATGTCCTGACCCAGGGAGATGCGCCCTCCTCTTCGCCAGTGTGAACGTAGGCATCTTCCCGCTCTCTTTGTAGACGAGCGTAGTAGAAGATCTCGCTGAGAGGAACATCGTGCGAGTCTTGGTCTACGCCGATCAAAGGCCATCAGCGCCGCATGACTTGGTCGCGTGATCACATACAGAAGCGAGTTTCGATCTCTTCCGTCTCGCCATTCGCACGCTCGACAGTGACTGACTGCCGATGATGCTGTTGATGGCGAGTAGATCGTCAGTAGAAGCAAAAGCCTCGAGTGGCGCACGTACATCCCCAGAATCGAGGTCACGGACTAGGGCCTCATTGGCCATCATATTGCCTACCATCGCCATTTCGACTGTGATGCCCTAGACAAGTAGGCTCTTCAAGTCGTTCGAGCAGGCAAGTGTGCAGACTGCTCAGGTGCAGGCCCACTCTTTAAGAAGGCCCGGTCTCGGCAAGTTGCAAAACCAGCGTGGTCTCATGATAAGCGCAGCTCACGCCCGATTGATTGGCTGCCCTGAAGTCTAGAAACGAGTCGTGTGCTCTTCTATTTGACATCGACCGCATGGTCGTTGATCCAATTGAGTTTTCGCCGGTCTTCTGCAGCTAGCGTGTTTCTATTATTACCTCCGCCGCAGATCGCAAACTCGGCAACCCCCCCGGCAGAAGATATCATGAGTGACGTGTGACTTTAATGTCAATCGACCATGTTACCAAAGCTGGAGGAAGTTCAGACTTCGCAGGCTGCGGTCTTGAAAGCATTAGATGTGCTGCTCGAGCCATGTGCAGACTACTCAGCGCTAGATATCGACCGGACGGCGATAAGCTCTTATCATGATCTGCTCCAGCAGGCATGGCAGGGTCTCGAGCGACTCGATGATGACACGAGAGCAAATCTAGTGCGAGCACACCCAAGGATAGGCGAAGTCGGCAATCTGTCGACCTTCAGTGCGGCCGAACAGACCAAACGGCAAACACCGCCAGAGGTGCTTGCAAAGTTGAGCGTGAGCCGATCCGTCGTGTGCTGTCCGATCGGCTCACACGAGCACAGTCGCTCAACCAGCTATACGAGGCTCGATATACTGGACTGCAGTATGTCACGTTTGTCAATGGGCGCTCGAGAGCAGAGATCGCAGAGGAGCTAGAGCAATTTCTCGGCCTATCGAGCAACGACACGTCTGCGAAAGACACAGAGGGAATCTCAAGCACAGAAATCTCGGCAACCGTCGCCAGAGGTAGTCCTGAGTGGCATGCTGAGGTTCAGCGGGCTTTGCAAGCCGTCTGGCAGATAGCATACAGCAGACTGGACTCGCTCGAACTGTCGTAGAATTGTCATGGATCGTTGTACAATGAACAACAGGTCGTTTCAAAGATGTAATCATTGCCCAGATGTCTTCTCGGATGGTATCGCAGTGACAGAACTAGCAGGCACCGGCTTGTTTGGAACAAGCTGCTGAAGCGAGGGGTCGATTGAAGGATCTGAGGGCGCTTGACGCTTCGCCGGTCGCGAGCTTAGCGACACCGCGGGCTGAGCCGGCATCTGTGCAAATCGTGCCTCCATCTGACGAGCGCCTATGAGAGCATGTCAGCGCAAACGTGTGACTGCAGCAGCAAATGACGCACTTTCTGCAGTCTCGAGAGCAGCTAAAGCAGTCTGTTTACGATCAAGTTGTTGCTCGAGCACGGCAATACTGCGTTTGATCTCTTCGATCTCGCTTGAGACGGCTTGACGAGCATCGACAGGTCCTGGAGGACGATTAAGGAGCTCCATGGGTGCCATGCGGGACGCAACATCGGCAAGCTCATCAATACCATGCGTCCGGCCGCCATTGCTAATTCTACGCTGGGACGGTTGGTCCTGCAACGAAGCGACGGATTCGACGTCCCCTAAGAGCTGCATATCCTCCTCAGTCTGTCACTCGTGTCATGTCAGCGATGATCGGTGCCGTGCAAGGGTCTGAATCACGTGATTGGCTCTTGCGGTTGGTATCCTTTTTCTGCGCTTGATGTTAGGCTTCTTCAGTAAGCCGGGTCGGTGATGTCCGTGGAGCTTATAATAGAGGCCTGTGAGCATGCTTTGATCAGCTTGGACTCTGAAGCATCATGGCCTCCTCGAGGCTTACCACAGGCATTGCAGGCAACGTTGCCGTCACCATCTCTGCGCCAGAGAGGCGTCGTTCTCGTGCCGCAGTTGCCGCATTGCATTGGACCGCTGTCACTGACTTCAGCCTCGGGGTCGGCAGAGTCGTATCGGGCCAGCCGAGCCGCATGTCGATTGTTGAAAGCAGGACAACCTCCGCAACACTCTTTGCCGCCCTGACCGTTGCAGAGCCCCGAGCCGGGACATGATCCGAGCGGAGGCTCATCGTCGGCGTGGCTCAATCCAAGACCGTTCGGCAATGGCGCGGGCGGGCTGCCGTCAGCTGCTTGGGCGTTGCGTTGAACAAGCAAAGCTGCAGCCTTCTGATTCTCTGATTCGCGTTGCTTTGCTTTATGCGCCAGTCCTGAAAGTCCTCATCAAGAGGGTCCAATGTGAGCAGGTGATCGAGCATACCGCAGGCATTGCAGATGGTTCTGCCTTGAGGATCTCGGCGCCAAAGCGGAGTCTCTGTCTTTCCGCATTGAGAACAGGCTACCAGGCGCCCATTCGCGTCGACTCGCTGCTTCTTTGCATTGGGATTGGCTGCGGTCGAGGACGTTGCGCCGGGCGAGACCTGCAGATGAGGCTCTTGTCTGGGTGACACTGATGTCGATGCTTCAGGCTGACGCGCATTTGGCATCATCACCCTGTGCGACGGGTCTGGGTACGATTGCTGCCGATGCGCAGGCTCATAGCTCTGCATGGCAGCTTGCCTGTCAGCGCATACGCCGACTGCTCTGCCTGAGCGCTCGGGCTCTAATCGACACGACACTCAGACTCGAATTGCGCAATTCCCATTGGCCACCGGGCAGTATTTGAAATTTAGACAACCGATGAGCTAGTCGCTGCAAGAGCGACAGGACATGACGAGCAAGAAGCACCTTAGCAAGCTGAGTCATGCATACAATGCATGGGCGCAGATGGACAACATGCTTCGATCCCAACAATGTTTGTCACATCTTAAGTCACTGGTGGTTGTAGCGTCGAGTCCCATTGCATCAACTGATGCTGGAAAGTGCTGCAAGGTCGGCAGATGCGACGAAGCCTAATCACTTCAGCACAGCCCGCCTGCTCTCGTTAGCGACAAATCGGCGCGGTGCTCGGTGCTACGTGTCCTGACAGCTCCTGTGGCTGTAGCAATGCACTGTCGCCCTGTTCGCGAGCGCAGTGGCCCACTGACCTAATAGGTATGGGGACAAGCCGTTCAGCCTCTCTACCAACTGAGCTTCTGCTCGATATCATCGACAAGCTTGGCATTCAAGACCTGTCAGCCTTCAGCATGGTCTCTCGCAGAATGCGCAGTCTTTCCGCAAAGTCACTTTCCAAAGTATGGCTCATGCTTCCACCCGTTCGGAGCTTCACGTACAGAGCTTCACAAAGTGACCTTTTCGTGCGATCCGAGGAAGCTGCTTGGTGCTTTTGAAGCTCGACATCTCAGACCAGACCGCCGTCTCTGTCGATGCTATCGAGTACATTGCCATCATGCCAGGCGCAATCGATGCAGACTATAAAGAAGGAGATCTTGACAATTCTGATGTTGGTAACGGGCTCGCTGAGGATCCCAATGAGCATGCCATCAACAATATCAGGCAATGGCGCGTGCAAGAGGCAGCGATAGCAAAGACATTCCGCGTCCCCACCGCGTTATCGAGCATCTGCAAGTTCGAATATCTTCAAGCACTTTCTCTGTATGACACATCGCTCAAGTGGTTCTCAACAATAGTTGAAGATACTGCACACCGAAAATGACTCAGAGGGCACGTTTCGTGCCTGCACATCCAAGGCACGAGCCACCGCGGGCCTCGAGATGACAGTCGCACACGGACGCCAAGCTGGGTACGCAATGCTCGCAAGATGATCCACGCATGTCATACACTGCAAGAGGTCTCTGTCACGGAACGTCAGCCCCGAGAGCTAGATGACGAGTCCTACATTACACAGCGTGCCAAACAAGTCGCGCAAATTGCTTCTCTCGAGATTCTGTAATCGTGCGGCTACTACGCTTGCAACCACTTGTGACTCCCGGGATGGGATGCAATCTGGTCTCAGCCTTGGCAGAGTTCGCTGCAGAAGCTCAATCTTGACTACACAATCGCGTGGCAACACATTCCGTCGATTTTGCGCTTTCATGCACATAGTCTGGTTAGACTATGCATGGCCTTGATGATGTCATATCGATTTTGAGGGCACCGAGGCTCTACACATTAGCATTAGGCCATGAAGATGCTGTTATGCAGTGTGCTGCAGCCATCATGACAGCTCTTGACGGATCTCGGCTGCCACTTCTCCGTCGACTCCTGATCTGTGGCAATCCTACAAGCCTAGGCGCATCGTGGAGGGCGGCGACAGAAGTACTTGAGCAGCGCGATATACTGACCTGGCGTTATCTCGATTCTGATCATGACGACGATATCACACCACTCCCGATGGATGTATATGATGTCACTGAAGCCGTAGAGGGACGAAATTGGGTTCCGCGTGAAAGTGACGACGAGCAAGGGTAGTGAGACGCTAGTAGCAATCGCAACTTACGGCATCACATCATCGTAGATGTCAACAGCGACGAGCAGCTAGATCTGCTCTTACTGTAATCGTAGATTAGCAGATGCATCTTGTGCTCGACCAGAGAGCTTTATCACGTGACTGAGATCGCGTCGTCGCCTTTCGCCAGGTGCTCTGCGTTTTTGTAGCAGCGTCCTAGGAGCACACGAGTTCGCGCACTCATTGTCTCGCCGACATTCAGGGCAAGTATACTCCATTGGGGAGCTTCATCTAGGTGCGCGCGCTTCGGGTAGAGATGGGTTCGTTGGAAAAATACACAAAATTAGAAAAGGTAAGTCCTGCTTGCGTGTTACACCATCAGCATACAGAGCTGACGAGCATGCATTTGCCGCTCTTCCTTCCTTCTGTCGTGCTTTCGCTCGTGATGCGATGTTGACGCTGACTTTACAATACCAACTGATGCTTCTTCACTTTCGCATACAACCGACGACGACGACCGTCCGGCGCTCACTATCCTGCTCATACCCACCTATGGACTGCCTAGGTCGGAGAAGGAACATATGGCGTCGTCAGTTCATTCAACACGACTAGGATAGCCGCGAGGCTGACGCATATGGTCAGGTCTACCGCGCCAAGCACAATGAGACCGGCGAGATTGTAGCGCTCAAGAAGATCAGGCTGAGCGAAGAAGATGAAGGCGTCCCTTCTACTGCTATCCGAGAGATCTCGCTCCTCAAAGAGATGAAAGATCCCAATATCGTCAGGTACGCGTCGACATCCTGTCAAATCATGCGGGTGCTCACGCATGCGGATCAGGCTACTCGATATCGATCATCGCGACCTCAAGCTCTACCTCGTCTTCGAGTTCCTGGACATGGATCTGAAGAAGTACATGGACACCATTGGCGATGGCGACGGTATGGGACCCGATATCGTTCAGGCAAGGAACTCTTGCGATCAGCTGCTCTGAAGCTGATAACAAGTCGTACTGGCAGAACTTCTCCTATCAGCTCCTGCGCGGTGTTCACTACCTCCATGCTCACCGAATCCTCCACCGCGATCTCAAGCCTCAAAACCTGTTGATAGACAAGGAAGGCAACCTCAAGCTTGCCGACTTTGGTCTTGCACGCGCTTTCGGCATTCCCTTGCGTACGTACACACATGAGGTATGCCCGTGACTTCTCACCTGCTATGAAGTGCTGACAGACAGTGACAGATTGTCACACTTTGGTACCGCTCGCCAGAAGTCTTGCTGGGCTCGCGTCACTATTCGACCGGAGTCGACCAGGCGAGTCATCGTCCTGGTGGCATCAAAAGCTCGCTGACAGCAGGGTGGGCAGTGGTCCGTTGGCTGCATCATGGCGGAAATGATCCAGCGTGGACCTCTCTTCCCAGGTCAGTCATGCAATCGACAAACCTGCAAATGCTCACGAGCGAGTAGGCGATTCCGAAATTGATCTCATCTTCCGAGTTGCGAGACTGCTAGGCACGCCCAATGAGCAAGTATGGCCCGGTGTATCAACATTGCCCGACTTCAAATCTACCTTTCCTCAATGGAAGCCAAAGGTGCTGCGCGATCAGATCACCAACTCGACAGCAGAGTCCGCAGATCTCATCCAGGCATGTCTTTGCGGCACTATGGAGAGTGCGCTGATCGTGAAAGACAGAAAATGCTCATGTACGATCCGGCAAAGCGTATTTCGGCAAAGGCAGCGCTCCAGCATCCCTACTTCAGCGCCGAGGGATCATCTACTCAGAGTCAAAAGCTATAGACGTAGACGCGTCGCGCTCTTCATGTTCGATTCCTGTACCAGCACACTGTATAGTCTTCCCAGCAAGACGTCTTTGCAATCGTACAGTCACGAGCGTTCGCAGTCGAGATTCACGCATGAGAGCTGTCTTGCGCGCAGAGAACACCGTCGTCGAATCCATCAGTACTAGAGCTCGCCAACGCACGAGCTACAATGCAATCCGCAAAGGCGTATGCCTCCCATCAGCTCGCGCCGACCCCACGCGTCGTCCTTCGGTATCTGATTAACGATAGAGATCGTCGCCAAAAGCTGAAGCAAAGAGCTCGTCGTATAGAACCATCGGACGTTCATACCGCAAACGCATGCTGCGTGATGCCGATTGATTGAGAGACTATACTCGCCGCGAGAAAAGCTCGACAGCGTGACCGCTGACCGGCTCTCGGGCCGGGCAGCATGATGAGATGGGATGACGTGTATCCTTGTCTCGCGCGCGTGCATGAATGTTACAAAGATAGACTGCTGCGTTGTTTTCACCACACGACGTCGGACAGCACGAGCTTGTCTGTACTAAGCTTCAGTGAGGCACTGCAGGCGCCTTGTCAAGTCCGGTCATATCGATCTGGTAGCACTCGACCAGCCGACAAGCTCAAAAGTAGCCGCACGGCCGGGACATCTGACGGCGCGACGCCCACCCGCAAAGGTCGCTTCGAGATCTCGGCTATCTGCCGCATCGAGCATCCTCTTGGAGGCGGTCGAAGCAGTGGCACAGCATACTTCTGAACATAGTCTGATATTGGATCACTTCTGAGCCCCGTCGCGCTCAGCTAGCCAAATCGGACAAAGCTGTGCGTATCAATTGGCAAAGCCGGCACACTCTCAGCCTAGCAGCTCGACTTGCTTAGGCTTGCTGCACTCGTCAGAGGGCTGGAATCTATCCCAGTAAGCGATTCCGAAAGCCGTCATGTCTTCATCGCCTCGTAGATCAACCGATAGGACCAGATCTGATCGGTCCCACCATTCACCCTCACACTCTCGAGACGATCACCACCACTCGTCGCAGCGTGGATCAGACTCAGCAGTCTCGCCGTCATCAGCGGCAGGCTACCCGCCTTTCATGACGCACGACGGCCATACGTCCACCTCCGCGACGCTGCCTCGCTATCAAAGCAATTACGGCACCTATGGCAATTCTACATCGGACCTGAGCGTCAGTCCGCTCCCGACGGGTGGTAGAAACAATCCCCATCCGCTCAGTCATGCATTGTATGCTGATTCATCTCATACCTTGGGCGGCACGACACTTGACGGAGATGCTTCGTCCTCATCTGGTTCGGACGAACTCCGCCGCAATGGCGCAAACGGCAAGTCGCAACTTGGATCTGGAGGGTCTAGCTATGGCACAAGCGGATCTACACTGGTCAACGGCTCATCCAAGCGACCCTCTTTCCAGTCGAACCGACCGGGTCGAGCAGGCCTGCCGGCATATACCCGCTCCAACTCTTATTCGTCCACGCCAGGCATGAATACCTCCGGCTTGTCATACCTCAAGCGATGGAGTAGACCCCATCTAGCCGGCACGAGCGCTGGCGTCTCACCCGCACAGCTAAGCATTGCCGCAGCAAAAGGCAAGGCTGCCCGTCTCGGTTACCTAGACGGACTTCGCTTCATCCTTGCCATGGTTGCACTCAATGGCACCTTCTTCAGCGCTGTCCTCGACACCAATGTAAATTCTCTTCACGATGTTCAGGCTCGAGCTGACACCAGAACAGGCATATGGCTTCATACAACGAGCATCTCCTCTATACATCGTGCGGTCGTTCAACCTGGCAACGACTTTCCTGCTCGTGTTGCTCGGACGAGCAGTTGCAGCTCCCTTGTGGGAAGTCGTCGCCCCCTCCGCACCGTCAAGCTCGAATACCTCTGGCTCAACCAACCAGACCGTGCCCTCGCTCGGGCCCTCGATCTCATGGATCAGATTGACCCGATGCATGCTTACTCGACCCTTCCGCTTCATCTTGCCCGTCATTGTTGTCTCTGGCATTCAATGGGCACTCGGCGCAACGGGCAAGACGGCAGACTGCAACGCCGTCGGTATGGATGAGCCATACTGGTCATCGATCCGCAATTTTGCGGGTTATTCTACCCTCATTTTCAACTTGTTCACATACTACGAACAAGACACTATGTCCGGTCAGACCTTTGCCGGCAACCTCTGGACTGCCCCTTGGTTCTTCCAAGCCTCATATGCTGTTTACGTGTGTTCTCATTTCACCCGTAATCGATAGCCAAGTACTGATCGCAAAACAACAGACCATTCACATGATGCTTGGCAATCTCTCGAGCAATCGCTACTGGGTCTATGGCATACTTGCATTCTTCTCATGGACAACATTTAACTACTTTGCAGTACGTCGCACGCGCTCAGGTCCATTCAGGGCTGACGAGCATTGCAGCTGGCTATCATCGGTCTCGTCTTTGCGGACATGGCTGCTCATGGTCAATTCCAAAAAGTCAAGAAGTGGCCCATGTCGCGTCGATTGGCAGTCCAAGGTGCCCTCATCGCCGTCGCCCTCATCTTCCAATGGGTCTCTGTCATTCGGGACAATCTCAACTCAGCTTTTGCTACTATCAACGTCCAGAATCACGTCGAGATCACAATCTGCGATGCGCTCTTTGCGACATGCTTCCTCTTTGCGCTCGAGACGTCCACGCTTGCTCAGCGACTGATGGGCAACGTCGTGTTGCGCAACCTCGGCCGACTTGCACCCGGTCTCTACCTTTTCGCGGCACCGCTGACATACACGCTCGTGCCATCGATCGCAAAGTCTATGGCGGGTGCAGGATCGTCTGCAAGCGCTATCACCGGAGTGACATGGATGGCCCTCTTTGGCGTCGCGCTGGCGATCAGCATTCCATTCTACTTCTTCATCGAGCTACCAAGCGTACTGGCGGGCGAGCTGTTTGCGAACCTGCTCGAATCGTGGGGTAGAGACGAAGATGAAGTCATGGCGGTCAAGAGGCGCGCACAAGAAGTCCTCAAGGCGCCACAGCCTGCTCCTAAGAAGATTTCTGGACCAACACCTGCGCCATTCACCTCGCCTGCTAAATCCAACAGAGGACCGCCATCATCTGGTACGGGTCACAAGCCAGCAAGGAGCAGCAAAGGAAGTAGCTATGGCAATCAGACGAAGAGCACTGTGCTCGTCTGATCGCAATCTCTTCCTTCTCGCATATTCGCAGCCTCGCACAGCAAGTTCAATCAGGATACAAACACACATGGACACTTATTTGGCTCTCTCGCGATGCCTCGGCCGGCACTCTGCACGAGCTTTAGGCCGAAGCCAAAGGCAAGCTGTGGTCGTGTATCTGGCACTTTAGACATCCCTTTGTACACCAAAGCTTAAGTTCATCTGAGATATGCTCGCAAGGCGATAAGTTTTGGGACATCGTTGCATTAGATCGACCATGTTTGTACACCGAACCAACAGAGCACCAGATTGCCGAGCTACGGGTCTATCTAGACGCAGCCCTTCTGACATCGTGGGGCTCTCCTCGATATGTATGATAAGAGCCATGTCGGGCCTATCGACCGACGAGCTTCTTTGCGCCATCCATGATCTGATCTACGATCTCTGGCTTCGTCTTGAAGAGTACCAATCCGGTCAGCGCAATGGAGTATCTGCGTTCGTGCATCAGTCCTAGTTCGACGATGGTGTGAGCCAGACACACCCTGCTAGCTGTGTTATGGTGACCGAGCTGCCCATGAGAAGAACAGAGGCCGTAACGAGCAAGATATCCTTGAGAACTCCTGAGAGCGTGAGCACAAGCGATGATGCGCAGCCGATGAGGAAGACGACAGAGATGTTGAGCAGGAACGCAACAGAGGCGTTCGATAGCAGGATGAAGGGGCCCAGTCTTTCCCAGGCTAGCTCGAAAGGCGCTGTGCCCTCTGTGAAGGGAATGATGAGGGCATTGATGCCTGCGCAGACCGGCGCAAACATGTAGAGCGACACGAGCGGGTCCATCTTCATGCCGTGCAGTAGCTTTTGGATCGACACGAGTCTCGAGGCTTCAAAGATGACGCCCAGCGTCTGGAAGATGAAGCCCGAAAGCACGCTAAGCTTGACGCATCAGTCGCGTACGAGACAAGTGGTGAGCGAACTGACAATGTGAGTTCGCCGTATGAGGCGAGTGCTACGCCGGACGAGATGAACAGCACGAGGAAGAACGTCCTCTGGGTAAATGTCTCGAGGCCCATGAGAATCGACATGCCCAGCACGGCGACTGCAGTGAACGCCTTGAGCCTGCGCGCCAAAACATCAGCCAGACGACTTGTCGGCATCGGCTTCTCTCACATTTGGATGAACGAGACTGATAGTGTCAGGTAGGCCATGTTGGAGAAGATGAGCGAGGCTGAGAAGAGTGCGCCGATGGGCAAGATAGACTTGATCCACCGATCCCATGTCATGTTCACGTTGGCCAAGCCATCGAGCAAATGCGTGGTTTTGAGCAAGATGCGAGTTCCGATCGTCGCAAACGTCAAGTGGAAAGTCGTCAGGAAGCTATGCAGCTCTCTCAGCTCAGCCGTTCAGGGCGTCAGTGGGAAAAGTGGCTCACATTGGGTAAGGAAAATTGAGTCGTTGCTTGTCGAGGATGGCCTTGTTGTACAAGATGACCGACGAGGACAGCGAGATCCATATGGCGATGACGACACCGGGGTGAAGCTTCTTCACTTGATCTGACGTGCTCTGCGCCAACATGGTAGACCGTTGAGCGTTTGGCCAAACGAGTCGCTGAGGGTAGCAAGACATGAAACTCACCTCCCTCCTCGCGTGCCCAGGAGGCGGCAATGCTGCGCCTGCCTCGGCCAGGAGCTTATCCTTGGCGCTCGTGTCAACGTCTTCCATTGGATCTGCTCCCGGCCTATCTCAGCGGTGTGATAGATCGGGCGTTCGTCTCACGTACATTTGCTGTCGCCATTGGACAGCCCGTTCGCTTTGAGATCCGTGGCCATCTTTGTCGTCGCTCGAAGCCGAGCTCACAAGGGGGCAATCGATGGCAGCTATAAGATGCTAGAGGACAACGTTGGTGTAGCGCGTCGGTCCCGGGCTGCTCAACGTTGGGCGTCGGCGGTCGTCAAGCTGGAATGCAGGTCAACGATGCGATGCGTCGAATGTCACGTCGACGATGGTGCCTCTACAATCGCCCGCTACGTGTGCAGCTACGGATGATGGGTCTATCTGTCTGCAGCACGCCCTGGCTTCAGCCTCTTTAGTCCGTGTCTGGCTGCCGATCGCCCGTCCCGAACGATACAGAAACACGCGCGCGCGCGCCATTTGTTAGAAATTGATACATGGACATGTTAAGCTAAGGCGTAGATGATCCGCGGGCGCATGACAGCTCGAAACGCATAGGCTGTCTGAGTTCACAGCTCTCGGCATATGCGGTCGCTTCGCTGCGTGTGGCCATCATTGCAAGAGGCGAATGCCACGGTGATGACCTTGACACGGCGCTCGAATGAGGCGTAGATTTGTAAAGCGAAGACAGTGGAGGCAATGCCACTCGTCTGTTCGCATCAGGTGAGTATAGCTGAGACCGAGCCTGGAGCGGACTGAGCGTTGCACTGCTGCTTGGCGATTGACTGACATAAGATGGCTGGATGAGCGCATGCGATGGAGCTGCATAGCTTTGCGGCGTAACATACGCATGTTGCGAGGCTCGCCAGGGCGAAGCACGCGGAGCGGATGCATTCGCAGGAGAGTAAGCAGCAATCAAGGCGTCATATGGTGTCTGTCGCGTCGAAGTGGCAAAAGAAGGCGAGAGGAGCATCATCGGACTAGATCGCAGAGCTCGCAGTGCTTGAGCTGACGCAAAAGGTGCATGACTAGATTGAGCGCAAGGTGGAGTTGCCCAGAGAGGCGAATGTCTTGCGTAGAGCTGGGGTATTCGTCCGACGAGCGCAGGCGGAGCGCTGTATTGACATTCGGGCGATGTGTCTTGATCTGACCAGCCAGAGAGCGAAGATGACTCTGCCTCGGCCTGCGAGTACTCGGGAGCGCTCGTGCCGGTCGATGAAAGATGCTCGCTCTCCAGTGGCTGTGACTCCACAGGCATATCATCCGACTCGACGAGCCCGTCGAGCGGCGATCGCGCAAACTCGGTGGGCTGCTCGAATTCGGCTGAACTGGTAGATGCTAAGCTGAGCGTGACGCTCGACGCTCGCGAAGGCGCAAGACTTTGAAGCTGATCGATAGGCGTCAATGAGCCGGAGGAGATGTCTGAAGCGAGTACTTCTTGAGCGATGCGAGCGGAAGATCGCGTCCGTCCATCGGGGAACGACCTCGCCGACATATACTCAGACGGTTGGCGCTTTATGAGTAGCGTGAGCGAGTCTGTCTCTGCCTTGTGAATGGTCATAGCTGTCTGACGATGAGGTCGATACGATGCTGGCGATTCGTTCCGACGAGCGCTTTTGCGGATTCTCTTCGCTTTGCTGCGTCTGTACGGATCAGGTGCGTTCCTCTTGATCCTCTCTAGATCGGCCACTGTACTATCTCTTGTCTGTTGCGCCACCTCTCGATGAGCCACGAAAGGATTGTCAGGCAGCTGGACGAACCAGGGTGTCGTGCCGCCAGACCTTGCCGTGGACATCAGAACCACGTCGTTTCTTGCCGTTGAGTAGATGATAAGCGGCTTTACTAGCCGGGACGGTGCGATGGAAGCCGTAGATAGCCATTTGGCGGTAGAATGAGGAGATGCCGGTCATGCGCCACAGGTCCTGACAGACCGTCGAAAAGAAGATATCTTCCTCTGCGAGGATGAGTTCTCGACCGTCCGGGCTCCAGTAGATCATAGCGCAGTGCGGGTGCTGCGTCAGATAGCTGTCTCGTCGGTGTGTTTTGGCTATCAGCTTGATGAGCAAAGCTGATAGGAAAGGCTCGACTGACGTCCAGAGCTGAGAAAGGAAGGTCTGCCTCCCATTGAGCAAGAGCTCGCGTGCTTTGCGCTTCATGGCTGATGTCAAAGTGGAGCGATGAGAAGACACGTCGAGTCTGAGAAGAGACGTCGGTCATCCCCGTGCCGACCGACGAAGATCGCGTCGCCTTCGCAGTGCAACGCAGCTCGGCGTCGGCGATCAGCCGAAAAGAAGCTCCCGAAGCTTCCCTCCCAACCTCGCTTGCTCGATCAGACTTGTAGAAGCCAGATCTTCGAGTTGCGCAAAAGTTGGCAACGTGTCTTTGTAGTGCCTCTCTTTGAGTTGAGCTAGCTGCGCTTCTGCGTTTTTGGAGCGAAACGAGATCTTCTCAAAGCTCGTCTCTCCTGGTCTGCATGCGTTAGCATGGTCCAATAGCGTCTGCCTCGAGACAGACCGAGTGAGTAGGCAAAGCGGTGCAAGTCTTCGGCAACGAAGCCTGAAGGAGCATCCTCCGCGCCAAAGTCGATCGTTGTCCAATCTCGACCTGAAAATCTTGGCTCGCTGCTCGGCGTGATAGACGTAGCGTCGATCTCGTCATCTCCGCACACATTTGCTTGGCGTGATAGAAGCTCGTAATCGGGTAGCACAGCCGACAAGCCTTTCAGCCCGCTGAGACTGAGCAACGCGACGATGAGACAGTCACCGCATTCCGGTTGCTCGAACGCAATCCTGCGAAAGACGACCTGCGCTGAGAGGTTGTGCGCTGTTGCAAAATCTTCACCGAAGCAGATCGGGAGTGACATTGTGCATGCGATTGACCGATTGTCGGCTTGTTTATAGCTAGGCAAGATGCGGTCAGGCATGAAGCGGTAATTGAAGTTGTACCGTATGAGATCGTTGTGATTCTGCCGCCTGCCCTTGAATGTACCGAGCTGCTCTCGAGTATGATGGCCGGTCTCAATAGCTTCGCGAGCGCGTATGTCGTCGTTCACAAAATTGGCATAGCCTTGTTCGCTGTGAAAGCGATACTTTGTCGCGCCCGAAGTCGTGTTAGCTCGCGAATCGCTCCCGCGGAAAGGCTGCATGATGAGAATCGTATCAGTGTCAGAAGGCCGTAGTCGAGGTCCGGCGCGCCGAACATCATCCAAGATGGCGAGTTGCGCATTGAGATCGAGCAAGCCGGTCCGACGTGGATCACGTCTGTAGATAAGGTAACCTGCCAACATTGTTTCGCGATGTCTTTCCACGACGTAGTGCGTGTAAAGGAAGGGCAAGTGGATTTCGTTGTGTAGGCCTGGCCAGCGCGATTGTGACGTCTGCTCGAACTCATCAGGCCAGACTTTTGCTAGTTCCGCCAATACAATCGTGGAGTATGCCAGGGGTGCCCTAGATGTGGCTGGACGCTCGCGGATCCCGAAGCGCTGATTGAGCAGATAGGCTGTATAGCCAAGACTGTACCATTCGCTGTTTGGATCTGCATGGTTCTTGTCTGGCTCGATAGCCTTGACGAGGAGCTTCGGATCGATACGAAGTACGCTGCCAGAAGCGGGCGAAACAAAGTCATCAGAGCTGATCTTGCTCAGAAGTACGCTCTGACTGGCAAAGATGACGTAATCTGTTTGCCACGATGTTGATGCAAGTCGAGCTTCGATCGCTCGAATGTTAAAACAAGGCAACGCGAACGTATTGTTGAACAGGCTGGCTTGGTGCGTCAAGTGAGAGCCTCGCCGCTTTGCCCACCGCAGTCTTTGCCCGTGCGAGTTGTTCGATGCGCCTATGACGAGTTTGTGGACTTTGCCATTCAGGGAGGATGTAAAAGAATCTACCGATAGCCTGGTATAGTCACTGAACCTGCCGTCCTATCAGCGATGAAGCTGAGAACTTCCTTCGAACACATGCCTCTGCAGATGTGCCGCGCGATGAGCAGAGCCTTCTGGCAGTTCACGAGCCAAGCTGGCGCGCAGATGCTGCCAGTCTGGATCGCTGACATTTGTCCACTGATGAACGAGCGTGACACTTGGCTTGCTGGCTTTGAAGAAGGCGCATTTGACGCCGGCGCCCACAAGAGCATACAGATCTCGCAGAGTCATAAGCTCTGATCTGCGGGTAGCTTCGAAAGTCGGCCAAGGCAAAACGGGCGTCCACTCGTCCGCAAAGGGTGTGTGCAGAACTGCTGCAGGTTTTCGAGAAGTGTTGTATCCGGGCAGCGCGAGGATGAGCATGCCTAGAGCGAGTAGCGCTACGAGGACGAATGCTGCCCATACTCTTTGAATGAGTTCCGTCGCGCGCTTGTGCATCTGTATGTGGCCGCCAGGCAGCTCGCGTACGCGGTACCGAACGGAGAGCTGACGTCGCTTGTGCCGAGTCGTCAGATGAATTGATCCTTCCAGCGGTGGCCGGTTGCTTGATGACAATAGCCGATGCCGGACCTCGTCTGGTACAGAGAGTGAGGAAGCCATGCGAAGCTCGAGCTGATGCGCGGGTGCGCGGTGAGGGTACTGATCACGGACAAAGCGAAGTCCGGCGTACGGAGCAACGGATGAGACGAAGTGTCAAAATGCTTTGACGGTTTCGGTGAGCGATCTGTGCTCGATCAACTTGAATACTTCAGTACGTTCAAGGCAGAGAAAGCAAGAAAGATTGCAGCGGCGATGTGTGAAAGACAGTCAGCAGACGAAGCGAAAAGGGAGCGATGTGATGAGGGGAATCTCAGGCTGATAGCAATGCGGCAGATAGGAGACGCGACAAAGTCGAGCGCGAGAGGAGTGAGAGCGTCGTGTCTATGCATCCGCGGTCAACAGAGAGGTGCTTCGCCGCCGACACGGCTGACAACTCGGAGCAATTATGCTGTCGACTCCTTGAGGTAACTGTAAGCAGAGTTTGGCGTCAGTCAATCGAGCAAGTCAACAATATGCGAGGCGCATACGTGATCAAATTGTCTGCACATGAAAGGTCAGCACGTGGCTTGTAGAAGATCAATACAGCACGTACTGCGATCCTTCTCCTTCTTGAGGCCAGCAAAGGCCATCTTTGTGCCGGGAATATACTTCTTTGGGTCTGAAGAGGCAATGTATAAATCAGTGAATGCCCTGAGCTGATCGAACATGAGCCTCACTTTCGAGATATTCGAATAGTGTGCTCTCCTCCCATGTGACCTGTATGCCTTGTGAGTCTGCGATCGCGGCATCGAAAGAGCACGCTTACACCCTTCTTGATGTTCGCCTCTGTGTATGAGAAACCTTCAACCTGACCGGTCTTTCGTCCGAACAGTCCGTGTAGGCTGCGTGCGAGCCGGCGTCAGCGCAAGTCCATACGATATCTCAACGCGGATTTTGGGTTGGTCTCCGCGACGGCGTTGATAGAGAGTACGATCGTTAGCGGCAAGTGAAGCTGCTATGCTCTGGTCGGTCGCGGGAGATACGAAGGAGAAGAAAAAGTAGATGGGAGAGCAGACTGACTTGGGTCCGACTTTGTTGCCTCCGCCTTCTTCGACGGTGTGGCACTGCGCGCATCGGGTCTTGAAGAGCGAAGCGCCCTTCTTGGCGTCACCAGATTCGAATCCCATTATGCTTGGTTTTGGTCTTTTGCTAGACTGTGCAGGAGCGACCGATCAATGTCAGCATCGTGATCCTGCATGAACATGCACAGCGCCGCTCGATGGGCGTTGCATGGGTGGACAAGCGAAAGAGGCCATCGCAGCGGTGCTCGAGCATCGCTGGCGAGTGGACATCTTTGCATGTTGCCCATCGAGCGTGCATGTGAGTCTCCGGACTAGATCGGTACACTTACGTCCTGCTAATGAACTTGCTCGCAACAGAAATCGAAGAAATTCGATTGGCGCGCGCGAATCTCGGGCGGAACTGGCCGGCGGCTGCTCGGGCGAATTCGCCACGTCATCGAACAGTCGTACGCCGTCATACATCATACATGCTTCCATCGCTCAGCACTCATCGCATACCACTCTCCAACCTTTTGCGATCGTCGGACTAGCAAGACACTGTTTCTCACACGAATCTTGCTGCCACTTTCCGTTTGAGTACAGCGTCATCACCTGCTCTGCTGAACAAAGCCTTGTCAAAGTCATCACGGCGACTTGGCCTTCTCTCCTCCGCGCATGCAAGTCGACGCTCAAGTACATGCCATCGTCTGCCTCGATGCGCTCTTGACACGCCTTCGATGCATACACGACCCGGTTCTTTGTTGTTGTGCTCCGTGACCTTGCGAGCCCAAATTAGATATGGCTATGCCCTTATAAATCGACTCGTTTCTCTCGCTCTGACTCAAGCCAGGATCAGATTCGAAAGCACAAGAATCCCGTCATGTCCTCATACGGGATTCATGATCGTGCTGTGGACAACCTCTGCTACTTGACATCTCTCGATGCTTCACTTTGGGATGTCACTTGGCGCCCCATCAAAGACCTCGCTCCTTACATCACACAGGAGCTTGCGGACAAGGTAAGAGATGAAAGTTCAGTCCCGGAGGCAGCACCACTCGACAAAGTCCTGTCGTGTTATTGGAGTTCGCAACCCTCCCTAGCAGCCCTGGCCGCTCTGACGCTCCGGTGCCCCCTTCACAGCTGTCAAGAGACGTTTCCAAGAGCTCGAGGACTGGCTCGATGCTTATGATGAGCACTTGGCCAAGTGTAGGCTCACCAAAGAGTACTTCTATCAGCAATGGCGAGCCACCCGTGAAGAGGACATTACGTCATTCCTAGATCTGTGCCGGGTCAATATCAGGCCCTGTGCCTCTCAAAGGAGAGCCCGTTTTTTGCTTCATTACGCAACATCTACAGTATCTGATGCATCCCAACCCCTTGCTTCACTACAACGACAAGGTCTCTCCACTTCGACAGGCCGCTGACATCACGAGCTGGATCGCGCGCTTTGTCCGCGCAGCGGAGGGTTCCATTCCCTGTATCCTCAACGGGTGCAAAGCAAGAGCTACTGCCAACTGTCTTATCAGCTTGTGCGATACGCACTGCTGCGCCGAGATTCATCGCGACCTTTGCATCACCGAAGGCTGTAGCCTTCACGGAACGCACGACTGATCAGGAGCATTGCTGATACAAGCGAGCGAATGGCGATCAGAGCATTGTTACCTCCAATGTATCTCATATCTTCACAAGGCATTCAAGCTTGTACGCGGCTTTCTAGACGACAAGCGAATACATTTGCAAAGTAGCAAGTTTACCTGTCGAGTGGGCGACGCTGTGAATTCAACGCTTCGTTCGATACGCTGATGGTGCATTCCCCTGTCTCCTGACGCGGTCAAGATGCTATGATCGACTGCCCGATCGGCCTCTGTAGGGATATTCTCTATCTTCGCAATCGATCAATCGATCACTGTCGTGAAGAGATACGTGGCCAACTGGGCATCAACGGCGGCTGTCGTATTCACGACAATCTCATGTAAGTTATACAACATCACTCAAGAGTCCTCTTTCTCACGTTCTTTGACCCGTGTACAAGCTGTGAGACAGCCGCTAAGACCAGACAGCGTGATGATCAGATGTCTCGCAAGCTCCTTGCAATCGTCTACTAGCATCGCCGCAGATACAGCCTGTACAACGTCGCTGACAGAGGCCGAGCGCGTCCTGTGGGAGGGTCGTCACATGCATGGGCACTCCAAGACGAAATTCGGTCGTCAGCCAGCTTTCTTTGCTACATTGGTGTAGCCTATCCCGACGCAGCTCAGGTACAGCTCTTCTGCTGGATGGACAGGGTCGTCAGACTGCGACATAGCATCGACTGATCTGATCTTGAACGTGACGCCAAAGAAATCCCGGAGATCGCGCAAGAATTGGACTCTGCCAACGAGCACACGGTCAGCTTGTAAGCAAATTGCAAGAGCAAAAATACGCACAGTAGAGGATCCATCGGGCCAGCAATCTTGACGCGCGAAACGTCTTCGCCAGACAAGCTCATGAGGAGGCAAACGAGCCACTCGTGACCTCTATCTATGCAGCCTTGCCTGCTTATTTCGTCCAGCAACGCATGTGCTGCTCTTTGTCCAATATCTTCCGGCGTGACTTGCGATCGCCTCAACTCGTCCTCATCTCCTTGCTTTTCATCGCTAGTTCCCGTAGGCAAGGACGACAGGTTGGTCTGGCGCGAAGCAGACAAGATTGCGCCCGGGCTAGCCTGCGTCTTTGAAATGGTGCAGGAGGTCGCTTCAGCAGAGAAGAGCGCCGCCGTCGTGCTGGTGGCCAGGAGCGTGAGAGCGTATCCAGGCGATTTGCCACTCTCTGCGCCTCGATAGACGTCGGTGTAGATGTAAATATCCGGTATATATGAGTTGAGTACACCTCGGGCGGCAGAGACGAGTCGGTTGGAGAACTGGGGTGAAACTCTGACACTATGAGCGATGCCCCTGATCTTGCTGATCCGGCCCGGATCGACAAAGTTAAAACCTGGCTTCAGTTTGCGTACGATAGGGCATCGAAATTGTATTTCGCCGCCGCCTTTGGGTGGATGGCCTCTCTTGATGATCTGGAGAGGCATCAAGATCAAGACTGTGAGGTGATTTGCCCGACGTACCCTCACTTCCAGGCCATCAGCGCTCTCGAGAAACATTGACAAATGAGGTAGCGTTGAGACTCGCAGCACGTCGACCTGCGGACACATTTAGTTTAGCTTTGCCCGCGCAGACGACTAGAGCAAGCTGACAGATGAATCGCGACCATCCGTGGTCATGCCATGCATGTGCAGGTTCAAAGGTTCCTTGCAAAACGGCCCGAGCACGATCAAAGGCTCGAGGAACCAGCCAATGGATCTTGACAGTGGGCAGGTGTGATTGATTTGGCCGCCTTGCAGACTTCCCGGTCGCATAGAGACTGCAGTGCCCGTGTAGCTTATCTCCACCCTCGTACCATTGCTAATGCGCTCTATCAGTCGTAGGAACGAGACCTCGTAGTCTCGTAAACCGGGCTCATCATAACTTGCGTCTGAGCGAATATTTTCTATCCTGATCGCTCGTTGCGACAGAAGCGACAAAACCAAGCGATGGCGGAAGTTTTGATGTCCGTGGAGCTGTAAGACATCCTGAGCAAGCGAGGTAGACGCTGTGGGCGCTGGCAAGCTCGGCATCTCTGCGATGTTCGGAGCTCCTCAAAATTGTCTCGTCGCGTTGTCATTGTCGGTCATTGTCGGCTCAGCTCACGGGGGCGCCTGCCTCATGGAATGACAGCATGGCAACACTGCTGGCCATCATACTCGTCTGCTCTTCGGCTAGCTCGGGAACAACCTTTGTCTTCGGCTGGCCACCCAAGCCGCAAGCTATCCCGCGACTGAGCAGACCCATCTATCGAAAGAGCGCTGAGATCAAGGATGTTCAGCTCCGTTGCAGAGGCTCAGATTCGGACACTTCATCGGAAGATGGCCTGGTTTGCCCTCTGTTCTCCCGCTTCTTCGCAACGCGTTGACGTGAGCGCGTGCTAGGGCTTGCGGTACCTGAGAGGAGAGCAAGGTAGTAGCGATGAGGAGGATGCAGAGGAGATGACGCCTGCATTGGCGGCAAGACAAGCGAACGCATACCATCACGACAAGTCTGCGCCGTCATTCGACGAGTATCTCGGTCTGCCGACAACCTTGTTGGCTTCACTCCTCATGCCCGACAAAGAGCTCTGCAACCAAAAGCTCGAGCTCGTCGTTGACGCTAAGTCATTCATAGGCCATCCCGTCTGGCTCAGCTCAGCTTCAAGTGCACCCAAGAGCGATGCGCAACGGAGGAGTGACATCAAGACGCACGACTTTGCAGCCGATGCGGCGACGAACGAGGCAGCGCAGCCAAGCACGCGGTCGCGTCGTGGCATTGAAGCCTTTCACCTTGTGCTTGTCATTGATACTCCAAGCGATCGACATCTCAGTCGTCATCTTGATGTCTACTACCAGTCTGCTCTCATGTCGTCATGGATAGGCTCTGGCTGACACATCAGTCAGATCTGTCGCGGTCAAATTGACCGCTGCGCTCAAGTACGTAGAAAAGCGTAGCGGCTACGTGACGAATGCAATCAGAAACATCGTGCGCGATCGAGAGAACGCACTCGAAAAGGGTAAGCAAATGACCTACAGCCTAACTCGCCTGACAACCATGGCAGGCACAAGCTATGCGCAATACATGGAAGACATTTCAAAATCTTCTGGACTGTGTCAGCAGCTAGTGACGCTATATGCTGCTCTCAAAGCCGAGCCAGAACCAGCAGTAGCAAAGCTTACTTTTGACGACCATCTCGACATGTCTGTGCAGCTCAATACGATCCTGCTCGATCGTAACATGTACGCTGATGCAGAAGCTGGCAACCTGAAGCGGTCTGCCATTCCCGATGCCCTGTGTCAGCCTTGGCAAACCGCACTGCCGTTGGAAGAGCCTGCAAATATTGCCAAGCAGCTCGATCAGAATGACGGCGTACTACAGCGCTTCCTCAGCGTCATGACGCCCTCGCTCAGTATTTCGGAGATCCAGATGGCTCTCGACCTCAACAGTACCACCGTGCGCAAGATCGTCGGCCACCTCGTGCGATGGAACAAAGCTCGTGTGATCGAGACAGTCTCCTTGCGCCACGTATACGGACCTGCGCCGACACTACAGCCACGCAAACTGGCGCTGCTGTCTAGTCAATTCCGCAGACACTTTGACGAGCCTCCTCTGGCCATATTGCTTCATCACCTCGCTCCTTCGGTGACTTTTGCAATCGTATTATCAGGCTTGGCAGAGAAAGGCTATATGATCGACAAGGCGACAGGCTTGCAGATGCTCATCTGGCTGTTGCAGAACAACATTGCCATTCAGCATACTGAAACTTATCGGCTGCTTGTAACGCCAGAGACCAAGTGGGCTGCCTCAGCTGCAGTAGCACGCGAGCATTCTCGACCAGACAATCGCGCGACTCTTTCCCCGGAGGCCGATATTGGCCACGAACTTGCTGTGCCTCTGAGCGCTTCTTCGGATGGGAAACTTTCGCCCTTTCGACAAGTAAGCTCAGAACAGCTCAGACGACTCTGGAACATCTCCAAAAAACCTTCTCTTGATGCTACTGCTACCTTGATCGCAGATCCCGTCAGACCGACAGAGCAAGAGAAGACCTGGATCGCTCAGATAGGTAGCTCGCTAGAGCCTAAACAACGCGAGCTCTTCGAATCGTATGTTCTTTGCGGTCTCTGCAGCCAATGCTGATTATTAGACGCAGATGTGTTGGTCTCTTTGACGGCGTCACGTCGGCCTCCGCGATCATCTACCTTGCTGACACTACGCGGACGAAGCTCCAGAAGCTAGTCAAGGCGCTCGATCAGTCACTCGTTACGGTCATAGCTGCTCAATAGAATCACAACACGACTGTACATTTACATTGCTGTTGCTTGTGCCACTAAGGCATATACTGTTTATTGTCCGAATCAGCCGTCCATTGGTGAAGATGAGATAGGGACTCACGATGCGAGAATAGCCATCGACTCTTGTTCGACAGCACGGACAGAGATGTTCGGAAGCTTTGTACCGACCAGCCATGTTCTCTCGACAGTCGTCACAGAGCGCAAAGCATCGGCATGGCCAGCAGACGATACTTCGCGCTTCCGTCACGCAGATCACACAGAGTTTCTGTCTTAGCTCGTCAAAGTCTTCTGGATCAGTGCGACCGGGTCGCATCGATGTCGCCATGTTTGTACGACGAGCAGCAATAGCGGTGCTGAGCGCAGCATCGCTTGCAGTGACAGATGTGTCTGGACGATGGCTCAGACGAGCGTAACGTCTTCGGGTAAGCGGCGTTTGGCTTGCTGCAGTCATGTGTGCCACAATGACCGGTGCAAGCTCGGCTGCATCTCCTGAGGACTCTGCCAGGAGATCGTTATACAGAGCGAGTGGGCCGATTGCTCGATCGTGGTCTTCGGGCTCGCTGTCTGGCTCGCCGTCATCGGTCAGGTCTGAGGACCCGTCGCTGGGCACAAAGTCTTCGTCATCAGAGTCGTTGCTGTCTTCATTCGGGCCACGTGGCGCTCCGGCCAGCGCTTGAAACTCTGGTCCGATCGGGATCACACCGGCTCGTCTGAGGATTACGCCGAGTCGGTCTGCACGTCCTGCAAGGTTGCCAAGCCTTAACAGACGGCCAATCTTCCGATTGATGATCCTCAACGTTGCTGTACATGACAAAACAAGGGCGCAGCAGTATCGGATGCTGACGTGCATAGGGGCATCCTCATGATCCCATTCACTCCGACGCTTGCTCGCCTGTACCCTCTTGACTTCGTTGGCCAAGCCTGAACCCCTGGGCACATCGATGGGAGGTAAAAAGCCTATGTTGTCCCTCATGAGATCTTCTGGCCAGCGAGCGGCATGAAGTGGGTCGGCAGGATCAGCATAAGTCATCGCGACTTGCCCCGTGACTCGGTCGAAGCCTACGGAATCAATGTCGTTCGAGAGCTCGACGTAAGCATATGGTCTCAAGTTGAGCGAGGAGACTTCGTTCTGCCAGCCGAGTATCGCAGTCGTCTCGAGACTGTGTATTCCGAATCGAAGAATGGTGATGTAAAAATCATCATTGGGGTCTATAGTTTGGTGGTGGAGAACCTGGCGCCAGGGTATCCTGTCTTCGAGTACAAAGTGTGTGGCGAGATGTATGGCTACAGTGATGATGCCGATCAAAAGAAAAATGGTCTCGCTAAATCGATTGACGTATTGACCCGCTGAGAGCAGGGCAGTCGCAGAGCGATAGTGATCCGGGTGACCAAAGTAGACGAGCTTGATGACAAGGGACAGCAATGTCGCTTGCCCTGCGAGGGAGAAGAGAGCCGTGATGTAGAGTCTCCATCGTTTACGAGCCATCTTCATCAGGGTCAGACACGCGAATTCGCCTAGCGTGAGCAGAATGAGTAGAAAGACTGGCGGTGTGGGCGGCACGGTCGGTCTCTGATCTGGATCATCGCCCGATGTGTAGCCATGAAAGAAGAGTAGGTAAGAAAAGGACAAGAGGTTGAACGATCCTCTATAGTCGTCGTTCTCCAGCGATCTGACAAAGTTCTCCACTAAAGCTGAGCCATTGGTGGCGATGAAGACGCGCCAAAGGGCCGAGCTCTCTCTTATAGGCTGCTTGGGCAACCCGCAGATCATTCTCATCGCACGAGCCAGCCGAGTAGTCTGTTCCGCATCGTGCTGCGTCCAAAGCAAAACAATGCCGCGCATAGCCCAAGCTAGGCCAAGCAACGATAGGGCGCGCAACCCGTTGGTGATGAACTTGTACCGTCTCGTGTTCAATTGATGTAATCTCCGTCTATGTGATGAGGGCACGATATGCCGGATCTGAGAGATAATGATCGCCATGAGCATCACGACGGGGAAATAGGCCGATTTGAGGAATGTCAAAGGCTGAGGCTGATCCGAGTCAGGCAACGTGTTGACGATGTAGCTCAGCCGTCTCATCGCCTCTCTGCGCGTCGAAGTCGTCTCGGGCAGCACAGTCTTGACGGTCGAGTTGAGCTGGACGATGGCCTCGCTGACTGTCTCATTGACGATCTTATTCTCCAATTGCGCGCTGCCTGTCTTGTGCCATCCTGACCAAAGCATGTTGATGAAAGAGCCGACTGCCGACGCATTGGCGTCCCGCAGTGGCTCCATAGGGCCGCTTGCGGCAACGCACACGACGCTTTGACGGGGTCACGAACGCGAGCAGAACGAACGAACGCGGTCGATCGAGCATGGCGCTATGCTCCTGCTTCTCCGGCTGAAGTGACACTACATCTTGCCTCATCCCACCCACTCCGTTCCACATCCAGACTGATCATCGTGCACGATAGACACGAAAGGCTCTACAATGCAAACATCTACAAACACATGGGCTCTACAAGTTTCCTTATATCTATGCCATCATTCTCGCAAGGGCAAAGTCTGAAGCTAGCTTAGCCGTCGGCGGGGCTTGGTACTGAAGGTGGTTGTTGACCGAACTGAATATACTGCTCGAGCACACTGGATCTGGAGCACGCCTTATCTGTCAGCTTCTGTGAAAACACATGCGATAACAGCTCACCGCCAGTATGACAGATGTCTAAGACTCTGCTCTGATCGTTGTATGCTGCAGGCACGGCACAACCTCCGCTTTGTAGTCCCCTGACCTTGGCCGTCTTTCCTGCCCCGTTCTCATCTACATTGACTTGATCTGCGCCAGGCGTTCGGCAAGGCGATCCGAACAAAATTGCCGACTGGCCAGCAGTATTGATGGAAGACAACGCTCTCGTGACTGCTGTAGCTCCTTGAGAATATCCAAGAGCAAGTATTCTGCTGTTCGGACAAGCATTGGCGATCTCAATGACACTGGCTGTCGCTTGTGACGAATCTTGCCCAGCCCCTGCAGGGTAGATTATATCTACGAGCTGGACATCCATCTGCGCCTGCAAGCTACGAATGACGGGCGTGCAAGGCTTGCAAGCGCCTTGCGGTTCGCCCGTGCCTCGCACCTGAAGAACCATTCGTTCCGTGCATTCGACTTGGCCGGCGGACGTAGCATGAACGCGAAGAAACTTGCTCGTCGATGCTGCCTCTCCGGTATGGTTCCCATTAGCAAGCTCGACTCGTTGCATGATGTCGAGATTGACATCGACATCGGCGGGAGCTGCTTCGATCAATGCGAGCGCAGTAGCAATGAGAGTCAATGTGAAGCGCATCTTTTCCGACACAATCGCACAACCGGGTAGTGCTCGCGTCTGCTCGGCTGAGTATAAGGGTCTCAGAGGTCATCGCCTACTGCCTGTGAATGCCGCGAGGCTTACAAGGCGACACCGCCCTGGCGCACGGCCGCGGCGTCTCTCGAAGCGAGGTCGATGCCTATTGACGTCAGCTGCATCGGCAATTCGCAAATCGGCAGACGTCGCGCATCGCTGCGCTTGTCGACATACTCCGCGACTCGATGACATGGTGTTGTAGCTGCCAAGCAACGGGCACGCAACAGTCGCCTGAGCGACGTAGCGTGTCGATATCGATGCAGCTCGATCTTGACATATCGAGCTGGACCTCGTTAACATGTTCACGAGCTATCTGACGGTGCTGGCGCTAATCTCATTCGCATTCTCGATCGATGCGCAGTGCGCAAAACGCCGAGTCATTGTCTCGCGCGGTACTGGTGTAAGTCTGACCATTCACCACTCGACAACAACTGATGTAGCGCGTCCCGCCAGGAACTGCCCGGCACATGTTCAGCATGTACGCCTGCGATTGACATAGCACGGGCAAAGTTTCCAGACATCGAGATCGTCAATGTAGAATATCCTGCCGGAGTGATGCAAGGTATCTCATGGCAACCCGGCCTGTCATTGCCACATACTGATGACCAAGCATAGATACATCTCAATGCGTTCCTTTCATCGTCAAGGCCGTCAACGATTGCCCACAATCGATCAATGTCCTCATAGGCTACTCACAAGGAGCAACATGCACGATCAGAGCCCTCGGCCAATTGCACAACAACAGTCCTCATATCTCTACGCTCGTTTTTGGCAGTCCTTGTGCCACATCGGGCGAGGCTGGCCTCGTCGACGCGACCGGTAAGCCCACGAAAGCGACAGGCTTGGAAACGCTTGCCGGCTGCCGTGTACCCGAGCCCTTCTTCTCCGATAAGAACCGTCTACTCGATATCTGCGCGTCGGCCGATCCCGTATGCGGGTCAGGCGCGGGCGGGCTCGGACTCGGCTCCATGGGAGGCGGATTAGGTAGCATGCTCGGCAAAGGTTTCGGTAGCGGCGGTAGCGGTGGGTTGGGCAGCATGCTCGGCAAAGGCTTGGGCGGCGGCGGGGGATCCTCCCCTTTTTCAGGTGCCCAAGGTGCTGCTGGCGGTATGGGAAACAGTCTCGGTAAGCTGCTGGGCGGCGCAGGCAAATCGAACCCGTTCGCTAGCGCTGGCGCGGGCGCTGGAGGCAGCTCAAACCCATTGGGGAGTTCGAGCTCACTTAATGGTGCGGGTGGGGAGCTCAGCTCGCTGATCTCAGGCGCACGTAGCAAGTTAGGGTTCTTGCGTGTCAAGCGCCAAGGTCATCTGGGCTATGGCTTTGGTCAGGTACCGCAGATGGCTGGCGACTGGCTCGTTCAGCGATTTGACGATGTCTAAACCATCGATGCATCATAAAGTGGATACAGATGTGCCCATTTTGACTGTGTCTATGAGTTTGCGAGCTGCGACAGCGAAAATGCTGCTCTGGCGCGTATCTGTCAACATGTTGCGTGCACGACTTGCCGCTAGCGAAGATGATTGACGCGACGCAAAGCCTGGTGTCATTCGTCGCCTGAGCCAGGCTGCAACGGAGAAGAGGAACAGCGTTGCCGAGAGAATCCGAAGCGGATCATTCATTGCAAAGGCGCCGAGGTAATGCTGAAGGAAGTATCGCAATGTGCCTGTCTGCACGGCCGCTTCTTGTTGATTGGATTGCCGCATAAAGCCTGAGAGACGATTGCGCATCGATGTGAAGCCCGTAGCGACAGGCTGACCTTCCTCCTCGAGTGGAGGCTCGCTCGGCTTAGATGGGTCGCTCTGCGAGCTAGACTCGGCACGCTTGTCGTTCTTCCGCGCCTGCTTCTCCGTCTTACGTGCTGCTGCTGCTCGCTGCTTCTCAGCTGCTTGCTCTTCGTCTCTCCGCCTTTGCCTAGCTTCTTCAGCAAGCTGCAGCTCGCGCCTTCGCTGATCTTCCCATTCTGCAGCTTTGTTGGATCTCAGACTTTGTAGCTCGTCGAGAAGGGTCTGGATTGCCTTCAGAGCAAATTCGCATGATGGCACTGGATGCTTACATCGACCTTGGCTTGTCTGAGTAAGCCACCGTTGGCGCGGGCAGCCAGCCGGACAAATTCCTCGGCTTCGTCCCATTGATTCAAACGAGGCAGGACAGCCAAGCTGAAGACCTCGAGAATCCTCTCGAAAGAGACAAGCGATGCTCTAGCATCCTCATCGATGCTTATTGAAGCAGACAAGCTCGACTGGCTCGCAGACGCGGGCAGCGTCATTGAGGAGGAGGGCGATAGGACGGAAGTCTGGAGTGATTCATGATCTGCCTCGACCTGAAGATTCGTACGCTCCAGCTGAGCTTCCAAGGCTGGCGTGAGGCTGCCCAGCCAGGCTTCTATAATGTTGCGAGCAGCTAAAGGCGCGTTCAGCTTGAGAGCGCCCAAAGAGGTTGCAACGATGACGGAGGGCGGTACTGCGCCGACGTCCGCGGTAGCGATAGGCATCGAAGTGTCGAGTGTGTCACGCGTGTGCGAAGGCGAGAAAGTAGCCAGAGCATGACTGTAGAGCGCATAGACGATCTTGTCGGCTTGCTCGTTCTTGTCTGGTGTCGTCCGCACCGCTGTCTTGCCTTTGGCAGTCACGAGAGCATACAATGGCTTGATCCAAGCATGGGCTGACACAGATCCCGGTAGTGATGCATCTGAGTTGAGCACGTCGGCCAGCAACGTCGCCAGAAAGGTGATCCGTAATATCTCAAACTTGCGTCGATGAGCTGCAGTCCAGTCCTGTGAGCCGACTGGTGATGCAGATGCGTCATCGAGGATGACATAGGCCTCTGTGAGTGCATCTAGCGTGACTGCATGATCCTTGAGGACGAACGCTTGGGCGGCAGATCGATAAAGCGAACGCAGCCGTACCGCTTCAGTCGTCTCTTTTGGCGAGAGCAAGCCTGCCGAGCCTTGCTTGAGGCTAGCAGATCGACCGCTGCTTCGCCTCGGTCTCGCTCGCCCGTTGGCTAGGGCAAGAGCGCTCATTTGGTCCAAAGGTCGTCTAGCACGTCAGCACACGCGTCAAGACGATCTGGGTCAAGACGACGAGCGGCATCAGAGGCAAGGAAAGGTGCATTGAGTCATCGCTTGAAGAAGCCTTTCTTCTCAGGCTTACTAGCAGCTTTCGCGAGCTTGTCGAGCTCCTTGCGAGCTTTCTTGTCATCTTTGCTCTCTCCTATCCGACCGGTCGACTGTCCAGAAGCACCGCTCTGTAAGCTCAGAACGGATGAGCGTGAGCTGTCATAGAACCCATTGGGGGGCTGTTGAGCAGCAGAGCTAGGCTGCCTCATCTGCGGAGGTGCAGGCGCTTGGCGGGGAGCAGGCGCAGAGTAGCCATTTGATGCCATTGGCTCGGGCGGTCTCTCCATTCGCCTAGGATCCTGTGGCGGTCGCTTCGGCGAAGGCGCAGGGATTTGAGGTCGCATCTCTTGCTCCGGCCTTTGCGGGTACGGAAACGAGTCGATCTTGCGCATCTCGGTCACGAAAGCTTCAGGCGTAGAGATATGAGATGATCCTGCTCGCCGATATCAGCACGCGATCACGACTATCTGAGCTGAGAGACTGCGCGACTGACCAAGCAGTATGTCTTTGCTAAGCAATTGGGATAATTGGTAGACCGTCCTGACTTCTGCGTAGGTCGCACCGCCTGCAACAAAGACGATGGCGCGTTGTCGAGGTGCATTAGCAGGCTTGCCCTTTCGATCTGTCCACCGCGGCCGAGTGCTCCGAAGGGAGGCAGGTGCAGCTACTGCACCCGGTCGCACGTCTTTTGCGCCTTGCGTCGTCGTTGTGGGCGGATTTTGTGTGTACGGAAAGGTTGTCCGGTCAAGTCGGTTGGCAAAATGCTCTTCGAGCATGTATCTGACTGCTGGTTGGTAGCGTGAGATGTCATAGGCGTCTTCCGGACTGGTCTGTTTGAACAGCGGCTTCTTCCGTTTGCTCGTGTCCTGCGCGCGCAAGCCAACTATGAGCCAGGATACTGATGAGTAGACTTGTGCTGACCTTGGACACTTCTTGCCCGAGATGGCGCAAGTTGTCAACAGAGTCCATCTCGTGCAGAGCCAGTCGAGCATGTTGGTAGAGACGCTTGCGGTCTTCTTCCGGCACGCCATCTCGATGGAGAATGTAGAGTGCGATGATGCGCACTTTGTCGAGATTGCTCACCGAACGATCGTCGAGTAATGGGACCATCTCCTCAACAAGCGTCTTTGGTGTCTTGCCATCGGGCGTCATACCAGTTGCACAGCACTACCATCTCCAAGTCACGTCAGCGCCGGAGACTCGTATGTCAGAGTGGGCTCGCCTGCTCCACCGACGCTGTGAGGGGCAGCTTCTTCTGCTCGAATAATCCCATACACTTTTCTGCCATGTCCAGATGGAGCGAGAGCTGACAAGAATGAGCGAGCATCAGCAAGCTTTGCTAAGAGATGGCGATATGCTTGCCTTCTCCTTGGCGTCTTTCATGCCCGGTAGACTCGCGAGCATATCACGCAGATCGTTCAAGCTCGTCTGCGTCTCGCCATACAGTCCACTCTGCTGCCCTTGATACTGCTTAAAGGCAGCGATGAGTTTATCGAGGGCATCCTTCATGTGCATATGTCGAACGTCTGTCCAGATCTTGTCCTCGTCTGACAGCACAGTCGCTTTATCTTCTCGTTGTCCTTGAGCATTGGTGAAAGTATGTACGTAGTGGGTGCCATCCTCGATCTTGAGCAAGTCGTTGCACATGGCTTGGTAAGTGAATTCGTGTAAGAAGGGACTGGCTAGATCCATACTTCGATCGGTCACAAACAGTATCCCTCGCGGTCTTGGCGGATCGGGTGCGGGCGGAAAGTCGGCATTATCTCGACAATAGGCGTCCATTGCTTTTTGTACTTTCATCGCTAGCCTCTTGGAGACAGGCTCGCCCACGACGGCAGCTGCGCCGATAGGTTGAGCGAGATAGGAGCTCGGCGGATCGAAGTACCGTATCTCAGGATACTCGCCTAGTGTCGTCAGACAGTTGACGATGCCCCTACATGTACGCTCGAGCTCGTTATTCCATACTGCTGCAGCCTCGTCTTGTCCCTGTCTACCCGGGCCGGGCGGTGCGTAAAGTATCCTCAATGAATCTCGGTTCCGCCTAGACGTGGTAAAGATCTGCGCTTCGACAGCTACGCGTTACACATCATCAGCATTATCAAGCAGAGTGGTAATGTGACGTACGCCAAAAGTTGATGTAGATCTCTTGCACATTGAGCAAGTACGACTGAGGCAGGCCGGCATCGAGCTTGGCCAGCAGTGCATCATCGAGAGCTGCACTTCGGTCAGCTGGGCATGCCTCGGCTCAAGCAGAGGACGTACTTTCGATGAAGAACAGATGGACTGCTCTGTAGCGCGGCACGGTATCTTGCCCAGTAGGCTGAGGAGGCGGTACTTGTTTGCCCTTGCTTCTCGAGCTTGGAACAGATGGCATTGCTGGTCTGTGCACGAGAGCAGCACAATCAGTGCTCGTTGAAGTGAGCAGGAAGGACATCGTGCTTGCCTGACAGGAGCAAAGTCGCGTAGGACAAGTTCGACATTATCTCGTGTTGGCGCAAGGATATAGAGCGCTTCGAGCGAAGGTGACTTTGACCGAGCAGTATCGTTGATGTTCTCAATCTCTGTCGACATGTGCTGCGAATCAGTACTCGCCAAATGCTGACCAAAGGGAGCAAGTTCACGTTGGACATTCTCCTCGAGTACGTCGTATGTCTTGAGGACAGTGTTGAGATGAGCCGTGACATGATTGTCGAGCACGACAATCTTCCACCTGTTCGCTGGCTTGACGCTCCTGATGCTCTCCAGGTAGCCTGCTTGACGTTATGAGCTGACGGGAGCGCGCACACGAGCTCGAGACCGCACGACTCCGGACAAGTTCGATGACGGAGAAGCCGCTCATTGCTCAGCAGCGAGCTCTTCCTCCCGTCTAGACTGGACCGTCTTGCGGCTCAGTGTGAGCTCGGCACTTGAGCAAGCGAGTCGACTCGGCCGAGTGACGCGAACGGCGCGCGGCCAAAGCAATCCTGTCGACCAGCGAGCGCTACAGCGATCACCTCACACCATTCTCAACGACTCAATGGGTCGATAGCGTCGCAGTCCGAGCCTCAAGCGGTCTCAAGATGGTGCTCTGTGCAGTTTGCAGTGCACAGGAAGCTAGATACACGGCGCCAGGCTCGCGCAAACCCTATTGCTCCGTGGCATGCTTCAAAGAGCTCTCCCAGCCAGCGCAGCCGAGCAGCACTACCGCATCGGCTGAAACTCCATCAAAAGATCTGCTGAACTCTCTCGAGCCGATCAAGACGACCACAGAGCAAGATGCAGCGCAAGTCATTGATAATGAGAAATTGCCCGCAGAGCCAGAGCCTGCAGAGGAGGCTGCGCACGCCGTCCTTGACGATGCAAACGAAGGCCGAGACGCTATGACGCCAGTCACAAAGCCTAACAGCGAGAAACGAGCTCGAGCCGAGGCAGACGACGGGCCAGGGGAGAAACGCGTGATGAGATCATTGGCGAGCTTGCACTACCCTCCCGAGCCAGATCCCCAGATTTTCGAAGACCCACTGCAGCGAGACGATCCGAAGCCGTTGCGTCGTAGCGAGCTGCTTGCTATAGGTCAGCCCCAGGACCAATGCGTCGTATACCGATGTACTGATAGCACGGCAGCTACATCGCCCGAGATCAGACGCCTGTTTGCGATTGCCGACTCTGCACGCGCAGAGGGCCGACCGATGACGCCGCTTGAGATCCGTTTGCGACCGTTGCCAGGTCTTCTGACCAAGCTGAATGCCGTACCTGATTTTCGACCGCTCTTGCCGAGAACGAATCAGATGCGCGAATTGCTCAGGCTGCCACAAGCAGAACAGCCTCTCGGTCTCAATGGTACTCGCTCCCTGCCGAGAGAAAGAGGTCACAGAGGGCGAGGGGGTCATCATGCACACGATCGAGGGCATAGAGGTAGGGATAGCGAGTACGGCAGACGGCAAAACGGTTACGAAGGACGACCCAAGTACGATCGCTTCACTGCCGAAGAGAGGAGTGCTTTCGAGGTCTTCAGAGAGACGCTCGACAAGGTCCTCAAGGCGCATCGCGAGCCACGGAGCTCGCTGGTGCAGGAGCAGCCGTAGCGACGCGTGGCATTGCACATGCACGGCCAGGTTCGCACGCTCTCGCGCCTATCGTCGTGCAGGACAATGTGGAAGCCTGCCGACCCCAGTGCTTCGCTATACGAACTCTTGGTCTCAGACGAGATGCCGCGTTCGATGCGAGCGCGCAGGCTCAGGCACCGACCGATCTCGCGTTTCAGTTGTCAGACCGTGCTGTACGCTCGCATCTGTTGTTGATTGCGCATAGCTTGTAGCACTCGTTGTCAGCCAGCCTGAGGACCCGATCGGACGAACGAGCGCCCTGACATGGCAGGTGAACCTCAGATCAGTCACGTCGATCCCTCGAAACAGAGCAGCGAGGTCCATGCAGCCAGCGTGACGGCCAGTCCGCACGAACAGTCGGCCAGTCAGCTCGGAATCTACTCGGGGCTTAGCCTAGCGACAGAGATACCCTCCGGCAGACTATCAGCCGTCGAACTACCCCACAGTCGAGCGTCTCCTCTCGTTCTGCCCACAAGCCATCTGGCTGTCGGTCTGCCAGACGTGGACTCGTTCGACCTGCGACCGCCCAAGAGCGTCTTTGTTGAGCATTACACGACCCCATCGGTGATGACGACGAGGAGTGAAGCGAACTCGGCAGGTAGTCAGTCTCAAGATGTGAGACAGCTCGACAGCTCGCCAGATCAAGCTGGCCTTGCAGCCTTTCCCCTACCACCAGGTCTATCAGGCACGACCTTCAACGCCGTGGCAGGCATGGGATCAGGTCTCAATGGTCTCGAGAGCAGTCAGGTTCCAGCAGAGAATGGGCTGCCCAAGGCCATCCCGTCAACGATGTCGAAAGCGCTCGAGCAGGATCGCAATGGACACAGGAATGATGCCGTGATGAGTCCTGCAGGAGCTATTGCAGCTGCCTTTGCGAGTCGGACGAACAACGAGCCAACGACTCCTGCGAGTCCCTCCAAGGTCAACGCACGAAATGGTACATCTCAGCATACTACGTCAGGATCGACAGGCTCAACGGCACCAGATTCGGCGGCCTCGCCTAGCCTATCAGGATCCAACAAACCAGTCAAACAGCCTGCCACAATCATCACGTATCAGAGCCGGTCTGTCAAAGCACGTATAGACAGGAATGTGCCTGTTGAGGAGATCATACGGCAGCTCTGCGCTTCTACTCAGCTCATGGTCAAGGAACCTTCTTCGCTCTTTGCGGTCAGGACTACGACCAGCAACGAACTCATCACAGACGACAATCTCATCTCGGTTCTCGAGAGCGCCCAGACCTGGAAGCTCGTTGCAAGTCCGACAGTCGAAGCCGCAGAGATGGTAGACAAGCTTGCCAGTAGCGACGAGAAACTCGTCAAAGGCGCAACGTTTGCCCTGCGCAACCTTGTCCATGTTCGCGGCCTCCCCCTTCCTCTGCACTTGCACTCATGCTGTCCATGGTCTGACAGGAGAAGCCATTCACGATCCAGTTTGCAGAGCGCGGTGGCATCCTCGAACTGCTAGCCGTCATACAGTCCTCGAGTGGCAACAGCCTGTCATACGCACTAGCTGCCCTGCTCTCGCTGCTCAATATCGACTTTGCTTGGAACGACCTCGACAGCGCCTTTGTGCACCGTCTTCTCGACATTCTCCTCGGCCAATCACTCGTCAATATCTGTCGGCCCGCTACCTCCATCTTGACTCTCCTGCTCAAATCTTCCTCGTCACCTTTGCCAGCTTCTACATCGATTCTCAATGAACCCGGTCAGCAGCCGATCATGCGCTTAGTGTGGGACGCAGTCAGACGAGAAGACCGCCTGGGCCAGGTACTGATCTCGCGCCTAACGAATGGCGACGCCACCCTGACCGGCGTCACGATGGAGCTCATCAACGCTATGCTGGCCATGGCGCTACAAACGAATGACGAAGTCATGATAGATCGATTTGACGCATTAGATTATGGACAGGCTTGCGCTCGTATACTCGATGTCGAATCGAGCGAAGAAATTACTCAGGCAGCGCTCAGTTACCAGAATATGCTTATTGCGCGCTATCACGCAGAACAATCAGTGCCCGTCTCGCTCGAGATCGAAGCACATAGAGATATGTTACAGCAGATCATAGACAACACCGGCGTAATCCGCTCAGAGGAAACGTGGCGTTACCTCGGTCTCGAATCGGACGACGTAGTCAACTCGTTCGGCGCAGTTGGCGCTTATGGCCTTCGGTTACTCTACCGTTTTTGTTCGTCGCACAACTTTGATCTCAGAGCGATGTTGGCCGAGCAAGATTCGAAACCCGCAGATCGACATTGTCCGCTTGCACTCGCAAGCAATGACGTAGCGCTATCTATTGCCAATCTTTGCGGTTTCACATCCCTACCGGTCGCGGGTCAGCCAGTGACAGACTATCGACCTCTCACGCTAGTTGTTGCTCGCACTCATGAGCTCGCTCTGCGTTTCTTCCATCGGATGTGGAACGAGAGCAAGGCATCACTAGAGGACTTCACGAGGATATCGGGCCTTGTGCAGAGTCAGCTCAGGTCTGCTATGAGCGCCAAGCAGTCCGAGCTGGACATTCTCTTCGTCAAAAGCGATTTCAGATCGGTTAGGGAAAAGCAGATGCGCGAGCTCGGCACAGAAGACGATCTGATGCAAAAGGCTCCTATTCGTAGCCTGCGCGCAAGGCTCTACAAAGAATCCTTTGACTTTATTAGATCACAACGCATGAATTGTATGAAACGAGGCGCCTGGTTCAGCATACCGCTCGCGCTGACGACTCCGAACAAGAAGATCGCACAGAAAAGCTGGCGATTCTGTCGGCTCACTGCGAATGCGAGATACCTATGTTATACTGACGCGATAGAGCCCCACGACATTCGGCCAGGTATGGATGACTTGCTATCAAGAGGTAGGCCTCGAACTGTCATTCAGGTCATGAGCTGACATACGTGCAGTGGATCTCAATGAGATGACGGATGTCACACCCCTTGCGCCTTCGCCTACTCTCACACGAAATCGGACCAAGTCGAATCCTGGCTTAGACACAGCAAGTTCTGCGCTCGGGCTCTCGCTTGCTTCGTCTTCTGGCAAGCTACTCGAGCTCGTTGCGCGATCTAATCATCAGTATGCTGAATGGCTCGATGGCTTGTCACTTCTGCGGCCCAACGGACCCATCAAGACAAAAGAGACATCTGATCTGATCGATCATCTGACAGACGTCAATCTCAAAGTCAAGCTGCTCGATCTCACGTAGGTCAATTGTCTTTCTTATTCGCTTTGCTGACCTTCTAATCACATAGAGGCGACAAGATCACTATTCCCTCTCAGCTGACGGTGCCGGCACCGCCACTGAATTGCAACTACCACTACGCAGACCTCGGCAAGTAACACGGCATGTTGTACCATCATTACTCTTCATGATCATCCAATACATGCAGCGTGAGGTATCTCGACAAGGCGAAGTGGGTTCCACAGCTTGCAGGTAAGAACAACAACAATGCGTCTACTTTGGTTTTCGTGCGATCATGCATCGGGGCTGCTTCTGCTTGCGAGTGACATAGCTTCTGCGTATCGAGCCTCTTCCTGCGCTTGCAGCCTGACAAGCTCGACAGAGACTTTGGAGCGACTTCTGAGGAGTGCGCCATACTTGAAGATGAGGAAAGGGATGACGCCGAGCAGCGTGGCGACAGCGGCAAGTAAGCTGCCTGCGCCGTGTATACCCAGAGCATCGTACATCTGCGACGCAAACAGCGGGAACACTGCGCCCGTGACGTTGCGGCAGAATGACATGACCGCCAGCGCCGAGCTGGCATAAAGGGTATACGCATCCGACAGATAACTGCGCATAGTTGGATCAGCTTTGGAAAGCCTTAAGCGATGCCCGACTTACTTGAACACGGCTAGATAGGTTCCGAATAATCCAATATAGGCGATCGTCAGACCTATGGAAGGTGCTATCCAATGCACGCTTGACCACGAGAGCCAGGTGTAGAGCCAGTATCCGAGAGGGAAGCAGACGGCGGCCACGAGAGCGATGTAAAGTCTCGCTTCGGGTCCCTTTCTTGCAACGTTGTGTAGATATTTGCGGTTGGACCATACGTCCAGTCCGACGCCGAGAAGGGAGCCAACGATCTGCGTCGAGAACACGAGCCCCTGTTCGCCCAAGTTGAAGCCGTAGACTTGGCCGAACACGATCGGAATGCCCTCCAGAAGCAGGTAGAGTGTTCCCCAGGCCATGCTGATCCACAAGGCAAGAGCAGCTAGGATGGGTTCCGTGAAGAGCAGCCTCAGGGGTCGTGTGAGGCTGACAGACATCATGATCCGGAAAGACTCCTTGTCGGCATCTGCCAGACACTGATAGCGATCATCACCTGTCTCTGCGCGAAGTCGCTTGGCTTTGCGAGAAAGCAAGACTGATGCGCGAGTCTCTTGATTGGCAAAGATGACAAAGACTGAGAAGCAAGCCGATGCCGCACTGCCAGTCCAGAATGAGCATATCAAGCCAGAAAGCAGCTGATACTACGCACAACATGATCCAGTTCACCCAGCGGAAGCCAAGGATCATGGCCGGGTAGCCAAGAGCAACAGGCCCTAGACCAGTGAACGCGAAAGCACTGAGGGCAAAGAGCGACATTGGCAGCCTGCACATAATCGGTCAGGTCAAAGAGAAGGCATGCAAAGTTGCGACGAACCCTCGCTCATGCGCGCGCCAGAGGTCTGACAGTGTGCCTCCTACGAGTGCTACTGCCGTGGAGCCACCAATACCGGCAATAAAGCGCGAGACGAGGATGGTGCCAATGTTCTGAGCGAGAGCTTGCGGAACGAAGAATATGGTGAAGATGAGAGCTGATGCGATATAGATAGGCTTGCGGCCGTAGACCTCGCTCAGAGGGGCGAGCAGCAAAGGCGCGCTGCCAAACGTAAACGTGAAGAGGGTGACGCCGAGGATGACGACTTCGCGCGATGCGCCAAGCTTTTCCTGGATGGAGTCTTGTATGATCGCATAGCCTGATGTTGACAGCGAGACGACACCGCAGAAGAGAATGCCAATAAGTGAGATCGTCCACTTGCGGGCTTTTGAGAAATTGAGGGGATTGGCCGGGTCTGTGGGTCCGTCCCAGTCTACCCAGATGGGCGCGTCTGCCTTTTCTGGATCTTTGCCTCGTCCGGAGCGAGATTTGTATAGCTGCGAAGCGTTCTGCAGCTGTGACTGAATGTAACGTTTCGAGGTCTCGATGTCTTCCAGCGGGCCGGTTCCAGCGGTTGTCATTGCGCCATCGCCGCTGTCGTCCCGAGACAGCATGCGCTTGCCATCCGTGCTACTGTCCAATGCTCGCGGCACACAGGCAAAGCCGGATCTGCGAGGCTCCTGGCCGGAATGCGTCTCAGTGGGGCATTGAGGTGCCCGATGCGAGGCGACAGTATCCTCCGAATCGCGACGCTGGCTGCAGGTGCACGAGGGTTCTAGCTCGCCGAGCGAGAGGTTCTCGCGTCCGTAACCGTTGTTTGATTTTCTGTTGAAGGGCGTCAAAGCAGAGGCAGACGGCCTGCGTCTACCAGCACCGAGCGAAAAGACGTTCCTGAGGGACAAGCGACTCGTGCTACGCTCTGGCTGTCGTCTTGCAGTCGACTCACGCTGGTTTGCGGCGCCGTTTGCTGGCAGATCGAAGGAATGGTCTGCCAGGGTCGAAGCGGCAGTAGACTGCATTGATCCGGTGCGCGATCGATGTGCGTCCGACCTTGCATCGATCACGGGCGCGTCTCTACCGGCTGCATTCATAGTGTAGGCTCGTGAGGGTGATGGCAAAGACGAGGGTGAGTCTGGCGCAAAGGCAAAGACGTCGCTGCTACTTGATGCTCGCTGAGATGGACGCCGTGGCAGATGGGCAGCGTCCTCTTTCGCGTGACCGTTTGCATGTTGTCTCGCATGGGCGCCCGACTCGTCAAGCAGCGTCACAGTGGTCGAGGCAGTGTCAGGTCGGGGCTTACTCGAGTCATCGGCCGCGATGACAGCTTGAGCCGGTCGAGGGTGGCTCATTGACCTTGAACGCGCCGAAACGAAGCCTAAGCGGGCTTTCTATCGCTGTGGAGAGTCGCGGTGACCCTGAGGTAGTATGCGCTGGGCACAAAGGCAATGTGAAGCGATCTGAGCTAGTCGACGCCATTCGAGTCAGCAGGGTCTCGATCAGATTCAGCGCCGTAGAGCTCACGTCCTTCGGGCAATACACCGTGATGAGCCTTGTGACTCGTGTCGTCGAGTACTTACTCCTCTGACCAAATAAATCTAGAGCGTACGAGAGCAACTTTATCGGTAGCCGAAACACGGCACAAAGTAGTTTGGCAGAACGATCAAGCGAGCTCAGCGAAAGCGTGGCAGCGAACAATGTTTTTGCATTCGCCACACAGGAAATTCAACTAGACCACTCGTTCTTTGACTATTGATCAGGGAACTCATTCTGTTGAATTACGTGGCTCTCCGACGATATTGCGCATCGGAAGGATTGTTCTTCCGGGAACTGAGCAGCGCAGGCTCTCGACCAGGGTCCGCAAACTAGCCTGAATGCGTCGAAAGGCGCCTGTGACCATTCCGCTTCCCCTGCGAGTGTTCTCATCAGATTCGCAAGCAAGGATTGATCGATGACGCACATCGTGTGACTTTGATTGATATCACTGCGTTAAAGTGAGCTTTACAGCAGGCCGCATCTAGTCGATGGCAGGGGTCAGTAGGCGAATGCATGAATGAGTGGTAGCGACGCACACATGGGAGGTGGCCATTTTACACCCAGATCGACAACATACGTGTCATCCTGCAGCTGGTGCGATCGTAGGTCGAGTGTGACGCTCGCCGGGATGTCAGTATAGTAAAAGTTGACGCTACGTAGATCGGCAGCGATGGTGAACGTGAGGCTCCCAGTCGTGACAGGTTGAACTATCCAGGGACATTGTGCAGTCTCGTAAAAACGAACGTAGTAGTTCCTGCGAGGGCTCGAATATCAGCTTGAACCCAATCACGGTCATTGCTGATCCACTGGAAATTATACTGGAGTTGAGATACTGTGCGAGCAACATAGACAGAAAGCCATAGAACGACGCAAAGGTAAAGCATGACGCTGTGTCTCTCCAAATTTTCCTGTCGTGCTGGCAATGGAGCAGGGCCCTGTATTTGCATAGCATGCTTGGACAGGTGCTCGATGTAGGGGACATGTCTCGGTCGTCAACGTTCGTCAGGCGTCCCGACAACAGATAGGTTTGCATCACTGCAGTCGTCGTCGTGTAGACGTACACTGTCTGCGTCGAAACAGCAAGGGTACATGCTATAATCCGATCGTGCTTCCTCGTGAAAGGGAGTTGTTGAGCTCGAGTGCGAAATCGTCTAGATCGTCATCGTCGTCATCGCTACTCGAATTGTCGCTCGACGTATCGCCCTCGGAGTCTGCGACAATGCTTGCAGGTATGGAGCTCGCTGATGACGCCGGCTTGTCTTCTAGCTGCGCCATAGATGCTTTCGAGCGCTTGACGACGCGTTCATTGGATGAACGCGTTATTGGTTCCGCAGCTTTTCGCTTCGGCTGCGGTTGTGGTTCGTCAAGCACGACGATGTTATCAATGACATGGATGATGTATGACTGCTCTTGCGTCAGTGCGCTTATACGGCACATGCATCTTGTCGTGCTCACCTCGGTGGGTTCGTCGTAAACGAGAACGACTTCTGCTTCAATGTCCTGCTTGCTGGCTCGCAACTGACTGTCCGTGATCGTGTCGAGCAAGACTGCCGCTCTGCTCGTCTGCGAGATCAAACGTGCTGAGGAAGGGCCCTCTATCATCTCATGAGATGAGACGATGATCTGCTTCGAGTCTACGGACATACCTTGTATGTCGAGATATGTCGTCCTCTCGCTGCTTGTGTGGATCCGCACTGGTATGGAGGGGGATGTCATCGCATGTCGCAATGAAGGCTCGATGATGTAATCGCTGTTCGCCTATCGACAGCGAACAAACGACGCGACGGCAAGCGGCAAAGGCGGCAGCGCTACAGCATGGCGGCATCCTCTGCTGGCTTACACATCCCCGTCGGAGCTCGTGTCACGCTCCCAGCGGGCGATGGCGTCGTTCGCTATGCCGGCACCACCGAATTCGCAGCAGGACGATGGGTCGGTGTCGAGCTCGACATGGCCACGGGCAAGGTCAGTCAACGAACACTTTGCAGACCGTCAAGCTCATACGAGTGCAGAACAATGGGTCTGTGGCAGGTAAGGTCTACTTTGAGACGGAAGAGAACAGGGGCGTCTTTGTCAGGCCAAGCCAGGTCAAGCTTGCAGCAGGCTCAGAGGCACGTCGATGCCTGCCACTACAGCAGAGCCAGCTGACGCGAGCATCGACGGACAGACAGTGCGCACATCTCAGCGAGCGGCCGTTGTTACGCCCAGCACGCCCCGCGCTCGTCCGACAAGCATCGCAGGTGCTGCTACGCCCGCAACAGCAAGCACGCGTCGAACTGCAGCCACACCGTTGCGCTCCGGTCTGCCTGCTCGAGCACCATCCACGATAGCACGCTCAACGGCACCTTCATCAGAAGCATCCACACGTCCCCCTTCAGCCGCATCAATTAGATCGTCGACAGAGGCGCCTGCACGCTCCGCCATCGCACCTCGACCCACCGCTCGTGTGCCAGCGCCTATATCGACTCGCAAGCCTGCAGTAGCTTCTGCACTCGCTTCTGCTCGTGCTGCTGGTCGACTTGGAGCGCCCAGCACGCCAACGGCTCGCGATCCTATACGCCCGCCCGAAACGCCAAGTGCCGAACGGACGCCTGCAGCACCTCCATCGCCACTGCCACCTCCCGATGTACATCCTAGAGCCCAGGGTGATGCTGAGGAAGATACCCTTGCCCAACGGCAGGCAGAGTCAGCCGAGATAGCGCGGGCGCCGAGCACGGATCCTTTCTCGATTGCTCTGCCTGCTGTCGCCCTCAAATCAGAACAAACCGTCCCACTGCGTTTGTTCGAAGAAGTTCAAGCAAAGATGCGAGTGCTGGAAGCACGCAGAGCAGACGACAGGGATAAGCTCCGTGATCTTGAATCGATGCAAGAAGAATTTGCCCTTTCCGAGCAGCAGAAGCTTAAGCTGCAAAGCCGCGTCACTGCGCTACAAGATGAGCTCAAGAAGGCGCACAGCGATGCAAAGGCGGCAAAGATGGAGCGAGACGACTACGAGAAGCAATACACCGATCTTGCAGATCAAGTCGAGATGACGACGCTAGACAAAGAAGTAGCCGAGGAAAAGGTCGAAGTGGCAGAGGGAGCGGCAGAAGCGCTGAAGGAACGCGTTGCCGATCTAGAAACACAGCTCAAGACATACACCGAAGAGAAGAGCTTGGGCACGGACACGGACGGGGAGCTTTCGCTCGATGCTCGTCAATTGCAGAAGCAGAACGATCGACTCAAAGAAGCATTGAGCAAGATGAGAGACGTCTTTGCGGAATCAGATGCAGAACATAGGAGGAAGCAGAACGAGATGGAGAAAGAGCTCGATCTCAACGCGGAATTGCAGACAGCATACGACTCGACTGCTGCAAGGCTCGAAGAGACTGAGGCGCTCGTTGAAGATCTCAAGCAGCAGCTCGACGATGCAGTCGGTGCAGAAGACCTGCTTGAGGATCTCACTCATCGCAATTTGGCATTGAGCGAGGTGCGTGGCGTGGTAATATGTAGCAGATTAGTGTCTGATCCTGCCCCTGCGCGTGACAGAAATTGGAGGAGATGCGAGCCACGGTCGAAGATCTGGAAGCTCTGCGCGATCTCAACGAAGAGCTCGAAGAGACGCACTCCGATAACGAGAAGCAGCTGCAAGAGGTCATTGGTGCGTGACACTAGCTTTTCATGACCTTGCTTACAAGCTTTCATCTCAGCTTACAAGGACACGCAACTTTCCGATTTACGCCAACGCAATGAAGGCCTCGACGAGGCTTTGCTTGACCACGAGCAGACCATACGCCAGTTCAGGGAGCTTGTTGGCTCGCTGCAGCTCGATCTCGAGCAGCTCAGGACGCAGCACCACAGTCAGCGCTCGGAGACCGAAGCGCTGTCGAGCCAGACAAAGGCAATGCAATCGCTCAATCTGAAGCTACAATCGAACGTGTCTCGTGCTCAGGTTAAGCAGATCGATCTCGAACTTCGTCAGATGGAAGCAATGCAGGCTCGCTCGATGCTCGAGATCTACAGGCCCTATCTGCCTACATCGTTCTTCGATGTCGATGGCGCTGCAGCAGAAGCGCTGCAGTTCTTCCGCAGACTCGAGAGCAAAACGAGCATACTCGCGACAGTGTTGTCGCAGAAGCACCGCATCTCAGACGCCCTTGTCGAAATTATACCGGACACGCTCGTGATAGCCTGCGCAGCTCGAAGTCGGCTTGTCGTCTTTACTCAGCTTTGCAAATGTCTGGCGGTCAACATGACTCGATGCTCCTCAACGACATTTGTCGACATGGCAAAGGCATACAAAGAGGTACACAATGTCGAAGCGATCGTCGATGGCTTTGTGGAGCAGAGCAGGCGCGACGATCTGCACGAGGCGGACTGCTTTCAGTCTTTGGGCGGCTGTGTGGCTAGCGTCGCTCATTTGCAGGAAAAGAGTTTTGGCCGAGCAGGCTTTGATGCGACCGAGCAGCAGATCGGTCGACTGAATGCTGCGGACGCCAATCTCGATCTTCTCATTGCCGGGCTAGGGTTCACAAAGCAGGCGATCGCACTGCAAAGTACCGCAACAGATCCTACGGTGTTGGAACAGCTCACACAATCGACCTTTACACCCTTGCAAGACTTGATCAATGCTGCTAGGAAGACAAAAGTAGCACTTCGTAAAGTGCACTCACTGCTTGGCGATCTTGAGGCAAAGAGTAAAGTCTACAAGGGCGGATCGACTGCGGCTGGCCAGATCGACATCTTGTCGCAAATTTGGGCAGGACTTGCTCATCAGGTACGCAGCTCATCCTGCGCTGCGCGGTAAAGGGCTGACACATAGCGCAGCTCGCGGACCAGGTGATACAGAAGCGACAGGCGCAGCTCGCGGGTGACAACGTGCAGATTGATGCGAATGCGCTTCTGTCCTCTCTCTCGGCGGGCTCCGAGAATACCGCACTGCCAAAGACACTGTCTAATTGGGCGGCATCTTCTGCTTTGCTTGGCACAGGTCTTGATGCTCTTTGCGTAGAGCTCGCACAGCCTGCGCTGCTCGAAAAAGGTACGACTCCGATGCTCTTAGCATGATTTGACTGACTGGCTCGCAGTCACTTACGAGCCGCCGTGGATTCTGCGAGCAGAGGAGCTGAGGCGCTTAGCAGCCACGAAGCACGAGGCGCATGACAAGCTCGTGCTACTGACCGAAGATGTCAAGCGGCTCAACCTTGAGATCACTCATCGCGATAGGACGCTCGATGAGACACATCACAAGACTGAACTGCTCGAGCAACGACTGGGCAAGGCAAAAGACCAAGCGGACAAGATCATGCAGCTCGAGGCAGATATAGAGAAGGCGCGAAGACAAGAGAAGACGACGACGGACAGTTTGGGCGCGCTTCATGCAGAGCTCGCCAACCTTGCGCAAGAAAATGATAAGCTGAAGAAATCTGTTTCGACGCCGACGCCTGCCGATGCAGTCAAGCAAGATGAGCTGGGGGCGTATCAGGGGTCACTGGAAACGAGCCAATTACTCCACAAGATAGAATCACTGCGTGTGGCCGTTCGACATCTACGGAGCGAGAACGGCGTCCTGAGATCTCAAAGTCTCATGAGTGATCTCCGCGAGCTACCGAGATACAGACCTGCTGCTCGTCCGGATCCGGTACGACGAGAGATCCAATCAGAGGCCAAGCTATTGCTCAGACAGGCAGCGTTACTCTCGAGCTCTTCCGAAGTAGTTGACTTGTCGATCGCACCATCTGATAAAGGCTGGCGATCGCAAAGCACGGAGCCGAGGGAACAGCTCGCGCGTTCGCGGTACGCCACCGAGCAGCTTCGCAACAGGATCCGGGACTTGGCGGACCGAGCAGCCGATGCAGGCTTGCGTAGTGTTCCTCTGTTGACATGATGTTGTTGCTACGCTCTGTGCATGTGTGTACAACAACATTGTGGGTGCGTCGCTCTCATTGTCGTCCGGGATTGAGCATCGGATTTAGCTCGTCGTCTGCTTCGGAAGCTTGGGAGATACTGAGCAGTCGCCGCAATTCCGCATTTTCGTGGCGGAGTTGCTCCAGCTCGATCTCTCTATCGAGTGCCAAGTCTTTGTTGCCTCTGAGACCCGAGAGCAGCGTCAGGTAGCCGCCCCCGCTCGTAGGATCGCTATGGGCTGCCTCGTGATTCGTGCCCTGGCTACTCGATGAGCCCGAGGCAGACAGGTGAGACGATTGCGGCGAGGCAGCCTCTTCACCGCCTTCGCCCTCGATTGCTCTGAAAGCTTTTCGCACGAGTTCCGACAGCCTCGTGAGATGATGCGAGAGTGCAACGGGATCTTGCAAGAGGGCATTGTTGGGCTGTAGCAAGGCTTGGTGATCGTAGTCGCGTTCGCTTTCTCCTGCCTTGCTCGATTCACTCGAGCCGGACTGTGACGCTTCGGTCGCGGTGCTTGCATTGCCATTGGCGCCGTGGCCGAACAGGGGATGGCTTGGCGGTATGGGTAAAGCCCCCAGCGGCGCAGCGCCGGCGAGTAAGGCCTCGTAGTGTCGCGCGACTTCGAGCTCGTACTGCTGAGTAGCATGCTATCCTCGCTGGACACTTCAGCTCTGCACACTGCTGAAGACACGAGAGAGACTGACAGCATACGTCCTGAACTTGGCCATGACGGTATCGAGCGAAGTCTCATAGTCCCTCAAAAGCATACTCAGTGCTCTCGTATCGTGTTGAAGTGCCTGATTCTCGAGCACGAGCGTGGCATTGAGCTTCTCGAGGTCGCTATCGAACTTCTCTTGGGAGATGTCGAGGTTGAACCGACGGAGAGTGAAGCCTGCGCCCGTGTGGAGTGCCTGCAGCTTGAGTTCGTCTGTCTGTCGCTTGAGGACATCGCAGTACTGTCGGTTGGCGCTCAGCTGGTGACTGAGCTCTGTCAGGAGCGCCATGAGCTGTGATGCTTCATCCTGTGGCTGCTCAAGCACCGTCATCCTGTCTGGCAGGCTCGCCTGGCTCGGACAGTCGGCGCGCTTCTCTGCTGGCTTTGCTCGGCCTCGACCTTGTCTCGCTATCGGTATGCAGCGCCTAGCCAGCTCACTAGCTCATCAGCTTCCGCGGAGTGCGACTCGTCAGCTGCCAGCAGGAGTCCGCATCAATCTGCTCGTCCAGCGACACTATGCGGAAGACAGCGGGCCAAGGGTGCTCGGCTCGCTCGAGAGTGTGTCCAGCAGCAGCTGAACTGTGCACTGGACCAGGCACTGCGCCAGACGAAACTCTACGATCTCCACAGACTACAAGGTGGCAAGATGGTGCCCTTTGGCGGGTTTGACATGCCCCTCTTCTACAAGACGACAGGCGGCCAAGGCGCGTGTCATGCGCTGTCTTCCTGAGCCGGTCACGTCAGCTCATCGGGACAGTGTCCGAGCAGTGGTCGAACACAAGCATGTGCGCGCCCATGCCGGCTTGTTCGATGTCTCCCACATGGTACAGAGCAAGTTGGTAGGGAAAGGCGCGACTGAGTTCCTCATGCGACTGACGCCCACATCAATCGATGCGCTCGCCTTCACCGATACGCTCTACTCGTCTTCTTTGAGTGTGCTGCTCAATCATGATGGAGGGATACTGGACGACCTGTTGATCACGCGACAAGGCGAGGATGAGTACTATATCGTCACCAATGCCGGCAGACGCGAACAGGATCTTCACTGGATCCGAGAACAGCTCGCCGAATTCAACAGCGCCAATACTTACAACATCCGCTTTGATGTCCTAGAGAAACAGGGTCTCGTTGCTCTGCAAGGTCGGTCGATCGTACGAATAAGGCCGACGTAAGCTCATTGTCCCGACAGGTCCAAAGGCCATGAGGATCCTGCAGCAATTCACAGACTTTGACCTCACCACCCTGCATTTCGGCAAAGCCACCTTTGCCAATGTCGATGGCGTACGGTGTCATATTGCTCGGGGAGGCTATACGGGCGAGGACGGCTTCGAAGTGGGCGTCGCCTCTTTCGAAAAGATCGCTTGCTGAGTCCAATTGCAGATCTCAATACCGCCCAAGGAAACAACGTCACTGTCCAAGAAGATCTTGAGCCATCAGGATGTCATGCTCATCGGACTAGCAGCAAGAGATTCGCTTCGTTTAGAAGCAGGCATGTGTCTCTACGGCCACGATCTCAACGAGACCATCAATCCCGTCGAAGCGAGTCTTGCTTGGATCGTCAGCAAAGCGAGGAGAACGCCAGAGAGCGCGACTTTCATTGGCGCCCAAAGAGTGCTACAGGTACTCAGAGAAGGTCCAGCGAAGCGCCGGGTCGGATTTGTTTGCCAGAGTGCTGTTCCGCGCGAGGGCGCACCGATCTTCACCGAGGATGGATCTGAACAGATTGGCGTCATCACTTCTGGCATCCCTTCACCGACGGCGAACAAGAACGTCTCGATGGGCTAGTGAGTTGTCCTATTCTGCGTACGTGGCTAGTGCTCATAGTGATAAAGCATCAAATCGGGGTATCACAAGCAAGGTACAGCCGTGCAAGTAGCAGTGCGTAGGCAGAACAGGGATGCTGTCGTGGCGAAGCTACCGTTCGTAGAGCCCAAGTACTACAGAGGGTGATTGCATGCTGACGGTTGTAACAACAAATGGCGTGTGTCTAATGTACTCCTGTCTACTAGAGCTTAGCATCCTGCACTGCTTCCCTCAGCTCTGCCGCAAGGATCTTGTCGAATCCTTTCGGATTGTCTAGAAAGACCCAATGACCAGAATGCTGGTTGATCTTCTGCTTGGACCTCAGCTTCTGTAGCTTGACTGCCGCGCTGTCCGGTTTTGCGCGAATGGCGGCCAAGATATCCTCGCCGCCTTTGGGATCCATCCAATCGTGCTCGCCATAGATAAACGTCATCGGCATGTTGAGGCTGTTGACTCGCTTGACCATCGGCCATCGAGCGTACGCGCCCGGGCTGAGGATATGCGCAAGGGCATACTCTCCCGAGCCCTTTTCGCGACAGATCTGTCTTGCTAGTCAGTAAAAGTTGTGATCAAATTTCAGATCCGCTCGCCTCGTATAGGTATGCATACAGCTCTCGCTGAACAGGTGTATCGAATGCAGCGTACCGACGGGTGGCATAGCGAGAGACGAGGGCAGGACCCAAGAAAGTGGACAATCTAACGATCTGAAAGGGCGAGACGTTTCGTTCCCATAACCATGCCCACCACGCATTCGGTCTGGGTAGTTTCTTCGCTTCTGCTTCGTCAGGCTGACTACCTCGTTGCATGTCTATCTGACTCTGCTTGAACTCTGCTTGTGTGATTCGTTCCAAGTTCGCTTGCGACGGTGCAGGATCATCGTAGGGATCGCTTTCGTAAGGTGATTCGGGTATACCGACAGGCGAGACAAGGACGAGCTTGGACACCTTCTCGGGATACTTGAGTGCATAGGCGATCGACATGTACCCGCCGAGCGAATGACCGACAAGCGTGAATTTCTCGATCTTTTCCTTTTGCCTGAGCATCTCGAGCGACTCGACGAAAAATTCCTCGGCTTGTTGGACGCGTGACCGCACATTGGCAGGTGTACGAGGATCACCCTTTGCTTTGATGCGGGGAAAAGAGGGCCGTCCAGATCGACCCATGCCTAGCCAGTCGACTAGATACAATCTCACGTCGTCCTGCGCAGCCATGGCGTGCAGATTCTGCCAGTAGTAAGCCAGACCGCCTCCGTAGCCGTGCAATACTATGACAGGATGTTCTTTGGCATCACGTTCCGGTGTACCGATCTCGACCAAATTAAGTCGTTGGTGCTTGTGCCGATCGTCCAATTGCACGCTGCGCGAGATTGCTAGCTTGCCTGATGATCCCGCTTTGCGGTCCGACTGTGCTTCGGAAGCATTCGCAGCGATAGGAGAGCTCGGAGCGATGTAGAGTGGAATGGAAGGCTCTAAGCCTCGCCGTAGCAGTGCTTCTTCGGCAGACGCGCTCGATGTTGTCGATGTGTTCCACCAGTGCGCAAAACTCTTTGACCAGCTGTGTGGATAGGGCGACACTGTCGCCGCCATCGTACGAGCTCGGACAGCTGCCAGATTGCTAAAACCAGTGCGCTGAAGGATGCCGAGTTGTCAGTGGCGAGCGTTGGCCGGCATTACGCACACGCGTCCGTTTCGGCCGAGCTCGGGCCGAGTTGGTGCCGTACACGTCGTGGCGCATCCGAAACGCCTCATCGCTCGTTGAGTCGACAGTCGAGGAGGAGATGCTATCTGGCTTCCACCGAGATGCTAGTACCTGGCCTCCAAAGCCAGTCATCATCATCACCGGCGGCAACAGGTACCATCTTTGGCTTGCGCTCGCTGGGCAGGAGCTAAGCCTGAGCGCGCAGCGGCGTTGGCTATGGCATCGCGCACAGATTGATCAAACAGCTGGGCAATCCCGATGCGACGGACATCGTCGACGCCTTTCCCGAGCAAGTGCCACTCTCAGCAGAAGACAGCAAAGCGAGATCGCCTTTCTCAACGCCCAATGGTCTCACGCTCGTCTTAGCGTGCCGCAATGCGATCAAGGCCCACCGCGCCTGCTCCAACCTACTCAAGTTGGCCGGCAAGAAGCGACCGGAGGATTATCGAGATCAACAGATGTGGAAGGCAGAGAGGACAAGGCGCGCAATGGCTCAATCTTTCGACAGTGACGATGACGGGTCCGCGCCAGAATCCTCAAAGGCGGCTGCGAGCCGACCGAGATATCTTACACGCTTAGAATACAGGCAGCACTGGCTCGATGGCCTTCGCGTCGAATTCGTGCCCATGGATCTCGCCAGCGTCATAAGTGTATTCGGCACCGTTTCCGCAATTCAGCAAAGGTCTGTTCTCGCGCTCAGAACAGAATGCACGTTGCTTACGCCGAACGAACAGGTATCCATACGTGACACATTTGTATCTCAACGCCGGCTGCGGACCTTTCATCGGCCTCAACTGGGGCGCAGCGTTCTATGCGCTCGCAACGGACTACATCGACAGCGTGACATACCCCAAATACCCCATCGAAAAGACAGGCGAGATGACCAAGGATGGCCTGGGATGGACTTGGCAATGCAACGTCTTCGGACACTATCTTCTCGTCAGTCTTTGTCCTGCTATCGACGACGCATGTCCCTGAGCAGGAAGTGCAGGCGAGAGGGTTGCTAGATCATCTCAACAAGGCACCCTTGCCAGATTCGCGCATCATTTGGACAGGCTCACTGGACGGGCTACCCGAGTTCTACGATCCCAAGACGTATCAGGCTATCGAAGGTGGCAAGGCCTATCAGAGCACAAAATTTCAGATCGGCTTGCTTGCGTGGGCCTTCAACGCGCTCATCAAGGCAGAGGCTCGAGGTCACCCGGTGCGCACGCGGAGCTATCTCTGTCATCCCGGCGTAGTGGCAGGCAATATGTTCTACGATCTCTGTACGTTCCGCCTGCTCACAAAATTCGCATAATATCGAGCTCACGTAAGCAACAGTGGGATGGTTCCTCGATCTTGGTATGAGGATGGCCTTCTACTTGGCCAGATGGCTTGGGTCGCCCTACCATTGTATCAGCGAGTACAAGGCGGGAATGGCGTTCGTCTTTGTCGGCCTTGCACCCCTCTTCCTGCTCCATACGCAGCAGGACCGTGCACAGCGACTTGCAAGGCGGCATCTTACCAGATCGTCCAACGGGAACGTGCAGATATCTGCAAAGGGCGACCAACCTGTCGATGCGCAGGAGGTCGACTGGCTGCCCACACGTTTCAGTGCACGCTGCTCGCGAGGTGGCAATGAGTACGTCGGGATCGATGTCGTCTTGCCGTCTGCAGAGGATCCCAGCAGACCAAAGAAGTGGTGGTGGGACGAATCACTGGCGACAGATCTCCTCGAGACATGCGAGAAGCACAGACGGCAATTCATAAACGCAAAGTAATCGCAACAACACGTGTTGTACAATCAGTGTCATGCCAACGCACTCTTCTGTGCAGCGATGATTGTGTCTGCCCGTCGTCTACGCACCAGACCGTCATCGCGAGCAGCAGGTGCAGTTTCCGGCAGGAGCTTCGAGTCGAGCATGAAGCCAAAGTCCAAGCCGACGTCTCGCAGCATCGCACCCTGCTTCTTCGTCTCTGCCTTTGAGGCTTCGATCACCGATGCTTCCTGATCTGCGCCATAGACTTGACGTCGAAAGACTTCTGCATAGACTTCGATCTGTTGCGTCGCCCAACGGACAAAGCCAGATGCAACCCGATGATCGGGAAAAGCCGCCATATACCACTCGCAAGTGTTCTTGATGAGTGTAAAGACGACAATCGCGAGCTCGACGATATATATTCGGATGTCGCCTTCGAATGCGATCTGTCTGATCCTACGCTTGACTAGTTTTGCGCGACCGGCCAGAAAGGCCTCTTGGGCTCGTTCGCCCTCTTGCAAACGCAAGAGCCAGCCACAGCTCTTGACGACCTTTGTCTTGCTGACTTCCTGACTTGACAAGTCGGACTCGAGTGTAGTAACTAGATCTGCCGTGCGTGCGTCGAGTCGCTTGACGAGGGACGCCATGAACGGTGCATCTTGCTTGGATGCCATGGCTTTCGCTAGCGCTCCTTTGCCTATCGATAAGCGTTGGTCAGAAATGGCCCCGCTGGACTTGCTGGCACTTACAATTCTCAATCAGGCTGACAGCTTCATCGAACTCGCGCAGAGCGATCTTGACGGAAAGGTCGTCGCCAATATCACCGACCCAAGCAGGCTCGCCATTGGGCAGTGTTGCGCTCCTGTTCGAGACCGTGCTCGGCGCGAGACCGACGAAGGCCTCCAAGCTCATTGCACGACCATCAGATTGCTGCTCGGTTTGTCAGAGCTGAAGCGCAGCATGAGGTATGATGCGGACCTCCTTCCTGGCTTGCGCTTCGCGAGCACTGTCGTTCCGCCTCCTGCTTGTGATCTCCTCTTGGATCTTTTTGAATGCAGCCAGGAGAACGCGCTTATCCTCCAGCTTTGGCGCTCGAAAAATGACTGTCTCTTTGCCTCGCTTGATCTTGACTGCATTCTGTAGATCTGCAATGCACTCATCGTTAGGAGGCACGTCTTTTGCATATGTCTGACTGACTCGTTGCGTCTTTGAGATCTGCCACTGAGATTTCATTGAGCGCGAAGCTGCGTTCAGCGACAAGCCTGACTCGGCCGCCCATTTGCCTTCGCTTCTGTACGGCTATCAAGAGTGCATCATTGAGGAGGACGAGATGGACAGGCTGTCGTGTGCGGTAAGTCGCAGGATCGACTTCAGTGAAAGCAGAAGTTTCGTGCATGAGGTGACGGTTTGGCGTTGGTGGTAGATATTTTCTTGAGCCCTCTACGGTCTCCCAGAGTGCTTCAAGCTGGGATCTATAGACTGCTTGCAAATCTACTATCGAGTTGCGCTGTCCGCGTTTTGCTATGCCTGCTTACGTGTCAGCTCGAGGGTTTCTTGCGCGTTGGTGACTGACTAGCGATCAAAGACGAGTCTTGAGCAGCTTCGAATGAGACGCCGACTTCGAGACTCTCCGGTACGCCACGCCAGTCCTCCAGAGCGCTCTTGAGCTCGAGCAGATCGTTCTCGAGCGTTGTGACTTCTTTGGACACCGTGATGAAATCCGAGTAATTGTTCAGGACCGTCTTCTGTAACTCGGTCGAGGTGGATGCATGCTCAGCTAGTAGAGCGATCTTGGCACGCTTGAGAGAGTCTAGCTCTGTGCCGGGAGGCTCGGTCGCTAGGAAATCCTTGAGAAAGGCCTGCGCATCGAAATGATCCCCATGGAGCGCGCTAACATCAAGCTCTGCTGCTCTTTGGCGGGACAACGAGGAGCTCGAGGTAGAAGCAGGCAATCCAGTAGAGCCTGTGGGCTGCCCGATCCCCAAGAGCGCCATAGCCTTTGACGAGCTGCCCGCAGATGGTGGTCTCGGACCATCAATAGGCCGCGCGTTTTGAAGTGATGGAGCTGCAGCAAAGCTATCGGACACACTCGGCAAGGACGGCATGGGGTCATGCCTTGCTCTCGCCATCGCTCGGTTGTCCTGCATAAAAGTCCCAACAGACACAGATTGTCGCTTCTTGAGTAGCGCGGCATTGACTCTTGTGCCTGCCTTAGCGCCCACTCGAGCGTTCGTCTTGCTCAATTCGGGCATAGCCTTCTTCGCCGTGCGTGATTGTGCTTGAGCGAGCATCTTGGGTGCAATGGATGCCTCTTCCGCGTACGTAGGCACTTCAGGTATCACCATGCGATAGTCGGCCAGACCGCCGAGATTTGGCGTGCCTGTCGTGAGCATGACCGATCGTCGGGTTCGTAGAGACGCAGAGGACGGATTGCGGTCCATGCCGGGTCGAGACATGCTGGCCTCGACCTTGGCGTGAGGCGGTCGTGCGCTCGCTCGCTTTGCGCCTTGCGACGCGTCGTCGTCGTCCTGTTGCCGGCTGATTGGCTCGGCAAAGTTGAGTCACCTTAGCCGGCTGGTGACATACGCCGATGGCGACCTGCGACCATCACGAACCATGACTCGGCATGTCTGTCACCACAACGCGAGAGGACGCAAAGACATATGAAAATGGTCCATCCTCACTCAAGGCAGCACTCGGTCGCTCAACAGCATCAGCACTTGCATTTTACTTTTCCAGGTCAGTAGACTCCCTATCGCTGAACGTCTGAGCTCATCCGAGCATTCTGCAGACCTGTCCGACTCTTTCGACCCAACAAGCTCGGTTCATGGTCTGCATTCCAGGCGCTCGCGGCAGAACAGGGCAAGCCATTCGGTCTCGCTTTCGTGCTGTCAGTTTACCGTGCAGAAGGAGTACGTAGTCCGTTCTGTCATCGATGTGTATATCTGCTGACGGGCATGCGCGCACACAGTGGATGGTTGCTCGACACATCGCGCCGCCCTTTCTCGCCAATAGTTGTGTCGGGCTCGTTCTGTTTACAGTCTATACGAATGCAGAAAGCTATCTTCGCACCACGAGTATGTCAAGCTACGTCTTGCCGTTTGCGGCCGGCGCAACCGCCGGCTTAGCTCAAGGTCTCGTCTCCTCGCCGCTTGACAACCTACGCGTCCTCGCGACCTCAGCTGCAGATCCGACGCGACGCAAACGATGGCCCGGTTGGCTTGGCATGATCAAAGACGCCCTCATACCTGTCTGGGTACGGAACGAACGAGGCAAGATAAAGTGGTCCATCTTTGCAACACGAGGCACAAGCCTCCTGGGCTTGACCGTTCTGCGCGATGCCATCGGGTTTGCCTTCTTCTTCGGCCTGTTTGACTATGCCAGACGCGGTGGAAGATACATGGGTACGATGATCGATCGGTTTCTATCGTCTGCGCAGGACGCTAGGACCACAGCGTCGCGAGTCGTACAAGCGACTGTTATTATCGTTGGCGGCGGAGCAGCTGCCTTTGTCTACAACCTGCTCGGCAAACCAATCGACCAGGCTCGTTCCGTCGTCTTTGCTGGTCGGACGCAATGGCACGAGGCATTCCTACGTCAACATGCTCGTGCTCGCGCCGCGAGGAAGCCAATCAGGGCGGCAAGGCGAAGATATCGTTCGCGCCTGCCGTTCCATCCCCGGCTTAGCTACGCGCCTCTTGCTGTACCTCGCATCGTCTCGGAAGAGATGCCCTCTGCTTGGCACCTGATACGAGCAGCTGTCCGTCGAAAAGGTTGGAGAAGCTTTGTCTCGCCTGTCGAAGCGCGCGCAAGGATTACAGGCCGCGATCGATCGCGCACTCGTGCTCAACAAATCGCAAGACTCAAGTCTGGCCCGCTGGCTTCTGGCGATCATCCCGCTCTGGGTGGACCTGAAGTCTACAGCATAAGACACAAGACGAGCCAGATCGTGCTCGGCAGATTGGCGAATGCTGCCACTCGTATGTTCCGATACGTCAACCCTACTGCACTCGGCCTCCTCGTCTTTGCGGCAACGAGCGGCGACCTGTCTTGATTCCGCTCGAGTCAATTCTTTGGCAGAACATGTTGCTCTCACTATTGTCAGCCTGGCTTGCTGGATGGCATCTCAACAGCCCGTCTCATGAGTGCGGACTGACGATGGCTCTCTGCAACGCATACTATCACTGTGATGCTGTTGAAAAGGAGCCATATTTGACTTCTGTAGGCTCCAGCTTTGCAGGCGTCGCAAGACGTAGACTCATGGCCTGCTACTCTGTACGACCTGGAAGCCACGGAGTGGGCAAGCACTCTTATCGGCGAGTCTGATGCCTTCAAGCTACCTTCAGTAGAAATGCATGCTTTTGGTACGACATGATCACGCGAATGCATGCTGGCACGCCAATTGTCACAGCGCTCGCGAAGGAGAAGGAAAGGCACAGGTACCGTGATCATTCATCGTCTGGTACTGTCATGATCCAGATTGCGAGAGTGTTCGCTCTGTCACGCTGCTAGTGCTGACTACCTTGCTGCTGACCATTGTGAATGCGACAATGACCAGTGATGCGCACTTCGAAGAGGACTTTGTTGCAGCAATGAGCTGAGCGCAGAGACGCCGAGCAGCCAGGCGTAGCCATTCTTTGTGCGCCTTTGGTCCTTCAGTCATGAACAATGCATGAGATAGGTCCTTCGGTGTCTGCGGCATGGCGTGCAATCCAACCGCGTAGCTCTCAAATCTGGTGTGGAAACGCTGTTCTGTCGTGACAGCAAGCAACTGCGATAGGTTGGAGCCCTGGGACGCGACTGATGCGCGACAAAGCCAGCGCAAGTAGCCTCAATCGTGCACGCAGCTTGCGTCATCGTCGTAAGCATTGGGATAGGACACCTCAAAGTCATGATAATCCCCTTCGGCCTTCAGACACGTTGGGAATCTGAACGGCCTTCGTGGCTCGTTACTTAGGTGACTGGGCGGGATGAAGACTATTGCCTGACATTGAATGAGCCTGAAGCGATCGTCTACTACGAGTTCGTGTGTATACATGCAGCGCTATGTAGCATTCAAGGGTGACGCGGACTGCAGCAGAGGGGTCAGTGGTTGAGCTGGGCGACGGACGAGTCGAGATAAATTCTACGCGTCGTGTCGTCGTTCGGGCCCAATCGCCTCGTTCCCTCGCTCCCTCAAACTCGCTGGCCACCGCGAAATGAGCAACCCTGAGGCAGTCCAGCGCGGGACGTGCCTCCTACTACCCTATGGCGACCAGCCGCAGTATGTCAGCGCCAACATACCCAATTGGATCAGACAACCCGACGATATCCCGACCGAATTAGCTCGAGTTGCGCGAGCCATCATCAAAGCAAAGCGTATCGCAGTCGTCTGTGGTCAGTCTGCCATATGTATGCTGTTCGAGCAAGCTCTGATCCTCCGGGGCGGGACAGGTGCTGGAATATCGACACCTTGCGGCATACCCGACTTTCGGTCGGCGGGCGGGCTGTTCAAGACGCTCAAGGAACGCAACCCCACGGCCGGTCTGACCAGCGGCAAGGATCTCTTTGACGCTAGCTTGTTCTCTGTGCGTCTGCTCGTCCTAGTCGCGTCAGACAGCTGACTGACCGGCCTGGTGCAGAGCGAGGCCAACATTGCTCTCTTCAATACGATGGTTGGCGAGCTAAGGCAAATGGCAGACAAAGCCGAGCCATCAGCATTTCATCATTTTCTCAAGCTTCTTGACGATCAAGGGAAGCTGTTCCGCGTCTACACGCAGGTCAGTCGCGCAGATCTGGCTTGCATTGCATCTGCTCATCGCGCAACGTGGACAGAATATCGACTCGATCGAAGAGAAAGTCGGCCTGACTTACGGTCTCGATCCTATCGCTTCTGGCTGTCCACACGGGCCTAGCTCGAGCGCGAACACCCGCCCGCCCCCAAGTCCCTCTAAGCGCAGGCGGACTGAAGGAGCAGACCGAGCTAGCAAGAAGCTACCTCGCTCAGACGCGCCTTCGCCCGAATCTGTCGATTCAGAGCCACCCTTGACGAGCACGAACGGTTGGATGTCCTCGCAAGTCACCCAGTCGTCCGCTAGTAGCTCGAGGTCATTCTCAAGGAGCTCATCATCCGCTTCGAGTTCAACTGCATCATCCCTCGCTTCTCCTCTCGATTTCGACACTTTCGAGCTGTCCAGCGTGTCATCTCTGAGCGACGTGGACGGATTGTCACCCCCCGAGCCGTCACAGAGCAGCGCTAAAGGCAAGCAGAAAGCCAAACGGCCAGAGATGCCTCGCGTGATACCTCTGCACGGCTGCTTGCGCTTCCTCGATTGTCAAAAGTGCTTTCACCGCGAGCCCTTGGGACGATACCTCGATCAGCTCAAGCAGGGCGAGCTCATCTGGTGTCCGGCCTGCACAGAGCGAGACGAATTACAAGCGCTCGCAGACGGCAACGCACTTTCGCTTCGACCGAGGGGCGTCGGAATGCTCAGAGCTTCAGTCGTGCTGTACAACGAAGTCCATGCGGACGGAGCCAAGATAGGCCAGATCACCCATCGAGATCTCATGGGCGCGCGACCAGATCTGCTCATAGTCGCGGGAACGACACTGAAAGTACCCGGTACGAAACGCTTGGTCAAGGAACTCGAGAAGGTCATCCGACCGGCGGAGGCTAGCAAGCCGTCTGCGCTACCTCAGGTCATCTGCCTGAATTACGAATTTCCTGCGCCAGCGAAGGAATGGGGCGAGGTCTTTGATTGCTGGCTCAAAGCGGACGTCCAGTCAATAGTCGATATTGTTGCGGACGAGCAAGCTGCTCAGACCAAACGCTTGCTTGAGCGAAAGAATGATAAGGCGAAGCGAGCGCAAGAGGCCGAACGGAAGAGATTGGAAAAGGCTGAACGACGACGCGTGCGCGAATGGATAGCAAAGGAGAAAGATGCTCGAACACTCTTGAAGGATCGACTCGCCCTTGCCAAAGCGCGCAAAGGACCTCTTGTCACTAAGGTTAAGGCAGTAGACCGCCCTCAAGCCCCTCTTGCGCCTGCAGAGCCTGCACCTAAACCTAGCTGGGTTCTTGCACCAGTACCGCATCACTCAGGTGAGTCTTTCATCAATCGTGAGGTGCTCCTGCTTATCAATCGACGCAGTCTTTGCGGCCGATCCGATTGTAGAAGGCAAACGGGAGCGCAAGCCAAGCATTCTGCTAAGCAGTCCGAAGAAGCCACCCGCACAGCGCCAGATGAGTGGTTACTTCAAGAGTGCAAAGTCAGCATCAAAGCCAACCGGAAAACCAACGCCGACTGAGATGACTGTGATCGCTGCACCCGTGACGAACGCTGTGACTTGTTAGAACTTCTTGCGCCATGTACAATGTCTGCATGCTATACAACTGTCGATTCTGTGCTGGGACAATGTACAAAAGCAGCGAGCTTCTCCGAGGCAGTAGGCTCCGTGTCTAGTGGCCTCATCGATTCGTTGTCGAGCTCTGCAAGCACACGTGATGGCACAGGGGAGGTCTCTATGCTCGGTGATCGGGCGTCATCATCTCGCCGCGATTCATTGCTGGCAGCTCGCTTTGTCTTTGCTGCATCGCCGGCAAAGAAGCTCGAGATCGAAGCAGGCCTGGCCGAGTCACCATTGATAGCATCGGATTTGCGCTTCTTGCTTGGCTTCTTCGCATCATCCTTTTTGCTGGCTGCAGGCGGCGCCTTGCCGAATAAGGTAGTCTGTACACCTTCTGCCTTTGCTGTATCGATGCGATCGTAGAAAGAGCCCGACTTTTGCAGGTGCTTCGCTTCGCCCTTCTTTTTCAAGAAAGGATTGGTTGACGCTGCACTCGATGAGGGTGTCAAGGCGTTGTGATTGCTTTTTGCAAATGGGTTGTTCTGCTTCCTAGGTCGCTCGACGACATCTGCCGTGGACAGCAACTCAGGAGCGGGTGAGATCTCGTCCTCTCGTACGTCATCGAGCTGCATGACCTCGTCTGTGGGCGACTGTTGTCGGGGAAAGACCCGCTCAGCGTTACGCTGCCGTTTACCAGATGGCTGAAAGTCCGAAGCAAGTGGGTTATTGGCTCGTTGAGATTGATGGGAATGACCGTTGAGCTTGCCTGCAGTCAGTGTGCGATCATCCTCGAGCCCAGCCCATTTTGGTGGGCGTCTATCCGACATGAGCCTGTCATCAGGGTTGTCAAGACGAGCTTCTTCGAGAGCTTCGAGGCGATCCGACAAGCCTTGCAATGAATAGAATGCTGCGAGCCGCTTGATGACGCCAAGGTTGCTTGGTTCGATGATACTTGAGGCCATATCAAGCGCTTTCTGCAGCTTGTCAGCTTTGCAGACTGCTTGCAAGCCTTTGATGACTGCCAAATCCATCTCTGTCTTTATCGCAGCGAGCTCAGAGTCGACCTCGGCTTCGTCTGCAGTGATAGCATCGAGCCGATTAGAGAGTATAAGGCTGTTGAGCAGATGTTGTGCTTCCAATTGTGCAGATTCTTCGCCTGCTTCAAGATGCAGCAATGGCATCTCGAGCTGGACGTCGATCGTCAGCGGAGTTGGAAAGTAGGGTTGCTCTTGAGAGCCCTGTTCGCGTTCGCTTAGCATTCGACCAGCAAAGAGTATAGCAAAGCTGCGGACCTTGAGCGCCACGGCCATCATCTGTTTTGAGGCGATCGAAACCGGCCATAACCTGTATTTGCCAGCTTGACATGCTTCGTCTCTCGCGATATCGAATACCGGTGTCCATCGCGCTTGACGCGGCCTTCGGACCTTATCAAGGACGTGCATGATGCCATCAGAAGTATATATAGCAGGCAACTGCGCTCCAATATAAGCATCCCCTGTGCAGTCGTCGCAGCGCACTTACATGATCGTCGCTAAATCCTGCCCAGCGTAGCTCCTGTCCTGCCGCGACAGGCAACGCGCCCGACTGGAAGACCTCTAGAGTGTCTAAGTCGATGAGGGTATACAGCAGACCTTGCTGGCCTGCCCATGCACATCGCACTTGAGCAAGCCTTTGTTTGCAGCAAGGAGACACGAACCTCCGAGTGACATATCGCTCGTGCGATGAACGACAATGACCGCTTCTGCGCCGCCTGCCATCGTCACGATGTCACCTGCAAAAGACCAAATGTATTTTTGTATGCCGCTGGAAGTGAAGAAGCGCAGGTAGCCCTTGTCAGTAGCAAGCACGATTGTTCCTGCGCCTGCTAGACTGATGTCGTCGGTTTGCGGTAATGCGAGGCCGCCTATAGCAAGGCCTATAGCATTCTCGTTCTTGCTCAGCTGAAACTTCCACTCCGCTGTCTGATGCCATCCTGCATACGGCCGATAGTAAATTGACGAGAGCAACCCGTTCTGTCCTGTCGAGGCAAACACAGCGCCGTTTGAGCCGAGACAAGCCATGTCGAATCGGTCGTGATCGCTGATTTGATAGCCAGAATGAGTGGATCGATCATGGAAATCAACAGTGATAAAGTTGTAGCCTGTTCTTGCGACAGTATGGATCAAGCCAATGTCATTGAAGGCAAGGTATCGTCTTCCGTCGCGTTCAGACGTTGCGCCGGGCTGGAATCTGTGTTGACCTTGCTGTCCGCGGAAAGTAGTGCCGGCAGAAGCACGTTGACCGTATTTGCTGACTAAAGGCGGTGGTAAAGCAATACTCTCGTCGTCAATGGCGTCTTTGGCTTCTCCTGCGAGTATGCCGGCGTCATCATCAAGCCAGTCATCGCCAAACGGGTCATCAAGAGCATCGATTGCGGGGATAGCTGGCTCCTCAGTGTCATTCGCCGCGACAGACTGGGCAGATTTGGCGCGCGTATGAACGATTGTAGTCGCGATATCGGTAGGATGCGCGCGCGCAGTCGTATCGATGAGATTGTCCCAGCGTTTGATCTGACCCGTCTGATCGGCAATAGCTAGTGTATTCGCTCCTTGACCAGGCCTCCATGCGAGCGAGGTCACAATCTCGTCTTCTCCCGCGAACTTTGTTCTGCACATCAGATCAGTTTGGTATAGCTCGAGAGGTAATGTATAGACCTCAGCACTGGCTTGCGCAATGACGAATCCCAGATGATGACTTCGTTGTTGCTCGCGGACGCCAGATAATTGCCATTCGCAGACCAGGCTAATGCGCAAACAGCCTGGCATTCACTAGATGAGCACCTTAGCTCATCAAGAATGGCAGGAACTGACGGTCGAATGTCCCTGCTCTGTGAAGCCGGGCTTACAGTCCCAAGAGTCGCGCGTGACGACGGTGATGTCTGTCTGTAAAATTAGTCCAGTAGCCTGCGCGAAGGGTAAGACTGACCATGAGTCTTGTTGCTGATGACAAAGTATTGCCCACTCGGATGCCACACGGCCTCCACAGAGGCAGTGGAATCTCTGCATGTCCGTCAGCCTCGTCAATTGTGACTTGGAGAAGACGAACTCTGGCAACGCCTTTGTGATAAGACCTTCAAAGGTATGCACGCATCTTGGATCTTCCGGTGAGTTTGCGACATCCCAGACCCGCACAGTGCCATCGCTCGAAGATGTGATCTACGAGGCAAAATGAGCGGCCGGCCAACTCTTGTGCGAAAGATCGCGCACCAGCAGACTGCCATCTGGCGACCAGCTGACATCGCGGACAGGTTTCTCGTGCCCTGTGAATTGCTGGATGATGGTGACATCGCGAACGTCGATGATCTTGATCATCATGTCACTTTGCTACCCAGTCAGCTCTTGGCACTGGTTGGAATCCTTTAAGCTCACTCCGAGCCTATTGCACATTTAGTGCCCGACAGTCCTAGCTTTAGGCTTCGTACGGGTGCACCGGTGTTCATGCGCGCGAGCATGCCAATCTCCAGATTCGTCTTGATGTCGTAGATCCTTGCAACGCCATCGTCGCAGCCGGTGACGAGGTGGTCATACTGTCTTTGCAGATCAGCGCGCACTCTGATATCCTTCTACAAGCGACTCGCAGAAGCGTGGATGGTGTGAACAGCGTCGCCGGGCTCGATCAGTGCAGGCTCTTCGATGTACTCCTCCTTGACCGCGCCGTCTTGGACTCGAATCATGTGGTCGACGCCGCCCGAGAAGAGCTTGGAGCCATCTGCTGCCCATACTACTCGCGTGGGCCCTTCCGAGTGCAGCGGGCGACTCTTCAGCTCCTCTGGGCCGACCGTCGTCATCTTGCGAGCGTGTTCAGTCGAGACGCGAAGCATTACTGCGAAGAGCGCGTACTCGCCACCTACGAGGCAACTACGGAGATCGATTGAGATCGCCGGCGTGACCCACACACGACCGACAAGATTCGGGCGATCTCAGAACAACATGCTGCTCGGTCTGCCGCTCTTTCGACCCAAAGAGCAATATGCCCCACTCTCATTGGTCGATCTGACCCTCTTCCTGGCGACAACGGCATATAACCTCGTCAGGGCGGCAGCTCCGTCCGTGCTACTCGACGCTTTCCTGACCACTTGCCTCTATGTGATCTACATCCTGCCCTTCGAGCTGGCAATAGAACGGTATTATCGACGGCAGAGAAACTATCCCGCCAAGCTTTCGCTCTTGCAAGACTTGGCGATCAGGATCGTAAGGCTGGCATTTGCCTATTATGACACGAGCATTGGGAGGCTGTTCTTTTCCGAAAAGAACATTATCGCGCTACACAAACGAAGGATGGGTGGCAGAGGAGCGTTCGATAGAAACATCGCCCTCTATAGAGATGCCGACGTACAGGGATACTGGATTGCACCTGGCCGGGCGCAAAAACTTGCCCGGGGCGAAGCGATAGGCCATAATGGTTTCACACTGATGTACATACATGGTGGTCAGTACTCGATACTCTGACACATCTGACGGGCTGACAGCGATGGTAGGCGGCTTCACGCTGGCATCGCCCGCCTTCTACCTGGAATTCTTGCTCAGAATTTGTGAAGAGCTGTCAAAGTCAGGCATAGCCAGCCCGGCAATCTTTGCGATAAGCTATACCCTGGTACCAGAAGGTCGCTTCCCGACCCAACTGAGCGAGACTGCCAAAGCATGGCAATATCTCTGTCGTCATTCTTCAGTCGACACGACTCGCTTAGGTCTCGCAGGCGATTCTGCCGGCGCATGTCTATCTCTCAGTCTGATGCTCTACCTGCGAGAAGATTCTGACGAAAGGGTAGCATATCCAACCTATGCAGACTCGTCATCTGACGATGCCACTGTCGTACAAGGTTCAGTCGATAGACGAGCAAGGTTCCCAATATACCCACCTGTCCTGCCAGAAAATCAGAGGATACCCAAGCCCAGCCATGCTATACTCATTTCCCCCTGGGCTTCACTGACGACTTCGATCAGCCAGGATCCCAGCATTCGAGCTCACACTGCAACCGATTTCATCGACCCACAGCGATTAGCACACTTTGCCAGACTGTATTCGTGCGCTCAAAAGACTCCCGCAAGAGCTGGCGTCATGCGTTTCCTCAAGGCGAAGACCAAGTTTCTCTTCCCATCGTTTCCACTTCTGCCGCCTTTCCTATCACCCATGCAGTCCCGTTCGAGCAGTGTGCGCAGACCGCATAGGAATGGTCATCACAAATCGGGTACACGAAGTCGGCAGAGGAGCGGCGAGAAGCAGCTGAACGGACGACCGTCACAGCAGAGCACCCCCCAATTAGGCAATGGCTCCAGTAGTCGCAGCAGGATCAGAGCGGGAAAGAATGGCAAACTCAGGGGAGAAGACTATGACGACCTATCTGTGATATTGCGACACGTCGAGCACTGTCGCCTGAACCCGCTCCTCTCACCTGGCGATTGCACAGACCAGTCGTGGTGGACGCGGTCAGCTCCGACAAAAGGCACGCTCATCCAATACGGCTCGAGCGAAGTGCTGTCATCCAACATAGACATTCTCGCCGATCGACTGCGAGCCGATATCTACGGCGGTGGAGAAGTGATCCTATCGAGCCGACCTTTGCCGCACGCCTGGCCGCAGCTGCTTCACTATCTAGGCGCGACATCGGCAGAGAGAGCGTCGGGAATCAAGGAGATCGCAGCGTTTATCCAGATGCACTTGTAAACATAATGTAACACGATGGAAAGAATGTACACAACAGCTCGCTGACTCAATCCTGCTTTGTTCGATTCCATCTGCGCGCATGCCATTAGCATGAGTACTACCGGGGCAGACAGTAGACGAACGATAAGTATGCCATGTCTCCCATCCTTCGAGGGCGAATGAGATGACGAGCAGTGAGCAAGACGCCAATGATGAGAGCGATCGCGCCGACGACGATGTAAGAGATGCCCAAGAAAGGGTTGCGGCCGCCGATGAAGCTGACAGTGCTGATCACGATGGACTTTGTACCGTGGTAGGGCGCAACAGGATAGTCTGTTCATCTGGCATCAGCTGGTACATGCTCCATCTGGCAGCGGACGTACTGTTGAAGATGGAGAGCTGATAGCGACCCGCTCGAAGGACGTCATTGTCATTCCTCGACCACAGCTTCCTGAAGCTTGGCAACCCAGAAGTTCTCATCCAGACCTGGAAGTGTTCGTCCTGACTGAGATCGGGAATCGGTGTTTCGTCTGTGTAGCCATTGGGATACCGGAGGGCCCAGAAAGGCGGAGGAATACAATTTGCATTGGTGTATGCTGTCTTGCCGTACTTCTTTGCATCGCCTGGCCACGCTATGCCTTTCTCGGACATAGGGTATTCGACTGCGCCCGCGGTCGTTCCTGCCGCGTTCAGTTGCACAGGCGAACTGATCGTGTCTGACTCCTACTTGTGAGCTCCTGCTGCCCGACAAGCGAACAGGCATACCATTGAAGAGTGAGTTGGCGATGAGACCACAGGGGTAGATAGGCAAGCCTCCATCAAAGTTTCTCGCCACAGGTTTGCAATTTCCATTGTTGAGATCGCTTGCAGATTTATAGTCGCCATTGAGCTGAGAGACGTCGTACGATCTGACGTACCGCCTGTGGTTCTGGAAGTAGTTCGTCATCTTATAGTAGAGAAATACGGGCGGCTGAAGATCTGATGGGATGGTGAACTGGAGGGTACAAGTCTCTCGTTGAGATACATTGGCAGCTGTTGGATTGGAGGCAAACTGCCAGGAAGGCGGCGGCGTGGCAGCTGAGTAGCCCGACATGGAGTACATGAAGTCTCCCGAGGGCACATTGGCAAAGGTGGTGTTGGGCGCAGAGAACTCGCAGCCGGTGTAGTCAATCGTGAGCTCGTTGACCTGATATGACATGTGTCAGATCTAGCGCGCAAGATCGGGGATGCAAGCGAGACTGACCTGGTTGCTACCCCACAGGAGCGCTCCGCCAATAGGACAGAAGAGTATGCCGACGACAAAGAAGGTAGGGATCACAGACTTTGGCGTCAAGATGGGCTGCCAAGCTTTCAGTCGTTGCTGTTTCAACGCGTTATCTGTCGCGCTGCATCAGCATGGTCCTGTCTGCAGTGTTCTCGACGACGGACTAGCAGGACGTTGCCAGAACGGGACCTTGTCCTTCTTGCCTGGCTTTGAACTCGTCTTGCCCGGGTTGGCAGCGCCGAGTTGATCGTGAGCATGAGCAGAATCGATCTGGTCCTGATCCTGTCGATGTTGTAGTGGCGATGAGGTCGTGGGAGTATGCTGTATGTCGTGCAGCTGATGGTCTTCCGTGGCAGGCGAGCTTGATCTGAATAATCCCATGCTGGCCGGCAGAGTGCGCGGCCGTAGCGGCGAGCTTGTTGGAAACCCTTTCGGATCACACGCCCTGCCGATGTGATCGCACTCCCGTCGTCTACGAGAGATGCTGGGGTAGTCTGGCCTGCTCCGACTGACTCCGGTGATGGGACGACACGCTGCTGACAATTGACGAGGCCGAGGCAACAAAGCAAGACGCGCGCTGTTAAGGCAAAGGAACGACGAACACACGGCGGCCGGCGCCTCGACTGCAAGTTTGCCATACATGACAGCTCGCAGCTGACATCTCGGTAAAGCGCAAAGCGCTCGTCAGCATGAACAGCTCCCTCCTTGCAACGACATCGTCAGATGGACCGGCAGCTGACGAAACTGACTTGCCCCTCCAAAGAGCAAAGACGCTTGTCATCATGGGGCCTCGGTCGTGGGTGTTCTTGATGCCAGATCTGCAGCGCTCGTCTCAGGCTTCCCCTACAGGTCAGGAAAGACATCTATCGTGGCTACCGTCCTCGACCAATCCGAGCCATCCGACACGCTGTACATAGAGAGCACGACCCGTCCTACGCTCAACGAGTTCACGTATGTCTTTCTCGCCGCATGTCCGCAAGCGCACTCATCATAGCAACAGCGTGTTCACAAAGTTCAACATATGGGATTATCCTGGGAATACGTACGACTTGGAACTCGCTGCTCTGTCGCATGAAGATGTGCACGGCGTCATCTATGTCGTCGACGGCCAAGTGCGCTCAGCGAACCAAGGGCGCGCGTGCGAGCTGACTCGTACCAGGCATTCCAAGCCGATACATCTGATGTTGCACATAAGATCGCGCTCAGCGTCTGCAAGATATGGGAGGTCAGCTTGTCAGTCTCATTCGTATCTTCGTCTTATCAGTCAATCTGCAGCGAAATACAAACTGCCTCTTCAGCGTCTTTGTACACAAGACAGATGGCTTCAGTTTCGAATATCAGAAGGGTGAGCTTGCGTTTCGTTTTGCCTGGCAAGACTGAAACGTACTGCAGAGATCCTCGAGGAAATCCAATTTCGCTTCGATGACGAGCTCTTTGATCTTTTACCGGCGAATGCAGGCATCGCTCGACCATCGCCTGCATTCTACCTGACTAGCATCTACGGTCCAACGATCAATGTGGCAATGAGCAAAGTCTTACAGAGTCTCATGCCTGCGCAAGCGACGCTTGAGAAGCTCGCAGATCTCATGAACATCGTCAGCTCTTTCTCACCTGATAGATCCTTGTAGGCTGACAACTTCGTAGCAATGCTCGTTCGAAAAGGTGTTCCTCTTCCATCTGCCCACTCGGTTGTACTTCACAACGGACTCGAGTCCCTTTGACAAGGAAACGCACGAGATCTGTTCGGATTACATCGACCTCGTCATGGATATCGGCGGCCTATACAAGTTTGTCGTTCCAGTCTCAGACATACAGTGCGAAGTCTCAACATAGGGCAGGCCACATGAGCGCTCGAAGCAATCACAGCCTGGCTCTCGTGATGCTTCGCCTGCACGGATAAAGACGATGCAAAAGGCCAATGGTACAGTGCAGCCGAGATCATATCAGTATTCCCGTGTCAAAGTGGCAAGCGGCAAGACGTTGGCTCTATGGGGCATAGACGAGTTCGGCTCCGCCCTCTCGAGATCGGGTCTCTGCTTATCGAGCGGTGCAGGAATCTGGCGCTGATTGCCATCATCTCACCCAACGTGCTCGAGCGGCCAAACCAGTTCCCGCTCGTCGAATACAATGTGGGCTGCTTCAGAGAGGCTGTCCAACAGATCAAAACCCTCGAGAAGACCGCTCATCTGCACGAAAGCGTCTCTTGAGCACAGCCAACAAGCATGATTTGCACATTAGGTGTTGTACAGTGTAAAGAGTGACAGTCTAAGTCTTAAGTATTCTACGCAGCGTGGTGCGAACGCGCTCTGAGACTCGCCCCATACTTCATCAGCAGGAGCGGAACGCCTGCAAAGAGCACAGCGAGGCAGCCGAGTAACGTGCCCGCCCAATTGACGCCACTGCTCAGTAAGTCAGTGGTGATGAGCAAGATATGCAAGAAAAGACTGACAGATTGTGAAAGAACGGCTGGGTTGCCATGGCCAAAGCGGCGGCTCCGAGTGATCTAGTAAGTGTGTTTGCGGCAATGGCAGAAGCAGCGTGTTTGTAATAAGCATCGATGAGCGTGTTGATGCCGTTCTGAAAGATGAGCAAGAATGCGCATCCGATGAAGACGAGCGCGATGACCTGAGGTGCGGCGCTGATGTTAGGATCCGAAGTCCAAGCAAAGAGGAAGAAGCCGATAGGGAAGAGCAGACTGCCGAGCAGCATGGGCGGCAATCGCGCTTCCGGCGGAAGATTACCGCCAGCCTTATCAAGTTTCGGTGCGTAGACGTAGACAGAATAGGCGATATTGATTATGCCTGCGATCAAGACCCCGACCAATACGGCCAAGAAGACAGTAGCTGTAGGAACAGGCTTCCAACCACGCTGTTCGGTAAAGGCTGCCTCAAACGGATCAGCTCAGAAGCGATGAAGGGAGTAAAAGGTAGCGTGCCAATGGGTACCTGCGAAGCGCAAGTCAGCAAAGATTGCAGCAGTCTATGAACTGACTCACAGCTTCGAAAAGAGCATAGAGAATCGAGTAGGCAAACGCATTGAAAAGACAAACACCAAGACAGTATGGCTCCGTCGTCAAGAGTTTAAGCGGAGTGAGCAAGCTCTTCTCCAGGAAGCCGACAATGCTATGATCGACCGTCTCGTGCTTGGAGTGCAGCTCCCATCGGCCAGTCTGCAAACGAAGCTTCTGAGCCTTCTGACTGAGCAGTACAGGCGCGAAAGTCTCTGGTAGCCAGATGACGTCGGCGAGGAAGATGGTGCCTGCAGCAATGACGACAAGATACTCCGTCCATCGCCAGCCAAGATAGCTTTCGGATACCGCGCTGCCACAGAGCGGCCCCAACGTCGGACCGCCTACGACGGCGAAGGAGTAGAAGACGACGGCGATGCCTCTGTACTTCTGACTCCAGAGATCACCGAGGCCGCCACCAACATTTGACACTGGAGCACTGCCAAATACACCGGCGAAGAAGCGTGTGATGAAGACTGATTGGAGATCTTTCGAGACGGCGGTAGCCGCGGAGAACTGAAGTCTCAGCGTTAGCAAATATGTAGGCGCATGGGCGGAAACACCTACACAGACGAATATGCCATACGGAAGGAGCACAGCGGGCCGGCGACCGTACACCTCGCTGATGGGCGACCATGCGATAGGGCCGAATACGTATCCTAAGCTGTAAGACGACGATGTTTGAGCGTGTCTGCATCATGTCCACAGCGAGCGAGGCTCACATAAAAAGAGCAGTCCCCAGAGTCGCAACCTCATTGGAGACGCCGAACTCTGCGCCGACATACATCGTACCAGACGAGAAGATGGAAGAAGCGAATGTGGATCCGAATGTCGTGAGACCGAGCAAGGCAGTAATGAGACTCTTGCGTGTGGTCGACCACTGCGCATGCAGCTCAGCCCATGTCCACGCGTCGTGATCTAGGACTTGCGTTCATTGGATTTGCTGGATCATCTTCAGACTCAAAGACGACGATGTTATCCTCATATTCGTGCGAGAGGAGTCCCTTCTCTGCAGACGAATCTGCGCCCGCGGAAGCATCAACTCCCGTGGGCGCAGGTGCTGGCGCTTTGAGTGAGTTTCCACGATGCCGCCGATAGTCTTCGTCGTCATGTGTATGCGAGAAATGCGAATCGGTGTAGTGCAGGTCAGGAAACCTGGGTCTGTTCGGCGATGTGGGCGTGACGGGTGGTATATTGCCGACAGTGTCTCGGTCGGAAGTTGCTGTCTGACTGGAAGAATGACTCGTACTTTGCACGGCGGAGGGTTTGGGTTGGCTCATACCGTGCTGCTTGCTCGCACGGTCTGATCGCAGCATGATAGAGTGGCAAAGCTACTTATAGAGGCGCTTCTGTTATCCCCATCGAGCTCGGGCGGACATTGGATCGAGGGGCACCGCTGAGCACGCGCCGCTTCGGATCCAAGTGAATTCATAAAGTCACGAGCGTGACGCTGTGATCGCAGCAGGCGCTGATCCTGAAGATCTTTCGTCCCACCTGTCTCGGCTGTTCTCGTCTTGCCAGCTTTCTCAGGAGCTTTCGTGACCGCTCAGGAGCTTTGGCGTCCCTCTTCCCCTGCCTCGTCTCATCTTGCCTCAACCGCGTCGTCAAGTCCATCCTCCCTGTCCCCGACAAGAAAGTACTGCAATGCTAGCAGTCTGGCTCGTCTCTCTCGGGCTCATCTCGCTCAGCTGCATCGAAGCAAAATGGCTCTCCCATTCTGCTCTGATCGCCAAAGCCGAATCCGTACCCGCCGGCGAACATAACTACTACCGCGAGCATTTGGACAAAATTACCGCTTCTCTCAATGAAGTCAGAGGCGGTGAGAAAGATCCGGATATTCTGCCAGATGGCTATACTGGTACTAGATTCTACGAGCTACGAGGTACGTCCAGTGTGCGACGTCGCTCGTCGTAGTGACTCCTGACACGTTGGGACCAGGCTGGTTTGAAGTACGCCGAATTCCAGTCTTTGCTGGCGCGCGAGATTGATCGTCTCCATAGTGCCAATGTGCTGGCGCTGTTACAATCGTTCACGATGAGAAGGAGCCCTTCTATGTCGGGTTCTTGCTCGCCTATACCGCCCATGAGCTCATCACAAGGTCGAGATTGTCTGCATCCCAAATCAATATCGTATTGCTGACGTGACTTTTGCAGCTTTGTAAGCCGCCTGGGTATATCCAAGTCACTTCTGACCGAGCAGGCGCGCAGAACCATCTGAAGCATGTCGACCAGAGAGAAATCAGTCAGGCCTTTCGCTCGTTGGTTTCGTTCGTCAGCTAAAGACAATGAGACAGTGGGAACGCCGCCGAGCAACCAGAGAGTGACCGCTTACTTTGCCGTTCAGCATCGACCCGGAGAGGCAAACTCTGCCTGTGCGTTGCGTCTCGCGTGCGTTGGCATCGACGCTGATACAGCGATGCAGGGCAAGATTGTACTCTTCATTATCAGGTGCGTCCTAGGACGGTCATCAGTCTCTTTGCACTGAGCTCTCCTTCTTTCGGGACAGACTTGGACCGTGATGATGTTCCTCAACTTTGGTAAGCTCGAGCTCTCTCTACTATGCGTTGAGCTGACGAGGGCTACTGAGCAGATGCAATCTACATCACTGAGGAAAACACCGTGCTGTACGCCAAACCGGACGAAGGCAATCGCTCTCTGCTCGGCATCACATGCCAGAAGCTGATGATGTGTGCTCAGGAGCATACTTTTCGGACAAGTGCGACGACGCTGCGATGAAATCGATCGGATTGCCCGAAAGCAAGTCTCAAGTTTTGCCTCTTCGCGTGACCATTCAGCTGAGGAGTATGGCTGGGCAGTGACCACGGACTGCTATTGTGTGACGCAAAAGCTGTACGAAGAAGTCAACGGAGCGGACGATCTCGATCTCGAGCACCAAGGCAAGCCGCCCGTTCGTCTCGTCGAGAGCACCTACAACGCGCCCAGAGAGCCTCACCAAACAAGCGGCCGAAAGCGCTCGAATATCAGACGCAAGCCCATCCCGAGACTGCCCCCGAACGTAGACCCGATGACGTTTGACCCTCTGACATACGGCGTCTGATCTGCTCGCTGGCTCGGTGTCAATCTGATGTACAACGATTTGCAATTTTGCGTCGGACAGCAGAGGAAGAAAGAGAGTGGTGCTCTTTGGTGATCTCTGGTACAAGTCATCATTCTTCCGTTATCTTTGCAATGATCTCTGCATCTCTGTAGATCTGGTACTCCTGTTCTCGCGCCCGATTCAGAGATGAGGCCACGGAAATGCAGCAAGAAAAGACATACATCCTCGCCAATCTTGAGTGATTGACCACCGAAAGAGGGTAACAGGACTCTATCACCCTGCTGCACGCTGCACTGGACAAGCTTGCCATCCCTGTCCTTGGAGCCCGGCCCCACTGCGATGACTGTCCCTTCCGGCGGCGGATTGCTCGTGACGGAGGAAGGCAGGAAGATGCCCGAGGCAGATCGTTCGACGGGTTTGCTACGCTGGATGAGTACCCTGTCGAACAAGGGCGCAATCGATCTGATCGACTTGATCGCCAATGACTGCACACTATGCTGAGCGCACGGTCTCGCTGCATCTGTGCTCGCACTTACCATCTCGTCGTCTGATCGAGCTCAGAGCTTGAAGCAAGTTCGTTCAGACTCGGAAAGATCGAGAAATGCGCGCGGACGACTTTTTTTTTGAGGACAGGATAAATTTGAGGAGCAAGTCCGATCGCAAAGCCTCAAGACAAGAGCAAGGAGGATGCTGAGGACGACAGCGCTCAAGAATGCAAAGCGCACGAGCATACAGTCTGCTGCACGGACGCTCTCCGGCACTGGCTCGATCAGATTAGCGCACAAGGAGATCAAGTTCAGCAACGATGGTCGGGCGGCCATGCTCGCTGGCGTTGACATTCTCGCCAAGGCAGTCAGCGTCACGCTCGGTCCGAAGGGTCGTAATGTCATCATCGAACAAGCCTTTGGTGGTCCAAAGGTCACGCTGTCGCTCATTCAATCGTATACATACGCTGACGATGGCGAGTGTAGATCACTAAAGACGGCGTCACTGTTGCCAAAGCTATCACCCTCAAGGACAAGCAAGTCACCAGCGTGAAGCTCATCCGACGTTTGGCTGATCGACAGATGACAGGTTTGAGAATCTGGGAGCGAGATTAGTTCAAGATGTGGCCAACAAGACAAACGAAATCGCAGGTGACGGAACCACAACGGCCACCGTACTCGCCCGCGCCATCTACTCCGAGGGTGTCAAGAACGTAGCGGCAGGTTGCAACCCCATGGATCTCCGACGGGGTTCACAGAAAGCCGTCGAAGCCGTCATCAAATTCCTCGAAGCCAACAAACGATCCATCACGACTTCTGCAGAGATCGCTCAAGTCGCGACCATCTCTGCCAATGGAGATGCTCACGTCGGCCAGCTGATCGCGACCGCCATGGAGAAGGTCGGCAAGGAGGGCGTCATCACCGTCAAGGAGGGCAAGACCATAGAGGACGAGATCGAGGTCACAGAAGGAATGAGGTTCGACAGAGGATTTATTTCGCCCTACTTTGTGACCGATATCAAGGCGCAAAAGGTCGAATTCGAGAAGCCTCTGATCTTGCTGAGCGAGAAGAAGATCTCCATGTTGGCCGATATCATGCCTGCACTCGAAGCAGCTGTCCAGCAACGAAAACCGCTGCTCATCATCGCCGAGGACGTAGACGGAGAAGCACTGGCCGCTTGTATCCTCAACAAGCTGCGATCCCAGCTCCAGGTCGCCGCTGTCAAGGCCCCCGGATTCGGTGATAACCGCAAATCCATCCTAGGCGATCTTGCCATCCTCACCGGCGGTACAGTCTTTACAGACGAATTCAACGTCAAGCTAGAGCGAGCGACTGCCGATCTGTTCGGTTCGACAGGATCGGTCACCATCACCAAAGACGACACCATCTTGCTCAACGGTGACGGAACAAAATCGATGATCCAGGAACGATGCGAAATGATCAGGAGTCTCATTGCCGATGCTTCCACTTCCGAATACGACAAGACCAAGCTGCAAGAACGTCTCGCTAAGCTTTCCGGTGGTGTTGCTGTCATCAAGGTCGGCGGCTCATCCGAGGTCGAAGTCGGCGAAAAGCGTGACAGGCAAGTCTTCGGATCAGACTGTGGGGACATTAGGCTGATCCAAAATCGCACAGATACGACGATGCGCTCAATGCGACAAGGGCAGCAGTAGAAGAAGGCGTGTTGCCAGGAGGAGGGGTTGGCTTGCTCAAAGCTTCTCGTGCCCTCGCCACACTCGAGACCGCCAACTTTGATCAAAATCTAGGCGTTCAGATCATACAGCGAGCGATCACTCGACCTGCGAGGATCATCGTCGAAAATGCGGGCGAAGAGGGATCTGTCGTCGTCGGCACACTACTAGATAAATACGGCGAGGAGTTCAATATGGGCTATGATGCCGCACATGGCACCTATGTCGATATGGTCGCAAGCGGCATTCTCGATCCCTTCAAGGTCGTCAAGACCGCCCTCGTCGATGCTGCAGGTGTAGCTTCTCTGCTCACTACTTCCGAAGCTTGCGTCGTCGACGCACCGGAGGAGAAGGGACCGCCGGGTATGCCAGGAGGTATGGGCGGTGGCATGGGTGGCTTCCCGGGCATGTAAAACTTTTCCAGAAGACAGTAACAGAGCAAACCCCCTCCTCATACGACGATCTCGGAGAAAGCGAGATCAAGACGAAACTTGGCCAATTGTACTCACCACTCTCGATGCATCGCAACTCCTTGTAGATGTCATGCATTGTGTGCCGTATCCGAATGAGTATGAACGCAGATTCAGGGAAGCTTGGGAACAAACACGGGCGTCTCCGCCTTGTATTTCTTCCAAGCGGGATCGTCGCCCATCTTCTTGTCTTGTGCCTTCTCGAGCATCGGTACGCCAGAAGCATATCGAATCAGACAGTACCTAGCTGATGCATCAGCTGGGAGACTGCAGTGACAGGGAGATGGGGGCATACTCGAAGATGGGACTGATGGCTGCGAGTGCAACGAAATAGGTAGGGAAGACGGTCGCTGCACCTGGGCCGGCCAACGCGGTTGTTGCAACAATGTACTGTGATGCCCACATTCTGCACAGGTTGTCAGCGCTGCCACGATCGCACTCGTGATACATACGAGACTTCGCCGAAGTAGCTGCAAAGCGCGTCAGTGGGTCAATAAAGCACTGTAGAGTCAAGGCTTACTTGGGATGACGAGAGAGCGACCAGAGACCGGATTTGATGAATGGCTCGTCGTGCTTCTTTGCTTCCTTCTCTGCTCTCCAAGCGGACTTCTGACGATCGGCAATGGCTTCAAAGAGGAAAGCGCCAATCCACAGTCCGACTCCGACAAAGTCGCGAATGCCCAATCCGGGCTGCAGTCGTGCTGGTATAGAGTTGACCAGGAAACAGGGCAGAGCGGTCAGGGTGACCCAAGTGGCTTGCGCCATCCATGCACCGAAGAACTTGAGTGGGTAAGGCTTGATATCATCAAACCGACTATCGCTGCCGTGCTTCTGGATGCGCTGGAACAGGAAGCTGGACAGTCTGCCCGCCCAGAGTATCGTGAAGCCCGATAGGAGGAGCTGACGGGGATGGAAGGATGTGATGGCAGGAAAAGGGACTGATTTGCCCTGAACGAACTTGGCGTGCAGGGCAGGATAGTAAAGTGACATGACCGTGCAGCCAATGAAAGTCGCGCCGCCTGACAGATCATAGTACTTCTCTGTTTGCATGGGCTGGCGTCATGCTTCTCAGCTTTGTGGAGCAGAAGGAGCGATCGGGGGCACTGACGACTGCAAAGGCTGCACAAGCTACTTGGGCACCGTAGGCCGTTGCAATCGTGGCTGCTAGCGTGCGCACAGCAGGATTGCTCCATGACAGAAGCGGGTGCGGCATTCTTGGCCCTTGACGATGACCCGATAGAGGGCGATGAGAGTCAGGCGAAAGAGCTCAGTGCACGCGACGTTGTCGTCATTGTTCGGCACGGAATGCTGCTGCTGCTATCGCCGATACAACATTTTACACGTGGCACGTGAGATGAGCGTTTCAGATGATTCCTTCCAAGGAAGCAGTGATCGGGATCCCCATAGATGTCAAGTACTCGTCGTTCCAGAATCGTGATAGGTGCCGAGCGCCCGAGTCGCACAGGATGGTGACGATGACAGATCGCTCACGACCTTCGCTCACCGTCTTGAGCAAGGCCCCTTTGAGCGTCTTGGCATACTTGACTGCTGCGACAAGGTTGACCGCTGATGACGATCCGAGGAAGAGACCGTCATTGTAAGCAAGGTGACGCGACATGGCTACTGCCTCTGCATCTGTCACGCTTTCATCTATGTGTCAAGTCTGAGCCAGATAAAAGTTCGTGGCTGCCTACCTGATTGCGTCGTCGATGAAGGAGACAACTTGGTCAAAGTTGCGAGTGATACGATTGATCCCTATGCCCTCGACGATCTATGCTCCGCGTCAGTCTGTACGTCTGTAACGTCAAGCAGGACCGACAGAGTCTACTTGATGTCGCCTTCTTTTGCCCTCGGCTTCTGTAGATGCGTACATGACTCCTTGCTTCACCTGGTGGACTTGATCAGGCAACTGTTATTGCGAGCTGCAGCAGCCTTGCCTTGTTAAACAGTCCCGATCCTTGTGGATCAGCAAGCACGAGCTTGATGCTGTCGTCATATCCTTTGAGATAGCGTCCAACGCCAGCGAGCGTCCCGCCAGTGCCTGCGCCGGCTACAAAGGCATCTATCTCGCCATTCGTCTGTCTCCATATTTCTGGGCCTGTCGTCTTGAGATGCGCTTCGTAATTTGCCAGATTCTCGAACTGATCTGCAAAGAAGCCTCTAGGTAGCTTCTCCAGATCGTCTTCGTGGCCTTTGGGGGTATTCTGTGCTTCCATCAGTCCGCTGCCGGAGATCGGGCCCAACGACTTGCCTCGTGAAAGACTGCATCGTGGTCTGCGTCGGTTGTAACAACTTCGTCACTTCTCGGCTGAGCTTTTCGATAGCCCATTGCTGGAGTCGGGTCGATGGCCGGATCTGGGCCAATGAGCTGGGTCAAGCCATGGTGGAGAGCGCGTGATCGTGCAAGGTTGACATAATGTTGCTTGTCCACAATTGATACCGGCCGCACTGGGAAAAGCCCTGATGTGAGCACTAGTGCTTTTTGAGGTGCTGCAGGGCATGCCTTTCTGTACTTGTGCGCCCAGCTTCTCGAGTAGAAGCGACTTTTCTTTCGCTACATCATCGGGCATGATGATGCAAGCCTGGTATCCCTTTGCACGAGCAACAGTAGCTATACTGATTCCTGTCGATCCCACTGTGCCTTCGTAAATACAAGAATCGGTGTTGGGATGCAACAGGCCAGCATCTTCTGCAGACTGTATCAGTTCGAGCGCGACGCGGTCTTTGGGCGATCCTGCTGGATTGAGAAACTGCTCGAGGGTCAGAAGTCGTCGTGGCTGCTTGCGCTATGACTCACTTCTGCTTTGCCGAGGATGTCAACGCCTGTGAGCTCACTCAGGCTCTTTATTCTGACGAGCGGTGTGTTGCCTGTGCTGGTGTCAATTCCCCTTTGGCCCACTGAATCGGGCAGCATACCGATGAGGCCGGTGACGCCATCAACAATCTCGCTGCTTCTGCTCTACACCCGCATGAGACCCATGCCGTGAGTCCGCTAAAGGCGCTTGCCTGATTTCGATGGGTCGCCAAGTCTGACGTTGCCTCAACATGCGCTTCCATCTATCTCTCGCCCAGAGCGCCAAGCCAGTACTCGTCAGAGAAAAGGTGATGCCTGTGTGGCTAGCTCGGGTGAGCTTGCAGGAGATGAAAAGACATGTCAGCGCACCAATGGACAGGCCAAGCAAAAGGTCTCGAGACAGGCCGAGCCGATTGAGAACCTCCTGGAAGCTGTGCGACCATCGGGTCGGGCTGAGCCAGGCTGGTACGCTGAGATTGGTGTGTATGCCCGCATAGCGGGAGGACATGGATGGGGCAACTGCTCCTCTAGACCGATGACGCGATGACGACGACACGCGGTTTGCTGCGCTGCGACGTCGCCCTGCACGAACCATCGCTGTCCTATGACCGGCATGTCAAGCGATCGGCTCATCCTGGCGCTGGACATCGCTCGCGGAGCTGTGCCGGTTGCACTGCTAGCAGTCTTGGCGACGACGCTTGCTGGCCGGGCATTCTTTAGATTGCTGCGCCTACTACAAAATCAGGGCTATTCGGCTCATCTGCCGCCTGTCGCAGAGCCTGCACGACCCGACGTCAGAGAAGATGGCTATGTACCCATACTCGATCCTGTGCAGTCGGACGAGGCGGAGATCACGCCCGTAGTGAGACCTGCGAGAGTGCAGCGTCGTGATCTCATCTTGATCGTCTTTGTCCTCATCAGTCTGACTTATTTCATCGATGCTCTCGTCAATATACTTTATACCGTCATCAGGCAAGAGAGGAGATCGGATGTCTTCAGGATATGGCGGGGGAAGGAGCTTTATGCCATTGGCGCGTTCGCTGCCTTTGCAGGAACTTCCGTCACGCTCGTCTGGGAGGAGCAGCAGAGCGGGATCAAAGCGGGTTGGTCCACTGTCTTACCTGCAACAGTCGCTACACTGGCAACGATCCTTGAACCTATCCTGTTAGGTCTCGAAGCGGCTGCCATTCGGCATAGCTACTCGCGCAGTCGTCTGACTGCATACGAGATTATTCATATCAGCGTGCAAGCCGTCCGCATATTACACTTGCTACTTCTGACAGCATTACTGCTCACGAGCTTGGGCACCCGCAAGCTCTTCGTGCCTAATCCTGCCTTGGCTAGCGCGGCGCCGGCCGCAAGCTACGGCACTTTTGCTGCAGATGTCACAACTGCCAATGGCGGCAGCAAGACCCCGACGACTTCAAAGACAGAGGCTACACCGCTTCCTGTCACAGCTTCCTTTTGGTCAAGAATAAAGCGGTTATCTCCCTTTCTGTGGCCCAGCAAGTCCGTCAGTCTGCAAATTGTCACCATCATCTGCTTTCTCCTCCTCGGCGTCGGACGTGTTGTGAACCTGTTCTTGCCGAAGACGCTAGGCAACATCGTCAACGATCTTTCTGCAAGCAAGTCCCCCTGGTTCCATGTCGGCCTCTATGTTGGTCTGCGATTCTTGCAAGGCGGTGGCGGTATCGTCAATGTCTTGCAATCGACGCTCTGGATACCAGTATCGCAATACTCGGAGCGAGCAATGTCGATGATGTGTTTCGAGCATCTCCTCAATCTCTCGCTTGCATATCATACGCGAAGGAAGACGGGCGAGGTCCTCAGAGTTCTCGATAGAGGTGCAGCCATCACTCAGTTCTTCCAGCTCGTGATCTTCCAGATTGTGCCCATCTTTGTCGATATCAGTATCGCCATCATCTACCTCGCAACAGTATTTGGCATCTCCCTCGGCATCGTCGTCTTCATCGTTATGTTCCTCTACGTGGCAACATCTGTCTGGCTCACTTCCTATCGCACCGTCCTCAGAAGAGCGATGAACGATAAGGACAAGTATGTGAGAGGCGTACAGACGGATGTGGTCCTCAATTGGGAAACGGTCAAGTTCTTCACTGCAGAGCACTACGAGTCGACTCGATACGAGGTAGCCCAGAGGGACTATCAACGGAGCGAATTCCTCGTCATCGCTTCGCTTTCTTTGCTCAACATGGTACAAAACTTTGTCATCTCGCTCGGGCTCCTCATTGGCTGCTTCATCGTCGCTTTACAAGTCGCTCAGGGCGAGAGAGGTGTGGGCGACTTTGTCCTCTTTGTCACTTACCTGCAACAGCTTTACGGGCCACTCAACTCTCTGGGGACGCTCTACCGAGTCATTCAGACCAACCTGGTCGATACCGATAATCTCATGAAGCTGCTCAATGAGGAGAAGGAAGTCGTCGATCGAGCAGACGCAAAAGACCTCGATCAAGTTAGCGGCGAGATCGAATTTGACAATGTCTCGTTCTCTTACGATGGCAAAGTTTCGGCGCTCAAAAACGTCTCTTTCAAAGTGCCGGCGGGCAAGTCTGTCGCACTAGTAGGCGAGAGCGGCTCCGGTAAATCGACAACGTTGCGACTGCTCTATCGCTTCTATGATGTGACTGAGGGCTCTATCAAGATAGACGGTGTCGACATACGCGACATCACCCAGCATTCGCTCAGGAAGAATATCGGAGTCGTACCGCAGGATTCTGTACTATTCAACGAGACGTGAGCAGTCCACTGCGTCAGGAAAAGCAGGCTGACTTTTGCGCAGGATCCGATACAACATTGGCTACGGTGATCCGAAAGCTTCCGAAGATCGCATCATCGCAGCAGCCAAGGCAGCCCAGATCCACGAGAGGATACTCACCTTCCCTGATGGTTACGAAACCCGAGTCGGCGAACGAGGCGTACGATTATCGGGCGGCGAAAAACAGCGCGTGGCCATTGCACGAACGATCTTGAAAGATCCCTCGGTCCTCTTACTGGACGAGGCGTCCAGTGCTCTCGATACGATGACCGAACGCGAGATCCAGCATGCTCTGCGAGCAATGGCTAAGGGCAGGACGACCGTCGCGATTGCTCATCGCTTGTCTACGATCATCAGCTCCGACATCATCCTCGTCGTGAGCGATGGCAGGGTTGCGGAGCAAGGGACACATTCAGAACTACTCGCTAGACCGGAGGGACTTTACGCGGCCTTATGGCAGAAGCAGATCACGGCCGAGGAAGGGATACTGGAGGATGCGAGTACGTCTCAAGTAGCACCGATCGACAAGAGCATCGAAACGTCCGGCACGTCTACCCCAGCACATGCATGATTGTTGTACAACAATGGCAAATCAAAAATTCACATTCAGGATCCCATATCAAGCTTGCGCCTGCGCAGAGTCTGATGGGCTTTTGGCTGACGGTGGCCAATCTGCCAATGGCGACAGCTGAGCCATCGACATCGTAGGTGTGAGATGATGCCATTGAGGTAGTGAGCTCATTGCAGCATGTAAGCCAGGCACAGGGTGATCGCACTGGCAATCTGCGCCGCATTGACAATCTGTGCCACAGCCGAGGCAGCCCGGATTGGCCAACGCTTCTTCTCGCCCAGCGTCGGCGGCTGGCTCAGTCTGCGGTGACGCGAGCGGATCGAAGATCCATCTGAAAGGCATGTCCGAGGCGCCTCCTGCAAAAGAAGTATCTAACGCTGATGGCAGGAAATCATTTGGCCATTGCGCAGATGCTCTATCGGATCGACTTTGCGCATTTGGCAAGATTGATGGCAGGGTGGCCATTGCAGAGAGATCTGGCCATACGTTCTCGTGAGGAAATGGTTCTAGAGTCTGCTCTGCCGTCTGTTTTGAGCTGCAACAATTGCTCGACGCGCTGACATCTTTGCTCTTGTCTGTCGATTTGGCAGCTCTCGGTAGTGATGGGATCCGACTCGGTCTGACACCGATGGACACGAGCGCTGTCCACTGCTGTTCCGGCTTGAGTCGCTTGAATATGGCCACTGGATCTGACGAGCAACCACAGCCGCATGTACAGGGACCGCGACCTGTCAAGCAGCCGCAGAGATCGCTCAGGCCTTCTGCCGTACACCCACCAGTACTAGCAGTCGAAGTGACCAAGCTGATATCTGTATACTCGTCGTGTCAGCTTGCGTGGCATGGCCGAGCAGACGTGCGACGGACCGCTTGATTCGCCTTTGATGCTCGCATTGTCAGCAGCGCTATACTCGGATGCTCGCACGCTACTCGACCGCTCTCGGCAATTGCACTTGGAATGGCTGCCCTTGAGTACCCGCAGCGTCCTACACTGCGGGCATTGACTGGGCGGTCTGCCTTTGCGCTTGACTTCGACGAGGTTCCTGTCTTTGTGCGTGCAAGTCGTCGAGCGGTGTCCCTTGATGCATGACTCGCACGCGACCTTGACGCCGTCGACAAGCTATAGAAAGTGTAATTGTTAGCCGAGCATGCCGGGAGTCTGTACGCCATACCATCTCGTCTAGCTCTTGTCCTGCCCAGACGCCTGGGCTGCTTCCGAACGTCTGACGAGGAAATAATTTGACGCGGCAATTGCAACGTTTGACGCATGCACAAGATCTTATCGATCACCTGGATCAGACATAACCTACCCTGGCTCTGTCGAGCTACCCACGATCACATCTCAACGGTCTGATGCGATACTCGTCTGCATTCACTGAAAGATAAGGCAGCACGTAATCAGGTCAAGAATTCTCGAAGGGACTCAGTCCGCTCTTGTCGCACTGAAGTACTCCCAGCGGCTCGCCAATCCATTCATTGAGTTGCCCGTGTCACACATCATCGTCGGTTCATGCAGGCCATTAGCTCCTGCACTTACGCGCGGTCACGGTCAATGCAATTGCTAGATGCGCACCGACCGCGTGCTCCTAGATTTTAAGCCTCCGTCCCTTTCGAGTATGCTGCCTCAGTCGTCCATCGCTGCTCAAAAGCATGATCGCTCTTGCCTGCGGCTTGCTCGGCCTTGCAATGCTATGCACAGCGCAATTGCCGATCTCGACAGCGACAGATACGGTCGTCTGCCCGCCGGCAGGTAGTCATCTCGTTCTGGTCGTACGTGGCACGCTAGAGAAGCAAGGAACATGTCAGCCTTGCGATGCTGCTCTTTCAGCCTACTCCCAGACGGGCGCAGTCTACTACCGACATGATGTGATCTACCCAGCTTCGTTCGATCAGGCTAGTCTGTTTGCTCTCATCAAATGATTCTTTTGCCTCAACTGGCATGACTTAGATGTCTACACCTGCTACGCAAGCTGTCGTCAATTGGACGAGTACTTGCCGAGATTCGAAAATTGTGACGTGCGGCTACAGTCAGGGCGCTGCTGCTTCTACGTAAGTCTACCTCGGCCCTATCGATGACAGACGGAATCGCTAATCGCCGCCAGACAGTCGAGCCATGTCCATCATCAGGAATGCCAACGCAGGCGCGATCAACTTTGGTAATCCCGGCAGAAGACCGAACCTGCTTTCCTCTGTCGATCAGTACGGTCGGAAGGACAATCGTACGACGCAAGGCTTCGAGGGAGATGTTGGCATTCCCGCAGACTGGGACAGAACAGATCGCGTCCTGGATATCTGTGGCACGTCGGATCCTTACTGCTCACTGGGTCCTCTTTCCTTCCCGACGAGCCTCGTCGATCTGCCAGGACATCTCAAATACAACGAGGCGCCAACGCCTGCTTTGGTCTCTGGCTGGCTCACTCGCTTCTTCGCTCAGCCGTTGCAAAGGACGGTCGTGTCCGTTGTTCCGGAACGATGATCTTCAGATGATGCAATTTATACGGTGTTCGTGCTTGCTATGCAGTTATGCTTTGTCGCTCTTTCTCGGCGGGCGAAACTTAAGTTCGCTCGCGTCCTCTGTGCGGAAATCAGCTGTTGCGTGCGAGCGTATCAGCAATGTAGCATGGTAGTACTGCGGTGCCTACGAGGAATCTGTCTATCTTTGACGGCGGCGCTCTTCTTGGCCTTTGTGGTACCTTTCTTGCTCATCATATCGACTGCCTGCTTCGCACTCTCGTGTATCTCATTACTGCTCCCGACGCCACTCGGATTGGTGTCCAAGCTGGGCTTCTTGCCCAGCTCGCCTCTACGGGAGAGCGCAGAAGGATCGATCTCACTCGAAGGCTGTCCCTCGGTCACGGTTTCGTACTCGCGCTGGTAAGAGTCTGGCTCGGGCTGACCTTTGACATAGGTCTTGTCTGCCTCTGGCGAGGCTGTCGAGGCTGTCACATGGCTCGTAGCAGGGGGATGGGGCGTCGTTGGCTTCTCTTTGGCTGCATCGGCCAGCAGTGCGACTGAAGTTGTAAATCTCCGTCGAGCTTGGGTCGAGTAGGCTTTCGACGTTCCTCCCATCGAACCGGCCGACGCGCCATTCGCACCGCGATGCATCGTACCACCTGTTTGCTCCTGCGCTGCCTGTTGAGCATGGCAGTTGCACGAGAAAGAGATGGAGACGTACGCCCATCTGACCGGGTTGAAAGTCCTTCATGCTCTGGTTGCCCGTGTTCTTCTTGTAGAGCTCACTCGCACCCTCAACCGTCTTTGTACCCTCGTTGAGTCCCTTGGTAGCAGATTCCGTCTGGATGTCCTTGGGAGACATGCCGCTCTTGGCCTTCTCGACAACATGACCATCCTTATTGGGCGCAGTGTGATTGGCCGGATAGGAATCGCCCTGTTTGCTCTGCCATCGTCTCGAGGTACTGAAGCGTGCACGTGCAGCCGTACGTGCGCCGAGCTGGAGTGTCTGTCTGCTGGCGAGCATGATCATCGTTTGGGTGTTTGAGATTATCGATGACGATCGGGAGCTCGACAGCAGCAGCAGCTCAGTCGCGTCCGAGATCAGAGATTGATGACGGCCAGCCAACGGCCGATGGCCAACGTGTCGAGTGGAACGACGAGTACGCGAGCTCATCCGCATGCGATCAAAGCAGTCTCGGGGCAATCAAGGGCAGCATGCATGCATGATCTTGTGCAGCTAGCAAGAGTGCTATCGATCAGAAAGGCAAGGCAGGTCGCGCTTTTTGCTTGGCTTCTGCCTTTTGCTGTACGCAAGACGAAGTCAGATCGATGCGATTGTGTGCCTGAGGTGAATGAACCTACTTTTTGCCACAATGCGATCCGCTTGGGCATCTCCTCGAGCTTGAGGACTCGCTCAGCTTGACGTGAGGCCGCTGTCCTCTCCCACACATGACCCTTGAAAGGCTGCTTCCTTCCCCTATACATCCGCGCCAACCTCAGGGGATCCTGATCGACTTGCTCTGTCGGCGTCGCAAGTGGTACGGGCGCAGCTTGTGGCTCGAGAGCAGAGAGCTGTTGGGAGTAAGACTCCATGCGCGAGATCCGCTTGACGGCATCCCTGCACTGTCGCCTCGACAGACCGTACTTTGGTTCGTCGTCGTACTTCTTGATCCTACTGCTGCTCTTCTTGCGCACGAGAGCGTTGACGACGGGTTTGAAGGGATCCGTCCTGACCGCCGGCTTGACTGTGCTGTTCGATCGATGTTGACCTCGCCAGTGCAGAGACAGGGCTAGCCAGGATGTCGACCGTGACGCGATGACGGTGTGAAGAGCGCCCTGTGTTCGCAGGAGGGTCGACGTGGCCATGATGAGGCTGCTGTCGGGCTCGGTCGTCGGTCGACGGTCGCTCGAAAAAGTTCGCGACAAGTTGGCGGCGAGAAGATAGGGCCAGGCCGATTCGCCAAGCATCATGTCTCGCCTTGTGGGCCTCTTCAGGCGCCCCAACGCCGTCGCAGAGTCGCCATCGATGTCGGATGATGCAATGCAGCCACAAGCAGCTCGGCTGACGCTTGGGCGGATGCACAGGACAAGATCCGAGTCTCAGACGAGCGTTGCGCCTACCACGCTTCATCTCTCTCGTCAAGGCAAGCCAGTCCGGGGAAAGGAGCCCAAACTATCGCTGACATGGGCTCGCAGTGTCGTCGCTAGCCAGTCTGCTGTACGAGATCGGCTCCAGCTTTGTGTATGACAACGTACAGCGAATTTTGGCAGCTCAAGCTCGTCCGGATGTCGTCCCTTCACGCTCAGTCATCGTCGTCACAGGCTCGGTCTGCTTCCTGCCGCTCTCTCGTGACGTCTGATGTCCTGACATGGCCCGTGCTGGTCTGCAGGGCCGCGGCCTACCTCGAGAGCTCGCACTTCGATTTGCCGCACTCGGTTTCACAGTCTTTGTCCAGGCACAGTCAGCGAGCCAACTGCCCAGTCTCATACACAGATGGCAAGATCTCAAGTCACGCCTCTCGCGCAAGTCTCGATCTGCTCAAAAGGCGGGCCAGGAGGACGAGATGACGGGCGATGAGACTGTACTCGACGAAGAGACGGACGATCTCGACGACATTGCCTTTTCGCTCGATCACCCCCTACCACCTACGACCGCTCACAGAACATCTGGCAAAGATTCGCCTCAGCACCATTCGGGTACTCTGATCCCGCTCGTCTTCTCCTCGAGAGACCAGGCGGCGAGAAGCAACGCATATAAAACCATTCGCGCTTACTGTCAAGAGAACGACCTCGTCTTTGTCTCCCTCATCAACTGTGTCGAGGCCCTCGGCCAGCGTTCTCCGGCCAGTGTGCCTCTCGCGACCAAGATGAGCAGCAAGCACGATGAAGGCAGCATGAGCTCAGGCAACGAATCCAGCGCCATCAAGCCCCGCAGAGCTTCTGGCAGTCTCAAAGAGAAACCGCAGAGTGATGCCTTCTATGGCGAGGTCCCGATCCCACTGGCGATCTCGACCGAAGAGCATCTCATCGACATCATGACAGAGGTCTATGTCAGTCTCGTCGGTCTCGTGCAAGACTTCTTGCCTCTCCTTCGACAGGAAAGAGCTCGCGTCGTCAATGTCTGGTGTAACGGCGGTCTCGGTCGATCGGGCCTCGTCCCGACGGGCATCCTCGCACCTGCAGAAGCTGCCTTTCGATCCGCAACGCGCAGTCTCAGCCTGGAACTCCGCCCCTTTGGTGTATCGGTCTCTGTCGTCTTGCCCGGTGCGACCGATATCGCTCCTCGATCTCGCATCGATGTCAAGGGACCCGAATACATCATGCCCACCGTCTCTGTGACCAACGATCACCGCAGTATCTTGACCCCTCAATCTAATCCTTCCATCCGTGCAGTCTTTGATGGACAGGTCAAAGTCTTCCAGGCCGCACTCGAGCTGTCTAGCTACTGGCGAGTAGACGATGCGCTCGTCTTTCGCATCGTCCGTCGTGCCGTCGAGTCTCGCTATCCCAAGGTGAGCCGTTGCGTCCTTTGCATTGCACATGAGTGTACTGATGCGATCGACGGCAGTCAATATACCCCGTCGGCATAGACAGTCTCATCGCTCATGTGGCAACGCTCGTCGTTCCGACCAATCTGGCGCAATTACTCGAAGAGAGGATGTACTCGATCGCGCGCTACTACTCACTCGCATCCCGTTGAACGTCCATACGGTTTTCTTCACTTGTTGACTTTGTTGATACAATGTACAAGCATGGACAGAACACACACAATCCTCATTTGCGCTGTTTCTTCTGTGCCGAAGACTGTCTCGGCCGTTTCAGCCTGTCCTTACGCTTTGGCGTCGGTTTCTTGGGGACATAGGCTTTCTGGGACGGCCCAGGAACTGCGATCGATACTTTCTTGGGCTGACGTTGTCGCTTTGGCTCTTCGTCTTGTTCTGTCACGTCGAAAGGCTCGATCGAGACCGTCGTCGTCATCTCATCGGTCATATAACGAGCGGGCTCGAGCGCGTCTCCGTCTGCCTCCTCTGTATCTGCATCTATCTCTGCAAGACGCCCCTCGACATCAGCTGAGTTGCTCACTGCAAGGGAGGTTGTCTGTCTCACCCCCGTATGCTTGTCGGGCAGCGCGTACATTCGCTTCTGCTTGTTCTTGCCGACTTTGCCGTAGCTGGACGGCCCTGTCAGCTTCAATGCGGGAACGACGGCCAGTGTACCCACATGCGCCCTGAGTTCGTTCCGCTCTTCTCTTTCCCTCAGTTGAGCTTTCTGCCGCGCGTACTCTCTCCGCTCATTCTTTCGCTTCGAGAATCCCGTCAGATAGTCTCTGCAGGTCGACGAAACGGGTTCAGCCTGGGAGTGCTGCACAGGAGGATCGACTTGCCTGCGAGCATCATCGTCGAATTTGATCTCTTTGACCGGTTTGAGCTTTCCTTTGATGATGAGCTTCCTGCTCCCTTTGAGGTTCGCTCTACCGTGCCGCGTCTTCTTGACCTCGCTCTGAGCCGGCGCTGGCTGGATCCGGGCTTGTCTGTCCGGATGCATCGTGCTGAAGCAAGCTGCGAGCAAGTCGGCGCCGTCCGAGTCAATTCAAATAGAGAAACTATTGACGCTCAACCGTGCCAGATCACCGGCGAGCCTCGTACAGATTGTGCAGGCCATGGAGCATCGAGAGGGACACAGGTCGAGCATCAGCTCCTCCGCCGTCAGCATGACGAGCGCTTCATCTCGTTCTGGCTCGTTCAGCGCGGGAGCGGGCATGCCGTTCAATGCAGCTCGACTGGGCCTGAAGCCATTGACGCCGATGGTCAGACCGGCCGCAGCATCTGTCGCTTCACCCACCAGTGTCGCCCATCTACCACTCGCCCATCCATCCCCGTCGGTGGCTCACAACAGATACGGACCGCCCAGTCACCCGCCCGAGGAATCAGGTCCCGCACTCTCGCGACGAGGTAGCATGTCGGCCTCTGCCCAGCCCAGGTCCAGACGACCTAGCTCGGTAGCAGGCTCCGTCTCACAACCCCAGTCGCCAATCTCAATCTCACATCGTTCGCTGCCGAGTATGACGGCGGGAGTCAGGCGACGCTATTCGAGTGCGACAGAGGATGCTGCACCTCTCGCTCGTCGCCCTTCGATGGTCTCGGGTACTCTGCCTCTTGCCGGCATGCGTCCGACGCCCAAAGCTGACGTAGCAGAGACTCATCGATCGTTGCACGCGCGTCGACAGTCCAGCGTCGCAAGGGAACCGACGCGCTTGCATCACTCGCCCTCGCTCAACACGCTCAGAAGCGGTCGCTTCTCCTTCGTGGGAGGCGCTCAGACTGTTCACGAGACCGTCTTCTCCGACACGTCGTCCCTCCATCCTGCAATACAGCAAGATCGGACGGGGCTACCCATGGCACTCTCGCCAGAGGAGAAGATCTCGAGAGTGAGGGAGGATGCCGAGCTCACTGCTGTAGCTTTCAAGGCTCTTCTCGGCCATGCCTCGCTCTATGAAGATCAGAACGATATCCAGGCTGAGCCTCGTGCTCTGTCCAAGCTCCTGGCGAGCTTGTTCGATATGGGCGCTGTCAAAGCGGAGCTCACGAGTGCGCTACCTCTTGCATACAGACTACCTGCCTGGGCTGACATCACCCACTCGTCATCAGATCTTAGTGCACCGAATAGACCAGCCACGATTGACTCGGCTTACATGACCGTCTACTACCAGCAGCTCATCGAACAGCTCGTCACGATTGGTCACCTCGTGTCTGCCGAACCCGAATTCCACAACTTGTGAGTGACAACATCCCCCAGCTTCATCCCAGCGCCGTGACTGATGCGGTGCTCGTACCTGCCGCAGACTTACCTTTGCTACGAAAGAGATGCAGTCGATCTTGACCGCGCCCGAGCGAGCGGCGGCACCTGCCGGTCTGTCAGCCTTCGCAGGCTATAGCTCCACACCGTCCCAGAGTCTCTACGGGCTTTTCGACGTCCTTCGTCACCGTGTCGCCAGTCAACCTAGCTATCAAGCGGTCTTGCTCAAGCTCGTTGATACGCTAGCCCAATTTGTCCTCGTTTCCGAAGACGAAAAGCTCAGATTGTATCACACTTGCAAGGACCTCTGGGCACATGGAACAGATACACCCGGCGCTGTGCCGATCGAGGACAAGCAAGGCAAGCCAGCTAAGCTCGAAGCTCTGCGTACAATGTTCAGCAACGCCGCTGCGACCGTCGAACAACTCACTGGACTGCCCGTCATGCCATTCGTCCGAGCATTGGCAGAGTGGTGGAGCATAGCAGATGACGTCTTGCCCCAGCTAGCCAAAGAGACCCACGCTTTCCTCTCCGCCAAGTTGCCCCCGCAAGCTCTGTCAGCCCCACTTTATTACGTACAACATCCCCTTGGCCACCCTTACAGCGAGGAGGAATCATCCGTTCGCTTTCACATTCTTGCTGAGAGATGGACTGCCGTCATCTTGGCTGATCCGCATCGATCCGCGCTCCTCAAAGTCGTCAAACATGCCGACCGACTTATCCAGGGCGTCAGAGGCAATAGCGAATTCACCCGCTTCTCGCGAGATTGCAAACGTCTCTTTAGCAACTTCGCTGGTCCGGACGCTCTCGGCAATACATCATACGAGATCTCGCCGGAAGAGATTATCGAGATGCTACGCGTCTTTTCCAAGCGGATTTTGACCGTTCCTCTCGAGGACATCGTACTGTAAGTCACCCTGGGCTCACAAGACTGTCCAGCTGCTGATCAGCCTATGACCTGCACAGATCGGACGACTCGCTTGATTGCAGTCTGATGGGCATCAGGGTCAGCTCGGAGGATCTTGTCCCGGAGACTTTATCTCGCACAGTGGATGCAGAATATGCGCTTGCTACCTCTGCAAGGCACTCTGTCAATGTCAGACAGCGCACCAAGCTCAATCTGCGCTCGGTCAAGCTTGTCGCTCGGGGCGTCGAATTTGCTTACAGAAAAAAGGGGGCGATGCCGATCTCTGATGCTGGCAAAGCTGATGTCCAGATCAAGCTCAACATCCAGATTGTCACATCGCCCGGCAAGTCGTCGACTTTCACACTGCCTGCATTCGAGAGCTCCGACGTCGAAATCGCGGACTGTCAGATTGCCTTTAGTGGTACTGGCATGGACAGCTTGTACAAATATGCCTGGCCAGTGCTCAAGCCCAAAATCACCGCCAGTTTGCAGAAGCATCTGACGACATATGTCAATCAGAAGTTGAGGGCCTGGCTGCCTGCTGCTGTGCCTGCTGGCCTTGCAAAGCTTGGCGCAGCTCAAGGTACTCATGCTACAGCCCGGGATCTCTTCCGCGAGCGCGTCCGCTCCACCAGCCTCCGGACGGATATCCCACTCGATAATGTCCCATCAGGTCCATCGTCTGCCGTGTTCGAAGAAGGCGAAGCTGCGCCGCCTACCGGCTTGCAGCAGCGCCGTCAATCCATGGCAGATTGCTTGACTAGCGTTTCGAAGCGTGATTCGACGCTGACCGACAACATCCGCAGGCCACCCAAAGCCGAATCCAGCCAACTTCCTGCCGTCTTTGATGATGAAGAGACAGAATATGAGTACATGGCCCACTCGCTGTCTGCTCTCGCTCGACGCGATACCACCACGTTTGACGCCGTTGCCAACCCACCCTCGGCTTTCCCTCGCTCAGAGGGTATGACATATGAAGAGTATGATCAGGCTGCTTTGCATGAAGCGGCAGCAGAGGCTAGGCCAGAAGGGCCGACGATGTCCCAAGCATTATCGGAGCTGGCGTCGCGAGATGGCACAACCTTGGAGGCTATCATGTCGCCTCATGGCTCTGCTGCAGCATCAGTCTCTGCCAAGAAGCTTCAAGCTGTTCTCGATCGCGAGCAGGCTCGCTCGAACAGCGACAGTAAGCCTCGACACTCGATGAGCAAGATCACGCGCGACTTGTCTGGTCTGCCTGATCTCGACCCTGCTCCCGCGCCCGCTAGTCAACGATCATCTGGCTACTATGCAGATGCGCCCCAAGTGAGCTCGCCCGCTCGCAGCATGGCCGACTTCCTCGATGCGCGCTCGCGCGACGACAATACGCTGCCGGAAACACAGGCTACAGGCGCTTACAACACGCCACACGATCGTGGCGTGCCACGGAAGAGTTTCAGCAGCCTTGATGATGCCGAGCGTGTCAAGATGAAGGAGATGCTTTCCAAGCTCGCCAGTACAGACACTACCCTGCCGGAGAACATTGCCTCGCCTCCGGGAAGCCGCAGTGGGTCTTTCGCATACGCAAGAGGCGCTCGACCTTCATTCACTGCGCTCAAGAGCTCCTTTGCGATGAGCGACGCCCTTACGGAAGAGTCCACTCGCGATGGGACTCAGATCCAGCAGCGTCAGGCACGCGCACCCTCGAGCTCGTCTGTGACGGGCTTGAGCGATGCAGAGATGCGCCAGCGCCGACAGTCGTTCAAGCTATCTGCGGAAGCGATGAGAGATAGCACACTGCTCGACAACATTGCTTATCCCGTCACGGTCAATCAGTCGGTCACGCATGATGACAACAGTGGGCAGCCACACCCACTTGCAAGGCGAGCATCTTCTGTAGTCTCACGAGTATGATCAAACGAAGCACGGAAGAATGAACAAAGAAAGCAACAAAGATTGTAGAACATGCATTGTGATGCCCATGAAGAGATTCTGCCAGTGACTCACGCCGAAGCGCTCAAAAGCTGAAACGCGCGTAGGAAAATCGGTCACGCAGCCTGAGCCTTGAAGGTTTGCTTACTTTTGGCTCGCTGCCATCAAGCGAGCGGCCAAAACGGCTCAAAAGTGCTTGGCGAGGCTTGCGAACGGTCAGGCTGGTCTTAGCATGGGTAGACGGCCGATGTCGTGCTAAGCCACCAGCTGGCTTGCGGGATTCGTCGATATCCAGCGGCATCACACGACGACATGCATTTGCTCTAGCGATATCCGAGCACGCCACTCGCTTCCGTCCTGCCTCCGGCCGTCTCTGCCAAGCCATTCAGGTGGCTTCGAGCCTGAAGAGACGAGATGACTACTCATTGCGGCAAAGTACGCCTGCTGACGCCTCAAGATGACACTATCCGGATCGAGAGGGTCTATGCCAACGGACTACCGGCACTGGCTCGACTGGTGCTCTATCATGAAGCGGACGAAGGACAGACGACGCCTTTGCTCGTGCGACTCGGCAGCACGCTGGGTGATCAACTCGCTTTCCAGCTGCACAATGAGAATCTGTCAGACGACGCAGGCAAGCCGAGCAATACAATGACTTGTCTCCAGGCTAATCCATGAATGCGTGCACAGATGCCAGCTTGGGCCAGATTGCGACAAATACGGTACAAGCAGCTGCCGTTGGCGGCACTTTTGGCGCTCTCCCCGGCCAGACAGTCAACGCTCTCTTCAATGCAATTGGTCACATCTCCCAATTCGTCCTGCAGCCAAGGCAGAAGACAGAAGTCATCCTTGTATTCAAGCCGGACTCGTCCCACGCTATCGCCGCCTTGCCCGCACACCCAGCTTTGCTTGCGCCCGGGCCCGCCTCGCTGCCCTCCTCGTTCGCGTCGCAGCGGGCCGGTAATTCGACAGGGTCGGTCGATAACGATATGCTCTCGTCTGTCTCACTTGCCGGCGACTCGAGCAAGTCATCTTGGCCAGATGAGCAAGCTGCCCACAAGGCGTCATACCTGCTCGGCCGACTTGAAGGCTACCTGACCATCGACGCAGCAGCTCTGATCTCTGATGAGTCGACTAGCACCGTCGAAGCGAGAGATCATCAGCAGATGTCCATTCCTGTACACGCTTCAGTCTGTCGCTCGGCCTTTCACATCGCGGGTGCACCTGTGGAAGACAACGGCATGATCTCCTTCGAGCTCGGCAATTGCGTCGCTGGCGAAACCTACGTTCGTGACTTCGAGCTCGTCAACATGTCCGATATTGAGCTTTACTGGTCGTTGGAAGACCCAGATGGTGCAATGACGGGCAAGAATCAAGACGCCTGGGTTGTCATCGTCGACGCAGAGCGCGGACATTGGTTAGGCAGCAAAGGCAACGATTGGGTGAAGCCATACCCGGCTGCACCAATGTCTACGCGACGGCTCAAGCTTGTCTTCCGGCCAGGCGTACCTCAAGAGCTTGACGTGACCTTCCAGTTCGCCAACCTTCAAGACAGCGAAAACTTTGTACAGATCCACATCACTGCCTCTGTTGCACTCTCAAGGGCGCCAGATTCGGTACTTGTCAGACCGGAAGGACCTATCGATTATGGCGATTGCATCAATGGACTATGGGCTAGTCGCACCATCACTGTCAAAAGTCTGACGGAATATCCACTTGACATTGCCTTTTCTGCAGAGCCGGGCTACGAAATAAAATTTCAGCTTGCAGATGGCTCGATCACAGCCTCGGCTGGGCTTCCAGACTCTTCTGCTCCTATTGAAGACAAAGCCCGCGACACCGCCACCGACAACTATCCCGGATCAGACCCTAGCAGTCATGACTTCGATGCGCATCCTGACTCGCAATCAGTGACGAGCAGAAAGTCTACGCTTGACTCAACTTCTCTATTTGATGCGAGCAGCGAGCTCTCGTCGCCCCGGTCAACGGGCGTGCAGCGCCGCGCAGTCGACGCGCCATCTTCTGCATCGCGGCCGCCATCTCGGCCACCATCACGGGGCTCATCGATCGCAAGCGAACGTTTTAGCCCGCAAGGGCCGCAAGCTCAGAGATATGAGGAGAAGCCGCCAGCGCTGAATTTGCCGGCTTCGAAACCTCGCGTTTTAGGCGGCATCGCTCTCTCTCAGCGCTTCAGAACGATGACCTCGGAAAACGAGGCTCGCATAGATGACATCTGTGCCCGTCCCGCGGTCGAATACAAGATCATCGTCTCGTATCGACCCACGGCTTCCAGGGATCACAAAGCCAACCCTACTTTACTCCGACTCACTAGACGCACTTTCCGAATCTTCATTGAGTTCAGACGATGGACGCGAAGGCGGTCAATCGATACCGCAGAAACCTACATAGGGCGCTTTGCGATTCCCTGCAAAGCTCGCACATGCAACTCTGTCATCGAGGTGATGCCCAAGGCCATCGACCTCGGCGAAGCGGCAGTCGGATTAGGAAAGTCTGCAACGCTCACGATCCGGAATTTGTCCGAAATGGCTGCCAAGGTAGACTTGCGCTATGTCAGTAAGGTCATCAGCGCGACGAAGGGCGAAGTGGAGATTGCGCCTTTGCAATCAGTTGAGCTTCGCGTTGATGCCTTTCCCCGACGGGTCAACGAAAAGTATCGCAAGCAAATCACGGTCGTCAACAAGTCAGTGCTGTCAGAGCACTCTCTCCCGTTATGTGCTGAATGGGTACGGCAGTCTCAACAAGTTGAACGACCAGGTCGTAGAAGTTATGGCACGCAACGTTGACAAGCAGCGCATTGCTGTCCATTCACTCTTTTATCGCATTCTAACGTCCGGCGGCGGCAATTTTCTCACCTTCGGCAATGTCGTCGTCAATGCTATGGCCGTCCGTACGATGGCTCTTGAGAATCCGACCGATGCGCCCGTCCTGCTCGAACTCGAATGCGCACATCGCGAGGACATACAGCTCTTCGTTCGAGCAAAGCGCGCCTCAGAGGGGCCTCAGGGTCCATCCGGGTCCCGACGACCTTCTGGCGATATGACGCCATTGTCTAGCTCAGCGCAAGCAAAGGACGCAGTTGCAGCCTCGACGAAAATAAGGACAGCGCAAATCAAGGATCGTGTGCTCGATGCTTTCTTCTCGCAGCCGAAAGCTCCAACTTCGTCGCAAGCGTCTGCTACAAGCTCGCACGCTGATTCTGTCACATCGTCCAATGCTGAAAGTTCTAGTTCCAACGATTCTACAAAGCCTCGTCCGACTGAAGCCTACGGTCAAGGCGTCGCTTTCAAGAATCGGCATCTCTTGTCGCAGTCGGAATATCTTGACCTTGCGACGGGACCGCCAGTGGACGTCAAGAGGGTTTCGCCTCGAAGCAAGAAGGCTATCAAGCTGGATAAGCTAGAGACGAGCGGTAGATTAAAGCTGCCAACAGAAGGTCAGGACAGTGAGGTCATTCGCCCCGCGTTTTTGCCACCTCTGGTGCCCGCTTCTCCCGAGAAGCCGAGACCGGCTAGTTCCAGATCCAGTTCCCACAGCGGATCGCCAACACGACCGCCTGCTATGCTGTCAGAACGGTCGAATACTTCTCCTGCACTGACTGGCCGGCGGCGCGTTCGCAACATCTTCCTGGACGCATCTCAGAAGGACAACGATGAGCTCACGCTGGACGAAGCTCTGCTTTTGTCAGAGAAACATAGCGAGCATCCGAGTGCATCTTCGTTCAAGGATCACGAGGCAGAGGATCAATATGTGCGGAAGTATGCGAAGATCAAAGCTGCCCTGTTATCAGCAATAAGTACTGGCGATCTGGTGCCTGTCCACAACGTGAGTATACCGCCCGGCGGAGACGAACAGCTCGTCGTCGTTTTGCGGCCCAATTCTTCGACTCGTCCACACGTGCAGGGTTTGTATCGCAAGCAGGACTCGCGGATCTTCCTCAAGATGGTTCAGTACGACGAAGAGCTGATGCGAACATCTCCACTGGCAGAGGGCATCACATGCCCTGAAGACATTCCTGTACGCGAGCTTATGCTGAGGACAAGCATGTGTCGCAGCATTCTCGAACTTGGCCAAGCCCATATCAACTTCTCGACAATCGAGCGCGGTCAGACAAAGACGAAGGTCATTGTGCTCAAAAATCGCAGCGAGACCCCTCTTCTCTATCGCATTCGTAAATCTGGCTCCATTGCATCCGGCGACATCAGGATCGATTCTGGTCGGCATGGGTTGATCGCTCCTTTCAGCAAGAAAGAGGTTGAGTTCATATTCAAGCCATCGATGGCGGGACAGTTCAGCGAGCTTGTTACTATCGAGAACGTGGAAGACTCTGACAACAATCAGGTCTTGTCAATCAAGGCCCACATCAAGCGGCCCGCCACTTTTGCAGTGGAGCCCAGTGTCCTCGATTTCCCATCCTGCCAGCTTGGTCAGATCTCGGACGGCAAGAAAGTGACGGTCACCAATTTGAGCAAACAAAGCAAAACTTTCGTCATCGCACTGGACCCGACTGGCTATTGCTTCGCATCGTGCACCGTCGATGTAAATTTCGAAGCGCTCGGCGGTGACGCTAAGCCCGCGCTTGGCAAGGAAGACGAAGAGGAGATTGAGCACCTATCGCAAAAGCTGAAGATCGCGCAAAGGAAGGGGCAAGATGATAAGACAACAAAGTACAGCAAGCGATTGCTTGAGCTTGGCGTTAAGATCCCCAAGCCAGAGGGTGAAAGCGAAAGTGACGATCCCAACTCACCCGCATCTGCCGCTACCGCCGAGCTACGACAAGACGCGAGTTCGATAAGCTTCTCCATTCCTGCGCAAGAGTCAAGACAGATCAGGCTGTCACTCCATCCTCGCGCGAGGCTGCCAGCGACGAGTTGCTCTGCTGACGCATATGAGGACGTTGCGTCACTGGTCACCGTTCAGGAGCTCAAGAATGCAGACACTATTACCAAGTACGCTCTTGAAGCATCTCTGCGGACCTACCTAATATAGAAGTGACTGCAGGATCCAGATCACGAGCAGGATCATTGGCAATCCGTGCGAATCGCGCAACGACTCGCCGCAGCCCTCCCAAGGTCGAGTCACGCTCGGACCGACGCACTCTTGAGACAATCGCAGCACTACTCAGATCATGTTGTTGTAATGAAAATCTAGTGCTGTCAAAGTGGATTTCGAGGCCTCACGCCCGGGCGGTAGCGTCTCGCGTCATCGCGCGTCGCGCCAAGTCAACGGGTCGAACGGCCGGATCAGCCGGCCAAGCGAGGGTCATGGCAGAGACCGGCAGGAAGCGCTCAGGCAGCATCAGAGAGACGCTTGACTATATCCGGGATGTGCCTGCAGACCACAAGCTGTATGTAGCGAGCTTGGTAGAATTGACATGGCGCCCGCGGGCGTAGTTGACATTGACCTTGTTATTGCGTTTCACAGAGCCAGCTTCAATGGCTTTGCTGACCTTCCAACGTCTCCGGCTAGCGGAGCTGCTCCACAACCTTTGGCTGCTACGGTCGGCCATGCAAAGAAGGACAGCAAGGCGGCTTCGGCCATTCATGACAAGGATGGCAAGAAACTCGCCGGCTGGGAACAGGGCTCTCAAGGCTTGTCCGTTGTCTGCAGCCCATTCCAGATGCCATGGCTTACGCAGTATCCGGCAGGCTGCACGATCTAAAGACGTTCCGGTGGATGCGACACCCTCGTACGTCAGCCTGACTGCCCTCTGTGTGCTCGTCTTAAGCGCGTCTTGTAGAGTCATCCATCAAGATTATCGCTGCATTCGTCATTGGCTACTTCGTCTCGGAGCTTGTGGCACCTCAGAGTGACAACATCTTCGCCCACTTTCTCTTCATTTCTCACAAAGTGCCGACGAGCACGCTACAGAAGGCAGCTACAGCCTTGACGGGGCGCGACAGCGCACCACAGTACTGGAAGGGCGAATGGGATATTGCCTTTTTAACATTCTATATCGTCGTCTTCAGCTTCGTTCGCCAGTCACTCACAGAATATGTCATTGGACCCATCGCAAGGAGTCAGGGACTCACCAAGGACGTCAAGATTGCTCGCTTCATGGAGCAGGGTTACGCGCTCGCTTATTTCGGCGTCTTCTCGGTCTTTGGTCTGGTGAGCACGATCGCGGCATGAGCTGTATGATCATTGATAGCAGAGATGCAGCTTGTCATGAAGGACATGCCAATCTGGTGGTATGACACCAAACAATTTTGGCTCGGCCTACCCCACTTCGAGATGTCTGGACCCTTGAAGACGTACTATCTGTTGCAGTTCTCCTACTGGCTACAGCAGATGCTCGTACTCCTACTCGGTATCGAAAAGCCTCGCAGTGACTTTTTCGAATTATGTATACATCGTGCGTGTTGCCTTTTTTTCGCGCCTTATGCTGACATTGGGCGCAGACGTTGTCACGCTGTGGCTAGTCTTTTGGTCATACATGGTCTCTTTGACAGCTATTGGCGTCTGTGTCTTTGTCTCGAGCAAGTATGCCACCTCACGCGAGTTCACGGCTGACAAGCGTACTCAGTGGACGTGCCAGACAGCTGGCTCGCAACTTCCAAGTTGCTCAATTATCTACCGCACACTCAGCGGTTATCTGAGTACACCTTTGGTATCTTCCTCGGCATATGGACGTACTTCAGACACTGGCAAAATTTACGTATGCTTTGGTCAGTATGGTTCGAATATCATGACCTCGTGCCGGCATCAGCTGTCAAATGGGACCCTCCAACATACTGGCTGTTGCCATGGATGCGGTATCAGATCTTTACGCCCATCTTGCTATTACAATTTGTCAATCTCTTTTGGTACTTCCTAATGTGAGCCATGCGGCCAAGCCATCCCCCCAATGCTAATGCCGCGCAGGTGGCGTATCGTGTTCCGGATGTTCAACGGTCATGCCGCTTCGGATGTGCGAGAAGACGAAGAAGATGTAACAGACTCGCCACAGAAGACCAAGAAGCAGCAGTAGAACCCCTCACTAATTTGTACTCCTCATCTTCACTCAGCCATGGATCATAATGCATCGAGATCAACTCTGCCGTAGAGCACCGGTCTGCTTAAGAAGTTCCTTTGCGTCTTCTCGTTCCTGTCAGCTAGTCTATCAGGCGCATACATGAAGCATGTTATGAGGCTTGCCTGTCCGCTACCAGCTAGCACACGCTGTAGCAATTCTTCTACGTATTGCAGATCTGCCTCTGATGCTTGATCCAATCTCGCCCCTTCGGCTTTGATCTTCTCGAGAAGTGTCACGGCTAGCCATGTGCAGCTCGCGCTATACTCTGAAATAGGCAGCTCTGCTCGGGTGGCGACTTCGACAACGCGGCGATGATATTGCCACGCTACCGAGAGATCTTTCTCTTGGTATAATTCGGCTAGCCTGTACAGCTGGGCGATCTCGGAAGGCTCGGCAGATATTGCCGCTCGTTTGTAGCATTTGATGGCTTCGTCTGGTCGGTTCAAAGTGTCGTACGTGCCCGCAAGCGCGGACCACATGCGGCTGTCGTACGGTCTGTTCGCGCAATGAGCCGATTCTTTAGCCTGCTTGATTAGCTCACCGGAGGGCTGTTGCTTTCTGATAGTAGACGAGCGAATAGTGGGGCATTTTGAGCAGCTCATACGTCTGTCCGAGACCATACCACGCCCTGTAGTCCTTCCTATTGACATCTGCGATCACTCCGGTCAATAGAATGCTAGCGTGCGCGTATGTGCACGAGACTTGCCCACTGCTCTGCGATAGGCTGCTACTGCTGCATGTGAATTCTTCAGCTCGACGAACTCGTGACCCATGAGAGTCCAGGCAGACAGATAGCCCCGGTCGAGCTCGAGCGCGCGTCGAAAATGCATGAGAGCCTTTTCGTGCTCGCCTCGCAGCGAGTAGTAGTTGCCTGAGCCCTTTTGTGAGCCGCGATCGTGGAATCACAAATGCTGACTCACCAACGAGACAACAGGTTTCAGGCCGGTTGCGGTCAAGCGATGTGAATTTAGCAGCCAGGACGCTGAGCGTGGATCGCTTGTCCATGACATAGAGTATGTTCGAGTAGGTGTCGATGTCTTCCACTCGATGCGGATCTTGCTCATATATCTCCTCAAACAGTCGTTCTGCTTCTTCAAATTCTGCATAGACGGCTGCGTTAGAGCTCATTCTTCACATAAGCGGGGGCCTACCTCTGAGATGGTAAGCCATAAGAGCTTGCTGGCTCTTGATATGCAGGCTGGTGGGGAATAGCTCGAGTAGCTCTAGAGTGCTCCCATGTAGTTGATCGGTCGCAGAATGCAGCTCCAGCATTGCGTGCAGAGCAAAGATACGCGACATGAAGCTGATAGGTAATCGACGATGTAACGCTTCCCACTGTGCATTTCACAGAGTCATTAGAACGGCTGGTTCTGATGAAGAGTCATCATACCTCTTCTGCGTGCTCGAGCAGCTGCGCCAGCTTTAGCCAGCATGACCAATTGTAGGGATACAGATTGCCGGAATGAATGAGAGCAGCCATGGCTTCTACTCGATGCCCCAGTCGAGCAAGTACCAGAGCCTTCCTGAGTAATGCACCGATCAGTCTAGCAGATATTTGTAGCCCTCGGGCAGCGCACAGATAGAGCAAGAAAGCATCTTCTTCGCCCTTGAGCTGCTTCAGCAAGTCGACGAAATCTGGGCTGACCGCGCCTCTATCTCGGGGCCCTGCAACGACTGTCTCAGTGCGACAAAGATGCCGATAGAGGCTAGCTTGCCAAGTATGGGACCAGCGCGCTCTTGCGCTTGTCTCTCGCAGCTCTACCGAGCGACGTCAGCTCGGATCGCATTATCATCTAGCGTTGACTTGCAAGATACTTTGCGTACAGGCCAAGGAAGCGTGCAACTCGATCTGTGCGATGCTGCAGAAGATCTGCAGTCTTGTCAAACGACTTTGTGTTGAAGTGGCTCATGGCGAGCGTATAAACGTCGTCCTCCTCATCGACGCGCTGACTGGACGAGCCTGCATCATCAAATCTGTCGCTTCGGGCAGCAGTTTCGCTTGCTTGTAAAGCAGCGAGGTCGTCCTGTGACTCTTCGCGGACCGAACAGACCAGCTCGGCCGACCTGCAGCTCGGCTAAGCGGAGTGTAGAGCAAAGTGATGGTGCTGCTGACCATTTAGCGGCAATGAGCAATCCTCGCCGGGTCAAATCCTTGTGAGCTTGTCGCAGTCGCCGCCGGGCGATCGTAGGATGCGAGTCTGGCTCCATGAAGGCATCAGAGCGTGAGGGATGAGCGCTTGAGCGATGTCAATGATCGTCGAAGAGATCGCGTCGAGCGTCGACTGCCAGCTGATAGTTGTGATCGCGTGATCCCGCGGTGGCCTGGGCCTGGCTCCGTATGCGATTGATCACATGGAATGTAGGCCCAATTGATTGCTATATGCTTGACATATCTGAAGGAATGCATAGATCAACGGCATCAAGACACTGCCGCAATACAAGCCATGGAACGAGTGCAAAGGCAACTATGGTCAGATGCTCGATCTGCTCGGAGGCGACATCGTCTGCCTGCAGGAGACGAAGATCACCAAGGACAAAATCGAACGCTCTATGGCTTGTCCGGACGACTATGACGCTTTCTTCTCGAGCTATTGCCGCAAGCCGCCAAAGGGCTACTCAGGCACGGCCATTTACACCAAGCGAGCAGCGACGGTGCCCCTTCAGGCCGAAGAAGGTCTGACTGGTCTCAGCTTGAGCGGCGAGAAGGATAGGGATGATCTGGCAAGACAAGACCGGATAGGAGGTTATCCCACACCGGCGGCCGTCGAGCTATCCTCATTTGAGATGCGCGACATCGACAGCGAGGGCCGAACGACCGTCGTCGACCTAGGCTTGTTTGTCCTCATCAATGTCTATTGTCCCAACGAGACCAATTCGGATCGCTTGACGTTCAAGATGGCATTCAATCATCTGCTCGACGAACGCGTACGGCAGCTTATTAAGCTCGGCCGAGAGGTCATCGTCGTTGGCGATCTCAATATCTGCGCCCAGACGATAGATCACTGTGATCCCGAGAAGCGCAAAGCAGAACAGAATCTGGACGACTTTCAAGCCCATCCTGCTCGCGCTTGGCTGTCTGCCTTTATCGGCGCGAGCGGCGTCATGATCGACTCGACACGCTTCTTTCATCCCACGCGCACCAATATGTATACCCGTCAGTGAAATCGAATCTGGCAGACGTCTGCTGACTTGGTATGCAGACTGGGAGACCAAGATCAATGCTCGTGTGACCAATTATGGCACTCGGTTAGACTACATCCTGGTGACGCCCGGCCTACTGCCTTGGATCAAGGCGGCAGACATACAAGCACATGTCGTGGGATCAGATCATTGCCCTGTCTTCATCGACTTTCATCCTGAGATATCGCTAAATGACGGCACTAAGCAGTCTCTCTGGGAAGCTGTCAATCCCGGGCGAGAGCGCGTCGACCCGGTGCCCGACCCGCCGAGAATGGCAGCAAGATACTACAACTCTTTCGCAGGCACGCAGTCTCTTCTCAAGACTTTCTTTGTCAAGAAGAAGGATGAATCGCCTGTGCAAGCACGCACAGTAACGCCTTTACCTGCGCCGGAGATGCGACGAGATGCTTCGACGTCGCGAGTCTCTGAATCACCCGAAGCGCCTACGCTGGCCAGCGCCTTTGCGACAATCAGATCGTCCAAACCGGAACGACATGCTACGATAATGATTGAAGATGACGATGACGATGATGAGATTGCTGAACATCCACAGCCTCGCTCGCGATCCACGTCTACGGCGACAGCGCAGTCGAGCCGACCGCCTGACAAGCGACCAAGATCAGATTCGGCAAGTAGGAGCCAGCCGCCAAAGAAGCAGCTCAACGTCCGGAATGGACAATCCACTTTAGCATCTTTCTTTGCCGATCCAGTGTCTGGTAAGACACGCAGACCCGAATCCGACACGAAGAAGCGCAGGTCAACAGTGCCTGGCAGCCAGAGTGAGAATCTAGATGAACCTAGCTGCAGCGCATCTACGTCTCAGCGAGCCTCAGCAACTGCGAGCGAGACTGCGGCTCAAGCCGATGGATATGAAAGGCTGCCATTACAAGACAGCGACCCGCAGGCGGCATCGCAATGGAACGCCCTCTTCTCACCTCTGGCGGTTCCGCTGTGTAAGATGCATAAAGAACCTTGTACACTCTGGACAGTCAACAAGCCTGGTCCAAACAAGGGTAGGAAATTCTACCTCTGTTCTCGTCCCGTCGGACAAGGCCACGAGGAAGCTGCTAGCAAAAACAAGAACGTCATACTCAATCCTGACTACAGATGTAATCACTTTGAATGGTGTACGAAAGTTTCACGACCTCCAGAGGTCTCTCTTAATCCCGCCCAAGATCGTAGACTCCGTGCTCGGCAGGCCTAGCCTCGCAGAGATCTAGACTAATGCAGAACTGTGATTCATGACATGCGATTTTGATCGCGATAAAAATGGGTTTTCTGTCGACTCGCGCAAATCCATCGAGCGATTCACGATTTTGCTTTCCCACTGCCTTTCCTCAATGAATTTTTCAATCTGCATACTTCCCTGTCCCCTCCTTCTCGGCAGCTCTGGCACGTAGATTCAGCGCCCACTCAATTGTGACGCTGTGATTCCAGTTTGCTCGTCGGAGCATCTTCAATGCGCTGTACCTCGAAGACTCTGATCGCAGCCAGCGCAAAGCATGGGACATGTCTTAGCGCCCGATGGCTTGAGCTACACTGTGTTTGATAGCGAGGAGGTCCAGCAGAGCCAGCCGTTCGTGCCGTATGCGCCATACCACGGATATCATGTCCGCGCTCATTCGAGTGGCGACGAATACGCACGATCAAGGCAGAGCACGATCAGTCAGGGTAGCGTCATCTATGCGATGCCTGCCGATCATCAGCAGATCGTTCCGCCCGGCATGTTGCCTACCATCCCACAAGGCATGCAATACTATAACGTTTGCCACCAATGCCAACGCAATCCCTGCGCCTGTCGGCCGATGTATTCCAGTCAACATGTGTACGATATACCAACCTACGATTCACATTGGTATGCACCCTGGCCTGCAGCTCCCATGTCCAATTCTTGGCCACCTCAGGTTTCCTGGAGAGCCCAGCGTCCAGACGTCGTATCCTCGCAAATCGGCAGAGTCCACCCGAAGAGACCTCCTCGACAGGAAGCATCCAAATTCCAGGCTCATCAGGCAAATCAGCCCGTCAGCGGCACACGCTTCGTGCCAGACTATCGGCCTCCGCCATTGCCGTCCGCATGGGTGCGCAGATACTGCTTGTGTCTGATCACTCACTAGCTGATGGCCTGCATTGCAGGCAATGTGGGTCGGCAACGTCTCGCGCGATACCACTCACGAACAATTTTCGCATTTTTTCCTTCATCTGCCCACGCCACAATCATATTGCGGATCAGAGGAGATCGCTACTGCACGATCAGAGCTCCGCAAAAGGGGAGGCAGCTTGGGACACGAGCTCGACGCTGCCGCGCTCTCCACGACAGGCGTAGACAGCGTGCATCTTCTGCTACATGCAAATTGTGGATTCGTCAACTACATCTCGGCGCTACACCTCAAAGTGGGAATTGCCACTGGTAACGGGCTACAGCTCAGGCCAGGCTGCAAAGGCTCCAAACCGTTGGTATGCCGTGAGCGAGACGATGGCGATAAGACCGGCGTAACGAGTCAGCATGGCTTCGGTCTGCACAAGCGTTTCGTTGCTGCACGCGCAGAAGCAAGGTAGCAAAGCTTTCCAAGCGACTGGGCGCCAAACGTGCAGCGTAGAAGTTCGCTAGATTCGACGCATTCATCCAGCACTGTCTCCTCTTGCTTTCTCGAGCAGCATTTCCCCAGACGATTCTTCTTGCTCAAGGCTCATACTCAACACGATCTCGTCACAGCCGTGGCACGATCGACGTGGAAGACTCAGCCACGGAACGAGACGACGCTCAATCGGGCCTACCGCACGAGCCAAGACGTCTTTCTCATCTTTAGCGCCAATGGCAGCGGTCAATTCCTCGGCGTTGCACGCATGTCAGGAAGCATCGCAGGGTCTTCAAACGTCAATGCATTGACAGATAAACTCCGTGACGAGATTGCCACGCCAACGGCAATCTCACATACTGATGGCGATGTACTTTCGCCGGATGGAGGTGTCCCGGGGATGGTGCCTACAAATTCACCTGTCGTCGAGGAGCCGGTGATCATCTCCCCAGGTGTCGCGCGAGATCTCGCGCCAAATCTCGAAAAGCAGGATCTCAGCGTGGCTAACATGGCTGGCCGTCGCCCGGCAGAATCCGCTGCGACGCGACGAGCGCGAGAGATCGCTGGCAACAGCTCAACATCCACGCCTACGAGTTCTAACACTGGAGGAGGTTCCAGTCAAGCTACAAACACGACCACTGCAACGTCTCTAGCCAGTCTTGTTATCTCACCAGAAAAAGACGAACCCGTCCATCGCAAAGCAGCCGACCAGCTTTCTCCAGAGCCTAGTCGATACTTTGCTCTGGAGTGGGTCGCTGTCCGTCCATTGTCATTTGCAAGCACAAAGCATCTCAAGAATGCATTCAATCGGAATAAAGAAGCCAAGATCGGTCGAGACGGAACAGAACTCGATCCTCTACTTGGCGACGCCTTACTGAGAGCATTTGTAGAATAAATTGTGTTATCGATCACAGAGCACAGTAAATATGCACGATCAGTCATCTGTAATATACGCGGCTACAGGGATACGAGGCGACGACAAATTTGGTTACAGTGACAATGACTTCAGTATTCTGTCAATCTATTTGCTAGGCGTTCTTGGAGATCGGGGAACATCAAAAGTCCGAGGGCGCTGTGCTCGCCAGCGTTGAACCTAGGGAGCCGCCAGGATGGTAACGCACGAACATCTGCCTTAACTTGTCTGTAATTCGCTGCTCATCTCGCTGTTCTGCGTCCTCGTGATGCCACCCGGCTTGAGTTCGCGCCCAGGCAAGACCCAACGCGTCCAATACGGCCAGGGCGGCCATCACGCTGCTCGTCGGCGCGGGAAGGCCATGTGTCTGGCCGGGTGATGTCGGATGCGCGAACTCGCCAGCTTCCCCTTCGCCCTCGGGCAAGGCAGCATCGAGGAAGCAATCGCAACACCGTGCAAGGGGCGAATCTTTGCTGGATGTGCATGCAACAAGTAGCGATGCGCGTGTCCTGAGTATAGGTAGCAGCGCGTGCAACTCGGCAGTCTTGCCCGAATAAGAAATCAGAACGACCGGATCCGTCTTGAGGGGAGAGATTATGCCAAGATCGCCATGCGTCGCCGTCAGAGCGGACAGATATACAGCGGGAATACCTGTTTAGGGATGATGAGCCATGACCAAGCATGATCTGGCGGCGACATACCGAGCGAGCAAAAGGTAGCGACTGTCTTGCGCGCAACCAAGCCAGATTTACCGATCCCTATAAATACGACTTTGCCATGCGCGGGCATTGTCGAAATCCTCGCAAGTGTGTCGGAGAAGGCTTGAGCGGCGGCAGTCGGCTCTGAAACTTGTGCAGGTCTGACAGCCTGCATGACAGTGCTCATAGTATGTTCCGAGATGTCCGGAGCGTTCGGTGACAATCGGTTGGCGAGATCAAGCAGTGCGGCGGCTTCTTTCCTTATGATCGAAGCAGCATAATTAATGATCGATCTGTTCCGTTCCTGATCTTCACGCTCGCGGCGAGCCTTCATCGCCGCTGGTGCTAATTCGACGCCAAAGGGTATCGATAGCGGCTCGCAAAGTCCTGGTCGAAGGTCGTCTTCGTCGTCCTCGATCGCAGGGCTATTAGCTTCGATCGATAGATGAGATGTACCGGGCGAAGATGGCTGTACTCTTGGCTTGCCATGGGCTGGCGAGTCGAGCATGAGCGATTCGACATCGAGATCCGGCTCGCTCAGGCTAGACGGCGTCGAGCTGTATGATAGACCGGGCGATGTCGCCATAGAGAGCGTACCCATCGAGGGTCTTCGAGCGTTCATACAGCCGCTCCGGCTGCCTCGATCGCTGTCACCCATGCTGCCTTCAGAGGGAGCGAAGGACAGCCTTCGAGGATCGCGATCGAGGCTGGACAGCGTCATAACGAGCGAGGGCGGTAAGGCCATTGACGACGACAAGACTGCGGATCGGGTGCGCGAATTGGCCAGGCTGGTCGCGTTCAGAGGCTCGGTGATGCTCTTACTCGGCAAGAGGATGGAGGAGTGTTCCTGGCTTGCGAGTGACAACTCCGTAGACTGTGCTGAGGCGTCGATCACGATCGGATTCGAGTCTTGCATGGTATGTCCTTGTGCAGTGTCAAAGACTGTCGGATGCTCTGCGATGGCTCCCTTGAGTAAAATCGGTGTTTAATGGCGCTATTCTGGCCGAACTCCTGCTTGTTGCGATGCTGCTACGATTGCTCGGATACTGTCGATCACGATTTTGCCGAGGGCTACGTTGCTCTGTAGCAAGCGCACGACCGATGAAGATGCCGTTAGCTACTGTCTCAGCGTCCTGACGACTCCGAGATTCTCTCAACAATGTACTTCCTCTCTGAACTACCGAAACTGTATGTACAAGGCCAATCGTCGTCGTAATCTCGACTGCATCGGACGGGGCTCTCGCGCTGACCTATGCTGACGTGAGCGCGGCCGTGAACGCGATCGCGATCGGAAGGACTTCGATCGTCCATCACGGGACGGAGAAGTCTGGCCGTCGAACATGGGGGCCGCCCGAAGACGAACAAACGGTATCCAGCTGCAGACGGCTCTCTAGACCTGACTCGACCAAGATCAGGACGCGGGTCACAGCGCGGTGCGCCCAAGCTGTGCTTCTTGCCGGATGCGAACGATCATATTTTGAGCCGCTTTAGCCGGACGGCTGCACGCGATTCCAGCGAGGATCGCCGAGCATGTCTTCGACGCTCATCTTCGTCTCGCCGGACGATGGCCGGTCATCTACGCCTCGTCATGGCCCGATAAACTCATCTCGAGGAAGTGGAGCAGGCGCTGCCAACGGTCCACGCAAACCAGGTTTCTTGCTCAATCCTGCTGAGCTGACCGCCGGTGGATCAAGTGGCTCTCGGTCGAACAGCTCTACTTCGCTCAATGACCGACGACCGACGAGGAGTGACAGCGAAAGGCGGGAAGAGCGCAGACGTCGAAGAAGAGCTCAGAGAGCTGCCTCTGCGGGACAAGAAGAGCCAGAGTCGCCGTCGTCAGAAACGCCTCTATCGAGCTCAGATGGTTCAGCAAGCCATCGCGTCTACAATACTGAGCAGCCCGACTTGGCATGGGCAGAGTATCTCACCGCGTATCGTGCGGGCAGCTTCCCTGCCGATTCCACGCCACGGCAGCCATCACTACTTGCCCGCTTAGACGAAGAGGAAGGCGCAGACATGTCGCAGTCGGACTGGGAATCTTATACGAGCTCACGACACGCGAGCATTGATGCTGGCCCGCCGCTTAATGCGCAGATGCTCCAGAGCCGTAACAATAGCGCTAGCACCGCCTCGACAGCCGTCGCGCGCACCGCTCTCGCGGCGCTCTCATTGCACAGCCGAAAGCCATCCTTGCCAGCGCCATCAGAGGACGATACTGGAATTTTTGTTCAAGATGCAGCCTACGCACAGAACGATCAGACGAATACTGCTGAGTATGCTCACCGATCAGTGTCGCTGCATTCGCCTACTTCGTCGATCACCGGCCATCTGAGCGACAGCGATGAGGGTGCTGGCATGCAAGTGTATGAAACCAGTGATATGAAGCAGAAGGCAGAAGAGATCCTATCGTTCTACAAGAAGAATCGTTATCTTCCAGCGCCTGACAGTCAGTCAAAGAACACGCGACTAAAATTGCTCCATCGCTACGGCTTGCTCGATCCGAATCGAAGAGCGGCAGTGGCAAAGATAGCTCAAGTAGCCCAGCTCGTCTTCAATGCTGCTGCTGTGATCGTCACGCTACTCGAGGATTCTCAGCAGACGTTTGTCGCCTCGATCGGATTCAGCCAACCGGCGGGTAGCTCGCTTCCAACGCGGGACAGCTTCTGCCCCCATTCACTCCTGACAGACGAGCCGTTGGTAGTACTTAGGCCAGAAGAGGATTGGCGTTTTGCAAATAACCCCAACGTCAAGTCTGGCCATATTGCGCAATACATTGGCGCACCCATCTCCATGGCCACCACTAGCGCTCTTGAGATGGGTGTTCAGGCGGCCGATCCCGCTGATGGAGATCAGAGGATCAACGTCGGGTCGCTCTGCCTGCTAGAGAGCGACAAGTCACGTCGACGGACCTCGTTCAGTGCTGAAGACAAGAGGCTTCTGACAAGTCTTGCGGATATGATTGCCCGCGAGCTCTCCACCTCACATATGACGGCACAGATAGAGGCTCAAGCGCTTCAGCGGGAATTTCTTGGCGACCTCCTCGCATCAACGGTCTGCAGGCCGTCTCAGGCCACCTCAGCGTCAGACGGAGCGGCAAATGCGCCTGTCGATGTCTTTGAGAGGACAGTCGAAGGCCTGCGGCAATATCTGCCTGTCGACTTCGCGGCTATTGTAGACGTGCGAAATTATCACGCGGCTTTATCATCGCTCAATGACACGAAGTGGGCGTCTGCCGATGCCCACTCCGGTGCGCCATCGCGTCAGTCCCGTACTTGGACCAGCCAGAACGTTACTGGTGTCTTCAAGACTCTTCAGACCGCGTCCGGTCCCACCATCAGCTGGCTCGAAGCCGAGGTCAATAGCAAAGAAGCTGCTGTGACCATCATGGCCTCTTCGACTGATTCTCGGCACAACGACTGGATTGCGCAGATCTCGAGCGCCAGACACAACGAAGACTACGCTGAATGTTTGCTTGCCTTTCTGGAGCATTCGCACGTCCGGTTCGAAGCCAAAGATTTCATACCTGGCCTTAGGCGCTTACTTCCTGCGCATGCACAAGCAGCAATGATGATACCCCTATTCGCCGGCGATGAACTGCAACCGCAGATTATGGTTCTCGCAGCCAGTTGTACCCCACACACCGAATACACAAGCGCAGAGGCCGATTTTGTCAGCGGCTTAGGCGCCATTTGCCTTGGCCAGATGCAGCGACGACAGATTGTTGCGGCCTCAAAGAGCCAGACCCTGTTCGTCTCTCAGATCAGTCACGAGCTCCGGTATGCAAGACCCTCTGTTCGATTTGCCAAAGCGCTGATGGACCATGACAGCACGCCATTACACGCCATCTTACTGGAGCTCGAAGGCATGCGGGACGCACTCGATTCGGAAGACTATTACGAACAAATCCTACCGATGCTCAACACTGCTGCAGTGTGCGGCGAGAATTTGCGATCAGTGCTCGAGGATGTTCTCGACTTCTCTAAGGTCGAGGCGGTCGGCGCGACACCGGTGCATGCTCATCGGAAGCGAGCTCTGACCGAAGTCGATCTGAGCGAGGAGCTCATTAATGCTGTCAAGAGCTGTCGTGCGCGCAAGCTCAGAGCAGATGCCATTGATGATCGCTCTACCGGTGACAGAGTGTCGATCATCGTCGAAACGGAGGCCAAGCACGGCAGCTGGCATGCTCTGGTTGATAAGGCTGGCCTCAACCGAATCATATTGAATGTCACGGGCAATTCGCTCAAGTACACTGAACATGTACGCGCTTGCTCTTCCTGTTTGACACGACGCTCAAGGCTCGCAGGGCTCGGTCAATGTATCTTTGCGCGTGCTGCGAGATCCGCCTGGATCACAATCGCCGGACGTACAGCAAACCGCGACTTCACTTATTGAGATCCGTGTCACTGACACCGGCTGCGGCTTTAGTAGCTCATTCGCCAAGAACGACCTCTTCACGCCATTCAAGCAAGGCAACGAGTTCTCGACAGGCGTCGGTCTTGGTTTGTCGATTGTTCGTGCAATTGTCAAGCGCATGGTAGGCGACATTCTTGTCGACAGTGTTGAAGGCCAAGGAACGACTATGACGATCATACTGCCCGTCCAATGGATGGCTTCCTCGGATGATTCAGCGGTCTTGACGCCGCCGAAACGGGTGTGTCTCACTACTTATGGCACACCTGTACCGTCCGCAACCTCGACCGAAGGGTCGCTGGGCCGCGTCCTCGCGCGAGAATCGGTCCGAGCATCCTCGTCACACAAGGCTGCAAAGCCGCCTGTATCGCGAGACAGCTCTGCTTCTACCGCTCACTCAGGGAGCAAACGCTTTCGTGATGGCCGCTCGGCTGACATTCGAGTGCTCATAGCCGAAGATAACGCGATATCGCGTAAGATTCTCACGTCAGTGCAAGCCTTGCGCGCATGAGCAACTGGGCTGACACTGTGATGCAGGACTATGCTAGCGCGGAAAGGTATCGACTATCGAGCTGCGTGCGATGGACAAGAAGCGATCGATATCTACGCTCAATATCACCCGACAGTCTGCTGGCTCGATGTCAACATGCCGCGCAAAAGCGGGCTCGAAGCTGCAACGGAGATTCGTCAGATTGAGCAGAAGCATTCGCTACGACGTAGCAACATCGTCATCATCTCCGGCGGCTCAAGCGAGCAAGCCAGCTCGATGCTTGCGACTGGTCAGATCGAGTAGGTCCTCTCGTGCGCTTTGTTCCGTGTCTTGTGTTGACACTCGGCACAGCTCATACAATGTCAAAGGCGGCTTATCGCTCAAGGCCCTCGTCGGTGCGCTTGAGAGCCAAGACAATGACAGCAGCGCGCCCGAGGCGGCCAATGCAACGTGAGGGGATGGAACCGTTCTCAATGGCTGATTCGTACAGTCTATCCCACTAGCATCTACTTGACATGACTGTTCATTGCACCATATAGAATGTTGCCCTGCTCGCTTGGTTACATCTGAGGCTCGGAAGCTGGCCACGCCCGGCGGCAGATGCGCACACGCGCAGACTCCGAGGCCGACGTCTCCGGCGCGCGACAAATTGTCCGCCACAGGCAAACTTGCAAAAGAGCAGCTGTTGAGGCTGGACAGCAACAACGTAGTCGCTCAAGTCATATAGCCGTGATCTGCTGCTGCGACTAGCGATCGCCGGCGCTGGCGACTGCTTAAACCTCGGCGTAGACCCGAGCTCACGTCAACTGCAGAGCGAGAAAACTTACGACTGCCAATATTACAGACCTAGGTAGATTTGTGGGCTCATATACGACTCTCCGCTTGCTCCACTACGGTAGGGAGCGAGCGGTCAAGCCTCCCTAAGACCGACGAGACAGGAGTTCAACCCTCTTTGCATTCGTCCTCGTCCGCGAAGCTGCTCGTTTGTGCGTGGTCGATCATACCTCAGTAGATCCACAGGGATCCCCCAGAACGATCGACCTCGCTAGGGGGAGCGAGGCCTCAGCTGCCGAATCAGTCGTCACTACAAGCCGTCCAGCGCCCGCTCAAGGGGTTGGGCGCATCGTCTTTGCCAGTCCACTGCAGGGCAGATCCACGCCTCCGTGCAGCCAGAGCGACGTCCACATCGTCTTGAGCTAGGAAATGACGAAGACTCTGACGGCGGCAACACTGTCTTCAACTACCGTAGTCCAAGCGGGCAAACCTGCTAAGCTCGATGTCAGCATTGAGCACAGCAGCGCTCCAGGGACACCTGAGCGACGGCTATCGTTTGCCCCGGAGAGCAACAAAGCCCTCCGATCATGCTCTCTGCCACCTATCAAGCGAGGCTTCCCTCGTGCGCCGCCACCGCCGGTCTTTGAGACGCCCGAGATTTTTACCGGCTCGATTCTGGAGGTCATGCACAATACGGTGGCTGAGCACGAAGATCACGATGGTCATGCTTCGGTAGAAGACGCTTTCTTCGTCTGTGACTTGGCTCAAGTTTACAAACAAATTGTGCGCTGGTGGGATCAATTTGGTCATCCACTACATGCCAGTGCTGAGCATCGCATCGAACCTTTCTTCGGTATGTCCCTCGCGCTCACGCCAGCATATCGAGTACTCACACACGTACGCAGCCGTCAAAAGTAACCCTGATCCGCTCGTGCTCAAGATGATGGCTGCGCTTGGCTTCGGTTTCGACTGTGCTTCGCATACCGAGATCGCACTGGTGCTCGCATTGGGAGTGCATCCCGATCAGATCATCTATGCCAACCCTTGCAAGGCTGCCTCGATGGTTGGCCATGCTGCAAGCCACCGCGTCAACCACATGACGTTTGATAACGCGGACGAGCTGCGCAAAGTCAGCAGACTTCATCCCGACGCCAGAATGGTCCTTCGCATCCTCACAGACGATAGCGGCTCTCTCTGTCGACTGGGTCTGAAGTTCGGGGCTGCGATGAGCGAAGTCCGCCCGCTCCTGACCCGAGCAAAGGAACTTGGCGTCGAGGTCGTCGGCATCAGCTTTCACGTAGGCTCGGGTTGCTCCAATCCGTTACTGTACGACGATGCCATCCATCGCGCCAAGCTTGCGTTTCAAATTGGCGCAGAACTGGGCTATGACTTTACTCTGCTCGACATCGGCGGTGGCTTCGGCAGCGACAATCTAGAGCTCATGGCCGCTGTCATTCATAGATCGCTTACTGTTCACTTCCCCGATAGACGGAAAGTTCGCGTCATCGCTGAACCGGGACGCTACTATGTCGCAGAAGCGTTCCAGCTTGCGACCAACATCATCGCTCGACGTGGTCTGAGCGACGAGCAAGAGAGAGCTGCAATACTTTGTGAGGCGGCGAATACGACAGACGAGCCCGCTGTCATGTACTATATCAATGACGGCGTTTATGGATCGTTCAACTGCACGATGTTTGACCATCAAGTCGTGCATCCGCGAGTCCTCACCGCCAAAGGCGCAGTCGTCGACGATGGCAAGCAATTCGGTAAAGTACAGCCATGTTCCATCTGGGGACCGACGTGTGACTCGATTGATGTCGTTCAGAGCAAAGCTTTTCTGCCGACAGATTCGCTCGTCGTTGGCGACTGGCTGCGTTGGGAAAATATGGGTGCCTACACTATATGCGCAGCATCTCAGTTCAATGGGATGGCACGCTCGGAGGTGAGCTACACGATCGATGCCGGCGGTGACGATACCTTGGAAGCAAAATTACGCGCGCTCGTCCTGTCATGATGCGAGATTTCATGTTGTCACCATGCAATGACTTTTTGATTATTACACTACCCTCCTGATTCGTCCCCTTGACCCACTGAGCATGCGCATAATCCACTGAGAGTATTCGATCAAGTTAAAAGGTGATGCTTTGCTGCGTCGATTGATAGACAACTGGATAGTACGACTCGTTTAGTTTCGATGTCTTGAACGAATCAATGAGGCCATTGGTCGTGTCCAGAGCACTGTAGTAAGCTCCGTGCAAGAAGCCATACCACTGGTACGAGAGAGCTTCGCCGGCGAAGAGCAGTCGAGCATCTTTGCCTGCAGGAAGACCAGCGCGTAGATTCTCTTGAGAGAGCGGGCTATAACCTGCTGGCCAATTGCTATACGATCCTCTGTACAGTGGATCGGAATGCCAGCGCGGATAGTAGATCGATGTCGCTACAATGTTGGCCTTGTTTCCGTACATGCCCTTGAGAATGCCAACGATTTCGTCTTGTACGTCCTGCTCGCTGCGCGCCTCGACAGCGACTGCCTGATCGCCGAGAGCCGTAACGAAGAGCGTCTTTGAGCCAGGGAAGAAGTCTTCTACGTCGAGGAATTGGAACTGGACATATCTCGCACGAACGGCGGGGTCGACATATAACGCGAATTGATCGTTCGCTGCCCAGAACTTCTCGGTAAAGGTGATGAAGATCTTTGTATAGACAGCCATAGCGAAGCTGTCAATGGCGTCTTGTTTCCATACGGGAAATGATGGGCTGAATGTGACGTCGCTATTCTGTAGCACGCCAACTGAGAAGGTACAGATCGCATAATCGCCTGTAAATTTCTGCCCGCCGGTTGTGGTGACTGAGACACCCGAGGTACTATATGCAACCTTCTTGACGGTTGTGTTCAAGCGCAGCTTTGATGAGGCGTTAAGAGGCGCAAACTCGTGTTCCAGTATGACGCTGAAACCTCTCTGATCAATGGAGAGGGCATTGTCGGCCGAGAAGAGATTGAAGGTGTCGTTAGTATTGACTGATGAGTACGTCCAGGATGAGTCTGACGGCTGTATCTCACGCTGTCAGTGCAAGCAAGTCGTGAATTGCAAGAACTGACACTTTGTGCAAACTCCATATCGTAGTTGTAAGCCTCGACGGCTCTCGCCTCCGGCGTCAATGGATTCCATCCGGCTCTGAAGAGGCCGCCTCTTGCATTGTAGTCGAACTGATTCTGGTCGAGCTTAGTGCCTGCAATGGACAAGAAGTTCGCAAAGGCGTCACTGTACTGATCGTACAGATCGTCGACGCCTTTTGCTTTGCCATTGAGATTGTAGGCTGTAAAGTTACTGAAGTCGCTGATGGACGTCGATAAGTTGGCGTCGAGAGCGAGCCTCCAAATGGGATTGAACCCGGATGACGAATTGAGACCTTGAACCCTGCTCTCTTGTGTCAGTACGAGGCGATATTGGTGCAGTGAGACTTACCAATTCGGCCCACGCTCTACGACGAGGCCGTTGGCCAGCTTCTGGCTCTGCATGCGCCCTCCAATCTGCGGCTCTGCATCGATGATGAGCCAGTCTGTGACCCCTGCCTTCTGCAGATTGATGGCCGCAGTGATGCCAGCAACCCCTGCTCCCAAGATGAGGACCTTGGCGTTCTGCTTTGAGCTGCTCGACGAGGAAGAGGACGAAGCAGTCGCTGTCGAACTGGCTTTCGCAGACGCGCTGGCAGGCGCCGCTGCAATTTGCAGAGCGCTTAGCAGGCACAACAGGCCCAGTCTACCGAGCATTGTTTGCGGCTAGTAGCTACCGAGAAGGTCAAGAGGAGACAGGGGAAAGAGGGCAGCATGTCTGTCTCTCGTGGCTTAGGCTTAGGTCTTATGTTCGATAGGCAGTACGCGATCGCCCTGGCAAACTCTAAAATACTTGTGAGCGTGCAAATGAAGCAAATGTCTGCGCAGGCAGCGACAGCGATCCCGGAAGATGTCTGAGAGCGCTTGATGCAAAGGGCCGCGAGACTGCTGTAGGAGTCTAGCTCCCGCAGCAGAGAGGCCCAGTGACTCGTTCCCGTAAGAGCGAGCATCGCTTCTTCTCGGACTTTACAAGCGAGCGTAAAGTCGGTACTGCTGACAGATCTCCTAAGCGTTACCTCGCCGTCACGCATTGGGTCAGACGTTGCGAATCTGGGCTTGAAGCCAATTCTGCGTCGCTGAGATGGTCATCACTGGCTACATAGCCTGTGAGCTCACAGAGCTCACGAAACTTATGGGACGCAAGTTCCATGCATTGATACATCCAGAGGAACGGCGAGCGAGACGACAAGTGAAGGCTGGCGAGTCAGCGGAAGATCGCACCCGTCGCAAACGAGAGAAAGCAGCCATGCGACATGGACTCTTCGGCAAGATCACCTGATGCGATCACTGCCGTCTCTCCACCAGACGACCCCGGCGTGAAAGGTCAACAAGAGGACTCTCCCGCGCCGGCACCCACTGTGGATGAGCGAAGTCATACGATTCACTCATGAATGCTCGCGTGGCCTACGACAGCGCCCCTATCAGCTCCGCGTCTCGGCAAATCTGGGCATTTTCCGGCTTTCAGAGATCTGCCAGCGCCAAGCCAAGGGCTGCCGAGCAGCATCCCAGATTGGGCAGCCAAGCTTGATGTCTCATCTTCGATAACGAGTTTGTAATACTGAATCCATGCATTTTGAGATGCATTTTGAGCTGCATGATCGATGTGATTGAACCCGTTCCCGCTTTGACCGTCTCAGCCTAGATAAGAAATCTTTTCGCGTGCGCCCAACCTCTTGCGCTCGAGGATCGAACGACCTCTCTTCGTCTTGCACTAGCGGCCTCGCTCGTCTGTCACATTCGCCCGGCAAGGAGCGGAGAGACTTCTTGGGATACGTTCAGGCCTCGTTAGACGTCGATAGTCGCGCCTGAGCCGGCGATTTCACTATCTACGAATCAGCAGATCGGCCTCAGACCTCTCTTGCGTGCACTTAGAGATCTTTAGACTTTGCAAACATGGTCGTCCTCAACTTTACCGACAGTCGTACGTCAAAACTGCCTCAAAGAGGACTGCCGCTAACTTGTAGCTGGTCTCACAGAGGACATGATTGTCAATGCCGGCAGTAGGTCGCACGATCGCGACAAAGTCTTGTTTCACTGATCGTCGTGTCTTCACAGCTCCGGACGAGATTGTCTACAATGCCGGCGACTTTGCCTGGGTTCTGACCTCGACAGTACGTCTCCTCCTCGATGCCGAGGTTTGTCTCAGGCTGATCCCGGGTGACCGCGCAGGCTCTTGTCATGATCATGACACCCGTATGTCTTCACGGACTGTGATCGGATGAAGCTGATGGGGATGCCATAGGGTCTCGGCTTCTTCTACAGCGGTTTGCTGCGAAGAAAGAACGCGCTTTCGATGATCTGGGCCTCCATGGTCGTCTTCGCGACCGTCTCATTCCAATGGTTCTTCTGGGGATAGCGAGTCGCATGCTTATCATTCTTGACCCGACGCTGACCCGTTCCAGCGTAGCTCCTTGACCTTTTCGCCAACCGGCAGCAAGTTCATCGGCAACCTCGACAACTTTGGTCTCATGAATGTTTTGCTTGACGTATGTCCTTTTACCGAGCTGCCACGATTCTGCCTGACTGTGCATACAGGAATCCGCTGGATCCACGCGCATCCCTGCGTTGCTCTACTGCATCTACCAGCTCATGTTCGCCGCCATCACACCCATGATCGCAGTCGGCGCCATGGCCGAGCGAGGACGTCTCGGACCTATCATGGTCTTCACGTTCGTTTGGGCCACCCTTGTCTATGATCGTAGGTCAACCCGTATCTTGTCATGATCATACGACTGACGTGATTCACAAAAGCTATCGCGTGCTGGACTTGGGCACCCAATGGTTGGGCGTACATCCTGCCCGCCCTCGATTTCGCCGGCGGAGGTCCCGTACACATGTCCTCGGGCACTGCAGCGCTCGCCTACTCCATCTGGATCGGCAAGCGTCGCGGCTACGGCACTGAGCGACTCGCCTACAAGCCTCACAATGTCTCTCACGTCGTTCTCGGCACAGTATTCCTCTGGTGGGCTTCGTGTAGAGCTCTGGTAAACGTTTGCTGACGAGCGATATCAGGTTCGGCTGGTTTGGCTTCAACGGTGGTTCTGCTCTCTCGGCCAATCTCCGCGCAACTCAGGCGGCAATCGTTACCAACAATGCAGCGGCCGTCGGTGGTCTTACCTGGATGTTGCTCGATTGGAGGCTAGAGCGCAAGTGGTCTGCCGTCGGCTTCTGCTCAGGTGCTATTTGCGGTCTCGTCGGTATCACACCCGCATCCGGTTACGTTGGAACACCCGCTTCGCTCGCCATCGGTGTCATCACTGCAGCATGCTGCAATTGGGCGACTAAGCTCAAGTTCATCTTCGGATACGATGACGCACTCGATATCTTCGCCGCTCACGGTATCGGAGGAATGGTCGGCAACTTGTTGACCGGTCTTTTCGCCGATTCCCGCGTCGTGTCGTTTGATGGCGCATCCGTCATCGACGGTGGATGGATCAACCATCACTACATTCAGCTTGCCTACCAGCTCGCCGACTGCGCCGCCATCATGGGATATGCCTTCGCAATGACAATGCTCATCTTGGTCGTCATGGTATGTACTTTCGCCGCCTCATCTGCACATGCCGATGTGTGTTTCATTCCCTCAGGATTACATTCCAGGCCTTTCCCTCCGTGCATCTGAGGAGGCCGAAATCATCGGTGTCGACGAAGCGGAGATGGGCGAAGTCGCGTACGACTATGTCCTGCTAGAAAAGGATCTAGAGGCAAAGGTAAGGCTGCTTGCTTTCATGTTCTGCATGACGAGCTGACGCAACCTCTTGCAGTACTTTGAGGAGACTGGCTCTCGCTCGTCGTCTGACCTACCAGAGAAGTCGGGCGTTCAGCCGCCATCAGCACGCTCTGCGCAGCAGCCCGAGAAGACTGATGTGCACGACGATGCCGTACCAGCATCGACAGAGCCTGCGACCACGACCGCATAATCAAACCCCGCAGTCACTCGGTTGCATAATTTGCCTCACAAAATCTGCCACAATTGGACGATGTCATCTCGTCTGCTCCTTCGGGCTCACTTTTCGTTATAACCCTATTGTATGACCTCCTTAGAAGTGATTGTCATTGGGATGCATTTGAACTTTCAAGCGATCGTGGGCTGAGTCGCACTGGAGCAAGCTTTTAACTCGCGCGCGGAATTGACCGTGAGAGATTTTCCAAGAAAGTGCGCCACGGCCACCGCCAGTTCGCCAGCAAGTCAAAGATGCCTTTCGTCAAGCTCGTCAAGAATGATGCGTACTACAGCAGATATCAGGCAGGTCCATGCACTGTGAACGGTCGATGAATTGCTGACATTTGTTCTTGTAGGTCAAGTACCGCAGGCGCAGAGGTGTGTCAATTTCTTGAGATCTCTCTTCTCCTTCACTTGGCCGCTTGCCCGACTCAGCAGCATACGCCCAGCACACGGTCTCGTCTGATGAACCATCAGAATATGCATAGTTCACTCTGAGCGGTCATCCGACTGCGATGCCGAGCCAAAAGAGTACAAAAAGTCTTTCGCTCCTATCTGATCGCCTTCGAGCCTCGCAACAAGCCAGTCAAGCCTTTCAGACGCTGATCGCAGCTTGTACCGCTTGCAGAGGGCAAGACGGATTACCGTGCTCGCAAGCGCTTAATCAGCCAGGCAAAGAACAAGTACAACTCGCCAAAGTACCGCCTCGTCGTGCGTTTCACGAACAAAGGTGCGCAGGCTGCCGGTCATGGTACAGGCGAAGGGACTGACAGCGTCTTCTAGACATCATCTGCCAGGTCGTACATGCCAAGATCGTTGGTGACATCGTTCTTGCGGCGGCCTACTCGCACGAGCTCCCCCGCTATGGCATCAAGCACGGCCTCACCAATTGGGCAGCTGCCTACGCGACCGGCCTGCTCGTCGCTCGTCGTGCACTTACTAAGCTCGGACTGGCAGACAAGTACGAAGGCGTGACGGAGCCCGACGGAACAATGACGGAGACCCAACATATCGAGGGCGGTCCGCGACCGTTCAAGTGCTACCTCGATGCCGGACTCAAGCGCACTTCGACTGGCAGCAGAGTCTTTGGCGCTCTCAAGGGTGCATCCGATGGCGGCATCTTCATCCCCCACAACGAGAAGCGATTCCCAGGCTACGATCCAGAGACGAAGGAGCTAGATTCTGAGGTCCTGCTTAGATACATCATGGGAGGTCACGTCAGCGCTTTCCAGGAGGAGTTGCAAGAGGAAGATCCAGAGCGATACAAGACCCAGTTCGCAAAGTACGTCGAGGATGGTGTCGAGCCTGACGATCTCGAGGAGATCTACTCATCCGCGCACGAGAAGATCCGGGAAGACCCCGCACCCCAGCCGACGGACAAGTCTGATCTCGCTCAATGGAAGGAGCTCTCGAAGAAGAACCACCTGCCCAAGTCGACTCGCGCGGAGAAGCAAGCCCGTATCGCGGACAAGATCAAGGCCTATGAGGCTGCCAAGTAGGCGGTTGCCTGTCACGGTCCTGTGTTGTCACGAGTGTGCATTGGCGTCTCACTCTGCTGTCCGAGTGTGCTACCATGCGTCATCTATGCCCTGAAGCTCGAGTGGCACCCTGACTTGCTCGTCGTGGCGCGGCGCGTCTCGTGGCAATTGACAGGATCGCAGGTTCGTCGTAAAAGCCTCGGCAGAGATGCCCAAGGCGACGCCGAAGAACACGAAGCTGCCCAAGATACCCAAGAAGAATGCGGGTGCGTTGGCAAAGGTGGCAGGCACGAACAGGCCAGCAGGAGCAGACAGCCCAGCCTCTGCGACAGCGTCAACATCGGGTTCGCCTGCACCCTCTGAGGGATCAAATCAGTCTAGCACGCCTGCAAGCGCGGCAGGCAACGTCAACAGGAAGCGCAAGAACATTCATGAGCCGTTGGCGGTCGTGGCGAGCCAGCGCGCGGCTGCAGAAGCCGTCGCTGGACAAGTCGAACATTTCCCCGTCACTTCCTCTTCGAATGCACCAGAGGGCTCGCCGACTAAGAAGCGCAAGCACTCGCCTTCTGTTGCTTCTGCTCGACGTCAGCTCGCGGGCGCAGACTCGGACGGCTCGAGCGATCTCTCTGCGGTCGATAGCCCGGTATTGAAGTCGCGGTTCTCAGAGCCAAGGCTGGATACGCCTGCTTCCGATGTATCTAGGACGTCCACACCCGCGTCTGCACAGGAGATCCTTGTGCCGAGTCTACCCGTGCAGGTGATTGCTTCTGCAGGCAAACAGCCAAGTCGTGCAGAGCCTGCCGGTCCCATCGTCTCCTCTTCTTCAAAGACGAGCACGACGACGGCGAGCGGAGCCCAAGTGACGCAAGCTTCTACAAAGACTACACCGGCTGCTTCCATAGTCAAAGGAGCTGGCTTGGAGAATCTGGCACGACAGGAGCAGCTCAAGTTGCAGCTTGCCAAGTCCACAGAAGAGGACGAGAAGCGGAATCTGTCTGGCTTGGCTGCGGGATTGGCAATCGATGTCAATGATCTCACTACTCGAGTGAGTCATTCCCTGCTAGCTGTGCTCCTGCGCTCACTATTGAATGAGCAGGCTGTGGCCCAAGAGAGACCTGCTTTGGTCGAGGAGCGACACAATGTCATACGCTTTGTCTGCGTGTCCAACAGTCAACCGACTCCGACAGCCCTGATCCTGCTCACAGGCGCCAAGAACATCTTCCAGCGTCAGTTACCCAAGATGCCTCGAGAGTATATAGCAAGGCTCGTCTTTGATCGCAACCACTGGAGCCTCGTCATCGTCAAGCGAGGTCTCCAAGTCGTAGGCGGTATCACTTTCCGACCTTTCGAGCAGAGAGGTTTTGCAGAGATCGTCTTTTGCGCCATCACCGGCACGGAGCAAGTCAAAGGTTACGGATCGCACCTGATGAACCATCTCAAGGATTATACCAAGAAGACATTTCCGAGCGTCACCCACTTTCTCACTTATGCGGACAATTATGCGATCGGATACTTTAAGAAGCAGGTGGGTCGGCGCGCTCTCGTGAAGCCAATGTATTCACATCGTCGAGCAGGGATTCTCGAAGGACATCGAGCTCGATCGCTCGGTATGGGCGGGTTATATCAAGGATTACGAGGGCGGAACGATCATGGAGGTGGTCCCGATGGCACACATGTAGATTCGCAAGACTGACAAAGGCGCAGTGCAATATGCTAGATAGGATCCAGTATCTCGACGTGCAGAATATACTCGCAAAACAAAAAGAGGTCAGAAGCTTTGACAGACGAGCTGGTCGCGTGCTCATCTTTCGACTCTCCTGAACAGGCCGTCCTGGCCAAGATCAGACTGATCTCTCGCTCACATATTGTGCATCGAGGGGCGGACCTGTTCCAAAATGGCGCTACTTCGATCGACTATCGGAGTGTGCCAGGACTACGCGATATTGGCTGGACGCCGGAGATGGACGTCTTGTACGTCGGGCATTGCTGCCTTAACGCGTATACGCTGACAGAATGCTCTGCAATCGCAGAACACGTCGACCGCAACGAGGACCGCATCATAACACGATGCAGCGACTCTTGACGGATATGCAAAACCATGCAGCTGCGTGGGCGTTCGCCAGGCCGGTCAACAAAGACGAAGTGACGGATTACTACTCGGTCGTCACTCATCCGATGGATCTCGAAACCATGGAGGTCAAGCTCGATGCAAATCAGTACAAAGAGCTGCCAGAGTTTCTCGGAGACGCACAGGTACGTCCTCGTACCGGCCTTTTGAGATCTCAGACGCTAATGAGGAGTCATGTCAGCTCATCTTTGACAATTGTCGCTCGTACAACTCAGAATCGAGCAACTACACAAAGAATGCCAACCGGTTGCAAGCCTTTCTCGCAGAACGAGTGCAAGTCTATACCACAGAAGCAGAGCAAGAGAGTCGTTGAACTGTTGTTGTTTGTTCAGCATTGTGCATCACTTTTCATTTGCCGGCAACTTTCTTCAGATGATAATCTCGTCGATCTCGTCGCGGTAATGTCAATTGATCTCCAAGTCAACCTCCGAAGTATCAACATGGCCGACAAGCCGCTCGAGATTCTCGTCATAGGTCTGCCAGATGTCAGGCAGGCTCAGCAAGCGCTGATCAGGCCCACTGGACAGGTCTGGGCGCCGTCGGAACGATTTACTCTTATATCCTTTCGGAGAGCAAGCGAGCTCGCGTCACGGCGATTGCGAGATCATCCTACCCCGTCATTGCCGAAAGAGGCATAGACATCCATTCTGACAAGTTTGGCGAGATACCGCATTGGAAGCCCTACAGAATCGTTTCCTCCTCAAATGAAGCGGCGGACAGAGCGTATGACTTTATCATCTGCACTTTCAAGGCTTTGCCCGATGTCATCCCTACAGCCGAGCTTCTGGCCCCTTTCATGCCATCATCAGCAGATAATGCTTCTGCGACAGGCGCAGGAGCGCCTACCGTCGTCCTCATCCAGAACGGCATCGGTATCGAGAAGCCGGTTCAGGCGTCGTTCCCCGGCATCATCATCATCAGTGTCGTCGCTTGGATCGGCGCCAACGTGCTCGACAAGGGGGCCACTGTAGAGCATGGCATGCTCGAGAAACTCGTCATTGGCTACTACCAGGGCGAGGAGAGGATACACAATTCTGCCTCCGTCACTCATCTCGACGGTGGCGCGCCCAGTGGCAGCTCTCCCTCCCCTCATGCACCCACGACAGCCTCGGAAACGCCTTCCTCCTCATCCACTGCCGGTACAGGTTCAGGCACAGGTGCAGGGCCTGGACGGACAGATTCTGCGCCCATTGCCTCGCAATTCACTCCGGACCGCGTCGAACAAGGCGAAGCAAGGCTGAGAGAGTTTGCTAGCCTGCTCGAAGCAGGCGGGGGTCAAGTGGAGATAGCAAAAGATATTCAGGCTCAACGATGGCAGAAGAACCTCTGGAATTCAGCTTGGTCGACCCTCTGTGCTCTTGGTCGATGTACTGTCTCTGAAGCTTGCGCTCCCGAAGTCCTCCCACATACATTGCCCGTTGTTCGAAGAACGATGCTGGAGGTTATGTATGTTGCGCGAGCCATGGGAATCACCGAGCGAGATATGCCGGCTGATACTATCGATGCGACGATCAAGCTCACCGTGCGCAATTACCAAATCAAACGTGATGTAAGTGATGCCTGCGTTCTGTGTAGCCGACTTCTGACCACTTGACTCAGCCGACGACGCCCGGTACACCAGGCGCTGGGCTTGGGGCGCAAGACAGCTTTAAGCTGGAAGAAGGTGCAAGCCCGCCCAACAAGGGCTTTAAGCCAAGCATGCTTCTCGATCTAGAATATGGCAGGCCGATGGAGCTGGAGCCAATCGTCGGAGCAGTGCTCGATCGAGCAAGAAGCAAGGGTGTAGAGACCCCTCGACTCGATCTCATCTACAGCGCACTGAAAATCAGTCAGGCAAGTCACAGTAGCTTTCGCCTGCTGTAGCGCTCAATAAAAGTGAGAGCAGGAAGCAGCGATACGCAAGCGTGGGCACGAGACGAGTGAGCATGCAATACAGTGGGCTATGCGCAAGCCTGCAGTGGGCGGTGCAGCAACATCATCCGATGCCTGGCAGAAGGAGGTCAAGAGAGGACAGAGACTTCAAAAGATGAATCAGCCGCCCGTGCGTGCCGTCAAGGTCACAGGTAGACCGGTCGCGCGTTCAGAGGCAGAAGTCGGCGGCGCAGATCAAGATAATCCTCCCAAGCAGGGCGAGTCGGCGGCATCAAAGCACTATGGAGGCGCGGCGCTAGACTAGACACGTACTTACATCATTGCATCGTGACAGCGTTACACAAATGTTGTAAACCTTTCGTTACAGAGAGCTACCAGTCTCCCGTACCGTTTTTCAGCAGTCCCCTTACACGTCTGACGGCCACGCGCATTCAAAACTCCTCCGGGGACTGAGGTAGCCGACTAGTCGACCTGAGACTGCGTGAGCTGCGCGTTGACTCCTGACCTTGCCCATGTCGCGAGCGACTGGCTCTACTGGCTGAAGGTGCCCGCGAGCTCGAAGCCGGCGATGTCTGTCGGCCCTCACGATTGCCGGAGGGCGCAGACAGCAGGTCAAAGAGCGCATCTTGCAGGTAGTCATCGCCTTCGCCATCCACGCGTGTGTGATGACATTGCTTTGCATGCCGCCACCACCAGAGCTGAGTTCCGCGTCAACATCCGGGCACGCAAGAGGAAGCCTGCTCACCTCTGCGACTTTGGCGTCGCCGTCTTTGATACCTTGTACGGCTACCCACTGATTGCACTCATGACAGAGGCCCTCTTTCATCGTTGACCGCTCATTGAGCGCACTCGTGTGACGAGGTACGACGCGGATCTGTACCGGCGGTGAGAAAGGCGCTCCGTTTGCGTTCGATATGCCGTGACTGCAGAAGGGCATCAGTCTGGTTGTAACGCGTCAGGGAATAGAGGACTGACTAGAACGTCATGTGATAGAGGAAAGCGGACTGCTTCGTGCGCAGCCACTTCAGTTCCCCTTCGCCACCTCGTTCTTCGGGCTCGCAACAGATCGGGCACAGGCCAACCTTGTCAGAGCCTGAGCTTTTGGTATAGCGCGGCGAGTACAGGTCCAGATCACCGTGCGTGGGCGTATTGAGCTGCGCATCCGGCGGCGCTGGCGGCAAGACGATGCGATGCGATGCGTCCAGCCTGCGCCGACGAGGATCGTTTTCGGGCAAATATGACGATACTGGAAAGCATCGGTAAAGGTTGTGCATCACATCATCGAACCTAATGTGTGCGGGGAAAGTTCGGCGAGGCTGCCGCGTGAGCGGTGCCATGGCAGACGTAGCAGCAGTCGAAGCTGTCATGCCAGAGATGCCACCAAACGAGAATACAGAGGCTGCGACACTGCCTGCTTCCGAGGCATCTTCATCAGTGTGCAAGCCGCGCATGCGACTAGAGCTAGACAGCGGCGTGGCGTGTCCAGATGAAGCGCGCGAAGGATTTGACATGGTAAACGTGAGTGAGCTATCGGCAGCCAAGCGACGAGATCGCCGCGTGCTCTTCGCGGGTGGCAGGTTGCTCAAAGTCTCTGGCGCTGGCGAGCCAACCCACAGATCCGGGTATCGTTGGCGATCCGGTGTGACAGCGCTAAGGCTGCGTACTGAGTGGTGAGGATGGTAGACGGACTCGGCTGCGCCATGAGTCGAAGCTCCTGCTGCTTGTCTGGGCCACATTTGATCGCTCCAGGAATGCGGGAGACTGACCGAATGGTCCAACTGTCCATTGCGGAGATATGCGCGCGATACACAGTCATCCCCGGACAGGTGTCCGTTAGACGAAAGGCCGCCGTGTGGGAATTGCTCCGTCACGGGCGAGGTGGTTGCCGGACTGCAGGGCCAGCTCGCTTGAGGTGACTTGTCGGCCTCGCGCAGATGGGTAGGGCTGTGCAGAACAGCACCGCTGCGAAGAGCAGAAGAATCATGGGCGAGCGGTCCATTGCCGCTATAGCGCTCTGCGCTGCCACTGACATCGAAGCTAGCTGTAGGCTGCAATCTATGCAAAGCTTGACCATGTAGCAAGTAGTCCGTCGATTGAGGAGCGCTACTCATGCTATCATCTTCGTCCCGGATCGACATCGAGCTATACGTCGCAGACGGCAAGGGAGTCGTTTGACCTTGCGTACCACTGGAAGACGATGGCATTGGCATGTACCATTCGCTCGCAAATTTGCCTGCTGCTGTCATTGCCCCCGGAAAATACGGATGACCTTGCTGATCATGCTGTATATAAGCGTGATCGGAATCCGATAGGCTCTGTCGGAGTTGCGGCCGGCTTTCTGGCATGCCGTGCGATGAAACTGACGCATGGTGCGACATGGAAATTCGGTTCGGCAGGGGTCGCAAGCCATAGTGAGGGAGTGCTGCTTCATGCAGATTGTCGTGCGGATCACATTGATGCGCGTCTTGCATGGACAATGAACTCAGGTAGTTACTCGTGGAGATTGTAGGGACCGTTTCGAATGGGGCTCCGTGATGCTCAAAGGGCTCAGCGTCGATGGACATAGCATCGTCGCCATCCGCAGGTACGCTTTCCATTAGGAACTCGCGCGCAGTAGTCTGATGCTGTCGCGCCATTGCTGCCGCGCTGGACAGCTGCGAAGCCGAGGGCCGCTGGTCCTGGCGCATCCCATCGTACATTTCCGGTCGCTCGATCAGCACGTGCACGAGATACTGTGGACTGCTTCGCAAATCGTGACCGTGATGATGCGGTGCCGGCTGAGGCGGCGAATGCCCGTGAGCAGTTGTGCGCCCTTGCGCGTGCTGTAATGGCGAAACTGCTTTCAAGGACCGCAGCCGCTCCGTCTGAAACCCGTGCGCGAGCATACTATCCGAAACGTCTGGTGAGCGATACTGCTCGACGCCATAGATGGTCTCGCGATGGCTCATCATAGTAGCTTACCGGGTCACACCGACAAAGGCGTAGGCAGTGCCTCTGCACTGCGCGTAAGCGTCATCGGACGCTGAGTGCGTACCAAACGAGACGTACGTGTTCCGCTTGAAGGTTAGTTTCAAGTGCGATGCTCTGGACCGGCAGGGTAAGCGAGAGCAGACGCGTATCGCAAGCAAATCAGAGCTGCTGAGACGGCTCTGCGGGCGATCGCGAAGCGTCGAGGAGTCGAGGCAGATGTGCAAGATCTACGGATCCCTGTGCTACCGGCGTTGCGACGAGCACCACAGCTGCACGTCTTCGAGCAAGTCTGGTATGTTGCCCGTCACGTTCAAATCAGCTTGTCGATGCGATTTGTACGGTCGAGCGAGCGGCCAGACAGGCTGCTCTGCGATATGCTGGCCAGGGGGAGCTTCCAGTGCGATCTATTGAGCCTGCTTTGTGGTCGTGCGACCGGTCTCATCAGCCACAGCTCGAGTGAGCAGGGCAGTGGGATGATGACTTGCCATTCTTCTGCTCGTGTGCGGTTCCGATCTTATGTAGGAAGCTGCTCAGTCGGAGCGAGCGTCCTCGAGAATCGTCAGGACCTCGCTACGGCTGCTTGCGGGCCGGTTAAGCTCGAGCGAGCTGCGCACACAGCGATAAACTCACGCAGTGCCCTTGTGATGGGTCGCAGCGTCGCAGTGCGGGACGGCTGCTCTCTGACCTTTGCCGAGGCGAACGACGAGCTTGCAGCAGTCCACACAGCGAGTTTGCGGGCCTACCCGGTGAGGCTAACGAGCCGTCGGTCGAGCCTCGAGCTCGGGCGGGAAGCACGCGCGCGTCAATTTGAGCGTGTCAGATGTGCGGCGGAACTGCGGGACACCTCAAACATATCAGATTACGACAACAGAGGTCGAAGCCTTGTATACATCATACTGCGTCTCAAAGGCAGACTCGACGCCTTTTGAGATCTGACAGGCTCGTCGGTAGACTGAGAGATCTTGGCTGCGCTGTAAGTCTTGCGAGAGAGAAAGATGCGCGAACTGGTGTACGTATCTGCACACGACACGATCTGTGAGCATCTCATCTAGCATTGTTGTGACCACCCGCCTTTCGTATTCGTCGCCCTCTTGCGGCTCGACGACAGGGGCCAACAAGCGCAGCGCGAGGCCTTCTGTCGTGCTTGCTGGAGGGAGAACGCGCATCGGCTCAGCTTCTGTGTCGCCCAGCTCGCCTTTGCCGCCGCGAGACTTGCGTTTGTCATTGACATTGTCTCGAGATGCTGTACTCATCCACTGGCGCGTCCCTCCGAGCGCTCTGAGCGCAAACATCAGTCTACTCATAGCACGCGACTGATGTAAACGAACTTGATGTGGGGCTGCTCAATATTCTTTCGCTTTGTGAATGGCGACTCGTCGAGCTGATCGCCCGAGAACCGCGCAGAAGGCGAATACTTGAGCGTGCTGTTGACTTTGTAGGCGAAATGGCGCTGTACAAAGGTAACGACCTTGGGTCGGTAGTACTCGATCCAATAATCTATGTCGTCTCTCAAAGACTGGTCAAGTAGACGTGATAGAGCCGCTTCGCGAGTGCTGCCGTCGACGAAACGTCTGTCGAACCATTGCTGATACGATTTGCGAAGACCTTTGTTTCTATGTGCGAGACGAAGCAAGACTTGCGTGTCAATCCCAAGGAAGAGATTGATCGCGGTCTGCTTGTCGGCATCGACAAAGGAATTGGAGTAGTACCGCTTGAGTCCTTCTATCATATCACGGCTGTGGCTGGACCACTGATTGATCTTGCGATAGGTCTCCATCGTGTTGACGAGATGAGAGCCACCGTACTGCAGTGCAAGCGTGTCGCCGTGGTCGTGATACATTTCCGTGAGCAAGTTCGTCGCATCAGAATCGAATTCGAGCGTCGTGCCTTTGTATACGCCCAATGCGCGCAGTTGGTGGCCCAAAACCGACCGGCCCAAGATGAACTGGCAGGCATTCGTACGATCGAGGCAATCGATGCAATTGGTCCGACAGATGCCTGTCTGCATGAGCGGTACAGGTCGATAGGTCGGCGCATCTTCGTCGTTGCTGTATGCGTACGCGATGGGCTCCCCTCCGCTATGGAAGAACTGCGTCTTCTCAAGCGCTTCTTCGGCAATATCTTCGAGGACGCTCAGGCTGTCGATGCCGGGACGTTTGTGCGAGCCTGCCATGTCAAAGGGAACATACTCTATACATTTTCCGGCAGGCAGGAATTGATTGAGGTAGCGAATGCACTCGGAGAATTCGGGTGCGAGCTTCGCCTCGCGATGACGACCGCCTTTGATCAAGCTGAGCACGATGATGGGGGCGCTGTATCGCGACATGAGATCATTGAAGTGCTTTGCACCGGCCACAAAGTAGGGATCGATGATGTTGATGTCGATGGGCGGTCTCGGCGTCATGCCAGTCGTTTCCTGACTCCAGGATAAAGGTATGCTGCCTCTATGCTGTACCCAGCTGGTATAGTCTGGACTCGCCTTGCGTAGGTAGGTAATGCGGCCTGTGGCGGGCTCGATCTCTTTCGTGACGGTGAAGAAGGGCGTCGTCGACAGCTTTGACACGATCTGCTCAGTCTCGACGTCGTTTGCAACATAGCCGTCTTCGTTAACGCCACGTTTGAGGAAGCGTGCGCCCGCAAAGTGCCGCGATCGTCGCGCGAAGAGAGTGATGAACACATTCTGGCCAAATATGGAGACTTTGGCCTGATCGATGAAGCCGTAAAGCAGCGGCAAGACCCAGTGCGACCTCTCGAATCGGTTCGAGAAGCCACCCTCGAGCAAGAATCGGTTCCAGATGAATTTGTCGTTGTAGCCCCAAGCCGTCGCGGGCACGTCATCCTCTCGACAGGCTCGATGGGCAGGCATGGTCATGTTGACCTGTAGCATGTTTGTGACATCATAGGTATACGAAAAGTAGAAATTCTTCGAGAGATCGACCTGTTGAAATATGTTGAGCAAGCGTTGCTCCTCACTCGGTCTGTCAGGTTTGACGGCAGGTGATATAGACACAGTGGACGTGTCATCGCAGTGGTAGATGTAGTGACCGCCCAGCAAGGCAACGGCCGAGCGTTTCTTGACGAGCACAAGGTACCAACCAGCAGTGAAGCGGATGAAGCCAACGATGCCATAGTACGGGGTCGGCAGGCGGTGTAGCCCGCCAGCATTCTTGTTACCTTCTTCCAAGGAGCGCAGGAGACTGTCTTTCTCTTGCTCGGTGTAGATCACATCGTCTTCTTGCAGATCAACCCGGCTGGCGTCAAAACGGCGATCGATCTTGAGGACGCGATAGCGCGTGTCAGACTGGTTGGTGGCGACGAGGTAGAAGTGCATCTTGGTTTCGTACAGTACATACTTTTCTAGGATGAGCTTGTGCTGGACAGGCGCTGGCTCGATCGCTTTCTCGGTGAACGCGACCTCCAGTCTTTTGAGGGTCTTCTCTTCTTGGGGACTGCCAGACGAGGTCCCCGAGAGCTTCGTTGAGCTCGCTGCAGCCTGGGCCAGCTTCATTGAGGCGAGCACTTGCATACCTGCACCCGAAGACAGAGTCGAGAGATTGCTTTTAGCAGACATTGGCGCAGTCTCGGAGCCTGAAGGGGTGACGGTGCCCGCTGCAGCAACATTGGAGATCTCTGGCCTTGCACCTGCCGCCCTGCCCGCCACGGGTGCGAGTGAGACTGCATTTGGAGGGGCGGGCAGCAAGTGTGATGCGGACGGAGCTGGTGGGCTGCTTGCGTCTATCGACGGCACATCTATGGGTCGATCTCCCGTCTGGACCCGGGCCTGCTCGTGAGACAGGCTGTCCATTGCATCACAGTGATCGCTGACGCCTCAGGCGCGCGACTGAGCTGAAGCGCTGGCTTGGTCTGACTGGCTTTGCATCGCGCTCGATCGTCTGTCTGGTCGATCGCGTCCTCCTCCTGCTGTCATTCGAACCAGCCGAACGGACAGACAAGTCGTCCCTGAGGGTAGTCAGATCCGCCGCAGCGTCGATAGTTTGCTCAGATGGATGCTCAGCTATCCGACGAAGCAGATCTGAGCTCCCTCAGTGCTTCCCTGAACGGCACGAGCCTTTCGCAACATGTCGAAGCACAGCCCCAAGGAACAAGCCTGCTCTCATCACCTGCCGCTCATAGCATGCGTGTCACCCGAAGTATGAGTGGTACAGCTCGACCGACGGCATCAGCTATGAATACTGGGCCAAACGGGCAGGTCCCGCCGCCGAGCTCGCCTAGCAAGGGTTGCATCTACATTGTCGACACGTCTGCGCTCTTGTATGCGCTGCCAGTCGTGCGACGCTGGGCTAGAGAAGAAGCGCACACGCTCATCATACCTGTAGAAGGTGCGTTGCTTCGACTGTAGCCGTTCGCACGGATCTGATAGCCCCCTTTACAGTCATCAATACCCTCGACGCGCTCAAGAAACTACCGCCGCCCATGTCCCACAAAGTCAGAGCGACGTCAAAGTACATCGAGGAACAATTCGCTCGCAAGTCTACTGGGCAAAGGACCAAGCTGCATGCTCAGATGCCTCATCAGACCCTCCCGTGGCAAGCAATACATCTCGGTCAGACTCCCAGCGTGCAAGTCGCAACGCACAACTTGGACGATACGCCGGCCTATCTGAAGCCTCTGTTGCAATGTGCTCGCCACTTTGAACGCTCATCGCAGGGCGGTAAAGATGTCAGGATACTGTACGCGCTCGGGCCCCTCGACGAGCCTGTCGAAACACCCCGTCGTCCAGTACCGGCAAGAGCGTCGACCGCGCCTCAGTCGCCTACGAGGGCCACGATGAATGGCTCCAACGCCGCGCTCGAGAAGAATCTGCACCATCTGAACGGTAACTCGGTGCAATGGAATGATTCGATATCTCTCAGGGCGGCAGCAGACGCGCGAAACAGAGCGCTCGCAGCTCGCGGTGCTGGCCATACGATGGCAGCAATAGCACCTCTCTTCGATATCAAGACCCGTGAGATCACTGTCGACGAACTATCCGAGGCAAAGGCTGCTTTTGCAGAATGGCAGCAAGGCCAAGCGACGGGCAACGTCAGCGCTCCCAGCTCGCCCTTTCTTGATGCAACAGCTCATGCGTCAACAACGCCCGTCAAGAAGCAACAACGAGCTCGAAGACCGTTGCCGGATGCAAACCGCAGCTTGTACGTTCCCTGACGAGATGATCTCAGATCGTGCGTACACGGACCATCGCTGCTCTCACTCATCAATCTGCACAAGCACAACGACCACGAACTCCATATGAGCTAAAGTCGCACCTGCTCACCAGGAGCGCTCGCGTACGACTATGTCAGCTCTGTCAATCAAAGCCAACCTCAGTCTCAAGCGATCGAGTAAGCGAGCAGTCAGTTCTTCTTCCTCGAGCCGTCCCATCATCTCTGCACCACTGCAAAATGTCAAGCTTCGTCCAGTCAGCCCTAGATCCGAGAACATGGACAAGCCAGCGCCTCGTTCGAGCAGTCTGACAGCTTCCGCTCTTGCCAACCAGGATACCACAATGAGCACAGGCAGACATCTGACCGCACTTGCCGTCTCCTGTGAAGGCTCCTCAGTCTATTCTCAATTGTCTCGCGAGCCAATGATCGATTTGCCATCGCCGACACTCGTCGTCTCTCCGTCCGAAATTGCTTCGCCTGATCTCAAGGGCTTCTTGATCGATAATCTGTCAGCCGCACGCAAGCTAGCTCGAGACGACAACATCGATCATGCTAATCAGACGCATCAGATATTGGGCTGGCTGAAAGGGACCGGCAAGATCGAGCAGGCTCAGATAGTGCAACGACTGTCGACGCCGGCCAAGTCTTCAGTTGCGAGCAGCAGCAAACCTTTGCCAGGCGTACCGCTAGCGAAACCGTGGTCTCCTGTCAAGCTACGCCTGGAAAGCAGACGACCCTTCGGAGCCTCTCAGGCGAACGCTAGACTACAGAACCACTCGAAGAAACGCTCGCCGATCACTGCCCTCATGTCTGCAACGAGATCGAGCGAGAAGAAGCTCGCAAAGATGAGCGTCATGCTCTCGCCTCCTGTTCTACCGCCGTTGCCGGACACAGATGTTCAGCTGAGGCCAACGCACGCCATCTCGCCTCTGCTGGTCAGCGAGAAGCCTTCGGCGGCTTTCCTGACTCGCCAGTCTGTCCATGTGAATGTTGAGCATGTGACACTTGATCCGGGCATCGTGCGCGTGGAGCGAAAGACAAGCAGGCGTGCACGGGCAGAACAAGAGATCCTAGCAAAGCGTTCCATCCGTCGAGAGCAGTGTCCTGCACCATTGAAGCTCACCGAGATTCGTCGACCACGGATGCGCAAGCCTGTCTTGCTAGACTTGAGCGACACTAGCGAGTCGGACAGCTCGTTTGACTCTTTCGTAGATGCCTACGTGTTGTGAATGTCATCCCAAGATAATTTCGATTAAAATCTACCCGGGGACTCATAGTTCTGCCTGCTCTGCTGAGCGTCTCTGAAGGCAAGGACAGCAAGATGGCGGACAATCAGGAAGATCTCATCGGCAAGTCTACTTTGTACTCTGCATCTCTACATCGACATACCTCTCCGCCCTCGTCTCGACTCGACTGCGATCAATAACGACCTCAACCATGGGCGAGCTATCGGCCAACGGGGAAGAGCCAGCGTGTGCGTTGGAGGTCGGAGCGATGGCGCAGAGGGTCAAGGCGGTGGATAGGCAATGACAGCGACTCTGGAGTCAGCTCAGCCATCTCAGCTGTCTCGGCTTGCCGGTCAAGGATGACCATACTCGCTCAGCCGTGAGAGAGGATGTTGAGGCCGCACGTCAGGCTAGAAGGAAGGCCGCAAGCCAAGTATGGAGCGCCAGTCAAGCAGCACCGAGGCCGAACAGCCTTAAGAAGAAGGCACATCGAGCAGTGTCATCGATCTCGACAGCAAACGACCTTTCCCCTCTTTCCCCTCTCGCGCCTGTCAGACAAGCTTGGGCGAACATCAGCTGAACTTTGATGCTTCTCTTTGCTTGCTGCTTCTCTCGTCCGCCACCATTGGCTGTTGGCGCACTCTTCGCCTCTGACTTGGCTTGACAATTGGCTATCAATGTCACGACCTGCTCTGTCACGCCGTACCTCATCTCAAATTGTGGTCGGACGGATTTTCGCACGTAACAGATTACGAGGAGGAGGAGCTACCTCCCGTGACGACCGCGCCGGCCGGCGAGATGGGCGCAGCCGAGTCGAAAGATCAAAAGGGATCCTATGTCGGCATTCATTCGGTCAGCTCGCGTCGCACTGGACAAGAAGGGCATCAGAACTGATCCCTGCCGCTTTCTAGACCGGCTTCCGCGACTTTTTGCTCAAGCCAGAGCTGCTCAGAGCTATCTCTGATCTCGGTTTCGAACATCCCAGCGAAGGTGCTCCCGCTTCCGTCTCAATATCTGGGCGCCATATGTTGACATGACGCCTTTCCAGTCCAGCAAGAATGTATTCCGCAAGCAATCCTCGGCATGGACGTCCTCTGTCAAGCCAAGTCTGGCATGGGTGCGTCATGACGGCATGGGCTAGCGCGACGCAAGCTGAGGTCGTCTCGTCGTAGGCAAGACCGCGGTTTTTGTGACGGCAACCCTGCAACAGATCGAGCCAGTCGACGGCGAAGTAGCCGTTATCGTGCTATGTCACACTCGTGAGCTGGCCTACCAGATCAAGAACGAGTATGCCCGCTTCAGCAAGTACATGCCTGACGTCCGCACGAGCGTCTTCTACGGTGGTACCGACCCCAAGAAGGATGCCGAGGTCCTCAAAGATAAGGAGAAATGCCCCCACGTCGTTGTCGCCACACCAGGTCGCCTGAATGCCCTCGTCAGGGACAAAGTACTCAAATGCGGAAACGTCAAGCACTTTGTCCTCGACGAATGTGACAAGATGCTCGAAGCAGTCGGTATGTACTCGACATCAGTCGGAGTGCCTATCGCTGACCCGCATGTGTCTCGTGTAGACATGCGCCGTGATGTGCAAGAGATTTTCAGAGCCACCCCTCATGGAAAGCAGGTCATGATGTTCTCGGCTACACTCGCAAAGGATATCCGCGTGACGTGCAAAAAGTTCATGCAGAGCGTTAGTCATCGCCTCGCTCTTGTCAGCCTCTATTGACGCATGGATCGCAGCCGCTCGAGATCTACGTCGACGATGAGACGAAGCTTACTCTTCACGGTCTTCAGCAGCATTATGTCCGACTGGAGGAAGCCGGCAAGAATCGCAAGCTCAACGATCTGCTCGACAGTCTCGAATTCAACCAGGTTTGTATCTTCGTCAAGTCTGTACCTCGTGCAACCGAGCTCGACCGCCTGCTGCGCGAATGTCAATTCCCTAGCATCTGCATCCACTCGGGTCTGCCACAAGAAGAGCGAATCAAGAAGTACCAACAGTTCAAGTCGTTCGAGGTGAGTTTTAAGCTATGCCAAAGCGCGGCTTTCTGACGAGCTCGTTTCGTGTAGAAACGCATTCTTGTCGCTACAGACATCTTCGGACGAGGTATCGATGTCGAGCGAGTCAACGTCGTCATCAACTATGATGCGCCTACCGAGGCGGACTCGTACCTGCATCGTGTCGCTCGTGCAGGTCGATTTGGCGGACGTGGTCTGGCAATCACCTTTGTCACGGGCGAAGGTGATGAGGAGGTCCTCAAGGCCATCCAGAGCAGATTCGAGGTCGGCATCACGCCCATGCCCGCCGAGGGCGTCGCTCCAGAGACTTACATGAATGCTTGATCGTCGCTGGCGTCTCTGCCGCTCGAAGGCCTATATGTACCAATGAAAAGCAAGTTTCCGGCTCCTCACCCAGTCTGCGTGCATTGTCAAAGAGCGACGAAATCCCCGCTCGCTGTGAATTCCCGACGATCCTGCTTCACTTCAGTGAGGGACTATCCAGTCCGGTGCCTCGCTTGTCAGCAGGCGCGCGGCAATCATCACGAATCGGCACGTCAAGCTCGACAGCCTTCACTATCAGCAGGAGTAGATTCAAATAATCGACGGCCTCGTTGGAGCTGCTTTGGTGGTTATCAAGAGTGACAGCGACTCACTCTCCTTCATACTCAGTATCGACATTACGACGGCACACCGGTAGGCTCTCACCAACGATCTCTCGGAAGCATCGTGCGACGATTCCTCACTCAAGCCGACCATCTGCGTGGCTGGTCTGATTCAAGGTTTCAGGCGGCGGGCATGACTCAGGCACCCGGCGACAAGTAGGCTCAGCTGCTATAGGATGCGATCAGTAGGGCCGGTGTTTATAGACTCAGCGAAGGCGCGCATGCTCGCTGGGCAGCTCTTGTGCCCTTATTGATGAATGAGATGATGAGAGGGCGGTCGCGAAAACAGTTCTGCACGGTGACCGATTTCCTAATTTATTAAATGGGCTATCGCCTATCGCGTGCGAGCGGGTTGCTATCCAGACCTGTGCCAGCTTGAGTGCTTACCTTGATCAGATGACACTCACGCGGACTGCTGCACGGCAGATTGGGCTCAGACAGCCTGCCAAAGTAGACCAAGACGCCGCTGGACAGCATGCTGCAGGCAACACTTCATCGCCTTTTGGTCCCTCTGTGGGCCAGCGCGGCTCGTGCTTGGCTGCTTCGAGCACAAAGCTGACTTCAGGTGCTGCCGAAGCTCCTCCGCCATCGACAGAGCTTTTTGAGATGGATTTCGCCGCTTCAGAGATGACACCCCGACCAGCACCTGGCATTGCCGCTGACAGCGAGGCCGACTACGATACGGATGAGCAAGACGAAGAGATGGACGACTCGTTCGACCATGACACGGCGGATGAGTCATCCGATGAGGAAGACAACGACTGTGACATGTCACCTTATACTCCACATGAACCCGCGAACCTGCGAGCGCCCGCTATCGTGGGCAGCGCTCAAAGCCGTCTTGCCGTGCCTCCCATGGCAAGCCAAGACAAGGGCAAAGCTCCACAGATATCTCAGTCTGCTCCTGTGTATCACGCTTCGTACGTCGACCGTCGTCGAAGCAGCGCCGCAGCGCGGGATACCGAGGTCAGCTGGCTGCACTCAACTTTTCCGAGCTAGGGCGCTAATTTTCGTTGGCTGGGAAGTTCGCATTCTATGAGCGTACGGTCATCTATTCTGACGAGGAAGACGTCGATGATGATGGCTATACGGATGAGCATGAAGGCACGTTCATGGACGAAGGCACGTCCGAGACATCTACATCTCGGGCAAAGAAAGGCAAGGCGAGCGCAGAGGGTCGCTCGTACGACGAGATACGGGCAGAAAGGCGCAAGAGCCTTAATTCACGTCGTCCTGTCATCACGCTCCGACGTGATTCCGGCTGGGCGTTCTCACAAGAGGCTTTGTACGTTGACGGAATAAGGGCGCTCGAAAGGCTGCTGACATTGCCCAATGCAGGATGCCAAGCTTTCTGCGAGAGCATTATCACGAATGGCATCCTGAGCTTGAAGGTCTACCTCCTAATGGAACCCGCACGACAGGCGCATCTGCTCTGTCCCTCTCGCGTCCTCCCAATGACGATGGATACAGTGCGCCGAGCAGGCATCGTTCATACGGCGGAGAAGACTTCGACCGGCCACCGGTCGTAGCAGAGATTCACATCAGTCCAGATGACACACGCGCCATCCTGCCATAAATACAGGTCAGACTGTTGATGTAATTCGAAAGCATATCCTTTTTTCCAGGTACAGATTACACGTTCTGCAACAACACAGTATTGAACGTCATCGCAATCGAAGGCCTTATGAAGTGATACCAGCAGGTTGGATCAAACTGACATGCTCTGTGGAGCGGTCGAGGGCGTCTTGAGAAGCATGCGAGCCATGAGAAGACATCATGGCTGGCGCAGACATGGGTTGTTGGTGACTATAGTAAGCGTGAATGGGGGAATCACCGCGGAGACTGTCTAGCCTCGTCAAAGCGTCATCGTCCTCGTGCAGCCTCTCGGCCTCCGAAAAGTCAATCGGAGACATTGTCCGAGTCCTATCTGGCCAGCCTGATCCGTGAAGACCCATGCGTCCATCGTCGGGCCTGAGATCTGGCGGTGATAATCTTCCTTGCCCAAGCGGATACTCTCCACGTATCGGTGGCAGCTTAAGCGAGTGGACTTGGGCATAGGGCTCAAAAGTCGGTGGCGCAGGTGCAGTAGACGAATGCTCGTAGAGCTGCGAATGCACGTCATTTCCGTTTGCGAGACTGCCATCGTAGTGGCCATAATAGTTCAGACGCCTGGCTTGTTCATTGTGATGACGTTCTTGGCCTCTACTGTTCGTCGAGGCCATCGGAGCTGAGTAATAGATAGTCTCGTCGGACCGACGTATCCCATGATGGCTAGCTTTGGTCGGCTCCCAAGTGATGTGACTGTCGTGTGCACTCGTCAGAGGCGCCGTCATGGCCAGGCTAGGATCGATCTGCACCGACCGTGGTGGCATACGGGGTGCATGCTCCCATTCGGGCGATCCTGAAGGCGACAGCTGTGGTTGCCTCAAGTACGATGTACTATGAGGGGAAGTCTGAGTTGGCATACGGGCAGGCAGCAGCGAGGCTTGGCTGATGACTGGGTGATTCGGTGCTTCCATGGGTGGCGCATAAGCGCGAAACGGCACCGCTGTCGGTGGCGAGTACTCAGAATGTATCGCCGGCCGATCAGACAAAGGTGGTAGACCCGGCGATTCGACCGGATACAACCCAGCAGGCACGCCTGGAAAGCTGTCTGGAAAGCGCCTGGCCGAGTCTCGAGCAACCAAGCCGGACGGTCTGACAGGATCGCTCGTCATTTGACTCAGTCGTGAGGGATATCCTCGCGACAAGCCTTCCAGATGATTCATGCGTGGGCTGATGCTTTCGCTGTATTGAGCTCCTGGCGAGAGCTGAGATGGCAAAACAGCAGGATATGGCGCAGGAGGATAGTCAGTGGGCGGATAGATGGCGTCTTCTTCGCTTTGCTTGGCTCTGACAGAAGTTTTGCGTTGGCGTGCCTTGGCTGCTGTGATCTTCCGCCTGGCTTTGCTGGGCTTATTCACGGCATCGTCGTCCAGCGTTCTGCCCTCGGCTTCGAGCTTGAGCCTCTTTGCTTCTTTGGCGGCCGCTTTCTTGGCGCGAGCCATCTCATTCTCTGTGCTCGTGACTTTGGTGATGACACATTCCGCCTTGGCGTCTGCACATCGGGAGCAAGGTGTCTGGCCATCGCAGCGAATCTTGCGATAGCGACAACGGTTACAAGCCGTCGAGGCTCTCGACCAGGTCGGCCGAGGACCGTCCGCCTCGCCACTTCCTGCGCGCTCTTCGCGCTCTGTAGGCTCCGTCGTGCTCTGCTCCGGAGCAGGAAACACGAGATTCGGCATGTAATCATGAGATGTACGGCTGTCGGACGAGGCCGCGCCTGACAGCATGGCCGAAGGGGGCTCGTTCGTATATGATCCGCCGTCATCCACAGCTGCGGGAAGCTTGATAAGTTCGTCGTATCCGCTATGCTGCTGTCTATACGCACCTGCGTGCATTGGGGCACTCGCCTCATGTGACGGTCGACCCATCAGCGTCTCTTCCTGCGGGTCGAGCATGAGTGTTGACGGCAGGCGGTCGGCCGACTCTGCGCTGACGGCACGCTGCTCGTTGGCAGTTGCAACAATAGCAGAACCTCTCCTTGGTGCCATATGCAGCTGCAAAGGACGGCGCTGCGCTCAAGTTGGGCGCTCCCACGGGATGCCGCCAGAGCGCGCTCTTATCAAACAAGGGTGAATGCTCTTGCAAGGTTGACAGAGTCACCCCTGCCAGTCGAGTCGGCGCTTTCAACGAGCAACAAGCATAGCGGGTAACGCTTGACTTCTTGCTCGTAGCTTCGCGCACGAGACGATCAATATCAGTCCTCCCGTTGCCGTGTCAGCCCAGTCTGTCGCCAACGGGAGGGGACGCGCTACTTGAATATGATCGTCGCAATTTATTCAAAAGAATATTCAGCAAGCTGTGACGCGTGACGCAGACCATGCATTCCCAGACCAGCTTGAGCATGCACATGCAAGACGTCTAGGTCAGCGTCATTTGCCATTCCTTGGTCAGGAGCGATCCAGATCCTCCGTAAATTTCGATGTTGGATTCGACTGCCACAATGTAAAGTGCGCTCGATACGCTCAGGTGCGCTTGAAGGTAGGCCAGGAAGACTTCGAGCTCCATAGCAAAGTGCTTGAGACCTGGCACGAGTTGGTGGTTCATGAAGCTGAAGACGGTCTGGGATGTGCCTTGGCTCTGGTACAATTGCCAGCGGTGACCGCCAATATCGTCAGTAGCGACCACATCGCCCAGGGGATTCTTGTTGTGAGCTGAGAGGTAGATGTTGACGACCGTCTGTGCACCGGCTTTACCAGCATTGGGTGCCGAGCCAAGGTAGATGTGATAGCCAATGAGCGAGGAAGTTGAGGGCTGCACTTGAGCCCACTCCCAGACCCAATAAGCGTGAATGTTCTTCAGCGAGCTGAGTTGTTTGCCGCCGATGTTGGCGAGTGCGAAGCCAGGGGAAGCCTTGAGCGCGCCAGGTGCACTCGTCACGGACCAAGTTGCCGAGTATGATGCAATGTCGCCATTGCAAACGTTCAGCTGCATCCAGACGTCAGCCCAAATAAAAGACCAGCTTTGGCGCCCGTACCTCGGTTGTCACACTGTCGCCACCTTCAACTGACAGCTTGTTAGCTGAGAAATCATAGTCTGAGTCGCAGCGTCAGCAGATGGGCTTGTAAGCAGATACGAGCGAGCGACTCACTATTGCCGCAGACGTTGTGCTCGACTATCGCAGCAGGAGCTTGACGGCGGTGACGCTCTGAGCGCTTGACAAGCTCGCTCTTAGCAAGAGCCGCCGATGCAAGCAAGATTGTTGAAAGAATGTTATTGGCAAGCATGCTTTGAAGAGACTCTTGGTTGAAGCGAGGATGGATGCTGGGCGAGCAGCATTCTACTCAAGCCAACATAGCATGTGCTCAGCTGAGACGTGTGTCGGCAGTTGCACTTGACGGCGCGTTTCGACGCAACGGTCGTGAGGCCAAACCGGCACGCGCTGTCGTCATCACTCAAAAAAAGATATCAAGCGCGATCTTGAGCTGGTTCGAGGGGTCGACTCTCTTCGTCTTCATCTAGGGTGCTAAGCGGAATCCCGGCATTGGAGCCATTGCTGTGAGAAGCCGTGAGGATGCCCTTCCGGACAGCTTCCCATTCTATGCGCAAGAAGCACCACATCCAGCGTCGAATGACTTCGAGAGCTTCCATGAGGAAGATCCCCTGCTCGATCTCGTGTATCTCGTGCAGATGACTGGAAAGCTTGAGTGACCACGTGAACCGTAGCAAGAGGTCGATGCCGATCGCAAGATAGTATATCGTTGGGTCTGCCAGCAGGAGCACAGGCCTCAAGAACGGATATGCCCCTGTGCTGACATGCGTAAGCGAGATTGAGATGACGCTTCCGTGACGCGAGCGCTTCGGTGCATAACTAGGCTGCGGCGGATACAGGCCGCTGGCATTCTTGCCATTGCTCGATTCTGTCGCCTCTGCATTCGGAGGTGAGCCATTGCCATTCCCATGCATGCGCTCTTCGCCGATAATATCATTGGGCGTCGTGGGCAGGCCGGGTATACGCGGCAAGGTAGCATTGCCAGAGATGCTCGTACTCTTACTGACGCTGTGTCTCGCTGCGGGCATGCTGCCCGATCGATAGTGCGGTTTATTGGAGGGTGTGGGCAATGGCTGAGCGCGGTGTCTCGGCGAACTGAACGTTGCTGGTCGGGCAGGCATATAGGCTGACTGTACGTGACCCGACAGAGCTGTCCAGCCAGACGGCAAGCAAAGCAAGAGCCCCCAATCATTCGTGACGTCCCACCAGAAGGAATACATCGAATTGGCAAAGACAGAAAGCATCCTGGTCGTCGGTTGTGAGCTTCCATCGATCACGAATGAGACGATCGCACCATAAATTGAAGAGCGCCCATCGACCGAGCCAGACGCCGGTAGTCTGCTCTTCTGTCGAGTTGCGAAAGATCTCTTCATGCTTGCCTTGCATCGCCGAGAGGAATATGACAGGGAAGGCCGTGGCATACTTGACTGCGTTGAACAACGCTCGTGTCCGCGGATCTGAAGGCGTGGACGCTGGCGGTTGAGCGAGCGTATAAGGATTAGCATTGTTGATTGGCGCGTAATTCGCCGGCGTAGTGAAGTATTCTGCCAGGCATTGGCGGAGACGTACAACATACGGCAGACTGCGACAGCTGATCAGATCACGCCGAAAGGCTAACGCCCAGCCTACCTTGTCATGATAGCGACTGCCCATCTGCCGCCTATCGCATCCGTGGCCTCTCGGCCAAACATGATCGATGTACACACCCAGACGTCGCCAAGCACTTTGGCATACGATGTGAGGATATCGGCAAATATGACATCACAGAAGGGCACGCTCGAATAAAGACCGTCCAGCAAGGATCGCTTGGCACACCTGTATCCCGCTTGAGACCCCGACCTCTTCTTGGTTGTCAAACAGTGAGCTCACCTGAGTCCCATGTAGCGTTCTTTGCGCTTCAGACGATCCCATGGACCGATGAGAGCCGCGCTCAAGATGATGCCGAAAACCGCAGGAAGCCATTCAGCAAGCGCGCCCGCTCGTTCGCGCTTGAGGTCGGTTCCACCGCCGAGCACGCGATAGAAACACCAGCCCGTCAAGACCCAAAGGAGCGCAAGACCAGCTAGCGCATAGATGGGTGGGTATAGCCTCGACGGATGGATATACTGGCTCTTGCCTGCCGAGGATGAAGACGCGTTCGACATGGGCGTCGAGGTGAGTCCCGAAGTATGAGTATGATCATTCGATTGTCCAAGCCCGTGTGCATGTCCATTGGACGCTTCTGTACCGTTTGGCGGGCTCCCCGAAGGTCGTGACAGCCAAGCGGGATCATCATTGAGCCGAACGTCGAGTACTTTGGCTGTATCTATGCCCAACAACGCAAGAATGTGTAGATTGGTCGCCCAGGCTGCCAGGCCAAAGGCGACGAGGAACTGGATCCGCAGAGGAAGCGGGAAAGCGTTGCCGAATGAGCTAGGTGAGCCCAGAAAGGCCAGAGGTGAATGCTCATCCTGAGGTTGATCTGGCGCGATGTTGCCTGGATTGTCGATGTCCATGATCTGTCTCGCGCCGCTGAGCGCTGCAGCAGAGCCGCACTCTGCTCGAATGGGGTGTCTCTACGTTGACGAGTAGCCAAGTGAGCTTGTCTGTGTATCGCGACAGTGCATGTCAGTCGCGTCGACCGTTCCTCTCAAGATCTTGAGCCTCTCAGCGCTCGACGTTGCTGTGGCCGTCTTTCCAGCATCTGCCTCGCAGATGAGTTCGCCGATCGCTTCGAGCAGCAAGGTGAAGCTCGAGGATTCCCCAAAGAAATACAACAAATTCTCACCCGCAAAAGACTCATCGCCCAGCAAGAGACCAGCAGGCACTCAAGAGAGGGGCAACTCAAGCAGTCCCGCCAAGCGCAGTAAGGATTTTGCCGAGTTGAAGGCAAAAGATCCTCTCGATGACAGACCGCATCACGACCCACGTCTGATTCCACATGGACCCTCGCCGCGCTTTGGCGTACTTAGCGATATTTTGGACGTCATCCAAGAGAAACAGGCGTCCAAGAGACGCAAGCCAGAAATTACAGATAAATACATACTCGCCATTTTTGCTGTATGGTTGCTCCTGTTCGATGATGACTGGCAGCCTGACGAGCCCATAGAATTGGCGGAAAGATGTCGGATTGGATCTGTATCCCCTCATTCGCCTGCTCCTACCGGATGTCTGTGCTCGTTCCCTGAGGCGTTGCTAGACTGAAAGGCCCAAGTGTAGAAAGATCGCGAGCGAAATAATTACGGTCTGAAGGAGAACAACCTTGCAAAGGTCTATACAAAGGCGCTAAACCTCGACAAGGACACAAGCGCCGCTCAGAGGCTCAGAGACTGGAAGAACCCAACCCAAGGCGGCAAAGTGAGCGCACATCGCGAAAGTGTCCTTCTGCAGACTGAAAAGCCAGTAGGCTCGAGCGGGCGATTTTGCAAGTATAGCGAAGGAGGTCATTCAGGAACGATCCGGTGTCACGGAGCATGTCCTCACAATCGATGAGGTGAACGAAAACCTCGACAGGCTCGCGGCAGCGTCCGGAGAGTATGCACTCGAGCTGTATATGGAGAGAGTGCACTCACTTTTGCCGGCAGGAAAGACAAGGGCAAAGTCATCGCATGGTTCAACGAGCGCATGACCGCCAACGAACAGCGATGGCTCATCGGCATCATTCTTAAAGGTATGCAGCACAGACAATGCGCAGCTGCAGACTCACAGTAAGCTTCAGACATGAAGCTTTCTTTAGGTGAAAAGAGAGTCATGAAGGTTTTGCATCCGGATGCAATGGGTCTCTTCAATGTCTGCTCCGATCTCAAGCGCGTCTGCTGGACACTCTTCGATGCAGAGATCACCCTGACGAAAGATGTACTAGATCTGGCCCTTTACGTGTCTTGCTTGCTGACACCGATTAGGACACGGTCATCCGCTGTAATCGACACTTTCGTCCGATGTTTTGCAAGCGCAATGAGAAAGATCTTGGCGACGTCATCCGACTCATGCATCTCAATAATGTCCGCCCTTGAACTCGTGCGAGAAAATGTCTGCTCACATATAGCGAAACAGCCAGATCAGAAGTTTGTCATCGAAGAGAAGCTCGACGGCGAGCGCATTCAATTGCACAAATTCGGCAACAACTTTCGATACTGGTCAAGGTCTGCTCCAAACTTGGCCGTTCCAGATCTGCTGAACACGTACATCGTAGACAGGGAACTGATTATACTGTACGTATGAGCATTAAAGTCAGGTCACGCGCCAATTGAGTGCCGCAGAACCTGTACGGCGGCAATAAATACAAGGGCAGCTTGACGCCTCACATTCAGGAAGCTTTCGATAGCGCAATCAGCCAGTTCGTCCCTTGATTCTCGCTTATGGCGCAGTTGAAGTCTTTGCAGAATCATTCTAGACGGCGAGATGCTCGTTTACGATCCCATGATGGACAAGCTCTGCGCGTTCGGCACGCTCAAGAGTGCTGCCAAGCAAAATCAAGGCGTGTTCCCTCAACCTGGCATGCGCACTTGCTGATGCACTCACAGAGCCAACGTTCAGTGACGGATCGGCACAGAGACCCTGTCGTGCGTGCAGTGGTGGCATTGAACCCCAGGACTGACCCGTTCGCAGTGCGTATCTTTGACATTTTGCTCGTAAAGGGCGCGGATGGGGTCGTATACAATCTGGCCCAATATCCCCTTCAGAAACGTAAAGAAGCCCTTCGCACGCTCGTCAAGCCTATCAAAGGCTACATTGAATTCGCGCACGCAGTCGAAGGAGCCTCGCTAGACGATATCAAGCGTGAGATGGACGTCGTGCTGCAAGCTTCGGGCGAAGGCTTGGTCATCAAACATCCGCTTACGCTCTATCTGCCGGGTCAGCGCAATGAGGCTTGGATCAAACTCAAGCCAGAGTATATGGATGCGCTTTGGGAAGATCTTGACCTGATCATCGTCGGCGCTTTCTTGGGTGAAGGCAGACGAGGAGGCATGTATGGCTCATTCGCCGTAGCCTGTTTGGACGATCAGCTCTCGACGGAAGACCACAAGGTCTACGCCAATGTTGCAAAAGTTGGATCTGGCTTCAAGTATACGGACTATGTCAACTTCTATTCGGGAGACGAGTTCAAGAATCTCTGGACAAAGTTTCCAGCGCGTGGTCAGCCTGATCCCTCAAGCCTCAAATTTGGTGCAGAAAAGCCCGACTATTACATCGATCCTGCAAAGTCAGGTCAGCCCTTTGATGATGCCCGCCCGCCACTGACGACCAGAAACAGATCGATCGTGGTGACCGTGAAAGCGTCCTCTCTCGTGCGTGACGCGGTCAATTATGGCGCAGAAGTCACCCTTCGCTTTCCTCGTGAGCGCGACTCATGAACTGGTCAGCCGAGCTGAACAGAGTACGGCAGGTTGTACTGCTATACGGACAGACAAGGATATTGAGGACATCGAAACGCTGACGAGTCAGTCAGCTATACTACAGCCACGCAGGTGCTAAGTATGCGCAGGCGTCTGGGAGCGTCTGACGAAGCGTAAGCAACGACTTGGCGCAACAACTACGAAGCTCGAGTGCGTCATCTTCTACTCTCCAGACTCGGCGCTAAGTAGAGGACAGCGGTCATCTTCGACGACGAGTGCAGAAACGTAAAGCAGTCTCAAGCGAAGCGTCAGGCGACTCACAGCTTCCAAGGAGCGAGTCACAGCTCAAATCGCGCATCTTCAAAGGCCTGACCTTTCGTAGGCTAATCTGTGAATATTGTGTGTTCGAGCTTACAGCCTCTATAGTGGTCATGGAAGATGGTCCAACAGCTACAAAGAAGCAGCTGGAGATACTAGTGGCGACGCACGGCGGCGAATATCGGCAAGTGCCACCGATAGAAGACAACAGGCGGATAATAGCGCACAGACTGAATTGTACGCGGATTGTCTCCGTAGCGTTCCTTTCTGATGACAGTTCAGTCCATCGGGTCCGCAGGCTTTCGGAAAAGGGCGAGACCATCATCAGGCCAGAATGGGTAATGGATTGTGTCGATGCGCGGCGGAAGCTACCTTTGCTGGAAGAGTCAGTCACCTGTAAGCCTATCACTCAGACGGCTCATCAGTCTGACAGGTATGTCCTTCATGCCGGAAACGTGCCTATCGAAAGCGAAGAGGATCTTGATAAGACTCCAGAGGAAGATGACAGCGCTTCGCCCATTGATTTCATTCCAGATGTGCCAATGCGCACTTATGTCAGTGATAGCGAAACGGATGACGATGTTCCACGTGCAGCATCGCACGGTAGTGTCAAGGTACGTGCAGTCCTTACTGACACCTATCATGTCTGACACGCTTATAGCAGGAGGAGAACGACGAATCTGTGGGTGCTACCCGAGATGTTGCCTCGATGTGGTCCTCTCGATCGTTCTTTGCCTCGGAAGCGCCGGAGGATACTGGACAATTGACTCTTGCCGCCGACGAGCCCGAAACCATGCATTACGACAACGAGCAGATTTTCAAGCATCTCGTCTTCTACATCGATACAAGGGAAGCAGCACTCGCAAACGGACTCGATGTGTCGCCTGGAAGTGTCAGTGAGAATGAAGATGATGCGCGAGAAGCAGCGACATTGCTGATCTCGCGAGGCGCCAAGCTTGCAAGCAATCTTGACAGTTCTACCATGACCCATGTTGTTCTATTTGAGCAAGATCTATCAAGATGTGCAGATCTTTACAAGCGAACGCGACTACCCAAACTGAAACATATCGTCATCTCCGAATGGATCAAAGACTGCATCGCGGACGACACCCTACTCTCCGAGGCTGACTACAGACCCGCAGTCTAGGCTTCTATGTCCCACTCGTCAGGAGGATCGACATGCTCGACAGCGATTACACTCTGTGGAGGACGGTGAAGACCATCGCTCAAGACATCGCCCGGTGCGAGAGCTTGTATTGGCTGTGTCGGCACAGGTGGTGATGTTGCAAGAGCGCTGAATGCATTGGTCGGCGCTGGTCTAGCCCACACGCTTGGTTGAGGTGTCGATGGTCTGCTAACAGGCGTTCTGCTGGGGCTTGTGAGCCATTGCTGTTGTTGTCCGACCCAGACGACCTTTCCATTCGAAGGATCGACATGTGCCTTTTCAACTCGCTTGAAGGAGAGTGTTGAGGTTTTGAGCGAAGCGTATATGGCGGCTACGCGTTGCGTGAGCTCGGCAGCGGTACCAAGAGGTGCAAAGCGGACAATGACAGTATCATCTTTGACCCAGACGAGGGCAAAGGGGGTTGACTGCACGTGAGGACTGAGGGTGTCGCGCAGGACGGCTTCATCGACCCCGAAGACTTCGAGCAGGCACAGCGCGTTTGCTTCCGGCTTTACAAGAGCAGTTCTACGAATCGGTCCGCTCTGCAATTGTGTAGACTGCTTGGACTTGGCCACCGCCTCAGCCAGAGTTGGAGTCGGCACGACGGTCGCAAGTCGCCTCGTTACCTGAATGGAACGGTTGGGCTCCTCGTCAAAAGCCTCCGATTCGAGATTGAACTGCTCGGCCAGCTCGTGGACATATTTGCGCTGCTCCCGTTTCATTCGAGGTAGCATGTGACGCGCTTTGTCAGTCTCTGCAACAAAGGACAGAACCGCCGCGTAGACATTTCTTGCAAAGATCGTATTATTGCGGTAGAATTCGATCGTCTCAGGCAGCCAGGTCGATTTGAGCGTCGGCGTTGATTTCTTCTCTAGCCCCAAAGCAGCTGCAAGAGTAGCATTGCGCTTGGCGACTGCGCAGCCGTCATTACATTTAAGCTCTTTAGACTCGTTGGATAATGGATGAGCTTGACAGCTGCCGCAAACGAGACGCTGCGTGAGGTTGCCACACTCGCATTTAGCAACGACGAGCTCCGGGCAAGGCGAGTCGATCTTGCAAGCTGCAGGCGCATGACACGGCAAAGGACAGGGGTGGCCGCAGAACTTTCGAGGCTTTGCACACACTTGAGCGCAGGGACTGCAAGGTCCAATGTGACAGGAGCGTGGGCATTGATGAGCACCGCAAGCGAGAGTAAGCTCGCATGGCTTGCCGCAGCTGATCAGCGCCGAAGAACATCTGACGTTCTTGACGAGCGTCTGCCGATGACATTGACAAGCCTTTGCTGTAAGGAAAGGACAAGCGGGGCATTCTTCTGTCTCGTGACAGGCATGTGGGACTTTGGGATGACCACAGGGAGGATGCGGACGAATGCAGGGGCGGTTGCAGATGATGACAGTGCCGCATCGAACAGGCGGCTCAATGACCGTCAATCCGCAATGGCAGATGAGCTCCTCGAAACTGCTCTGTAGACAGGACGGACACTTGCCCGCATGGTCATTGAGCGGGCAAGTATGATTGCCGCACGAAAGCTTGCGGCCGCAGACGCGATCGCATTGATGCCAACCCATCGGATCTTGCATCTCTTCCGCTCTACCTCGGAGCTTGCCTTTACGCCGACCCAGACCTTCCTCGAACTGCATAGGGCAGCACTGTGGACAAGCAATCAGCGGAAGGCGAGTCGTATAAGAGAAAAACATACAATCCGACCGCATTCGTGGCGCTTGCAATGGCGCAGGGAGCGACAAACGCGCTCGCAGAGATAGTCGCCGTCTTCTTGGGAAGCTTGAGCGCAAGTCCGAGAAACCTTTTCATTGCCGCAACGACAAACCGTCGAGATGAGCTCGTGGCATTCGCCGCAGGGACCATTGTGGCAGCTTCGAGCACACAGGTGATCGCAACCGGCGAGCATCTTACCACAGACGGCACCACAGGAAGGTATGGGATCGCTGCAAGTCGAGCGAGGCTTGTCTGCCAATGCAGATAGCGGCGTTTTGCCGCAAGGGCACGTTGACATCACGGCTGGCGATCTTGGACAGATCGATAGCTCTTTAGCCAGATGTGGATGGCAGGCGCCAGCTTCACAGTGATGCAGACCGCAGTCGTACCTCCAGGGACACGCCTTGTCGCAGCTGTATTCGCCTGCGTGTGCCTCGTCTGCGTCAATGGTGTAGCAACGCGTGCGGTCTGATGCTGAGGTCGCAGAGCAAGCCTCTGTGCGTGAGAATTGCCCGCAAAAACACTCTTTTTGGCGCGGGATGTCGCAGGGGCCGCAGTCGCCCGCGTGGCAGACTTGCGAGCATGCGTGGAGACCACACGCCATGATCTTACCGCAAGTCTGATGACAGCTCACCGAATCGGCCGATTGCGTCTGAATAGCTAATGCGTCGACGCCAGCCCTTACGATGCTGGGGTGTATGGCTGAACATTTGAGTGTCTTTTGCTGCTTGCCGCAATAGCAGGTCTGATGAACTGGAATTTGACACTGATCGCACGGCCCAGGGTGACAGATAAGGGGGCAAGGATGTGTACAGCCTTCTGGTCGGGCACGCGTGCACTGTGAGCCGCAGGAATGGGGTATAGATGAATTTGCGTGGGCCTGCTGATTCGCTCTGCCGCAAAAGCATTTGTATTTCTTGGGTATCTCTTCTTCGGCGAAGCCAGTCTGACAGGCTGGACATCGCCATTCTATGGTATCAGGTGCAGCTGCTTCTGTAATGCGGAGTCGCTCTTTGATCGCATCGACAGAGGTGTGAGCCCACTTTTGAATGCAGCTTAGGTGCAAGACAGAGTAGCAGATTGAGCAAGAGTGTATGCTCTGGTTGCGCTTGATAGTGTTCATACAGATCATACAGTCGGACGTTTGCTTCGTCAGCTCCTCCGTCAATCTTTCTCTGAGCGACTGATGGCCATTGGTCATCAGCGCCGTCGTAGATGCAGATGCCGGTCTGCGTGCATGGCGTGGTCGACGAGGTGGTTCACCTTGGGCAGATGAAGCGGCAGACGACGATGTAGTGGTGTCATTGCTCGCCGTCTGGCCTGCGCCGTCGACTGTCAGATTCTGGCCAAATTGAGCCCTCCTCCGTCCTCTGCCTCCTCGGGGCAGTTGCACTCCTTCGGGAGCTCGCAACTCGATAGCTGCAGGCTCTGTAGGCTCTCTGGGATGACCTTGTGGTCTACGAGCACCCCTACTGCGTCCTCTACCACCTCGACCTCTGCCCCGACCTGGTGCAGACAGTCCAGCGTCGCCACCGATCGCTGAGGTGGCATCGGCTCGCGCTGTGCTGCTAGCATCACCGCTACTAGGCTGAAAGCTAGGCGCCGTCGCAGACAGCATATCGTGTGCTGTTGAACGCTCAGATCTAGGGAGATCTGGGCAAGATCTGCAGCAAGCTAGCCAAAAAAACCCGCGCGTCATCTTGCAAAGGGCTCAAACGCGAGCAGCTTGCGACTGCTTCATCACGCTCAGTGCGAGCCGAACTACGCGTGCGAACTCGTCAGCATGCCGTGGGTCAATCTCGATACGAACGCGCTCAAGAGCAGCACCCTATTCGAAGAAGGCAGCGGCTCCTTCAAGTTCCTGGATCTCACGCGACAGCAGCGTCTCATTGGCTTCTGCGCATGTCTGGCCGGTGCGCTGCATTGTCATCTGCCAGCACAATCAACTGATAATGCTAGAATGCTGCAGGAGGCTTTGCCATCTCGCTCGTCGGCGCGGTTCTGTTCACATTTGGCCAGATCACGTCGTTCGCATTGGTACGGCTGTTGTCGACGTCGTGATGCTGCTCATAGCTCTGCAGCTTTATGTCATCGGCATCGTCGTCAGCTTGGTCGTGCGTTCGGTCTCGTAGCTTCTGTTGCGCGAACTCTGACATCGCGTACGACAGGGCACGGGGTTCCTGATAGGCTTCTTCAAGCAACTCAAGCTCGTAGGTCTACTTACTCGCGTCTGATGCACAGTCACTGAAGATGCGTTGGTCTGCAGATGTTTAAGCCAGAACGGATAGGCAGGCAACACGCAATGACGAGGCGACCACGCTGAAGCTCATTTTGCAGGGGCTGCACTCATCTTTCTGGGATCAATTGCGATGGTGTTTGTGAGCGGTAGGTGCTTACATCTTCGTCACGTAGGTTCTGAAGCTCTCCTTGGCAGCCTTCATTTTGCACAACGATTTGCTGGTCATCATCTTTGCTATCGTCTCTTACGTCGCGTACATATGGCAAGTGTTCTGCTGCAGACTCTGTGGACGTGCTAAGACTCAGCTAACAGGTACGCACTGAGCTATATACCGTACGCAAGGGGCATGGCAAGCAAGATAGTGCATTCGATCGTGTAGTTCAGTGCACTATGTATGTACACTGGCATGACATGCCCCGCTGCGGATGTGGAGGATGATTACTACTCCTGACGGATTTCGGGCCACTACGACAGCGTACCGAGCATCAAACAAAGATACACAGCTCATGCGCCCTCGGCCGGCCCGACTTGACAACTTGGGGGCAACGGCGCCGTTCTGCTAACCAAAATTCACTATTCAATTAGCAAGGAACCGATCGCGCTTGCGAGCCCGCGATTGACCTCGTGTCGCGATTCACGACAAATGTGCACTATCATGGAGATCTCTTTCTCGCTTCTCCAGTCGGAGCAGATCGTCTGACGTCTCCCCATGTTCGCTTCTTAGCTCGCGTAGATCTCTCTGATATGATTCGAACCACTATGTCCTTGACCTGACACTGTCTGTCTTCAACATTGCCCGAATGACCACTCGAGCTAGACAGCATACGCAGGAGGAGCTAGATGAGCTACATCGCTTCAACATCCTTGTGCCATTCTATCTGTGGATTGCGCTCGTCGGCATCCTTGTCTTGGCATCCTTCAAGCAGCTCGCGACTCATCTGATAGCGAGCTCAAGATATCGCTACAGTAAGCGTGTGCTCCGACTCAAAGCTGGTCTGCCCTCTTCCCATCGAGGTTCCGTTCAGACTGTAGCCGAAAAGGATGCAACGCGAGGCATCAAAGCCGCAGAGGGCGCCACGCCGGTGAGTCCAGCCGACGAAGGCCTGGATGTGCGCGGCTACTTGCCACATCTAGCAAAGGCAACATTGGCAATCTGGCGCAAGTATGCCACTCGCAAACACTGGCTTGCGACACAGCTCCATCTTCAAAGCACGGGACAGCTGCTTCTGATCGTCGCCTACATTGGACTCAACGTCGGTCTCGTGCTCGGAGGCGCAAAGGGCGACATAGATTGGCGGTCACATCATGCTGCTCGTCTCGCGAATGCCAACTTGCCGCTTGTGATTGGTTTGGCGAGCAAGAACAACGTCCTCGCTTATTTGACGGGCTTTTCATATCATGTCTTGAATGCGATCCACCGCTGGTCCGCCAGACTCGTGATCATACTCAGTCTGATTCATATCGGAGGTCGATCGTACGTCAACGTTCCGAGGGTCGCGCCAACCGGTCCTGGACAGGCTTATATCGTCTGGGGGATCGTCGCTACCCTTCTCCTTGCAATTCTGCACTTTACATCATTCCACCCTGTTCGCAACCGATTCTACCAAACGTTCATCATCTCGCATGTCCTGTTGTTTGTCTTCTTCTTTATCGCTCTCGCTATCCACCGTCCGCAAACTGCACCATTCCTTTACGCCGGACTCGGCATCTGTAAGTCGCTTCAGGTTCCGACTGAAATAAGCTAATATGTCTATAGACGTTGTTGATCGAGTCGTGCGTACAGGCCGCATAATCTACTACCACTATTTCAAGCCGACTCGCGAGAAAATCAACGCATGGGTCAAAGTCTTGCCTGGCGATACGATGCGGGTCACATTGCGCACACGGATGCGTTGGCGCGCGGGTCAGCATGTATATCTGCATGTGCCGGGTAAGCCCTACAGGAAGACCGTGAACGCTTGCTGACGAGTGTCCGAGGTAGACATCAGCGTGGGCGGGCATCCTTTCAGCATCAGCTCCATAGATCACGAGCTGGGCATGCCGTTCCGACCTCACGACCAAGCGGAAAGTACTCAACGCCTGCTCATCCGTGTTAGGGAGGGTATGACTGGTCGATTGCGTGACTTTGCACTCGCGCACAAGGAGGGCCACTTGGAAGCCAACAGCTCCCTGGGCGTGCCGATTGGTCGAGCTTGGATCGAGGGACCCATGGGCGCTCTGCCGCCGTTTCGCGATCACCAGACCGTCTGCCTGGTATGTCTGCTGCTCATCCGACGCATGCGAGGACTCATCGGATATGCCAGGTTGCGGGCGGGTCGGGCATCACTTTCATCACGCCTATACTGTGTGATCTGGTAAGCCGAGCGCTGGCAAATATGCGAGCAGGCTATGCATCTACAACTGCGACGACGCTCGTCAAAGTGCACTGGAACGTGCGCTCATTGTGTAAGTGTACGTCTCATCCGGCTTGCAATCATCTGACCAGCGCGAAAACGCAGCTCATATCGAATGGATTGCGGACACGCTACGCGAATGCATCGCGCTCTCGCCGCCTGGCTTCCTCGAGTTTACTATTCACTGCTCGCAGATCAAGGAGACAACAGCACACTATCTCACCAGCGAGGATGACGCACGGCCTGTCAGTCTGCTCGTACAGCCCGGGCGTCCGAATTACGAGGTCATACTGGAAGATGTCATCAATTTGACCGATCGATCGGACTGGGTCGCTTGCGGTACTTGCGGACCCTCGCCCATGTCCGAGGCCGTCGCTCGTGCGGTACAGAAGAGCATACAGCCTCGAGCGGTCATGCGGGGCGAGAATCGCAGACTTGTCACGTTCTTCCGGGAAGAATTTGGATACTGATTTTGCATACCTATCACATAACGCGAGAAGCAAGGCTGTTGTACGAGATATACAATGCTACACAAATTTCACACATATGCTGGTCGATCCAAACCGTACTTCACAGCAGATTGCGCAGTTGCAGCGCCTGCTCCGCTGTCACCCTGGCAGGCATTTGTAGGTCGACTTTGACGACCATGTCGCCTTTGCCTTTTCCGCTGCCTTTGCGTGTGATCGGGAACCCTTTGCCGGGCACTCTGATTTCCTGGCCTGGTTTCAAAGGAATGCCGCCCGTTTGCGGATTTGGGAAGGGCACGTTGAATGTGATGACTTCGCCGGAGAGATGCTTGACGCTCCGTTTCTTCTCCGTTGTTCCTGCCAAGGCGTCCGCAAGGGGTACAGGTAGTGGGTAGACGAGGTCGTCGCCATCGCGCTTGAACGTCGGATGGGGTCGCTCTTCGACGACGAAGACGATGTCTTGAGAGGTCGTGCCTCGAGAAGTCCTTTCCTCGTTGCCTGCCCCATTGAAGCGAATCTTCGTGCCTGCTTTCCAGCCTGGCTTGATGACAATCTCCAGCACTTTCTCTTCTTGTGCGCCGGAAAGCGTCTTCCTGCTAATCTTGAGCCTGCCACGAGAAGTCAGCTTGAGCATGACTGCACGCGCAGAGTGACTCACTTTTTGGTGGTGCCTGTGTATAATGATTCGAGGTCGACAGGTAGCGGTCGAGTGATTTCCGGCGCCTTGATGGGTTCTGGCGTCCCCCTGCCGTTGGGCATCCCACCTGGCATGCCTGATGCTCCGCCTCCAAACATGCCAGCCATGTCGTCGTCGACGTCCATGGGGTGCATGCCGCTCTGCGCTCTCCTTGGCTGTCCGCCGGCGAAGGAAGCAAAAGGGTTGCCTCCTCCCCCACCTGCGCCTCCGAATGCGCTACCGAACATCTGTTCGAAGATTGTCGTGGGATCGCTTGGCTGGAAACCGCCTGGACCGCCGCTACTCGAGAACGAGAAGCCTGGACCGCCTGCGCCTCCGCCAAAGGATGCAAATGGGTTGCCCCCGCCTCCGCCTGGCATACCGCCAAAGCCAGAGGCTGAAGCACCGGGAGGGGGCCGGCCCTTGAGGCCTTCCTCGCCCACTTGGTCGTAAATTGCACGCTTGTTCGAGTCGGACAGCACTTCATACGCTTCTGAGATCTCCTGCTCGGGCCGCCGTGTCAGCGCTGACTGTGACGCAAGATGACTCTGCTGACCTTGAACTTCTTCCCTGCCGCTTCTTCTTTGCCCGCATTCCTGTCGGGGTGCCACTTCATCGCTGCCCCGGACTGTCAGCATGGTGTCAATTCGCTCATGGCACCGTGCACGCACCCATCTTCTTGTAGGCCTTCTTGAGCTCATCGTCGGTGGCAGTCTTGTCGACGCCGAGTGACTTGTAGTAGTCCTTGCCCATGCTTGCCCGCTCCCTGCCAGCTGATCTCGTCTTTATCGATTATCGCCCGTCGCGACAACGAAACTTCGAGAAAGTGCGAGTGCCACCGAGCGACCGACGGCTTGGCTTGGCTTGGCCTGGGTTGCGAGGATGTCGTGGATCTGGGCGGATGTCAAGTCTCTTCTGCCGCTACAAGAGCACGAGGTTGTCCGAGGCTTCCCGACGGCAGGCAATGCTGCCCCTCAGACAGATGACCTGAGGAGCACATCGTCAAATTCGCGCATCATCGCTTTCCAAAGGCATCTCGGCAAGTCTGCCTCCCGCTATCTGACTCCCTACGCTCATAGCAGGGGCTAGGATGTCCCTTCTGCGAGAAGACGGTGCGACAGATGATCAGGGCTGCCCCCAAGAAAGAGAAGGTCGAGTTCATTATCGTCTCGCACGCGACGCAGCAAGAATCCGACGAATGGCTTACGGATTTGCTTCATCGTATGCCCCATGAACGTCCGAGCAATGTTCGCATCGTGGCCGATCCGGAAAGAAGGCTGTATGCCAAGTGGGGCGTCGGCCAACTCGGCTGGGCTGCCCTTTTCAACATGGACACGCTCTCCAAAGTGTCCCAGCTAGCCAAAGAAGGCATCAAGAATACTTACACACATGGTGTATGCTTCACCCTTGTTCGGCTTCGACGGCGCTGACGGGCAAGGCAGAATCGATGGCAGAACCACGGCACGTTTGCAGTCGACCCCAAAGGCACGATCACATGGAGCCATCTTGGCAAGGATGCAGGCGATATGTCAGACATTGGTGCCGCCATCGCTTCTCTATCGTAACCAGTGCACCTTTGCAAGCACTGCTGTTGACCACGACCGTGCGCTCGGATGCACCTTGGTGTTAAGTTGTGCTCCGCGTTGGCCCTTCGGGCAACGCTAGCAGTGACGTCGATGCTGTAGCTCCGCTCGTACTGCTGCAATCTCCTTCCTGGTAGCACGTCACTATCGCGCCCTTGACCGAGCAGGCGGCTCTGGGAACCAGCCAAAGCGAGCAAGACTGACGCGACCGCCTTCTTGCATACCGGCCAAACCGAATGCATCAGGTCCGTAGCCAGGCTCGTCCGCCGGTCCTGCAGCATTGCGGACGACGACGCCTTCCGCCCTGAGCATGACTGCTTGCCGCTCGAGCGAGGCAGAGTTGCCGCGGGGTGATATGACACCAGAGGAAGAGATGATGCGATGCCAAGGTACGAAATCTGGATTCGCTATGCGATGCTGACGATGAAAGTCTTCAAACTCGGCTTCCCCTGGTCCTGTCTCTTGCCCGCTTTCTGAACCGTGCCTTTCTTCAATCAGTTCGCCGTCTATGAAAGGTCTGGCCAGGCGGGACGGCAGATGCTTGAGCGCTTGGCCGACCAGACGCGAGTTCTGCGGCCTGCCCATGAGCTGCTCCCTGTCACTACTCGCTCGCCAAAGAACCTTCTGAGAAGCTTACCTGTCCTATTTGTGAGCTAGCACACTCTCGAGCGCTCCCAACCTGCCTTTGCAATGTGACCGTATGTACAGACTCGGCCCTCAGGTACCGTCCGGATGAGTCGATAGGCCTCCCTGAAGAAGTCATGCGTCACGTCGTCCGATTCTGGTCGGCCTTGCATCGCCGGACTGGCGCTTCTGCGGACATCAGGACGTCTGCCCTGTCGAGACATCTTGGCCTTCCACGTATGAGACAAGGCTGCGTTGCCAACGAAACGCGTTAGATCGCGCCGTTCGTGCCACTGTGATATACATTTACAGATGCGGCCGAAACATCAATCAGTCGAGGCGCACTCAGAGGCACAATTTCGTGATAAGCCAGTCATAGGCAAAAAGTTGGCAAAAAGATGCCTGACCGCAGAGTCGAACTGCGTGCAAGGGATTGAAGAAAGCTTTTCGAGATCTTAAAAGATTGCTATGAGACCCTTATGTTACCGGTACACCAGTCAGGCGCGACTGACCTCGCCGTCCTGAAGCTATATATCCTCAAAACGATGATCGATTCCGCAAATAATGACCTGGACCCAGCCTTGCGGAGGCTCCCGTAAACCGCCGGTTGCCTTTTCCGTCGAATTGAAGACGCAAGAGATTCGCACTCGCAATGCAAGGAGATCTCCTTTTTGAGCCACACCCGATCGCATGGACTGCCGAGCGCTTGCCACCAGGTCGTCTGGCCGATGTCATACCTTGCAACCGGTCTGCAAAGTGGCCTCTTTGGCAAGACAGTCCAGCAGCACGACACGACACCCTGCGCCGGTCGCATGGGAAGAGAAAGTGACCATTGATACCCCTTGGCTTGGTTCAACCACACAAAGTAGTCGGGTCGCCATCTTTGCTGTAAGAATATCGATATCAGTCGCTTTGTGGTCTCAGCCTGGCAACTGCGCTGGTCTGAATCTTCAATCTGCATCGACTGTACCGGTACAGCCTTATTAGATCTTTATCTCCGCGAGCGACCCCTCGACCCATATCAATCCAGACAAAGCCAGACATGTCAGCTCTGAATCATCATCAAGTAGCGCTCGACGCTCTCAACGGCAGACGATCAAGCATGACCGGCGGGCACCTCTTGCCTTCGCCGCCTGATTCGCCTGCTCGATGCTCGGACGAACTGGCCGACGACTCTATTGAGGCGATGTCGACACCACTAAAGCATCAAAGTTCCGGCTTTGACTGCTCAGAGATATATCAAAGAGACGATGGCGATAGTGAGCTTACGGAAGAGATGAGGCAGGCCCTTTCGGACCGTGATGCTCGTCGGGCTATCAAGCATCGTCGACATCGTCAAGCAGTTGTCGTCAGTTCGCCGCCCCTCCAGCCCTGGAACGACGAGCCGGTCGCTTCGGCTTGCCCGTGGTCGAAGACGGACGACAATGTGCTGCCAGGAACTGGTCAGACAGCGACGGTAGCACCCTTCAAGAGCGAGTCCACGTCGACGTTTATCAACTCGCGCGGTGTCGGTCTCGGCCTGACATTCACTTCCTCGTCGACCGTGCAGAGCTGGACTGATCGCTCAGAGGAAGAAGAGTCAAGCTGTCCACCTGCATTCTTTCCGAACCAGCGCGTCTCCTTCTCGCCCGTTCTGCAAGTACGGGAGCGGCTCGGTCTTCCGATAGCCAGCAGCGAGGCCGCCGCTGAATCGGCTCCGCGTGAGGAGGTTAGCAAGATGATTCTCGGCGTTACCGGTGTCGTCGAAGCATTAGAGCCCTGTGCCACCACGTGAGTGTGCTATCCTCACGTGTCCAAAAATCTGACGTAGATAACAGGGGTGTTTCGCGAGTGACGAACGCGAGAGTTGTCGCAGACTTTACCACCGACGTAAGCGGGGGTTTGGCCATATGGCAACGTGACGCGGCTGCTGTCCTCTCGGCCCGTCAGAAGCAGAAGCAACGCGAGCAAGCCGATGCGCGACGCCGTGCAGTCCTAGCAGACGAGCCAGAAGCAAGCGATATTGTTCGCGAGCCATCTCGGTCGGATATTGCCTCGGCAAGGGCACTTGACGATGGCAGCCTGCCGAGCGGTAAGTATGTGCTGCCGCTTTCGATGCGCATCCCGGATCACAACAGACTGTGAGTATTGCCCCCATCGAAGACAGCAATGGCTGACAGAAACGAACAGACCGCCTTCATTCGAATCTGCGCACTTTCGGCTGCGGTACTCAATGTCAATTGCGCTCATCTCGAACCGGAAACAGAACAACAAGCCTCGCGTGATCAAGCAGTACGACATTCCATTTCATGTGCTGCCAAGTACATCCCCTAGTGGTCCGCCCTGCATTATGCCCACCCGCTTCGCAGAATCAGTCGGCGAATCTCGTCATATCGGTATCTTATCGACTCTGTCATCTGCGTTTCGCGGCATGGCACTGTCGCCCCGACTGAATTCGACCGAAACGAGCGAGGCACATATCAACACGGAGACGTCTACGCCTGCTAGAGCAGCCGGAGCCGCATCGCATCATACGATCATTCCCTACTTGCCCACGTCGTCCTTCTCCCCTTCAGCACAAGCGTCTGTGCCGCTCTCCTTGCGCATCGACTCAAGTACGGCCGCGACCGGTCAGGACCTCTATATTCGTGCTTCAATCGTCAAGCGTATCTATGTGCGAGACTCGTCAAAATCGCCAGACGACGAGATAAGACACTGGGCAGACCATATCGATGTGACGTCAGCACAGATGGAGGATCACATCCTGAGCCGATGTCTCAAGTCGGAAGAGACGCTTGTCTCTCGCTTTGGTGTCATCCCGTGGCACCTTCGCGAGCACCAGTCTGCTCAGATCACGATCGAAGGTCTTGCGCTCCCTCTGACGCGAGAGGATAGCAATTCGAGCTGGACTCATGGCTATTCGACCGCGCTCAGCTTACGACCGGAAGCAATGCGCAATACCAATGGCTCCGATGATACCACGACCTGGTTTGCGCCATCGTTACGCAACCCACAGCTGAACAACAAAACTTGCGCTCGCCACTTGTTTTGCGCCAGTCGCTTCTTCGTCTGCATCGAAGTCGGCTTCGCTCACGATTTGACACGTACGCTCGAGCAACTCAACATTCCAGTGGCAAAAGCTGGCCGGTTCAGCAAGCCAGTGTTTGACGACTGCAATTCTGTATACAACCGGCCGTTCGGAGCAGCCTTACCTCGCAGATCATCACTCGAGACGATGCTGTCCAGCTCGCTCGATCTTGACCTTTCCGGCCGCCTGCTGTCCTCTCAATCGAGTCTACCTAGGAGATCACTCAGTCAGACAGCAGCCGCCTCAGGTCCAGTAGAGGCCGAGCTTCTACACAAGCCTCGCTTGCCACTGGTTCTACCAGGTTTGAAGCACCTCGAAGTCGGCATTTCTGTTGGCTCAGTTGCTGAACCGAGCCTCAACTGCTTCGAAGTCTTGCCCCGAAGACAGACATACGATCCTGCGCTGGGCTCGCAGGACGAGTCTGGCGTCTCTGCTGCCGACATCTCACCCAGTGCGTCAGTCCAGGAGTCCGATAAGGCCTGGATCTGCGCGCCGCCGCCTTATATACAGGCCTTGCGCAGTGCGCCGGCCTACCTGAGCGCATAATCGATGTCATTGCATGCACTGCCTTTGCTACTTGCTCTGTCACACCGGACGCCTGAGGCGCTTGAATTGCCTGAGAGCTCTTTTCGTCAGACGCGCCATTTTTCGCGCGTCTCTTCAAGGATCGCGCAGGTCGACAGCAGGCAGGTTAAGAGCGGTTCGGCACAAGCCTCGAGAGGCCGCTACGCGTCAACGGTCTGCTCATCGTCAGAGCCAGAGTTCGCGAGCGGGCGCCTAGGGCCGCAGCCAGCCAGCCTCGGGAGTGCACTCGATTCGGAACGCGCCTATCTCAAGGGAGACGAGGCCATCTCGCGCCCTGCAAGGCCAGATAACCAAGGAGGACATTCGCGAACAACGGCAAAACTGGGCGCACGCGCTACTCTGACCAACTGAGCTGTCAAGAGCCAGCTGGAAGCGCTCGCGCAAGACATGACAGCAGGCGCGATCGAGACGACGAGCATTTCTTCTTCGTCCTCTCATCAGAGCCTTGTCAGTCGTGTCGATCGGACATCGCGCGCAAGCAGTGCCCAAACAAGTCCACGAGAGCCGAGTCAGCAGAACGAGAGCAAACTCGCAATGGATGCAAGCTCTCGAGATTCGGACGAAGCCCGGCGGCAACAGCATGAGCAAGCCGTACAGCGTATCCTCAAAACCGTCAGGGAAGCCAAAGTATGTCCTGTTTCGAAAGCTCAGATCGCTGAGCTGACTGGCTACGCGCAACAGGTCGCACGGAAATTTAGGTCGCGACTAGCGTTGGCCTGCTATAAAACCTCACGCGGCTGGCAAGATCTCAAGCTCGAAGCTATCGAGCCACAGGTAGAGAAAGAGCTTGCAGATAAGAAGAAGAGGGCACGCGATGAAGCAAATGCCGCTGAGGTGCTTTCGCAAAGCAACAAACGACAAGCGGTCGCGTCTACCTCGAAGCTCGCCGGTCCGAGCACGCACGCGCCCAATGGCTCGCCGTACCTTGATGTCAGAGTCCCTCGCTCTAGACAACTCAGTGCTCGCACGAACGACTCAGCCATGAGGAGCAGCACCGTGCATGAGCCGGCAGGCGACAATGCGAGTCCATATCCTCCGCAGATGTCACTGTACGATACCCTAATTTCGCCCTCGATCAATGACCTGTACGGCTACTTCTCGCCTGCTCAGCAATCACCCGCGACTTTCGAGCCTGCTGCTAGTCATCGAAGATTATCGCCCCTGACCACGTCCGTCGCGCTTAATAATCATATTCGGCCAGGTCAGCCAAATGGTCTGAACACTCGGAGGAGCAACTCGAGCGAACGCGATGCACCGTACAGTAGTGGTGATAGACATGATTCACGAAAGCCGCAAAGCCCGAAAAAGCTTGGGCGACCGCACGACCGAGAGCCTGGCAAGCCGATTCTGTCTACTTCCGATCCGAGCTTCGCATCTTCAGCGCACGAGTTCGTCGATGCTGCCACTGCCCTGACCAGCTTCAGTCGAAGCCCGGTCGAACAATCCGCAGTCGCGCCGACGTCGAAGCTTGATGAAGCGCGACATCATCCTTCACCCCTCAGGACCAATATGTCCTTTTCGGGCGAGGTCACAACCACGCCCTCAAGGCAGAGCATACGGCCCGTGGATGCGCGCTCTTCACATGCTGAAGGCGATCGTGAAAGTGCCGCAGAGCTTATGCTTTTCCTTGCTGCGTCGCCAAGTCCCGCAACGCATCGCCGGACAGAAGATATGATTCCTCGGCCACGCGATGGCATAGGCAAGCAGCTCTTCACAGAGGGTCCAGCGCCGGCTTCTCCGGTCCCAGCCGGTAGTTACTCGCAAGCACGAAGTCTAGCGAGCGGCTTTAATTAGCAGCTTGATCCCATCGGAGTTCCGCTTCGAACCTCGCAATCGCGCAATACTGTATCATAGTTTCCGCGCATTACTGTATCATAGTTGATGTTTGAATATATGGAATCGTATGTGATGAGACAATATCGTTGAGCACGCAGTGAAGCTCAAGTAGTCTATGAAATGTCATTGCAATTTTGCTGCCCGTCATTTTCACGCGTACAAGTCTTCCTCGGCTTCGTCTTGACCGAACGCAGCACCACCCGCCGGTGCGCCTGCTGCGGCTGCTTCTGCTGCATCTGGGAAGCGGAAGGACGAGCCGCCGAAGGAGCGAGCTTGTTGCAAGGTCTGCTGGAACATCTGGTAGCGTCGGATATCGCTGTCCGAAACTGAGCGTCTTGCGCCCTTCATCGCCTCTTCAAAGTGTACGCGAGTGATCTCAGGAACTGGGTCTTCTTCGACTTCTGGCTCGGCATCTTCCATCTTGATCTCTTGCTCGCCCTCAGCACCTTCGCCAGCAGCGGCTGCCTTTTCGTCGGCAGCGCGTTGCCGTCTAATGTCATTCTCGATCGACTCGCGAATGGCTAACTTGGCAGCGCGCTGGCAGATCTCAGCAAGATCGGCACCCGAGAAGCCATGCGTGCTCTTCGCCAAAAAGTCGAGATCCACATCTGGCGCAATGGGTGAACGCTTGAGGGTTGCTTTCAAGATGGACAAACGAGCGGGCTGATCCGGCAGATCGATGTAGATGAGCTGATCGAGACGACCAGGACGCATGAGCGCAGAGTCGATCTGATCCGGTCTGTTCGTCGCACCGATGACAAAGACATTCTTCTTTGCACCTACACCGTCGAGTTCGGTCAGGATCTGGTTGACTACACGATCGCCTGCGCCGCCACCGTCGCCAGCCGATGCGCCTCGTGCCTTTGCGATCGAATCGAGCTCGTCGAAGAAGAGTACACAGGGTGCGGCAGCGCGTGCCTTGTCAAATATATCGCGCACTGCAGCTTCTGACTCTCCGAACCACATGGACAAGAGCTCAGGCTGTACGGATACGTTAGCACGCATGCAAGTAGCGTTTAGAAAAGAAGACGTACACCCTTGACCGAGATGAAATTGGCTTGACACTCGTTCGCGATAGCCTTTGCGAGCAGGGTCTTACCTGTACCAGGCGGGCCGTAGAAGAGGACACCCTTGCTGGGCGACATGCCGTACTTGAGGAATTTCTCTGGGTGCTCCACAGGGTATTGTACGGTCTCTTGCAATTCGATCTTGACCTTTTCGAGACCGCCAATGTCGTCCCAAGTGACATTGGGTACTTCGACGACTGTCTCGCGAAGAGCAGACGGATTGGAGACGCCGAGCGCGAAGCGAAAGTTGTCCATGGTAACGCCGAGCGAATCGAGCACCTCTGCATCGATTGTGTCTTCGTCAAGGTCGATGAGGTCCATCTTTTCACGGATCTGCTGCATGGCTGCCTCTGAGCATAGCGAGGCGACATCTGAGCCGACGTAGCCGTGCGTCTCGGACGCAATCTTTTCGAGGTCGACATCGTCAGTGAGCTTCATGTTCTTGGTATGGATGCGCAGGATCTCGAGTCGGCCGGTCGCATCAGGGATGCCAATATCGACTTCACGATCGAAACGACCGAAGCGTCGAAGTGCGGGGTCTATCGAGTTGGGCCTGTTCGTTGCAGCCATGACGACAATGTTGGAGCGAGCCTTGAGGCCATCCATGAGCGTCAGTAGCTGAGAGACAACACGTCGTTCGACTTCGCCATTCGTCTTGTCACGCTTTGGCGCGATCGAGTCGATCTCGTCGATGAAGATGATAGCAGGTGCGTTCTTCTCGGCCTCTTCGAATGCTTTGCGGAGGTTGGATTCGGATTCTCCGGCCATCTTGGACATGATCTCTGGTCCGTTGATGAGGAAGAAGAATGCGCCCGTCTCGTTGGCGACAGCACGCGCCATGAGCTGCAAGGTCGAGATGAGCCCAGGTACAAGGCATGATCAGCAGATGACCCACTGTCTTGCCCGTACCGGGAGGGCCGAACATGAGAATGCCTCGAGGCGGCTTGATACCGATCGACTTGAACAGCTGCGGGTGGCGGAGGGGTAGCTCGACGAGCTCTCTAATCTGGGCCATCTGTTTCCGGCAGCCACCGATATCATCGTAACCTACGTCAGCCAGGTTGGCCTCTTCATCTTCGCGCTTGATAGGTTCTCCCTCTGTAGACAAGAGCTATAGTTGAGCGCATGCTTACGCGCAATAGACGGGTAGACCGACCAGTATGAATGACAGTGTCCTGGGCGACAATGCAGTATTCTGCAGGATCTGTTTCGACGACCTTAAACTCGACTGAGCGGGAAGCACCCTTAGCGAGGAAAGTATCGCCCTTGCGAACGGGACGATAGGCTTCGAGGAAGTAAGGCTTGAGGAAGACCTCGAACAGATTGCCGGTGAGGCCTGCGAGCGGGTAGGCACGTCAGCACAAAGATTGATGCCATCGGAGCCGACAGACCTTCGACAGAGTCATCAAAAGGCAAGACGTGGATGCGCTTGCCATACTTGATGTCGGAGCAGGCGTGGACATTGGCGACATCTCCAAGCTTGACGCGCAGATTATGCCGTGCGACTGGTAGCGAGAGCAGAAGGTCAGCAGACAAAGACACGGCAGTAGACAGAGCGGTACGTACCTTTGTTCATCTGAATCTTGCCTTCGTCGACCTCCTCTGAGGAGAGGACGATGAGGACGGTGTCCTTGCGCTTCTTGCCCCTGACGATGATCGTGTCTCCTCTGAAGAGCGAGAGCGTCTCCATCGTGTTGGGATGGATCGTGGCAACAGAGTTGTCATCGGATGTCGCTTCATCGACGACAAGGCGGTTTGGGCTGCGCGTGGAGTTGTGCCATCCAACACAAGACGAGCGTTCAGGCACATCGTGGATCGGTCAGAGCGACGTGACAAGGTCGATAAGAGAGGCGGAGGAAAAGGCGGGAGACGGTCAGCAAGATGGTATGACGATGAAAGGGAGGCGTGTGCGTACCTTTTCTTGGGTCTCAGGATAGATGTAGCGAGCTCATCGGCCTCCTTGGTGGTAGGAGGTGCCTTGGAAGGATCGTTCGACATGATGACGATCTGCCGCTAGACGCGAGCTGGCTGTACTGTCGAGTCGAGGAGTGGCGAGCTTGGCCTGAGATGTAGCCGATGATCGAGCTAAGCTACGTGCTCCGCTCTGCTGACTTGATGCTGGTCCGTTCACCTGACTCGGCCTATCTTCGCCGGACGGTCTGTGCCTTGTAGATGACCGAGCTGCTTGGTGATGCAGGCGATGATGCGAGCGTCGTCAGTTGCGCGTCTGAGTCCGCTGACACGTCATCACCGTTCGCGACCTTCTCGAAGCTGGCAGCGCTCAGATCTGACGAGCTCCTTGCGACTGACGTGGTCCCCCTACAGCTGCATGCTCGGCAGCATCCTGCGAGCTTCACTAGCCGGCGGTCATCTGTGTCAGCGTGCAAGCTTGGGCGCGACATCGATCATACGTACAATGACGAGCCCGACAAATCAGTTGGCGACGCCCGATGATGTGTGGTCGTACTGGTTCGTGCGGGATAACCACCTGCAGACCTTCTTCGGCCGACCGGACGGCATAGACGATGACATCCGAGCTCGCTTCTCATCCACTCTCGAGGCCATCAAGCGAGATGAATCACTACGAGCCCGATGGCAGACTACCCCACGTGATACGCTCTCACTCATCGTCACACTTGACCAGTTCAGTCGCAACATGTACAGAGGCACAAGCACAGCATTCGAGGGTGACGCGCTCTGTCGGGATATCGTTCGAGCAGGCCTGGCGCGCAAAGTCGACAAAGAGCTCAGCAGGGTCGAGCGCATGTTCGTCTATCTACCCATCATGCACCACGAAGACCTAGAAAGCCAGGAAGACATTGTTCGACTGAGTGAGCAGCTCGCTAAAGATAAGCCTGACGAGAAAGACGAGAGCTTCATCCAACAGTCTGGCTTTCCGGCGTCAGAAGTACAGACTACCTTGGAGCAAGCTGCGCATTACGCAAAGCTACATCGAGACGTCATACGTCGCTTTGGACGCTATCCGGGGCGCAATGAAGCTCTCGGTCGGACATCTACAGAGGAAGAGCTGCACGCGCTCGCTAACGAGAAAGTCGCTTTCTAGGCAGGATCAGTGTCACAGTCAGAGCGCCGCAGTCTCTTCTTGTGCGCTGCATCAGGCCACGATAGCACAATCTAGACTTCTGCGGCGAGCATCGTCGGGCATGGCTATATCGACACCCATTGGCGACTCAGCTTGGCAACTCAAATGCGTCTCATCGACCCTTCGACCCGTAGATCTGCACTACTCGGCAGGCAGGCGCACTGTTGCAGGGTGGCCAGCCTCCCTGGCTAACCTGGCTGGGCTCTCTCTGCTGGCAGAAGGCACTCTGTCTGGGGACGTCTGAGTGCGTCCTGCTGCAAGATAGCTGTGGGGACTGCCCAGGGCAGCAAGCTTGCCAGCAGGTGCTCGGTGCATGATGCATCCCTCTGTGTTCAATAGAATGCATACGTCCTGTGTGACATGACAAGCAGCTGGCTGGCTGGCTGATCGTGACTGATCGTAGTGCCCCGGAGATCGGAGAGGAGGTCACTACCCCGCGACGCACGGAACATATCGGCTCTTCTTTCTGTCGTGTATATAGCTCAGAGCCTGGGCCCCTCCTGTCCACCGGCCACGCGCACCATGACGGCAAGCTCGCACACGCAAGTGACGACAGACTCGAGCGGCGGCGCTATAGCTGTGCCCGCCAGCTCCAAACTCAGTCGCAACCCATCCAACTCGGCTGCGATCCAGCCTGGAGGCAAGACGCTGAAGTACCAGGACAAGCTACCGCATCTGCCCATTCCTCCGCTCGAGGACACATGCAAGCGCTATCTGAGAGCACTGGAAGCGCTTCAGAGCCCCGAAGAACATGCGCAGACGATCAAAGTCGTCGAGGATTTCAAGCGAGCGGGCGGCGAAGGTGAACGGTTGACCAAGCAGCTGCAAGCGTATGCGGAGAAGCGAGCGAGCTACATCGAGGTGAGCAGCAACGCATGTCGCGCTTCGGATGCCGCTCATGCACGCAAGCAGGAATTCTGGGATGATGCTTACTTGTCGCACTCGGATTCTGTCGTCCTCTCTCTCAACCCTTTCTTCATCCTCGAGTGAGCAGCAGCCATAGTGGCAATGTGGACGGGCTGAAGAGACTATCAGGGATGACCCTACACCCTCGAGAGGCTCGCAGCTCATGCGAGCAACCTCTCTCGTCCTTGCCTCGCTCGGCTTCATCCACGATCTACGCACGGGCGAGCTCGAGCCAGACATGTTCAGAGGCACACCCCTTGATATGTACCAGTACACTCGACTCTTTGGCACTTCGCGTATACCCACAAAGTATGCTCTTTCTGCCTTGTTGCGATCAAAAGACTAACAGTGTAGCAGAACGGGCTGCAAAATGCAAGTCGATCCCGAAGCTCGTCACATCGTCGTCATGCGGAGAGGTCAATTCTTCTGGTTCGAAGTGCTCGATTCTCAGCATCGCCCCTGCCTTACCGAACGCGCCCTCTTGCTCAACTTGCAAGCTATCATCGCAGAGGCAGACAAGACGCCGCCCAACCAGGTTGCACAGGGCGCGATCGGCGTCCTGAGCACGGAGAACAGGAAAGTCTGGGCAGATCTTCGCGATACGCTCAGTAGCGACAAGGGCAACAAGTCTTGTCTCGACGTCGTTGATCGTGCACTGTTCATTCTCTGCCTAGACGATGCTCATCCTGACACTGCTTCGGAGATGTGTAACAACATGCTTTGTGGCACTTATAAGCTGGAGAAAGGTGAGCAAAGCCGGCTATCAGGCCCGAGATGCTGACCCAGCTCGCTCCGACAGGCGTCCAAGTTGGCACATGCACCAACCGCTACTACGACAAGGTGCGCGATTTCCTTGGTCTCCTTCAATGACGCTGATTTATCAAGCAGCTGCAAATCATCGTCGCAGCAAACGGTGCGGCTGGTGTCAATTTTGAGCACAGCGGTGTCGACGGGCACTCGGTCTTGCGTTTCGTTGCGGATGTATACCTCGAGTTGATCCTGAGGTGGGCGCTTCGGCACGGTATCAGCATGACGAACTGAGCAAGAGTGCAGATTTGCAAAGTCGATCAACCCCCAAGCAGGCACACTTTTCAAAGCTCAGACATCGCCCTGGGCGGTCGGAGGCGGTAAGAAGCCCACGCCCAATGGCAAGGCGGCCGAGGATGGAGACGAAGAAGAGCATCCTGACACAACGCCCAAGAAGCTCGTCTGGCATCTCACACCCGAGGTCAAGACGGGCGTTCGGTTCGCAGAGACACGGTTGAGCGATCTCATCTGTCAAAACGAGGTCGTCGCCCTCGATTTTGACGGGTACGGCAAGAACTTCATCACTCGACATGGCTTCTCGCCCGACGCTTTCGTTCAGATGGCGTTCCAGGCTGCTTACTTCTCACTTTACGGGCGTACCGAATCAACGTATGAACCTGCAATGACCAAGACCTTCCTTCACGGTCGCACGGAAGCCATTCGAACGGTACAGCCCGAGTCTGTCAAGTTTGTGAAAGCATACTGCTCAGATTCACCAGCTAGAGACAAGATCAATGCCTTGCGCGCCGCATGCAAGACCCATACCGAGCTGACGAAGAAGTGTGCCGCTGGCCAGGGGCAAGATCGCGTGCTGTACGCAATGTACTGCCTCGCTTCGCGCGATCAGGACGGTTCTGGCTCGTCGCATGACTCGACTTCGGACGAAGAGCACCGCAAGCCCCTTCCAGCGCTGTTCCGCGATCCAGGCTATGCGACTCTCAACCACACGACGATCAGCACGAGCAATTGCGGTAATCCCTGCTTGCGTCTTTTCGGTTTCGGTCCCGTTGTGCCAGACGGGTTCGGCATAGGCTATATCATCAAGGACGATGCCGTGTCCATCGTTGCTTCGAGCAAGCATCTACAGACACAACGTTATCTGGACACTTTGCGGGCTTACTTCCTCGATTGCCAACGTCTGATCTTGCAGCTTCATCGCCAAGCGAATGAACGTCCTTCGTATTCTATGGGCAGCGCCGGACACACCAATGGTATCGACACTTCTGCTGACGACGAGGATGAGACGAGCGGGTACGGGTTCTACGATGTGATCGACTACAACGCAGTCAAGAAAGAACAAAAGTTGCGCTACGCGCCTGTGGGCACGCGGCTTCAGCTCAACGAGTACTAAGTCATGTTCATTGTATCGTGTCATTATGCATCTGTTCGCTCGGGTACAATACATACAGAAGCGAGTCCTAGTCAGCTCAGCCACGACGCAATTCGGCCTTGTTGGCTGCAATCTTGCGTTTGATATCACGGTATTTTGCTCCAGTAGATTTTGATCCGGCGTCCTGGCGTGCTCTCACATCCGGTGCAGTCTGAGGAGCAATGCTGTAGAATGAGTCGAACTCTGTGGGTACTCGCCCTTTTCGAACTTTCTGTGATGCCAATTTGATTGGTCTAGCTTGTTGCGCAGCCTCGACATTGCGATGTAGTTGAGCAGACGAGCGAATGATGGGCCTCATCCATCTGTTGACCAGCTTTTGCGCTTTCCTCCGCACGTCGAGCGGCACGCGAGGGCACTTGGAGTAGAACAGGACGATCTTGCCCAGCTCCGATTCTTTCAGGTGTTCAGTCTCGATGGGCAGCCGCCAGATGATGTCGAAGAGGGCCCGCATGACGTTGAGGGTGGGCAATGATTTGTCGCCCGGCAATGGCTCGAGCCACTTTGTGAAGGCGTAGAGATTGGCATCGAAGAATGCTGCCTCGAGATAAGTCCTGCTGAGCAGTCAGCTCATACACTTCACCAGGATCGAAAGAGCGTTCTTTGCGTAGGTCTGCGTGACGCGGGGCAGCATGGCTAGACGAGCAGAGGCAATTCGACCGGCAATGTTGTCGTCGGCATCTTGCTGTGCGGCGAGGAGCATGTCTTGACGTAGATTGAGCACGAGCTCGCCGCCTTCCTCGTCGAGATCCTCGTCGTCCTTTGCTCTGCGTTTATTGGTGATCTTCTTGCTGCCTGCCTTGATGATTGCATCCAAACGTTCCTGAATCTCTCGTTGTCGTCCTGGACCTGCATTTCAGCCTTGCAACACACGACCGGCGAGCTACTTACGTTGCTCGTCGGTCAGGGGCATCTCGTCCTCTACCACGACCTCTGTCGCTTTCCTGCAGTCGTGCGACGCATCAGCTCGCGTATCGTACATCATCAGCATGAGCCTACTTTGACTTTCGCTTCTTCTTTGGCTTGGCTGTAGCTGGTCCAGGCAGCGAACCTGAGCGCTCCCTGCTCTCAGGCGTGCCAACCGAGCCGCTGCGAGCCTCGCCTCTCTTCTTCTTGAACGAGGGCAGTCTTGGCGTCCCATCAGGATTAAGCTTGACTTTCTTGGCCTTCTTCACTTTGGGCGCTTTTTTGGCCTTCGCCGCTCCGTCCTCCATGTACTCATCTGCCTGACCTTCTGCCTCGCTATCAGACGACGACTCCGAGACGAAGCCGCCAGCTAAGTCGGGATCATCCTCCGAGTCTGCTGCAGCTGAAGCAGAGGCAGAAGCTGAACGCTTGGCAGGCACGAGCCTCGAGAGACCTGCGGTAGGCTCCTCATCGTCTGTATCTGCTACTGAGGACAGCTCTGAGACGTCGCCATCGCCGAAGATGTCGGTCGTGCCAAAGACGTTCGACGGATTCGCCAGCGCAGCACCGGGCGCGCTGACCTCTGCCGGATTCAGCGACTGAGAGCGTGACATGGGTCAGTCCTGGGCTGAAAGTGTTGTTTGTCGGGCGCTTACCATGGCCGTCAAGTTGAGCGCTGTCCGTGATTTGGAGGGTGTCACGGGTCTATTTGATATATCACGCGGCTATTCGAAACATATGACAGGCTCGACGCTGCAGACGGTCGGCCAGCGAACTCGCTCGTTGCTATCGACAGGCGAGTGCAAGCCATTGCACGCTCTCAACGTGCTGATACATCAACGTTTTACAGGTCTTGACAGTAGCAATGGCGTTTTTCGGACTACGAAGCTGGCCAACGCCTGTTCTGAAGCCAATGGCGCCCTTCATCGTCGCCGGCGGTATTACGCTGTATGTCATCGCAGGCCTGCAAACAAGCGTACGCGCTCTCTTACACAAGCGCTTTTTCGATGGCTGATGTGCCAACGCTGTACAGATGCTCAAATCGCCTACATATGCGAATGACCCGAGAAATCCTTATGGTGGGCAGACCCCGTCCCTCGACCTGAATGGGCTGACCCGTGCGAATCAATAGCAAAGGGTGTCAAACCATCTCACTAGAGCTCGGACCGGCAGCGAGGGGAAGCATGTCCAGCTATAAGCGTTTGCATTACCTTTGCGCGCGTGCTCGCTCGTGGTGCCGGGCTTTGGTCAACAATGTGCGCTGCAATGATGCTCTACAGAACACGGCGGTAGAACAACAAGTATGCGCTCTTCTCGATCGTGCCGCCGAGAGCAGACGCGCTCGGCAAGCTGAGCCTGAGGATCTCTTTTTCTCGATTGACGGCCACCTGAGCTGGAGGGACCATGCGAATATGCGTATCATCTAAATGATACCATTGCTGCGCCTCATTGGCTGAGACTTCCGCCGCGGTCGTTCCGGCAGGCTTGGCCGCGAAAGGAGCGGGCGGCCTCACTGACACCGTGTAATGCCCACCTAAAGCGGATTTGCCGTGATGATATACGACTGCCTGCGATTCAGCGGGCTGTGCACACGCAAACAGAAACTGCGCACCTGATGTCAGTTGATACCGTGGAATACCGGTCTGCATTTTGAGACTAGGCGCGAGGATAGCAGACGGCAAGTCGAGGTCAAGATCGTAGCCAATGATCTTATTGCTCTTGAGAATCCCTCCTGCGCTCGTGTAGCTGAATCTTTTCAGATGCAACACAAGGATGGGCGGAATGGCTTCGAGGAAGAGTTGCTTGCTCGCTGTGACGACTTGACCTTGCTGCGTCGCAAAGTCTTGAAGAAGCTCGGGCTGACTGAGACCAATGAGGGCGTCCTCTATGGTATGAATGCCCGGCTCCTGGTGAATGTAAGCCTGAGCTGTGAGGAAAATATGAAGCTTACTTCTATGTCCAACTGGAGCTGCAGGAAAGGCTCGAGGGTGACAGAGTCCTTCTGGCCCGGACACCGCAGCACAGAACGAAGCCGCCCGCCAAAGATGCTAGTAATTGGTGACTCGCGCGTAGCGGACTGAGTCATGTATCAACGCAAGCACTCGAAGCTGTGCAAACTACTGACGCTGCGGGTAGTGGCAGTCCTGCCCTTGTTGCCCACTTCCAGCCAACCATCATCGGCAGGCGCGTTGCTTGCTTGAGCAGCTTGTCGCGTTCTGTTACCAAGCAGCTCATCGTGACGATCGATGGCCGAAAGAACCTCTTCGTGAAGCGTGTCCAGGAAGTAGCCGAGGAACTCCTGGGCGTCCTCTTGCAGTCCACGCTGCGTTCATCTTAAGCAAAGGATCAGCTAAATCGTACGCTACCGACTTACACGCATCTGATCGAAGCGTTTGTTCATTTTCATGGCATCGTAGAGCATCTCCGGCGCGAAAGGCTCGCCATCGGAAGCTGTGGGAGGCTCGGGTGGGCTTGCGTCTAGCGCGCTCAATTTATCTTGCTCTTGCCTGTTCATGATGCGGAACAGCTGCAGATAGACGATCCTGTAAGATCGCAGGTCAACCGATCCGCACGTCAAACCGGGCGCTACGCACATGGCTTCCATAAGAGGCGTCTTTCCGCCCAGATCTGACGAGGTTTCTTGCCCTAACAGACTGATCAGATTATAGAATGGCCCGCAATACAGCAAACTTTGAAAGATCTGTAAATCTTCGTGTGAGAAGCGCATTCGAGCGAGCGGCAGCAAGGCACGCACAGTGTTTGCGAAGCAGAGATTGCCCGTATTCACCAGCCCGCGTGGATAGAAGGCAGGTGCATCGAAGCGGGTGACGACCGATCCGAGCTTGTCTTGAAGTGTCACCAATCTTGGCGCAACGACCGGCCGACTCGGCCCATCAAGTTGGCTAGTCTGTGTCTCCCCGAAAGCAGAAAATTCGGTCGAGGCTGTGGGAGGGGAAGAGATGCCAGGAAGGACAGGCTCTGACGCTCCTGGCACTTGGATCGATACGCGACGCTTGAGCGGAGGCGATACGTCGAGGTGACCATTCGTCTGAGCTGTCCGCTGTTGACTCGCCTGCCGCTGCCCGTTCTCGCTTTCGGGCTTGCGTAACAAGGCAGCCCACGACGAAGGTTTGACGGCTGGCTTGGGCGATGTGTCTTTCAGTGCGCTTCTAGCTATGTTCATTGCTTCTAGCTGGCCAGTAGGCGGCCCGACGAGGCTGTTCTGAGTCGGTTCTGCCGAAACTGGCGGATCGAGCGAGCTTTCCTCCCTGCTCTGCTCGGATGCAGTCGAATTTGGCGGAGGCATACTCGGTACTTGAGCCGATACGGGCGGTCTCAAGTTGTCCGCGATAGTGAAGCCTGCAGCTTGCCGCGGCAAACGAGGAGCTGCTCTGGCAGTGGGCAGATTGGGATTTCTTGCGCGATCTTTCCAGATGCCATCTGTCTTTGACGTATGACCGTTTAGCTGTGACTTGGATCTAGCTGCGGTGGGTGAGCCAGGTGAGTCTGCTGATCGGCTCGGTAGCCGCTGGAACGGAGTGTCGGGTGACGAAGTCGGTGTTGCGCTCGATTCTCGCTCTTTGCCCTTCAGTGACCTAGGCGTCGTAGCTGGACTAGTGCGAGCTGACGTTCTACGAGCGGGACTGGGCGGTTCAGCCGCTGGCATACCATTCGTGGCGCTACTGGAGGCTTTTGCGAGGCTGCTGGATTTCGGAGTGTGGGTCGCAAAGCCAAGCATGTTGCTCGGCGGAGTGAGCTCGCTCATCCTTGGCTTGATCAGATCTTTGCCCTTCATGGTGAAGACGATCGAGCCGAAGCTGAGCTCGGGTGAGGTGCTCGAGTGTGACTGACGCCCGAGCGTCGAGGCTGCAGAGATGACTGAGCCACTGGGCGATCGTGAGCCCGATCTCGGCTTGCTCCCCTGGCCTGAGCTGCCTGGTATGCTCAAGCTCTGCGTCGCATCTTCCGCTCTCATCATAATCTGTCAGCACAGACCCATCGGCGCTGCTAATATGGTTCGGTGTGCTTCAGCGGACAAAGGCGCGCGTCACGAGCGTCACAGTCGCCCAAATTCGAAACGGGCAAGGTTCCATCAACATAGTACAGAGCGGGGCTACAGCAGATCATGCAGATCGTTACTCCTCGTCATCCTCGGACTCGGCTTCCTCGAGCCAGGCCACAAACGGTTTGCCCGCCCTTCTGACTTTCTTGCTCGTCTCCTTGTCGACATACTTTGAAGACGCGACCTTTGTGAACTGCACGATCACGTCTTCCTCTGGCAGGACGTCGTTCTGATAGAGCAGCATGAGCACATTGGCAAATTTGGGCGTCAGATCGGGGTAGGTATCTCCCACGAGTTTCTCGAAGCCGCCGAGCAGTGACTTTGCATGCTTTTCCGAATCGCCAGGCGTGAGCTGCATGTCAGGCTGTGAGTTCATGCGCGCTAGTATGACTGTCTTACGCACCTTCTTCATGATGAGCTTGCGCTTGGGAATCTCTGCCAGGACATCCTCGGTGAATAAGCCAGATACGAGAAACTGGGGCGTCTTGTGCTTCTTCTCAATACCGAGCTCGACTGCCTTTTTGTAGATGTCGCTATCTGAAGCACCCTCGCGATTCTCGGCGACCCACTTTGCGAAGACGTCGTAAGGTCCTTCTTCGGCTTCATCGTCTGCCAAGATGAGCGATGATTGAACACCTTCCTGTAGTCCAGCCATTCTAGCTTGCACAGCAGCTTTGCTCGTGTCGACAGACCAATCGGCATCATCGTCGTCCGCGTTGCCATTCTTCGATCCGATAGCTGGAGAGATAGGAGCGGTGATCTCCATTTCCTTTGCGCCTTCTTGAATCTTGCGCGTCATCTCATCATTCGAATCGACGTCCTCGTCGACATCGCCGTTGTCAGCCTTGCCATCGGCGGCCTTTGAGCCTTTCGTTGCTCCCTTTTTGCTCGTCGCGCCTTTTGCTTTCTTTTCCTTCTTTGGCGGATTTTTGAGGATGAACGTGGTGAGCTTGTGAGCCATGTCGACCCGACCGGAATGGCCGCATGCTTTGCAGTCGCGCAAGATCATCTCATCTCTGGTGATGACCAGATCCGTTTCTGGGTTCTTGCAGGAAGGACAAAGGACAAATTTGTCAATGAAGGAATCGAGCAGCTCGCGAAGTCTCGAGAGATCGTGTGCACCGTTGACGATGAATCGGTCGTTCTTGTCATCGGTGATCGTCTGAGCACCCAGCTCGCATCCGAAGAACTTTGTCGGGTCTGCTCTGGTGAGTCAGCCTTACTTTGTGCGCTTCCCAAAGGAAACTTACAAGCTGCAGGACGAGCAAGACTTTTGGCAACGTCGCTGATATTGGGCAGAGCTGCTTTCACGATCAGTGATAGCCCGGACGGTGTGGTTGTGGAAGGTCGACCTACTCGTCTTGATACCGTTACCTCTGCCTTCGATCTTGATCAGGAGCGACGGCATCCTGACGTAAGCGCGAGATCAGCCACTGCTCCCGACACGATCAACGCGCCAGACTGACTTGTACCGGTAGTGAGCATCCTTGACATCTGTACGGATGTTGATGATCGATGCCATGCTGGGCAATCGTCCGAGATCTCACTCGGCCGTCGTTGTCGTTGACTTGCGTTTGGCGTTGCTAATTGCAGCGAGCTGAACAGGTACAGGTGGACAGAGCGAGCCGTCTGGGCACTCGGTCTCGAGACAGGTTGGGCAGACTTGTCAGTTCCAGATCGCAAGCGTCAGCGTAGCTGGGTGGACGAGAGATCGGGCGGCTCTCTGTCCCTCTCGCGGGCGAAAGCGCACGGCAATCCGTCTTCTTGAGCGAGGGAAGAGATCTTGGCGGTATTGACCTGGTCTGGTGCTGTCCTCTGCGTGATGTGCACAGTCTTTGGCGGTGTAGCCTGCGATCGACTGTATATGCCAGCACTCCGTCGGATCTTGCTGACTTTGGAAATTTGAGCGAATCTTGTCGTCGTCGCGCTTTGTCTCCACGTCTCCGTTCGCCTTACTCGCATCGAATTCGTCAGGCTACATCAGTCGTCGTCCAGTGACACTTGAACGCTCTGTTCCACCTGTCGACCGTTCCTCACATCTTGTACAAGCTAGCTGTCGAAAGGCAGCCCGTGCGCTGTCCGAGAAAGCCTACACTGTTGCACCCTTGACAAGCAACTGCAATTGCCGATATGTCGTCATTGGCGATCACAAGCCTGTTCAGTGTGAATGGAAAGAATGCCCTCGTCACGGGCGGGGGTAGTGGACTAGGTGCCATGATGGCAGCAGCGCTCGTACAAAATTCGGCAAACGTCATTATTGCTAGCCGGAAAGAGAAACAACTCAAGGAAGTGTCCGACAAGCTCAATGCTGCCGGCCCGGGCAAATGCTCCTACATCGTTGCCGACATCAGCTCCAAAGCAGGTTGTGATGCGCTTTGTGATGCCGTCAAGCAAAAGATCGACAAGCTCCACATTCTCGTCAACAACTCGGGCGTCACTTGGGGAGCACCCTACGCTGACTTTCCCGAGCAAGGCTGGACCAAAGTCATGAATGTCAATGTCAATTCTCTCTTCTTTGTCACCGCCGGCCTGACCGAGCTGCTCGCAAAAGACGCAGATAATATCAATCCTGGGCGCGTCATCAATATCGCCAGCGTGGCAGCGAGAGATGCGAGGACAGAGGATACAGGCTTGAGCGATCCTGGCGTAGGTCTTTGGTCGTACAACACCTCAAAAGCAGCTGCCGTTCATCTGACCTCGCAACTCTGCGTCACACTGTCGAAGCGATACATCACTGTCAACGCGATCTTACCGGGCGTCTATCCTTCAAAGATGACAGCTCATGGCCTGAGCAAACACGAGGAAGCATTGGCGAAAGGTCACCCGATGGGACGGATAGGCACCGCGGAGGATATGGCAGGTCTCCTGCTTTTCCTGTGCTCGAGAGCAGGCGCACATGTCAGTGGCGAGTCCATCGCAACAGATGGCGGCGCGACAGTAGCAGGAGCAGGCTGTTTCACGAAATTATAAAGCATGCACCTCTCAAAAAGCAAAAAAGCTGTACATTGGCTCGTTTCTGCTCCAACAATGAGACGTACTCTTCCGCTCGCTCGCAGTCTTTAGCTTTATCGTTTTGAGAGCGCCGCGAGTGTGACAGAGAAGTTGAGAGACTTAGAAGCCTCTGACGAAGACTGGAATGCGTGTGTCTAGCAGCAGCCGCCAGCGCTCGTTTGCTGCACGTTCTGGCCACCACCGACCTTGAGGGTCTGCTTTCCAGCGGTCGAGTTGACAGCAGATGACGCAAGTCTGTTCGTCCAATCTCACATAAGTGACTGAAGTATAGTGATACGTCAAGACTGACCTTCGTTTGATGTGCTCGGCCATGACGAGGAAAGCTTGCTCGACGTTTGTGGCGTTCTTGGCTGACGTCTCGAGGAAGGGAATAGCGAGTTGATCTGCGAATTCTTTCGCGACGGTATAGTCGACGACCTTCTTCTGTTGGAGATCCGACTTGTTGCCTACTAGCAACTTGTCGACGCCCTCGCAAGCATATCGGTCAATCTCTTGCAGCCACTGTTTGACATTGCTGAACGTGTCCTGATCGGTGACATCATAGACGACGATGATGCCGTGTGCTCCACGGTAGTAGCTCGACGTGATCGTCCTGAATCGCTCCTGACCTGCAGTGTCCCACTGTAGGAGAACGCGCAGGCGTTAGCCATGACGCGTCTGCTGAGGCGTGGGATCACGCACAATCTGCAGCTTGACTGTCTTGCCTCCTAGCTCGATAGTGCGAATCTTGAAATCGACGCCTGTGAGCGCAGTCAGCATGAGTGAGGATGACTTGGCGAGGTGCCAAAGCGAGACATGCCGATTGTGCTGTCAGGCACGCTCACGCGTCAGCTCGACTCGAGGCTCTCGGGACGTGACTGACCTGATGTAGCTGTCACTGTACGAGTCGTCTGCGAATCTGAGCAGCAAGCAGGACTGTGAACAGCGCAGTGATGTGAGCGAATAGCCCGATAGAACCGATCCGTGCTTACCTTGCCAACGCCCGAGTCGCCAATCAACAGAAGCTCTGCGCGAAGGAGATGAGGATCAGCTAAATTGATGTCAGTAGATCAATGGATGCAACCGACTGAAAAGCAGATCGTCTGTGAGATCAGTGTATCGCCCATATGCGTGCTCGGTCAGCATCGCGTTCGAAAGCAGACGAGAACGCCTGTCTTGGCGAGGGACGTACATTCTGCTGCCATCTTGACCGTGCCCAGAGAACTGTCTCTCTATGAGCTCGTCGGTAGCAACGTCGACCTCGTCGAACTGTCGCTGGGCTGCGACGGCGCGCTGTCTTTAAAAAAAAAAAAGCCAGGCGCCGTATACGTGTCAGTTATCGCTCACATTCGACCTGCACGCCTCTCACCGGTTGCCTTCTCAACCAGCGGCGATTGCTCAGGATCCAATGCCACGCGGTGAGAGCTGCTACAAATGCAATGCTCATCATGCTGTGATGCACTCGAGGCCACAACAGGACTCGAGACAAGCCAACCACTGATTCTGCTTACCTCGTCACCGTCCTGGGTCGTATCATACGGCTTTGGCGAGCGTTGATGCGATACTTGGGATTGTTGTTCTGGGCGTCCGCACACGACAGCTCGAACACGAGCATCGTCACTCGCTGATGCCCATCTACGCTGTCTGTCGAGCTGCTGTTGACGTTCGATGTACGGTGAAAGGCAGAGCGTCAGCACGCCACTGAAGCATGCTGAGCTCGCTCGTCATGAACGAGACTTGCGCGTGGGAATCTTTGTCGAATGCATGAGCATGAGCCTGGTCTTAGTCTGGAATAAAGCAATATGCTCGACGATGGACTGCCCAGTGTCGGAGCATGCGAGTCGAGTCCCAACCATGAGGAGAGTAGGTAGACCGGGCAAAGCCAAGACATAGCTGTAGCAAGTCGAGCAGGTCAGGTTATTGGCTCAGCGATGTCAGAGATTTTGGTCGATCGCTGACTTCTCGCAGATTCCCGAGCTCGGCACATTCTCCGCGTCAGTCCGAGGCACTTTCACGACCTCGGCACTGAACGACTTGGCATTTCGAGCGCGATCGACGGTCGTGTGCGCTGCACAGAACAGATCACACTCGCTTGCAGCCATCAACGGTGAGTCCTGACAAGTCGTCCATGCACGTTCGAACACGCGCTGACGATGATCGAAAGGCGATATAACGAGGCATGCATTGCTTCCCCTTTTCGTTCTTCAAGAAGAGCAGTAGCGACGAATCGAGCTCCGAGAAGAGCTCGAAGAAGAGCAAGACACTCACGATCAAGAAGACCAATTCTTTGCGGCCAGCTTCCACTTCGCTATCACGAACGAGCACAAAGAACCAGCTACGACCCGTCCAGTCACATTCAAGCGCTAGAGCCGCAAGGCTCGAGGACAGTCAGGTCTGGAACGCGATTGCAGATCCAGGCATTAAACCAGAGCCGCCCGGTCCGATCGACTCCGAGGAGCTCAGTCGACGGCTATCGAGACTATCCACCGAGGGCAACAATAGACGCTCCATGGAGCTACCATCTCAGATCAGGCTGAGCTCAGACGCATACAACCTCGCATTCTCGAGGAACACGACGATATCCTTTGCGCCCCCGCCGAATCCGTAATTTGGCGCCCGTGTTGACGATCCCACCACTCTGCTCGGCTTGCTATGTATCGGCGGTATCGCTGCCCCTCCTGTTGTGTATAGTGTGTACGACTTAGCTGATGAGACACTGTGCATCGCATTATGTACAAGTGACAATCAATGTCCGCAAACGCTTTTCAGAGCTAGCACAAGCAATTCGCGATCGTCCTGCAAAGCCGTTCAGCGCGGTCCTCAATTTGTAGAAGCTGGACTGACTGATTCGTCGCAGTAGAACAAGTACGGCTCCGGATCGTCGTAGAGGTCCAATCTGAATGAGTTGACAATCGCTATGTCTTCTGGATCGAGCAAAATCCGTCTGAAGTTGGAAGCCGACAAAGGTATAGTCTCGAGCGCTTTGCTCGTTGGCGCGTCGTCTTTGAACAAGAGTAAGGCTGCTGGCTTGAGCTCGAACCATCTTCGCTTCCATAGCTGTACTTTGCGTCAGTCTCGCAACGAAAGGCGGGCGATGGGGACGCACCGTTGCGTTTCGCGGCTGAGCCGTCACATAGCCGGACAAGATCGTTGATGCTGGTTCCCTCAGCTCTCGGGCTCGCTTGACGACTTGTTCGATGGCTGATTGCTTCGCCAGGCGTTTCTGCTCTTGCCGTGCTTGCGCCATCCTGCTCGCCTCTGCTTCACGTTCCTCGCGTTCGCGGTTCGAGTCTGCTCTGAGGTTCTCTTCTCGTTCTTGAGCGACCCGCGCTTCTTCCATCTGTCGATCTAGTTCTGCTTGCCTTAACCTCCTTGCTTCCTCGCGATGTAAGCGTTCGGACGCTCTCCGCCTGAGCATTTCATCTTGCTGCAACCTCAGCTGTTCTGCCTCGTCGAGCCTTTGCCGTTCCGTGGCCTCTGCGTCCCATCTGGCTCTCGCAAGGCCCTCCGCTTCTGCTCGTTCCGCTTCTCGTGCTCTCTGGTCTTCGAGCGATATGCTCTCTAGACCATTGCCCAGACCTAATCCAACGACGCCAATTGCTGCAGGCATACTGTCGTTGAGCTTCCGCTGACTGGGACTACGTGGCTGCTGGGGATACTGTTTGCCTGGACCGTCACGGCGAAGTGAAGACTTTCTGATCATCGCGGTTCGATCCAGCTGATCGTTGCCGAAACCATTCAGTACTGGCGAGGAATAGATCTGCCGAGGTGAAGCACTCGTGCGCCGAGGTAACGAGAAGTCCCGTCCGGTTGGAGATGCAGACATCTGAGGCGTACGTGGAACAGCGCTGCCTGTACCAGGCGAATCAGATGGTTGCGGCGAGGTTGTTTTTGAGGCCACAGATTGAGCAGAGGCATAGCCGAGTGCGGGACTCAGAGGCGACTGCTCTAGGCTTGTCCGCTGCGAGCTATCGTTGCTTCTGGGTAGCGCCGGAAGTTGTGAGGTAGATGCAGGCGAGGCTGAAGAGACGGACACGATCGGTGTCGTAGCTTGAGCCGGCATGGGCGCTACGAAATGAGGCGACGCGCGTCCCTCACCATTTGCAAGGCGCGGCGAAGGTTCACGTTCGCTCGTAAATCGCGGAGATCCGTTGAGCGGCATTGATGGGGTCGTGCTGCCGTCAAGTCGTAACTTTGAGCGAGCGATTTGATCAAAGTTTGACAAATCATGCACAGTCATGACTGCTTGATGCGCTCTGAAAGTTGTTGCTATTGCTCGCGAGTGCACCAGCGCCCTTGCCCGCTTGACACCACTGCTTTACTCGTCGGCTTAAAGCCTCTGCAGGCAGCATGACGCACCTGATGTCGTCTGGTAAGTATGTGAACAGGATGAGCTTGTTCTCGAGCCTGAGGAGGCCAAAGTGCACTTCTTGAGCTCGTGTCGATTCCTGCCATCGCATCAGCTCTACCTCAAGAGCCTCACGGGAGAGCGTACGAGCTCTCTGACGAGTTCCGACGTCGGTGCCGCGCCCGAAGCGTATAATTCGAGCTTGTCTCTTGAGTCGCGATAGCCAAGCACGAACCTATCATCGACGTTTCGACGATCAGTATCGCAACACGCCTTTGCAGAGCTGAGCAGCACACCAGTCTGTACTCGAGGCAGCATGCTGTATAGCTTCGTAGGCGGCTGCAATGCGACTGTCTGACATGTCACACGCCATTGTCGCCTTTGTGCGAACTCGGGGAGGTATGAATGCTTCTGTCAGCTTGTTAGGGCCTGCCTGAAGCTCGCCAATGATAGCCTCAGTTGCATGCTTTCACACAATGATCGATCGAACAACGCTGAAGCTGACCATGATGAAGCGCTCGCTTCTGCTGTTGATCATGAATGGCACGCGACGCGTCAAATGTTGTTGTCAGCCATTTCTTGATCATCTTTGCACTCGTCGCGTCCCAGAATTCATATAAAGACGAGCTGCACTTTCGTCCTCACTCCGCGCAAACAAGACTTGGCAACAAAACGTGACAAGACTCTCAGTACTAGTCATAGTTGCGTCACTGCATAGCATTAGCACAGTCTCTCCCTGGGGGCCTGCAGGATCTTGTCATGGTGCGTATGCGATGGTTGAAATCGGGCAGCGGAGTGCGCGGGCGTTGCGTCATTCGTCTGCCTCCTCTCGCTCGATGTCTTCCACCCAGCTGTACTTCTTACTTTTCCTGTAATCATATGCTCCGTCTAAATAACTGGCAAACATCGCTCTCGATGTTCTCGGAGCGCGAAGCTGGCTTGCCAGGCTTGCAGGTCTATGGCATGTTGCTTTCGTTCATTGTGCAAGGAGAAAGGTTCGGTACTGCCTTGGAGTCCACCCTTCTGTCGCCGTTGTCTCCTGCCTCGCAAGTCGGACTATGAGCATAGTCGCAAAGCAGACCCGAGCGGCGCGAGTATCAGGTCGAGAGGAAGCATGAGACCATGAGATTGAGCCAGCCTAGGAAACACCGCCATCGCAGTTGATGCCGTTCACCATGACGATGAGACGCCATTGGCTTCGAGCCCGCCGACATCGTCGCAGCATCTGCGCTGACAAGCATGAGGGCCAGCCGGGCCCCTAGCGCTGACTTCTTGCGACACGTCACGAATGGAGACAGCCCGAACAGATTTCGATCACTTGCGACCAGCAGGCCGGTATCGAGGCGACGGCCACTAGGAGGAGTGGAGCCGCGGCAAGCAGACGAGCATCGCTTGGCGGCCTCTGCCACACCTCTCAGGAGCCCAATACGGATCTAAGATCTCGCCCATCCAGCGCAAAGACAAGATACCCACGCCGGCCACAATCACTGACAAGGCTGCATAGCGCTTCCCCTATACGAGCTTTACATCGCCGCACTTGCTGCCCGACGGCTTCCGAGCATGAAGTTCGGTAGCACAATCAAGAACTCGCTTTACTCCGAGTGGCTGCAGCATTATATTGACTACTCTGGCCTGAAGAAATTCGTCAAGAACAGGCAGAAAGCGCACCCATGGGATGACTCTGATGAGGCGGATTTCATCAAAGCCCTTCAATCTGAGCTCACCAAGGTCGCCAAATTCCAAGAGGCCAAAGTAGGTCATCTGTCCATCCGGTCGAATGCCGCACGTGCGCACCTCGCTCATCTCGCTCACTCAACAGGTCAGCGAATTGACCGAGCAGATCGGGCTGTACGAAGTGACTGTCAAGGAACTCATCGAGGCACATGCTCACAATCACTCTGCGCTTACCGCAACCACGCGGTCGTCCACAACGAGCGACGAAGGCGCGAATCAAGGCGGACCAGACGGACCTGTTGGTTATGGCGACGTCGAGGCTGACCTGAGCGATGACGAGGACGAAGAGGATGTTGAACTGGAGCAGCGCTTCAGTGAGCTCGAGGAGGATCTAGAAACACTTATCGCAGACGTGCATGATCTCGGTCAGCTCGAGCAATTGCTCTCCCGGACCGCGACTGATAGCATTCTGCAGGTCGGTTCACCCAGCTGAATTACACCGGCTTTGTAAAGATCGTCAAGAAGCACGATAAGCGCACAGGCTGGGAACTGAGGGGCGAGTTCATGCGGGAATACCTGTCAAAGCGGCCTTTTTATAAGGAAAATTGTATGTCCCGCGCAGGAATGCTGGCCTTGTACTGACCATGGCCACAGATGACGCCCTCATTGTCCAACTCTCGAAGCTCTACAATTTGGTCCGCACAAGAGGAAATCCGGTCATTGGCGACAGCTCAGCCGGCGGCAGTCAGTCTGCATTTGTCAGACAAACGACCAAGTACTGGGTCCATCCCGATAACTACGTCAACCTCAAGCTCGCCATATTGAAGCATCTGCCTGTATTAGGTCAGTACAGGCACCGCTGTCCCCTGATTGTCCTGATCCAATGATCCTAGTCTTTGATCCGGAAAAGCCTTTCGAGCAAAGCGACGCCGCGATCTCGTCCATCTACTTTGACAATGAAGATCTGGAGCTCTATCTTGGTCGATTGGAAAAGTCGGAAGGAGCAGAGGCCATCAGATTACGTTGGTATGGTCCGGCGTCGAACCGTCAGATATTCGTCGAACGAAAGACGCATCATGAAGATTGGACGGGCGAAAAGTCAGTCAAAGCTCGCTTTCCTATCAAGGAGGAGTTCGTCAACTCCTATCTCAATGGCTCCTATTCGATGGACGATACTTTCAATGAGCTCAGAAAGAAGGGGAAGAAGTCTGACAAAGAAGTCGACAGCATGATCAAGCTTGCCCGAGAAGTGCAGATTGCCGTCAAGAACAAAAAGCTCGGTCCTGTCATGCGTACATTCTACAATCGAACAGCATTCCAGCTGCCCGGCGACGCTCGCGTTCGAATCTCTTTCGATACGCAAATGTCGGGTGTGCGAGAGGACAATTGGGACGGCAGAGTAAGGTCAGGCGACAACTGGCGCAGGACAGATATTGGCATCGATTGGCCATTTGAGCAATTACCAGAAGACGACAAGCATCTCTTCCCATATGGTGTGCTCGAAGTCAAGCTACAGACTCAGATGGGCCAAGAGCCGCCCGAATGGGTCCGTGAGCTGGTCTCAAGCCATCTCGTCGAGGCAGTGCCGAAATACTCAAAGTTCATCCATTGCTGCGCCACACTGATACCCAATCGCGTCGACCTCGTGCCTTTTTGGCTGCCTCAGATGGATGTTGACATTCGCAAACCTTCGGATGACCACCACAAGGCTGCCATGATCGAACGCCCATCTCATCCCGGCTCATCGGCCTCTGCGTCGGCGCAGAACTCGGATGGTCGCAAGTCGCCAGAGACTAAGCCGCCGAGCTACACCGAGCCGGTCTCCGAGGACGAAGACGATGAGGATGGCGATCCGATGCGACAGGTCGCTAACAATGAGCACGATGCGACTGGCTTGCCACCGGATGCTCACGCTGCTGCTGCCGAAGCAAAGGCAGCTCGCGAGAAGAGCCAGAAGGGAGGTGCAACGGGCAACAGCCTTGCGCCTCCTCCTCAACGCACCCGAAGCAGCACCGAAAACAACTCATCCTTTGCCAAACTCACGCCTCAAAATTTGCAACGTGTTCTTGCGACGAAATATGGACAGGAAGAAAGTACGCCAGCGGATACTGATGATCCTGTAGCCGAGCCCAATCTCCGTCGAGTCGAATACGTGAGCTCTTTCCGGGATATGACCGGCAAACGCATTGCCGTGCCTGTGCGTATCGAGCCCAAAGTCCAATTCGCTCTCGAGCGCACATTCCTTTCTTGGCTCGAGTTTGCAGTTCTGCTCAGTGCTATCGGTGTTGGCTTGCTGTCCTTTGCGCATCCGGATGACTCGACAGCACTGATCGGCGGCATCGTCTTCACTGCTATCGCGCTCATTGCCATCGCATACGCCGGCGTCATTTTCCTCGTCCGCGCTTTCCGCATCAGGTTCGTTCATGCTCTTCATCGAGACAGACAGTGCTGACTGAGCGTCTGCAGGAGGAGGGCAGCAGTCTCGTATCACGACTATGTCGGGCCGACGGCACTCTGCATTGCGCTCTTCGCTGGCGTCGTCCTCAATTTCGCCCTGCGTATTCACGCCGATGAAGACGACAAGCCCGTTCACCCCAATCTCAACTTTACCCAGCATTATTAGATGCACGATTGAGGCGCTAGAAGACGTTGTACTCGCATTCGCACAAGAGAAGGTCATTGCACGCGCAGACTTGCACATCGCTGCATTCTCGCTTGAACAGTGCGACTAGGTTCCTAGCTCTCCAGGCTGTAAGACTGGCAAGAGTGCGCCTGATACCTCTTTGAGTTTCTTGTGCGATCTTGGCATGGCTGTCGTCGCTTCCGAGAAGAGTACGTCAATCTCATCTTGAGGAGCTTCCTTTCTCTTCAAGGCGCCCGCAGCGCCGTTGGTGCCCGAAGCTGGCGTCCAACCGGGCACCTTCTGAATCATCTTGTTGCGCCACTCTGATGGCCTTCGCTGGTAAAGCGGCACTTCAACTTTTCTGACAAAGTAATGACCGAAGTGCGAGGATTGCAAAGTCTGATGATGCGGAATGAGCGAGATGGCTATCTTCTCCTTTAGGTAGACATCTGCAGATGCCCAGCATTGATCGGCCACTCGACTGCCTATGCGATCGTCTGCGAGGGCTTGGTACTGTCCTAGGAGACGCTTGAGGAATTCGCGTCGACTTTTCGGCAAGACTGCAGGGGAAGTGAGAAGCACGTCGAGTACACGTGAGGATATCGGGTCCATTGCAAAGCGGATCAACTGAGGCATGGCAACTGTCATGAGAGCGCTGATAACAGGCTCGTGATCGGCAGGCTTGAGCTGTAGCCATGACTGCAGCAATAGAGCACCCTGTACTGTCGCCTCGAGCTTGACATTGGGATCTTGATAAGCTGGATGGCGACGGTAGATCTATTGTTTGAAGTCAGCTAGTGCGTAGAGCGATGAACGCTTGACCTCACCCGAAGTGGACTGAGCGATAAGCAGCAGGGTAGCAGGTATGTTGTTGATTCCGCATCAATCTCGAGTCCGGCAAGCAGAGTCTGTTATCCTCATCAGCACGGATCCGGGAAAGACGTTCTGGGTGCACACTTTGACAAGCAGGCTCGCATCGCAAGTCAAGCGAATCGCACGATCAATCAAGGCCTTCAGTGTGCCTGTCCTGCTGTTCTCAATCATCTTCTTGACGCCATCGATAGCCGAGTCGGCGCTTTCGCTGAGAGCAGTGACGGCTTCGAGCCATTGCTGCTCATTGACGCGATTGACAGCCTTGGCGGTGACAAAGTTGGCCACGGGATGATGTGCTAGCTTTACGAAGCGGTCCGAAAAGATGCTACTCCACATGGCATCGAATACGGGAGCCGGCACGACGAAGAGGAGCGTCTCTAGCAAGGGCGAGGCAGGCTGCGATCGCAAAAGGGTCTCTAGAAAGTCATCCCCGCTCAGACGTTTTTCGTCGGTTTCCGAGATGGCATCATTGAGCAAGCGATCTGCCCATGAAGCCCTTTCGCCCGTCTTGCCTCGTGCATGTTCGACTTCGAGCAAGATCTGGAAAGCGATGCAAGCGAGATCATTGACGGCCAGCTCCCTCACTTTGGCGGACGCGTTCGTTGGTGTGCGGACCAAGGACTCGAATCGGTCGAGCAGAGCGTCCAGAGCAGCTTCGAGTTCAGGCGAGCTTCGTCTGATACCTTTGCCTTTGCTATCCTGAGCATCGTCGGCGGAATCGACAAACGCTCTGTGAGGAGCCTTGTTGCTCAGCCATCTCTCAGACTTCTTAGACCTCATCTTGCGACCGTGCTGTCCATACGAGCCTGGCGTGCGCTCTTGCGGAGCAGAGGAGGAGGTGATGCCTGACAGAAGTAGGAGAGCTGATCGAACGAGATGAGTGCCGTGAGTATCAAAGAGCAAGTCTGGCAAGTTCTGCGCAATCTCCTGACAGGCTGTGATGAGCATGCTTGTCATCGTTGGCAGTTCTTCTGCGGATTCGTCTGCGGCGCTCGAGCTCGAAGGCCTCTGAGCGATTCTACCGGAGAGCTCGCGTTGGATGACTTGGTCGCCGAGAGAGAAGAGCGTCTGCAGAACATGTGAAGCAAAACGATCCTTGGCCAATGCGGCATATCTGCAAGGCCATGAGCTGCATCTGAGGAGATGCTTGCGAGTGGACGTACTGTCCAATGAACCTGTCTGCAAGCACGCGTCGTGACCAGTCTTGCATGCTGTACAGGAGTCGCTCGAGTATGATGGAGCACTCTGGATCGGTAGCGAGTTGGATCTCCTTTCCGTTGAGATTGTCGAGCGAGGAAGCGAGCAGTAGCTTTCGTTCGTCCAGCTCATCCTCGTCGCCCTCTTGCGCGTCACGACGATATCCGCTCGATTGCAGATCTTCCAACTCGACAATCGTTTCTTCAATCTGCTTGAAGTAGGCTCTCGTGTCATGATCGAGCTCTGGCCAGCCGCTCGCTGTGGGCGCAGCAGCAGGGGCAGGTCTGATATTCAGAAATCCAGGCGTAAAGACGTCGAGAGGTGCAGGTTCGACTTGCTGGGCTGCATCGTCTGCTGCTGTAGAGATCTGCTTCTGCTTCTTTGCGCCCCTGTTGCCTCGCTTCCTGTTGTTCTCTCGAGGCATCGTCCGACGAGGCGAGCCGCCGACCAAGTCAAAAGAAAGAGAAAAAAAAAAAGTTTAGACAGAGCGCGCAGACAGGCAAATCACTGGCAAACTGCGCTCGTCCAATCAACATCGACTCGATTGAAAGCGCAAATGGCAGGTATGCAGACCACTCAGCAGTCGTGGGGGAGCTCCGTCCTGATGAACCGAGTCAGGCACGCCAGGCATCGCACGCAGCTGGCAGAACTTTGCGACGATACAGCGTAAAGCCATCACGCTCGCTCCGACATCGACGGTCTCTCACAGAGGAACGCCTATCGCCCAACGCCTCAACTTGGCCGCTAGCCAGCCTCATGATGATCATGGTCACGGTGAAGGTGGAGTCGCCGGTCCACAGGGGAGGGGAGATCATGCGAGCGTGCCGAGATGGGCATCGACGGCCCAGCTCGCGGCAGGTGGCCTCATCAGATCAAAGACCGCCCTCTTCGGTATGTTTGCGAGATGATGAGCTGACATCGAGCTGATCGATGAGGATGCAGCGGCACCGACGGGCGAGCTGCAGTTCAGGCACATGTCTCGCTCCAGCAAGGCATCCGCCACGGCAACAGAGGCTCCTCCCCAGAAAGGTCTCAGAACGAGCCACCCGGGTACACCGCTCGGAACGGCCATGAACGCCCAATCGACTGCATCCGTTCCCGACTTCTCGCACTATACAAAAGGCAATACCGAGGCCAGCGGTCGCGCGTTTTCCTATTTCATGGTCGGGACTTTCGGTCTCCTCACAGCAGCAGGCGCCAAGTCACTCGTGTCTGACTTTCTGGCCAACATGGCAGCTTCTGCCGATGTCCTCGCTCTGGCAAAGGTGGAAATCGCCATGGGAGATATTCCGGAGGGCAAGAATGTTCTCATCAAGTGGCGTGGCAAGCCCGTCTTCATCCGCCATAGAACGCCTGCGGAGATCGAAGAGGCCAATGCCGTCGATGTCAAATCGCTCAGAGATCCTCAGAAGGACAGCGACCGCACGCAGAAGCCAGAATGGCTGGTCATGATCGGCGTTTGCACTCATCTCGGTTGTGTTCCCATCGGTGAAGCGTACGTCTGCCTCTACTGCACACAGACTACCTCATCCTGATTGTCACATCCTACAGGGGTGACTTTGGAGGCTGGTACTGCCCCTGCCACGGGTCTCACTACGACATCTCTGGTCGTGTCAGACGAGGACCTGCGCCGCTCAATTTGGAAGTGCCAGAGTACAGCTTTGGCGATGATGACATGCTTGTTATCGGTTAGGAGTAGTTGTCTATGCAGCTCTCATCAAGCTCTATCAGACGTGACCCGGCCTCACTGACACTCTGAAGTGCGCCCGGCTCTGTCCCGACGCGTCGTTCTCGATCATTCCTTGACCTCCTCGCCACCTCCGCTTCTCATCAAGACATTGAGTCTCCCGCTCTGCTTGTGCGCCGGGTTGAGACCTGAGACGCACCCATGGCGGTGCCGACCTATGCAAAGGCAAGCAAGCCTGTGCGGCCGCAGCACATGACTAACAAAGATTGGTCAGCAGGCGCAAGACGAAAGGCCAGCAAGATTCAGCGATGACATCCTCACCACTGCACTCGAGCGGAACGATAGGCTAGAAGGCATCGTACAAGGTCTCGAGAGCGATTTGCTCGCGGTCCAGAGAGCGCACAGAGCCGAACTCGCTCGAGCCAAAGTGCTATCTGACCAATTGAACGACTCCAGACGGCAAGCCAATGGATGGCAAGCTCAGCTCGTCGACACGAGGGAAGCGATGGCCGATCTGAAGAATGCCGTCACATTGCGTCAGCACACGATTGACGATCTCATGCACCATCTGTCGACCAATCCCGTCACAAACGAGAGCTTGCTACAACATTATCATGCTCAAGAGCAGATCATCCAATCCCTCAAGGGCGTATTGAGCTGTCCACTCTGTTATGAGACTTTCGGAAGGCGTCAGGTCGTTACGTTGGCTTGCGGTCACACGCTTTGTCAGACTTGCTTGGAGCAATGGGTCGTTCGATCGAGCACGGTCGATCCAGATAGGATCGTGCCCGAGTGTCCAGAGTGTAGGAGGGAAGCGCCGAAGAGCGAAAGGGTGAAGGTTTATATGCTCGAAGAGGCAGTCAGAGTCATCGAAAGGCTGGAGAGATTCGAGTTCATGCCGCCAGGCTACACTCTGCCGCCGTCCAGTCTCCCGCCCTCACAAGCCTAGACATCACTCATCGCACGATTAGGTCTGTTTCATTGTCGTTGTACATGCATCGTCTCGCATTCCAGGGTCTATCAGATAGAAGTAGGCTCAAATCTGTCGACCCCCAATCAGCTTCGAACCAGCTGACTCCGTGAGGAGCGCACCTTGCTGAGATCGCGACCCCAGATACCTCGCTTGGTCCAGTCGAGCATCAAGAGCATTCTCGTTCTCGTCGAGACTTGCTCGCTCAGATAGATCGATCGCCAGAGATACATGGCCACCAGACCACCTGCGAAGCTGTAGCCATTGAAATCGAATACTGCGCTCGTACCGAGCGAAGCCAGTGAGCCAAGCTGTCATCACGATCAGCATATAGAGTGTCGAAAAGTGAGCGACACACATGATTGTAGCTGAACGGCTTGTAGTAGACATCATCGATGTCATCGTAGATATCATTCAAAGCCATGGCATCGTGCGCTTTCCGACTGAGCGCAGACAGCTTCTTGCCGAGGTACTTGCCTTGCTGAGCTGCAACTTGAGCGGTCTGCCATGCAATCTTAGTGAGCGTACGACGATACAGTGGAGCGACTGACTGCAGGCAGGGCAGTCATCTTGCTTGAGATTTCTGCAAACATTGTTTGTAGGTCGTTCAATCCCATGACGCCGTCTTTGTCGGAATCATACTTGTCAAAGACTTTCCTGCAAAGGGAGCCTCTCAGACGGTTTCGGAAGCTCTGAGGGGCAGAGACTTGCCTGACTTTATTGATGTGTATCTGACTTGTTGGGAATTTGCGTTGGATGAGCTTGATCATTTCCTCGAACTCTGTATAGTTGATCTTGCCGTCATTGTCGCCGTCGCATTTTTCCACAAACTCGAGCAGGTGATCGACCAGATTAGTCTCGATGGTCGAGGCGTCTCCGAGCGCATACACTGTGCCGAGCGGTGCGCCGATGACCCGCAGATGACTGTCGACTTCGAGGGCATGCTTATGATACTGATTGGGCAGATGCTGCGCTACTGTGACTGTGAAAGGGTTCATTGCCAAGCCTGTAGACCAAAGAACTAGACCAGCAGGAATCGTGTGCTCCTCAGGTTTGGCAGATTTATCTGCTCCCTTGACCGTGTATGTGATAGACTGTGGTCCGACCTCTTTGACGCGGGCATTTAGGATCGTGTTGATGCCGTCTTGGTTGAACTTTTGTTCTGCATACTCGCTGATCTTCTCTGCATAGGTATTGAGGATATGATCGCGTGACTGGATGATGTGGACCGATGCATCTTGCTTCAGTATCTTTGGGAAATATTTGAGCACGTCTTGCGATAGACAGTCGTAGATCTCGCTAGCGAATTCGACGCCGGTCGGTCCGCCGCCTGCTACGCAAACAGACAGCAACCGCTTGCGTTCCTCTTCGCTCGTGCTGGGTAGACTTGCCGCTTCGAGATTCTCCATGAACCGTCGCCTGATCGCGAGCGCATCGCTGATGGTCTTGAGCTGGAAGCAATGCTCGAGCCCAGGAACACCATGTGTCGCACTCGTAGCGCCCACAGCAATGACAAGTTTGTCATAGGGTACGTAGAAATTCTCGCCCTTGTCTGCTTTGTCGCCGCTTGGCCTTTCGCCCGTCTTGGCAGACGTAAGCTCAGAAGCGGAGGACGAGATGGGCGAGACCTCGATCAGTCGTTCCGACATGTCTATATCAACGCAGTGTGCTTGGATGAAGTGACCATTGACGCCAGCAAGCAATCGACGCAAGGGCTCGACGAGTGAACGGGGCTCAACAGTGCCCACTGTTGCAGCTGGCAGAAGGGGCGTAAAGCAGTTATAATTCTCAGGCGAGATACAGACGACATGGTAATCGCCCGCATAGAGACTTTTGAGCACTCCGACGGCGCCCCAGCCGCCACCAACGATGACAAGTCGGGGCTTTGTCATGAGGGACTTGCTGTCTGATGTCTCCTCATCGTCAACGAGCACCTCTGCTATCTTGAGATTCTTCGGTCCTCCCCTCTTCGGATTGAGCGCGACGGGATTGATGGGCACGCTGATGAAGGGGATCAGTCAAGGCTGACGCGACAGGTGGGTGAGACTTACTTGTCGACATGCTTGCTCGAATATGTAAAGGCATCATACAGAAGAACGGTCAGCGTCAGAGTGACCGATCCGACGATGATACTGAGAAATGCGAGGAAGAAGACACGCAGAAAGACGTTGCGACCTCTTAGCAGGATCATATCAAGCACAGAGCTCCTCGAGCGATTTGGTGCCGACGACGAAGAGACCGGCTGAGCCTCTGCTGCTCGCATGGTCGCAGAGCTCGCCAAAGTGCGCCTGGAGGCCAGCCATCGGAGCACAGCCGGGTTGTGTATGCTCGCTTGCCGGCTGCGCGACCGAGTGAGAGATAGCGCGGCTTTATGAGCGGATGAGACGGTGGGAGCTTGTGTGGTCGCACGACGAGGCAAGAGACTTGCGGTCCGGCTTACTGTGTGTACATCGAGCGCATTGCTCGGATGCGCAGGGCGTAGTGTCAGTATAGAGTGGCGCAGGAGGCCAAGAGCCGCCGAAGTAGATCTTGTCATGTTTGTGCGATCGTGCGATGCGTCGGGCCTGAAGATCCTGTAAAAGATGCTGGGGATCTTTGGATTTGACTGATCAAATCAGAGACGAATTGAAACCGCGCATTGCCATGGGCTTGCTTGACGGAGCTTGGCAGTTTGGCCGGCCTCAACACTCCGAATTGACTTCACGAATTTATTACGCGCTTGCAAAATTCTTGCGTCCGTCACGCAACGGCTTAACGGACGCTCGCTTACTATGAATACACCACAATCGATGATGCTCGGATGGGGATGTAAGTCCTGTCCTCCTACTCAGACGGCTGTAGCCATCCGACGTCTTCGCGATCAGCTTGGATCCGTCGTCGAAGGCGGCCGACCACAAAATCCACGCACCTAGCCTCCAGCCAGAAGTCCCATAGCTGACAATATTGGCTTACTTTGCAGCGCTTTGCGTCGCTGCAGGAGTGGCATACTATTGGGCCAAAGGAGACATAAACGAGCGTAGGCGAGAGCAGTTCAAGGCAGGCACGCGCAACGATGACCGACGAGAATGTCAGCTCACATTCGCCATCTTCTCTCATCATGTGCTGACGAAAGGAAACTGCACAGGGTACGATCGGTTAGACGATAAGGAAAAGAAGACGGTGAAGACAAAGTTGGGCGGCGTGCCACCTTCTGATAAGAGCGCGGCTGCCGATCCGGCGCTCTCATTTCTCGGCTCTACTCATCTCGTCTCGGCCAAACCTTCTATCGGTGGCCGTCGCGCAGAGCTGCTCAGCAAGAGACGAGCGGACTGCGAGCGGGATCGCTGGACGGACGCATCGAGGCCATTTTGAGAATGCCGCAGTTGATGACACATTTGGGTTGTAAGGGGCTTTCGATCATATTGCTGTTGTACTTCAATCGCAGACTGCATCACATGAACAGACTCCTGTGCTCGGCATAGCTGATGCAGACAAGGATACAACGAAGCGTAGACTGCAGATGAAGCAAGATTACTCCTTTGCCTCCTCGTTCTCGACCTCGACGATAGCATGTCGCTTCTCTGCCGTGCGAGCAGCTCGGCGCTCTCGGAGAGCCTTGTTCCTGGTGCAAACAGACACTGGATGAGCCCGGTGAAAACACGACAGAGCCAGCAAGGACTGACTTGACACGGCGAGCCTCCATTTGCTCGGAGAGGACCTTTGTGCGGGTCTTCTCGGCCTTTGCCTTGTGGATGAAGTCCATGAGAACACGCTTGTTCTTGAAGACGTTGCCCTTGGACTTGAGGTAGAGGGAATGGTAGAGATGCTTGTCGATCTTGCCTTGGTCTCTGTACTTGCGCAAAAGGCGTCGGAGAACGCGCTGGCGTCTCATCCAGAGTAGCTTGGTCGGCATACGAGCTTCTGCTGTACCTTTCCTGTGACGCGAACATGTGAATCAGCCGAGGAAATGGTGGTACAGACAAGTGAGCCTGCCTTTTACCAAAGCCAGAGTGACGGCCCTTTGACTTTGCCTCCTTGAGATCGCGTACGCGAGCACGAGAGTGGATGACGGGCTGCTTCTTGACGATGATTCCGTCTTTGAAGAGCTTGCGGATGTTGGCACGGCTGTTAGCCTGTGCGATGTCGGTCATGTGTGAAGGGTCGAGGAAGATCTTTCTCTTGCCCACGCCGAGCACAGAGGCCGCGAGCCTCTTCTGAGTCGAAAGATTCGTCATCTCTGCACGTCAGATGCGGCCGACGATCGAGCAGAACGAGCAAGGCGAGGTGGTAAACGAGGTCGACGAGCAGAGCAACAAGCAAGTGGACGAGGGGCGGTCAGGAGGACGAGCGAAGGAGCGAAAGCAGGCAGCACAGTCAGCTCTCGATCCATCCGCTAAGCCTGCAGCTGTGCTCACCTGCTGATCTTGTGCGATCTCTCGGACAAGGCCCTCTTGAAGGTACGGCAGCCTAAGCAGAGGCGGCGCCCTCAAGTTGAGACTTTTGATCAGATTTACCTCTGAATTTACGCGCGACTTTCGATGCTGGCTCATGCGCGAACGCAGTCTCGCAGCGCTCCATGCTGGCGAGGCTGTGTGCGCAAGCTAGTCACACCGGCGCATCGATGGCAGACGCTTGCATCTCCAGGCTCACTCATCAACACGGATTGTCTTGCACATACTCACGACGAAGAAACCTTTGCGATTTGCGAGCACTTTCTCGACGAGGCTGAGCAGCACACTCTCCTGAAAGCGTCGCTGAAGCGTCTGGACACGACTTCCGATGCATCCGAATATCGTACAAAGCGTCGCCAGCATCGTGCCCAAGCACGATCACTCGATGCCGACGCGAAGAGTTCTCTGTTCTTACCGAAAGAATGCTATGGCTTCCATTCTGGCCACTTCGATGGCGTGATCTCTGGCTACCGCGAGACCACTGTATCTCGCTTCGATGACCCTTTTGATGCCAATGAGCGGACTACCCTACTTGCCGTGCTCAAAAAGATCTATGTGGCTCTCGGCGCGTCGGACGAATCTGTAGGCTTTGAGCCTCCGACGCATCTACTGATGCACTTGCTGCATCTCAGCTCGAGCGGTCGTATCGATCCGCATGTCGACAACATCGAAGCTTCGGGCGGATTGCTTGCCGGTTTGTCTCTGGGCTCCGAGCGAGTCATGCATCTCGAACGATCCAAGGATGACGCTTTTTCGGTCCTTTTGCCACCCGGCAGTCTCTACATTCAGCGCGGCACCGTTCGCTTTGACTACAAGCACTCGATCCCAGCCGAGGATACATGGCAATCACGTCTGGCAGGCGGGCAGCAGCGAGTCAGTCTAATGCTCCGGGTAAGTCTGCATATACTAGTACAATATACATCCCTGACTATGCGCAACAGGACCGACTCAAGACAGAAACCTAACAGCAAGTAAAGGGTTTGCCATCGATACGAAGCGCTTCTAGCTTGGCAAATTGGCGCGCACATGTCTCTGGCGATGCCCTACGACCATTGAGCAGTACGATCTCGAATGAGGCGAAGCGCAAGTCCTTGGCATTGCCCGTGATGAAATCAAACTGGCTCGAGGTCAGAACGCAAGAACGCAGATCGAGCCTCTCGAGCTTGTCCAATGGCGCAGGAATCGAGAGCGGTCGTGGCCAGTTTGCCTGATGTTCGCCCGCTAGCAAACCTTCTATGCGCAGCGAGCGGAGGGCAGGTAGCCTCAACAACAGGTAGCCAAGCACCTCTGTGCGCTGTGCAGCAAGATGGGGGTCGCCGACGGGCATACGCCAATCGAGCATGCACAAAGTTGTACTGTTGATCTGGCGAGGATCCAAGGAGTCGATGATGGCAAATTGTCGCCAGATCATGAGCTCCGTTGCATCTACTGTGAGATAGCCTTCCCCCCTGATCGTTTGCAGATTGGGAAGCATGGCCAAGAGCTCTTGCAGATCGGCCCAGGAGGTGTGATGGCTCCTATTGGATGCCTTGCGCGTGTTGACGGCGACGCTTCGCACAGTACGCCGCCTTTCTGGCCTGAGACGAAGCGCACGGATGAGTCCCTGACAGCGTGAGCCTGTTGGTGCCCTTATCATGAGCAAGGAACGCGCGCTAATCGAGTCCCTATTGCACCTTTACTGCTGCTGAATCCATCTTGTGACGTGCGGACGGGGTACAGTAGGCAGATGTGTCGGTACAGGTGTATCGCCGCAAGCTTGCCCCACGATCGGTCGACAAACAGGCAAGAGTGAAGCGTGCCGATGTCACCGGATGTCAGTAATTCTTCGAAGATGAGACTGAGTACGTCCTCCGGCAGCTCTGGTACACGTGAGAGAGCGGGATGGGCCACGTAGTCCGGACCAGCCGTGAGGAGGAGCAGCCTTCGCAGCATGTCGGGTCTTTGACGCCGCCGACGGACACACGACGCGTCTCCTCTGGCGTCATCATCGCATGCCTGAAAGAGCTTACCTGAGCTTCTTCGTCAAGGCCATCTCGAAAGCATTCCTTGGAACGGCATGTCGTGTACACGTCAACGGTCTCGAGCGATTCGTGTCTCTCGTCGAACGCAAGAAAGGATTGATCACTTATTCCAACCACATCTCTGTCCTCGATGATCCTCTCACTTGGGGCGTCATGCCCTTGCGCAATTGTCTCGACAAGCGCACTGTTCGTGAGTCGGTCCAATGCCCCGGCTGTGCTCGTGCTCACGGGATAGGCATAAAGGGACGACACTGGGCGCATCTGATATTTGCTTCACCAACCCGCTCTTCACAGCATTCTTCAGTGCAGGCCAGACGATAGAGACGCACCGAGGTGCAGGAATCTATCAGCATGCGATTGATGTGGCCATTGAGAAGCTCAATGCCGGGCATTGGCTACATATCTATCCGGAAGGATACGTTGGGCAGACTTCGCCGACGACGGGCAAGCTAAGACGCTTCAAATGGGGCCTAGCACGGTTGCTGCTCGAAGCGAACCATGCACTACCGCATGAGCAAGGCGTGGAAATTGTACCCATCTTCATACAAGGCTTTGAGAAAGTTATGCCCGAAGAACGTGGATTTCCTCGCTTCTTGCCTCGACTGGGTCAACGGATCACCATCACCTTTGGGGAGCCAGTCACTCAACTCGTCAGGCCTCTCATCGAGCTGGAAGATCTTTCAACAGGCAAGGTCGTCAAGCAGATCACGCTCCAGACAACAGATTCGCAAGAAGGCTCCCTGGCAATTGAGGACAGAGCGGGCGTTCGCGGCAGGCCGCGGCCACCACTGTATAAACGCGAAGATCCTACGCTGCCAGATCGACGCTCCAAACTCGTTGCTGTCTTGCAAGATGCGCTCGAAAGCCTCGGCGCCAGAACGCTGCCAGAAGCGTGACGGTGCCGCCAAGCGCACACATGAGAAATAAACTCTTGCCTGGACATCGCGCTCTCAGGCTCTCGTGCGCGGAAGATCCAGCTAGAATGGGTCGACGTTGGCGCAAGTGCTGGAACAATTGCCACACCTACCTCCAGCTACAGCTTGTCGAGTCATGTAGCACCTCGAGTGCCTGCTACGGTCCTCGGTCTGTTAGGATTTCGCGATGGCTCCTGGGTCACATTTCTCGTCGCTATTGTGCCTCACTCGTCTTTCACCCCATTGAGAAGCACAATAACAATACTGACTGTATAGAGACATCTGGTCTCACGAATCAATGCCCTCACTCGGTGGTGACCTTGAGATTGGCTTCTCGCAGAGCGCCATGCCGGACCGTAGAGCAAGCCTGTAGGCACATGCACTTCTTTCAATCGCGAGAAGCAAGGGGCTCAGAGGACTTCTACGTGATGTCTTCCTCAGTGAATGAGTAGCGCCTGCACTGCTGCACAACAAGCATGTCTAAGTACTAAAATGCGATCGCTTGAAGATTCGTGGAGATGATCATGTCCATCACGCTGCTCATGACGACCCGGAGTAGCTGAGTGTCTATCGCAGAAGTGTAGTGGCAGTAGACCGCCTTCTTCTTGTCGTGCACGCGGTCAAGGAACTGCCTCTTGAAATAGCTTCTGACGTCTTGTGAACTGCGCGAGTTACCCGTGAACGATGGGAAGAAGGCTTTCACATCCGAGGCCAGCACTTTGGTATTCAATAGATCCGTCTTGTTGAGCAGCAGAACCATGTCTGTCGACTTGAACCAGAGCGAGTTGGCAATGACTTCGAACAGCATCAAGGCTTCTGTCATTTGGTTGGACTGTTGATCTTCAAGCAGATATTGATCGTATGCTGCCACTGAAGCGACAAAGATGACGCAAGTGACGTTTTCGAAGCAATGAAGCCATTTCCGTCGCTCTGACCGTTGTCCACCTACATCAAAGAGTCTGTATTTCCGCTATCAGCGGTGAAGCTAGAAGGTGAGCAAGCGACGAGACCTGCCTGTAGTCATGATGCTGCGTCTTGAACTGGATCTCGTGTATACCAGTCGTCTTACCTCTACAGTGCAGAATGTCTTGTTCTGTGGGCGCATAACGGGGCGAAAACAAGCGATCCAGATGCGAATAAAAGTAAAGCGTACTGAAATTTCGTCTGAGCGCAAGCCCGACAGACAAAAGCAGAACTTACTTTTCGGGCAGTGCGAGAGCCGCGGATCGAAGTGTACACGCACGAGCGATAGGTTCGAGCCAAAGCGCTTGCATGGCGATACGGTATCGCGCCGGATAAGGCTGGCCCTCGGCAAGATGGGGAATGTCGATCCTGAAAAGATCCAGATGCCGCTCGTTGTCCTCCTCTTCGAGCGTGACTTTGCCTGCGCTTTCCTCGTCCAAGACACGCACAATCATCTGCATACTGACGCAGATGTTGCGAAATACCTGTTGTCTATATCGTTCCTGTGTGAAGCGCGGATCAGTCCCGTCTTGCCACAAGCCCGACGCGTGACTAACAATTTCGTGATGACCGAAGCCTTTGAGGTGAATGATCTTCATCTGCTTGAGCACAGTCGTCTTTCCACTTTCGCCCGGCCCGAGGAGAAGCATCTTGACTTGCTGAGCATAGATCTGCTCGTCTCGCTTGATCTCGCGAGTGATGAGGACATCGCGAGCTTTGGCTCGTGCCTCTTCCTCTGGCAGAGATTGTGCACATCCCATCTTTTGAGCTGAATGCAGCCGAGAAGCTGGAGCGAGAGAACAGAAGAGGACATGGTGTGATCACCGAGCAGTACAGCTCTCGATCAAGAGCACAAAGAAGAGCGGTCGAGGTTCGCCCGAATCGCCGAAGCAGCGCGACACGGCCGACACGGCTCAGCGGCGAAGCGAGTTGCGAGCCCAACAAGCATGGCTGATCTCGACGGCGAACCGCTTGCGGATGCTTCGGCTACGTCTGTAGCAGCACCAGAAGTCAGCTCTGTGCCGCGTTCCTCGCCAAAGGGCGACACCACCTCACCTGCGCTGCCAGAGACGAGCAGCTTTCCAGACGACACAGAGGATGGCGAGGCGATAGATGAGCCTCCAAGCGGCACTGTTGCAACAATGCGCAAGCGTGAGCGCGAGTCTATGGAAGGTGGTGCGACACCGACACCTGTGAGTCGCTCATGAGCTGCGCCTCGTTACGCCCTTTGCTGAAGTGTGCTCGCCATGCAGACCGGCAGCGAAGCAGACGAGAGCAGGATAACACACACAGCGAAGAAGAAGTTCGTCCTGCTCTCAGCTGACCAGCGCGAGAACTGACTTCGCAGCGCAGTCGACTACAGCCTGGCGATTCGCCGCGAGCGAGCAGCATTGACGGACAAGATCTGGACGATGATCTGCTGCCCGGTGACGAAGATGAGGAGCGCGCAAGTCCATCCACACCTCCAGAGACCGTACTTGCGCCGCCTATAGGAGGCTACAGCGCGCAGAGTTCCCACAATAGCCAGCAAACGCTCCTACAACAGCAAAGAGAATCGCTACAGGAGACGCGCAAGGTGGCATCCATCCGACAGAAGGTCGGCAGAATGACGACAAACGACTCTTTACGAGCTGCGACGCTTCAGACGGCTGCTGCGCCCGACGAAGCTGGACAGGAGGATGATGGTGCAAAGACGCCTACCGGTGTGGGATCACCAAAAGCAGCCACTGCTGATAGTGGTAGCTCGCCAAGGCCCGTCGCTGAGACCGTGGTGGCTGCTCCTGCGCCATTGACAGCAGCCAATCTAGCGGAGCGCACCGCTGCAGAGAGGTCCGCGGCGGATCTTGATGCTGCCAAATCCCGTTCAGTCTCGCCAAAGTCACCTCGCTCACAACCCACTTTTGCGTCCTTCTCGGGCGCCTCATCACCTTTTTCGCAAGTGCCAACAACTTCAAAGACGTCTCTAGGCGCAGCAGACTCGAGCCTTGCAAAGGTGCCGCCTGCTGCAGTGCCCGTCTTTACTTCTGCTTCCTTGCCACTTGTCACACCGGAAGCACCTTCGCCCGCTAGCTCTGTTCGAGTAGAAGTAGCCTCGGAAGCACCGGGACTGAGCAGACAGAACAGTCTACAACCTGCCTCTAGCCCCAGCACGGCTGGCGCTCGCATAAGTAAGCTGGACAAGCCAAGCGCGTCTGTGGCCAGCAAGTCACCGGAGCCACTGGCAGTGCCACCACCGACGCCTGCAACAAACAAGACCGATCTGTCAAACTCACAGTCGCCAACGCTCGCCATAAAGCCTCTCAGCGGTATAGCGGAGCGCGGCGCGAACGCTGCAAGCCCGACTCCGAGTACAAGTTCGAGCACAAGCATGGGCTTCGGCGCCTTTTCCGGTGGGTCTGGCTTCGCAGCAGCTAAGCCTACACCTGCCAAGCCCAGCTCTGGCTTCGGCGGCTTCTCATCCTCTGCTTCACCGTTCGGTGCAACGCCCTCAAAGTCATTTGGCACTACTTCCGCAGATATAGCGGGACCCAGCTCGACGCTGACGCCTAGCATGCGCAAGATGAACGATCCCTCGAGCAAACGGACATTTGGTCAGATTATACGCGACGGCAGTCCTGCAGAAGATGGTGCGAGTACAGAGGATGCTCGAAAGCGTCTCTTCTCTGAGCAAAGCAGTATGTCTGCTTTCGAAGCCTGCTACCGTTCCATTCTGATGCATGAAATCAGGCTTTACGGGCGAGGAGGAGGAATTCGTCATGCACACAGCGCGGTGCAAGCTATTCATCATGGATGAAGGTAATTGGCGGGAGAGAGGGGTCGGCACGCTCAAAGTTCTCAACAAGATGGAAGATGCTACGGCCCACCTCACTTATCGTCTGGGTATGTCACGTCCAAAATCCAGTGGTGTCTTGCTGACCGTCAACCAGTAATGCGAGCGGAAGGCGTCTTTCGACTTTTACTGAATATGCCTCTCTTCAAAGGCATGTCATGTGAGCTCGCGCAGGAGAAGTTTATACGCTTCAGCGGGCTCGATCAAGGCAAGATGCGCAGCTTCACTTTGCGAGTATGTTCTTACCCACTTACACTTTACGCGCTCTAATCTATTTACGCCCATTCAGTTAGGGACAGCAGCCGCTGCGCAATCGCTCTACAAGGTCATCTCTGTAAGCATCGATCAGCTCGATACTGTCTTGGATGCATGAGAATGGCCGTGTATGTTCTGGACCAAAATGAGATGGTTCAAGCTCAGATGTGAAGAGGCAATAAAAGCAAAGGCGCGCGCCGCGACAAAAGTACTTAGGAAGTATGCAATGACCGTAACCCATGGTCTATTGTCTAATTGCAGTGTAGCTCGCCGGCTTCTCTGCTTTTGGTTTTGCGATATTGGTGACAACAATGTAGTTCTCTAATGTTCTGCGTTGCTTGCGTTAAGATGTTGGTCGACAGCTAATCTAAGTGTAGGACCAGGTGATGCCGATGAGGCCGGCGCTCATGTCTGCGAGCGCTGAGAAGACGCCAGTGGACAGATCGATGGAGCCATAGCCGCAGGTGGGGCACTCGTCAGCGACGGTAGCAGTGACGCTCTTGCCGCCAGAGTAGATAGTGACCTGCTTGCCACAGCTGCCGCTGAACTGAGCAGAGTTCATGGCGACGATGTAGGCAGAGTCTGAGTTGACTGCGCCACAAGCACCGGCATTGCCGCCCTGGTAGTAGTAGGTGCCGGAGCCGCTGTATGAGCCGCTGTTAGCCGAGCCAGATGTGCTGGCACCGTAGGTGGTGGGCTTGGGGGAGTCGCCCGTGCTGGTTGCGGACCAAGGGGAGCTGTTGGGGCAAGCATACCAGCTGCCGTCGGCCTTGTAGTAACCTTCGCCGACGAGACCACCCTTGCAGCTGAGAAAGACGCGTTCAGAGTCAGCGCGTGTACTGTGACAGTGAAGAGCAAGTAGCTCACTCGTCGACCCAGCGGTCACCGGACCAGTAACCACCGCGCTTCTCGAGGGGAGCAGCGACGGCGAGGGCAGCAAGCGTGGCAGCGATGATAGTCTTTGCGAACATATTGAGAGTTTGTTCTTTGCTTGCGTTGGCTAGCTTGTAGTGATTGTGGTTGCGAGAGAAAGTGTGGTGAGGATAGAGGTGCGAGACAGGCGCTCTTTATGGCTTCTCACATCAGAGAGGGCGATGAGTATTTTCGGCCTGGCGCGAGCCATAGATTCAGTGACAAGCCAGATTCAGAGGTGGAGCGCAAGACAAAAGTGGACGCCGTCGCCCTCGTTCTGAGCTGCTCGATCGCGACAAAACTGGCTGAATTGCAATTTGCTATTCTGTCACGCCGTGGTTCGGCGAATTTGTCGAATGATCGAAAATTCACGAGCCACGTCGATCGCGTGAAGCGTTAGAAAGAAGAAATGCGAGAAAGGGGGTGGTGGGCGAGGACCAAGGGCGGCGAAGACCGGGCGTTGTGAGAAGGCGATGGTCACCCTCAGCCTTCCGATTCAGTCCAATTTGGCGAGTTGAAATTGCAAAGTGGATGTCTGAATCAGTCGTGCATGAGTGTGCACACGCCACGATCTGGGGGTTTAGCGTGGTCTGGCCAAGCATAGCCGCAGAGTAGCCGCATCGAGGGTAGCCACTTCGGTGTGTCACAGATGCTTACAGCAGGCCCAAGCATCGGAAGGGGATCTTGAACATAAGCGGCGGACACGTGCGTGGTCGGCGCTCGTCGTGCTCATTTGCAAATGTAACAGTCTGTCGTGTCGACATGGATGCGCGCGAGTCGCTAGAGTGATACGCGTACGAGCCTATCACAGTGTTTGCGCATGCCAGACTGAAGATGGAGCATCTGCGCTGTCGCATGCTGGCCATTCCCCTCGCAGCAGCGAACGCTGAGGATGGCCGCCGGAGCATGCTGATATGCTACCAAATGAATAAGTTTCAAATGCGAAAAACAATTTGCGTGAGCCTGGCGAAGGAGCATCATGCGTATTGAGACATGCTACTTCTGCTCGGCCAGGGTCTACCCTGGTCACGGCACCATGTTTGTGCGCAACGACTCGAAAGTGTTTCGATTCTGTCGGTCGAAGTGCTCAAAGAATTTCAAGATGAAGAGAAATCCTCGCAAGGTTCGATGGACCAAGGCATTCCGCAAGGCAGCAGGCAAAGAGATGGCCATTGACTCGACGCTCGAATTTGAGAAGAGGAGGAATGTGCCTGTCAAATATGACCGAGAACTGATGGAGCAGACCGTCAAAGCTGTCAAGCGAGTATCAGAGATCAGGTCAAAACGAGAACGGGCATTCTGGAAGAACAGGTTAGCTCGGCTCACTGACGATGCGCGTACGAGGCTGATATGAGAGGACAGGATGTCTGCACATGCTCCTATGGCTTTGGCAGCAGACTCGCTCGAAGTGACGCGCTCCTCGCACTTGCTGGGCCATACGCCCACCGAGAGGACAAAGAAGGCAGTTGCCGCTGCTCTTGCTCAATCTACATCTGCGTCTGTACCTGCAGAGGCAACAGAAGAGGCAATGACGACGGACGAACTGGTCGATCTGGCCCTGCAAACCTCGGCGCCACCCACGACGAAGCAGGCCAAGACGAGATCAATTGGTAAGGAAAAGATCAAGATCAAGGCGAGAGGCAAGAAGCCGGTCGTGTCAGCTCTCGTGCCTGCTGCTGGCGGTCGCTCGATGGATCTCAGCTAAACGAGCATGCTTGTTGTACTCAATTTGTCAAGTTTACGTTTGTTTCCTCTTCAGCCATGCTTGCAATGCACAGCTGCAGCGACCGGGGGCTGTGATGAGCCTGAACAAATCGTCTGAGTTCGGAGCTCTAGGCTATGCCGAGTCGCAACGAGCTCGTGCTGGCCTGAGGCTGGACAAGAAATCAGCGATGTGGCGGACTCATTCCGCCTGCAGTCGAGCGAGCCCTGCGGAGCTGCCCAATTCTTCTGCTAGATGCTAGGCTGGATACTGAGATCGTGCTCCAAGCTGACAGAGGCTATTTCGGCGGGACCTTATGTAATTTCCGGATGCTGATCGACTCTGACATTCAGACGATAATAGCAGGCAGTGATGCAGTGAGGTTGTCGTGCTTGTCAGCCGCTTTCACTGAAGCAGTTTGCTCTTGACCGACGAGCGTGCCTGCGTCGTCATCGCTCTCGTAGTCTTCATAGTCCATCTGCTCATCCGGTTGGTCAGCGCCAAGTGGTCATGCGTTGGCAACGTACATAATCGTAGATGACCCGTATGAGCAACGAGCAAGACGGACAGGTCGCTACTTCCTCGGCAGCAGCGAGTTGTCTCTGCATGCATTCCAATCCACGAGAGGTCGGCCTAGCAAGGAGGAGCTCACCTTTGAGATCTCGAATCGGTCGCCGCAGGGACAAGGGTAGTGGTAGACTCGTCTGTCGTCGTCCCAGACCATGTCCTCGATCTCAATCTCATCATCTGCTCACAAGATGTCAGCTGTAGGTCGACTGCAAGAAAGCAGTCCGGCTCACAGTACGAGACCATCGTCACTCCCTCTGCCGGCCAGGAGACAAATTTTGTCGCGATCAAAGGCAAGCCAGCGACCGAGAAGGCTCGAGGGACCCAATGACGGTGCCATGTAGAGCGTGTCGGGCGAGCTGCAGCATCCTGTCCAGACGCACAAGGTCAGGCGATCTCCATTCGGTGAAGCGTGCGCAGCCTGACCGGACGACGTGATATGCAGACCGACTGCGACACCTCGATCATGGCAGACCAGACAGGCCTCCACCTCTCGTGTCGTCCGGGCAGCCCAGTCCTCGCAGGCCACTGCAGCCTCGCCCTCTTCGCGTACGCTACCCACGGCACGAGGCAATCCGGATACGTTCATGACGTCTCAGATCCCCGACGGCTATGATATGGTGCCTATCCCCAAAGCTTTCCTCAAGCTTGAACACCTCCCTCCCACTCATGGCATACATGTAGCGTCGATACAGTTCAGGTGCTTCACGCCTCAGATCGAAGACATGAACTTTTACATCGATTTCTGTATCCGAGTCGCCAATGCGCTCAACATACCCGCCTCTTTCCCTGCCAGCTTGCCCATACGTACCAAGCTCGTCACCGTGCCCAAGTCGCCCTTTGCTCACAAGAAGTCTCAAGAGAACTTCTGGCAGAGACGGCATGCGAGGGTGATCAAATTGTACGACGCAGACGAACGCGTTCTCCAGCTCTTTCTGGCTTACATCCACGAGCATGAGATGGGCGGCGTAGCTATGAAAGCACAGACGATTGCTCATCGCAAGATGGGCTTTGCCAGGAAGACGGCGTCAGATGATGAGCCGTCTGATCAGATTGTCAAGAAGCTGGGCGAGAAGCTCATCGAGCAACAGCTAAGACGCAAGGCTGAGAATCAGGCCAAACTCGATGCTGCTCGTCCTCAGCCGGTAGCGACGCCAGAAGCCACACTCGTTTCGGGCCCTGTTCCTGCCTCGACGCCAGCTGCAGCAGCGACCGACGCCTCGCCAGACGTGCCAAAGGAGACTGCCGCACCGACAGAGCAAGAAGTGCCTGTTGCTGCCACAGAGGCCCCGGCGGAAGCTTCGCAGATCACAAAAGATGATCCGCCGGCGATACAAGCTCTTCTTGCGACTGCCGGCTCGGCCACCAAGGCGTCAACTGCCGCCCCTGATCACGCTGTCACTGCAGCAGCAGAGGACGAGCAGGGTGAAGCCACTGTCAGCGAGATTGCGCCGACAGCCGAGGCTGAAGCGAGCGAGGTACAAGCGGCGACTGCGCCAGCTGCAGCAGCCTCTGAAAGCGTGTCCGCGATAGCAGAGACAGCCAGCGCGTCCACCCCTGCCGATGACGCATCGAAAGAGTCAGTAGCAGAGATGACGCCTGCGACCAGCGTGGAGCAAGATCACTCCTCACACCCAACACAGTCCTCATCGCCGTCTCCGACTGCCGACGCAGCGAGTAACGAGCTGCCTAGCGAAGCCGTTGCTGCTCCAGCGGATCCATCGCCGGAAGCAACCGCAAATGTCGAAAGCGTCCCTTCAGCGACGCCTGCAGTCGAGGTATCGTCCGCTGCTGGACCGAAGCCCAAAGCGGCTGCGGCTGCGAAGAAGGCGACTCCAAAGACGACTGCAAGGAAACCGAGGGCAAAGAAGGAGACGTCTACAACAAAAGGAGCAAAGGCAGAGGTTGCAGATGCAGCGCATGCTGAGGCAGTGGCGACAGATCCGCCCATCGAAGCAAGCAAAGAAAGCCCGGCGAAGTCAGCCTCATCTTCTTATGAAACAGTGCCCACAGGAGAAGATCCGGTGACGACCGAAGCTGCAACAGCGGAAGAGCCTTTACGGGTCGAGGCAGTCGAGGAGCCTGCTATCGAGCAGGTAGCAGAAAGTGGCGCGCCTGACAGTGAACCCTCTGGCAGATCATCGTAGTCGTGATGCTCGTCGCTGTTGTAGTATTGCACCTCGCCGCATGACCTACCTGCCTCGGCCACAAAGCGAATGCCAGCCGAGCAGTGACAGAGCCATGCGTCGCGTCTAATAACGCGTCTTATACGATCTACTAGCTGTGCTTGGGCATGGTCACAGTGAGCTCTTCGTCGTGCTCCGAAGTTTGTTGTCGCTGATCACGATGGCTTCACAGTTCATTTTCTCGCCGAACGAACGAGTGCTCTGCTTTCACGGTCCGCTCATCTACGAAGCAAAGGTCGATTCTCAGCACCTACCCTTCCTCTTTCCACCGCTCATCTCACGTACTCCAGGTCCTGACGGCCGAGAACTGGACGGATGCACACAACTCTGGCCCAGGCAGAGGACCGCATTACAAAGTACACTACAAGGGCTGGAAGCAAACGTCCGTTTTTCCCTTGACCAATTCATTTCTCGCGACTGACTTGGGCACGGGTGCTTGGGGACAGATGGGACGAATGGGTACCCGAAGATCGAGCACTGAAGTACAATGAAGAATCGCTAGCGAGACAGAGGCAACTGATCGACTCGCGCAAGGCGAAAGATCGTGCAGAACGAGAGCACAATAATGCGCTCAAGGCGTCCGCTGCTGCTGGACCCAGCAAGCCCAAAGATGGCTCGAGAGGCACAAAGCGAGGCAGGGAGAGCGGCGTGGAGCAGGTGCGACTCGCCACTCTCTCGGAAGTCGGAGAAGGCTGAAGAGGCAATGCGTTGTGCAGGAAGAGGAGTTCTTGAAAAGACCCGAGATCAGACTGCCGATTCCTGACTCGCTCAAGATCCAGCTCGTAGAGGACTGGGAATCTGTCACAAAGAATCAGCAGGTGCGCATGCCAAGCTTGCCCGGACTTGATCAGCTGACTTGATGAGCAGTTGGTGCCTTTGCCACGCGATCCGACGGTGAGCAAGATTTTGTACAAGTATACCGAACATCTCAAGACCGTCAAGCCTACCGACAAGCTATCGTATATCGTCTTCTTTGTCCAGGTTGGCGATGCGCGGGACTGATGTGAGGCGCAGACGATCACCTGCAACGGCGAAAGAAGTCGTGGCAGGTCTGCAAATCTACTTCAACAAGGCGCTCGGGAACAACCTGCTCTATCGGTTCGAGAGACCGCAGTACGGTGATATCCGGAAGCAACGTCAGTCTCGTACCACCTGAGACACACGTAAGCTGATCGAGTGCACGCAGACGATGGCGTAGAGATGTGTGACGTGTACGGCGCAGAACACCTCTTGCGTCTGTTTGGTGAGACACTGACAGTCTAGCTCTGCAAAGCTGAGCAAGAGCGACAGTCAATTTGCCGGAGCTCATCGCGCACACGTCCATGGATCCAGAAAGCACGGGCATCATCAAAGATGCCCTCGGCGACTTCCTCAAGTGAGACGCCTGACCGCAAGTCGGAAGCCGCTGACGAAGGTGCAGATGGTTCGCCAAGAATCAAAAGACGTTCTTCGTGTCCCACTATGACAATTCGAGCCCGTCTTACCAATCTCTGGCGAGACAATAAGCTTGCAATCTACAATGCCACTGTGGCTTCGTCAGGCTCGTCCCATCGCAGCCATCGGCAGCCGATATCGTCGAGATGCTCGTCGTAGTCGTGCACAGTCTGATGCGCTGCCTCCTTGAGCCCTTGTAACGCTATTGCAGGCAGTTCAGGCGCGACCTTCAATGTAGGCGCTTTGCTCGTCCCTATCGCTCTTGTCTGCTCTCTATGAATCAGCGCCTCGTCAACAAGGCTGCGAGGAGGACATACGATGAAGCCGGTCTGGCTTGCTGCTGCTTGCTTTGCATCGAGCTACAGTCACAGCACTCGTCAGTCAGCCGACGGCGCGTACGGACCGAGAACGAAGCACCATCAGAAGTAGCGGCGGCGTTTGTGATCGCTTGGCTAGATGCAACGCCGCTTGCTCTAGTACTGGCGGTATCGCATTGTCGTCCAAGCGCGCATTGGCATAGTAGAACCCGACGAGTTGCTGCTTGGGTATCAACGTCGAAAGATGTGTGTCGAGCTGCAAGACTCTAAGCGTTCAGCACATGACAGGGGCTGCAAGCTGGGTGCTGACTATTGCCAGAGCCGACTGTAGAGCCATCGTGAGGCCCGTCCAGTGATGCAGCAGAGGAATGGCGTCGATGATATCCTCTGATGAGCTTTGGCTTGCAGTGAGGGCGCCGATACAGCATGCGTGTGGCCACTTGGCCGTGTGATAGAACGACCTCAGATAGCTCCTTCTGTGCAGCACGTAGCTCGACTCTGCCTCTGTCATCGTACCTGACACTCGACCTGACGGGTGACGTTGACTTGCTCGCGTCGTGTAGCGCTTAGCTGGCAGCCTCCTCCTGAGGACGCTCGAGTCTCTGCAAAGCAGCCATGGCATCGCCTGAAGAGTCATCAGACGAGCGTATGGCCGGCTCCTCCCTCACAGATGACGAGAGCAGACCAGCACGCCCACACATCGCACTAGACGCAGCAGCTCGAGCAAGTCGACAGACAAGACGGTCTCAAACGCCCAGCACGGCCACATCCTATCGTCCGGCTTCTAGCTTCGGCTATTCTCATCCTCCCATTCGTCCACAGCTTGGACCTGGTCTGGCCGGTACTTCACCGCCCCGCCCACGTTCACGTTTGGGCGGTTCATCAAAGAATGGACTGATTGAGATGGTCCCTGTGCCCGCTAGCGGAGCTTCCATGAACCGACAACCCGCAAAGACAATCAAAAAGGATCAGGATGGCCATGCGAAAGCGCCCAGTCTGACAAAACTGGACAACAATTCGAGGATCATCATCGTTTCCAATCGTTTGCCTGTCACGATCAGTCGCAAGGAAGACGGGACGTACGACTTTGCAATGAGCAGCGGTGGACTCGTCTCTGCTCTCTCTGGTTGCAAACGTCAGATGGCCTTTACCTGGATCGGCTGGCCTGGTGCGCAACCTTGCCTGCACCCGCGCCCTCTTTTCTGATGAGACGCGTCAGGGTTTGATCCGCCCGACGACGAGAAGGAAGAGCTCACTCGACGACTCATGGAAGAGTACTCCTGCAAGCCTGTCTTCATGTCGGCCGAAATCGCGGATCGGCATTACAACGGCTTCTCCAATTCCATCCTCTGGCCACTTTTTCACTACCGTGCGTTTGTTAGATGCGTCTTTGACATGTGCTCAAGGTCTTCGTCGTCGTCCACAGATCCAGCGGAGATCGTTTTTGACGAGCTGAACTGGCTTGCGTATCGTGAAGCCAACATGCTCTTTGCAGAGGCCGTCAGAAAGGAAGTCAGAGCGTCCGACATGGTATGGGTACAAGATTATCACCTCATGCTCCTGCCGATGATGCTACGCGTCACCATCGAAGGCCTCTCGAGTATGGGCGAATCGGCCGAGAAAGAGATGAAGAATCTCTATCGGGGCTTGCAGCGAACCGAGAGCAGAAAGCGAATCGCAACCCAGGGCGCAGGCACGAGCGATGGCGATACCACTCGAGGCAATATCAAGATTGGCTTCTTCCTTCACACTCCCTTTCCGAGTTCGGAAATCTACAGGTGCACTTCTTTCGATCGTCCAGAGACGCGGCTGATGCGCCCACAGGATCTTGCCGGTACGGCGAGAGATCTTGATGGGTCTCTTGCATTGTGACCTCATCGGCTTCCACACCTACGACTATGCCCGTCATTTTCTGTCGAGTTGTACGCGCATTCTCGGCGTGCCCACCATGCCCAACGGTGAGCTTCTTTCACGAGTGAGAGAGGGCGAAGCTCATGTGGTCGCGCAGCTGTCGAATTCGATGACCGGTACGCCAACGTGGGCACCTTCCCCATCGGCATCGATCCGGACACTTTTGTCGAGGTTGCTTCTCACCCTTGTCGCATGATCTCGGCTGACACATCGGTCAGGCGCTGGCTAAACCGAAAGTGTCGGATCGGATCGCTGCTCTCCGACATCGGTTCGAGGGCATCAAGATCATCGTTGGCGTGGACAGACTCGACTACATCAAAGGCGTGCCCCAGGTGCGCAGTAGATTTCATGGATTTTGAGCACGCTGACATGGTAACAGAAACTGCACGCCTTTGAGATCTTTCTCTCAGAGCATCCGGAATGGATTGGTAAGGTCGTTCTCGTTCAAGTCGCGGTACCCTCTCGAGGCGACGTCGAAGAGTATCAAACCTTACGCGCAATGGTCAATGAGCTCGTCGGACGTATCAACGGACGATTCGGAACCGTCGAACATATGCCGATACATTTCATGCACCGGAGCGTCGACTTTGACGAGCTGTGCGCTCTCTATGCCATCTCTGATGCCGCTCTCATCACTTCTACACGCGACGGCATGAACCTCGTACGTCTATGCGCTGCCTGGTAGAGACAAAGACTGAGACGGAGTCAGGTCTCATACGAGTATATCGCTTGTCAGAAGGGTCAGCACGGCGCGTTGATCCTATCAGAGTTTACGGGTGCTGCGCATTCTCTCAACGGATCCATCATCGTCAATCCTGTACGTACTTCGTCTCGTCTACCGATGGCGATTGACAGTTCTGCAGTGGAACACAGCGGAAGTAGCGGACGGCATTCACAAAGCGTTGACGATGCCGCCCGCATTGCGCAAGGCGAACTACGAGAAGCTCTACAGCTACATCTCCAAATACACGGCCGCATAGTGAGTCTTTCTTGACTTGCCCTTTACCGTCACACTCAAGTGACGTGTAGCTGGGGACTCTCATTCGCAAGTTGGTTGCAACATCAGGCCTAGATACACACGCAGGATACGATCGTGTTGATGTACAAACACTGCAGCGAGATACAATGATTATAGATGGACCATGTCTGGCCTAGAGACCTGGCTGTCTGCAAACGGATTCTGTGCATCGGACTCGGGCGTATTTGGCTGGAAGCTGCTTCGTGTTCGTCCTGTGCTTTCCGAATAGATTGATGAAGACGAAACGCGCGACATTGCGAGTTGGGCATGCAAAAAGGCCAGATAGCTTTGCTGCTGAGGTGCTCGCTCGGCATACGATGGCGGCGACGACGACAGTCTCGAGAGGTGGTTGTGCCGTTTGGGAAAGGATGTCTGCGCCATATCACCAGCAGCAAAAACGTCTGTCATTGAGCTTCGCATGGTCGATGTTGGCGAGGAAGGTCTCAATCTTGCGTGCGATCTTCGCGAGCGTGATCGAGAGACTTTGCGTGCTACGAATGTGAGTAGCATGGCAAAGAGCACGAGCGGGACGAGAATGGCAACGATGAGGATGCTCGATGAGATGTGGGTCGGAGAAGTCTGGTCAGTGCCGGCTTGTATAGAGGTCGGCAGTGGAGTGACAGGTTCCAGAGCGGTAGGTGTGGGTGAGACGATGGTAGGTACGGCGAGAAAGGTACTCGTTGGAGCTGCTATGGCGCTCGTGGCACTCGTCTTTGGCTTTCGGCCCTATCTCAATTCAATGTGAGATATATGCGTCATTTTGGCAGTAAGCTCACTTTGTAATCGCTTGCTGCAATGTTGAAGAGCTTGTCAGAGCTACCGCAAGGATCGCTGGTCATGCCAGGGCAGTCTGCGTTGCATCTCGAGATTGCCACCGCATCCTGCAAAGAATCAGCCACAGAAATCAGGAGATACCAAAACACAAACGTCTGCATCGGGAAAGCCTAGACATCCACAAGCACTGATGGAGACGCCAAAGTAGCCATAGTGCTGATTTTGACAGTGATCTGCGCATGCTTGCCAGGCGACATTGGAAGTATTGCTCGAGACCGCGCTCAGATCGGAAAGGCCGAGCGTATAGCAGCCAACGTATGCTTGGGAGTTGATGTTGTAAGGATCTCGCTCCACGCTGACATCCTGCGCTGATGAGCTGCTTGAGGCCGGACTGGTCGAAGCGTTTTGAGCAGTCTGATTGGACGCCATTCCATCGTTTCTTGGTGATGGCGGTGCAGGATCGCGATCAGCTTTCTTTGGCATGCTGGTACGATAAGCTCGCTTCGGAAGGAGGAGATGAGATGTATCGCCGCAGTGCTGCGAGGGCTGTGATCCGACATTCTGCCGCTCTGCCTCTCAGAGAATCGGCTCGGTAGCGAGAAAGAGGCGAATTGTAGTCCGTGCGCAAAGGTGAGAATGCATTGAACAACACTGCACAAAGAGGATGACGAGAGAGAGGGAGATATCGAGGAGGTCAGGTAAATCCCTTGTAGGGTCTTCACAGCGCAGCGCGGAGACGCAAGCATCGTCCGGCTTGCTCGGCTAATGTAGATAAGTTTGTATTTGATCATCATTGGATGGGATGAGGAATGTAGGCTACCAGAAATGACGCTATGAGGCGGAAGATGAGGCTGCATTGTTGGGTATAAGAGGCCAAGCGCAGCGGACAGACGAACGCGCGTGCGGAACAGCGCAGAATAGAAGAAAAAAAAACGAATTTCAAGAGAGACACGCGCGCGAAAAATGAATGTTTTCAGCCGAGACGCCACCCCGCTGCTGGACGAGCCAGCTGCGAGACTTCCTCGCCGGTCAATCAGGCAGTTCTCTCGAGCGAGAGTGTGCTCAGCAGTACACGGATCCGAGTCACTGGATCAAACAGGTCGTCAGGAGACCCATTTGACCGAGAGCGACTCGATTGCGAGCGCCAGGCACCGTACCGGAGAATCGCCCACCCTGCTTCTCTGGCAAGCTTGGACTCGTTCCGTCTGCCCACCACCGACGCATTGGTGACCACGCCACGATAGCTACACTATCTATTGATACACATCCCTGCCAGCAAAGCCAGCAAGACTTTATCGCCCGCAAAGGATCTGTTCAGCCAGGCACAGCACCGCGCTCAACCGCCGGCTCAGACCGTCACCCTTACTGTCGAGGCCTACGGCATACAATTGGCACCCGCTGACCGAGTACTCTGCTACAGACACGAGCGCGAGCTTTCCGCTCGGTCGCGAGAGTAAGCAGACTCGATCCGAGGTCGAAGCGTCAGATCCTCGCAGTCTTTGCAGAAGATTGTCTGCCTCTTACGCGGTCAGCTCGACCTCATTGACGGACTTGTTAAGCTCGTCTGCACAAGGGCATTTCTCACTTCCAATCACACGGCACGCTATTCACACTTTGTCTCCCTCACATTGCGATAGAGTTTGAGCCTCATCGAGCCTAGATCGCTCGCATCGCATCGCCTTTAGGTCAGTCCATCCAAGTAACACCGTATCTGAGCCCTAGCTGACTGTCATTGCTCATCCCTTCTCACTGCTGACCGTCGTTGCCACCTTTTACACCGCTCTCCCGCTCGTCTGCATCTGCCGCATACCGCCTACACTCTCCACCTCGGCCGTGGCTAAATCTGCCGAAATTGTTCGCCTGGATCAATGTCAACGCTGTGTTGCTCTTACGCACGGACGTCGCTCCATCTCGCCTTCACGCGCATCGGTTGATATTACGCGCTTCTGTGCAATCAGGCGCGATCTACGCTGCCCAGCATGTTCAGCTCGGGCAACTATGACGCCGACGAGCGCAATGCTCGTCACAGGCAACACTCGACAGAGTCTGGCTCATCCAGACCGTCTTACGAGATGCCCAACAGTCGCAATCTTGGCACTTTTGGGTATGGCTCATCTCAGGCAAGCCCTCATCACTCGCACCAGAACTCATCAGTCTCTTCGGTCTCTGGTGTGGACGATGAGGATGCGCCATACCATCCATCGGCGCTAGCACAACAGCCTTATCATTCGCTCTCGACGTATCAGCAGACTTCCAGACCAGGCACGCCTGGTCTTGACGCTTCGCCAGATCGTAGAGATACCGACCGGACCTCCAACGGCTCTTCGAACTCGTCTGGCGAACATACCAAGGTTGACTCTAGAAGTCCGAGCGAGCAGAATCTGCGCGATCCACACCGAGAGGTTCGTTTTGACCGCTTGCATGTTGACGTGAACTCAACTGACCGATCATGTCTTAGTCTGATGCGTCTCACTATGACAACGAGGGCATGTACAACCAGCGATCCAACGATTCGACCGCCTACATAGGCTCGCCCGTCTACCCGCCAGGCTCGCCCACTTCCGGACAGTCTCACAATGGCATGTTCGGTCAAGTTTACGGCAGTCGCTATCGGCAAGGCTCGTACACAACCGATAGTGCTCGCGCATCAACGATCTTGAATGACCAGATCCAGACTATACCCTACAACAACTCTTCGCGGGTAGCGCTCAATAGCGAATGGCGAAGCTCTGTTGGTTCGGATCTCGGTGGGCATCACAAAGATGCTCTTTACGGTACCGGCAAAGAAGGCTTCGACTCGGGCGAGATGGCCATCCTCGATCCTGACACAAAGGAGAAGTCAGGCGGCAAGGGCTCGACTTATGTCTCTCTACCACCAGGCTCGCCTACAATGAACGAAAAGGGCGGATTTCCCGCGTCGCCGACCAAGGCAGAACCGGCAATTGTGCTCAGCCGTGTCAATCGTCTGGCCTGGATCGACGGGCTCCGTGGTCTGGCATCGATTGTCATTTTCACCCATCATTTTGCCGATCTGACATGGTCACGGAGTCATCCCGATACACTTGCAGAAGGCTCGGTCTACTTCTTCATCCGCAACGGTCAACTGGCGGTCTGCATGTACTTCTTGCTCGGTGGTCGCGTTCTGGCGCACTCGTTTCTCAAGTCCGCCTTCGCTGTGCCTAAAGTCCCCAAGGATTCGCACGGCGTGCCGATTCCGGGCGCAGTAGCACCCAAGATGGGTTCGCCTAAATGGCTCACATTGTCTTCATCGCTCTTCCGTCGCTCAATCCGTCTTGCCTTGCCCGCCATCGCCATTGGCTTCATTCAATGGGTCGTCGCTAAGTCTGGCATCATCAATGATACCCCGATCCAGGCCGCAACGATGTACTTGCAACCTAGCGATCTTTGGGCGCCAACGTGGAACTACATTGGCAACTTCTGGGGTTTCCTGCAGTTCGTTCTCGATCTGTTTACGAATAACAACCATCAGTACATGCTGGCCGCTGGCTCGGCTCTCTGGACGACTTACAACCAGTTCTGGGGATCTGTGCTTGTCTACATCGTCGCTGCTACCGTCGCTCCCCTCGCCTGGCGCGGCCGATACCTGCTATACTCCCTTATCTTGCTTGCGCTCTGGCATTACTCCTCACCCAATTTCCTATACATCGCAGGACTTTGGCTGGCCGACGCTCATGCGGCCGGGTTCATCCGCAAGATCCAGGATCATTGGATGCCCACGGTCGCTATCGAGATCTGCGTCATGGCGATAGCTCTGGCGTTCATCGCAGGAGGAGGCAAGGTAGCCACGCCTGCGAACAACGCTATTGCTTCCATCTCGATCAACGATGGCAAATATGGTTATGATGCGACACTAGTCTGGCCGCAACTCATGCTGATGGCCAACTGGATCCCGCCCACTATGATCATCATCTGGATCGAGCTCAGTCACGCCATGCAATGGTTCGCCAGCTGGGGCATCTTCGTCTGGATCGGCAAAGTCTCCTACGGGTTCTATCTCATGCAGTTCCTGACGCTCTACGGCATCATGCCTCATCTGATCATCCACTTTGCCAGCCAAGGCAAATCGTACTGGGACTATGTCATCCCCGCATACATCCTGTCTTTACTGTTCAACTTTGTCGTCGCATGGGTTGCTTATCACGTACTCGATCGTCTCGGTCTTAAGCTCGGCAAGTGGATCTGGGACGGCTTCTTTGTCACCAAGCCGAAAAACGCAAGCGCACTGCCTTACAAGATGGTTCGCGCTTTCGGACATTGGGTCGTTCACCAGCCTGGTGAGAGCTATCGCGACATGGTCAACGGCACGGCAAGCTCTGTTCGTGGCTTCATCAAGACCTGCAAGACCATTCGGCATTGGCGTTCGCCGGCGGTCAGACCCGTCATTGTCAGCCCAACCGATCCGGATCTTCTTGCTCAGCTACACTCGACGCGATGGACTGCAGATCTCAGTCAGGACCGCGAAGCGGTCAGAACGGCACGCTTGCTCAACGTCCAGCAGTACGCCTGGCTCGTGCACATTTGGCTGATCCCTGCTATCGCCGGCATGTGGGTCTACTTCCACCCTACGGGTGGCTGGACATTTGACGGTATCACCTTTTCGACTCTGTGGCGATTCATCTGGATCCTGTCGGTGCCGAATTGTCTCGCTGCCTACATTGGCTTCTGTACACCCGATCGAGCGCCGAGCAAGAAGGTCATGGATAAGAAGCCCGTTTGCCGAGAGCATATCCGCAACTTCTTCATCTTGCTCGTCACAAAGGGCTCAAACGAGGGCGCGGTCCGACGTGGTTACAACAAGCTCATCAAACTCGAGAAGTACCATCCTGCAGTCAAGGTCATCCTGCTTTCCGACGAGCCATACTCTTACCCTGGTGCGTCGCTTGGCGTAATGACGTGTATCTGCGCTGATAGTCGTCTGCAGATCTGCAAAATGTGGTTTGTCCCAAGGCGTACAAGTCACCGCTCGGCAAGGCAAAGTACAAAGCCCGCGCGCTTGACTATTTCCGATACCATGTCTCACTTGGCGTGTACGACTGGATTTTGCACATGGACGAAGAATCGGTCACAGACGGAGAGTCGCTTCGTCGATGCATGGACTTCATCCGATACACGCCACATCACTTTGGTCAAGGCATTATCCTATACAATGGCGAAGGCTTCTGGAACAACTGGTATTTCACTGTCGCAGACGGTATTCGTGTTGGCGACGATCTCGCGCGCTTCCACTTCCAGAACAGCGTCATTCATCGGCCAGTCTTTGGCGTCCACGGCTCTTTCCTCATGACATCTGGCGAAATGGAAAACGAGTGCACTTGGGATTTCGGCTCGCTTGCCGAAGATTTCGAATTCTCCCAGGACGCATGGAACAGGGGCTTCACTTGCGGACGCATACACGGCATCGTTCGCGAGCAGTCTCCGACATCCTTGCGCGATTTCCTCAAGCAACGTCGGCGTTGGTTTATGGGTATCCGAGACATCAAGGGTCTTTACGGCTTACCGAATCTCGCTATCAACTTGTGGATCGTCGGCGTGTTCACGCTCGCAGTCACAATCATCAATTTGCCTTTTGGTACGTTGCTTGACGTAGCATCAATTTGCATCCGCTGACCTGCAGATTGCAGTCATCATCGACAGCTCAAAGACACCGCTCTGGATCGCCATCTGTGCCGATTTCTGCTTCATTACGTTCTACACGCTATATCTATGGGGTATTCTATTCCAAGAGCTTGACGCAGGCACAAAGTGGTGGAAGATCTGCATCCACATGCCTTGCTCGATCGTCATCCAACCGTTTGCTTCGGTCGCAGAAGGTCTGTCGGCTATCTGGGCAATGAGCTCCGAAGACTTTGGCAAATTCGAAGTCATCGTCGTACGTACTTCTGCTGCTTCACCGCAATCGAATGCTGATGTGCTGTCAATCTGCAGAAAAAGTAAGGTAGCTCGCACACCCCGCCCGGCAGACTCGCATCATCGCAATCTCATATGGACACTTTGTTCGCACACGACCGTAGGCTCATTGCCACACAGCTCAGTGGTCTTCCTGTGCCCTAGACATGTAATGCAATCATTATGGCATCCATAGTTACTGCAGCGTGAATGTCACCGCGCTTGGCAATGACCACGTGACGTGAAGCGGCCGACAGGCCACCCCGCACTTGATTCGTCAAAGGTTGCAATCACTTACTCGACGCAATAGGACACAAGCAAGCGCGGACAGTATCGAGTGAGGCAAGCACGTCAAGCACGTGCCTGCCTCTGCGCTAGAGGCTGCGCCGCTGCACACTACGCTCGACCGCTGTCCGAGGCTGCGGAACGGAGCAAAGAACCGCGTGACCACCTTTGTCCGAGGAGCTGAGCCTGGGTAGCTGACCGAGCGTGCCCAAGAGCGCCCTCGCCTGTTCATACGGTTCGATAAAGCTTCGTACCAACCAACCTCAACAGTCATACGCCTAGCACAACGCTGGGGAACGCTCGTTGGGCTTATCGCGCAGTCATGTCCACGCCGAACACCAACGCAAAGTCAGCTGAGGACCAGAAGCAAGAAGCTTATCAAAGCAGAGCCAGAAGAGCATCGCTATCTACAGTCAGCCATGACGATGTAGGCTTTGCGTTCGCTCACAATCACTATCAATCGCCCAAAGCGACTCGTAAGCCGGCCCTAGAGCCACTCAAGGAGCAGACGATCGCCCGTACCGACTCCGGTCGAGGGAAGAGTCGCTCTTCATCGTTCTCTTATCCTACTGGACCAGGCTCGGACGATCATCATCTGCCGCGTGACGCACTCGAGACTGACTGCCGTTTCAAGCTCTTGCACGGCCCAATCGATCACCCCACCACGCCCCAGCCGCAGCCTCATCATCAGCGACCTCACCACCATCCTGGCGGACATCATCACTCGCATACCCTTTCGCATCCGCCCGAGATCCGCTTGACCGACCTGGACAAGACGACGGCGGAACCGGCTGACAGGCCCGCGGGCATGCTGGCCACCCTGCTCTCCATGGGCGGACTAATCTCGCCGAGCATCAAGACCTCTCCCCTACCTGTCGATGCAATCGACGCGCCTGCCACGCCCCGACAGCTGTCAGTGCCGAATGCTGCATTGTCCGCGCCATCAGCTTCACAAGCTCCAGAGCTCACTCCTGCCGGCTCACCTATGTCGACGGCATCATACGCATCAGAAGCGCGCACGCCGCTGTCTACCTCTCCTCTGTTCAAGCATCTCTCGCTGCGCGACCGTGATGCCGGCTTTCCCGGTTTTGAGCTTTGGAAGTCACGACTCGAGGCAGCAGAGGAAGGCGATGGTGTGGCAGATCTCAAGCCTACGTCGCCAGATGAGCTACGTCACAATCGTCGAAGCTCATGGGGCTACAGTCTCAACAACTCTGTTCCGGACCATTTCTCCTTGCAGAGTCCGCCCCTCGCATCGCCGGCTGTAGATTCATCTGTCGGCGGGGGCGCATTGGGTCTCTTTAGATCACTCAGTCTGACGAAATCCGGACCGGTCAAGCTGCCTCAAGTTCAAACTGCTGCTCAGCCTGCTCCCCCTGTGCCTATCGCCGAACCGGAGACTAGCCCGAGCGAGCGTCCTGGTCGCCCAGCCGCTCGTCGCAAAAGCGTCCGAAAGCTTAGCCCAATGTGAGCCTACTTGCAAATCATACTCTCCTCGAAGCTGACAAAGACTGACAGGGGCGAGCGAATGATACGCTCTCATCAATTCTAGGATGTAACGCAGAATGTCTGGGCTAAAGCTATCAAGAATAAGAACACGATCATGTTGTACGATGTATTGCAACTCTACAATCCGACGGACTGTCCCTTTTTGTTGCCTCTCTCGAGGCAGTCTACCTCTATTCCCCTCTTTATAGTTCTATTGCCTCTCCAGCTTCGTTGTGCTTGTGAGTGATGCCAACACCTGGAAAGATAGACGATGGCAGGCTGAGGATGTGTCACAGCTTGCTCAGAGATTGAGGCGCACCGGTCAGAACGCCATGAGCTCGGCCATCCGGCATGGGGTCGTAGCGTCTCTTAGCAATGTACGCGTCCATCTCTGCGTCCGTCATTCCTTTCAGATCCTTGTTGCCGTCAACACCCTGCCGTAGCGAGTCAGCTCATGAGCAGTACCACACAAGAGGATGCTCACTAGAGCTTGAGCAGTCTTGACGACTTCTCGAGCAATAACGGCACTGATCTCTCTGATACGTGGCAGAGAGGGGTACAGCATACCGGGCGTGTTGCGTTCTTCTTCGTTCATGGAGATACTAAGCGATTCTGCTGCTGTATGCACGAGACCTTCCGGAATCTTGGTGACTTGCGCCATGATGCAGCCTAAGCCAAGGCCGGGAAACGAAAAAACGTTGTTGCCTTGGTTATTCTTGCCTGGCCATCTCTCGCTAGGCCATGGCGAGCCGCTTGCAAAGATGGCACGTCCTTCTGACCAAGTCATGGCTTCTCTGAAGGTACACTCGCTCTTGCTCGAAGGGTTGGACAGAGGGAAGATGATAGGCGCATGCTGAATCTCTGCCATGAAGCGCACAATGTCTTCTGTGAAAGTCGATCCGACTGTCGAGAGACCCAACAATGCAGTCGGTCGGACGTGTTGAACAACGGACAGCAATGTCGTCAGCCGTGGTGCGTCTGCTTCTGGCCGCGAGAAGTAGACTTTGTGCGCGGGAAGCTTGTCGCCTCGATTGTCCGCTACCAGGCCCTGCAAAGCTGTCAGATCGCGATACAAGCCCATTGCAGGTCACACACTTTAGAATCGACGAGCCAGAACATCCGTCTGGCTGTCTCCTCTGGTACGCCTTGCTTGACGAAATGCTCGCAGATGAGCTGAGCGATGCCGACAGCCGCCGAGCCCGCACCGAAGAAGACAAGCTTGTGATCTCTGAGCGGGGAACCTGACTGCTTGATTGCGTTGATGATGCCTGCGAGGCAGACTGCAGCTGTGCCCTGGATGTCATCGTTGAAGCAAGGATATTGCTCTCGTTGAGAGGCCAGCACATCAAAAGCCCTGTGTCAACACACGTCAGCTTTGAACCTCGTCTTCAGGCGGAAATGTACAGTTCGGTGTTGAGATCCTCAAACTGAACAATGAGCTGTGGCCAACGCTTCGAGACCGCGACCATGAACTCGCTTATGAATTCTTGCGCCTGTTCGTTGGACACGCGCGGTTGCTTAATGCCGACGTAGAGCGGGTCTTGCAGATTCTTGGCATTTGCAGTGCCAAGGTCAAAGACAATGGGCAGCGTCCTGCTCGGGTCGATGCCGGCACAGGCGACATATAGAGACAGCTTGCCGATGGGAATGCCCATTCCGTTCACGCCGAGATCACCTAATCCGAGAATTCGACTGCCGTCAGTAGCAACTGCGATCTGCGGCGCTTCGCCAGGATAGCTGTTGATGATATCTTGCAAGTGACCCTTGTCGTGCCATGAGAGGTAGAGCCCATTATCGACGTAGGCGAAGATGTGCGAGAATGACAGACATGCGAGGCCGATCGTAGGCGTGTAGACGAGACCTAACAGTTCCGAAATATGGTCGATCAAGAGGCGGTAGAATAGGTCTGTGTTGCTTGCTCGCAGACCGCTCAAGAACTCGTACTTGTCCAAGTCATCCGTCTTCTGGCGCAGACGTGCAAGCAACCGCTTCTTCTGGATCTCGAGTGTGCCAATCTCGGCGGGTAGCGAACCTCTATACCTGCGAATATCTTGCGAGTTGCTTTCAACGGGCGCAAGGGCAGTAGGGTTGGGTGTTGTTCCATTCCCTGTTATTCGAGTCAATACTGAATGAAGAGTGGAGTCGCGGCAGATACGTGCCATTGAGCGAAAGCCAAGGTTTAGCATCTTTGGCTTGCGTCTGAGTAAACTGATAGCGATGATCGTCCGCGAGTCGGTTGGCATCATCTGCTGGCGAATGCTTGCCGTTCAGACCAGCTACATGGCCATTCGTTTTGCTATCGTTGACCATGCTCGAAGCTTGTCTGGACGAGCCAGAGACAACTGAATCGAAGTACGTCAGCTTGACCTGCCTCTCGCACGCTGAAGGTCGCCGGGGAAGTGTCGTGTGACGTTGGGAGACAGATTGTCGCTCTTTGCTTGATGCAGCGTGGCTCTCGCTCAAGGCGTGCAGATGTCGTACTTGCTCGGGGACGGTAAGAAGTCGTCTGGTTTGCCTTGCAAGACGGAAGGATACTGCTTTCATGCATGCACCCTGCAAGCTAACCGAGACCGAGCGCCGCCGGCCAGTAGACAAATTAGAGTTTGCGCTTTGCCGCGTCCAAGAGAATTGCGTGCGCGCAAAGACATAAAAGTAGTTCCACCAGAAGATGGTCGCAACAGGTGAGTGTGAGAGCTATAGCGCCCGCCTTTCTTGCTGATATGTCACTCTTGGGTAGCGCTCCTGTCAGTCTCTGACAAGTCTGGCCTGCTCGACTTTGCGCGTGGCCTGCATGAGGCTGGTGTGCGCCTCATTGGCTCTGGCGGTACGGCAAAGGCAGTCAGAGAGGCTGGTCTCCCCATAGAGCAAGTCGAACGCTCGTCGTACTCTTTGCGCTGACGTTCGGGCTTCAGAGATGTGTCGTCTATCACGGGCGCGCCTGAAATGCTCGGTGGCAGAGTCAAGACCTTGCACCCCGTTGTTCATGGAGGTACGCCCCCCCCCCCAACACTTGCGCCCTCTTCTCTTGGAGCTGACAGTCGAGTCAGGCATCCTGTCACGATCCATCGAATCTGACTTGGCGGACTTGAAAAAGCACAATATTGCGCCCATTGACATTGTCGTTTGCAACTTGTACCCCTTCAGTCAGACGGTCTCAAAGGTGCCTGCGCCATCAATCGCAGAGGCAGTTGAAGAAGTCGACATTGGCGGTGTCACACTCCTGAGGGCAGGCGCAAAGAATCATGCAAGGTACGTAACGCGCTCATAGGGGTCAACCAGCTAAAAGAGGGCTCTTGGCAGAGTAGCGACTCTCTGCGATCCTGCCGACTATGCACCTTTTCTTGAAGAGTGGAATGCGACGAGCGGCAGGCCAAGCACTGCGCTCCTCAACCGGTTTGCTTTGAAGGCGTTCACACACACGGCGGCATACGACACTGCTATCGCCAACTACTTCAGAAAGAGCTATGCCTCGACGGAGCTCATCCAAGAGGCAAAGCCAGAGGATCGAGCTGCTGCCCGAGAACATGTCCAACGCATCGAGTTGCGATATGGCGCAAATCCCCACCAGAAGCCTGCGCAAGCATATGTCACGGAAGGCAAGCTGCCCTTTACAGGTACGGCCATCTAGACTCGTATCGCGTCAGAACAGCTCACAGGTTGTTACAGTACTGTCTGGCTCACCTGGCTACATCAATCTGCTTGATGCGCTCAACTCCTTTGCGCTCGTCAAAGAAATGTCGCTCGCTTTCGATCCGCCTTTGCCTGCAGCAGCATCCTTCAAGCACGTCAGCCCGGCAGGCGCAGCAGTGGGAACATCGCAGCCACTGAGCGAGACCGAGGTCAAAGTCTTTGATGTTGCTGGTATTGAGCTCTCGCAACTAGCGAGAGCGTACGCCAGAGCACGAGGCGCCGACCGAATGTCATCGTTTGGCGACTTTCTCGCGCTCTCGCACACTTGCGACGTACCAACAGCCAAGATCATCTCGCGCGAGGTCTCTGACGGCGTCATTGCGCCAGGCTACGAGCCAGAGGCGCTCGAGATCCTCAAAAAGAAAAAGGGGGGCAAGTACTGCGTCCTACAAGTGAGTCTATCCAGACTGGAGTGTGACGAGCCTGATACAGCATCGACAGATGGATCCCACCTTCGAGCCATCGCTGGTCGAGACTCGACAAGTCTACGGTGTTTCGCTTGAGCAACGTCGCAACGACTGCAAGATCGATGCGTCGCTCTTCACGAATGTTGTGTCTGATAAGAAAGAGGTGCGGCGATCAAGTCGAACAAAGGCTTCAGCTCATGATGTTCAATCGCGCAGATCCCCAGCTCGGCCATCACAGACTTGATCGTTGCCACCATCGCGCTCAAGTATACGCAGTCCAACTCGGTCTGCTATGCTCTCAACGGGGGTGTCATCGGATTGGGTGCCGGACAACAGTCCCGTATACATTGTACGCGACTCGCAGGCGACAAAGCCGACGTCTGGTGGCTCAGACATCACCCAAAGGTGCTAAATCTGCCCTGGAAAGAGGGCACGAAGCGGGCAGACCGGGCCAACGCGATCGACCTTTACGTGACGGACACGATTTGGCAGATCGACGAATCGAGCTCAGAACGCAAAGACTGGCAAGCGCTCTTCAAGAGTCTGCCCGAATGCATAAGTCCATCAGAGCGCAAGCAATGGCTCTCGTCGTTCAGCGGCGTCTCTCTCTCGAGCGATGCCTTTATGCCATTCTCGGACAACGTCTACAGAGCCAGCCGTAGCGGAGTGAGCTACATCTGTGCGCCGTCCGGCTCGGTCATGGACGGCGCTGTCGTGTCTGCAGCCAATGAGGTCGGTATCACGTACACCTTTAGTCCGCTAAGGTTGTTCCATCATTGAATAATTGTCGACTTTGTCCGTGACTCGGAATTAAGTGAGCGACGTCAAATTGGCGTGAAATGCAAATTGGCTGCAAGCGCGCACATAAGGCCGTAAGGCAGGAAGCACACGCCCACTCGTCGGCGCACGGAGCTGCAAGCAGTCACAGCGAGTCAGGCGAGTGGAGCTCAAAGTCTTATCATCTAGTCTTCCGTCTGTGACGACCGACTGCCGCTCTTCAGTCTGAAAGAGCTTGCAATTGTCGCCGCCGGGAGCAATCACGCACAGGAAAGACGCAAGCCGACATGGAGCCCATGAGCAGGAGTATGTCGATACAGGCGCTCTGTAACCCCACGGATGATTCTTCTGAGAACCCAGCACAGCCAGCTTCGATCACTGGCAGCTCACAGATTCATCAGTCAGACAGATCAGCAGGGCTCTCTTCAGCGCTCTTAGATCGACAGCTGAGTAGCTCAACCTCGGGATCGAGACCCAACTCTGCTTCTTCTTCCTCCTTCGCCGCCTCGCCGATTGCTACAACGCAAGCAAAAACGGTCGATGATGAAGAGGACACGCGGGTCCTCATGGCCATAACCGCGCTGGGCAAAATGCGCACGGGCTCTTTCTCCAGTGCTCCTGCCACGCAACCTCCCGCTAGTCTACGACCCTACCTTGACACCAACGGCGCGCAATCCGAAGCTTACGCTTCAAACCAGCGCGGCAACCCGGTCAAAGCATTTTCACAAGACGATTCTGTGTCTTCATCTTCACAAACGACATTGGACAGCGAAACAGGCTTGACGACATCTGCACAATCTCTTTTGTCCTACTCGGCCGATGGCGCACAGAGGAGTAGCATGGCAACTCCGAGCAGTGCTGCTACCGAGGCCTCTTCGATCGCATCATCCGTCATGGCGGACGAAGACGCCATCTACATGAGCAAAGATGGCATGTCGGTCGAAGGAGGGAAGCTACGACGGTATCCTGATGAGCACGACGAGCACGGAGGCGACGAGACACTGGACGAAGGCGATGCGCGTTTTTTGGATCGCATGTCTCAATTTCCCATCGTGTCGGGCGCACTTAAAGCCTACGAAAGGGGCCGTAACTCAAGTCGGGTAGTCAAATACGGTGCCGACCTTGTCGAGTCGTCTGTAAAGACCATTTCTCGGCCAGTAATAGGCCGAGTCGTTGGGCCTGAGCTCGCCGGGCAAATAGATGATTTTGCGTGTCGACAGCTAGATCGAGTCAGTCTCATCCCATCCGCCATATATCGTACTGATCATCTATTCACAGTTTGGGAAAGCGCGTCCGCCGAACGATCAGGCCAGCCCGACGGAAGAAGGAGAGTCGAGCAGAACACCCATCGCAAGTCAAACTAATCTGCTTGCTATGTCAACAAGTGCGCCACAAGGCTTTGACGAGCATCATTCTGGCAGGCTCAGAGCGGGCGAAAGCAGTTCAGCAGCAGCACACCGGTACGTCGCGCCGGATGAAGGGATCTTCAAGGTACCTCAAACGCCGCTTGCGACCGCATCGCGCAACAGTGCACCGGTCTCCGTCAGCGACAACGGCAAGCGCAAGGCCATCAGTCAAAGCCTAGACTCGCCTGATGAGTCGATGACGGCCGATAGCTCTGTGGCTCTGCATAGCAGTGGTTCGAGGAGCCGATGGCAGGCTATGCTTGTCGAGGCAGGTGTCACAGCCGGCGGTATCAGCGCGGCTGTCAGCGAGGAAAGTATGAAGAGCCTCAAGTACTGCCTACAATGGCTTCAGTATGCCACTGCCCACCTTGATCATCAGATCGGCGTTCTCCGCGACTTTATCGCCGCCCTGAATGCAGATGCTGCAGAAGGCACTATGATCACGGCGCATTCCGCAGCCACGCTGTCGAACATCAAGCGCGATGTCGTTGAGACTATCCGACGGGTCGTTGACGTCGTCTCGAAGTATGCTGGCGCTGCTTTGCCAGAGCATGCGAAGCGGTTCGTGAGACAGTCGATCCTCAGTCTACCTGTCAAATGGGCAGCAGCAATACAGCAACCAGCTGCCAATCGACAACGACCATCCGGTCTCGGATCTCGCAGCCCGACACCTGGTTCCCCGATGTCAGCGGCCAGTCCACGCATGGGCGCGTCCCCTCAGATGTTCGGCTCAAGTCCTGCCTCGCCCTCTTTCTCGCCATCGCACGCTAGCGGTGGCTACTTTGCCCAGCGCCGTTCGATGCTCGCTAGCTCGGCAGGATCACCATCACAAAGCATGAGCAGAAGCGCCTCGTCCGATCGTGGCGCCTCCAGTCGGACCAATACGGAGGAGGCAGCAGAGAGAGTGCTGACATTCGCCGTCGAGTCTCTTGACATGCTCCGTGGCGTTATGATCATCTTCGGCGAGTCTGTCGATCGTGCTGAAGCGTGCGTGCATTTTCCGTCTTGTGGTTGCTTATGCTTACTCGGTTAGATCAGTTGGGTCGAGCGTCTACGGCTTGTCGGACTTGCTCAACAGCGTAAGCGGCAAGCGATGGAGGACAACGTCGACGAGTTCGAACTGTCGAACGCGAGTGCAGGTCATGCAAGTGCCTCACCGGAAGACTCGACGTATGTGCAATCAACGAGCACAGCTCTGCTTGGATCATCTAGCAGCACAAAGCGCCGCAGAGTACCATCCACGGCAGATCAATCGCAAATGCCGATCGCAGATGGCTTTGTCACTTCCCCCAAGCTGACGAGCACGCCCACTGCCGCTTTTGCCCGCAGTGATCTCAGCGCGCGGCAAAGGCGATCGGCGGTCCGGTCGACGGGCGACGATGACTGCGATGCGCTTTCGGCGCCTGCATCACGACCTACAATGCAAGTTGACCAGTAACCTCTTCGGTCTACGTCCACACGGGAGACTTGACCACCTCATATCATGTTGTGACAAAACTGCATGTACTCAAATCTACCAATATATCAGGCTTATCAAGTAATCGACCGCTGCAGTAGCGGGTGCTACAATTTGGGTCGTTATCAGGTGACAGAGCTGATCCTGGGATGTAAGCGCTCGACGGTCGCGCAAGATGCCCTTGAGCGGCGGTGGTGGCCGATACTTCTCGTCTCCCGTACTTCTATAGGCTAACAACTGCGAATCAGAGCCGGAATGTGTACATGCTGAATTGGCAAGCTCGGGATCCTCAAAGCGACTATGCTGTCCGAATGATTCGAGCCAGATGGTAACTTTGTCCACTCGATCCAGATCGGGCGCATCGAGCTCATCTGTGGATCCCGAGCATTCAGGCCAGATCTTGTCCGGTTCCGCAAATCGTATGCGAGGCTTGGGAGCTGCGAGCAAGATTCAAAGCCTTAGGCCGACCAATCATGCGACAGTTGCAAAGCAGGCTTACTAGAGTCCGTGAGGACGATCTGATCTTGCCGAGCAGTGACACTAGCTTCGACGGTCATCCGGTTAATATCTGGCCTTGGGTGAGTCTGCCTGACCGTGTCTTCTTGATAGACTTCATGTAGAGTCGTATGCTTCATCCAATGTTGATCGTACAGAGGCGCAACAGATTGGGATTCTTGGAGCGACAGCTTGATGCCCCGAATTTGGCGGAACTCTGCGGAACATGTATGTGATTTCGTCAGCGTCTGACTGTCGAGAGCTTTGATCTCTTGTCCGCCAGTCACGCTTTGCCGGCTGGCGTTCGTATCAGGCAAACGGTCTGCAGCTACCCTCCCATCGGAGGCCGTGTTTCCATCAGACTGTCGGCTCATGCTGACTAGTGTCTCGTCCATGCTCGTGAGAGGACGAGAATGGGAGCATCTGATGAGAGAGGGACGAGGGATAATCTGAACCGGCTCAGAAATGCTGGGCGAGGCAAACGAGCCGATGACGTGTCCGGCAAAAGGTGGAGATGTGGGGGTTGCCGCGGCAAATCATTTCTCTTTAGATTTGACGTAAAGAAGACCGCCGAGCTGTCAACCTGTCAAGATGTGCCCGGGCGTGAGCAATGGTCTACATGAGACGACAGATGTCAACCCCAATGCGACGACAGAGGAGCTGAGCGAGACGCATGTTTTGCTCGACGAACAGAACATCGCTCCTGCCGCTCGTGTGCAGCAGCGGGCCCAGCATGATGCAGCCGACAGCAGCAATGGCAGGCCACTCAACCCATATGCGCCTCGCTATGGCGACTTGCTGTCCAACACATCTTCTTTCAAGGTCATCGAGTCGACGTTGCGCGAAGGCGGTGAGTACTGCTGGCAAAGACTCTGAGGAACGCGCCTTATGACTCGTTTGGCAGAGCAATTTGCCAATGCCTTCTTCGATCTCGAGACCAAGGTCAAGATTGCAACCGCGCTCTCAGATTTTGGTGTCGACTACATCGAACTCACGTCTCCAGCTGCAAGCGCGGAAAGCCGAGCCCATTGTGAGGCAATCTGCAAGCTCGGACTCAAGGCCAAGATTTTGACCCACATCCGATGCAACATGGAGGATGCCAAGATAGCTGTCGAGACTGGCGTTGATGGTGTTGATGTCGTCATTGGTACATCGCAGCAATTGCGCACTCACTCGCACGGCAAGGACATGACATGGATCATCAAGACTGCCGTCGAAGTCATCGAATTTGTCAAGTCGAAGGGTATAGAAATCAGATTTTCGTCGGAGGACTCATTCAGATCCGATTTGGTCGACTTGCTTTCCGTCTATCGCGCTGTCGACAAGATTGGTGTCAATCGCGTCGGCATAGCCGACACTGTAGGTTGCGCCAACCCTCGACAAGTCTATGAACTCGTTCGAACCTTGCGTGGCTGCGTTCGAGCGGATATCGAGTGTCACTTCCACGAAGACACCGGTTGCTGTAGGTTTCGCGTGGTTCGTGTCAGCGCTCGCTGATGAAGCTTGCAGCCATTGCTAACGCTTTCTGCGCACTCGAAGCCGGTGCGACCCATATCGACACGTCCGTGCTCGGCATTGGCGAGCGCAACGGCATCACGCCGCTCGGAGGCTTCCTGGCCCGTATGTATGTCTGCGACCCGGAATAGTAAGCCTCCTTGGACCCTGCAGGCGCTCTCGCTCACATCTTCGACAGCGTCAAGGGCAAATACAACCTGCCGGCAATCAGAGAGATCGAAAATTTGGTTGCCGATGCGGTACAAATCTCTGTGCCTTTCAACAATGTGAGTTGCAGCAGTAAGAAGGGTTACAATGACTCAGCTCACGCTTGCACAGCACATCACCGGCTTCTGTGCCTTCACCCACAAGGCTGGCATTCACGCCAAGGCGATCCTCGCAAACCCATCTACGTACGAGATTCTCAACCCGCAAGACTTTGGCATGTCGCGATACGTCTCGATCGGCCATCGTCTCACCGGCTGGAACGCCGTCAAATCTCGTGTCAACCAGCTCAACCTCGAGCGTGCGTATCAGCTCGTACTGAGAAATGCGTGGCTGACGTCTCAGATGCAGTGACGGACGAGCAAGTCAAGGATGTGACATCGAAGATCAAGGAACTTGCGGACGTCAAGACACAATCGATGGAGGACGTCGATGCCCTCTTGCGAGTCTACCATCGTGCCATTCACGCCGGCGAACTCGAAGTCGGCCAATCGAAGGTGTTGGATAAGTTGATTCAACGACACCGTTCGGCATCGAACGCCAGCTCCAATGGCACCGCGCCAGAGACCAATGGCCATACTAACGGTGTCAAGACGCATGCGAACGGACATGCGAACGGCGAGCCTACAGCTAAAAGAGCAAGAGTCAACGGCGCGTAGACCGTTAGCCTTGGGGAGACTCTTGCCCATACTTTCAGACTTGAGACGAGCTGGAACTCACCTTCTGGCTTCTGTCGTCGCATTGCACTGTACCCTGATCTGCTAGCTCGAAGACCTGAGATCTCTGTTTGGATTGAGTACTGATGCCCCCCGGCTTGGCGCGGCAAGTCGACGTAGATTTACCCCGGTCTGTGAGCTTACAGAGATGGAGGACAGAGATGCAGAGCAAGGCGGGGTGAAGCCGTCGAACTCGAGGACGACGGAGAGTGGGAGTGATACAAGGGCAGCAAGCTCGGACAATACTCGCACAGGCAGCACGTCCGGCGATGAGTGGGATCGCCAAGCCGAGGGCCTGCCATGGTCCCAACGCTCTCTGGGGTATCAATACACTCCCTTTCGAGGCATCTGTCACGATATCAAGCGTCGACTGCCTTACTATCGCACAGACTGGACCATTGCCTTTGCCTCAAAGCAGAATGCCTACACAACGACGGTGGCGTGCATCAGGATGTACTTCATCAACCTCATGCCGGCCATCGCCTATCTGCTTGACATGAACCACCGAACCAACGGTCAATATGGTCTCAACGAAGGCATCCTCGCTTCAGCACTGGCCGCCATCGTGTTCCCCCTCTTCTCGTGTCAGCCATTGACAATCGTGGGCGTCACCGGTCTGATCAACCTGTTCAACTATACAAATTATGACATCGTCGTTGTACGACATGGCGTCAACTATCTCCAGTTCCAAGCCTGGGTCTTCATCTGGTCTGCCGTATCGCACTGGCTCGTGGCAATCATCAACTTGGCAGACTACACGCGCTTCATTACAGACATGACGAGCGAGACCTTTGGCGCCTATGTTGGTGTCATCTACATCCAAAAGGGTGTCGAGCTGTTGCTGTACGAGTTTGACCACACTCAGGTCGATGGCTGGCTATCAGTCCTCGTCGCGGTACTTTTCGCAATCTGCGTTTATCTTGTCGAGCGAGTTGGCAGCAGATATCACATCGGGCCTTTCTGGCTTCGCAAAGGCTTGAAGGATTATGCATTCATTGCCGGCATCCTCTTCTTTACTGGCTTCGTCCACATTCCAGGCGACCTCAAGAGCGCAAACATTGAGAAGCTGCCAATCACCCGAAGCTTTTATCCATCGACAGAGTGAGTACAGTAGTTCTGGCGAGAGATGCGCGATCTGATGCTTTGCTGTCAGTCGAAGCTGGTTGGTGCACTTTTGGGAGCTGCCGATCAAATGGATCTTTGTTGCTATTCCCTTTGGACTCGTACGTACTCAGCAAGCAGCCACACCATCCGCTGACAAGATTGCTGCAGCTTGTTACAGTCAGTCGCTATGTCTTGGATCGTCGCTAATGCTAATCTAGTGACACAGCTGCTGTTCTATGTCGATCATCAGATCTCATCCGTCATGGCTCAAGCGCGACAGTTCCCCATCAAGCGCCCTGCCGGCTTCCACTGGGACTTTTTCTTGCTGGGAATCACCACGCTAGTCTCTGGCCTACTCGGGCTGCCAGCGCCTAATGGTCTCGTACCTCAAGCGCCCTATCACACAGAGGGATTGGCGGTCTTCAAGCAAGTAGATGATACGAGGGCAGAAGACGAGCCTCTGCTGGGGGAGAAAAGCGAGCAGGCTATCAGAAGGCGACCGCAAAAGGTCGTGTTGAGCCGGGTAGTGGAACAGCGCGTCAGCCATCTTGCCATGGGTGTAGGCCACCTTCATCCATCCTGCAGATTTCCCCGAGCTGACACTGATCTAGCTCTTGACGCTCGCAACAATGACCCGACCGTTTCTTGTGGCTCTAGGTACCATGCCACGCGCTCTCTTTGCAGGCGTATTCCTCATGGTCGGATGGGCGTCTGTCGAAAACAACGGGATCCTACACAAAACGCTCTTTCTGCTTCGCGATCCGAAGATGACGCCTGTCGATCATCCGCTACTCAAAGTGAGCAAGAGAACCATACTTCGCTTCATCTCTGTCCAGTGGTTCGTCTTTGGCGCTTCTGTTGCGGTCAGCCAGACGCTTGCTGGCATCTCATTCCCCGTCTTCTTTGCGGGTCTCATGGTCTACCGCACACTCTACGTTCCGCGCGTCTTCAGTCCGGAAGAGCTAGCTGTGCTCGACTCGCCTACCGCTGATTCCGAGGCCGTTCTCGTCTCGCTGGGCGGAGAAGCAGGTCGAGCGACCGGCGAAGGATACGCCGTCGCGCCCGACACGGGTATCGCTGGCACCGAATTCGGCAAGGAGGCCGCGCCTCATGCTACTCTACGCCACAGAGCACGACCAGCGGCAACGTTCACTTCCGAAAAAGCCGACCGCGCGTCGGCCTAATCACTCATAATCCCATTCCTGTTGTTGTGCGTGTGGTCATCGCGTCTGAGACAAATTGACACTCTTGGCGTTCGTGACTGTCGAGAAGTCAACGTGAACGGGTCTGAGGGATCAGGATGGCATCAGGCAACGGCTGGGCACCTGATCCTTTCCCACGACCCTCGACGGATGAGCATGGCCAGCCACGCAAGGCGATGACGAGTTACGGACAGCCAAGATCAAAGACGGCGTCATGCAAAGAGTGCAAGCGATTGAAGCTCAAGTGCAGTCGAACATGGCCCTGCGCAGCTTGTGTCAAGCGAGGCTGCGGCCACCTCTGTCCAGATGGCGTGCTCAAGGAGTCCAGAAACAAGACGAAAGAGATCGCTCAGCTCACAGAGCGAGTGAAGCAGCTTGAAGCCGCCTTGCGACGGGCAGGTCTGGATCCTGCAACAGCGGTACAATCTCCAGCGGGGACTGCTCACCACTCTGTCTCGCCCGGAAGCAGTGGGACGAGTCAGCGGGCAGGCAGCGATGCAGATCAGCAGCTCGCCCTCCTGACGCTTAAGGGCGAGGACGAAAGCACATTTCACGGCTTTAGCGCAGCAGGCTCGGCCTTCCTCGAAGATGCAGAGGCTTACGACGCCTACACGTCGTCATCTGAGGACCTGTCAGATACAGAAGCCCTGCCGCCTCGACAGCAACGTGCAGTCAACCATCCCAGCGCGTTTCCCCTTGCCGGCGGGTTCGAGATCAAATACCTGAGGTCACTACTGCCGCCTCGTGCACAAGGCGAGGCGTTTGTCAAGAGCTTCTTCGACAGAGTGGCCTGCTGTCTCATGCCTATGCGAGAAGATCATGCCTTTTCGACTTACGTCGTGCCGGCGTATGATGCCACCGAAGCCAATGCCGTCCATCCGCACCGTCTCGCGCTTCTCTTCGCCATTATGAGCATCGGCGCGCTCTTCATGCCCAACGCACGAGATCCGAGGCGTGACGCCCATCGATACCATTGTATCAGTCAAGCCTGTATCGCCTCGTCGCGCTTTATGACCCACACAACTCTCGCATCTGTTCTGACGCTCATGCTTAGCTCTCGATACTACCACTGTACGCACAGGAATCCAGCAGACCATTCGTGGCCGATCGTTGGCCTTGCCGTCAGACTGTCATTGGCAATGGGCTTGCATCGTGATGGCAAGCTTTGGGGACTTGAGGGCGTAGAGCTCGAGCAGAGACGCGCGATGTGGTACGAATGTGCGTCATCTTGCTCATGGATGCCAGGATCGTCTCACAGATAGGGTCTAGGCATGTTCTTCGATCGAGCGCAAGCCTTACTGCTCGGTCGACCTTACGCGATCGCCGATAGCCAATTCGATACATTGCCGCCGTCATTCGACTCGCTGGGAAGCTCGAGCCATATCGATTTCTTCCAGGCGAAATGCAAGCTGACAAAGTTTATGGGCAAAGTCGGCGACGAAGTCCACGGCGTCAACAATGCCACTTATGAGACTGTCACAGCGCTCTCCGCCGAATGGCAGCAGCTCAAGTCGGAACTGCCCGAGACGCTGAGTCACGATGCCGTCTTTGAGTCGGCTATGCAGCAAGTAATCGCGCCGACTCGTGATCAGGCCATACAGCAGCATTTCACAACTGTCATGTATGCGGAGACACTTATCTCTCTTCACAAGAGCCACTTTGCTCAGGCCCTGCTCAACAATCCTGACGAGCCTCTTGAGAGCAAGTACGCCGCCTCGGTCGTCGCGGTCATCGTGACAGCCTGTCGTGACATCATCACGACTGTAAAATCGGCGCTTGATAGCTACGAAGCCCTCGCTTCGCGATTCATGTTCGCCTTTCATGTTTTCAACGCCGGCATCTGTCTCGCACTGTTGCTCATCAGATCGCCCGGGAGCCTCTTGGCACGGTTTGCGTGGGATCTCCTCTGTCTTGGCATCTCGAATCTTCTCAGAGAGGCGCCTCATGACATGCCGACCCGAGAATTCCTACCGCGGTTGCATAAACTGCGGTTGACCGCTCGTACCAAGCTGCAAGAGTATCAAGCTAATCGCGCATCGAGCGGGACATCTACGCCTTCTGCCTCTCACCTACAACCGATGAGCAGTTCTGACTCGAAGTCGGCACAAGAGGGCGACGAGGCAAAGTACCTTTCTCACGGACCCAAGCTTGCTCGCAAAGTCTCGTCGCCGCATCATCTGCAGAGTCAACATGGTGGTCAACGATCGGGTACTGGCTCGCCTGCTCGGCTTGCCTACTCTGCCTCGGTTTCTGCCGACAACAATGAAGCAGAATACAAGGAGATCTCTGACAGCTTCGCAGCGCTATCGAGCCACAAGAGCTTACTGGGCATAGATCAGTCGATCTTGGAGAAGCTCTTTCGAGCAGATCCGACGATATTAGCCCGGCCTACGTTCCGCCCGGCTCTTGATTCGAGTCCCGTCGAGATCTTGCCGGAGGTCCCTGAGCCCATTGTCTCGGCGAGTGATGAGCTCGCAGGCAATGACTTTGCACCTCCGGACGCTCCTTCATGGCGCGACCCCTTCGATACATCTGGCTTCGCGACAAGTCTACCGGCTGCTCCCGAGATAGATGAGAGCTACTTCAACTTTGCAAGCTACGATCAGCCTTCGAATGCTGAATCTGGCATCGGCAAAGGCCAGTTCGATCTGGACAGCCTCATGGCGCTGCTAGATGATCCCGCTGCGGCTAACACTCAGACCGGCATGCAAGGCGTGGAAGTTCCGTTTGCGCACGTCAGACAGGACTCGCGGACACGCTCCAATGCTTTCGATGATATCCTGCGCAGTATTGCTTCTTAGATGTACAACAACAGCTGTTTGTTGATCTGTAATGTCATAGCTCGTCGTGAATCTTGCCACTCGGATCGCCGGGATCGAGTGCAATCATCCGCTTCATTGCTAGCGTGAAGAAGGGCCGGATCTCGTTGAGCTCGAGTTGGGAGATGTTGGTCATCTATAGCCAAGTCAGCTCTGTCCATACGGAAGTCTAATGCTTGAAGGTCACCTCGAGATGAGTCGTATTGATTGCTTCGACACCTCTGCGTGTCTTGCTTTGCCTGACCTCTCGGAGGTCTTTAAGGATCATGCGTATCCTGGCAGCATCGGGGATGTCGTCCGAGGCGCTGTCCGCCCCTTGAGCTTGGGTGTCAACAGGCGTACGGACTACTTACACCTCGAGCAACACGCGCGATATCTCCATATAGCAGAATGGCAGCGCACTGAAGCCCAGCGATGTCGTGTCCTCTCGCAAGAGCTCCTCTAATTTCTCTAGCAGCATCCATGGCGGCGCGACGATTCGGCACTTCCTTTTCCTTTTGAGCGTGACGGCCAGCCATAGTGGTATTCGAGCTCGTCTGGGAGGCTCAAAAGGGCCGACGGTACGACTCTTGCCGTTCAATTTCTGCGCCGAACGAGTCAGAGCAAGCGCGAGAGTTCAAGGAGCGCGACGAACGCCTGTCAGTCGGAACGGCGTTTGCATTCGGAAGAGCGGCACGATCTCGACGAGGACATCTTGTTCTGGGCCGAACTGGAGTTCCGAAGGAGCAAACCCGCCTTGCAGAGCGCGAGGCAGCGACATGCCCTCTCGCTCGCTCGCGTGTGAGCCGCGCGCAATTTCCTCGGCGTCGGTTCCCGTCGTCGCCACCTGCTGTTCCCCGGATTGCTTGAACACCGAGCTAACTGCTTTTGAAAACGTTGAGCAGGCGAGAAGGTCAGCTGGCCTCCGTCTTGTACTGCCACTCCGCCTATCGACGAGTGTATTCATCGCATCATCCCGTAGGATTGGCAGGATCGGCAGGCTAACCCACAAAGACGTTCAGGCCGCGACCAAGCGGGCGCCAACTCCACAAAGAGCAGAGCCCCGGCAACTGGCTCATACGTCCTTCAACGACGCTCAGCACGTGTCGGAGCCTACACAACGTCGTCTGGCCCGCCGCTTTGGCACATTCAAGCAAGCATCGAGGCCTGCTTTGGTCGCCGCCCTGTCACCCTCCAATAGCTCACATGCCGATCTAGCGAGTCACTTGCAGTCTCTTGAACCAGCAAGACACCTGCGGGTCAGCCAACAAACAGCGCCGGACACGTGTAGCTAGCGCTAGTGCTGCCGTTGAGCGCTTTGGACGGCCATGGATCTCAGTTGGTGCCTCGTATGCGAAAGAGGGCTAGAGTAGGTCCCTTGCCTCATACCTTAGAAGAGAGCCTGACAGCTGGTCCAGACGCGAAGGATCGATCTATTGCTCGGATGTGTGCAAAGTCCAGGCGCAGCGCGAGTCACTCAAGAGCAAGTTTGATCGCGACGAGGAGGAGGCGAACCAAAATCGCTCGAGATCCTACCAGTCCCCTCGCTTGAAGCCACAAACTCTCGAACGCCAATCTCCGAGTCGTCTTGGACACTCTGAGCCAGAGGAGCAGCGCAAGAATGGCCACCTGAACTCAGTCCCGAGCGTCAAGCGGATCGCGCAGTGGTTCTCGAGCAGTAAGCCAGGCAGTCCGGCGCCAAGCGATGCGGCGCCTGCCACAATGGGATTGACGAAGCAAACGAGCGTCAAGAGACCAGCCAAACATGCTCCGCAACCGGTCACGAGCTCGAGCGGCGCGCCTCGGCCATCCGTTCACGATCATCGATTTGGAGCGTCGCCCGGCTATGGATCTCGTCGCGCTGAACGAGGCAGCGAGACGTCATCGATCAGCACGACGGGCCTCGATAGCCAATCAGGAGATACAGACGGCATCGCCTCCATCTTGACCCAAGAGACGGGCGAGAGCATACTGTTCCCGTCCGGACTGACTTGCTCCGAAGAGCAGAACGAAGATCAGCCAGTTCATATGAGCTCACAGCATCCTGTCTTGGAGGACAGCCCGGAGCGCTCATCGCATCGACCGACGGCATTGCATCTGTACGCTGTCTCGCCTTCGCATACAAAAGCAGCATCACCCTCATTCGTATCTGCCAACGCCGGTTCGCCGTCTTCGCCGGCCAAACACAATTATTCGAGCATGTACCCCATGTACCATAATCGCAGCGGACACCGACATCATGACCTTCGCTCTTCAAACCCACACGCGCATACTCAAGATACCCCACCCCACAATAGCGGTCCTAGCCAAGCGAGACCCTTCACTGCAGCTTCTGATGCCCGCTCGGTCATCTCGGGGGCAGTCGCATCTGCGAGCTCTTCTGTCAAGACGACCACACCGCTGGACAGAGGCTCAGGTTCAGCATCTGCCTCGACAAACGGCTCGATCAGACACACGCGCGATCTCTTGCCGCATACAGCATCATTACGCGCTCGCTCTTCTCAATCTGACGGCTCAACGCAGAGTCGCAAACATCTCCAGCGAGGCGACTTCAAGGACGACGTGCCTGCGTCCCGTCGGATACCGCAAATGAGAGCGGCCTCGCCCTTGACGGACTCTGACCTGAGTTCGGAGGAGGAAGGATCTCAATCAGATGACAGCTTAGCTTCAGGGTCTGTCGATTCCGACGCATCCGAGCAATCATTGCGGATACACGCAAGACGGGGCCGATTCGCTAGACCCGAATCCCGGCAAAGTCGTAGCCGAAGTCGATCCCGGCGGCCAGTGGCAATGTCAAAGCTGACCAGAACACAGTCTACGTATATGGACCGTACCGAATCGAGCCGATCAGGTCGAAGCGACCGGTCTTCTTCCTCTGTCATCATCGGACCTCATGAGAGTCATCGACAAAGAGCCCCTTCACGTCCCTCGCTCGGCAAGGTGGTCGCCAATTCACGCGTAGCGCCTCATATTCCATCCCCCGTTGTTCAGCCCATCAGATCGCATGTGCACCGTCCTTCGCTCCAGGAGAACAACTTGAGCCAGGTCGAGCACGTCGAGGAAGCTCAGCCGTCCTCTCCAGAGTCCTTCAGTAAGTCGCTCGCGCATCCACTCGAAAGCATGACTGATGCTTCAGACAGCCTATGCCGAGCGCTCGCTAGGTCGCTCGGCGAGCAGGACGAATCGATCCGGCCAATGCACACCGCTCGGACTGCTCGGCGCCAACTCAAATTCATTCACTTCGCTCGCTGCTCAGTCGGTACAGGGCAGATCGGTGTGGACATCGCATGAACTCAGTCTGGACGACGAGCTGCGTACGAGTCCTGCGGGCAAGGATACCGAACGCGCGATCAGGCGGGCAGCTCTGGCAGGACCGGAAGATGACTCTGATGATGAGCTCGATCGGAGAGGGCGTTCACATACGACGCTAGCGCGTCTGCAAGCTCGCATCACCGCTTAGACAGTTGCATTGCTGTGCTGCGCATTGCATTGCATTGCATTGCAGTCCGGTGGACCTGGCCTTGACCTTGGGACACTTCTTTGAGATGCCAATTGCTGGGCTTGGCGTTTGCCCACATGTGCAAAGCGCGCGTCGTCGCGTCTGCGACTTTGAGCCAACGGTCAAAGCAATCCGAGGCTCAGGGCCATGGTGGCGACTTGTCCGCAGACGAGTGCGGCTATACGAGACGAAAGCAGCTGGCTTGACAGCGATGGAATTCACTTCACCGCTCACAGGATCGGTCTGGCATTCTGCGGCGCATGTGCATTATTGGCGCTGGTCATCTCCCTCGTCAACATCATGGGCCATGCCAGAAGCTACCGGCAGCCGTTCGAGCAGCGACAGATCATACGAATCCTCCTCATGCCCGTCGTCTTCTCCATCGTGGCCTTTGCCAGCTTTGTGTGGTTCCGCGAGTTCAATTACTACGCCATTGTCGAAGCGCTGTACGAGACTGTCGCTATAGCTGCCTTTCTGACGCTCATGTTGACCTTGTATGCCCTCGTATATACGACTCACTACTTTTGGCTGATCAAAATCGAGCAGTATTGGCCAAACAACGGCGGAACAGCAAGAAACGCTGCGCTTCAAGGACAAGCGCTCATTGCCCTTTCCTTTCTGCTGCTGGCGGTACAGACCAACAAAGGCCTATGTCATACCGGCCGTACAGTGCTCTGTGCTCCAGCTCGTCGTGCTCAAGCCGCTCATTTCGCTCGCCGCCATCGTCACCGAAGCGCTCAATCTGTATTGCGTCCAATCACACTCGCTTAAATTTGCGCACGTCTGGCTGGCCAGCGTCGACTTTATCAGCGTCTCGGTTGCATTGTATGGTCTCTTCGTCATGTATGCGCTCAGCCGACAAGAATTAGAAGGGAAACGACCGCTGGCAAAGTTCATGACCATCAAAGCGATCGTCGCGCTTTCCTTCTATCAGTCATTTCTGTTCAGCTGGCTCGCATCAGCTGGCATACTCCGGTCAACAGATTTCTACTCGAGTGTCGATATTGCGAATGGCCTGTCAGCCATGCTGTTGGTCTTTGAGATGGTCTTCATCGCCCTGTTCCAGCTGTACGCCTTCCCGGCATCGGACTATTACCAAGTCATGCGCGACGACTCAGCAAAGCATACAGGTTTCTGGCGGAGTATGGGCCACGCTCTCAATCTGAGCGACTTCTTCGTCGCTCTGTGGCAATCCGTGCGCTTCTTCTTCAGGCAAGATCGCAGTCAAAGCATGCCAATGCCACCTATCGATCAGCCAGGCCTTGACTTTGAAGCCGCTTATGGCTTGAGAGATTCTTGCGCCAGTCGGTCATCGGCTTGGCGGGAGAAGCAGATCATGCAGCGCAGCAACTCGGATTATCCACCGAGCACAGCTTCTCTCGGCGACGAACAGCCGGTCAATTTTGATAATTCCGCCTATGAGAAGCCTGTCTTTGCAAGCTCCTTGGCTCGGCTATACCCGACCGACCTGACGCCGATAGCCCTAGCGCAGCCGCCTCGAACGAACGTAGCACGAGGCTATGCAGCACCGGACTATACCGCGCTAAGTACAGAGTCACCCGCGCCTTCACCCTTGACGGTGGTACGACCGCGCGCACCCCCAGAACCTCCAAGGACTGTCTTGCCTTATTCACTAGACCGCCCAGCTCAGCTCCAAGACGAGCAGCACGAATTGGGCTACGCCCTATAGAAGTAGCAGGAACTTGTTGTATCGCATTGTTGCATTGAATCACGCGCATTTTCACTCTCTACAAGGCCTTGCTTGTTGCCGAAAGCTGCTTTGACAGTGCAGCCAGATGGTTCGAGAAATCCACCCGCGAGTTTGAGATGCCCTTCATGTCATCATAGCTGCTGTGACGCATGAGCTAGCACAAGCTAATTAGGTAATGACATACAAGATGTCGACTTTGGCGTGCAGCACTCTGCGGGCGTGGCGCGACAACTGTACGCAGCTAGCATCGAGCTCGGACTTGCGGCGAGCAGTCCGCTCTGCCGCGCGTGCACGAACTAGTTGCTCCAAAAGCTCGAATAGCTCGCGCTGGTTTCGCTTGCGTCTATGATGTCCGCCGATCTGTGGAACCTTGGCTGGCGCGATATCGGCAATCCTGCGAGGACGGGCAACATTGGACTGAACGAGGTCGTGCACTTGATGGACGGGAGTACGCAGAAGCGGTGAGGCGTACAAGTTGGCCGGTACGCAAGAGGGAAGATCGGTTTGCTCGCATTGGCGAGCCGTCATGAATTCAGCAACGAAAGGGGCCGTAACGCCGGCGTCTTCTTCCTCGGAAAGTGCTTTGTCGCGCTTGACTTGAAGGCTGAGTAGTGGTGATGCCGCAGGACGTTTCTTCGGATTAGACGGCTGCGCCGGGGACCTCGTGGAAAGCTTCGGATCCGTAAATGGCTTGCTGGAGCGAGGGGAAGCAGTGCGCGGTTCATTGGGAGGACCTTTACGTTTGTCAAAGATATGATCAGAGTTGACGAGTGTGCGATCAGATGTGAGTGCAGCGTGCCAGATAGGCAAATCGCTAGGTTCCTGCATTGTGGCCGGGTGCTCGGACGAATCCGGGCTGGATCTCATGGCTTCTTGGATCGCTTGCATGCGCTCGTTGCGATTCACGCTACTGGGAAGGACTTGCTCGATGGCCAAAACGGATTGCGAAGCTTTGACAAAACCATCAAGAGGAAGCATGTGAGAGTGAGCCGTGATCTGATCGGTCCGTCGTTCCTGGAGCTCGAGGACGAGCTGCGGGACAAATCAGCTCATCAGAACATGCAAGCGAGCTGATAGCTCACTCGATCAGGTTCTTCGGAGCAAGCGATCTCCTCGAATGTTGTGAGCCAGTCTGCAAGCTGTTGTCCATCCTTGCAATGAACATCGAAAGAGCAGGGCTCGATTTGACGCTCGCCAAGCCAAAGACGCGCAGGAGTCACCGTAATAGCGCGCATGCCTTTGAGATGATATGTAGCTGGAAACATGGCTTCCAAGAGTACGGCATCACCGTCGACCTGCAATACGTTCAGGCGACTGACATGGTGAACTTGAACGCCTGCCTCGACAAACGCAGTCAAGCTGAATCTGTTCAGGTGCAGCATTCGATTCTCAGCGAGCACCCATGTCGTCTCGTCGCACGAGATGGTCTCGATAGGCTGCACGACAGCTCTGACCGGCTGATCAGCCAATGTCTTCAGCATCCCGAGGCCCTCACCCTTGAGGCGAGCACCACCAGTCCCGCAGTAAGGTCGGTGCGCGCTGTCTGCACTTAGCTCGTGCTCGTTCGATGACTGCAAGACTAGCAAACCTCATCAAACACTTCGACTGTTAGCTTGGCAAATGCGTCTCTGATCTTTGTAGCTGCGCGAAGCGTCCAGCGAGGTGACTTGAACTCGGCAAAGATCGCTCTGAGAAAGTCTGCTCTTGACTTTCTTTGATTCGCTCTGGGCTGCACACGGAACATGATCTCGAGCATGGCACTCGCAGATAGAAAGTCCTGCGTCTCTGCGAGATACCTTCCTAGTCGCGTCCTGAGTGTTGCCGTCAGCCAGCCAGACTCACTGGTCCTGACGCGTGACTGACGGTCCACAGGAAGGATGCGACTGCATGAGAGCTTTGTTCGAGTCCGACTTGGACAGCAAGTCGCTCGAGATAGCGCTCAAGATCTGGCTGAAGCCTTTGAGAAGGTCGTATGCAAGATGGACCCTTACTCACTTTGCGCTGTAAGCGGAGCGAAAGCTGACCCACGCAGACAGCTCTTGTGAGCCAAGGCAGAAACCGTCTACCCATGGCATCCTTGACTGGCTTAAGATCTTTGATGTCAGTACGCAAAAGAGTCGCCTGTCATTTGACCTGTGGTCGGCGTTGCGAGTGTCTTCGTCTTTGCGAGGACGCACCTGAATATGCACGAGAGTCTGTTCGACGGCTACTTCCGTCATACCGCCAAAGGAGAGGTAGGAAAGGGACAGATGAAGCCAAGCCGGCAGCCGGGTGGACGTGCAGTCGAGACAGTCGCGTCATCCGACCGACAGCAAAGTCAACGCTTCTGCTCGAGCTGATGACATAGCTGCATGTCAGGCAGTGCCCCGCCTGCGCCAGCAGTGAGTTTCAGTCTCATATCTATCTAGAGCCACTAGTCTGACCCCGAACCGTCGACAGTGGCGGCACTTCGCTTTCTTCGACGCTACGCCCGTCAAGGACGCTCAAGACCTTGCGCAGACCCCGGAAGCCTTTAGGGTACGCTCGAAATGTCAACGCGAAAGGAACGGTACTCAAGTCTTGGCTTCAGGACGCAGGAAGGATTGCAGCAGTTGCATCCGGACAGAGCACCGTCGTTCTCGCGGATCATCAGGGCTCACTGCACTGCCTGTCGCCCGACTTTGAGGAGCTACAGGCTTGGGTAGCCTATGATGGCGGCAGAGCGCTCCTCGTCAAAGTCAGCGGCGTCAAGGGTATCATAGTCAGCTTGGGCGTACGTCTCTGAAGCTCGCAGACATGCTCAGGCTCATGATAGCTTTGCAGGAGGATGCCAGTCAGACACTCGTCCTCAAGGTCTGGGACATCAGACATCTCGAAAAAACCTCTGGCAATCCTCGTCTGCTCGGTCAGGCTCGTGTACAGCAGGGACAGCGACCCCATCCTGTAGGCGCGCTTCCTGCACGCTCCTGAAGATCACTGACCATCTCGCAGGCGACCGTACTCAGCCTCACGTCATCCCTTTCACACATTGCCGCTGGTTTTGCAGATGGATCCGTGCTCTTCTGGCGTAATGTTGATCAGGCCCTGTCCAGCCACGCTGCATCAGACAATGCTGCGACCGTCACGCTCGCCAAACCCAAGGCAGTGCCGTCTTTCTCGTCTGAGCCCATCACAGGCCTCGAATTCTGGACATCGGCAGCGCAACAGCAAGCTCTATGGATCGTGACGACCAGCAAGGTCTGGTCGTATACGTTGACAGGCAAAGCGAGTGGCAATGCGCCTACGATCACAGATGAGCTGGGCGCACCTTTGCGATGTGTGGCGTCGATGCCCAACGGCGATATGGTACTGGCCCGCAGTGAGGCTCTGTACGTGTACGGAAGCGAAGGAAGAGGCGCATGCTTTGCGTACGAAGGTCCCAAAACCCTGATAGCATCTCATGGCTCGTACATCGTCATTGTCTCACCTCCCCAATCGCCTAGTGCAGCTTCTGCATCACCCACAGTGCGTAGATACGTCAATAACCGAAACGGAAAGGTTCTAGCCGACGTCTCGAGGATAACACTCTTTGATCCGGAAAACAAGCTCGTTGCGTTCAGCGATACGATCGAGTCGACTATCACTCAGGTCGTCTCGGAATGGGGCGACATCTTTCTCGTCCTACTGGACGGTCGGCTGATACGGCTTGAAGAACGCTCAATGGATCACAAGCTCAACGCGCTGTACAGCAAGAACCTGTACCTGCTCGCACTCGGCATGGCAAAGTCAAAGAACGCAAGCATAGCGGAATCCTCGATCATACACAAGCGATATGGCGACTACTTGTATTCAAAGGGCGATTTTGATGGAGCTATGCATCAGTTCATTCAAACAATTGGTCATTTGCAACCGAGCTATGTCATTCGCAAGGCAAGTTTCCTTGTCTCCCGTTTGCCGCCGTGCTGATACTCGTAATACAGTTCCTCGATGCGCAGCGCATATATACCCTTTCACTTTACTTGCAGGAGCTACACGCCCAACAGCTCGCCGGTTCAGACGTCACTACGCTTCTAATCAATTGTTACACCAAACTGAAAGACGTCGAACGACTAGACGCGTTCCTCAAAGCCGATGGACCTGGACACAGCAATACTGGAGAGCTACATTTCGATCTCGAAACAGCTATCCGCGTCTGTCGACAAGCCGGCTACCACGAACATGCACTCTACTTGGCGAAAAGATACCAAGAGCATGAGGAATACCTCCGAATACAGATCGAAGATCGTCACGATTGGACAGATGCTGTGCATTACATCCGTTCGCTTGGTGTGGCCGGTGCAGAGCCTGCGCTCAGGCAATACGGACCTGCTTTGCTTGCCAACGCGCCCACCGAGACGACTCGCATTCTTATCGATCTTTGCTGTGGCACATTCGAGCAACCTAGTGAGGAGGCCCAGCAAGTGATGAGTCCTGTTGCTGCAAACGAAGCAGGACCCTCGTACATGTCTTACCTGTCACTCGGCGGCAAGCCAGCAAGCGTAGCCAAGTCGACAGATGCGCTAGATTCGCCCCGGTTGGCGCCCGAGCGTGCTCGAAAACCGGAACGAACGGCGACGAATCGGACAGTACGCGAATCCAGTCCGGTTCTTCCGAAATCAATCGATCTCCCGTCCCCTCGCCAGTTCTTTGCCTTCTTCATTGATCATCCCGAAGAGTTTGTGACTTTTCTGGAAGCCATTGCCGCGCAACGTTGGCAGCAAACTCTAGACGACGCGACGGACACCTCACGGGAGACAACGATGCTCGAGCGAGCAGAACAGCAAGCGATATGGAATACGCTGCTCGAGCTCTACCTGACCCTGAAGGGTCTGAAGAGCGAGGGCACGCCGAGCAAGGCTGCTCGATCTCAGGCGCGCGAGTACGAAGACAGGGCGATGAAAGTGCTGCGATCTGTCGATATACCGTATACGATCAATCAAGCGCTGATTGTCTGTACAGTTCGACAGTTCGTACCTGGCCTCATGCTACTCTACGAAAAGCTGGGCATGTTTGAAGATATCCTACGCTTCCATATCGACAGGGCGCGCTCGGCGCCTTCTTCCTCTAGCCTAGCTACCGACTCTGCACGTCACGTCGTGCAAGCCTTAGACAAGTATGGCGAAGGACGACCAGAGCTGTATCCGATAGTCTTGCGATTCCTCGTCTCGGACGCTCAGATCTTGACGCGGCACCAGCAAGATCTCGCTCGGTTGCTGACTTACATCGAGGAAAACAAGATTATGGCGCCTATCTCGGTCATCGACTGCCTGTCTCAGACTGAGCATGCGAGTATCGGCGCAGTCAAAGAATATCTGCGCAAGCATATGCTCGAGGAGCGAGCGGAAATCGAAGCAGATAAGGCCCTCATTGCTTCATATCGGACAGAGACGGCAAAGAAGCTCAAGGATCTCGAAGAGCTTTCCGACCTCAATGCGCCGCGCATCTTCCAGGTGACCCGATGCTCAGCGTGTGGTAGTCAGCTCGAGCTACCGAGCGTGCACTATATGTGTCGCCACTCTTACCACCAGAGGTGCGCACTGCAAAGGTCTCTTTAGGATTGACTGACATTGTCGAGTGCAGGTGCTTACCGGATAACGAGACGTCGTGTCCGAATTGCGCTCGACAGCACGGCCTGTTGCAAGATATCCAGCGCAGCAATGAACGCTACCCCGAGCTCTTTCTCAGTGAAATCGAAGAGAGCGAGGATGGCTTTGCGACGATCAGCCAGGCCTTTTCGAAGGGCATCATGGATCTCCCCAAGATCAGCAAGGAGATGACGCCACCGATGCAGTAGCACCACACGCGCGCATGCAACATCGTATGACATTGCAATCTGGGGTTCATCACAGTATTGCGCGCTTGGAAGCGAGAAAGGCTTTGACATGCGCCGTGAGCGGCAGGGGCGACTTGATCTCTATCCTGGAGAAGTGCTGGACCACTCTTGATTCGAACTTGATGTCCTCTTGAGCAAAGTGATTGACGAGATCCAGCTGTAGCGCTGTCAAGTCTCCCTCGATCTTGCGTATGACCGTCATGCGTGCGCCATTCTCTGCAAATTTTGGCTCAGCAGTAGAGACTCGGTCAAGCAGACATGCGCTCACTTGAGTCACCGTAGACGGGCAGATTGCCGGATGGACCGACTTGAGGGACAGCATAGGGACTCGCACGCCCTTTGCTCTTTTCCGCTTCGAGTCTGGCTTGCAAAGCCGCCAACCTTGCTTCTACTACTGCTGCATCTTGTCTCTCGACGAGCTGACGGGCTTGTACGTTTGGGTCGCCGTGCGGGTACTTCTTCAAGAGTTGTAGTCGATTCTGACGGGGCAGTGTCTTGAGTAGCCCGTTACGATAGCGAATGTCATCGCTCGTGAGCCAGCCTTGTTGCGTCATCGATTTGGCAGTCTGCCTTGCGCTCGAGCTGAACCTGCGTACGCTCATACATAAACAGGCTTGCATCATTGCCGTTCTTCCGTTTTCGTCGTCGTCGCGACAACGAAGGGCAAGGCGATTGGCTCCTGACCGCAAGCAGCTGATCGGAACCCCTCGGTAGATGCCTCAAGAGGATGATGGCTACGCAGAGGAAGCCGACGACGCAGTCCTCCTACGACCGGTAAGTCGAGCCCACCTCGGCTCGAGCAGCCAACTCTCTTTCAGCCCTCGGCGTTGGCTCAGTCGCGCGGATGCATCGAGGCCCACTATCGACGTCGCTGCTTTCCCCTCTCTGGCCTCGAACAGTCTGATTCTCGTCCTCCTCAGCCTCATTCTCGATCAATGCTGACTGCCCGCGTAGCACGCTAGCTCATCAAGGTCTGTGCATCGGCACAACATTCGACCGAGCGCAAAGGCACGCCAGGCGTTTCTCGACCTATACGACTGGCTGTCAGGCCCACTTGTAGGCTATCGTCGTCGTCGGCCCTACGAACCAGTATATCGCAGTGGCAGCACGATGTCTGCCGAAGCCGTTCAGTCGCGTCACGTTGACTTGCCCCCGTCTCGACGTGATGGCGTGATGAAGCGAGTCTATCACAACCTGCCTCGCATACCAAAGTCTCAAGCTCGACTTGATGAACCGACTACCCCGGCATTGCTGCGTAAGCTCACGGGCATGCAATGGCTGTACTTCTTTGCCATCTTTATAGCCTGGATGTCAGATTCCGTCGACTTCTTCTCCGTCGCGCTCAACGTCACGCTCCTGCGCAACTTCTTCGCAACAAAACAACCAGACATCTCGATTGGTGACATTACGACCTCCATCACCCTCACTCTCTTATTCAGAACACTTGGCGCTATCATCTTTGGCATCGCTGCCGATAAGTACGGTCGCAAATGGCCCCTCGTTGTCGATTTGCTGCTCTGTGCTGCCTTTTCGCTCGCTACGGGCTTCGTCACCACCTTTGAGCAGTTTCTCGTCGTCCGATCGTGCTTCGGCATCGCCATGGGCGGCGTCAGCGGCATGACCATTGCCAGCCTCGAACGCTTACCCATTGAGACCCGTGGCCTCTTGGGCGGCGTGCTCCAGCAAGGCTATTCGACCGGGTTCTTGGTTGCCTCGATCTTCAAACTTGCATACGTAGACAGTCATACACATGGCTACTGGCAGGCTAGCTTCTGGTTCGCATGCGGCATCACCACTTTTGCGGCTGCCTTGCGGGCGGCAATACCCGAGCCTGCAAAGACCAAGCGCACATCGATTCCTGCACGATGTCAAGATTGCAGCAAGACGCCATTGGCGACGTTTTCTTTATGCCGTCGCTCTCATGGCTGGCTTCAATTTCTACTCGCACGGATCTCAGGTGGGTTTCCTGTGGACCAATATGAGGTATAACTCACTCGATCAGTCAGGACTTGTATCCGAGCTTCATCCAGCAGACAAAGGGTCTGAGCGCAAGCCTGGCGACGAAGTCCACCATCATTGGAAATCTGGGCGCCCTTGTCGGTTCGCTGGCTGGCGGCTTGTCTCAGCACCTCGGCCGTCGCCTTACCATCATCGTGTGCTGCATCTGGGCAGCATGCTTCATACCGCTCTGGATCCTGCCGAGCAGCTTCAGCGCGTTGGCTCTGGGCGCATTTTGCTTGCAGATTGGCATCCAAGGCGCCTTCTCCGTCGTACCCGCCTATCTGCTCGAGCTGTCGCCAGTTGCTGTTCGTGCGACATTTCCGGGTAAGTGCCCTGCTCGCGATCATAGACGAAGCTCAGATACGAAACGAGCAGGCGTGGCTTATCAGCTCGGTAATGCCATCTCCGCATCGAGTGCTCAAATCGAGGCCCGGGCAGGCGAAGGTCTCATGACGCCCGAAGGCCGGCCAGACTATGGCAAGGCACAGGCCATCCTCGTCGCCGTCGTCTCGATCTACCTTATCGTCCTCGTCTGCTTCGGCCGGGAGTATCCCGAAGGTGAGAGCAAGGAGGATGCCAACAAGGAAGAGAGCAACGAGGGAGAGAAAGCGATAGACGAGGAGAACGCAACAGGCAAGCCGGAAGTTCAGAACACGGAAGAGTAGTGCTAGACCATATGCATTACAGCCTGTCGTGAATGTGTGCGCTAGCCTTCCTTGCTGTCCGCTTGAGGGCCCAGTGCCCATCTTTGCATGATCGCTCGTCGCGTCAGACTTACCTGTTTTCTCGCTGTCAGCACAACAAATGTCGAACAGACGTGACAGACGTACTCTGAGACGCGTGGCAGGGTCACGCTGCATAACAGATTCGTTGTGCCGCGGTACGATGAGGCCATCGTGTCGCCAGATTCGCTCTATTGTTGAGTCTTGCAGGAGGCCGCTCCAAGGACTGCCCAGGCCTGGTTGTATGTCACTCGGCGTATCTTTGCTCTGGATGATGATGGGTGGTTCTATACTGTAAGCTTCCAATGCGCCAGCGCGAATAAAGGTCGAAACGGCAGTATCGACAGGAAGCTGGTAGGCCAGCCAGGGGTCTGACATCTGTCGCAGAAGTCTGTCTCTGCCCGCGATGGAGACGGTCCAGCCATGCAAGCATCTGGGCGCATAGGACCGATATAGGTGAGGATGGAAATATGCGCCTCTTGAGGTTTCTGCTCCCCAACAGTGACCGAGGAAGACCATCTCCCAAGGTTCGCTGCCCTCGCGGGGCTTTTCCTCGGTCGGCAAGAAGGTCTTGATCGTGTTCCACATATTCTCGATATCCCATTCGAAATCGACGTCGTCTTCCAGCACGAGCGCGGTCGTATCGCCATTCTCTTTCATCTTGTGCAAGGCGCGCGTTTGCGAGTGCCAGGTGGCGATGACGGCGTCGTTGACTTGTCGAGCTGCGTACGAGTCGAGGTAGTCCCATAGTGCGCTCGTGACATTGAGGTCAGGATCGTCTGGCTTGAGTGTCAGGTAGGGATCGGGGCGAGTATTGAGGTATTCGACCCAGTCCATGCCCTCGTAATGATCCTTCTTGAGCGAGGGCCAGATGACTTTGTCTGTTCCTTCCCAGTCTGTCTCCTCACTAGGCTGTTCCAGCGCCGGGTTGATCTTCCAGGGTACGGAGGGGGCCAGCCAGACGCTGCCGACTGTCGAGCCGCCGAGCTCGGCTTCGTCCACCGAACGCGCTCGAGCAATGAGCCGTCGCTTCTCGCTCCTGACCTTGACGACGCGCTCTGCTATCCATTTGATAAGATCGGAATCTTTCGGTGCCGCGTCGATAAAGGTCAGCTCGATGCCGAGCGCATGCGCTATCCTCTTCATTCGCGCGCGTCGGTCGGTCCGTGATGCAAGTGAGATGACATAAATACGGCTGAACCCGAGTGTTTTGGAGTGAGGCAAGGCCGGCCTGATCTCTTTGAGCTTATTGCGATAGGCAAGTGAGATCTGGCTCGCATGATCGGCCGATATGTGTGAAGGTGCAATTTGGATGTCATCGACAAGCTCGCTTTCCTTGGCCGCTTCGCCTGTCAAGCCCATCCGGAGCCATCTCGCGGGGCCATTCGTGTACCGCATCGCGGTAGAGCCGATGTGCAGGCCCAGTCCTTTGAGCTTCGAGGTCGCTCTCCCTCCTGCCGCGACGATCCCTCTGTCCGAGTCCGATGCGTTCTGACTGACCAGCAGACATACGAATAGTGTCAATGGCAAGCCGATAAGTATCAGCCATCGCGTGCGGCCTAACGACGGCATGGTTTGTGGCCAACTGGCGCGCGGTTTGCTTCCGATTTGGCTAGACATTTGGCTCGTCGCGTCCTCCTCGTGTTCTTTTGCCGCTCAGCGCAAGTGTCCCACCTCGAGTCCACTCCGCACCCATCTACGCCATGACGGTACGCTGCCAGAGGAACGTCTGCCTCGAGCTAAGATGTACGAACAGACGTGGACACGCCTCATTCGCTTCACGACTGCAGAATCAAGCGTGCCGGTCTACGGTCAGCCCGTGCCACCATCCGGGGTATCCGAGCGAGATGACGACATCGGTCTGCGCTATCACGCATCCAAAGTGTCGGGCGCAGCTCCCGTACAAGCACATCTCATCGTTGGCGATCCATTCGGCAGCGAAAGCTGCATCGTAACAAAGTCATTGCTCTCTGTCCGCACTTTGCTCTCGCCGCTGCCTGCCGAGCTCGTCGGCGCACCTCGCTGCCTCGGGGCAAATTACCAAGGTGAGCATGACGAAGTATTAAAATCATCACTGATGGAAGCGCTCAGGACCGGCCGCCAAGAAGGGATCTGTGCCCATCTTGTTCCTCAAGCCGGCGAGTAGTCTATCTCATCCAGAATCGACTATCGTTGTGCCTGCGCATGCCAGCGATGATCAGGCAGACTACGAAGCAGAACTTGTCATCGTCGTCGGTCGTACAGCCAAAGACGTCGAGCCCGCCAATGCGCTTGATTATGTTGCAGGCTATACGCTCTGTAACGACGTCAGCGCTCGCAAGCTCATGGCAGCCGCTTCGCAATGGGGTATGGGCAAGAGTCTGTAAGCAAAGCTTATCTCATACAAGCCAGACGCTGATGTACTGCGCAGTGATGGTCAGTCCGCCCTTCTGCGCCAAACCGAGACAGCCTAACGCCGATTCTAGGTTGGTTGCCTTTCGGGCCCGTCATCGTCTCTTCCAAGCTTGTAGAAGATCCTCAGAAGATAACCCTGAAGGCAGTACTGAATGGCAAAGAGTACCAAGTGAGTGCATCGCCGGCCCTGCGATCGATCTGACGTGCCTCAGAACGACACAACGGCGAAGCAACTCTGGACTGTTGCAGAGACCATCGTCGAGCTCTCAAAAGGCTCGACGCTCTCGCCAGGCACAATCATCGCAACAGGCACTCCGGCAGGACAAGGCTCAACGCAGAAGCCTCCGGTTTGGCTCCGTCATGGCGACGACATCCGCATTTCGGTAGGCGCTTCGTCCGTCGCTCAGTGGTAGGCTGATGTTGTTTTTGCAGGGCTCACATGGGCTTGGAACTCTCATCAACACAGTCGTCGAAGTAAAGAAGGGCGCTGTTCGCGCCAAGCTATGATCGTCCCTGTGCACTGCAAATCACAAAGTCTCATGTTGTGCAATGAAGCGTCATGACATTCAGATCTTGCGCGAGTCGACCGGAAAGACAAGTGCCATATGAACCTTTCCACGACGCGTGTTCTTGTCCTGCAAAGCTTGTCAGTAGTATACCCCGTAAAGTCGGAGGGGGACACACCTTCTCGACGGTGATCTCAACTTTGACCTTGTCAAAGACACCAATGGTCACAGCCCCAGTGTTGGTCGGAACCGAGAGCTCGTAACGGTCCGGGTCATATTTAACTTCGCGCTTGAATGTCACCAAGCCTTCTAGGCCGAGCCTTTGTGTGATGTCAGCGCATGCGCCAGCAAGAGGTGAGAATCTCACTTTGAGACGAACACGGCCACCCCGTTCTTGAAGGCCCGGATGACGTACGCATCCTCCCGTATCTTGCCTGCACCCGCTTCGACGCTGGCCTCTTCCTTGCCTTGCAATGCAAGAGCAACGTAAAATTCAACGGAAGCTCTCCCCGCTTGTTGACCGCTGCGGTGACGCTTGTTGATATTGCTCATCAGTCCGTCGACGTGATCTCGCGAATGCATGGCCGAATGCAGCGGTGTCGATGATATGGCTGCAAAGAGCTGTCGATGTACAAGAATATCAGCGTATCGTCTTATCGGCGAGGTGAAATGGGTGTAGATCGGTGTGGCAAGACCGTAGTGCCCAAAGGCATTAGCTGCCACGCTACCAGAACAAAAGTACTCTGCACTGAGCATGCAACGCGTCGCCATGATTCGCACGAGGGTGTTGAAGTCCGGGTTGCTCGGATCGACACATTCGTCAAGCGAGCTTGCGAGTCGGCCTGAGCTTGAGACATCGAGCGTAACACCTTTGCGCTTTGTCAACACATCCGTCAAAACATCGAAGTTGTCGGACGGTGGGGGCAAATGACGACGCAAGACCGCAGTCTGCGGGAACTGCTGCTGTATCCTGGCCGCAACGCTGATATTGGCAAGAAGCATGAACTCTTCAACCAAGCTATTTGTCTCGTAAGATTGCTTCTGCTCTACATCGACCGGACCTGTGCTTTCTGGGCTCTCCATATGGATTTTGACTTCTGGAGAAGCGAGATTCAGGGCACCGGCTGCCATGCGCTTGCCTCGAAGAGCAATCGCAAGTTTATTCAGCAAGCGGATATTTTGCGCAAGTTCGTCTGTCTGCGTTTGATCGTCTTTATGCTTTTGCGCGGCTTCGTATGTGAATGCGGCTTTGGACGCAATGACAGACTTCGTGAAGCGAGTACTGACGATGTTGGCATTGCTGTCGAGCTCCCAGATGACTGAGAATGCCAGCCGCTCAACGTAAGGGCGCAATGAGCAGAGATTGGTGCCCAGCAAAGCGGGAAGCATGTCGATGCGTTTGTCGACCAGATAAACTGTTGTGCCACGCGAGGCTGCTTCTGCGTCCATTGGGTTGTCGGGATGGACAAAGTACGACACATCTGCGATATGCACGCCGGCTTCAACATTGCCATTGGGCAGCATGCGAGCATGCAAGGCGTCGTCGATGTCTTGACAGCCAGGCGGATCGATGCTGCAAATGTTAAGCTCGCGCAGATCTTCGCGTCCGCGCCATGCTGGGCCACCATCTTGCTTAGGCGGGACATGCCAGGTGTCACCCTCGGCAGGCAAGCATTTGAGCACTGAGCCGGAAAAGGGTCGATATGGCACATCCCACTCGAGCAGCAAGCTTTCAATTTCTGCTTCCTTGTTCTCTACTGTGCCGAGTGCTCGGATGAAATGACCTTCCGGACTGCGTGAACTGACCTCCCACGAATCGATCGAGACAAGAAACTTTTGACCGACGAGTGCAGAGATCTGACGCGTCCGAATGCGAATCCGTGGTATTTTGCGATCGGTAGGCACAGCGAAGACGCTCTGTGTGCCAAGCGATTCGAGCGCAGCGGGGGCGAGAGTCGACGTATCTAGATGACAGACGTACGATCGCCAAGCTCGACGTAATATACCGACGACTCGGCCTGTCGGCTGCGCCTGGCCCTGATCTGACACCGCAGTTTCCTTTTGCTCCTTTGCGTCTGTGCTATCTGGCTCTTCAGTCGTCTCTTCTGGGTCATCGTCCTTTGCGACCGCATCACGATCGACGACTTGATCGGCTGCACGCTTCCATTGGGTAGATGGCAAGAGTTGAACGACGACCAAATCACCGGCAGTACTCCTGTTCATTGCTTCCCGCCCCACGAGCAATATTGGCTTCTGCAGACCTCCGCCCATCACCGAGCCCTCGAGATAATTGTATGGATTTGGATTGAAGTGGCCCTGCAGATACCGGCCGCTCGCCACACCGGACTGCAATTCGCCAAGAGGAAGATACTAGAACACGTATTAGTCATGAGAGGTGATATTTCTCCCGGCTGACCTCTGAGAAGAAGCTGGTGGGCTTCGTGGAGCTTATGAGATCTTCAGGATCGCTGACGTGACCGACGCGCGCTACCAGATCGACGAGGTAAGTCGAGGCTTCCGTTGGCATTGCGTCGACGTATGTTTTTGTAGAGTACACCGTAATTCCTTCGGCTTGTGCTTTGCCTCGGTTGCCGGCATCATCGCTGACAAGTACTATGTCGGGCGTACTTTTGCCTTTGCGGCTCTGCTTAGCGAGATGTCTCGAGTACCATCGGACTGCTTGGCGTATCGCACGATCATTCCTATCATTGATCGTTTCGCCATCCACCTTTTGCGCATACGTGTCACTGTCGTGATGTAAGCACTCGCCATCAGTCAGAACGTAGCAAGTCTGCCTACTTTCTCGCTTCGTTCCAAAAGGTATAGACTCGTCGATCTTCATCCGCAATGAGTGCACGCAGTCGATTATACAGCGGCAGAGAGCGATGTCGCGTCTCGTCGATGACGGTCTGTAGCAGTATGATATCTTGTCCAAAGTGTGACGACTCTAACAAATCCATCTGTCCCAGGTGTTAGTGCACATCAGAAAGAACCACGGCAAGCGTGCCTGATGTAAGGCAATATTGGTATCAATGACCAGGTAATGTGACGCTGAACTGCCCTGCAACGGCGGACGACCCTGTGAGCTGAGTACAGGGCCCTGTACATCGTCTTGAGCCCGTCTGCCTGCCCTCTCTTGGGCCGTCATGTTCAATCGAGGAACATCATCGGGTACATAAAGGCTGCCGCAGTCTCGGCAGCACAAGGATCCACATGGCAGATCGTTGCGCAAATACTGCTCTCTTATGACTGCATCGCACGCATTGGCTTTGCCTTCTGCAATGCTTCAGGGACACACCTTTGATGACACGTCCTTTTGCCGTCTTGCGCATGAAATGTCGCTTCGTCTGCTGTACACCTGTCGCACTGCTCGCTGTGCCATCTTCGGCATCTACTGCCTCGAATGGTCGCTTTTGCAAGATAGTGATCATGATTGCTCGTCCCTCGAGGAAGAGGAAAGTCTCGCTCTGTCGCGTTCCTGTGATTTCGTGAATGACCTCACCGGCCTCACCAGCATTTGATCATGACAGACACGACATTGCTAGCGCCCATAGAGCTGTCCGATGATGACAGCGACGAGCTCATCTTCGTCTCCAGCGTCAAGCTCGGCAAGCGCAAATCCTCAGACTCGCCCAAGCCTCGCAAAGCGTTGAAGCAGACAAGCTTGCAGGCTGCTCCCGTCACACCGACTGCTGACCGGAGCGATGCCGCAAAGGCGCAATTGATCCAGCTCGGACAGTCCCCAGGCTCGGGCTCTTTCGCCATACATCCTCATATATTCGATCTCGAAGCTGCGTTCACGCGCAAGGCAGCCAAACCAATCATCAAGCCGCCCGATCTCGATCTGCTCCTGTTCAAGCCTCTGATGACACCAGAAGGCTGTAGCAAGGTCTATAGCTATCTGCTCAATGAGTTGCCCTGGTACAAAGTCAAATACACTGTGCGGAAAGGCATCGACATTGTGACGCCGCGCTATACGACTGTATTTGGACAAGATGATACCAAGACGCAAGCACTCAGTAGGTACAAGAAGCGTCCACGACCGATACCCTATCTTCTTGAAGAGCTCAAGCGGCATGTCGAGTCTATCTCTGGCGCGACATACAACTTTGTGCTTTGCAACTTCTATTCAGACGGCAAAGACTCGATCAGCTGGCACTCGTCAGTGGATCTACATATCAAAAGCTGATTGCGCTGATATGCTCGCAGTGACGATGAGGCTTTCCTTGTGCGTTTGTCCCTGAACGCTGAGGCAAAGCTGATCTCACAACAGGGCCCGCAACCGACGATCAGCTCGCTCAGCCTGGGCGGCGCAAGAGACTTCTACATCAAGCACAAGGCAGATGGTACGGATAAGCACCATTTCTCATTGCAAGACGGCGACCTGCTCGTCATGCGAGGCAAGACACAGGAGCGTTATCTGCATTCGATCCCAAAGCGTGCTGTGGCCCGACCGCGGATCAATATCACCTTTCGGCGCGCGATTAACACCTATGGCACTGATAATTATTACAGTGCGTCTGCTGAATGCTGGACGAGAGCTGATCTGACGGGTGAGCAGAGTACAACGTCGGTGATGGACCGATTTACCGCTTCAGGGACGGCAAAATGTGCCTAGCTGACTCGACCGACTGAGTCTTTCCCATGACTCCAGCCTACTGCTCAGTCTGTGCTCGCGATAGCTGCAACCCCGCACTGCCACGAATGCACACTCCACGCGACGCATGGCTATGGCAAGCCCCACAGCGTTATTGCGACTTGGAGAGGGACGCGATCTTCCGTTCCTTGACGATCCGCTTGAACTCTGAAAACCCAGCGACGCCGAGCAGAAAAGTCAGGAAGACCCAGAGGAACTATGCAATGTAATCAGCATGTCATCTGTTGTACGGAAGGAAACGTACCGTATTGCGCACGCCCGTCTTGTGCTTTCTGCAGAGTGTATATTGGTAGTATGCCTCGGCGATGTGGCAGGAAATTGCAAATATCCAAGCAGCTACAATTGTACGCATGCCACCGGCAGCATTGCGGATTCTTCCGCCGAATTCGTGATCCTCCATGACAGTGCAAGCGACGAGAAACGTGACGAGCGTCATGATGAAGGGCACAAGTCGTCCCAGCCGGAAGCTGTCAACTACAGGTACAGTGTCCTAGTGATAGAGATTTGCATAAGCATGCTAGTGATGCACAAGGCTCAGGCTTACCATTCTTAGTGCTTGTTCTGCTTCCGCCTTCATGGCCAGCAAGCGCGGTCTCGCCTCGTCGTACGACTGCAAACGTGGTTCAAAGGGTATTGTGACGGTTTTTGGCTCTGAAGCGTCTCTGTAAGGCAGATAGCTGATGATCATTGAATCAGATGAGATCGAGTCCATTTTGGCATTGACGGCTCGTTTCACTTTGCCATAGTGCATGCAGTATGCGACAAGAGTATCACGATGATTACTCATGTACATTGACAGAAAGCCTGACTTGCTTGCTACCTCGTCCATCTTGTGATGCGCTTGCCCGCGCCGCGCAACGTGCAATACGCGCCAGCAGAACTGCCAAAAATGTATTCGCGCCCGAAATTTCTGCCAACTCGCAAGAAACGCGCCAAAGAATGAAAGCCCACCCAGTCGTATGCCATCAGAATAAGCAAAAGTAAAGGGCGCAGGCGGTCCTCGGGGCAAAAATGGTCTCGAACAGAAAGTGATTCGAACACTTGCTCCCGAAGGAACTGCCTTAGCAGGGCAGCCTATGTATGGTCGTCAGCAGGAATTCGGGTGAAAATTTCAGCATAGCTCACGCGTTAACCACTCCGCCATCTGTCCTCTTCTTATCGGCCACCAGAATTTTGCCATAATATACATCGTTTGATTTTTGCAGCTGGTAACCTCTTTTCGCTGGTGCGAATGCCTCGAGCGGGGCGTCTGTGCGTGCTTCGCCAATCGCGAACGTAGTCTGTCATGATGCATCTCTCGCGAGTACATACATTGGTCTTAGCGAGCATCCAATTTAGACTTAGTGAGAGTATGATGTCCAACAAGTCTTTCAGTGCTCGCAGAATCGTCAGCAAAAATTCAACAGACTAAAGTATGCGTTCTCTGTTGCGTGATCAAGCACGCGGGTCACCTTATACAGAGAGGAGCAGGGCCAGTTGTTATGAGATCCTCATATCATGTCGAGCTTCTGTTTGCTCGGTTTCTACTGATCGGTGCTGCGTAGGCATGACCGTTCCTCGTCCAACATCGAATTTGACAATATATAGTCATGTGTCGGTCCAACAGACAAGCCTTGGTAGCTCACGTTGGAAGAGCGTCAGACTCTTAGCAGCCACTCACAGGGACTTGTTATCTGAAGGCACCGGGATCGTTGCCCGGCCAGGGCTTTCTTTTTTGCATTTTGCAACACATGACCAGATGTCTGTGCCTTTGCGAATGGCCTGAACACCTGTTCGACAGGCATAGTCTCGATCTCTTTCTGCCAATACTTTTGACGCGTTCTCAACTATGCTCGTGTACGCGCGCCATTTTCCAAAATCGTACAGATTGCGACCGGAGGACGACCGGCTGGACCGAAATGAAGACGCTAGAGCCTGGCCGGCTCCTCATGACGCGGATGCTTATAACATTCACTGCTGAGACTCCCTTCAGCCATAGTGTGACCACACACGCCTCAGCAGAAGCAAGATGGTACGTCTACCGTAGCAGCTCAATGTCGACACTCATGTGCGCCCTTAGATTCCAACATCGCCGCTGATGACGAGCACTGACCTGATCGGCCTCGGACTGCACTGTCGCTCGCCATCAACGAAGCACCAGCCCAAGGTCTCATCGCCTCTCTCGCGAGATCGCTTTGACCATCATTCTCGTTCGCCCATATGCAGTCCAATGCTCGCCAGCGCAGCACTGGGCAGTGCTATACTAGACAGTCCGATACTGACCACAAGACGACTCAGTTCGAGGAGACTACGAAGTTCGCTTGCCGTCAAGGTGGCATCGCTCGCTTGGATTGCAGCACTGTCTTTTGGCGTGCTCTACCTGTTCAGCAGCATCGATCGATCCGCAAAGGCCGCCAAATACTACATTCAGCCAGTCACTTACCCCGCATCATCTCGCTGGCTCGAATTTGGCGAAGAGCACGAATTCTTATTCGGACTCGAAGAGGCGGCGCGAGATATCAATGCGCAACCAGAGCTAGTGCCATACTGGTCGCATGAAATAAAGCCAAGTCGACTCCAACATGCGCTCGCCATAGTCGCCCGTGGACCCCGTCGTCTGACCAAACCAGATCTGCTGACTTTGGAGGAGCTCGAACAAGCGAATGACACCGCTGACGAAGATGCTCTTGACTTTAGCGCAAACACGACCTCTGGCAGCTTCTCTAAGCCGTCCGCACTCGCTAAAGCACGCATCGCGCGTCAAAGGCGGACCGTCTTTGAATGATCTCGCGTTATGGCACACCCTGCAACCGATGCACTTACGTTTGTTGTCCTCCATATGCATCGCATCTCCACAGCAACCACATGCTTGCATTGCGCAAAGGGAACACAACAACAGTCGTCAATCTGAGCACTTATGGCTGCTCATGGCGCTTGCGTTCGATGAAGTTCGTCATCATGAGCAGTAAGCCGATGGCGAGAACGCCAAAGATCAACAAGACAGGCACTATGTATCGACCATAGCACTTGATTTCTGCCGCCAAACATTCTCTCGTCACCTTTGGCAGACCCGGCAGGCGCTCGTGCTGTTCGGCAATCGCATGACCATCGCCCGGCGCGCTCCTTTGACTTATATAGTCCTGCGCGCGCGAAGCTTCTAGATCGACCCGTGCACTCGGTCGCATAGAGGCGGGCAGCAGCCATGTCGGAACGAGATAGGTGACCCATTGTGACGCTGTTGCTTGCTCGTCTTCCCAGGGTGTGGGCGGATGCGGCGGCGGCATGGGCAAAGGTGTATAGACCCGCGAATTAGGCCTCGTCATCTTTGGTCTGACTTGCAGTTGCGATCGGCGAGGCGATCCTGACTCACGCGGTCCGATGGGATCAGTACCGGCAGTAGCAGCGGGTGCGCCGGTTGGCACAGCATCGCGCTGCGCAGCTTGTGGGAACCGTATCGCGGCGCTGCCGAAATTGGATCTTGGGGCGTTTGCCTGCCTTGCGAGCAGTGGCTTGCGCTCACTCGTCGCTGGCGAACCATTGGATTGCATCGGTGACACCGATGAGATCGTCTCGCGCTCTTGCGTCACGCGCAAATTCGAAATCAGCCAGACCATGCGACTCACCTCTCACGTCCGCAGAAGTTTACGAGCGTCATCTAGAAGCAGAAAAGCGACTGGCACTCGATGTCGGTCATTCTATGGCCCTACGACGCAGAGAGCGAGCATCACGCAGCCAGATTGCTCCTACAGCGAATCGCATGCGGCTGGTACTCTGACAAGATTGACTACTGGCGGGACTTGATCAGAAGGAAGCACATGCATCTGTACTGGATCGCATTAGATGAAGTTCAACCGCCAACGACGCATGACGGACCTACAAGCATTGAGCTAAACGCAATACACGCGGCACAGTATCCTGGAGAGGCAACACCTCTATCGGACACTTCACTTATTGCCGGTGGTGCGCTTCGTCCGACTGGCGCCTCCGGTCACTCGTTTAGTCCCGTTGGACATATAGGCCTGTTCACGTATGATCCACGAGAAGACTTGCCCGCTCTGCATCCCACCGGCAAAGTTGTAAAGATTACAACTTTCTATATCAGCACAGCGTTACAGTCGCAGAGATTAGGCTCAAAGTCGATGGATGCGATCGAGAAGAAAGCAGCGGAGCCACCTTTGAGCGCGCGGACGATTGTGCTGGACACAATAGATCCAAAGCATTTCGAATCCAGCGACGACTTTTATGCCCGATATGGCATGGCTGTGCCGGAGCTGAAAGCCTATGTCCGTGTACTGCTCCCTCATTACTCCCGGCTGACCTTGATGACAGTATTGGTATAGGCGACGAGGTTATAAGCAATATAATTCGAAGCCCTTTTATTTCCTAAAGGATACTCAAGGCAACGATCTGGCGGGAACTGCCGCCTTCTTGCGCAAAGATTTGCCGACTCCTTCCGCTGATATTCTTCTGTGGCCGTTTGATGCCGAGAGCGAAGAGCACGTCGCACGCCTTTATCTGCAGCGACAGGAATGTGGATGGTACCATAAGCGGATAGACGAGTTCAGAGATGCAGTGCGCAAGAACGCTATGCAGTTCTTCTGGATCTCTCTGCCTACAGATCATGCGGATAGGATTCCCGTCAATTGCCTAGATGCTGGTCCTCTGCAAGACTCGGCGGCAAATCGTATCGGTATAGCTGTCAATCCTGCCCAAAGCAGCTTTTTACCGGTCGGTCATGTCGCGTTGACGCTAGCGGGTGATGTCGATATCACAGATCAGCCTCAGCCAGAGAGCGGCAAGGTCGCCAAAGTCTGCTTGCTCTATATCGACGCAAATCTGAGGGGCGGCAAGTTTGGCGCAAAAGCCATGGCAGCCGTGGAACGAATCGCTATCGAGCCGCCTATCAAGGCCAAGACGCTCGTCCTGGACACGCTGCATCCGAGTTACTATCTCCCGGGAAACGACTTCTTCCCCAACATTGGCTTGCCACTGCCGAAAGTCGACAATTGTTCTTGGTATGGCCGACTAGGCTATGAAGTCTACATGGAGAGAGCAGTCAGCGCAGGGACCTTTGCGAATGGCGAGACTCGTACGGCTGAGTCTGTTGTAATGCGCAAACGAGTCGCTTAGATCATCGATATCGATCATCTTCGACGCGCCGCGCCCGTTTCTTGACCATTGGTCCATTGAACGCCGTCTGGCGATGGGTGAGTCACGGAAAGCCAACATGAGAGTGGTGCTGCTCGCGCACTCGTATCTCGGCATAAGCTGGAGCGTGCTCATCTTCCGTTCGAGACTGCTATCGCTCTTTCTGAACCTCTTCGATCCTCCATTGGCGCCGTATCGACCTTCGCAATACGTTGACCAGCGCAATCTGGCAAGGGAGGGACATAGTCGGGCGGCTCGCCTCAAGCATTTTCTGCTTCGTCGCAGGCCGGGCTTACCCCAGTACAAGCGCAACCTGCTTGCTATGTTCGACTTTCTCGTGAGTATATCATTCAGCGACATTGACGACGCTAAAGCGCGGGGCAGGCTTCATCTGCAATCCTCAAGACACTCCTTGGTCGCCACTACTCAGCACGGGACATGCTGCTCACGCCGCTGATCGTCGGTGCTCCCTCTCTTCGTTCGGTCCTTACGAGCACAGCCAGTCGAATGTCACCGGCCCCAGGGGCGAGCATATTGTCAAGCTTGCGAGATCAGCGGTGGCTCGCAATGTGGCTCGTTGCGTTCACTGTAGCTCATGAGACCTGTCATGCTACTTTACTAGCCATTCTGGCACGTTCGGAGGCAGCGACGAAAGCCGTTCGCCTCATCGAAGCGCGCGGGCAATCAGTGCGAGCGAATGTCTCGGACGCAGAGTGTCCTGTCTGCCTTGGCTCGGGTCCAACGTGGGATACCGCGACGAACGATTCGCCGTTTGCCGGTGGGCAAGAGAATCCTCTGGAAGCGTTCTGCTCGGCGGAAGGTCACGAGCTTCACCGTCAATGTCTCTTTCGTTGGTTCGAAGAGAAGCAACTCCAGCAGCGACTGTCTCGCAGACTGCCTTTTGCGGCTCAAGACACAGTCCGCATCCCGGGCTTGAACTTCACACTCAACTTTGAGGGACAGCTTCAAGGCTTCAATGTCCGTGTCACCCAGCTGGCGCCGACGCCCACACCGCAACTCATCGGACAAGCGATGCGACCATGGGGAATGCCTATCGACGGTCACTCGATCGTGCGCAGTCTAGACGAGGTCGATCGCTCGGCGAACGACGGTATACACCTGTACTTGCTTGACAGCTTTGTTGCCTGCCGCCATGCGCACGGCCAAGTCTGGTGGCAAGACTTTGACGATCAGACTGCCAGAGCAGCACGTCTAGCGTTTTCGGCGCACAGCGGAGCTTCCAGGGTGGCTGTCCTCACAGCCTCTAATCCTGGACCATCCTGCGCGATCTGTCGAGGGCCGCTCAGCATAGAATTGCATGTCTCGCCCCCGCCAAAGGTTGCAGATCAGACAGAAGAACGAAATTCATCGATTCTATCGCTCAGCAGCAAAGCAGCCAGCAGCATCTGGTCGGTCTGGTCAGACAGTCTGGGACCTGCCAGTGTTGCCGCGAAGCTAGCAGCTTCAAGCTTCTGGACCCTCTTCCTCTGGGTCAATTCACGAGCATTGGCTGACGAATACTTTAGCGTTCGCGCATCGAGGGATCTGCCATCAACATAGGCACCTTCGACGCGTTGAGCGTTGCCTGCTATTTATCCTTGGCTCGTTCTTACATCGTTCACCCAAGTTCCAAGGATTCACGCCAGCATGTCGAACCTCCACGAGACTGTCGATGGTACGCCTGCGCAGCCTCCAAGCTACCAGTCGCCGACGCCTACTCGTTCAGCCGAAGTTGATCTCGGCGATCGCGCTGACATATCGAGAGCAATGCGTTCGGGTACTGTCGATCCAGCGCAGACCCTGAACAGTCCGATACAAAGCCAGCGCAATCTCGCTTCAGGACCACTTGCATCTCCCTTGCTTACTCCGTCACGCCGTGCCAAGGTCGAGCCAAACGAAGGCCCTGCCCTGTCCGAGATTGCCTCGATGTCCATTGGTCGTCAATCACACCAGCGCACGCCCTCGGAGCTCATGGTCGTTCGCATGATGATGCTTGAAAACATGCCCTCGCGTGCAGACTTTGAGGACGAGATGACCCAGCTTGAAATGGGTCACACCATACAGCGCCGATTTCTTGTGAGAAACAACGAGCTCGAGCTCATGCTGGGTCTGTTGCTACTCGATGCTGGCAAGCCTACTTCCGGTGCATACAACAGACTCAAGGGCATGCTCGCCTCAGAAGCTCTCGCTACGCTCAAAACTTGGACCCTGCGTAATTTCACTCTGGTCACTACAGTTCAGTCGGATGGTCAGCCAGAGTACACTGTCTTTGCTGCCAAGTCGAAGCTCCGCGTTGCCACTCGAGAGGAGATCTACGACCTCGTCGTCGCTGCACACCTTCAGGTCAATCACAAAGGACGCGACAAGACGTACGCAGTCATCCGTGACAAGTACGCCATGATACCCAAGGAGGTCATCGCTCGTTTTGTCGCCATCTGTCCTTATTGTGTCAACACGCGCGGCCCTGCCAGCAACTGTTCAACGCCTCACAAGACGCCTGCAACGACAGGCCACAAGCGCACACTCAGCTCGGTCAGCGATGTGTCGGATCACTCGCCCTGCAGAGCAATGTCGCGTCGCGCTCTGCCCACCCAGAATCTCTCACCGCTCTCGTCGCCGTTTCGCATGTCCGTCGGATCTGGCACCTCGCGCTCCGCCATGCTCGACTTTGCACGCGCCGGATTGACGGCCTATGTCGCCCTTCTTGCCCAGCAAAATGTTGGGTATGACGAGATCACGGAACTTCTCGAGATGCTCTTCCTGGAGGCACTTGACCTCGCGAATCAGGTGTGTACTCTCGAGCGCAGTGCGTGCTTATTATTGACACTCAACAACAGAACAAGTAGGAGCATGAAGATATCTAGCTATTCGTCTTGCTGTCGCTGCAGTAGAGCTTGTTGGCGTCTCGAAAATGCGAGACAGGCCTCGTAGACTGAATACATCACGACCGCATTGGGCACCACTCTCAAGAGATGGGGCGATAGGCCTCCGTACATCGCCGCCACGCCTTCCTCGCGCCAGACGACACGGAAAGCTTGTACGAGGCCTGTATACTTGGCAGACCGGCCTGGTTCGACGCCCTGTCGTAGTCGTGTTCTCACCACCTGTGTGATCGTGTCAGTCTTTCACAACTGTATAGTCCGGTAGACCTGCCTCGTGCGGATACGTGATGATGGTCGCGATGAGCTTAGCGGAGCCGGCGGAGAGGACCTTGTCTAGCCAGTCCTCGCCTTGCTCATGTCCTCTGACCGTCTTGCGTCTACTTGCCATCTTCTTGAAATGCTCGTACAGAGTCCATTGGATCGTGCCCTCTGTCACGCCAAGGTACGAAGCCGAGAGGCCTCTATAGAACCCCTTGAGACCCTCTCTTTGCCATATATACCGCACACATTGCAGCGAGCTCGTAAACGGCCTCGCCGAGCCCTCTTGTAATTGCAAGGTCGATTGCGCGCGGGAGAAGAACATGATGCCGCCCGCTTGAGTAGATACAGATCGCGTTGCGCTGGCCGAAGCGCTTGGGAGACTTGATTTGGGCGTCTGTCGCTTTTGCAGCTGTAAGCGAGTCTTGACGACCCAGATAGGATTGGTAGCTGTCGCTGTCACTATGCCTGCCGCGCGTATAAGCTTCTCGTGTAGGTGAGAGGTGCTGGCTGTCATCTACCGGCGAATGCTGCAGAGGTCAAATGGACGATGGCCTGGTCCTCTCGTTTGCCTAGAGCTTTCGACCAGATCTGCTTGCCGTTCCCATAGACGAAGAAGTTGATCGATCTGCAATCTCATTGTGAGCAGTGCGCGGACGAGGGACTACATTCACAAAGACTTGCCTGGCTGGTACTGCGCCGACGAGTGTAGGTCCCAAGCCACGAAAGAGCGCCGCTGGACCCTCATTCCGTTGGATGTCTCTGTGTCAATGTATCGGTCATGGGGCATGTGAAGTGATGAAGACTGACCGTAGCAGAGTACCTGTGTCGACAAAGTGATAGAGCAAGCCGCGCAGACCTGACCGAGCAGCAGGCCCGCCCTCCGAAGCTGTAGCGAGTGCTCGCGTGCGGCTTGCGTAGAACTCGGACTGCAGCCTCGTTTTGACGACATCGAAGGGCGCTGTGACGATGCCGCCGCACATTCCTCCCAGCCTGCAAGTTCATTGGCATCGATGGGGCAGCAAAACGCAAAAGAGTCGGCCTGCGTTGAGCCCGACGATGGCACAGCTGAGGCAGTGATCGGAACTCACCCGCCTGCTAACAGATGGACGACAGGTTTCGGCCGTATGGCTTCCTGTGCTCGAGAGGAAGCGCCGTCTCTGGCCATCGTGGTACGTGCGCTTTCGGCGCCTGCATCGTTCTCGAGCTCCGATTCGCTCAACGTTGATGTCATGCTGACAGCAGACCGCTGATCTGGCTCTTGCGCTCTCTCTTTGCCCTTGAGACTCATGCCGGCTCCAATGAAATTTGACTTTGACAAATGTCAACGAGAAACGCAAGCGCGCGACGCCCGAAGCCCGACGACGATGACGATGGCACAACGGGTATGCAAAACGGATACAAGCAAGGGTTTGCGACATCATCGAGGACGAGCATGCAGGCGTGCAGTCTCCTCAGACCTTCTTCTTGACCTCCTGGGCCAAGTCTTTGCTTGCAGACTCTATCTGACCTGGCACGCGCTCGAGGGACGCCTTTGCATCTTGCGCGGCTGCTTTGACGCTCGCTTGTGCGCTCTTATCACCGCTGTGAGAGTACCGGTCCATCAGCATGCCTCGTGTGGCGAGGAAAGGCAACCAGGCAGCCGTACTAGAAGTAATTGAGGAAACGGCCTGTCTGGACGGACTGCGCCGCCGCGTTGGTCGCATGACACGCAAAGAGCAGATAGTTCCTCGGTTGGACTTGCCAAGCTATCATTGAGAGTATGCGGGTCAGATCGTGTGAGGAACGACACGCTTGACGCTTGACTGACCAAAACGCATGAAAACCATGCTGCGCTCGTCTGTGCATGAGCTGGGTGCCTATTCCGAACGATAGCCACTCACGAGTATGCTGCTAGGGTGGGTGTCATCGTGCCGCTGTGAGTCATGGGGACATTGAGCTCGAGCGGCGGTGAGCTCCACCACGTCGTCCGCGTACCTGATCATCTCTGGCTCTTTCTTCAAGTCTGCCAGTGCTGCCAACGGTAGTCCCCCTGCAGACTCTCCGTCAGTGCCACGTCTTGAGAGCCTTCTGATCCGGCAGCAAGCTCACAATTCGCTACTGGACCTATACACCAATCGAGATTAGCTCCCTACTTTTCGAGAACAGCAGAGACGAGCTGACCCCAGAAATGGGTCGAGAAGAAGTATTCTCTCGCTGCCGGCGAGCGTAGCCATGCCTGGAAGCCGGAGGACATCGTCTGAGCGGCGTTGGGCGGTGGTCGAGTGGGACGGATCCTGCGCGTCGCCACGCTTGAGTGCTATCGTCCGCACCACGCCTCCCATGGTCAATCTCAGCAAGCAAGCAAGTGCAAGCAAGCCGCGAAGGATCAGCTCAAAGGACGGCAAGGAAGAGCTGCAGGCCCCGAGCAAAGACGTGAGCCCCGCCGCCTACCTAAGAGCCTGTCCTCCTCCACGCTCGACGATCTCAGCTTGCCCGCATTGACAGCAGCCCAGCTCTGTCCGCGCCGGCCACCGGGCTCGATGGATTGGTGCGAATGCTGATGCTGCGCATACTTTCCAGCAACTCAAGACGGCGATATGGTACACGACTTCAAAAATCGTGGAAGAGGGTGCGCGCTCGTAGTATGGCTGCTCGCGATCCAGAATTGACCTCGCCCCAGCAGAGGAGTTACGCACGGGCTTGGATGGCTTCTCGGCAAGCGAGGCTTTCCTGGCCATGCTCGCAGAAGTGGTCAGTCCTCAGGCGCGCCTTTCCTGATCGTAAGCTGACTTGCACGACAGATCTACAAGCAAACGGGTGCGCAAAACGCTCTGCATCGTCTCACTCGCTGATGTATACGCAGAGGAGCTCGGACAAGACCTATGGGCAAATGCCAAGTAAAGTCTCCTCCGTTGCGATGAATGAAGCTCGAGCTAATTCGCCAGCAGACATGCCGGACGAACCATCATCGAGCCCAGCGATCTCATGCTCAAAGTGCACAAGAATCCTGCACTCTGTCAGCTGCTCGAGGATGAGGCCGTTCGGCGGTCGATCGATAAGCCGAATATGGGCTCCTCTAGATCAGCTGACCCGCCGGCATCTGCTGCTGCCAAGCCTCGCCCTCGCCCGACAGCTGTCAGACCTACTGCAGAAGTGACGAAGCCAAACAAGAAGAGCACGGCAAAGACAAAGGCGCTGCGTATCGATAGCAGCGATAGCGATACGGTGCCAAAGTCTAAGAAACCGAAGCCAGCCAAAGCAAGTACCAGCAAAGGCGCCAAAGCGACGGAGGAAAAGGAATATCTCTCGTTGACACAGATGATGGACAAAGCTAGGGGCAAGAGGTGATGACGCTCCACACCGAGACCTGGAACGTAAGACAAGCGACACTCAGGTGTGGTGACGACGAGCGCCGTCGTCACGCCGTCACGCCGACGAGGCTTTCGGTCTCTATGATTTGGCGACTTTGCTACTTGGCACTGCTCGCGACCGCAGTATGTTCAAAGTCCGACGTCCAGACCGTAGAGCGAAGAGGTCCACCGCAGGTGTTCAAGACGTTCAAGCTCACCTGTACGCCGTTAGGCCTCCTATGCTAGTCCTGCTCAGCAACGATCAGACAACCTCATTGGCATGTGCGGCGACGCAGGAAGCTTCGTCACAGTAGGCCATGCCTTTGTCATCATCGCCGGCGATCCATGGGAGATCACACAACCGCCCGTCGTCGAAGTGACCGGACTTCAACACCTCAACAAGGTCGTACCTCGGCCCGACGATCAAGAAATGGCCTTTGATGCTGTCGTGCTCAGGATGAGCTTCCAGAGCCCAGAGTGTAGGCTCACACGCTCAGTGACGAGCGCCTGCGCTGACTCGTCGCTCAGCACCCTACAACGCTTTGGAAACCTCGTGGAGTAAGGAGGCGAAGCGTTGCTGCCTGACATATTGGTATGCCAGATCACACAGTCTGTCTGCCCCAGAGGCTTATCGTTCCTTACGGTCGGCAGGTGGGCAGATGTATTGATTGAGCTGCACTCAGAAAGATCGGCGCTGCTTTCGAGCTGGCTTCAGCTCACATGTTGGCCTGATCCTACAGAGTCGCAGAAGTATTGCAGCAAGCCAAAGATCAAGAGCAGACACTGCACAGACGCGTTGACGACCGTCAAAGTCGAGAGGATCATCGAATAAATGTTGTCGCATCATTCGAACGCGTCGTCACGTGATCGTCGCCTTGTTTCGTCGTCGCCTGACCATATTTCTACTTCGTTTTCGCCAAGGCAGGAGATTGTTGAACTTGCATCGCCGGATCGACAGTCACTGGAAAGTGATCGTCTGGCCATCTCACTCGCACAGTCAAGCTCTGCTCTGACGCCCCACTATAGTCCTAGCTCGGACCACTCACACTCGTTTACCTCGCTCGCTCGCTCACACACACCCGCTCCTTACGTCAACCTAACGTCTATCACTCGTATACCTCGTATAGACCATCAAGGCAGGACAGACGGACTAGCCACCATACTCGAATAGCACAAACAACAGGAGGCGCATCTCTCCCTCGAGTGTTCACCTGTTTTCCACCGGGTCAGCAAACAAAGACTTATACGACAGGGCAGCCTCACCAAGGCATGCCACGAGAGACTGACACCTTTACGATCAGGCCGGATGCTCCTACGACCGCTGGACGTCGTACTGCGCCGACCGGCAACAACACTGTCCGACAGCGCCAAGAGATCAAGCAAGTCCTGACGCCTCATGCTAGCAACAGGCCAGCACACGATGGCAGTGCGACAACAGTCCGCAAGAAGCCCAGTCCTGCTGTCGATGCTCGTCCGTCGTCTGCTCAGGAGAAGCCGAGACCTCGCTCTGGCGCCGGTCGAGGCATCACTGGCTCATCCGAGCAGCCAAAGAAGGATCCAGAAATGGTCGGTCCTTGGAAGATCGGTCGCGATATCGGCAAAGGGTCCTCAGGTCCGCCCCTTCGCTCTTTCGTCCTGCTCTCTGACTGACATGTTGAGCAGGCCGGGTCAAACTCGTCAAGCACTCCATCACAGGCGAAAAGGCAGCCGTCAAGATTGTGCCCAAGCATGCAATCTTATCGAGCCGCATGTCAATCCATCAAGCCGGTGCAAAGAATGATAAGCTCGTCCTCGGCATCGAACGCGAGATTGTCATCATGAAGCTCATTGAGCACCCTAACATCATGAAGCTCTATGACGTCTGGGAGACCTCGGGCGATCTCTATCTGGTCATGGAGTACGTCTCTGGTGGCGAGCTGTTCGAATACCTCGTCGCAAAGGGTCGTCTCGATCACGACGAAGCGCTCAAATACTTTCAACAGATGTGAGCGTCCGCGAGCTTGGCTAGGTCGCATTGCTGACTGCGTGCGTGCAGCGTACTCGGGGTCGATTATTGCCATCGTTTCAACATATGCCACCGCGATCTCAAGCCAGAGAACTTGCTGCTCGACTCTGAAGGCAATATCAAGATCGCTGACTTTGGCATGGCTGCAATGGAGACCACAGACAAGCTCCTTGAGACTTCTTGCGGCTCTCCTCATTACGCTTCGCCCGAAATCGTATCTGGACTCAACTATCATGGCTCGTCATCGGATATCTGGTCATGCGGCATCATCCTGTTCGCTCTCCTCACTGGTCGCTTGCCATTTGACGATGAAAACATTCGCACCTTGCTCAACAAGGTCAAGCTAGGGCGCTTCGCAATGCCACCTGAGCTGCCCAACGATGCTAAGAATCTCATCCGTCGTATGCTGCAAGTCGATCCTGCCCAACGCATCACGATGGCAGAGATTCTCGTTCACCCATTCTTCAACCGTACTCCTCCGCCAAGCAGCTCGCTTGTTGACCCGCCGCCTATCGATCAGGTTGACCATCCTGTAGCATCTGCCGAGGAGATCGATCAAGACATCTTTGAGAACCTCCAAACGCTCTGGCACGGTGTACCGGCTCAAGACATCGTCGAGGCACTGGTGTCAAAAGAGCGCAATTGGGAGAAAGTCTTCTACAGCCTGCTGGCTCGCTATCGCGCACGCAATCTGGAGAACTACAACGAGGTGCCCGAGCAGCCAAAGAAACGTAGATCTGCTCGACCGGCTCCCGAGGAGTCTGACGAACGCATCGCCCGACCTGCGCCGCCTCTGCCTTCGCCTATCGCGCAATCTACCAACTCACGGCCTAGCTCAGTTGCTTCGCGTCCTCTGCCTACGGCACCTGCTGCGGTCTCACAGCAGTCAACAGAAGGCGTGCCTCGTATCTACGTGGACACAAACACTCAGGCAAGGCCGCCTCAAGGTTCTATGCTGCCGCCACCTTCGCCTGCGCTCAGTCAGCAATCGCAGTTCAATCCACGACCGTTGTCGACCATTCAGATTCCAGAGACAGCGGACGAGGCGATGCAGAAGTTCTTCCATGATATCGTCGATCAGCTTCAGCAGATGTCGGTCTATCCTCCCTCGTCTGATGGAGGCTCTCGTCCTGGCTCAGTGATCTATCCGTCCTATGGCAGCGCACCTCCGCCTTCGCCTGCGATGACGATGCTCGAAGAAGGAAACCATCGGTTCGCAGACGCAATCGATGAAGATGCAGTCTCGGTCGCCAACACGCAGTGGAACCGGCCGGGCGAAGTCCGTACAAGATCGTCGTTGCAAGCTCCGTTCCGCCAGGCGCCTGTTCGTCCTGCACCTCGGCCGCACACTGTCGGCTCTGTGCCTTATACACCGGCTCAGCGCTCGAATGACAAGGAGAATCTCGGTGCAATGCCGTCATCAGCCAATGGTTCAAGTGCGAAGCGCAACACGCTCGGTCTTTCCCGTCAGCAATCCACCGACGTACCCCGTGCATATGACCCTCTCGCGCGTCTGATGAAGCGCAAGCAACGTAAGTGTCCACTGTGGAATACATCAAGCGCCATTAACATCGCATTGCAGCATCGGCAGAGTTCTCAGCAGCGCAAACAGGCGGGCAAGGACGTAGCAACGTCTTTGGTAATATCTTTACCACTCTATTCTCGAAGCAGCTCGTCAGTGACTTGTCTTGAATGCTTGGGTGTTCGCTCATTTGTCTTCTTCAGACGTACTCGCTTCAATCTGCTTGCGACGTCAGCGCGACACGCTCAGAATGCCAAAAGATTCTCGCTGCAATGGGCGTCAGCGTGAAGCGAGTGGTCGAAGACGGTCAACTTATCTTCCGATGCAAAGCAGAGACGCTCAAGGAGGGCCAGACAAGCACAACTCTCAAAGCTGTACGATTCAGGTGCGAATTTGGCGTGCAAGTCTCTGGCGAGCAGTTCAACGACACGCTGACGACGCTGAATCTGATCATGGAGAAAGGCGCGCATTCGAGCTTCAAGACGGTGTTCAATAACCTGCGCAAGCAGTGGGAGTGAGTTCACCAGTACTTGCTTTGGTACAGCGTTGACGCGTCATTCGCAGACTCGATGCTGTGCCACAACCAGCGACGATCGGACTGGGCGTCCGTCTGATACCAAGCCCGATGCCTTCGCCTGCTCTCGAGCAGGACGACCACTTTGTCCTCGTCTAGAGGACCATCACGCCAGATACAGGCTGTTCATACTGTTTCGCAACTTTGTACCACAATCACGGACATTGCAACGCATTTCTCGAGATCCACAACATGACAGACTACAGGACCCAGACACCAACGAAAGGCCGAAGAACAGGCTACCACACGACTGTCACCTAGATTCGCCATAGCCGTGTCATCGGTAGTGATCGTACAACGATGCGTGTTGACGAGCGGGCGACGGCGGTACGTAGCGGTGATACGGATTGGTGATCGTGTAGATCGGCTCATGACCCAGCGTCGACATCATTGCTTGCGCCGGACCAATGATGTCATCACCGGCATCTAGAGGCTCGAGGGGATGATGGAAGTAGCCAGCAGGCGAGGCAGAGATGCTCTTTGCTTGCTCCATCGGTGAGGTAGTCGCAGAAGTCAGCAGTGACTCGTCATGGTGCTGAAGAGAAGATGAAGTTGAAGTCGAATTGGACTGAGTGCGATGAGTGAAGGCAGCAGGCGACAGATTCGGCAGTACAGGATACAGTCCTTGCGCGGGATGAAGTGGGAGGTGGGCATCGTCTTGGCTGTAGGCAAGGCCATAACGCATGAGCGCGTCGAGATGAGGCTGGGTGGGATGAATGAGGTCTTGTGCTTGTGGATGTAAAGGTGGGTGGTAGTCTCTTGGAACGAGTGAAGCTGGCGGGTGGACGAGCTGATGACCGTACGAGCTCGCATCGGTTGGATACCATGCCCAATGCGGCGTCGTCGATGAGACGACAGGTGACCGGGGATGCGGCAGGGTGAGCCCGTTTGGCACTGGCTGTGCTTGCAGATGGTCTGCGCGGACTGGCGAGAACGACTTTGCGCGCTTGAGGGCGGAGCCACTCGTCGCCTCTATTTTGGCCGATGCATTGTTGGTAGTCGAAGCTCTGGCTAGACTGGGACGATTCGGGGAGTCACTGATCTGTTTTCTGGCTTTGGCGCGCTCCTTGCGTGCTCGCGCTTCTGCATTTTGCTCTCTGCAGTGGGTATGAGCTGCCGCTCGATGGACTCGAAAGAGAAGACTGGCCTTGTGACTTTGACATGCTCGCATTCGACGCCTGCTAACCGGCAATGCTCGCAGATTTCGGCTCCATCGCATCTGTTTTGTCATCAAAGACTGTCCGAGACTGTGCACGACACAGCTCACCTTATCTTGCGTTGGCGGCATCGCAAACATGCTACAGCAAGCCATATCTTGTCAGTCGCACTCGACAGTCGACGCAAAGAGCCACGGACCCAATGAGATTCGTGTCCGTTTCTTATCCAGCATCGCAGCTTCACGGTTCGTGCGCATCAGAACATCATAAGCCGGATGAACAAGAGGCCACCCTCTCCGGTGTTACCGAGGGTGCCGTGTTGTCATGAAAGTATATAGGCAGAAAAGACGCCGGTCGCCTTCTCCCAACTCGCGTGCGCTGTCTCGACAAACGAGATCGTCGCTCATCATCGAATACCTTGGTCTGACCCTTGTCAGACGATTACAGACTGTTTCTACGACTTTAATCAGCTCGTTCGTGGAGAGATATGGATGTTAAGGAATTTCCACGGGAATCCGATAGCGTGCCACCTGGCTCGGCCGGGAGCTGTCGATCGTGCGAGCTCGTCGATCAGTCAAGATCGTGTCATTGCACCTTGGTCGAAGTCAACTGTCTATCGACGAACAGGACCCTGGCTCATATATGCCTGTGTAAACTTCCTTTGGGACCTCTGAGCCCCACTCGACGACGCTATGAGCGCCTGGCAGGTTGACAGGGTCAGGTTCTTGGCCTCTTCAGCCGCAAAGAGATAGGACTGGATTGGCAATTCCGCCGGGTTGCTCGGACCAGCAAGCACGCTTCCAGATCTGCCATGCTCCGTGCTCGCTCACGTTCTTGAGATCGCATACTTTGTTGACCCTTCGCAGACTAACAAATCTATGTTGCCTCATGCGGAGATTGATCTACATTGCGGTCAACAGTTCTCCATCTATTGACTGCGGCCGCGGTCTGCGTTTTGCCGTGCCCCGCGCAGTCTGCATGCTTTGGAGTCACCCGGTCTCGATTCGTCGGACGCATCGATCCCCAACAGCTGTCCCACAGTGCGATTCAGCTTTGCGTAGAGCTGACCGAGGCTTTCAGCAGCTCATCGGCCACGACAAACATGTCTAGCAACCACATGTGCTCAGACCGCAGAGGAGTGCTACCCACTTCGCCTGCCCTGGCCATCATTGTCACGTCATTCTGTCACTTCACGCGAATCTGCCATCTATGCGCAGCCACCTGGGCGCCTGATGCCGTCAAAGATTATTCTGTCCTAGGGCTACATCCGCGTCACTGCTGACGAAGATGTGCGAGCTCAGTCACGAACGCTTCACTTCCGCGTGCTCGTCGCATTAGGGCGTGCGATCCTAGTATCTGTCGCATTGCACGTGCACGCACATATGCAATCTGATCATGAGTCATCGACATTGAGCTGACAGCTGAGTCGCGTGCCGTGGCCGTCATTGAGCTGGCTGGGCTTCGGCGCTCCAAAGACGCATGGCCGGCCCAGCGAAGAAGCTGAAGCTTAGATTTGGCGCAGGAGGTGCAGTGAGCGTAGCTACACCATCTGATAGTGCGCCCAGCTCGCGAGCAGGCAGCCCGTCGCAACAAGCTACGCCGCTTGCCGGACCATCCAAATTGACCTTCAAGCTCAATGAAACAGCGCCCACTGGCACGAACGGCACTAGTGCACACAGCCGCCATAGCCATGACACCGTCCTTGCCGGCGAGGACGGGCTGGACGACGATGAAGAGCCTGATCTTGATCTCGCCTACCGATCCGATGGCTCAGACTCGGACGAGTACTCTGAACAGAGCGATTATGAGGACAGAGGCGCCCAGTCTAGGGTACGCTCGGCAGCTCAGCGACAAGCACGAGCTGCTAAGCGAGCGACGAACGGCAAGGGCAAGGCCAGAGCGAAACCAGCGACGGTACCTGCTCAAGCTCGCATTGGTCTTACATCGAGCGACAAGTCACTCGCTACAGAGCAGGATGACGGCGATGCACCTCATCAGATAGCTATCGGTGCCGGTCGCAAGCGATTTCATCAAAATGCAGGAGAGACCGAGGGGGACGATTTCATTTCTGAGATATTTCCTCATACCGACTTTACTTGGCTGCCACTCAAGCCAGACCATGCCTTCAGGCCACTCTACGTCTCGCCATCTTCGGGCGCGATCATACTGGAAGCGTTCCATGCGCTAGCCTCACAAGCGCAGGACTTTCTGGTAGCCATCGCGGAACCCGTCTCGCGGCCCGCGCACATACACGAATACAAACTGACACCTTACTCACTCTACGCGGCGGTCTCCGTCGGTCTGGAGACAGAGGATATCATCGAGGTGCTCGCCAGGCTGTCAAAAGTGCCTGTGCCTAACGAGATTATCAAATTCATTCGTGATTGTACAGTATCTTACGGCAAAGTCAAGCTCGTGCTCAAACGTAACAAGTATTACGTCGAATCTGGCCATCCGGATACTCTACGTATGCTTCTGCGCGATGATGTCATAGGCAAGACGCGTATAAGGGAGCACGACGACGAGCGGTTCGATACAGAAAGGGCACCCACGCGCGGGGATCTCGTCATTCCCGGTATCACAGATCACGGAACAACGAGTAGGACTGCAGACGGCCAGACTCTTACCGAGGGTCAAGCGGAGCGGCGGCAGCCCGACGAAGTCGACTTCTTCACTTCCATCGTTGGACTTGACAAAGCCGATGAGCTAGATGATGACGACGACGTACATGCCTTCGAAATTGCCGAAAGTAGTGTAGAGACCGTCAAACGACGATGCAACGAGCTAGAATATCCTATGCTAGAAGAATATGACTTTCGAAATGATACTGTCAACGCTAATCTCGAGATCGATCTCAAGCCCACTACAAGGATTCGGTCATATCAGGAAAAGAGTCTCTCAAAAATGTTCGGAAACGGAAGAGCACGATCGGGCATTATTGTCTTGCCGTGTGGTGCGGGCAAGACGCTCGTCGGCATCACTGCCGCCTGTACAATCAAGAAATCCGTCCTGGTTCTGTGCACGAGCGGCGTCAGCGTCATGCAATGGCGACAACAATTCCTCATGTGGTCCAACATCCAAGAGCGACAGATCTCCGTCTTTACGGCAGATCACAAGGAGAAATTCGCAGGGGCATCTGGTATCGTGGTCTCGACCTATTCGATGGTAGCCAATCGACAGAAACGCTCTCATGATGCCCAAAAGATGATGGACTTTCTCACCTCGCGCGAATGGGGCTTCATCTTGCTCGATGAGGTACACGTTGTGCCTGCCAATATGTTCAGACGAGTGGTCACGACGATTAAAGCCCATGCAAAGCTTGGTCTCACTGGTGAGCTTCTCATACAGGTTCGTGAGGTGACAGGCTGAATAGGGCTTGATCCTCAGCTACGCTGGTGCGAGAAGACGACAAGATCGACGATCTCAACTTCCTCATCGGCCCGAAGCTATACGAAGCTAATTGGATGGATCTCGCGCAAAAGGGCCACATCGCTACCGTTCAGGTCAGTTTCCTCTGCACGCGCTGGTCGCCTTTGCTTACACGAGATGACAGTGCGCGGAAGTATGGTGCAACATGACGCCAGAATTCTATCGCGAGTATCTGCGTGAGAAAACTCGCAAGCGAATGCTGCTCTACTGCATGAACCCCAACAAGTTCCAAGCTTGTCAGTTCCTCATCAAGTATCACGAAGATCGGGGTGACAAGATCATCGTCTTCTCGGACAACGTTTTCGCGCTCGAGGCCTACGCGAAGAAGCTGCAAAAGGCGTATATCCATGGCGGGACGCCGCAGGTCGAGCGCATGCGCATTCTTGCTCACTTTCAAGCCAATCCCCTCGTCAACACTATCTTCTTATCCAAGGTAGGCGATACATCGATCGACTTGCCCGAGGCGACGTGCCTAATCCAGATCTCATCTCACTTTGGCTCGCGACGACAAGAGGCTCAGCGGTTAGGCCGTATCCTACGAGCTAAAAGACGAAACGACACTGGCTTCAATGCGTTCTTCTACTCACTCGTGACGCGTGACTGCGAAGAGATGTATTACTCCACTAAGCGACAGCAATTTCTCATCGATCAAGGCTACGCGTTCAAGGTCATCACGCAGCTCAAGGGCATCGAAGACATGGAGGATCTTGTCTACAAGAGCAAGAGCGAGCAGATCGAATTGCTGCAATCTGTCTTGCTTGCCAATGAGAGCGAAGCCGAACTTGGCACAGACATTGGTTTCACAGAGGGCGATCTACCCGGTACGGTGACCTCGAAAGATTTCAAGCAACCCGCAAAGGGCGGAGCTGTAGTCAAGCGAGTGATGGGCAGCCTGACGGCCTTGTCCGGTGCTCAGTCGATGAGCTACATGGAACAAGCTCGCTCCAAGAATAAGGCGCTAGCCAAGGAGTCGGCCGACAGCCGGCATAAGCTCTTCAAGAGCAAGGACAAGAGAGCAAAGGAGAAGGCCCGCAAGCGTGCGCGAGAGGAAGAGTAGTTATGTGATGGGCCATGTATGCATCATCTCGCGAGCGCTACTTCTATGACACGGTCCATGCGACCCAACAATCTCTTGGCATGCTCTTGCATGCTCCGCAGAGTCATTAGTCGTGTGAGTAGGCGTGCCCTGTCAAGACGTCAAGAACAGCCTCGGTCGCTTGCATTTCGACAGTCCATCAAATCGCTGGCCGAGTCCCACATGCTGAGTTCGAGCACTAGTCGGTGCATAATAAGCATGCTCGTTGGAGGCTGACTAGCGCTCACCCGTCGTCATGCTGGCTACGATGTACTGATAGCCGAATGCTGCCAATGGGCGACTGCACGTGATACAATGATTCGACGGTCATACAACATGCTTGCTGAGAAGGCAGGTATGTACACTGCGATGATCGCATGCAGGCGTTGCTGGCTCGTGGAGACGCATCCATTGTCATGTGAGCATCTCTTTCCCGATTCTGCGACAGTTGAGAGGAGCAATATGGCGTTTTGCTCGGGCAATGCAGGCTAGCTCTCGTTGTTCTCCGCTTCTTCGAGAGAGTCGGCCTGCGCTACAGCGCGCAGGACCGACTTTTTCGAGGATTCCTCCATCTCGCCGGCAATGATCAGCTCGTCGAGGATCTGACGTGAGCTTAGATATCAGCTGTATCAGTAGCTGAATGGCACGTCCACTTACTGCATATGCCTTTTGAAAGTTGAAGATCCTGCGGGCCTTGCACGTCAGGCTGAACACGCGTCTACTACCGCGTGGGAGACTCACAGGTCGAGCTCGCAGACGTTGCCAAAATAGCGGTCTAGCACTTCGACATAGCGATGAATGATCTCGAGCGTCGCCAGTTCATTGTCGTTTGCGCCGATACCCGTGACAAAGAAGAGCGAGGCATACCGCCTATACACCACTTTGGTATCTATCACCTCGCCATGAGCCCGTCGAGTGCGCAAGATCAGTCGAGTGAGCGTACCTTTGTGCTCAATGAAGTTGGCCATCCTAGTCCGCCGAGCGAGGACGAGCTGGGTGACATCCTTGACAATCTTTGTCTTTGCCTTTGGAGAGATCGTCGTGAACCATTTGGCGAGTCGGACTTTGCCCTGCCTGGACACGAGCAGGATGTAATTGATCTGTACGAATGTGCGCAACAAGGTCAGCTGACAGGCTGACTGGACTTGCGCTGCACTTGCCGGCATGATCGATGGGAGGTCGTTGATCCAGGAGCTATCTGGAGCTCGACTGAGCGCGTCTCGTCGAGTGAATCGCAGTCGTTGACGACCTTTGCTGACCTCTCATGTCGGCCGATCAGCTCAGCATATTGCGACATAGACTCCTCATCGAGAAGCTCCCGGTTCGCGACCATGCAATCTGTCCTCGAGCCAGTCTGATGCTGCAAGCAGATCACCTATCGAGGCGTCAGCAGGCTCTGCAATGTTCACGTCAATGACGCCAAGAAGTTCGCTTTTGGCTCATGTCATTGGCTCGTCGAAGCTCATGGCCAGGAGCAGGATCTTGTTCGCGCTGCATGAGCAAGCAGCAAGCACGTCGCGACCACTCGTAGCCACTTATTTCCTCGCTGGCCAACTCAGCCCGGCCTCCATCGCGCAAGACGAGCCCATGACTGAGGAGACCGATTCCAAACCTGCAGTCAATGGAGGGCAAGGGAGTCAGACCTCTCAGGTCAATGTTGCGCCGCTCGAATTGCTACTCGAAGCCAAGCGCCAGCCAGAGCGAATCACGCGCCGTGCGGCCATCCTCGTTTCGCACGACGAGCTACAAGGTACAGCAATCTGTCCAAGTGTTTCTGTACACATGCTGAACACGGTCAGCAGAGGCGAAGAAACGATTTGAGAATCTGTCGTCGTACCATATCTACAGCCTCTCGCCTGCAGCTGTACCGGATCCATCCGTGCTCACCACGAGCACAGCCGTCCTCATCAGGACTGACCGAGCTTGCGCCAAATCATGGGCAAATTCAGGAGATGGTCAGACGCTTGGCTTGATCTGGAATCCCCATCGCGGTATGGCCCAGCCTGTACCCAAACGTCCCATGGAAGATGCAGCGGCGAATCAGCCCGTCAAGAAAGTGGCAAAGACGAGCGCTGTTGGGGAAAGCAAGTCGAGCAAACCCGATATACCGATCAAAACGGAGAAGCTCAAGGACAAGCACGTCGAAGCGAAACAGCCTGCTGATATATTGGATGGTATCGACTTTGACGACGAGATGGGACTCTCTTCCTCCCAGCGTAGGCGCGATATCTTTCAGTTGAAATGATCACTCAGAGCAGCGAGCAGACGCATCGCCGAAGAAGAAGGTGCGGAAGACAAGGACCGTGCAGAAGCCGGTCAGGGTCAAGAACGAAAAGGGCGTATGGAGTAGGCTGGCTCGTACACCTTTATGCCTGTTCCTGATCAACTAGTCTTGCAGAGACAACGGGTATGGAGGATGTCGAAGAATCCTACTCGGAGGACGAAGAGCCCGAGCACAAAGCGATCTCCAAATCGCCTTCCAACACGTCCATCACCCCCAAGAGCTCCCAGCCCGCGAGCAGTATACAGGAAACAAAACCGGCCGTCAAGAGAAATTGGCCACCACCTAAGCCGACCGCTGCTCCCCCCAAGCCCCTTGCGACTGGTCAGTCAAAATTGCAGAACTTCTTCAAGAAGAAATGAGTACATTGTTGTATGGCATACGGAGTCGTGGGGACGGGCGTGAGGAGTATTGAGCGCGATCGCGACTGCTATCGCGTTTGAGCGCTGAGCCAGATGATGGACAAGAAGCGCAGGGCAGAGACGAGCCTAGAGTCTCTGCTCAGCAAGCGTACTTCCGGCCAGATCCTACTGCAACAGTCGGTGCGCCCGAATAGTGCTCAGCAGGCTCATGCGCTGACAATATGACATCATCAGTTCAGAGACGAATCTGTGCCCTTGCTTGAGCTCTGCGAACACACAACACGACCGGCATGCTCTCGACATCTTCGTTCCTGCTCAAAGGTACACTTTCAGCTCATTCGACGACCGCAGACCGACCTCAGCTTGGGCGCATGCTCCTATTTGTCGACATGTCACCATCCCAACTCATGCCGGTGTGTGCCCTCTCCAATCCGATCCATGCAAGCTCATGTCAGCGCACGAGAAGGTACCTACACTACGACCTGGAGGAGCCGACTGCCAACACAAAGCCCTTTGCGCAGTCAGAGAGCAGCACATCTGACGCGCTCACTGGACTGCGCTTGCCGCCTTCGCGTCTGAGGCCTCTAGCAAGTCATGACAAGCTCACAAGCAGGACAGTCTCTTATGCTTTGGGTGGGGCAGATGCCAGCACAGTGGATCGACTGCGACTTGCGCACGCTCGATCTTACCGTGCTCGGCAAATTCTCGGTCGTCATGGCTGACGCGCCCTGGGATATCCGCATGGACTTGCCCTACGGCACGATGACGGACGACGAGATGAAGTCCATGTCGATCGGATCTCTGCAAGACGATGGCGGCCTGATGTTCTTGTGGGTCACCGGGCGGGCGCTCGAGTTGGGCAGGGAATGTCTGAAGTCTTGGGCGTGAGTAGTCGTCCAGTGTGCGCCAGATCCGCGCACTGATCGGCAGACAGGTACGAGAGAGTTGATGAGATCGTCTGGGTCAAGACGAATCAGCTTCAGCGATTGATCAGGACGGGCAGAACGGGACACTGGCTCAACCACAGTAAGGAACATTGCATCGTCGCCTACAAACGACCCAAAAGCTGGGGCAGAAGAAAGCCAACGCGAGACGAGCAGGACGCGCTGCTCTCGTGGACCCATCGAGGCGTCGACTGCGACGTCATCGTGGTGAGACAAGGGCAGATATAGTCTGAGAAGCACACTCATCGCAGGCACAGAGTGAGATGAGAGAGACATCGCGCAAGCCGGACGAGATATACGAGATCATCGAGCGTATGGCACCCAGCGGCAGAAAGATCGAGCTCTTCGGTCGCAAGCACAACTTTCGCCCCGGCTGGCTCACCCTCGGCAATCAGATAGGCTCAGACTGCGTGCACGATCCTCATCTCGTCGAGCGCGTCAATGTTCGCTACCCTGATCGAGCTCTGAAGCTAGCATCGAACGAAGACAACAGAGATTGATGAAGATGCTACAATGCGTTTGCGAGGTGTTGCTTGTAATGCTCTATGCAGTCGCTTTCGAAGTGCTGCTTTGCTTCTGTTCATCCTCGTACATCTTGTTGTTCAGTCCGTGTCGGTTACGAGTGATCTCGTAGGCCAGGAATTGGATCCGGACGGCTGCAAGTGCATGTCAGTTCTCTTGTCGCGTGTAGGACTCAAGAGCAAAGCAGACCAAAGATTGCGTTTGACTCTGTATAGTCTTCTTCAGCTGCGCAAGCGTTAGCCGAGCGTCATGAGAGAGAAAGCATGACTTGCAGTTCAGACGGAGCAGACAGCCGGATGAGAAATCCTCTGTAGCCCTCGGTCAGTCACCGTCGTCGCGCCCAGTGCCGTGGAAGAAAGACTTGCCGACAGTCTTTTCAAACGCTTTCGAGTATTTCTGCCATCTCGTCTTGCTGTCCTTGTTCTTCATGCGGTCCTCGTCGATGACCTTGACGAGTGCGAGGTCGTTCTCAAAATTCTCTGGGAACAATTCTTTGAACATCTCGTACAGCTCGTCATCGTGCCTGCTTCACCGTTCAGCTTGCCCTTCGGCCATGACCAGGAGCGAGCGTACTTTGTGAGCTTGAGCGACGAAGGCGGGATGGTCGTGATGAGCTTGTGGTGCGTCTGAGCCTGCTCAATCACTTTGACGGCAAACTGCTTTCTGTCAGAGAGTGACATCTCGATGAGCAGGCTGCAGACGGGGCTCAAGAAGGCTTGCGAGCTCACTCTATCTCAGGAGCGTTGCCAGCATTCTCTGGATCGAAATCTGCGGGCACAGACATTCCCCCTTTGCACAGATCTCGAGTGGACGAGCAGAGCGCGAGCTTGTCGAGATCCAAGGCCGAGGCCATGGATGAGCGGTGAATTGCTGGCCTGGCTGAGAACAGCAGGCGTCAAGGTCGATGACCGACTCGCTCTCAGATCAGACGAGACAGGTCTGACCGTCTTTGCATCTCACGCCATCGCTCTCCATGACATCCTCGTGACGATCCCTAAATCGTGCGTACTCTCTCGCCGTACTAGCTCTCTGTCCTCTACGCCGGTCAAGCTCGAGCAAAGCTCTGAAAGTCATCAGGCAGCTGTCACCTTAGCCTTGCATCTCCTCCACGAACAATGCATGGCAGAACAGTCACGCTTCCATGGCTATTTGCAAAGCATGCCAAAAGATGCCGTACCGCTGGCGACTTTTGAGCCAAATGAATGGTCGCAAGGAACAGATGTTGAGCATCATCTGCACGAGCGCAGCCTATCGCTCGAACAGCTCGATACACTCTTTCGAGACCAGATCCTGCCCATCCTCCGAGACGCGTCCCTGACGATTCGGCCAACCTGCAAGCTCTTCAGGCGTGCCTACAGTCTCGTCGCTTCGCGTGCTTTCCACATTGATCAGTACCACGGTCTCGCAATGGTGCCCATGGCAGACGTCTTCAACCACAGCGCAGAATCGCAAGTCGTCATGCAAAGCGATCACATCGTTTGTCTCCAATGCGGCGCTCTGTTCGAATGCGAGCATGACGAGCTGCCTACTGACCCGGACGTGATCTCGCAAGATCATGCGACCGACACGGTGGATATGATTGCAACGTCACCTATTGCAGCGGGTCAAGAGATCTTCAATTCGTATGCACCCCGATTGAGCAATGCCCAGCTTTACGTCGGCTATGGCTTCACGCTGGATATAAACCCTCACGATCGTGTGACATGGCCAACGCCGCGAAACCTACTTCCCGATGAGGCCTCGTCAAGCCGAGCTTTGGCGCTCTGGCGATCAGTACAGACGGCAGAGATCCAGTCCGCCGTTGCTGGACTGGATCTCGTACATGACGAAGACACGAGTGCGCTCTTTCTCGATAGCGATGCGCGAATGTCAGCCAGTCTCTGGCTGCTCCTGGCCTGTCACGCACAGACGGCTGATCAGACGAGCTCCCAAGATCTTTCACTCCTGAGTCGTGAGCCAGGGCGCCTGGCTTCGATCTGTGACAAGGTCTACCAGGCGCGCTTGGCCAGTATGCACAACGGCGGACTGTCTGTTGAGCAGCTGCTAGCCTTGCCAGAGGTGAGTCGAGCTTGGTTTGCGCCTTGTGCGAGACTGATTAGCGCAATAGGCCCAGATCACCCATCACGCATTCCAGATTGCGCTCAACGAGCGACTGCTCTTGCAAGCGTGGCACGCCGAATGGGGCACACAGAGACATACAGACGGATGCACTGAGTAACTTTGACTCGTGATCACAGACAGTACAGAACAACAGACCGCCCGAGGCACAGAGGCGCTTTCTTCTGACTTTGTACATTTTCGGTCGTCACAAACTGCGACTCTTCTCCGCCGCGCGATCACCAGACTCGGTCGATGGGAAAGCCACTAGGCCAGGCTTCGGGCTCTCTACACTGGCGTATACTTCTTCGCTTTCTGCAGACACAAAGGTTAGCGCTATCTGCGAGCACCAGCAGATAACCTACCCTGGATTGCACGTTCTCGAGACTCCAGTAGTTGCGGCGCTCCGACTTCGTGGTATAGTTGTGAGTTGCGATTGTTGCGTTTGGTCTGTGCAGCATCGCTAGACTGCGACGAGCGTGGCAAAAGCGGTGACTCGGGGTCCACGGGGTTCGTGACCGATTCGAGCATAGCCGGGGTCGGCACGTCCCCTTTGAGCGCAAAGACGAGATCAAACTCGACCAGGAAGAGATTGAAGAGCGTCCCCGGAATCGCTAGCGTTGGCGAGAAGACGATGCCAATGTTTCGCAGCGACATCTTGTTGAGTGGCTCGTTCTGTACTACATGGATGAGATGCGCCGCCATGAAGCGAAGCAGGGTATAATTTGGCATGGGCAGCTGCGAGATCAGTGCGCCCAGCGCGTTGACCTTGGTTGCACGATCGGGTATATCGGCAATCTCGAGAAAGGCTCGATGCCTTTCGCGTGTCAGGACATGACTCGGCAGCTCTCTAAGATAGCTCTTGAGCAGGCCAGCGACGGCATGAGGATCGTGGTACGTCACTTCGCTGAGCAGATTGATATCGCCTTCGGTGTCGAAGCGTTCCTTGAGCGCTTTGATCACCGCTGAGCTGCCACTGAGCCTATAGATGCCTTCTTCTTTGACTGCCTCGCGGGCTTCGAGATACTCAACACAGCGATAGACCACCGCTGGCAGTTCGAAGCCTTCTCGTATTCGAGCAACCTCGATGGCTGCTTCGAGAGGCACACCAAAAACGGGCCGATTGATGAGCTCGCAGGGCATGGCCGTCACGGAATCTTTCCGCTCCGTTCTACTGGCGAAATTCCAGAAGGAAGTCTTGCCTTTGGACCGCCGATCTTCCGGCATCGCGGGTGTCTTGAAAGCGCCAGTGATGATAGCGGCGTTCGTAGGACCAGAGATTGTTGTATTTCGCTTATCCGCTACCGAACGTACTTCAGACTCATTGGTACGATTGTATAGCGGTATCGAACCAGCAATTGGCGAATGCAGCTCTTCGGATCTTGTCTGACTAGACAAGCTTTGATGCTCGCTCGCAACGTCGTTCAATCGCGACGGTAGCGAGCCCGAGGTACTCAGATTGTTGCCTACGAAGCGTCTGAAGCCTTTGCTTCGAGTCTTGTCATTGTCATCCCCAACTGGATTCGTGGCAGTTCGTGGTCTACCGGAGCTACTTGTGGATTTGGTCTTGCTGGCTCGCTGCGGTGGCGGCGTGTCTGGCGCGCTGAGTTTAAACGACCGGACCTTCGGCGTTTGCTGCCGCGCGGTCGGATCGCCAGACTGCTGTGTGCGATCGCTCGCCGATGGCATGTCTGGGTCTTCGACAAAGCCACCAGTGATCCATGACGCGAGCACGCCGACCCATTCGTCGCGCTCAGCATCGTCAAACGCGCAGAGAACATGGTCCAGCTCTTCTCTAACGCCATTACGCTCTCTTGCCTCTCGCACAAGAAAAGCATGTCGGTATGCTTCTGGGTTGGCAATCTGCTCACGTGATGCTTGCTGTCGGCCTATCTGTGCGCCTCTGATCTCGATGGTGCCTAAATGAGCGCCGTGTTGCTGCAAGTATGTCAGCTAGGCTTGAGGAGCATTGTGATGCACCCACAGACTCATAATAGTCTAGATTCGAGCCATGCAACACATAGTACCGTGTGCGCCAGCCATTGAGCCGCCCTCGCTTGGTAAGGTAGCCAGTCTTCGAAGCTGCATTGCTGACAGGCATCATATTGTCGCTGTAGACATTGGTCGCGAGGAAATAGCAGAGCTCGGTGAGCAGCTCGTTCGGCAAGGCGATGGCGCTTCTCAGGAATAGCTCGATGTCTTGTCGGCGCTGATCTATCTTGCCAGGCGCGTTATCTTTGAAAAGGGCCTTATCCGGAAACGGCGCAAGTCTGCGGACCATTGACCGGACCAGCTTTGACTTGAGCTGACTCTCGAGATTGACCAGATCTTGATAGCTTTTCTCAACAGCCCAGGAAGAGGTCCCACCGAGCCCGCCGGTGTCTCTATCACTCGGAATATCGAGCGTGACGCCAATGATGAAGCAGATGACTTGTTTGCCACGATCGCCAGTCCGAACATGAGATCGCTTGACGGCAACGGTGGTGAAAGGCAGCAAAGCGGGCGTGAAATGTGACTGACTGGCTGCCTGCTCCACGACTGGCACAGGACTCCGAGGCGCATCTTCGGCCGGCTTTGCGTGGCTGTGAGTGCTCGCTGTTTGCCGTGGCGATCTGCGGGGCTGGTCCGAGTGCTCGATGAGCAAAGGATCCGTTGCAACTTGCAGCTGCGGTGTTGGCGCGCTTTCTGAAGCCTCTGAGCTCACTTCGCCTGGTAACCTCAGACTCGACGTCGGATAATGGCTCGAGACGGGGAGAGAAGGCAGAGCATGCTTGGCTTGCTTTGGCTCGACGCGAGAGACAGGTCGGGTGACGGTACGCATGGGCGGAGGAGGAAGAGCCTGCTGGGATGACGGGTCACGTTTCGTGGAAGATTTGCGCAGCCCGACAGGAGGCTGCGTGTGAGGTGGAACTTGAGGCGTGATCTGCTCGCCCGAGCTCGTCGGAGACGTGACGTCATGTGTATGAGCCGATTCCGTAGCGACCATCTCTGACGGCGCCACGGACTCGGTATGACTCGTCTGGCTGGCACTGTCGTCGGTAGTCTGCGCAGGCACAGGTAATCCCTCGCTCGTCGTTGCGGGTTTGGGCTCCGAATGAGGTGCTGTCTGCAGCGCCGTCGGCGCTCGCAAATCCATGACCTCTGATTCGCCGGGCAGGGGAAGACCGGCACGTCTTACGATTGCCTCAAGCTGCGCGATGCGTGTCCTAGCTTTAGTGATGGCGACAGCAATCTTTTGACTCGGCGTGACCGTTTCGGGCTTCAGATGATCGGCCCCGGAAGATGACTTTGCGGGTACGACGGGCGCCAGCTCGCTATCAGATCCATCATGATTACAACCGTTGGCGAGAGCGCCGGAAGGTTGCCTGTTCCGTTTGACTTGTCGAGCGAGCGCGTCGCGTTCTCTCTTGAGCGTCGAAACGAGTTGCCATAGCTTTGTATTCTCTGCCAGGAGACGCTTCGGCTCTGTGTCAGCAGTGATTGATGGCGTACTGGCAGCATTCGTGGTGGTAGCAGGCGCATCGTCGAGCAAGTCTCTTGACTCAGCAGTAGGCTGCGGCAAGAGCGTCTCGGCACTCGCGCTTGCTGGCAGCGTATCGTGAGATCTGATGAGTGCATCCAGCGCAGCCTCAGACGAGCCATAGAGCGTGACGAGATCGAGCCATCGTGTGCGTGTGGTAGCAGAGCTCGTGTGACCGTCCGTCAAAGCAACTGGATCTTCAAGCGCGCTGATCGACGGTGAGGCGCTGATTACCTCCTCGATTCCGGCCGAGGCTGCAACAGGGATCGCCTGTGAGACCGTCATGACTTACGACGATGCTGTGTCAGAGTCTCATGTCGATGCGTATCGTCGAGTTGCTCGTCCCTTTGTCTCGTTCTGACGCGCAGTGTCAGCACGAGCGAGTCAGCCCCTTGCCCTCGAGCCGTTCGTCTGGCGCGGAGGGTTTGCGAGCCAAGCAGACCCCAGGTATCCTCGTGATCGTTGCGGTGCTCGTCCCTGCCTCGAGGCTCGACCACTTCTCGCTTCCACACGGCCACACGGACAGATTCATCGCGTCAAAGTGCGCGACGAGCGTGACGACGATGACGCTCGAAGTGGTGCCAGAGCCGTCAAAGCTAGGCACAAAGTCTCAGTAGGCGCAGATAGATCAGCACAGTCTCGCTGTCGCTGATAGCTGCAGTACGCCAGCTGGGATGAGGTTTATGCGTGCGCAGGACAGATGCTCTACCTAGTTTTGCGCTAAGTTGAGCGCAGTCGAGAGGTAGACAATTACAGAGCGGCCGGTGACGAGGGAGAATGCTGGTTCGGACTCGACGCAGCGTCAGACATGGTCGAATGGGCTCAAGAACATGTACCGCCCGAAAAGAAGCCAAAGGTACTCGATCTCGGCTGCGGCAACGGTCACCTGCTGTTCAGTCTGGCCCAAGAAGGCGACTATGACACCAGCCTGATGACAGGGGTCGACTATGCGCCAGCTTCCATTGAGCTCTCGCGCGCTATCGCAACTCAACGCGGCATTGCAGGCATCACCTGGAAAGTCGTCGACATCTTCGAACAAACATCCGCGAGCGCCGAATCATACGATCTTGCTCTCGACAAAGGCGTGCGTCGTTCGCCGAGGCACTCCTGACTTGGGCTCAAAGCTGCGCAGACATTCGACGCGATCTCATTGGCGCCAAGTGAGGCAGAAATGACACCTGCCCAGCTTTTCCCAGTCTGTATTGGCAAGCTCGTCAGACCAGATGGCATCTTTCTGCTCACGTCGTGCAACTGGACGAAAGACGAGCTGCTCAGTAGATTCACAGGCGCAGGCAAACCTTTCGAGTATCATTCAGAAGTCAAGCGGCCAACTTTCAGCTTCGGCGGGCAGACGGGTTCGACGATTGTCACGATTGCATTCAGACGCAAGCGCGAGCCTTAATCGAACTCCTCCACGATCGGTTCATCGTCGTCTATGCTAGTACCAGAGCGTTCCAATACCAGCTTGGCTGCTTTGAGCGACCATAGTGCGAGTTCGACATCGCTGGCAGAGCTCGAGGCGAGCGCCGTTTCGATCGCCTTACGACTCTTCAGGTGCTTGTCGAAGAAGTACATGAGCTTGTCCGCTAGACCTGGCGTCTTGCTCGTCCTGCCAAAGATCTTTTCGAGTGCTTCGACATTCTTGACGGGCGAGAAACTCGACTTGATCAGCAGCGGACTGCTTGACTGCGTCGATAGGCACGTGTAGACGAGAAGCTGCTGCAAGAATGCAATTGTTTGGGGTCGGATGAGCTGTATCGTCAAAGGCTTGAGCAATTGCAGTCCCAGGCCAGATTTTGCAATCCACCATGCATATGACCGGGCAAGGTTGCTCATTCTCTGAGGCTCAACCGAGCTCGAGCTCACGCTGTGTGCTTTGATGATGTCTGCGCCACCTACGTCGCTCTCGCCGAGCTCTCGGAGAAAGTCCCAGAGACAGTATTGCAGCGTGATGCGATAAGACTGAGCTGCCGGTGATTCGATGCTGAGTAGCTTTGCCATGACGAGAGCGTAATACGGATTGAAGCGACGCTCTTGCCCGGCGCAATGCAACAACACACGGATAGTCTCGCGCTGCTGCACTTCCGTCAAGCGCAAGTCGGCCAAACCGTCGGCTGCGTCAATGTAGTCCTGGCTGCTCATCAAGACGATGAAGATGCTTCGCCGTACATCGGTGTTCATGCCTTGTCGCTTTGCAAGCTTGAGCAATGTCGCATTCTGACCATTGCTCGCGACCGGTCCGACCGTCGGCGCTGAGGGAGCAGGTGTGTCCGTCACTTGGTCGCCCTTCCAGCCAGCACCAGACAGCCACCATTTGCCCTTGGTATCGCTTTCTCGCAGATCTCGCAAGGAGAACCGAAAGGGATCACTGGATGCACCCGCTCTCGTGCTCGACAGACTCGCTACGAGCTTGCGAAGAGAAGTCTCTGATTCTGCCAAGATCGGATTGCCTGCTGTGGATGACTTGAGACGATTGTTCTTTAGGTTCGAGAGCGTCTCGATCATGAACTTGGTGCGGGATGTCATACTGGCTGTCGGAACGCTCTTGAGCTTATCATTGACGAGCTGGATGATCGTCTTCAGAGCAGTCGGGTCATCCGTGCGCAGCTGCTGACCGCTCACTGTCCAAGTCTGATCAGCTCTCGGTAGTCGTAGCGATAGGACGACATACCTCTGATGATACGCAGCAGGACTTCGACGTCACCCTCGGTCAGGCCAGAATCGATAGATTCCCGAATGAGATCGTAAATGAGCGGACAAGCAAGCACACGAAAGTTGTAGAGATGCGAAACGAAGGTAGCCATATTGAGCCTCGTCTTCCCTGCTGCATCTGACTCGGACGAGTGAGCATCGAGCGTTTCGACAGACTTTGCAATGAAGCCGGCGCCCACTTCTTGACCCATTCGCTTATTGAGTGCAGAGACAAGTGCAGCCCAGCACAACACGGCGAGTTCGCCGAGACTTTCTCCACCCGATGTGATCATGCCCAGCAGGGTCTCGATGAGGGCAGAAGTCAGAATGGCACGAGGATGGGATGCGTAGAGCGATTCGATGGCAGTGAGAATGCTGGCAAAATTCGAGGCGGACAATCTGTTCAGCTGGCCGAGAAGGATGCGCCGCAGACGTGGGTCCACTGGCTGGTCGGGCAATGGCTTTGCAACGGATTGAGGGAGCTGTGCTCGGCGTAGCGCGGGCGGGACGTAGGCTGATGTGCTTGGTTGTGGCGTGTCGGTCTCTCCGAGTGCTGCGGCTCGCGGGATGAGATGCTCCTGCGCAGGCTCGCTCTCGTCCTGACTACCCATCTCAAGCAGATCTTCGCCAACCTCGATCTCCTCATCCTCATCATCCGTAGCGTCCGTCAGCTCGTTCTCGTCATCGCTTGCGTCATCTGGGCTTTCGTCCTCATCAGCATCGAGGCGCTCCTCAAGGGCGTCTAAATCGCCCAACAAGTCTATCCATGGGGACATGAGCTCGCGCGAAATTGTGGTGCGTGCCTACAACGTACCATCGAGTCCGTCTTCTTGGAACTCTGCTTCTGCCTGAGACGATCTGCCGCGACCCAGCGCCGCTTCGAGCCATGCGATTTCTGCTTCTTCTTGTTTCTCGAGAGAGTTGCTCGCTTTCAATCGCTTGCTCTTGCCACCAGACCGGGAGCTACTTGAGGCACCTTCGGGACGGTCATCTCCATTGGAGACAGACTGTAGGAGACGCTCGAGCGGTGTGTCTGTGTCCAACGCTTTCCTCTTTCCTCTTGCCTTTGCGCTTGATGCGCTACTAGGGCCCACCTGCTGCTCGAGCACGGGTGCGTCTTCACGAGGCTCATAAGACTGCAGCTGTTGAGGGGCCTTCGGACGAGGTGCAGCTTGCTTCGATGCATGTCGTTTCGCTTTCCTTTGCGCCTTCCTGTGAGCTGCGCTACCTGGTGCACCGGGTCCAGATCGGGGCGCTAGCTTGCCCGATGCTTCTAGTTCTTCTCGCAGGACAGCAGGCAGCTGGGTCGTGCGCTTCGTCCACGCTGGCTTGCCCATCACCGTCGTTCGTCGCCTCTTCTCTTTTATTATTTTTTGGCGTCATCCAAATTCTGCTCGGAACAGTGTCAGCCTGACTTTGTCTGACCAGTCGATCGCATGGATGATCGCACTGGCACATCTTCAGACAGTGATCGGTAGGCAGAGATGACAGCGCAATCGACGACAGCTTCACGGCCGCAGAGCGTGGCATCGACCAATCGCACGGAGAGCCTCGAGCAGAGTCCGGCACTCACGCTCAAGGACTCGAGCAGGACAGACGGACGCATCCTCGTCGAGTTTGAACACGGCGATCCAGAATGTCCCTTTCACTTCCCTACACGGCGCAAGTGGACCATATGCGCCATCATCCTGCTGCAGATGTGGAGCGTCACCAATCTGTCAGCGATCTATGCAGCTGCCGTGCCAGGCATAGCTCGAGATCTGTCTGTGTCGCCATTGGTAGCCAGACTGGGCCAGATGAGCTACTTGTTCGGCTTCGCTATCGGTCCCGTCGTCCTCACCCCCATCGTCGAGGATTACGGCAAGAAGCGCATCTTCACCGTCTGCATCCTCTTGTCGTACGCCATGCTCATACCTTGCGCACTCGCACAGAACATCGGCACAATGACGTCCGTACGCTTCATCGCCGGCTTCTTCGCGAGCCCCATCTTCAACGCGCTTGGCAATCTGCCAGACATGTTCTCTGCATCTGAATCGCCCGACGACTTCCATCAGCTCGGCTGGCTGCTCAATTTCTGGGCTCTCACTGCCGAGATCATCGTGCTCGCGCCGCTCATGGGGGCCTATATCGCCGCCAACCCACGCTTGGGCTGGCGATGGATATTCTGGCTGTCACTGATCATAGGCGCAGTCCTCCTGGTACCGTTCATCCTCTTCGTACCCGAGACGCGTTCGGGCGTCTTGCTCCATCGACGAGCAGCGCGTCTCAACAAGCAGTGGGCAAAGCAGCGCAACCTCCGAGGCGACAAGAGCGCGGCATCAGAAACGACAGAGCAGGAGGAGCCAGTAGACACGCGGCTTGGGCCCACGCTCATTCGAAAGATTAGCAAGACGCTGCCTATCGATCATCCCACGAGCGGTCCTTATTACGCAGAGCAAGATGAGCGGCCGCGCGACTTGCAGTCAGTCCTCGTCGAGACCTTATACCGGCCCACACGAATGCTCTTCACTGAGCCTATCGTGTTCTATCTTGCCATCTGGGATGGCCTCAATTATGCTGTCCGTCTTTGCGTTCTACTTTCTGCGTGATCACGCTGACGTCCTTGCAGATCATCTATGTGAGTGCCCCGGGCATGGTTCTTTGCGATGAGCTGACTTGCAGATCAGCTCAATTTCGACTCGATCGTCGTCGTCTTTGCAGTCTATGGCTTCAACGAGACGAACGTCAACGTCTTACTCGTGGCCGTCTTTATCGGCATGCTCATAGGGCTGTCTTGCTATCCTCTGCAGCTCTATGCCTATAACCGGTCTGCTCGGAATCATGGTGGTCGCGCGCCCGTCGAAGCCAAGCTCTACTGGTCCATACCCGCAGGCGTCATCTTCCCCATCGCTCTCTGGATCTACGCTTGGACATCTTTCGAATCGATTCCCTGGATCGTGTCCACGATCGGTCTGGCACTCTTTGGCATATCGAGTCATATCCTCTTCATCGCCATTAGCGACTACACAACAGACTCGTACGGCTACTATGCAGCAAGCGCCATCTCCGCCCAGTCACTCCTACGAGAGTCACTGGTGGCCATCATGTCGCTCGTAGGCGGCGCATTCTACGACAATGTCAACACACACTGGGCAACGTCCATCCTCGCCTTCTTCGCCACTTTCATGGCACTCATCCCCGTCGTCTTCACTTATTATGGACCGACAATACGCAAACGCAGTCCATTTGCACGCGAGATTGCAGAGCAAGAGGTCCTGTCTTTCGCAGCACTAGAAGCAAGACGGAATACGAAAGCCGCCTCAGCAGACGCAGCATAGAAGGCAGCAAGACGGCATTGACAGACTGTATCGCTATCGATAAGCAAGCTAGCACTAGCCATAGAATGTTTGTATGACTACTGACACATGTACGAACGAATCACGAATGCATCAAGCGTGCGCCTCTCTTAGCCGTCTGACCCAGTCAAGGTCGTGACGTGACATGTGCGACATCCCGGATGTACGGCCCGTCTTAACGCGTCTCTAGAAAATTTTGTCGCGCATGGGCGGCAGAGCGATGGCTGCTAAAGCTGAGCAAGCGGCCATTATAGCCGACGGCGACGCCAGTCTGATTCGCCAGAACGAGCACAGCATGACGAATGGCGGGGATGTATCGTCGGAGAGCGTGCTACCGGTGACGCCTTCGGTTGACCTTTCGAGGAGCGTGTCGCTCTCTGGTGCAGCCTCGCCCGTGGCTAGACGTGCGCATCATGTCTCGCAAGCGCTCAGAGGCCCCTCCGAGCCTGTCACTTCGCCTCATCCTTCGGTCTGGCTGGAAGCGGGAATCAGCGAGAGTGGCTTCAGAGAAAAAGATCGCATGGTGCTCGAGCTCGAGGATGGTTCGGCGTATGAAGGTGTCTCATTCGGTGCAACGGGTAAGAGCATCTCTGGAGAGTGCGTTTTCGCCACAGGCAAGTCAAACGTTGATTCTTGCGCAACCTTGCCCCTGACCTATGTCACGGATAGGAATGGTCGGCTACCCTGAATCCTTGACGGATCCATCTTATTCTGGCCAAATCCTCGTCATCACATACCCGCTGGTCGGCTCGTACGGTGTACCACCAAGACAATCAGACCTCAACTCGGCGCGGCTGCCAGCTTACTTCGAGTCAAGCCGTATCCACGTTGCCGGTTTGGTTGTAGGCTCTTATTCCGGAGAGGGCAGCGACTTCTCGCACCATCTTGCAAGCTCGGAGCTCGCCACTTGGCTCAAAGAGCAAGGTGTACCCGCTCTTTACGGCATCGACACGCGCGATCTGACAAAGAAGTTGAGAGAGAAAGGCACTTTTCTTGGAAAAGTCCTCGCGCGTAATCCTGCCGCACCTGCGCTACCTGCTCGCGCCTCAAGAGCCTTTCCGAGCAACAGGCCATCAGCTCAGCGATCGTGGCGGGCTGCATATTTAGACTGTCCTTTAGAAGACCACAATGCGAGAAATCTTGTAGCGCAAGTCTCACGACGGTCGCCGCAAGTCTACTCGCCCGGCAACTTTGATGGCATACCAAAGGCGCCGGCGCCTCTGCTGCATCCGTCCGGACGACCACTACGAGTCATCGCGCTCGATGTGGGCATGAAATACAATCAGATCAGATGCTTTGTGCTCCGTGGTATCGAGCTCAAGTGCGTGCCCTGGGACTACGACTTCAACTCGCCCAATGAGGAGCCTTTTGACGGGCTATTCATCTCCAATGGACCTGGAGATCCTGTCACAGTCTCTGCGACGATCGACCGTATCCGTGTGGCCGTGGAAAAGAAGGACAAACCCATTTTTGGCATCTGTCTCGGCCATCAGCTCCTTGCGCTAGCTGCTGGCGCCTCTACTGTCAAGCTCAAATACGGCAACAGAGGTCAAAATATCCCCTGCACAGACATGCTTTCGGGGCGCTGCTACATTACCTCTCAGAACCACGGTTATGCAGTGGACGCCTCGACGCTCAAGTCAGGCTGGAAGGAACTCTTCGTCAACGCAAATGATGGATCGAATGAAGGCATCTTTGCTACTGATCTGCCCTACTTCAGTGTGCAATTTCACCCAGAGAGCACACCGGGTCCTCGAGATACAGAATTCCTCTTTGATGTCTTCATCGACAATGTCAAAGCATGCGCAGACGCTGGCAAGCTCGTCATGCCAGTCATCCCCGGCGGCATCGCGGCAGAGAATGCAAAGGCGAATCCGCGCGTGCATGTCCGCAAAGTACTCGTCCTTGGCTCAGGCGGTCTCTCCATCGGCCAGGCTGGCGAATTCGACTATTCGGGCAGTCAATGTATCAAGGCTCTGCGTGAGGAGGGCATCTATACAGGTAAGCGCTTCTGTTTTCGTACGGCTTCGATAGCTGACAGGCTATCCGAAGTGCTCATCAACGCGAACATCGCTTCGACGCAGTCTAACATAACAGGTCTCGCCGACAAGGTATTCTTCTTGCCTGTCACGCCAGACTTTGTACGCAAGGTCATAGAGCACGAGCGACCGGATGGTATCTACGTCACGTTTGGTGGACAGACAGCGCTCAATGTGGGTATCAAGCTCAAAGACGAATTCGCCAAGCTTGGCGTCAAAGTCCTCGGAACACCCATCGATACCATCATCACGACAGAAGACAGGGAGATGTTCGCAAATGCGATGCTTCAGATCAACGAGAAGTGTGCCGAGTCAGCTTCTGCAGTCAATGTGGAAGAGGCTGTCGCTGCAGCTCGCAAGATCGGGTATCCTGTCATTGTTCGTGCAGCTTTCGCTCTGGGCGGACTAGGGTCTGGCTTTGCAAACAACGAGGGAGAGCTACTGGAACTGCTCAGCAAGGCCTTCGCAACGTCGCCGCAGGTTCTCGTCGAAAAGAGCATGAAAGGCTGGAAGGAGATCGAATACGAAGTCGTGCGGGATTGCCGGAACAACTGCATCACTGTGTGCAACATGGAAAATTTCGACCCTCTGGGCATTCATACAGGCGACTCGATCGTCGTTGCCCCCTCGCAGACGCTATCAGATGCGGACTACAATATGCTCCGAACGACCGCGGTCAACGTGATTCGCCATCTCGGCGTTGTTGGCGAGTGCAACATCCAGTATGCTCTGAACCCGGAGTCGCAGGAATACTGCATCATTGAGGTCAACGCTCGTCTCTCGCGCTCATCTGCGCTCGCTTCAAAAGCGACAGGCTACCCACTCGCCTTCATCGCGGCAAAGCTTGGCCTTGGCATACCCTTGAACGAGATCAAGAACTCTGTCACGCTCAAGACATCAGCCTGCTTCGAGCCCAGTCTTGACTATCTAGTGGTCAAGATTCCGCGTTGGGATCTCAAGAAGTTCACTCGCGTCAGCACAGCGCTCAGCAGTAGCATGAAGAGTGTCGGTGAAGTCATGGCCATTGGCCGGACATTCGAAGAGACCATTCAGAAGGCGATTCGATCAATTGATCCATCTTTTGCTGGCTTCTGTCTCAACGACCACACCGACAGTCTTGACGAAGAGCTCATGAACCCTTCCGACAAGCGCCTCTTTGCTATCGCTAACGCGATGCACAAGGGATACTCTGTCCAGAAGATCTGGGAGCTTACCCGGATCGACAAATGGTTCCTCAACAAGCTGCAGCACATCGTCGACCTCGAGCGTATCTTCTCTCGCCACACCCCCAGCTCGATTCCGACAGGCATGGTGCGACATGCTAAGCAGCTGGGCTTTTCTGATCGTCAGCTCGCTCGGGCAATTGGCTCGAATGAGCTCGCAGTTCGCCGTCTGCGGCAAGAATATGGCGTGATCCCAGTCGTCAAGCAGATCGATACTGTCGCAGCAGAATTCCCAGCCTTTACCAACTACCTTTACATGACCTACAATGGACTAGAGGACGATGTGACATTTGATGACCAAGGCATCATGGTCCTTGGCTCCGGTGTCTACCGTATCGGATCGTCTGTCGAATTCGATTGGTGCGCAGTACAGGCGATTAGAACGATCCGGAAGCGAGGCTTCAAGACAGTAATGGTCAATTACAATCCCGAGACAGTCAGTACAGATTACGATGAAGCTGACAGGCTATACTTTGAGAACATCTCCGTCGAGTAGGTTCTCATGAGCATCGTCAACAGGTGGCTAACACTACTGATCAGGACGGTCATGGACATTTACGAGGCCGAGCGATCAAGCGGAGTGATCATCTCCATGGGCGGTCAAACATCAAACAATATTGCTCTGCCTTTGCATCGTCAAAACGTCAAAATCCTCGGCACATCACCAGAGATGATTGATAATGCTGAAAACCGATACAAGTTCTCGCGTATGCTTGACCAGATCGGCGTCGACCAGCCTCTCTGGAAAGAGCTGGCAGAGATGGAAGACGCGCACGCGTTCTGCAACAAAGTCGGCTACCCGGTGCTCGTTCGTCCATCCTACGTGCTCTCTGGCGCTGCCATGAACGTCGTCTACTCCTCTGACGATCTCAGCAATTACTTGACGCAAGCGACAGCTGTCTCGCGAGAGCACCCCGTGGTCATCTCAAAGTATATCGAAGAAGCTAAAGAGATAGAGATGGACGCCGTTGCCCGCAATGGCAAGATGGTCATGCACTACATCTCTGAGCACGTCGAGAATGCAGGTATCCATTCTGGCGATGCTACGCTCGTCTTGCCCCCTCAGGATCTTGATCCCGAAACAGTCAGGCGCATCGAGATTGCGACACAGAAGATCGGCAACGCGCTTAATGTGACGGGGCCTTTCAACATTCAGTTCCTCGCTAAAGACAATGAGATCAAAGTCATCGAGTGCAACGTCCGAGCAGCACGCTCGTTTCCCTTTGTCTCAAAGGTCACTGGCGTGGATGCCATCGAAATGGCAACGGATGTCATGCTCGGCTTGTCAGTCCAGGCTTACCCCGCTCTCGATCTCCCGCCAGACTATGTCGGGGTGAAAGTGCCGCAGTTCAGCTTCAGCCGACTTGCCGGCGCTGATCCCATACTCGGCGTCGAAATGGCATCGACAGGCGAAGTCGCGTGCTTTGGCAAGGATCGCTATGAAGCCTACCTCAAGGCTCTTCTCGCATCAGGCATTTCTCTTCCCAACCGCAACATCCTATTGTCGATTGGCTCATACAAGGAAAAGATGGAGCTATTGCCATCCGTGCAAAAGCTCCATCGCCTCGGGTTCAACATCTTTGCCACTGCTGGTACAGCGGACTTCATACAAGAGCACGGTATTCCTGTCAAATACCTCGAAGCGCTTGGCGATGAGGATCAAGCACATGCGCAAAAGTCTGAGTACTCTCTCACGCAGCATATTGCGGACAATTTGATTGACTTCTTCATCTCGATTCCCTCAAAGAATCGCTATCGACGGCCGGCGAGCTACATGAGCAAAGGCTATCGCTCTCGCAGAATGGCTGTTGATTTCGCTGTTCCACTGCTGACGAATGTCAAGTGCGCCAAGCTCTTTGTTGAAGCCCTCGCTCGCAAGCCTACTCTTCAGATTTCGACTGTCGATTACAAGACCGCCGTGCCGACTGTCATGTTGCCGGGTCTTGTCGATCTGCATGCGTTCATCCCTCGCTTGGCTGCTGAAGACTGCACAGCGGTGGAGGAAGTAACTCGCGCTGCTATCAGCGGCGGCTTTACCGCCATTCAGTTTGTGCCCACTGGCTCTGCCAACAATCTTGAGGACGAAATGTCGCTCGACACTGCACGGGCGAACGCCTCCGGCGCCTCGCACTGTGACTACGCCTTTGCGGTTGTCGCTACGCCTCGCAATTCGATGCGGCTCGTCTCTGAAGTCATTGATGGCACAAAGTCGCTCTACGTCCCCTTTACGGGCCTCAACGATCCCAAAGTCAACAAAGTCGCAGCAGTGGTCTCACATTTCGGTGCTTGGCCAGCAGAGAAGCCCATCATTACAGATGCCAAGTCCACTGATCTCGCATCAATCCTTCTACTCGCAAGTTTGCACGGCAGGAGCATCCACGTCGCCGATGTGACTTCTGCAGATGACATCAGCTTGATTGCTCTCAGCAAGCAAAAAGATCTTAAGGTCACTTGCGATGTCTCCATACATGCGCTCTTCTTCGCCTCGGAAGATCTGCCTGGCACGACTTGCTTGCCGACCAAAGCAGATCAGGCTGTACTCTGGGAGAACCTGGAGCTCATTGACGCTTTCTCTGTCGGTGCGACGCCATACCTGCTGGCCAAGCAGATGAGCAAGAGCTTCTCTGCGGCCTCTGCCGTCGAAGACGCCATTCATCTCTTGCTCTGGGCAGTATCGCAGGGTCGCCTGACGCTTGAGCAGATCACTTCTAGACTCAGTACCAATCCTCGAGCGATCTTCGATCTGTCGCCACAGCAGGATAGCTACGTCGAGTTCGAGATCGGTGGACGATCTCGAGGTCTGCGCAGCGAGACATGGTCGCCTCTGGCAGAGGATCAGATCACCGGCTCCGTGCACCGCGTTGTCCTTCGCGGCAGGACAGTCTATCTTGACGGTAATGCCATGTCAAAGACCCCACTCGGACGAGATCTCGCAGATGACATAGCACCAGCGGTGATCAGCCGTCGCAAATCTACCCGCTTTTCGATGAATCAGCTGCGGCCTTCCCTCTTCGGCGTCGGAGATTCTACCAAGCTGGCTACGGGAATGCCACTGTCTGCGGGTTTGCTGAAGTCTCCGACCCAAGCATTGCCTCCCACCTCGATCACGCGCTCGCCCAAGGTCAGCGGCCCGGAATCAATGATATCTGCTGTCGTATCCAGCGCGCCGCCCCAGCCAACTGCTTCGTCCACCTTCTTGCACAGCCTGCAGACGACGACGCCTGCTTTGAGCAGTCTTGCACCGATTGCCGCCTTCTCGCGTCGACACATCCTGTCGGTAAAGCAGTTTACTCGACAAGATCTGCATTCGCTTTTTACCGTTGCGACCGAGATGCGCATCCAGGTCGAGCGCAATCAAGCCATCGACATTCTGCGCGGAAGAGTCCTGTGCACGCTATTTTACGAGCCTTCGACCCGGACGTCTGCCTCGTTCGAAGCTGCCATGAACCGTCTCGGCGGTAAAGTCGTTGCGGTCACTGCAGACAGATCGTCAGTCACGAAGGGCGAATCGCTTGCTGATACTGTCCGAACACTCGGCTCATATGGCGATGCGATTGTCTTGCGTCATCCTGAGCCGGGCAGTACGTCCTTAGCGGCCAAATTTTCGCCAGTGCCCATCATCAGTGCTGGCGATGGAATTGGCGAGCATCCCACCCAGGTGAGCTGCTTTACGACGGGCTTGCAGCCATTGCTGACGCAGAGTGCAGGCTATGCTTGACGTGTACACCATTCGAGAAGAGCTTGGTACCGTCAATGGCCTGACGGTAACGAGTAAGTGCCGTCTCGATCATCTGCGATGCACTGACAGCGTCTATAGTGGTGGGAGACCTCAAGAACGGCCGTACGGTGCACAGTCTGGTCAAGTTGCTCAGTCTGTATCAGGTCACTTTCAGCTTTGTCGCGCCGCCCTCGCTGCCTATGCCAGAGTCCGTCAAGGCTGAAGCACGACGCCAGAACCTACGTTTCACAGAAACGACGAACCTAGACAGCGTGATCGGATCGACCGATGTGCTCTATGTCACCCGTGTCCAGCAAGAACGCTTCGCCAACCAGAGCGAGTACGAAGCCGTAAAGGATGCCTACGTGGTCAACAACGATGTCATGTCGCGCGCAAAGGTACCTTCCATCTGCTTGGAGTCACCGCATCAGCTGATTGCCACGTGTACAGACTCACATGATAGTGATGCATCCGCTGCCGCGAAATAATGAGATTGACCCAGAGGTCGATTACGATTCTCGCGCTGCTTACATCCGACAAATGCGTTACGGCCTCTTTGTCAGAATGGCACTCCTCTCGCAAGTGCTGGGCAATGCCTGATTTGTGCCAAAGAAGATTGCAAGTTGCTTGCTTTGTGGTAGACAACAACATCATCGATATTCGAGAGACAGCGATTACCGTGGCGCTGGCCATCGGCCTCCATTATCATCTTCATATATCCCGCCAGGTAGCCTGCGCCCAGGGATGCGTGGCGGCGGCGCCCCTTCGTCTGTAAGGTACAATGAGCACGAGCGGGAAGAGTCAGCTCCACGCACCATCTCTTTCGAGAAGCTCGCCCTCGTCTTCATCTTGATCAAGCTCGTCGGGACCAACTGCGGCAGGATCTGCACGTACGGACGGCCTGGAAAGGACTTCGTTCTGACCGCCAGAGAGCTTCATATCTTGCACGAGCCGCTGAATCTGCTCATCTTTGTTCTTTGCGCTCTGAGCCGCCTTCTCCGCTCGTAGTCTGTCAAGTTCAGGCTTATAATCGCTGCTTGCCTGCATGAGTCAGGGGCTAGGGTAGGCCTGGTGGCACGCACTTTTCATACTCTTTGCGCGCCTCGTCGACTGCTCGTAGAAAGTCATCAAAGCCTGCACCGGTCATCGCAGACACGCCAACGGCCTACAAATTCTGGTCAACCGTGTGTAGCTTACGAAGGAGGAGAGCTTACGCGGAGATGCTTGTAGAATTCGTCGAGCATGAGGCTCATGCTGTTTAGCAGGCTGTTCATGAAGCCGGGCTCGTCTGTAGATTGTCGATTCTGCTGTAATGCATCCTGAAAGGCTTCAAAGTCGCGCATCCACTCGAGCGCAAAATGATGAGGTGTGACATCGGTCTTGTTGAAGACGAGGATGAACGGCAGCCGAGTTTTGTACAGTATCCTGCGAGTAAGTTCAATCAGGGGTAGCATGGGAGGTGGTATGACTTACGAGCATGCATAGAGCATGTTGCTCATAAAGGTCGCCGGCGCGGTCGTTCGGGGCGTATCGATAATGTACGCAACACAAGTCGGCAACGAAGATGCGAGGGAGTCTGTGATGATTGCGCCGGATGCAGACCACGTGAAGATCTCGATTTGTCCTGGGGTATCGAGCAGGACATGTCTGCGGAATGTCAGCACATGCTCATCTGAGCAGATTTGAGGTTGGACTTGCTTGTGCGAGCCTGCTCGCTTCTCTACAAAGCCAAGTACCTGATCAAATTTGGTCGTAAAGAGGTTGAGAGCGGTCAGGATCCCGCCGTTGGGCCCCAGATTGTACCTGCCAGCCTTGGTAAGCTCACGTCGATTGTCCATCAAGAAAGAGGAAACGCACTGCTTCATGACTTCAGAGTAGTCGACCGTGTCCCGTATGTCGATGTTGGCCTTGAATGGTAGATGACTGACGGCAGGATCCAGATTGAGAATGTAGGGAGGCTTCGACTGGCTGTGCAGATGGGAATTCAGGCGTTGCAGGAATGTCGTCTTTCCAGAGCCTGGCCACGAAGCACTTGAGACCCAGTTCAAGGACTCCCAAGTGCACTTGCCTGCCATGCCGATGACGATGATGCATGTTGGCTGTTGAGCTGCCACGGCGCTGCTGCTCGTAGCCTCGTTCATCTTGCGGCAGTGCGCGAAATCAGTGAGCTACGTGGGCAATGCGCGTCGGCTGACTGACGTCTCATTGCGCAGAGGGGCAGCTGAGGTGATAACAATATACAACAGGCGCACATCGTCCTTGACCTGATCGAGGGAGATCATGTCAGGGCCCACACAAGTTCGATCGCCACCGCCGATGGTCCTCTTCACAAGCCTTTGTCTAAGGTGCTTCGGCCGCGCTAAGTCCAATCGCTGTACGAGGATGATCGAACCTGATTTTGTAAAGTCTGGCATGCGCTTTTTGCGAGGACGGTGCTCGTGCCGCTGGTGCCAGAACCCGCGCGCATCGTCTGCACAAGCAATGACGCTACATCTTTGTACCTCCTGTCCGCTTCTTCTTCCTGCGCATTGCTTCTATATCCTCCCCAAGCTCATCGCCCGCCAGACCACGTAGCGCTTGCAGAGGTTTGATTGTCTGATCATATCGGCCCGGTACGATGTGCATCGCTCCCGTGGGACCAGGCAAACCCGGCGCTTGTCCTCTCTTTCTGTACCGTTGGTGGCCTGTGCTCGATTGCAGAGCAGACAGCAAAGTCATCTGATGGTTCGCTGCCAGGTGGTGCGATCCCGGTCCGCTGAGCTGCATGGACGTCAGCAGTGGCGAGGAGGGTAGGACCGAGTAGAGATAGCCTGGATCGAGGTGGCCGGTGCCATTTGACAGCGGGGGCACATCCAGTGTATCGGGCATATCGAGGCCCAATCCGTGACCACCCATTGACGGATGGGGCAGTCCTATCGCATTGGGCGGCGGATCGTACGAAGCTTCGATTGTGCTGGTCGGATAAGGCGAGGCGCGTTGGAGGGGGGCACCGTGCCGTAAGCGCCGAGTCGCATGCGGTCTAGGCTGAGGGTCAAACAGGGCATCTGCTCGGAAAACGGCATATCAGCTTGTTGGCAAGTCAAAACGCGTCTAGAAACGAGCCTAAATTGATTTCGAGGGATTCCTTCTCTTCGCGTAGTTTGCGTGTGCGCTCCTCGCAGGCTTCGATGAGTCTGTCCTTGATGCCGCGCTTGAACTGCTCGTACTCTTCTTCTATTCTATCGACTTCAGTCTCGTAAAGTCGTTTGGCAGTCTGCAGCATGCACACTTGAGCTACGTCAGACTCGCCCATGATGGCCAGACTGACTTCTAGGCCATGGCGAGCTTCGGCTTTGACGCCGAGCAGCAGATGATCTCTCTTGACGCTCAGGTCGTGCAAGCCGAGCAAATATTCTGGGTGGGTGGGTGCAGGCTGAGCCAGCAGGGCCAGATGAGATTCGTGGATCTGATTGAGCAACTCGTGGAAGATGGGCTCCCTTCGCTCGATCCCATCCCGGCGCAACCGCTCGATCCGCTCGATCATGTCCCGCCGACGCTTATCTCGCTTGCTCTCGGTAGGAAAGCCCTGTTGCTGGCCATGTGGAGCTGATCTCACGCCAAGTGAGCCCGAGCGTGACGAGCTGAACCGAGAAACGCTTGCCTTCCCACTGATGCTGGTAGATATCTTCGTTCCATAGCTCTCGAGCTGCTTCTGCTGTTCTTCGCGGGGGTGCCATCACTCTGCTCTGGCAGACTGTGGCCCGCGCTAGATTGACCGCCGCCGCCGCCTTCGCAACTCAAAAGGGGGCACATCCGCGCGAGGTGGCGTCGCTCTTTAGCGCTCTGACCAAGGCGACTGCTCGTTTTTGTGCCCACAGCGAGCCACCATGGCCATGAAGCGCGGCAAAGGGACAGCATTCCCAGTCGTGAGTCTTTCCGCGCTGGTGCTCTCGGCTTCAGAGCTCATATATCGCGCGACAGGCTCGGATGCAAGTGTTAAAGATCTCAACTTGACGACCTGCTGACGTAGAAATGCGATGCTGCAGAAAGAAGATTATGCAACAGGACGAAGAAGTTGGCAAAGTAGCGGCATCAGCACCTGTGGCAGTCTGTAAGCCAATTTGCTGCGCGGACGACGCGTGCTCATCCGAGCAAACACAGCCAAAGCGCTTGAGATGTTCTTGCAAGACCTGCTCGAGAAGTCACTCGAACACGCTCGATCACTCGGCTCACGTAAGATCACCAACGTTCATCTGTCAGCCTCTTCGCGTTCTGGCGTGGCTTTGACTGAGCAAGGTGTCACCGCAGAAAGCACGTGATAACAGAAGTCGAATCTTTCGATTTTCTCGCCGATGCTGTGGCTCATATACCCGACGCCGAGGACAAGCCCAAGGGTCGGCCCTCAAAGCGAGCCAAGACGACGAAAGACTCAACTATGGATTCAAGCGAGCCTTCGCCAAAGCCGCGTAAAGCCAAACTGGCTGCACCCCGAGCGATGAAAGCAGACGCAGACGAAGTTAATGATGAGCCCAACGGCGATAGTGATCCACGAGATCACGAGTATCTACCGCCTAGTCTGAGCAAGATCATGGGGCCTTCAAGGCCTATACCTCCGCCCAAATCTCCCAGTCAAGCGGCACCGCCGGCGATCAAGGAGGACAGCGAGTCTGAGTCCGAGGAAGACGAGCCTGCACAAGCAGCACCGGTTGCCATCGTGGCGAGACCGGCCCAAGACGGAGACGGAGCAGACGACGATTACGATGAGTAAGAGCAGCGGGCATGCATTCGCGAGTTTCCCTTGTCAAATTAGGTCGATGCGCGAGTCGCGTTGAGGACTCGCGGGTGTCTTTTCGTTTGGCGACCTCTGCGCCCATGCTTGCTCCTTTGCTCTGACGTGCGCACGCATGATACTGATGTGTCTCACGTTGATCAGAAAGCTGCACCCTCATCATCAGCTCCGCAAAAAGGGGCGATCAGCGCAGCCTGACGCGATAAAGGTGAGGGACGACGTGGCAAACGCGAACGAGCAGGTCCAAAACAGCAGCGGATAGTGACGATATTCCAGATGGACCTTGAACAAGGTCGACAGGGTTTCTTTGATGATCGAACCGTCGAAATACGGATCGGTAATGATGATGTCCTGTTTTGCGACAACGATCTGTCACTTCATCAGCAGGTGTCCTGTCGAACACGATCGCGTTACCATCGCCCAGATAGAGATGCCGAAGAGGGCAGGAAGCAAGGCTCCAAGCAGGATCGACCTTATCTTTGGCGCTCTCTCGGTTTCGAATCGATAGATATCCCGGAAGAGAGCAAGAATGCTAAAGATGAGCACGAGGAGCAGCGTCAGACCGCCAAGTGCTGAAAAGGCGGCCAAAGGAAAAGCGATGTTGGAGATTGACACGTTGAGATCGATGAGTCGGATGCCTAGAGGCAACACCTGCTCGACGATCTGTCCCAGCTCATCGTTCCCACTGATGCTTGCTAAGGAAAATCATCGTCGGTACTTCGATACTGCGCATGCAACCCTAGCTCACCGATCACTTCGTCCTTGATCTGCAGTGATTTCAAGCCCAGTAAAGAGAAAACGCCATAGCTGGCGCCGACAGAGGTATACTGCCGGCTGTCACCTCAGCTCGCACAATAGTCGAACGTCTGGTAGGCACTGACGATGATGATGCGAGGCCAACGAGCCCATGCCGGTCCATAAGTCATCCGGCTATATGCGTAAGGAGGACGACCGACTTGCAGAGTCGGACCATGGCGCGTTACTATATCGACGCGCTTCGAAGGGCGGTCAGTGCGCGAAGTCCTTCAACGAGCAAGGCTAGGCGTTGCTCAGATTGTCAACGTGCCGGCAGGCTATTCCTCACGCGACCGCCGCCAATTTAGCTGACGATCGACACGTGACCCCGGGGCACGCGCCACTTCGCCCAACAGCGCGCTGCCCCACGCCCAACCACCTGAGCAGGCACTTGTCGGACTACCTTGCTTGCGAGTGAGCGCCGCACAGAGCTAGCATCGTACTGCATACAAGCTTTCAAGGCGATATGGAAAGCATGACCGACTTTGACAAGCTGCCACTCGCTGTGGAGCTCGACTTTGACGAGGCGACTGACCTCATTGACTTGACGCTGTACGAGCACATCAGACCCCCTTCGCTCGTCCACTCGAGCGGATCGAGCTCTTCCGACTCCGGCACAAGCTCCACTGATATCCTGCAAAGCGATGACGAGATTCTCGGCCCGGACAACGTGGTCCCCCTGAAGCTGCAATACGCCTACAAGCCGCAGTATGGCTTTGCACCCCTTCACGAAGTCACAGAGGGACGCAACGAACGCATCAAGCAACACTACTGGCGTCTTTGGGGTCTCGACACGCCCTCTACGGCTGCTCAGACAGGTGCGACGGATCAGGACGGTGGAATGCGCCAAGGCTTCAGCAGTCTGTCTGTTGATGCCGAATTCATCGGTGACGACGTCTACATTGACCATCAAGACGTGCAACGCTTCTGCCGAGTCGTCGGCAATGCCCAGCAAGCCTACAGAGCCGATGCATCCGCATCACTCGATGCCAAGGGCAAATCCCGAGAGATTGGCTTGCCTGTCCCTAGTAAGCACAATCTGAAATCTGTGTACAGTCGCTAATGAGCCGTCTGCAGTGGATTTTGCGATGAAGCTTGGTTGGAAAAGTCTCATGACGGCAATTTTCCCCCAGGCCATCGATGGCGATCTCCTCCGTCTCGTCCATCTCAGCAACGCGTTCAGCTACCTGTCAGACACGATCGTCCTCAGAACTGGCGATACTGTCAACTCGAGCTCGCGCATCAGCAAGGTCGTCAACTCGGACTCGGGCAAGGTCGTCACCGTCACCGGTACGATCTTCCTCAAGTCATCGCCTTCTGGCACACTAGACGATCATACCGGCAGCGTACCCGTCGTCGAAGTCGAATCGAGCTTCCTCTACCGTGGCAACTTTGACGACTTTGCAGGCACGTTCGAATCACGCAAGGAGACGAACTATGCTCTCACGTTCAAGTCCGCACAAGATGTCGCAGTGCTCAAATCCAAAGAGTGGTTCGAGTGGCTCGACGACAGCGTTCTGCTGACCATCAACGATACGCTCACGTTCGAGGTAGAGTCTGATATCCGCTTCAAGACCAAGGCAAGCTTTGCGTCTCTCGATGTCACCGGTTTCGCCACGGCTCTTAAGCAAGTCTCCGATGGTCGCTCAGAGACTGTCAAAGTAGCCGAGATCAACTATGTCAGTGCAGGCACGACCAAAGGCAATCCCGTGCTTGAATACCTCAAGCGACACGGCCAAGCTCTGCATCAGCCCGTCCCACTCGTCGCCCCTTACGCTCTTGCCGGGCCTACTTCCGAGGAAAAGGGTGTCGACAATGTCTTCAAGACGCCCGCCAGCAATCAAGCGTACAGCGACGTCTCCGGCGATGTCAACCCTATACATGTCAATCCTTACTTCTCAGATCTTGCCCAACTGCCTGCACCCATCACGCACGGCATGGCAACTTCCGCCATGACGAGGCGCTTTGTCGAGACGATTGCAGCAGAGAATCAGTCCGAGCGTGTCAGATCTTTCCAGGCAAGCTTCACGGGCATGGTTCTGCCTTCCTCGAAACTGCGCGTCGACCTCAAGCACGTCGCACAGCAGAATGGCAATAAAATCATCAGTGTTGCTACAGTCGACACAGAGACCGAGCAGCCTGTTCTCGTCGGTCAAGCTTCGGTTGCACAAGCTCGCACTTGCTACGTCTTCACCGGCCAAGGCTCTCAAGAGCAGAACATGGGCATGGATCTTTACGCCTCCAGCCCTGTAGCTCGAGCGGTCTGGGACGCAGCAGACACCCATCTCGGAGACGTTTATGGCTTTTCGATCATCGACATTGTCAAGAACAACCCCAAAGAGCTCACTGTTCACTTTGGTGGTCTGAAGGGTCATCAGATCCGTCAGAGATACATGGAAATGACATATCACTCGACTGACAAGTCTGGCCAAGTCCAAGTCCTGCCGCTCTTTGCGGACATCGATTTGCGAACCTCGCGCTACGTCTTCAGCTCGCCGACCGGCCTGCTCTCCGCTACTCAATTCACTCAGGTGGCACTCGTTGTCACTGAAAAGGCTTACTTCGAAGACTTGCGAGCAAAGGGCCTTGTCCAGCCCGACTGTCCCTTCGCTGGTCACTCTCTGGGAGAATACTCGGCGTTGGCTTCGATCGCCAACGCTTTACCTATCCATGCGCTCGTCGATGTCGTCTTCTACCGTGGCATTACCATGCAACGTGCCGTCGAGCGTGATCATCTCAATCGCTCTCAGTATGGCATGATGGCCGTCAATCCATCTCGTGTCGGCCCTACCTTCACCGATCCTGCTTTGCGCGAGGTCGTCACGAGTGTAGCCGAAAAGACAGGGCGACTCGTTGAGATAGTCAATCTGAACGTCGAAGGCCAACAATCAGTCGTTGCGGGCGAGCTTGTCGCCCTGCATACCTTGACCAACGTTCTCAATCTGCTCAAGATGCAAAAGATCGATATTTGGAAGCTGATGGAACAGATGTCGCTCGAGGACGTTCGAGAGAAGCTGGGCGAGATCGTGCAAGAGTGCTGGACTGTGTCGCTCGAGAAGCAAGAGAAGGAAGGCTATATTCACCTGCAGCGCGGCTTCGCTACGGTACGCCCATAGGCTTCTGATGGGCTCGCGAACGCTGACAAGCTGTGTTTCTTGACTGGCAGATCCCCTTGCCAGGCATTGATGTGCCATTTCACTCCCGCTATCTGTGGGCAGGCGTCATGCCTTTCCGCACTTGTGCGTGATAATGCTTGGCGTGGACATCCGCTGATATATGACGCACGCAGATCTCTCGAAGAAGCTCAAAATCGAAGACCTCAAGCTCGACTTGCTTGTCGGCCGCTATATTCCCAATCTCGTTGCCACGCCTTTCGAGGTCACGAAGGAGTACGCCGAGAGAATCCACACGCAGACAGCTTCGCCACCTCTTGAGAAGATCCTCAAGAACTGGGAGAAGGAAAGCTGGGGATCAGACGAGAAGAAACCGATGCTGGGTTACACAATTCTCGTCGAATTGCTTGCATATCAGTTCGCGTCGCCCGTCAGGTGGATCGAGACGCAAGATCTGCTTTTCCAGAAGTTCAAGTTTGAGAGACTCGTCGAAATCGGCCCAGGCCCAACACTCACTGGCATGGCCTCTCGAACGCTCAAGCTTAAGTACGAGGCACAAGATGCTGCAAATGGTCTGAAGCGACACATTCTGAGCATCGCCAAGAACCAGAAAGGTGCGCATAGTCCAGCCATAACATGACACAGCTGATTCATGCCTTCTGGTGTACCTAGAGATCTACTACAGCTTCGAAGACGAGCCGGAAGTCGCGGAGGCCGCACCAACGCCGACATCTGCACCCGTTGTAGCTGTGCCAGCTGCTGCCGCGCCAGTGGCTGCCGCGCCCGCCGCAAGCACAGCAGCGGCAGCCGAGATTCCGGATCAGCCGCTGAAGGCTGTCGAAACCCTGCGTGCCATCATCGCTCAGAAGCTCAAGAAGCCGATCGGTGAGGTGCCTCTTTCAAAAGCGATCAAAGATCTGGTTGGCGGTAAGAGTACACTTCAGAATGAGATCCTCGGTGATCTCCAGGGCGAATTCTCATCTGCGCCTGAAAAAGGCGAAGAGCTGCCACTCGAAGAACTCGGCGCTGCACTGGGCGTCGGCTACGGCGGTAGTCTTGGCAAGCATACTAGCGGTCTGGTCTCGCGCATGGTTAGCTCGAAACTACCAGGCGGCTTCGGTATCTCAAATACGCGCGGTCATCTGGCAAAACAATGGGGACTCGGACCCGGACGCACAGATGGCGCACTACTCGTCGGCATCACAATGGAGCCAGCCAAGCGACTTGGCTCGGAAGCTGAAGCCAAGGCTTGGCTCGATTCTGTCGCGCAGGCATACGCACAACAGGCAGGCATTTCGCTCTCTGCTCCGGGTGCATCTGCTGGTGGCGGAGGAGGTAGCGGAGGTGCTGTCGTCGATTCGGAAGCGCTCAAGCAGCTCCAGGCCAGTCAAGACGAGTTTGTGTCCCGTCAAGTGGAGGTGCTGCTTCGTTACCTGAAGCGCGACTCGCGCGACGGTCACCGTCTCAACGACATCTCGACCCGCGAGGCCCTCGCCCTGCAAAGCCAGCTCGATGCCATCAGTCGAGAACACGGAGACTTCTACATCTCGGGCATTCAACCGACTTTCAATCCGCTCAAGGCTCGTCATTTCAATTCGGCGTTCAATTGGGTGCGTCAAGATGCGCTGTCGATGTTCTTCGACGTCATCTACGGACGTCTGACCACCGTCGATCGCGACGTGACTCGTCGATGTCTGATAATCATGAATCGAGCTGATCGTCCGCTCATCGAATACTTCAAGTATCACCTCGACCGCGTAGATGTCACCAAAGGCGAGACCTATCAAATGGTCAAAGAATTCGGCACGTTGCTGTTGCAGAATTGCGAGGAAGTCATAGGCACGCCACCGGTCTACAAGGATGTCACCTTCCCGACCGCGCCTCGCACGACAATCGACGAACGCGGCAACATCGTTTACGAAGAGGTGCCTCGACCACGTGTATCTCGCCTGGAGAAGTATGTCGCAGAGATGGCTGCCGGCACTAGCGCTCAACCTCAAGTTGATCTCGAAAAGGTCCACGAGACGTGTGTATCGCTTAGGTCATATTGCCGCGTCTACTGACTCGCAATCGCAGGCTATCGAGTTTGTATCGTCTGGTCAAAAGCAACACGAGCGTGTCAAAGGCCCATCTTTCGGCAGTAAAGCAGCTCTACGGTGAAGTCGTGAAGACATTAGGCGAGTCCAAGAAGGCCGTCACGCGACCCACTGGCTCCGCACGAGCTCGTCGCAATTCCAACTCCTTCTTGCGTCCCGAGAAGGTGAATGAACCTGTCAAGATCAGCTCGAGCGCGAAGCCACTACTCTTCCTAAATCGTAAAGTGGGCAATACATGGCAATACTCCGAACGTCTCACGAGTCTGTACCTTGACATTCTTAAAGAGATTGCGACCGCAGGAACCACATTCGAGCACAAGACTGCGCTTCTGACTGGTGTCGGGCGCGACTCTATCGGCGTGGAAGTTGTCAAGGGCCTGCTTAGCGGTGGTGCACGCGTGATCGTCACGACGAGCAGTTACCGCCGCGAGACTGTCGAATATTATCAGTCGATCTACCAAGAAGTTGGCAGTCGAGGGTCATCTCTGACAGTCGTCCCCTTCAACGGCGGATCGAAGCAGGATGTCGAGGCTCTTGTCGAATACATCTACACCGACATGGCAATCGATCTAGATTACGTTCTACCCTTCGCTGCTCTCTCCGAGAACGGTCGCGAGATTGACGGCATTGACGATCGCTCCGAGCTTGCCCATCGGCTTATGATGACCAATCTCGTGCGCTTACTCGGCGCCATCAAGGCCAAGAAGGCCAGCCGTCGCTTCATTACTCGTCCCACCGAAGTCGTGCTGCCACTATCGCCGAATCATGGTCTCTTTGGTGGTGATGGCCTCTACAGCGAATCCAAAATCGCTCTCGAGACACTTTTCAATCGCTGGTCGTCAGAGTCATGGGGCACATATCTGTGCATCGCCGGCGCCGTCATTGGCTGGACGCGAGGCACGGGTCTCATGGCACCGACAAATATGATCAGCGAGGAGATCGAAAAACATGGCTGTAGAACATTCAGTGCTAAGGAAATGGCCTTCAACATTCTCGGCCTGATGCATCCGCTCGTCATGGACATTACCCAGGTCGAACCAATTTGGGCAGACTTTGGCGGCGGTATGAGCGCTCTCAATGATCTGCACATTCTTACAACAAGGATCCGTAACAGCATCAAGTCTGAAGCTGATACTCGCCGAGCGGTATCGATCGACAACTCCTTCGACTTCAAGATCATCAATGGCGTCGAAGCAGAATCGATGCATAAGCGCGTCAATATCCAGCCTCGGGCACACTTCCAGCTACCGTTTCCTGAGCTCAAGCCGACATTCGATGGCAATTCTCTCTCTGAGCTGCGCGGAGTCATCGATCTCGACAAGGTCATTGTCTGCACGGGCTTCGGCGAGGTCGGACCATTTGGCGGCAGTCGAACCCGTTGGGAGTCCGAAGTCAATCGCTTCTTCTCCATTGAAGGCCTGCTCGAGCTGGCTTTCGTCATGGGCCTTATCACTCATTTCGATGGCAAGCTCAAGTCAGGCCAGTCATACGTTGGATGGGTGGACACGAAGACTCAAGAGCCGATCGATGACAAAGATGTGCGTGCCGCATACGAAAAGCACATCATCGAGCACACTGGTATTCGCATGATCGAGCCAGAACTGTTCAAGGGATATGATCCTAAACGTAAGGGCTTCACGCAAGAAATCGAGCTCAATCACGACCTGGAACCTATCGAGACCTCGCCCGAAGATGCCGAAAAGTTCGTTCTTGAGCATGGTGCTCAGTTTGTCGACAGCTGGACAGAAGGCGATCGCTGCTTCGTCAAATTCAAAAAGGGCGCGAAGCTATTCGTACCAAAGGCCTTACGCTTCGACCGTCTCGTTGCCGGTCAAATCCCGACTGGATGGGACGCGACAGTCTTTGGCATTCCAGCGGACATCATCTCGCAGGTCGATCGCACTGCACTTTGGGCCCTTGTCAGTGTTGCCGAAGCGCTTCTCAGCTCTGGCATTACCGATCCTTACGAGCTATACAAGGTAAGTTTGATAGCTTGGAAATGCCGAGGCTTATGTCCTTCTGCAGTATGTCCATCCGTCCGAGGTTGGCTCATCGCTTGGCTCTGGTATGGGCGGAATGCAGTCGCTGTCAAGCATGTTCCGCGAACGACGCGAAGAGCGCGATGTACAGAAGGACATCTTGCAAGAGACCTTCATTAATACCGTCGCTGGCTGGGTCAATCTGCTTCTCCTCAGCTCGAGCGGTCCTATCAAGATTCCCGTCGGCGCCTGCGCAACTGCTCTGCAGTCAGTCGAAATCGCTTGCGATACGATCCTGTCGGGCAAGGCGAAGGTGATGATCGCGGGTGGTTACGATGACTTCTCGGAGGAAGGCAGCTATGAATTCGCCAACATGCAAGCTACAAGCAACACAGAAACCGAGCTCGCGAGCGGCCGAGAGCCCAACGAGATGTCACGTCCAATGACGAGCACTCGATCGGGATTCATGGAATCGCAAGGCTGCGGCGTTCAGATCCTCATGTCCGCTTCGACAGCCATCAAGATGGGCGCTACAATCTACGGCGTCGTCGCTTACACTGCGACTGCTACCGACAAAGCTGGTCGCAGCATTCCTGCGCCTGGCCGTGGCGTTCTCAGCACTGCGCGTGAGGCATCGTCCTCTTCGCCGTCGATGCTTCTTGACCTCAAGTATCGAAAGCGTCAGCTTGCCTTCCGTCGCGGTCAGATCTCGCAATGGCTCGATAACGAGCTCAATTGTCTCGAAATGGAAAAGCAAGGCCGGTCTGGTGCAAACGCTGCACTCAGCACCGACGATTTGTCGCATCGCATGACAGAGATCGAGCGCGAAGCCAGTCGACAGGAAGCAGAAGCAGTGGCGACGTATGGCATGCTCGAAGGCGCCGACCCAAGTATTGCACCGCTGCGTCGCGCTCTCGCTGTCTGGAACATGACCATCGATGATGTTGGCGTCGCATCGCTGCATGGTACATCGACGAAGGCGAATGACAAGAACGAGTCTGAAGTCTACAACAGTCAATTCCAGCATCTTGGTCGTACCGTGGGCAATGCCTGCCCGGTCATATCGCAGAAGTGGCTCACAGGTCATCCGAAGGGCGGCGCAGCTGCATGGATGCTCAACGGTCTCGCTCAGTCTATCAACTCGGGCATCATCCCAGGCAACCGCAATGCAGACAATATCGCGCCAGAGATGCAAGCCTTTGAATTCCTCGTCTATCACTCCAAGTCCATCCAAACAACAGGTTCGCTGCGTACTCATGTTGACATGGCATTTCCTGATCAGTGAGACACGTCATACAGGCATCAAGTCAGGCTTGCTCACTTCATTCGGCTTTGGTCAAGTTGGCGGTCAATGCCTGGTGCTACACCCAGACTACTTGCTCGCTACCCTCGATCAGTCACGCTACGATGTCTACAAGACTGCCAATGCTACGCGTAAGCAGCAATCGTACAAGAAGTTCAACGACATGTTCACCGAGCGCAACCTCGTTGTCCTCAAGGAAGCTCCGCCTTATACGCCCGATCTCGAGAAGGAGGTCTTGCTGAACCCACTGGCCCGTGTCGAGCCAACAAAGCTGGGCTCTTACGCCTTCACTGCAAAGTCTGTACGAGCAACGCTTGCCTCGCAAGTCGAAGGCGTTGACGCTGTCGGCACCGACGTGGAAGTCATCGCCGATTTCGCTGTCGACAATGACACCTTCATCGAGCGCAACTTCACGTCTGATGAGATTGCGTACTGCCATGCAGCGCCTGACAGCAAAGCATCCTTCACTGGTCGATGGGCTGCAAAAGAAGCGGTTTTCAAAGCGATGGGCGTAAAGGGCAAAGGCGCGGGCTCTGCGCTCAAGGACATCGAGATCATCGCAAGCGAAACGGGTCCTCAGGTCAAGCTGACAGGCGACGCTGCGCTGGCAGCTAGCGAGCGAGGCTTTAAGACATTCTCGGTCAGTATCTCGCACACAGACGGCGTCGCCGTGAGCGTGGCCATGGGTCAACGATAGATCTCAACGATAGATCTTGCCAACAAAGTACGAATGTTGCTACAACACTGCAGCTGATTGCAATTAGAACTGATTTGTCCATAAGATTGCAAGGACTGTATATATCGCGGGCCTGAATGTCCGTGGCAATGACCTGCTTGCTGCTCCCACTGCGCTCGTGGGCTGCATCACAGGAGTCGTCTGCGACTGGCTGGTCGGAGGAGGAGGAGTCGAAGTCGTAGAGCTACTCGACGATGACGTCGGCGAGGAGGTTGGACCGGCTGAGGGACCGAAGATGCCGCTTCTGATAAATGTAGTCGGTCCGCTGCTTGAGATGCCATCTGCTATGCTCTGGTTCAGGGTCGAATTCGAATAAGGCGACAGGGTTGCGAAGCCAACAGCGTGCGGCGGACCGTAGCGGTAGACGCTGTAGACGTTCTTGAGGAATGCGTCGCCGATGACCCAGCTGATCACGCTACGACTGTTACTCGAGAGATCGAGATCGAAGAAAGCGCCGAGACAAGTGCCACCGGTGAATGGACCCAGATTGAAGTCTGCGCTGCTGATGTTGTAGAGGATGCCACCGAACTGCAAGCTGATGATGACGCTCTGATTACAGGGATAGGTGTAGTAGCCTTCGTAGCTGCCCGTCGCAGCTGCGGCGCCGGGTATCTGTGAGTAGATGGCTTGGATATCATCTGGTGGTCCACCGATGAGAGTGGTGCCGGTATCGATGGCGACGTTAGGGCCCTGAATACTGGTGATGTTGGTTCCATTCAGGAGCAGACCATCCATGGGGATTAGCCAGTACGACTCCATGCCGGTCGGGATGTAATTGTAGTTGATGTCGCCAATATATGACGCGTTGGCGAGCGTGCCGAGCGTAAAGATGCCTCTGCAGAGCAATACAATCAGCGCTGCCGAATGAAGCGGTCAAAAGACTGACCCAGGCTCGATGATGCTAGCATTGGTGTTGATGAAGCGAGTGAGAGCAAAGGAGAAGCCAGGAAAGGAGAGATTGGTGCCAGAGGTGACGAGATTCTGCCAGAAGGGGACGACATTGGACGTTGCAAGCGAATCGAAGCCTAGGCCCATCAGGCCCGAAACGTTGCCACCTAGCAGATTGCTCGAGACGTTATCGCAAACGCCAAAGGGTTGCTGCAGGAGCTCATAGCCGGCAATGGTGATATTGTCCGTCCAGATCTCGCCCGTGGCACTCCCCTGTCGTCACAGTCTCATAAGCGGGTGATCACGATGGGGGGATGACGCTCACGGAGCCGTAGCGGATCGAGAAAGCAGACTGTGCGTCGACTGCTGTGCTTGATGCGTTTGGCTGTATCTTTTTTATGAGAGGAGAACATCCCTCTGTACAGTTAGTCGAGGCCAGCCATAGGTTTGCTGAGCCAGTGTCGAGTATGACCTGGATACAAAAGTGAGCTTTTGGGCATGGTGTCAGGGGATGCGGCTTACGTTGAAGGATCTCGACGGCGTACCGACCGCGATGGGTCCATAGTACTCCCTGTGGGTATGACTCGTGTCAGTCTCGCTCTTCGTGATCAGTACTTTCACTGACAAATCAGCCTGGTAGTTCACAATCTGGGAGATGCCCAAATTGCGCGTCGCATTCGTGCTTGTAGAGGTGTTTGTCGCTGCTTGCTGCCGCTTGACCAGTTTACGCCTTCTGTGGAAGGCCTTGTCGGTCGTGAGCTCGGAGGAGGTATCCCAAAGATTAGGATCATCCGTCTCGATGAGGCTTTGCAAGTTGGACAAGACGTTGACGGTGGCGGTCGAAGTAGCATAGTCATCCATGTATCTGTGCCTGACTTTCTCCTTTTCCTTCAGAGCCCAGTACCTGAAGTGCGACGGGGAGCGTTTGCGCAGAGGCTGAACGTGAAGTAGAGGCACGACGATGCCGCCATCGTCGCCTGATTGAACGTGCCTGTCTGACTGCGCATTGGGTCGTGGCGTCGGATGAGGCGATTGAGAAGCGCAAGTCGACCAATCTGAGCTCGAAGTCCTACAAAGAGCGCTCTCTGAGGGAGGCGAAAGCGAGAGTGGGGCGACAAGAGGACAACAGGCGAGCAGGCACAAAGCTGTATTGCGCCTCGACGTGTTGCCCCTTGCTTGCCTTTTGCGCGCTCTCCTCGGCTCAGCAGGCATGCGTGAGATCTGACTGTGGTCTAAAGAGCCTTGTAGGCCATCGCTGAACATGCGAGCTCGGGAGGGCTGTGCTTGTCGAGTTTGCTGATGTCTTGGCTGTCGAGTGTCGCTGCAGATCTCCGCAGTCGGAGAGGCAGGGGACGCTTGCGATCGATCTGGAGCGTGTACGGCTTGTCGATGCATGCTCTCGTGTGGCCTGCATGCACGCTTGCTCACTGGCAAACCTGCTTGAGGACTGTGGAGAGACACTGTCTTTGGCTCTGTCGCGTCACGCCAGGGCGACAGGGCCAAGACGCAAGAAAGCGTGCCTGCAGTCTCAGGACAGCTAGGCCATGTCACAGGCCGGCGGCACGGGCACGAACCTCAACGGAACGAGCAAGCCGCCATCCTCGAAGCATCGTCACCGTCCCAAACCTGCCCGATCCAAGCCACCAAAGCCATCGTCATCCTCTCCAACGAACAATAATGTCGTCCCTGCCCTTGCACAACCGCAGACAAAGCCGTCTGAGGATATGTTTGGGACGAGTACGCCAGTGTATGATCGAGCAGCAGAGGAGGAAGAGGAAGATGTCTGTCTCATCTGTGCAGAACCGATCAGGTTCTATGCACTCGGCACTTGCTCCCATCGGACTTGTCACATCTGCTCCATCAGACTGAGGGCGCTCTACAAGCAGAAAGCCTGCACGATCTGCAAAGTCGGTCTCCCCATGACTTTTGAGCACCTGTCTCTCCATCTGACTGCCCTCACTTCAGACCGAATTGCCTCACGTTGTCTTTACAGTCTCACCAGATGCTCCGTACAGCGCTTATGATATCAACCAGATCGCTTTCAGAGACAAGGTGCTCGATATCTACTTTGAGACTTCTGCTATGCTCGAAGAGACGCTCGCCTTGCTCAAATTTAATTGTCCTTGGTCGTCCTACACCTCGCTCTCGGCAGCCACTGCAGCTGCTCAGACAACCGCGCCTGAAATAGACGACAAGGGGAAAGCAAGAGAGCATGTTGATATTGCGCAAATCAAGCAGGGCGAATGCGATATCCTCTCCACAGGTTGGTCAGATCTCAAGCGACACGTCAAGAAGCACAATCGCGTTTTGTGGTGCGCAATTAGAGCTTCCTTCTACTCGGACAACTGACTTTGCAAGCTGTAGCGATCTCTGTGTCGCCAACAAGAAGATGTTCTCGCATGAGCACACCCTCTTCACGCCCGCCACTCTGCAGTCTCATATGCGGTACGGCGACGCAGCGCCAGGTGCGGGCGACGATGCAGAGGCCACCGGCTTCACCGGTCACCCTGCCTGTGATTTCTGCCGAATCAACTACTACGACTCTGATCAGCTGTACTCGCACTGTCGCAAGGAGCACGAGCAATGCTTTATCTGCGTCAGGAACGAATGGGGACGCTACCAATACTTTCGCGATTTCAAGGAGCTTGTGCGTCTGGCTCTCACTTCTGCGAGTCCTCTCTCACGATGGTACGGTGGCCACAGGAGGGCCATTTCGCAACAGAGCATTTTGCATGTCATGCGCCTACCTGTCTTGCGCAGCGCTTTGTCGTCTTTGAGACCGAGATCGACTTGCAAGCGCATCAGGTGGAATCGCACGGTGCGGAGATGCCGAGCGATCAACGATCTCGTCTGGGTGCAAGACGACTCGACATCGATATACATTACAACAACGCGCCAGCGAGTTCCTCATCCCGGCCAAGGCCACCCAAGAGGAACGGTCCAGGACCCAAGCCGATGGTCCTCCCTGGTAGAGGTCACTTGCCAGGTGAAGACGAGCCCCACTTGCATCGCGTCGTGCCGGGTTCACAGCGACCGAGTCGGCCCAATTTCCAAGCTTCTCTGACGCCTGCCAATGCATCAAATCACACGACAGCCGTCGATCCTGTTCAAGAGTGCGTTGGGTCGCCAGCAGGTCGGTCGATGGACGCTGATAATATGTACAGGCGTCATGCTAGCCTGCTACAAAAGGTAGCTTCGGCTGTATCAGGCTCAGATGGCAAGATTACCGCTTTCAAGACGGCCGTTCGGAGTTTCAGAGCGGGCGAAATGGCAGCGGAGGATCTCGTGGACACGATCTGGCATATTCTCAATCGAGCGACAGACGTAGCTGCCGAGATCATCAACGATATGGCCGAATTACTCGACAATGACGACAAAGCTCGCGATGTGACCCGAGCTTGGCGCAACTTCTCGATCGCTCACGATAGCTTCCCTTCGTTGACGCCTCTTGCACCGACGAGGACAGAAGGAGGTCAGCAAGTCTCTTGGCAATCTGGCCAGCGTGCCCGCCCTCAGAAGACCGGTCAGCGGAATGCAGCCATCTGGGCGAGCGTAGATAGAGCAGCAACGAGATCCGATGCTTTTCCCTCGCTACCCAAGTCGAGAGCCCAGCCTATACCCGGTCTTCGCAAGGGTACGACGCCCTGGTCTACTTCGAGCGTAGCAGCTCAGCAGACCAGGATGACCTCTCACCAGCCGTCGCCGCGTGTCTCGCCCGGTCCGAGCTTTCCGGCCATGTCGTCTCTGTCAGTATCGACGCCAGTCTCTCGGCCCCTGGAGCTACAAGCACCGCCATCCGGGCATGTACCGCACGCATCTCAGTTTCCGGGGCTGCCGCAATCGACTGCACATGCCCGTCGAAAGATCGAGCTCGAGAAGCTCAGAAAGGCAAATGCGATGATCGCTTCACCGTGGCAGACGAGCAATTCGAGTACGCGCAGTCCTAGTCCGGAGTTTGAGCAGCTCCGGATCGATGAAGAGCCTGCGGTGCGTACCCCTGTTGCGTCGAAGCAGAGCAAGAAGCCAAAGAAGCAGCTGCTGTTCACAAACTCGCGTATATAGCGTATCCGAGGCTAACCTCAATGCAACTTCTTGCGAGTGAAGAGTGTCTGGCTCGATGTACAACAAACATATTGCGTAGGGTGAGCACAGAAAGCGTCACCGTATCTTTGCTTCGACGAAGAGGACATGTCTCTTTACTGTCGCAAGCAACAGGCCGCTCAGACCTGACATAGCTGAGATGACTAGCAAGACTGACTCCTCGGATCGTACTTCATGAAGCTCAACTTCTTCTCCAGTGTCCTCAGACGGGTCGTCGTGTAAAAGTAGCCCGTGCCCGCTGTTGAGAGCAGCTTGACAATCGAGACTCTGCGCATGCCCACATGAGCATCTCCCCGATCTCAGCGGGCTTGAGCTGGATACCTTGCCTTGCCGCCGGCCATGCTGTCTCCTGCTGAGCTCGACTTTGAGTGTGACACGATGGAAATATTGTTGGCGCGACAGGTCGACAGCAAGTGTTCAGTCGAAAGGCCGCAGAGGACGACGACAGTTAGCGCTCGCGATTCGAGATAGAAGCATCTCAAGATGGCCAGCACTCTGACCTTGTGCGTAGGCGATGGAGGCCAGCCTGTAGTCCGCTGACATCCCGCCGCATGGGCAGGTTTCCGCTCTGTAAGCTCGAGGAGCTCTTTCCGACTTGTGCAGCTAAACAGACCTTCTTGCGCCGCTTCCGAGCAGCCAATTACACCTTCTCGACCAAGGACTCTCAGCCGGAAGAAGATCCATCTGTGGCAGCACGCTTACAACGGCTTCAGAACCAATATGAGGCTCGTCACTCTTGCAACTCTGAGCTGCCAAATGCTCACTTAAGCGAAGATGAGCAGGACTTTGGCATGCGCAGAACAGCCGAAGGCATTCTCGTCGTGCACGAGCACGGCCATCCTCATGTGCTCATGCTACAGATCGCCAACGCCTTTTTCAAACTGTCAGACTCGCGGCTCGGACTGGTCGTGCCCTGGCTGAGCTGGCAGGACTTGGGTTTGCAGGCCAGGCGACTACCTGAGACCGGGAGAAGATGACGCAGAAGGACTGAAGCGACGGCTATCAGAACGACTCGATCCGGTAGAAGGCTCACGCAAGTCTTTCTGACATATCGTGCCTGACTCGTCCTCATGCGTCGTCATACCGAGCACAGGACCGGGCGAGGATTGGGAGATCGGCGACTGTCTCGCGCAATGGTGGCGACCCAACTTTGAGAGCTTCATGGTGAGCTAGCTGCAGGTAGTCGTCACAGTGTTGCTTACCAGTCGCCGCTCGCAATGAAGTATCCCTACATACCCGCGCATGTGACCAAGCCGAAAGAGTGCAAGTCCTTCTACCTCGTCCAGATGCCACCGAGGAGTACGTCTACGCTATGGGAAGTAACAACAGATGCTGATGCGTGTGCAGAGGTGCTATGTGTGCCCAAGAACTTCAAATTGCTCGCGATACCACTCTTTGAGCTCTATGACAATTCCGTCAGGTCGGCGATCACACGATCAAGACTCTTGCCTGCTAGAGCTCATTCGCGTTTGTCGTTGGACAGGTATGGGCCCCAACTGTCTGCGATTGCGCATTTTCTATCGCGGTACAATTTCATCTACGTCTGTCTCTCTGCCTTGTAAGACTGCGCGCGTGCTGACTGTCATCCTGCGAACAGGCATGAGTGACGATGGTGTGGCTAGCCGATTGATCGTGTAATGTCACGTTGACAAGGTGCATTGCCATCCTGTGTCGCGCATTTGGCATGACGCGTCCGAGCTCCGAGCGTTTGATCAAGCGTGAGTGAGTGTCACGAGCGGCATCAGACATGTCGGGCGAGAATGCTCCCAAGGAGGCCAAGACTGGCATGACAGAGGACGGCAAAGCGTTGGGCGCTCCGCTGGAGCCTCTCAGGTCCGTCTGGCTGCGCAAAGACATCTCAACCTTTGCTGATCTCAGTGCGCTCACAGGGACGATGACGAGTTCGAAGGTCGGCAGAGCTGCATCGACTCGAGCGAATCAGCGCTGACTCGTAGCCCTATCTCTTTACGTGCACTGTACAACAGAGTTCGAGACAGAAGGCAAGCCCATCTTCATGCAAGTCTGCATTGCCGTGGCTCATGCTCAGAGGGGGAAATGCTCAGACTGGGCAGACGGAGAGACCAATGCAGCGACTGCGAGCAATCAGGCGACACTATGGGAAGACGATTGGGATGACGACGACATTGATGACGATTTCAGCAAGCACTTGAGGTCCGTTGACAGACGCCTCAGTGAGTCAAGCGCTGAGCCCGTCTTGCTGCGTACAGGCATCAGCTCGATGCTTCTGCTAGCAAGGATGCAAAGATGACTGCGTGATGCTCCAAGAGACGCCTGCAGGACGACAGAGAGTAGAGGCAGCCTACCCGAGACCGGCAGCTCGCGCGAGCATGTTGTATGAGCATAACAAAAGCACCGACCGTGCCTGCTCGCCGTCTGACTGCACCTCATGAGACATCAAGACTTGCTAGCATGCATCGCTATTTATCAACTCAGGCCTGCTTGCTTGCGCTGTCAAGCACCGCCAGAGCTGGCCCAAGTCGTCGGCGTCACGTAAAAGCCAGATAGTGAACACGTGAATTCTTCATACTTTTATGGTATGCGGGTAAAGTATGAAGAATTGAGCCAATCTCCTGAGGTGGGCCTGCAGCCCCAGGCTACTCATCGATACCATGGAGAATACAAGGCACATTCTGATAGCTCCAGAGATGTATCTAGGTAGTCTGAATCGATGAGGAAGCCTGCTCGCCGAGATACAGGATGGGCGTCTTTAGGGGCAATGGCAGGCGTTTTGACCCGCCAGCGCCCCAAATTACGGGCGGCTTGCCTGCTCTAGCCCCGAGACTGTAGCCTTGCTCTACCATACACAGTCACACAAGGTTCTTCAAGCTATGTGTGCGCCTCGTCGCCGCCTCGATCCATGCCTTTGGTACTTCGGTTCAGGGTTGGCTCTTTAGAACCGTTTTGACCCTACAGCAGCTGCACCTGGACATATACCAGCTTTTCCTCTGTTCACCAGGTTTCTGCAGAGCCACTTCATAGTTGAGCACAGTGCTAGCTCGGCATGAGCCAGCCTCGTTCCGCTCCGTCTGCTCAAAAAGATTGGGCCCTTCTCCAGTACCTTCGGGATTAGTTCGGGTCCTACTGCCAGGACTGCTGCCATGCCACACGGACATATGCAGATCAATGGAGAAGTGCTTCCTGCGCAGTGGCAGTCCCTCTCGTGACGTTTGGTGCGATCTGCGTCAACCTTTCTGTTCCGGGCCATTCAAAGCTATGCTCGTTACCCATGCGTGCGGCGGTTATCCAGCTTGCTACGCTTCATGAGTGCGCATGGATATCGTAACAATTGATATAGGCAGATAACGACATTCTAGAACCATTTCTCGCTGACCGTAAGCCGATTGACTGCTCATTGACTCGCTCGGATTGGAGACACTTCGTCGGCTCTCCCTCAAATCGGGCTCTGACCGTCTAAAAGGCTCAGCAATGGTGTGGGCACGACCTTGACGCTCACCGGGTATTTCAAAGGTTGCGAAGTTGACCCGTGCGTTGATGGCGTACCTTCTGCTCATTTCCCAGCCAAATGGTGCCAGGGACTCCTGCTGCTCAGGCCATGGGCAAGGGACAGGACACAGTTCGTCAGAGGCTCTCGTACTTACTCTCTCTCTGCCAGCGCAGTCAAATGGTCATTGCATTGCATTTTCGTGGCTCTGTGGTCAGCTTACCACTGAGCGGCCAAAATACCACTTTTTTGGCTCTACACGGCACAGCATGCACCTGATGGGCCTGTAAGTGGCACGAGAGCAATCCTGAGAGTCCGACAGATCTGCCCATATTCGGTTTGCAAACTTTGGAAAACATCAATTTGGCCAGAAAGCCGGGTACGTTTAGGTACTGATTGCTAACACTTTCCGCGCCAAACGCATCGCAATTTTGGCATGCAAAGGGAAGGTCCGACCATTGAAATCACAAGGTGTATTGCATATCGTACTATGATATGACGGAGTATGAGACGCTCGCGAAGCAAACGGACCGAGCAAATCAGGTTTTTATGCAATTTGAGTGGCGTCCACTGGGCTTGATTTACAGGAAGCCCGCTGGAGCCATAAGTATCGATGCTGGTGCTCTGAAACGTCTATAGTGAATGTGTCGCGACAATAAGAGGCTTTGCTGATGGTTTTATATGATCTGAACGCATGCTGAGCCCGCCGCGGCGCTTCCGGATCTTTTCGATGAGCGTGCGTATGAACTGCAAATCACAATCAATCAAACTATGATTGCTGCAGCGGTGTGGTATGATGCCCAGCATATCTGCATATCGGTGAAAAAGGCTGCAACCCAATCTGAGCTGCGCAAGAGCCGTGCAAAATCTTTTAGATTTTCGAAAAGGCAAGGGGCCAGAGCTCGGCCGCATCGTNTGCTAAGCGCCCAAGAATAGCATTNNAAGACGCAGGACNAACNNANNAAGGGCCAANTGGGCTTCGACAGCGGCGCGAAGCCTGAGCCCGGGTTTGCAGCCAGCTTTTAATTGTTTTCGGCGCTGCGAGCCGGAAGCGAGCGAGCCAAGTCGGTAGGTCCCCTAGACAGATGCAAACAGCCTAATATGGTATGTCTGACCATTGACCATCTTCTCTTGACATGACAGAGGTCCCGCATGCGCCGAGCTCGAGGACCGGCCGCTGCTTTTTGAAACAATATTGGGGGTCGCAAAGCCGTGCAGCGGAAGTGCAAAGCAACGAAACGGCCGCTAAAATGTATCTGGAGATGCTCCAGAAACGTAGTCAGGGGTGAGAGGTGTTGAAAGCCTGGACGGGTGAGGTACCAAGCTGGTAGCGCTGCTGCAAGTAATTTCTACGCAGGCACGACGTCATCCGGAAGCCCGCGCCGGGCTCTTTCTGTGACACGTAGCTGCCACGTCGGTAGTTCGGTGACCGTCCACAGACCTAGCGGCCGTCTCCATCTCCTGAGCTATGTCTCCATCGCCTTCCAAAAGCTCATGCAGCAAGCCTGCAGCATGCGAAGAAGTATCTGCCAGCTCCAGTGCGCCGCGCAAGAAGCGCCGCACTGGTTACACTCGCCGGCGCCGCTGGCGATCCATATCGCCTCCTCCAGACTATTCCAGCATAAGGGAGGAGCTCGCCGCAAAATTTGGCCCATGGAATCCAGCAACAGATATCCCACCATGGAAAGAGAACGTTCAGCCACGATGGATGGAAGATCGACGGAGGCGTCATCGTTACCGCTCTGTTGGAGAAGACGAATCGTTCATGGAGCTATGCCGCCTGCGCCGTTCCATGATGCGTCCTACACCTGAAGTCGACAGTGCCGGCTCCTTGCATAAGCAGGCGACTGTGTCAGATACTCAAGCAGACTTATACGACGACGATGGCTGGGCGAACGATCATTACCCTGATGCCGACACTCAGACGCTTGAAGACACGCTGGCTGCTCTGTACGGCAATACGAGACCCAGTGAAGACATGCCCGACCGTATCAATGCTGCATCGCCTCTCGACGCTTCTGATGAGATCGCTGAGGCGACTCTGTCGACCGAGGCAGCGCGTACGAGCAAGACACGGCACAACTTGTCCTATCAGGCGGCAGCAGACGATGCCTGCAGTGCGTTTCCCGCCAAGCTGAGTCTGAGCGATCTCGAGACAGAGCGAGCAATTACCCGTATTTCGCCGAACATGTGGGCAATTCGCGAGATAGGCAAAGTGAGCGATCTATATCCTTCTGCAACAGAGTAATTTGAACGAGCTTGCCCGGACACAGAGAGACAATTTCTACCATCTGTGGGGTCTACCTGATTCAGGCAATATTCATTGGGGATGCACCTGCAAGACCAACCGCGACTCGGACCATTGCGACCACGTCGAGATTGCACACAACAATACTCAAAGCTTCATGCAGTTGCAAGCTGCGGACGCGGAATGTGTCGGTAAGAACGGACACCTGCACATAGGGCCTTGGCAGCTTACAGCCACACGCATGTAGAGTACGGGCGCGTGCCGCAAGCTGCTTTGCTGGAGATAAGCAACGAATCAACAGATCACTGCACGTTCTGGCTGTCAGTCGTACGAAGTGCTGACACAATGCAAGAATCTGCCAACAAGCGAGTATTCGTCAAGCTCGTCTATCCAGACGCAACAAGCTGGCCTTACGGTACCTGCTCGATCTGCGCCCGCAGTCGTAGCTGGTGTGCTCATCGCGAGCTTGCTCAAATACATATCGTTCACGCACTGGGATACGTAGAGCCTGAGAGGCTCAGACCGCCAACAGAAAGCTGCAAGGCGAGAGATACCCACACGATCGCACTCGCTCGAGCGACGTCATCGCAGGCTCTCAGGCGCACGAGAATAGAGTCCAATATGCCTAGAGATGCTCCTCTGTGGGCAAAGCATGACAGCGACCCTGTGCGAGCGGTGCGCACGCCAGAGCCAATCTATTGGCAGACAGAAGAAGATCCGCTGCGTGTTCTGCCCCTGGACTATCATGCAGCATGCAGCTGTGGTTACAGACCACAGGATGGTGCCGAGGTAAGATACTCGAAAGGTGTGGTCTACGATCTCACGACATGCTGGGAAGTCCGAATTCAGGCAAGTGAAAGGCCTGCTCGTTATCGCGGATTCAAAACTGAACGTTGTACAGCTCGCACAATGCCGCAACGATCGCTGCTTGCGAGCAACGCCGAGACAGTCGGGATCAAGGCTACAGCATCGACCTTTCTGGATTACAGGCGATTACAAGGAGCTGGGACTTATCTCGGCTGGCGAGGGCCGTATCTTCACTCATCAGCTCTTGGACAGCTACGCTGCTCACATGGTCTCTGTCGCGACGCCTTTCAGCGCATTCCACAAGGCAGTCTCTTTCCAATACATGTCCTCGAAGGCACCCTTCCTCTTTGTCTCGCCTAGCGTCTTCGCAGGAGTCTATCGATCCTACATGGCTTTGAGCGACGTGACGCGTAACCTACGTGTGATGCAATGTCCGAAATGCCTTGACAACCCAGATGCGGTCATCATCGACGGCTACGCCGCTGGTTATAACAAAACGAGTCAGACTGGCAGTCTGCAGCCGCCAACACGCACTGATCCTGGAAAAGACTATCCCGATGTGAGGCCCCCACGCAGGGGCCTCAACTACATCAACGAGTACAGCCTTCGTCTCAAACTGCAGAAGGCGTTGCACGTGGACATCAAATCGAAAGATAGAGACTCGCGCACCCCTGCGGAATTCTGTCAAGACCTGCAAGCAGCAGCCTGCGTGATCACTGATCAAGACGTCACGCGTCGACGCCATCAAGAACAGGAGGCCTTGGGCCAAAGCCTTGATCGATTACGAGCATATCTACAGTATCTGGCGAGCAAAGACGAGGCTTTCTGGCAGAAGCGAGTCATGCCATATAGAGAGCTGCTTCGGCAGCTTCTCGCAGCCGAGTCTATCCTCGGCTTCTGTCAAATTGAGGCAGCGAAGAGTCTGGAGCACTGGAGCATGCTAGCCATGTCACGCCGTGCGGATCTATCCCAAGCGGAAGCGACCAAGCTCAAAGCTCGGCTGGCTGACGAGGAGGGCAAGTTTGCCAAATTCTGCCCGGCCTTGGGCATTACTTGCGCGGCATATACGGCAACCGGCGTATCGTTGCCGGCCTTCGAGTGGCTCGTTTTCGATATCGCCAGACGAGTGCAAGCAAGCTACGATCTGCTCTTCACGCACACAACGGCTCCCGCAGAGCCTGATCGCTTTGGAGCGCCGCACTTGAGCACGACAGGATCAGTCTATCAATATCAGTATCGTTCTCGGCCGAGCTACAGCTGCCTGCGCTTCGATCAGCGAAAGGACGGCTCCAAAAAGGGGACTACGACAGGTTCCGCAGCGCAACCTGTCGACGACGAACGTCTCCGTTCAGAGCTAGAAGGTCAATCATCGGGTGCAGAGCAATCAGATTACGGCGAGCTAGGCGCACCGGACGAAGCGGAGGAGCCCATAGACGCCCATGATGCGCCGTTGGAGAGTCAATGCCAGAAATTCTATGACGATTACAAGAAAGCGGGTCTCACGGGCGGCATGCTTCTGATCTGGTGCACTCATCTCGTGTGCTACGGCTTTCATTTCTTCGAGTCGTCAGAAGGCCGAAACGACATTTTCAGCGCACTCTATTGTCACTTCGAACGCGCGCCCAAAGTCGTCATCTACGATTACGCATGCGCACTGGGGCCGTACTGTATGCAGCGCGAACCAGAGTACTTCAAGGACACTCTCTTCCTGATAGACGAGATGCACTCAAAATCACACACCAAGTGCACCTCCAGCGCATTCTCTGGCGCATACATGAACACCCATCACAGCATCAGGAGGACACAGACGAGCGCAGCCGAAGTGGCGAATGCTTGCCTGAAGCGAATTCGGGTTTCGCTGGCGTATTCCAGCGAACGCAATGCAATAGCCTTGGCGAAAACTTTTGTTCTGATCTGGAACCGGACACGCATCAATAGAGAGCTTGCCAAGATGGGACTCAAACAATCAGACTCGGCCAGCAGTCCCGTCAAATTCGTCAAGACGACGATTCGTGGTATCACCGGCACCTTCAGGAGAGATTCGAACGACGCCCCGTCTGAGACTGCAGAGGAAGCCGCCATCCTTGCTACCGATATACAAAACGACGGATTCCCGCAAGAGACGATGCAGACAGACGGAGCCTCGATCGAGCCAGATGCAGCGACAGAGGAGGCAGCAAGCGATGGAGACGATGACTCCGAGGCAGAAGCGATGCTGGCGGTGGAGCTGCGCCCCTTCGAGACGTACTAGGCTTCTCTGTCCCGAAAGAACGGCTGCAATGAGGATCACCTTGGAGCTTGGGAAGGCCAGAGCAGCGCGCAGCTGACAGGCCTCTGGCTACTGCATCAACTCTGTGCAGTGCTGTACGTACAACCCTATCAACATGCATGAGCTCTGCCTGAGTAGCGAGCTAGTCTTCTCTCTCTATGAGTTCTTCGTACGCCCGTATCTTCTCGCCCATTTCTTCTATGGTTTCGCGCTGCTGTTCCATAGCTTCGCGCTGCTGTTCTACGATGTTCTCGAGGTGCGCTATCTTTTGCGTCTCTGCCGGCACCTGCCGAGACGATGCAGTCTGAGCGTCAACGGGTGCGCTGCTAGCAGCTGTACGGCTGCTTTCCGCCAGCTGGTGCTGAAGTTCCCGAATTCGTTGCTCGGATTGCTGACATCGTTGCTCTATTTCGTGCATCTTCCGCTTGTGTTCAAGAATGGACATGGTGCCGCCTCGTGTGGTAGTGTCGCGAGTGTAAGAGGCTCGTAGTTGCTTGCCTTTTGTGAAGTATGCTTCCAGGAAGTCAAGGACAAGCTGAAGAAGCTCTTCGTTATCCGCCAGGCCGGCAGAGGCTTCCACCCAAGCCACTCTCGGGTCAGCGATGTTGTCATCGTCGCGGGACGCGGTTCTTGTGTCCGTACGCAGACCAACAGTAAGATAGATCTGCCCTGGACAGTCGACACAATTACGAATTGTCTGCACAAGAACAGTCAGCGAATCGCGGCTGCTGATGGCAAGGAAACCGAGCACATGTCGCCTGGCCGTATATTGGTGTCCATTGAAGACCCTTGCATACTCGGACGGAGGCTTGCGCAACTGGTCATACGTCTGGTAAGGAATTGAGCTGCCCTGCTTTGGTTCGGTATGTTTGACGAGCGTCTCTTCCCAAGATGCTGTGCAAAGATGCAAAGAGGTCAGTACAGTGAAAACGCGCTCTCTGTCCCACTGACCAATGTGGACAGGCATCACATGCTTCCGCCCTTCCTCGTCGATATACTCGAGTGTGCCAGCACCGTTACGGCCGGCGTTGAGTTGTCCCGGGTTGACTAACTTGAAACTATCGATGATCTGCTTCTTGTATTGTCGATGGCCCCCGACACTGGAAAGAACTGTGCGCTTCGCCTGGCTGCGAGCATTCAGATCCTGAACCAATGAGTCTCGCCAATTCGTGGCTGGAGCAGGACTAGCTTCAGTCAACGATGGGGCGTTTCGCCCAGACGCTGCTCGCGGACGTCTCGCCGCAGTTGTCACTGCAATATCGCCGGCATGCGACGGTGTAGGGTTCGCCGTAGTAAGGGCAGGATCAATGTGCATTTCAATATCGCCAGGACCAGCCCGACGCAATGGGCCATCGAGACCAGAATTTGACCGATCATGCGAGTTAGTTCGTTGGTCTGGCTCGTGCGGAGGATCTGGACACGACGCTGGCTCGTTGGCGGCTAGTCGAAAGGCCTGTCAGGCACGGAATGAGCAGATGAGCGGCATTCCAGCAGTATAAGACCTACCAACATCTCTGCTGGAGTCGAAGGGCTGCTGTCGAAGGCTTCACCCCGACTGGCAAAGTGCCTGACCTGTTGAAGCCAGGCCCAGATTCCTGCAAAGCGTGGATGCGTCGCGGTGCCACCAGTCATAGAGATCTGGCACGGAGAGTCGGCAAGGCTGCCGTTGATGGCTCGTTTGAGATCTGCGTCGCTTATCGCTGGCCGACCGGCTGCATGAGCCCGCTCCATTGCGGCGCACAGCTCTTCTAATTGGCGGCAGCTTGCCTGCGACAATGTCGCTGGACCTGCAGACCCAGTCGGCAGACGCGCATCGCCGAAAGCTTCGCTAGCTTGCGGTGTAGTCCGTGCAGGACCCTTTGTCGTCTTGGCTTTGGCACGTGCAGCGACTGGGCCTTTGTGCCTGGGTCTGGCAGACCCTTCCATGGAGTCGAGCAGGTCGCGGCTCGGCCGCTTCGCTCGAACACTGGTCCTTGATGCCATCGCGCTTGAAAGGGCTATAGAGAGGGATCCAGTGCACAGGAAAGATTCTAGGACTACGTGCGTCGGACTGCTTTCGCGCTTAGCACACCTAGGTCACTAGGGCTTCAGAGCGCGCTGATGGGCCAAGCTCTGGGCGCGCGCAATCTTCATACTTTTGAAATCATACTGAAAAGTTTAGAGAAATCTGCCCGTTCACGGTCTCGTAAAAGGCGCGCTCACGTCGTGCAAAGCGTTGAGCTTCGGTTCAGCGTGCATCGCATGGCGCCAAGCCGAGCTCATGCCCCTTCTCAGCGCATGGCAGACTGGCTCAGATGGCTACTCCTCGCTCCAAACGGTGACACGCGAGCTCACACTGCCCTCACGACCTTGCTTCTTCTGGGCGAGCTCATCCTCTCCATTTTCATCGTTCGCTATGTCAAATGTCAGCATGTGGTGCCCCCTCGCTGCCCGTTCGGCACCCTGATGTGTGCTCCATGTCCAGATACCGAGATCGATTGGTCGACGTACATGCAACAAGTGGCGTTGTACCAGAGCGGAGAGAAAGACTACGCCCTGCTCAAGGGCGACACCGGTCCACTCGTGTTTGTTCACGCGCGAGTTGATCCACTGCACATCTGAGCGCAGACAGTCGTCAGATATCCAGCAGGCTTCCTACACGTGTATGGCATCTTGCGTCACTTGACAGACGGGGGAAGCAACATCCTGCACGCGCAATACATCTTTATCGCGTTCTACATGCTCAGTCAGCTCATTGTCATGCAAATCTATACTCGCTCGAAAGCTGTCAGTCGACTGCATCTCGATGTGCATCCATTTGAAGCCTGAGCAGGGTCCGCCGTGGATTCTGATCCTCCTCACGCTTTCGAAACGGCTGCATTCCATCTTTGTCTTGCGGCTGTTCAATGATGGTCTGGCAATGGTCCTTCTGTACGCAAGCATATTGGCAATGATATATGACAGATGGCATCTCTCTGCAATCGCTTTCACGTACGCTCGTCGCTCTCCTTGCTCGAGCGAGCTGATCAGCTGGGCAGCTGGGGCCTATCGATCAAGATGAACATCTTGCTCTTCATGCCGGCTTGGGGCCTCCTGGCATGGCTTTCACGGGGCCCTCTGCCGGCGATCGGCTATGTGGTGGTCATGCTGCTCCATCAGGTGCGTGGTCCACATTGCATGACGATCGAGCGTTCACGCCAGCACAGGCTGCCATCGGGCTGCCTTTCTTACTCGCTGCGCCTAGACCCTACTTGGCGAGAGCGTTCGACATCTCGCGCGTCTTCCTCTACGAGTGGACCGTCAACTGGCGCTTTACCTCGGAGGAGCAATTCCTCTCGCGTTCCTTCTCGACCCTGCTCTTGGTTGTACACGCTGCGATGCTGCTGGCCTTTGCATTCAAATGGACGAGACCCTACGGCGGACTACAGCGCGTCATCTCACAAGGTCTCCAAAAGCCGACGAACGCCGCTAGTGTGCCTGCACCCCCGCCAAATGCTAGATGTCAGCCAGCGCTTGGCTTGCTCGTACTTCCTGACAGTCCTTGCAGACAAAGTCAAGGTGATGATGACCTGCAACCTCATCGGCATAACATGTGCTCGAAGCCTGCATTACCAATTCTACAGCTGGTATGCTCAGCATCTGCCACTCTTGCTTTGGCACATCGATGCGCCGGCACCAGCTCGGTAGGTCAGAGCTTCCGTGTCACACCTGTCTGACGCTTGGACAGCATACTGGTACTGCTCGCCATAGAGTACGCGTGGAACGTCTTTCCGTCAACAGCTGTATCGTCGGCGATACTGCTCGCCAGCCATCTCGCGCTGCTCGCCGGCTTGTACTTTCGCGATCTAGATGATCGGCCGCCGCCCAGACGAGCGAGTCTGAAGACGAGCTAGCATTGCATGCTTGGACGCCAGAAACCGTGTCGCTCATCTCGAGAACATGACATCGCTTCTGAGGACCCACTTGACCCCTTTGAGAACAGGCCTCCCTTCGTGAAGCAGACATTCGGCGCCATGTCGATGCAGTAGCGCAGCACCCCGATCGAGCGACACGACGATATCCCTGCCAGCTCGTTGTAAGCCGCCAAAGCTCTCGCCGTCGTAGAAAGCGGTCTCCCCGCCCTGGACGCCATCTTGCTCGCCGGTCAGATAGATCAACAGTGTCCATTCCGACCGACGACCGGCACTGTCCCTCACGCTTTCGTCATAGTGAGGATTGAAGCACTGTCCTGGCTCGTAGCGATACACCCGTATGTTCGGGTTGAGACCACTCGCTCTGGCCGCCTTATCGCTCAGGCTTGGATAATCCTCGAGTGCCCTGGCTAAGCCAGTCTCGCGCCATAGTCGTCCGGCAAATGCGGGATCATTGATACCGTAGCGATCGTTCGTGCGATGAGCTTCGCCACGTCTGGCTGCTGGACTGTGCTCGAGCTTGAGGGTCGAGACGAATTGGACAAAGGATGAGCACAACGCTTTGGAGAAAAAGCCAGGCAGGACGATGATCTGATCCTCGAGCAACGTGTCGAGCTGCAGCTCTCGCTCAAAAGGAAGCTTCACATCTGGCCAGAGCGGCAAGACCTGCTTGATCTCAGGCGCTGCCTTTGCCCTCTTCACCATCCGCGCACGCAAGCAGCGGGACGCGACAAAATGCAAAGGAGCTACATGTCTTTGCCGTAGTCCATCTTGCCTTCGTGCGTCTTTGCTTCTTGTAGCTTGCGCACTGCTTTCATGAGGTCGTCTTGTTGGATATAGTCACGATCGTCTCTGATGGCAAACATGCCCGCTTCTGTCACGACATTGCGCAGATCTGTCTACTTGATTAGCGGCTACAGGGGCTATGCAGCAATGTGAACTGACCTGCACCATTGAAGCCTTCCGAAAGCTTCACTACAGGATCGTAGTCAATCTCGCCAGACTTTTGCACGTTTTGCGCATGAATCTTGATGATCTCTGTGCGTGCAATCTCGTTCGGTAGCGGGATCTCAATCTTTCTGTCCAGTCTGCCCGGTCTGAGAAGCGCAGGATCGAGCGTGTCCGGTCGATTGGTCGCCATGATGACTTTGGTGCGGCCGAGTGAGTCAAAGCCGTCCATTTGATTGAGCAACTGCGAGACCGTTGAAACGTTAGCCTAGCATGCCGTACTACCGGCAGGTCAATTCACCTCCATGAGCGTGCGTTGGATCTCACGATCTGCAGATGTGCCTTCACTGAACCGACGTCCACCAATCGCATCGATCTCGTCCATGAAGATGATACACCTGCCCGTCATGTCAGCAGACATGATTGCCTGTGCGCAGCTTCGCGTACGGCTCGTGCTCCTTGGCATAAGCAAACATTTCTCTAGCGAATGATCTTATCTGAGTATAGTGTGCGACACTTCAGTAAGGAGAGCTCACCGGACAAGACGCGATGATTCGCCAATGTACTTGTCGACGATGGCGGAGGAGACGACTGTCATGGCTCATCAGCCCAGCGTTCGAGCAGCAGAGATCCGAGGCTGAGCACCTTTCAGGAAATTGACACCCATTGTACTGGCGACGGCCTTGGCAAGCAGAGTCTTGCCTGTGCCTGGCGGTCCATAGAGCAAGACGCCTTTTGGGGGCGTGATGCCGACGCGAAGGAAAAGCTCCGGATTTTGCAGCGGTAGCTCGATGACCTGCGAGCGCCATCAGCGGAGCGTGAAGAGCCAGCATTGGTCAACTTGCCTCTCTGAGCTCGCGCACTTGCTCGTTCAGACCGCCAATGCCTGCAAAGGTGACATTGCCAGGATCTTCGATCGACATGTTATACACGAGCGGATCGACTTCTCTCGGCAGCGCTCTGTCGGAGCAGTCAGCGAGGCCTCTGGGTCGCGCAGGCCGGGCTTGCCTCATGACGGTCAAGGTGGTCATATCCATCGCCACTCTCGTGCCGTTCTTCAAGCCCGCCTTGTTGACGGATGATCTGCATCCGACGATGTACCGCGGGCCAGAGGATGCCTTGACGATGACTGCAGCGGGACGATCAGGCAAGAGTGAATTGGGCAGGGACGAGTCCACGAACAGCGATCCTCATCGAGCTGGCGCATGACTTCGCCAATGATCTGTCCCACGCTCTGAAGCGCTTTGATATCATTCTCGCTCTTGTCAAAGTCTGACGCTAGATCTTTGATGCTCTGCCGTACTATCGCCCGCCTGCATTCAGCTCGATCCGGTGATCTGTTGGATTGGCTCACTCCTCTTGACATCATCGCTCGTCGTTTCATGTTCTTTGATCTTCTGAGATTCAAGGCACATATCAGACATTGTCGGCCGCCAGAGCAGTCGGGCTCCCTCACTCGTTTGTAAGCGGCCAATGCTTCTTGCTTGCGCGTATCGACAGGTGGACCCTCTGGTGCGGATGCAGACGACGTCGAAGCTACCGGCGGCTGGTCAGTGTCATCCGTAGACATCTTGTCGGTTGCCGCATGCTCAGCAAGCAGAGGCTCGCTCTCTTTGTCAGACATGGACCACCTTCAACGCTCAGACTGGCGAGACGTACGCAGGTGACGCGCTGCCGACAATCTCCCACGGGTGTGACCGATGACGCGGTGGTTTGTGACCTTTACTTCACGGCTACCTTTGAAGCCGGCGAGCCATCTGCGTGACATCAGCCTGTACATCCACCTCCTTGACAACAAGACGCAAACATGTCGCTCGCCGTAGAAGGTTTCAACAGCTCCAAGCTCTTTGACGAGATCGCCGATGGCATCTCAAAGATGTCAGTCCAGCCCTTGCCCTTTGTCTGGGGTAAAGCTAGCCCGAGCCATCGTCTGACCTGTGCGTTTTGCCCGACAGGTCCGACGATGAGAAGAAGGCCAACATGAAGAAGGTACCGCTAGACGGCTGGACGCTACCACACGTGCACGAATACTGACCCATGCTGCTCTTCAGGTCAACGGCATCTTCCAGATGAACGTCAAGAACAGCGGCGGCAAGGTCAGTCCCTCGCTCTTCACCAGACATGGCCGAGCCGCTGACATTCTGCGAGTAGGAGGAGAGCTGGACCATCGACCTCAAGAAGGAGGGCAAGGTCTACAAGGGAGCGGCAAAGCCAAAGGCCGATGTCACCATCAACCTCGCCGATCAGACTTTCCAGGACCTTGCGGACGGCAAGCTCAATGGACAAAAGGTGAGCGTGTTTCCTTTCTGAATTCGTCCTCCTGCCGGCCGCTCTGCTGCGCGGACCATCCTGCCCGACTCCGAGTCAGAATGTCCCCGTTTGAGCATGTGCTGACGATCATTGTCTGTTCGACAGGCATTCATGTCGGGCAAGCTCAAAGTCAAGGGCAACGTAAGTTCTTGTTGCGATGACGTTTGTATGTGTGCTGATCTCAATCCTGCAGATCATGGCATGTTCCTCGCCATCGCGCGCTGGATCTTTACTGACGTGTCAGACGGTGACAGCTCGCTACCAAGCTCGACAGCGTGCTCAAGTCTGCACAAGGCTCAAAGGCATAAGACGCGATCGAGTAATAGAACATCGTTTCATCTGTTTCTCGAGCTATCACAGGCACCCATTGCATCTTTCGCACCTTGTCAGCCGGCTTCTCAGCCACGCGTCCCTCTGAAATTCTCTCAACTTCTTGCCCTGAACAGGCGCGATCTGCTACTCGTTCGACAGTGTGTCACCGAAGCTCTTGCGTCACTCAACTGGTTGCCTTCTCTTCCTTCTTTCGCATCACCTTGTTTGCCCATTCAAATCCATCAAAATGGTTCAGATCACCGGCATGTTTGCGCTGGCCGCACTCACGATCGTTTCTGCTGAGCTCACAAAGACACCAACGACCCATCGCAACGTGGCCCGCGACAATCCTTTCGATTGGCTCACCGGCGGCGGAATCAAGAAGGAGATCGATCACTTCTTCGGCAGCGGTGACGGCGACAAGGGTGGTCAGACAAGCGCCTGTGCACCTCGCATGGTTGTCATCGTTCGCGGTACGACAGAAGCCTACGGGACGTGCAAAGCTTGCGATCCAGCTGTTGCCATCGCTCAGCAAAAGTACCCCGACATCAAGCGCGTCGACGTCGAGTATGCTGCCGGACTCATGCAGGACAGCAGCGAGGGCACGGCCAACATCATCAGCATCGTCAAAGGATGTCCAAACAGCAACATCGTTCTTGTGTGTCTCTCACTTCCGTTTTCTATCGCTCGTGCTCATGCAAAGCGTAGGTGGGCTATAGCCAAGGCGCTGCAGCCACCACTCGAGCTATGTCATCCCTCACGCCTTCTGCCAAACTTGGAGCACTCCTCTTTGGTTCGCCCTGCGAAGGTCGGGGGGATAAGGGGGCCGAGGATGGCAACGGCGGTCGCACGCTCGCAACGGGTCCCGAGGATATGACAGGCTGCTCTGTCCCAAGCTCATGGAACAACGTCGACACGCTGCTCGAGTTGTGCGAGGGCGGCGATCCCGTCTGCGGCTCAGGTATGAATGTCATGGCCCACATCGAATATCAGAAGGGCGAGTCACTCGAGATCGCTGCACGCGATGACACTGACATCGTTGACAGGCTCGACGCCTCAGATTGCCGCCAATTTCATCGAAAAGCGTCTCGCGACCGCGTAGCTTGCGCCCATGACGATCGCTACCGTCTCGGCGTTCTAATCGTCAGATGTCCGCATGTCCTGCATGCAAGTCCCTTTGTTTCCTTCATCTGTCGCGCAATCATGAAACGTCAGCGTCGCCCAGCGCCCACCCAAACATCTCGTCCCTGAATGCTATGCCCAACTACGATTGAAGATAACAGGCTCGATGCTGCTGCTGCGAAGCTTGACCTGCATCCTGGGCTTTCTCGCATGTTACGTATACAGCCAGCAAGATGGCAATTCGCCAGTACCAATCGGTCAAGATTACCCTCCGAGCAAGTCCTGGATATGGCAATGTGCCTTCAATTGGATCCAACCGAAGCACCAATGGAGTCTGACGTGGGACATGGAAGTCATCGATGGCACGTATCTCTGCCCGTCTCGTGTCGACCCGCCCAGCATTTATTGCCAGGCCAATGTGCTCAGATTAGCTGATGAGAAAGGTCAAGACTCGATGCAATGGCTCCGTACGTGCATTGAATCGCTTCGCAATCTACGCATACTAACTATCCCGTTGAAGTCGGCGATGGAAGGCAGTACGAGTTCGCATTCCGGATGTGGTGGAATGTCGAGCAGTGGCCCTACAACATCACGCTATTCCGACTTGACGACATCATTGCTCCTCACATTCGACACTCGTCCGTCAAATCCCTACAGTACTAGTGCGTGGCGTCCGTCGGGCCGAGCGGTCATTCGCTGAGACTCGCGACAGTACTATCGAATGCGATGGAAGACCGGTCCCCAAGAAGCCCTACTTCGATGAATGAGATCCACTGTGTACATATCAATGAGATGTCCTGCGAGTTCGACACCGTCCTCAACCGAGCATCGAGACGTGTCAACAGAGCGCGATATTTCCTCAGCGTCCGGTCTGCGAAGAATACAATGTATCGACATTGCTGCATTGTGCAATGCAGCTAGCCATATAACGCATTTCTACATGCCGTTGACGATTCCTTCGATCGCATAAAGCCACCGTGCAAAAGCTTTGTACAACCGCCACGTGATCGCGTGATCCTAGATACCCAGCAGCACAACCTACAGGGCATCGACCCTAGCAGGTGATTCGCGTCCCCTGGACATCGTTGCCAATCATCGCGCCTGCGAAACATGCCGCAAGAGGGTTGCGCGCATCCTGACCGTCGTAAAGCTCCTTGTCGCCATTCCCTATGCTCAGGCACTGGCTCCCTCCTGTCTGAGCAGCAAGCACTGATGCTGCTTCCGCGTGTTTGCTGTTACTTGTTAATCCTCGGCTGTATAGCAAGTGTAGGCAGTCAAGTCAGCAAACGGACGACGACGCCGCCAACGCGCCAAGGTGACTATAGTGGCATCAGACCTTGGCTCTGGCAATGCACGTTCAGTTGGAAGCATCCTAAGCTTCAGTGGACATTGACTTTTGATATGGAAGAACTGGATGGCAACTACCTCTGTCCAATGCGCGTCGTGCCGCCCAGCAAAGTTTGTCAGGCATACGTCCTCAAGGAAGCAGACTTACCGGGCCAAAGGACTATGCAATGGCTGCGTAGGAAAATTTCGGATGTAAAGTAACCCTCTGACGGCCTGACACAGTCACCGATCGCTGGAATTGGTCGATTGGCTTCCGTATGTGGTGGACCGCCGATCAATGGCCGTACAACTTCACACTTTTCCGGCTCGATGACCTCAGCTTGCCCCGCCAAGCGCCTTCACTTATCACCAACCTCCACTACTAGTGCGTACGAGTCGGATTTGCCCCGACATGTAAGCTGAATGGCGCATCAGCGATATCGAATGCGACGGACGGCAGATCGAAAAGAAGCCCTTCTTCGATGCTTGACAGCTGCGCGGCTACCACGAACACAAGCCGGTGAAACCTTTGCGAAATGGACGTGAAATCGATAGTCCTATGAAGACACCAACGCTGACGCCGACAGAGACCTGACAATGACGTCCCTTTTAAGCCCATCGCATGTACAGTATGCACACGGGCTGACCTGCAATATCTCTGCTGCAAAGAGGAAATCCGTGCTGAAATGTGATGTTGGAGCTGAAGACGAAGCGGACTGCGCTTGTTCAGTCGATGCGAATGTAAGCAATCCGCCCGAGCCTAAGCCCGACGGAATCAGATAGGAGATTGCAATAACCGTCTGAGCGTATGTCGCCGATCGATGGAAGACATTGCCGGCGATGTTAGCGAGAGCGATGACGACTGCCGCAGCGGCTGCGCTGCATACGTCTTTGCGCAGTGGGAACGCAAGCGTGAAAAGTCGGTTGACCGTCCAACCAAGGCCAGCAAGACCTATCCTGTGGCAATGCTGTCAGAGCAGCGACAATCAAAAGGAGGCAGCGGACACTACGGGAAAGTCGCGTCCTTGGACAGGTGCCTTTCGGATGATGGCACCCACGATTGAATAGGCTGGGACGAGTAGCCATGACCAGACTCGCTGCGCTTACTTGTGAGTTCGACGAATCTACAAAATCGCTTTGCTGACCGCGCTGACGCGGGAGTTCCACCAGTCGACACCATGCGAGCTGCGGCAGGTTGCTTCTGTTGCCTGATGGACAGATTGGCCGCTAATGATGTGCCAGAACGAGGCCCCCGCACGCATGCCAAAGCCTGCACATAACATGAGCAACGGCATTGCGTAGTTGTACGCAGTGCACACCGATGTAGAGCGCGTCGAGTACGGTAGAAACCGTCCGCGAGGCACCAACTGTGTAATTGCCAGTATGAATCTCCATCGTTGCTTTGCAGATTGAGCTGCCCGAAACGTCAGAAAGATCAGGAGAGCTACAGGTTGGCATACTCGCCCGGCAGAAAGCCGATAATACTCGCAGAGACGACGGCGCTGTAGCAGAAAAAGCCGGTCGATGCAACGCCCGCCGCGACAAAGGATGCGATGAATGATGCGAGGATGTCAGAGACAGAGCTCAGACTTTTGACGTGCACTTTACGAAGCAGAGCAAACGATCCGCCAAGAGTGCCTGCGATGATCGCGTCGATAACGCTGCCCGAGAAAGCATTCATGCAGATGATCAGTGATTGCAGCACGCCCAGCAGCACTGGCAGATATGCGAATTCATAGGGCGCGGGTCGTACGAGCAGAATCTTGAGCTGCTCTGTCGCATCTTCATAGTGCAATCGGCCCAAGCATAGCTCACTGTCAATTGACTGAGCAAAGACTTGTGCAGTCGTGATTTGGCTTTTACCGATGTATGCCTGACAGGGTGAAGAGCTTGCCGATCATCGGTCTGCATGCGAGTAAGAGCTTGAAGACGGTCAGGGATAGACAGCTTACGTGCTTGACTGATTAAGCGTCTTGACGAGATTGTGCTGGTCTGTGCCATCGCTCGGAAAGATGATAGTAAGTTCGTCAATTGTGGCCAGAATGGTGCTGGGCGATCTCATGAGCACAAGCAGCAGCGTATGCGATTACGCGTACCAGGGAAGCTTCATGACCAAAGCAGCTCGCAAGAGCTGGCCGCGTAGACGGTATGTCGGCGCGCCTACGGCTTGTGCCGCGCGAGCCAGCAGCAGGAGACATTCTTGACGACAGCGGAGCTCGATACTCGTGACGACACGAACAGTCTCATCTTCTGTAGCGTCGAGCTCTCTGAGTATGTTCTCCAGCTTCTCGTATCGCAGCTCGCGATGTCCAGCCTCTTCGCGCGAGAAAGGTCCCTTGTGGATGGTGTCGAGCGGATCGAACGAATGCAAAGCTAGTCCGTCGGCATCTTGATGCTTTTCTTCCTGCTCCTCTTCTTGCTCCTCTTGCGACTTTGCCTGTTCCTCTGCCTCTATGGTCTGATATGCGCCGCGCGTGAGCCAGGCCAATAGCTTCTGCGCGAGAGTGGTCTTCTGGGCTGGCTTAGGCACTTCCGGCGGAGGAGGAGGAGATCGATCCTTTTCGCCTGGATGCCCCTCCATCCACTCGGTCATGCGCTTGGCGAAGACACAGAAGAGCAGGTTGTTGATGAATGTCTCGCGTGTATGCAGGATCGTAGCCATGCCGGACTGATGAGCGTTAGACGACGTAGCAGGCCTTTTGCACGGCAACTTACTTCTACGTCGCCAGTGATCTGAGCCAGTGAAGTCAGGCCAGGACCAGCACATCGATAGGAACTCACGATATCATGCAACGCCACGTCTTTGCCAGTAAGCGTATTCACCTCGCTTTCGGGCACGCCATCGCTTCCTTCTGGGTCGTCTCTGACCTCGTCAGTCGTGCTGCGAGCAGATCTGAGGATGGCCGCATGTTGCCAGCCACTCCAGTAGCTCGCCCGATCTTCGAGCGAGGGTCTGCTCTGACATGAGATGGCACGCTGCGGACTCGCATTCAAGTCACCTTTCGGGGAATAAGCCATTGCTGCGACTCAGGTCTGGCGATGGAGCCGTGGAGGGAGCAAACTCTAGCACGAGCTCGGAGACATCATCAGTAGTTGGCGTCTGGGGAGTGAGTCGGGCCTGCTCGACAAAGTAGCTCGGAGTGTCATTGAGATAGGTTGGAGAGAAGTCAAGAGGTCGCTCCTGTTGCTGATACCTGGTCGGAGTGATAGTGCGCGAACGAGGCGATCTTTGCTCGTCTGTCATATTTTGTGGATGTGTGGGTGTGTGTCCAACTGCTGGGATGAAGTGAACAGAAAGACGTAACGAGCGGAGGAATGTCGAGCGAATGGCAAGGTCCCGACGCGTCTCGGCGGCAATGCACGCTGTGCCGCGTCGGGCTATGTGTCAAAGACATTCATTGCTCTGTCACATGATTTGCTTTAAGTTGCGGACTCTTACTGCTCGTTGGTGAAGACTGCAGCGGCACCCATTCTATCAAAGCGACATCAGCCCACAGCTTGAACACAGAGTCAATGGAAATCGTACCCGGTACCAATGCACATGGAAGTGACAAAGATGCTTGCGCCTGATCGCTTGGCCTCTGCGTAACCGGTTGCGATTTGTCGTGCACCCGTCGCGCCACTAACACACGCGTTAGCATAGGCATGCTCAGCAAAGGCAAAGGCTTACAGAGGATGGCCGAAAGCGATGGCACCGCCGACTGGATTGACCTTCTCATAAGGGATGCCGAGCTTTTCGATGCTGTAGACTGCTTGAGACGCGAACGCTTCGTTGATCTCGTAGAAGTCGACATCGTCCTTTGAGAGGCCGACAATCTCGAGCACTCTGGGAATGGCAAAGGCAGGTCCGATACCCATGACATCTGGCTTGACGCCGACGACGGCACAGCTGACGAACTTGCCGAGGATGGGCAGGCCGAGCTTCTTGGCTACCGACCGACGTGCGAGGAGCACAGCAGCGGCACCGTCTGAGACTTGTGAGGCGTTGCCAGCGTGAGTCGTGCCCGTCTTGCTGAAGGCAGGCTTGAGCTTCGAGAGACCCTCGGCGGTGATGCCTTCGCGGAGACCATCGTCCTGAACGACGTCAATCTCCTTTTCCTCTTCCGACTTGGGGTCTGTCCACTTGACGTGCATGGGGATGATCTCAGACTTGAATTTGCCAGCCTTTTGAGCTGCGACAGCTTTCGCAAACGACTTGGCGGCAAATTCGTCCTGGGTCTGACGCGTGATGCCGAACTGAGTTGCGACGTTCTCCGAGGTGATACCCATAGGCAACAAGCAATCCGCAGCATCCTCGTTCTCCATGACGTCGTCAGACATCTTTGCAGGCATGGCGTCAGCGCCATAATTGAGTGTCATTGACTCGACGCCTGCGCCGATGCCAATCTCGATTTGACCGAGAGCAATCTCGTTTGCGATCTGCTGGGTGGCTGCGAGACCCGAGGAGCATTGACGGTTGATAGCATTGACGGCAGTGGAGGTAGGGAAGCCAGCGTGGAGGACGCCCATTCTGCTGGTCGTTGCGCCACTTCCTGCGCGCCGTTGTACCGCGTCAGCTCGAGCTGAGTCAGCTGAGAGATGACGACTCGCCCTTTTGAAGAACGGTACCAACAGCGATGTCCTCGACGAGCGTCTTGTCGACACCGGTGCGCTCGACGAGACCTCTCAAGACGGCAGACAGCATTTCCTCGGGACAGGTATCCTTGAGACCGCCCTTCTTAGACTTTGTGATAGGCGTACGGACAGCGCCGCAGATGACGACGTCGGAGTCCCATTTGGTGAGGATTGACGCCTTGCTTGCTGTGCTCGAGATCTGTGAGCCAATCTGTGTGAAGCTCAATCGTGTCAGACTGTGCCTCGATCGAGGCCAAGCGAGCTCGCCTGTTGTACTCGTTCAAGTGCCATGGGGTGTGTGTGTCTGCAGATGACTCTCTCTGAGCTAAAGTGGGCTGAAGTGGCAAGCTGGAGAGCTTACGTTTGTTCGGATGTGATGTCAAGTCAGCTTTCGGCTTTCTCTGGAGACTTGCCCGGCAATTCGCCGCGCGTGCCATTTTTTCAACGTGTCACACCATGCTGACGTGTCCTCCCTGACAGGATTGTCTAGAGAGGTCGAACTTGGGCGACATGCCAGACCTGTCTGCGCCACAGCAGTCGCCTGACGATCCGACGCAGCCTACAGCGATCACGAAGGAAGAGCGCATCAACGACTGCGTGGCCTGCCGAGTCATGGGATCGCTCGTTCTCGGCGGCGCGGGCGTCTATGCGCTTGCAGAGAGCAGACGATTCGCTCAGATAGGCAGAGGAGGCTCAATAGCAGCACGGCTGGTTGGATATGGTACTTCCTTTCAGCTCTCCACAGTGCAGTCATTGAGGAGACGTCTAGGTCTGATCGCAGGGGCAGCATATCGCGCAACGGTCAGATCTAGCTTCGGCGCAGCGTAGCTGGCTCGCAAGAATGCGTGCAGTCAGATGAAGGTACAAGCAGAGTGAGTGACAGTGTCCATCGTGCGTCGAGCGCTCGTCTAAAGTCAGAGTGTCCATAGCCGTCTAAGATATCAGTGCGACAAGTCCAATCGATGCGATCGCCAATGCTAGACTGCCGCTCTGACTGTAAGCGGCGCCTTCTAGTGCGGAAGCAGGCGTGGCTCGAGTCAGACTGGTTGTAGAAGTTGCTAGCGGCGGCGGCGTGCTGGTGACGGTCGTGGTCGTGACAGCGATCATCGGCAGGCTTGTGCTCGATGGCAGACTCGACGTGCTGCTTACAGAGCTCAAGCTTGTAGTAGACATTATAGTCGTCGTGTTCCTTGCAGTCACTGTTGCAGACGTGCTGGCAGATGTGCTGGGAGGCAAGACGGTCGAGATCGGCGTTGCTTGTGCGAGTGCTTGCACAGTCACACATTTCGAAGAGGGCGCAGCTGGCTGAGCCGGAGGAGTGTATGCTTGCCCTTGCGAAAAGGTGGACGAGCCATTGTTATAGATCCCCATGGGTATGTCGCTATCACCTACGCAGCTCTCCAGTACGCCTGCGTCGTAATTGGCGGGCATGTTCCAATCCTGTCGATATCATCAGCGCAAGCTGAGATTGGACCGGTCATGTACGCACGCAGCCCATGACATCGTACACATGCTGACAGTAGCTCGTTCCATAGCCGCCTTCTTTGCACACCCGCACGCAGAATTGGTTCGACGAGACAAACATCGTCCACTCGTGCGCTTGCGTCTCTGACTTGTTAGCAGAGAAGGCATTGGTGAAGACGAGACCTCCGATAGGGTTGCCATTGCCATCAGCTCCCTGTGTCGTGTCATCAGCGAGTGATCATGCATCACAGCGGTTGGCTTACATGTGGATCAAGCTCGCCGCCGCCATCATTCGCTTGGATGTTGATCTGCGTCAGGTCGCCTACGCCTGTAATCTGGATGTAGTCGGGCGTCTGGACAAAGTGTGCGCCTGATATCGCCGAGGCGGGCAGAGTTCGAGCGCCATGATCTTTGAGACAGTAAGCAACGACCTCCCGTTCGTCGTCGCCGATCGTACTGGACGCTGGTGGTCCCCATAGGCAGAAATCCGACAGATCGTTGACGATGAGCGTCTGGCAGTCGGCTCCTGCGTTGTTCGCGCCAGAGCATCTGTTCGTCCCAGCCTCGCCAGATTCTGACTTATCTGGCAAGCTGTCGTAGTACCACGTCGGCTTGGGCTGAGCAAGTACGCTCGTCATGCAGAGCCCGAGGGCTGCGAGCGTCAGCCCTTGCCGGCTCATGACCATCTTCATTGAGCGAGCTCGTCGTTGGAGACGCGAGATGGAGATGAGCTCGGACGGACAGAGTCGAGGTGTTGATGGACAACCGCATGGCGATAGCGTTCGGACCGGAGCTTTGCACCCTTGGCACCGCTTGTCCCAGATCTGCAAAACGATCTTGTCTTCGACGCCGATCACGAGCGTGATAACAATTTCACATGCACCACATCTCTCTCCCGCGTCCCCTAGCCTGGCTTTCCGCATCGCTGGCTCTATCTCAAACGAGCCGCCGCTCACGTCGTTCCAGCCCCCCCTTGCTTGCTTGCCTCGCGAATGCGCCAGCCTATCGGAAGGAGATGCAATGCTCAGGAACAGTCTACATGTTCGATGGATCGCTCAGCAAAACTACATAAGACGGCCTCTTGGATGAATATGCATCGGCCTCAACACTCGCAGCACATCACCATACAGCATGCGCTTCGTATACGCAACACTCGTCTCTTCCCTTGTACTGACAAACGCAGCTCCACTAGGTAAGCTAGTCAGCTAGACTGCCAGAGCGCGGACTAACGTCTGCACGTAGCGGTAGGAGGCAATCTAGCATCTGCCATTGCAAGCATCATCAGTGCAGGCACTCATGTCAACTCGACAGCAAGTCTGGCGAGTCTACTCGGCGCAGGCGCCGCTGCCAATCTGACCACTGGCCTGGCTAATCTGCTAAACGCAAGCGCGACTGCAAACTTGACTGCAGAGCTGTCCAGTCTCGCCAGTGCAGGCGCGAAAGTAGCCGCCAGTCTCAACATCACGAGCACTTCGATCTCTGCTGCAGCGTGTCAGGGCGCTGTCGCTCAAGCCACCTTGCTCGGACAACTCTCTGCAATCGAGAATGTCTGTCTGAATGTGGCAGCGGGCAGCACTGCCAACAGAACGACGCCTAGCTCGCTTTCGATATCTGGCTTCTCGCTCTCCGCTGCTTGCTCATGCTTCCCAGCCAGATCATCCACGTCCACGCCGACGACGACGACGACGCCCATCTGTGTACAAGCAGATCTTGGTCTCAGTGCATCTGGCCTACTAGCAATGACCAAGTCAGGCTTCTCCGTAGGCACGAACGCCAACGGCGTCAGTCTAGCCGTCTGCCAATCGCTCTATCTGGGCGCTGCAGCAGTCTCGCAGATCCCATTGATCGAGCAGTTCTGCGTCAATACTAACGTCACTGTAGTGCCCAGCGCACTCACCCTGCTGCCAAACGTTTCCGTGGGCACAGCGTGCAAGTGCTTCTGCAAGTAGCATTCTGTTGTGTAGAAAGATGCATAGATAGGGTTCTAGCGTTGCTCGCTGACTGCGTTTTCTTGGCGTCCAAGGGGCTTTCCCTGAGCATCGAGCGGGACATACTGGCCGGCGACGCCGCTCTGGAAGGCCACAGGTACCGCGCCAGCGTGACCGTATGCCGGTTGGGATATAGGCGTCTGTCGCTGCACCGAAAGGGTAGACTGCTGAGCGTTCTCCTGCGGTGAGCGCTGTATCGGTGAATACTGCTGTGGAGCCTGCACAGCAGGCGAGAAGCTAGGACTGGATATCCCTGGCGACTGAGGAGGATAGCTGTATTGCGGTCGGGAAAGCTGCGGCTGCGCCTGCTGTCGGACGAGATGAGCTTGGGCGAATGCGCGCTGCTGCGCAAAGAGCCTCGCTTGTGCCTCTGCATTATGAGGCGGTATCGGCGCCGCATAGCTGTGGGTGGGTGTTTGTGCGGGCGCAGCACTATAGGTTGACTCGTGCGATTGAGCGTTACTATACGGTACCGAGCTGGCAGGCGCGGCACTGTACATGGGCGCATGAGCTGCCTGATTGCTGTACATCGGACCATTGCTATACTGGCCATGCACAGGCGCTTGACTATAGCCTGGTGCATAGACGGGCGCATAAGAGTGGGCCGGCGCGTGCTGCGGAGCCATCGAGACAATTGAGGAGTGACGTCTGACATCGCTTGTATGTGCAGGTATCCTGATCTTGGCAGCAGGCGCAGTGTTGCGGCCCAAAGCAGATGTCGGTGGATCAAATGAAGTCTGCAGCAGTGATCGCGCAGCAGCGTGTGTCTTGGTCGCTGCTTCTGGTACCGGCGTGTTACGAGCGCTTGGCATGGGCGATGCAAGTGAGAGCGCCGTGCCTGAGCAGCGACTACACAGAAAATCTTCTGTCGACCAGTTCCGTCGAGCACGCTTCAGCGCAGCGTCATTACGATCCCAGCAAGTCGCATGTTGCCACACGCCGCACTTGTCACAAGCAATGATTTGCTTGCCATCATCCTATATGGTCTCCCAAGTCAGCGCGTTCCAGGGAAAATGACAGAGGCGCACAAGGTTTTGGCCAGCTTTGCCGCAGATCTCGCAATCGAGGTACCACGATTCGGACTGGGGTGTGGCTGAGTCACTGTCTTGCGGCAATGGCTCCCCTCTCGCTTTCGCTTCCTCGCGTTCCTTCTCTCGCTCGGCACGCCGCTCGGCTTCCTGTACAGCTTCGACTTCGCGTTGCAAAAGACGTTCTTCCCTCTCTCTCTTTCTTGCATCGCGTTCCTTCAGACGGGCCTCTCGGGTGGGCTCCTCTTCGCGCGTAGGTTTGCTGCCATCGGCGCGGTTGCCTTCAGCACGCTGGCTGCTTTCCATACGAGCCATCAGAGCCTGCTGCGCTGCTTGCTGAGCGCGCTTTTGCTCCATTTCTGCTTCCTTGACGAGAATGCGAGAAGAGCGTTTGCGGTTGGCGATAGCTTCTTCCTTCTTCTTTAGCCTCTCCTTCTCGCGCAGGTCAAGCAAGATCGGGGGCAAAACTTCGTCACGCAAATGCTTGATCAGCGCGCGCTCGTCGAGATGCTTGGGCTTTGTAAAGCGCGACAGCACTGTCTCCCACTGTTCAAGCGTCACACAGATCTGGCATTGCGCAAGTGAGCCTATGCGACTGAACGCGTGGGACAGGACTGACCGCTTCCCACTCTATAAAATTAGCTGGCATCTTGACATATTCGGGATCGGGCGTCGGTACGTATTCAGGCTCTGGCGTGTCCTCCTCGGATTCGACTTCTTCCTGGTCATCGTCATCACTGCCTTGTTCTTGCTCCTCATCTACATCTTCTTCCTCCACCTTCTCGTCATCTTCTTCCTCATCAGCAGCAGCCGACGCTTCGTCGTCCTCACTTGATTGCTCAGGCGTGACAGCCTTCCTCTGAGGCTTGGCCGCCGCTGCCGCCCTGCTTCGGCTCGCTCGCGCGCCAAAGCTGACCGCAGGTGGCGGTGAGACCGAGACAGGTTCTACTTCGTCCTCCTCTTCGAGCTCGTCCGAGTCGTCCTCGACGACTTTGACGGGCGAACGAGCCTGCTTCACGCGCCCGGATGACCGTCTAGAAGTCTTCTTTCTTGGTACGCTTGCACGCTTCCGCCTCTTCGCTGGCTTCACATCATCGTCATCATCCTCTTCATCGTCCTCATCCTGATCCTCCTCGACACCGGCAGAGGCGCGCTTGACAGGCTTAGCAGTCGGATCGTAATCATCGTCAACGTCCTCCAGCCGAGCATTCGCAGCAGCTACTTCGGCCAAGAATTCCTCGTCTTCCGTGTTGGCATCGACGAGCTCGACTTTGGGTTTCCTCACAGATGTGACAACCTGAGTATCTTCTAGCCACTCCTTCGGAGGCTGTTGCCATTCGTCTTCGTCAGGCGCTCCTCTACCCCTTCTGGATGCTCTGACGCCTCGAACGACAGGTTTTTTTGGCTTTGACTTTGCAAGTGGGGAAGCTCTGGCTGATTCGTCGATGCTGGTGAGAGAAGCTCGAGCGGTACGCGTTGATCGTGGTGGCAGCGGTTGCTTGAGCGCATCCCAGGCCGAAGACTGCGCTGTCCATTGCCGTATCCGTGGCGGAGGTCTGGCCTGGGTGACTGCGGCATTGCGCATCGGTCTACCGGTTTCTGTGAGGAGGATCTGCTCGGGCTTTGCCGGAGGTTCAAGTGATGATTCGTCTTCACTAGCAGAAGTTACATAGCCTTTCCTCGGTCGTTTGGCTTGGGATCTGCTCCTCGATGATGATTCTGCGAGAGGCTTTGGAAGGGCTCTCGTTGACTTCTTAGTGGCAGTCTTGATTTTGCCATTTGTTCTTGGTGCATTTCTTGATTTGGCTGGCTTTGAAGCAGACTTCTTGATAGAGCCGGCCGTGCGAACTCTGTCAGCCCTGACTGGCCGGGTAGGAGTCCTCCAAGGTTTCAGGGGACGATAGCGTTGAATCCACAAGCGATTATCATCAAAGAGCCAGTAGGTATTCGAGTCGGCATCCCATCCGACAGGTTCGACGCGCCAGGTCATCTCCTCGGCAGCATCAACGTTGATCATCTTACGGAATCGATCTGGGTCGACGAAATGCCATTGACAGAGCTGGTAGATGACTTCAATCTTCTCGAACATGTCCAGATCACTCCAAGCACGCGGCGTCACGACCTCTACCTCCACCATCTCTCTTTCCACCGTCGCGTCAGCATTGACAGCTGTGGAAGAGTCTGTAGTAGGTTGTACGGCTGCATTGGACTGCTCTGGAGCATCGTGATCGGTCTGGGCGTTGTCGAGCTTGTCCTGACCGAGTAGAGCGGCTTGCTCGGCATCCTCATCATAGACGGGCTCCAGCCGGGTAGAGACAGTAGCGAGGAGACGTCTGTAGACCTCTGGACTGCGCCTGAGGTACTGCTGTTGCAATTTAGCAGCGTGCGTAGCGACACTGTCCACATGGAGAGCGTCAGCCCGGTGATGCAAGGGAGAGGTCATCGCTGCTCGTCTGACAGAGCGAGCGACGAGGAGAGCAGACTGACGTGACGTGCCGATCGCCTGTGAGGGTGAGCAAGAGACTGGCGAGCAAGCTCGGGCAGATTGAGTCTGGTTCGACGCCGATGAGGTCCAACTCGAATTTCTGTCGGTCCGTCCGGGTCAGTCAGCAGAGGATCACTGGCAGACTGATGCCACAAGGAGAACTGACGTTGACATCCCATGCGCCCTGTGCGAGAGGCTTGCCGAAGAGGCACATCCACTGTGAAATGGCTGCGATCCTCCAATCTATCCGAAGAGCTCTCAGATCGCCTGGCAGATCGTCCAGGCTCTCCGGCTTCATGCCCGTCGTTGTACCCCATTGTGATACAGTCTCGGAAACGGCTGACACGGGAGCCGCGGGTGCTCCACGTCCGAATGGCATGGCTGATCTCGTCGCGATTGTGCGTGCAAGGCCAACTCGCGTCTTCTTCTGCTCGTCGCGTATTCGACGCAGCGGGCCTGGTGGCCTTGCAAAAGATCTCAGCGCGTAGAGGTACAACATTGGGTTCCGGTCTGCGTGTAGACTGCTGCAGGGCTAGCCATCGCGTGCTCGCCGGGGCGCAGGAGGCGGCGGCGGTAGCAGACCTGCCCCCAATCCGCCTATAGAAGCTGCGGTTGCACTGCCAACCGGTCTCTTGCCTAGTTTGCCAATGTTGATCGTCACCGGCGCATTGAGGCTGTAATCTTTGGGTCCGCCGGCAGGCAGATGAGGTGATGGCTTCGTCCTGTCATCTTCTGCACTCGCTACAGGTGTCGTCTGCCGTCTGTGCTCCGTGCGTCAGCCTTGCGTGAGCATCAAGCGACAGATGGACGTACTTCTTCCAATCTTGTAAACAGACATTGAAATCAAATGCATCTGATCGCTCTGGGAAGCCCATGCCGAGATATCTGATCAGGCATGGTGAGCCTGAGCGATCGATACGGGCCTGTGTACTCACGCATGCTTGCCCGACGCTCGGTCTCGCACTGTCTCGCCTCGCATCAGCTGTTTGAGCTCAGACATGCTCTTCTACGTACCTCTGAGCACAAAGTAGCGAGACGAATCGAGCACGGCTTCGACAGCAGCGCCAGTGGTATCGTAGGGACACACCGCGAACTCGTCACCCGTGCTATCGTCTTCGAGCTTGATCTCGACTCTCGACGGCGTGCCGGAACCAATCTCCATGACTCGTAAGCGACCCTTCCATAGGAACTTGTCGACTTGCCAGTCGTTCGCCCGATAGCCTGCTCCACTCGACCGAGGTGGTATCTGGTACACGTAGCATTCACGAGCGATCCATAGCACGCTCTCAAAGTCGTCCATGCGATCCAACTGGATCGTCTGCTGCTCAGACGGCCTCGACTTTGCTTGTCAGCGCCCTATCGTCGTATCAATGCAGTGGGTTGGGTTGATCTTGTGCTTCAGTCGCGTGACGCGTAGCGTATCCGACTGTCTTGACCTTGACCGACTTTGCTTGCCGTCTTCGCTGTCTCGCCGCCTGAGCTGCGATGAGCGAACAGCCAGAGACGAAGCCAGACGGCAAGATTTCCCTGACGGTCACCTTTCCCGGCACAGCGCAAGACGGAATAACATTCGCAGGCAAGATGTCCCACGCACGCGCTTCATCTGCTATCTGACCCGGCAGTCTCACAGTGAAACCGGGGACAGCATGCTCGAAGCTATACAAAGCGGTAGCGGCGCAAAGGGGCGTCTCTGAGAACAGCTTCGTCCTCCAAATTGACGGTACGCGGCTCAACGCGGATCATACTGTCAAGATGTACGAACTTGAAGATGGTGATGTGCGCTCCGTCGCTTGCTCGGCGCTAGACGGTGCTCATGCGCGCGCAGACGATCGAGTTTCACGTCCATCAGGTTGGAGGATCAGCAAGCAATTGAGCACTGGAACGCAAATCGCATGCGCTTCTGTATCACCCCATGTTGCATGTATTTCTACCGTCACGCCTCAGTCTGCGGCGCCTCCAATCGGGCTGATCCAGTCAACAACAACATGATCTGCATTGCGAGCGTCTATGTACATGATACAGATCTGCTGTCTACCATGCGAGCCAGGCGAGCAGGCTATTCGGGTATTCGCGCACGATGAGCTTTCGCGTCTCATCCAGCACGATGAAGCCGAGTGCATACGCCATCGGCAGAAACACGTATTGCGCCGGCACTGCGTACGTCTCAAGCGGCTGATTCAAGGGCTTGAGGTAGCTGAAGAAGCATGCAAGCGCGAGCGCAATCGCCATTGCCGGGAAAAGATACCAATTGCGAGTCTTTGGGTTGAAAATGGGATCCTGCTGGAAAATCGACAGCCGGCGAGTGCGAGTAGCAAGCAAATTGCCCCATTGACCAAGCACAAGCGAGAAGAAGTAAAGTGCCTGAGCTTGAGCCGTTGCCTCTGCAAGCGTCTCTGGATCCACGCCCTGCACCCCTCCGTAGCTGAAGACGAGCTGAGACCAATGAATGCCATAGGTGTGTTCGAATGCAAAGTAGAAGCAGGCAGTCATCGCGCAGAGGGCTTGTAGATTGCCGAGGAAGAGATACGAGTGGCAGAGCAATCGCCAATCTGCTAGGCGATCTGTCTTGATGTTGCGGGGTGGTCGGAGCATGATATCCGATTCGGGCTTCTCGTGTATGAGCGAAAGAGCAGGTGCAACATCGGTCAGGACACAGATGATGATCATCTGCATACTGCTGAGAGCTTGCGGCAGACCAAGCAAGACGCTAAGCAGGACGGGCCAGAGCTCCGCCCAAGAGCCAGCCACAAGAAGGTATGCGATGACTTTCTTGAGGTTGTCGAAGACCAGACGACCATATTCGATGCCGACCAGGATCGCGCTGAAATCCTCGAGCAAGACGACATCAGCCGCCTCGACAGCGACGTCACTACCCCCCGCAATGGCGACGCCAATATCTGCTGCTGCGAGTGCACCTGCGTCATTCGTGCCGTCCCCGGTGACTGCGACGACATTTCCAGCAGCCTGATACGCTTTGACGAGTCTAAACTTTTGTCTGCAGCATGCTTGTCAGTTCAGCTAAGCGGGGCATGCTTAAATACGTACTCTGGAGTAGTGCGCGCGTATACAGCTTCGGTATAATGCACAATCTGCTTCCATTGTACTTCGTTCATGGCCATCCTGTTTGCTTAAGGTCAGCAAAAACCCAAAGTGAACACAAGGTCGAAACGTACAGATCGCTGCCGGACAATACGATGGCGGTAGTGATATCACTGTCCGGGCTAAAAGGCTTGATGTCCTTCTCGTCGATATCGCGAGGAAGATTGGCGACGGTATGGATGACGTCTGCATTGCCGCTGAGGATGCCAACGCCTTGCGCGATAGCCTTTGCGGTGGATGCAAAGTCGCCAGTGACCATTGCAAAGCGGATACCTGCGCGTTGACATGTGCTGACCGTAGCAGCCGTATCATGCTTGGGTGGATCGACTAGTCCGATGAGACCGACGACTTCAAGCTCGACATTGAGAGCGAGCACGGTTTCGCCGAGCAACGCTTTCGAAGCGAAACATGACGCGTCGATCGTGCCGGCTTGGATCGTTTTCTTCGCCATAAGTAGCACACGCTGTCCTCGCGCTGCAAAGCTCTCTTGCAGAGTGACGATGTGGCTTTCGGCATCTTCATCCAATGGCGCGAGCGACCCATCCTCCTGCAGATAGCTGGTGCAGCGACGAAGCAGAATGTCGGGGGCACCCTTGACGAGTAGGACCGCATCATCTTCAGCAGCAGAGAATTCGGTTCCCTTGTCCGTCTGTCCTGTGCACAGCTTGAGGGCGAATTTGTTCTTGGAATTGAAGGCGAGACGGTAGAGTTCGAGCCACTCTGCACGCGTAGCTTCGACATCCAGACACTTGTCTGCAAAGCGCAAGAGGCCACTGTCGGTTGCGTCGCCGATGACGCGTCGTTCGACTGGCTTCTCCTTTTCGCTCTGCGTTTGAGTAGCTTCGAATTCGGCATCATTGACAACAGTAGCGACTGTGGCAAGCTCGCGGATGATTCGAGACTGGGAAGCGTTCGACTTGGCGGCAGCGATCGCATCAACAGCGGTGTAAGACGAGTCGCCAACACCAAGCGACATGACCGTCATCTGGTTTGTTGTCAGCGTACCGGTCTTGTCGGACAGAACGACATTGACAGCGCCGAGTGTCTCGACCGTCGAGAGACCTTTGGCGAGGATCTTGTGCTCTTTGAGCTTATTCGCGATGATTGTGAGCGAGCTCGAGACGCAGATTGGTAGTCCTTCTGGTATGAAAGAGACCAAGATGGAGACGACATCGATGAGTATACCGCTGACGGAGATGAAGTCGGGGTGCTTCGGTCTGAGCCACGCCGCCCAGAGAATGACGATGATGACAGCCACGGAAATAGCGAGTGAGGCGATAATGGCGACAAATCTGAACACTTCTCGCTCGAGCGTCGTCATCTGCTTCTTGCTCTGTTGTGTCATTGCCGAGATACGGCCGAAGACTGTATTGTCGCCTGTAGCCACAACAAGCGCTTTACCTGACCCCGACACGCAGAGTGTGCCTTGCAATGCGATGTTGGCAGACTCCATAAAGCTGTCCCTTGTTGCATCTGAGGTAGCGAGCACTGCTTCCGACTCGCCTGTGAGGATGGAGCGATCGAACGACATGTCAGCCGATGATTCGATGATTCGGCAGTCGGCCGCAAGCTTCTGACCCATCTTGACATGGAGCAAATCGCCAGGCACGACACTTTTGTACGGTATTTTGAGCATTGAGCCGGACCGGCTGACAAGCACATCGGTCGGAAGCATGCCCGCAATACTCTTCATGGTCTGCGTCGTGGACCAGTCCTGCCACGCGTTGAAAGCTGCCGACATGGCGCATACGATGAGCAGCACGATCGCCAGTGCAAGATTGGATACTGAAGGGTCAGGATCACCGAGCGGGCGCCAGCTGATGAAGGTGATGACCGCGCAGATCAGCAAAAGACTGTGCGCATGGTCAGACGGGGCAAAGCTGGACTATATCGCAGGGCGTACCTGCCAAAGCCACCCAGGATGTAGCCGGCAATCTTTCTTGCCCATCTGTTCGGCGCTGCAGTGATCTGATTGGGGCCATGCTGTGCTAACCGCTTTTCTACTTGCGCGGGCTCGAGGCCGTTTTGCGTGTCTGCGCTCAGGCGCGTCGACACTTCATCAATCGAAAGACTAGCCCATTGCAGCTCTGCAAGATCTTGCACTGCTTTGCTCTTCTTCGCTGAGACCTTGGCCGCCAAGACAGTGCCGCTCTTAGACTCTCTCGTCTCATTGACGTGGAGTGAGATCGTTCTGAATTCGAGAGGGATCCGTGCAGATGGCTCACTCGGTGCAGGACGAGATGTACCGCCAGGCACCCAGGAGATTGACATCGTTCGTGGGACTTCTTTGCTGCCCGTGCGATGCTGCATTCTCTTGAGGTCGAGCTCTCGTTGTTGACTGTCCTTGTCGGGGAGCGTCGACAGGTGAGGCAGTGCAGCGACGAAGCTCAGTCTGCCTTTGGGTTCCTCTGTGGTCGGAAGGGCCTCGATGTCCTTCTCGTCTACACTCGACCTCGACATGCTCTGGCGCGAGTCTGTCATTCTTGCTGGTCGTCGGAGCGTACGCGAGCTGACGGTCGTGAGCTGTGGTGGCTAGGAGGTCAGTCGATGCGAGCGTGTACCTGACTTCAGCAAGAGGGAGTCAGTCTCTCCGGCGCAAAGACTTTATACTTCTTCCAAGGCTGCAAACACAGCCTTCGCGCGCGCTTTGACCCTTTTACGAAAGCTTGCATTCAACAGCTCAGTCAGACCATTCTAGCCTGTCCTAACTTTGGCGCGCCAACAGCTTGGTTCAACTCGATTTAGAATCCGAAGCGGCGCTGTCCTGGGGCGTCCTCATTTTCAGACGACACAGGCCCGCCGAATTATCAAATACTAGCGCCGCGAGGCCGATCATGATCATGAGCTCATCCATCGCTTACGATGACGGCCAGCAGTCCGTCTCGTGCGACAAGAACCTGGAGCAGCCAGCGACTTGCCTCCCGCGGCTCTGAGAAGATCTCTCGGAGCGTTGTAACACGACATTGCAAAGGGCGTCGCCAAAGCACCTCTGTCGCGAGGCAGCATGTGTTTCAGAGTGTCATCGCCCTCGACGAGTTGTGATGGCGGACAGGAACGCGGCAAGAAGCTCGCTCGACCTAGCTTTAGAGCCTGCGCCCGGCAGGGCTGTGTTGCTGCTCGTCAGTCACAAGGCCCGGAAGAGGCGAGGCGAACTGCGAATTGCGCAGTCGGTACTGAATTCTATAAGAAGACATTGCCTGTTGCTGCGTCCTGTCCAAAGACGCTATGAAGACAGTCGCCTGCATTTGTATACTGCTCCTTGGTTCGACACAAGCCCAACAGCATTTCGACCTCGTCAGGCGGGCAAGGCCGCATCCCACCGCGCGCAATCATCCCTCACTGCAAGCGTGGGCAACACGGGCGGGTGACCATCTAGCTGCGAAGTATGGCCATACAAAGGCTATACTGCCTGGACAGCGTAGCAAGCGGCGTCGCGCAGCCTCGGAGCCGCTCATCAATGTATGGAGCGACAGTGAATACGTCAGCGCTATCACCATAGGCACACCGGGTACAAGCTTCGACCTGGTGATGGACACGGGCTCGGGAGATATGATCGTTGCAAGCTCGAGCTGCTCCTCGGGATGCACTAACATCACGAACAAGTATGACACCAGCTCAAGCTCTACTTCAGATTCCACAAGCACTGCCTTTGAAATCACGTCAGCTTCCCGCATCCCTTCTCTCTTCAGCTCAGGCTGACGGGTCTATAGCTATGGCTCGGGTTCGGCTAGCGGTACACTCGTCACCGACGTTGTTGCCATCGGCGGTCTGTCCGTCACTTCCCAGGTCTTTGCCGACTGCGACAAGATTTCCAACGGACTACTGCAAGGGTCAGTCACCGGTCTCATGGGCCTCGGCTTCAAAGCGCTGTCGACTTCCGGAGCGACACCTTTCTGGCAGAATCTTGCAGATGGTGGCCTACTACCCGCACAAGAATTTGCCTTCGCTCTCACGCGCTTCGTCAATGCGACAAAGGCACAGGAATACGAGCCGGGCGGCATCATGACCCTCGGCGGCGTCAACGATACGCTTTACTCCGGCGACATTGCATATCACTCGCTCAGCGAAAGCGAGAAATACTGGCAAGTATCTCTTAGCGGGCTTGCGGTAGGCTCCACTTCGCTATCCAACTTTTCGACGGCTAGCGTTGCGCTAGACACGGGCACATCGCTCATTGGCGCGCCCGACGATGTAGTAGCGAGCGTTTTTGCTCTGATACCCGGCTCCAGTCCAGCCACTGACCCTGGATACGAAGGCTACTATACTTTCCCTTGCGATGCGAGCATCGACTTTAGCGTAACAATCGACAGCATACGATACCCTGTCAGCGATGCCGACTTCAATGTCGGTCAGCTTAGTCAGAACAGCTGCCTCGGCGCGCTCTTCGCATTATCGACGAGCAGCTCGAGCACATCACCACAGTACATTCTTGGCGATTCATTTATCAAGAATTACTATACCGTGTTTCGCTACAAGCCCACCGCGTCAATAGGATTCGCCACGCTGTCTGCAGAATCGCTGACGCTGCAGGATGCCGACATCGAGGGACTCTTGAAAGCGACCGGCTTGTCAGACTCGACAGGCTCCACTTCTGACGCTGCTAGCCTACTCAGGCCAATCTGCTCAATCACCGCAGCGATTGGCATCGTCATGATCACCATGTGCATCAGTCTTATTGCAACTCTCGCATGAGCATCATTTTGCATCACATAGCTTTGCATTCTACAGTAGTGTAGCACATCAGATTCTAGTATATACACGTTCTCGTCCCCTAACCCACGAGCTCGTTTGAAAGTTTGATGTTGGACGTAATCTGACCAGAGACTACAGTCGAGGGAAGCTATATGCAGAGAGCATTGGCTCGAGCATGCCCGGCTCGTCGCCGGGTGTCATAGACGATCCAGACGATTCGTCGTTGTTGAAATAAGCGATCTCGCCGAATGGGCTAGCTGAGCCATCCAGAACCGAGCCGGTTGAATTGTATTCTGATTTGCGATGCGTTTGCTCGAGCGAGAATGCTCGTGCGGGAGAGAGCGAGTCCGCAGGCGCGGTCACCGAGAGACCGGAAGGACTAAGCGTTTCTTGGGGCTCTTGCTTGATGGCGGGCGTACGTGGCCTTTGACCAGCAAAGTCTCGCGTCGTGAGCATATCGCGCGGTGTGCGGAACGACCAGTCGACTTGAGCAAACATCGCAGATTGTCTATAGCCTGGCATAGTTGTTGCGATCAGAGAAGGCAACACGAACGGGGCGGGCTCTGCTGGCGGAATGATCGTTTCCGTGTCAAAGGCTGACATTTGTGAGCCGGCAAACGGTGGGCCGCCAGGCGCGATGGGGAGCATAGTAGGCGCAATGGGGACCGCTTGACCCATCGTCAAGAATCTCGACATGCCGAGATCCTTGACCTGATCTGGCCAGATGACGTTCTGAGCGCGGAGATCGAGCAGAGGAAAGCCGGCGGTGGCAGAGGGGAGCGAGGTTGACATCTGCCTTGCATAGGGAGGAGGACTCGTCGACGTTTGAGGTGAGAGCGACGGACGAGCGGCCTTGCTATCCGAGAAATTGCTCAGACAGCTTGACGAACGAGTCTTGGGTAGACCCCGGGAGAGGTCGAGAGTGCCCGAATGATGCTGATCAAAGAGCGATGCGCCCGTGCCAGAGCGTCGGCGTTGATCCATGCGAGCTCCTTCGGGCTTGTTGGTGCTGCAAGAGCGCTCGAGCGCACGCAGCTCGGTCTCGGATAGACCAAGGCGAGAGGCCAGATGTTCGACGACGCGCAAGAGACGAGAGTGCTCTGCTTGCGTAGGCGCGACTTCCGTGGCAACGCATCTAGACAGGATGGATGAGCTTGCTGACAAGCACGAATGCAGTCAACATACTGAGGTTCTGCCGACTTCCAGATACATGGCTCCCCTCGGGCGCGGCAAGATGCACATGGTAGACACCTATCACACTGTGGAGACACACTCTTCTTCAGCAACGGTATCATGCTAAAGACCGATAGATGCGCACTTTGGTCTTCTTCTTGCGACATCCTTCGCAGGACATTGCTTTGCGGTTGCGACGTCTCTTGCTTTCGGACGATGCTCTGAAGTTGCGGTGGTCAACAAAGTAGGCGTCATCCACATCGTTGACAGCATGGCCTGTTGATTGACGGCGTTTGATGGAGCCTGTCTGACTTGCGCGGCGCTGATGGATCGTGTTGCTGTCGTCATCGTCATCCTCCTCGTTGTCGTCCTCGTACTCGCCTTCGCCGTCTGTATCAAGCTCGCCATCACCGTCGCTGGAGCGATAGGAGATGGACTTGCGCTTGCGAGACGACATCCGCCTGGGTTCGCAGGTCTGTATGTTCGATAAAGCTGTGCCGCTATTGGAACCGTCTGGAGAGGAAAGCATGATGGTGTACAACGTATTATAGGGTGTGCTGATAGAGCTTGGTTGGGACCGTCGTGCTGACTTGCATTCGACAGAGCGGCGTTCTTTCTTGCGCCAGTCTGAGGACTAATAGACTGGAGCGGGTCAACGTGCTAAACTTATACCATCTGAGCAGTGCAGGCGAAACCGTCTGGTCTGCTTTCAGGAACTCGTCATGATGACTCGCCCGTCCCTCAACAGCTTGCCTCGCCCACCCATGCAGACATGCTCCACGACGATCCCGGCCGCGCAAGCTCTACAGCAGGGGAAGCACATGGCACGACTTGTCTGACGCCGCGCTGCAGTCCAGTCTTTGAGACACCGAAGCGGCCGCCAATAGAGCCCTGTCTAGGAGAATATCGCGTGTTCATTAATCGAAGAGAGACGGGAAGCACAGAACTATCACATGGTCGGTAAGTTTGCGCGGCACAGCCAGGGCGAGGGACCCATCGATCACGTAAGACTGCCGCCGATAGGGCAACGTGTCTGTCCTGCCCACTGTCTGTGACACGTTGTCCGTCGTGGCATGGGCTGACGGCGGATCGGCAGGAAAGGCGCTGGCGCTGTTAAGTGACGCAGATGAGCAAAAATCGCGGCCTATCAACGAGATTGCGGTGCCGACGTATAATGTCCGCGTACACGCGGCGACAAGAAAGGCTCCTATCGGCGACGTTCGGCGTATGGCCTAGAATGATGAGGAGGGGCAGTGCGCGCTAGTGTGTGTGACCGAGTATGAGCGTATGAGTCCCATGAAGGGGGAAGCGAATGCGGAGTGCAGTAAGGCGGCAGTCGATGGTCGAGGTGCTCTATCGGCCGATGAAATTTTTACCATACGCAGGGGTCCGTGTAAAACGAAAGAAATGACAGGGAATCAACAAAAAGATGCATTGAGGGTAATAGTACTAGTCGTGATCTAGCCTCTCGTCGATGTCGTGCTCCTTCGGGGTGGCCAACGAAGGGATGTCGGACGAGATTGAGCGCGTGTGAGGGGGTTTGATTCTCCTACCTAGAACATACAGTCGAGGCAGAGATCTGCGAATATGCAGCATCAGCGGCTGCGAGGAATTGCAAGCACAGAGCTTCTGCTGACCTTCGACGAGACAGCAAGCGCACATTCCCGCTAGACAAGCCAGGCAGCCCGTGCCACCGCCACCTCCTTGCTTCTTCTGATTTTGTACGTAGACCGGTTCTGTGCGCAATTTGCTCGTCAGACTACGCACTGACCGACGTAAAGTCTGCTGTGGAGCTCACGGGGTTGCTGCTGTTGGTAGTTTTGCTGCGGGTATTGCTGCTGACCGTACTGTTGCTGCGGGTAGCCTTGGTTGTAGCCCTGCTGACCGGGCTGCTGGTACGCATTTTGCGGTTGGGGCGGGCCGTAGTAGCCTCCCTGCTGGGGACCTCCGTAGCCCTGTTGGGGACCTCCGTAGCCTTGCTGGGGCGGATAGCCTCTGGACTGATCGCCGTTGCCCTGACCGTAGAACTCCTTTGCTGTTGGAAGATCCACAAAGGCGTCAGCCTGAGTTCGTTCAGCCAATGCACGATGTCCAGCCGAACAGCTGCAACGATCGTGATCTGCTATGACTGACCGGCCATTGGGAAGGTGTGTTATAAGCTTAGAATTCGCTGCCGATGGCCGACACGACGGCGCAAGGATGTCTCCTTGAGGCGGTGTAACAAGCTCGGACCCTGACAACTCGCCAGCGGATCAGTCACATGGCCGTACATCGTCAGCGGACCGCCTACGAGGACTTGTCGTATAGAACTTGCTCGAGCTGGCTTCAACACCGCTTTGTTTCAGTGGACGGCCCGCTAGCCGGGAGATGTTTCGTGCGCGGTCCAAATTTGAATTTTTATGAGTGCAATAGGGTACGCCATACTCAGGCTACAGTCTTCTGATGCACACTCTTCGCGCGCGTCAGCTGATCATAGCCATACTTGCTCAGACTGATCCCCCGGCCAGAATCCTTGACGCCAGTCCAAGCGAGCTCAGGAGCAAGGAAATCACATCTACATTGCCCACTCAGTTTTGCGTTTCCTGCACAGTGGGAAAGCTTGCCTGTTCATAAAGACTGTTCCCGCATCGACCTCGCTGACGAGGTCGTTGAAGGCATCCGCATCGTTTGTCCAAATAGACGCTGTGAGGCCGTAGCGAGAGTCGTTCATGAGTGCAACTGCTTCCTCGTCCGTCTTGACCTTCATCACGCCCACGACAGGACCACTGTAGGCCTCTTCTCAGAAGGTCTGCTACCGAAGCAAGGGGAGAGACGTACAAGGTTTCCTCGGTCATGATGGCCATGGTGTGATTGACGTCGACAAGGACTTGCGGTGCGACGTATGTCGTCCCTTCGGCCGCCTTTGCTTGCACTTCCTCAGGTATGAGCGTTCGCGCTCCTTGTGACACTGTCAAACAGACACGGCGATCAGCAAGAGCGCACTGACCCGAGGATCAGGCTTGCAAGCTTCAGCTATTTGTTTGCGTATGGCAGCAGCAGATGGGATGCTGATGACGGGTCCGAGGCTTGTCTCTTTCTCTCTTGGATCACCGAGCTTCAGATCACCGGCCTCCTTCGCGAGCTGGATGATGAATGCATCGTAGATCGATTCGTGCACGTAGATGCGCTCGACAGAGCAGCATGATTGCCCAGAATTGAAGAAGGCGCCGTCCGCCAGCTCAGTCGCTGCAAAGACAGGATCGGCATCTGACTATGCTCTCAGCCTCTATCTGCACTCAGAACATGCCGAACATACCCTTGCGAACATAAGCTGGGTCCTTGCCGCCGAGCTCGAGACCGACGCTCTTGAAGCCCTCGCCAGCAGTGGCATTCCTGCCTACCCTTCGACCATTCTCGACACTGCCCGTGAAAGCAACCGAAGCGACGCGAGGATCTCGAACGACAGAATCCATCTGGTCGAGCGTGAGATGGAGCGTTTGACAGACATCTTTGGGCAAGCCCGCCTCGAGCAGTAGCGCCGACATCTGCTCTGACGACGTAGGCGTCTGTGGGGAGGGCTTCAGGAGCAGCGTATTGCCTGCCAGTAGTGCAGGCAAAAGCGTGTTCGATTGGATCAGATCTACTCTATGCATCAGCTTTGAGCGAATTTGACGCAGATAGGAACGAACACGGGAACTGTGACGAAGTCAGCACGACTTCTCGACAGCCCAGCTCTGACGTACGTTCCAAGCGCTGATGATGAAGATGACGCCAAGACGCTCTCGTCTGATCGACTTCTTGAACTTGCCCTCCTTTCGCTCTTGCTCGCCCGTGACATCAACTTCGGCTAGCGCTTCGTCTGCAATACTGATCATATACCTCGATCTCGATACAAAGCCAGCGATCTCGAGGTGTGCGAACTTGATGGGCCTGCGCCGCCGCAGATCAGCCGATAGTCGATAGACCGCGTTGTCGATGGCTCACCTGCCCATCTGCTCCGTGATCTCAAGCGCAAGGGCATCTTGTCGCGCTTCGACGAGGTCAAGGAACTTATTGGCTGTAGCCTTACGTTCTTCGAGTGAGGTGAGTCGCCAAGCTTTGCCTGCTTCGACGGACTTGCCAACCGAGGCAGCTACATCACTGTCGCTCAAGAGCTGCCTGATCACGACAGGTTGGCCATCAATGGGGGAGATCTGTCGCACTCTGATGAGCTCTTGATAGCGCGAGCCTGCAAGTATCTGCGTACGGTGGTCTGCACGCCTGGTCCGCCGGCGGTGAGTGCATGAGGTTGATCAGCTGCAGTCGAAGGCGAAGCTACTGCGTCGCCACTTGCTGCCTTGTCCAAGCCGAGGAGCTGCATCTCGCATGAGCTGAAGCAAGGCTTACTTATCTGCTCGGCCACATACACTGGAGATCTGCGCCGTCATGGCCAAGCACGAGAGCGGTCGTGAACTTCGCGCTTTCGTAGCAGAAATCAAAGTGTCGTCATCACATGGCAAGTTTTGACATCTTCACAGCTTGCCTCAACGGTACAGCCACCGTCTAGCCTACACACCCTCATCGCTGATCGACGTGCCCAGGGCAAGCAAATTTGGTAGCTTCGGCGATCAGTAGAGACCACGAATTGATCAACAAGCAAGACCCCAATTCAGACGGGAGGACAGCATTGCATCATGCCTGCACGGCAGGCTCGCTAGACACAGTCACCGCTCTGCTGAGCACGAACAGAGCCGACGTGAACGCGAGAGATGGCAGCGGGTTCACGCCTTTGCTCGTCGCTTGCGCGGCAGGTCAACTGGGCATTGTGCAAGCTCTCATCGGTGCGGGAGCGGACGTCACTGCAACCAATGCAAGAGGTCAGACGGGCCTGCACTATGCAGCGAGTAGAGGGAACGTGCCTGTCGCGACGGCGTTACTCGCCAAAGGCGCAGATGTCAACGCGCGCGACAGAGGTGGTCAATTGCCATTGTTCGTCTTTGCCCATTCGCTCGACATGAGCCAGTACTGACGCTTGGTCCAAACAGACATAGAGCGGCATCGATGGGTTCGGTGCCGTTCATCCAGCTCGTATTGAAAGCCAACCCGGGCGCAAAGACGCCATCGCAAGGCAAGCCGAGACTGAACACGCTCGACAATAATAGCAATACGCCCTTGCATCTCGCCATCGAGTCTGGCCATGCCGAAGCTGCCGTCGTGCTCATCGAAGGCGGCGCTGATCGTGAGCGACTCAATGGCGATGGCGTACGAGCGGAAGACATGGAAGGTGTCGGCGGACAAGAGGCGCGGAAAGTCAAGGCGTACATCATCTCGCACTGCGGTCGAGCGGGCGAGTAGTGCCTAGCTCTCGACTGTGAACCCACGCGAGCTCATGATCTCGTTCATTTGTTGTCGCGAGCATACAAGCCCTATCATAGCGGGTGGCGCACGCGACTCTTGTATCTTCTGCGGAGTGGTCGTGGAAAGCATCAAGAGGTCGTGACCGATTCCTTGCTGGCTGATGAGCATCGTGGCGACACTTTTGCTATTGTTGAGTGAGACCGCCAGGCGATTGAAAGTCTCGTCATTCTCTTTGCCAAGATTGACGCGTCGGCTGTTCAAGAAGGAAGCATCAATGGGTGCGATCGAGAGAGCAGGCAGAGCGTTGCGCATGGAGAACGCTTGGAGCTCGCTGAGGTTGATCTGACGAATAGCGCCGATGCGCATTGCATCTTTGGGGAAGACGATGCTCGCGAACGCATCCTTGTCGACTCGAGAATTGGGAATGAGCGACAGTCGGCAGAGGACAGCGAGCTCTCGTCTCTGCTGAGCTGCAGCATCGTTGAACTCCCACTTGATCGCGCCTTGCCAGAAGTAGCGCAAGCTGTTCTGCTCCGGTCCATGTGTGGGCGCACGCTGAGGTAGCACAGTTTGCACCTTCTGTGCGGCAGACTGTAGCGTTTCCGTGTTGGCACTCGTCTGTGCTATCGGGTCGAGGTTGGCGGGAGCGTCAAGCTCTGGAATGCCGGATATCTTACGCTGAAGAGCGTCTAGAGCAGCCTGCTGTTTCATGACATGCTGCTTGGCTCTCGTGAGCTCCTGACGTGCAGAGTCTTCGGTGATCTGGCCGGCCTTGAAAGAAACTTGGAGTGATGCGACATGCTGTGAGTAAGCCGCGGCGATCTCCTGGCGCTTCTTTGAGATCGAAGCGGGCGTGACGTTGATGAGATCTGGTGGCAGGCCGATGACGGTAGGCGCAGTGGGTTGCAGTCGAATTGGCTGTGCGTCAGCGTATTCTGCAATGCTGACTAGATGCTGGCTGAATGGCAGGGCGAAGCCAAGCGTCTCTGGCGAGATTTGCGTCAGTGCAGATGTCTCCACGAGCTGATAACAGGTCAGCGCAATCCGAATCAGATGTATGGCTCGCTCACCCTGGTATGCCACCGCGATAGTCGCGTAGTGGGCTGAAGCGCGATCAAGCTGACATTGACATGCATCTGTCCCGAAATGAGCGTGCGATCATCTGCTGCGTCGGACGGATGACCGACCTGACTGATCTTCTCCAGCAATGAGAGCCAGTTCTCGTCGTCGTACCGTTCGGTCTGATTGAGCCTGGGTTTCGGCTGCAAGGTGACATAGCTTTCAAGCGAGAGTTCGGGGTCCAGCCAGACATCCAGCCCGAAGTCGTGCTGAGTGAGCAATACCAGAGTCTTACGCTTGACAGACGGCAGTCGGTCGAGCTGCTCCAAGCCACGTAGCAGTCCCTCAAAGAGCATGTCGTGCGAGTCCGCGTTTGCGTCGTAAGGAGCGTCATTGGAATCAAGAAAGTGTGAAGCTAGCTCAAAGCGAGCTTCTGTTGCTGCAGTCCATACTGTCGAGCGCAGAGGGAGGAGTGCGTCGGCGTTGTTGAAGCTGGTCAGTGAGATATGTACAGGCAGACCGGTCGCAGCCAGTCTTGAGATCAGTCCGTCGATGTAGACGGCCGCTAGGGTCTGCCACTGCTGCCTGATCAGGTCCGAGCTGGCGACGACGATGGACAAGAGCTGGCAGCTGTCATCCTGTGCCATCAGCCGACGACTGAAGCCAGCGAAGCGAAGCAAGTGGCAGCTCGCCTAGCTTCAGTCGCGAGCGCGAAGCAAGGTGAGCGGCGGCGCAAGGGCAGGCAAGTCAGCGCAGTCACATTCTCGGCGATGGTCGTCGACAAAGATGCTCAGGTCAAGCCGATCTACGTAGCCATCATCCTACTGCGGCACGCACTGCCACTGCTCTTGCTGGCCACGCTCTTGCTAGCACTCATCATCCGCGGCGTGTTCTATGCTTTCAGCGAGGAAGGTGAGCCAGTGCAGCGCAACGGCGTCATCGAACAGAGCTCATCATGTTGCATGCAGTCCCTCCGACGGTCCAGATCGACTACATGCCCATCTACCCAGCCGCGCCCGTACCGGTCAACCCAGCCGCCGACTCGAATGCAAACGGAGACGAGCAAGACACATCAGAGGAGACCACAGCAGCGACCATCAAGCCTGCAAGACGCAGACGGCGAGGTGTCACCCTTGCCCTCTTCGGCCTCGTCACGGTCTCCTACCTGCTCGATGTCATCGTCTATCTCGCGCGAATGGGAGACGACGACGATGATCTGCTCGTTCATGGCAAGCCAGAGAGTATACTGGCCATCTGGAAAGGCGAGGAACTCTACGCTTTCGGCGGCCTGGTCGCGTTCCTCGGGTGCATGCTCGCTATGCTGGGTGAAGAACACCTCAACGGAGAGAAATCGAGCTGGAATGGGGTTTACCCAATGATCCTTGCCGTGCTAGCAGGCCTCGCCGAGCCCGTCTTGCTCGTCCTGCTCGCCGTCGCCATCTCAAAGGGTATGCTCTCTTAGCAGATGACATGCAAGCATGCTGACGCGCAGACACCAGACTCGGCCAGCACAGTAGATCTCTACACAGCCTTTCACATTGCAGCGCTCGCCTGGCGCGTTCTGCTGCTCTTCATGCTCATCTACGCACTGTCCCCAAGAGGACGGCAGCGTGTCCACTCGCGACTGATGCCCATCATCAGCCAAGAGGAGTCAGCTCAGACCAACAATGCCGACAATACGGCACAGTACGGCACTTTCAATCAGTAGCTCAGATCCATCCACATGTTGTGACATTCGCATTTGCATTCCCATACAGTCGCAAACGTACTCTGCACTCGCGCAAGCTCGGGCAGAAAAGCGACATCAAACTGGTTACAACAAGATTCGTGTATGAACAGCAGCGAGGCACAGATGGCTTTGCGCGTACGTGATGAGGATCACCTGGGTGAGGAGGTATTGTTCGGTATAGGTGGCGAGACGGGTGCAGGACGCATGGCCAGAAGCTTCTCTTGACCCAGGAAGAGGATTTGGCTGCGAGAGATGTCTTGGATCGAGGGACCAAAGTGGCCGTCTCGGACCTGGTTGTATGAGTAGACTCCCTGAGGCTTGTAGGCAGGATAGCCAGAGTAAGCGTGCGATGGCGACGAAGAGGGCGTGTCGGAGAACAGGCAGCGCAGGTTGTTGCCCGGTATGATCTGCATGAGCGCACCAGACTCGACGTGCCGCACTTCGACAAAACTCGGCTCGAATGCCAAGATGTATGGGTAGTGTAACGCTGCCAGATGAATCAGATCAGATCTGCCGTTGAGGGATTGGACTGACCAAAGGCAGTTGGGTGCCCCTCCCACTGTATGAGGAAATTGGTCCTCGCGCGCCAACCAGACTTGTTGCAAACGAAAGCCATTTCTGCGATGTGCGTCAGCAAACGCATAAGCTCAGTTCCTCTAACATACCATCGTAGCAGAGCAGAAACTCCCCATCGATGCGGAAGATCGCGAGGGGTCGAAGATTATCGCGCTTCGACACAAAGTCGAGCGAGGAATCGGCCGGATCGAGCAGACCTTGCGTGTCGAGGGTCTCGAGATCGACGATTTCGAAGCCTTTCGAAGTGCCGACACATAACTTGGACTTGAGGAAATATATCGAGCTGGACTCAGTAGGTATGTAGAACTCCTGCGCATACTGTCAGACGGGTCTGACGTGTGGACGATCGAACTGACCTTGAAGACGCGCAGAGATTCGGTGTTCCCTTGCAAGAACTTGCGCAGAGGCGCTGCCTTTTTGCCGCCTTGCCGTGCTTCGATAGGCTCGAGCGTCTTGATCGTGCTCGAGACAGACCCAGATTTGACCACGCAGACGAGCGTCCTGCCAAGACACTGGCCGGTCTTGAAGAATGTCGCACTTGAGGATATTTTCCTCGCGCGCTTGGCTGCCCCGACAGCGTCGTTCGGGTCGAGATTGTCTATGAAGAACGTCTGCACAGTCTTGTCTGCTCAGAAAGCTCCATCAGCTCGTGTCAAAGCCTGCAAAACGAGATTTACTTGCCTGCGAGAACGATGAGAATGCCATAATCTTCAAGGACGTCTACTTGTGTCACATTGACAAGGGCAATGACTTTGACCGGCTTGCTCCGTCGGTGCAGGTCTGCAAGATAGACACCATTATCTGTGCCAATGACGACCTGTTGAGCATTCGCGTATGGCGCTGCACACGTGATCTTGTTGGCGCCACTGAAGAAACCCTCCGTCAAGATCTCCGGTTGGAAGATGAGACTGCGTTCTCGGAGCTCGGTCTGTCGCTGTTCGATCTTCTCGAGCCATTTTTTGCGACCTGCCCAAGAAGGTGACCACAATGTGATACTGTAGCCCTTCCGCCCTAGATTGGTGAAGGTAACGGCAAAGCCATTTTTGCTTTGCGGCACGGGCTGTTGAGTTGGCTTGCCGCCCGTCGAAGTGCGCGACATGAGAGACTTGGGTCTGACTCCGCTGCCTTTGCTCTGCGCCAAGTCATCGAGTACGGTAACGACGAGAAGCTCGAGCGGGATTGGCTTGCGGTAGACTTTGAGCTGCTCGTTCTTGTTGGCGATCTTCTGCTTGACCATGAGGAGAGCATGATCAAACAGGAAGACCTGTAGCTCAGCGCTTTCGCTCTGAGTGCCGCCTCGCTTCTTCAGTGGTCCCTTGTAGATCATCTCGCGATTCTCCTCGCGCAGCCGTAGATCGACAGCTTCGCCGTTCTTGAAGACGAGCTGTTGGTCAAGTTGCGCAAGATTGAAACGGTTTTCGCTCTTGCCACTCTCGATATTCACCTTGCGCAAGAACTCCCTGACGATCTTGACAGCTTGCGTGAGTGCCGCTTTGTCTGGATGCCCCTCCGGCGTATATTTGACGACGACTTCGAGCAGGAGAGGGTAACGGGCTAAACGCGTCGTAGGTTTGGTGAGGTAAGCGTTGAGCTCCAGCTTGCGAGATTCCGGCAAACGCTCCGTCTCGTCGACATACTTTGCAAACGCTGGATTGCTGCTCTTCTCGGTCTCGAAAGTGTATTTGCCATACAGCTGATGCGCTCCATATTTGACGAACGGGCCGAAATGTGGCACAGCATCAAGCAAGAGGTCGCCTATCCGGTCGACAATATGCGACTGACGTTGCCGTTGTTCCAGCAGCTCACACAGCCTGATATTAACTGCCAAGATCTCCTGAACGTTCCAGAAGACTTGCTGCACAAAGTCTTCCCGTCGTGATTCCGGCAAGGGTGATCCGGTTGCTTTGAGGGGCTTCATCCAGCTATCGCGCATGTATTCGAGACCTTTGATAAAGTCACGCTCGGTATAGATGACCTCATTGATAGCTTCCTGTCGCTTCTTCTCTGTATCAGAGACGCTGTCGATGATTTCTTGAGGGACCGAGCTGATCCACAATGTGCCGGGCTCTCTCAAATCACCATCGCCAGCAATATCCTGAGTTGTCGTGTTCTGCAACCCAGGTTTTGGCTTGATGTTCAGTCGTGCTTGCTGCTCCAGTCTACGTGGACAGGCGATGCTGTAGCAGAGCCGGTCGCGAGTGCAAGTAGGCGAATAGCAATCGGTCAGCAGAGTGAATACGCCGCTGGGGATCATGATGTCCTCTGATAACATCGTGTCGGTGATTGACGGTCGGCGAGCAAGTCCTCCATGCAGCGCTTCGTCGCCAGAATGAAACGAATTTGTGATTCGCTCACGAAATTGGTAGATCTCGTATGGGGTATCTCGTAGTCGATGGTCGTACGTGACATCGTGGAAGAACTTTTGCGCATCCAGAGCTCTACCGAGCAGGAGCGCGAGGTTACGATCGGTCGTTTTGATGATGCTTGCTATCCTATCGACGGCTTCTCGCCCATCGAATGACTCCTTGTACGACAGACCGTCCTTGACGCGCTCAGACAGAACGATGCGCATCATGAACGCTTCTGCGACTCTCGAAAGCAGCGCAGGGTAGACGATTGGAGATCGCCTGTGAACGAGCACTTGGCTTGAGCTAGATGCTGTCGAGGCTCGCATCTGAGGTCGCTCCGGCCCAGAGAAAGAGAAAGCGCGGTCTTGATGCGCATTGAATTGCCGCGGCTGGGTTGGCTGCACTCGAACGGATTCGGAAGAGCGACGAGCGCCATGCATCATGCCTGCAACTGCCTGAACCGGACCGTTGTCAAGCTGATCATGAATAGCTTGATAGCGAGCTTGTCCGGGGACGCCGACCAGTGGTGTTAGCGCATCGCCAGACAGGCGACCGTAGAACGAGTTTGCGTCACTGTCCGCCGAACCCCTGCGTGACTGTGCATTGGAGGTAAAGCCTGTGAAACTGGTCTCGTCTGTAAAGCCTGTCAGGCGCAACCGAGATCAGCACAAGCTTTGAAGAGACAGGGTCGAGGGACCGACGATCGTGATATTCCGCAGATGAGTCATTGCTGTAAAGGGGTCGATCGACGGGCGTCATGCGCAGGCCGTCAGAGCGCGATTCGCCACTACTCGCTCTGTGCAAGCTCGAGGGGGCAGAGCTGAACCAGTCATAGCCTGTGTATGCCTCTTCGGGCTGCATTTCGATTGTTGGTAACCTTGGCGTGGTCGGAGAAGACTGCGGCCGACCATTGGTTCCATATGATGTACCGGGAGGTGACGGCAAACTTGGCAGAGCTCTAGCATTGCCGCTCATTCTTCGGCCCAGAGACGTATCTGAGCCTTGTGCGGACACTGCGTGCGGAGGCATATTGCGAGCGTTTTGGTCGTACGCGTCATAGTAGGCTTGACCGCTTGACGGTGCCCCTGACGGGTAGGCATACTGAGTAGCGCTATAAGTCGTATCCTTACTGCTCGTCGATCGGTGCTGAGACGGAACAGGCGGTAATGTTCGGTATGGCGGATGAGGAGACGCGCTCTGCTGCGGCTGCTGCTGATAAGGTGCAGCAGGTGTAGGCTGAGCATATTGGGAGTAGCGCTGCTGAGATTGAGGTCTGACAGGAGGTTCGTAGCCCGATGATCCGCCCGAAGAGTGCGCATACATCATGGGAGCGAGCGAATTAGAGCTAGACCGTCGCGATGTGGTCGATACGCCAGCTTGATGATTGGCGGCCGTATTTGCATAGTCGTAGCTACTCCCTCTCGAGTGATCGCTCGTGTAGGCGTTGCCTCTGCCAGGATCAGCGCCAGCATGAGCCGGAGTCATCTGCAGCTGTACTCTTGGCGCTCCTCCCGAGTACTGTCTCTGGATCTGGGGCGGCTGCGGGTAGGCAGATTGATTGTTATACCTATCGTTGGTGTACTGCTGAGTAGCAGCGTAGCCATCCTGCAGTTGGGCATGAGCACTGGCACTGGCAGGATGATGCTGGGATTGTCCGCCGGCGTAGTGCGAATAGGCTTGAGGATGGGCAGGCGGTACCATGGCCTGACTAGCCTGCAGGTTCTGTTCTGCTAGTGGTAGGACAGGGTTAGGTCTGCCGAAGATGTTCTGGTAGGCGTCATGCCGACGATTTTGGTGGGCTGCCATCGCTGCCCGCAACGAGCCGTTGTGGCCCCTCTGCTTGGTCGTCTAGCTATCCCGCTCACCCGACGATGCACAGACGGTAGTGTCTCCTTCGACCAGCAGCACCTGAGCGCCCTGCTAGGCCAGCTAGCCCCATCAGATTGGCCAAAAGGCGAGTTCGGTCTTCACACCACACCACACACTCGCAACTCGTTCGCGCGATCGCCTGAGGCAATTTCAATTTGCAGCTTATGATGCTCCCGGATTGTTCATTTTGCAATGTTCTACGACGATGGCGCGGGACAATTTCCGAACGATGGCGGTCCTCCCGATTGCTCAGTAGCGAGCATACGGATCTGCAGAAGGCTAATCAGTATTCGCGAGCGCAGATGACGCGTGCAGGCAGACCGTGTTGAAGGTCGTGAAGAGTGTCACGATGACGCCGAAGATGCAGAGAGCGATATCGGTCGCCTTTTGTCTCCTCGTCTTTGCACACGCTCGGTAGTGAAGCAATGCAGCTGTTTGATGGGTTGAGTGCTCCTCTCGTGTCACGGGCAGGAGAACGCACGATAGCAGAAGCAGAGGGGTACGCAAGCCAGACTTCCGATCAAACTGAGGTCGCGCATGAGCACGAGCACATCGGAGGAAGAGCTGACGTACGACACAAACTTGTCGAGATCGTTTGAGCCCAACCAGGCGACGAGCATGCAGAAGACGACCATGCTGACTCTAAAGGTGTTCTTCTGCCACTTGACCCGGTTCGAATACTTCCCGCTCGAGCTGAACAGCCCATTCTCCATAATTCGTACGGCTGGGAACAATTGCAGTGGAGTCGAAAGCATGATAGCGAGACTGTACAGAAGCTGCACGACATTGACTGCCCGGCTGTCTTGAGGTAGATTGACCATGACGACTGTCTGGATTTTGCTGCCATAGGCTGCATAGGATAGTACGCCAGCTCCACCGAAGAGGATCGCAAGGAAGACCATGACGCAAGAGAGCACGGCCGGAAACCGTTCGGGCTCTTTCATCGACTCGGTGATCGGAATGATGAGTCCAATGCCCTCAAAGGCAAAGACGGCAGTACCGATCATGAGCGTGAAAGAATCCGAGTTGAAGAGGACGACATCGGCGATACCGTGTCGAGCGAGGATGTTGATCTCGTTGCCAAAGATGTAGATGACGCCGACGAGAATAAAGGCATCTGCTAGCAATGCTGTTCCGGACAGCTTTTGTAGATTCCTGACGAGCGCGAAAGGAATGAAAATGACAAGTTGCATGGCGATGAAGGCCGGGATACTGATGAGAGTCCGACAGTCTGTGACTGCCTGAACGAATGCTTGTAGATTTTGCGCGGCTGCAACCCAATGTCAGCCAAAGATAAACAGTAAGCCTGCAATTTGACGGACTGAACGTAGCTGCGAGGACCAAAAGTCAGCTCACGTAGGGCGCAGCCGGGAGAAGACTGACTGTATACAGCAACAAAGCCGATCTGCGAGATGGTGATCGAGAACAGAATAGCATAGCGAAGCCAGGGCCCGTAAAGAATACCGCCAATCTCTCCAAAACCGCCTTTGATGACGAGTCTGGTCTTGACGAGCAGCAGAAACGAATAGAGTGAGATGGCGGCGATACCAACGAGCAGGAGGGCTGAAAAGAGTATGCCTCCATTGAAAAAGGCTTTGCCGAGGAAGAGTACGCCAGTCCCGACGAAAGATTTGAGTAGCATGAGCACTGCCTGGGTGACTGTAGCATCTCCCTTCGTGCTCGTACTACCCGCCCGATGCTTGCGAATGATGGACGCTTTCGACTCACCCCGCCTTAGGGATTGTCGTTTGAGCAACGCTGTCCGTTCTGTTGCTAGCTCTCGGGATTCGATATCGAAGCGTGCCCTCGCGCCCGTGCCTGCATGTCCTGCTTCCTGCTCCTCGAACGCGAGCACCTGGGCGATCTCGTCCTCGTCACGCTCGTCTATCTCTTCTAGATCCTCGCCATAGAAATGTCCATGCAGACTCAGGAAATCTACGAATCTGTGTAGCATCACTCTGATCAGCTACGCCCAAAGCACACAATGTCAGTCCGACGAACGACCGGGTGAACTTGCGGGGAGGAGCGTCGCCGTCTGCGTCTTCTGCGGCCCGTCTATGCAAGAAGTTGCGCCTGAAACCGCCTGGTTCGCGAATATTTCGAATGTCGAGCGTTGGGTCGATGCGCTCCCCTCCGTTGGCGCGCTCCTCTGCGCCCGAGAAGGAGAGCGACCTCGGTCGTCTGATCTGTGCTTGTTGCGCTTGCTGTTCCCACTTGTAAAGATCATGCGTCACATCTCCGCCCAAGAGATTGTGATAGGTCGACGAATTGGGATCCACGCCTTCTTCTGCCGCCGCGGGAGAAGATTCCGCGGGGGGTGGTGCATCGATCTCATCGGTCTTGTTGCCCGAAAAGTAGTCGTCCTCCTTGGGCTTCGGGCGTTCGGAGTGCTGGCTGTTCGAATCGGAAGCGCGTCGTGGCGTGCTGGCTTCAGGACTTGTTTGGTCTGACCGATTGACGAGATGCATTCTCAGTATCCTCGCCTTGTGGGCGTCACTCATCTCGTCGGGTCTGCTCGCCGAAGGAAGGGCATTGTTGCTCGAAGCGATGCTGATGCTCGAGCTGTTCTTGTCTTGCTGCTTTGCTTCTGCGAGTGACTGACCTAGCGCACTCGGCGAAACAGCTTTACGCGATGGTCCGGCGGGCAGGGCTCGCTTGGTAGCGTTGAAGTCTTCTACAGAGCCCTGCTTAGCTTCCAGCGAGCCCTGCGAGATGGGTCTCGACTGAGCAGGCGTGGAAGAGTAGCTCGCTCGTGGAGGAATGTTGGGCACAGCAGGCGAGCTAGCCAGCTTGGCGGAGGGAGCAGCGAGCGGAGAGGCAGCTCGAGGTCTCGACGAGCTCGAGAGGGGTATAGCATTGCTAGGACGGGCTTGGGAAGTGCTCGCTTCGGCCTGATGGCTCGTCGACGTCGCCGAATCGGTCTCAGGCACAGGCAAGGGCGCCGTCGTGGCTGAGGGTGACGTCTGAGCGGACTGCTGCCTCGAGCGCTTCCCACGCTTGTTCTTCTTTGCCATTGTGGCTCTGTGCAAGGCAGTCCAGTGGCTGGCTTGCTGCCGGTCAGGTCGGATTTGCCGTGCTGCGAGCAACGCGACTCGCCCTTGGGCGCCTTGGGCAGTCGACTGACAGACCAAGGCTCGCTTCAGGGATGTCCTTCTTCGGCTCGCAGCTCAACAAGCCGGCTACGACGCTCGTGACAGACACAGATGTCGAGGCAAGTGAAAGGCTAACTCTGCGTCAGCACGGGCAAGGCTGAGCAAAGGAGTCGTTCAGCTCCAGAATGGCCCAACCGATACAGCGTCTTGCCTGGCTTGGTCACCCACTGCAGACCTCCTCGCCATCTCATCATGGGACAATCAAGTCCGTCACACCCTGCCCGTGTCTCGCTCGTGCCTTACAGTCGCGGACAGGTGAGGATATATCAGGTCGACGGCCAAGGTCAATCTCAGGGCAAGGCTGCTTATTCCCACGAAGGGCCTGTCCTGTCTGTCTGCTGGAGCAAAGCTAGTCCACATCTTCGTTAAGGCCCCGGACGCTGTGGCTGATGGACGAGAGCAGGACGGTAGCAAGATCATCTCTGGAGGAGCAGACAAGGCTGCAAGACTGTTTGATGCCGCTACACAACAGTCCTCTCAGGTCGCTGCACACGATGCCCCCATACGAGCCGTCAAGTGGATCGACGCATCCAATGGCCTGCTCTGCACCGGCAGCTGGGACAAGACCATCAAGGCAAGCGCGTCCTCGATTGACTTGGCGCGCGGTTTCTCATACAGCGGGTTGGCCTTGCAGTACTGGGACCTCCGCACTTCGGCACCCGTGCTGTCCGTCACACTCCCAGAAAGGGTCTATACCATGGACGTCACCTTCCCCTGGCTCGTCGTCGGCTGTGCCAACAGGAACATAGAGATCTACAACCTCAACAACCCGGGCACGCTCTTCAGGCACATCGAGTCGCCTCTCAAATGGCAAACCCGCTCAATCGCATGTTTCCCGGACGGACAAGGATTTGCAGTCGGCTCGATCGAAGGTCGACTGGCGATACAGTACATCGACGAGAAGCAGTCCAGTCTCAATTTCAGTTTCCGCTGTCACCGGAAAGAGCAAGCCACCAATAAGAACGTCTCCGATATCTGGGCCGTCAACGCGGTCAGCTTCAATCAACAACACGGCACCTTCTCGACAGCCGGTGCGGATGGCACGATATGTTACTGGGACCACCTCTCCAAAACGAGATTAAAGAGTATGCCAGCCAATCACCTCCTGATCTGCTTGTTTCGCTGACAGGCCGTTGGGCGTGCAGTATTCGACAACCGCGGCGGACCTATCACGAGTACAGCATTCAGTGCACAGGGCACGTACTTTGCCTACAATGTCGCCTACGACTGGTCAAAAGGTCATTCGGGCGCGCTGCCCTCCAATGTCAACAAAACCATGCTGCATCTCGTCAAGGTGCGCCATGCTTCCCTCATACTACCGATCGGCCTCGCTGACTGTGCCGAGATGCAGGATGAAGAGGTGCGAAAGAAGCCAAAGAAGTGAGAAGGAGGTGTACTCGGCCATGTTATGTTGTACTTTTGCAACGCGTCCAGCTAGCAAAGCCGCCCATGCGCTGATGAGCTACTTCGGCGGCGGCGCCAATCTCAACAAAGCGGTCGTCAATGATGTCGAGGCTCGTACACTCCACAGTCTCAGCCTCGTACGCTCACGCGGGCCAGAGCAGCTCACTAGTCCGCCCAATGACAGCGTAACGGCATTGTCCTGGTGTCCCACTCAGGACTTGCTCGCCGTCTCAGCGTGGGACAATCAGGTCAATAGAACGTCATCGGAGACCTGATCTGGGCTCACCGAGATGCACGCCAGGTGAGGATCTATCAGGTCACCGAGCAAGGGCAATCGCAAGGCAAGGCGGCCTACTCGCACGACGGTCCGGCGCTCGACGTCTGCTGGAGCAAAGCAAGTCTGCCTAAAGCAAGTCTGATGTGCATCATCTGATGCGGTACGCACCATCAGGACGGGACAAGAGTACTCTCGGCAGGTGCAGATAAAGCAGCACGATTATTCGATGTTGCCACTCAGCAGTCCTCTCAAGTAGCCGCACACGATGCTCCCGTCCGTTGCGTCAGATGGATAGACGGACACAATCTCCTGGCAACGGGCTCGTGGGACAAGACGATCAAATACTGGGACCTCAGGCAACCGACTGCTGCTCTATCAGTCACACTGCCCGAAAGAGTCTATGCAATGGATGTCGCGTCTCAGCTCATGGTCGTCGGCTGTGCGAACAGGAACATTGAGATCTACAATCTCACGAATCCAGGAACGCTCTTTCAGCACGTTGACTCGCCTTTGAAGTGGCAGACACGATCGGTTGCCTGCTTTCCAGACGCAACAGGCTATGCGCTGGGCTCTATCGAGGGCAGGATAGCAATACAATACATCACTGAAAAGGATGCTGCCAGTTCCTTTTCCTTTAAAGCGCATCGCAAAGAGAATCCGACCAACAAGAGCGTTTCAGATGTTCACTCGATCAATTCCATCTCTTTCCATCCCGTCCACGGCACCTTTGCGACGAGCGGTGGCGATGCAACAATTGTCTGGTGGGACTACATCAGCAAAGCTCGATTGAAAGGTAAGAGCTTCCTCACGGCCTGCCCCTGGACCTGTCAAGCTGACCATGCTGTAGCCTTCGACCCCCAACCTGCGCCGGTCCTCGCAACGGCGTACAGCTCTACCGGCAGATGGTTCTCATGGGCATGTGGTTACGACTGGCACAAAGGGCACGAGGGCAACATGCCGACAGCGCCCAACAAGATCTTTCTGCATCCGATCAAAGATGAAGAAGCGCGACGTAGGCCCAAAAAGTGAACTAGTCCTCGTGTTGTTCCCATGTTCATATGCATTCGCAAGTCTCGCAAGTATGTCCGACTCAATCGCGTTGTTCGAGCTGCTTGATCTTATCGCTCACGCTGGCCGAGTTGGGAGCCACTCGAGGACCGCCCACACGGGGTCCCCGTGCTCTCGGTGAAGCCTTGCCATCTACCGTCAGAGGTGTTGTGCGAATCATGCTGCTTCGCTTCAAGCTTGACGACGAGCTCAGCGGGCGATCAAGATCTTCTGCGCTGACTTGCGCCAGGGTGACTTTTTCTGCAACGGGCGGCGGCAGCGGCATAGCCTCAGCAGGAGGCGGCGAAGTCTGAGGAGCGAGCGCATCGACAAATTCTGTACTTGACGAGGAAGTGCTCGAAGAGGCAGGTGAAGTGACCTGGGATGCCAGGACGGGCGGTGCAAGCGTATCCGGCACGGACGCGTCCTGCTCCTGCTGAGGTCTGATCGTATCGCCTGTATCCTTGCGCTTCGGCTCAAATGTGGCAGGCGAGGCAACATTGCTTGCGTCTTCCTCTGTATCGACGAAGGAACCGTGCCCGAGTAGACTGCGCCTTATACGCTGGTCAGTAGGGCGTGTTCTTCTGCGCTTGGGCTTGTGTTGTTCTCGATCGCGTGTCGTACGGATAGCGATCGCTTCTGGCAAGATTGTTTTTTGCTGCTTCAGCAGATCAATGAGAAGGCGTGCAGACGTCCTGTCGTCTAGACTCGCAGCTCCTTCCACCTTGGGTCTCAGCAAGGCTGCATAAAGCATGTCAGTTCATTAAATCGCGCAGACTGCAGTGACGTACTGCGTCCGACGGATAGGCCTAGCTTGGTGAGGTAAGCATCATGGTCATCGTTATCCGAATCTGTTGCTTCGATCAATGTGGCCAGGTGGTCAATCAGCGCATCGAGCACGAGAAGATTTGTCTTTGGCAATTTGACAAGCAGGTGTCGGATCTTTTCTGCACGCAACGCTGCATCGTCGACCGTATCGGCACCGACAGCAGGGTAGACCGACTTGACGTCGTCGAAAAGGTAGTGACTCACGACAGGTTCGTGAAGCTCGAGCAGCCAGAGCTTGCAGGTAGCGCACACGACCGGCAAGTCGAACGTGGCGATTGCGCTCACGTCTGGCTCGAGGCTAGCATCGTTGAGAATCGCTCGCAAGCGATGGACAGGCATGAGCGGAACCTCATAGAGCCAGACTTTGCGGCGCTCTTTGTCGTTTGGCAGAGTCTTGTAGCCCTCTGCGAGCCGTGCTAAGAGCGCGGACAAGACAGGGGGAATGTCGCCCGTTTGGCTTGACATAATCTGCGATACTTCGGTCCATCGGATCAGGCTCATACCAAAGTTGTCGGCAATCTCGTCGTGATAACGATCTTCGAAGGTATGAGCCGTTGGTCTGAACGGTCCTGTCTTGTGCTGCTCGATGATTGCAGCAAGCTCGACTTCCGGCAGAAAAGCCTCTTGTAGCAATTTGGATTTGGCGGTTGCGGCTTCGTCTGTAGGCGCGATTGTGCTCAACGTTGCATTGAAGGTATTCAAGACTGTCTTGACGGCTTTCAATCGTTCGAGTTCGCATCTTTGAGCGGCGATGTAGCTGTACGAAATGGTCTCCTCGAGCTGGAGTCTCGCATCGTCCAGCTTGCGAAGATGGGCACGATACGTGCGCTCTGCCTCGTCCGCAGCACGATGCGCTTTGCTCAGACGATCGCCAGCTTTGGACGGCGTGACGACGCCCGAGATCGCCGACGATAATTTTCCAGCTAGCGTGTTACTTCGTGTGAGACCATTGTTGGTCGCTTCGGTTGATACACTCGAGGCTGCGTTGTCGATGGCAGGAGATGCAAAAGACTGCTGACCTGGTGGGTCAAAGGGAAGATCGGTCTCTGTACCGGAGAGGTTGAAGGCATCCGATCGCCATTGATAGAATGCGTCGTCTGCATCGTAGAAAGCATTGCCAAAGGCTCCGACCAGTCTGAGCACTCCCAAGGCTTCGGTGAGCTGAGTACAGAACCGAATGGTCTCGTCATAGTTGCCTTGCAAGCCCGACAGGGTCTTTTGAAACCAGCTGACGAGGTCGTCGCCTGTGTGGACGTGCTCATACGTGCCCAGTAAGGGGACTCTGTGACTTGTCGAAGGGCAATTGGCAGCAGCGTCTGCGAAGATGACGGACCATTCTGCTGTCGTTTTGATGACTCCGGCAATCTCCACTCGCTCTGGCAAAGCTGGCTTGGCCTTCTCGGGCGACTGTGCAGGCTTTGCCTTGCGATTGAAATCGCGCTTAAAGTCAAGCTTCTTCTGTAATGGCATGCCTTCGGGCGTCATAGGTGATTCGATGGCTCTCTCTTTGCCTTTGACGAGCTTTGGCGTCTCTGTGAGAGTCGTATCTTCCGAACCAGATGCTGATTCGACAGCTGTGCTCGATTCTGAAGCCGTCGACTGGGTATCGACGGCAGATTCGCCGGTGGCAGCCTCGGCGACTTCGGAGAGCTTGTTGAGCGCATTAGAAGCTTGCAGACGTACGCTGTCCCATCTATCGGGCTGAGTGGGCCCAACAGACGGATGAATTGGTGATGCCTGGCTGGGGCTAGATCCATTGGCCTGACGTGAGATGCCGCCTACGCGACGTGAAAGCATTCGAGCAAGGCCAGCAACGCCTTCTCCTGCGATCGGAGTGTCTCGCTTCTCTGGAGAGACGGAGCCGTCCCGGCCAGGCTGGAAGCGCGCGTCGTCATCGAAATCGTTTGCGATTTGCCATTGCTTGTCGTATTTCGCTCTGACAGACTCGAGCTGTCCGTGACGTATGAGCATGGGCTAATCTGATGGAGGAGGGTCTCGTACCGTTGCTAGTCGTTGCGTGTAGATGCTGAGATCAAAGTGGATGTCGTTGTAGAGCTTGGTGATCCTTTCCGCGTGGCCCTCTGACCATCTCTCAAAAGGAAAGACGACCATCTTCTCCAGTTCGAGTGCCAGCTTCTCGTGCATACGGGATTGTACGTCAGTGTCATCGAGCAGGGCTTGGTAGCATAGTTTGAGGTTCGCTCCGTCATCATAGCCAAACCCGCGCGAGTCGAGCGCACGCGTAGCTGTCTGACCGAAGTGCGCAGCTAGCTCATGATGAAGTGTCGCTCGTGCCTGTGGGGCATTGGTGGATTCAGGAAGCTCCAAAGAAGTCTGAAGACCCGGTCTGACTGACCTTGACAAGGGCGAGGATTTCGTCATTTTCGCCGACACCTGCGCGCAGCTCTGCTCGCCAAAAGTCAGCTAGACCCGACTAGCAAGCGAGGTCGGTCGTACTCGAGAAGAGAGTCTCGACGCCTGTCGTGTAGTCTTGCGTCCAAAACTGTGAGTAAAGCCATATGATTTGAGCTCGAGCATGGCGAGTCAGATGAGCTGCTGCTGACCGAATTGAGGAACGACGGCGGCAGATGAACATGTGCGCCGACCATGGCAGCCTGTCTTGCGCCTTTGGAGCCCGTTGGGGCACACCGTCAGAAGTGAGCAAGTGTGCCAATCCAGGCGGTGCTCTGGCTGGCGCTGCTGCAGTCGGACGCGAGGAAAGTGGAGGTGACGCACTGCCACGACGAGGCAGCCCTCGAAGATGTCGCTGTACTTGCAGTCAGACGCTGCACAACCCCTCAGTTCGGCCGAGCTAGCCGTCTTGGCAGATCAGTTCAGCAAGGAGCGAGACGCAGGCCACCTGGCGACTCAGACCAAGTTCAATTATGCATGGTCTCTCTGACTTGCTTCTGCTCTCTCGCGGGTCAGGCTGACAGACCGCACAGGGGTCTTGTCAAGAGTACAGAGACGACAGACGTCAGCAGAGGTGTCGAGCTGCTGGGAGGCACGTCACCTCCTCAACAAACGACATTGAGGGATCGCTTACATCGTTCTTGCAGAGATCTACAGGGACGAGCCACAACGAAGGCGGGAGTGCCTCTTCTACCTCTCGGTGGGACACAGAAAGCTAGGCAACTACGAGCACGCAAAGCGGTTCAACGATCTCCTGCTTGCGAAAGAGCCCGGCAATATGCAAGCCAAAAGTCTCGCCACACTCATCGAACGCGATGTCCAGAGGGGTGAGCTGCCACGGCTGACATTGGAAGCCATGCTGAGATGGATCTAGATGGTTACATCGGCATGGCAGTCGGCGCAGGTGTGGCAGGATTGGCGCTCGCCGTCTTTGTACAAGGCACGCATCATCGATTTGCCTGTCCAGACATGCTGACCTCATGACAGGCATACGGAGCTTCAGTAACCGCCGCTGATCCTCGCCACGTTTCACGCTAGTGTTGTACTATCACACGACTGCAATCTTACGCCTCTGAAACAGCTCGTAGGCATCGTGAACGAGCAGGAACTGCTCCTTGCGTTCGACCATCATGATACGTTGCTCGCGAAGGCTATCGATGACGAGCGATACGGCATCGCTCCGCACGTCTGCCGGCAAGGGTCCCAGCGCGGACTGATCCGAGTACGTCGGCAGTCCATTACTTTCGACTCGATCCAAGAGTGCCAGCATAGCTATCAGTGTGCCCGTCCGGCCCTGCCTGATAGTCAGTACGAATATACAAAGGAGCCCAGCAACGCACGACACCGGCCGAGCAATGGATCAGAATTGGCAGCTGACTCCTCGATGGGTCAGCATGCAAATCGCATATCCGGTCTGCCAGCGCGAGGAGATGCTCAGGATCAACGGTCCCGTGGTCGCTGCTCTTCCGCTCATCAGCTTCTTGCTTGGTTGAATTTGAGCGAGTCATACGCACGGCCAGGCCTCGTATTGCAGATGGACCAATGAGTGCGGCTCGACGACACTGGCAACGTCGTGTATCTCGAGCAAGTTCTCATGCCACGCCGTATTTGGCGCACTGGACTGCCAGCTCACTCGTAGCTTCTGAGGCTCGCTCGGCGTGCCTAACAGTAGGTCTGTGCCCGGCGCGGGTGGCAAGTAAGGGAAGCACTTTTGTCGACCTGCCTCCATAAACTATCGGGCGTGTCAGTTCTTACGACGTGCAGACCTCACTGCTCTCAGAACTGACAGCAGTGAGCATGACGATCATGCAAGGTCGATCAGCCGGTGGCCCGAGACAAAGTGACCAGAAATCAGTCACGCTCGACTCGGTGGGTCCCTTTGCAACTCCGTCAGATGACGTCGTGGTTCGAGAGGCTCAAGCTGACTTGTGAAGCGATGAAGCGTCTGGAGCCACAAGTGATCCAGTTTGCATTGATGTAGCCACCATCCTGCAGGAGGCATCGTGTGCTATCGTACGGTATGACGTCGGCGTATCGGTTCTTAGGCGCATTCTGTTCTTGCAAGGCTGTCGATGCGCTGTAAGTCGGTCGTGGAGGATTTGCAAAGCATGCCGCCTGACGAGCTCGTTCACGCTCCGTGAGGACCGTCAGGAGCCGTTGGAGCTTTGCCGGGTCGAGCATGGCCAGCCAGAAGCAGGTTCTGCGACACGTCGTTGCTTGTTCGGCCATTCGGGCAGCGGCTATCACCGTGTTGAACTGATAGTGGCCATTCAGTCTCGCACCCCCTGACTGCTACTGACCCCGTCGTCGTCGTCGGGCAGACTCGAGAGAAGCACAGCCAGCTTTGCACCGTACATCACCCGGGCATCACCACAGGCGGCACAACAAGCGCCAAGGGAGGGACTGCCGTTTTGGGTAGACAGACGCCCAGCATGGACTCTGCGACTGAGAAGATGGCAGCCCTGGATACATCGGACATCCAGGGCTATGGCCTCGTCACACCAGCGTACGCCCTTTTTTGTAGCGCTCCAGTCGGCCGTGCGACTGACTGGACGTGATCATGCAGGAGCTCTCGACCGGCAACGCCAGGAGGCAACTTCCCAGGCTCACAGAACGTCCAGACGATCCGTCGGCAGGCAGCAGGTCACCGTGGACCGCTCAAGAAGATTCTCGTCGCCAACCGTGGCGAGATTGCCATCCGCGTCTTCAGGACGGCACACGAGCTCGCCATGCAGACTGTTGCGATCTACAGCTACGAAGATAGACTGTCTGCCCATCGCTACAAGGCAGATGAAGCCTACTTGGTCGGCAAGGGACTCACCCCCGTTGCCGCATACCTTGCCCAAGAGGATATCATCCGAATCGCGCTCGAACATGGCGTCGACATGATTCACCCCGGGTACATCCGATGCTCACCTGACACTCTCACGCTGACGTCGATCACAAAAACAGTTATGGCTTCTTGTCAGAGAATGCCGAATTTGCTCGCAAGGTCGAAGAGGCAGGCATTGCCTTTGTCGGACCCTCCCACGAGAGCATCACGCGTCTCGGTGACAAGATCAGCGCTCGAAAGATTGCCATCGAATGCGGTGTACCCGTCGTGCCCGGTACACCGGATGCCATTGCTTCTTACGACCTCGCCAAGGATTTCATCGACGAGACTGGCTTCCCTGTCATCATCAAGGCGGCTGCTGGCGGTGGTGGTCGTGGCATGCGTGTCGTCCGTGACCAGGAATCCTTCAAGGAGAATTTTGAACGTGCCGTGAGCGAAGCCAAGGCATCCTTTGGCGACGGAACGGTCTTCATCGAGCGCTTCCTCGATCATCCTCGTCATATCGAAGTGCAGCTTCTCGGAGACTCTGTGGGCAACGTTGTCCACCTCTTCGAGCGTGATTGCTCTGTTCAGCGTCGTCATCAGAAGGTCGTCGAGCAAGCGCCTACTGCCGTCATCGCCGAAGATGTTCGCAACCGTATCTTAGAGGACGCAAAGAAGATTGCCAAATATATTGGCTACCGTAATGCGGGCACCGCCGAGTTCCTCGTCGATCGACAAGGACGACATCATTTCATCGAAGTCAACCCTCGTATTCAGGTCGAGCACACCATCACAGAAGAGATCACGGGCATCGATATTGTTGCTGCTCAGATCCAGATCGCTGCTGGTGCGACTCTGCCTGAGCTCGGTCTCGGCCAGGATGCGATCACCAAGCGTGGCTTCGCCATCCAGTGCCGCATTACCACCGAAGATCCCGCGCAGAACTTCACGCCAGACACTGGCAAGATCGAGGTCTACCGGTCGGCAGGCGGCAACGGGGTCCGACTCGATGCTAGCTCTGGCTTTGCAGGCGCACAGATCACACCCCACTATGACAGCTTGCTCGTCAAGATCTCCGTCCGCGGCGCTACTTTCGAAGTCGCTCGTCGGAAGATGCTCAGAGCGCTCGTCGAGTTCCGCATCCGAGGCGTCAAGACGAACATCCCCTTCTTGTTCCGGGTGCTGTCACACGAAGCCTTTGTCAAAGGCGAGACATGGACGACGTTCATCGATGATACACCAGAGCTCTTCCAGCTCGTCACTAGCGCAAATCGCGCTCAGCGACTGCTTGCCTATCTCTCTGACCTCATGGTCAACGGTAGCAGTATCAAGGGTCAGAACGGCGAACCCGGCGTACTTGATGAGATCCCGGTGCCCGTGCTCGAGGATCGCAATGATCCTTCCAAGCCACTCGATGTCTCTGAGCCCTGTCAGCAAGGCTGGCGCAACATCCTCAAGGAAAAAGGTCCGGAAGCATTTGCAAAGGCTGTGCGTGATTATCCTGGCTGTCTAATCATGGATACGACATGGCGTGACGCCCATCAATCGCTACTCGCCACTCGTCTGCGCACTATCGATATCGTCAATGTGGCCAAAGAGACGAGCTATGCTCTCGCCAACGCCTACAGTCTCGAATGCTGGGGCGGCGCGACCTTTGATGTTGCCATGCGATTCTTGTACGAGGATCCTTGGGAGCGACTACGCCAGATGCGCAAGCTCGTGCCCAATATCCCCTTCCAGGCACTCATCCGCGGCGCCAACGCGGTAGGCTATACATCTTATCCTGACAATGCGATCTACGAATTCTCAAAGAAGGCTGTCGAAAACGGTCTCGACATCTTCCGAGTCTTCGATTCGCTCAACTATATCGACAACCTCAGGCTCGGTATCGATGCCGCGAAGAAAGCTGGTGGTGTTGTCGAAGGCACAATTTGCTACACAGGCGATATTCTAGATCCCAAGAAGACAAAGTATACGCTCAAGTACTACCTCGACTTTGCGGCCGAGCTGATCGAATGCGGCATCCATGTGCTCGCGATCAAGGACATGGCCGGCTTGCTCAAGCCAGCCGCCGCGACAAAGCTTGTCGGCGCATTGCGCGAGAAGTACCCTAGCATGCCAATTCACGTCCATTCCCACGATACGGCAGGTATTTCTGCAGCCAGCATGATTGCTTGTGCTGCAGCAGGAGCGGATGTCGTGGACGTCGCAATCGACTCGATGTCTGGCATGACTTCCCAGTGCGCTATGGGCGCAGTCTGCGCTGCTCTCGAAAATGGACCGATGGGCACTGGCATCCGCTATGCAGATATTCAGCAACTCAATATCTATTGGGCGCAAGTCCGCATGCTCTATGCGCCGTTCGACATGAACGTAAAGTCGGCTGACTCGTCTGTGTACGAGCACGAGATGCCCGGCGGACAATATACCAATCTCATGTTCCAGTCTGCTCAGCTTGGGCTCGGAACGCAATGGAACGCTGTCAAGAAGGCCTATATCGAAGCAAACCAACTCTGCGGCGATATTGTCAAAGTGACGCCTTCGTCCAAGGTTGTGGGCGATATGGCCCAATTCATGGTATCGAACAAGCTCTCGAAGCAGGATGTGCTCGAAAAGGCGGAGACGCTCGACTTCCCCAATAGCGTCATCGAATTCTGGCAAGGCTATCTCGGTCAGCCCACAGGCGGCTTCCCAGAGGAGCTACGGGGCAAGATCATTCGCGACAAGCCGAGAATCAACGGTCGCCCAGGCGCAGACTTGAAGCCGTATGATTTTGAGAAGACGCGCAAGGATCTGATCGAGAAGTATGGCAAGTCGATCAAATCGACCGATGTGCTTTCGTACTGCATGTATCCGAAGGGTGCGTTCCGTCTCGCTACGTCTGCTCGATGGGCTCAAGTCACTGCACAGTGTTCGAGGAATACAAGGAGTTCGTTGAAAAGTATGGCGATCTGAGCATGCTGCCGACCAGACATTTTTTGGGCAAGCCACAGATCGGTCAGGAAATGCATTGCGCAATCGAAGAAGGGAAGACTCTCATCGTCAAGGCGCTCGCTACGGGCCCTATCAACAAGGACAACGGCATTCGCGAAGTCTTCTGGGAGCTCAATGGCGAAGTGCGAGCCGTGCCAGGTGCGTGCGCATTAGCGTCAGAGAGGCTCTTAGCTAACGCACGGTCTGCACAGTCGAAGACAAGTCGGCCGCTATCGAGTCGGTGACACGAGAAAAGGCTACAAGTGATCCCGGCTCAATTGGCTCGCCCATGTCTGGTGTTGTCGTCGAGATCAGGCAAGTCTTTCCTTCGTGACATCATATCGCGCTGACGGTAAAGGGGTAAATAGGGTCCAAGAAGGCAGTCAAGTCAAGTCAGGTGATCCGGTTGCAATTCTATCTGCGATGAAGATGGAGCAGTCTGTCTCTGCGGCTGTCTCGGGCAAGGCAAGTGGAGCGCGCTACGTCGTCATGCACTCACTAATCCACCCACGCTCAGGTCAAGCGGATTGTTGTCGCTCAGGGCGACAGCATCGGCTCTGGGGATCTTATCATGGAGATCCAAGCCTGAAGCCTCGAGAAAGAAAGAATCTAGAGTCCAGTCTGTACTAATTGAAATGCATTTGCGAAGAGGACAGACTGGTGCCCCTCTTATATCGCGTCAAACGCGTCTCGTCTCGCACGTCTACCTCACAATCATGGTGCGTTCCGTGCCGCCCAAGACGGCGCAGATGCGTCGCTCGAGTCGTACGAGAACGAGCACATCCAAAGATGATGGTGCGTGACATCTACACGTGTCGCGCTGGACGTCGCTCAATTGCACGTCGCGATGCAGAAGTCGCGAAGGTGACGCAGGCCAAGGTCAGCAAGGCCTCTACAGAAGCTGGACATGCTCGTCGACAAAGTGCGAGACAGACTGAGGCTGCCGAAGAAGCTCGCGACGTCGAGGAAGACTCGCAAGACGAAGAGGAAGACGAAGAGGACGAAGATGATGAGCAAGATGAAGACTTTGGTGCGCCTGCTGCTCGCAAGGGACAGCGCAAGTCAGCTGCTGCATCAGGGCAGGGACAATCATCAAGAAAGCGACTTTCCAACGCAGGCCAGACTCTATCAACGCGAGCTCCTAAGACTGCCCGGATCGCAGCGAAAGGTACGGCGCGAAAGTCGGCAACGCAGAGCAAAGGCGCTTCCTCCACCTACCGCGTAGACAAGGACAACAGTTTGTACAGTCAGTCCATGCTGCCCTGAGGAGGGCGCGAAGCTGATGTTGAGACGCGCCAGACGCGCTCGGAAACGGCAAAGATGCGCTCAAGACAGCTGCCCAGAACTGGCTCGAGCTCTATCTCCGTCCTGCGCCTTCGTCACGTAGCAACTACGAAGGCGAACAAGGCTCCGCTCACGCCATGTCAGACTTTGTCAACCTTGCGCTACGTCTCGCGCAATGCAATGCAAAGATTGACTCGCATCAAGTGATCGACGTTGACGGCGCGAGCTCCTTGCTTGACGACATACAGGAAGGCGTCAAGCAAGCCAGCTCGAGCACGCCGCTCGAGGCGTATCCGCTCGTGTCGAAAAGCAAGGCTTTCAGAACATTTCGTGGTGACGTCAAGCTTCTCATCTCGGATCTGCTAGATGCAGCTCACGAGTCAGAAGTGATCTTTGATGGCGCTTTTCTCGAGACGACTGTCATTTGGCTCGGTCTGCTGGCTTCTTCGCCCGTTCGCGGATTCAGACATTCTGCTACCTTTCTCAGCATGCAAATGATGACTTGCTTCTGCAGTATCATCACTCAGATCGACGTGGACGCAGACCAGCAATCTCGTCAGCATCAGTCAGAGTCGCGCAAGTCCAGAGCAGACAAAACGCGAACACAAAAGTTGGCGGAAACCATCAAAGCCCTCAAGGATCAGAAAGACTTTCTTGTTGGCTATCTCGATGATCTCTTTGACGTTGTCTTCGTTCATCGCTTTCGTGATTCCGATGCTTCCATCCGAACAGAGTGTGTCGTCGCCCTCGGCCAATGGATCGACATCTACCCTAGCCGGTTTATCGACGCCGATTATCTCCGCTATGTCAGCTGGGTCCTCGAGGACGAGGTATGCTCCTGCACATCATGATGATCAGCTTTGATTGATCCCGCGTGCAGGACAAAGGCGCGCGCTCGGAAGCTGTCAAAGCTCTTGCCTTCGTCTACAGCAAAGATGACTTCATCGGACAGATCCAGCCCTTTACTGACCGGCTCAAGCCACGCGCGATGCAGATGGCGACATGTGAGGCCGACCTGACCACGCAAGTCAATGTCATTGCTGTACTCCTTCAGATGGACTCGCACGGGCTGCTGACGCAGACGCAACGACAAGAACTCGCAGGGCTTGTCTTCCACGGGGACAGACGCGTGCGCAAAGCAGCAGCAAGCTTCTTTGCATCTCAAGTCAACGAGCGAATCGAGTCTGAGGATGCGATGGACGCTGGCGATGATGCAACGGCGTCCTTGCAGCTGAAAGCAATCTGCGCGCTGTTCGTCGAGATCTCTGGCGGTGTCCTGCAAGAGACCGTGACCGGCACCGCCAGGCTCCAGGAAGGCGCAGCAGAGCCTTCGCGCCTCGAGCTGGCACTTGAAGCGCTGTGTGATGTCTTGCCAGTGCTAGTACAGTGGCGAAGCATCTCTGCAATACTCTTACAAGATCAGTCGATACAAGCCAGCAGCCGGACTCAGCACGAGGAAACCATCATGATAACTACTTTGCTCTTCTGCCTCGGCAGAGTCTCCAAGCTGTCTGTCAAAGCTTCAGACAGCGAGGACGCATCCGATGATGCTGTCAGTATGACGCGCGATATGATCGACTTGGTGCCGAAGCTGCTCGCTCGATATCAAGCCACTGCGTCTCGAGTTGCTCTCCTGCTACAGGCTCCTCGCCATCTCCGCCTGGAAGCCTACAGCGACTTGCGTATGGAGTCCCAGTATAAGCAACTCTGGGATCTCGTCATTCGCCAATTTGTCAGTCAGTCGGATTCCGAGGTGGCAGAGAGCGCCATCTCAACAATCGCAGCCCTTTCTGCTGCATCCACTTTACAGAGCATCAACACGGTCAAGCTAGGAGACCTCGAAGAGCAGCTCATCAACGGGCTTTACAGCTCCGTCGACGGCCAGAATGTCGAGACGGCCCAATTCAGCTCTGATGAAGCGCTGCATCTGATCAGCGCGTTGCGTCGCATCGCTTTGCTCAGCAGCTTGCGTGATCTCAACGAGAACTTGTCGCAACCGACACCAGGCGCGAGCTCATCTGCGAAATCGATCATACATTCTCTGGCAGACCGAGGTCGCCTCGGCTTCGCAGACGACGATGAAATTGTGCTACAATCGCTCGACATACTGAACAAAAGTGTGATCTGGCGTCTGCATGAAGCCCGCTCGAACTCTGAGCAGACTGCTCTCGGCGTGTTCCGCGAGGAGCGTGACTCACTGCACAATACGCTGCAAACCCTTTCTATCGCCGCATCGACAGCGAGCGAGACTGTCAAGAGATCCGTCAGTGACCATCATTGCTATTAAACCTTGCTGACGTAGGGCAGCAGGCCTTCACAAAGCTGGTGGATCTGTACAGCATCTGCGCAGGTATCACCGCTGCTACCGATGGCCAGCTCGGCGCTTTGGAGGCTACAGTCGCGCTGCCTTGTGCGTCAAAGGAGCAATCTCGGCTTGCGCTATTTCTCCAAAACGAGATTAGCCGCCATGCTCTATCTATCGACAACGCGAAAGATGATGTAGAGGCTTCAGACCATCCATCATCTCGTCTCACAAGCCTGCTCAGACGACATGAGCTTCACATACTTGTTGCAAGCTATGTTCGAGCAGTTCGTATTGGTGCTATCAGCACAGCCAACGTCTTCCCAATCTTGCCTCACCTTGGTCGGTTTGATGCCACCTTTGATCACTTCTGCCGTCTGCTCATAAACGACATGCGCGACGACGGTTGCCGCTTCAGCAATGGCTCAGATGTTGCTAGTGGCATTGTCGACAGCTTGATAGCGGTACGTTCTGCGCTTTGGAGATTTGCCCGTCTACATAAGCTGAACGAATTCGCCCAGGCTTTCAATCTGCACGGGCGAGACGAGATCGATGAAGCATCATTACTCGCCATCTCTCGCTTGCTGTCCTCGGCAACGCTCGTTCGAGGCAGTCAGCTTGCTATCTCGCAGCAGCTGCCTGCCGATGATCATATCCAGATTCACGCTCGGGCTCTTGCATATTTGCTGGGCGCAGTCAGCGAATGCGAGCAGAGCTCCGAAACAGAGCGCAAGCTCAGACTGATCGCTGGTCTCAAGGGTCTTGCTCAGCTGCTTACTGGCGTCTCAGGTCGCGCTGCAATGAGCATCAAGACACATTATGATCGAGCCCTTCGATCTGCCAACCTAATCATCCCTCGTTCTGCCAAGTCCTGGGATGCTCTGCGCAACTACGAAGCTCGACTGGTCTCAATCATGTCGAAAGATGCGGACTTACGGGCGGCAGCGAAGAAGACAGCTGCCGAAGCGCCGGTCAAGAGCACAAAGACTGCAACTCAGCTCGACGAACAGAATGTCGCGCCGGCCACTGACGCATCTAATGCGAAATCGCGTCCACGACCTCGTCCTCGTCCAGCCGACACAGAAGACGCTGGTATGCCCGTAGCAGACGGGAAGGACCTGGTCGTGATGGATACGCCGCTTGCACTACCAGAGGGCAGCTTGGAAGACAGTCCGACGACATCACCAAGTCTCAAAAGACGCCGTATCGAGCTCGATCTCAGCTTGCCGGACGAGCCACTCGATCTCGGTGATACAAGCTTTCAATTGGAACCTATGCAATCGCCGCCACGCTCGTCCATCGCTAGTGAGCGTGATGGCAGCCCTGCGCCTACACAACAGTCGGAGCTCTCGCTGTCCGATGTACGTGCTAAGCGCCAGAAGCTCTAGGCAGGCTTCGGTATGTATCAGCGAGCTTGTTGTCTGTCCATATCCATCCATGCTGTGAGTTCATCAAAAGTCGCGTGGACGCGTTACTACGAAGGTAAGCGCTTAGGCCCTGACCCTTCCGCCCATCGAGGGTCTACCCAGCCAGCCTGTATGACTGTGAGCTACATCCGTTGTGCGAAGTGTAGCCTTACAATGTGATAATCCTCTTTCTCCTGCTCGGCAGATCTCTCGCGCGTGATAGACGGCGTTGTATAGTGCCTTGCGAGGCTTTCTGCCAGGTCTGCATCCATGCCAAAGCTACGAGCGAGTTCAGATGCTTCCTCTCGAGACTTTGTGGTCTTCCTGGCGTCAAAGTATTGGGCCAATATTGATGCTTGGAATCGATCCGGTCGAGCAGTCGGATCGCTATCTTGCTCTTCTGACTGCTTCCTTGACCTCAAAAGCTGTAGCATACTATCGTCCTGATGCGTCGAAGGTTCAGACGAGGTCCTAGCGATGGAGCTGACATGCAGACCTCTGTAAAGTTGCTCGGCGCTTTTGGGACTTTCACTTGTCCGAGCTCTTTGAGATAGCCTGCTAGTTGAGGGTCCGCACTATCTTGAGGATCTACCAGTGTCTCACATGAGCTTATTGCGGTAGATAAGAGATCGCATGGCTGACCAGCTTGCTCAGATGCCATCGCAGTCGGCCTCGAGCCTGATCGCGGCGATTCATAGCGTGCCGTCGTGGGTGGCTCGGACTGGGCAGACAGAGAGGAGCCTTCGAGAGATGAGCGTGCACTGGCGAGCGTTCGGCCTGCCGATCTGACTTTCGAGCCTGCTGAACCCATGCTTGATGATCTCAGTAAGGAGGTGTGATCAATGCGATCGTAGTGGACGCGACGGAGCGCACGCCCTGCCCTACCTGCGGGCGTCCACACTGAATAGAGATTGGTGAGACTCATAAATATGCAATTCAGATGTGCTAGATTAATCGTACGCTCGTGCTTTGCCTTTCTCGGCCGATTGTCCATTGATCTCTCGACCGGCAGCTTCGAATTGCTTGCTTGACTTGTTGATCGCTCTCCGTGCTTTGTGATAGGCAGACATGCCTTGGACGCCCTCTTCATCCTCTGACGAGTCATCTTCTTGCCCGATACGCGACTGCCATGCGCCGTCTGATGCCGGCTCAGTTGCCGTAGCTGGTAGTCCGGCAGTGCGAGTGCCCGGTGAGCCGCTGTCGCTAACGTCGTCTGCCATGCGCACCGACTTGACCCGCTTGACGCCAGATGCGACAGACGCCGTTGGCGCAGCGCCCTGGCCCAGCGTAGAACCATTCTTGCGAGTGGCTGTGGATGTGGCCGCAGCCGTAGTGGGCTGCGAAGGCGGCGACAGTGTGGGAAGCGAGCCGATGGGGGGCGGCAGTGATTTCTGCGTCGGACTACTGGGAGCAGGCGCAGCGGGCGAAAGCATGTAGGAAGTGCTGCTCGGCAAGGAAGCCGTCAAGATCTGGTCCGTCGTTTTCGGCATGAGCGTGCTGGGAAGAGTCAGCGTGGTCAGATTAGGAAGTTCGGGCACGGGTGGTGCGACACTCGAAGCGGGCTGACTCGCAGCCGTGCCATATCTGCGGCTGATGCCCACGACAGAATCTGCATAGCCAGGCTTGGTCTTGCCGATTTCGCTGTTTGTGTCGCCCTCGACGATGCTCATCAAGCTAGGTCCAGTGCGATTGACGCCGTTGACGCTGCCGGCTTTCTTCTTTTTCTTCTTGGGTGCGGCCGGAGCAGGAGCAATGCCGACATTGGCAACAGCACTCGCTACAGCGGGAGCGGCTGCAGCGTGTTGCTGTCTCGGGGCGCCCACATCGCTCATCGGTCTCTGACGATTGACAGTCGCATCTTGCGCCATCGCCGAACGGAGAGGACCGACAGCTGAAGCGGAGCCAGTAGGACCATTGACAGAGGCGCGACGAACGACTCTGGGCGCAGCGGCTGCAGGTGCTGGCCGCTGATTGACAACGCGAACGAGCTGGCGAGGTTGGCCCTCTTCGTCAGAAGAATCGACATCGACGGGCGCTGACTTGATTGAGCCCAGATTGTTATCCGTGCGAGTGCTCCATTGCTTCGCCTGATTCCCTCTCTTCCGGGGCGGCGGCGAGTCTGAGCGGCTCTGTCTCGTGCTCGACGATCGGAAGAGCGATGCGAAGGATCCGAAGACGCCTTTCTTGGGCCTTGTCTGGCCGTCCGGCGCGCGAGGGACAGCACCATTGCGAAGGCCACGACCTCGAGCTGTAACGTCGGATTCTGCGTCGGAATCTTCTCCGGGCTTGGCTTTGCCGATGTAGGCACCTCCGCCTTTATGAGCGATGACATTCTTCGGTCGCTCGTCTTCGTCGGAGCTATCGTCTCGTCGCCTGAAAGCAGAGGTGATCGGATTGCGTTTGCCAAGTTCTGAGCCTCCAGATCCACGAGGGGCAGCGATTATTTGAGATGGCACACCAGCCGTACTGACGATTGACGGGGGCCGATTGTAAGATGAGAGGGCAGGTTTGACGTTCTGTTGTACAGGAATGAATGACTGGGAACTGATAACCGAATCTCTTAGCTGATGGGCAGCTGGTACAGGTTTGGACGCGTTGCGAGATGCTGAGGCGGGCACATCATTTGACATGATCGAATCGGCATCAGACTTTGCGTATCTGGGCATAGAACGTGTATAGACTTGTGAAGCGGATTGAGAGGGTGCGATTGAACCTTCGTGATGCTGGGGACCGGAATCGCGTAGATCGCTGCCTTGCTCGGAAGTGGGCACGCTTTCTCCGCCTTGAGAATCGTTGAGGCCTATCAGGACGGGAGCAGCGCCACGGTCGTCAGCAAAGTGTGCGACTGGTTCAAGAAGGGGGCGAAGACAGACCAGAGTTCATCTGGGCCGCATTGTGGCCGTCTAGCTGGTCGAGCATTTCGATTGCGCTCACTGAATTGCTGGTGAGCGTGATGCCGAGCTGTCCGAGCGAGCGCATTCTCATGCCCAGGGCGTCTCTGAAGATTCTGCGCTTGACACCGTCGAGTGCCCATTCTTCGGCTTTGAGAGCCATCTCGCAAGCAGCAAGCTCAACCTTGGCGTCCTCTGTCTTGCGGAGGTGCGCTTCTGCATCTCTCTCGCTCGTGGGTCGCTTGGCGCCCAGCTTGATCAGGCGCGATACAAGGATCTCCCGGTCGCGCAAGATGGTCCGGATGTCCTCTTCGCGAGCGAGAACATCCTTGAGTGAATGCCGGTAAGCATCAAGAGAGTGGATATAAGTCGCCTGCGACTCTGCGCAGTTGCCCAAGAGAGTCGATACTCGCATGGACACATCCTGTCAGACTGATCAAGTCAGTTCCCGAGACTCCATCAGCGGAGGCCCGCACCATGAGATCAGGTGAATCGCCAGAGTCGGCCACGGCCCAGGTCGACAGAGCCTCACTTGCTGCGGCTGCATTACGCGTCCAAGCCTTGAAGCTGCACGTCACCGCTTTGTCAGTCTTGCAGTCTGGCCGAGCAAAGATGACTTGCCTGTCTTGAGCCGCCTTTTCGCATTTGATCAGGTTCTGCAGCAATCTGGAATCGGGCGCCGACTTGACCATCTTGTCCGGCTTCTGTTGATACTATCGCTGCTGCGACAAGACGAGCAGCTGAAGGTCGGCAGATAGCTGACCGCACCACCAAGTCTGCGCCGGTTTGGACGGAGGAAGAGGCGAGCGGCACGTGGCAGTAACGGGCTTCGGCTAGCACGGGTAGGGCTGACGACCGGTCGACTCGTCGATCCTGACTGCGTGATATTACGTGTGACCGATAAGTACGTGAACGCAGTCCGGAGGGTGCAAAGGCCCGTGCGCTCGCGGAGAGCTCCACTGGCAGCTTGCACGGCTTCCAATATTCAAGTTTATCCATTCAAGCGCGTCCCGCTGTTGACATCCCGCGTTGCATTTGACATTGCGAAATCCGTCCACCAGGTTTATGGAAGCCGGGAGGTGCTCTGTCGACTGTCAGTAGCTGGTCTCGGGCGCTGAAGCCAGCAACGAAGAGCCCTTTGAAGCCAACCAGCGATATTCAAGCTCGAGCCTCTCGGCGAGATCGACCTGTTCCACGAGGTCGCAGTTTGACAGACTGACCACGATCACCTCCACATAGCTGTGCTCAGCATCCACACTACACCCACACTTCATCATGCAAAATCAAGGCAATGCCCAGCAAGCGGGCTACAACAACGGTCAGACGAACGCAAACGCTAACAACGGCCAAGCAACAAACAATAACGCTCAAGCCAACAACGGACAGGCGACAAACAACGCCCAAGCAAACAACGGCTACAACAACGGGCAGGCGAACAATGGCTACAACAATGGCCAAGCGGCAGCAAACAATGGCTATAACAACGGCCAGGCGGCGGCCAACACCGGTCAAGCTGCAGCGAACAATAATCAAGCTGCGGCCAACAACGGCCAGGCTGCGGCAAATAATGGACAAGCTACAGCGAACAACAACCAAGCTGCGGCTAACAACGGACAGGCGGCAGCCAACGCCGGTCAAGCAACCAATAACGCTCAAGCAGCGGCAGCCAACAATGGGGCTCAGACTGGTAATGCCCAGGCTGGCAACGCCGCACAACCTGCCGCTGCTGTCCCTGCTGCCGCAGCAGCTGCAGCCCCTGCCGTCGCTGTACCTGCCGCTGCCGCCGCTGCATCTGCTGCCGCTACTTCCAGCCCAGGTATGTCACGCAAATGATGATGCGAAATCGAGCTGAGAGCCTTGCAGTAGCCTCGCAGTCGCCGCAGGCCACTCAAGGCGTACCCTCTGTCGCGATACAACAGTCAGACGCGACTTCGAATGGCGGTGTAATTGGCTCGGGCTCGCACACCGTGCCTATCGCCGCCGTCGTCGCTGCCGGTATCGTCGTTCTCATTCTCGCCATCGTAGCCGCCTACCGCACTTACCGCTGGGTCTTCCGAAGACGCCAGAGTCGACGCCAGCGCCTTGAGGAGGAGAACGGCGGCCTATCACCCGAGGAAGAGAAGAAGCGCGGGGACGAGCGCAAGAGACGGACGTTCATGAGCCAGTATTATGGCGCTTTGCCCGGTCGTCCCGGACCGAATGGACTCGCTGTCCTCAGTACACTCCAGACAGAAGCTCATTCTACGACTATGCTCATCGATCCTGCCAATGATCCGAGCAAGAGCCCTGTACATTCGAGATCGAACAGCTTTGCCTACGAGTCGAACTCATCTGTCAATCTGCACGATGGCGCATCTGATTCCGAATCGCGATCCGGATCACGCGAACGGTCCCAGGAGCGTGGCCGACCGCTCACGATGACGACGGACATGCTCAGAAAGGGAGGCTCACGCGCATCTCTCGCGGTCCACCAGATGCCGTCCAGTCGATCTTCGGCTCAGCTGCCGTCCCGCGAGTCTTTCAGCTACGGCAACCTCTACGATGCACGTCGCGGTACGCAGACTTCTCTTTATGCAGCTTCAGTGCACAGCAATACGCCTTCATCTATCTATGGCGGCCTTTCCGGCATGTCACACAGCAACCTGGCCGGTGTCACGCAGCCTCGTCGCGTCACTGGCGCACCTCACGCACCCCACAATCGTATCGAAATAGTACCACCCCAGCCACTTGCACAGAACAGCAATCTCATCGTCTTGTCGCCAGTCGAAATACAAGCACCGACATTCTACACGCCCGAGCGACCTGTGAGCGACGATACGGAAGAACTTGCCGGATCGACTGAGGATGGCAAACAGAACCAGCCCGAATGGTTCATCGCTGCGCAGAAAGAGATCAAGCAGGCTGAAGAAGCACGCAAGGCAGCAGAATCGGCGCAGAAGCAACTCGATCAATCGTTACCCTCTGCTTCACGGTCTCGACAGACCGCAATCGACTCCACCGCATTCAAAGTTGCAAGTGATCGTACCCGTCAGTCGAGCAAAGACGGTCTCATGCTGCCACCGCCATCAAAACCCATCAAGCCTTCCAGCTCGGAATCATCATTGCGTGTCAAGTCTGCTTCAGAGATGTACAAGATCAAAGCGCGAAAGTCTCAGGAGGATCTCATCCTCAAAGCAAAAGGCGACAGCGTCATTCGCGTCAGCACGGGCACCGAGGTCAAGTCTGTCAATGCGCCGCGCTCGCCTCTCGAGCAGCTTGCACTCCAGTTGGCCGGTGCTAGCGAGGGGAAGAAGCAGAAAGACACGATATCGAAGGCCAAAAGAGATGCTGTCGAGGAGTACCGGAGACGCAACGGATGATCGCACCCGCATGAGTCGTATACCCTTTTGTCTTGTATTCATTCATTTTCGCGAGTTGCAGCATCTACATAAAGTTTGCGACGCGTTCGGTCGGTCGAGCTTCCCGCGATCAGCGCCAGCTTGCGGCTGGCCTAGCTTAGCTCGTGGTATCTGCTGCAGGTGAGGCAGATCTTCCAGATCTTGCAGCTCTACAGCACAGACCGGGCCAGCGTGGAAGTTGCCGCATCGCCGAAGTGCTAGAGGCAGGCGCTTGACGACGCCTCCCACTGGCAACGGCGGGCGTGTCTGGCAGCGCACAACAAGGACAAAAGACTACTCTTTTGGCAGTCTGTCGGCCCTGTTCCGATAGTGAGTGCGCCTTTGTGTGCAACAGACCCCTCGAGATAGCGGATCGTCTCAGGCAAGGTGCTTCTTGGCAGGAATAGATCGCAGGCTAGACCAATATGGACAGCTCCAGATCAGCTTCGCCTGCGCCTGCAGCATCGAGCGGATCTCGCAACAGCTCTCTCGGTACGAGCAATCCTGTATCTGTCAGTCTGGCGCCATCACACTCTGCTCAGGTCTCGGCCATACAGCAGTCATCGCTCAGCCGACCCTCATCGAGGGTGAGTCTGCAAAATCTCGCCAATGCAACAAGCAGCGCAACGACAGATGAATATCGACCGGCACCCTTCACAGGCAACGGACATCCTGCCACGTTCAGCAAGCGTTCTGCATCGTTTGATCGCAAATCGCCTGAAGAATTCAGGCTCAACCTGGGCAACGATGGTCCAGATGGACCATCACCGCCCTATTCGCGGAATAATGAGCCCAACCCGAACGGATCCATCTCACCTGTTCATTCGGAGAAGGCAGCTTTCTTGACGAACATGCGAGTAGACGACACGAGCAATGGCAAATCCGGCAAGACGGGCATGAACGCTGCCATGGGCACTGGCGTCACTTACGATCATATCATGAATCATCCCGCGCTGCCGGTAGCCTGCTACTGCCTCTCCAGCATCCTCATGACCGTAGTGAACAAGGTCAGTCCCCGTCCGAGACCATCTGCTTGGGAGATGATGCTAATGCATCCGCTCGATAGTTTGTGCTCTCTGGCGCACACTTTTCGATGAATTTCTTGCTGCTGACGATCCAGTCGACCGTCTGTATCGCCTGCGTGACGGTCTGCAAGCGACTGCGTCTTATCACCTTTCGGGACTTTGACAGGCAAGATGCCCGTGCTTGGTTCCCCATCTCGTTCATGCTCGTCATGGTCATTTACACGGGCAGCAAAGCGCTTCAGTACCTGCCGATCCCCGTCGTGTCGGTTTGCAAGAATCTGACGATCATCTTGATAGCGTATGGCGAAGTATTGTGGTTCTCGGGCTCAGTGACCGGTCTCATCATGTGCTCATTCGGTCTCATGGCGCGTCTTTCTCTGCCTCGTTGTGGCTCTCATTCTGACCGAAGCAGACGGTTTGCAGATACTGTCATCGCTGATAGCAGGATGGGCTGACATCTCGCATGCACTGCAATCTCTTTCGGAAGTCTCGGCTCAGACGACGCTGGACCCCGTGACGGGTGCGGAGATCCCTGCGATGCCGACCAGTATACCGGACATCACCGCCGCAGTCGGACAGCTCAATGCAGGCTATCTGTGGATGGCGATCAATGTCTTCGTGTCGGCTGGCTACGTTCTCGCCATGCGGAAGCGCATCAAAGTGACCAACTTCAAGGTAAGCCTCTGTGGTATACAGCAGGGGCTATAGTCTCATCATGGAGGATAGGATTGGGACAGCATGTACTACAACAATCTGCTGTCGATCCCCGTGCTCGTCTTCTTTTCGCTCCTGATCGAGGACTGGAGCGCCAAGAGTCTCGAAGCCAACTTGTATGCTGCCTCTTGTTTGCTCGGCGAGATTGTGACTGATGGCGTTTGCGCAGCCCGGCGGAAGGACGATACTTCTTGCTCTTTGCCATGGTCTTCTCGGGCGCGGCAGCAGTCTTTATCTCATATACCACGGCCTGGTGTGTGCGTACGACCAGTTCGACGACGTACAGTATGGTAGGCGCGCTCAACAAGCTCCCTGTGGCCGCGAGCGGGATGGTCTTCTTTGGCGATCCGATCACGACCGGCTCAGTCGGTGGTGTCTTGACTGGCTTTGTCGCTGGTCTCGTCTATGCTCTCGCCAAGGCCAATCAGGCGGCTGCAAAGAAATGTACGTCTCCTGACTCTCTGTCGGCACTGCAGCTGGACTGACAAGCTGCACAGTGGGGATGCCTCGATGAGCGGCAATGTACACTACCTTCACACACTTAGACGAGATTAATCAGTGTCTGCCATGTGCAGCATGCACACGTTTGGGATACTCGTGTACGCTCATGCAGGCTTATATACGTAGCTCCAATGAGGAGAGCTGCAATGCGTGCTTTGCGAGTACAAACGATCTATAACGCGGCAGCGTAGGCCGGCAGTCGGTTTTCGAGCGTGACGAATGATGAGAGGAAGCTGGCTGCCCACGGATGCTTGGGGGTGGGTACCGTGTTGACTCTGTGGACCAGTCTCAGATTAGCTGCATAGCAGTAGCTGACATCGTTCAGGTTCACCTGTTGACGACGCGCAAGATGAAATTGGCGAGCACGGCGAGAAAGAGGGTGACGCAGATCACCATTGGCCCATAGAGCTCATCTGTCCATTGCGTCAGCCCGTCGTAGAGTCACTTTGAATGACAAGATGTTACCAAAATGGCCGCCATAGCGTTGGCCAATGCGCTTCCGTCTGAGTTCGAACATGAAGTAGGAGTAGCCGATGACGCCTACGCTGATGAGAGCGTAGATGAAGCCCATGATCTTGCCGAGTGTCTCGCCTGCTCTGCCATCCTCTGTGGCTGCCTTTGCGTTGAACAGAGCCAGCGAGAATGAGCCAATCAAGAGTGCGACCCGTAGCCAGTTGAGCAGCGTTCGTTCGGCTGCCAGGTAGACTTTTGGCTCGATCCTGCTCACCTGAGCTGCCTTGGCCGGCGCCGTCGTCGCCGTCGTTGCTCCATAGCCGCTCATATCGGTCCGCCGTTCGACTGCCCTTCTTCCGCTTGCAGCTTGCAGGCGCACGTGCTCTCTCTCTCCGCGCGACTGGCTCCCTCGGCCCACACAAGCTCGGCAATCCTCATCCATCATGTCAGGCTACGACAAGGCACGCATCTCACTCGATGTCGCAAGAGCCATCGGCACACTCGGAGCAGGCCTCGGGGCAGGCCTGATGTTCGCCACACCCATCTTCACTACCAATGTCGCTTTTGGCGTGACGACAATGTGCGTACGCCTGCAGACGTGACGCCGCAAGCGAGCTCAATGAAGTCCTCTGAAAGGTCACCGCGTGATCGTTTGGGGTACTGGAGCAAGCTCTTTGACATTGGCGCGGTCGTCGTGCCCGTCCAGGCATCTATCACCATCTTATCGCTCGGCACGGCCGCGTATCTAGCAGAGAATAACAACGACAAGCCTCTCGGCAACCGCAGAAAGATCCTGCTCGCTAGTGCTGCCGTGGTGCAGGCGCTCGTGCTGGTCTGGACGCGCGGCGTGATGATACCCTCGACGATTCACCCGCTCAAAGCGATCGAAGCGCGACAAGCCAAGGGTGAGCTGCTCTGGCCTGCCCATCATCCTCGACAGCTCATGTTGGGCTGTAGATGGTGACGACAAGAGCGGCAGTGACGCCTTCATCATCAAATGGAACCAGCAGCACCTCGTCAGAGTCCTGCTCGTCGGAACCACTTTCGCCCTCAGCGTGCTCGAGCTCGTGACACAGTAGATCAGCCATGGACGAAACATGCATCTTCATCCACTTTTACGGGTCTCGCAGCAGCATTGCGAGCTCTTGAAACAACAGCAAAGTACATCATATCATCGACTGAGATGGCAAGTGTCCGTATCAAGCAGCAGTGGGGTCGGCAATGCAGGGAGTCGACCAAGCCCTAATACTCGCGCTTTAGCCTCATGAATTGGATAGGCAAGACAGACTGACCCTATGTGGCCATCGACACCAATGCCTCGAACCAGAAACGCGACTTCTTTCGCTCGCTGCAGATGCTGAGGAATCGGGTACGAGTGTTTGCCGGCCTGAACATTGATGAGGTGCCCTGCTTGACAGAGCGTCCACTCCTGCTGTCCGTGCTCTCCCGCTACCCAGATTTCGTAGCTCGCAGCCCAGGCAGATCCTAGCCAGGTCATCGCTGCTCCGTTGTCGATCAACCAAACCTTGTCAGGCGGTGGCGGAGTGGGATGAGGCGGCACGCGCTCTCTGTTAAGCTCGTAAGAGGCCTGACGTATTGTGTGTACGATCGCAGCCTCGCGTGGATCGAACTCGTCTGCGCGAGGTGCCCAGCCGGGCACATGGTAGGAAAAGATGCCATCGCCCTCGCCGTGAGTCTTGAAGCCGCCCTGCACGGAATGAGGCCGCAATGACCAGACGAGGCATCCTGCGCCGCCCGCCGCCTTGACAGAGGCTGTGAAAGTAGCAAACTCTGCCGGATCATGGAAGAAGCCAAACTCGCCCGCCACAAAGCTGTGAATCCTCAATTTAGCTCTGTTCGCACTGTTCGCAACTGGCGTACATTTTGTCGTGCTTCTTCGCAAGCTCAATGTCTTTCCTGATTCGTTTGGCTTCGCCTGCGCCATAATAGTGATACGAGAGGATGTCGACGTCTGGCGATCCGAGAACTTCGGAGGGGTATGATTTAATGATGTCATCGTTGCGGGAGTAGGAGCCATCCATGACGAGCGAGCGGGGAGCGAGTGTTTTGATGTGTTGTGCGATTGTGACGGTCCATGATCCGGGCGCGGGCGCCTTGCCGCCGAGATTCATCTCGTTCCCTGTGTGAGCATGAGCAATGCTATAGATCGACAATCCCGAACGAACCTGTTTCCCATGCGAGGATCGTAGCGTCGTCGCCGTATCGGACGCCGTTGACAGTGTTGACGCGGTTGAGCAGATAAGTGATGATCTTCTTGAAGCTGTGCAAGCTGTCATCAACATCACGACGGCGTATGATCTAGTGGCAAGCGAACCTGTCGATACAGGCCTTGTCTGTCCACCAATCGATGGACGCGTGTACTTCTTCATAGGACTTTCCAGTGCGCAATCTTATGAGATCTGTGAAATTGCCGACCCAATTGGTGCCTTCTTGGCCGTAGTCTTGGTTTATGATGGGTATAATGAGCTTGACCTGGTCTGCTCATCGCTGGTTCAGCACCGGCCAGGTGCTCATCAACATGTCAAGCGTACACTGCCGTGCGAGTGCTAGGACATGATCTATCTTGACGAAATGGGCCTCGTCATACTCCCAATCCTGTCTGGTCTCGCTCCAAGCGTTGATGTGACCTCGTGAGACTCGCCAGCTCTTGACTTGCAGGGTATACGTTCTCGTCACTCGTCGGGAGAAACCAGAGAGAGTGCGCATCGTGTCCTTGACCTCCCAGACATCATTGTCGAGCAGTTCGGGAGCGTTGAAAGAAGCAAACCGGTACGGAACAGACTCGTGCCACAGCTGGCCATTCCGTTTGATCACGAAAGGATCGATCTCGCCGCTCCTCTCGGTCATCGAAGTACCCGGCCGAGAGGGCGTGTTGCGAGCGGATTCCTGCATCTCCGTCGCCGTCGGATCGACCGACGCACTCGCTTTTGCCGGTCCTTCTTCATTGAACATCGCCTGACTGTGCGACAGGCACGAGCCCATCTTGCGCCGCCTCGCTCGGCTTGCTTGGCGTGTGTCGGAGTTTTCAATGAATCAAGAGCAAGTGGAGCATCATGGCGGCGCGCGATCTATCCGCTGTACAGACACGGTATGCATGTACATGACTCTATAGATATGCACTCATGGACTGCGCTCGTGTTCGTGTTCCCGTTCGTATTCTTGATGATGATGATGATGCTGCGGCGTCCGGACATCGGGCTCTTGCGACAGCTCTGCCTTGTCTGGCCCGCCAGGCAAGAGAGAAACGACTTCTGTCGAGGGGGGCTCGTCCTTGTCGGCCATGTTGCGATTGCGCACGATCATGACGTATGCTGCCGAGGCAATGATGATGGCCGAACCTGCCAATGAGGTGAGCGTGAGGGGCTCCCGAAATACGATCGTCTGGTAGGCGATCGAGTAGGGTGCTTGGAGATAGCAAGCGAGCAGCGTTGTGCCGGTCGACTTGTCCATCTGCAACCCAATGTTGAGCAGAAATTGCGCGAGGAAGCCAATAATCTGCAAGCACATATCAGTTGAAGACCTTCAACGTGAGGATCAGCAAGGACGTACGCCTATGCTGAACAGAATGAGATAGAAGATTGGCTCCTTCGGGATGATGAGAGGTTCGTCAGGCAGGATCATGTGCATGATGATGGCGCCAAGGCAGCAGAAGACGGAGAACGCATTGACGCTGTGAAGCGGATGGCAGTCCTTGCCCATCTTGCGAATCGTGGTGTAGGCGCCGGCTGAGCCCAAGACGCCCATGAGGGAGATGAGGACGCCAATCGTTCGTCTGTGAGTCTCCTCCGAGTCGACAGGGTCTCCTGAGCTGAAGAGAAAGGCAGGTTTGGCGATGAGGACGACACCACCGAGTGAGATCAGTCCCGCTAGCGCTTCTATGGGTAGATAGGGCTCTCCGAGCAATACGGCGGCCAGGATACCCGTCAGGAAGGGCGACAGGAAAGTCAGTGAGGTCGCGTCCGTCAGACTCAGGTAGAGAAGCGACAAGTACATCCCCGCCAGACCGAATTGGCCAACAGCACCTCGTAGCATGAGCCATTTCCTGAGCTTGGGCGGCCAAGTGAGCGGATACTCGACGCCCTTCCATCGCATGTAGGCGTAACCGCAGATCCAAGTGACCGACATGCGAGTCAGGATGAGCTCCCAGGTTGGGATCCGTACGTCAGAGAGCGAAAGCCACTTGACGAGGACGTTCATGGTCGCAAAGAGACCTTGGGATGAGGCCATGATGAGAAAGGCAGCGTTGGGATCCCATATTATTGCTTTTAATCGTCCTAGCCGTGAAGGAGCGTTTTGCTGCGATTCTGCATCGAAAGGATCACTGCAGTCTACGGATGGAGAGCGAGGCGGCAAGAGTAGTTCTCTACTCGGTGTGACTGCATGTCCCTTGCCCCTCTGCTTCGTGATCGGGCTGTCGTTGTCATAATCGTCGTAGTGATGTCGCACGGACGGATGCGTCCCAGGTGCTGTATCGCGTTCGTCCGTCAGAGTGACCGTACTCGATGTGCTCGTACTACGCTGTCCCCTGTCATCTGCATCTGTGCTCATCTGCAGACCACTGATGCTCCAATGACTCGCTGGGTGCGTTGACATTCCGGTTAGCTTGGCCGTGCGCGTCAAATGTTTTACTCAGATTGTATAAGAACGCGCTGCTGGCCCACAATTCGCGCAACCCCACTCGACTCCAGATAATCGCGACCGGTGTGAGGCGACCGTAGTGCGGCGACAGTGCTATCTCGTGGGTTCTTCCGACTCGCGACGACAGCTTGACCGTGGACCTTTGAGGCTCTCAATAGAACACACTGATCATGAAACTTTCCTCTGACCGGGGTTTCAGCTATTTGCCACAGACCTCGCGGCAAGCTGAGACTCCAGTGGAATGCATATCTACAATCTATTTCAGTGGTTGCGCTTGTGCTACGTCGGTCATGAAGGTGGTCCAGTCCGAGCCAAAGCTCTGGTAGACGTCAGACTGGCTGATTTGGACATTGGTGATGTAGGTCGATCCGACGCCTTGCTTGACCAAGCTCTTCACGAGCGTACTCAGTGCGCTGGCACTAGCACTGACGGGATAAGAATGGATGATGACGGATTGCTTGCTCGGCCGGGGGTATGCCAGAGGGCTCTCAGACTGATATGACTTGTAATCGTCTTCGAACGTGACGACCGTGTCTGCGATGTTGTAATAGCTCGTACTGCCGGTCGCGCTGACGGGAAGGCCAGGATTGAGAACGACAGTCCTGTTGGGCCATGCTTTGGTGCTTTTGACAGCGTCATAGTATTGCTTGTAGAGCGAGTATTTGCCATCAATCGTCTCGTCAAAGAAGATGCCATCTACAGCATACGACGTGTTCCAGCCTGCATACTGTGCGATCTGCTTGATGACTGTCTTGTTCGACTTTTTGCCATAGCCAGTCGGTACATAGCCCAGTATCTGCACATTGCCCGACTTCGAGGCTTTCTTGAGCGCAACGATGCCCGCGCCGTACTCTGCATCAGGTTGCGAGCTCGAGCCAGGTCCCGAATCAGGATTGATGACGACTTGGAAGTGAAGCTGCGGGTGTGCAGCGATGGCTTGCCGCAGAGGCGCCCACGTTGTCGAGTTTTCGGGGTACGAGTACAAGGGAACGATGACTGATGTTCTATTGAGGCTGGCAGCAGCCGCAAGACTCGTTGCTAGGCCCGACGCCATGACGAGTGGTAAGGTCGTTTTCATTGATTTGCTTGCTGAGGAAGCAGGAGCAGGAGGAGGAGGGGATGAGGATGAGTCTGCTTAAATGCATGTTCAACCTGGCTAAAAGCGGTGCGTGCTTTGTCCAGACTTGGGGCAGAGCGAAATAGCAAAAAGGGTCTTTGTCGATCAGAGTTTCGAACAAAGCGAGTCGCAAGTCACGCACACGCACGAGCCAGCACGATGGCAGCAGACCTCGACAGGAAGGGTGTAGAGAGCTTTGTGAGATCGGTGCCGATGCAAGGGCTCGTCACTTTTGATTCAGAGCGAGATGCCAAAGTGGTCAGCACATGATCGACGTCACCGTGACGCTGTGGCACGCTGACACTGCACTATTCCAGGCAAAGCTATGCAGACTCTCGTCATCGGGTCAACGGGAATGCAATGAAGTCGCACTGCATTCGAGGCAACTCTTTGAGCATCTCACCAAGCTCGGTTTCTTTTGCACTTCGCCCATCGATCCCTCAAAGACAGAGATCGAATGCAGGAGGATAGCCAAAGCACCGGTGACGAGCTTATGATGCATGCACACGATGATCATGCGATGGTGATGCCGTTGCTCCACGAGTGACGCTTGATCTCGAGCTCAGTCACTCTTGAGCGCATCTTCTTGTGCTCCGTTCGAAGCCGCTCGAGCTCTCGGGCTGCATCGCCGTTGGCCGAGCTCGACAAGCCCCGAGTCGATCTGAGCTGCAACAGTTGCTGCTCGAGATCCGATACTGCGCGCTCTTGCGTCAAGGTGATCTCGCGAGCAGAGTCAAGCTCGGTCTCTGCAGCACGCAGTAGCTCTTGCTGCTCATGAAGTACACCCCTGAGTCGCTTGGCCTCTTCCTGATCTTGGTGCTGCTTTGCAAGCTGCTCATCCCTGTGCATGAGTGTCAGCTTGCATCGAAGCCATGCAGCAGCTCAAGTCACCTCTGCTGAAGCTCCGAGCTAAGAGCTTCGATCTTCGTCCGAGCAGCTGCCAGCTCTTCGCCCACAGGCTTGTCATGTTGCTGCTTTGCATCGTACTCGAACAGACGCGCGCCAGCTCGATCCATATCGCGTGACTGTTCCTCGAATGCTGCTCTCGTCGAAGCCAGAGCTTCTTTGACGCTATCCAATTCGACTTGCCACTGCGCCTTCTCTTCCCTCAGCGCCTTGACTTTGGTCTGCAGCTCCAAGTCGTAGCGTCGCTGGCGAGACTTTGACTCGGCAGCTTCCGTGCGCGTCTTCGTGAGCTCGTTATGTGATCGTGCCACTTGCGAACGCAGATGCCGGATGGTATTGTACAGATTCTGTCGTTCGGCTTCTACGCCGGTGTCGATGATAGCCTGTCGATGTAAGGAGCCCATATGCTGTTGCTGCTGACTCCGCAGGAAACGCTCGAAATCGACTTCGGAACGCGCAAGAGCTAGCGCGCGGCGAAGTGTAGCTGTATCGGTCTCTGCCGAATGATCGAGTCGCAAGGTGAGATGCCCCGTCAGATCGGGTGCTATCAGGTCTGACTTTCGAGGTATGACGTGCGAATCGCAAAAGGCGATGACATCTGGGCCTTCCTGCTTTGCCCATCGATCTACGTCTTTCAGCTCTGCTGCCAAGTCTGCAAAGTAGAGCAGGTTGCAATTGATGGCGTGAGATCGTAGGATGGGCTCACAGCGACGTTGGAGCAGCGACAGATCGAGTACCTCATCCATCGTAGACTCGTGCGCAAATGGCGATGCCCAGCCAGACCGACGAAGATAGGCTGTGCCTTCTCTGAAGAACGTGAGCGTGTTGCGCGGATACAGGCCGTAGAGACACGTGAAGAGCGCAGTGACGGCAGGTATCACGTCTGACACCTTTGGCGGCTGGGTACCGTGATCGACAACCGGCTGCCATGACAGCTCTGGCCGTAAGTCGAAAGTTCGTATTGCTGGACTGGCTGGCGGCGCTTCGATTGCTACCTCGCTAGTCTCTGGCATAACGGCTTGGTCTTCTGGCCAAGTGATGCACCTGCCAAGAGCAGCGAGCAGATTGGGCAATGCGGCAGGCACGTAGGTCGTGATCCTGGGCAGCACGGTGACGATCGTGAGGAGCGAAAGCGTAACGCAACCGAGATGCTGTTCGACGGTCGCGATCAAAGCCAGAACATCAAGCAGCTTGCTCTCTGTGGCTACTGCCAGATATGCTTGCGATGGATGAGTCCGCAAGAAGGCGTTGATGAGAAAGATGCAGGAGTAGCGGTCGGGGGGCGCGAGGACGAGACGGGAGTACAGCATGGCCAGGAAAGCCTTGGAATTCGTCCGACCGAGCGTGATGAGAACGTTTTCGAGGAGCCTGACATCTTGCGCAGCGGTCGTCTTGACGCTCGCCAGGTAATCCTCGACGAGCATGCTCGTCATTGATGAAAGAGCGTCGTCGGTCGATGTACCCGCCCAGACTGCCGACTCTGTCATGGCGGTCATAGCCTGCCGATCGAGCAGGACACGATCTGGCGCCTCGAGCAGGAGCGCAGGCCGCACGAGGGTAGCATACCAAGCTTTGGTCCATTCAGTCTTTTGCTGGTCGGTAGATCCCTGCCTGCAGGTGACGCTCTTGAGCAGGAGCACGAAGAGCGCTGCATGTCGATCAAGTCTTCCCGTGCCGGCGACTCGAGGACGCAACGCTTGCCAGTGTTGTACGAGTGCAGTCACAATCTCGTTGCTAGGTTGCTCCGTGCTGTCGAGATATCCGTCCAGCATCCGCTGCAGCTCTGCGTCGATCACACCAGAGCCATCATTCTGCTCATCCTCTGTGACCCGGCTGAAGAGACTGTTGAGCTTCTGCAGCAATGCTACTTCGGCCATCGTGCTGTCGTGTGAGGCAACAGAGGGAGCGCGCCCTGTCCGCACATTTGTGTGTCTCTATGCAGATGGGACGTCATACAACAGGCCTGAAGCCGTCAGCGTAGACAACGGGACGTGCGAGCGAGTCATGCAGAGGAGCAGGCGGCTCCATGAAGGCAAGCCAGTCGCTCGACGCGGTAGGCAAAAGCCCCATGGAATGACACTTGTACAGGCCAAGTGCGAGCAGCAAGCCCTGGCAGATGACGTAGACAGTCTGCTGAGCTGCGAAACTCTCTCGCGTGGTCGGTGACTGGCCGGCAGGAGGCACGCTTGCACCCGTGAAAGGCGCAAAAGCTTCATGAACGCGCAAGAGTCAGCTCATTGATGACCCATTGAGACCTGTCGGGCGTGCCTTTGCTCACGCCCACAGCGGCAACGACGGCGTTCTTGATGAGCATCCAGACCATCATCATGCTGAAAATCTGTACACCTCCGCCAGACATGTAGAGCATGAAGCCCTGCATCGGGACCTGTTTGGCAGGCGAGAGCGCGAGATCCCATGCTCGCTGCCTGCGCAGAGCAGCAAGGCTCTTGCGTTTGGGCGGAGGTGCTGCGGCAGAGGCCACTGGTCCGCTTGAGGCTTGCTTTGACTTTGGCTTGCTCGACACGACCGTGCCAGGATTGATGAAGCTGGGCGGCGGTGGGAGTCTGCGTGAGGGGGATCAGAGTGGTACAGGATCATGCTGACGACATGTCTGACTTGGATGTTGACGCCGTTGGGGCCTCGAAGTACCATGACGACATGCTGACTGTACGCCGGGCTGACCGATCGACTTCGCGCGTCTTTATCGATTCGCCTCGACACGACCTTGGGGGGTTGACTCGACCCAGCTTCGTCAGCCTCCGCGGCGGAGACGGTGCCGCGAGGGCAGAGCAGCCGGTCACAATGCCGGTCCTCTCCTCTTCCCAACATGTGCCGATATACAGACAGACGATAGCCTCGACGCCTCTCTCACAGCGAGCAGAGCGACAGAATGGCATTGTTGCTCCGCCTATCGACAGGAGCTCGACCAATTCCCCAGACAGATGCATGCTCCCCGTCACCATGCCTGAGATATCTCGCTCAAAGTCACAGGAAGAGGCACATGGCGCCGCACAGCCAGGCACCAGTCCGAGCTCTTCCAAAGCGGGCAAGGCCATCTCAAGCCTGCTCGCCCAACCACGCTTGTCAGTGATGCCGTCTTGACGAGTGATGATTTGTACTCATCGGTCTGCATCTGACAGGAAAATCCAAGTCGATCAGACACCGTTGTTCACCCATCCTCCTGAAGACAGCTCATGGCCGTCACACGACCCCATCCTACGAGGTTCGATCATATTGTTCCTGCCGAGGCCAAAGGCAATAAGGTCCATCACTGTCACGTTGACGGGTCATGCCGATCTAGCCCTCCGAGCGCGTCCCTACGAGTCTGTCAACATCCTCGAAAAGAGCTTAGACATCGCCATCTGTAAAGAGGATCAGCAGCTCAGCAAGGGCTACCACGCCTTCTCGTTCTCCTTCATCGTACCTTCCTCCACGGCAGTCTATGAGCGATGTGTACACGGTCGCATATTTCACAGGATATCCGCAACGGCGAGAGGCGTCGGGCTTACCGGCACCAGTCTGTCAAACTATGGCTATCTGCACATCATCGCCAATCCAGAGCCGACCCCGCAGGACATGCCAACGCCCTGTCAGCTCATCGTCAATGACTTTGTAGAGGATATAGGGCCCTTTGTGCTTCGCGTCGATTCACCCAATCTGCTCGTCGGCGGCCTGTTACAGGTTCAGCTGAGGCTGCTGTCGCCGCCCGCGAGCGCTGCAGGCGCAGATTGTCCCACGCCAGTCTATTCCATCTCTGCATTCATCGTCCAGCATTGTGTCTTGCGCTCGCTGTCCGATCCAGAGTACATCGAGCGACCACCTTATTCAAAAATCCTGTTGTTCAGACGCGAAGGCGAATCCATGTCGCTCCCTTGCGACAACCCTCGCAATGTCAAAACGGAACCCTTTGTCGTCAAATCACCCTTGGCGTTCATCGCGCCCGGCGACGAGTACAAATTCTCCCAGACTGCCAGGCTGGGCGACGACAACACGATCCGACCTAGCACGCTCAAAGGTACAGAGACGCCCATCAGTTTCTCGCACAAGATCGTCGTCGAGATCGTGTACGACAAGCTGGATGCCAATGGCGATGTGTTTGCTCGCAAAAAGGTCAAAGTCGAAAAGTCCCTGCCGCCCATTGCGTCTTGCTGCTGCACGCTCGAATCGGTCACTTTGCCCGTATACGAATGCGAAGACTCGTTGCCAGCTCAACGGGTCATGGAAGATCAGGTTCAGACTATGCCTCGCACGGCTGGCCACTTTATGACCTGTAACTGCGGCCTGCCCGCGAACGAGCTCATCGAGCTGTATGGCTTCGAAGGCGAAGTCAATTTTATGTCACCACTTATTCCCGTCCGTGCATCGCCAGTCGTAAGCGCATCATCCTCGCAGAAAGGGATCGAAGTGTAAGCTTATCCATCACAACAACATGTACACATCGGTCTGTCTCCGCCATTGGCGTCTTGCTCGTTGTTGTCTATCATAAATCTACTTGTATTTTCTGAATTGCTTGTGATCTAGATGACTCAGATCGTCAAGTGATGCGATCTTCTCGAGATAGTCTGCCATGTCGTACAGCTCGCGGTCTGTTGTTCCTCGTGTGGTGTTCTTGAAGGCGTGACATTTGAGCAGATTTTGGGGTTGCAGGACAGCATTGCGTGACAGGTCATCAATGTGGACTGCCCCTCTGTCGCATCAGCTCAACAGCTCATCCACGGCAGAACCCGAGCAGACCAGTATTGTTTGCAGTGTATTCTGGAAATCTGTCCCAGATGATCTGCAATGCCTTGACTTCGTGTCGTACGATCTTGCCTTTGCGGTTCGAGTGGACGCTGAACATGGTCTGTCGGTCAAGCACGGTGACGATGTTGTACTCGTTATCGCCGCCTATCATGTTGAGCTCGAGTAGCTTCTGCTCCAGATAGCGCCAGTGGGTCTGCGACCAGATCATGATGTCCCACTTTGCGTCTGTCACTCTGCGTAGGAACTCGTGCAGACCAGGTCGAGCAAAATCTTCAGAGGTCGTGTTCTTGCCCCATGTCTTGCAGTCCAACAGTGTATAATCGAGATCGAGCACGAGCAGTTTCGCGTCTTTGCGAGGTGGCAGCATGATATCGGGCTTCCACTTTTCCACTGCCTCTCTGATTCGCCGCTTGTTACGGCGATCCAGCTGAGGATCGATGACGCCCTGCGCGTCCGCATCGACGTCGAGGTCATTCAGGATATCGCTGTTCTGTCGGAGCTCTTTGATTTCATCGCCCTCTGGCGTACCAACGAGCATGAAGTCTTTCACCTTGCCTACTGAGAGGTGCAGATCGAGCACGAGCAGTTCGTCAGAGGGTAGTTTGCCCTTGACCAGACCGATGATCTTCTGACGTTCGGGCGGTACATTGGTGAGCGAGTAACAGAACAGCTTGAGATCATAGATTGTGTCTGTCTCGCACACGCTGAGCTCGTAGCGTGTGCCTGCGTGCGTCATCTTGAGCCGATAGACATTGTCATCCCCGGCATCGACTGCTTCGAGGGCATGATGAGCTGCCGTCGGTGGGTCAGGCTGCTCCATGAACGGCGGCTCAAGCTCGTCGACTGCTGTTTCGCTCGGCCTCGTGACATCGACAATCCCGTCGTCCATTGCGCAACAGCTCCCACGGACACTCTCGCCGCCTCGAGGAGCTCTTGCGGCCGCTCGAGCTTGTCGACAGGAAGGCGTTGCTACGCTTGTTTCGACGTAATTTCGACGCGTTGGTGGTGCAGGCACATTCTCTTGACTGTCAAGTTCCTTCTCCCCCTATGCAAGACGATGAAGCACAGCAGGAGGACGACAGTGGACTCATCGATCTCTTTGCGTCCGATGCAGACGATCGGATTCCTCCCGAGCTCCCACCAACGACGAAGCGCTTCGTCGCGGCCGATGGAAGAAAAATCGATATACAGCTCGTAGCGGGCCATCCTCTCGTGCGTGTGGCCACAGACTATACGGATGGCAAGCTCAGTACACTAAGCACCGTACACTGCAGTGGGGGCACGTCCTTTATCCGACAGCTATCGAGCTTTCTCGCTATCTTGAACACAACCCCGACTTGATCAGTAACAAAACTGTTCTCGAGCTAGGTGCGGCAGGCGGATTGCCCAGCATTGCAGCCGCTCTTCTCGACGCTCGTTTCACTGGTCAGCACGTGCCGTTTCTCTTGACGTCGGGTCTGATCTACGCAACATTAGTCTGTACTGATTATCCTGATCGTCCACTGATTGCGACGATAGAGCACAATCTGGCTCAAAATCTGCCTGAAGATGTACAAGCACGTACAGCAGCTGCCGGATATGTTTGGGGCACCTCAACGAACGACTTGCTCGCTTTGTTGCCCGCACATTCGCCCAAATTCGATACTCTGCTCTTGTCCGATCTCGTCTTCAATCACTCGCAGCAAGATGCGCTGCTGAAAACCTGCAAGGACGTCATCGCTCCCGGCGGCATCGTGCTCAACTTCTTCGCTCATCATCGACCGACCTCAATTCTTATCGAACGCGACCTTGCTTTTCTCGAAAAGGCTCGCAAGCAAGGCTGGCGAGTTGAGCGAGTCGTGGAAAACACGTTGGCAGGGGTAGGCTCCTGATCGCTCAGCAAGAGCACGGCTGATCTTGCGATCAGCCTGCGTTCCCAGAGGATGGCGGCGATCTGGCAATCAGATCAACAGTGCACGGTCACGCACTGACGCGCGAAATTTGACGGGGGCCAGAGGCAACAGGGAGCTACTTCGAGCTTTGTCAATCTGGTCACGATCCTTTGCGTGGCGTTTGCTGTATAAGAAGCGGCTCGTACGATGCAAGATCAATCCTCACGGTCCAGCTTTCTAGCCACAGAACTCAAAGCGCTACTGAGATGCTCTTCCGTCATGCTGCTTGCTTTGCTGCTCTGGCTTTGACAGCCACTACAGTGAGCCTATCATGTGTATGCAATCAATGCTACGGTAGCTAACATGCTTTCAGCTGGCCCTACCTATCCGTAGGCTCAATGAACGAGGCGAAATCATCAACACCATCAGAGAGCGCAATCTGCTCGATCCGCTGCACGTCGCACAGCACGCCCAGCACCAGCTACACGACCTCATCGACCATATCGTGCATCATCCCGAACTTCTGCCGCTTTTGCCACCTGCATTGCTCGCTCAAGTCCTTCCTCTGCTCGCTACATCCGGCGTAGCGGGCGCTGCCGCACTCGCGGCATCCCTCGGCGTAGCGGGCACGGCTACAGCTAGCGTTGCTGGTGCTGCTGGCATCGCAGGCACAGCCGGTATCGCAGGTACAGCAGGCATCGCAGGCACGGCCGGCTTGGCAGGTACAGCTGGCTTGGCAGGCCTGGCCGGTCTTGGCCTGGGCGCTAGTGCTGCAGGCGGTATAAGCGGACTTGGAGCTCTGGGCGGTCTTGGTAGCATTGGCAGCTTGGGAGGATTAGGTGGCCTCGGTATCGGTGCTGCTGGCGGTGCGCAGTCGTCAGGTATGCTGCTATGTTGTGACATCTGGCCTACCGCTGACGCGATATGTGCAGGATCGGCAGGCATCGCCATCACACCCTTTGGCGCAGGCGCAGGCGTGACGGGCGAGACGTCGGCAGGTGGCATCGCAGGTGTTATCTGATCGCTTGTCGAGAGTAGTGAGCTTGACCTATGGGACAACTGCAAGCTGTATCATGATCTGCGCGCCTGCTCTTGCAGCTGCTTCTGAGTCGGCGGAGGAGCCATATCGCCCCACTGTGCTTGACCAGGCAGCCTGCTGATTCGCTTGTTCTCCCATTCGTCCAGCTCGTCTTCCTGAGCACGTAGGCGAAAGTACTCCTCGCGTAGATCGACTTTCTTGCGAGATTTGCTCATGTTGAGCTCTTCCTCCTGACTGACCTGACGTACTTTGCTGTCCTTGAGATCGTACCGTGTCTGAGTGAACGAGGAGAGTGCAAATGATCCGCCGACGATGGTGAGTACGAAAGGCAGCCCAAAGAGCAGGAAGGGATATCGTCGGGTCAGCGCATTCAGGCCGCCTGGCTTTGCGCGTCTACAATGATTGCATGAGCTAGCGAAGACGACGAAGTACGTCAGACCTCACTTGAGTGGCTTCGACGGCAGCGAATTCATGACCGATCAGAGGCGCGTGTGGAGCTGCCGCTGCCATTTAAAATTTTGAGCGTGCCTGCTGTCGCTTGAAGATGACGACGACGGTGCAGCATCTGCCTTTTGAGCTCCCTCTGAGCTCGCAAGCGAGCACATCGAAGCAATCCTTCGGCAAGCTATCGCGTGAGTCAGCTCTTGCGCATAGCCGCCGCGCTGACAGATCAGATTTCTGCAGCGCTGGTCAAGCGCAAGGTTGAGCCTGTCGGACCCGCCTATAGAGCCCACGCGCGCCGAGTACTACAAGGTTTCTCGTTCGAGCAGGATGACAAGATCAAGGCCGAAGAAGATGAGCGGAACGGTCTCAACAACATAGACGAAGAAGATGGCGACGATGTGCCTGAAGAAGAGGAGTCGAATGCCTTGCTTGCACTCGATCCCAAGGAATGGAAAAAGCAAGATCACTACGCCGTTCTTGGGCTGTCATCGCTGCGATACAAGGCCACACCTGAGCAGATCAAGAAAGCACATCGCAAGAAAGTCCTCAAGCATCATCCCGACAAAAAGGCAAAACTGGCAGGCCACAATGCCAACGACGACTCATTCTTCAAGTGTATCGCGAAAGCCTACGACACACTGTCCGTGCCGGAGAAACGACGCATCTTTGACTCTGCAGATGAAGCGATTGATCAGGATGATACCCCACCGAGGAACCTGCCAGCATCTGAGTTCTTCACGGCTTGGGCGCCCGTCTTTGAGCGCGAAGGACGCTTCAGCAAGAAGCAGCCTGTAGCCAGATTGGGCGACGCATCTTCCAGCAAGCCTGAAGTCGAGGACTTTTACGACTTTTGGTACAACTTTGACTCCTGGCGTTCGTTCGAGTACTACGACAAGGAGGTCAACGAAGGCACAGATTCGCGTGACGAGAAACGCCACGCCGAGCGAAAGAACAAGAGCGAGCGTGCAAAGAGAAAGAAGGAAGACGTCGCTCGCGTGAGAATGCTCGTCGATGACGCCATGGCTGCCGATCCTCGTCTCAAGGCCTTCAAGCAAAAGGAGAAAGCCGCTAGAGACGCAAAGAAGAAGGGTCCCGGCGGTAAGACGGCTGCTCAGATCGAGCAGGAGGCTGCAGACAAGAAGGCAGCAGAAGAGGCTGAAGCCAAAGCAAAGGCGGACGCCGAGAAACAGGCTGCAGAAGCCAAGGTGGGCGCCGCGGCCAACAAGAAGGCCAAGGAAGCAGCGAGAAAGAACCTCAAGAAGGATCAAAAGGCAATCGCCGAGGTTGTCAAATCGTCGAACTACTTCTTGCCCGCTGGTCAAGCACCAGAACCCGCCAAAGTCGAAGCTCAGCTCAATGAGCTCGATGTGATCACAAAGGCACTTGAGCCAGAGCAAGTCTCAGCTTTCCGTAAGGAGCTCGACGGCAAGAAGGCGGATTCAGCTGCGGCAAAGTCGATCGTCATCAGCTGGGCGGCTACTTCAAAGGCGAGCGGGTTGTCCGAATTCGCCTCATAGACATATCTTAGATCGTGCATGCAAACTTTGCTTTGCTATGCCATGAAGAACTACCACAAAGCTTTGTGCACAACGTGTCATACATGCTCTCATGTACAACATACAGCAGTGCCGTGCGAGTATCCTTATGGTGAGTTATCTGTCTAGCGTGATGGTCTTGTCTAGCAGACAGGGATGGTGATGTTCTTGAGATTACGATCTGCATCGAAGAGGCCCCAGTGGGACTCGACGCCGCCATACGCCAGCTCCTTCCATGGCTCATCGAAAGCCTCAAAGTAGAATGATTTCGTGTTGTTGACAAGGCTCTGACATAGGTACGTATCTAGGAAAGTCTGGAGCTCAGGGACGCCTGCCACTGCGCCACCTAGTGTGTCGTCTGTAGAATTATACGAGCCGTCTGCGTTAGTCGAGTTTGTAGGCCAACCGGTCTCTGCGATGAAGACAGCTGGGTTGTTCGAAGCTGCTGCTGCGACAGCGACTGTGCTCGTTTGGAAGTATTCATAAGTCCACGCTGCTGCCTGCGAAATGAGCAAGCCGCCGAAGAAAGGGTGTACATTCGACATGAGCGCATCGCTGCCTTCTGCCAGCGAAGTCGTCATCATCGAGCCTGCATCAGCTGTACCCACGGGTATCGTTTTGGACAAGTTCAGTGCAGCTAGTCGAGTCCTGACATCCTTTTGCTGTTCGACGACGAAGCTGATGGCTGTAGTTGACGGCGTGCCGCCCGTGGGACTTGCGAGCAGGACGACCTCGTTGCCGACAATGACGCCGGAGACATGATCAGATCCGTGCTTACTGATAGCATCGAGGGTTTGCTGGATCTGCCGTTCGTTCGTTGTCGAATTGGTCATGTCGAGATAGATGCCGAGCCAGACTGTCATGTTGACCTTTGTGTCTGCAATAGCCTGCAAGATGTTATCGTTGATCGAGCAATCACTGCCGTAAGTCCGCATATTGGTCGTCAACTGGCTCAGCAGCTGAATGTCGCGAGTGACATTGGCCAGTGTCGACCCACAGCCTGGCATCTGAGCATTGAGAGGCGTGTATGCCATGCCCCAGAACGACTGATGCAATCGTGAGTCCTTGGTGAAGACGCTCGGGTCACTGCCACTGCTACTGCTACTACTGCTGCTCGAGTCAGACGACGAAGAGGAGCTTTTCTTCGACTTGGTGATGCCGATGACGACGCCTACGACGGCAGCGCAGGCGACAGCGACAATACAGCATATCAAGATGATCTTTGACTTCTTCTTGCTTGCCTGCTGCCTCTGCAGCCATGTGGGTTCGGCGACAGCAGCAGATCTCTTCTCGTAGTTTGGATCGGCGCCATAGGGGGCATCGGCCTCGTTCCTACGGGCGTAGTGCGACTGAGCCACGTAGTCCGAAGCTGAGCTATGGTTGTACATATTTGGCGACGGCGTGGGAGGATACGAGTCTTTGAAAGAGTCCTGCGAACAGATGAGCCTCGGACGATGAGAGCACGACGACGACGACTCACCTGACTCGCAAAAGCGTGCGGTTGCTGATCGTCCTGAATCCCCCAGTCGTACTGAGAGGGGTACTGGTTGCGCGACATGTTGCCGTACTGCTCCTAATTCGGCCAAGACTGTCCTGATCTTGGCAGTATTCAGGCTGGGCTGTGCGACTGTCGCGTGGCGCGTGACACGAGTCGTGACATGCGACATCGCGAAGCCAATGCAAAGTGGCAATTTGTAACTCATGATCAGTGATTGGTGTTACAACATTGTGCAGGTAGATGCTGTGTGCCATGCGTTCGTGTGTGCGTGCGTGCGTACTATGCATGCTGAGCGTCCCACTGTTGGCGGTAGACGCGTCTAAGCTCGCCAGTTGCAAAGCCGCTGAAAGTGCTGCCGGTCGTACCGACAGTAAAGGCACCCTTAGCAGCGACCATGGCTTCCAAAAAAGGGATAAGCAGCCTGCCAAGACCGATATGGTCGCCTGCATTGACGGACTTTTCCAAGTAGATTAGGCTATTGATGATTGGGCCGGTGTTGTGTGGTGAAGCACGGTCGAAGTCGCTCAAAATGAACGTGCATGGAAAGACGGCAAAGAAGACCGATAGTGCAGGATGGTCTTCCGGATGGGGAGCATCTGTTGCCAAATAGACGGGCGTGTTAAGTGGCAGAAGATCCGGTTCCGTGTACAGTGCGCCCCGGCAAACGAGAGCGGGATCAAGGGGCAAGTCCCCAGCGCTCTTGATCACTGGCAATGGCCTGACAGTCGATGACACCTGCCTTCGTTCGACGGTAGCGGCGTCATAGTAGTCGTCTTCGTCCATGTCAGATGAAGGGACGAGCTCTCTGTGCGCATGAGCACGTCTCAGGAGCTTGTGAGCCCGAGATGCAGCTCTTGGGCTGTGAATACCTCTACTTGAAGTGCGTTGACGCATGCGAGCAGGTCCCATGCGAGTGAGCCTTCGCCATTGCCGCGTGGGTACTTGGAGAGTCGCCAGCACGTGCTCAAAGAGCGTTTGCATGTTTTCTGTCGCTTGCTCTTGGAAGAAGCCATCGCCTACTCGAGCATGCACGCCTATGTAGTTGTCAGATCCGCCCATCATGTCGCGCAGCTTGTTAGCAGGTCTGTTGAGCAGTTCAGTGTCAAAGGCGAGGCTTTGACCAAACTCATGCTGAAGCTCTTTGTGTCGAGTACTCGTATATTTGATTCGGCTATCACCAAAGATCGAGCCCATGAGCATAAGCTTCTCTGGCTGTTGTCGTAGTAGCGGCACGGAGACACGCGTATGGTACTTGCTTTCCTCTGGCGACAATCTGTGGAACATCGGGAAGGGCTTGCCATCGGGGTCCAAAGCGGGTGGATCATCTTCAATGAATAAATTCCAATAGCCGCCTCGTCCAGTATCAGTCAGTTGGAATACATCGGCTTGTGTAGTGTTTGTGAGCTCGAAGAGATGCTCAAGCCGGACATCGAAGCGGTCGACGAGCCGGATATCCCTTTCGGCCTTGTACAGATCTGCGAGAAAGTCCCAAGAGATGAACGTATTCTTGTATGTCGACTTGCATTCTTTGGCGTATGATTTGCATTCCTCCGCGGTCAAATGATGTGAAGTCTGCCGTTTCGCTAGTCGGGATGCGTTTGAGAAAGGTGCGAATGCGTCTGCGTGCAGCGTGTATTGTCTATCCCATGTCTCTTGCTGCAGAGGAGTCGTTAGCGCAGCTCCAGACGACGGCATCATCACTGACCAATTGAAGATAATTCTGCGTATACGGGGGCCAACCGATCCATATGGGAGGCACGAGGAGTGTTCTGATAAGGTGTATCAGCAAAGGTCTAGCCTGCAATAGTCAAGGATGACCAACCTATTGAGCATTGCTGCCAAGGACATCGCGTTTCTGAGCTCTATACGCTGATTATGAAAGCCAGAGTGAGGCAGATAGCCCAAGAATTTCTCTTCCGGATTGCCAGAAGGCATCCTCAACGGCGATGGCTGCGTCCGTACAGGATGTATCTCGGTCGGCAAAGGTGCCAGCGAGCTGGTCGATGCACTGGGCGAATTTATGACCTTGAAACTCGCTTCGGTCGCAAGATTGGACGCGAGCTGGCTGCTGAGCGGACCTGCCGTCGAAGTAGCAATCGGATGGTTAGTGACAATGAGTACATCTGATGGCGCGACCGGTTCGCTCGACAGAGTCTGAATTGCGGTTCTCGAGGACACCTCATCTTCAGCTATCGCTGGCGTTGACCTCTGCGGCGGTTCGACGGAGAGCTCATCCGATGTGGACCACGCACTGTTTTGCAGTGCCTGCATCATCTCCTTGGCCTTTGTGTGCGTAGGTGGATGGAACGAGACGAGCAGCACAAAGCCAGACATGCCGAGTACTATCAATAGCACAAGCCGGCATCGAGTGAAGCAGCTTTTGGATGCTGATCGTCCGCTTAGACGAGCTGCAGCACTTTGTGCAGACTGCGATCTCTCATGCCCGCCAGAATAGTCTTGCAGCGTTGGCCGAGAGTAGTGCGGCAACAGCTTTGAATCGCCGGGCCCAAGGTAAGATTGCTCTCGAGTCTGCAAGCCAGTACTGCTGCCGCCAGCAGTGAGCGAGGAGGATGTCGAGAATGACCAGCCTTCGTGATCGTCGTCGTCCAAGCTCTTTTTGATGGACCTTTCGTCCTCTTCGTCATGGTACGGCTCAAAGAGAGTCTGCTGGCTGGATGCTTCGTGCATGGCAACGCTCGCTGGTTGAAGCTGTGATCGCGCTGCTGTTTGGCCGGTCATGTATTCCCGCATGAGGGGCTCACTGGCTCCGTCAGTCATCTTGACGGGCAGCTGGCTTCAGTCTGCTATGACCTCGTTCTGCATCCGTGACCGCGCGCGACAAAGGCGGATGTCGGACGATCGCGACGCGTCTCGGTTTTCTAGACGCGAAGTCAAAAGTCCGTTTTTAGCACAGGAACATCAACAATGGCATGTGCTCCCGAGCCCGTCGAAAGAATCTTTGGGTCACACGGAAAGACGGCAAGTATAGAAGGAGATTCCTCCGTCTGTTGGCCCAACGCGCGACGTCGTGCCTGAGCATCAAATGTGAGCATGCACTTGCCCTGCGACGCGCACGAACCTCGTCTGACTGGTGTCGTCCGACAGAGCCTTCCAGGATGTTACGACAGCCTCTCGCATCGCATAACGCCAACTTGCCCGACGCGCCGCCACAGTCGCCGACAGGCAAGCTCAATGGCGCGCCGAGCCCGAGCAAGCAGCTAGCTTCCAGCTTCAGCAAACGAGCCTCACCCAGCTCGCCAGCCGGCAACAAAAGTGTGCCGAGCTTGACGATTTCCTCGGATGCCTTCTTTGTGCCCCTTGCACCCGCGCCTGCATCTATCGACGCGGCCTCACATCAGCAGGATGAGGGCTTACCTGGCAAGATCGAGAAACCGCTCGAGAGCCCCTCGAAGCATCTCGGCTTTCCTGGCGCCTTTGATCCCAACGCGATCAAAGAGGCAGCTCCGAATTCGACACCCTCTACGCCCGCCCTGTCACTCACACTCACGGCAGCCTCGTTGACGCCCATGACGCCCAAGACCCAGATGACGCCTATCATGCGACAGGGCAGCATTGGCGCTAGTCCCGTCTCCTATTCTCCCGGTCCCCCTTCGCCATTTCCATGGCGCACCTTTCAAAATTCGCCGAAAGAGGTCGCGCGAGGTTCAGTCGGTCTCGAGCCGTCACGTTCGCTGAGTCGGCAGGGCTCGACCGGTAGCTTCCGCTCCGGCATTTGTTCGTCTCGTCCTTCCTGCACCGATTCAAGCCTGACCCCTCTTCTTGCAGCCACGCCACGCACGCCAACGGGCTTTGAGCATCTCGACTTTGGCGCAGATTACTTCTCTGCGGCCTTTGATGACAAGCCAGAGGAGAAGCGACCGCCCCGCTCATTCGATTGGGAATTCTGGGCAGATCGTACGTATAGTCTAGTCAGTCTACAAGCGCGCGCTCATGACGCTCATCTAGCTTCAAATGATGTCGCAGACTTCTCCTTCGAAGGCGCTGCACCGATATTGGCAGATGAACAACAAGGCACTCTAGCTTCACCCCTCGATACAGATAGCGAGGCGCACAAAGACTCGCTCAACCCGCTACCAACACCCCCAGATTCGACGGCGGTCTCTCCCATCGACTCAGCGCCTCAGATCGAGTCATCGGAATCGACCCACAGATTGCAGCCTGATCTCCTCAAAAGAAGGCTTGGTCCTGCCGAGATCTCATACTATCTCAGCTCGAGATGTGCGCCTGGACGTGAGGCAGATGGCGGCGTCAACGATATGTACCTTCACATTGGCTTCCGTTCGACACCCCGCCTCGTGGCTCAAGAGCGTATCCTCGCCATTTGGACGGAAATGCGTCTGCGTCATCCTCTGCTGGCCAGCAGCGTCGAATTCCAAGACTACGAAGACATTCGCTTCGTGTACGTTTCTGCTAAAGCGGCGCAAGGAATCGGGCTCATGCCAGACTCGTCGAAACTAGGTACAAGCATCCTGCAGATAAAGCGACGGCGTTCAGGCGAGCTCTGCGCAGCACGGAGCTCCGCTACAACCAGCCACGTGATGGTGAGCCCCATGCTAGGCCTTGATTCGCAGTGCTTAGAAGCCGGACAGACATGCTGGACTCGTATCTGAACGGCGTGCGCACGCTTCACGACGATAAGCTCGCAGCTCTGCTTATAACCTCACCTCAAGCTGAGCCGATCGAAAGCGAGCTCGATACCGAACGCGAATATGACTACTGGCTCTTCGCGACTCATTTCCTCGGTGATGGCATGGCTTTGCACACATTCTCCAACGAGTTCTTTGGCATGCTCGGTGGCGGTCTAGAAACGCTAGAGGCAGAGAACAAGCTCATGTGGAAACAGGACCAGGAGGAACTTGTGCGTCTATCTTTCGGAAATAGACCTGTAGCTGACGCTCGAAATGTAGGCTTTGCCTTTCCTCCAAGCTATGCCTTGCGCAATGGAGTCTCGCCTCGAGACGCCGGCAAGCTGGGGCAGAACAGCTTGGGCTGCGGCGCGCGTTGAATTTAACAACAGCCAGAAGCGACTCATTGGCGGTCAAACACTTCCGCGAGAAAAGCGCGGCGCGCGGAAGACGCTCGTCCCCACGATCTCTTACTCGCCCGAAGACAGCGCAAAGATTGTCAAGTCTTGCAAAGCGCATGGCGTCAGCATTGCACACGCCGCGTTTGCACTCGTCAACATTGCGCACTTGCGGATGCAGCAAAGAGCCGAAGCATCTGCAAAGCCTCACAATCCGGCATTGCCAACAATGCTGTACTCTGCCCTCAACCTGCGACCGCAGCTCGCGCCCCTGCCCAAGACAGGTGACGAGACACTAGACGCGATTGTTCCGAGCTACTTCAGCATCGCCATCGGCTACTATAATGTCATTTTGCCATCCTTTTTGCCCAGCGACCTCACTGCCGAGCAAGTCTTTTGGCATCGCTCAAAGGTCACGAAGGAGCAGACGATCAAAGCGACAAAGAACAAATGGCTGATTCCGCGTAGCAAGCTCATGTCGCTCGAACGCGAGCGTCGCTCTATTGGCTGGGAACAGGAGGACGATCGCAAGCGCGCCAACAAGCTCGCCGGTCTCGGCTTCGAACTCGTCAAACCGAGCAAGGTCGTTGCGGCCAATGCAGCATCGGCAGCGCCAAAGATCAGCAAACCAGCACCTTCAGCACCACCTTCACTCGCACTGATGGGCTTGAGCATGCTCGGCCCGCTCGACGGAATGTACAAACACGCTACATTCCCAGATGTCAAGCTTCACACACTCACGACTGGCAGCCGACAGCGACCTGGCGGCATGCTCCTCTTTGCGTATACCTTTGCCGGCCGAATGTGGTTCTCATTAGGATACGACTCGACGGGCTTTGCAGAGGGCGTCGTCGAAGAACTGTGGCAAGGCATGCAAGATGGCATCCAGGAGTTCATGCTTCAGTAACGCGCTTCCAACCTATGCGCCATAGACTTTGTGATACACTTTGTCGATACCCAGGCATTGCATTCGCGCCATTGTACAAAACAGCATGCGCGTGCGCATGCAGGTCTATGCTGGAATGCTTTGCTTGTCAAATTCATATACATCTGCGCTCAGGTTGAGTAGAATGGCGATGCCTAAAAAGGCATAGCTGAGCCATTGGCATGCAAAAGCGCCGCCTCCAATCGAGGCATGCGCTAGATTTTGGTCTATTGAGATCTTGGCGCTCGCCGCGACTGCCGCATTGAACCTCGATGCTGACATGCCAATCTGGGTACGAAGGCCAAGACTGGCAGTGACGCCTAGGACCCACGAGATGCAGGAGAGAGTCGTAGCCACCGTGAGGCTGATCGACTTGAGCTCTGCAAGTCGCTCAAGCCGAGGGTTGTACATCGGCATAGCCGGTACGATCGAGGCAAAGGCCGCAAGGATGCCAAATACGAGTGCGGCAACGAGTACGCCAGGCGTGAGCTGCAAATGATTGAGCAAGGGGTGCTCGAAGCCGTCTGCGAGTCCGAGAGACGTGATGGTATTATTGAAGTCCGGAGAAGTGCTCGCTGTGGTGCAGTATGCTTTCGCCGCGCCTGCCGGTTTAGCGCACGAGCCTGATACGGCCATCAGGTTCGTGTGTCTGCCAAAATGCTCAGAGACTGACCTAGCGCGCCATAGCTGAATTGCGCTGCGTCTTTTGACACTGCGCCTGATGGGTCTTCCAGGCGGAAATAGCTGACGGGTGCGCTGATCGGTCCAATGATAGAGACGAGCAATAGGATCCAGGCGACCCAGGTCAGCAAGATGGGCAGAGTGTGCAGAACGTGAATGGCGATCGTGTCACCGGTGATGCGTGGCATACGTCTCCGCTTCGTGAACGTCTTCGTTTGTCCGTCCGCTTCAAAGGGGCTGAGATCGAAGTAGTCAGGAGTGGGACTGCCATTGAGCTTGCTTGTCGAGTTGGCAGGACCAGCATCTACGAAGGAGCTCTTGTATGTTGAAGTTGAGGCGAGTCCAGAGTCGGCAGAGCCGTCGTATGCGAGCGTGTTGTGATGCACTTGATCCATGCTGAATGTGTACCTGTTGACAGCACTCGCGATGACGGTCGAGACATGGCGGCAGTCAGAGTAGATAAGAAGGCATGCAGGCACAAAGACGGCCCAGACAAAGAGATTCGCGATCGACGCGCCCGATCACGCGCTTCTTGTGATCACAGCTTGGAAGATTTCTGCCACTCGGGATTCGACCATCTCGGAGGGCGTCGCTGTGCGAATGATGCTAAGCCTGGACATGTGCTCGCATGAGCGAGTGGTTTGCTATATGGAGGAATGCCATGCCTTCTTTGAGATTCGCGCCAACATACAATGCCTTGCTTTCCTCGGATGATGTCCCGCGGATTGTAGCTTTCTCTACTCCTCCGCATCCTATTCGGCTACTCTCTAAAGACTGCTTCGTTACCTGAACGGCGCTAGGCGAAGCGGATACGATCTGGGAAGCCAGCTCGAGCGCTTTATCTACGACTTGACCTGGTTCTGCGAGGATATTGACGAGATGAAAGCGATCGTGCGCTTGCTGTGCAGTGATGATCTTGCCTGTCAGAAGCAGCTCGCTAGCCAGCATGTGACCGCAAAGCTGGCTGAGGCGAGGGATACCTCCCTGAGCCGCAACGGCGCCTCTCGAGACTTCCGGGAACCCGAAGATGGCCTTTCGAGAGGCGACGACGAGATCGCTGTTGACGAGGATCTCGCAGCCTCCGCCCAGGCATGCACCATTGATGGCAAGGATGAGTGGCTTCGACAGGCGACGACGCGACAGTGAGCCAAAGCCGTGCGGCTTGAAGGGTCTCGGCGCTCCGTCATGCGATCTCTTAAGCCAATCTGTGCAAGCAAGCAGTCCAGTCAGATGCCTGACACTGACAGGATCCGATGTACGGCACCTTTGAGATCTTGTCCCACGCAAAATGCCTTGCCCGCGCCGGTGAGGACGACGCACCACACGCTCGCCTCTTGCTCTGTCCAGTCAAAGAGAGCAGTGAGGTCGGCCTCGAGTGCGTCGTGCATTGCGTTCATGGCTCGTGGACGGTTGAGGGTGGCTAGGACGATGTGCTCGCTTGCAAAAGTCGCTAGGAGCTCGCCTGTCTTGAGCTGAGCATGCACTTTTGCCATTGTTCAGACAAGGCGATGGAGCCTGATCGAGAGAGGGAGGGCTCGAGACGAGTGACTTGGTAGCTAGTCGAGCCGGCGGAGAAAGATCGACGGCTGCCTGTCCTAGGGAAGCGGCACAACGCGCATGGCGACCGGCGAGTGACGACGTTGGGCCGGAGTGACTGGCGAGATGGTCGAAGGCAACGGCTCGACGCTGTTGCTGCCGAGGTCGAGCAAAGATCACAAGAAGTATGACGGCGACATGATCGCAGACAGGTCGCCCCTTGTTATCCTCAAAGCCTATGCGAGGCAACTGCTGCAATCACCCAGTCGGACGGCTCTGTACCTGTTCGTGGGCTCGATGGCGACCTGGCTCATCCTGTTCCGGCCGTTCGACGAAGGCGAACAGCCCATCTCATTCTTGAGCAGCAAGGACATCAGCGCACCTGAGAAAGATGCAAGCAATTGGGGCGATTGGGTCGCTCAGGGCAAGGGCAGACAGAAGATGCTCGAGTCCTCTCACCCCGACTTTCACGGGCTGGGGGATGACTACAAGGTCATCGGGCTCGGGGACTCGTCCGAGATCTTCTACAACGCCGTAGGGCAAGCACATCGCGCAAGACGGCCTATCGCAGGCCTGCATTTCTCCAGTGACGCTACTTTTGATGCCAAGCGGTTCAACGAAGAACGGCACGGTACCTTTGGCGGTCAGCACGTCGAGTGGGATTCCGGTATCGCCGGCCTGGGCGAGTACCTGGGTTCCGTCGACATGCGAAAGATCTCTGCGCTTTCGCCTGCACAGAAAGAGCGACTACAGAGCAAGGGCGTCGAGACCGAGAAATGGTCTGCCGGACCTGACATTGAAGCCCGTCACAAGGCTGCAGTCGCACATCACCTCGAGAATGCATGGACGTATGGCAAAGTCGAAGAAGAACTGGCGGTCGCCAAGAGATTGGCAGATGCAAAGACGCCCGCAGAACTCAAAAAGCTACCCGTCTATGAGCGCATGGCGACCGCCTCGCCCGATAAGAAGGCCGCAGTAGCAGAGGGCTGGGCGAGAATCTACGGCGCGTTTGCAGGCGACGGCAAGAAGTCTGCATTACACGCAAGCATCGAGAAGCTCGTCAGAAGGAGTCCCATCGTCGTCTTCAGCAAGACCACATGCCCGTCAGTCTTACTCTCTGGGAGCGCTACAAAGCTCATCGCTCGTCTCATCTTGACAGATATTCTGCGCGAGCTAAAGCCAGTCTCGCCAATCTCAAGCTGTCCCCTCCTCCGACCATCATCGAAGTAGATCTGAGACGTACGTTTGCAGCAGGCCATTTCTTTGTCCGAGCGGTGACGAATATGCCATGCTACAGCGGACAGCGCCAATCTCAAATCGCTGCTCGGCCGGTTGACTTTGCACAACACGTTCCCCAACATCATTATAGGCTCCCGCTCCATCGGCGGCTCTGACGACTTGCAAGCTCTCCTGAGCAGCGGACAGGCAAGTGCATCATCGCTTTCATTGCATGTCTGATTCGTCACCGCTGCAGTTTCAGTCCTTGGTCGCAGAAGTGAACGTCTCGATGGAATGATGTACACGCATATGTATGGGCTGTATAGACCACTGTCGCTCTGGCGTGCCCGTAAACTTTAATTCCAACAAGGGGCGACGTCAAAAAGTTGAATGTCAACCGCCATTGCGCGTGTATAGATGACATGGGGCGACCGTCTTGCCGCCCTCTTGACATCCTCAGCCGGCAAGGCTATCATCCTAGCCAGCTTCGCGTCACTCGGAACTGCGACCTTGATCCTGGGTACGCAAGATGTCCGTCGGAGAGCCTATCGCCGCACACTGCGACAAGAAGTCGAGGAGGAAGTCAGAGAACAGCCGCTCGACACTCTGGATCTCCTGATCGATAGCAAGCAAGTCAGCGGACGTACTACGCCCGCGAGAAGAGCTACACCGCTGCAACAAGAAGATGAGAATGACACGGCGCGAGAGATGGATCAAGCCATTATTGATGAGCACCTCGCTCGCAACTATGCTTTCATGGGGAAGGAGGGCGTCCAGCGTGTCAGAGACGCTTTCGTCATCGTCGTTGGCTTGGGCGGTGTAGGTAGTGCAGCTGCGCTCATGCTCGCACGGAGCGGCGTCGGTCGGATACGACTTATCGACTTTGACCAATGTACCCTCAGCTCACTCAACGTGCGCTCTCCTACTGGGAATGATGAGACATAAGCTGAATAAACCTTGCATCAGAGACATGCAACCGCAACGCTCGCGGACGTTGGGTTACCCAAAGTTAAAGCTTGTCAGAGAGCCTTTCGCGCCATCGCTCCCTGGGTCCGTATCGATGCACGGGTAGAGCTCTTCCGCATGCAAGACGCGGATATACTGCTAGCCGGTGACCCCGATTGGGTCATCGATGCAATTGACAACGTCGAGACAAAGATCGATCTCCTGACTTATTGCCATCATAAGGGCATAAAGGTCCGCACGGCATTTCTGACGCTATCCCACAGCTCATGTCCTGCCAGGTCTTCGCATCCATGGGCGCGGCATCTAAAGCCGATCCTTCACGAGTCCAGATAGCAGACATCTCCGCCACAGACGAAGACCCCCTAGCGCGAGCTGTCAGGAAGAAATTACGCACTCGCGGCATTTCACAAGGTATACCCGTCGTCGTAAGCCCGTCCTGCTTCTCGATTGTCGACCATGACCTGACCATGGAGATAGTATTCTACAGAGCGGCCCAATCCTGACACAGCTCTCGTACCGCTCGACGAGGAAGTCTACCAAGCCGGCAAGGTGACAGAGTTATCTGCGCTGGAAGCATTTCGCGTTCGCATACTGCCTGTGCTTGGTCCTATACCCGCTATGGTAGCTCGCAAGCCTTTTCGCCGGATCGACGCGCTGAGCAGAAGTCACAGTTTGGACAAGCGATTGCTGCGCACGTCCTGACATCGCTCGCCGGTATGACTACGGCCCCGCTGGCCACTAGACTACGTCCCAAGGCATACCAGAAGCTTTCGAAGGAGATGTATGCTACTGACGAGCGTCTCTTTGGCTCAAGGTCTGCAAGTTGCTGCTCCCTGCGCTCGCATACTGAAATGTAGGGTAGCCCCCGAATGATGAGCGACGAGGACGTCGCTTATATGTACGAAGAGGTGTTCAACGGTCGATCAGCAATCGCGCCACTTCATCTCATCCCACAGCGACCGCTCTGTCTCCGCTGGCATGCAGACGCACCGTTATCACGCAGCAACTTTGCGGTTTTCGAGGCGAGCGAAGCACAGACGTGAGCTGCGCGTACATAGCCTGCTCTCTGCTGACGGTGTGCAGGCATATGTCGCGCGTCTTGCAGGGCGGAGAGACGCCGGAGCAAGTCTGGGGCAAGCAGACTGCAGACATGATTCAAGCGCGATTCAGCAATGACGAACGCTTGCGCAGGTGGCTCGAAGTGTAGCAATGCAAATGTCCGGTACAAATGAGCTTCCAACGCATTCATCGTTGAGCGTATTGAGGTTGAGCCCATGCTGGGTTCTGACCATTCTGAGGATCATACGAAGTCTCTAGCTGGTCTCTCTGCGAGGAGGTGGCCCGCATTGCTGAGCCATTGGCGCCTACATATGACGGAGCTTGCGAGGAAGCTGCATGACGTGCTGCTTGCTGTATTCTAGGATCGCCTTCATGTTCTGCGCGAGGGCCATCATAATATCGATGTGGTTCCCGCTGCTGTTGATGTGCAGGGTGATATTGCTGCTGCTGATGAACATATTGCATACCACGAGGGTCATAATGAGGCTGCCGATCTGCCTCGTGAAAGGTGCGCGGATCGCGAGCGTCGCGTGGATCGCGCTGCTGATCGTAAGGATCAGGATAAGCACGGTGCTCGTACGGATCGCGACTGAGGTATTGTCCAGACTGCCCTTGCCTGACCGTATCAGGCTGGCTCCAGGACGGCCGCGGCACAGACCCAATCAGATGGGGCGGATCAACAGCTGATCCGGGAGGCGTTTCGTCGCTATCGCCACCATCTCGAGCGTCATGAGGGTAGGCCGCCTGAGCTTGTGACGTAGGTTGACCCTTGCCTCCGACCGTGCCGGGGCCACCAGTAGCTCCAGCAGAGCCGCCAGACGCCGCGGCCGCGGCCGCCTGAGCTCGCTTTGCCTTTCGAGCCTGAGCTCGCGAGAAACGAAGGCCGCAGGCATTGCAGAGGCTCTTGACACCTGTTGGGCCTTTTCGCCATTCCTATACCTCATGTCAGTCGCGCTCGCGTGTATGAAGAGCTCAGGACATACGGGACTTTTGTCTGTGCCGCAGCTTGTGCAAACTTTAGCGGTCTCCTGTGCAGCTCTGCGCTGGCGTGCAGTAGGGAAAGGAAGAGGCGCACGGCCAGCAACAGGGAACGGTCCGCCAGGCGGTGGTGGTGGTCCTTGGTAGTGCTCGAACCGGCCCTGCATCGGAGCAGGCGCCCGATAAGCATTAAAAATGGGTTGTCCATGAATGCCATTGGCGACGTATTGCTGGTAATGCTGACCGATCGGCATGGGACTTATCGCACCAGAAGGATAAGGCATGCCGGCGCCTGGGGCCGGCCGGGGGCCGCGTTGAGGGTCGTATGGCTGATACGAGGCATCGTAGGTGGGTGCGTGACCGAATTGCTCTGGCGCAGGTACGAAGGCAGACTGTGCATGTGCGTGTGGTCCTCCGGAGCTCGCATCTGCTCTGACACTTGGTACGGCGTTCCAGTGAGGCTGATCGAACGGCAATCCAGATTCAGTCGGCTCGTTCGATCTCGCTCGCTTTGTACCTCTCGGATCTGCAGCGAACCCATTCTGTGGTGCGAGCAGCTCGTCTGCCGTAAGGGGCGGATTCATATTCGCACGCGCTTGATAGTGGGGTCCAGCCTGGAAGACAGCGAAGCTGAGGTTGCCATACTTGATGACGACAGAGTCCACGAGAGCGAGACCGTCATTGACTGCGAGCGAGTGTCTGCTTTTGAAGCGGCGAGAGCAGCTCGTCTTGGCTTCTTGACTAGTAGTTTTGGATCTGTTCTGCGCTTCGATGGCAAGACCTGCATACTGCCTAGCGTCGTAAAGGACATGGATGCCTCCGTTGTCCGGTCGTGGGATCTCACTGGGAGGATAGCTGAGGATGATGTTACCTGAGCGCGAGTCGAGCAGCTGGAAGACGCTCTTCGGCGTCTCAGTGAGACTGCGCTTTACTTCAGAAGCTGCATTGCGGTCGAGCGCTGTCTTGATTGCCGAGCATTCCGAGTGAGTCAGATAGTGCTTCTCGGGCTCGATCGCCTCCACGCCGCACCAATTTGACCAAGATGAGCGCTCGACCTGGAGATACGTCAGCCCCTTTTCAACAGCAGAAGGCGCAAAGGTACCTCGTCATTGTCACTGTTAATATCCTTGTCTTTCACCGCGTGGAAGAAGCAAAGCACCGTGTTGGGCCCAATCCAACTGGAAACAATTTGTATGGGTATATACTGAAAGCCATAGGTTCAGAATCATCACACTCTAACTCGAGTACACTGACCTCTTCATCATAGGTATAGAGATGCGCGTCTACCGCTTTTGGCGGCTCGGGACAACCTAGAAGCTGCCGTAGCCGTGGTACACGCGAAAAGAGGCATCTGGAGGACACATCAGCGATGAATTGGCAACGAAACGAAGTGCAGACCTCGTCGCGCTGCCGAAAAGCGATTTTGACTCTAGGAATTCGCCAAAATCTCGTTGCGCGTCCGCCAGTTCGCGAGGATGTATGAATTCGTACAGCGATCTTCCCACCATCAAATTTGCTTCCTGAGATCATGACTTCGAAGTCAGCTTCTTCTCGGTCAAAGGCAGGTCGCTAGTACCTTGTCCAGATGGCTAGCCAGCACGGGATCCAGATATTGGAAGCGCAGATCGGCATCCATGATACACCAATAGCATCGTTGTGCACCAAGCTCGGTCAACTTTTGACCGTTTGAACTGACAGTAGTGACAGACTGCAAGGGCTCGTCAAGTGCAGAGAGATCAGCGTCCAATGCGGAAGAAACGCCAGGCAGTTCTGGCCCGTTCGGAGCATCTGCTTGTGCCGCAAGTTCGGCACCGCTAGACTGGGTCTGAGGTTGCTCGGCGACATTGGGGGCCGATGGGGCTTCGTTGACTTGCTCGTACGGCTCACTCGTTTCTGCCGCACCCGAGTGCGCATTGTCTTGCACCTCGTGTACTTCTGTTATGTCAGACTCGTCTGGTACGGGCAGCCCGCTCGTCTCGGGAATGGCTTGCTCCATGTAGTCCGTGCGGGACGTCGCGATATTGCCTCTTGCAGATGAATGTAGGTGACTATCCTGCACGCAGAGATGAGCAGAGCCACAGGTAGGCCGGTATGACGCTTACCAGCCACGTGTCGAGTGTGCGAGTTCGGCGTGCAGCAGGGCTGCTCACAAAGGCCGACCGCTCGAAATGACAGTGCTCGTCGCGCGTCTGTACAGTGCAGAATGACGCGGCGGGTGATCCGTCAGCTCGTGCGAGTTGCTCGAGATGTCACAGTCTGGAGATGTCAATGTGATCGCTTTCGCCTTTGATCGCTGATCGCCTCTGATCTTGATCGAGCGGCGAGAGCGAAAGCGCAAACTGACATTTACTGCAAAAACTCTTGACGGCTCCAGCGCGCGTGCTCGCGCTCGAGCCGCAAGCGAGCCAGGCCAGGGTCGACGCCTATCTCTTGTCGGGTCTTTGCAGCGAAAGCCAAGGTGGGTCGTCCGGAACTGGCTACCTGCAGGCACTCACTACCTACAGCAGCTCGCCCAGCATGGACGGAGGCGAGGGACCAATGGCGATCCAGTTCACCGAGCACCTGCAGCTGTCTGCGCTAGGCATTCCGCCGGCCAGCATAGGCTTCAACACGCTCACTATGGAGTCTGACAAGTTCATCTGCGTGCGCGATGAGAGTACGGGCACCAAGCAGGTCGTCATCGTTGATCTGTCGGATGCCAACAATGTCATGCGCCGACCTATCTCAGCGGAGTCTGCAATCATGCACCCCGACCAGAAGATCATCGCTCTTCGTGCGCAGAGGCAGCTCCAGATCTTCGACATTGGTCAGAAAGCTAAGGTCAAGGCACACCTCATGACAGAAGAGACCGTCTTCTGGAAATGGCTCGATCACTCTACCCTCGGTATCGTCACAGATACTGCCGTCTATAGCTGGTCGATCTCCGGTCAAGATGCGCCCGTCAAGGTCTTTGACCGTCATGCGAGTCTAGCCGGCCATCAGATCATCAATCTCCGCCAAACCTCTGACGGCAAATGGCTCGTCCTTGTCGGTATCTCGAGCAACACGACCAACCCATCAGCCTTCAAGATCAAAGGCAGCATGCAGCTCTACTCGCGCGAACGTGGAGTCAGCCAGCCTATCGAAGGACATGCGGCGGCTTTTGCGGAGATCAAGCTCGACGGTAGCGCGGTAGAGACGAAGCTCTTTGCCTTTGCCAACCGCACCCCGACAGGCGGAAAGATGCATATCGTCGAGATTGACAAGCAACCGAATTCACCACCGTTCACGAAGAAGGCAGTCGATGTCTTCTTCCCCGCCGAAGCCGCTGCAGACTTTCCGGTCAGCATGCAAGTCTCTAAGCGCTATGGGATTGCCTACATGGTCACCAAGTACGGCTTCATCCATCTTTACGAGTAGGTACCCCTCTTCTACGAATGAAGCCAATCCTGATGACCGTTCGCTAGCCTCGAATCCGGCGCTTGCATCTACATGAATCGTATTTCTGGCGATACCATCTTCGTGACAGCAGAGCACGAGGCAACGAGTGGCATCATTGGCGTCAATCGCAAGGGTCAAGTGCTGTCGGTCAGCGTGGACGAGAACAATATCATCCCGCATGTCTTGGAAGTGCTCAATAATGTTGATCTGGCCGTCAAGCTTGCCTCTCGAGGCGACCTGCCCGGAGCAGACGAGCTCTACGTCAATCAATTCAATCAGCTCTTCAACTCAGGCTCGTTCTCTGAGGCTGCAAAGATTGCTGCCAATTCCCCTCGCGGCATCCTCAGGACCCCGACAACGATCGAGCAGTTCAAACAAGTGCCTGTTCAGCCTGGCTCCACTTCGCCTATCTTGCAATACTTTGGCATCTTGCTGGAACGCGGCAAGCTCAACAAATACGAATCGCTTGAGCTCGCTCGTCCCGTCCTTCTGCAAGGCCGCAAGCAGCTGCTGGAGAAATGGCTGAAGGAAGACAAGATCGAATGCTCAGAGGAGCTTGGTGATCTTGTGAGAGCACACGATATGACACTTGCACTCTCAGTATACCTGCGCGCCAATATTCCGAACAAAGTCGTCGCGTGCTTCGCAGAGACTGGTCAATTCGCAAAGATTGTCGTCTATGCTAAACGTGTGGGTTATACGCCCGACTACGCTTCGCTACTGCAACACATCGCTCGTATCAATGCAGAGCAAGCGGGCGAATTTGCTGGACAGCTTCTCAATGACGACTCGGGTCCTCTGGTGGACCCCGAGCGCGTTGCTGATATCTTCCAGGGTCAAGGCATGATACAGCAGGCGACCGCATTCTTGCTCGAGGCACTCAAGAACAATCAGCCAGAGCAAGGCCATCTTCAGACTCGGTTGCTCGAAATGAACCTCGGCGCAGCCCCTCAGGTGGCAGATGCGATCTTGGGCAACGACATGTTCTCATACTTTGATCGCTCGCGAATTGCCAACCTTTGCGAGAAGGCAGGTCTCCTGCAGCGCGCACTTGATCTGTACGAGGACATGGCGGACATCAAGCGCGTTGTCATCCACACAAACCTCTTGGATCCCGAATGGCTCGTCAGCTACTTTGGCCGGTTGACGACGGATCAAACCTTCGAGTGCTTCCAGGAGATGTTGCGAGTCAACATTCGCCAAAATTTGCAGATCGTCGTTCAGGCGGCAACAAAGTATTCTGACCTGATCGGGCCTGTGCGACTCATCGAGATGTTTGAAGGCTTCAAAAGCTTCGAGGGCCTCTACTATTACCTCGGCTCGGTAGTTAATATCAGCGAGGACTCAGAAGTTCATTTCAAGTACATACAAGCGGCAACGCGCACAGGTCAAGTCCGCGAAGTCGAGCGTATCTGTCGAGAGAGCAATTTCTATAATCCCGAAAAGGTCAAGAACTTTCTCAAGGAAGCTAAGCTCACGGATCAGCTTCCGCTCATCATCGTCTGCGACCGCTTTGGCTTCGTTCACGATCTGGTTCTATACCTCTACCAGAATTCAATGGTCAATTTCATCGAAGTCTATGTTCAGCGAGTCAATTCTACGCGTACGCCGCAGGTCATTGGCGGTTTGCTCGACGTCGATTGTGACGAGACTGTTATTAAGCAGCTTCTGAGCAGTATTGTTGGCCAGTTTCCGATTGATGAGCTGGTCGACGAAGTAGAGAAGCGCAACCGGCTCAAGCTCATCCTGCCTTGGCTGCAAGCGCAAGTCGCCGCTGGTCAGAATGATCCTGCTATTTACAACGCTCTCGCAAAGATTGCCATTGACAGTAACAACAATCCAGAGGCTTTCCTCAAGGAGAACAATATTTACGATCCCCTAATCGTCGGCAAATACTGCGAACAACGCGACCCTTACCTAGCCTACATCGCATACGCCAAGGGCCTCTGTGACAACGAACTGATCCAGATCACTAATGACAATTCGATGTTCAAGCATCAGGCTAGATACCTTGTCCGGCGTCGTCAAGCAGACCTTTGGGCGCAAGTCTTGCGTGAGGACAATATCCACAAGACTCAGTTGATTGACCAGATCATCTCTACGGCTGTGCCGGAATCGACGAATCCAGATGATGTCTCTGTGACAGTGAAAGCCTTCCTGTCTGCGGACCTGCCGACGCAGCTGATCGAATTGCTCGAGAAGATCGTTCTCGAGCCGTCCGCCTTCAGCGACAATAGCAATCTGAAGAAGCTCTTGATGCTCACCGCCATTCGCACGGACAAGGGCAAGGTCATGGGCTTCATCGATCGCATCGAAGGCATTGATGTGAACGAAATCGCCAGCATTGCGATTGAAAACGATCTCTACGAGGAGGCCTTCACGCTGTACAAGAAGCACAACGATCATCTCAGCGCAGTCAATGTGCTTGTAGAATTCATTGTCAGCATCGATAGAGCCTATCAGTATGCCAATAAAGTCAACCAGCCCGCGGTATGGAGTCGTCTCGGCAAGGCTCAGCTCGACGGACTCCGAATCAAAGACGCAATCGATTCGTATATCAAGGCCAACGATCCATCAAACTATGAGGAAGTCATCGAGACGGCAGGTCGCGCAGGCAAGCATGACGAACTGGTCCGATACCTTCAGATGGCCCGCAAGACGCTGCGTGAGCCAAAGATTGATACTGAGCTCGCATTTGCGTACGCTCGGACGGACCGTCTGCATGACATGGAAGAGTTCCTCGGCATGACAAACGTCGCCGACCAGCTATCTGCCGGTGAGCTCGCCTTTGAGGCCGGCTTGTACGACGCTGCGCGGCTCCTCTTCACGAGCATCTCCAATTGGGCTCGCCTCGCCACCACGCTGATCTATCTCGGCGAGAATCAAGCCGCTGTTGATGCTGCTCGCAAAGCTGGCAATACGCAAGTCTGGAAGCAGGTCAATGCTGCGTGCGTGGACAAAGGCGAATTCCGACTGGCCCAAGTCTGTGGTCTGAACCTCATCGTACATGCCGAAGAACTGCAAGGCCTGGTCCGCATGTATGAGAACCGCGGACACTCGGAAGAGCTCATGAGTCTCATCGAAGCTGGACTCGGACTCGAACGCGCTCATATGGGCATGTTCACCGAGCTATCGATCCTATATGCCAAATATCGTACTGGCAAGCTCATGGAGCACCTCAAGCTTTTCTGGTCCCGCATTAGTGCGTTCTGTGCTTCTTGTATTCAAAGCATGCTAATTCGCGGTCGCAGATATACCCAAAGTCATCCGCGCAGCCGAACAAGCGCACCTTTGGACGGAGCTTGTCTTCCTATATACAAAGTATGACGAATTCGACAATGCGGCACTCGCAATGATTGAGCACTCTTCGGACGCCTGGGAGCACAATCAGTTCAAGGATGTCATTGTCAAGGTCGCAAACATCGAGATCTACTACAAAGCACTGTCTTTCTACCTCGGCGAGGCACCTACACGTGAGCTTCATGCGTATTGTGCGAATAGAGCTGACTTAATATAGTCTTATCTGATCTTCTGAGTGCGCTTGCACCCCGCGTCGACCATACGCGCGTCGTTCGGATGTTCCAGAAGAATGACAATTTGCCACTGATCAAGAGCTACCTGATCGCGGTCCAACAGTACAACCTGCCAGCGGTCAATGAGGCATACAATGCTCTGCTGGTTGAGGAGGAAGACTACAAAGTACTGCGCGATTCTGTCGATAACTTCTCCGAATTCGATCAGCACGATCTCGCCAGGACGCTCGAGAAGCACGAGCTTCTTGAATTCCGAAGACTAGCCGCACATATCCATAAGAAGAATGCGCGCTGGGACGAGTCAATATCCCTCTCCAAATCTGACAAAATGGTTTGTGGATGCGCGCATGTAGCAGGTGCCTTAGCTGACCATCTGCTTATTGGCAGTATAAGGATGCGATCGAGACGGCAGCTGAGTCAGCGCAAGTAGAGCTAGCCGAGGAGCTATTGTAAGCTTTCTGTTTTGCTTTCGAAGCGTATCTAACATCAGCCGGCCGAGCAGGTCATACTTTGTCGGGCTGGGCCATCGCGAATGTTTCACAGCGATGCTGTTCATTGCTTACGACCTCTTACGACCGGACGTTGTCGCAGAACATACATGGCGACAAGGACTTAATGACTTTGCGAAACCCTACGAATTGCAGCAATCGCGAGATCAGTCTACGCGAATAGAAGCACTGGAAACGCAGATTAAAACACTCAGTGCAAAGGACGCGAAGAAGGAAGCAGACGAGAGCTCCCAGCCTATTATCAATCCTGGCGGCTTCGGCAACCGGTTGATGATCACCAGCGGAGGTCCTGGGATGACGAACGGAGTGAATGGCTTTCAGCAGCCAATGATGACCGGCATGCCTCAGCAGCCAATGATGACAGGCTACCAACACCCTACGAGCCTGTCGAGCTTACAGCAGCCTCCAATGTACTAGCCTTTATGCATCTCTTTACGCGCACTTATGTGCACTGACGCATCCAGTACGCCTAGTCAATACTGATCTGAGAGGCATCTAAGCCGAGCGCGCCCAGCAGGACATTGACGTTGCGCTGGTGCAGATAATCAGCGACGACTAGCGATCGATGCGCGACCAACTCACGATACGCAGCTCGCCGATAGGGTCGGGCACCCATTGCTTCTTCGCACTGACGACGTTTTCAAGGATCTTATCGCGCACTTCGCTAATGAGCAGTTGCTGCTGTTCAGCGCTGGCAGATACTGCCAATGCCGCGAGAAAAGACCAGACAGGCTCATCGTCACGGTCGATCTCGGGTCTAAGCTGAAGCATCTGTGGTGGGGCGAGCGGTTTGCCGAAAGGCTGCGCTCGCGTCGACGGGAAGAGCGAGACGAGATTGCCATGCAGTCTGCCGAAGAGCGTATCGTACAATCCTTGCCTGCACATCGGCCATCAGCGAACGAGTGGTACAGCATTCGATCCCGGCGTACCATCGACTGATCTCATCTTCGCCAGGTGCGCCCTCTTCGCTGCCGACAGATTGTTTGAGAGTCTCTGCACGACTGAGGAATAGAGTGAGGAAAGCGATGCCGGGCTGCATGCATGTCAGTCAAACGCCATGCAAATGTGAAAGCCGTTACTTTTGTGCGCGCGAGCCGGAGGAGATCATTGCGATCTAGCAAAAGCCCGGTCATGCCGGTTACTACTCGGAGGGGTGCCTTTGCGATGACTGTCATGACGAAAGGAAGGACTGCGCCGAGGAAGAGCTCGGTCTGGGCTTCTGCTTCCTCACGTCCTGGACCACTGCTGTCGACCAAGGCAGCGTCTCTGACCACGTCTAGGGTTTCGAACGTCGCAATGAGCAAAGTGACGAGCGTCAAGCCCTGTTGGGCATCGAGATGACGCAAAATCCTGGGAAGGACTCGCTTGCCCTTTGTCGGACCCAGCAAGGTGACAAAGGGATGTTGTGCACTTGCGCCAAGAGGGTCATTGACGCGTAGTAGCTTCCACATGCGAGCAACCGACGCGCTATAGTCCGTTTCCCAGCGGGTCATATTCTCGTCCGGACCTTCCTGCTGAAGCGGCCGAGGCTGCACGCGACGGAGCTGCTCGAGTTCGAGCACTGAGTCATAAATCTTCTCGAGTGCAAGCAGGGCTTCGTGACGTGTCAGATTGGGTTTCCTCCCTGTGACGCCGTTGGCTGTGGACAGCGTTGGCGTGGAGTCCGAGCTGGCCTTGGCTCCAGAGACCTGTAGCATTTGCTTGGGTGCAGACTTGCCTCTGATGGCAATCTTGCCCAAGGCTCCATCGAGCGAGACTGTCGTGGCCTTTATGAGCTCTCTGGGCAGTGATGGACGGCAAATCCTACTTTGGGTCAGACGCGGCTTCTTCTTCGATTGATCGACTATTCTCTGAACTTGCTGGGCCATCTTGAGCATCGCGCTCTCTCTCTTATTGTTCTTTGCCTTTTGTTCTCTAGTACTAGCTGCTTGCGAGCCCGCTCCTCGTCCCACGACTGTTGCAGCCTGAGCGACGAGCGATACGTTGGCGACTTGCGACGGTGCTTTTGGACCTCTGAGTGCGGTCAGGACGTGATAATAAAAGTCTTCGGTATAGGGATCGTGCGTGCCGCCTGGTCCGTTACTGTTGAGCAATTGAGAGACTTGTATACGAGTGATAAAGTCCTTGTCGCCCTTTGACATTATGCCGTTCTCGCGACTCTGTAGCAACGCAGATGAGCAGGAGCGCGCTGGTGAGGTGAGGAATGCAGCGCACCATGAGGTCGATACGCTGCATGATACGATGGTGCTTCGCTTCTGCTTTTGTAAGCATCTCGATACGGGTCACCAAGTCGGCAAAGTGGGCCTCATTGGGCTCACCCGGTCCTGTTCCGCCATTACGTCTGAGCTGTAGGGCAGCATCCTGCAATCGACGGAGTTCTTGCTGACGTTGCTGAGCGAGGTTGGGTACAGGCGGCCCCGCAGGCAGGGGAGGGTTGAATTGCTCGTGCTGCCTTTGCTGTGCGTCGAGCAGCATCGGTAGAGCGTCAGGTGCGATGGGTGTGCGGGCAGGCAAGGGAACCGGCGACTGCTGTGGCGGCTGAGGACGGGCGAGGATCTGTATTGTCGGTGGTGGGGGCTGTTGTAGAGCTGCCTGCTGGGCCAGCGGCTCCTGAGTCGACGGTCGCGCGTTGGCCATCATCTGTGCTTCTATCTCTGCTAGCGTGAGGGGTTGCTTGACTGGTACGGGCGCGGGAGCAGGCGCAGGTACAGCACTCCGCTGTCTCGCGAGCATTTCTGCCTCTATCTCTTCGAGTGTCCTGAAAGCGGGCGCAGCAGGAGCAGACACGGGAGCAGGAGCAGGAGCGGATGGTATAGGTGTGCTCGGACCTGATGACTTTGCCCGATTGCTCAAGGCTGCACTCGGGCCGAGCAGAGGATCAGCATTGAAAGCTGACCAGGCATTTTGGACGGGTCGACCGGGCGGAGGAAGCTTGTGATAGCTTGCAGAGCTTCGCTGAGTCACGTTGTTGCTGCCCAGCTTGGCTGTCGATCCCGAGTAGTCAAAGTCTTTGTCTGAGCATGCACCGAGCTCAGCAAAGAGGCCTCAAGTGAAGTGCACAGAGAGAGGGAGCTGACCGACTGTGCTGACACCGAACGTGTCGTCATTGTAGTCGTCGAGGGACTCTTCCAGCCCATCTGCGAGCCGATCGTAGGCATCTTCTCCCCAGGTGTAGACCTCGATGTCCTCGCCCGACGCCAAACGCATGGCTTCTAGCTTGGCGTCGATGTCACTGTACTCGCCCGAGCCTGCCGTGCCGCCATCTCGCTGCTCCGGCAGACGAGCATCGAAGCCAAAGAAGCTCATCTTCCACCAAGTCTGGTCGACTGCCTCTCGACAAGGCGCTGCTCCTTGCGCTTCCTCGATCGCCTGGCGCGCTTTTTCTTTGGGCGTGCGTGCGGCCTCGACGTCGACCGACGAAGCATGAAGTCAAGCGAGCCAGCAGCGAAGCGACAACGATTGGGGGACTGCCAAGTGTGCAGGATCGAGACTGCTCGGTACACCTGTCCAGCTTGTGGCTGGAAGAGCTGTTCGGCTCACTGTACAAAGGAGCACAAGCAAGCACAAGATTGCTCTGGCCAGCGAGATAAGATCGCCTATGTGCCCGCGAAAGAGTACAGCTATCGTCACTTCATGGGCGACTATGTCTACCTCGAGGACATCGCTCGCAAAGCTGCTGAGTGGGGCTCAGAGATCTCCAAACTGCCTCGACCGCGACATACTGCCATGGGGCGTGGCGACCAGCCAGGCACAGAGCGACGAAGAGGTCCCGTTCCGTTTGGCGTACCTACCTCGAGACGAGAAGAGGAGCTGCGAGTCAGAGCTTGCGGACAAGAGATCGATCTGCTCTTTCTGCCGACGGGCATGCATCGCAAGCAACTCAACCAGACTCAGTACAGGTCAAAGTACGCGCGCGCCTCACTGCCATCAAGGTTGATTGACTCAGACTTGCAGGAAGCGGGACATAAGCTGGACTTGCACAGTGACCTTCTTCGAAGCAACAAGCACCGGCAAGAACTCCAGCGCCATCGCACTTCATTCGAGCAGTTCGAACAGTACGCCCGCCCAACTGCTCAAGAAGCTCGTGTCGCTCAAGACGGGCGCGAACATCTTGTCTGTTGCCGTCAGAGACCATCTCATCCGATTGCTTGGCGAGGATGCCGTGGAGGGCGGAAAGGGCAAAGGTCATATGAGACAGGGCTATCTGTCGACCGTCGAGCAGCTCGACGATCTCGTCTGTTTCATACGGGTCCCTGTTCTGCCAAGTCGCAGTCAGGTCAGACGAGCGGAAGAGCATCCTGAGCCCAAGCTGCCGCAAATCAGAGCTCGTGACGAGCCCAAAGGACCTGTGATCTCATTGATGCAAGGTCTACCCGCTGCGCCTTCCTTTTTGCCACAAAAGCCAGTCGATATCGTGCCGCCTGCACAGCCTGCGGTGGCAGAACCTGTCAAGCCACAGCCATTGCCGACGACAGCGCCGTCGTCGATGCTTGCTGCTGCGCTTGCACCCATCACGAGAGGCAATTTGCCTGCTAAGCCAGCAGTAGCACAACCCCATTCTGCTCGGATGAGCCTTCTCGCCCTTGCCATGGCAGACGACGAGATCTCAGATTCCGACAGCTCGGACGATACTGGATCCGACACCTCTTCGGACGACTCTGATGATACACAGTCGAGAGCAGTACGCCAGATCTGGCTCTTGCCCGTCAACGAGCCGCTCTCAACGTCGCTGCGCAAGACGATGATTGTCGAGTTCCCAGAGATTTTCATCTGTGCCCGATCAGAGCTACAGGCCAAGCTACGCTCTGGTCAGCTCGTTCTAGCTGATGCACACGATCGCCATACTCGGTCGATCCATCTCGAACGCTACCCGGCCCCCACGAACGGCACCATGCGTCAATGGGGCTCAAAGGAGAACCTCGACCCGATAGAGGCTGCACCTTCGCCGCAAGAGGAGACAGAGCAAATTCACGAGGAGGACGAACTGCCTGTGCCTGTGCCTCGCTATGGTCTTGTTGACTACAATAGCGAATGAGCAAGGCCAGCATTGCATCGCGTCGACTTGTCGCCCAGACTGGTCGCAAGCGCGCGCTCTTTGAATTCTGATCGCTCTCCTCTCCTCTTGGTGATGATGTATTAGATCGATGCTGCACCGTTACCTGAGAACCCATGCGCTCTTTGGAGCAAACACTGACGTTGGCAAGACACTGTTTGCCACGGCGCTGGTCAGGGCAAGCCAAGCTCTGGGCGAGGCGGCGTACTACTTGAAGCCTATCGGAACCACGGCGGGTACAGATGATCCAGGGGACGATGGGCAAGCTCACTACAGCATTGACGGGACTACAACTGACCGCACGAGAGCAGACATGTGCGGACATTTGCCCACGGCGTGCCTACGGAGTGCCTCTTTCGATTCGACGAACCTGTCAGTCCGCACCTGGCAGCTGCTCGCGCCCAAAGCAGGGACGGTATGCTTCGGACTCAGCTCCTCGACCTGGCTGATGAGTCGGGAGTACACAGACAAGTACGCAGTGCCCACGGATCACGAGTTTGTGCGAGCTATCGAACGACACGCCAAGCAAGTCGCTGCACTTTGCTCGGCGAGCGAGTCTGAATACGCCAGCCTGCTCGTAGAGACCGCTGGCGGTGTGCACAGTCCGGTGTTGTCAGGCACGAGCCAGGCAGAAGCTCTCAGACCGCTCCGTTTACCCGCCATTCTCATCGGCTCGCATGCTCTCGGTGGCATCTCAGCCACTCTGACCGCTTACGAATCTCTCAAGCTCCGTGGCTACTCCGTCGATGCAGTGCTGTGTCTCAAGGAGGATCGCTACGCCAATTGGGATTACCTGCGCCAGTACTTTGAGAAAGAGAGACAGATCCCTTTCGCTTGCGCAAGCTTACCGCCAGAACGCGCCGTCAATGCGCAAGCCGAGCGAGCCAGCATGACGGCTTGGTACGACAGTATCACTGCGGCATCTGAGAGGCACGATGAGATCTCGCTGGGTAGTCTCATCGCCAGCCTCAGGACGCGGCACGCCAAGCGGATAGATGATCTGGATACCGCTGGCCAGAGAACACTCGATACTGTCTGGTGGCCTTTTGTTCAGCACAGTCACGTCAAGACTCCTGCGGACGTCATGGTCATCGATAGCGCGCACAAGGACAGCTTTAGCGTGCTAGCATCGGAAAGCTCAGACGAGAGCGATCCCATGCTCGAACCCGTCTTTGATGGCTCAGCTTCCTGGTGGACTCAAGCGGTCGGTCATAGTCATCCAGAGCTCGCACTGACAGCTGCACATGCTGCTGCACGCTACGGACACGTCTTGTTTCCCACGGCGACTCACAAACCAGCATTAGATTTGACGAGACGTCTGCTCGACACGGCTGGCAAAGATTGGGCATCTCGTGTCTTCTTCTCCGATGACGGTTCGACGGGCATGGAGGTAGCCATCAAGATGGCCCTGCATTCCTACGCGAGTCGCTCTCAGCTCTCGATCGAGAAGAGTAAAAGCCTGCGCATACTGGGTCTTTCGGGAAGCTACCACGGCGATACGATTGGGGCAATGGACGCTAGCGAGCCCAGTATCTACAATGCCAATGTCCACTGGCACTCTGGCCGTGGCTTCTGGTTTGATCCGCCAAGCTATCTCATCGAAAATGGCAAGATCGTCATCAAGTGTTCTGGCAGCCAATGGAAGCACGAGGCAAGTGCGACTTTCGAGAGCCTGGCCAAGTTGTTCGATCTGACCCATCGCTTGGAGCACGACGAGCTCGCTGTCACCTACCGCGAGCACATTGCCAGACACTTGACCGAGCTACGCGAGCAGGGGTCAATCCAGGCTGGCGCCCTCTTGCTCGAGCCTATACTCATGGGCGCAGGCGGCATGATCTTTGTCGATCCACTCTTTCAGCGCGTGCTCATCGACACAGTGCGCGAGGAGGACCACGGAAATTTGCCCGTGATCTTTGACGAAGTCTTTGTCGGCCTACACCGACTGGGGCAAATCACGACTGGAAACTATCTGGGCGTAAAGCCAGACGTCGCATGCTATGCCAAGATCCTTACAGGCGGCACAGTACCGATGGCAGTCACGCTAGCGACTTCAGCTATCTTCGAGTCCTACTTGGGCGAGCACAAGGTAGATGCTTTGCTGCATGGCCATAGCTACACTGCGCATCCCATCGGTTGCGCAGTAGCCGTCAAAGCGCTGGAACTCGTCGAGCAAGCAGTAGAAGAGCCACACGTTGATGTTGCTCGTCAGCGATGGGGCATGACTCGCCCGGCCATGCCCTTCAGTCTGTACGACCCCGACTTTGTCAGCGAGATATCATCGTTGCCTACTGTTCGGGGCGCAATGGCACTAGGCACCGTGCTTGCTATCACACTCGAGTCTGCATCTGCGGGCTACGCATCGAATGCGGCGCAGGACGTGCTCAAAAATCTTATATATCCCCCTGGCGAAGCGCTCGCCATACATGCACGCCCGCTTGGCAACGTCGTCTACTTCATGACCAGTCTCAACACGCAAGCTCCTGCCATTCGCACTCTCGAGAACCGCATCCGAGATGTCCTCGGCTGAGGTTTCCCAAGACTTTGCTTGTTGTCAACATATGCAATTTGCAACTCACACATTACAGATGCGCTTCCCTCATTGTGCTATTCTGCGGACTGAGCAGCTGGGGAGTGGACGACGGACTCATTTCGAGCCATTCCTGTAGTGCTGAAAGTAGCAGATCGACCTGAGCTTGCGTATTGCGGGCGTGTATGCAAAGCCGGACTCGCTCTGTTCCGATGGGGACAGTGGGATAGGCTATCGGTCGCAGCAAGAGGCCTTTCGCTTGCAAGAAGACGGCAAGCATGCGAGGTTGAGAGCTGAGAATGGGTATGATGGGCGAGCACTGGAGGTGATCAGCGGAACAGAGCGGCATGAGGTGCAGACGACGCTCAGCATGAGCAGGCTGCTCGAGTAGTCGCGTCAACTGTCTTCGCGCTCGAGCAGACAGCTCGAGTACGTGTTGCCTTGCAGCACTGGCTGCCAGCATCTCCGTGAGCGCTGCATCGATGGCTTTGATGGCGAAGTGCGACAGGGTGGAGCTGTAGATGAGCGGACGAGCGTAATTGACGAGGTAGCGCCTGAGCGTGGGCGAGCACAGCAGGACCGCGCCGTTGCTCGCGAGTGATTTGCCAAAGGTGTGTAGCCGCAAAGGCACGCGAGCAGCAAGGCCGTAATGACAGACCAGGCCCCGTCCGCCCGGACCATACAGGCCGGTCGTATGAGCCTGTTGGCGGATTAGCTTTCTTTCAGAAGGGCAGCGAGTCGGTCGCACCTCGTCGACCATCAGGTGGGCATTACGCAGCGGCAGCTCTTGCTCGATAGCCGCTAGCAGATCTGGCAAAGGAGCCAGATCGCCGTCCATGCTGTAGAGTGATTCTACTGCCACAAAGACATCTGCTTGTCCCGTCCTGACCTTGTCAGAAGTCGCAAGAATCGATTGCAAGCTTTGCCGTAGGTGCAAGACGCTGTTGTGCTGGAAGGGCTGTCGTTGGCTCTTTGGGCATCGCGATAGCCGCAAGCCATCATGTGTGGAGGCGTGGACATACTCGTCGTACAAGCTGCGGAGAGCTCAGCTGGCCCACGAGGGAAGTCTTACACATGCTCACACGTAGTCATCGGCGCAGGGGAGGACCGACCAGAGGGATGCGTTTGCATCGTAGCCAGAATTGAAGAGCAGCGCACTCTTGCCGTTGAATGTGTCACAGAGCCTCTGCTCGAGCTGTCTGTGTGCACTCGTGTTGCCGTCAAGGAGTCTGGATGATGCCGGTCCGTAGCAAGATGCTGATCTGAGCGAGCTGATGAGTGTCTCTTGGAGCCGTTGGGATGATCCCAGAGAGAGATAGTCATTCGAGGAAAAGTCGACGACCTCGTGTTTCGCTGGCATGTTGCCGTCTATGCTGCGTAGATTGCCCCGCACATGCCTCGAGCGCAGTGCTGTCTCCAGCCTATCCTCCAGCCCCATGTCTGCTCCCACCTTGCAATCGCCCGCCGACTATCGAAATCTCGACGAGTCGCGTCGGCAGAGAGACTTTTAGCTTTACCGGGCCGGGCAAACCAAGCTGAGCAGCTGCGAGCCATGTCAGTCAGATCAGATGCAGTCTTCCGAGAGGATGTCTTCTATCGCAAGACTGTGCTCACGACAGGCGGCGGATCAGGCATCTGCAAGGGCATGACATTGGCCATGATGAGGCACGGCTGCAATGCCATCATTGTCGGCCGCAACAAGGAGAAGATCACCTCTGCAGCGGCAGAGCTGTCTAGACAGACGAAGCGAAAGTGTATCGGTGTCTCGGCAGATGTGAGGGACGTCAAATCGCTCGAAAAGGCGGTCGAAGAAGGTGTTGAGGAATTTGGCGGGATTGACTACGTCATCTGCGTGAGTGTCGACGCCGACTGAGAGCCATACAGTCGGGCTCAATCCAGTCCTGGTCATCAGGGAGCAGCCGGCAACTTCTTGGCTCTCGGTGAAAACATCAGCCCGAATGCATTCAAGTCTGTCATCGACATCGATCTCCTCGGCACATTCAACACCATCAAAGCCACTCTGCCTCACGTCAAGACGGCAGCAGGAGCGTATATAGCTGTCTCGGCCACTTTGCATTACTCGGGACTCATCATGCAAAGCCATGCCAGTGCCGCGAAAGCCGGTGTTGACGCGCTCTGTCGCTCTCTTGCTGTCGAACTCGGTCCCTCTGGTGTACGCTATATGACGCTTGCGCCCGGGCCAATCGCTGGCACAGAAGGCATCGACAGATTACTCCCCACCGAGCTCAAAGAGCAAGCTGTTCGCTCGATTCCGCTGCAACGCCTCGGCACGATTGATGATATAGCCAATGCCACCGTCTTCCTCTTCTCGCCAGCTGCCTCCTTTGTCACCGGGACGACGCTCGTCGTCGATGGCGGCCAGTGGCACACTCAGCAGCAATTCGGGTACCCTGAATCAGTATCTGCGGACTCCCAAGTCAGTCTCCCCAAACTTAACCAACGCAATGTCGGGCTCATGCGAGATTCCCGCAGCCTAGACCCAGGCTATGATGTACATCACACTGAAATGAGCGGCCGAACCGCACTCTGTTCATGACGGCTCGCGTCGCGTCGCGTCATACGTGTAGAGGTCAATGCGAGCGCACTGACCTCGTTCTCATCGTCTCGCACCCCTGAACACTCGTCGTGGTCTCGATGAGCACGCACTCACATGGCTTCCTAGTATGGCAGGTATCATCAACGGCATCCTCGGAGGACTAGGCAACGCTGCATGCTCGCTCCTCAACAGCTGTGAAAGTAGCTCTTCGACAGACAGCGAACCCGCTTCGACCTCTGCTGCTGCTGCGTCGACCAAGGCAGCAGACAGCGTCGCCGACAACACTCGAGTAGTTGCCACATTTGTCACCGTGGCGCCTTTTACGGCGTCTACTAGCCCAGCGAGGGCGACGAGTTCTGCCATCGCGGCCGCTGTTGCGTCATCTGCATCTCCTAGCCTCTCTGTGCGCTCTCAGACGACACAGGCAAGCAAGCCAGATTTCCAAAGCTAAACATCCTGACACGATTGAACAGACATCCCCAATCGCCACGGCTGCGACCACAGCGACCACGTCCCCGAGTGCACTCACGACGTCCACACCGGAGGCGATCGCCAGCACCTTTGTGACGAGCAGGGTCATACTGGCCTCTCAATCTGCCTCTCAGACTGCGACTGTCGCTACTGAGAGCAGTGACGGCAGCAGCAGCAGCACCGATTCGACGTCAAGCTCAGTCAGCTCTAGCAGTGTCTCCACCTCATCAGCGGCCGATTCGACACCGAGAGGCGCAATCGATGCCGACCTCGTCTTGCTGGGCCTCTTCGCATTCCTGCTACTAGCTGCATTAGTTGTCAGTCGACGGCGCGTCCAACAGAGCAAAGCAAGGGCACTGGCTCTTCAGAGGACTCCAAGTGTTGAGCCCTATCGCTTGTCAGACCTGAAAGAAGACGACCAGTACTCGAGCGATAGCGAGTGCGATATGTCCATCAGAGCAAGCACAGCGATGGGGTACGCCAAGCTCGACCTCGCCTCGCTGCCACGAGCTCAACGCGTCTCGACGTTGCCCTACTTATCCTCTCAATCCAGTCAGCGCTCATCCACAGTCGATCCCCTTGTGGTGCGGCAGCGCCTGTACGAAGCCTTGCCAGAGCCGCCGATTTCACAAGCAGATCACCAACTGGGCACAGCGTTGACATTCGATAGTGCGAGATGGCCGTTTCGACAAACTCCTGGGCTGGCGCGAGAGGCCCATCTTCCACACAGCGCGAGCTCTTCTGCTTACAGTCGCTCCGACACTCACAGGCATCGCTCGGCGAGCACGGCAACGAGAAAGACGACGACGACGCTCTCAAGTATGGGCACCAGGTTGAGCTTTCCTGCGCCATTGACGAGTCCACCCAGTCTGCCCTTGCCGCCCTCGCCCTCACTACTGAAGGAGACTTGGCTGCAAGAGCTGAGGAGAGAAGCGACTGTGAGGATAGCTCGCGTATCTGAAGATCTCTTGCGTTAGTCGCGATGATGTACATTGTGCCGTCCCGGGAATGGGAATCCCGTATCGCTCGCTAACCGCGTTGTCTCCGTCGTCGTCGCGTTGCGCTGAGTTGCCGCGAGCGTTGCAGCGCCAGCAGGCAGCCCGGGCTGCTCACAAAGTGTGCGGTCCTCCCTACAGGGCCAGATGACGGCGACAGGTGCCGGCAGAGAGATGCTCGGCAGGCTGAACGTCGTTGCCATACATCTCAGCCTGATCGCCCTCGTCGTCTCGCTTGCGCTGTACAGATTCCTTTGGGCCGACGCCGATGATCCCTATCGTTGCGAAGCCTTGCTCAACAGTGGCTCATTCCTTGACGCACCTGCAAGTCACAGCAATTGGCAACCTCAAGGCTGCATCCTGCATAATTACAAGGTCTCCGAGGTAACGGCTTGCCTGGGCAAGCGACGAGTGCTCTTCATCGGTGACTCAACTGTACGACAAGTGTATTATGGTCTGGCCAAGACGCTAGATCCAGAAGTGGACACGATAGCGGAGAAACATTCGGATAGACAGCTCGTACTTGCAGGCGTTCAGCTCGACTTTGTCTGGGATCCTTTCCTCAATGGCACTCGAACAGAGTCCTTATTGCAAGGCATGTCAGACGAGCTCGATCTCAGCCCGCCGACAGTGGTTGTTCTGGGCTCGGGCATGTGGTTCCTGCGCAACCATGGCTCAGAGCAAGCTATCAGTCTTTACACCGCAACGCTAGAAAAAGTACTCGATTCTGTCAAGACGACCAATGCTAGAGGCCGTCCCATGACCGACGAGCTCGTCATACTGCCCGTCGAGCCTGTCGTGGTAGAAAAGCTCAGACCGGATCGCGCAGCCACGATACGAGAAGAGGACATCGAGACCATGAACAATCTGCTCCGAGTTCGATCGGACGCGACAGTCAGTCCGACTGGCTTCTCCATACCGTGGTCTTTCAATGACGTGCTCGCCGGCAACGAGGATCAGACGATAGATGGTATGCATTATGCGGATCCCGTGGCGAAGTTGCAGGCAAAGATTTTGCTCAATCTGCGCTGCAACGACGTTTTACCCAAGAAATTCCCGCTCGATAAGACTTGTTGCTTCCAGTACAGCGCACCGAACTATGTCCAAGCATTTGTCATCCTGCTTTTGCTCGGATGGGCGCCATTGGGCATGTTTCTCTTGCGAGAGGGCAACACCGGCCATCGCTTCGAAGCATACTTTCCATCAGCCAGTGTCCTCGTACCATTGTCAACATTCGGCTTCGCCATCGTCTTCATCTTCCTGGGCGATCGCACATCGCTCTTTTTGAAGGAAGCCAAGCAATTCAGCGCGCTACAATTTGCGGTGCTCAACCTAGCAGCGCTTGGCGTCGGTCTGGCGACAATGAAGCCCGCTGAAAAGGATCTTGGCTTCCTCAATCGTGATCAGACGGACGAGTGGAAAGGCTGGATGCAGATCGCCATCTTGATCTACCATTATCTGGGCGCATCCAAGGTGTCCGGCATCTACAATCCAATTCGCACGCTCGTGGCGGCATATCTCTTTCAGTCGGGCTATGGCCACACCACCTTTTGTAAGTCTCGAATGCCCTTCCGAGCTTCGCTGATACTGCTCTAGATTACAAAAAGGGTGACTACGGACTTGCACGCGTCATGTCGGTCGTGATTCGGCTGAATCTGCTGACAATCGCACTCACGTACGCCATGGACACCGACTATCTATCGTACTACTTCTCGCCGCTCGTTACGATGCATTTTGGCTTCATCTGGATCATCATGTTTGTCGGCAACCAGTGGAATAAGAACGCTTACTTTCTGCTCGCCAAGATCATCATTGGCGCCGCTCTCGCCGCCATCTATTTCGAACTTGGCAAGCCTCTCGAGTACACCTTTCGCGCAATCAATGCTGTCTTCAGGACGCAGTGGATCGCGCGCGAATGGTCTTTTCGCGTCACACTCGACATGTACATTGTCTTCTGGGGCATGGCGGCAGCGCTCGCCTTTATCAAGTTTCAGGAGCACAAGATAGCAGATCGGCCGGACTGGCCTATCTTTGCGCGGGCGGGCATCATAGTAGGCTCATTGGGCATGCTCGGCTTCATGATCTTCGAGCTCACGCAGAACAAATTTGACTACAACGTCTACCATCCCTTCATCTCGATCATCCCGGTCGGCGCATTCTGCGTCTTGAGGAACGCCACGCCAGCCTTGCGATCCACATCGAGCAAATTCTTCATCTTCTTCGGGCACTGGTGCGCGCCAGCTGTCTGTCAGGTTCGCGTGCACAGCTGACTGTGACGTAGCTCGCTCGAAACTTTCATCATCCAGTTCCATCTCTGGATGGGCGCCGACACCAAGGGTCTGCTGATGATGATCCCTGGCACGCAATGGCGCATCGTCAATTTCATTGTTGCCAGCTTCATCTTTGTCTTCATCAGCAATCAGGTTGCTCGAGCTACCGGCGAGCTGACCAGCTGGCTCATGGGCAACACGAAGCATGAGAAGCCAGCGGCATTGCCAACGCATGCGAACGGCAACGGCGCAGAGTACATACCTCTGGCAGCCAATGGCGAGGAACCAACGAAATCAGAAGAGCCCATGGTGGCCACAGAAAGTTCAGGTATCAGGATCATGCGAATCATCTCTAGTGATCTCAGGTTTCGCCTGCTGGCCTACATCGTCATCATCTGGGCCATCAACATCCTGTATCCATCTCTGAGGCCGCCGGACGGTCACATTCTGGTCACGCATTGAATTGCATGTAATGTTTGGGGGCACAGGCGTTCAGGCCTGCAGAGGGGCGAGTCATGCAACTTGTGTATGATCTTCCGTCAGGTCCAGGCAGTGAACGAAAGCTCAGCAGCGAGATACTACGGTACGCGTGTGCAGCCGTTGGTCAATAGCATGAATATGGCTGGGCCAGATGCATTCTGCTGCTGTTGTCACAGTCACAAAAGAGAGTGAGCGCAAGGTCGTCTCAGATGACGGCGTTTGCGTTCGAGGCTGCAAACAGATCATTAGTCAAAAGCCAGCAGGCTGAACGGAGGATACCGACCTATACGTGGCCAGCGATCGCATGCTTCCTTTGCGCAGGGTCCTGGTGGAGCCAACTTAGCCATACAATCATTGCAAGCTATAGAGGGGACTCACCTGCGATTGAGGATCCCTTCATTTCTCCCTTAGGGTTGCAGATGACACCTGCGTTATCCTCGAATCGGATGAAGACGCCGTCCTTTCGGCGCCATGCTTTGCGTTGTCTGACCACGATCGCTTGATGCACTGCGGCAGAGCATGAGCAGAGCACGGTACAAAGCCCTGACGGCATACCCTTTTTGCGCAACTCGGGCTTGCCCTTCTTCACTGTCGCGAGGACCATGTCACCAGCTGCAGCAGCCGGTAGACGGTTGAGCTTGGCTCCGAAACGGGTGACTGCGATGATCTGCGTGCACAAGCTGCGCATGAGTACGTGCGAGTGATTGTACTTTTTCGCTGTCAACGAACGTAGAGGTTCTTGCCGCCGCTGTTGTCGACGCAGTTCATGACTGCACCGACTGGCAGTGCCAGCGTCATGCGATACTTTGGCGCAGCTCCTCCTCCTCTTGGTGCAGACATCACGTATAGCTTTCAGTGTCGCTCGTGCTTGGTGGCTGCTTGCAACCGCTCCCCACATCGGGAGTGTGCCGATCAAAGATGTGGGGGATGCAACGTCAGACAGACCTCTCACCACTTAAGACGCAGTTCGATCTGTGGTCTGCCATCTACATAGACGCATCATCATACAAGCCGATAAGCAGCCCTTTATCTGAATAGTCTTTGCTTCCTCGCAAACGCGCACGCCTCGTAATTTTTCGCCGACGTCGGGGTGCAGGGGTCGCAGCACAGCATGGCCCCTGCCTGCACGTAGAAGTCGGAGTGCTGGTTTCGATCCTTCCGCAAAGCTTTCATCGTGTACCACCAATCATACAAGAGATACTCCAATCAAGAAGATGACCAGCAAGCTCGTTCTATTCGTCGCCGCTGCTGTTGGTATGGTGTGCACCGCCACCGCTGTGCAGTTCGACAGCACCGGCAGGCTCGCTTGTACGCTTTCCTGGACACCTCCCGGTCAGACATCGAGTGAGGGCTGGGCATGGACATGGGCAAACAAGGTAACAATGACGATGCCTGACGTCACAGTTGACCGACTGCTGCGTGTCAAATAGGATCTCAATGTCATGACCAACTTGCTGCCTGGTGGAGTATACTTCTCTCCCGGCGCAATAAGCCACCATTCGGTCACTTGGACCTGTCAGTATGCAGTTCGCCTTGCGTCCCCAAGGCTGACATTGTTTCACAGTCAAGGATGCCTACCAAAATCCAACGCAAGAGTGAGCATGGCTCGTCACAGGTCGCATTTTCTGATCTGACGCGGTCAAACAGAGTCGCTTTCAAGGTCCATCATGATGCTACCGGCATCACTGGCGTCAAGCTCGTCAAAGGTGTCAAACATGGCGCCAGCCAGACCAACCTCTACGATGTGTTCTGCAATGGCGAGGCCGTGCCCAAGTTCTAGTCGACGTTGCTGTCTTAGCATGCAGATTTGCTGACTAGCATATTGCTCGCTGCATGAGCTAGCCACGTAGCAGTGCGCGGTGCGTCGCGTGATTTTGAGATCAGCCAGCGTCATCAGTTCGTCGTTGCGATAAACCTGATGCGTAGATGAGCTACTACATAGGCGCCTCGCCTGGTCATCGGCGAACGGGCCTGCGAGCAAGTTTGAACACAACGCGAGGCAAAGCAGGCGCTGCTGCTTTTGTTCTAGGCTCGATCTGGTGCACCCTCGTCCTACAGGCTCAGCACCTGCTCGACAGAGAGCGCTCCCCCCTTCGACCTGATTTCGGCACTCAAGCGAGGGCTAGTGTTGGCAACCTCACGCTAGCGAGTGACTTCTCGACTGCGAATGCCACCGAAGATGCCCCGCTAACAGGAGATCTGTCCAGCATCCTCAAGCATCTCGACAGCTGGGATCCTCTGAGACCCAACTCGCTGCCCATCACCTCCATCGAAGTCCGATCGTGCTATTTCTCGCCCGAGCTCTACGATGCCTGTCAGCCAGAAGCGACGCCGAGAGATGAGCAGATCTATGGCAAGTGGGTACGAGTCAATAAGGATGTTAACATCCGACGAGGCGTGTGGTACACGTATGTGTACTATCGCCGGCAGCATCCCTTCATGTCACATCCTACCGTTCGAGAGATGCAGCTCGTCCAGCAGGACCATGCAGACGAGATCACTCTGGCAAGTCAAGGCTGGACGATGGCCCAAGGCAATCTGCGCTCGGGCGTCTGGCCGCAGCAGAAGGGCCTCAGAATCTGGTACTTACTCAAGCCGTACCATAGCGACCTTAGTGACCCGCCAATCACCGAGATCGATGTCCTCTACGGCGAGACCGCCAATTCTACCTTGCCGGGCTTCACAAAGCTGTCGTCACGCATCACAGAATATGAAGGTGCCAAACGCTCGGGCGTCGACCTTGTTTTCCGCAAGGGTATCAGCACCTTACCCCGTAAACCAGACCTGACGTTCACGAGCGATGGCAAGTTCAGAATCATGCAGATTGCCGACTTGCACTTTTCGGTCGACCGAGGCACATGTAGAGATGTCAATACAAATGCGACGTGCGACGCGCGAGGCGCAGACCGGTTCACGCTGGACTGGTTGCACGATGCAATAGATACAGAGCAGCCTGACCTCGTCGTCCTGTCAGGTGATCAGCTCAACGGACAATCGACAAGCTACGACGCCCTGAGCGTCATATTGAAAGTTGCAAACCTCTTTGCGCACCGCACGATACCTTGGACTGTCGTCTTTGGCAATCATGACAGCGAAGCGACTGATGCGGATCGGGCAATGCAAATGAGTATGTATCAAGCATTGCCCTATTTTGTCGGCGAGGCAGGGCCAGATCACGTCGACGGCATTGGCAACTATATGTTGAGCGTACGATCTCATGACCAAACGAAGACTTCCTTATTGTCACTCTACTTCCTTGACTCACACACCAAAGAGCCTGGCCTATTCGGTCGTGGCTACCAAGCCCTCAAGCCATCGCAACTCTCATGGTACCGTGATACATCTTCGCTCGTCAAAACAATCATGCGTCCATACCGTGCACCAGTCATGGAGGACTTTCCAACTATCACGGACGGCCGGCAACGCAAGCGTCGGTCGAGGATCTCACGCCGGCAGTTTGATGGCCAGACACTCAAGAAGCCCAACGCGATGGTCTTCTTTCACATTCCTCTCATTGAAGCGTTCGACGAGCCCGACAAGAGCGAGAATGGAGAGCCACTGAAGATGGGTGTCCAACTCGAAGGCAGCGGCGCGTCCAATACGAACTCGCATTTCCTCACCGAAGCACTGCTCCAGCAGACTGAATATGGCTCAAGAGATGCAGAAGACATGCAAGACATTCGAGGCGATATTTTGCCGGAAGCAAAGGTGCTTGTACACGGACACGATCACATCACTGAGAGATGTGCACGCATTAAGCACATATGGATGTGCTTCTCAGGCGGCTCTTCGTACAGTGGCTATGGCGCTTTCGGGTCTGTCTTAGTATGCTACCTCGACGTGTGAGCTGACCCATGCATGCAGATTCGACAAGCGTGTCCGCGTGTTCGACGTAAGCGACTATGGGGAAACAATCAAGACCTGGAAATTCCTCGATCTACGCGAGTCGCAAAAGACAGCCGAGCTGACGGGCGTGACCTACGTCTCTGAGAAAGAGATCGATGAGCTCGCCTCTGCCGATAACCGCGAGCACGAGGCGGAAGCAAACGATGTCAAACTGACCGATCCGCCGCCAGTCCTGGCAGAGATCCCCGCTGGCTCGCCCCCCGTCGCCATAGCGCCCTACACGCCCAACCTGGCCGACGGCACGGTCCATATTGCGCCGAACGTGCCCTTACTTGCGGACGATCATCTGGACCGGCGCGCAAAGGAAGAGACAATCATTGCGTCTGTTCTGGATGCCTACAAGAATCTCAATGGCAGACGGCTCGATGAGGTGATTCTAGTGGGCGAGAACGCCGAGCGGTAGGATGCGCAGCCCTGTTGTAATTATTGCGCCATTGCAGATCCGCGCTCGGGAATGGCCAAGACTTTGCTCCGGGGCGATCGCGTAATGGAACATGCACGAGCACGCCATAGCTCGCGAAAATCGCAATGTCTTCCAATCGTCCTCACCTGGACTTTTCTTCGCGGTCCTGAGTCAGCAGAGATTGACGGCGCAGGGTCAGGCGAGCTAGCGTCCTGACAAGTCTGTCGAGCTTCGCCACTTGACGAGTCAGCTTGCCATCATGTCGAAAACGAAGGACTTGCTGCGAAAGACGCTCCATATTGAGCCGACCGAGCCGCACGTGCCATCCCATCTGCTTCGCAATGCACAAGCCTGACTTCCTCCCTGTTCTGCAGTCAAGAGGCACGAGTCACTCGCGGCGAATCGATTGCTAGCCGAGATGACATCGACCCTTATCTCGAGACTGATCCCACTGTGAGCGGCTGGATCAAGGACCACACGCCTGGCAAACGCGAAGTCAAAGAGTACATACTGTCGCTCTTTCCTTTGTGAGTGTGCTCCCGGCGTTCAACGCTGGTTCATGCTGATTGAGAGACAGCGTCGAATGGCTTCCCCGATACAATACTACTTGGCTCATCGGAGATCTGATCGCTGGCATCACTGTCGGCGCCGTCGTCGTGCCTCAGGTAAGACACCTTGCATGTTCTTGATGTGCCCTGACGACATTTGACCAGGGCATGGCATACGCCAAGCTTGCCCAGCTTCCGGTTCAATACGGTCTTTACTCCTCGTTCGTCGGTGTCTTGATCTACTGGTTCTTCGCGACCTCCAAAGATATCACGATCGGACCAGTTGCGTACGTGCACAAGCATATTCAGATGGGCCGCGAGCTCACAGCATACCTGCAGAGTCATGTCGCAGCTCGTCGGAAATATTGTCATCCAGGTTCAGCAGACGAGACCCGATATCCCAGGCTATCAGATCGGATCTGCGCTTGCTGTTCTCGCGGGCGCATTCGTATTCGTGCTCGGCATCTTACGTCTCGGCTTCATTGTCGACTTTATTCCGTTGCCTGCCATCGCCGCTTTCATGACAGGTTCGGCGCTCAGTATCGCCTCTGGCCAGGTCGTCACAATGATGGGTCTGTCTGGCGTCGCCAACAGAGGACCAACCTATCAGATCGTCATACACATCCTCAAGCATCTCGGCCGCACACATCTCGATGCCGCGATCGGCTTGACTGCATTGCTGATGCTGTATCTGATCCGCTACTTCGCCGCCTTCATTGGCCGACGCGCACCGCGCTACCAGCGACTGATGTTCTTCGTCTCTACGCTGCGCACGGTCTTTGTCATTCTGCTCTACACTCTCATCTCTTGGCTCGTCAATCGCCATCACAACGCAAAGACGACCGATCACAAGTGGGCTATCCTCGGCAGTGTACCCCGAGGCTTCAAGCAAATGGGTGCGCCCGTCATGACGCACGAGCTCATCTCGCTCTTTGCCGATCAACTACCCGCCACTGTCATTGTGCTTCTCATCGAGCATATCGCGATTGCCAAATCGTTCGGTCGAGTTAACAATTATGTCATCAACCCTTCGCAGGAACTCATCGCGATTGGCATCACAAATCTCTTCGGTCCCTTCTTCGGCGCTTACCCAGCTACGGGCTCTTTCTCGCGTACTGCCATCAAGTCGAAAGCAGGCGTCCGCACGCCGCTTGCTGGCCTGATCACCGCCATTGTGGTTCTGCTCGCTCTGTACGCCCTTCCGGCAGTCTTCTTCTGGATTCCCAACGCGGTGCTCGCTGCTGTCATCATTCACGCTGTTCTTGTAGGTGTCTGCGTGACTTAGTGTGAAGCAAGCGCTGATGTTTTCGGGCAGGATCTGATCACGCCTCCCAGCGTTGTCTGGGGCTTCTGGCTTGTCTCGCCTCTCGAGGTGGTTATCTACTTTGCCGGCGTCCTTGTGACCGTCTTCAGCTCGATCGAGAACGGCATCTATGTCGCCATTGCTTCTTCGGGCGGTCTTTTGCTCTACCGCATCGCAAAGGCACACGGTCAGCTGTTGGGTCGTATCCGCGTGACTACTGTCAACGGTCAGGATTCACGCAACATCTACTTGCCCCTCGATCACGTCGATGGCTCCAATCCTGCGGTCGATCTTGAGGCGCCCGCTCCTGGTGTCTTTGTTTACCGCCTGACATCCGACTTCCTCTACCCCAATGGGTATCATTACGTGCGTTGACGCTTCGCGTTGCCCCTGGCTGGACTGATGTCTTTACGACAGACCGATGAGCTTCTTGCTCAGATCTTCAGTCTCACCAAGCGCGCCGATGTTGGCACAATCCCAAAGCTTGGCGATCGCCCTTGGAATATGCCTGGCCCGCGTCACATTGACGAGCAAGCGATTCGCGAGGACAGTCGTCCTACGCTCAAGGCACTCATTCTCGACTTTACGAATGTCACCCACATTGACGTTACCGCTCTCCAAATTCTTGTCGACGTTCGCGATCAGCTCAATCGCTATGCTGCGCCCGAGCTTGTGCCGATTCACTTTGCGTCTGTCAAGTCTCGATGGGCTAAGCGAGCTCTCGCGGCGTTTGGCTTTGGCAAGCCCTATAACGATGACGTTCGCAACGTCTTCAGCATTAGCGAAGTCGGAACAGCCAAGGGTCAGAATCTGGGACCTGCAGCCAGTCGACCTCATGACACTGAGCAAGGCATCTCGACTATGCGAGACGAGGCTGTCACTTCCAGAGGCTTGCCATTGCTGTCTTCTGATCGACCACTGTTCCATGCTGATCTGGATGAGGCACTTGCCCAAGTCCTCGACAACCTTGGTCTAGCGAACGATCAGAGTGGATACGGAGCCGATTACAAGGAGAAAGATATCTCTCCGCCCGAATCCGCCGCTGGAATTCACTACTAGATCCAGCAGCTGTTGCAATACTAGATCATAAATCCTGGCACCCATCAAGTCAGATAACATACTAGCTCAGCCGGCCTACGCGAGTGAGACTCATGGCTTTGCACGGGCACCATCATACAAGGTATTCTTGACAATGTCTTCCGCATCGTCAGGACTCCGGAATACACAGAAAGAAATAAAAGGGTAGATAGTCGCGGTGATCAATGGCATTGTAAGACCAGATGCAAACTTGTAGGGTTTATGCGCGTGCTAGCCTGCCAGACCGACTGCACGTCTCGTCTGTCCACATGTATGGCTAACCTGACAACACAACACGATGAAGGTAATGCGCTTGCAGAGCTATTGACGGCTTCGTCCTTTGATTGCTGGTTGCAAACCGTGGCAATCTGCGCGGCCTCGCAAAATATCGACGCGTCTTCATACGGGAATCGCCATCACGACCGACCGGCAAAAAAAACAGGCTTCGAGTGCGGCGCGCATGAGGCCGAACGGCAAAAAGGAAAGAGGCTAATGTATCCATTACTTTCTCGGAGTTTCGATCTCCGTGCCTCCAGCGTATAACATGTCAAATGTTAAGCAGGTGTCATAACCAAGTAGACCAAGAAAGCGCTTATTGTGATTGCCCGCCCAAGACGTTATATAGTCTAGCTCTGCATATCAGCCTCAGCGAACAGCGTGTACTCTCACAGTAGCAAGCTCTCAGCTGCGGATGAGGGCAGGCACGATCAGAAGCCCGTTGTCGGTCCCCGCAGCAGCTGCACTGGGCTGCCTCGTACCCACGGTGAACATGAGCAGATGTGGAGACATGGGTGAACTCACTGTGCACTCGGCTTGATTTTCGTACGTCGTACCTCCTCACTAGTCTCTATGTCTATGACGTCATTCCTCTCTGAAGACATTGCAATGAAAATCTGCGTCTAATGTGCTCTCACGAAGGTTTTCTGCTCGCCTGTCATGTGTCAGATGCTGTCGAGAGACAAACAAGAACACGTTTTACACCCTGACAGTCAGCGGAAGATTGACGTCTGCTTGTGAGCCTATAGGTAGCGCAGTGAAGGCCTAAGCGGTATTCAGATCGGCTCGCGTGGTGTAATGGCTATCACATCTGCCTACGATTTGACAGCTTCAGTGTTGTGATTCTAGCAGAAGGCTCTTGGTTCGACCCCGAGCGTGGGCTTTTTTTGTCACCTGCTTTTGCTGTTACATGAACCCGACGACGTCCTTTTTTGGCCAGAGATAGGGTCTGACAATGATCAGATGGCTCGTTTGCCTGTTCTCGCCGTCTCCGCGAAGCGTGCAAGGTGAATTTTGAATTTCCAGAACATTACAGATAAGTACTGCATTTACTACGCTACAATGTGTTGGTGACCGGAGTGCTGTCTTGCAGATTCATTCGAGGGCTAGACTGCGTGTGATGAGCGAATTGCGAATGATGAGCGATTGCATGCGCAGGCAGAGACGCAGACGGTGGCGCAGATCTCGGCAGGCTGGAGGTATATGCCGGATAGAGCGTATAACTCTGCGGACTGGATACACTCGCAGGCGGCCCAGGAAGCAGTGATGAGATGGGTGGCAGCTGTCTGTTGTTCGATAGGTCAGTATAGCGTGCAGCGGACGGCTGTGTATAGGCTGTGCTGTAAGTTGAACCGTAGGATTTGCTGAACGCTTCGGTCTGGGGCAGGCTGCTGCCATAAATGCTGCTCGTGCCGGCAGATTCGCTCCTCGGCATAGCTGGAAGTCTAGCAGGCAAGCTGATCGGTAAAGTCACTGCCCGACTTGCCGGAGGGGCGACGGGCTGGATGACAGGTAACAGACTTGTCGGCTGACTCTTAGGCAAATTGGCTCCATAGACGGAACTATAGTGCGACGCCGCTGGGACTTGCATGGTCAATGACGGGGACGTACTGACAGGGCAAGACGATGGCGCATAGACGCCAAGATCGCTCAATGATGGTAGTGCTGATCGATTGGCGGCATAAGCGCTTGCCGAATAGCCATACTTGCTCCGGCCGGCATAGCCTGTGCTGATCTGATAGGGACCTGTTGGCATCGACGGTGATGCTGCCGCTGATCGTTGGCTATGATTGTAGACATAGATCTCTTGGTCTGCTTTGGCGCGAGCTGCTAGTTTTGCTGCTTCCTTTGCACGCGCCTCTTCATCGCAGATCTTGGCATACTTGTACTCTGCGTGCGTGCCGGTCGAAAAGCACACGATAACAGCGCCATGCTCTGGGACGTTCCTTGCCAAAGTGACATCGCAGATGCCGCCTGAGGTACGCACGAGCAGAGGCGAACCTGTTGGGATTGCAGCGATGCGTGCTGCAAGCTCGTCATGCTTCTTCTTTGTTGCAGCTGCTAACACGAGCGGATTGTGACTTGTGCACAAGACCACAGTCTGTACCTCGCCGATGGGCTTCAACAGGTCGGCGGCACTGTAGATAGCGGGTCGAACAGCAAGCTTCTCGCTCAATTCATTGTCCTCCGTCTCTCCTTCCTGGAGTGGCTTGGCAGCTTCGATGCAGCTGACCAGTCCATGCTCTAATCTGATGACGGCGTCAATCATAAAGGTCGAGTCGGCCTTCATCGCGCAGGTCGCATGACAGGCTTTGTAGCACGATTTCGATCTGGTGCACTGCACTTTTGCCCCGTGTCGGTCGCTGCAAAGCTGGCACTTGAGATTCCAGCGAGCGCGCTCGACCTTGTCGACGCCATAGACGAGCTCCTGGCCCGTCTCTCCGTCGCGATCGATCCAAGTCATGGGAATGAATGTTGCACAAATGCGGTGTGCGTGCCTGATCCCGCTCAATGTCTTGATCGTCTTCTTGGTCGGCGTAATCTTGTTCGCCTCTGCCATTGCTACAACGTCGTCCGTCAAAGGCAGCTCGGCTTGATCTTCTGAGCCTGCCATGGGCATGTCAACAGAGGTGGGCGCCGGCGCGGATACTGCAGAGATGCCAGCACTAGACGCGAACGCAGCAGCACTGAGCGGACCGGCCAGAGGCACCAGGCCCTCTGTCGATAAATCTGGGCAGAGAGCGCAAACATAGGGCGGCTTTGCGGGAATCGTCAGCTTGACCTTGACAGAGTCGTCGATTTTCGGCTTTTTGACAGGCTTATACGCCCGTATCGGCTTCCTCACGATGCCCTTTGCTTCGTCCTCCTGCAATTTCGATTGAGCAGCTTCCATGAGCCACTGATCAACATTGATCGTCACCGAGTCGTCGACGCAGCCGCACTTCTTCGCTTTGCGCCCGATCGGTACCCATTCTTCGGTGGCAAAGTTGACGCTTTCTGCGCAATTGAAGCCGAGGTTAAATCCCGAGTGGTAGCCGTGAGGGTATGTGAGCATGAACTCGCCCGCAAACTGCACACAGCGATTCAAAGTGATACCGTGATTCGAGATGATGGTCGGTGAGGCCAGATAAGACTTGTGACGCATGAATTGTGGGCAGGTATTGCGTGCGGACGCGAATTGCCCGGCCATGTACTGCTCGAAACGCTCGTGCTCGCGCTGCGGCACTGAATACCAGCACTTCGGCGCGCCAAAGTGGAGGTAGTTGATCGAATAGAGGTCCATATCCTCCACGTGCCAGGCGACTGCACGATTATGAGCAGAGGTCAAGAGCATGTAGCGAAACCACTCACATGTCGCACGCCAACTTCCAAAGTACAGATAGGGCGTATTGACGCCGGGTATCTTACGACTGCCGCCTACGCGCGATAGCAGATTGTCTAGCTCTGCTACGTTCCAGACGGTCTGCTTTGGATCGAAGAGACTGCCTGAAGTGTTCATGAATGATCAGCAGACATACGGTTGAGACCACTTCAATGTACCTGCGGAATCCGCACCGTACATAGGTGGAGAGCCGATGGCGAGCGATCGCCAATACCTTCGTTCGATCTCTTTGAGAACATCTGCTGTATAGTCTGAGGGGCTCGGGCCTTGCAACTGACTCGGCAAGTCGAAGTCCTCCCATTCCTTGTCGGTGAACAGCTCGCCTGGCCGCAGACTTTCCCCTTTGTGCTCCTCGACATCTACCTCTGGCTCGTCTTTGGGCAACGCGTTAGCTTGTTTACTCGCCGGCTCGTTCTCGTCATCGCTATCTGGCGCGCCTTTGCGCTTCTTCTGCGGCCTGTTCGTACCCGCAGCGAACGCTCTGCTGCGCGTTTTTGGAGGTGACTCGGAATCGTCGCCGCCATGGCGAGCAGATCGCTTCCAAAAATCAGGAGATACTCGCGTTGGATCATCGCAGCTGTGCACCACGTGTCAGCTCAGTACAGATCAGGAGCCGAAGACATACATTGCCTTCCACTGTTTGACGTTGTAAGATCGCGTTCTAGCGACGTTGTGCAAGTTGAAGAGGCCCTTTTGCCCTAGTATGTGCTGGCAGATGGGGCTCTTGATTTTGGTCTGACGGAGCGGGTGATCGATTGGCGTGAGGGACTCGGTCCATTCCTTCGGCGGGACAACCTTGACGATGCCGGCTTGCATGCCGTAGCGGTCCACGCTTTTGATAAAGGCATAAAAGTCCATAAATTCTTCCATCGTCGGCATGAAGACGGGCGTGCCTTTACAAAGCGATGTCGATAGATCGGGACGGTAGTAGTATGCCGGCCTGATGCGTCTGTAGGTCTTTCTGCCTTCTTGGGTGCCTAAGCCTGGCGGAAGATCCAGATCCTCGAGCTCGTCAATGTCAATTTCGGACGAGTCGTCGTCAGAGTCATCCGAGTCGACACCCGTATACTCGTCCTCACGCTCTGTGAGACTGGCGAGCAGCTCTGGCGTCGGTCTAGGCTCGCTCGTCACGGGTATCCTGCGCCTTGGTCTTGGCTTTTTGCTCGTGCCAGGAGCCGAGTGCGGGCCGGCGCTCGGTTTTTTGCTCGACGTCGCATCTTCGGACGAAGCTAGTGAAGTCGGCGGCGAGCTGTGGCGGGATCCGGCCTCACTGCGATCGCTCATAGACTTGGCGGCCTCGCTCTTGACGGCAGGTGAGGCTGGTCCAGGCGACATCTCGCGAGTCAGGGACTTTTCAGCAGGCACAGCTGACTCGACAGGCCCATCAGCATCCATCGTCGAAGTGGGTGATGAGTCAGAGTACTGCTGGAGCCGTTCGACAGGATGATGAGACAGAGTCAGTCTGACGAGATCTGAGGTCGGCTCCCTAATGGAGGACGCGTGTGTCTGTGCACACAGCTATTCTCTGCTTGGCGAGAGGGGTCTTGCCTTGCTCCCAGTCGTCAGAATCGTGGCCTGTGAGACCACTCAAGACGTGATCTTCTCAAGCAGTTCTTGCTCGATCTTCGGCGTCTTTGTCTGCCTCGTCACGCGTCTTACGACGGCAGCGTCAGTGGTCAAGAGCAAGCACCGGTACAAGACTGGACAGGACTCTCAACAGGCAGCTCCTCCTTCTCCCGCCAGCGTCGCACGCCCTGACGGAGCTGGTCGCACTTTGAAGCGCGCGGGAAGGCTTGTCGGTGATCGGCTGGCTGCTGTTTGATTATTGCCAACTTGAGGGCAAGCCTTACCTCGTCTTGGCGGCAGGAGCAGTCCGTCTTTTGTCCCACACGCAATCGCCGCGGCGACTCACCCGCCATTGAGCGTGTATCTGGTCGTACGTACAGTCAGTCTCAGTCGGCGCTGGCAGTCGACGAAGCGGCGCATCGTCAGTTCAAACAGTCTGGGCTGCGCATTTTGCGCGCGCTCAAACTTGCGCCGGTCTATAGCAAGCGAGGCTACCAGTGCCTGGAAGCATCAGACAGTCCTTCTATCGGAAGTAGCTTTGCCACTGGAAGGTGCCTTGTGCGGATCGCGTCGGTACTTCTTTCGCCAGGGCGCATAACATCGACATCGTCGTCATGACTGCCCAGGCCTTGTACAGGCACGGCCCACACTGGCCGCGGCAGCTGGAGACACGCTCTCCGCAGTATTCTGATACCGATGCGAGCAACTCAACCAGTGCAAATGGCGCGTCAAGCCAAGCGCCGACAACCTCATCGAGCGCGAGTCAGTCCGCCCCATCGCATGCGATCAACGCCGATGTCACCGATGCAGACAGCGACTTTCCCTTCGTCTGGTGGTTCACCCAGCAAAACACACTCAATTTTGCCCAGTGCACATCGTCAGTCTCACGTCCTTGATCTGCACCGATTCCGGCGCTAACATTGCAAACGATGATGCAGGTTTGAGTTCTTCATGGTTCCCAACGCCAACGCTACCAGCTCTGCTGTGGGGCCATATACACTCGCTGCGATACCAGAGCAAGGCGTGCCTCTCATCGTCTCCGCCGGCGAAGGTGACACGGTGCCCTTTACCTGGACGCTGCCATTCAACACGGGCACGACGTTTGCGCTCTCCTTCATTGACTCCAAGGGTCAATCGGGAGGCGTCGGGCCACTGTATTCTGTCAGCAGCGGCAGTAATGTCGATGGAAATTGTCCGGGCGCGCCCGCTTATCCGCCAGTAACGAGTGGACCCGATGTCGACATCAGCTTTCAGGTCTACCCATACAATAGTCCTAGTCTGTGTCAACAGCTTGGCATCGTCGTGCAAGGCAATGGAAAGCCGCCGTTCACGCTGAACGCCGCCATATCTGCGGATACAGCGACCAATTACACAGTCGGAAATGTGGGTCACTATACAAATACGTTGCAAGGTGGCGGGGCCTTCATCTGTGAGTACTTCTCTCGTTTGTCTTGCATTTCACTCACATGCCGCTTGCAGTGTCCTTGTCGGATGCGAATGGCAACTATGCAAATTCTTCACAGGTCATCTACTCGTCCGGGGGTAGCAACTATTCTTGCATCGCCAATCCAGAAGAGCACGATCACAAGCTCGCGCCCGGCTCTGTACCGGATGGGTATGGTGGCTACGGACAAGGCGGCGGCGGCAACAATGTTTCTGTCGGCACGGTCGTCGGCGCCACTGTTGGTGTCGTCTTTGCTGTCCTTATCCTGCTCGGAGGTGCATTCTGGTTTTGGCGGAGGCGGAGGCGTCAACGTCGGGCTGGAAGTCTGTCCGATACCATCATCGGACCGCGCTACTCTGGCCCATCTGGCAACAGTGCAGCGAACGCGAACTCACCGGTCTCGCCGGTGGGCTCCAGTACCCTCGGCGGATCCAGTACTGCCGACGGCACACTTGTCGACGTCAGTAAAGGACCATATCCCAAGATAGAGCAAGGACGACTTGCAAGCATTTCTATAGAGCGACTTCTCAACCTCAACCGGCCATCCTCGACAGGCGACCATTCGCCCGTCTCGCCCAGTCCTGATGACGCTGCCTCGCACCCTTACCTCTATCCTCGTGAGCATCCTGGCAGGTTACCATCTCCTATCGAGATGGAACCGCGACATCAGTTCGTTATCGCCAACCCAGACGCATCCGATGCCGGCTCGATACGAGAAGGCGGTGACAGCACGACTTTCGCACTCGACGAGGGTGCGCGAGCATGGGCAACGCTCAATTCGTATGGTCAATCCAGATCGACTTCTAGCCGAGGTGCGAGCGGCAGTCGATTGCCAGCGCCCGGAGCACCGCTCAATTACTCTTCGCTGTACGGTGGCTCGACGCAAGCTCACCGGCAAGCGTCAGAGGATTTCTACAGGCAGCATGCCGATTCAGGGCGGACATTGACGCGCAAGGAAGCGGAAGAGATGCTACAGCAGGGCCAAATAGAGCTGCCACCTGCCTATGGCTCTTTCCGCACAGATCGTCCAGAACCGATACAAGAAGCGGCTCGTAATGCCGAAGCTGGCAAGGACGATGAAGAAGACGACGAGGAGTACGAGAACGCGATAGCCGTTTCGTCGCGTCATCTATAAGACCGATTTTGACCGGCTCACCTCGATCTCATCGCCACAACGAGGCAAATGTGTCAATGCTCACACTGAACCATCCCTTTTTGCTTGTACTTGTGCACTAGTCGCCGCATAAGACTGCTCACTGATGTACAAATCAATGCACTATGTCTTGCACAACACTAGACCGCGAGCGACAGAGACACGATCCCGAGCTCCGGCAATTTGGGTGCCTCGCTGTACTTTGTCATGCTACGGACGTGTTCCTCTGCGATCTGCATAGCCTGATCAGCGAATGGTGCGCACGTGACTTGTCCTGGACTTACGCAGTCCGCCCATTTCCTAGCGGCAAGGAAATGCTCCGCAGCGTCTGCTGCAGAGCCATCACTCGCCTTCATGCTCGGTAGCCTGCCTGCTGTGACACTGCTCTTGATGAGCGTTGCTTCGGCGGGCATTGTGCTGATGCATAACTGCGCAACATGCGCCCTTTTCTCGAGGAGCTCCCGCTGTTCGCTGGCCAACGTATAGCCCTTGGCATCGAATCGCAGGCCAAGCTGATTGATGCCCGCATCGACGCGATCTTTGATGAGACGAATGATGTGATCAGAGCGAGGGGGTTCGGTCGAGCTGATTGCGTAGAACGGTGGCGTGTCTTCGAAGTACTGCGGCAACGATCCGTCAGATTCGCCGCTCGTGCCTTCTCCTGATAGTGTGATGCAGTCAAGGGATCTGATGGACGGCAACCGTGGTGGCAGTGTAGATCCATCGGAGGACACGGGCTCGCTCGAGGTAGATTCTGGCCGTGGTGAACGACGTCGTTTGACGATGATCTCGAGCGGAACGCATTCGTTTCCCAGCTCTTCATCGCTTTCGCAAGCGTCAGATGGTCGAGGTGACATGGCCGTACTGATCTCGGCAGTGTCTGTCGAGAGCTCTGCACAATCGAGGGCAAGGGAGCTTGAGGCCGGAGACCTGCGAAGTTTGCAAGGCGTAATGCGGCGTCTGATCGATTGCATCTTTGCACTGGCAGCTGCGAGTTCCAGAGACTTGGAAGAGCTACTTATGGATCAGACCGCGGGCATCCGATCTGGTTGAGACGTAGGCCGAGATGGCGAGAGGATACGGATGAGACCAGGCCGGTCTGATCGGTGAAGATGGCATGCAAGACTGTTCGCACAACATGATACAGAGTCGTATGACGGCACCGCTTTGCATCAATGGTAGCTCGTTGATCGCTCCAATGCCGAACGGCTTTGCTTGAGCGTGGTCGGTATGACAGAAGAATCTGCGCGATTCCGACCGGTAAGTGAGATTTTTTCGTCTCCATCGTTTATATCGTCCGTCTTTTTCGCCAGAGCTACCGCCTTGTTGCCTATCCGCCATGCATACCCGCTGCATACGATGACACCACCAACGATTCCAGCAAGTCGAATGAGGAATTGACCGAGCGTAGTTGTTCTTTCGCGGAGAGTGAGCATCATCGGCTCCGGGTCATACTTGAGGAAGATGCCAGGGACACCACGGCCATGTACAGTCGCTCTTGACATGTCCGTAACAGAATATTGCGCAGTCTCGAGCACATTCCTGTGATGATCGACATAGGTTGTCGAAACGATTGACATGAAATATTGAAAAATGTGGAAGCCTGGCCCACACTGATCAGCGATCGCGCCTTCATGAAAGCGAGAGGACGAACTGGACTCTGTCACCTCGAGTGTGTTGTCGAGTGGCTGGGAGATGCCCGGGAAGAGGGGACCAAATGAGAATTCATGTATGACATGACTGAGATTCATCACTGCTCGCGCATGAGTCGATGCTCGGTGAGAGATTGGAGCACCGACACTTGTGATCTGTATGTTCCCAGCTCAAGTAGCCATGCCCCAGCGTTGTCTGCTTTGCTATTAGAACCTCGGCAAAAGCAGGCGAGACGCGCCTACAATATGAAGATTGCCAGTGACTTTCTTGACAGCCATGGTACCATAGATCCTGCATGCAGGACCATTCTCCACGATGTGATATGTCTGCTCAAATGCCCTCGGCCGCCTCGCCTCTTGGACAACCTTGTAAGCTTCTGGATCACTTTCGAAGGCCATCGTCCTGAGCGCGTGGGAATGTCAGCGCGGTCGGGCGAATTGCTGGACGAAGCTGACACTAGCCGTTGCGCTTGTCCGATCTCAAACGTGGTCTGCAGATGACAGATAGACGTCAGCAAGCTGCGTGGCGCGTAGTGAGCAGGAACGCACGCCGTCTTTGACAAACTCATCAGAGACGTGTAATCGATCGCCCACGGCGTCTCTGATGTCGACGGTCAGGTCTGCGACGAGACGTCAGACCAATCTGTCAAGTTTGAGTCGAGGAAACGCACAATGACAGGGCATGGCGACGGTCATGTCGACGTTGATCTGAAGCATCTTACCAATGCCTTTGTCCACGCTGAACTCGTACAGTGGCTCGCCAAAGAGATACTCTGTGGCTTCGTACCATACAAGAACGAGTATGGCTACAGCAAGCAGGACCGTGTAGACGCCGCCGCGTGAGGAAGTTGATCGGTAAGTTGGCAGCGTTTTGGGAAAGGCGTCGAACGTTCGCAGGGGTGGCAAGGAGAGCATGGGATGGCTCTCAGAGCCTTCATCCTGGCCGTGAGGGTGGCCATTGCCCTCGTAGGTGCCGTTCATGGGTTGCAGCCTTGCGCGAGCTGTTGCCTTTGCTGCTTTGCGCGCGACTTGGAATTTGGCGCCGGCCGTGCTTGCTCGAGATCCCAAGATGAGGACAGCGACGGTCTCCCGCAAGACGAACGAGACGGACATCAAGGTCACACTGACGCTCCACGATGACCGTACGGCAGTCCAAACGATCCTCGTCCAAACAGGCATTGGCTTCCTCGACCACGTCAGCTTTTTGCGAGCTTTAGCTTGCCCTGCGTTGACCCATACGGCTACGAACATGTAGATGCTGCACGCACTAGCAAAGCACGGCGGAATGTCGTTGCAGCTAGCCTGCCAGGGCGACCTGCATATCGACGATCATCACACTGCAGAGGATTGCGCGCTTGCTCTCGGCGAGGGTGCGTCAGGCCGGCCAACAGCAGGAACGAGGCTGACGCTCAATCAACGTTCATAGCTTGGCGTCAAGCACTCGGACCTGTAAAAGGCATCAAGCGGTTCGGCAGCGCATACGCTCCTCTAGACGAAGTATGGCTCCCTCTGCCTCGCACCTTGTACAGAGCTCAGAGGGACTTCAGGCATTAAGCAGAGCTGTCGTCGATATCTCCTCACGCCCCTATTGCGTCACCGGGTTGCAACTTGTGCGTCTGCTGTCGCGCAGAGTCTGCTGATCTGACATGCGACGACAGGTGCGGGAAAAGATTGGGGATCTCTCGACAGAGATGATACCGCACGTCTTTCACTCGTTTGCGATGACGGCCGGCATCACATTGCACGTGCACGTTTTGCATGGCTCAAACGATCATCACAAGTGCGCATTCCTCATGTAGGCTGACAGCAGCCTGACTCACGCACGGGCACAACAGAGCAGAGAGCGCATTCAAAGCGACCGCGCTCGCGCTGCGGCAAGCGGTAGAATTGACAGGCGCAGACGACGTTCCGAGTACAAAGGGCGTCTTATGAGCCTCGCGAGCGACAGTGCCATATCTCCAGATGCGAGTATGCAGTTACAGTACAGATCCTGCAGAGGCAGCCTTGTTGTTCTTGTGCAAGAGCATTTTGAATGCCTCGTAAGAAAACCTGTGCCCGATTGAGTGTCCGATCGATCAGTACCGGAAGGCGTGCGTACCAGCAGAGCGCATTGCTCGGTAGTGCCGACATGACTCTCGGTGTCATGCCTCTACTGAAGCCGGCGACGCCGTCCCTGGCGAGGACGATGCGACCGGCTTGTAACATCCCATTGACATTTCTAAGTACTGCGTCCTGGGAGCTTCCCCTTGTTTGTAGCATTGTCTTGCAGACATCTAGCGGTGTCGTGACGGCCGCTGCCACACCGCCAGCTATACCGCCAGCGGTGATGTGAGTTATCGGCGAATAGGAATTATTCGGGTTCATGAGCTTCTTGAGATATTCGTACACCGTGAACTGAGTCGCGGTAAAGGGTATCGTCATGAGCAACGTCGTCGGTAGCGAGGCATAGAAGGCTGATATCCCTTCGGCTCGGTAGATCCTCCGAAACGTGTCGGGCACGGTTCTATAAGTCGATCCGTGTATTTGCATCCTTTGCTTGACCACTGAGCGTCACAAAGGGAGCCATCAGCCAAACAAGCTGACACTGTGGCCAGCGGGCTGACCATCGAACGGATTCATCAATGCGTCTGAGCCTATCGTCGCCAGTGCTCCTGCGCCGGCTGAGCGAGCACAGATCAGCCAAAGCGTTGAGACTGCAAGCAGGCGATGGCAAACCTGTGACTGCAAAGTGATTGCCCTCTGCATTGCCGCCGCCCAGCTCCTTGGCGAGCTCGTAGACGCCAAAGTAGACTGCGTGCGCGGGACCTGCGCCTGCTATAACCGATGCGACGCCTCTCCATAACCGTCTGCCACCCTCTGTAGCTGATATCCTAGAGAATGCCTCTGCGACGCCAGTGTAGACCGCCGCCGGCGAGGTGGAGTAGACCTGCATCCTGGTCTGTGTCATGCTATCGTGAGTGACTGGCTATGGCTCGATCCTTGCACACGACCGACTTTGACGACATCGACTGGAAACATGACGGCATGCTCCGAAATGCCTGCGAGTGCTCCTGCGAGCATGTTGATGCCAACTGGGTAGTGATGATCAGCAGCAGCATGACTCTCGATGCACTAGTCTACGCACGGCTGGCATTCCCCAGTCCCTCGTACTCGATCTCATCGGCCATTCGTCACAACCGGCAGACTTCAAAAAATGTCACGACAGTCGACCCACGCGTGGCAAAGATGTGGAATAGCATTAAGATTGATTGATTGAATTGATCAGGTATGAGTGCTGGGTACTTCAATGGTGATGATGACAGGCAAATAGACATACGGACTCCGCAAAGTAGCATGCGAACGATCAGCCCCATAACGAGCCCCTCGCGGCGGCCATGTAGCGTTCCCCATGAGGCTGGGCGTTCTCAATGGACTGGTTGATCTTCTTGAGATCTTCGGGATCGAAGTTGACATTTGCAGCCGCTGCGAGCTCCTCGACCGCCTCTACGCGGGTCGTGCCTGGCAACGGCAAGAGCTTGTCGTATCTCGTCTTTGCCCAAGCGAGTGCGAGCGTGGCGGGCGCGAGCTTGAGAGATTTTGCAAGATCGGCAAAAGTCTGAGCGAGTTTGAGATTCTTGCTGAAGATGTCTTCGTTTGCGAATCGATCCTGGTGCAGCCGCACATCGCCTGCCGGAATATCCTTCAGACTCTTGATGCGACCGCCTAGCATTCCCTTGCCGAGCGGACTGACCAGGAGGTCAGAATGCGAATAGCTCTACGGTCATGGTAGACATACGAGTATGGCGCGATGGGGATGCCGAGCTCTTCGCAAGTGCTCAACACGCCATTGTCGATAATCGTCATTTCCCATGGCGAGAATTCGACCTAGAGGCAGGATGAGCTGAGCGCCGGGGGACGCATCTTGAGCATCAAGCATCAACGTACCTCGACGACGGCCACAGGGTGTACGGCATGTGCTCGCCTGATCGTCTCTGCTTTGCATCTGTGCTGACTCAGCGGACAGCCAACGGCCGGCAGCGTGTATGCTTACTCTGAGAGACCGATATAGTCGATCAGGCCTTCTTTGACGAGGTCGCTGAGCGCTTTCATGGTCTCCTCGATCGGTCGTGACTGGTCCACACGAGCGCATTCAAAGAGATTGACGTGTGCCTTGCCCAGCAACTTGTTGGAGAGCTCGATGTCCTGCCTCAGCCGCGAGTCTGAGGAGTCTGGCTTCATCCCATTGAGACCGCCCTTGACGCTGATAAAGGACTTCGAGACATATTCGGGGTACTTGTCGAAGAAGCGTCCCAGCATCTTCAGGTTAGCATGGATGTCATCAGGCGGGCCGTAAAAGACGCCCGCATTGAGATATTTCAGCCCTGGCAGCTTCACTCTGAGCGCTTCAAGCGTGCATCCTGACAAGCTGGCTGACCGGCATCAATGGCTTTCTTGATGACAGGAAAGGATTCCTCGTCTGTCGCAGGTGTACCTCGCCAAGTGAGACCCATCGTTCCAAAGCCGATCGAGCCCACGTCACCAAACGGTGGTCCGAGGTCGATGCCCATCTTTGTGTGGTGTCTTGCACTGTCTGCGCTTCGATCTGCTGGCAAATCAGGCTGCAGCTGAGGGTATGTCCGCGTGATGACGTCGACGTTGTAGGTCAGGTCGTCGTGGCTCGGACGGGACGCGACGGTGCCGAGCGAGGAACAGCGAGCGACAGCAGCTGAGCTCGAGGCGGCTTCGCGGCAACAAGACAGCAGTGGTCGATGTGCAGTGCCGCCAGTACTCGAACCGACACGACAGCCTCACAGGGCAGACGCGGGCGATGTCTCCAGACGGCACAGTCACCTCGCCTACCGGTTCTACAACGACCCGAGCTAGCCGTTCGCCCGATTCGCCAGGGAGCCCTGCAAAGGACAAGGGGAAAGCCAGACAAGTGGATGAGTTGCCAAACGAGGCCTCACTACCTCTGTCTCAGCAGCCTAGAGATGAGGGGGAAGATGAAGACGATGTCGCGCTGCTCGTGTACGATCAGGCGCATCTCGCAGGACCGTCGGACGCGAGCCCAGAGCACAGTTCGGCAGGTGCGAGCAGGCTGAGGCGAAGCACACTCGGTAGACCTGCCAGTCTTGTCTCGGCAAAGACAATAGGCGCAGGCGCCAATACGCTCGTCAACCGACTCAGTATGGCCGTCGACACCGTTTCGCACAGAGTCGCGCATAGTCTACAGACCGCAGGCGCAGAGGTCTTGCCTCACACCGCGTCCAATGGTCATACTCATCCCGCAAGCACATCCGCTTCGCGCCGCTCGAGAGCGAGAGCAACGCAGTCTTTGCACTTGGCGCCAGAAGAGCTCGAGAGCATGTATAGCCCACCACTGACCGAGCTGGCGCTCAAGACCTTGTCCACGAGTCACAAGAGCCCGCTTGCGCGGCAGGCCGGACTCACGCCTCCCAGAGCGCATGACGCCCAGTCTCTATCGAACCGCACGTCCGATACAGCTAGTACGATGCGACCGCAGGAGAACCTCGACGAGCTCGATTACCTTACAAGGTCAAGCGGTGCGCCCTTGCCGCCCACACCGGGTATCCCCAGATCGCAGCGCATATCCAAGCCGCAGGTCATTGTCACCTCGACCGAGCCGTACGATCGCCAGGAGCCTTCATCGTGGGAATCACCCACGCGCCTCAGGCCTCCAAGAGATATGGAAAAGGGTACAGAAGGCAATGCAGACAGCGACGACGATGATGATGAAGAGGCAGAAGAGGATGATAACGTCTCTGTCCTGGCGGTCGACACACTCAACAAGGGTACACAAGGCAGGGGAGGCTGGAAGATGATCGGCATGAGCACAGACGGCACGAGTCGTTTCGAGCCCCTCACTTGGCTAGAAGTTACCGTCGTGTCACTCTCAGGTGTAGGCATCGCGGCAGTGTCAGCTGTAGCTGTTGTCATCGTCGTACGCGGATGAAATGCACCCACTACAGCCTGTGCAACGAATACACCCCACTGGACACCTCTGCTTCTTCATGCTGGGTATCAAAACTCTGCACATTACCGTCAGCTTGATCATCAAGCTAAGTCGAGACGAGCACGACTGACCTAGACGCATGCCTTGTTCTAGCACCAGAAAAGTACAGCCGAGCTGAGCGGATTTGTCGAGCTCGGCCAATTCTCGCCTGATCACTTCCCGTAGATCCACTCCGTGCTCGATATCATCCTTGACATGGATCACACAGACTGTTGACTGATCATTCAGCGAAGAAAGTTGCTAAGAGCGGATGACTGACCGGTAAGGCCATGTAGGGGTAGATCAGAGAGCGGCGAATTCGGATGGGCGTCTCGCCGCCTTCGTCGTTTCGTTCGGTGCTCAGTGTGGTCGAGCTCGCGCAGGAAGTCCGCCAGAACCTGCAGCTCGCCGATGAGGTGGCTTGGCTTGAGATGGCCGAAAAGCTGTGGCATCGGTCGATCGTCCTGCAGAGAGCATCAGCATGATCCAGTAGGCAGCATATAGAGATGCTCGCCCCGTAAGAGCATTCTAGAAAGATGGTTGCGAGCTGTTCATCTGCAATTTTGCGAGCAGCTTTTCGCCATACCGCAGCATTTCTTGGGGAGCGCGATATCGCGTCTGATTCGACGTCGCCGAAGAAGAGGAAACCCTGATCGTGCTCTAGTGACGTAACAAAGACTGCTGTCGAGTCATAGACGGTACCGTCGAGCGAGGTGCCATGTGAGATAGCATGAGCGCAGACTTCGATTCCGTCCACTGGGGTGAATGGCGCCGACGTGTTTACGTCGGCAGTCGCATAGATGTAGGGTGGATTAGGGAATGAAGGTGTGATGTCGCTCTCCGATAGCGCGAGCTTGGGCCAAACTCGGCCTGAGAAGATGTCTGTCATGTGTGACAGTGTTGTCGGACTGCCCCAAATTCTCTTTGAGCGAGGGGCTGAGCCTGCTGCGAGCACGAGTGCCTGCGTCACCAATATTAGGTATCGCACCATGACGCAGCAGCCCGGCGCACGGATATATGATCTGTGGAGACTCGTCAGCATGCGTGTGAATGTGGAAAGCAGGTAGCTCACCTAGATGAGCATGGGTTATGACGAAAGCTCTACCAAGCCAGGCAGCGCGTCAGAATGTGCACAGAGGCGTGTATAGGTAGTACGCACTGGATGAGGTCAAGCATCTTGCCTGCTGCTGCTTGAGCTGTACTCTCCTGCAGGCCAAAGTCGTCGAGTGCCTCTGGCGCGTCATTCAGGATGTTTTGCATGGCGCCCATGCCGGAGCCTGTGGATCCGATGAGTGCCGCTCAGGCTGGCAATCGATGAGCTTGCCTGCTTCGAGCGCGAGGCATTGCTCTGTCCACGCCTTGTTACGTTGCTTGACGAGGTAAGCAGACAGGTTGCTCTCGAGCGGTCCGCCCCCGCAACCCTGCTCGAATCGTGTCAGTGAACGGCAGCAAGCATTGAAGAGGAGAGGAGACTGACGATGACGAGCATGTCGAACGTGGGATTGTCGTTCAGACGGATCCTCTTGCCCGCGCCATGCTCAATGCCCTTTGAGCTCGAGGCGATAGTCGATATCTGCGATGGCCCTGTGGAATGGGCGGGCGACGGCATGCCGCTCGACGAGCTCGGCAGTCCGTCTTTGGCCGTCCGCGCAGTCCTCTTCGCTCTGGCAGACAGAGAGACGTCCGAGCTCGCGGTTCGCCTTGCAGGCGTCGCGCCGGGAGTCTTACGGCGACTTTCTGCAGGCAGACTGCTTGTATCGAACGGCGAGGGCGCTGTGGAACGCAGACGGTCATTCGAGCTTCTGAGCTGCTCTGTGGCGCCTGTCGCTCGACCTGAGAGCACAGAGTCGGGCGTCGCAGGCCTGGGCAGCTGGCGCGATGAACGTCGTTGAGGTTGACGAGCGTCCATGGGCCAGAAATCCTTCTAGATTGACAAGGCAGCTCTGACCGTCGCTGACGGTTCTGCTTAGCCAGTTCGGCTGTGCATGCTCTGACCGACCGCTGATCTTTTCGGACTATCCTTCTTCGCGTATCTACTCCAGGCGACGCACGAGGCCAGACTCGCGCCCAAGTGTCCGGGTATGCGATCGAGCGGCTCGCGTGGTGACGTCGTGCACGAGCGTGTCGGCTGAGGGGGCGTTCAGCCGAGCTCAACCTGGAGCGAAGACAATGTGTCGCGCGCAAGGGGGCTCACGAGCAGGAAGCCTCACGACGCAGAGAGCGATACAGAGAACCCGCGCGAGATCACGATCTATCGGCTGTAGGGGACGTGTGAGCCAGCGTGACTGCCGAGCTGCTAACCGAGCTGGAAGTAAAGTTTTGATTTCCCGCATTACGAGAACTCTGTACAATGACTATCCAGCGCGCTTTTTCGCAGTCAGCGGAAGAGGCACAGTTCCCGCCGTTCCTGGAAAAAGATCGAAAACCGGCGTCCATGATGAGATGTCGTTTAAGTTGATGCGCCACCGTTGCCGTTGTCAGGTACAAGCTGACCTCTCTCGTCTCGCCTCGCCTTGCTGTTCACGAGCAGCGCAGGTCAGTCACGAGACCGGCCAAGCAGCAGATGGATATAGCTCACAAGAATGTGTATGAGAGCACAATGTCGTCGACATCTCTCATCAGAGGATCCTGGACGGCAGAATGATCAGGCGCGCAGAGCAAGCTTTTGGGAATAGGCGCACCTCGAGATAATCGCGATCGATAAAGAAGAAGACGGGTAGATCGACTTCTTCTCCTGCAAGGATACGTTGTTCGTCGAAACAGAAGCATTCCACCTTTGCAAAGTAGGGCGCGATCTATTTAGGCTCTCTTGTCAGCTGCGGCCGGCCGGCAGACCGGTGCAGAGGCAGGAAACATACTCGATCGGGAGTGACGTTATAAGTCGCGATGCCGATGATGTCCTTGTCGCTATGATTCGTCGCTGTGTAGAATGCAAGCGCAGTCTCGCCTGGCAGGACCCTGACTTCTCTCTGCTGAGGCGAGAATGACCAAGGCAGTGCATCCGAGCAATCGGCGTTGAACCTGACGCGTAGTCTGCGGCTGGAGCCCTCGGCAGGCACGAGTCGATCTGCAGAGGTATACTCCTTGCTCGTCAAGGGAGTGCCTGCAAAGCCAGTCGCAGAACAGAAGGCTCGGTAGAGAGGTACTGCTGCATAAGTGACGCCGATGCCCAAAATGACGGTTGCCGAGGTGTAGAGGAACAGGTTGCGATTCCGCTGGCCGTAGTAGGCTCTCTGCTGCTTCGTTCGCTCGGATTGTATCGCTTGTAGCCATGCCGTGTTCCTCGTCGTGCTGCCGCTCGCCCCTGAATCACTCGTTCTGCCATCGGCGATCTGACTTGCCCATCTCTTGCTGCCGCTGCCCGTCGATCTGCTCGAGCGGACGATGGATCGGGAGGAGGGTAGCAGCGCTTGTCTTGCCGGCAGGAGCGGTGTGCCACACGGACACCTCAGCATGCTTGTCGTTGATCGCCTGATGTCGACGTTTTGACTTTATCGAAATTAATCGTCGCCGACATTGGGAGAGCAGTCATGGCCGTGAGCAGCGGAGAGCACTCGCCAGGATCATCGAGAGAGCTGCTCCAGTCTCATGTGAACCGCTATCGACCCTTGTGAGCGCAGGTCTGGACAATGCAGCGCCCCTCGAGAGGACTGATGGTGCAACAGCTTCTCGCCAGCGGAAGTCGAGGAGCTCACACTGCTCCATGCCAAGGAGAGTCAGGCCGGCATCGATAGACCGGCACAGCAAGCCAATCTCCTCCGAGCAAAGACGGTCAGGGAGAAAGCATGCGGCTTCATCGACAGGATTGGTCTCAAGATGGGATTGTGCGCCTCTTTCCGGCTGCTCGCCATAAGGCCATCACTCATTTGTCCGCCTTAGCCCGAGGAGATCGATAGCGACGGCACAGATACTCTACCAACGCTTCCATCTCTTCTTCCCCGTCAAGGACTGGGCATGGCAGGCGAGCAGCTTTCACGATACGCTCTCCTTTCGCTCATGGACGACGAGCAGGACGTCTGCATTGCCGCCACGCTTGCCGCATCCAAGCTCGAGGACACACTGAAGAAGCTCAGAGAGATCCAGATTGCTGCGCACAGCGTCCTAGCCATGCTCGAAGGCCGCAACGGGCTCACCGAGCCTGACCCTCAGGCGCGTCTCGACTCGAGCTTGTCAGACATCTGGCGGCTGACATGCCGCACGGGGAGCAGATACTCGAAGCAGACCGAGGCAAACTCATAGGTATCGAGCGTCTCATCCTCGAGACAATCTCATTCAATTTCAATCTCACCTCTGCCAACTTGTCTTACGTGCCAGGCGGAAAAGATACATTCACCTACATTGTCAGGATGGGCAAAACGCTCAAAGGTGCGCATTCGAGCTCGTCAAATGCATGAATTGACATTGCTAGCTGGTGCAGCAAGTAAGGAGTACATTCGAATAGCGTACAGGCTTGGCATCGATGTCTACCGTACTCCAACAGTGCTCTCGTATCCGCCCCACACCATCGCGGCTGCCTGTCTCTACCTTGCAAGCTATCTCCATGCAGGTCATCCCAACTCCCAGATCAATCAGACACCGAGCTTTGACCCGTTGCCAGAGGGCATGCCTGCTTTCGAGGACGGCTGGGAAACGCAATTTGCGAGTGATATTGACGAAATAGAAGGCAGGCCATCGAGCCAGACCCTTGACATCTGTGCTGATATTCGAGTATAGATGTATGTCATCACGTGCTCGATCTGCTGGAAGCAACAGGTACGACTGCACCGAGCCTGGGTCGAGAGATGAATCCGAAATCGCCGGGAGAGTATCTCCTCAAATCGCCCGCCGACTCCCTCGCCTCGCCTGCTTTCTCCAGTGCGTCCTCGACGGGCCCGACTGCGACGACACCGGCAAGCGTGGCAGATTACACGGCGCTCAAGATCGTAATGCGACGCAATGCAGAAGCGCGGCATAGCAAGCATCCACCCACCTCATCGAAGAAACGACGCTCCAGTAATGGCCATAGCGTGGCGTCATTGGCGAACAAGCTAGGGAAGAATAATGTCACTATCCGACATCGCTACGACGGCTGTGAAGAATGACAGGATGCACACCGAACAGAACACACATGTACAATGTTGTCGACGAATTAATACTGTAGATCTGAACCCTCAGTGGCCCACATAAAGTCTGTGCCGTACAGGCCTAACGAAGCAGAAGCAGTCGAAAGAAGAGCTTCGAGCTCGAGCTCATTGGGTGGTACCATCGATTCGTCCAGGACGGATGACAGAGGTGCGGGTGTGTATTGCGGCGTTGCCTGCTGCTCTGTCGTACTGCTTCGGCCGTTCTCTGTCGGATACTTGCTGCTGTCACCGGGTGGGAGCGTGACACCGGGCAGCTTGAGCGCAGTTTCTGCGACATTGCGTAGCGCATTGGCACTTTGCTTGGCAATGTGCTGAGCGTTCGGGCTAGCCAGCTCGAGAAAGTCGACTGTGAGCAGAAGCAAGCGATGCAACTTGCTCCTCGTCACAACCGAAGGTGTGTTATATTCGGGATCGGTATCGAGATTGCAATTGATGAGACCTTTGACGCGAAGCTTCGTCAGGAAGATCGCAGGATAGCTGATGACGAGGCATATAAGTGTATCGATAGATGTCTTGAATAGGTCAGCTGCCTGAGGATCCGCAACGAGATCGGCTCGAGGGTAGACGCGCGTCCAATCGACGCTAGCGCCTTCGAGTCGACAAGCGCGACCCTCGACACTGAGCATGAAGATGAGCTCTTCGGCTGCACCGACTGCAGCTGCCAGAGCCGACTTGTCGTCCGCGTGAAGAAGCGCGCAAGTATGCGTCATTGTTGTCTCGCTCTGCTCCATGATCGAGCTCAGATTGATGATCGAGTAGTATACTGGCGCCGACCACGTCAGCACGATCTGTAAAGAGGCAATCTGGAGGCTCACCAAAATTACTGATTCTGATCCAGAGACGATGGGCGTTCAGAGACGCAAGCCCGCGTTCTTCTTCTTCAGGTCGCTCAAACGTGCGGCGGTGGAGGGGCATCCAGAACTGAGACCATTTGGCTACTTCTGTTTCTCTCGCGTGGTAGGAGAGCGCATCGAAATTGCCTCTCGCATTGGACGGCGGAGTACGACTGTGTGCGTAGAGCTCAACAAAGGCTGCCAGACGAACGTCACTGCTATTGCGAGTGCCTGCTGCAAAGAGGCGTGTGTGTCTTAGGGCTTCACTGACATCGAATGAGGGCGTGCGATCGGTCATGGAAGCACGATGGTGATCAATGATGAGAAGCATAAAGTAGGCGCGGCAGGCAGCGATGATCTGTGGCGTCGTTGACCACTGTTCTGACGACGATGAAGATGGCGACGCTTTGTTCTCATGCCCGACTGACGGCAAGAGTGCGAGGACGGTATCGAGTTTGATGAGCTTGGCAGTGCGTATACAGAGCGACATGATCATCGACTGGCTCGAGACCTCAATCTTGCCTCGACTTTGAGCTATACTGAGCTCTGCCTCCGACAAGCCGTCAAGTCTGATCGGCTTCCAGAGGATGATCACGAGAAGCGCGGAAATGAAGTCGACGTTGAGATCTTGTGGCCTTGGCGTGATGACGATTGGGCCCAGATTCTCATTCAGCATGGCGACGATGCCGACGTACTTTGCCGTCTGTGCAGGATCATTGACCGAGAGCGAGTAGAACGCAGAGGTGGCCAGAATCGCATGAAAGAGTAGCGAATTGCGATCTCGGACGTCAGTGTACGTTCTGTCCGATACGGGATCGAGGAAAGGCGCCCATGGATGACACTGAGCAAAGAAAAAGTCGAAGAGTGATTGCGCCTCGGCAGGCGACACGATCTTGCGCAGGATGACATCTGACGGCATGCCATAAGAGTAGGAGATCGATGACGAGCGAGCTCGCATGGCGGCATTAGACGGGGTGACAAGACCGGCCGCCTGATTACTCTTGTCGAGCGCATTCCTGAATGTTTCGATAGGCGAAGCCCCCAAGATGGTAGCCCTATAGTCCTCTTGCGTCTCTGATAGAAGCGGATAGTAGCGTTTGAGCCTCGATCGTGCCGCGTCGTGCGTCGCCGAGCTTGCACGCGTAAGCGGCGAACGAGACTCACTCTCTTCTTCGCTATAGTCTGCGCCTTTGGGAACGGCATGCTCGTATGAATGTTCGTGATGGGAGATGAGCCGGTCTGATAGGTTAGCGAGTATGCCTTCGATGCGCGACAGACGGCTAGATAGTTCCGTGGGATTCGAGCAGTTGCCCGATGGCGCTTGCGAGGCAGTGGTCACGAGGGGCGGCAGCTCAGGCGACAGCTGCTCGCCGCTTGCTCGCATGCTTCCTTTGACCTTGTCGATGGCAGCCTCGTCGAAAGTACAGACGAGATTATATGACTCGCAGCGGCGACAAGGTATCCTGTCGAGTCCATCGCATCGTTGCTAGCGGTCCCATCAATCAGCCTTGCGGTCTCCTGTCGGTGAAGTGCGAGCTCACTTTGTTCTTGCGACATTCTACACAGGCAATCCGACTGCGCTTGGCGGCTGGTTTGTCGGGGTCTTTGCCCTTCCTCTTCATCGCGTTTTGCTGTGCTTTGCTGTTGCCATTGCCATTCGTCTGCGACGAGGTGCCCTGCTGCATGTAGGCGCTGTCTGATGATGAGGTTGCGGGTACAGGTATGCCCCCGCTGGATTGCATGCCATTCGTGCGAGGAGCCGGACCCGCCTGGAGATGCTGTTGCGATGGCGCATAGGAGCCATAATCTCGCTGCTGGCTGCCATCGCCGTTGGCGTAGCTCTGCATGGTCACCGACCTTGCCTTTGCTTGCTCGCCAGCACACTCAGACCGCCCTGTTGAAAGAGACAAAAGAGGATGAATTTCCGTAGACTCGGGACGCGGACGAGGTGTCAATTGCAAGTCGACGACGAGGCCTGGGCGCCCCTTTGTTGGCTGTCCCGCGTGGCAATTTCAATCAAATCAATCTCCTCGAGATCTCATTGCGCACAAAGATGAGCTCATATTCTCGATGGATGCATCTCTAGATATGATAGGGAGGCTACATGCTTCTCTCTGGGACGACTTCCGAATATTGTTGCCTATGCCTCGAGCTGTCGAGTTGAGCGGAACAAGTCAGGAATAGCATGCCTTTGGAGCGGACCTCACGCACGGAAGCGAGTGCCTTCTTGGCTTCTTCGTCGTCTTCGTAGCGGCCAAAGACCTCCTTGAACGTCTCGACGTACTTTGTCTGCGCATCTTCCTGTGACATACCCTTGTTCGCGCTCCATGCATCCCTGCCGGTGACGTCAGCTCAGGCTCAGGCGCGCGGCACAGCTTGGCGCTTGAGCTGACGTACCACTTGGCTTTGCCTGCAAAGTCGAATGTGCCTGGGCGGGATGTGTTCACATCGCCAATCTTAGCTTTACAGCGTAGAACTCAAGCGTCAGATGCCAGCTGTTGGAGAGCAACGTTGGGGGCTGACCTTGCTTGTAGAGACCATAGAACTGACAGACCAGCATGAGTCACACCATGGGATGCAGATAGATGCCTGACAGACCTTCAATTGATCGTTCTCTACGGGGAGAATCAAGGCAAAGGAGGGTCAGATGCGGGGTGCATGCGCGCCGATGATGAGCTCACGGGATGGTTTGATGTTGCCATCCTTGGGCAATTCTTGGATGATATCGACTGCCTTTTTGAACTGTGCCGACATTGTTGCTGGTGTGAGATGCGTATGTGATGCTTTCGGCGGCTGTCAAACTTGAGAATAGCAGCAAGTCGGCACGCGACGCTCTCGAATTCTCAAAGCCAGCGCCAGCTGAGTGCCAACGTGTGGACGGTCGACCATCTCATCCGTCGGCTGGGCTCTCCGCTGGGAACAGATCTCCATCACTGCTGCTTAGGCATCAGTGAGGAGTCAAGAGGGCCAGTCGGCGTCGTTTGGCAATGACGAGCCAAGCAAACACGCCAATGACTGCAGCTTCGCCTGTTGCTGCTCCATCAAGGCAGGAGATACATCGTCGCCTGTCTTCATCAGTCAACCAGCAAGCTGCCTCGCGAGCTGGCACGAATCAGACGCCTGCAGCGATCCAGATCGCTTCGCCAAGTCATCAGTTCACGAGCCTGAACACCTCGCCGCCTGGTACCCAAGGCTTCTCCTCATCCATCTCTTCGACTTCGTCAGCTGGTGGGCAACAACAGCCTTCACTACAGTCTGGCTCGTTGAAGAGTCAGCTTGGCCGCTCGCCCAGCTACCAAACGAGTCAGGTAGATGCTCTCGACAGACAAGCGCGCTCAGGCTGACCTCGGTACAGATTGCTTCGCCGCCTACGACGGATGCAGAGGACGAGCCTGGATCTCCTGCGCGACGTGAACGCGGTCTGACGGCTATCTCTGAGACGGACGGCGACGATACAGAGGATGACGAGCTTGCTCGTGATCCTGCAGCTAACGCGGGCGCACTCTCCAGCTCAGACGGCCCGCCCCGAGATGACGTCCTCTCAGAGGCAGACATCAAAGCTGGCTACCTCATGAAGAAAGGCGAGCGACGGAAGGCTTGGAAGAAGCGCTATTTCGTCCTCAGAAACAAGAAATTGTGCTACTACAAGAACGCAAAAGAGTATCAACTCCTCAGGGACGTGCCCGTCGCTGACATCTCCACCTGTGCGGAGGTGCAAGTCAAGAAGCACGACTTTGTCTTTGGCATTGTCACGCCCGCTCGGACCTACTATGTCATGGCAGGCAGCAAGTCAGAAATGGAGGACTGGCTGAGCTGTATCGCCCTCGCTCGCCAGCGTCTCAGACAATCCATACAACCCAAGCTCAATACCTCCACAGTCCACGCTGCTTCCACAGCTCGCATAGCAGCGCCATCGTCCGAATCATCAACTCCGCATGCAAGTCAGCAGCAGACAGAGGCCAGCACGAGTGCTGTTCCCTCGACCACACCTCATGGCAGCACGCGCAAGGCAGCTGTCCGACTTATGGAAGTCACCGGCAGTCCTCAGATGCGTCGTCAGCAGAGCGGAGGACTAGGCCTGACCGGTTCGCAAGGTCAGCAGTTGGAGGCCTCTTTCAACGACCAGCTATCTCTCAGTAGTGGCAACAAGAAGATCAATACCCCGCTGCGGCAAGAGTCTGCCAGCAGCGGCGACGAATCTGGCTACTTTGGCCTCCTTGCCAGACCCATCCGATCTGATGCGGACGGACCGATCAGTCCAGGCGGAGCTCTCTCGTCGAGCGACGAAGACGAGGAAGATGCAGAAGACGGCGAATATACCCCTAATGCAATGACAAGCACTCCTTCTCAGCACACTCTCCACGCGGGTCCCCATGATGCGGCTCTATCACCGCCCGTCCCCTTCAACGCAGCAAGCCTATTGCTCTCGCCCAGCGCGCTTGATCCTAATAAAGAGATGTTACGCGGCTACCTGATGAAGCAAGGCAAACGAAAGACCTGGCGGAAACGGTGGTTTGTGCTCTCGCCAACGCAGCTCATGTACTCTCGCAGTCATATGGTCCGTTCTGTTGCACCGAGACTATGCAGTACTGATATGTCTCTACAGGACAAGGCGTTCAAGAGACGCATACCGCTCAGTCGTGTGCTCGATGCTGTGGAGTATGATCCGCCGCGTCGGCAACATTCTGGTCCGGGAGAGATGCCGCTTTCGCCAAAGCTGGCTCTGGGTACCGACTACCTCGTCGCTGGCGAAGGTGGCCTCAGTCGCAAGCCGATCGAGAACTGTTTCAAGATCATCACCGCCAAGCGTGTCTATCTCATCTGTGCGCCGACAGAAGAGGACGAGATCAAGTGGATCTCATCGATCCGAGTACTCATTCGACGCAATAATGCCGTCTCGCCTGGCCCTTCACAGCAACATGCACCCATCGCCCAGCAACGCGATAGCAGCAGCACGATTGTACCATCATGAGCAATACAGTAATCTTCAGGTCTCAGCCTTGGAACCATGAGGCAGACACAGGCCAGGTAGCAGAAGCGGGCGTGTTCTTTAGCTCGGCTGTGAGATCCCACCAAGACTGATCGATCTGGCTGAAAGTATGATAGCTTGCCGGCGCAGAGGTGAGCGCTCGCGAAGCCAGCTCGTAGCTCTCTGCAGGACTATCGCCATAAGCAGGCGAGACGATCGATGAAGCAGCAGCTCGAATGGGCGACATCTGTGTCACGCCTCTTCGCGCGTGTAGGGGAGCCGAGTTCGACAAGAAGTCAGGCATCGACAGAGGGTCAAAGTCTGGCATCATCGATAGTGAGAGATCTGATTGCAAAGATGACGAGTGCTCTGGCTCTGCATGCTGCACTGAACTTGGCGTCGTGCTGCTGAAGAAATTAGCGAGATCGAGCAGGACTTCGGTTGGATCGATCAGGTCGACGGGCAAATCGACAGGGGTGACCGTCCGAGTAGGTGTCCACCATTGTTTGCTCGATGTGCTGGCATCTGAGCGAGCCGTCTCGAAAGCTGACGTTTGTGTGGGGGATGGCGGCAGCGACAGGTTCGATAAATTAAAAGCTGGCGCGTCGGGGGCAGACATGGTCCGCGCGAGCTTGCCAGGCTGTTTGCTAGCAACCGAGATGCGCTTGGCAGGCTTGTAACGATACCCTGAGAGGCGCGAGAGTCAGCACACTGACAGTCAAATTATCTGGGGATTGCCACTGACCGGGATAAGCCGCTGCGTGCTCGGCCTTACGACGCGCAGCCAGATTCGTCCAATAAGCCTTGTTCTTCGGCGCCTCTGCCTTCCACATGGCAGAGATCGTCTTCGAGACTTCGCTCTGCTGCCTAGCAACAGGATCGGTATCTTCCTTGAGCAGCTTCTTGCTGACGAAGGCGCGATAGAGAATCCACGCGTTCGGCGGTCTCGGGATGCGCTCTTGCTCCGTGACGTGCTCGACCGAAACTGCAGTCATGATGTGGGATGGAATGCTCGTAGTCTGTAATAAGCGATAAGCTGAGATGAGGATCGTGTTCGACATGGCTCTTTATACGCGATCTCGATGTCGCGGAGAGTGGCCTCCGCATCAGGCGCGGATACTTCATCGACATTGACAGTCCACTGTGTCCACTGTGATAGTGCGTAGCACTCGCCTCAGACAATCGATGCAGAGTGACCGACAAAAAGCGCGAGATGATGACCTGACTACCACGTCTTTGTGTCTGATCGGGTGGCGTCCTCGCATTGAATAGGAGATGTAGGTCTCTGCGATCTTCCTCATCATGATCAGGAGGTTGTCGCAGGCACAGATTAATGGCACCTGCGCTAGTCCGCAAGGCCTTGAGAGGCGGACGGGACCATTGTCGCGAATGCCTTGCGTTGATCGCGAAGATCTAGCCTGTGGAAAGACAGATTGCCCAAGTGCGCGCACGGCACGTGGCATATGTGTGTATCGCCTGCTTAAACCAACCGAATGGTCTTTGTGACACTTGCGCCTGAGATTTATTCATCGGGAACGTCGTCGTCGAGCAGGGGCAGCAGCACTGCGAGGACGCGTCTTTGTCTTGACAGCAAGGTTGGATCTTTTGTGACAGAGAAGCAGGGTACGCTCCATCTCGCCATGAGAGCTTGTTGCTTAGCCAGATGCTCGTCCCATTGTTCCAGCGCCCGACGGTCAAAGGCCTTGAGCTCTGCGACGGTCTCTGGCGTGGGCTTGCCTAGCGATTTGAGCTCCCTGCCAAATTGCGCGTTGATCCGGCTGCGTTCGTCGGCACGCTGGAGCTCGAACGTGTCCTGATCGGCTTTCATTTGAGCAAAGTTGCGCAGGAACGTTGGATCTTGACCGAGCGTGGCAAGCATAGGCAGAGCTTGTGTGTACGTCATCTGACTTGGCTCGCGCGACCTGTTCTGCACGGGGCTCAACGACGATGCTGGCGGGGCGACATGCATATGCTCGGGTGTGTGCTGACGATGCTGAAGGTACGCAGGACGATACTCATCGCTCGTGCTGGCGCTCCTGTCTCGCGTGTCAAAGCCACTGGCTCCATATTCGCGGCTTGTTTGCCTCGGCTGGCCAGGATAAATGTCAATCTGGCTCGAGTCTGTGCGCTGGAGTTGCATGCTTGCAGTAGGCTTGGCAGTCGTGCCATTGGTATACGTCGGCTTCAGAGACCGCAAGAGCTCGTCAATGGTCGCAGTTGGCGCTGGCGAATAGAGCTCTTGGCTTGTGCGCACTGATTGCTGGAGCTGAGACAGTCTACTCGAGTCCGTGTGAGCCGATAGACGTGCCCTTTGAGGCTCTGGACGACGGCTGACTTCATCTTGACCTAAGGCGGTCGCAGGACGTTTGGCAGCTTGTTTTGCGTTTGAGCCACTCGGACGGGCTTGAGTGGCCTGGAGCTGAGCCAGTAGACTCTTGAGGTCAGAGGGCTCCATGTCTGGGTTAGCTTGTCATGCAGTGACTGGCCTCGGAACGCAGCCCGTCTGTTGACGTTCCATGCGCGCGATACTGCCGACGCAAGTCAGCCCCCCCCCCCTCAACAGCAGGCATGCGATGAAGCTCGCAGCTCGGCATGGCCATCCTAGAGAGCCTGCGAAAGCGTACCATCGGACAGCCTGCAGAGCCCGACGGCGAGCCACCCTCGAGCAGCGATAGCGAGTTTGCAGTGAGCACAAGCAAGCAATCCCCCCTTGGGAGCTCATCTTAGCTGCGCAGCCTCGTCTGCCCACTGCTAGAGGAGCACCTGCAAGCAAGCTCTCACCATGGCAGAAGACCGCTACCTCTCAAAGGCCTGGCGTACCGGCCATAGGAGCAGACAGACTGCTCTTTGTCCTGACAGCTCTGTCTATCGTGCCCGGCTCGTTCGGCACGCTGTGGTGTCTGCGACAGGCATGGCAGGACCCTCGGATGCTCAGACTAGCCCATCCAGATGCAGTCGGCGGCTTTCGTCAGGCCAGCGCGCTCAGAGCGGACTACGTACTCGGCGCGATATGGGCAGCCGCTTCTGCCGTCTGGTGCTACAGGATGACCTACGGTCTGCTCAGACGGTGGCTCATATATTATGATCTCCTGCCTGCCATGCTACGCTTGACGTCCTTCCAGGTCATCTGCTGGCCCCTGACGCGCTTCACGATCGGATTTGTCTCGTTGGACCAACCCATCCTTGGATGGATGATCTGTGCCTATTCAGCCGCCATCTCAAGCACCGTCGTAGTCTGGCTGACTTCCAATCTTGCGTCCTCTGCCCCCGACGCCAAGAGTGCGCGCAATGGGAAGACGAAACAGCGAGGTGTCGCCTCCTGGGCGACCGGCATAACCGCGCGGGCAAAGACAAGCACGCGGACAAGCAGACCTGGCCGACGGCTGCAATTCGATCTCGTTATGCAGAAGACGGTGCTGCCCTTGTTTGCGCTGACGATGCTGACTGTGATTCATCTGCTGTGGCAAGGCTGGTCAAGACAAGCTAATCTACCGGCCTCACAAAGCACACTTATGACTGCGCAAGAAGGAACCGCTCTGTCCTTTGCAGCGACCAATGCGAGCATACCGATTCCTGAAGCGGCTGTACGGGTGCTCGTCGTTGTCACATCGTCTTGGCTTGCAAAGTCGATAGCAGTCAGGCAGACTTTTCGTCGATCGTCTGCGCTACTGATCCCACCAGCGTCCCCTTCTGTCAGCATCACATATCGTTTTGTGCTCGGCGAAGCGCCCATATCGCTTACTGAATCGGCTCTGGCGAGCGTTCGCGCGGAAGCAAGTTTGCACGATGATGTTATATTCCTGCCTTGCTCGGACGGCTACAATGATCTCAGTCAGAAAACGTTCGAGTCGCTGCGTTGGTCCCATGGACACGTATTTGACTTTCTCGTCAAGACTGACGATGACATGTTCGTTCGGTTTGACACGCTCGCCGAGGAGCTTGCTGCGATCGGCCCGCGTAAGCTCTATTGGCGCGGCTTAGGCTACTGGTGCGTCAGCAGTCCCCATCTGTCCCCATTTAACGTTCCGAATAGGGATATACCACCGATACGAGACCCATCCAACAAGAACGCGGCATTTGATTACGATTTGCCCCTTTTCCCGCCTTTCACAGCGGGCGCGCTCTACATCCTGTCCCGCGACGTTGTGGCGCTCGTTGCCGCGCCAAAGGGGCCTCGACGCTTCACACGCAACGAAGACCAATCTCTAGGAGTCTGGCTACATCCATTCGGCATCAAACCTATCCACGATCATCGCATTCAGCAGGCCCAAGTGTGCGAGAACGACATGATCGCCAAGCATTTCTCATCGCATTATGCCGAGCCTGGTAACACCACCGCGCTAGACATGTACGCCAATGTACAAGCAGGCCGACCACTTTGTCAAGGTTTTCTACAGTCTTGGTGCGGCATTTGCTACGCCAGCTGTCGGGGACGTAAGAATCACTGGCGCGATTGGGGCTTCGAATGCGACGAATTCAAAGGGATCACTCTGCTGAATAATCCAGCCAAGCAGGCGATCGCTTCGAAGCCTGAGGAACTTATGCGAGTGGCTCCGGCAGATTTAGGGGCAATGGGCACCCCCAATGATCCTTGGATTCTTCCTGGTCTGCTGACCCACCATAGTTCGACACTTTCAGAGACCGAAGATTGGCATCTGCTGACAATGCTTTGCTGGACGACGCCACCTGCTACATTCCAAGAGAGACACTACCAGGCTATAGAGACAATCTGGGTTCACGAGCCCCGGGCGGTCATTTGCATGCTGTCGACTTCACTGCCCGACGATTTCTTCCACTCATACACGCAAGCAGGATACGCCATTCATATCATACCCATCTCAGCCCAACTATTGCTCGCACAAGAATGGTATCTCGGGCCAGAGTCCCGACAATGGCTTGAGAGCTGGGATCGTTGGTCGACCGGACGATTCTTCTATTCGCATCTGACCGACTTTCTACGCTTCTCGTTCCTGCATCGATACGGTGGTACCTATCTCGATATGGATGCGCCTATCGTGCGCGCTCCGCCTGATCCTGCAATGGAATTCATCGGCGCGGATTACTCGACTGAGGCGGAAGACCTTTCCTGGACGTTGGACGAGGACAGGATGTATCTTGCACCAGGCGTCATGCGCTTCAGGAGGGGTTGGACGATGTTCAGAGAGATCTCTGAGCATGCATTCTCAGGCATCTACTCGCCCGAATGTTTCAATTGCGTGGGACCTCGTGCAATCACGAGCTACATCAAACCTCGCAGACGACAGTACGAGCTCGGCGGGCTCACGATCTTGCCGAGCAATATCCTGTATCCCAAGAATTGGGTTCACGCGCGAGAGCTGGTCGAGGTACGGGATAGATATGTGGCAGAGCTGGAGTTGCGGGAGATCTCAAGGGAAAGCTGGTCGATACATCTCTTTGGCAAGATGACCAATCATCTCAAGATTCATTCGAATAGCACGATAGGCGTCGCGCTGGCCGCATACGCTCTCGACATCCCCAGACCCGCCTCGCGCTTATCGACTGCATCTGACGAGCTCGGCATGGCTATTGCTGCAAGCCCGCTGAAGCTTGTGTACCCCATGCAATACACCTATCGATCTCGTCTGGTCCTCGCACGATCAGGTCATAGGCTGGCCATCTGGTCGGGCTCGAGTGATGGAGCCTTCGATGGGGAGGACAAGATCTTTCTGCGCGGCGGCTTGTTGCCGCGCGTCGATACAGCCGAAGTGACAGTACTAACGCGATACGGCAAAGTCAGTCTCAGTGGTGCAACGACCGGTCTCCGAGCATCTGCAGACGGCGACTCGGGCCTGTATGATGCTCAGCAGGGAGGCAGTCAGCACATCCGACTGATGCTCAGAGACGCCACACTCCGAGACGTCAATGTGTTGCTTGGCTCCGTGATCTACCTGCCACCACGACAGAAGACAGCGCAGGACGATCTGCTCGTATCTGTCATCTTTGGCGAAGAGAGCGTGGCAGCGAACGTACAGGTGTCATTAGAGCTACAACAGTAGATGCATATTACGCGCTGGACAAGCTCTGAATGACTTGTATCGCCTGCTCGGCTCTTGCAGTCGTCTCGACGGCCACCTGTGAGCCACATGAGCATGCTCAGCTCAATCTGGCTCGGATTTGGGCTCACGGCGTCAAATTTGGCATCTGCTATGGCTACCGTGAGCCGATGTTCTTGCAGCGTACGTTCTCTGTCAGGTAGGGACTCTGTATAGAATCTCAGCTTGTCACATAGACTATATGTACGACGCACGGATTGGCTCGACTGCGGGCGCTGGCATAGACGCGAGAGCTTCAGATTGCCTCGCGACAGCCAGGTCAAGCTTCCTGCGTGACTTTCCGAGCACATCGCTTGTCCGCTGGGCTAATTCAGCTGGCATTGTTCGTCTCTTGTTTGCATTGTCGGCTCTCGCCTCGGCTGTGGCCTGCTCGAAATGCACAATGAAGTCATTCAGGACATCATCGAGTGGCTCTTCGCCCCTCGTTGCCGTCGCCAGCGCTGCTTGCTGATTGCGATACTCGCGCAGAGGCATGGTCTCGATTGCAACATTCTCTTCTATTGCATCCCGTAGCGGACGAGCGAAGATCTGAGCCGATATGAGCTGATTATCAGCGCCAGAAAGCTAGGCTGACCTCTTCGACGTGCAGGTCGAGTAGCTGCGCGCTGACTGATCTCTTCTCTCGATCGAGATGATGCTGGATGAGCTGATCCAGTCGCTCCTGGATGAGCACCAGGGAAGCTTCGTTCGGGAAGCTGACGAGACTCATGAGCGCATGAGCTGGATTGCCCGTCGCGTCGTTCATCACGCATGAGCCCAATGGACTTCTATACTTGTGACGTGCTAGACTACATTTGACGGGGAGAGGAAGTTGCGCGTTCGCTACGCCAGCAGGAGCGGCCAGCATCAGCCTAGATGGGGTCGCGAAGCTACGACAGAGGTCCGCATCGCTCGTCATGAAGAGCCGGCTGTGCTGACATGATCTTGGCTTGACAGCGCTCACTGTTTTCTCGCCAGACGGGCATCTCTTCCAGGCAGGCTACAAGCTCGCCTCGAGCAAGCATCTCACCTGACTGACTGGTCCCATGCAGGTCGAATATGCACTGGAAGCCGTGCGAAAGGGCACTTGCGCTGTACGCACGCTGAAGCGTTGCGGCAACCGTTCGCTCAAGAGATGACGATGCTTGTACAGGTCGGCGTGAGAGGACAGGATGTCGTCGTGCTAGGGGTAGAGAAGAAGAGCGTGCTACAGCTGCAAGACCCGCGAACGGTGCGGAAGGTGGCCATGCTCGACGATCACGTCTGTCTAGCCTTCGCAGGTCGGGATCAGGGTCATTGAGCAGTGGACACATCGCTGAACGGCTGTGTCGTCGCCAGGTCTCACGGCAGATGCGCGCATTCTCATCGACAAGGCTCGCATCGAGTGCCAAAGCCACCGTCTGACGGTCGAAGATCCAGTGACGATCGAGTACATCACACGACACATCGCAGGGATACAACAGGCGAGCGCTACCTCTGCAGCTATGCCTGCTTGTGCTCACAGCGAGAGGGCCACAGAAATACACGCAGTCGGGTGGTGTGAGACCATTTGGTATCTCCTGTCTCCTCGTCGGCTTCGACGCGAATGATCCCATGCCGCGACTCTATATGACCGAACCGAGCGGGATATTCTCGGCCTGGAAAGCAGTCGCCATCGGTCGATCGTCTCATACCGTTCGCGAGTTTCTCGAGAAGAACTGGAAGAAGGATCTCAACAAGGACAATACGATCAAATTGGCCGTCAAGAGTCTGCTCGAAGTCGTTCAGACGGGCGCGAAGAACATCGATCTCGCCATCATCGAAGGACACGGCAAGATACGCGTAAGGTCCATCCCCATACTCTCAAGGAACTCGCTGATAGCCTGCGGCAGACACTGACGCTCGAAGAGATCGAGGCCGTCGTCGCGGTGATCGAGGAAGAAAAGGCGGCAGAGGCAGAGCGGAGATCGCAAAGGTTGGCAGCAACGGCGGCAACCCAAGCGGCCATGTCTGCCCGTCAACAACAGCCAGCAGCGCCGTCTGACGATGTCACGATGGACTAAATTGCATGCTTATACAACAACATTCCGTGCCTCTCGAGTGCATCAGCTCGGGACTGAGGTGTCCTCTAGCATGTCCTGGAGCAACTCGTCTGCAACCTCCGCTGCAGTCTTTTGCCGTATCCTCTGATCCTTCATCATCCTGTCGCGCGTGTTTCGTTCAAAAGGTACAGTCGCTTCAGGGCAAGCCGCGCCTTACCTGTTGTCCATGCGGACATCGTCGCCTTCCCAGCCTATCACAGGCGCAGGCGTTTTCGCATCCAACACCTGTGTCGAGGCCGTCAGTCGAGCACGACAGCTGATGCAATGGCTCACAAATTTGTTGTCGCAATATGGACAATACTCATCCGCGTCGTCTTCCCCTTTGGCACCGCCTTCAGCTTGGGGATCCGCCATAAGTCGCTCCATATCCTTCCTGAAGACTTTCTTGCACTTCTTGCACGCAATGACGACCTCGCTCATCTTCAGCAACGGGTGATCTGACTTCTCGGCGTGACACTCTGGACAGTCGAACCATTTCTGACAGCATGGCGCTCGTATTGCTGCCTGTGCATTCAGTATGTGCTTGCTGCTGACATGATGAGCGTGCTGCGGGCAAAAATGACAGCGCGCGCACCACATAGCCGTTCAGAAGTACCGTCGCTGGCACTCTAACGAGACACAGCGCGCAGGCTACGTGTCGATGAGACGCGTCAAATCTTTCCCAAAATGAATTGACGCACTTCCCGAACTTCTACCGTAGCTGGGCGACGTCAGATTGCTATCACTTTGCACTCAGCACCATGGCAACAGCAGCAGCTTCCACTTCGCGTGCGCGCACCGTTAGCAAGCAGAATGCCTCTGAGCCAGCAGCTTCTGTCTCTGGCAACGTGACAAAGAGGTCCGTCGTTGGTTCATCCTCCATGGGCGTTCTGCTGAGATTGCGCCCTGCCAGGCTCCAGAGCGAGCTCATGGGCTTAATGATGCAGTCGCACGAAGGCATTACCGCCTTCCCTACCGACAATCTGCTCGTCTGGACCGGTCAAATCACCGGGCCAGCAGAGACTGTCTACGCCGGCCTGACGTACAAGATCAGACTGACGTTTGGCCAGAGCTACCCTATGACGGCACCCATCGTTCGCTTCGAACCGGAGACTCCCTGCTATCATCCCAATGTCGATCTGGCCCGAGGCGACATCTGTATCGACATCCTCAAGGAAGAGTGGTCATCTGCTTTCAGCGTTTCGACGATTCTGTTATCGCTGCAATCTTTACTAGGAGGTCAGTCTTTGCCCTGGTCTGAACCGCTTTGTTCGATCCTGAATACCCAAATATGCAGAGCCCAATAATCGTTCGCCGCTCAATGTCGAGGCAGCCGACCTCTGGGACGATCAGACGAGTTTCAAGAAGCAGGTTCTCGCGAGCCACAGCAGCAAGCCGTCGTCCGCTTGATATACAGACCGTCTCATGTCCCTAATGCTCATGTTGTCCAAGTCTCTGCTGTAAAGCGACATATCTGCATCTGATTATGCCGCGACGGTTGCCCGCCTCTCAGGCCAATGGATTCGCTTGTCCAAGCCGTGCTTTTCGCGCCTCTTAAGCTCGTAGGCGATTCGAGAAACTCACTGTTGCTCAGGATGCGTCTTGCGAAAGTGTATGCACTGCAGTGCGACGTATCTGCATTTGACATAGTATCACAACATTCAATTCTTTCTTGCACAAAGGCTGGCACTTTGCGACACGCGGGGGAAATTTACTTGACCCGTAAGGCCTGGTCGACTTGCGTGATGAGAGTCTCGACTTCGGGCGCGCAACGAGCGAAGGGCAGTTCGGCAAGATGGCACGATCGGATGAGAATGCCGATGGTGACCAGAATGCCCCAGGGATGTGGTCTGCACGGAATCTGTCAGCAAATACAACGCGCAAGGCAGATCGGGAAACCCACCTTGCGACGACGACACGTTCGAGCAGGATGCGAGTGATGCAGTCCTTGACCGACATGGCCGTACTGCCGTCGGTGAAGACGTTGCAGATGAATCCAGCGAACCAGCGAGTGTGGCAATTCGGGTATCGGAGCTGATTCGCTGCTGCGCTCAGGATGAGGTATCTGCCTTCGGCGTCGGTAGTAGCGAGCAGGCCCTTGAGCACCGCAACCGAAGGGCTTGCAGACGAGAAGGATACCAGGTCAGGCTGTGACTTGGTCTGATTGAGTGCGAGAGCGGCGAGGTACATGACCAAGCTGCGGATTGCTTGTCCATTATGTGCAGCTTCCTTTGCGCCGGAAGCTTGTATTGACAGCATCGAGGGGTTTGTCTCGATCGCGCCCAGGAGCTCATCTGCCGATCGTGACTGTGCAAAGGTCTCGAGCGCCTTGCCTAGAGGTTGTCCGAGACTGAGCGTATAATCTGACATGACTAAGGGCGCATTGGCCATCTCCGGTATGACGTCGATCTTCATCGAAGGCAAGAACGGATCTGGCAAACGTATGCTGGCAGGGTAAGCGGACGAGACGACGTTGAGGAGCTGTGTGCAGCCGATTGGAATACTATCAATGAGCGCAAAGTGGTAGGCTGCCAGATATTCGGGGAAGTCGTGCAACAGAACCATGAACAGGCGAAGTGTGCCGCTATAAAGCGTACGCGTCGATTCCGAGAGCGACTGTGTTTGCAGAATCGGCGACATGAAGCGCAGATGAGAGATCATCAACCGATGCCAAGCCGCCCAACACGTCGAGTCCTTGCTCTGCAATAATTTAGGCATGAAGAGGCGATGGGAGATGAGAGCGACCCAGGAAAATGCGAATCCTGGGAAGAAGGCAGGTTGAAGCGTGTTGATAGACACACTGCCGATCGCGCGTCAGTCGGAACCTGAAGGACATCGCGCAAACGCATACCAAAGCTGCTTCAGGATCTCGAGGTATGCACCGCCCAGATGACCTTCGATTGCTTGCAAATTGATCAGAAGAGTCGACAAGAACCGGAAGAACGGCTTCTGCTGGAAATGCAGACCGAGCTCCTCGTGCGACTGTGACAGAACAAGAACGACGATTGACATGATTTTATTCAGATAGTGAGTCTTAGCTTGCTCGTTGTTGACGTTCTGAGGGTCTGCATGATACTTGATCATCAAGACGACTAGCTTTGCGAATGCATCGATCGGCTGGAATATGCCAGTAGCGATGGTACCACCAGCCGCTTTACGCTTAATGTAGCTGTCTACGCTGGCTTCGGCACATGCTCTGAAGAAACGCGAGCTGATCTCTTCACCCTTGAGTACACCGCGTTCTTGCAGCTGCACGACAAATTCGAGGAAGGCCTTCTCCACCGAAGGAGCTGACGAGTATTGCGACACCCATTGAACGAAGCATATGACCAACCGATCGCGTAGCTCATACTCTTCGAGCTGCGATCTGCTCGGCGTGGGCGCGCTAGCTGAAGCCATATTGCGCAAGTCATCAAGGAGCTCGCGAGCATTGTCTGTCGACTTGTCAGCCTTTTCAGCAGTATCTAGCGCCTCGATCGAATGTGCCAGCTGCTCGCGTCCAACAAGAGGACCATCGTTGCCGGCCGAGAAGAGGCATTCGCGAACGAAGGCTGCCGTGAAGTTGATGACGCTGGGTCGATAGTCTTTGGTGATGAACTTGGCAAGCGCAGCATCTAGGTCGGTAACGTTTACAAGTCGGTGCTTGACTAGAGAAACCGTCACAGCCACATTGAATTTGCGCTCGTCGTCAGCATAGACGAGCCACGAAGTCACCTCGCGGGCAGCTTTGACAGAGACTGTGCACAGTCGTTCTAGCAAGGTAGCATAAACCTCGCGAGCCAGCGAGGTCTCTGATCGGTAGAGGAGCTGGACGACTTTTTGCGAGTAAGCAAGCGTCGTCTCGTCGCGATTGGAGGAGCGTCCCGCAGTAAGCACAATTTGGGATACGACGACGAAGATATCATGATCTTGTGGAAGCTGGTTGAATGCGATGGGACCCTCTGCCGAGATAAGCTTGTCGATTTCGCCCATGGAATGCGCAAATTTGTCCAGAGTTTGTTGGACAGGCAGCATAGATGCTGCAGCCAGGCTTGTAGGCTCGGCTGGCGTGGCAGGAGCCACAGGCAAGCCGCTATCGGAGCCGACACCGTCTCGCGTAGCCGGGGCAGTACGAGTAGCAGCGACTGCAGTTCGGCTACGCACGTCAGGCGTCTCTGCCGCAGCTGACGGCATGACACGCGGTCTGCCAAATTCTTCGTAGACGCGAAGCTGAGCCGGTGCCAGACCTTCGAGCTTCAAGCGCAGCGGATCGGGCAGCATGCCGGAGTAATGAGACGCTGCCATAGCTGCACTATCCCAGAACGGTTGAGCTGAACGTTCGCGGTGTTTGCGTCGCGCTAGCAAGCTAGGCGCAAGACCGTCATCGATCTCAGAGACCGCTTTCTCCGTAGCGACCTTCTCAACGACTGAGCATGCGAGCTCGAGATTGTCCTGGGCGAGTACGAGCACAGGCTGTTCGGTCAAATTCTGCTCAGGAAAGCCGTTCTGGATGAGCAAGGTTCTGATGTGCGTGACCAGCGATATTCTGAGTGGCTCCTTGCAAGTGACAAGAGCAAGGCTGCCGGCCAGACTCTGGACCATGAGGTGTGATGCACTCCTCATTTTGTCCTCGTCGCCCTCCATAGCGAAATCCTTGGTGGTCAGCTCGCGAGTAGAAATGCCGGCAATAGTCACGGATCGCTCGACCACGGGCGCGATGATCTGCAGAAGACGTCAGCTACGTTTGAGAGCCGATTATCACTAGCTCACCTCGCGAACGGCTCGATCAATGGCTATTGATACGATGCGCTTGAGGACAGGTGCGCTACCAAGCGTAAGTAGCTGCGGATTGATCTGCACGAAACCAGGCAGGTTTTGAAGAGCGGCGGTGATCGTGTCTTGAAGCGACAGTGCATAGCTTGCCTGAGTGCCATTGACGGTCGATTGTGCTTGCTCGCTTCCACCGTGCTCTTGTGCGATAGTCTGATTAGCAAAGCCAGTCATCGATAGTCGCTCGAGATCGTGAACAATCGCAGAGCCTTTCTCGCCGCCAGCCGTAAGCGCGGGACGATCGCGCAAAGTTGTTGTCGGGGAAAGCTCCTTGAGATCAACGCCCAATGCCTTGCAAAGCACTTCAATCTCGAATTTGAGATTGAGCTTGAGATCCGCAAACTGATACAGCTCCACGAGCAGGCGAAGAATGCCCATGAGCCACGGATTGGGTGGCCTGAAGACGCGAGACTTGGCAGACTGCTCGAGTACCTTGCAGACGAACGGGATCGCAACCATGAGACGATCAGCATCGTGACCTTCAATCAGCAGGGTCTTGAAGGCGATCGCGTCATGCCTGATTGGCTTGTTTTTCGCGAGCGTTAAGTTGCCAAGCCAGCCGCCAAGGTTCTTGAGTAGAGCGCGCTCTTGTGAACAGGTAGCTGTGCTCTGTGAATTGAGCACTTCTGCTGCTTTTGCGATGGTCTCGCTGACAATGCGCTTATCGAGCGGCCCAAGCCTCATGCCGGACAGGAAATCGGAGTAGAGTCCATGATTGTTAGGCTCGATAGCGACACGTTGTGTGACGAGATAGTGTGCGAACCAAGGAAAGAAGGGTGCTTGTAGCTTGCTGACCATGTCATCGACTTTGCTGAGTACTGTGGAAGGCGAGAGATTGTTGATGATGAACAGAATCTGATCTGTTGTCTTCTCGTCAGGAAGCTCGCGAGCGTCATCAGACTCGTCAGCCAAGGGAGACTTGATCGACTTGAACACCACGTCAGCGTCTTTGTCATCGTCGTCAGGTAGCTCGACTTCGCCATCTTCAGCGGCCGACGCGCGGCTAAGAGCGTTCAATGCTATTGAAGCGACTTCTGGATGACTTTGCTGGAGGTGAGGCACATTGAGGATCGCCTGCGTGAACTGAGGCCATTCTGGCAATCGGACCGAGAAACGTGACAGTGCCTGTATACCGAAGCGGCACCATGCTGAGTCGGCAGGTTTGCCGATCGCATCTAGGACGTATCTGACAGCAATGCCAAGGGGAGTGTAATCAAGAAGCTCATGCTGAATGAGCGAGCCGAAAAGGTGGGCCGTCAGAGTTAGCTCCTGAGGCGGATACGAGGGAAAGAAGCGATGCTCTTCGAATAGTCCGTTGAGGAAGCAGGCCACGAATTCTTTGTTATGCGCCGAACCAGACTCCTTGGCACGTTGAAGGCTTTGTATGACGCTATCGACAGAGATCTCTTGATCATACATTCGCTTGAAAGCATCATCGACCTCAGCTTCGACATCCGCAGAAAATGAGCCGATCGCCATGCCGGGTTCCTGCTCTGCGCCAGGTGTGAAGTCCATCAATCGGGGATGAAGCTGTAGGCATTCTGTTCGGACGGCCTTGAAAGCCTCAAAGTCTTCCTGGCTGAATGCTTCATGGTGCTCGCGAAGGGTCCGGAGGAAAGTAGCGACCGTCTGAATGCTGAGGGCCAGCATTTTCGCTTCCGAGCCAGGCTCTGCATCCTGACGTTGGAGCTCGTGTCGGATCTTCTCGCTCAGGAAGGACAGAGTGGCAGAAACGAAAGGAGAGCCCAGCGCATCGATCTGATCGCCCAGCCATTTGCTGAGAAGAATGTATTCTCTTCGATTGGCGAGTGAAGCGACGTCAAGCGCAAATGCGAAGGGTCGCAAGTCGAGAATCTCGTTCAGTGCCTTCAGCTCCTGTGTGATATCGAGAATGCGCGTGACATTCATGGGCGACGCTTCGTAGAAGTCGAGCAGAGCTGCGCAAACGGACTTTCTGTCGAGTTGCCACAACCGATAGAAGACGAGCTGGTGGTTTGGATGACCGGTCAAGAAGACTGTGAGCAGCCGCGAACATAGGCTGTTGTGGAGCTGATTCCATGGTTTCTATAGAAGGTGTCAGACCATCAATCATGGAGCTAGACCAGGTGTCGCACCTCTAGCTGCATAAGGCCAATAAGAATGACATCAGGGTCAGTCTTGACGCCTCTTTCGAAGAGATCTTGAACGCGATCATTGAGATCTGTCGCACTTGCGCCAGATATGCTGCCGCTAGCCTCGCTCAGCTTGCTAAGCGTCTGCAGAAGATCGAGATTGTTCCAAGGGCTAGTTTGCGCATTTGCTGCGAGTGATCGAGCGGTCGCGCTGGCGTTTGCAGCATCATCTATACTGACTGCTTTGCGTGTAGCCGAAAGGGTGCCGACATCTGCCGGCAGGAAGAGAACACGCTCGATGAGGCTGAGTTGACGATCTGGGTCGACCCAGGTTCCCCATAGGCCTGCAGCAGGACTGAACCTTGCGTTAGCAGCAATTGGCGCAGCAAGGACTTGTACGAGCGTGCGCATTCGCCAACCCGTTGGCAGCTCTTTAGAAGGAGAGTCGTATACCCGCACAAGTTCTGTCCAGTCATACTCTGGTAGCACAGTAGAGATAGCTTGCGCCCAGGCACCTCCGTGTACGTGCATGGCCTCCCCATATCCAGAAGCCATATCAAGCAGGTCTTCGAACATCGATCTGACTTGCGCGCTGGCTTGGGAGCCATGTGTCGCTAGGTTTGCCCGCTTGCGCAAGACGGCTGCGACGATATCCGGAGTGCAGTACGCTGCATCTGGTGTGAGACGGTGCAAGAGGGTGATGGCCGAAGTTTGAGGATCAAATTCGACGGTTTCGAGTGCGTGGAGCAAGATATTGACGACGAGCTCAGTGAGACCGCCGAGGCGAGCAGCAAAGACCTGAATGAGGTCTCGCTGTTGCTGATCAGAGATGATGCGCTCCCTGTTCGCGTTTGAGCTATATCCGCCCTCGCCAGTCTGTGGGTTGATGGCGAGATCGGAGAGAAGCAGGCTGAAGAGACGTGATATCGCGACAGGATTGAGATCGGGCATAGGCCCAGTCTGCTGGCCTGCGAGGGTCTCGAGGGCAGGTGACCAGGCCTCCCGTAGAAGCCTGGCGGCTGCGATAGGTAGGTCCTTTGCTATCGATCTCGGCATTACGATCAATTGTGTCACCTCTGCGCAGAGGATGAGTCGTTCCAGCGCAGTGAGACCGGCCCTGTCTACAAGACCTCGCAAGTCTAGCGTCCTGAAGACTTCGGCAGCAGCTGCAGTGTCCTGAAGGCCTGCCTGCAAGGCATCCTTGAAGCGTACTGCCAATGCTGGTTGTCTGACGAGTCGCTTGATCTCAAATACAAGCAAGCGGAGTGTAAGCTGAGCCTGAGAGGGTTGAGCAGGCGCTCCGCTGGATAACTGAGCGAGCGCTGGTCCTGAGGAAGAGATGAGTCGTCTGATGTAGTAGACATTGGCCTCTACGCCATGCGATTCGACGAGCTGCCGTAACGCGACTGCTTCAGCGCGCGTCTTACGGCAGGGCGAGGAGAGGGAGACTGACCGAAGTGATCTCACTCTGGTGCTTGTTGTACTGATCCTCTGTAAGGGTCGAGAGCAAAAAGACGATCTGCGCCCTGACGATGGTGAGCAGGCTGTTCGAACTCGGTGGACCGTCGTCCTTGTTATTGCCGTGACTCAGTCCTGGTGGCGCGGGTGAAGACCGACTGAAGGAAGCGGACTGACGATGGCTAGCCTGGCTATTGCCATTGAGCTGACCAGCGGCTCCTCCATTGAGTAAAGAAGCGGCAGGCGTGCCGCTTCGAGGGGAGGAGCTCATGCTAGCTCGGCTGACTACGTCTGCCTCTCACGACGGTAGGATTGCCGGCTCTGCTTGCCCGTCAGGCTCATCATCTTTGGCTGGAGTAATCCGCCTGTCTGACTGACGGGCGCCAGCTGCACGCTCCAGTGACCACCCTCATGCCGCTTCTTTTGACGCTCAATCGACTTGGCCAAATTCCGCTCGTCTCAGAATCTGTCGAGGCGACATGCAAAACTATTCGGCCATAGCCCCCTCCGGTGGCTATGCGGGCTACCAGCAACCCCACCAAGCTCAACAGCAGCAGCAGCAGACCTACCCAAACCCCGGTCAGCCCGGCATACCGCGACATGGTCTAGCACAGGGCACGCCATACTCTCAGCCTGCCTACAGTCAAGGCTACACGTCCCAAGCTCTCCTACATGCGCAGCAGGCCCAACACGCTCAGCAGGCAGCAGCCGCACAAGCTCAGGCGCAGGCACAGCAGCAGGCCATAGCTCAAGCGCGAGAGCGGGAGATACTCGCGCGACAGCAACAAGCCGCAAGAGATGCAGCCATTGCAGAAGCGCACTCGAGACAACAGACTGCCTATCTTGCTGCTCAGCAACAGCACGCTGCTTCTGCTCAAGGGCACCACGCCGCCAGTGCTGCCAGAGAGCAGGACAAGCGCAGGACGAGTCAGATCGCCCTGTCGGCTGACTCTGAGGCCGTCCTACGCGCTGCAAAGTGGGCTCTTCCTGAATGCAGTGCCGGCTCAGACTGACCCCTAGACTGTGTGATGCAGAAAGAGGAGACCTACAGATCGTGCGCTCCCTCGCTTTGACGCCGCAAAGCTCGCAGAATTAGACGACGGTCAAGATGACTCTCATTCCATCTTTGCGCGCCAATCAGACGGTCACCTCGCTGCACTCAGCAATGCATACGACCGACTGACAGATCTAGAACGACGCCTCGACTGGACGCTCTCTCGTCAGCGCGTCGAGCTAGAAGAGCAACGGCAGCTTGCAGGCGGCGCTCTCTCGCTCGTGCCCAGCCTTCATCGCACACTCCGCATTAGGATAAGCAACAGTCTACAAGACCAAGTCTGGCAAATTGATGACGCTAGACTCAAAGCCCAAGCAGAGCGTGCTGCTGAATCAGTCGCGCCGCCTCCTGCGCCCATGGCAGTAGAATCAGAGACGACCGATCAGGCCGCCGAAAACGGCGCTGAAGCATCAACAGAAGCTGCAGGAAAGGCAGACGACGCTCCAAAGCCCGAAACGGCGTCGGTGTCCGAAGAAGCCAAGACGGGTCCTGCGGCATCAGATATCTCGAAGCCCAAAGTCGAAGAAGTGATACCCGTCGATTTCTCCACGCAGCAAGGTATCCCCAGGTGGACACTCAACATAGCTGGAGAGGTTCTTACTGTATGTTCTTCTCCACGTGTCTTCGCCTCGGGCTACAATCGCGAGGTTTCGCAGACGAGCGAGTCGGGAGAGCTCTCCAAGGATTCCACACGTCATTTCTCCAATCTAGTCTCGCATATCACAGTCGATCTCGACAGACGAGAGCATCTCTTCAACGGCTCCGGGCGAACAGAATGGGCGCGTAGTAGTACACGCAACCCAGTCGATGCCGTCAGAGTCAGTCGGACAGGTTCAGAGCCTTGCAAAGCCCGCATTTCGCTCTACCTCACACCCTATCCAGAGCGTGTCAAGGTACTGCCTGAGCTAGCTCGGCTGATCAATGTCTACCAAGACACGCGGCCTAATTGTCTGACGGCGCTCTGGCTTTATGTCAAGAGTGAGGGCCTGCCGATGCCAGAAGACCAGCGGCGTATACGGCTCAATGAGCCTTTGAAAAGAGTACGCGTCTCCGTTCGATTGACACCATCGCGCTAATTCACAATGTACAGCTCTTCAACGAATCAGAGTCTATACCGTTTCACTTCTTGCAAGAATTCCTCAACCGCTATCTGTCCCAATGCGACCCTGTCATACTTGAATATGAAGTCGATGTCAGCGATCAGCATGCGAGCAAAGAGCTTACCTTTGACATCCCCGTCGAAGTCGAGAACCTGGCCGCAAAGAAGGTCGTTGTTGATGTGGCAAACGATCTCGATCTCAAGTCTGTGAGCTCAGAAGCCAAGGTCAAAGAAATCATTGCAATGGATGAAAAGGTATGCACACACCATACTCATGGCTGACAAGCTGACATATATCCCTGCTCGAACAGATTGCAATGCAGGCTGCGACGGCAAAGGCACAGAAGCAGAAGCGAGATTTTGCAGCCGCCTTTGCTAGCAACCCGCAGCAGTTCATGCAAGATTGGATCGCTTCGCAAGCCAGAGATCTAGACACCTTGCTCGCCGGCGACAGAGGCACGGGCGCTTCACTTCTTGGTGGCTCGAGCCATCTGGCAGAAGCGCGTCGACGTGCAGACTTTTACAAGACGGATGAGATCGACGATGCGATCAATCTGCACCTCAGGCGGAGGGTCAGGCGTACACAGGGCTAATCATAATGCATACTGTGCGCCCTTCTAGCCTTGACCTGTCCCAGTCGCGACGCGTATTGCCGCGCCCGCAGTCTTGACAGACATTGTCCAGCTCGCCGCAGCTTGAGTGAGCACGAGCGGAGCTGAGCATTTTCCAGGGGCCGTCAATGCCCTTGTCGCAAGTTCTGCCGCTCAGTTCACCCTCGCTCAACCGCTTCACGCCGAGCAGTGCAGCTTCGAGTCCGAGCTCGAGCTCACTCACGGACCCTTTCCTATCAGAATCAAGACATCACCAATCTGACGACAGTGATTCGAACGAGACAAGCTTACCGACTCACTACGTCAGCCCAAGGAGGACGACCCATAGCGATTCAGCACCTCGACAGCAGATGGCCTCTGAGGGCAGAGGTGCAGTCAGCCGCCGTCGAGCAGACGAGCCGAGCACGTCTCTGGGCGATGCTCTGCTCAGCGATGGTGGACCTGCCAAGCACTACAGTGACGATGAGATAGACGAGAAACTGTTCAAGCCTGCTGCAAGACCGGGACAATCTGCCACCAAATGGCAAAAGGAAATGGGACACGGCAAAGATCCACCGTCCTCACTCTACTCGAAACAGCGCTATGCCTCTACGAATCGCACAGGTCTCAAAGGGTCTCTCGCTGCTTATGTGAGCCTCAAGTGGGTGGTATAATTATGGCTCCTGAACCGAATGAACACAGTATGACGAGCTTCGAGACTATGTGCCTTTGATTGTCTACACCATCCTGGCCCTTTTCACACGCTTATGGAGGATAGGCGCGTCCAACACGGTCGTCTGGGACGAGGTCAGCTCGACAGAGCTCGTACACGTCTGCTCTGACACACGCCCAGGCTCACTTTGGCAAATTCGGCGCATACTATCTCAATAGAACTTTCTACTTTGACGTACATCCGCCGCTGGGCAAGATGCTCGTCGGTCTTGCCGGTGCGCTGTCCGGCTTTGACGGATCTTATGACTTTCCGTCCGGCAACACCTATCCGGATCACGTCCCCTTCAAAGCGATGCGCATCTTTCTCGCACTGCCTGGCGCAGCCATGGTACCACTTGCCTGGGGCACAGCCGTCGAACTCGGCTTCTCAGGTTATTCACGACATATTGTAACGCTCATGACTCTTTGTGGTATGTCAAGCTGTCTCTGAATTGGAAACCAATCTGATAAGGTCTGCAGACCTTGCATGGCTGGTTATCAGTCGCTTCATTCTCCTCGATTCATTGTTGCTATTTTTCACGTTCACGACGGTCTACTGTCTCGCATGTTTCCACAATTATCAGACGCGCTCTTTCAGCTTCGATTGGTGGCTCTGGCTCGCTCTGACCGGTTTCTCCATTGGCTGCGTCACCAGGTGTGTCTGTTGCCTCGTTGCCTACTATTGCTACTGACGGGCTATGCGCAGTGTCAAATGGATAGGTCTCTTCGCTACCGCACTCGTCGGCTTCTACACGATCGATGATCTATGGGACAAGTTTGGCGATTTGCGTATGCCAGTGGTAAGTTTCACGTGACTAGCAACGACCGAGCTCATGTCTCGAGCAAGCACGTATACATCCGGCATTGGATCGCTCGTGGCCTTTGCTTGATTCTCCTGCCATTCGTGGTCTATCTGACGTGCTTCAAGATCCATTTCCTGATCCTCAATCATTCTGGTCCTGGCGATTCTCAGATGAGCTCGCTATTCCAGGCGAACCTATACGGCAACGACTTTGGCGCCAACCCACTAGGTATGTGATCTCGTCGGTTGAGCCATCAATCTCATCGGGACTCATCACAGAGCCGGTGTACGGATCGAAGATCACTCTGAAGAATATGGGCTACGGCGGTGGCCTGCTACATTCGCACGTACAGACATACCCCGTCGGATCAGAGCAGCAGCAAGTCACATGCTACCACTACAAAGACTCGAACAACGAGTGGATCATCACGCCGACCTGGGAATCTCCGGCAGTCGATCCCAATTCTGATCTGCTGTATCTCAAAGGCACAGATGTCGTCAGATTGGTTCACGAGCCGACTTTGCGAAACCTTCACAGTCACAACGTACCCGCGCCTGTCTCGAAACTCAACATGGAAGTCAGTTGTTACGGCAATGCGACCGTGGGCGACTCGAACGATCACTGGCAGATCGAGATCGTGGACGACTTTTTGCGAGGTGGACATGATCCCCAGATGCGCATACACAGTCTTTCGACTCGCATGCGCTTCAGGCACGTCAACTCGGGATGCTATCTACGCGCTGCCAATGCTATACTGCCTCAATGGGGCTTCAAGCAAGTTGAAGTGTCTTGCGACAAAACGAACAACAAAAAGGACGAGCACACCTACTGGAACATAGAGGGGCACTGGAACGATCGATGTACGTCTACACTTGCTCAGTCTATATCGGGCGCAGACCGATCGTCATCGCAGTACCACGTGGAGATATGAAGCTGTACAGATCACCTTTCTTCCGCGACTTTTGGCACCTCAACGTTGCCATGATGACGTCAAACAACGCACTGGTGCCTGATCCCGACAAAGAGGACATCATCGCGTCCAAGCCGATGGACTGGCCCTTCCTCCATCTAGGCATGCGCATGAACGGATGGTCAGACGCGAGCGTCAAGTACTATCTCGTCGGCAATCCCATTGTCTGGTGGGGTGGCTCCATCTCGCTCTTCGCCTTTCTCGGCCTGCTATCATTCTACATTCTGCGTCAGCAACGCAAGATAAACGATCTCTCGCCGCGTACGTCGTAATTTTTGGGCATCTGACAGGATTGACATTCTCCGACATAGATCAATGGGCTCACTTTACTCACTGCGGGCGGATCGCATTCGGCGGCTGGGCACTTCACTACTGTGCGTACTAAGACTTATCCAAGCATTTGACTGAGGCTGCTCTGAAGTGCCTTTCCTGATCATGGGCAGAGTCACTTATCTCCATCACTAGTACGTCATCTGCTCTTTGGCTGCAGATTGCACCTGAGCGCGTCGTTGACAGTCTACCTGCACTGTTCTTCTCGGTCCTCATGGTCGGCATGCTGCTGGATCATTTCGTGTTTCAATCCAGACGCTTTGCTCCCAATGTCAAGCTCGCCGTCTTCAGCTTGGTGGCCAGCTGGATCGTGGGGACGTTCCTCTGGTTCAAGAACACCGCCTTTGGCTTAGAAGGCAAGCTCTGCGCATGCGTCCCCTCATCTGCGCTCATACCAGCTGGCAGGGCCTATCACGGACCACTGGGGCCTCGTGTGGCGGCATACCTGGAATTTGCAAAACTAGCGGATGTGCTAGACCTGTCCATGCATACGTCGCGTGAGGCAATCGTCCAAAGTCGCGCCGGCGATCTCGACGAGCGCTTGTGCACATGAGCAGTGCTTGACCCAACGTAGCAGACAGAGATTGTCCAGCCTGACGCTCAGACTGATGAGCGCACCTCGTTGCCAGCAAGCAAGTAGAAAGATGGGCACGCTCGGTGGGCCAAACCCTCCTGTCTGATCGAATTGCGTCAACCGCTGCCGCACGAGCTTGCTCACGCTCGCCTCGTCCTGCTCTGCTAACAATAATCCTAGCTTGATCGTGGCTGGTCACGAGACGAGCGGTGTCGGGATGCAGACAGTCATGGTCAATGCACCCTCTGGCTCGCTATCCCCTCAGATGACGCTGCAAACGGCAACCGACGATGTCAGGGCTTCCAGGGAGGCATCGCCCGTACCCAAAGTCTCCTTGCTCAGGCGAACGCCGACGCTCACGAAGCCTGTGGCACTTGTTCGAACCCCCAACAGTGATCCAGAGCCTTTGAAGACGAGCACAGCGCCAAGAGTACCCGCGAGCTCAAAGACGAGAGACGCAGACGAAGCCCTCGGGGCAAGCGGTGGTGGTGGTAGCACCGAGAGAGCCTACGTCCCATCCGAATCATTCGACAAGTCGCTCATAGACGCGCTCCGTGTGCCCAAAGATCGCATGTTCCTGCTAAGGATTGACCTCGAAATCGAACGCTTCTTTACTCAAAAGGATTCGTAGGTCCCGCCGACTTCCGGAGAACAAGCCAGAATCTGATCACTGCTCGCGTTCACAGGCAGACGCTCGCACTGACGGCGCCAGTGTTTCCAATATTGAATGCGTACCAACGACTGCTCGTCCATCGCCTTGCTGACACTTGGAACATCAAGAGGGAGGTCCAAGCGGAAGCATCAAATGCAGCTACCGGCAGCATGTCGCCTGTCGGTATCCGCAACCCAGCTATGCTCGTTCAGCCAAGCTCGAGCACCGCTCACAGTACAATCACGCTAGTCAAAACCGAAGATACCGCCACGTAGGTGTTCTGTTCGATCTGTCTGTATATCGTCGCTGACGCGTTTCTCCCTCTTCAGACCCAGCCTGAGGTTAACAGCGTACCTTGCTGCGCAAGCAGCCGCAGACTCGCCGGCGCTCTCTCCTACACCTTTGACCGCGCCTGCGCTCAATATGGTTTCAGGTGACTTGCCGGCCCCAGAAGCCAAATCTGCCCCTCCTAGCAGTCCAGGGTCATCGATCGTGCCGGTACTCGACGGTCAGACAATAGTGCCGCCCCAACATTTCAGGATCATGCCGCGCAACGCGCCAAGCTCTGGAGCAAATTCACATGGTCTGCCTTCCCGACCACCTTCAAGCAACGCAGGTGCATCTTCCAGCACGAGCAGCGAGAAGAGGACTCTCGAGGAGCGCGAGGCAGCTTACGCCGAAGCTCGCTTGCGGATCTTCAAGGATCTGGAAGAGTCGACGGCTGCTGCAAGTCAGAGCAAAGAGACAGAGACGAAAGCTGCGGGCCCCGCAAGAGCGAATGTTCCAGTACCAAATGCGCCTCGCAGAAGCGGCATACCCATCTCGCGACAGCAAGTGACTCGTCAGCAGGATTTCCCTAGGCAACCATCTGCAGTGCCGAATTGGGACTCACAAGCTCATCGCGGCTATCCAGCACCGAACATGGCGTATGACCCCATCGCGGGTCCTTCGAGTCATCCGTACTACCCGCAACACCAGCCTTCGTCGGGCTGGTCTCGACCGATGGAAGCCCAGCATAGCGCAGGCTATGGCCCGCCTCGCATGATGTCTGGTGTTGATATGTCGCCGCATTTGCTTCCCGGTCAATGGGCGCCGCAATACGATCAGCTCCACAACGTCGCGATGGGCTACGGGCATCAGGCATATGCTCAGTACACGCCGCCCGAACTTCGACCACCTTCGTCCATGTCCAGCTCGTCGACTTCTTCCAGCCGAACGGCATCGTCTGTCAATACTCACTTCAGGACGACCTACAGCTCCGCAAGTCAAGCCGGTGCCGAGGTTAGCCCGGCGAGGCTGGCGCAGACGCACGCGATCGATACAGCTTCGCTCGGCCGTCACAGCTCGTCTCGCAGCAGCACTTCTAGCAGCTCTGCCGGCATGGCCAGCGAGAACGGTTCCCTGCAAGGCGCAGCCGCTGAGCAGACTAGACCCTCGACCCTACTCAGTGCTCATCCTAGTCTACCGGCCAAGCCAAGTTGGTCAGTTCAGGGCAACACTTCGCCGTATAGGAAGACGGGCTCTCGTGCGGCGTCCGAGAGCTCGTCTCGAGCCGCGTCGATCGCAGATCTCCGCTCTGCTTCTTCCGGAAGTGCAAGAGCACACTCGCCTCGACAGATGATCTATCATGAGCATCAGATGGCAAACATGGCACCGCATCAGCAAGCCATGCAGCGTTCAGACATGACGCGGAGCATGCAAACGCATTATCTTACAGGCGTGCACGTGCAGCAACAAGCGTATGCCTACAATCAGCCTCGACCCTATGCACCTGCGCCGATGCCCGCCTATCACACGGGTGGTCAGTATCTTAGTGCGGGGCAATACTCGCCCTACGGTCCAATGCAAAGTGCGCAACCACCCGAGCAGTGGGCACCACATCATCTGCAGCAGCCCTACTATCCGCATGCATTTGCCGCCCAGTACATGCACGGTCATCCGCCAAGCAATGAGCAAGATGTCTACGCGCACAGCTATAAGCCTGCGGGTACTGAGGAGACCGGTGAATTCGAATACGCAGACATCCCGCGACCGGCGCCTAGAAGCACGATGCTCTTTGATCCGAGCAAGCCCGTCGCATCATCTGGAGCGTCGACACAAGGCCCGGCAACGGCAGCGAAGGAGCTCTCCGGGACAGCAGAGGACGCAGTGACCGACAAGCTAGCTGGTCTAGGCATGTAACATACGCGCATCTGACACTTCCTAGCGCAGCATTGAGTGGTTCTAGAAGGCTTTGAGTGAAATAGTGGGAGCTGCCTTTGTCAGTGGCGCGCGTGTTGTATGGCCGCCTTGCATCGTCTGTCGAACGGCCAGCTGAAGAGATGCTCGACCATCTGGCGTGAGGCCTTGAGTCGTTTGCTTAAACGCAAGTGGATCCAGCGCTGCCAGATCGACTATTTGTTTGACCGCTGCGAGATGCAGCGGTGCCTTCGCGTTGTCAGGATCGAGCAGCATGACAAGTGCCGGCAAGACCATTGCCAGCATGTTCTCGCCTGTGGCCAGCCAAAGTCAGAGCTGTATGCACGACGATAGATGGACCTCACGATGGTTTGCAGGCGCATCAGAGGCTACAAGGGCCAGAGTGCGAATAATATCAATTGCAAGCGCTACTTCGCCTTCGCTTTCCTGTATGCGTCTGGAACGCAGAAGACGAGCGATAAGGGCTGGCAGAATCGCAGCGAAGCACCGGCGGAGCACAGTGTTACTCTTCAGGGCTGTGGTGAAAATGGTCCGACAGCAGTGACTGGCAGTAGATGCGATCTCGAATGTCTCGGAATTAGCCGCAGACGACATCAGTCGGCCAAAGTCGTCGAGAAGCGTTTGATAAAGTATCGTCGAGCGCGATAATGATGTGAGCACAAGCGAAGAGGCAAGAATATGACCCTTCAGCTTGTTTTGCGTAGCGCGGTCGTTTTGCGCTTGTAAACGACGTCCTTCGCGTATGGAGACTGCGAGAAAGCCGAGCAGGCTCGGACTGTCAGCGCCCATTCGAGCTGCGATTGCCTGCAGTGATCCTAAAGTTGCTGGTACAAGATCGAAAGCAAAAGCTTCGTCTCGCAAGATTCCTGTGGCCGAATCAGTTTGGCCCTTCGCATGTAGATCAGACCTACTGCCGTAGATTTCCAAGGCAAAGGCATAAAGATGCTGTCGATCGCAGTCGCTCTGATTGTCTGCAATGTCGAGGAAGAACGAGATCGTCTGGACGACTAATTTGACGTACACGTCTTGACCCTGTCGCGCAGCTGATAGGTAATTCAGCGTAGGAATCTCGACACTCGCCGGGCCTACCTCGCGAAGTCGAGGGGCGTGTGGCTGGCACGGCTTCCGAGAGCGATGCTAGTGCGACGGAAAGTAGCTGTGTCATTTGTGACACGTCGGATGATCCGTTGACATTGCCGTTTATGCTGCATGATGAACGCGTCAGTAGGCACCTTTACATTCAGAGACTACCTACTGGACCGCACCACGCCCAGTTCCAGCTCTACGATGCCGTGTCAGAGATAGCAGGAGGGCATTGACCCGCAGCTGGAGAGTCGAGTCTTCAGTGCTGATGATGCGATAGGACAAATGGCAAATCTCGTTGAACACCGCTGGCAGAAGCGCGTAGTCGCCCGACACCGACGGCCGCAGAAGGCCTTCGAGAGCGCTCAAGCAAGTCTCCGCTATTCTGTGCTGGCTTTCGGACAGCGCGCCGTCAGCGAGAAGCTCGAAAGCGAGTCCAAGGGCGATGTGCACATCTCCTGTCGGGGCTGTCGATTGTGCTCGTTTTGGACTCGAAATTGGCGCCCCGGTTAGCGTAGCAATCATCTCTGGGCTATCAGCACGTAACAGTGAGCCGACAGCATCGAGCATATGTGGCCACGTGTTCTCGTAATACGGCAGTGCGACATCGCGCGTCAAGCCCTTGTCGGCCGTCGCATTTGAATCTGATGTTGCTAGCTCCGGATTGCCTCGAAAGTAGGCATATTCTCGCAGAGATGCGACCCAGAATGGACACAGAACCGCGAGGTACGGTGTGATGACTTTCAACAGATAAGGCTGCTTGACGCTTGCTGTTTGGAATTCCGCCCATGCAGCGAAAATGGACGTTTTGAGCATGACGACTGCAGTCGAGCTAAGGTGCTGCACTTCGCCCATCGAATGCATCTCAGGATCTGCACACTGGCGTAAGCAAATATGCCGAGATCGCTCAGACGCCCACCTTTGCAGCTTTCAAGCGCGCTAATGAGCAACTTGAGTATGCGACCCATTCGATCGATCTCCTTGATAATGCCGCTGCCAACAAAGGTCGCGCAGACCTGTATGCCTGCTGAGAGCACTTCCGGGAAAGAATCAGCGGCGAATGCAGGCGTCAACGCGGCAGCAATTGGCGCTTGATACTGCTCAAGTAAGAGCGCATCGGCAAAATCCGGATCCTCGGCCGTGCGAAAGTTCTGCATGACCGCGAAGTCAACCTTGAGCGGATACACCTGCACATAACTTACCTCGATAACGTCACGCAGGACAGCGAGGCCCTCGACGCGGATCTCCATGACATGCGCCGTCGAAGCGCTGAAAGCCATTTTGATGAGATCCGGAACGCGATTGATCAGCAGGTAGCGTTTCGTTGGACCTGCGGCATGCGCTAGTCGAGCATCGAAATGCTCTCTCCGTCCAGACCGTAGTAGTGTGACGAAGACTAGATGCAAGCATTCGAGCGCGAACAGCTGTGTACGCCATCGCGCTATATTATTGGAGGACGCTGCCGCTCGTACACCGCCTAGCTTCGGCCCTTGCATCTCGAGACCGAGTCCCTGCGACTCTTCGTCGACAAGGCCTGCTTGCCTTCCGCCTACCGCATCTTGGTCTGCAGCAATTCTTTTTGTTGCAGTCGACTTGACCATGATGCGCTGACAGATATCAATCCATGCAGATGGATTATCGCCTGCTGTCTGGCGGAGCCAGCTCGCTATCGCATCCCTGACGCCGTCGATGGTCGGATCATCGTCGAGAAGCGCAAACAGCTCTTCAACGAGCTTATCGCCACCCAGTCGTGATACTGATGCCGCGTCGCGCTGAACCAGCTGATAAACGCTGTTGACAGCAGCAATTCGCAGCGGCTGGCGTGACGCGGCAAGGAAGCCTCGTAGCTTGCCAACAAGCTCAGCGAGGTCGAGATGATCTGCTGCGAAGATCAAGAAGCGCTGTGTCGCTTTCAGAGCCTCTACAATGACACCCTCATCGGGATCTTGCGCGAGTTCAGTGAGCAGCAGTAAGACGATTTCGCGTACTCTCGCGGACTCTCGCAGCTCTGGCCCGAGGACACCAATGACAGCGTCGATGCTTCGGCAGAATGCTTGATAGGCAGGTAGATCACCCCGCAGGTAGACGGTGATAGCCGAGCCGCCCTCCGGCTCGTGACTGTCTTGCATGTACAATCGCGTCAGCATGCCAAGTGTTGCGTTGGTGTACATCGCATAAGCCAGACCCGCAGAGTCCATGACTTTGCTGAGCGATTCCAGTGCCCAGTAGTGAACCGTAGGATGCGGATCAGAGCTGAGTGACATCAGGACATCGACGATCGTCTTGAGCACCGGCCCAGCAGCCATACCACCTACGTAGGAGTAGATCTCGCCAAATGCAAGCGCACAACCCGCCCTCCCATTAGGATCTGTATTCCGGACGACTTCGCTTACGCAATACTGGATCTGATTGGCCATGAAAGCCGTGCCGGCTATGGAGCAAAGCCGACCCAGAGCTTCGCTGCCCGCAGCACGCAGTCGCGTATCCGAGTGGAGCAAAGATGCCTGCAAACTTGATCAGTGAGTATGATGAGGATGCTGCGCGAAGAGTATACCTTGATGACATCTCTGTAGAGGCCGCTGATATACGGAAGCGTGAGAACCTCGTGAGCCCGAGAAGGTTGCACGCCGTTTGAGCGTCGCAGTGCTCCCAAGACCACGGCCGTACTATTGACCAGTATCGCCATGCGCCGAGCAGGTATTCGCTCAAGCCTAGGAGAATTGATGCAGTTCAGGATTTGTTGAATGACTTTGTGCTGAATCCCATGATCTTGGTAAGGCACGAGGCGTGCCAGGAGATGGATCGCTGCGTCAACAACGCCGTTCGCAGGCGGAGGAGCTTCCGTCCTTTGCGTCGCGTTCGGTCTCAGCAGCAGCAAGGCAGTGTCGAATTCGCGTTGCAGCGCTAGCGGCTGCTCGAGCTGCTCGTCTATGAGATTCTCTATCGCGTCACGATTCAGTCTTGTCCTGCGCTGCAATCCTTCCGGAGCATCGATGGCGAGTCCTCTCGGAGTCATGAGGCTCGTCACACCGCCCGCAAAGCCATCGGTCATCTCCCATACTGTCGTGTAGTTTGCAGAGGCAGCAGCGATGGCCGATTCGACCTGTGCCCCGGGAAAGCGTTCTGGATCAGCAATGACAGCCAGACAGGAGCCTAGCAGGCCGGCATGTAGAGGCTCCGCAGCTGCAGAAGTCGCCACGAATGCAAAGCACTGGAGCAGCCTACGTCGAAAGAGCATTTCTCGGTCGACCAGGCGCAGTACAGAAGAAGTCGAAGCAGACTGCTGAAGCACCAAAAGGCTCTTCTGCGAGATGAAGGCGTTGAGGAATGCGAAGCCGTTGCTGAGCAGCGCAACGAGCTTGCGAGAGATGTCAGACGTCATGATCGTCTGATTGTATTTCAGAAAGGCATAGATCGAGCCCAAGCTGCACTCGCGGATATGCAGTAGGAAGCCCCATTCAGTATCGGAGCGTGAATTGGCTGCAGCCATGTCTTTGGCTGTTGGTTTGGGCAGTGCATTCTTCCAGAGCATCTGGAATTGCGACAGGTGCGGCCTAACAAAGCTCGGGCCAAGCGTCATGAGAGCCGCAAGGATCGTCCAGGCGACTTGTATCTCGACGGAAGAGATGTGCAGCTCGTGTGCTCCGCTCGCTTTAAGCAAATCGAGCGATAGAGTAAAGCATTTGTTGCTGCTATCAAAGGCAACATACAGCGGCTTCGATGAGACGATACTAATCAGTGCAGAGATCGCATATGCCTGACCGGCAGCTCTACGGGCAAGGACTGGCGAAGCGTTGGGGGTCGCTAGTAATGCTGTGCTTTTTACGATCGCCTCCCGCATGTAGGCAATATTGCTTTCTAGTTGATTGGGAACAGCTAGACAAAATGCCTTGAGCGTTGCAGCAGCAGCAACCTGAACAGAATGACTTGGATGCCCGGCGAGCCGTTGGAGCGGTTCTTGAAGGAGTGACTGTATCTGAGAAGGCGCGCTACCTAGTTGTCTGAGGAGCCCAGTGACTTCGCCCAGTGCCAAGACGAGAGCAGCTTTACTGGGCGCAGTCGTACCTGGTAGCTCGGACGGCCACTTTGCGAGGTAGATGCGAGTCAGCTCGCCGATCGCGAGGATCTGACCTTGCTCGGAAAGTAGCCTTTCTGCGAGCACATCGCGCAGTAAGATTGCGATCAGTTTTCGGGTCGCCAGCGCCTCATTACGGTTAAACGTGAATCTGACGGAGCCTGCAAGATCATTGACGAGATGTCTGAGTATGTCGGCGTAGTACTGCTCGACATATGCTTGGCCGAGCGTTGTGAAGAGCATTGCATAGATATTGATCAAAGCGACGCGAGTCGAAGAGGTCGTGCTGGGCTTGTTATAGGGTGTAGAGAGCTGTGCGAGCATGGCCGAGGGCGTCAAGAGCGTTGCCGTGGCTTCTTCGCCGGCAGGAGGAGGAGCGACTTCATCATCGTCATCAGCGCCTTTGACGTCCTTCGAAGCCGCTTTCTTCGTCTTCTCTACACGCGGTGCCGAGCCTTCGATCTGCGACATAGCCAGCAGACCGGACACAAGGCGTGCGATTGAGCGACGGGTGGTCACGTCTGCAGCATCAAGCGCACGAAAGCATGCGGACAGCGTCGCGTCAAGATCGGACAAGGCCAAGCTAGCAGTGGCTTCGTGATAAGCCTGCAGACATTCGGCAGCGGCCTTTTGCAATGGCGGGCTGCGATCATTCAGCAGACTTCTGAATTGCTTGAGCAAATCTCGAGCCAGCCCATCGGCAAGCGAAAGTGCGCCCATTGACAATGTCTTCCGCAAACAGACCAGTGCAGCATGTCTGACCACGACGGGCTGTGCTGATGCCCTGTAGAGCTTTTGACAGGCAAGGATGGTGTCTACAAACTGTGACATGACACCTTGACCGAGCGCGTACATCAACTCGCCCAAGAGATAGAGTTGCGCCACTCTGATCTCCTTCTCGCTCTGCAGTGTCGGCTTGGGCACTGTGCCCGAGCCAGATGAGCTGCTGAGAGTGGGTGTAGAGCCTGCAGTGGGAGTCGTGATCTGATCAGGCTGATCAAGTCCCAGCAAGGCGTTGATGAGCTTTCTGACGGTGTCGAACAGCGTCTTTGTCTCTGCTCGCGTGTACAGGACGATGAAGCATCTTGCTACAAATTGACGCAGCGGTCGTCCTGGTCGAGGCATGGGTACAGGCTCGACGGTCGTGGGCGACGTTGGCGCTATACCAGCGATGAGGCGCAAGAGAGTTTGCTCTAAATTGGTCTGACATGCTCGGACAAGCTCCTGCAAGGTCTGATGAGCTCATGCTAGTTCGTACTGAGTCTTTGACGCACGATCGAGCCTTTGTGTAGCGCTTGCTCGACTGAAGCAAGCCAAGTGAGCAAGTATATCTCTCCTCGACCCGTGCTGACGGCTTGAGCCAATTTGACCTGGTCAAGCACGAAAATCGACCTGTCCATAGCTAAGCCATCAGTCTGAGGCTGCTCCACCAGCTTCAGACTGTCTGGTCGGCTCATACCCGAGCTCCAAGGTGGGTGTATGATGATGGCAGCGTAGGCCGTTGCAGCCAAAAAGCGCGTCCCTCGTGTGCGCGACGAGCCAGCAGTCAGTCGATCCAGGTCCTCACAGCAGCGGCCCGTCGCAGCATGCCAGGCTTCTTCGACGATGATGACGACGACGAACAGTCACCGATCGTGCAGCCACCGCCGCCCGTGCCGCGAAGAAGTCCGCCTCGACAGAATGGAGGCGCCATAGCAGGACCGGGTCCTCGCTCACTTGCAGCAGCCGCTGCAGCTCAAAAGCCGTTGCCGAACGAGCTCGCTACGTCTCGCGGCTTCTTCGATGATGACGAGGAGCAGACGAGCAACGGCAGGACCGAGGCTTCGCCAGCAGGCACGCGACATGTACCTAATGGCAAAGCGGCGGCCCGGCATAGGACAGAATCTGAGGCTACCCAGCTGCCCCTAGATGTCTCGGAGGGTTACCAAGCTAGTAGAGAGACTTCCAGAGTAACGCGCGACACGAAGCGGCAACGAATGAGAAGTCGAGATGAAATCGCAGGCGGAGCTTTTGACCTGGATCTTGACCTCACGTTCGCCGAAGAGGACGCCCTGCTCCTCGATGATACTCAGACCAACGAGAGTCAGATAGAAACTCTGCGACGGCATTGGCAGAACGAGCGGATGGCACCAGAAGTCTTGCCGCATCAGGAGGATCTTGTCGACTCTTTGCTAGAGCAGATAGAGCAACAGGTGCGTCCCTGCGAAGCAATAGCAAAACATCCCTCATATCGAGACCGCAGACGGATGCGGTCAATCTGCTCAAAGATGGAGACTCGACGAGCGAAGAGCTCCACTTTCAGCTCATGCTCGTCCAGACTGACATGGAGCGCGTCAAATGGCTTCTGCAGTCATATCTGCGTACTCGTATGGACAAGGTCGGTCGTACGAGATTGCGATGGCTTGTGTTCATGCGAGCGACAGATTGAACGATTTGCTCAGTATCTGCTCGCCGACGCGGAAGCAAAGGCAAAGCTCACTTCCTTAGAAAGCGAATACCTGACAAGGTGAGCTATGTGTATGATGAAATAGGCTTGGCTGATGTAGAGCAGATACCAACGCATGGTCGACAAGCTGATGGTCAACAGCTTCGTGAAAGGACTGCCCGAACGCTTACAAGCCCTAGATACCGAAGAGATGGGCACGTAGCAATCCTGTGCTGTCGCCCTGATCGCTGCTAAAATCGATATGCAGTCGAGCTGCCGGACATGAGATCGGGCATCATTTGCATGGTCAGACGTGCTTGCGGACCCATACAGCTCCCCAGGTCTGTCGTACTCCTCGCTCGCAGGTCATCTACTGATATGTGCTCCAGTGGCGAAGAGCTGGACCTCGAACCGGAATCTATCCACCTGCTGCAGTATCACGCTATCAGGCCATTACTTCTCAGGGGAGATATCAGGCTAGTGTAGCAGATGCACGCATGTATATAACAGTGGATGTCATCCCATTTTCAGGCCGTGCTCGGCAACTCCCGTTTTGACTGCTCTGCCTGGCTGCTCCGCTCCGTTCATGTCCGCTTTGGCCGATGTGAGCGTTCAGTTATCGAAACAGCTATAGCGCGGATCAGATGCGTTGTAACCAACGCCTTGGTGATGTTGTATGAGATTGAGGGGATCGTATGCCTGTTTCGCCTTGAGCAGATTTGCATAATTGCTGCCCCAGAATGACTGCGTGTAATTCGGCTCGTCGCTGTCTGCCTCGTTTTGATAAGCAGCGATGGGCGTGATCGCTCGCAAAGGTGCAATAGCCTTCTGTGTAAGAGCATAGGCTGTTTGACTTTGGGCCGAGGTAGATGTGTCTGCAAAACCGCTGCCCATAGGGAAATGCCATGACGATGAGTACCAGGCAGGGTTCGCTGAACCAGTACCATCCGTCTTGTAATTCGCCGGCGTGGTCACAAGGATCTGTGCTGGATTTGCCGTAAAGTCATAAAGACCGAGAGTGGCAACACCGGGTACGATAGGTACTAGCGTCTTTACGGCATTCATCACTGCCGATAGGAGAGCGGCTTGACTAGGAGCATCCTTGAAGGCTGTCTTCGGCACCAGTCTGGAGGCCAGATGCAGGCTGATGCCAGACTTTTCCTGGTTCGGAAGGATCGTTGACTTGTATGTCTGCAGGAAGGAACCCGTAGTAGTCACTTGATTCGTTAGAGGTACGTTGCCGGTACCAAAGGTATTCTGGACATAGTCTGTCACTGGCTTCATGACTGCCTGGGCCGTCGTCAGATTAACGGATGGTGTGAACAGGATAAGACCAGCAGCCTGCTGGGTGCCCATAGCGCCTGGCACGATATAGCCTGCATCAAACATTAGTGGATGCGATGTAATGACAAGTACCGCGCACCTCCGAAGCCTGCCGCTTCTTGCGCCTGCTGATTTGCAATCAGAGTCTTGACAAAGCCTTCAACACCGTTGAGGTTCGCAGTGACGAATCTGATGTATGCAGTCTGCAGCGTAACAGCGGGATGTGCCTTGAATGTTGCGCTCATCAATACCGCATAGGAGGTGCCACCGCCTCGCATAGCGAAGAACAATCCCTGGTTACTGCACCGTGTAGCAGTCAAAACCTGTCCTTTGCCGGTGACCGCGGTAATACTGAGCACATTGTCAGAACCGAGACCGAGTGTATTGCTGAGAGCAGAGTGACCGACACCGGCAAGCCAGCCGCCTGTGATGCCGACGGTCTCAGAGCTTCCGCCAACGATGACTTTGTTATGGGAATCGGCAAAGTTGTAAGCGTCAATGAATTGGGTGCCGGCGCCCATAGTGATAGCAGATGTGGCCGTAGAAGCAGCGCAGCCGGATGCGACGTAGCTGTCAGAATACGTCAAAGCTTTGAGATTATGCATCCAGAGCATAAGTGAGTTGGGCGCCGAGCTACGACCTGCCATGCAGAGATCAGCTTGCCTGCTCACTAGTCATGACGTATACGACTGACCTTTGTAATCGTGACCGGTCGACTTGACGACGAGGGGTACGCCCGTGTATTGACTGAATGCCAGCGCAGCTTGCACATCTGAATTTTGCCTGACATCGATGTAGTACGACGGCACGCTACCTTGGTAGCATACTGCCGGCGGTGCGTAATACGTCGGGTCTTGAGGCAATAGGGAGTTCAGATTGCAGCTTTGTGAGGTCTTCAAGCACGCCGCCCAGTTCGGCTGATGGTAGCCAGCAGGTTGGTTGGAAATGCTCGGCGGATCTGTGTAGTCTGACTGCACCGTCTTGCAGCCACCAAGCAGATCCGGGGTCTGCACAACCGTTGACGTCCCGTTGTTGTATGCCGAATAGCAGGGTGAGGGCCATGGCTTGAGTGGGTACAGTCTCCCTCCAACGGCTGTCTTCAAGGCTGCCCATTCCTTTGGTGTCACCTTATTGATAGCAGCTGTGTTGCCGGATGTCGCATAGGATACTGGGGTTGCAGTACACCGAGCGCAGACGGCCACAATGGCTAGATACAGCGCAGTGGCTCTCATGATGCCACTAGCGACAGTGAGCTACAGTCTCGTCGATGAGGACGGAGAGATGCAGCCCCAACGAGTTGTTCAGTTTCTGAGACCCAGACAAAGGTACGGATAGCGTGGCAAAGCGTCTGTCGGCTCGCAAAGTCACCGGGGTTGAACCTTGTCCTTCTCCGCATTTTTTGCTCGGTTTGCAGATCGCTCGGAATTCGATCAAGATCATTCTCGTGTTCGCGACCCATGCTGATCATGTGCTCGTTACGTACACTCTTACAGTTCGGGCAGACCCCGAAAGGCCCTACTTAGTCTAAGATCGAAAGATATAGCTTGCCAGTAGTCTTGCGACCTTCCAGGTCGGAATGTGCTCGTTGAACGCCCTCTGTGGAGAGAGGGTAGCCGTTCTCTTCGTGTAGCTTGAGCTGAACGTGACCACCGGCGACGAGTGCGAACAGCTCCTCAGAATAATGCATGAACTCGTCTCGCGTCGCAATGTAGTTGCCAAGCGTCGGCCGGGTCAGCTTGATGTTCTTGCTTGCTAGCTTGAGCGGCGCAAAGGGAGGTACAGTGCCAGATGCGTTGCCGAAAGAGACGAGTGAGCCCTTGCGCGCCAAGACTTCGAAAGCGCTGTCAAAGGTAGCGCTCCCGATGCCATCGAAGACGACGTGAAAGCCAGCTCCGCCGGGCGTGAGTGCTTTGACTTGAGATGCGACTTGCTCGATTGGCGTAGAATGATACAGCACAACCTTCTCGGCACCGTTCTGACGGGCCAGCTCTGCTTGCTATCGTCAGCACGTACGTTGCGGTCGTCAGGTGGACCTGCCTGCTTTGTCCTCCGTCGAGACGGTGCCGATGACATGGACGCCAAGGTACTTCAGTATCTGACAGAGCAGCAGACCAGTGCCACCTGCGGCAGCATGTACGAGCGCATACTCGCCGGCTTTGACAGGATGAGCCTCTCGCACGAGCGTCAGAGCCGTCAAGCCTTGTAAAAGTATGGACGCTGCGTCGCGTGTCGAGAGATGGTCAGGAATCAATGCAGTCTTGTCAATGGGCACGAGGCAGTACTCTGCGTGGGCCCCATTGGACACGTAAGCTGCCACCCGACTGCCTATCTTGAAGTCCGCTGCTTTGTCCTCGTCGGGGTTCGGCGATAGGGCAACCACCACTCCCGCAGGTTCATTGCCTAGAATGACTGGCAGGGGAGTCTTGTAGATGCCTTTGCGGAAGTATGTCTCTATGAAGTTGATGCCGCTCGCTTCGACCTTGATGAGGATGTGGCCAGGCTTCGGTTGGGGCACCGGAACCTCGACGACTTGGAGCACATCGGGTCCGCCAAATTCGCTGACTTGCAGTGCCCTCATACGTTCGGGCAGCGCCATGGTGATCGATAAAGCCCTGAAGCCGGTGACAAGTTCACTGCCTGCCCTGCTGCGACCAGGCAGGACCGGTGTGTCACGTGCGAGATAGGCGCTAAGCGGTCGCGATAGAGTCGAGAGATGACGTGACCGCGTTCGACTGTGAGGAGAGTCATCGGTCTGGCTAGCAAGACATGGACAGCGACGGTAGCAGTCTGGGCAGATCGCTGTCGACGAGCACAAGCCAGCCCAAGGCGAACGACGCCACGTTCTCAGAGATCCGCAACGTGACGCTCGAATGGAAGCTGAATGACCTCAAGAAACTGTTTGAATCCTCAAGAGGCGAGACAAAGAGTCGCTGTGTCAAGTCTGCCTTGTTCGGCGGTGGACAATGGCAGCTGCTCTTCTATGCCAATGCCGGAGGGACAAGCTCTGCGCAAGGCACGGGCGACCTCACTAGCAATCAGTATTGCGCGCTGTATCTCTCTGGCGAGCCCACGGCAGAGGAGGTGAGTCACTGCGCTGCTTTCCAGCAGTCCGAGCTTACTCACTGTGCAGCGCGAGCGAGGAGTACGAGAAGCCGTACTGAATGGCGGAAACGCGCCCGCATGGCGACGAGATGGTCTCTTCAAGTTCTCATTTGAAGTCAAGTCAGTCAGCCGGTCGACGGTCTACAAGTCGATGGAAGCAGCAGATCACGAGTTTTCCGCCACTGCCCGTAACTGGGGCTGGTCAAACTTCTGGAAACGCGGCGAAGCCTACTTTAACAATGCATCTGTCAAAGCGGTTGACTCGTTCATCATCAGCTGCAGCATCACCTTCTCGCCTGCACCGCCTAGCGCAGCAAGTCCTCTGCTCGGCAAGCGATTCATTCCCCAAGAACTCGTCGATGCATATGCCTCGCTCTTCGACGACGCCCTGTACTCAGATGTCGTGTTTGTCATGCCTACCGGACGAAAACTCTATGCCTCGAAGAAGATCCTCACAATCCGATCAGAGTACTTTGCTAGCATGCTCTCTGGCGATTTCGCCGAGTCATTCCCGCCTGATCGCCATCTGTTTCACCCATCCGACCTCACTGCAGATCGCCAAGACGATTACATTGAAGACGACGAGGAGTCTGAATGGATGTGCAACGACAGCGACGATCCACCGGTCTATGCGGACACTTCGCGCCATCGCCAAGCTACTGACAGGGATACTACACCTTCACAGGAGCCCAGAGAGCGGCAAGAGTCCCAGCAGTCGGATGTCAGCTTCCGATCCACCGAAGCCTCCTCCCACGATGAAGCTACTGCGAGCGCTGTCGATGCTGCTACTACTCCGCATGCCACAGGTCCGGCACGTTCGCAAGTCTTTGTGACCGATGCCCTCTACGCCAATTATCGCGCCTTGCTCTTCTACCTCTACACTGTGGGTCCGCAAACTTGATTCGGACTTTGACTGAAAGAAGCGCAGGACAACATCACCTTTGCACCGCTCAGCAGCAATTACTATGCAGCACGATTGGCGGCACTCGAATCAGGCCAAGCATTTCCTTATTCAAGTCGGGATCATTATGTGCACAAGACCGCAACTCGAGCGCCCGTCTATGGCATCGGTCGGACTGTGCAGCAGCCTCTCTGCTCTGCCAAAGCCATCTATCGCCTCGCTGACAGTAAGATGCTCGGTTTTGTTCAGAACACAGGCGCTCATATCCTTGCGGGCAGAGCTTGGTCTACCAGAGCTCAAGCATCGCGCTTTCGATCATATCATCGGCAGCTTGACGGTCGAGACCGTCTGTGCAGAAGCCTTTTCGGCCTTTTCTGCTCAGTTCCCAGAACTTCAGAAGGTGCAAGTCGATTACCTCAGCTCACGATGGGTATGCTGCCTGCATTTCAGTGTTACAGATGCTGATCGGAGCATCGACAGAGCGAAGTGCGAACATCGCGCAGTATGACGAAAGCTCTCGCCAGCTTGCGCTCTCCACATCACGCCGGCGTCTTGCCCGCATTCGAGCAGGTCTTCTCGACACTGCTGTCAAAGCTCGACTTTTCTACGCGCGCAACCGATGCCAGCATGTGATGCCATGCCGGTCGCTAGCGTTATGTGCGCTGCCTCATCGGTCACAAGTACATCAACGACAGTCGAGCCACTCGGTCCACCTGCTCGTACCCGCGCGGATTCTGGACAGGCGACGCCCTCGCGCCTGTGCTGCCCAGCCTGAGCATCTTTGTCAAGCCCACGTTCGCAGTGATCGTCTTCACGGCTCGGATATGACACGCTCCTTCTACCTCGCCTAGAAGTGAGGATCAGTCAGATAATGCTGTAGACATATTGGTTGCGGATGTCTGACAAGGTTTCATGTTGGAGAGTCATAGTCTGCATGCTCTCGGGGAAGTACGTCGATCGTGTGTGATCGCCCTGTCGAGACGACAGCCTACGCATCCGGCTGATCGCAGTGGCTGGTCATCAAGCCGCCGACGGATTTGTCTGCGCACGCGCTCGCACTCGGTCTACACCACGCATCGTACAATTCTGCATTTTGTCTAGATGACCTTCTCGATCATGGTGATGCCCTCTGCCTCGACTGCCTCTAGCAAAGGCGTGACGATGTCCATAGAGTATGGCGCCAGGATACCTGGCGTCTTGATGACTCCGTCCAGTACTTGCTGAACAGCGATACCGCAAGGCACACCGACGAGCTTAGCCATCGAAGAGGTGCCGTAGGGCACGCCAAAGTCGAGCAAAGTCGACGTGCGAGTTTCCTGCGAACGATGTTAGCCACTAGATCGCATGTTGGGCAAGCTGGAGCGCACCTTTGAACCGTCCTTGTTCTCGACATAGAACTTATGTTGCAGGCAGACCATGTCTCGCTCGCCTTGCTCGTACTGCATCTTCTGCTCGAGCGTGGCGCACAGCGTGTCAAGCAGGTTCTCCCGTGGGATGACCGTGTCGGATGAGAGGAGGCCGAGCCACCTCAGACCGCCAAGAATTCGCTCCTCTTCTGCCTTGTTGGGGAATTGGGCGAGCTGGACAATCTTCTCTGCTAGTGCAGCGTCGGTCGAGCCAGATGCACCAATCGTCTTGGCAGTGACCTCATTCCAGCTGATGGATGCGCCCTTTTGGAGGTAGTCCTTGCTATCTGAGCTCAAGAAACCGATGTTGACGAGCGTCTTGATGAATTGAGGGAAACCTTGGTAGCGAAGCGTGCCTCTGATGACTGTACCTGCTTCGGGAATGTTGTACTTCTCTCTGAAGCCAGTCGAGTCTCTGTTCGGGTAGCAGACGAACGCGAAGGCGGGCGAGATGAAGTAGGGCGCAGCATGCTGCATGAGTTCTTGACCATCAATCTCTACTAGCTTGCCCTCTGAGTACAGCTTAGCGCTGTTGAGCAACGCGAGCAAGACACCCCGGGACGACCAAGAGAATTTGTAGCCCAGAGGGTTGTCGGCAGCCTCGGGTGCAGGCAAACCACCGCAGTAAGACAAGAAACCGGTGATCTTGCCGCCGGCTCGGTGTACTTCGTCGATCGTCTTGACGGCGTAGAGATGATCGATTCCGGGATCGAGGCCGATCTCGTTCATGACGACGATGCCAGCCTTTTTAGCATCTGCTTCGAGCTCTTTCATGGCGTCAGAGACATAGCTGGTGGTGACGACATTTTTCTTTGCTTTGATGGCTGCCTTGATGACAGCGGCATGGAATGTATAAGGGATGAGCGAGATGACGAGATCGTGTTCGGCAACGGCGGCTTCCAGCGCGGCCGCATCCGATACATCGAGCGAGATTGCCTTTGCTTCACGGGACAGCTGAGCAGCAAGAGCTTGTGCTGTCTTCACGTTACGGCATGCTATCGTGAGCGAGTTCTCCGGTCGGCGGAGGACATAATCGGCAGCAGGCTGGGCAACGAAGCCCGAACCGAGCAAGAGAATCTTCTTCGAGCCACTGGACGAGCTGGCTGTCTTCTTGGCCACCTTGGCTGCTTCTACAGGCTTGCGCACAAACTCTGGCAGGACGAAGGAAGCACGGTGGACGGTTGGATTCCAGTAGCGCGTGTCGCGAATGGTGACGAGGGGCGATCGCAAGTCACGCTTGGGGTCGAGAGAGCAAACGATGAAGCCAATAGTGCCAGAGGGATAGGTCGGGATGGAGGTATAAGCGTACTCAACAACAGGAAAGAGCGTCTTGGTGTCCTGCACGAGTTGAGAGATGAGAGGCAGATGGAGCCAGATGCATTCTGCCTGAGTGGAGATTGCGCCGCCAGGCTTGAGTGAGTCGCGTAGAAGCTCGAAGTAGGGCTTCTGGAAGAGCGAGTTGGCGGGACCGACAGGGTCTGAGGAATCAGTGGTGATGACGTCGAACTTGGCCTTGTTGTTCTTGAGATACTCGAATCCATCGCCAATGATGACTTCCACACGGGGATCATTGAATCCTGCAGCCATGCCTGGCAGGTAGAGCTTCGACACGCGAGGGACGGCTTCGTCAATGTCGACGAGGATGGCCCGCTTGACGCTGGGATGCTTGAGCACTTCGCGCAAGACGCCGCCGTCACCGCCGCCTACGACGAGCACATCTTGGGGATCAGGATGAGAAGCGAGTGGCAAGAAGGCGATCATCTCTTGGTAAGAAAACTCATCTCTCTCTGTGGCCTGAATGGCTCCATCCTGCATGAGTAGCAAGTTTTCAGGATAGCGACGACGGGAGTAGCCTAAGAGCTGCGTACGAGAACGAGAACGTTGCCATAGTCTGTGCTCTTGAAGACGAGCACGTCTTGGAACTTGCTCTTCTCGACATGTAGCACCTGCCCGCACGAATCAGTCCACGCCTAGCTTGCAGCGGCGTGAGCTCTTTTTACTTTTTCGACTTGCAAGCTCATTGCTTGTCCTGGCCATTGCGACGATCTCTCGTGGAACCAGCCTGCAAATATACTCATCAGTAGCGTATCGATGTACGAGTGGCAGACTGACCATCAACGATGCCCGGATGACTGAGCTCGGCCATTGGTTCGAGCTTTTGTGGCTCTCGCTTTCTCGGCTTTCCTTTCGGCGGCAACGCGACGCTGAGGTCATCAGCGGCCAGCTGCAGATCCAAGCGCAGCCTCCATCAGCCTCCAACGCATCCATGTCCGCACCCATAGCATGGCATCACATGCAAGTCGTCAAGCTCGCGGCTTCTGTCCGCACACTCACGCCTCGTCGAGCCACAGATTGAAATACATCATCGTCGGCAACTCTGGCTGCGGCAAGTCATCCATCCTCGTCCAACTCACCGACAAGAGATTCTTGGGCGCAGGGGCCGATCCTACTGTACGTCGTGTATGCCGGTGTCGACGCAGGGCCGGTCCCTGATTGAAGCTGCAGATTGGCGTTGAATATGGTTCGAGCATCGTCGAGCTACCGAACGGCAAGCTCTGCAAGATTCAGATATGGGACACCGTACGCCTTTGCTTGTACGCTCGAGTGATCCGAGGCTGACAGGGCGATGCAGGCGGGCCAAGAGTCGTTCAGATCGATCACCCGGTCATACTATCGGGGTGAGCGAGAGATGATCTCGAACGATCAGCAACTATCAGCTGACGAAAGATCACAGGAGCCGAAGGAGCACTGCTCGTCTTTGACGTCACTCATCGGTCCAGCTTCCTGGCCCTGCAAGGCTGGCTAGACGATCTCAGGACATGGGGCGAGGAGGGCATCACCATCCTCGTTGTCGGCAACAAGGGTGAGCCTGCACGCGCCCACGGTCCTCACAGGCCAGTCTGACGCTGCGATAGTCGACCTCGTAGAGCGGGCGGCAGAGAATGGGCGGCAAGGGGCAAGCGAGTCTGTAAAGCGCGAAGTGAGCGAGAATGAAGCGAGGGAATGGGCGCAGAACGAAGGACTCGAGTATCTCGAGACGAGCGCAAAGACGGGCGAGAACGTCGAGCGAGTCCGTCCAGAGCATACTCGATGGCAGACCCAGCTGACGATGGGGACGAGCAGGCTTTCAAACAAACTGCGACAGAGATACATGCCAAGATCGAGAAGAGGAAGATCAAAGACCGCGCGAGAGGAGGAGGGTCGAGCTTCCCTCTGACTACCGGAGCGAGTCAGGCAGCCAAAGGGTGCTGCTGAGAACGAGTCCCCTACACCGTGCCCTGATAGTATTTCCTGCAGATGTTGTATCCTCTTGTTTTCATCTCATACCTCGCGACGCTCTCGAAGCGGACAGAGGCGCAGTGTCCGCATACAATGCACGACAGTCCTTGCATTGGCTTATGCGAGCCTAGTGACCGTCTAATGTCCTTCCACCGGCGGCTTGACCCAAGTCTGCACGCCAGCAGTCGTGAGCACAATCCACGCAGCTCCGAGGAGTCTCGGCTTGCCTGTTCGCCTGCTTTACCGGCCTTCCATTCTTGGTACCTCAGACTGATATCGCCCCTTCGTTCGGCTTTGACTCGTGCATCCTCCTTCAATGCTTGTCGGGTCGCCCGCGCCGTGATAGAGATCCACTTGTTGAAGCTGTTGCTCGATACTATTCAGATCATGCTCTTTCATCAGAGTAGCTGCTCGCTCACCTCAGTGTGCCTCGTGCCATCTCCTTTGTAAGCCTTGCTGGGATGTCGTCGGCCGCCGAAGGCCTAAAGCTGTCGTTCCGCTACTTACTGTCTTGCTCGTCACGCTTTCGACATTTCGACGCCCGGAAGCCCGACATCACTCCTCAGCCAGCTCTCACGCCTTCGCCCATGTCCCGAATCGTCATATTCGGCTTGGGATGTGCGCTAGGAGCAGGCGCAGCTGCAATTGCAAATTCTCGGTCGGCGGGCTCAAGCAAAGGCAAAGAAAGAGCTCCTGAGCCGGCTCGAAACGCGTCAACGAGCACAGAGCTCAGTGTGAGAACATCGAGCGAGCTCTTCAAATTTGGCTACCCCGGTACGTGCCTGTGTGATACGTCTGACACGGGCGCTGACGCATGCGCAGGACCTATCGGAGATTTGCTGAGGAGACAAGCCTACGTTGCAGCTTATGATCGCGTTCGCCGTCATCCGGCATGGGTGCGCGGCCCGTGCGTTTACTCGATCTTGAGCTTAGCCATGGCTGTGATTAGACAGCGGAACATCTGACCGCAGATAACATACGCTCGCCAGAGGGCAACAGACCGGATCGCAAAGACTCGTTCTTCCATGAAGATATCGATATCCCAGAGCGATTCAGAGCCCGACTATCAGATTGTACGTCTCCAGCGTGTACCGGCATGCTCAACGTCATTCATGCACGATTTTCGTATAGATCAGCGCAGCGGCTATGATCGCGGTCACATGGTACCGGCTGCAGATGCTCGAGCAAGCCAAGATGCGCTCAATGAGACTTTCAAGCTTTCTAATATTGCGCCTCAAGTCGGCGAGGGATTCAATCGTGACTGTGAGGCATATTCCTATTGCGCACCGGAGCAGAAGCTGACACCGACACAGATTGGGCATGGCTCGAATCGTATTGCCGGAATCTGACGTCGAGCTTTCAAGATGTCTACATCTTTACGATTCCGCTCTATATACCCAAGCGCGAGCTAGACGGCAAATATCGCGTCGTACGTCCTGGCGCTCTGACGGCGACCGGGGTCTGATCGGTGAGCAGACGTACGAAGTCATCGGACCGCCCGACCAGATGCCAAATGTGTCTGTGCCGACTCACTTTGCAAAAGTAGGTCATCGAGATGCGATGGAGCATACACTGACAACAGATGCAGGTCATTCTTGCTGCCAAAGCACCTGGCGCGTTCGCTGGCGGCGAGACTAGCCTTGCTGCATTCGTTCTGCCCAATGCGCCAATACCGGAGACGCAAAGACTAGAAAGCTTCATCGTGCCAGGTCTGTCTGTGCGCATGACGGTGCAGAGTAAGCTGACAGGCATGCAGTCGACGCTGTCGAGAGAGCAGCCGGCATGACGCTCTTCAATGACGACATCAAAGCACGATCGAAACATCTCTGCGCAACAGTCTCTTGCCAGCTCGTCATTCGCAAGTTCAACGAAGCTGGCAAGTTGATTGAAGGACCCAAACCACGTCGTCAGATATCGGACGCAAGGTAGCGGTACCGGCTCGCGCGATCTGGGTCGACCAAAATGAGCTGCTCGAGATGGGATCCGATCTCTTCGCCTAGAGAGTCATGCTCTTCGCCACTGTGCAGTTTCCGTAGCAAACTTTTGTTGTGTACTAGCGATTCTAGTGCCCCTGCACTGCATTGCATTAGCATCATTCGCGATGATCCACTGCTGACTTGCACCGGCTGTCGGGATCGATCTCGCGCAAGTCAGATACTGCGTCAATCTCACGACGGAGCAATGCCTCATTTTCGCCCTTACCGATCAGCCAGCGGTGGTAGATCCAGGCAGACTGATCTTCCGGGTCCGTGTATATGGCTTGTCTGACCAAGTCGAATTCTGCTCGCGCGTGAGCTCGCGCAGGAAAGGTATGGCAGGGCATACCCCTGTCAAGTCCATCATCGAGCTGCAAGCGCGAGAGCACCTTGGAACGATAGTGCCATGCAGAGAAGTTTGAGAAGGAGGAGGCGATCTTGCGAGTTGTAAAGTCAAACTCGGACTGGTCGGTCACTGCAGGTCGCTTGACCGTAGTACCGTTCGGCGCGTTTCGTTCTCTGAGGTTGTCTACAATGTAGCGCCGGTAGTCCCATCCGTGAACTGTCCATAAATCAGATACGTTAGCCTGATGCGCCTGATCAACTCACAATTTCGCGCATCCTGCATGAGCAGTCGTTCGACCGTCTTCAGCTCGTAGGACCAATCTGGGTCCGGCATGACCTTGAGGAGCCACTTGCGGTACTCCCAGACGGCATAGATCTTGGGATTATACGCCAGAGCTTTCATGGTCAGCTGTAGGTCTTGCGTCAGTCTGGCTTGCTTGTCTCCGTCTGATCTGCTCTGACTTGTAAGCTGGCGCGACTGCCGAGTGACGCATGAGCGTACTTGAGCATGGCGAGCCAGCAACGTCGTCTGTGGTTCCATCCGGTGACAAAGTCCGGATTGATCTCGAGAATGCTCGTGGTCAGGTCGAGCGCGGATTCATCGTGAGCGGCCTGTCTGGTAGTGAGCAACGCGTGGGTGACCAGTTGAGGCGGTTGTACCTTGCTGAGCGAGTCGAGGAGGGTTTTGTATCGTACGATCCGGGCGGCCTCTTCCTTATGTCGTTCTTGTGCAGCTGCATCGCTCTCCTTGACCTTTGACCGTTTGACGCCGTGGTTCTCCATGCGACACGGCACAGGCAGTCTGCTGCTGCCGAGGGATCGCGACAATTTGACAATTGACATTGACTTTGCGAAATCCGATGACCAGCTTTCGCTCAGCTAGCTCGCTCTCATGACAGTCACAGATTGGCCCAGACGATGGCCAGATCGTCAGGTCGATGTCGCATCGGATCGTGGCAGCATAGAGCAGACTTTAGCACTCACCAAGCACAATATCTGGACAACAGAGCAATTGCTCGAATTGGCCTTTGCGATCGCCTTGCGAGCTCATGCAGATAGCGAACAAGTCTCATTCGATGTATACAGCGAATCTCTATCGACTTTTGTCCGCAAAGAGGCAGCATTGCACCCTGAAGCAGCATTACAGGCAGTCTCGGATGAGCTCAAATGCAGCAATGCTGTACAACCGGACGAACAGCCACGTTGCTGCTTCGTCACTGGTGCGCATGCCCAGCAAACCTCTCTGGATAAGTATTGGGTCGCTATCTCGGCTGACGTCTCAGCATCCAAGGCTGTCTTGTCGTGCTCCTTTCGGGTCGATCTCGTCGAAGAGCAGGAGGCGAGCTGGTTTATGCAGCATCTCGTACAAGCACATGAAGGATTGTACAGACTGCAGCCGGACAGCAGGATCTCGAATCTCAGTCTGGTCTCGAGCAAAGAGAAGGAGCACATCATGCAATCTACCTTTGACAAATCAGCCGACCAGCCAAATTATTACAATGGCTGCAGCACGCTCCCGGATCTCCTGCAGAGATCTGTCCGAGCAGACCCAAGTGGCATAGCCCTGTCTTATCTTGACCCTTCAGATCCCAACAGCGCGCGAGATGTCACCTTTGAGGAGCTCGAGCGCCTTGTGCACTCGCTCGCACGTGAGCTGCAACAACAAGGTGTTCGACCGGGTCATGTCGTACCCATTTGCCTGCCCAAGAGCGTAGAAATGGTTGTCAGCATGCTCTCAGTCGCACATGCTGGTGCGGCATACGTTTGTTTCGAGCAAGACATGCCCGCCGAACGCATCGATGCCATCCTGGACGAGCTCGAGTCTGCCGACTCGCCTGCACTCGCCGGACTGAAGCTCAGTGTTGCCCTTATGCAAGCCTGTGCGGCTACTGCCAAGCTTGAGAAACGCTTGACGCCTATTGATCCCGCTAAGATCAAACTGTCAGATAAGGACGAAGCGCAGCTCCCGAGCATAGAGCCATCGTCCGCCTGCTATATCATCTACACATCCGGCTCATCTGGCAAGCCAAAAGGCATCATAGTATCGCATTCAAACGTCGCTGCTTTTCTCGATAATTACAGAGGCGTCTTTCAGCGGGCGCCCGGACGAAGAGTCTTGCAGTTTGCAAGTTATGGCTTCGATGTCATCGTTATGAGTGTCTTTGACACCCTTGCAGTAAGTCCGTCGTCCTTCACTCAATGCAAATCTGAGAGGTCTGCAGCACGGTGCCACCGTCTGTTTAGCACCAAAGCATGCCCTGAGAGCCGATCTGGCCGGCACGATCGAAGCTCTACGGTGCACAAACGCTGATCTGACGCCGACCGTATCTTCGCTGCTCATTGAGGCATGGCCGGGCGAAGGTCTGGAAGGACAGCAACTTGTAAGGGAATACCAGGCCATCAGCCCGCTTCGCTATCTCGGCACCGGCGCCGAAGCCGTGCCAGTGAGTTTAACGCGGCAATGGCTCGCACGCGGCGTCACTGTGCTCAATGTGAGTCATGAGCCCTCATTGCCATACCCCGGCTGACCATGAAGATATGCATAGGACTATGGACCCAGCGAGACGACGGTCGGCGTCATCTCATGCTTCTCGGTGGATTCGGTCGATTCACGAGGCCATATCGGAAGACCTGTGGGCAAGAACCGTATTCTGCTTCTGGACGAGGACCTACAACTCGTTCCATTCGGATGTGTGGGTGAGATCTGTGTTGGCGGCGCACAGGTATCGCAAGGCTATGCTCAGAAGTCACTCAACGAGGGCGTCTTTGTCGAGCATCCTGAATTTGGTCGACTCTACAGGACTGGCGATCTCGGCCGCTATCTGGCAGACGGCAACTGCTCGATCCAATGCCTCGGTCGTAAAGACTTTCAGGTGAAGATCAGTGGCCTCAGGATCGAAGTTGGCGAGATTGAGAAGCACATCAGCTCATCTTTGCACGAAGACATAGTCAAATCTGTCGTCGACAAGGTCGAGGGCGACAAGCTGCGAGCGTCACTCGTGGCAATCGTCCAGCTGCAGTCGTACTCCGAAGCGGCCGAGGAAGAGTCTGCTTTATGCAGACTAGAGTCGTCACGGTCAGATCTGGTTGAGCTTGCACGCAATGCGCTTCAGGAGCGCTTGCCGAGCTATATGGTCCCGAACCATTGGCTGCAGATATCGAACTTTCCGACACAGCCTTCGGGCAAGACAGACCGCAAGCGAGTCAGACAGCTCGCACTCGAGGCTCTCTCACGCGGTAAGCCCAGAGACAACGGCAGAGAGATGCATGTTCAGCTTGATCAAAGCGGCGAGGAGATTCGGGCTCTCTGGTCACAGATCTTGCGCATTTCGCCAGCAGAAGTCAGTCCGGAAGACGACTTTGTGCGATTAGGCGGGGATTCAATCGGCTTCATTCGACTGATAGGACTCTTGCGCAAAGCTGGCTACGCCGTATCGTTCTCGGACCTCGTGGAGTGTCGCAACCTTGCGCAGTGCATCAATATATGCAAGAGTGCCAAAGGCGCGCTTCAAGATCGCTACGAGCCTTTCTCGCTCTTCGACGGAGCAGAAAAGGAGCAAGTATATACTGAACTTCAGCAAGAATACAATATCGGGCGTGATGATATAGAGGACATCTGTCCTACTTCGCCCACACAGGATTCTTTGCTGTCAGCCGGAATGGACAGTACGCACTACTATGCGCAAGCCACGTACTCGATTGATCAGCGGATTGATCTACCGCGGCTGCAAAGTGCGATTGGCGATCTTGTGAAGGGACAAGCTATGCTCCGCACAGTCTTTGTCGTTATCGATGCGCTGCGATCAACGCATCAGATTGTACTCAGTCCGAGGCATGCAGAGGTCGGGAAAGCTATGTGTCACATGGAACGCTGTCAATCCGATTCACATTTGGATGATGCGCTTGAGCAATATCGCAAGCGCGACAGAGAGGCATCTGTCTTTCAATTTGGCCGGCTTCATCTCCGCCTCAAAATATTCGCATCGTCTTCGCGCAGCATGCTCGTCTGGTCAATGCACCACGCCATGAGCGATGGCTGGACCCTCGATCTCCTGCAAGACGATCTTCAGGCTCTGTATGCACAACGCCCGGTAATCGATCGGCCTCCGTATGGGGATTTTGTCCGCTGGTGGTCAAGTCCTGCAGATGAGGAGACAAGGTCTTATTGGCAGCGGCAACTTGAGCATCATCAGAAACCAAGCTGGCCAGCTGCTGGTGACGTGACAGAGTTCAACACGTCTCAAGTGGCAAGTCGTACTTGGCGAGGCAGGCTGAAGGACTTTACCCACGCTTCCGGCATAACAAGCGCTATACTCACACGAGGGGTTGTCGGACTGGCCATTCAGAGGCGCTGCAAGACCAGTCACATCTCATTGGGCATAGTGAGATCGGGCAGGGATGTTGACATTACCGGTGGCGATGCGCTCATCGGCGCTTGTGTCTCTGTGTTGCCAGCTCGATTTGACAGTTCGACGAGCAGGACACGACGCGAATTGCTCGAAAGCCTACAAATAGAAGATAGACAGGCGCGCAAGCACCAAAAGATGACTTTGCCTGAATTGGCGCGTCTCGCTGGCAATCTGGACAGACGCAGTATGTTCACCACCCTGGTCACCTTTCAGTCGCTTGCAGATCGATCCGGCGATGACTCGGAGCAGATCAGACCGATATCCGAACCGCCTGAACACATCGTCATGCCCACAAGCTATCTATTATCAGTCGAGATCACCCCGAGTGCAGTCGATCAGCTCGATTGGCATTGCTACTACGACGGCTCCGTTCTCGAGCTGTCTGAAGTCGAGCAACTGCTAGAAGACTTTTGCACAATCACAGATGATATCCTTTCTGATCCCGATAGCGCGCTGGCACGATTTACAGACGCACCTGCCAGCGTCTCAAATGGTCAGGACACGCACCCAGCAAAGAATGATAGACAAGCAAAAGCGCAGAGCGCAACAATCGCAAAAGTCAAGCCTATCTGGGCACAAGTTCTGCAGATGGACGAATCGCAAATAGATAGCAACGCAACATTCACCTCGCTCGGCGGCGATTCAGTCTCAATGATGAGATTGTCCGTGCGGCTCAAGAGAGCGCAGCTAACGGTCCCTCTGACGAAACTTGTCGATTTAGACACCATCGAGAAGTTGTCCTTGTACCTAGAAAGCCAGTAAAACTTCGCATGCACAAGCTTCTCGAACCACGTCTAGCGATGCAAATAATATATCGTATGACACTTCGTGCATGCTTTATGAACTGCTCTAGTTCTTGCTCATTCTCTGTCGCATCTCCTCCTGCAAAGACGGAGGCTGTGAGCACTCTTGTAAGGTTGGCTTCCAGGAAGCGCACCTGGTCGTCTAGCTGCTGCTTTGACGGCTGCTGCGAAGTGCCCTTGTTCTGTAGATCATGTTGCTGACCGTCTTGCTCATCGTGGTGAGCGTTCTCGACGTTCTGGAGACTTATATAAGCTCCAACTTATGCTGCACATACGAGTCTCACTTTGGGTGGATCATTGACGTAGTCTAAAGGCGCCAAAGCTGGTCAATTCGAGTAAAGAGCCGACGGCAGATGACTGACCGTCTGCGATGTTATGATCGGTGGTCTCTGGCTTTCCTACTACGACTGATGTCTTCTTGAAGCTCGCGTCATCTGTGTTCCGGCCGCCTTGCGGGAAATCTGTTGCGTCGCCTGCTGACATCTTCTACTGCGTGCCTTTCGTTCGGCTCGTGATGACGCGATGACGCATCGATGGAAAGGCATGTGACACTTACTGCAGGGGTGCGCGCCTGGTCATAGTCGCGCCGCGCTCTTCTACGGCGGACGATATGGCGGACGATGGTCCTGAGATCGATGTGCCAACCTTTTACCGTCGCTTACGGCGGCTACGACAAGCTTGGAAGGATCCCAGTGGCAAGTTGCCGGACCTCAGCCTTGCAAAGCGGCAAGGACGCTCTGCACGCGCCTGACTCGGATGCTCTCTTCTGCTGTGTGCAGCGCTGACGCTTTATGCAGTCGATATCGACCTCACTAGCACCGATGCTGTGCTCCTGGTCGCTGGCGGATCTGACGAAGCGAATCCGTATCGCAAGACAACGTCAATGCAGGCAAGTCTTACGGGCGCAGATCCTGACCCGCTGGAGCGAGACCGCCCCTGGCCATGTAGTGAACAGTGCTGATGCTAACCGGTCCAGACCTGGCTGCTCGGCTACGAATTTCCCTCGACCCTAATTTTGTTCGAACCTGATAAGATCACTATCCTCGGCTCCAGCACAAAGAGTAAGCCTCCTCGCTCGATCTTGCAGCACGTAGCTCATCGCATGTTGCGCAGTCAAGATCCTTAATCCTATTAAGACTTTGCCGGACGAAACAGATGCAGATGACCGCGTCGAGATCGAATTGCTAGCTAGGTCAAAGGACGAAAGCCACAATGCGTCGCTCTGGCAGAAGATCACCGACGCCATTGCCAAAGTCAGTCTGATTGCAACAGCATAGTCGAGGTGCTGACGAAAATCGGCAATTGCAGAAACGCGTCGGTCAAGTACCGAAAGATGTCCATACCGGCAAATTCGTAGACGAATGGGAACGATCGCTAAAGTCAGCTGATACGAGCCATACCGTGGTCGATGTCGCGAATACTCTCGCGTCCATTTACTCCGTCAAGGAAGAAGACGAACTCGTAAATCAGTTGACATGTCTTCCCTCGCTGAGCTAATACCTCTTTGCAGACAAATGAGCGCATCGCCGCCAAAATGAGCAGTCATCTCATGGTCAAATTTGCAGACGAAATGACGAGCATCATCGACCAAGAGCAGAAAGTCTCGCACGAAAAACTTGCCAGCCGCATAGAGGCTATGCTCGAAGACCAAAAAGCTTGGAAGAAATTCGATATCGGCCCTGATGTGGGTCTCTATCGAGCCTCGTAGACCATGGCTGACGGCCCTCGTGCAGGCTCAGATTGACTATACGCTGGCCGATTGGTGCTTCACGCCTATCATCCAATCAGGCGGCTCATACGATCTCAAGGCTTCGGCTCAGTCAGATGAAGAGAGACTTAGAGCGGGCGTCATACTATGCTCGCTTGGCGTGAGATACAAGTCATACTGCTCCAACGTTTCGCGCACCTTTATGATCGACCCCGCCAAGGCGAGCATCTCTTGAATCGCTTATAACGGCAAGCTGATTTCGTCAACACCTCAGGCGCAAGAGGAAGCTTATGTCACTCTCCTTGACTTGCAAAAGACTGTCATGGCAGAGCTGAAGCCTGGCGCGACGACTAAAGATGTGTACCTCGCCGCACAAGCGCTCGTAAAAGAGCGATTGCCTGACATTGCGCCTCACTTTGTCAAGAATATTGGCTTCGCGGTAGGCTCATCCTACCTTTTCCACTGTGCAACTGCTGATCACGCATGATGAACAGACTGGACTCGAGTTCAGGGAGGGTTCATACGTGCTTGGGCCAAAAGGAAACAAAGTGCTCAAAGAAGGCATGACGTTCAACCTTGCGCTCGGCTTTGCGGACATTCCAGATCCTAAAGACTTGAAGAGAACGTGAGTTGCATTTGCTCTCATTTCCTGTCCGTATTTGATGGTGTGACATATGCAGGTATGCCCTCTTACTATCGGACACAGTACATATTGGCAAAGACGGCGCGAGTGCAATCTCAGATGGCATGAAGTCAAAAGCCGAGATCTGTCTTTATTTCAGCGCAGAGGATACGCCGAAGATGAAGTCAAAGCAACCCACAAACGGCAAGGCCGAGACTCCCAGCAAGCGCGGTGTAGTGAAGACTCGCACGCGAAACGAAGGACGCGAAGTAGATGATACCTCGCTGAGGCTGCGTGAGCAACATCAAGCCGAGCTCGCCGCCAAGCGACAGCAAGAAGGCCTCGAACGTTTCAGGGGCGACAGAGGTCCAGAACTACTTCAAGAAAAGAAATGGAAACGTTTCGACTCATATCCTCGCGAGCATCTACTCCCAGATGCAATTGCCAGCCAGAACATCCACGTCGACTACAGACGGCATACTGTCATTCTCCCGATAAATGGCTATGCGGTTCCCTTCCATGTCAACACGCTCAAGAGTACGATCAAGCAGGAAGAGGGCGAGTGGACTCATCTGCGCTTTCTCTTCGTCACACCGGGCCAGATCACTGGCAAGAAGGAAGACACCCCCTTCGAGGATGTCGGCGCAAACTTCATTCGAGGCGTAACATATCGAAGCATGGACGGCACTCGATTTGCAGAGCTACACAAAGAAGTGACTGAGCTCAAGAAGGCAGCCGTCAAGCGCGAGAACGAAAAGAAAGAGATGGCAGATCTTGTTGATTTGGAAGACCTCATCCCAGAGAAGCGCCCGCAGAAGCTCCCGGATGTGTGGCTCCGGCCGCCATTCGAAGGCAAGCGGTCTACGGGTACCGTCGAGCTACACCAGAATGGCATCCGCTGGTCATCAGATGCGCGCTCCGATCAGAAGCTGGACATTCCCTTCAACAACATCAAGCATCTCTTCTTCCAGCCTTGCGACCACGAGCTCATTGTGCTGGTTCACTGTCATCTCAAGTCGCCCATCTTGGTGGGTAAGAAGAAGACGCGCGACGTACAATTTTACAGGGAAGCGTCCGATGCAGCGTTCGAAGAGACTGGTAACCGGAAGCGGAGGCGCATGGCGGGTGATGAGGACGAAATCGAGAACGAGCAAGAGGAGCGCAGGATCCGCGCAAGACTTAATCGCGAATTCAAGCAATACGCTGATAAGATTGCCGAAGCCTCTAACGGCAGGATCGATGTCGATGGCGCATTCCGTGAGCTCAGCTTCAGCGGCGTGCCATTCAAGAGCAATGTCCTGCTCCAGCCGACAACAGACTGTCTCGTTCACCTGACAGACTCGCCTTTCCTGGTTGTCACGCTCGCCGATGTCGAGGTAGCTCATCTTGAGCGTGTTCAGTTCGGTCTCAAAAACTTCGATCTCGTCTTTGTCCTGCGCGACTTCTCGAAGCCGCCCATACACATCAACACAATTCCGATGCAGCAGCTAGAGGCCGTTAAGAGCTGGCTCGACTCTGTCGACATCGCATACAGCGAAGGTCCGGTCAATCTCAGCTGGCCACAGGTCATGCGCAGCGTTACCGAAGATCCATACGAGTTCTTCAAGGAAGGCGGTTGGAGCTTCCTCGGAGGCGGCGAAGCATCAGTCAGTCTTGCTTCTCCCATATGCACTCATGTCTGACGCATGACATTGCGCAGGAGACAGAGAGTGGCACAGACTCCGAAGACGGTAGTGCGTTCGAGGCAAGCGACCTGGAGAGCAGCGACGATCCCGATAGTGGCAGCGCGTTCTCTGAAGACTCGTCTGCTGGTGAAGAGACGCCGAGCGGCAGCGATATTGGCAGCGAAGATGAGAGCGACGAGGGATCAGTCGAGTCTAGACCGAAGGGCAAGTCCAAGAAACGTTGATATCATCAGATGCATCTCTATCGCGATGCCAAACGCCTCGTGAATTGAATGAGCGCTTGCCGTCGCGTCGCGACCAATTGGCTCGTGAGGAGCGCTCGAGCAGCAGCCAGTATGGCAGAGAGGACCAACAGGAAGGCTTCGGCCTTGCTCGTGGTCCACTCTGAGATCGTAGCGGTGACGTCGGCGATGCGAAGGAACCGGCGATGGTCGAGCTTATCGTCTGCAGCTATATCTGCCTATGGCGCAGGCGGCTACAGCAACGCCCTTGATCCAAGCTCGACCGACACACCTGCATCTCTGAGTGCGAGCCAGTCATACAATGGTCAAGCTCCGCCTTCAGATATGCTCGCAGCGAGTCTCGGCCTGCGACGGTCAGGCAAAGCGAGCATCACAGGCGAGGAAAGCATCAATCTGCCTCGCTATCACCAAGTCAAGCGGCAGCAAGAAGGCGCAACGGCCATCGCGCTCATCTCGGGCTTCTCAGACCTTCGTCGTCATCTGCGGGATCTCCGGGACGAGCACGAGATCCAAAGCATTGATGCACTCTCCTTGCTGCATCCCTTTCTCGAAGTCATACGCTCGGGCGACACCTCGGGACCCATCACTGCCATCGCACTGGGCTCGGTAGACCGCTTCATCGGTCTGGGCCTCATACATCTGGACAGCCCCAGTATAGCCCTGGCAATGGCCAACGTGTCCAGTGCAGGCACGCACTGCAAATTCGAAGCCTCCGACTCTGTCAGCGACGAGATTGTCCTCATGCGCATCCTTGATGTCCTCAAGAATACTCTCACTAGTCCGCTGGGGCAAGTGCTGACGGATGAAGCCGTTTGTGAGATGATGGAGACGGGCTTGTCAATGTGCTGCCAAATGCGCCTAAGTGGTAAGCAGCGCGAACTAAGCCCGTGTCGTATGCTGATAGGACCATGCCGATATCAGAAATGCTTCGGAGGACAGCGGAGAAGACGATGCAGGCACTTGTGGCTTCCGTCTTCAGCAAACTCCAATCCTTGCCCACCGAAGCCGATAACGCGTTCATAGACGATTCTGCAAAACCCCAACGTCCAGCTTCTGTCAGTATGCCGAGCGACTACCAGCCCGCACCTACACAGGACGGTACAGCAAGCCCATCACAGGCAAGCAACGCCGCTCCTACGCTTCAGCCATACGGCCTGGCATCCATTCGCGAGCTACTGCGCGTGCTTGTCTCGCTGCTCAATCCTCATGATCAGCAGCATACCGATAGTATGCGTCTCATGGCCTTGGGCATCCTCAATACCGCTTTCGAGGTGGGCGGCAAGGACGTCGGTAGATTCTTGAGCATGCGTTCTATGGTCTCAGATGCACTCTGCAAGCATCTCTTCGTGCTAGCAAGATCAGAAAACACGAGCATACTGTCCGCGAGCTTGCGCGTCATCTCAGTCGTGTTCGACACTATGGCCGAGTATCTCAAGCCTCAATGGGAGCTCTTCCTCTCCTTCACGCTCGACAAGCTTGTCGAACCAACCGGCAAGCTGGCTGTCCGTAAGCTCGAGCTCGAGCTGGAGCTTGATGCAGCGACTTGGGGTAGTGCGACAGCAGTCAGTCCTTCGCCATCTCTTGGACGAGAGCGAGCAGCCTCGCCTGCGCCCACCTTGCGTCCCAAAGATTCAGGGAGCTCAAGCCAGATGACAGAGTCAAAAGAGCTACTGCTCGAGTACATAGGCTTTCTCACACGCACGCCGGACTTTTTGCAAAGCCTATGGGTCAACTACGATTGCAACATCGACTGCGAAGATCTGTACGAGCGCCTCGTACGCTTCATCTGTCGCGGCGTTTTCCCGACCCACGCTGGCGTGACAAACACACAAGATGGCTCGCAAATGCTTTGCCTCGACACAGTCTTGACTTTTGTGCATCTCATGGCTACCAGACTCGAGCATGAAGCCGTCGCAAGCGAACAAGTCCCTGCCAATGATGTGCTTGGCGATGCGAAAGAGCGAAAACGTATCCTGCTGGCAGGTGCAAGCCGCTTCAACGAAAAGCCTAAGCTCGGTCTAGCCTTTCTAGAGAAGGAAGGCATCATCTACAATGATCCGCAGCAGACGCGACCCCAGTCACTGGCTCTCTTCTTTAAATCTTGCCCGCGTCTCGACAAGAAGCTCCTTGGCGACTTCATCTCGCGTCCCGACAATGTCGAAGTCCTGAAGTGTTTCATGGAGCTTTTCGACTTCAAAGACGTGCGTCGCCACTCTGTGCGCTAACGTGTCTGATGCCGACGTATTGCAGAGGATTATATCGGATGCGATGCGCGACTTGCTTGAGACATTCCGCTTACCGGGCGAGGCACAACAGATTGCTCGGATCACAGAGACGTTCGCGGAGGTCTACTTTGCTGCGCAGCCGCCGAACGTCAAATCACAAGATGCAGCCTACATTCTCGCCTATTCCGTCATCATGCTCAACACTGACTTGTACAATCCCCAAAATAGGAAGCGAATGACGATAGACGAGTACAGACGCAACCTTCGCGGCGTCAATGACAACAGCGATTTCGACCCCGAGTACCTGAAGTCCATCTACGAGAGCATACGCAAGCGCGAGATCGTGATGCCAGAGGAGCACCTCGGTCAACTCGGATTCGAGTATGCATGGAAAGAGCTTATGTCTCGCGCGCAAAGCTCTAGCAATTTCGTCAGATGCTCGACGTCGCTTTACGACGGGGCACTGTTCAGGCTCGCGTGGAAGCCAATCCTCTCGGCGCTCGCTCATGCGTTCACGACCTATCGCGACGAGTACTTCACTGAGCGAACGATCGCAGCCTTTCGGCAATGCGCTCTGCTCGCCAGCCGGTATGAGGTCCCAGAAGTATTCGATTTCCTCATCACCACGCTTGCAAAGGTGTCACAGCTGGGTAGCGCCATTGATCCAGGCGATCCCGCAGCGCTGCCAAAGGCCGAGGTCGAAGGCTATACGATTACTATCAGTCCGCAATCGGTCAACTTCGGCGGCGATTTCAAGGCCCAACTTGCCTCTGTCGTACTTTTCAATATAGCCAACAGCCAGCTACATGCGCTACAAGGAGCATGGGTAGAGATCTTTGAGATTTTCGAGACACTTTTCACGAATTCGCTTATGCCCACAGCGTTGACGAGCAGAGGCGACTTCTTGGCCGATGTCGGTGTCATACCGATGCGCGTCTTGCCCCGCGTGTTGCCCGCGGAAGATCGCAGAGCAGACTCAGGTCTGCTTTCGACGCTGTCGTCTTACTTGATGTCGCCCTACAACGCTGTACCTGACGGCTTCAATCGCGATGTCAATGCGGATGATATCGAGAAGACTCTATGCACAATCGACTGCATAGCTTCGTGCCGACTAGATGAGCTTTACGGTCTGCTACTGGCGTTGCCGCTTCCAAGTTTGCAGCATGCGGCGCGAGGCCTGTTGACCTTACTCGAGCGCGAGACTCTCGAGAGACTACGTGCATCTGCCACCCCCGATCTCAACTCCTCTACCTCGACTACAGAACCATCACAGCCACGACCTCTTCCGTACAGTCCAGCATCGGTGTTCCTCCTGGAATTACTGGTCAGTCTAGTTGCAGAGGCGCCAGCTGTGTCTGCGGAGCTGTGGCCGCCGATTTCCGACTTTTTCGCCCAGATGCTGGCGGTGACCGATCGTCTTAGTCCTCAATTCACTGAACGGCTACTAGCGAGCATGCTGCGTCTGTCCAGTGCTATGGCGAGCCGCATCAACTCACCTGTGCAGCTCTACACTGTTCTGGCTGCGCTCAAGAGCGTTCCGGTCAAGACGCTCGTTGCGTCAGACGAGCGTCTCGCCCTGGGCTTGCAGCGCGTCCTTTCCGAGAATCACGATGCTTTACAAAATGCTGAAGATTGGGAATCTGTATTCTATCTGTGGCGACTGACCGTTCTGCGCGAAGAAGCTGCAAAAGTATCGTTCTCACTTGCTCAGGATTTTGCCAATGGCCGAATCGGCGTTGGCATCACAGCCGACAATGTCATTGGCTTCATCAGCGTGCTTACCGCTTTCGCAAATGCGTCAAACAAGATTGAGCAGCAGCGGGAGTAGGTCTAACACAACTTCATGCTGCCTAGCAGCTGACAATGCCTACAGAGATTCACAAGCCGCTGAGCGTAGCGTGCAAGCCGTCGAGCTCGTCCGCTCGATGCAATCACACGTCGACAAGTTTTTGCAGCAGTCCAAGTTGCCTGCCGTGGAAGCATTAGAGATATACTGGCTGCCTGTTTTGTCGGCGTTTGCTCAGCAGAGCTGTAACGCTGTCCGCGAAGTCCGACAAGTCGCTTTGGGCTATCTTCAGCGATCGCTAGTCGCCAATGACACACTCACGAATCCAGCAATCGATTTGGCGGTTGTTTTCGAGCGTCTCATTTTCCCTATGCTCGATGATCTGCTCAAGCCGCAAGTGTTCCGACGCGATCCTATCGGTATGGGCGAGACACGTCTGCGCGCATGCGCGTTACTTTGCAAGATCTTTTTGCATTATCTCATGCAGCTGTCTGAGCGGAAGGGCGTCGAAGGCGTCACCGAGCTCTGGGTGCGCATCATTGGCTACCTTGACCGCTTCATGCACAGCGGCAGACGGGATCAAATGGTGAGTCGCTCGATGGATCGTCCCTGCAATACTGATATGTCATATCGTAGTACGAAGCGGTGCCAGAATCGCTCAAGAACGTGCTGCTCGTCATGCATGCTTCTGGTCTGCTGGTGACCCCGCAAGAGAACCCAACAGAAGCTCAAGTTGCGCTGTGGAATTCGACCTTTAGCCGAATTGATACCTTCTTGCCGACGCTCAAGACAGACCTATTCCCAGCTGCTCGTTCAGAGAGGCCTACAGCTGCATCTCGTTATCTCGCCACTGCCCCGCAGGGACAGGCTACAAGCCCGCGACTATCCATCGATGTAGCCGGCTCGCCCGAGGCATCGCGAGGAGAGCCAGAGGCGCCCGAGCTGCCGAACGGCGCTCTGCCAAATGGCAACGAATCTGTCGTCGATTCTGCGTCCCTGTTGTAGCTCTGCTGTGCAGCCCTTCAAGACTTGGTACCGCTTGCGTCGACTACGCCGGGTTCAACGGTGATTTCTCCGCCATTTGCCCCTAGCAGGACTTGATAGATGGCTGAAAAGTCGCGTGACGCAATGACTTCATTCGTTGCTAAGTTCTTGTAGACTTCATAAGAGTATTCGCTAAGCGAGAGCTGCAAGTCGTGCTTCTTGATCGCTTCAGCCGCGAGCCCTAGATCTATATGAGCCTGTATGAGCCGCCATGAAAATGCTGTATTGCTGGCTTGCATACCCTTGGCCATGAGAGCGAGCTTGAAGCCGGGCTCATAGGCGCGATCGGCAGGCGAAGTCCGGCCGGCGTATGCCAGAGCACCCGAGACTGGATTGTTGATCTCGCTAGCCCAGCATCGGCCGGAAGAGGCATTGATGACGGATGCGAGCACAGCAGGCGACAAGCCTGACAAAGCACAGAGGCTCAACATCATTTCAGGATGCTCGAGCTGGGCTCACCCAGCTTCTGACCCAGTATGAAGGCTTCCGAGACGGCGCACATGGAAATACCGAGCAAGAGATTGTTTGCGATCTTCGCAGCTAAGCCCGCCCCTGCCAGGCCACAGTCGAAGATATTCTTGCCCATTGCTCGCAAAAGAGGACGTGCGATGTCTTTGGGCGCTTGCGCACCGCCTAGCATGAACGATAACGTGGCCTCTTGCGCACCGACTGCACCCCCGGAGACGGGGGCATCGATCATAGCTGCGCCTGCACTTGCTACTTGCTCATTCACCGACAGCGAGACGGCCTGGTCGAGCGTGGTGCAGTCTACCAACGTAGTCGCTCGGCGCGTCTCTTCGTTCAGTCTGGCTAGACCAGCCAAAAGGCCATTCTCAGGGCTGGTATAGACTTGTAGCACCTGGGGTGAGCTCGGCAGCATGGTAAAGATCGTCTGAGCACTTGCGGCGACTTCTGCGGGCGTTTGGAGGGTCTGTATGACCCTACCCGGGAAGAGAGACTTGGCATTCTGAGCCCATGTCTCTGATGCACTCGTGCTATGATCGTGCACGATGAAGGCAGCCTCTTTGTTGGTCGTGAAGCTCGCTTTGACGAGGTTGTTAGCCATATGCTGGCCCATGGCTCCCAAGCCAATGAAGCCGATTGTCGATGCTCGGGTGGGTCCATTCGATAGATAGCGACGAGCAGCGAGAATGGCAGCGCATCTGGCCGGTCTACACGCAGCACGTAGCATGCCAGGCGGAGTTGACGTGGAGGTTCCGTTTGTTCTGTCACCGCCTGTCGCGTCCTCTGCTTGCCTTGCGTCATCGTCCATCGACTGTCGCACGACCTGCATCATCAGCGCAAGTAGACGGATCCTCAACTAGAGCGCAAGGACAGCAACATGGCAAGCTTAGACTGGGACAGCAAGACTGTGATCGGCTCTCGTACACATGGCCCCAAGGTGGCAAAGGATGAGAGCACCGTCAACGCCGCTCGTCGTACGGGAGCAGCCATCGAGACTGACAAGCGAGGTTCGCCTGTCTGGCTCTGTCGGAATGTCACAATGACGCTGACAATGACTTATTGTGCGACTCAGCGACGGGCGGAGTCAATCGATCAGCTATCGGCAAAGCGCCTGATCACCAACGAATAGCCAAGCTAGATCGAGAGGTATGCATGCCTGCCTGACGTAGCCACCTTGCGGGACGTACTCATGTGGTATTGTAATGCAGAACGAGGTTGCACCACCGGCGACAGTCTCACTCGATCTGGCAAAGCTCATCGCAAAGTCACGAGCCGACAAAGGTCTGACTCAGAAGGAGCTCGCTCAAAAGATCAACGAAAAGTCCATCGGGGACTACGAGAACGGCAAGGCGATCCCGAACGTAGCCGTGCTGGGCAAGATGGAGCGTATACTGGGCGTCAAACTGAGAGGCAAGGATATCGGCCAACCGCTGCAGCTTGGGCCTAAGAAGTAGAGTTGGGAGCAACAGTCGAGTTCTCTCGTTGTACAACCGTGTCCAACAGAACGTGATCTTACAGCCGCCACCATGGTCACGCTGGCTTGTCGTTGGCATACTCCTGCAGTCCTGATTGAGCTAGCGCATCTTTGTATGATGCCACGCGACTGACGAGATAGTTGGGCGATTCGCATGCTCTGTATTCGCCAATGAGCTGCATTGCCACCTCGCGTGCCTCGTAAAAGTCGTCTAGGCTGTGTTCGAAGAAGGCCTCTCGCTTGTACTGATCGATGAAAGCCTTGCGCTTCATCAGGCTGTCAAACTGCTCCACGCTCTTCTCGAGCATCTGCACACGCGCATCAGCAGACTCCCAGAGCAGCACGACAGAGAACGACAGACCGACGCGATCGATGTGTGGTTGGCCAGCATGAGGCCAGAGACTTTGTGGCTCGTCTGCACGTGCGGTGACCGCCTGCTGAGGGCGACTTGGATGGAGGCCGGACCCCACGGGATGAAATTGGCGAGTTCTCGCTCTCGTATCCTCAGGAGTGACTTGTGAACCTGCCAGAGCGGCACTGGCATCAGCAGGCCATATAGGCTGCTCAGGATACATTGCGACTCGCCTCGGTAGGATCGACGTCGCCCTGAATTATGTTGAGCATGGAGATGTAGCAGGACGTACGGGCACCATGCGCAACAGTGACCATCCTGTTCTTGTCCTGCAGCAGTCGCCTCATGACATCGAGCACGGTCGTCTTTCGTATTGTCTTGGACTGCGGTCGAAGACAGCCATCAGCAAAGCTTATGTGTGCTGGGAGCGGTCTGCTCACGTTGAGCACATCGTTTGATGTAAAGGGGGTATAGCTCGTAACGAGGAAGTGACATCGCGGAGTGGGAATAAGTGAGGCCATCATGCCGGTCAGATCGTTGTTCATGTAGCCTGGAAATCGTAATGGTGCCGTCGAGGCAGACATGACCGTCGAAACCTGTCCAACATGCACCAGGTCAGAAAACTTCTGGTAAGGAAAGATGCAGACGCACGAGCTGATTGGTCTGCGAGTAGCTCGCATCTTGCACATGCAGACGATCGCTCGCAATGCGACCGAGCGCACCGTTGTCGACCACGACGACACTGTCTGCTTCTTGCACGAGCCGCTTGAGCGTCAAGAGGGAGTTGTAGGGCTGTACGACGATATCGGATCCCTTATTGGGTCCTGTGTCTGGAAAGACTGAGTACGTCTGTAGCAGCTTCTTGGGGTACCGGTCGTTGAGTCTCTCGAGTGCAAAGGAACCTAAGCCGGAGCCCGTACCGCCTGCAACCGAATGGAGCATCATGAAGCCCTGCACTCGCCACATGAGTACGAATCTCGCGCATCAGCAGTGAGAGACGCGCTTCGAGAGAGTCTGAGCCGTCGACTTCGCGATCGATCATCTCAAAGATCTGTTCGTAGACTTCTTCGCCGCATGCACGACCTTTTGCCCAGTTGTTGCCTGCGCCTCCTCCCTCTCTGGAGATGTAGATGTTTTCCGGATTGAACAAGCCGCCAAAGGGACCGTCTCTGATAGCGGTAATGACCTGTCATGGGTCGATTGAGCTCTGTGTACATCAGATCCTGATGCCCCGAGGCGCACTCTTGGCTCGGTATCGATCATGATCGCCCGAGGAACGTATTGGGCATCATCGGCCTGATAGAAGAAGACGTCCTTTCTGTCCTCTACGCGACTGGCCAGCGAACTGCTTGACGCTCTCGACCCTGGCCTCGACCCGACTGGCTGTGCTTCTGTAGGACCAGTCTCGAGGGGTGCAAGGGACGTGCCGCCGTGCGTAGCAAGAGAGAGGTCAACGCCGTCCTGGCCAATGTTGTGTTCTGCGCAGAGCTGTGCCCAAAACTGAGAGGCGACTGTGAGCACGCGTTGGTCGAGCGTCAGTAGGACGGAATGAGCTCGTGTGAGCAGATGGCAAGCGTACTCGAGTTGCCGCATTGCCCTGCAGAGATGGTAAGCAGCTCGCGCGGCATGACCGGCGTCTCGTGCTGTGCCTGTCTGATCCGACGACTTTGCGCTACGCGGTAAAGCTCTTGCTTGCTGTTCGATCGCGTCGCTTGCCAAAACTCGAACGATACCCAAAGTCTCTTCAGGACCATGTCGAGCCTCGTTGCGCTCGTCGATGAGCTTCTCGGTAGCTCTCGACAACGTTGGCAGGTCCTAGACGGCCGGCCATTCGCATCTGCCGCGCTTCTCGCTGGCTCAGCAGCAGCCCTTTTCATCGTGTATAACATCGCTCACCAATTGGTCAGTCAGGTGACTCTCAATCCACAGGAGTGCGTTGATAGTCGGCCTCTTGATCCTGACAGCTGGTACCACGGAAGCGATCTTTGCCCCCACTGGTGTTCCATTGGGTTCCCTTCATCGGCTCAGCAGTCAGCTACGGCATCGACCCGTACGCTTTTCTGCTCGCCTGCAGAGAGAAGTATGGACCCGTCTTCACCTTGTGAGCTCCATCAGGGCCATGTACTATTCGCATCTACTGAAGCCATCCCAGCGTGTTGCTTGGACGCAAAGTGACAGTAGCACTCGGCCCATCTGGCTCAAATTTCGTGCTCAACGGCCGCCTGCACCACGTCTCTGCCGAAGAAGCGTATACCCATTTGACTACGCCGTGAGCGTGACATAGTCGCTAGCCCGACAAGCGCTGATAGGCAAAGGCAGTGTGTTTGGCAAGGGCGTAGTGTACGATTGCCCGAACCACATGCTCATGGAGCAGAAGAAATTCATCAAAGTCGGTCTTTCGACAGAGAACTTCAAGCTCTACGTCGGCATGGTCGTGGATGAGGTCATCGCCTATCTCGACCAGCATGTACCCAAGACAAATACCGCCATGCGCGACGCCTTCACCACGTCATCAGAAATCACTATCTGTACTGCATCCCGCACTCTTCAAGGCAAAGAAGTTAGGAGAGGCATGGACGCCTCATTTGCTGAGCTCTACCACGATCTTGACGGCGGCTTCACTCCCATCGCGTTTGCATTCCCAAGCCTGCCATTGCCCAATTTTAGGAGAAGAGATCGTGCACAAGTCAAGATGCGAAACTTCTATCTGGACATAATGAAGAAGCGCCGAGAATCGGGTGACGAATCTGCTAGCGACATGCTACAAGCCTTACAAGGCTGCTCCTATAAGGACGGCAGAACGCTCTCCGATCAGGACATCGCACACATGATGATCGCACTCCTCATGGCCGGACAGCACACTTCCGCAGCGACCGGCGCATGGCTCTTGCTCCACCTCGGCGAACGTCCTGATCTGCAGGATGCTCTGCTGGCCGAGCAGAAGAAGGCTTTCGGCAACAAGTCTGGTAGCCTCGATCCTCTGGATTATGAGCGCCTGCAGACGCCACTTCTGCACGCTTGCGTGAAGGAAGTCCTCAGACTGCACCCGCCGCTCCATAGGTCAGCAAAGTCGTCATCATGCAACCGTTCGCGTGCTAACGACACTGATCGCGACAGTCTGATGCGCAAGGTGATCGCCGACATGCCCGTGCCGACAAGCCTGTCCGCCCATTCGGAGGAGCAGCCGTACATCGTGCCCAAGGGCTACTACGTTCTCGCTGCACCCGGTGTAACTCAAGTCGATCCAGTGCTCTGGCCAGATCCAACGAGTTTTGACCCCTACCGCTGGCTCGAAGGCACAAAGTCGTCCGACGCTACAAAGTCTGAAAAGGACAGTGAGCAAAACGAAACAATTGACTATGGCTTTGGTGCAATCGCAACAGGCGCAACGAGTCCTTACATCCCTTTCGGAGCCGGCAGACATCGATGCATCGGCGAACAGTATGCTCATCTTCAGCTCGGTGCCATCTTTGCCACCCTCGTAAGGCAAACGACATGGAAGCTCAACGGCTCTTTGCCCAAGCAAGACTATACTGTAAGTGCTACCCGAGAATGTGCGTGCGTTTGCTGACTCGGCGCACAGACCATGATCGTTATGCCGCAAAAGCCTCGCGACGTCATCTTCACCCGCCGTTAGGTGATGCCACGGGGCAGCATGTATAGAATGCAGCATGCAGTCTTCAGTGCCTTCACTCTCGCCTTTGCCTACCTGTTCCGGACACCCTCGTGCTCGCTGACGTTGCTCACGACAGGCCAAGTTCCGCCCTTCGCAACACGTGTGCGCGTCTACGTGACGACACCGTGTGCGATACCTTGCCAACCTTCACCGACGCCTGCTACGTTGACACTCATCTCCATGGTCTCCCTGCGCATGTCATCGTCCGCTTTGCACCGCCGTTCTGCCTCGATCTAAAGCAAAGATGCACGCTGCAATGCTCAAATTCACGATTCTCGCGGTTGCACTCATGGCTGGCCATGTAGCTGCTTTCGTTCGCTGGTCAGCACTCCCGACTTCCGTTTTCTACATACCTAACGACGACCTGCAGTGGTTGTCCCGTTCAACCGCCCATGAATGCGCAGGCCTTTCACGATCTACGCATCTTTGCCTCTGGCACCAGTACGTTGCAAATGCACATGCGCAATCGATACACTGATACACCCCGCGCAGCTTTTGACTACCAAGCAAAAGAAATCGATATCTCGGACTGTCTTGATGACACCAAGCCCGATGATACTGCAACGAATCATGTCAAGATTGAGTGCGACACTATGCACAAAGGCCAGAAAGCCATGCGTTGTGGCCAGATGGCCGATTCGCTCCGTGCTGTCGTCACCATGAAGAACTCTGCTGGTCAGAAAGTTCTTGCACAGTGCTGGTATGTCTCGTCCCACCCAGCCGAGTACGCTCACACTCGCAACGCAACGCAGCTCGGCTTACCCGTGTCGTGGTGGTCAGAAAGTTGACACGACGACTCCACCGGCCAACACACAGCCGCCACCAGTGAACGAGCAGCCTCCGCCTGCCGTTCACAAGTCTAGCTCAAAGCAGTGCAAGAAGCATTAGACCCTAGCTTTACCATGCATCTTTTGCGTCGTGTGCGTTCTTCAGACATGCATGGCCTGTGCCTCCGCGAGGTGTGACTGCAATTCAATTGGCTGCATACTCGCTGTGCTTTTGCAATATCAACACAAGATGCTTAGCCCACCTATGATGCTCACCATCGCTGGACTCGTCGTCATGATCTCCCAAGTTTATGCATTCGTCCGATGGTACTTTCGGTCTTGCAAGCGTGCGCTTTGGCTGATAATCGACTGATACCAGCGGATGTCCTGTCGGTCCTCCTGGCGGCGTGGAGTCCTTCCACTCGATGGGTGTTTGGCCATCAGCAACAGGCGAGTCTGTTGCCATCCATAGGTACGAATACTGACCTAGACAAATAGTCTACACGGGCAGCGATACGGTTGACTGGGAAGATTGTAGATCTCAGACCAATGCGCTCGATACATCCACTAACGTGAGCGGTTCTGCTTTCAGAAGTGGCAGGCGCTGATCAGCCGAGTAGCACATTCGTGTGGACTGTAACGTGATGGTAGGGGAATCGCACGGTATGCGATGCGGTCAGATGAGCGCAGTTCTAGGAGCTCGTCCGGTTGTGACGATCAGTGCTGGGGGCCAGACAGTCTTGGCGCAGTGCTGCTCCTCCTATAGCTGTTAGTCTGGCGCATTGTATTGGCTGGTCCCAATATTTGGGATAGAGGCGGTCAGTGCAAGGCTGCATGTGAGTGCCACACTACTACACATCAGGCAAGGGGCGTTCTTTTGGGCAAGGAATCATTTTGATAGGAGATGGAACGGAAGGAGGTCGTAAGGTAATCAGCGCGCTCAGAAAAGTCTTCGCAAAGCACGTCAGTCAACACAGGATCTTTACATCACACATCATGCATTTTCTATGAACAGCTAGCTGACCATGACCGTTTAGTCGACTTCCTCTACGCTTGGGCCGTCATCTGCGGCCGGCGCACCGCCCGGCGCACCTCCTGGGAAACCTGATGGCATACCGCCCGCACCGCCAGCGCCAGCGCCGTATAGCTTCATCATGATCGGGTTTGCCTTGCCCTCGAGCTCCTTTTGCTTCTCCTTGTATTCGTCGGTGGAAGCTTCTTGGGAGGCATCGAGCCATTCTATGGTCTCCTTGATCATCTCCTCGAGAGTGGTCTTATCTGACTCTTCGAGCTTCGACTTGAGCTCGTCCGACTCGATCGAGTTGCGCAGGTTGTAAGTGTAAGATTCTAGGCCGTTCTTGGCGGATACCCGCTCGGTCGCAGCCTCGTCTTCCGCCTTGTACTTCTCGGCCTCGGAGACCATTCGGTCGATCTCTTCCTTGCTCAGACGACCCTTGTCGTTGGTAATGGTGATCTTGTTGGACTTGCCAGTCGTCTTATCGGCAGCAGAGACGTTCAAGATACCGTTTGCGTCAATATCAAAGGTAACCTCGATCTGGGGCACGCCTCGTGGCGCAGGTGGGATACCCGAGAGCTCGAACTTGCCGAGCAGGTTGTTATCCTTTGTCCGGGCGCGCTCGCCTTCGAAGACCTGGATGAGCACACCTGGCTGGTTGTCCGCAAAGGTGGAGAAGATCTCGCTCTTCTTCGTTGGCACGGTCGTGTTGCGAGGAATGAGCTTGGTCATGACACCACCAGCAGTCTCGATACCGGTAGACAGAGGCGCGACATCGAGCAGCAGCAAGTCTTGAGTCTTCTCTGAGGTGTCACCGGACAGGATGGCTGCCTGAACGGCGGCACCGTATGCGACAGCCTCGTCAGGGTTGATCGATCGGTTGGGCTCCTTGCCGTTGAAGAAATCGGAGACGAGCTTCTGGATACGTGGGATACGAGTGGATCCACCGACGAGAACGATCTCGTGGACGGAGGACTTGTCGATCTTGGAGTCGCGCAGGACCTTTTCGACTGGCTCCATGGTGCCTCGGAATAGATCCTGGCAGAGTTCTTCGAAACGAGCACGGGTGATTGAAGTGTAGAAGTCAATGCCCTCGAAGAGCGAGTCAATCTCGATGGTCGTCTGAGCAGCTGACGACAGCGTTCGCTTCGCTCGCTCGCAAGCAGTACGAAGACGTCTGAGCGCACGAGCGTTGGACGAGAGATCCTTCTTGTTCTTGCGCTTGAACTCTTGCACAAAGTGATTGACGAGACGGTTGTCAAAGTCTTCACCACCAAGATGGGTGTCACCGGCAGTCGCCTTGACCTCGAAGATACCTTCCTCGATAGTCAGCAGAGAGACATCGAATGTACCACCACCGAGATCGAAGATGAGGACGTTCTTCTCGCCCTCGGCCTTCTTGTCGAGGCCGTAGGCGATGGCAGCAGCGGTGGGCTCATTGATGATACGGAGAACGTTGAGGCCGGCGATGACGCCTGCATCTTTTGTCGCTTGACGCTGCGAGTCATTGAAGTAGGCCGGCACGGTGACGACGGCGTTCTGAATGGACTGGCCAAGGTAAGCCTCTGCAGTCTCGCGCATCTTGAGCAAGACCATGGATGAACTGCAAGCGACCGAGCGAGTCAGTATTGCCCCTATCAAGGCATGAGCACAGAGAAACGTACATTTCCTCGGGAGTGAAATCCTTCTTCTCGCCACGATAGTCGACCTCGATGATGGGCTTGTCGCCAGCAGCGGGCTTGACCTTGAAAGGCCAGTGCTTCATGTCGGACTGAACCTCGCTGTCTGCGAACTTGCGTCCGATCAATCGCTTGGCGTCGAAGACGGTGTTGTGTGGGTTCATGGCGACCTGATTCTTTGCGGCATCGCCAATCAGTCGCTCAGAGTCTGTGAAGGCAACGTAAGATGGCGTGGTGCGGTTGCCCTGGTCGTTGGCGATGATCTCGACTCGGTCATTCTGCCAGCATGCGACGCAAGAGTAGGTCGTGCCGAGATCGATGCCAATAGCTTTTCCTGTGGCCATGATGTCTGTCTGGCTTATAGCATATGAGCTCGGACTCGGAGAGCTGTCGAGTATGTGTGCAGCGTACCTTTGATGCTCTATATATGACAGTATACGTATGCGCTTGTACTCGTGGACAACGCTTTCGCAATAGGTTGAGGAGAGAGATGCGCGCGAACTTCTCGACTTTATCAAAATTTCCAGTGGCGCGAGAAACTTCGAGCGAGTTCCACATCCCCGCATGCCCCGTAGGATACGTCAGGGTCTCTGTGCGACGTGTCACGTCTACTTGTGCCAGGATGCGCTCGTCTTGGTCTCGTCCCCTTGTGTTGCCTTTCCATCCACAAGCACGAGCATACTAGTAGCCGTCATGCGCGCATCGATTACGACTGCTGCACTTGTATTCGTACGATGTATCGCAAGCGCACAGACGCAAACATTCAACAAGCGCGTCGGACTCGAGCCGACGCTCGACTGCATACTCACTGCCAAAGTCGTCACTGCTGATCCGGCCATGCCCAAGTCAGCCGTCTACCCGCTTGTGTTGCATCGCGATCAGGCTCAGCAGCTGTACACCTCTATGGACCTCACAGGATTTAAGCTCAACGATCCCCAGCCCTACAATGCTGTTGACCAACAGATCATGGGTGACGCGGTGACGACAATCTTCACGGGTATGCCGTGACTGAAAGTCGCTTGCTTGCAAGCACTCACAAGTCGCACGTAGCAAATGCCACTGCTCTCACCGGCCCGCCAAAGCTCTCATACTTCTTCCTCCAGATCGCTCTCTACTACACCCAAGGCAAGTCAGACCTGCAATACGAAGTCGAGCAAGCCGCCGCATACGGCCTTTTGGGAAACGCCGGCTAGTCCGTCGAATTAACACCCTGACCTGAATCGAGCTAAATCTCGTCATAACAGCGTGCCGACACAGCCAACGGGCGGCGCTTACCCATATAGCATGACTTGCAATGGCGCTTCCGTGCCGATCCATGCCGATTCATAGGCATCCTCCTGTTTGCGTGTAGCCAATGCACCGCGTATCAGCGACGATGTAACGCAGCGTCAGAACGTGCTGTGCAACTTGTGATGTTCTTTCCAGATCCTGCTTCTTGCTCGCCAAAGAGTTACCAGGTAGCAGAGATGATCCGCACTTTCGCTGTCGCCGCCGTCCTCGCCGCCCTGGCATTGTCCTGGTCAGCATCCGGCTCACCTGCCGNTTCGCTCTCCAAGAGATTTGGTCTCGAGCCTGAGCTCAACTGCTGGCTCGAGACCAAACTGGTCTCGAACGATCCNGAAGTGCCCAAAACGGCATACTACAATATGATCTTCCACCGTGATGCTACTTCGCAGCGCTATACCTCAATGGATCTTGTCGGCTTCCAAGTCAACGATCCTGCCCCCTTCAAGGCCGTCACACAGCAAAATCTCCAATCTGGCCGTGTGTTGACTACCTTTGTTGCCAATGCGACCAAGACAGACATGCCGCCCAAGTGGTGCTACTGGTTCCTTGACATCGGACTTTACTACACGCCAGGCAAAGACGACCTTTCCTACCGACTTTTCAACGGTATTGCTTGGTCACAGTACGGTCCTGGCAACGGGTAAGGACCTTCAATCCAGCGCATTATGTTCACTGAAGTCGTGCTCACAGTATCCCGTGGGCGGACAGCAACCCTTATGGCATGACTTGTGATAATGGCGCCGTCGTGCCAATTCATCAAGGATAGCCCCGTACCGACGCCCTTCGGAGATGATGCATCGATCGGGGTTCACTAGTCCTCCCGCGAGAATGCGCAATGTAGTCGTGCGCATGAGCATAGCCTTGGCGGAATACTAAAGCTCGCTCAAGGCGACGGAAGGGTCACGTGATAGCGTCTGATATCGCGTAAGCCTGTGATATAGTATGCGTGCATCTTCGAATCGAGCACTTACAATCCACCATGAGGTGATCGCATATGCTTCTGTGGACAGCAGGCTTGTAGCATGCCAGGTGCGACAGCCGCTGAATATGGTATGGCGGGAAAATCCCCGCATGGTCGCCCAGCATGACACTGGACTTGCCTCTAACATAAATCTCGTCATAATTGCGCACATTTGCAGCCGACTGGCGGTACTCATCTATACAGCATGACCTGTAACGGCGCTTCCGTGACCAACTATGCCGACTTGTAGGCAGCCTCCTCTTTGCGTGTAGCCAATGCACCGCGTATCAGCGACGTTGTAACGCAGCGTCAGAACGTGCTGTGCAACTTGTGATGTTCTTTCCAGATCCTGCTTCTTGCTCGCCAAAGAGTTACCAGGTAGCAGAGATGATCCGCACTTTCGCTGTCGCCGCCGTCCTCGCCGCCCTGGCATTGTCCTGGTCAGCATCCGGCTCACCTGCCGTTTCGCTCTCCAAGAGATTTGGTCTCGAGCCTGAGCTCAACTGCTGGCTCGAGACCAAACTGGTCTCGAAGGATCCCGCAGTGCCCAAAACGGCATACTACAATATGATCTTCCACCGTGATGCTGCTACGCAGCACTACACCTCAATGGACCTTGTCGGCTTTCAAGTCGGCAACCCTGCCCCCTTCCAGTCGGTCACGCAGCAAAATGTCAAATCTGGTCAGGTGTTGACAACCTTTGTTGCCAATGCGACCAAGGCGGACATGCCTGTCCAGTATAGCTATTGGTTTGTCTCCGTCGGACTCTTCTATACGCCGGGCAAAAACGACCTTTCCTACCGACTTTTCAATGGTATTGCTTGGTCACAATCTCGAGACGGAAACGGGTATGGACGTTTGATTCAGTGCATTATTTTAACTGAGGTCGAGCTCACAGTATCCCGTGGGCGGACAGCAACCCTTATGGCATGACCTGTGATAATGGCGTGGTCGTGCCGATCCATCAGTTCTAGTCGCAATCCTCCGGACAGGGCAGATGATCCATGAATATGGCCGGCTCGCGTGAAGGTATGCATAATAGTCGATTACATGAGCATATTCTTGGCGAGATCTGGACCAAAGCTCGCCCAATTCGCTTTGAACCGGAACGCCATAACTTCATCGAGCTCGAGCCACGTCGGCTTTGATGACAAGACATTGCTAGATACTGCAGGCGTCAGGAGCGCAGCATTGATCTTGATACTGCCCTGGTATCGTTTCACGGGCAGAAGTGGGTTCTCCAGATCGAACTCGAATCGGCTAGCTTTCGCACCCATCTTCTGATGCCACCATGGACCTTGCATCATCTTGACTGTTTCTTCGCACGTGACACGAGGTGAGGAAGTGCTCGGCGCATCTGCAAGCTTGAGATCGGCTACGAGGACATTCATGGCATCATATTGAAGGTGATCATCGACAGCGACAGACTCTGTTGGTGCTCGCGGGGGAGTGAACGAAGTCGAGAGACAATGCAGACCTGGCGTGACGTTGCCAGACTTTGCAAGCATTGTTGAGTCAAAGATGACCGTGTGCTTGTAAGTATAAGGCATCGAGGCCATATCTCGATCAGACGAGCCGCCGGAGCGCATCCCCTTGAGACTCGGATGACAGCAGTAGGGGACTTCGATCTTGCATTCTTGCATATGTAGACCGAGCACGCTCGTCAGCATGATGCCGACCTTCTGCTGCCGCCCGAGCAGCAGCAGGACAATGTGCTCATCGTCGCCTAGGCCGAAAGAGCTCGGCAACGGCAGCAGCGTCACATCGTCTGGTAACGCGGCTTGTACTTGCTTCTTCGGCAACCGCACAGGCCCAGCAATGACATCGTATATACCATGCATGACTGGCTGTGTCGCGAGTCGACGACTGCGCCTGCTCGCGATCGCGCAAAGTGGCGCTGCAACGATTTAGAGTTTCCGAAGTCCCTTTATAATGAGATGGCGTCCCCAATTAGCAATGACGTCGAGTTGTTCTATGTCTGGGGAGGCACAAGTCTACACCGCCGTCACTGCATTCTAGCATCCCACAAGCCTTTTACTCGCAAGCAACAAACAACCACTATGGGTGGTCAGTCAGTCTCGAGTTGCATTCGCCAGACACTGACATTCCGAATTGCAGTCGTCTGCTCATCACTTGCTTCCGTCCGTATCCACTTCGTCCACGCTGTGTCCGCTATCTGACATTGGCGCGAACAGGTTTTCGCCGCTATCGGCAATGCCATCACTGGCCTATTCTCGCTCATTGCACGCTTCTTGATCGCAATCGTCAATGTAAGCCCACGCTCAGCGTTAATCCATGCTGGGCTGTGCTGACTTCTACCCTCTGTTTTCCGCAGGCCATAACAAGTGTCTTTGTCACGTAAGCTCAGCTATAATCAGGAAGGTAGTCCAACTGACATCGCTCACAGTATCTGCGACGGTATCGGAAGCTGTCTATGCTGCAATGGCCACAGCGGTCGTCGAACAGGCGGTCGTCGGTCTCGCAGGGTCGTCTAGGCACAGACTCGATCAAGATACCCCCCTTGTGCAAACAGACCACAGCTAGATCTGCTCTGCTGACGACCAACCTGTAGTCTTTTCATTATCTCACTAGCTGTGCCCCGGTGCAAAGATACACGCAGCAATTCCCGTTGTACAATCAATGTCAAGCCCATCTTCGCAAACAGACAATCTCTAGGCTGTCCGTGAGACGGCCAGCACGTTCTGCACGTCTTCCTGTGAGCGTGCTGCGTCAGGAAAATTTCAAAGTTGAGACGAGTGTGGATTCCCACGTTTTCGGCATCGTGCTTGCCCAATAAGACCTGCTTCTTGAGCTCCTTCTCTTCTGGTGAGAGATGCGAGTCGTCTTTGCGCATGCGACCGCCCGTCGTAAAGCGAACGCTCCACATGGCCTTGCGCAAGGTCTGTCAAGTCCCGAATGTCAGCATCGGGCGAGCAGCTGGTATTGCATGCAACTCGCCTTCTTGGCGTCGAATTGACGCCGCAGATTGGGCAACAGGTCGCGCTCTTGACTGTCGTCCTTGTCTGCTTGCAGCCAGGGATGCTCGAGACATTGGTCTGCAGTCGGTCGTTTTGACTGGTCTACAGTCAAACAGCTTGAGATAAAGTCGCGAGCTGTCACTTCGTGAGCAAGATTTGCATCTTACGGAGACCTACTGACCGGTCTGCGATACGCCATGCCAGTACTCCTTAGGCTCAAAAGTGTAATCGGCTTTGCAGATTGCGCTGATTTCTTCGGGTTGCGAGTCGCGGTCAAATCTTTCAATTGTCATCAGATCAGTATTCGTCGCTAGCAAGACAGCCGTACGGTGTATAGCCTGCAAGCAGGAAGTAGCTGATGACACCGATCGCCCAAATGTCTACTGGCTTCGTGTGCCCCTCTTTGCGGAAGATCTCCCTGCACAGAAATCAGCTGACGCATCGACGATAGCCATCGAACGAACGGCGCCATATATCTGCGAACAAGTCAGCGCGTCACCAGTCGCTATGTGTCGACGCACCCCGGAGTACCACATGTAGTTGTCAAGACTGTAAATTGTGAATCGTCTATCACGCGACTGAGTCCAAAGTCGGCAATGAGCAGGTCTGAATCTTCTTCTTTCGAACGAAACAGCAAGTTCTCGGGTTTCAAGTCTACGTGATGTCAGCCTTGCGCTGGCCTGGCTCTTCACGGCATACCTCTGTGAACGATGCCTTGGTGATGCAGATAAGATGTAGCTTGGCAGATGATTTTGATCAAGTGAGCAGCGTCGCGTTCGTAGTATGCTACAACGGCAGCATGTCAGCAAGCCGGAGTGGGGCGGATCGGAGCGAGACTGACATCCTTTGGCGCATATTCTGTCAAAGAGCTCGCCGCCGGTACAGAGGTCCGTGACAAGATAGACTGCGTCTTCTCAGTCTTGTTCTTCTGCAGACAAGTAGTTCACACACGATTGTTGGCAGTCTGGACACGCTTGTATCAGCTCGAGCAGTCAAGGAAGCTCGAGAGCAGCAACGCACCTCAAAGTAGTCGCGCAAAGTGAGGATGTTTGGATGGCCTTCAGAGATCTTTTTGAGCACATTGATCTCGTTCCTCACCTGTTCCATGACTGCATCCAGCACCTGTCTCTACTGAGACATGCACAGCACGGACCATGTGCTCTCTGCCCGACATGAGACGCTTGTTGATCACTTTGACAGCGTACATCTTGCCCGTCTCGATATGCACGGCCTCTGGACGAGCAGCATGAGCCTACATGAGCATCTTGCAACCTAGCCGACCAGTCGAGCATACGTTTGACGACGGCATAGGTGCCCTGACCGAGAACCTGCCCAGTCTTGTACTGCACACGTCAATGCAGTCAGAAGAGAGTCATGATGTCGTGCTGGCGCCGATGAGGGCCGCTCGTCGACTTGGAGGAAGCCACTGACCTGACATGGGACTGTTGATGGTGCCATGATGAGCCAGCTGAGCAGTCCAGTAGCGAGTAGTCGAGTTGCCGGTACGCGGTGCGGTGCGCGTGCCAAAGTGCAAGCAAGCAAGCAAGCAAGCAAGCCAGGAGTCAGCGGCCAATGGCAGCACCAGACGCTGAGTACGGCGTCTACCGCATTCTCGAAGCTGGCGTCCAAGGTCTATCACGTAAGTCTGCCGCCCAGGTGAGTAAGCCGAGCTGACAGCAGGGTAGAATTCGTACACGAGCGCAAGCTAGTCCGTGAGGCGCCTTTAGCATCCCTCAAGGATGCAAGACTGGGCATAGACGCGGATCATTACATCAGAGGTCTTCTGGATGCGTCCAGAGCACGAGAGCCATTCGTCGCAGCGATTGGCGGCGCACCCCAAGCGCTCATTAGCCAATTCGAGCAGGAGCTCAGGCTGCTCGAGATGCACAAGATCAAGCCCGTCTTTGTCTTCTCTGGCGTACCCTACCTTGGCAAGGAGCGGCCCTTTGCAAAGGACAACGTTCGGGCACAGAAGCGCTTCCAGGGATGGGCAGGCTGGGAGAAGAGCAACGCCGATTTGGCCAAACAGATGTTCAGCGAGAGCGACTCTATCCTCGCGCCAAACGTACTCAGACTCATCTTCAGACTCTTCAAACAACGACATGTCGAGTACATCGTTGCACCCTATGCCGCCACTGCGCAGCTCGTCTACCTCGAACGACACCAGAAAGGCTACGTCAACGCGCTCTGGGGCACGACGGATCTCTTCCTGTACGACATTGACCGCATCATCCTCGATATGGATCTCAAAGGCGACACGTTCACTTTTGTCTCGCGCGCAAGCATCTGTGAAGCTCTCCAGCTCACTGCAGATCAGTTGCTCGACTTTTGCATTCTAGTGGGCTCAGAGGTCTCGCGACCGTTTCCCGTTCTCGCGCCTGATGCACCATTCAGACAAGCCCACGACTTCATGCGACAGTATCGCTCAGGCACAAGTATCGTCATGAGCTTCGCCGATCACCCGCTCGTGCGAGCGGAGAACTACCTCGATCTGTTCTGTCGCGCGCAAACGCTCGTTCGCCATGCACTCGTTCTGTCTGCCGAAGAAGGCCGCGTCATGCCCATCGGTATGGCAAGGATACCTCCCGCACCTCTACCACCGCCAACAGGTGCAGACGTTCCCTCGGATCTACATGAAGTCTTTTCGCATCGATTACCGGACGAGTTGTACTATCACATGTGCCGCGGCCTCATCACTGCGCCGCCGCTCGCGGTGCTGACCGATGGTGCATGGCCTGAGCCAGTTCCGCTGTGCGGAGGCGAGACTGACGATTACAAGCGCTTTGTCAAAGACTACCTCATGGAGAGTCCACAAGGCCCACGATGTGTCTCGCTCGCATTGCTCACGTCTGTGCTCAATTCGTACTGGAGCAAGAAACCCTTGGTATGTGCCAGCAAGTGTATCGAAGTAATGCTGACGTCTGCCTGCGAAGATGGCGGTATACTACTTTAACCCAAAGGGCTCGCCAATCCCGCACAACTCTAGAGAGACGGTAGCTATCGTGGATCGCACCGCTGGCTGGAACGTCAACATGAGCGTCATCGACGATGAGCTACGACGGCAGAGCGTAAGTGAGTCTGGTCTACTACTGTACTCTCGCTTACAGAATGGCAGTCTTCGACCATTGACATCCTCCTCTGTCTCGGCGCCACGTCAACAAACAGTCTAGCAGCACGCACGAAGACATCTCCTGGCGAAAAGCCACTTGATAAGAAGGATGAGATTGTGGCCAATGTTCTGTGGCGCTTCCTCGAAATGCGTAGTCTGCTCACTTCATCACACCAGCATACGCCCTACGCCAAAGCACTCCTCGCATCTCTCAAGCTAGCAAAAGTCAACGACAAGTTCCAGGAGCCACTCTACCTCGCAATCGAGCTCATCCGTGCCAATGTACTTCACGGCGGCAAGTACGGTGGTCGTACCTGGTCAGGCGGGCCCATAGCGACCACAGAAGCCGAAAAGCGCAATATGCTTCTCTTCATGCGCTCCGTCAGCATTGTCCCAATGAGCTATCTAGTAAGCAGCCGCGGAGCTTTGGCGAGCTGCAGCTGATATGGCATACGTCGCCAGAACGAAAGTTACCGAGCGCAGCTATCGCGCGAACTGATCGTCTTCAACTCCTTCCTGACTGCCATGTCACGATCGCTCAGGACAATGATCGAATGCACAGTCGTCCACTTGCTTCTGCACGGCGACGGCAAACGAGTGCGAGACGACTTCCTCGAGATCTCACTCTCATTACCCTTCCAATGCGACACTTCGACTGGCACAGGTATAATGCTCAAAGGCTACGTTGACGCCGTGACAAAGATTGCAAGTCTACAAGGCGTCGATACAGCTTCCTTCCGTGTGCCCAAGACAGGCAGCAAGGGTGACCTTACGTACGACGAGAGCGATGCGGGCAAATCGATCAAGGATCAGGTCAAGTCTATGCTCGTTGCCAACTTCACGACCGTCAAGAACGTCACGGCCGAGCTTGACCGCGCCTTCCGCTTCTGGCACTGCGTGAGTGATGGTTCCCTTACGCACGCGTTGAAGCTGTGTCTGATGCTGGAATCGACTATCTGCAGCTCTTGCAAGCGGTCACGGTGCTCAATGAGGAGAAGGTGATTCCCAAGGAGCTCTATGAGCAGTTCAAGTCCACCGATGAGTGGCTCATACCGTTCAAATAGAGTCTACTCGATCTCGATGCATCGAAGTGCGTCACCACAAATCACGGGACTGTGCTTGAGCGCGACGCGACGAGCCTAAATCGACTACGCGTTGATTAATGAATCAGCGACTTTTCGAGCTGAGTATCGGCCTTCCGCACACAACACAGCGTGAAGCTCTGGTAGACGCAGAGGACCGTAGGTCAATCGAAGAGTCCTAGGAAGGGGACCCAGTGCGGTTCCATCGAGCGCAGTGCCGACTTTGCAAGGCACGTCTCGACCAGACCCGGCTTTGCGCGTCTCCCTCTACCTCGCGCCTGCAGCCCGGTGTGGCAGCCGAGGCGCATCTACCGGTCGCATACGATTGCACAGCTTGCACTCGAGGCAGCGATGACGACGACACACCAGCTGACGCTACCTAGTGGCTTCGGCCACGCAGATTTGCCGCTAGACCGCGTCAAGTCGCCAACGTCCAGCCAGCGCGACCAGGTCAAGGCCGTTTTCGCCATGCAAGAGTCGAATCAGACTACGGACGAAGCTGAAGGCCCCTTTCTGCCGGAAGATGAGGTTTTTGTGCCTATCGATGGATCTACAGAAGACGCTGGCTCGGAAGAAGATGAAGGAGAAGCAATGGATGAAGTCGATCAGATGCGAACGCCTTCGCTTGTTCACTCTACAAGGGCGAGCAGATCGACGCGTCAGGCTGGCTATTCATCAAGCTCTTGTCCACCTTCGTCCGCCCTGGCGGGACAGCATGATCGCGCTCGCCGAGCAATGCTGACGAGCAGCAGCCCGATGGTACAGACTCCGCTGCAGCATCAAAATCATCCTCAGGCTCGACCTGACGTGCCATCCTACCCCGGACACGAGCCGAGCGCTCAGAGCAAAGAAACGAAGACATTCCAATTCCCGGCTGCCCATTATCAACCGACGCATATGCTCGCCCGCAATCAGCCTGCACCACGCGCGACCACACCGATGCCTTCGCTCGCCGACGGCACTGATCTGGAAGAAAATGTTTTCGATTCTATGCGCGCCCCGGGTAAGCCGAGTCGCGGCTATCATTGAGTGAGGCTAATGCACACGCAACAGCCATGCGAGGCCCGGCTCCCTCTGCGAACAGCCTGATCAAGTCGAATACCTCCGCCGAGACTGGCGAGCCCTCTGCCCTCGAACGGGCACTACAGATGGGCCTCTCAGTCGAGCAATATCAACAAGCGAAAGAACGCATCACGCGCTTCCTCGCCGGGGACGGCAAGAAGGGCGTCTCGCCAGAGACGAACCATTCATATAGTACAAACGCAGATGTCGCGCTGCAGAGAGCAGCTGCCACTGCTCATGCGGTACATGGCTTCGCTAGGTCAAGCCCAAGTAAGCCACTCGGCGCTGCCAAACACACGCACACCAAGTCGAAGCTCAGTCTGAGCAAGAGCCGTCCCCGGCGACTAGACGACGAGCTGATTCACAAGGGTAGGCTCGACTCTGCCTTCACACTGAAGTCAAAGAACGGACAAGTCAGTCATGGCCTGAAACTGAATGATATGCTAGAATTGACCTGCGATGACCACAGGATGACGGAGTGCCAACGACGCCCTCGTTCCCGCGCAGAACGCCGTTGCAAGCTCCGGGCACGGCAGGCACGATGGATCGACTGCTCAGCGCAAGCCAGTCACACGCCCAGCACGAGTACGAGCCGGATAGCGACGGCGAAGAAGCTGACCTCGTCAGTGAGCTTGCCTCAATGGTTACGCCTCAGACTGTGACGCATTCTGCGCACGCCTCTACGTCAAGCGACGGTCAGGACGTCTTTGCTCTGCCACGATCAACGTTGGGCCATAAGAGAACCCGCTCTCGTACCGCACCACCCGAGGAAACCGCTTCACATCGTCTCACTGCATCTCATCGAGCTATACCAGGATCAGAAGCTCGCCCATCGCTGGAGACGATGGGCCGTTCCCACACGGATTGTCAGCTGAGCTCTGGTCATGTCCATTTGACACCAGGCGCATCAATGGCCACTCCTGTAGGCTCTACGCCACGTCACCTGCTGAAAGTACAAGTCAGCCAGATTGTCTTGACACTAGAAGCGTATGCTGATCATAGAATGCAGGCGTCCGAATCGGATATACCTAGTCCGCTGATGGCCCAGATCAGACAGCTTAATGAGCAATCTTACAGTCCCCTTCGTCAAATGGGTGATCTGTCTTCGCCAGCCTCACGCACATTAGGCTCGCATTACTCCTCACTGCACGGCAGTGCTCACAAGCGCACTGTTTCTCAGAACGAGCGCGAAGGCGCCTCATACCCCGGCGACCTGCTATCATCTTCGGCGCGCATGGATCACTTACTCTCGCATTTCAATCAGGTAGATCGTCGACAAGCGACCTTCGAGCAGAGCTCACCAGGCGAGTCGTATGCTTCGACTCCTGTCAATTGCGAGTCTTCGCCTGTTGTTGCGATGATCAGCCCCACAGATAAATCTAATAATATGCCGTCGCGCAAGGGCAAGGGCAGTAGGCGACCAGAATCGTACGAGCAGAGCCTCGCTCCGCAGTCCTCGCAGACATCGCATTCATCGTACTCAATGTCGGCCAAGTCAAGTCCCGAGTCGTCCTACTCTGAGCATTTGCCGCCACCCAAGCGACAAAAGGGCGCGTCGAGCAAGGCGCAACAAATCGTCGTTTCGAGCGGCGACGCTCCGGCTGTTGCACGTGGTAATGAAGTCACCGGCGGTCGGTATGGCATCCCACGACAATGGCCCCAAGGCGAAGAACGCAAGCAGAAGCCAGTGTTTAGCTACGCAGCCTTGATCGGACAGGCCATCTTTTCGACGCCGAATGCCAGGATGTCTCTTGCCGACATCTATAGCTGGATCATGAGCATCTACCCCTACTACAAGAAAGGCGATGCCGGCTGGCAAAATTCAATCCGACACAATCTCAGTCTGAACGACTGCTTCGTCAAGACGGTCAGAGGCAAAGATCAGCCTGGCAAGGGCTGCCTATGGGGTATCGCTGCCGGCACCGAAGAGCAATTCATCGATGGAGGCTTCTTCAAGCGGGGCCCGCCCGTCATGAAAAGCGCTCGCCCCAAAGCACCGAAAGCGAGTCCTGCGCCGCTCGAGGTAGCAATCGCAACAAATGCAGAACACAGCCAATGTGTCCCTGCCTTTGTTGCTAGCTCGTCGAGTCCTCAGCTGTCGCGCCCTTCGCCTGAGCTTTCGCGCAGCAGTGCAGATAAGCAAAACAAGCGCTCAAAGCAGCTCAAGTCTGGCGTGCTACCTACGCCTAGCTACGCCTCGCCGCCCGCATCTCTCGATCATACAGCCCGCAGATCAGAGCGTTACGCTGACGACGATGATAATGCCATGCGACAGAAGCGCGCTCGAGTCTTTGGTCGAACTCAAGCAGAGGCTATAAGCTCACCTGCCGTTGTCTCATCGCCGCCGTCCAATGTGCTCGGCCGGATGTCGTATCATCGTCACAGGCCATCCGTGGGCAACGATGCAGCCTCTCGCGTCTCACTGTTTCTGTCACCGCCAACGACGCCTGCTGATCTGCCAGCAGCCGATCAGGACTGTCCTACCGAGCACAAAGAACCCACCTCACCTCATCCGATGATGCTACCTGCGCACGAGATTAAGCCGGGCCCACTAGCTCGCTCGAGCTACGCTCGAGCAACGTCGCCTTCAGAGTTGCCGATGCGTCTGCCGCCCGTTTCTCCGGTCGCAGTAAATACCCACTCGCCAGTTTCATCTGTTCGTGGCAGCACAATGATGAGTAATGGCTACCAGGCTTCTCCCGGCACCAACCATTATCGACAGCGTACCTCGTCGCTGCGAAGTCCAAAGCCTTCGTCTGCTCGATTCGCTAGCACAGGTTTCACGCCTCGCCTGCCTAGCATTGCAAGCCATATGGCAGAGAATGGCGGCTCGTCTCTTCGCACGCCACCTCGCCTAGGACGCTCGTCTTTCGCCAGTCCTGCAAAGAATCGCCTGCTGCAATCTCAGAAGAGCTCGGGACAGCTGCAAAGCATCACGTCCACACCAGCTGGGCTGGTCAAGGGATACTTTGCCACTCCCGATGTCGCGGGAGTTAGTGCAGCCGCAATGGGCGAATGCGGGCCCAATGCATACGCTCACGATCCTTACGACTACGGCGGTCAGATCGAATGCGAATTAGAGCGATTCGGCGCGATCACTCAAGCCAGCGGGCACCAAGGCCACTCGCGATCGGACTCGCTGAGCCGGCCGATCTACTTTCCATCGCCGTCGCAAACGACACCTAGACTTCAGTCCCATGCGAGCTTCTCGCCATGGTAGATTTCTATTCACGAACGTGTATTCCTGTGTTGTGTCAAGGATGTATCGGATCGTCTGTAGCACTCAATGGAAGCCGTTGAGCCCATTTTGATGAATTAGTCTGATAGGACCCGCGCAGTATCGCCCTCCGGTGACACCGTCGACTGCAACACCAGCTGTCGTATCAATGCTATGCATTTGCACGATAGAGCGCTCGTCTGCCCTCTCCCTCTATGTCTTATGACTGGACCATGGAGCGCTTCTTCTCCGAGGTTGCACTATACAACGAGGCTGATTAGCAGAGATTCGGCGGAGACAAGAGCGCAAACTGACCCGGTGAATGGATCCATCTTTTGCTCGACAGCACGGTCTGTCGCAGCTTCTTGCCATTCCTTCGTCATCGTCTTGACAGGTGCAGGCGCTGTTGGTTTCAGGCTATCAGACATAGTCGCGATGCCGCTTCAAGCAAGCTCACCTCGTGATCGGACGAGCCAGAAGACGGATACAGCGGCAGCGATGGTGACCACGACGCTGACGAAGATCTTTGCACCCGCTCCAGGAGCATCTACGGGCGCTCTGGGTCCATGGGGGCCGAACGCGACATAGTAGACTGTACGTCATTCAGGCGGCCATCAGCGCCAGTCCGAGCGGCTCATCACTCTGTCGACTGACTGGCTTTCTTCTGCTCGAGCGAGAGCTCCTTCCAGTCTTTCCTTTGAAGTTCCTCGAGATGTGATGAGAGTCCCTTTTGCTCAGTGGGCGTCAAGCCGGCCCATGAGGCCTCGATCTGCCACGTCAATCACCGTGATCAGCTTTTGGGGTCTCTCTGTAGCTGTCAGTGGCAGCTCTGCGTACATTGCCGAGCTTCGGTAGGTCGGCCGCCGTCTGCGGAGCTGCAAAGTTATTGGCAGATGTCGTGGCTGCCGCTGTGGCATATCCGGACCGCAACTGAGCACTCAGCGTAGCCGTGGGTCGCAATAGGCCGACTTGACGCTGCAGCGCACGTGCAAGCATCTTGCTTCCGTCTGTAGCTCTAGCTCGTCTTGTTGGAAGGCGGCCTGCCTCGCCTGGTTTTCAAGATTTTATCAACTTCGGCTCGAACCGCCGGGAAAATCAGTCTCACGACGCGCTTGGAGGCGCGAGGCCCAGTCGTGCTGTATGCTCATGCATTTATGCCACTCTCGCGCAATGTAGACATGCGATCAGCGGTCTTGAGGGTCACGATGTTATGGCAGCAGTACATATCATCTTTTGAGATAGTAAAGCTCTAGTAAAGGTCAGTGCAGCTGTTCAGCTCAACAACTATAAATGCTTTCTGCCCGTGCTATTGCTCTAGGCCCTCGCAGCATGCTGTATTCAGTTCCCTGACTTGAAATGTATCTTACTGCCCTTGTTTGCATTCCAGTCACCAGTATAAACCATGCTGGCCATGTGCAAGCCGCTTGATATCAACTGATCACCGACGCTTAGCAACCAACATTATCCGAGACGCACACAACATATTACACTAAGAGGTGATCATTTCGAAAAGTAGCCAAGCAAGCCCTTCCGCTGGGCAGTATGTCGACCGGGATGTCCGGGACCCAGTCTGTCTTGTTGCAGACGAGTCAAGCTTTCGAGCTTGTCGTGCACGAGCTCGAGCTTCTCTTTGCGATCCTGCAGATCAAGATGGCGCTTGATCGCAGGATTCTCGCGAGCAAATTGCAGAATATCGTTGCGATCCAGATCGTTGCCCAGCCGCGTGTCGATGTCACGCGGAAATTGATAGAAGAACTCTGCTAACAATTCGATGTTCACGAACTGAACGGCAGTGTACGCCAGCTTGTCGGACACGACGTTAAGGAATGCTTCTGGGCAAAAGGATTTCGCGTCTGGACCCGACTTGCACCGCGCCGATTTGAGCACATTAGCGCGTAGCTTGAGCATCTGCAATCTGTCGCTCAGGAATAGCGCCTCACGCGCTGCGTCGCAGAGTCAGTTCGCGCGGCACTTTTATGAATGGACATACCTTTCCCGACCAAGGCTGGATTGTAAACTTCTCGCGTGGGATCGCTGAGGTCCTCAGCACTGAGATCCTCGATCGAAGTCCCGTCGGCTGCCGCATTTCGAGCCGCTAAGCGACGGGCGGAACGCCTGCGCTCTCGGTCTTCCAGCATTCTGACGTATTCGACAGCGCCCTTGAGTCTTCTGCCGCCAACAGTATGCCTGATACCGTCCAGGAAGTTCTGGCACATCTCTTGCTCGCGTTCGACCAGCGCAAGAGATCGCTGGCGTCCTTCTTCCCACTCTTTCGATTCGACATCGACTTCATACTTGTATGGTTTCACGCAATTCTCCACTTGATCGGCAGTGAGCGTGTAACGATCTCGCAGAATGGCATCTGCAAAGCCGGCCACTCGCTCCGCTGCATCGGGATGATAGTTGAGCGGCTCCTCGGTCATCAGCAAGTTGATCCGCGACCGGATCGTATCGACAACCAGCTGTGTCGAAATGCGACCTACGCCAGACTTCGTCAAGCCAGAGGAGGCTGCCTCAAGCTTATACAGCCAATGCGGATCGAGGTCTTCCGGCTTGAGCTTGCGGTCGCCTGCCAGCTTCACAAGCTCCTGCGTCTTTGCATCGGACCAGTAGACTTGTGCGCACACTTCCATCACGCGATCATCCAGAGCCTGCTTGAGCATCTTGCGCACTTGCTGCTTGTCAAGACTCTTGGCAAGGTCGCCAATGCGCAGCTTGAGCTTGTCCATCACTTCTGCCACGTATGACTCCGCAGAGATGGAGCGGTCATTATATTGCACTTTAAATTGATAGCTAGCTTCTTCGAGCTCGACAGCGACCGCTTCGGCGATGCCGTGCAGAGAATTGCCCATAGATTCTTCGAGGACTTGCATCAGTCTCCGTCGCAGGTTATCTGTGCCAACCAGCATTCCTGGCTGACTGAAGTATTGTCGGTTCTGTCCAAAGAAGCTATCTTCTTGTCGGACGACAGTACCTGTGAGATCAACATCGGAGCGTCTGACGACCGAGCGACCTTCGCGTTGCTTTGCCGCTGCTTTGCAAACGACGCCGACATAGCCAAGCGCGAGCGGATACCGTTCGTTTGACAATACTTGCGAGCCGATCTCTGGTGCGACTAGATCCATCTTGGTGACGACGCCAATGGTGCGCATGCCCAATGGATCGACTCGACGACTAGCACGCAGGGCCGGACTGTTCGCCAAATCGACGTCCGCAGCACAGACTGCGAGAATGATGTTTGGCGCTCGAATGTATTTATCACAGAGCTTTGCAATCTTGTCCTTCAGTTCTTCAGGCTGATCAAGTGAGGCAATCTGAACATAGCCCGGCAGGTCGACCATGGTAAGATCAGGGAGACGTGGCCCGTAGATGCGCAACTCGATGGGCTTGTCGGAAACGGCTTCTGCTTCAGGCACGGACAGATTGGCATCTGTCAGGATCTGCTGGACATGGGCAAAGTCGGTGAGGTGACTGGTGCCCATGGCAGGGAACTCGGCATATGTGTCGGGCTGTGCGTTGTTAGCAGTCGCCGGTGTGTGGATGAGAGTGAGCTCGATCGGCCTGCGTGTGACCATGTTGTTACCCTTGGGCAGAAATTCGCGGCCAACGATCGCTTCGAGCACGGATGACTTGCCGCTGCTCTGGCTACCGATGACGACGATACTGGGCAGCTGCAGTGACTCTCCGTGATCTATGCTGAGCAATATGGTGCGGATCTCGATCAGCTTGCGGGTCAATAGCATGAGATCGGCTGAGCTGTCCGACGCGCTCTCGCTCGAATCGGCATCGAGAACGAGCGGCATTGTTGATGCAAGCCCGAGAGATACTCCTGCGAGCGTGGGACCGGAGAGCGGATCCTCTGGATCGCCATCGGGATCAGATGACGAGCCTTCCGAGCCATCACCTTCGCGCCACTTGCGGAAAGCCTCCGCTCGAGCGCTCGCAAAGCTATTGAGACCTTCGATGCCACCTTGTGCAAAAGATGTGAGGGATTCTTTGGCATCACTTGCTCTCAGGGCGACCTCCCCATACGCGTTGCTGGCCGCCTCTAGGGTATTGTTGTAGAGCTCACTGGTAGCAGTACGAAAGCCTATAAACGCGTCAGACTCATGAAATAGGGCTCTCCGGCCTGCTGACCTTCTATTTTGTAGTTTGCATACGCACCGACGCCCGCTGCACCGCCCACGGCCACGCTGGCTCTGACTCCCAGCTTGATGAACGCTTTAGGCACGGCAGAAAAAGAGGCATGACGGGCGCCGGTAGCCATGAGTGACATTGTGACCTGTCTGGGCAGATGTCGTGAGGGTGCTACGGAGGATGCGAGCAAGGTCGAGCGTGTCTGCAACCTGCTAGCGAGGTGATAATGATGTATCGGCGTTCTTTGGCTTGACGAGTCGAGCTGAGATATGATATGGCGTCTCGCGATGGCTGTACGCCGCGAGACTGACAGGAGCGAGCTCATCTCTGCGCTATCTTGTGCTGATCACGCTCTTAACGGACTGACATGCCGCAGAGCGAGCGGCCGATTCGATGACGCGGTGGTAGTCGCGCCAACTTCGACAACAAAACTTTGAGCGACGCCCAGCTTGTCCTCGACGGGTTCGCTGCTCGTCATGATCTAGCCGACTTGCCTCATCTCTCCTCGCATCGCTCAGAACTATCAACACTACGTCAGACTTGTCCTCACAGCGGTCGTCAGGCGTCATGTCGGCAGCAACACGCAAAGCAAAAGCGGGAGCCCAGGCCAAAGCGAAAGCCAAACTAAAAGCCCAACATTTAGAAGCACAGACAGCCGACGACAGCCCGGACGAGGAGCTCTTGTTCGGCGAATCAGAGCGAATCAACCTCCTCGGCGCGCTCGCGACGCTCGTTTTGCCCGACTTCAAGGATGCAGACCCGGACCGCCGAGTGCCGTTCATGTTCGACGCAGACGAGTTTGTTCGCTTCAAAGAGCGATATCACATCGACGACTTGCCTTGCTCTCACGTCAGAGCGCATTTCGATGCGCGTGTGGCCGTTTGCAGCAAGCTCTTGCTCTTCATCCACCTCGGCGTCATGCGACAGGCCGAGATCGAGTATCAGCATGATCGTGGTCATCGTGCGATATCCCTGCGAGACATTGCAAGTACGATCATCAGACAAGCAGGTTTGCTCGTCGAAGCGCGTCCGTCTCCTTTCGACAACCTGGGGGCTTGGCTGAAAACAGGAAGTAGGCATCACGCTATACGCCAACAAATACCAGGAGAGTCTGTACCAGCGTGAGCAAAGTCAGCATCATGTTCGTGGTGTCAAATTTCAGCTGACGGTCCGTCTCAGTCTTTATCGTCAGCTTGACTGTCGTAGTCTGCAAATGCTGCAATAGCGGACCAGCCATCCTGGGTGCAATGACCGTTCGAGCCTTTCGTGATGCTCAGATCGTCAAACGTGCGGACATCATTGCTCTCGGACAATCTGATTTGGCCATCAATACGTGCGGACCGGAGGAATTTGCCGTGGAACATTCGTTAGAGACGCATGGGAAGCAGCTCGTCGTGGCAATCATTGCCGAGGTGGAGGATCAGGCGGGCAGAGTGCCATTCTTGCGCACTCGGCGAATCTCGCGTCATCGTCATCCAGCTATGGCAAATGACGGGCTCAACGTATAATCAGCCAGGAGAGTCTCGACTGAACGGAAGTACGGATGTTGTCGTATGACAAGGCATAAATTTGGTCATCCTTTGGCTGCAGAAATAGCAACAACAACATTTCCGATGAGTCGCAGTCTGCGGCATTTTGGGGTCAGCGCTGATCCGGTGAGTGTTCGTGGGACCAACCCAAACGACTTCATCTTGGCTTCCTAGACTTGATCTCCTCTGTCGGCTCCGTCCAGTGCGCATCCAACAGGTCGAGAATAGCCTCGTGTATAGCCTGTTTGGCAGTGTTGTCCGAAATATCACTGAAAGCAGCCGAGATATTGGCAGCCATCATGGGATCGTTGTTGTCCATGGCGTCCAGCGCGGCCGGTGTCAGTGTAGCAGCTGTGACGACAGCATTGGCGATCATAGAGCGCAGGATGGGCTTGCTCGGATCGATCAAGCTTCGTATACAACGCGATTCGCGGTCATATGCTGTCTCGTTTGGTGCCGATGTGAGCTGTATCCGAGCAGCGATGAATGTCCCCGCTGATCTGATGGCGCGCATCTCCACATGGCGGATCGATATTGGCCGCACGGCCGTGTGCTCGAGTCGATTGAGCACGCCCGCACTGATGCTGCTAAGGAGCTCGTCTGACAGGGCTACTCGCGCATTGAAATGTACAGCCACACGTGACGAGGGTAAGCTGCTCAGCGGATATCTCTTTTCGAATCTCGGCTTAGGCGTGTGCGTCCATGAGGAAAGGAGCATAGCTCTTTGCGCCTGCAGTCTTGAGATCCGGTGAGACGAAACACAGGTATGATGCGCGAGCCAAGCTTGAATTTGCGACGAGCTGTGCGAAAGCTGCCGCAGCAGCTTCGAGCTGACTTAACTCGTTCCCTGTCGCTGTACTGAGCGGATATTGATCGCGCGCAGACCTGGGCTGAGCACACGAGGAGGGAGCATGAGGAGATTCTTTGGGTGGCTTCTGTGGTAGCTTCAAGGAAGGGTTACGGTCAAGCTTGTCCTCTTCTCGCTCTGCATGCGCACGAGGGGCCATGAGGCGAGCAAATCTGCCGGCAGCCGTACAGACGATGATCACGGCGAGGAAGACTGTGCCGATATCGTAGAACGACGACAAGGGCATCTGCCGAGCTGATGAAGTAAGGCTCGCCAAAGAGAGCACGGACACTTGGGGAGACTTTGCGCTTGCGGGAATTGGCTGCACGCGAGGCGCGACACTACCAGCGAGCTCGCCGCTTGGCCGGCATGCACAAGCGCTGGCTCTCCTACATCACACTCGCAGTAGCTCCTGTATGCTTGGCGAGCGTCAACAGCGAGCACTTCGCAGAGAGACTGGATCTCGCCTCGCTCCCCGACGGACGATTGTCTGCAGCGTTCACATTCCGCTTTCTCGGCCCTTTGAAGCATTTCCACAGGGGCAGAACTTCGCCCGATGGTCATACGAGACTGTACACATCCGAGCGTATCCCGCGTCAGCTCGCCAGCATCATTCGCGCCTTTGGTGTCCGCGAGCTTCATCTGTCACTCACAGCAGGCAGCTGGGATCAGTCAGCTTGGGGCTTGCCTCACTCGCCTCACGCATTTGAGGGCAGCAGACTCAGCCGATCGCCAATCGCTCATGCTAGTGCAAGCGGCGCCGAGCTTTGGGCATGGCTCGACAGCTCAGATGCGAATCAATGGACTGGCTTGACAAATTCGTTGGCTGGACTCTTCTGCGCCTCCTTGAACAGGCTAGACCTTACACGTACAACATCTCCCGTGCTTCAGTACGGTCGCGAGAGTTCTGACGCCGTCAGGAGTGAGCAGAGACACGCATCAAGGCGGGTTCGACTGATTCGCGCTTTGCAGACGCGACCTTATATCACGGCATGTTGCCACTCGAACATCCCTGCACAGAGAACCTGACACCGTTTATCTCGCTTCTGCCATGCAAGGCGCAAGCTGGTCTGGCGAGCTTGCTCAATCCCCATCGTCTTTTCGATGCCGACTATCAGAACCTTGCGATAGATATCTTGACGCATGCGGACGAGATCGAGATCGTCATGCAAGCCAAAAGTGTCCTCAACCCAATCAGACTAGATAGAGCCAAGGGCGGGCCTGGCAAGCGCGATTGGTCATTCGAGCACTGCCTCGAGCGGGAGCTCAAGCGATCTTGCCCCGCTGCTAGCGAGAGCTTCATCACGATTGTTCAGCCCACGTCGACGCATAGCCTGGTACCCGATGGCTTTGAGTTTGTCGCCGAAAAGCTGCTTTCGATGAGCGTTTCCAACGTTACATCACCGCTGGACGTCTCGATGCGCTGGCCTCAGGAGGGTCAGTTTGTACCCGAGCAGCAGTACGCCCCTGCGCCGATAACGGTCAAGCGCGTTCTGCTGGGAAAAGGGCAAGAGCGTGGACAGATAGGCGTAGACATCGCCAATCATCTGGAGCAACAGATAGACGTAGGCTACAATGAAGAGCTTCCTTGGTGGATGACAATCTACCTGCACACGCTCAAGATCGAGCAGCTTACGCTGGATCTCCAGTCGGTACAGCTACTGCCAGGACCAGCAAGTCACGCGCTGCGCTACGTGCCAGCAAATGTCCGAGGAAGACCTGCTCTAATTGAAGCCAAGTTGACGCTGCCTGCGCGATCGGTAGTGCGCGTGCTACTGAACTACGAGGCGGCCTATCTACGCTACACAGAGTATCCATCAGATGCACATCGTGGCTTCGATATACCTGCAGCAGCTGTGTTCCTGCCAGAGGGACCCATGACCGGCTCGCGACGAATCTACTCAAGTTCTGCGCTTTTGTCGATGCCGACGCCAGATTTCTCGATGCCCTACAATGTCATTATACTCACTTCGACCTGCATCGCACTTTTCTTTGGCTCGATATTCAATCTGATGACGAGAGAGCTCTTTGCGATACAGCGTGTGGGCATTAGCACAAAAGCAGAGTGATCACAACAACATCCTTCGTAGTTTCGTTAGCATTTCCTGACGATGCCTCGTCGCACCTCCTCGGCTCTGCAGAATTGGCTGGTCAGCTTCGACCAGTTCATATCGACCGGTACTCGCCTATACTCGAACATCAAGTGGGTGGCAGAATAGAGCGCGATGCACGCCAACGCAAGAAACTTGTAGCCTGCAAAGCGATTTAGCAACCTGGCTGAGGAGCACGTCGAGGACCTGCCTGAAAAGGTCCCGAATACCTGGCTGCCGAGGTATTTGATGCCGTCAACGCCGATCGCAAATCCGATGAGGTTAGCGGTCATCATCATGAGGATATTGGCTACGCCGCCGGCCGCTGCGACATGCCGATACCACCACTTACTTTCGTACTGCAGCTGTGTCAGCGATTCGATCCGCCGTTTTAGCGAGAGGCTTACTTTGCGCTCAGGCACGGCGCGTTTAGCGAGCACTTCTGGGAGAATGAAGAGAGCGACGACCCAGCCCCAAGTGAGAAGCTGAAGCGAGAGATCGTGCCACATTGCGACAAACGTAAAGACGAGCAAGGTTGCGGGTATCATGTTCTTATTGCCGCCGATGGGTATGTAGATGTATCTGCTCTCGTCTGGTCAGACGAACTGTGATGAAGTCATGGCTGCCCACCTGATGATCCAGAGATTGAAGCTTCGGTGCCAGCTGCGCCAGAAACCGAGTGTGGAGTAGTTGTTGGCCATGCATCTCACCATGTTCTCGGGCGGATCGATGCCGTCCGTCAGGGCCCATAGCCGGAAGAACCGCCAAGGCAGTAAAAGCTATACGAAGATGAGCTGAGGCGTCTGATAGGCTGGCATGCGCACCTTTAGCCAAACGATGATGAGGTTCCAGAAGCCAATCATGCTGACTTCGAATGGGGTATCGCCTGCCCATCCGCCTTCTTCCGACTTGATGGCGACGACATAGATGTTATGCAAGACCCATTCCATGGTGAGCAGGGACACGGCAAAGCGGACTGCGTATGATATGGTTTCCCTCCTTGGCAGCTTCGGTGGTAGCTTGAGCTGAGCCACAAAGTCGTTATACGTCATGATCGGTCCTGCGATGTACAGAGGCGGATAGAACGCATAGGCGAGATAATGATAAAAGTTGTACTCTGCCGGCGCATGCGATGTTGCAACGGAACTGATGCCTGATAGTTTGGCAGTGCCATTTGCAGCGCCAGTCTCGTCCTGCCTGACTGTCAGCGTGCAGATAGGTGAGTCGGTGTGAGCTCACTCGTCGATAGGCAGAGATGGCCCAGCGATAATCTAGCGAAAAGGAAACAAGTCTGAGCATAGTGATGTTATGGTGCAGCTGCCACCTCGGTACCAAGCCTCTCGCTACGTTGGAGTCCTGCAACGGGAGTCAGATCCGTTGCGGCAGCATAGAGCCTTCTTGCTTACCATCCAAGCGAGCGAGGTATGCAGAGACGCAAATTTGTAGCCCCCATACATGTCGTTGAGGAAGAGGGTACCGATATTGAAGCCCCAGACTGCAACGACGCCGAACTTGCTCTTTGCCGTTCGCGTGGCCACAAGGTAATTGGTGGTGACGAGGATGGCGAGAAAGAGGACAGAGAAGCCGTGAAAGAGCAGGAGAAAGGCTGCGGTGGCCGGTAGGAGAAAGGGCAGCCGATCTGGCGCGGAAAGGCGAGAAGCAGAGGAGCGCATTCTGGCGAGCTGTCTTCTTGCGAATAATCGGGATGCGACGCCCCATATGACAGCCAGCACGACCAGAGCCGCGAAAGAGTTGCGAAAAGTAGAGTACTGATGATCAGAATTGTCCTGGTCTGCGCATGAGCTTGGATGGCAAGATGTTCGCTGCGACTCACGACGCGTTCTGTCATCCAGCCTGGCGAAAGCCGCCCAGCATACTTTGCATAATTCGGATGCTCCGCTGCATGCGACATCAGAACAGATGATGCAGATCGTGGACCCCGTGCTCACGCCGGCTGAGACGCATGGCGACTCGCGTCATTTGTAAGACGGCAGCAGTGACGATGACGCTGTAGAGTATATACTCAGGCGTTCGCCATCGTGGCCGTGTTCGCCTCAGCGAATCCGAACTGATGACTGTATCCTTGAGCTGTATCGGCACCTTGCCCCTTCGCGTTGCATCAGGCGTGGTGAGCTGGCGCAAAGGCAGACCGTTGGCTTCATCTGCCAACAAGGTTGCGTTGTTGCGCTTTGTCGAAGGAGGGACAGTGACCGTCATGCTCGCGATACCATTGGCAAACAAGCTCTTCGACTTGAGCTTGTTGGCATCTTGGGCTGCTGTCTGTGAGCTGGGTAGCCGTGGCAGAGAGCTGAGCTGAGGCGTTGGCATCGTGAGGATGAAGGGCGGCGGCGCGCCTGCCAAGACGCCCTGCGCTAGCCTGGGCGATGCACTGCTAGCTCTCGGCAGCTCTCCTGACGAGTCGATCACTCGTGGGGATCTTGGCGGCGGCTCAAGGGACATTGACGATGTTCGCGCTTGGGAAGCGCAAGGCAAGCGCGCCGGCTTGGACGGTCCGGACGTCCGGCGGACGTGTCTTCGCGCTCGAAAAGTTTGACAGGAGCCCAGAAAAAGAGTGACCGAGGACGAGGAAGCCTTCGAGCTCAGACGGGGAGAGCAGTGATCACAACGTGTGAGCTCATCAAGCAGACGACGCTTCGGCAAGACGCGCTAGCTTCACGAGTCGAGTCAGGCAAGCAGAGATGACGGCAGTCAACCCAAAGGCGTTTCCTCTGGCGGACGCAGCTCTGACGAACCAGATCCTTGACCTGGTCCAGCAGGTCTGTCTCCAGCCGATGAGATCATCAATGAAAGATGCTGACGAATAGCTTAATAACAGGCATCGCACTACAAGCAGCTCAAGAAGGGCGCCAACGAAGCCACAAAGACGCTCAACAGAGGCATCTGCGAGTTCTGCGTCATGACGGCCGACACTGAGCCCATCGAGATTCTCCTCCACCTGCCGCTTCTCTGCGAGGACAAGGTACGCCTGGAGTTGTCTCTGCACGGTTTGGCATGCTGACAAAGAGACACAGAACGTCCCGTACGTGTTCGTGCCGAGCAAGACGGCACTCGGTCGCGCTTGCGGTGTCTCGCGACCTGTCATCGCCTGCTCGGTCACGACATCCGAAGCCAGAGAGTTGGTGTCTCAGATCCAGTCGGTCAAGGAGAAGATCGAAAGACTGCTCGTCTGAGTAGCGTACAATGTTGTCATACTGTCTGCCTCTCGATGGGATGATACCATGACTCCCTGCTCCTGCTCTCGTCCGTCTCATGAGCTGTCGACTGAGCAAACTCTGATCGACCTTGCGTCTCCTGCTTTCCATTGACTCGCACGCCTTGTGGTGTCCGCGAGCCCATCCACAGCACTTTGAGCACTTGACCATGTCTGTCGCGTCGAAAACCTTGCCATCACCTCGTCGTCGAAAATGGACAGCATCAACGCAGCTGCTGACCGGTCGGCTGCAGCTGCTGAGCTCGGCAATGCTCGAGCGGACCACAAGCATGCAGACACTAGCGAGCGACCGACTTCACGTCAGCCACGCAAGGCCAGCAAGCAGATTGACGGCACAACGGCTGCCCCGAGTGGCTCTGCAGCTCTCGAGAATTTGACGGCAGAGGATGCCATGCGGATCGTCTTGCCCGCTCGTATGACACAGTTTGAGCCCTTTGGCAAAGCCCGCAATGGCAGCCCTATACCAGATCCAGGTCAGCCTGAGTTTGGCTGCAGCAGGCATGAGCTCACTGGCAAGTCAGACGGACTCGGATGGCCAGGGAAGGGCACGCTCGAGCGGCTACATGATTCAAAGCAAGAGGCGGGGGAGAGGCAGACGAGGCTAGCGGGCGCAATAAGGACGGTACTAGAATGTATCGGTGAAGATCCAGACCGGGAGGGATTGCTCAAGACGCCGGAACGGTACGCCAAGGCGCTACTGTGGCTCACGAGAGGCTACGAAGAACGCTTGTCCGGTCAGTCGCTCCTTCGAGACAGCGCAGGACTAGCTCATGGAGGTGCAGATGTCATCGGAGGCGCCATATTCGCAGAGGATCACGACGAGATGGTCATCGTGCGCGACATTGACATCTTCAGCTTGTGCGAGCATCATATGGTCCCCTTTGTCGGCAAAGTGACACCGTTGGTACCTCAGCGTTTGATACAGGCTGAGCATATCGCAGGTCTCGATTGGATATATACCCTCACGCGGCGGTCACGTTCTGGGGATCTCGAAGCTGGCCAGGATAGCAGAGACGTTCTCCCGGCGTCTGCAAGTCCAGGAACGTCTGACGAAGCAAATCGCAATGGCGATAGACGAAGCCATCAAGCCGCGCGGCGTCGCAGTTGTCATGGAAGCTACGTCAGTTTACCACAATAAACCTGCGAGGGCTAGCTGATTGAAGAGTGCAGCCACATGTGTATGACAATGAGAGGCGTGCAGAAGCCAGGAGCAACAACGGTGACATCTGCCATGCTGGGCGCATTCAGAGACAAGGACAAGACGCGATCAGAATTCCTGACACTCATTCGATCTCCTCGGTGATGGGGTGTAATCATGCTTGCATAGACTGTACCACGATGCGCAACTTGTATGACCTTGTACGGATACAATTGCAGCTTGCAACAACACCGACTTGCGCTTCGTGTACTTCGTGATGCCGATCAGCGGAATTGCATCTTTGATGGATTCAGGCCAAGCAAGACGCCTACGCCTAAGAGCGCAAGACCGCCAAACATGACGTTCCGTTGCAGACTGGATGAGTTCTGCAGGACCCAGTCTGCGCTCGTGACGGCTGTCATAGGTGTCAATATGAGCAAGATGAAGAGCGTATAGCCCAATGCCCTGCCATCAAATTTGATCAGCGCTGTTCAGACTGGCGAGCCGAGCGCGCGTCGTCTCACCTGTGATATTTCCAAGTCGCTTTGGCTTTGGCTTCACCTCCCAAGAGCTTCTGGCCGGCAGGATACGCCTGCAGAAGACCGACGATAGCTTGGAAGACGAGCAGGCTGACCGTCGTGATGCCCAGAATACCGTGCCAGGTTGCAAAGTGTGCAGCTTCGTGTAGTTTCTTATTGAAGATGATGATGGCCACGCCGCCGAGTATGGACACCAGCGCGAGACCTTGGAAGATCTGATGTACGTTCTGACCTTTCCTCTTGGCCTGTGGAGACTTTGTGGGCTGGAGCACGAGGATACCGTAGCCGAAGAAGACGATGGCAAGGGACTGGAGTGCCGGGTGATAACTGAACAGGCCGGCAGGATGCTCGATCAGCATGACCCAAGTCGTGATGGCGAACAGGATAACGCCAACTTGCGCAGCCAGCGCCATTGTCCGATTGGCCAGATTGTTGAGCAGACTGGCATAGGATGCTTGTGCTTTTGCCATACTTTCCTCGAGATCGGGGTTGTCTGCCGTCGTGCTATTACCTAAGAGCGGCCGGTCTTCGCCGTTGTCACTCTGTGCGCTCGACGGCGATCGAACAGATGCGTCGGGGGCACCGCTGCTCATGCCTGATCAGTGCACTGAGCGAAAGACGGCGACCGAGAGCTGCGTCAGCAACGAGGTTGCTACGTAATCAACTTCTCAGTCAAGTTTTCATCACCTAGTCACCGTCGCCGGCGTCGGCGGCCAGTCGGAGGTGCAGGCAGATCTGTACCGTCTGTGACAGGTCAGCGAAGACGATAGGCGATGAAGAGGCAGTCGGTGCAGTCGCGATAGCAACAGGGTCAAGCTCGACGGGAAATGACCGCCATCAACGGTCACGGCGAGCCTCCGCGGCATGAGAAGCAGAGCGGCCAGCCCACCTACCCACGCCTGATGATCAACGGCGATGAGCCACATCAGTCTGCCATCCAATCGCCCGTTCAGCATCATGGCAATACGACGGGCAAAGAGAGACAAGTGATCGGCGACTATGAGGTCCTCAAGACCCTTGGCACGGGCTCCTTCGGCAAAGTCAAGCGTGCGTCTGGTCCATCATGAGCAGCAGAACAGCTTGAAACTCGAGGATGTGCAGTGGCCCGCCATGTTGCGCTGGGCAGCCAGGTCGCGCTCAAGTTTCTCTCGAAGCGAAAGATATCGGCGGGACAGCAAGTCGAAGCCAGCTGATGAGCTCCACAAGCTGACCACTCACTGCTATCGTAGGATGTCTGACCGGGTGCAACGTGAGATTCAGTACCTCTCCTTGCTGCAACATCCGCACATCATCAAGCTGTTCGTCTCTCAGTCGCAAAGAGCCATTCGGCTCGCTGACACGCTCGAGCAGATACGACGTGATTCAGACGACCGAGTCTATCGTCATGGTCATCGAACGCGCAAAGTGCGAGCTCTTCGATTATATCATCAAGACCGGACGAGTGCGCTTGAGTCACTGTCCGGCTATCTGCGCTCACCGATGGTCGATATTGCGCAGATGGCAGAAGGACCTGCACGGAGATTCTTCCAACAGATCATCGCCGCTGTAGAGTACTGTCACAGCCATAACGTAGTACATCGCGATCTCAAGCCAGAGAAGTCAGCCAGGATCGTTTCTTGATCAAATAGGCCTAGCTGATGCGCCAATAGCCTGCTCCTGGACGATGAGCTCAACGTCAAAATAGCGGATTTTGGCCTGTCAAACGTCATGCGCGATGGCGATTTTCTCAAGACCAGCTGCGGAAGCCCGAATTATGCTGCGCCAGAGGTCATCAGTGGCAAGTAAGGTGTCCCATCCTCTGATACTCGGCACTGGTTGATGAGCGATTGCGCAGGCTTTATGCTGGGCCGGAGATCGATATCTGGTCTTGTGGCGTCATCCTCTATGTCATGCTTTGCGGCAGGCTGCCGTTCGACGACGACCATATCCCCCTCCTGTTCAAGAAGATTAATGGTGAGCGCACTCCGACTTCTAGTCGCAACGCGAGATCTCATGACTTTTTAGGGGGTGTCTTCACCTTGCCGCCGTATCTGACGCCTGGCGCAAGACACTTGCTCTCTCGCATGCTGCTTGTCGACTCGACTAAGCGTATAACATTGGCAGAGATAAGGCAGCTCGCTTGGTTCCAGGAAGATCTGCCAGCGTATCTCGAAAAGCCGAGAACGATCTCCGAGAACGACCGGAGCAGGAAGCCGGATGAGAGCGAGATTGCGCAAGATGACGATGCCTCACCAGGCGAAGAGCGCGAATGGGTCGAGAACCTCGGCTGGCTCGAGGCTTCTGTCCTCAAATCGCTCTGTCAGGCGATACCGAGCTTGACGTTGACGTACGATCAAGCCTGGAATGCCCTGTTACATGGTCGCGATGAAAAGCTCAGGATTGCGTACGAGCTCTGTCGCGATAACAAGAAACTCAATGCACATGGTGCGCTTCGTCTATCTTCTGCTCTCCTGCTCTGCTGACCGCCGACGATTACGCAGCTCGTTCAAGAGGGAGAGGGCACGTCCACTCAACCTCGAGCCTTGAGCGCAGTAAGACGGTCAGACTGGATATCATATTCTCTGCCCGCTCGATCTGACGCATTTATTCGTGCTCATAGACTTCGCCCCATGCGGCTGCTAACAGCGATACGACTGTCAAAAACGACACTATCTCACCAAATTTCGAATCACAGCCAGTGAGCAAGTCAGAGATTCGCATCCTCCAGACAAGCCTGCCCCAGGCATACGATGGCAGGTGGTATGGCTTTTTAATAATGATGGTTTGCTGATAGGGTTAACGCTTGCTAGGCTCCGTTGCTGTCGACGGCAGAGCGCTCAGCGCGAGACTTTCGCCGCTGAAAGCAGCCAGTCGCTCCGGGTTGCTGTCGTCAGGCGCGCCGACAAGTCTCACGCCAGCTCGTACAGCCGGCACTGCTTCGTCAGCTTCCTCGCTCGTAGCGTCCAAGCGGCATCGTGTCAAGTGGCACTTTGGTATCCGCTCTCGATCGGGGCCGATGGAGGTCATGCTCGAAATCTACAGAACGCTCAAAGTCCTGGGCTTCGAATGGAAGCGGAAAGACGTTTCTCAAGATCAGTCGGGCGGAGAGACTGGCTCCGATCAACGAGAAGTCGTGCATGAAGATTCAAAGTCGCGCAGACGCAAAGAAGAGGAGCGCGTCAAGAAAGCTCAAGCACTTTATTTTGTCGAGACACGATGTCGTATGGACGATATGATGGTCAGCATCCGTTGCCTACGCTGGAGCCGAGCTGATGCTTTGCCACAGGTCTTCATGTCAATTCAGCTATATCAGACCGACAGTGACAACTACCTAGTCGATTTCCGCAATCTGGGCAGCAAGCCCATCAGGAAAGAGTTCGTAGATATGGCGTCCTCCGAACAACCATCTACGCCGCCAGCAGTCGATCTTATCAAGGAGTCTCCGAGCGCCTCGCCTGTCAAGACATTGCAGGTTAACACGGCAGACGAGATCCGCTCGAGGAAGCCAGAACAGTCCGCGAGCTTTACGCGATCCAGTGGCGTTTCTAGTCCGTTCCTATTCCTCGAATGCGCCTGCTCTCTCATTGTCGAACTCGCTTGCGGCGCGGCAGCAGCGTAATGCTCCTACTTTGATCACATAGACTGTGTTGCCTGTCTCCTTTTGTCCGATGAGTATATGTTGTAAGTCTAGATAGCCCTGCGTGCATAGAGGAATCAACAACAAGATGCACGGTACATAAATGTCATGCGACGCGAATGAAAGCTATTGGGCCGATGACGGTCGTTTGTACTTGTCTTTAGCCAGCTCTGCTGACGCTGGTGCGAGCGAATTGCGTGCCCCAAGCATCAATTTGCCAGCCCCTTCGGTCAAGCCGATCATAGGCTTGAGTACTGCGACAGGTACGGCTCTGACGATGGAGTGAGGACGCCCCTGTTCAAGCAGCGGCATCAGCGCTACGTGCGTGATACAAACGAAGTCGCGTACCTCTGCAGAGCCATCGTAATACTCCATCGGTACTGCTAGTATGGTCTGTGCGCCAGATCTGATGCCGGTGCGCAAGCTCTGGTAAGCTTCTGAAATGCCTTGTCTGACGTCAAGCGGCTGCTGTGCATGTTTGCTGAAAGCCTCCGTCTCCTTCGAATGGCCATCGTCGAGCACAAAGGATGATGACATGTCTGGCAAGACTGCCTCATTGTACTTTGCACCGATGGCGTGCTCTGCCTTCTCAAGAATGACCTGCGTGCCTGTAGCGAGCCGGGCGCCCACGCGCAGTGCCTCTAGACCCGACGTTTGGGCGAAAGAGGTCGTGCCTCGCAAGAGGCCGCGCATGAGCCTGCCGTCACGCTTATACTGCTCGATCGGAAGCAGTATGAGATCTGCCACGCCTGACCCGACATTGACGAGCGAGCGAACGGGCGCGATGCCTGAGAGGAAGTCGGACAGCTGATTGGCTTTGACATCTGGGCTCCAGATTTCTTGCAGTAGGTCCGATAGCCTGGAAAAGCCATGCACGTCTGAAAGGACAATGCGTCGAAGGACCATCTCCGAAGCGTCGAAGTGGAAGAGATTCATCAATTCGCCAAAGCGACCACCTCGGAGTGCATTGTAGTCGACTCGTTTCGGCTTGTAGTCCAGTTTGATCACCACTGGCATAATCTCGAGCGAGCCTGCTTCGGATTCAGACTCAGCGAGCTAAATAGTCTGGGGAGCTCACGTATGTAGGCCTGCTCCGATAGCTGGGATGATGCCGCTGCTACAGGCTCGGGCCTGAAGCTTCCAAAGTGCTTGAGGAAGTCTAAGGCATCTTGATCGATATGCAATCGCAATGGCGTGATTTGACCTTTGATAACCAGCTCGTCCGTGGCTTGTCCAGGCGAGTGAAGTGCGGCGACTTCCAACCTGAGCATCGGCTGCGTACTCGTTCGCATGCTACCGCCTTCGGACACTTTCATTTCCGCCAAAAATTTGCGCCAAGTCGATGTTTTAATGTTGTCAATGATGTCGAAGCTGTCGAGTAACAGAGAATGCGATGCCGAGACTTTCACTGCTGCGCCCAGCTGATTCTGGCTCGTGAAATTGCTGCTGTTAGCTTTACTAATCCTTAATCTGACCTCGATAGCAGCTTGTCTGGATCTGTTTAGCTTGCCTTGTCGACTCCGTGGCTGATTCGAGGATGTTCGCGAAGTCGGGCGACGTGGCACGTCCAGCAGACTATCGCGCATACTCGCGGTATCATCATCGGCCATCGCGTCGAGTTCGCTGTCAATAGCAAGCATGAGCTGAGCGTCGTCCAGAAGCATCTGCGACTCCGCAAGGCCTAAGGGGATTGTGTTGTAGAGCAGCATCGACACTGGCTCTTCCATCTTATGCCCCTCCGCCAGCAGTTGGCGGATCTTCTGCAGCCTCTTGCGCATTGCCTTGGATTCTCGCTGAATAGTGTCGCGAGTGGCTTGCCAATCGTAGCCTTCGTGCAGCCCGATGACGAGCTGGCAGTCCTTCAGCACCACGCGACGGTCTGGGATGCTTCTCGAGCTAGGAACTTCGACCACCTTTGCCGAAACAAAGTGGGTTTCGTCCAACACGACTGGCCCGTCGTGCAGGAGACGGATCGTCTCCCCGTCGATATCTGAGATGATCGCCTCATTATTCGCATACGCCTCGAGCGCCTCAAAATCCTCGTCGTTTGACGTTGCATGCGTGGCATGATCGTCTAGAGAGAGGAAATGATCGTTGGAAGGGAAATCGTCGTCGACGAGGTCCAAGTCGACGTCTTCGACCACTCTTTCTCCGATATTAGAGATGATGACGCTACCTGTGTGCGGTTTGAGTGACAGTATATCCGGAGAATTTTGCACATACTGAGAAGACTTTGCAATTCTCCCTCAGACAAAGCTGGCCTGGGCCCAAGCGATGCTGCTTTGGGTGCGACCGGTGTGCCTTCACCTGAATCAAAATGGCCAGGAAAAGCCATCAAGGTCGCGAGAGAGTCCGGACAGACATTGAGCTCTATCTTGGTGTGCTTGACCATGATCTAAGCGTTGTGTGAGCACCGCATGGGCAGGATGTCTCCGAGCTTACATCATCGGAGGGTTCGATGTGGTCTTCGCTTTTGCGCCATATTGCTTGCAATGAGCTCACAGTCAAGATTTGCGTGTGTTTGGCGGAATCTTGTAAGGCGATCAAGGAAATTTGCTCGCTTGCATTTGCAAGTTTGATGCGAATCCTGTCAGCAGACAGCTTGACCATTGAAGCGGTCTGGTCTTGCACAAGGCTTGTAGAGAATTTTAGATTGTCGACATGTGTCAGCAGATCAGGCTTGCCAAATTCTGGCAAGATCTGAAGAGTGCTCTCGCGTATGACTAGTCTGATGCGTGTCGACTCGTAAGGTACTTCGGCCTGCTGAATACCCTCTGGCGGCTTCAAGAAATCGGCAAGCGAGCCATGCCAATTGGCATCTGCTGAATAGGACACGATCAGGCCATCGACAGCAGTCGTTACCCTCGAGTCTTTCGCGCCACTGAATTCGTCAAGAATAGTCGTAAAATGGACCTGTAGGCAATTGCCATCGACATGCGCCTTCGTTGCAATGATGCCGATCGTCTGCTGCTGCTCCAAATACTCATCAAGAGCCACATGTCGGATCTTCAAGGCAAGTTGTAAGCTCTTATGACCGGCATTTTGTGAGCTGAGCTTTAGCTGGACGTCACGAGCGCTTGCGTGCAGCCCGTTCTCCTTGCGCAGATCGAGGCGAGCCTCAGCATTGGCGATGCGAAGACTGAAGCGAAAAGAAGGTTCATGGATACTGCTGCCCGAAGCAGCTGAGGAAGCGGAGCTCTCCTCGCGGTTCCGACGCGGAGGGAAGAAAAAGCGGCTGCCTATCAAACGATCATCTGCGCTTTGCAGACTGGCCAAGTAGCGTGTAAGATCGTCAGCAAACAGCTGAGCACCGTCGACGACAGCTTTGTTGAGGCTGAAGCTACAAGTCTCTACGTCAAAGCGCAGCGTAGCAGGCAGTGAAGTGTAAGTGAGGACACTGGCTTGCTTCGACACGTCTTGAGCTGCCTCAGCGCCGAAGCTCGCGAGACAGCACGCATCAGGCTCCTTGGCGTTGTTGTCGGCTGGCACTAGAAAGATGAGCGTCCGCGACACTGAAGATGTCACTTCGGGCTTTGATGATTGAAGCCGGCCATTGTGCAAGTCTAAGATGAATGTGCCGCCTCTGCTGACGGCAGTCGGACCGGGGCAGCTAAGCTCGCAGCGGATGAACATAAGTCTGAGTGACAATCGCTTTCCGTTCGGCTGAGGGGTCTCGCTGCTGTAGGTGGTCACTCGCGCAACTGCCGGACTGCTGGGCCGCGAAGCCGGTGCGAATGCCTGTCCGATCGCCAGCACCGATGCGAGGCGCTCAAGGATGGAGACGTCGATTGTGACTTTGACTGGATGCATCACAATGTGCGCACACGGGTCTGCTTCTCGCGTGTCAAAGGTGCATATGAGCATTGATTTATCCTCGCTATGCTTCTGCCGAATGCGCTTGCTTTGCAGGCGTACGGTGCCCTGATAGCGCCTTAAAGACGGTACACTGCTTGTGCGGGCATCATAGCCTATGTCGGACAACTCGACAGGCGATAAGATGCTCACGGAATGCGAAATGAGATGCTCTGTCAACTGAATGGCGCTGACGGTGAGGTTTGCGAGTGCATCTTGTAACTCAATGTGCAGAGTGGCGAGTGACAGATATAGATGCGCGTCTTTGTTTGCCTCGCAGTGATACAAGGTAGCCTCGACACCGATCGACTTGAAGTTAAAATTGGTCCTCTTCGGAGTCCCGTCGTTGTCAACGGGTATACCTCGGGCGCTCGGTGAGGAGGCGCGTAGTACGTCCGCAAAGTCTGCCAGTCGTCGCAGCTGCGCGAGGGTGATTTCTATAGTAGTCAAGCCCGATTCGGCCTGTATTGAGAGCATTCGCCGTTGCGGTGAAGTGATCGTGATCCGAATTGGCGCATCAGAGAGGGACAGTACTCGGTCGCGCGACGGATGCGCCAGAGGCGTAGCAGTCTTTGATTCATCTCCGGATGATTCCGCATCGAGATAGACGCTTGTACCGCTCGCAAAAGTAGCTGTAGTTGTCTTCAAGTCAAAAGTTGCGCGAGACATGGCCATCAGATCATCAGATTCGACACTCGTAGAAGAGTCGGTATCGCTTGCACTGTCCGCTCGCCGGCGACTGCGGGGACGCTGGCCGCGGATTCCCGAAACATCTTGGCCAGCAAGCAATACCTCGACACCCTCAATTTCCAGCCTGCGCGCCGTGACTTGGCTCTGCTCGCCATCTGTACGCTGCGAGAGGTCTGACTGGAATGCAAAACGTGCAAGCCTGAGCTCGATCGCCGCCTTTTCGCTTGCTTGGGGTCTTGCATCGTCACAGACAGACATGAGCACGGTGACCTGACTGAGGGTGACTTCCAGTCGACTGAGCAGCCGTTCGACGAGACCAGCAAGATAGGTCACTTGCTCAGGCGGCGGCTCATCACTGCTGAGCACGGTCGCCTGACCGCCAAATGCGCCAGGTAGGCTATGTCTAGACTCGCTAGGCGCGCCGGAGCCATCCGAGCCAGATCGTCGATGTCCCCGTATGGACGAGTCCAGCTGCTCGGCTTCGAGCGACATTGGATCAAGCTCTTCGCGTAGGAATGTGTCTGCCACTGTTGCTGCGACGCTGATCATGGAAGTGTCCATGTGTGCAGGCATGTCTGCAGACTGTGACATGTGCGAAGATGATCGGGCTGGAGATGATGCGGTCATGCCGTCTGGTCTGACAACGAGATGCAGAGTCAGGCCGGACAGCTCGAGCGAAAGGCGTGATGACCACGACAGCGGTTGGCTGAGCGACAGGCATAGTCTACCCAATTGGCCAGATTGACAGGTCAGTTCGAGACCCTGGGAAGCGAGTGCATCTACGATGCGTGCGGTGATGCCCTGTCGGGTGTGTAGAGCGTCAGTCTTGTGAGTGGTAGGCACGATAAGTAGCCGCACCTTGCCATCAAGCTGTACATCACTCAGTACGAGCTTGCCTTTGCCAATGTCGGCCTCGATGCGTTCGAGATCAAGCTGACCATCTTGTACGAAGGTGCCGATGGATTTGCGCAGTACAAAGGCCAGCAAATGCTTCTGGATGCTTTGGGGCAGCGCAAACGTCGGCAGGCTCGGTAGGGCGGGTAAGCGCACGAAACTGAACCAGTCGACCATGCTGGCTACCTAGAAGCTCACGCTATGTCGAGAAGGTAGCCGCAGGATCATCAAGGCCGCAGTGAGTGAGGACAGGGCGCTCAAATCGGTGACGTCGCCCTCTCGTCGTTGACATCGGCGTCACGCGTCACGGCCACGGCCACGGCTCGCCAGCGACGTCGCCCGACATCGACATGATAGGAGGAATAGACCTCATAGGACTGTGATCTTCACCGTTCCGGACCGACAAGCGGCTCGCTGGCTTGCGAAGACACGCTCGATCAAGCCTCAGGCAGCCTTGACAGCCGAGAACGTGTTGGCACCGTCGCGACAACAAGGATGCCGTCCTTTCCGAGCGGAGTGACGCTGAATGACAGCGTGAAAAAGCATCTCCTTTACGCTGTGTCTCGCCTGGACCTCAATCTGTCGCCCTCACTCACAATTCAGCGAGCGAAAGCGCATAGGTGGACATGGCAGCAAGAGGGCCATTACGCTCTCTTGCTCCTGCTGGCCATCATCAATCTGAGCTATGCAGAGAGTCCGACACTTCTTTTCAAGATCCTCATGGTCGCTGCCTACGTCACAGCCGCTCTCGTGCCCTTGACGAGCCAATTCGTCCTGCCTGCCTCGATCATCTTTTCTTGGCTGCTGCTCTTTTGGTCGTCAAAGTACATCCCAGTGCGAGTCAGACCGCACATCTGGGTCACTCTCCTGCCGACGCTAGAGAGCGTCCTCTACGGCGCCAACATCTCTGATATTCTTACGCGAACGATGAATCCGTTTCTGGATGTGCTCGCCTGGGTACCCTATGGCATCATTCACTTTGCTGCGCCCTTTGTCGTCGCCGCCACACTCTTTGTCTTCGGCCCGTAAGCCTTTCTCGAAACGCGACTCGGCTCCTGCTGATTAGACTCCCGCAACGTAGTCCAGGAGCGATCAATTTCTTCGGCAAAGCGTTCGGCTATCTCAACCTGGTCGGGGTGATGATCCAGGTTGCAGTGCCCTGCACGCCTCCCTGTACGTACAGCTTTCGTTGACTTAGGCACACAAGGCTAAAGGCTCCATCGACAACAGGGTATGAGCTACAGTATGGCCTGACGCCAGCCCACTATGGCATGCCAGGCTCGCCCGGCGGTCTCGCGCGAATCGATGCCATCTTCCATTCGCATGGCTACACCAATACCTTCACCACAGCGCCCATACCATTCGGCGCTTTTCCCTCGCTTCATGCAGGCTGCGGAACCATGGAAGCGCTCTTCATGAGCCATTTCTTTCCGGCGGGGAGGGTGGCCTATTGGTCTTATGTCCTCTGGCTGTACTGGACGACGATGTACCTGACTCATCACTATCTCATCGATCTTGTCGCTGGTGCAGCGCTCGCTGTCGGCTGCTTTTACCTCCTCATGTCGGAAGAGTGCGTCTCCTCTTCACCTTTTCAGGACGACACGCTCATCAGATCATACAGGATGAGGCACGCACCTGCACTCGCCGCCGACAAAACAAGCTATATACCCCATAGCAGCAGCACTAGTAGCGGAGATGCGTATCAGCTGACGGCGCTCGATGAGCACGAGCTAGACGATGAGGAATTGGACCATGCTCAGTTCGGTCCGGTAGACAAGAGCGCGATAGTCCAAAGCAAGGCTACGCGTAGTCTCAGTCCGCCCTCTAACGGTGCTCGAGTGGCGAGTCCGAGGCCAGCGACAAAGGACATAGAAGCGGGTGATATAGGACGAGCGAGGTCGCCGCGACCATAACTGTATTGCAAGCCTAGTGTCATCAAATGAGTAATGAGCGAGCAACATGTGCATCTCTGTACACTATGCATGTTTATCTTCAGAATGTAGCAGGCTGGAACAAGCCGTCTGTCCGGCATAGGCATCGTCCTCCTCGCATGACGCAGGGCGTCCTCCGATGCGCCAGATTGGTCAGATAGGCCTGCGGAGATGCTTTTCTCTTCGATCTCAGAGATGCTGCAGTAGCAATGATCGCTAGATCTGCTGCAGGATCTCCATTGGAGGGACCGAGAGGGCCTCGGACTCTTGCTACCGAGCCGGCGTATTCGACATTGCCTGAAGATGTCGCATCCAGCTGAGCGCAAGGAAGCCAACGCGCTCACGATGAGGTAAAGCCACTTGATGCGCAGCAACGTCAGCAGTCGACAAGGGGCTGATGGACAAAATGCCGCCGGGCGCATCGTATGACAAGGCGTAAACGGGCCATAGCGTCGCTAGAGAGATTGGCTCGGCTGATCGCATCAACTGATCGCTCTTTTGCTGCTCTGGCAGGGCCAAAATGTTCTTCCGGGCGAAAGTCAAGATGTCAGATGCAGCATTGAGGCCATGAGCTGGGTTCCAGGTCCGTCGGGCGACTTCTGGCAATTCGAGCGTACTTAATCGAGTAGTCTCAAGCAGCGTCCCCGCACGATTTCTGAAACCGACCAAGATGGTAGGTACGCCGAGCAAGAAAGACTGAAAGAAGAACTTCAGCAGTTTGAAGCGTTCGAAATTGGTCTGGCTTCGTTGGTCGATGGGCTTGACGCTTGTCTTGAGCTCGATGAAATCTGAGCAGTGCGGCGTGTAGTTCGCTTTTTCTGTTTCGGTCTGGACACAGTCTACTTCCCCACCAATGAGTATGCGATGATCGTCCAGGCTTGTCTTTGTGATGCTACACCATTGCACATTGGTGTTGACAGAGGGTGTGTCGTTTGATGGCTCGGACGCGTCAAGGTCGGCCGTACAGTGGTGCTCAAAGGCGTATCCATAGTAGCTCATTAGGTCATCCTGAGCGTCCAGAGCGGTGTCTCCGTCTTGAATGTACAGGCAGTCCTGATTGCGATAGATAAGCAGGCTTTGTCCAAATGGACAGCGATACTCACGTTGACCTGCATGACGAGTAGGCGCCAGCTCTGCTTTCGATCATAGGGGGAGAGGCAAAGCTTTGTCATCATGCCACGCCATGTGATGACGCTGGCTCGTTCGATACAGTGCGCGATATCTCTGTTGCTGGCCTGGTCAAGCAAGCTATCCGTCAGATTGTCCAAACCCTCGGCCACTCTCGTGCGCCAGACGGCATCTCGGTAGCCTGCATTGAGATCAGCAGGTACAGTAGGCTCTCGATATCGCTGAAGTGATTGATTTGCGAGAGGGCTGCTCGGTGGGATGAGCTCGTGCTTTGCGCCGAGGGAGAACGATGCGAGATGAACGGGTTGGGCTAGAACACTTCTGCTCTGACGACGGCGTGATCCGTCAATCTGCAGCATGCCCATCTATACATCGAGTACCACAACGAGACACGCTACGCCCAAAGGCACGACGCGGTGTAATGGTTCTGCAGGTGGCGTTGCCATACCAATATAACTTCATTCGTCAACGTGATCATATTGGTATGGCAACAGTCGCGCCTCTTCAGAAGGAATATGTCGTCAAGGAGCTCGGACACATCGCTTATTATCTATCGTTCCAAGTCGAAGAGGATGGTAAAGCACTTATTCTGCATCAGCGCAAGTACCTCGAAGCTATGCTGCAGAAGTTCGGCTTCCAGAATTGTAAGAAGTCGTCCAATCCTATGCCACTTGCAAAGGCCCCATCATCGAATGTTCTCGTTTGCTTTGATCCGGAGGAGTATCGCTCCGCAATCGATGCACTCTAATACGCCACGAATCGTTCTAGACCCGACATCGCTATAGCAGTTGGTTTCGCTGCCCGTCGCGTCTCCAAGCCTACCGAAGAAGATTGGCACATTGTCACGCGCATCTTCCGCTATAGCAGGCACGCTCGATCTCGCAATTCGCATGCCAAAGGGTGCTCGCGCAAAGAACATCGTAGAATGTCATGCGGACGCCTCCTGGGCTGACGACTTAGCTACACGTCGTTCCACTGGTTCATTCGTCTGCAGCGGTTAACACGTCTGGCTCATAACCTGAAAAAATTGAAGTTATATTAGTATGGCAACGCCACCTGCAGAACCGTTACACGCGATTCGTCGACCAGTCGACCACCGGTCACCGCCGTTCTGCTTTCAGGCGTTTTGTCCTTTCCCAGCGACACGCGCATCCTATTACACTCCTTCGTGTTCGTGCTCATAAGTCGCCGGCGTCGAGCACGCCACCGTTACCAGACAGCACCCCGACACCGATTGCCACGCCAACGCTTTGCCGACGATCGTCTCTGCTTCGTTGCTCCTCCTCCTCCTGTCGACAGCGCGCTCCGATCAAGGTGTACATGATGACGCTCCTCGCATTCGCCGCATTGGCCTCGATGGCTACAGCACTGGCTGGTCCCAATTTTTTCGATGCCTCAAAGTATCCATTTTCCGGCGCTGGCGACGGAGTAAGACCGTTCTCACCTGATTTGCATCTGCTCAAAGAGACACACAGACGTTCTATTCTAATTCGGCAGACGGCAATGCCTGCCTCTTGCCCGCTCCACTCATCCCAACTCGGTTTGCAGCCGTGGCTGCGCCGATCTGGAATGGCTCAGCCCTCTGCGGTGCTTGTGCTCGGGTCACCGGTGACAACGGCAACACGGTAGACGTCCAGCTGCTCAACGAATGCGGCAATTGCGCAGGCGCGGGCAACCTTGACATGTCCGACGAGGCACGTCACGCTTCTGAAGTTATCCTTGCCCCCTGAGCTGAGACAGATGCACAGGCATGGCTACAAGTGTATCATCCTCTCAGCATCGGCCGAGCGCACATCTCCTGGGAGCTCATCGACTGTGCTGAAGCCTGCTTGGTCGATGAACCCGACGTGCCTCAGGTCATGTACAAGCAACACACAACCAAGGCAGGCTTGCAATCTTGCATCTCATGCAGGTGCCGTCTTGTGCTGAGCCCATGTCGACGCAGGACTGGGCTGCTGTACAGCCTCAGGACATAACAGCACCACTCATGACGTTCGAACTCAAGAACAGCCAGGACGCCAACTTTCGTCAACTCTACCGTCAGAACTTCAACTACTGGACTCTCACAAAAGATGGTGGCTCGTTCGGCCCAGGTCCATGGACCTACAGAGGCACATTCGCAGACGGCACAACGAAGAGTACGTCCTCTCCACGCACGATCTGCATTGATTTGACGCGAGAGTAGTCTATCAAAGCAATAGCTTCAACATTGGCGAGTTCTAGCGCAGGACGCTCGATGACGACAATGCTTCGATGACCGAAGATGAAAAAGCAATGCATTCTGAAGTGGCCAGCCAACTTCTCATTGAGGCCATAATGATGTGTGGCTAATGTGGACCACGAGCATGGCCAGCCTTGCCCTTGCGCGCTGAGGTCATTTTCTCTCGCACATGGTGAACTCTGTGAGGCGTGTTGAAGGGCTCCTGATCTAAGTCCGTGAAGCTTGTCGTATTGCTGAAGTTGCTGAAGAGCGCTCGACGGACAACCTCCGGGACACCGCTATACGGATCATCGCGCTTGACATTGACCGTATTGAAACGGTGAGAGATAGCATCTGCACGTGACATCAGCAAGCGCCATCGCCAATGCTCGCAGTCCCACAAGAATGCTCGCCGTCATTGAACGTCTTTCGGAACTCGAGAGGGGGCTTGCCGAGAGGTCCGCCGTTCTTGCAGGTACTCCAGAAGTTGTAGTCTGTTCTGACAAGAGGCTTCCAGGGAGCGCCCGATCCGAGCGGCCTCACCGACATGCCCACGATAGGTTTGCCAATATTGACTGCCTGCACCGCTGTTGCATTGCGTTGGGACGTCAGATCCAGACTTTAGTCTGGGCGAAGAGGTTGCATACCACCCCAGTACTGAGTCGTGCCAGTCTTGTATCTGACGTAGTAGTTTTCTGGAACTAGTCTGGCCTGGTGACAGTCTACCAAGTGCCATCTGATCTGGACGCGGCCTTTGACGGGATCGTCGATAGCAGCAAAAGCGGCGTCCGACAAGTCCAGCGATCCCTCGAGACACTCTGGACACTCGTTGATGAGTTGTACGTCGATCGATCTTCCCGTATCGAGTGAAGTGACACGAGCACAAGCGCCGCACAGGTTTCGATTCCAGATCTTGCCAGAAAATGCAGCGAATCTTTGGTCGTGTCGCTGCGGTAAGAGACAGGCATTGCCCTCTGTTGACTTGGAGTAGGAGGTTCCGTCTCCTTGGCCAGACCAGGGAATGCGCTCATCTTGGAAGTAGAAGATCTTGCCACCTTCGGCTGCAACAAGCGAGCGCGAGCTGATAAGTATGGCAATCGCAAACATCGGCGATGCGAGCATGTTGGGCCACAATTGAGATTCGATAGGTCGATGAGCAAGTCTACGATCAAGCACTATGGTGGTGAGTGTGACTCGGGGTCCCGCCTCTGCTCGCGAGCAACCGAGGTGACGCGAGGTGATGAGGCTGCTTTAGGATGAAGGAGGCCGAGAGGGAGCAGGGGTAAGGCAAGAGTCTGTCGCACTACACGCCGAGTCTTCGCTCGCCTCGAGACAGTGAGACAGGCACCAGGATATTCGACTTGGACGATGCGCCGCAATGCGCCTAAGCCGACGGTCGACGCGTACGCTGACGTGTTTGGCAACGCCAGCGCCCGAGCTCATCGCACTCGACAAGGCACTCGCGAGTGTTCTGGCCTGCCGTAGCGTGACGGCGGAGTCTCGGGAGAGGCGACTACAGGCCAAGCACGAGGAAAGCGTAGCAAGAACAGGATGAGGTCAAAGTTCCAGGTCGAGCATTCGTTCGGTAAGCCTACTCAGCGTACAAGCGCGGGACCTGGCAGAGCGCACGCTGACTTTGCACTGCTTCTCGCTCCTCCTATGATCCCACGGTACATTGAACACATGCATGGTCGACTACGCCATCTTATCGCTCGGTCGCACGCCAATGTTGTGATGGCTCGATTGTGACGCGGCCTATCACTCCTACACATTGACTGCGCTTGCATGGCGGTCACGGTGGGCAGAGAAGCGAAAGGCGGAAGCAGAGAGGATCCGTCAGAAGTACCCCGACAGAATTCCAGTAGGCTCACACAAGCAATGCGATACTTGGCCAGACACTGAGGTGGGATGGGCAGGTCATCTGCGAGAAGGCCGATAGAACTGACATCCCCACAATCGACAAGAAGAAGTACCTCGTCCCGAGCGATCTCACCGTGTGAGCAGACTACTGATGCCGTACAAAGTAGAGCTGACTCGCAAGCGTAGTGGCCAATTCGTGTATGTCATCCGCAAGCGCATCAAGCTGGCGCCCGAGAAAGCCATCTTCATCTTTGTCGACGAGGTCCTGCCTCCCACGGCAGCGCTCATGAGCGCCATCTACGAAGAACACAAGGACGAGGACAATTTCCTCTACGTGACCTACTCTGGCGAGAACACCTTGTCAGTCAGGCGTCTCATTGTATCGCGCAGAGTGCTGATGTCTACGAAACGGCAGCGGCCAGTCTGTCTTCACCGTGCGTCGCAAGTGAGACGCGGGTTTGGCTCTATCCGACCTTTTGCGCGAGGCGCACCATTGTCATGTGTATAGTGTTGTTTTCCGCGACTCCTCGATCCGACAATCTACCTGTCAGCATTGCAGACTGATACAACAAACATGGCCTGCTCGAGTGTGTGTATACGTGGGACTAATTTGCCGCTTTGAGGGCCTTGATGCGAGCTAGCTCCGAGCGAAGGTAATTGCCCGTCACGATCACTTCGACCGAATCTGGCTGCGCTTGCTGACCTTTCTTGAACTTGCGCTTCTCGATCTCTTCCGGTAAGCCTTTATACACTATATGTCGCCCCGCCAGCATCCTCTCGAGCTCGCCAAGGGTTTCTAATGAGTTTGACGCAATGTTGAGCTGCCTTAGCATCGGCAGACAGTCCTCGCTCGTCTGTGTATCGCCGAACTCGACGAGGGGATCTGCAAGATCAACATTGGCCAAGTTGAGCGTCTGTAGCCGGCCCAGTCTCGCCAAGCCGCGCAAGGGTATCGCTTTGCCCAGTCGGTTTCCACTGAGCTCTAGCAGCGTCAAGCTGCTCGGCAGGAGATCATCGCCGAAGACTGCACATGTCGTTAGTCTGTTGTCGCTCAGATCGAGCCTCTGTAGTCGAGAGAAAGCAGTCGAGCTGCGTTCTGCCGCCTTGGGCTTTGCAGCAGAGGGAAACGCGCTCCAGAAATCTGAAGAATTGGAGCTATCGGGCTCATCGTCGGAATCTACCTCTTCAGGCGGTGGTCGCATGGCTTCGTCTGATGCAGGTTGCCAGTCCGTCGGCCAGAGCGCGTCCAGCTCGTTCTGCGCAAGCGAAAGCTGTACGAGGTTGACGAGCGCCAGTAGCGGCAAGGGGAACGTCGTCAGTCGATTGCCAGCAAGAGAGAGATTGACGAGATTGTTCAGCAGACCTACTTCCCTTGGTATGCTCGCAAGCGAGTTCTGGTGCAGGTCGAGCGTGTCGAGGTCTACAAAGCCCGCAATGTTCGCGTCGAGTGCGGAGATTTCATTATTTGACGCTCTGAAAGTCGACATCTCTATTGGATCTGACCACGTCGAGCGTGACTCCAGCAGCGACGAGTCTCGCGCTTCATCGGGGTAGTATATCGAGCTCGTCGGCAGAAGCTCGCTGTAGACGCTCATGGGGATCTTTGTCAGAGAGCGCGACGATATGTTGAGCCGTGAGGTTCGCTTTGCTTGGGCAATGACAGCAGTCAAGGGCAGGAGACCAAGGTGCTGTAGATCTTCCTCTGGGGCCTCGGAATGCCCAGCATCGCTCGCAGAGTCCACCAGGAGCCACGACTCGCCAGACTGCGGCGGGGGGATCGGTCGTGCATCTGCCGCGTTTGTTGCTTCCAGTCGACGTTCTTCTGCACGCTTGGCCTTGGCAGCCGCTATGGCAGCCTTGACTACAGCCAAATGAGATCAGCATGCGCCGTCAAGCTCCAAGCTGCTTGTTCAGTCGCGACTGTCGACTGACCTTGAGGAGATGCTTCTCGTGTTCGTCGGGCGTCGCTGAGCTTGTTGCCAATCTGCTTGAGCGGTGTCGCGGGTGCAGACATCCTTGCTGTCGATACAACGCCTGACGAAGCTGGAGCGCTGAGGTTGGGCAGATCTTGTTTGCGCTCGGACTCGACGGCCGGCGAGACGCCAAAGCCAAAGAAAGCGCGTTGCAGCTGCTGTTGTCGTCACAGGAATTGTTAGCCGTCGTGCCATGGATGACGATCCCTGGGGTGGCTCGGCAGCCTGGGGGGCTCCAAAGTCAGCGCTAGATGAAGCGGCCGAAAAGCTATCACGACCGAGGACGCCGCCTGTGGACGACGTCGAGCCGCCAAGAGAGAGCGTCGATTGGTCAGGCAACGGATGGTCAGCCGGCGGCGAGCCAGAGGTGAGACTCGCCGCTTCATCGAGAGGCGATGGCTGACGTGCTCGTACCCGACTAGCCTGCAACATATCTACCCCGTCCTGTCTTTGACAAATCAAGCCTGGCCGAACAAGGTGATACGCCCTCTTGGAATCCCTCCGACGAATTGCCGAGCTTCGGCGCTCCTGCCTCCTCCCACGGTCTGACAGGCTTTGCATCCGGCTCAAGTACGCTCGAGCCGGCATATGAATATGAGAGCTCGAGTCGGTCGCCTGTACAAGAGGACGAGGAACCATCATTCACCTATGGCGGTACATCAGACTATACGATGCCGACGGACACGCATGACCATGATTTTGGAGGCTACGGTGCACATGAGCAAGACGAGGATGAGTATACGGGAGGACATAGTCCTGCTGAGGAGAGTCGCTGGCCGGGCGAAGAGCTCGATCTGCCAGCGATGCCAGACGCGCCGCCCCAATGGCCCTCCGACGAGTCAAGGCGGCGCAGCCTCGACGACGATGACCCTGGACCTCGCAGCGATCCTTGGGCTGCTACGCCCAAGAAGCAAGCTCGCGACCTGCCCGACGAGTCCGAGCAGGACGAAGAGCAGGAGGAAGAAGAGGTGGCAAAGCCGAAGAAAACAACCAAAGGGAAACAGGCGCCCGCTGAAGATACTACGATCGATATAGAGGCAGAAGCCAAGGCAGCCGTCGAAAAGACAAAGGCGGCAGCGGGCAGTCTTCTGAGTATGTTCGGTCGGCGGACATCTGCAACCCAGAAGACGCCCGTACAAGGCTCGACGGGAATGTCGAGCATCGTCGACGGGGCAGCGGCTGAGGAGGACCTGGACTTCAAGCCTCGCAATCTCGATGAGGAGCCTCGCGACAAGACGGCTACGCCTTCCCCTTCTGCTGCACCTCGCAGCGGCTTCTTCAGCCGGTTCAAGCGCACGCCAGTGCAGCCAAAAGAAGCCAAAGCGACGCCAGAGCCGGAGGAGCCAGAGCCAGAGAGCAAACGTATCATTCGCGGTGTCGAGCCACCGGCCACGATCGTGCACTCACAAACGCTGTCCGCTTTCCAGGCGCAAGCTCTGGCTGCCCTCGAACCGCGCAGGCGGACGCCCACACCGCCACCTGAAGATGACGATGATGATGACTTTGGCCAACTTTCGGACGCGATGGCAGGCTCGACGGTCAACGACCGTTCCTCCGGGTCTAGCTCGCTCGAGCCCTTCAGGGTTCCTCACTTTGCAGCTGAACCGTCGCCATACGCATCGACAAGTGCGTACGATCGTGCCAATCGTACTCGGGATCATTCCGGCAAACGCACGCTCACGCCTGTGATGATGTCCGATGCGCCCTTCGCGCCTGCGCCATCGTCAAGCTCGTTCTCACTGTTGGCACCACCGCCGCCTCCAAGCGCAGCCCCGCGCACGAATTCAGTGGGATCGACAAGAGAAGAGTTTGGTAACTTCTCAGGCATGCAGAAGGGCAATGCGCTCACGCGGCCGGCTTCGACCGGACTAAGCATGTCTACTAAGCCCCTCGCGCCTACGCCGATCTTACGCCCGACCTCTGCAGCCTCCATATCGCACACGCCCCTTCGTCCTACGTCTGCATCCTCGCTGCCTGCCTTGCTGACCAAGCCACAGTCGCCCCTCGCCACGCCCCGAGCCGAATCGCCTGCGCAGACTGGCGCTGCGATTGCTCCGTCTCAGCCTACATCATCTGAAATACCTGCAGCAGTGCCTGCGGCAGCTCAACCACTCTCCGCACCTTTGCTGCCGTCTCAACCACTCACGCCGCTTCAGCCGACGAGAACAGTTCAGCCAACTATCCCGCCACCTGCGCCCGTGCCCGTGCCTGTGCGCACCTCCACGCCGTCTGCAACGCTTAATCCATCAGCACAAGCGGTCATAATTCCTGTGCAGACTGCAGCAAGCACGCCAACCGCGCCGGTTGCTTTGCCCAAACTTGCGCCGCCCCCAGCGCAGACGGCGATTCCCAAACTCGCACCTCCGCCTGCCAATGCGCCAGTGCTCGCCGCCCCGACGCCTTCTAGCAGGCCCATTCTGATGCCGCCACCGGGGAATGGGCAGGCATTTAATCCTGTGACGAGCGCAAGTGGGCCTCGGCCGCCGAGCCCTCAGCCGCTCAAGCCGACTCCACGCTACAATATGGCGCCACTCGCTCCTAAGCCTGCTCAGCCCACGCCACGGATGACCAGTCCGACGCCTGCGAGTGTGACCGTTCCAAGCACATCTGCTCTGCAGCCCAATAGGGCTCCGACTGCAACACGCTCGGCGCCACTCTTGGCGAAGCCGCTCGCGCCTCCCTCACTGACTCCCAGTCCTCAGCCAACATTGGCGAAGAGCCCGGTCTCTTCTTTTAAGCTGGCACCACCACCCGGCGGCGCGACTATCAGGATCGGAGCAGGCACGAGTCAAGAGAAGAAGGTTTCAATGTCAGATACGGACTTCTTCGACTCTTTGCTGTAGTCCCTGTGCACAGTATGCATTCGTGTAGTGTCGTGCGTGATATACAAACAATGTGAGCTGCAGAGAAACCATGATGCGACTATCGTGGGATTGCATGTGCTATGTAATTGAGCAGGGCGATGCCTGGCGTGCGGTATGTATCTGAAGTAATCGTGTCCTTCTGGTGACTGCTGATGTTGAGCATGGCGCCATTTGAGCCATACATTGGCCAGTTTACGCCGTCTAGAGTCGCAGTGTAAGGCGCATTGGGACTGAGCGAGTAGATGAAATTGATCCACCGGTCGGCGACGCGGTTAGAAAAAGCAACTTCTTGAGCATTGCCAGTGTCTACCCCCTTCAAGAACGTTGTGGCGAGCTCGCAGCCATGAGAGACACCTTGATAGTTGTCCGAGCCGCCAACGCTGTATGTATACGCATAGACAGCGGCATTCTTGCTGGCTGCAATGGCCAGAGCTCGACGTGGACTCTCGAAAGTGATGTCGCCTGCGATCGAAGCGGCGCGCTTGAACTGGGAGCCCATTCCGAAGAGCTGCGAGCCCGTATTGTACGGCGAACCCAGCGAAGGCACGTCTGGGTATCGTTGCAGGATGTAAGGCTCGGCCATACGGATGTACGTGCGATTGCCAGGCACGAGCGCTTCGATGTCGACTTTGACGCCACTGTCCGAATTCGTGTTCGTAGACACGTACATTGTGCTTTCATCCTGACAAGTGCCAAGCAGCATGGGTACGCGGGCTATGTTGTTGGACGCGTAGAGCTGAGAGGGGAGCTGTGATCTCGAGCCCAGCGTGGGCTGCCAGGGCCACTGGACATTGTTACGCGCAGAATTGGCATTGTTACTGGCTGCGAGGAGATCTTCAAGTCTGACAAGGCGCAGGCAAGTCAAAGGCGAGGGCGCTTTAGAACAGCCAGCAGCGTCAATTACGGGCTGGCTGAAGACCGAGGCGGCAGTCTCCCTATCAGAATAGGCAAAGGTGCCGGGCGCGCCAGATTGGGCGATGATGCCAGCAAACAGTGAGCTCGGAGAATAGAGGGCATGCCAGGTAGCAGAGAAAGCGCCCGCGCTTTGTCCGCCGATGACGACGTGCCTTGGATTACCTCCGAAGGCTGCAATGTTGCTCTGCACCCATTGTAGTGCCATGCGCTGGTCGAGCAAACCTGCGTTCAGATCCGCGTCTTGCATCTCTTCGACGCCGAGGAAGCCAAACGCGCCCATCCGGTAATTGATGGCTGCGAAGATGAAGGGTCGGCCCGTCGCCAGCCCCCGGTTGAGAATATTGATGGGCAGGTAGGAGGCGTAGTTGGGCGAGCCCGTGATCAGTGCGCCTCCATAGATGAACACGTAGACTGGTAGATTGTGACCGGCCTGTACGCCCGTCGGACGATGCACATTGACTGCGCAGTTCGCGTGAGTGATCTCAGCGGCATGATGGACGATAACGACCTACTCGTGAGGCAATCTTCGGTCGTGCTCGACGTAAAGTCCTTTTGCGGGCATGCATTCTCGCCATTTGTTGCAGAGTAGGTCTTTGTGCTCCGAGAAGAGATAGCGCGAGGGGCTCGGAAACGATATGCTCCAATGGGCGGCATTGCGTATGGCACGCCTCTGAAGCTGTCGATCCCATTTGCAGATGATCCTTGGTAGGTACCTTGCGAGAGCTTGACGATATCCGTCGCCGGAGTAGGTGTAGATGTGCTGGCATGCGTAGCGGTAGCTCTTGCCGCAGTGCTCGTCGCGTGATGTGTCGATGTATGATGCTTTGCTGTAGAAGTATGATGCGATGTAGTTTTGTGCTTCTTGCTTGCCTTTGGATTCTTCTTGGGCTTCCTAGAAGCCTTCTTCTTCTTTGTTTTCTTTGTCGTCTTCTTCACAGACTTTGACAATGCAGACTTGCCAAGATCGCCTCTGAAGACGCGGGAGAAAGAGACGAGGAGCCCATTGGGCGTCGTCTCATCTTCGACGTAAGGATTGATGGGGAGCTCGTCAGCTAGACGCTCGTCGACGTAGGACTCCCAAGGTACGGTCGATGCGTCTTCGGTCGCGTTGGCGTAGGATCTAAGGGCCAAGTCGAACCGGCTCGCCTTGGCGGTCAAGAGTAGGGCTGCCAGAGCCCAGTATGTTGCCTTCATGTGGTGTGGTGGTGTGTGTGCATGTCGGACCAGCAAAGGCAGATGCTCGCAGCACCGAGCAAGGCCAAAGTAAACAAGGCTCTTCTGCTCGCGTGGAGGTCGAGCTGTCGATTCAATAGAAGGTTGCTCGGTACACTAGTCTCGCGGAACTCGTCATTTTCTCCAAGCGCCACTGCCGACTGCGGCAGGTCAATCGAACTCAATGATGCATTAGCAGTAAAATTGGCTCGCCTGAGATGTTGATTGATATCGCGTCTGAACTTCTAATGCCAAGTCGCGTCCCCGATCGAGCGTGAAAAATTGCTACATCTACGCGAGTAGTCCGGCCTTCCTGAGCCTGTTCGAGGTTTCAGCTTGATCTCGTGCGTGGGCAGAGGGAGGATCGACTGACCTGCGCTTGATCTCGCCTGGCGTCCTCTGCCAAGTATTGAGTTTCTTGTCGCGTGCCATTGCGGCGATATCACTTCCGTATCGTTTGACAAGCTCGGCCAGCCAATCTTGTTCGTTGCTCGACGTGTGACGGTCTACCGATGTCGCGCCCGCAGCTAAGTCCTCGAGGGCGGCAACGGCTTTTCTGGCTTGGGCTTGCGTGGCGTCTCTGTTCTGGGCAGTGGGCAGCAATTTCGGATCTTGCGACCGTAGAGAAGCCCTGGCTGCGGAGAGACTAAGCGGCAGGCCCTGCGATTGATCTCTGGTATGGTCGAGGACGCCGTCGGGCTCTAGCTCGGCCGGTGATGGCTCGGCAGGCGCAGCTACATCAGTCTGCCAGACGTCCAATGGCGCTCCCCATGGCGTCGAGCCTGGCTCGTCTGCACTTTCGGCATCTTCGTCCGCCAGGGTGACTTTGGTTATGTTGCCATCCGCATCACGCTCGACGCGGGCAAAGCCCTTTGGGATCTTATCTGACTCTTTCTCCTTGCCTTTCCTGCTGGCCGGCGCAGCAGAAGCATCCATATCAAGTTCTGCCTCGTCATCTGATGAAGTGGTAGTCGAAGTCGAAGCGTGAGCATTGGCTTGAGCGTTTGCTTGTCTAGCCCGAAGTGCAAAAGGGATGCCTTCAATTCGTTCAAGTCCGCCAGACTGCTTCGGGTTGAGCGTCGTGAGCAATCCCATACCGATATAGTTCTGGCGGGTGGTCTTCTTGCGATCCCATAACGGCTCGAGTACTCCTGGGCCCTTGAAGACGGTCTTTGTCTTGTTCTTTTTGATCTTTGCCAGTGACCGCTTGGAGGGTCTATTCTGCGGTGCAAGTCAGCCTGACGGTTCGAAGATGCATGTCAACGTTCGTGTACCTTTGTCGCACCAGAGCGTGCCTTGCTTCGCTGACGAGGATTTGCCATGGCTTGACGGTCGTCGGCGTGGATGATTTTTGCGAGCAACTCGATAAGTATTGACGCGTTTGGTATCTTGGGGAGACAGGCCCAACGGTGGTCTCACACGAATAGCTCCACCGTTGCTCCTATAGCGAGAAGGAAGATGGCTACAAGCATGCCACGACGAGCAATGGCGTTTGCCAGCGGCTCGCGTAGTCTGCGTGCCCTGCAGAGCTCTGGCCGGACACAGACCAGAGTGGGCGCTCGTTGCTCTTCTTCACAGGCTCGCCCTACCGTGTTGGCTCGACCCGCGCTCTGCCGGGCGAGACAGCAGCAAGCTCGGCTTCTGGAGACGTCTGCGGCAGCGAGTCACATCGGCGAGGAGACCGTGCCCGAGAGCGCAGATGAACCGTTCACTGTCCACCTGCACGCAGAGTACTTCCAGTCCCACCTCTGCGAGCCGCCGAGCTTGGAGGTGCAGGTGACGAAGAACCAGCTGGTCGAGATGTACTCCAACATGGTCAAGATGAGACGCATGGAGATGGCCGCCGATCAGCTCTACAAGCAAAAGCTCATCCGTGGTTTCTGCCATCTCGCTATCGGCCAGGTCAGTCTCCTGTCATGCTCGTGCCGGACAGCGTCTGAGCACCAGACCGGACTTGCAGGAAGCAGTCTCGGTCGGGATGGAGTCTGCCATCAAGCCAGACGACAAGGTCATCACTGCCTATCGATGTCACCCCTTCGCCGTCATGCGTGGCGGCACCGTCAAGGGCGTCATCGCAGAGCTGCTCGGACGCCAGGATGGCATGTCCCACGGCAAGGGAGGCAGCATGCACATCTTCACAAAGTCTTTCTTCGGTGGAAACGGCATCGTTGGCGCTCAAGTACCCGTCGGAACGGGCATCGCCTTTGCTCAGCAGTACATGGGACAAGATAAGGACCATGCCACCTTCAGTATGTGGAGTGCTACCGATCGCCGCTATGGGCTCAAGCTCTTCACACAGTCATGTACGGCGACGGCGCGTCCAATCAGGGACAAGTCTTTGAATCTTACAATATGGCCAAGCTTTGGAATTTGGTGCGCAGGCTGTCATGCGAGCTCGTCATTTGCTGATCAGAGGCTTTCCCCTGAGTGCAGCCAGCTGTCTTTGTCTGCGAGAACAATCTCTACGGCATGGGAACCTCCTCCGCGCGCTCTTCGAGCAACACAAAGTACTTCAAGCGTGGCGATCTCATTCCTGGCCTACAGGTCCGTCGCCCTCACACTGCAGCTGATCCGAGCTAACAGCATCACGCTCGCACAGGTCAACGCGATGGACATCCTCTCGGTGCACCGCGCTTGCAAATTCGCAAAGGAATGGACACAGAGCGGCAAGGGACCGCTCCTTCTCGAGATGATCACCTACCGCTACGGAGGCCACTCGATGTCCGATCCAGGCACCACCTATCGAACCAGAGAGGAAATCCAACACGTACGTTCTGCCTGCCTTCAGGATGTATGCAAACCGACGATCGGGACAGATGCGCTCTTCCAACGATCCGATCTCAGGTCTCAAGGCCCGTCTGCTCGATTGGAAAGCAGTGACGGAGGACGAGCTCAAATCGATCGACAAGAAAGCTCGTCAGGAAGTGGAAAAGGCAGTCGAAGAGGCAAAGAAGTCGCCAGAGCCCAATCTCGAGAAGGACATGTGGACTGTGAGTCGCCCTCGACGCTTGCGTCACGTCGCTCATCTATCGCTTGCAGGACGTCTACGTCAAGGGAAGCAGCGTGCCTAAGCTCCGTGGCCGAGAGCGTGAGGAATGGCATCATTATTCCAAGGATGAGATCTCGGGTCCCTTGGACATGTCCTCGCTGCCGCTACTTCAGAGCGATTCCCAGACAGACAGGTCAGTACTTTTTTCATCGCTCGACCGCGACGTGCACTGACGATGAGAACAGCTTGGGACGATTGCCCAAAGATGCGTGATGATCACTTTGAGCAAATGTACGAGCAGTCGCTGCCTGTTAGAGATCTGCGATTTGTACAATATTTTGCAATGTCATGCGTCTTGCGATGCAGGTACACAAGGATGCTATGCACAGACAGACAAGGATTACGGGACTCTATGACGCCTCGCTGAACATGTAGGGCAGCAGGACGCGGCATGCTACAGCAAAGACCATGACTGATCTGACGGCCAGCATGGGGTATTGGAGCAAACCGGGCTCTGAGATTGAGGCTGCATTGTCGATGCCCTTTGTTAGACTGCGTGGCTGGGTGAAGAGGACGTAGATCGAGTAGAATGCGACCGAGAAGAAATGGTAGACGAGCAGCATGGGCGATGGCGCAATGCTGCATTGCATGACGAATGTGAGCCACAGCACGACGAGGGTTGAAGCGGAGACACATACGCTGCAAGTAGCACCACCGGACCCATGAGCCTCTCGCCGCCGAGCTCAAAGTATTTGAAGCAGCCTGTCTTCAAAACTTCGAGGCTCGCATCTGTTCGAGACATTAGCACAGGTGCATAGCAAGCAGGCGGTAACTCGCCATCTGCACTGAAGAGGGAGTAGAGTGCTTGGGCGAGGACGTTGATGACGCTCGCGACGCCTTTCCTCTTCCAATGCCAGGTCTTGAGGGCCTTGCGAATGTGATCCCATTCGCTTAAATCGATCACTTGCAATCCATCTATTCCGGTCTCTATCTCCCCCACTCGCTTGCCGCCCCCCAGCAGCTCAGTGAGAATGCAAACGTCGTTGAGTGCGACAGTCATACCGCCCCCGGTGAGAGGGTGACGCATATTCATGGCGTCGCCTGCGATGATGGCTCCTTCCGCCTGCGTGCCTTGCGATTTGGGCGGCAGGTAAGAGCATGGCATGGATCGCAGTCGGTGCGAAGGGACTTGTGACTCCAGAGCTGCGTTGAAAGAGGGCAGGAGCTGCAGTGGCAGCGAAGGCGTAACATGCTTGCGCAAGTATTCCTGCGAGGATGAGAATCAGCACCCAACCTAAAACTCAGCGCAGTCGAAACATACCTTGAGCTCGCCGTTGGCCATGCTGGGAGGCTTGGCACCGGGCACATCGACCAACATACGCGTCTCATCCTTACTGAGCTGGTAGACCAGAACAGGCCCAACGCCGCGTTCGTCTGCTCTCAGATTGCCGCCCTTGCGTAGTATGACATGCCCGTGACCGGGAGAAGGCATGTCGGCATGTTCGAGTATCAGACCAACAAAATTGGACCGCACGACCGGCTGGAGGGCCTCTGGCAAGAGCTGTCGCCTGAACTTGGAGAAGCAGCCGTCGGCAATGAAGGTGAGGGGCGCGAAGTAGTCAAACGTCTCTGCTGTCCTCTTGTCGCCTGCATTCGTTTGGCCGGGACGCGGTGTGGCTCTGACACCAAGTGTGCGGCCTGTTGACGCGCATGTCAGGAGCTCATTGACTGCGCCTTCTATCATCGTGACATTGTCCTGCGCGATAGCAGCACGTCGGAGGGAGTCGACGAATCGACCGTGATGAAAGCTGCGGCCTTCCTGTCGCTTGTCCAACCGGTTGGTCTCCTCGAGTTTCTGCAGTCGCTCGGGCGAACGTTTCTCATCCTCGAACCAGTGCATCTCCGTCTCTCGCTCTGGATAGGGTATATCTACACTCTGTGATCCCCAGAAGACGCGGTAGCCTTGGACATCGAAGCTGTCAATGTTGTCGAGGCAGTGTTGCAAGCCAAGTCGCTGCAATCGCATGCAGCCGCCCGGCTGGAGCAGTTCACCGACGATACGGTCTGGCGGGGTGAGGTCACGCTCGAAGATGAGCACCTTGCGACCTGACTTTGCCAGCGAGTAGGCGAGTGCTGATCCAAATATGCCAGATCCGACGATGATGATATCGTGCGTCTTGAGCGCGGCCGCCTATCAATCAATCAACATGATAACATCAATCTCCTTTTTCCCCCGGAGCGATCGAGAATCCCTTGGGAGGCCTACCTTGCCATCTGCGCTCGGCAACCGCTCCGTGAAGTCTCTTGTGGATGTCATGTCTCGCTCATTGGCAAGGCTCATCAAGCCGATTATCGTTCGACGACAGAACCGCGGCGAGTTTTGCCACTGTGATCTTTACTGATATTTTGATCGAGTTGCACTCGGCCAATCCGCGACGCGCAAACGCCATCACGCTGCAAAAAATTTCGCCAGGCCTTCAAGTCTTCACGACTTTAGTTTGACGGAACCCACGTCCAGCGCAACTCAAGTCTACCAGCCCGCTCGTCTTCCAGCTATACAGCTTGAAGACTCTCGAGCGGCAGAAACCAAAGCAGTAGCCCAATCATGGCATCGTGAGTGCCTCTGCCAAAACTTTGTTCTACGCTCTCGCAAAGACTCCGTTGGCTTGGCGGGATGGCTCGGCGATGCAGAGTGAGGCAAGTAGAGAAATGCTTGCTGACGTGACGAGCATGCAGAACGGAAGCAGCAGCACCTCCTGCTGCCAGCAAGGCAGATGGCGGCGTACATGACCCAGAAGCAGAGCTCATCGAGTCCAACTGGGATGAAGTCATCGGCGAATTTGACCAGATGAACCTCAAGCCAGAGCTGCTCAGAGGCATCTTTGCATACGGCAGGTCCAGTGTCCTGCTCGCTCCCACGTGAGCTCATCACTTCGACGCACAGGCTTCGAGCGACCGTCGGCAATCCAGCAACGCGCAATTCAGCCCGTCCTCCTCGGCCACGACGTTATCGCCCAGGCACAGTCTGGCACAGGCAAGACAGCTACCTTCTCAATCTCGATCTTGCAGTCCATCGACCTCAACCTGCGCGCCGTGCAAGCGCTCGTCTTGGCGCCTACGCGTGAATTGGCCCAGCAATCACAGAAAGTCCTCATCGCGCTTGGTGACTACCTCAACGTCGAATGCTATGGCGCCGTCGGAGGTACATCCGTTCGCGAGGGTATCGAGAAGCTCAACGAAGGCCCTCACGTCGTCGTTGGCACGCCCGGCAGAGTGTTCGATATGATCCAACGACGCGCGCTCAAGACGGATCACATCAAGATCTTCTGTCTCGATGAAGCCGACGAGATGCTCTCGCGCGGTTTCAAGGACCAGATCTACGATATCTTCCAGCACCTGCCACCTCAGATCCAGGTCGTCCTGCTCTCCGCCACCATGCCAAACGATGTCCTGGAGGTCTCGAAGAAGTTTATGCGTGACCCCAAGCAGATCCTGGTCAAAAAGGATGAGCTCACGCTCGAAGGTATCAAGCAATTCTACATCGCCGTCGACAAGGAGGAGTGGAAGCTCGACACTCTCTCTGACCTTTACGAAACCGTCACGATCACCCAGGCCGTCATCTTCTGCAACACCCGTAGAAAAGTCGACTGGCTCACCGAGAGGCTCCAAGCCAAGGAGTTCACCGTCTCGTCCATGCATGGCGACATGGAGCAAGGTCAGCGTGAGCTGATCATGAAGGAATTCCGCTCCGGCTCTTCTCGTGTCCTCATCACTACCGATCTGCTAGCCCGCGGTATCGACGTACAACAAGTCTCCCTCGTCATCAACTATGATCTGCCTACCTCGAACGAGAATTACATCCACCGTATCGGTCGTGGCGGACGTTTCGGCCGAAAGGGTGTCGCCATCAACTTTGTATCTGCAGAGGACACTCAGGTATGTCCAGATTGGTTCTGTCATGGAGCACACACTCATGCTTTGCTCGGCAGGCTCTCCGAGACCTCGAGAAGTTCTACAGCACCCAGATCACAGAGATGCCGATGTATGGCGATCACCTCAGATCTCGATATCAACTGACGTCTTGCATGCAGGAACGTCGCCGATCTGATCTAGACGGCAAAATAAGAGCGCAGTCTTCGCACCCTTACTACTACTTTGCAGTTGTACAACGTGGCTTCGTGCCGTTCAGCGTCCAGACAGACGCGCATGAAGCGCATCGATCCAATGAGGCATGATTTGGTATGCATATTACAGTCTAGTGAGTTTTGTTTCGATACAAAGTTAGCATAATGACGTTCTGCTAAAGCGGTGACAGCTCAAGTTGAACCACAGCTGAAGCCATGCGTCGGATAACGCTGGCAGACGAATTTCCTGAGCAGAGGCTCAGATTTGTAAGATACGCCTGGATCTGTCCCCGTGACAGCAAAGCCGGCCTCGATGAGGGTCTGGAAGATCTGCTTGACATTGGCGACGTGCGAGGAGACGTCAAAGCCAACGTTGCCGAAGCCAAGACAGGTCGCTTTGTTGAGCCGGCTGGTATCCGCATGACCGCCGTGGGTGAGCGCGTCGAGTGCCAGGTTGTAGACAGCTGCGTCATTGGCTATGGTGAGATGGTCGACGACGTGAAGAGGTCCGCAAGCATCAGGTGATTGTATCAAGATGTTTGTGGCGCCTGGAATGAATGACGCAGGCAAGGGAGGCGTTTGAGGCGTGACAATCTCGTCTTCCAGCGTAGCAATCGCTGTTGTTGGCACAATTTGCGACCCGGCGTTGATGTTCAAGGCCTTGAGCAGGTTGGAGCCTTGCGCTTGTTGCCAGAAGGAAGCAGCGCAGGTCTTGGTGAATGCCTCGTCAGCAAAGCAACCCAGATTGCCATCTATATTGGAGTCAGCTACAGCTCTCAAAAGTCAGCTGGGAGCTTACCTAGCGTGCCACGGAGATCTGGGGCCATTGCGAAGAACATTGACACGAGGGGCACGGTCGAAGGGTAGAAGTCAAGCGCCCATGGTGTGTTGAGACCGGCGCCCTGTGAGTCTGGGTCAAGGAAGGTTCTTACTGCATGCCACGCGCACACTCACCTGAGAATGCGCTACGATTGCAACTTTGCGTGTCTTTGACTTTGGCGCGAGATACTTGATCGCACCGACGACGTATTCCGCAGTGAGCTGGACGTCACCGAGTGAATCGGTAGGCAACGTGACATAACATGGCGAGAAGCCTTGAGCCTATTCGCGCATAGATGAGCAGGGGCACCGACGCGAACACCTCGAACACTTACCGGAAGCAATTGCCAGTAGGGGCCCCCGACCCAGAATGACTTGGCAGGCTCTGCAGTTCCGGTGACGAGCAGTACGATGCCCTTTGCACCTTTGTTCGCCGGGTCTTGACAGGTGATGCTTGAAGCGATGTTCGCATTTGTGATGGTGAGTGCCGGCTCTCTGTACGCCGAACTAGCGACAGCTGTTCTGACACTGGGCATCGCTGCAGCAGGCGTCGCACTAGCGATACTTGCTATAGACGCTGCGAGCGTGCTCTTTGAGCTGACAGAGCTTGCACTGCTAGATGCTGATGCTGCAGCTGGCACTACAGCTGGCGTCACGGCCGATGCAGCGGAGGCAATCGTCGTGGTCGTCGCAGAGCTTACGACGGGCTGCGTGATTGGGTTCAGCATCCATCGTGCATGCTACGCGAGGCACCTACTGCTGATAGCGTGCATTGAGCGAGCAGGGTCAGCGCGACTATAAGCTGTGCGCGCATCTTTGCGATATGAAGCTAAAGGTAGTTCTGAAGTCGTCGAGGTGATTGTGGCAAACGGCGGCTGCCTATAGGTGGATCCGAGCATGCCTGCCATCGTGAATAGAGGTCCCTTGCCGGTATGTCGGACAAACACGATTGGAGACATCGATGACGGCATGCCACGCGACACGGTGTACGCAGATCGTCGGGCGGCGCCTCCTCGTGCGGCGATCCTTGCACGCGAACTTAGCGCAGCTTGCCTCTGTGCCTGACTGAAAGTGTCTATGACATACTTCGGCTCTCGACCTCGCCGACCGATGGCATCGGTGGCAACGACGGAGGCACAGGCTCCAACGGATCTTATCATTCCCTCCTGAACTTCCTGGAACAGCCGCACAGATGCACGAAGCGGACGCAATCATGGGTGCGCTTCTCGTTTTGACCTGGGGTCTGATCAGCTCTGACACACGCACAGACGGCTGGCGCAAGAGATATGTATCGTCTGCAGCGTCTCGACCTGAGCTTGCCACCATAGATAGCTTCTCAGACGACTCTGATAGTTCAGCTGGTTTACGCATCTCTTCAGAGGATTTTCCAATGCCAGCCTACGACACTCATACCGAGGTGACCATGGATCATCTCTGCGGTGAGACCATCATTCGACGAGAGCAGGCTCCGTGGGCAGCCCAGCTCAGCCAGGCAAATCTCGATCAGGTCAGCAACACAGACAAGCAGAGTACTCGCAGCGTCATCAAAAGCTTGCTTACCAGGAGCTCTCTTGATTCCTCTAGCACCTCTGACGATGGTTGCGCTCCAGTCGAGTTCATCTTGCCCTCGTCAAAGGCAGCTATCAAGACCAAGCGACCCTCCCTGCTAGCCCGAACAAAGTCAATCCTTCTCAAATCTGCTGCAAACGAACGTCGATACAAAGGCAAGCGAGTGAGCTTCTCTTCGGACAGCAAGCCACCCTCGCTCGTTACCGATTCGTCTTCGAACTCATCCGAGGATTCGTACGAGAGCTCCTACGACGATCACACGCCGCCCAGCCCAGAAGTTGCTCGCCTCTGTGCCAAATTTGACGCATTCACGGCGGCAGAAGAAGCTCGTATGCACGATGTGCTCGTGAGACGCATCCTGACACCACCAGCCTACAAGACCGCTTTTGTTCGCGATTAGATGACAGACCTAGATATTCAACGACCACGAAGACGTGTATAGATTGCAGAACTTGGCTACAATGTTGGCTTGGGTGTCGCGGCTCGTAGCGAAAGATTTGTTCCGACGTATGGGTATGTTCACATATCGCAGTCGTTCTTCACATAGCGCAAGATCAGCGGCACGGCAGCAAACGAGGTGTTGTCTCTTCAGATGCAAAGCCTGTCGAATTGCTCATCTCCATCCTACAGGCAATTAGAAGCTCTGAGATCTAGCAATGCACTCGTCCTCCATACGACTGCGGTCCAGACCGTCTCGGTGCGCTTCGTGCCGTCCTCATCATTGCTGCCTGATTACGTCACGTGATGAATTGATCGCCGACGGCCGTGCACGCCGTACGGCGATCGTCATCGTACACGTGCGGCACATCATCGGGTCGTCCACGCTTGAATCTGGACATGCGTCATCGACAGCTACATGTCGCTCGTCTACCTCTCGTGTCAAGCCTCTGATGCCCGGATGATCCGGTCTGCTATCACGCTCGCAGCTCGTCGGCTGTCTGTGGCGGCGAAGACAGAGCTAGTGCACGCATGGGCATGCGAGAGGCACATGCTCTACCGACGGGCACCGTCATGCTCAGGAACGGTCGTCTGAAATCACGATAGGTAACGTCATGACGGTCTCTTGCAAGACGTATAAAGACCTGTGGCAATCTCGACATACCCATCATTTCTTCGACACCGATTGCGACTCGCTTCCATTGCACATTTCGGCAGTCAGCTTAGCACCATGAAGACTTCATTCGCCATCTCTGTCATTGCGGCAGTACTCGCAGTCAATGTTGCCGCCGCACCTGTCGCCCAATCGCGGTATGTAACGTCGCCTCACTCGAGTACTTGAGACTCATCCGGATATCTGCAGAGGCCCAAGCACCGTCACCACCAATGGACCCAGCTCAAACACCCAGAGTGGTGCCACGAACGAAAACAGCGGAGGCACAGACGCTTCAGCTGGCAACAGCGAGAGTGTCAACAAGTCGACCGACACAGAAAACAATGTGCCCGGCACGGGCTCAGCAAGCTCCAAATCTGCCTCTGGATCCGGTGGCTCTTCGCCTAGTGGCTGGGGCTCGCCTAGCGAATGGGGCAGCTCTCACCCAGCCTCGTCCGGCTCAAAGTCTGGCTCTGGCGCGTCCACTGGATCGTCAACCTCTGGGACTCAAAATCCTCAAGCAAACAACGACGGCAACCCTGCTGCCGTAGATAACGGCAATCCCACAGCATCTGCAGACGGCAGTGGCAACGGCAACTCCTTCGGCAATCCCAGCAGTTCTGATGCTGGTTCGGGCAATAGTGCAACATTTGGCAATTCGAACTCGATTGGCTCAAACGAAGGTTCCCAGCCCTCATCTGAACCATCATACTGGAGCGATCCTAGCCAAGGTGGTAGACAGCCTGCATCGTCGTCTGACACGACCAACGGCCCAAGTTCATCGACTGGCTCGAGCGCGTACAATGGCAACAGCGGTGGCACCGACGCGTCTGCAGGCAACGATGAAGGCTTCAACAAAGGCACAACGACTGTGAACAATGTACCTGGCGCGGGATCAGCAGCATCTGGCTCATCTAGCGGCGGTTCTGGTTCCGGCAGCGGATCTAGCTCATCTGGCTCGGGTGCATCCACTGGAGGCAAAACGGGAGGATATCAATCCCCACAGGCCAATAACGATGGCAACCCGCAAGCGGTAGACAACGGGGTAAGTTCAGGATCAATGACGGGGTCTACAGAGAGCTGATTCGTCGAGAAAAGAACCCAGACGCCTCGGCAGATGGCAGCGGCAACGGGAAGTATGTTACTCCTTGTTCCAAAAATCTCTCGAGATGCTGATAAACTTTACAGCTCTTTTGGCAATCCCTCCGCGGTAGATTCAGGCAGCGGCAACTCCGGTACGTTCCAGGCTTGGGCTGGTGCAGGATAAGCAGCTGATCGCGTCGATTTTAGCCTCTTTCGGCAATGGCAATTCTATCGGCAGCAATGACTCTCCGTTAGTGGGCAGCGTCAGCATACTATAAGCAAGTCATCTTACGCTGCATTGTGCGCAGATTCTGAGCGATCAACGTCTACAGTCTCAAGAGGCGACGATGATGTAAGATTACGCGTTCGACGCATACGCGGCAATTTGAAAAATTATAGAATCACATGTAACAGAATATTGAATTAGATCGCATTGTCCAATACTGTCGATGCGCTGCCTGCTCGATCTACCTTTTAAGACTCAAACACTGTCTACGGATCGCATCTGCACTGATCAAGTAAAGCTTCAATAGCGAGCCAAATCAACTGATTAGATCGTTCCCTGTTTGTTCAAGCTGTACATGCGCAGCATCGTCCATTGAATGAACTGTAAAGGAAGTGATAATGCGAGCCGCGCGTGCAATCGGGTGATGCCGCCCCTGGTTCGAAGCTTCAGCTAAGACTCGCGTCTGGCTGCTCAGATCTCAGACAAGGCCTGTCGGGCGGCGCCGATGGTCAATTGGCCAGTTCTTCGGTGAGGAGCGACGTCCATCTCAAAGCGGACTTACAATCGTCACTGACAAGCGATGCGAGCAGCAGGCGCAAATCGCACTGATCAGAGCTTTGGGCCGCGCTCGAAAGCATATCCGCATAGATCAGAAGCCAGGATATGGCGGCTGGCAACGAGATGCCCCGGACGAACTGATTTGCCTTTGGTCGACGTTCTGTGGCAGGTATGACGACCGCAGCTGTAAAGTAGCGTGCCGCCGCATTCCATCGGACACCAAAATCGCGAAAGAGGCGCCGCTGAACGGCTGACTGTCGCCTTGGCATGCCATGACATTGGGGCCGCCGAGTCTGGCGGCGATGTTGAGCTCTTGGTCCACCCTCAAGGGTTCCTTGATCGCAGTAAATACCTACGAACGAGCAATGACTCCCAATGATTATGACCTCGCGAGGCTGCGCACAGCCGGGCGACTTGTGACTCGGAAGCGAACCAGATCTTGTGCAACGGCCTGAGCTGGGAAGACTGGCAGCCAACGAGGTGGTTGCGCCGATCGTGGCCTGTCGTGCTCGGGCTCCTTTGTCTTTCCTCTCTTCGCGGTTTCCCACAAACGCTTGGAGAAATTACACTTTGCGCACGGATGTGGATGCATACGGAAGCAGAAGATTGCGAATCGTCTTTCGCAACACGGCGCGGCGGATCACATCTATTGCAGCGGGCGGAACCCCGCGCCTGAGGGCGCCGGAAGAAGCTGAGTGGATGCACGACACTGAGACGCAAGCTTGTGCCCTCGTTTTGTGCCGAGATTTGCATCGCGCAACGCCCTCTTCATTTGTCTGGCCGTTTCGTCTTAGCACCTGAGTAGTTACCCTGTTGTCGACCCAAGCGATGAGAAATCGAGGCATTGCACTGACGTCGATGAGCTCCTCTCGTAGTACCAATCGAACATTTCGAGTAATCCATCGTTGCGACGGTGAATGCGTTATTTGCGTGGCCACCTGTGGGCCTGTCGACACTCACGGCGCATTGTCGCGTCAAATGCAAAGGCGCGCTTCAGGACTCCGAGCAGCTAGACTGCTTTATTTGGATGCTTCGTCGGTCTCTGTGGCTTGAAGTCTGTTGCATAAGCAATGTAGCCTTCATGATCAGATCTGCATGAGAAGATTCGAGTCGTATAGCATCACCAAAGCTGGCTGGCAGGGCTAGCAGATCAGGGCATCTCCACTCGCAGTGTGTATGAGAATGCACGCGGCTTAAGCAGAGCAATTGACGGCGAATGAGACGGGCGGCATCTGAGGAAGCGAAGCCAGAACGCAAACCGCGCTGACTCGTTTGCGCGTTTGCCTTGCCTTGAAATTCGCGACTGACGATTGGCGCCGGCACACAGCACGGTCAGGCCTAGCGGCGAAACATGGCACTGACTCGGTCAGAAACCATAGTGAAGCGCAACAGCCTGCACACCCTGCAAGATAGACGGTCATTCGTATGCCAGTAGCAGCACAATTGTAACGCGAGGAAAGAACGTTGGCGTGAGGGTAAGAGCCTGTCGTACTCCGTGTCGACACAAAGACTGCATTGCGGCCTCTGGACAAGTCTCCGACAGATTACGGGAGAAGGAGAGTATGCCTGACGCTGACGTGCAACGGCCTCGACAATTGTCTGCCTCGCCATCGCCGCGATCAAACAAAGCCAACAGGGACGCAGCAGCCAGTCTGAGGCCTGCATCACACCACTCAGCACAGTCAGGCATTGGCTCGGAACAGATCCAACAGTCCTCGCTCGTGCAGGATTACTCGCCCTTTGCGCCCGGCCATTCGCCTGCTTCGGCCTCTTCCTCTGTCGGATCTTCGTCTCTTTCGGGCGAAAGCGGCCTCGACTCAGCCAAGGGCAGCCTGACAGGCTCCTTCAGCTCACTGCTGAGCGATACTAAGAGTCCATCAGTAGTAACGAGCGAGAAAGCGCCGACAGGCACGCTCGACGCGATACTACAGCAAGACGAAATGCCACCTCAGTCGCCTGATGAGGCATCCGGCCAGTCCCACTCGCCCACGACTGCTCTTGCCGCCAGCTCCGGCTCGTCCACGGAAGATGCGAGCCTGCTCAGACCAGACGGCAGTTCTCAGGGTCAGCGAAAGGGCGTCAGACGACCGAGCTCAGCTTCCTCGTCCACATCGACCAATGGCGATCCAGCGCGACGGCCCCTCCCCCAGCGAGGCATGGACGGCGAGGAACACAAACGATCCACAGATCCAAGCAAGCCTTCTTTCCGTAAGACGCCCAGGCTAGCTCAGCAGCCACTGTCGGAGGAAGCCAAGCAGTCTGCTGGCTCCAGTGGCAGCAATTCGCACGAGAACTCTATGACCACTTCACCGAGCGGTACTGGCAATGTCTCGCCTTCTGCAAGCCGGCATTACGAACATGCATCTGAGCTTCCTCGTAGAAATTCTTGGGCCAGTCGCGCAGGCTCAGACTATGCCCCGCTGTCCACGCCAGTCGATCAGTCTTTCTCTTCTGGCATAGGGAGCCGTATCGGCTCGACGAATGCGCTCTCGCGAGTCTTCTTCAGTAGAGAGTCGTCGCACGCGAGCCTGCCTCGGCTACAGCGCTCGACCTCGACAGGACCAACCGCAGGTCCAAGCTCTCAGCCGGCGTTCACGATGCCTGCTGCCAATGGGCCCCGGCAGCAGAGCGATGCCGGATCACGTTCGCGACGTAGCAGGAGAAGGAAGCGGAAACATGTCGACCTCGCCGGCTATTCGTCTAGCGAGCTGTTGCGCTTGCTCGCATCCCTGCTGCAGCAAATAGCCAAAGCTAACGACACTCTCTCCTCCCCGCCCCTGGACGAGAGCCCCAATGCGCCCAGTGTGGGTCCCTCATCGAGTACGGCTCGATCGACTGGCCACAGTCCGACTGCGTCTCTCTCTGCCTCTCCGGATACGTCACGACAGGAGCACATGATGTCTTCGCACAGCAAGGATCACATCTTGACAGCTTCGAAATCTGCCCTGCACAGTCCTAATGCGACGCTGTGCTTTCATGCGCGGAATATACCTAGCATAGGCATCGAAGCCTATCTCTTGCGGATACTCAAGTGTCAGTCTGGCCGTGTCTACTGTGACGATGATACTTATTGAGCGTATTGCAGATTGCCCGACAACGAACGAAGTGTTTGTATCGCTGCTCGTGTATTTCGACCGCATGGCAAAGAGAGGACTCGAGACGGCAGATAGATCGGGACCGCTGGATGGCGACACGATGGCGCGCAAGATACTGACTATAGACAGCTACAACATCCATCGACTCGTCATTGCTGGCGTGACAGTCGCCAGCAAGTTCTTCTCGGACGTCTTCTACACAAACTCGAGATATGCAAAGGTATGTGCGAATCAGACAGGTGAGATGAAGCTGACGTATCCGCAGGTGGGAGGTCTGCCGTTGCATGAACTCAATCAGCTCGAGCTGCAGTTTCTGCTGCTCAACGACTTTAGTCTCGTCATCCCACTGGAGGAGATGCAACAGTACGCAGATCATCTTCTACTCCACTGGCAGGACGATCAGCGCAAAAAGGAGGAAGCAAGTACATTGGGAGAAGACGCAGACGGAAGTGCGAGTGATTCCTCGTCAGATTCGGACGAGGAGAGCGGAGACGAGTCGAGTGGCGAATCTGCTCCTCCGACTGTTGCGCCCCCGCTTACTCATGCTAATCTCGAGCCGAAACCAGACAGCAGTCAATCTGCTGACATGCTCGCTTCTGCCTTTCGGCCTCGGCTACAGCATCGTGTACATGACTCGAGCTCGACGGATTCTACCTCTACGAGCGGCAGTGCGACGAGCTCGCGCACCATTACCAACGTCTCGCAAGGTAGCTCTGCGACGAGCACACCCAGTAAAGCTACCGCGTCAGAGTCTGAAGATGTGTACATGCATGACTAGTGCGCAAGACAGCAAGTCGCCTTATCAGCCAGTGAGATTGCCACGTCGCTGCTCCGGACGCGCTCGTGAATTGAAAAATTTACGATTCCTCGTCCTCCCAAGAGATTTTAGAAGCGACCCTGAACGATGCAAAATGGATCAAATGGTGTGAACGGCCTTGAGAGCCGTATGGGTTGGTGCGGTCGATCTTGCCCGAGCGTCTGCTGACATGCCGTGCCCCGACTCAGGCTCTATGGGCATCGCAGAAAAACCTGCCTATGTACCGCCCCATCTTCGTGCAAAGCAACAAGCTGCTGCTGCTGCACCTCCTGTAGCAGCTCGTGCACCTGCCACGTAGGCGTTCTCGCATTCGCTACTCTCAGGCCGTGCAGGCTGACTGTGATCGCGCACAGGAACGGACACGGACTTGGAGCTGCTGCTCCTCCTTTCGTCCCACGACCTGCTGGCGCTGCTTCCTGGGATGTCGAGACGCCCCGATCGAGCGGATTCGGCTCTCGTGGCGGTGGCTCGGGCGGATTTGGCGGCAGACGGGCAGGCGCTGGCGTAGGTGCTTGGCAAGACGGCAAGCACATCATCGGCGAGGCGAGCGTGCGTATGCAGAAGGAGCTCTTTGGCGATGCTGGCGATCCTTCGAAGCAGCAGACGGGCATCAACTTTGACAAGTATGCAGACATCCCCGTCGAGGCGACGGGCAGCAATGTGCCTCCACCTATCACCACTTTCTCGGGTGACTATCTCGATGCTCACCTGCTCAGTAACATCGAGCTTGCATACTACAAGACACCCACGCCCGTGCAAAAGTACTCTGTGCCTATCGTCGCTGCCGGTCGAGATCTCATGGCTTGCGCTCAAACGGGCTCAGGCAAGACGGGTGGCTTCCTCTTCCCCATCCTGTCAGCCTCTTTCAAGGCAGGTCCTCGTGCCGTGCCAGACACTGGCGCAGGCAACTATGGTCGCCCCAGCTTTCGAAACAAGAAAGCCTACCCGACCGGGCTCATCCTCGCACCGACGCGTGAGCTCGTCTCTCAGATTCACGACGAAGCTCGCAAGTTTGCCTATCGATCTTGGGTCAGACCCGCCGTCGTCTACGGAGGTGCAGACATCGGCTCTCAGATCAGAGCACTCGAGTCTGGCTGCGATCTTCTTAGCGCCACGCCAGGTCGACTGGTGGATCTCATCGAGCGTGGCAGAATCTCACTGGCCAACATCCAATACCTCGTCCTCGACGAAGCCGATCGTATGTTGGACATGGGTTTCGAACCTCAGATCCGCAGAATCGTCGAAAAGGAAGATATGCCTGGCGTCATGGATAGGCAAACGCTCATGTTCAGCGCCACCTTCCCGCGCGAGATCCAATATCTCGCAAAGGACTTCCTCAAGGACTACGTCTTCCTCTCTGTCGGTCGTGTAGGATCCACATCCGAGAACATCACGCAAAAAGTGGAGTACGTCGAGGACGAGGACAAGCGATCCATGTTGCTGGACGTGCTCTATGCCATCCCGCCCGGAGGTCTCACGCTTATCTTTGTCGAGACAAAGCGTATGGCAGACATGCTCGAAGGTTTCCTTCGCCAGAACCAGATCGAGGCCACCTCCATCCACGGCGATCGCTCTCAGCGTGAACGAGAGTACGCACTCGAGACGTTCAGAACCGGCCGTACGCCCGTCATGGTTGCCACCGCCGTCGCTGCTCGAGGTCTCGATATCCCCAATGTCACCCACGTCGTCAGCTACGACTTGCCATCCGATATCGACGACTATGTCCATCGCATTGGTCGTACCGGCCGTGCTGGCAACACTGGCAACGCTACCGCCTTCTTCAACCGTGGCAATCGCAACATCGCTCGCGATCTGATTGAGCTGCTCAAGGAAGCGAAGCAAGAAGTCCCAAGCTGGCTGGACGCTGTCGCTCGCGAGGGTGGCGGTTCGTTCGGTGGCGGTCGTGGACGTGGCGGCGGTGGCCGTGGACGTGGCGGCGGTCGCAATACAGAGTCAGTCTTTGCCTTAACGAGTCTTTGAGGAATGCTGACTGTGGTGACAGTTTCCGGAAAGGTGGTGGCTTTGCGCCTGCGCCTAGCGCGGGCTATGGCATGTCGAACGGCTACGGAGGTCCATCTCGCGGCAATATGGGTTTCGCCATGGCCCCTGGCGGATCCTATGGCGGCAGCTATGGCGGTGGTGGCGCACCTACCGGCCAGTCCTGGTGGTGACTGAACGCTCCTGCTCGATACGCTGTGCCTTCACCTTATCTTTCGACTCGCGCCGTTCTTCAGTAACATCGCAATTGCTAGACGTAAGGACGACGCGCCTTTTACTTCTGTTCGCTCGTGTACTCCAAACCTCATCTCAACACGCCCTCTGACTAGACCGAAACGACGCTACGCTGCATCGCAACACGAAGATACCATCTACAACAATAGAAGCTTGTCCGTGTCATGAAGAAACACACGCATGTATTAGTGTGTTGGCAGCTGCGTCTTGCCTAGAAGAGAAGGGCTCTCTCCCGTTGTACGGTCCACATGCAAATTACTGCATCTCACTCACTGGCCTTGAGATCTCTCTACGACGCGATACAATGTCACAACATGTCATTACCCCATATGCTAGTACTGATTGACCTTCTCTGGTCACGAATTTGGGATTCCACTTTCCGGCGCGTTCCTGTAAGTGACCCCTTGCCAGTCTAATGTTTTTGTGAAGACGTCGTTACCCCACCAATTGCTGCGCAGACCATTAGCCAGCGAGGAACCACATTCGGGCTGCACCTACATGGCGATGGTGCCGTTGCGCGGATACTGAAGACAGAAGAACACAAACAGGGTGCCCAATATAGTGCCGCCTTCGAGGGCAGCACTGAGCACAAAGTTGTATTTCGACCACCATCTGAAGCGTCGCCTTCGGATCCAATACTGGAAGATGAATGCGAAGATGAACCATGAGCTGTAATTGATACCGGTCGCAGGTGGAATCTGACTCGTGCCAGTGAGGAAGACGGGTACGCTGACGTATCGCAACCACGAATTCGGATACTTGCGCATCAACAGCCATGGTATGACGGGCGCGAAGACGCCGGCCAAGGCTGCATAGCTGATGCCATTGTAGAATGAGCCGACACTGAACTGTCTGGCTGGACCGATGAGGCCCCTGCAGGCGAGGTGAGCACAGCCCACTTGTATATATGCGTCTGGAGCGCTTACCACACCACCGACGAGCTGAAGAAGACGCCAACGCGCGGACAGATGAAACGTTGGTCCTGTGCGCTCGAACAGAGATCGGGCACATTGTCAATCATCCACTGCTGAACGCCCGTCTGCACTAGACAGGCTGCGACCGTCGCGATGATTTGGACTGTCATCACCTCAGCTCAATCCTTCGTCTTGAGCTTTCGACAGCGTACCCATGAACGTAGCACGAGGCGGAACCTTCATATAGTGACCAAGCTTGAGGTCCTGCACAAAGGAGCTGCCCGCTAGCAGAGACTGTACGCTGAAGACCTTAAAGACCTGTATGCAGCGATGAGCACAGAGCGGCTGAATTGGGATGAGCATACCATGTTGGCGACTGGTCGACCAGCAAGCAGATAGCCGGGAATGATCTCTGAGATCAGATTAGTCGATATCTGCTGTGCGGTGACGGCCAGGATGAAGCCGATAGGAACGATGTACAGAGCGGGCAGGGCGAACGCTATGACCAATGCCCAGACGGGCATGCCCGTGTCATAGACCTGCATGACCACATCAACACGGCTCGATGCATCCTCAGGCCAGCATACCTCTATAGTGATGATGGAGACGACGAAGAAGATTAGGAGATAGATGGCATACCACCAGTCCGGCACCTCTGGATAGTTGCGCATGAGCTTCGCGTGGACATCTTCCTCTTCGCTGCGAATGCCCTTGAGGCGAGCCAATATTGCAGGCCCGTGGTACAGGAGGGCGTGAACGAGCGTCGCGGTCGAGATGGCAAATGCGACAGTGTATAGCATCGTGAACGATGCTGTCATGTACAGTGGCGAATAAGCTTCGTATGCTGCTACATCTAGCTGCACCGTGCCCGGCATCAGGACTGCCGAGACGTTATACGGTTCGCCGAAACGATCGAAGAGTGAGGCAGTCGAGATCGGAAAGTAGGCAAAGTTGAGCTTGTTGGTATAATACAGCAACGGTGTGAGAAACCAGAAGAAGAACAGAAAGCCAGCGATGATGTTCATCGACGCCCAGAAGGGCACAATGAGCGGCGAGCCGATGTACGCTATCTGGCTCCAGTCGAATGTGAATAGCCCCATGCCTAGGCCACTGCCAACACCGAAGAGCTGGTTGACGATCACATTATCTGCATGCCTCGTCAGTTGCGGCGTTGACCGACTCAGCTAAGCCTACTCGGCGCGATCCAGCAGACCCACGAGAAGGCGGACAGAGCCTGAAAGATGAAGCCTATCGTATTTTTTGAGTCCGGCAGTACATTCGAATTGAGGCTCACATACCCGGAAAGAAGTAATAGATTATGGCGCCGCCGAAGATTAGGGAGAAGAAGCGGTAGCGCGTCATGCGCCCATCGGAGCCATCATCGTCCTCCGCATGAAAAGTATTCAGCAGCGTGCAGACCACAAGATTGGGGGGCCATATCATGCTTGCCGGTATCACGAGGAATTTGCGGCATAGCCCTGCAAAGGCGAAGCCACAAAGCTGGGTTGATAGCGATATCAGAAAGGCGAAACCGATGCCTTTTGGTGTATTGTAGTATTTGTCCAGCACGAGCGAGAGCGAAAGCGCGTAGACTGGTGCAGTTGCCGCGTTGGCCATGATGATGATGACGGAATGCTCCTTGACGTTGAACGGGCCGGGATTCAAGCTACACCTAGTAGTGACGTAGCCGCATCTCGCGCACAGCCTAACGAGCCATTTCGGTAGCTCAAATGACCTGCTCGGCAAGACTGCAGCGAAGAGCTTGCCAAAGGGATACGAGCAGATCTGTACGAAGATTGGAGTGATGTAGGGCGAGGGGTATCTGAGCTGAAAGAACAGATTGAGCGATCCACAAACGACGACGAAAAAGAGGCCAAGTGTGATCGAGCGAAACGTGATGCAAGGCATCTCTGGATCGTCATAGTTGCTCACGCTCGCTCTGACTTCGGGGTAGGGTGAATCCTCTTCCTCCATCCCCTCTGGGTATGCACCATCGACGGTAGGGATCTGATTTTGCGTGTTAAGCGAGTCAGATTTGAAAAGATCGCCCTGACTGCCGTGGCGCGTCTTTGAATCGTTCTTGCTATCAGCCGAGTCCACACCGCCAAAGGTGTTGTCGGAATACTGGCGGACAGCTTGGCCGTTAGTGCGAGCGTGCACGCCTGTGCCAGGCGGATAGGCATGCGAGTAATCTGAATAGTTGCCCGTGTCGGGCGGACTGGATGCAGCTATGATATCAGATGAGTGATCGTATGGATTGTCAATGGGATATTGTGGTGATTGCGGGTAGGCGTAAGGCGATCGACGTCGTTGCGGACCATCTGAATCTGCAGAGGAGGGCGCGCTCGCTTTGACGCGCGATTCTGGACTTTCGAAGAGTGCCTCCGGACGGGACCGCCGTTTGGTATATGCGGCAGCAATAGCAGCTGCTGGCGAGAGGCCAACGCGTCCCTGAGACGAGGTGGGTGGGCTCGAAGCGGATATAGAGTAGCCTGTCGACGGAGGGGCATATTGGAAGTGTCCATCGCTCGTTGGACGAGCATCGCTCGAGACGGCCGGGCTCGTCTGCTGCAGACTCGCCAACGCAGCGCTAGATAGGGATTGTTGAGTGTCGGGCGGCTGCCAGACATGCGCGAATTGAGGCGTGTAGGCGTTCCTCGTCACCTTTCGCTGGGCAGTCGATTCGCTCGTGACGGGCGGACTGAGGGCAGAGCCAGCAGAGCCTGGCGGCACGAAGCTGAACATGCCCATATCCTCATGATTATCCTCTGCGATCGGCGTACTGGCATCAGGCACTCGCGAGGATTCTGCATGACTTGGCGGTCCAGCTTGTGGTGGACCGACTCGCATGCTGTCAGCAGTGTGCCCTGGCTCATGTGCATCTATGCCAGCTGGATCGCCAATAGCAGCCTGACGCTCTCCAAAGGTACCCGCCTGCGCCCCGCCCGAAGTGACCGGTCGGCTCATAGCGCGATGCTCGCTTGCGCTGATCTCTGCTCGTTCCTTATCTCCCCTTCAGTACACCCATCCTACGGCTCCGGTAACAGTCGTTTGCGCGCTTGAAGTGTGCGCTGACAGCCGGAGGAGAGTTTGTAACAGCGCGGCTTCCCGAAAGTGAGCGGCTGGGCCAGCCACTCGACAGCTCGACAGCCCGCGATCAGCTGCTCGAACTCCCGCGCGCCGACTGAGCGCATCACTCGCTCATCGAATCTCAATTCACCTCGTGGCCCATCATCAGAAGCGCATGAACTGCAATTGTCGTGTATACACGGTATATTGGTGCACTCTGCGACCGCTATGGCAGCTATGCAACTAGATCATTCCTATAATCGATATACGATCTGGAGAATGCGCCGGAGCCAGGCCTAGCGTTATGTATTTCGACGGCCTGTATAGAGGCACTGTGTTATGGGAAGCTTGACAGCGGGATGCATTCCTGCATTGATGGTGTCGATACAAAGGTGGCGTAGTCGCTCGTTGGCGTGTAGGCAGCATTGACTCTGAGCGGCCAGCGGGCGGATGTGGTGACGAACGACGCGGGTGGCGGCTGGAAATGCAGCAATGGCATCTGACGATGGTCAGACAGATGCATAGGCAGCGCGCCGGGCTCCATTGCCATCGGCCACGCTGGCGTAAGCCATGGTTCCTCGTTTTCGAGAAGCTCGTTGCTGTAGAATCCTATCGGACCAAGATCGTTGAATGTCGCCTTTTGCGACTCGAACGAGAAGTGTCCGACATCGAATGTGGGTGACACAAGTGTAGACTCAGACGACATGGCACTGCTGCCACTTGACTCCGAAGCACTTGACCCGGACGTGTAGTGTCTCGGGTTCAAAGTGTAGCCCTGACGGCGCGCGTCAATCGTCTGGACATCTTCGTCGTCGCCAATTTCCTCGAGATCCGCTTCGCCGTCTGCATCGGTCATCCCATCGTCAGACAACGTGGTATCCTCTGAGCCTTGCTTGATAGTCGTATACAGCGAGTGCGTCGGATGCTTCGAATCAGCTCTTCTGCGTGGCGTAGACCGGATTGTCGTCGGTCGCTCATGGTAGGAGCAGACCAGCAGGCGTGTCTTGCAAGTATTGCACGGGGACTTGCGGTCACACTACGGTGAATGTCAGCGCAACGGTTCGACCGTGGAGTGCTATGACCAACCTTCATCTTCTGCTCGGATATCGCAGGAAACGGGCCAAAGAGGTCAGCATGTGGTCAGCAGACAGTCAGGGTTGCTCGCCTTGCGACGACAGTGCACACACGACAAGATCTCTCGTTGCTTCCTCTGCTTCATGTCGATATGCTGGGGATGTCAAGACCAGCAGCAAACTCTTCTTGCTCCTCAATTCGCTCTGGCATTTACAGTGGTCGTTTCTGCGCGCCCGACATCATGCGCAGCCTTGGTGCATGTTTGCATCGAAAGTGCGATGCTAGAGACGCATGCATCGAGATTCGACGCATCGGACATCTAGCCGCGCACAAATCCGGACTCTGGTGCCCATTCTACAAAATGGACGACCAATTGTCGATTCGAAATCAAAATGCCCATTCCTTGGCCGCTTGAGAAGCGCATACTCAGTAGCGAAGTTGAGGCGTGCTTCTAGACCTTTTGCGGCTGTTTAAAAGTTGAGGCGTCTGTGATCGCGGCGGGAGGTGGAGTCAAAATACTCGATGGCTGTACAGATCTATGCTCCTTTATTGACTACAGCCTACAGATCTGCGGCGCTAGCATAGCAGCCTCTTTCCCATTTGCAACACGCAATGCACATGGTGGCCTGGCTAGCTGTGCGCTCGCAATGTCTCGGAAAGCCATTGAAGAGCGTCAACATTACTGAACCTCGGCATGTAGCCGATTGCTCTTCGCGCTGCATGTGTCAGACGACCAATCAGTCGGTCTCACAGCCCGAGGATTGCATAGCGTGAACTTACCCTCGCTGTCGATGATTGAAATGTTGATGGCGAGCGAGCCGACGCTTGACGGCTGCAGCTGCTCCACCCAAAAAGGGAGCCAATCTGGGCGGGCTCGACCGGTCAGGGAGTAATTGAGCTCGCACATGACTTCGATGAGCTGGGATAGCAGCAAGATAGGCAACAAAGGTATCTCCGTAGTTTTGAAGCTTCTGAACTGCGCAAGCACGGCGAAAACATCTCGATTGGACATTACGCGTCGGTCGCCTGTGATGAGAAGCTTCTGTCCAGAGCCGGTCCGCTCCTCGAGTAGCGCGTCTTCGAAGCATATATGTGCAGCAGCGCAATCGAATGGCGTGATAAATGACTGGGCGTAATCAGCACCGCATATGAATTTGGTGTCGCCGCGTAGCACAGGCGCGTAGGCTAAATCTGCGAGGCCGACTATAGCCATGCCTGGGCGCAGATGGCCGGTGAGAAGGTTTGGCATACTGCCTTCTACGCGCTCGATCGCGTGCTCGCCCGCTTGTTTGCTGAGGGAATATGCCGTCTTCCAAGAGCCGACCGGACTGCCGTCGCGAACGATGAACGGCGCCTGTAGGGCGTCTTTCTGCTGGCCGAGTCGGAAGAAGTGTCGAGGGCGAAGGTATGCTATCGCTGACGAGCAATAGATGAGCACATGGGAGGCCTCGGGACATTTCGATGCGATGTTGGCAAACTCCTGTGCGATGTTGTGCGTTCCATTGCCATTGACGGCCATGCTCTCCTCTAGTGTGTACCGATGACGCTGCCAGAAGCGTATCAAGGCAGCAGTATGAAAGATCGTTTCGACCTTGCGGCCGTTCGAGAATGGCAGGTTGAGAATACCTTTGACAGCTTCGCGAGATCTGACATCGACCTGGACGTGATCGATGCCAAGTTCACTGATATAGTCCGATGGCGGCATGAGATCGCAGCTACGAACGTTCACCTCACCTCTCTTGACGAGGAGAGCACAAATTTCGGCGCCAACCTGGCCCGCCCCAAAGACGATGTAGTTTCGTCCCGTCGCGTCGCGAGGGATAGCATCCAGCATGTCAATCTTCCGCCAATCAGCAGCTTTGATCTCTTCAGGCGTTGGAGGTTGGTAGGTCGGGATCTGGTCACAAACGTTTTGGCTGAGCTGCTTGTGCACAGCATGAAGATAGAGTGCGATCGTCGCGACGAGAATGGCCAAAATGACGTCTGCAGTCATCTGTCGCCGACGCTATCTCACTGTCCGGACCTAGAGCGAGCTGGTGCAGCGACATGCTCCACTATCGCATGGGAATCTGGGCTGCGATTCACGGGGTAGGTCCGTGCACCCGACAGATCCGAGCGGTACGTCGCACGAACTGCGTCTTGACTGTGCATGACGTTCTCAGAGAAGCTTTGGGCTTGACTCTCGCGCCTTGCTTGGCAATGTCTGTGCGAGCCACTGGAGCGTCGCGTAGTTCGACCAAGCTGGCTTGTAGCCGATCAGCTCTCGGGCTGCTTGCAAGTCAGCGTCGTCCGTTACTAGGTCATGCGCGATCGTTACCCTGGTCGTCGATGATGGCAATATTGGAGGTTAGACTAGTCGTTGTGGCCGGCTGCACGTATTGCAAGGACATCGGCAGCCAAGAGGGCGCAGGCGTTCGCGTGAGCCAGTAATTGAGCGCACAGATCGTCTCAATGACATGCGCAAGAATATACACAGGCAGTAGTGGCGTCTCTTTGACGGCAAGGTTGTCCATGTAGTGACCGAGGATCTTGTACACATCTCGGTTGGACAGAACGCGCCGGTCGCCAGTGATGAGAAGAGTTTGGCCCGGAGCGATTGGCTTTCGCACCAGTGCTGCTTCGAAGCAGAGATGCGCAGCAGCAACATCCATGGGGTGTACGAACGATTGGACAAACTTACCGCCGCAGAAGAGATCGACTTCGCCTCGGATGACGGCAGAGTAGCTCAGGTCGCTGCCGCCAATTATCGCCATTCCGGGCCGCAGGACGCCAACGCGCACAGCAGATTCTATATCCCTCGCGGCAGACTCGCCTGCCAGTTTGGAGATCGTGTATGCTGTCTTGTAGTAGCCGGTTGGGCTGCGCTCGTCGATTCGAAACGGCGGCTGCAGAACGTGCTTGCTCTGGAATCCGAGTCTGAAGAATCGCTTTGACCGTAGATGCAGAATTGCGGACGAGCAGTAGACGAACACGTGCGCGGTCTCAGGCGCTGCCCGCGCAAGTTCAGCAAAAGCTTGTGCGACATGGCGTGTACCGTCGCGGTTGACTCGCAGGCTTCTCGACAGCGTGAAGCTCCGTCTCTCCCAGAAGCGGATGAGAGCGGCAGTGTGCAGGACCGTCTCTGCTTTGCGTCCATTGGAGAAGGGTTTGTGTAATGCTACGCTGACCGCTCCTTGGTCGGTCATGTCAAGCTGCAGGTGATCTAGGCCTAGCTGCACGATAGCCGGATTGGCGGGAGCCATGTCGAGTGACCTGACGTGCCTCTCGCCTCGCTGGTAGAGCATCTTGATGATCGCAGTGCCCACTTGGCCGGTCCCAACGATCAAGTAGTTGCGTCCAGTGCTCCGGGGAATGAACTCAGTCATATCGATAGAGCGCCAATCTGTCGACTTGATCTCGGCCAGCGAAGGCGCCTCATACTCTGGCATCTCTGCCGACGGGTCATGCGTGAGATGTCGGTTAAGTGCGAGGAGATAGAGACCAAGCGAGGTGACGAGCACGACGAGGCTGCTTGCTAGCAGCAGCTCCATGGGAGTCGACGTTGCTTCAGCCAGCTGTAGGGTCGTGAGGAGATTGAGCTCGCAGCATGACCGCAGACGTGTCGATGGCGTAGCGCTGTCGGTGGGCAGAACGCCGTCAAGGTGAGCTAACCCGATCGGTGACTCGACAATGACCGACCGTGTGGTTCTGTCAGGAATCTCTGACCAGCTTGCCCTTTGACATCGGGCCTCGATGTCAGCTCAGCCTACGGAGCTGGGCGATCTGCTCGGGTATCTGCTCGACGGCAGCAGGCATGCACAGACAGGTTCCGTCGTCGGCTCACTACTAGCCTCGACGTTCAGCGAGCTCGTCCCTGATGCGCCGCGACTGCTCTCAGCCGACACGCTGCTAGGCTGGCAGCGAGTCATACCCGATCGAGAGCTCTCGCCCGTCCTCAAATGGTTCACCAAAGGCTCGGTCACTCTCCTTGCCTTGCTCGCCCGGCAACCTGCAATAGGCACCGGTTTGCAATATCGAATATATTCTAGCGCAGATGCTCCGCTCTCTCATTGTGGACGCTTTGAGCCAGCGCAGACAGCGGTGATCTGTCAAGACAAGGCCCCCGCTTCAGGAAATCTCCTTGGTCAGAACAGGCTTGACAGCGCGAGCGAGGTCTACCAAGACGCGACTGCTGCGTTGGCCGACCTGCTCGACGACGCCTTTGTCGCCCAGTCTATCATCGTGCTCGGCTCGATATCACAAGTGTATCTGGACGCGTGTCGGACCATCACTGCTCCTGCTCGACAACGTCTATTTGAGAACCTTTGCCTCGATTTCGCGCGACCGCTCTGCAATTTCGCAGTGCCGCCACAGGATCGGACGATCTTCGAGCTCACGACAGGCCAAGAGGCCTATCTGGACAGCATCAGACATGATGAGATTACAATGATCGTCAAGGCCAATCACTATCCTTTCGAGATACCCTATTCGCTTGCGCGCAATTCCGTCGCGAGCTGTATTCGCCTGTCAAAGTCAGGCAAGGTCGGCTTCGACGATCCTTGCATCTCTTGGTCTCTAGTACATGCAGACAGTGAGTACTCCCAGAACAGAACGGCGCTCCATACTGATGCTGCTCTCAAAGTGTCACTCGCTTCCTTGCAGACTGTAGCAGAATACAGAGGGCGCATCGTACAGCAGGGACTCAAGACGTTGGCAGAGCTCGTCATAGATAGAACAGCTCACCTCATCCGCACCAGAGTCTCACACGAGATCAGACAGCGTTCCTTGCCAATCTCGATTGATCAGATTAGCTTGCACGCCTCCTCCGATCTAGACAATGCCAGGGCCCACCGCTTCTTCAAAGCTATCGGATTCGAACAAGTCGGCATGGGCACTGCCTGGATTGGCTTCACGAACGGAAAGGATCGCGAGGCTTTGGCCGCCTTCGGTGACGTCCTCGCTTCTGCCGGCATAGACCTGAAGCCAGTTTCGTAGCGATCGAGCGCACAGCACGATGCAATGCGTACAGCAGTGCTGTATCGTGTTGCTCCTTTTCGTGCTCGTGCAGGATACCTGTGCGGTTTCGAGTGCGAGCGTCAACCTTGCTGCCTGTGCCAACGCGCTCGATCCGCATGCCTTCGTGCTTTCGAATGACTTCAACCGGCTGGTCAGACGGCAGAACAGGAGCTCCTCGGCTGCTAGCAGTAGTGAAGCGACCAGCAGTACGACAGATATCAGCCTAGTGGCTACGCACCAGAGCACTAGCACTGCCAGCCAAACTTTGTCCGTCGCGAGCTCGAGCGATGCTCCGGACACAGTGTCGACAACATCTCCGACCCCATCTCCCAGCTTGTCCAGCACTGTGTCGAGCACAGTGGCTCCGTCACCGACTGTCAGCAATTCTGTCAGCATTCGCATCTCGACGATCGACGGCAGAACGACGGTCACGTATGCCGCCACAATTCCAGCGGCTGCCAGCCCGACCACTTCAGACTCGGACGGCGCCGCTACTACGAGCAACAGCACAAGTAACACAGTGCCAAGCACATCATCATGGCTCATACCGACCTGCATTATTGCCGGACTTGCGCTCCTTTTCATGGCCTGCTTCCTCGTCTATCGCTGCGTCACCGCTTCAAGGTTCTCAGACTTTGATAGAGAGTTAGGCGGAGCGATCAAGTGGCCAGAAATACAAGATACTCATGTCGGAACTGGACCGCTGGCGCCTTTCGAGACCCACCGCATAGCAGGCGCGGGTCTTGCAGACGAAGATGACAAGTCGATGCGCTCGCGCTTTGACTCGTCGAAATCGAGCCGGATTGCAACCGGCGAAGCCATAGAGCTGTGGCACAATCCTTCCGGTCATGGCACAGGCGGCTCGTTCAAGTCTCACTACTCTGACGCGCAGGGACAGGAGCAACGTCCGTCTCCTCAACGTAGGTCTGCTTCGAAGCATCGTGTCTTGCTGCTAATACGACGTAAAGGCTCGCCTTCCCATCTCGCAAAGCAAGACTACGTTCCGCAGCGCATAGGTACACCGTCGACTAGAAGCTCCGACTCGACACAAGGCCTGCTCGCTCACGGTAGCACAGGGCTAGACTCTCAGCCTGATCGCACCTCAGTGGATTCAAGTGGTACTGGCTTCCAGACAGCCGAGCAGAGCTCGCACTAGACACGCAGCATATCAATAGAATGCATCATGATCATGTGATGGCATCATCATTTTTTCGGCTTTTGGCCCTTGACCATCTTGACGACTTTGACTTTCTTCTTGCTGCCCATCTTGGTGTCAGCACCAGAAGCAGCCTTTGTAGATGCGGTTAGTGCATCCGAGGCTGCTCGAGCTGTAGCTTCTGTCCGTTCTGCCTCGAGAGTCGATGCACGGGCAGCGAGTTTGATGTAAGACGCGATATTAGGCAGCTTCTTTGGCTGATGGCGCAAATACGTCATCTTCGCCCGTCGAGCTCGACGTATCTGTGAGACGGCAGGTAGTGGCTTGAGCTTCTCCGCGCTCTTCTCGCCTTCGACAGAGGGCTTGGCAGCTTGAGTGGCATCCGCACGCTTCTTGTCGCCGAGTTTGCTTTTCCTGGCCCTCGAGATGACTTGGACGGATCGAATGAGAGGGCTGTTGATAGAAAACTTCATCTCCGTGCCCGTCTTTGCCACAAGATTGCGCAGAGTGAAGGTAGTGTCGACGCCACGACGACGTACACCGATCAGGACACCTGCAAAGGTGATCGCGCTCGTTCGGGCAGACGAGGTGAAAGTCTCGACAGCCAATATCGATCCGATATGTAGCGGCTGACGATCTGGCTCGGTCTCCCGCCGTAGTGGATTGCGCTGACGTTCGAAGAGTGAAGCGAAGCTGGGTCGAGGTAGATTAGCATTGACATGGTCGAGCAGTCCGAGGTGCTTGGGCAGATCTGGCGTGCGCTCCTGCACCGTTTTGACGCTCGACGAGAAGTCGTAGTCTATCTCTGTCTTCAGTGTACTGCTCGCACAGCATCATGCGAACACACCTCGACTTTGAGAGGTCTGATCAGGACTAATGGCTGCAGTAGCCAGGCCTCTCGAAAGTCCTGCAACTCGACATCAGTCTGAAGCACTGCACTCATGTACGAGCTCACCTCTGCGTGCATGCTCGGCAGAGCTGGCTAGCCTGCGACAGGCTGAGCAGGGCATGGCCATCGTGGCTTTCAAATCCTAGGCTGGGCTCTCCCACCTCAAAGGAATGCAAAGCTAAAGCGCTATAGCTAAACTAAACGCGACACGTCGACACGGCAGAAAGTCATGCATAAGCTTGGATCAGGACCATCGCTCAATCGCCTTTGTTTCAGTCTTCCCCTCAGAACACGAGGTATCGTCTTCAGCAGAGATGTCAGATACAAGTGTCATGCAGGGGGAGGCTTGCCTGGTATGTCGCCGAGCTTATTGCGAAGAAAGGCACCACAAGACCGTGGTGCATTGTGGTCTGGCCAGCAGACCATCTTGTCCCTTGCATCCAGTGTCTCTGCTCTTCCAGTGATTGCACTGACGAACACACATAGCTTGAGTAATCCTACGAAGACCGTGAGGCCCAAATGCTGCGATTGATGGTGAGGCAGGTTGGTCTGAACGACCTGCCCTGTGGCTTCACCATACGAGCGACCGACGATTACGTGCTGACATCAGCGCTGACAACACACGCACGACGCGGTGACGCCTTCCTTGCACATCGACATGCTTTTGATGATATGTCGTTGCGGAGCCAAAGTCGTTCCAGGATGTATCGATGTTGCACGGACTGATCTCTGAACGAGCAGTAGGTCAGCTGGCGTACGTCGCACAGACTTCGCGCAGCTCGCGACGAGGGCTCCCGATCTTGCTTAGCTCGCGCCGTTCGGCCGAGCTTCTTGACCACGGATGCGGCGCGCAATACAAAATGAGAGTCGTACTGAGTTGCTCTATGTGATACTGCGCTGATCATCTAGCTTCGAGCAAGACGTGCATGGAGTTAGCCTGCGGCGAGCATGTTGACGAAGAACGCGCATCTGCATAGTCGGCTCGCAGCAGTCGATCCACATGACGCCAATATCGAGGGTAGAAGGGCACATCATCAAGTCTGCAGTAATCTCGAGTACGCCGCCATTCCACGTGGCATCCGATTGCTCTACTTGTCCTCCGTCGAGGTCAGCCGCGAGTTGGATTTACTGTGTTGTCGAGACAACGGCGCATAGCCTGATGTACTGACGACTTCCGTTTGCCAAGCGTTTACTGGCCGCTCTGTTGACTCTGTCGCGAGGAGGACCCGCAGCGGATCGCGTGATTATTTGTTGAAGGAGAGCTCAGTGATGTTGATAGGGCAAGATCCCGAGCCCTTGAGAACGGCAGATTGTCAGAGCTATCACGATCTCGCCGCTTCGGCTGACTTGTAATTGCAAAGATCCTTGGGTTTCAATCGTCACGTCGTAGAAGATCGTGCGCATTTGCTGAGAAGGCAGAGGACAAGCGTGCTGCTGCTGAGATCGTTGCAGTGGCTAGACAAGATCTCATGTCGACCCAGGCTGAGCACAGGAGAGATTGTCACGTGATCTGTCGCGAAGGCATTCCGCGAAAAAAGCAAGTCGAATCGCCTCAGGAAGAGGCCGTAGCGCATCGTGCGAGGATGAGATAGATCTCTGTTCGAGCGCAAGATGCCGCCCGTCAAAGGTGCTGCGCTTGGCGGTATGCGCATGCCAGTCTCGCCCGGTCGCCTGGTCGAAAATGGCACGATCACATCTACTTCCATCGCTACCCAGTCTTTCTCAGACCTCGATGGCGTTCAGGCGCCTGCTATTGACGGCATAGTGTCATCAACTACCCTGACTCGGCCAAGCAATCCAAATGATCCGGCGGCGGACTACCAGATGCTGGATAGACTGGGCACGGGTGCATTCGGCGTTGTCTGGCGAGCAATTCATCTGCCTACGCAGACAGAAGTGGCCATCAAACAGATCGACTTGGAATCCTCGGATGACGATATTTCCGAGCTGCAAGAAGAGATTGGGCACCTCACCGAATGCGATCCCGCCTTTGTCACGCGATACTACGGCAGCTTCGTCAAAGGCTTCAAGCTCTGGATCGTCATGGAATATCTCGCCGGCGGCTCTTGCTTGGACGTACTGAAACCTACGCCTTTCTCGGAGTATCAGATCGCCGTCATCTGTCGCGAACTCCTCAAAGGTCTGGCGTATTTACACGCAAAGGGCAAGATTCATCGCGATATCAAAGGTATGTCCTGACTCCTGACTTTGGCTGGCTTTGTACTGAGAGACGCGAAAGCTGCGAATGTATTGCTATCCAATGCTGGCGATGTCAAGCTTGCAGACTTTGGCGTTGCTGCCCAGCTGACGCAGAACAAGAGTAAGCGTAATACGCTCGTCGGCACGCCTTTCTGGATGGCGCCCGAAGTCATCTTGCAAAACGACTATGGCAGCAAAGCAGATATCTGGTCACTCGGTATCACTTTGATCGAGCTGGCTCTAGGTCGACCGCCCCTATCAGAATACAACCCGATGGACGTCCTCTTTTTGATCCCTAAAGCAAAGCCGCCCGAGCTTGAGGGAGACTATTTCTCGAGCGCGTTCAAAGAGCTCGTCTCTGCTTGTCTAACCAAAAATGCCGATGCGAGACCTTCAGCGAGCGATCTGCTCCAACATAGATTTGTACGTCTGGCCGGAAGGACATCGTGTATCGTGGAGAGCATCGAACGACATCGTCACTGGAAGCAGACATCCACAATCGCCAAGGCAAAGATTGTGCCTGATTACCGACCGGATCCTACCTTGGTAGCATCTCAAGGCGATGCTTGGACATTCGACACCGTCAGAACACAGGCTACCGTCATGCTTCAGCCAAACGACGCACCTGTCGAGCTGTCTACTGCCACGCAATTAGCTGCAACTGTAAGCAGACTTGCCGACGAGCCGCAGAGGAGTCAGACGACACTGCTAAAACAACCTGACGGAGGGCTGTCGAGGAAAGCTAGGCGGCCTCTTTCTATGATCGCCAATCTGCCCAGTGAGGCTCGTGCAGACGATGCATCGCTCGGCGAAGGCACGGTCAAGCGGGGCGTGTCTGCAACATTCGAGCCCGAGACGATGGCATCGTCTCGATCGACGGTCAGATCTCATTCCCAAAACGGTCGAACAGCTCGTCATCGTCACTCGGTTGATATGGGCTCGACAGTGCGTGCTCGCGAGCTACACTTGGCCATGCAAGATGTACAACAACAAGCGAATCAGAGCAATGACGGTCAAGAGACCGTGCGAACTTTGGCCCGAAACGTGCAAGAGGCCGACCTCATGATGTCAGATCTGCTGCTGCCTACTCTCGAAGAGGCTCGCGGAAGCTCGCCAGAGGCTGATGCTGCTCTGTCGAACATCGCCAAGGCGCTCCAAGGACTGGCGAGCCAAGATCCGCACCTTCTCTTGCGGCTTACCCGCGCAGTCACTTTGAAAATCCAAAGGTGCGATTTCAACGCGCATCAAAGCAGTGTGCTGACATCCAGCAAGCAGTCGAGCGGATCTACAAGCCATCTGCATAGCACCACAAGAGGTCGTGATTGAGGAGCGCGTGCCTGAACGTCGACCGCTGACGCAGATGCTCTACGATCGCTGGCTCAGATCAATCCTCGGCTAATGCCGCCATCGCACCGCACTGCTTGTTGTTAGACTAATCTGCACATCTTAATCAATTCCTGAACCTCCGTCACGTCACTGATGAGCGGAGCAGTCGCTGGTGCTTTGCGCATTTCGATTCCATTCGAGACGCGACCGCGATCTCGTGCTGGCGGACAGATGTCACTGTTCGTGGACAAGTACCGGCCGAAGCAGCTTAATGATCTGCACTATCACCATGACCTGTCCCGGAGAATACAAGCTCTTGTAGGATCGGCCTCGTTCCGACAGGGCTACTGCTGAATTGCTCTGTCGCCCTCAAGGCCGAATCAGGACAGGACTTCCCTCATCTGCTCTTCTATGGACCATCAGGAGCTGGCAAGAAGACGAGGATCATGTGCACCTTGCGGGAGCTCTACGGTTCTTCAGCGGAAAAGGCACGCAATTGTCGTCAAGTCATGCATCCCGGCTGAAGAGCCAGATGATGCAGCTCCGTATCGATCAAAGAGTCTTTGTGACGCCCTCGCGACGCAAGCTGGATGTCAATGTAGTCCAATCGAATTACCATATCGAACTTACGCCAAGGTACGCATGTGGTCACGCAGAAAGGGGGTCATTCAAGCCAGATGTACAGTGACGTGGGCATGTACGACCGCTCTGTCGTGCAAGAGATCCTCAAGGAGATTGCGCAAACCCAACAAGTCGATGTCAATGCGAAGAAGCGATTCAAAGGTCAGCCTGCCCCAGTCGCATCGAGTGGATCGACTCTGAAGCGCGACTGGCTCGATAGTGGTCGTTATCAACGAGGCCGATCTGCTCAGTCGCGACGCTCAAAGTGCTTTGCGTCGGACGATGGAAAGTGAGTGGCGACCTCGATTCCATTGTCACAGCGCTGACGGCAGGCTCACAGAGTATACGACCAATCTGAGGCTAATCCTGTGCGCCAATTCGACAAGCAAGATTATCGGTCCCATCAGATCGAGATGTCTGTTGCTTCGCGTAGGCGCACCCACAGATGACGAGATGGTCAATGTGATCAATCATGTCGCCAAGAAAGAACGCTTCGAGATTCCTCGCTCGGCCGCACTTGCAGTCGCTCAAAGTGCATCTGGCAATCTGCGGAGAGCCTTACTTGCTCTTGAAGCGCTGCACACACAAGATCCGACGTTCCAGTCTGCTTCGGTAGCCGGCAAAGCGACGAGCAAGATCGTGCCGATGCCAGATTGGGAGGAGTACTGCGGCAAAGTCACGTCGACCATCTTGACGAGTCAGACACCTCAGCAGCTTCTCGCTGTGAGGCAGATGCTCTACGAATTACTCGTGCACTGTATAACACCGCAATTGATACTGTCGGTAAGCTTCGCGCGAAGCTCGCAAAATGCTGGGCTGATTTCGTAAGCAGACGATCACACGAAATCTTGTCGAGCGCGCGGACGAGGCTCTGAAGCCAGAGATTGTGCACTGGGCGGCCTTCTACGTCGGTCGCCCGCAACCTTTTGGCTGAGCTCTGCTGAGAGATGTATACAACGCAGGATCACAGACTCAAGCTTGGCACGAAGCCCATCTTCCACCTAGAAGGCAAGTGACACTTGCGTATGAACTGGACTTTCGCTAACGAGCAGCTCTCATAGCATTTGTTGCGAAGGTGATGAGCTTATGGAAGAGCCACCTTGCGGGCTACTTGGACTGATCGCCCTGAGGCTTTCGGCCGTTGTAACTGTGGTCTTTGCACTGCGATCGCGTCCTTCCCGCTTGGCGATTCGAGGCGCTGCCTTGACGATCTTTTGTTGGACTGCGGGCTAAAGAACGGCATCGCCCAAGCCAGCCCGGTCTCAGGCCTCCCAAGCTTGGCACTCGCACAGAGACCAGACCGGAGAGGTCACGACGTGCTTCTGCTGGCCGAGAAGACTGCTATTAGCGAGTAGCCTGGGGTACAGAACATCCACGTTGACGCCATCGTACTGCCCATTCCTGAGCGGGCATGGCGGGCGAAAAGGATCACACTCGCAAGGCAGCCACGGCACTGAAGCACCAGAAGCGACTGGCGCGAGACGGACAAGATGGCAAAGGTCGTGATGGCATGGTGATGCTCGACCAATCCCTTCGTCCTTCTGATCCCGACTCGGTCAGCGCCAGAGGCTACGATCCGCCTACTTCGAGGCCTTTGGATCCTACACCGACCTCGATGCGGGCGAATGAGCTCAGCCAGAGCACGGCCAGCAGAGCCAGAAAGACTAGCAAGCCAAGAGCCTCCAAGGAGACTCCCCCGCCCGCGTCTCCTCGTCGCAAGTCAAGCGATTTGAAGGCTTCCACCGGTTCACGCAAGTCCGATCATCCTGCCTATCGAACTCGTCCGGGCGAGCAGCCAAAGACGACTCGCAAAGCATCTGATCAGTCATCGACTACCCGTCGTTCGCAGATGTTCCCCGAGATGGACAAGCCCGTTCGCTCAAAGCGACATTCGGGTAGTAGCTCTACGCGTCCGCCCATCATCCCTTCGAGCGTCGTCAAAGGTGGCAGTCCTCTCGAGCTGCCCTTCGATGACCGCAAGTCTGCCTCGCCCGTCACATCATCTGTCGGCTTGCCCTCGCCCATATCAGGCGCCTCCCGATTGCCTCCTGCCAGGGAGCTCGACGAAGATGTCGTCAGCCGCTCAAAATCCAAGTCTTCAACGAGGGCCAGCGCGAGCAAACGAGTAGACAAAGCAACCACTTCTCGGGCAGAACGACCTAGCTCGAGCGCGCGAGATGATAGAAGGTCACCTCGTCGACCTGTAGACTCATTAGCACTCGACGAAGATGACGAACCCAATAGACTCGTGCTCGCTCAGATTGATTCTGGCGCGTCTTTGCCGGCCTCAAAGAAGCTCAAGCGCAAGCCTCCGCCTGCCTATATTCCCAGCCCAGCCAGATCGGTCACGAGGGACTCGAAGCTCGAGAGCCCTTCCAAAAAACGATCGTCGTTTGAGCATAACGTGCAAAGTGCCGGCAGCTCTCGTAGACCGCCAGCAGATGAACCGCCCGTGCCGCAGATCCCAGTGGGTCTCGTCAACGGTTTCGGCACGAATGGCAAAGCGCGCGCGCCCGAGCCCGACACAACAGACGATGAGTTGGCAACTGCTGACGAGATGGAGTCATCAGATCATCATGATGAGGAAGAAGACGAAGCTGCAATCTCGTCCGAGAGCGAAGTCGATCCTGAGAGGACGCAGGCCACGGGTGCCAAGGCACAGGAGGGATCGCTAAGCCCCGATTCGATCGCACATACACCTAGTGCGGCTGTCATCGCTGCGCCTTCACCAATGACCGATGGTGCTGAAAACGCGAGAACAGCACCAGCTGCAGCGCCAGCGAAGAAGCGTGGCTTTTTGTCGAGGAAGCAGCCAAGCTCGGATCTTCCTCCACCTGTCAAGAAAACAGGAGGTCTCTTCTCATTCAGGCGTAAGAGTGCAAAGCCAGTCGATGCCCAGCCTGCCGCTGCCGCGCCGACCGTCGCTGCGCCCATAGCAGGTATGCTCATACCCGGCAATTGATCCTGGGCTGATCGAGTGTGCTCTGCAGCTGCTGCGGTGCCGGTACGAGCCGATGCTGGAGCCGATGATGCTTCGGTCAGCTCGGCTTCGGTCATCGATAGCGCTCACGGAGCTTCAGACGATGAGGAGGCGATGAGCAACAGCGACAGCGAAGAAGAGACCGGCGAAGCAGACAAACCTGCCCTCGCCGCAGAATCTGTATCAGACCCAGTGACCTCACAGCCGGAAGACAAAGAAATGTCTGCACCACCTACTGCCGAGCAACATACTCAAGCGGCACCTCTTGGCCTGATTGCGGGCGTCGGAGCCGCAGCAGGTGGTCTCATTGGATGGTTGGCCGGCTCGACAGCTCAGCAAAAGCCTGACCCTGCTGTCATTCCGACCGACAAGCTTGAAGCCGCACAACAGACCGCCGCGATGCCCGAGGCGAACACGGATGTTGCGGATGAAGCGGCTGTCGTGGCTGTTGACCGTAACCTTGCTGCGCCCGGCCTGAGCAACGCCGTCATCTTGGACCGGCCCACTGCCGATCGGCCCGATGCTGTAAGCGGATCTGCATCAGTCGCTCAACCGAAGCCTGTGGTAGCGGACACCGCTTCTTCCATCGCTTCGAGCGCAGCCTCGACCCACTCTGTCACGTCTTCAGCTGCTAGTGAGTCAGTAGCCTCCGGTGCGACACCTGCCGCGACACCTGTAGCAGCGGCTGTCGCAGCACCTGCCGCTGTCGCTGTAGCCACAGAGGAAGAGACACCGAAAGCAAAGAAGCGACGTAGTCTGCTGCCTTTTGGTCGCAAGCCAAAGGAAGCACAGAATACTTCAGAACAGCCACCGAATCCAGAGAAGCCGAAGGGTCCGAACAGACTGAGTCTCGCGCTCAATGACGCGCTCACTAAGACGCTCTCAAGTAGCATGTCCTTCGTCGACAAGCTATCAGGCGTCGAACCAGAGAATATCGCACCAAAACCGACAGACTCGCGCAGGGTCAAATTCTCGGATCCGTCAGAGGCTGCTCGTCAGCAGGCCATGCGCAAGAAGACGAGAATTACGCCTATGCTGTTCGTACAACGGTGTATCTCTCGAATGAGCGCTGACAATCGCGAGACAGGGCATCTCGGGTCGTCGTGCAGGATCAAGATATCTTGAAGATGCGGCACGACGGGCCGTTCTGGGATCCTAACAGTCAGCTCCTTGACAATGCGCCCCCTATGTACGCGCCTCCAGGCGAGCCATCAGTCGCACCCAGAAGATCCGCCATGAAGCGGCCTGCAGAGTCTCGGCAAGATGCTGCAATTCGCGCAGCTACTGCTGGCCTCGTCTTCAATCTTCATCAGCCTGCTCAGCACACCCAAGGGCAGCCAGTGGCGCTCAAAGAAGGCGTCAATGGAAATGCCAACGGCGACGTACCTTCCGACGTAAGCGAAAGTGACTATTACGAAGGCGGGGATGACGAGGTGGGCTCGGTGGCTACACACGAGCGTTTGCATGATGACGAGCCGAGCGATGCTTACGAGTCAGAGCACGACGAGACAATGCCCGCACACTCGGAGGCTCGCCCAAATAGCATTGAATTCCCTCGGGCACAATCGAACTTGCCACCTGCAATCGCTGCAATATAATACTTCACACTTATTACGCTTTGCATACAAATCAGTAGCACAACATGTACACCATGATTATGTGTCTGCTGTACTATGCATCATTGTGCTTCCTGTCACAAGACGCGCGAGCCTCCGAGGCCCACGGGTCGAGGACCCATCCGGTTGACCGGCCCGTTATCTGGGTCTGGCGCAGACTGCAGATTGCCGAGCTTTCGCGCAATCGCATCTCTCGCCGAATTGACTTTAGCGGCTGTCGCTCGAGCTTGACGCTGCAAGAACGTTCCCCAGCCATTCCGTCTTGGCCATTGCTGCTCGACTTGATTGAGGTGCGGATTTGTGTATTTTCGCATGACCTCGTCATCTGGTCCGGCCCAAGTATAGGTTGGCTTTTGCGTACCGAGACGGAAGGCATGCGCCTCGGTCCTGCGACAGCGTGCGTGAGCGATGTGCATGAACCAAGAACGAGTCAGCTTACGTAAAGACCCAATCATCCAATGACATAAAGTCCGTTTCGCAGAAGATCAGGTAGTAGTACTTGAGTGTTTCTGCGAGTACGAAGCTCTCCTGACTATCTCGCAGCGACGTCGCTGGGTCATCGATGTTGACATCTCCCACGCTCGCAAAGCCATGATCGGTTATGGACACGTTCACCCAAGCGGTGAACATACGCCAGGCTTCGTCCTGCCAGAAGGGATCGCCGGTGATCCGCCATTGGTAAAAGACACTCTCAATGACCTCTGGCCTGCCCAGATAGGTGCCTTGCTTATATCGCACACCTGGAACGAAGTGCCCCTTCTGCTGAAGATACTTCTCGCCAGTGTAGGCATCTGTGAGAGTCTGGAAACGGTCGGTATCGTTATGGTTGTAGAATGTCAACGACTCGCTGCCGACGCCCGACTTGAAGCCCGTATAGGTGAACGCACAGGTCTTCGTGAAGCGTCTGCCCGCATCGTGATCCCGAGGTCGACCGAGTAAACGAGCGCCGAGCGAGAGCATGCCGCCCGCAAAGCACGCTAGATGGTCGACCTTTAGTTCGACATCCCGCCAGCCTGCCTTGCCTACAGTCAAGAATTCCTCACCGGGTACAGCGGTCACGTTGCGGATGAGATGCACATATGCAGAATCGACTGCATCTGCATAAACGCGAGCGTACTGCTCAGTGGCTCCACCCAGCAGCTGATGAGTTTTAATCAGGTATTCGTAGTAAGAGTCAGCTTCGCCGCCCCAAGTGTATGTGCCGCGTAGGCTTTGAGGATAAGCAGCATTTAGATGCGTGGGCAGTAGGGAGCCGAGGCGACCTGTTGCAGTCGCTGGTATCTTCTTCTCGACGAAATCAATGATCCGCTGCACGACGTCAAAGTAAGTCGAATCGCCAGTAAGCTGACTGATGCGAGCGAATTCCATCGACATCGAGCCCATCTCTGCCACGCCATGATCGCCACCTGGCGCGCCGTGGTAATCGCGGCCGAAGACGCACCGGCCAAGGGGAAGACTTTCGGCATTGTTGAAGCAACCCATGAACCAATCTGCAAGCTCACGTGCTCGATCGAGCATGAGCTGGTCGCCAGTAATATCGTATGCAGCGATGAGACCACCAAGATAGCGAATGTTGGTCTCGAAGACGGGTATCGTTCGGCCATCGCCGCCGCCATAGGCAGACTTTGCCCCCGTTGTCATTGTGAAATCGATCGCAGCAACGTGCGCTCTGCACAAGTTGTACTCACGATCCTCGCCAATCATGATCATGAGATCAAGCGCGTCGACGAGCGATGCACCCCAGCCGTTGAAGTTGTCGTTAGGTGCGCCCGTCACTGGCCGAACTTCGTCGTGCTCCCAAGCTGCAGCTTTGTAGCCTTCCCAAGCATGTATGATCGCACGCTTTGTCCAATCGCGTCTCTGCAAACGCTCTTCCTTGCGAGCAGGCGTCTCGCCAGACCCCGCTTTGATGTCTGCTTCAAAGTCGTACTGTACGCGTGGCAGATCATGCCGTTGTGCTAACGGCGGAGAAGATTCGAAAGTTGGCTTTTTCAGACTCGAGAACGGAATCTGTGCAGACAGCGCGAGTGGTGCAGTCATGTTAGGATATTCCTTCGGCCATACCGGCGGATCTGGATCGCGTCGTGGTCGTTTGGAAGAGAGCCAAGTGCTCGCAATCTCTGGCCTATCTGGCCAAGGATCATCTGCTGCTGTTACTAGCGGTCGCTTTGGCAGGGGTGTGTAGCGAAGCAAGAGATGCTCTGGATTACTAGGCCCTTCCACACGCATGGCAAGCACTGTCGGTCTGTTCGTGACTGGTGCGTCGGGCCTTCGCTCAGGCACGTCGGTATGGATAGGCGCGTCCACAGGCACGCCGGCTTGCACCTGTTCATCCGTCGTAGGTGACATACGATAGCCATCCAACGGATTCGGGCCATCTAGTGGTCTGCCGCCGGGTGGTGGTGGCCCCCATGGCCCGTCTGGACGGCCGAATCTCAGTCGATCTTGTGCCTGCAACGACGCTGTATCAGCCCAAAGCGCGTTCCAATCAGGGTAGGCCCACATGACGCAGCCAAGGCGTGATGTTCTCATGGTATGAGGTTGTCCTGAGGCCGATGCCGAGCACGCAGACGAGCACGAGGATGAGCAAGATACCTTTGTGTCTGAGCCTCTGGATCGCCAGGTAGCTGATCAGCGTCGAGCTTGGCCTGAGCATGCCACTTGGAGGGCTCGTAGTCGTGCCCGTCGTCGGTAGGAGCGGCTTGTTCGACATGACAGCCGTCGTCAGCCTCTCGTGCGCGCTTGGGGCTTGTCGTGTGCCACTTTGCCGTCGTCAAGATGCGGTCGTCTGCACAGCCTGCCTGACCCTACTATCGACAGCTGTGACAGATGCTCCTACTGACTCATCTGCTTGCGCATGCCTGTACAGATGGTGGAAGCTTAGCTACCTGCTTAGGCCTGGCCATGCAAGCGGTAGTCGTCTGTCCGCTCTCGGGGCAGCCGGCAGAGACACGACGACACGACGCGCGCTCTTCATTTATTTGGCGCAGCCGAATGGCCGAATGCAAATCTAGCTACGGGGTCTATTATATATCTGCCACTTCGAGCTCGGCCATCGTTTTGTCAGTCGAGAAGCGTGTGAAAGCAAAAGTGATAGCGCCTTTGCTCTTGGTCGCATTGGCCGCGATGACTTCGGAGAGCACCGGATCATCAAAGTCGCCGCCGTCGGTGTCTTGACAATCGATATGAGTCCAATCTTTGAGCGCTGCCAAGTGTTTCTTCTGGTCTGAAGGGCGGATCTCGCCGGCACTGATGAATGTCACCTCCTCGTTCTGTTCTTCATCGCTGTCTTCTGCTTCGGTAGATCGCGTTGTCGAGCGCGAACGTCCCCTGCGGCACCGGCAGCCCAGCAGATCATGGGTGTGACACGCTGTCTCAGTGTGCAGCGCAAAAATTGCCTTGAGCTGTGGGACTGTCTGTCAGATCCCGTCAAGAGCGCTGCAGATATAAACACACCTCGTCGAGCGAGAACGCGTCGGAAGTACCAGACTTGCTGTTGCCACTTTGCTTGCCGCTTGTCTTCGTGCTTCCTTCGCCTTGCATCAGACTGCCCGCGAGTCCCTGTTTGATAATCTGACGCTGAAAAATCTCTGCGGTCCGGGTTTAATCCTACCCGAGGATCTCAGGAGATTGAACGCACTCTCGTCGAGTGTACCGGTGGCAAGCAAACGGTAGATATGGCAAGGTCGCTTCTGTCCATCGCGATGAATGCGTGCCATCGCCTGAAGGTCGTTGCTGGGGTTCCAGTCGCTATCAAAAAGTACGAGCCGAGATGCACCGATGAGATTGAGGCCTGCGCCGCCCGACTTTGAGCTAAGCAGGAAGATGACTGCAGGCTGATTAGCTAAGCCAAGCTTGATCATGAGAACAAACATTGAGCTTTTTGCGAGGCGCGGTTGAATGTCTCGACGATGCCTTGTCTGGCCTTCTGCGCGGTTGCGCCATCGAGGCGACAGTAGCCGTACCGACGAGTCTTGCAAAAAGCTTCGAGTATGTTGAGCGTCTGTGTAAAGTTGGATACGAGCACGACTTTCTCTTCCGTCTTCTCTTTGATCGATTCGAGTAGATTCGCAAGTGCAAGGGCTTTGCCGGACAGATGGACATCGTTCACATCCAAGCCGGAAGGTAATTCTTCGGCAATGCTTTCTGTGACTTCGTCCTCGGCATCCTTGACGTGTTGCTGATCTAGCTGCTTCACGAGCAAGCCTGGCGAGTTGCAGAGTTTCTTCAGTGCCGAGATGAGCACGAGATGGTTTCCGCCTTTGCCAGAGAAGATTGCGCGTACGGCGGGCGTCTCAAGGATCTTCTTATACAGCCTGATCTGAAGCTGAGTCGGCCGCACAAAGAGCACGTATTCCTCTGTATCGCGGCACATGTGAGCCCGACAAGAAACAATGCGACGAAATACTGACGCTTAGGCGGTAGGAACTGTGCAATGACTTCGGACGTGCGACGCAGGACGAATGAGCGGGCGATGCTCGCCAGCTGATCACTTCTCGCCTGACCCAGACCTCGAACTTCGGAGGATGCATGAGGTTCGCGAGATTTGAGGATGGGCACCTCGAAGCATTTTTTGAACGTAGCGTAAGAATCGAGTGCACCTGGGATGATGAAATCGACCATCGTGTGGAGTTCTGACAGGTCGTTCTGGATTGGCGTGCCTGTGAGAATAACTCGCTTCTCTGCTGACAAAGCGCGCAGAGCTTGGGTCGTCTTGGCGCCAGCCGACTTGAGTCGATGGCCCTCGTCGCAGATGATTACGCCGATGGGAGGACTACATTTTTCGAGATCTTCTACTACCGTCCGCAGCTTCTCAGCCGGCGTCAGACATAGCCTTCCCGTACAGCCGGATGAGACTCACGCGCTCGTAGCCGATGATGAGGACAGCATATGTCTTGCTCTTTGTGAAGCTCTTGATGTTGCTCTTTGCATCTGCAGTAAAGACCCCGATGCGTTCTCTACCGAGCCATTTGGAGAATTCTCGAGACCAGTTCTGCAATGGTCATCAATTCGCGCCTTGTCGCGGAAGCAGCGTTCCGACCTTGACGAGCGTAACGGGGCAAACGATGAGAGCACGGCCTATGACGCTACCTGAAGTCGCGTAAGGCGTCTGCTTGAGTAGGGTCCATATCAGCCCGATGGATTGCACCGTCTTGCCCAGCCCCCTGCATGACGATATCAGAGCCATGCTGTGACCGGTCAGAGACACGTACATCTCGTCTGCAAGGATACAGCCCGTTCCTTCCGACTTGAAGCCCATTACGCATTCGTACATGAACTGTATGCCTTCTTTTTGATGCGGTCTAAGGTGTTTGCAGAGTAAGGGATCGAGCACGACATCGTTCACAAGCGTAGCAGTCTGCTTATTGCGAGCGAAGAGCTCAGCCGGCGGTCGGGTAAGCACGACTGCGCCATCCGCTTTGGGATCATAGCGCGAAGCGAGAGAAGAATGAGCTTTGAATGTCGATCGTGATGTACTCTTGGAGGAGCCCTTGAAAAAGTCGGTGGGCGCGACGGAACCGCCTTGCAGAAGCTCGCTGACGGCTTTGTTAGCGCTCGCATTAGCCGTCGGTATCACTGCAAACGGATGAATCGATTGAATGTCGAGCTCTACAGACTTACATGGCATCTTCGGCCGCGGTTTGGGCAAGGGCCGCGACATTGATGGTGTTGATGGGACATATGTGTGAGGTGCAACGACCGAGCTTTGCCCACCAGAAGCAGGCCCCTCGATCTTTGAAAGTCTCAGCTTTGAAGCATTTCAGAAAGCACTGCAGCGCACTTCGATCTCCTTCGAGCCGACCGAGAGCTCGTCGCCTGCTGAGAGTGCTAATGCAACCGGCCGAGAGCCGACTGACAGCCTGTAAGCAAAGACGTGAGCGAAATTGCCTTAGAGACGCTGCGCTCGCACTCTTTGCCAGTTTCTCTGTCGCGCAAGATGAGGACCGCTCCACGCTGGATGAGAAGGCCGTCGCCTTCCCAGGTCTTGTGCTTCTTCGATGACGGTTTGCGCCTGCAGGTACATTCATCAGACTGAAGCACGACTGAGTAAGCAAGCAGACCGACCAGAGACACTGTTAGAGCATCGGTCTCAGTGTAGCAGCAGAAGCATGCATCGCGGGATCTTACATAGTAGGATTTCTCGGGCGGCTGAGTCGACCGAGAAATGGCTGACGTCTGACTGGCTATGGTTTGTGCAGGTCGATTGGGATCTTGCTCGGACAGTTTGGGCCGCTTAGCGGGTGTCTGAGCTTGTGCGAGATCGTCCTCGATCATCGTACTCCTGGCTCGATTCAGGCTCCCCATCTTGCTGGAGACTTTGTAGCACGAGAGCTGAGGCAGCCCAGCTGTATGATTCTCTTCATCCGAGCCGGGAAACTCGAGCAGAGCACCGGCGTCATCGTCAATCTCGTAGACAGATTGTTGTCGTTTAGGCAGGGCAACAGTGCCTTGTGATGCGTAGCCGGGCAAGGGTCTGATGCTCGGAGCCTTGAAGCTTGCTGCGGCTGCACGTTGCTGCTTGAGCTTGGCAGCCTGAGCTGTCGATAGCATCTTCCGTCAGCAGAAAGACAGTCGCGTGTGTCTTCAACGCGTCACTTCAGGGGCGTGACTCATGACGTGGCGACGAAGGGGACGACGGCGGGGTCAGACTGCAGCAGCAGTACGCAGACGAGGCCTGACACCTAGCGAGCTGCACAACAGACGGTACTTGGACCGAATCGAAGTCATCAGCGCAGCTATGTCCTCCCTCTCGCTCTCCGGCGTTGCTTGGACGGCCTGCATCGCCTGATCTGCCTCTTCCGAGCTGACCAAGTGCATTGCATCTGTTGCAGGGTCGAATGTGCTCGGCTTGTCGAGGTGGGAGGAATCATTCTGTATAGGCATCCGGTCGACAAGATGCAGAATTTGATCAATCTGTGCTTTGATCCTAGCACCGTGGCAGCATGAGCAAAAGAGCCATGTTCAAGCGAGCAGACTGAACCTCGTCTGCTTGTCGGCTGTAAGATTGAGCGAGGGATGAGAGAGCGAGGAAGCCCATTGGGCAGCCATGCCTGCAATGAAGCCTACTTCCTCCCATATCTCAAATCCTTTCTCCGCTCCCAATGCTCGTCCTTCGAACACGCCATGCAGCTTGCCATGCTCAAAGCCTTCTCTGTAGCCTTCTTGGTAGAACCTGCTCAGTGGTCAGTGAGCGGGCACGACTAGAGGTGGAGGAGCCTCACTCGTCCTCGAGATGGGTCACTTGGCGTACAATGTCATCATCGTCAGTACTGGCTCGAGCAGGTTCGACAGCGTTCAGTTGGACATCTTGCATGAGCGCATGCGCCAGTGCTGCTCGGCCGAGTGGTGCGGTGATGACGCCAGCGAGCAGCGCGGTTCGACCATCCGTTCAACTTAACCACGAGGACGAGCTCGAGGCCGCTGCAAACCTGAAACCCGTCAGCACGCCCAGCATGTCCATCTCGGCCGGTGAGTCGGCCACTCGTCGGCATGTCCAATGGGGCTCACAAGCAGGAGCATCAGCGCCGGAACTGTCACTCTCGGCCGAGGAGAAAGAGGCCTATCCTTACTTCTTCCGACAAGGTCAGCCAACTCGCTCTTGAGCTCGGCTTTCGTGCCATACTGATCCCTCGGCTCGGACAGCCGATATTGAGCAGATGGGCGTCCTCACAGGCGAGACCGCCGTCAAGTTCTTCGCCAAGTCTCACCTGCCAGGCGCTACCCTCGGCACAATCTGGTCCGTTGCCGACTCTGGCAATGTTGGCTTTCTCACGCCAGAAGCATTCAACGTCGCCCTCCGACTCATCGCGCATGCTCAATCGGGATCATCTCCCGCCATCAACGAGGCAACCGCTCGGAAAGGTATGTGCCTCGTCCACATGGTTTATACGCGAGCTGGACTGACTGCCATCACCGGCTAGCGACCAGTCTGCCTACCTTTCAGGGCCTCACGCCTCCCAAGGCGAGGACGAGCAGCGTGCAAGCGACGACGCCCAGTCTAACGATTGCGCCAGAGGACAAGGGCAGATTCTTGCGTATGTTTGCCGGCGCAGGCGCAGTCAACGGTCTGCTAGATGGAGAGAAAGCAAAGGATATCTTCATCCGATCCCAATTACCCGTCGAAAAACTCGGTGAGATATGGACACTGGCAGATCGCCAGGCACGGGGGAGCCTCGACGCAACCGACTTTATCGTCGGAATGGCTCTCATCCAAGCTGCCATGTCCGGCAAGCTCCAGACGATCCCTTCCACTCTTCCGGCATCCTTCTATGCTCAGGCTTCCGCCGGTGCAGTGCCGGCCAACCCTCCGACGCCTCAGCGACAGAGCTCCAGTATGCTACCCAACATCAACAGACAGAGCACCGGCTCGATCGGGAGCGCTGCCCCCATCATACCCCGTCAGATCACAGGCAATCAACAAGCCGCTATACCCCGTCAGCTGACCGGTCAAGCTTCACCGGCACGACAATTCAGTCAGACCAACATCATGCCTCGTCAGACTATCTCGCCCAGCACCACCGGCACGGGCAGCAACAACATGTACAGTCTCTTCCAGTCGCAACAGAAACAGCAGCAGTCTCTCGCCTGGGATATCACACCCGAGGACAAGTCGATTGCTGATGGCTTCTTTGACGAGCTCGATCCCTCCCGGCAGGGCTTCATAGAGGGCCAAGTCGCCGTGCCATTCTTCCTCCGTTCGGGCCTATCGGAGGCTATACTTGCACAAATATGGTACACGGGCGAGCTTACAAGGCACACAGAGACTCACATACCACTCGCAGGGATCTCTCTGATGTCCGAAGCGAGGGTCGACTGGATCGCGAGGAGTTTGCTATCGCCATGAGACTCATCACAGACACTACGAACGATAAGGTTGTACCGACGACGCTGCCCGCATCCCTCGTACCGCCCAGCATGCGAGCTCAACAGGCGCCTTCAGGTCTGCCCAATGCTTTCGTTCAGGCACCTACGGGCCCTCAGCGCGATCTGCTCGATATGGATGACAACGATGATGATCCTATCACCTCTCAGGCCCTCACGAGCAGCCCTGTGCCCGTCAAACGAGGTCTGAGTAGTCCCACGCCTGCCGCAGGCACACCTTTTGCTCCCACGTCTGCATTTGGCAAGACAATGACCGCGCCTAATTCTGCTCCATCGCCCGGTACATCTGCTACCGCACCAGCCAGACCCTCAACTAGCGCGACGCCCTCGTTCATGGCTCCCCCTGCCCTCAAACCGCAAGGCACCGGCAACTCGCTCAAGAAATGTAGGATCTCGCTGCGCCCTCCTGTAGCCGCGCTGACTCTGCTTACCAGCCGTTGGCTTCTCTGATAATTTTGCAAGCGCTCCATCGCCCATCGCCTCAGCTGCAGAAGACAGCGAAGAGGAGGAGGAAGATCCAGCAGAGACGCAACGCCAACTGACAGAAGCAGAAAAGACAGAAGAGAGCTTGCGAACAAAGCGTACCAATTACGCAAAAACTGTCGGATCGAACGACGAGATGGTGTCAAGTTTAAAAACAAAGCTCGTAGAGACAAAAGCCGCTCATGAGACACATCAGAAGACGATCGTCGAGTTGCAAGCTCGGCAAAAGCAACAGTCAATCGAATTGGCAGGCTTGAAGGAGCAGACCATCAGTGCAGAGAGCGAGCTGTCCGCCCTCCGGCTTGAGCGTGATGAGATAGAGCAGACCCTCATGCGCGGCAAGGAGGAAGTGAGACAGCTACAGGCTAGATTGGAATCTGTCACAACTGAGACAAACGGTCTCAAGGCGTCTATAGAGCAAGCCAAGAAGGATGCCCGGCAGCACAAGGGACTTCTTGCTATCTCACGCAAACAGCTCGCTACGGCAGAGCTCGAGCAAGACAAGGCAGCCGGCAGTCTTGCAGAAGCGCAAAAGGACGTGGAAGCTTCTGCTGCTGCTCTGCCTGCCCATGCTTCGCCAATCGACAGTCGAGGTTTGTCTCCCGATGTGGCTAGCCCATCGTCGGTGAAGAGCAGAAACCCGTTCGACTCATTTGCTCCGCCCGTCAATGCAGAGCCGTCTGCTCAGAGAAGTAGCGGCCATCTGAGTCCGGTGACAGCGGCGGCCGGAGGCGCAGCAGCGACCGGACTGGCGACAGGCGTCGCCGCACTGGCAGTTTCTGAGCATGGACAATCGTCTGAGCACGCGGCAGCAGGCCAATCGCAATCACCATTTGACACTGGCTTCGATGATGCTTTCGGTGAAGATCTACCTGCCGCCAGCACGAACTCGAACGCTGCAGCACCTCCGACGTCTTTCGACGACGCTTTTGCTGCATTTGATGAGCCTTCTGCCCCCAACGGCGCATCAGACAGAGCCCTCGAGCCAGATTCTCCTGCAACGATAACAGAGACAGCTGCGGCGGCTCCCATAGCTTCTCCAGATGAGCAATTCTCCGAGGCCGCACCGACGCACAGCCCTACCGATGCACTCTCACCGACGTCGCAGCAGACTACCATCCCTGGCGGCTTCGGGTCTGACCCGCTTGAAGTCGGGAGCGATAGCGAGGAGGAGGACGAAGGACCGGAAGATGTTCAGCCAAGTCGCTTCGCTCATGCACGCAATGAGAGCGACACATCTGCATATGACGAAGCTCTCTCTTCGCCCAGGCATGACCTCAGCGTCGGATCTGCTCTTGGTGATGTGCCAGCTTTCACTGCTGCTCCGGCCTTCTCCGCAACGCCCAAGGCAGTAACACCCGCAACAACTGGTCAATCGGCTGGCTTTGGACCTTCCGGCGAATTTGAGGATGCGTTCTCGGACCTTGAAGCCCCACGAGCTGCTCAAGACACAACCTTTGGCAGTGCCGATGATAGTCATGCATTCGATGCTGACTTTGACAAGGCGTTCGATCCTAGCTTTGCCGAGCCTCAAACGAATGGCAACAAGTCTGTAGCCTTTGACGATGCCTTTGCTGGTTTCGACTCGCCCGCACCCAGCGTACCCAGTAGCACGGCCGCGGCGCCAGGATCGAGCTTTGATGATTTCTTTGGCAGCCAGAACCAACCTCAAGGCAGCTCTTCTTCACCAGCGCCACCCTTCAGTGTGGCTACTCTTGCGCCGCCGATCAGCTCTCCTCCGAGCAATTCGCGTTCGCAACGGGGACCGGCGCCGAAGCTGCCTGAGCGGACGACCTCGCCGACCCAGTCATCGACAAAGGACTCTGCTGCTGTGAAGGAACTTACCGCAATGGGTGCGTCATCTTGCGCTTGATTGTGTGAGCGAAGCTGAATGGTCCAACAGGCTTCTCACGCACGGCTGCAATCCAAGCGCTTGCAAAGTATGACAACGATCTTGCGAGGGCCACGAACTATCTAATCGATACATGAGAGCGTAGACGGACAACAGATGGTGGTTCTTGTAAATGCGTTCAAAGTCACTTTTGTGCTTGCGTTGCTTTCGGCGGTCTTTACTTGCTACATATTGCGGGTTCTTTGTTATTCCATTGAGATTCTGATAGCTTCGTCTCGCCCTCATCGAGCATGAAGCCTGCCATATCTTCGCGCGATAGCCAGAGACTGACGCCAGCCGCGCCACTGCCGCCGACGTAGCCAGCGCTGTAGCCTGAACCGCCATAGGTCGACAAGAAAGGTATGCGGACGAGCGTGATGTCGGCTTTGCCTTGTTTGATGGCATTGCGGGAGACCTCCATGGTCTTGATGATCTCTCTCCAGGCCATATGTCCTGGGCCCCAAATGACGAGAACTGCGGCAGCGCGAAGGAGGCTTGGCTTGTCGTTCTCGTTGTAGACGCTGATTGTACTCAGGATGATGAGCCGGGGTTTCTGGCCGGCATCGTTGGAGACATCGATGAAGAGCTGATAGCCTTTGCTGATCGGACAACCCCAGGGGTGTCGGGGGCCTTGTGGACCGAGAACAGAGAGAATGGCATCGATGTGACGTTTCTCGGTACATGCTTTGTCAGTGAAGAAGCAGCTCTTGACGGCCTCGGCATCGTGCAATTCGCCTTTGATCACAGTGAGCAGGGAGTTCTTTGACATCTCCTCTGGCAGCTTCTGAGGCGATCGCGCAAACACGATGCACTCATGCTTCTTCTCGAGTGCTTGGGCGAGTAGGACCTGACCGACTGCGCCCGTGCCGCCGAGGATGAGGAAACGCATGGCTAGGTGAACTGATGATGATGGTGATGATGATCGGCGCACCACAGAAAGACGACGCGGTGACGTCGTGACGTGATTAATCAACCACCCACATGCTCTTGATAGCAGCGACTGGCCGTCAAAGTGAGACGACAAAAGCGCATCTATATCTGCCCACTCTGCGCTCACTGAGGCACAGACTCGGCTCGCCGAAAGCACACCGGACGACGGGCGGCCGAATCGCAACCAATGGCGCAGACTTGACAGGCTAGCGAAGAAGGATCGTCCAGCATGTCGAGTGAGCGTCCAGAGCTCCAGGCGTGGACAGCTGCTGACAGGCTCATTGCGCGGCCTTCTCGCAGCACTCGACTTCCAATTTGATGACTTGCCTGCTGATGAAGAGCCACAAGATGTCAGCCCGATCGCTGGCCCTGCAGGGGGCTCCAATTCGTCCATCTCTAGCTTGGCCCAGTCGGACCGTACGCCGATAGCAAAGGGAAAGAGACGACGGCTGAGTGTGCACTATGCGGACGAGGAGGGGGAGGATGACTTGCATGCCCACGACATGGAGGCGTCACGCTCAGACCAGTCGCATGGCATGTCGAGCCCAATGGCGAGACTATGGACGCACGCAAATGATCGCACACCCCATAGGACTCACTCGGAAGGCGATCACAGCTCGACCAGTAACGGCACTTCGAACGGATCCCCGTCCAGCCAACAGGTAGCCCGCAATGGCATAGAGATCAGCAGTCCCTCTGGCACGCGACGGATGTCCATGGACGGCGCAGATGACGATCACGGGCTCAGCACGCCTACAGACCTCAACAAGTCTAGCCATCTCTCGCCGATGAGCATATCGCCCCGTCGAGGGAGGAGCTCAAATACAAACTTGAGCTCATCGCCTGCGCGGTCCACTGCGCTCGCAGCTGCATCGCCTGCTCATCCAAAGATGCTGCTCGGATCGCCGATGGGCAGTCCGACAGGCCATGCTTTTGACGTCGTCCACGCCTCAAGGGCGGCCGTTCCGCCACATTTGGCGGGCAGTCCGGCCAGGCGAGCTTCTTCGCCTAGCAGACTCGGCCCGCCGAACGGTCTGCTCTCGCCTCGGTTCGGTCCTGCACATGCTTCACCTGTGCTTTCGCCTCTGCATAGCTCGTCAATGCCCAACTTTGGGTCAGCCCGACTATCGCCCTGTGCGATAGATATACTGGCGGTAGATGACCCTAATGAGCATTGGCCGGATGAGCATAGAATCGGGCCTGCCCATTCCTCGCCCTCACACGCGCCAGCCTCTCCTGGCTCGCTCAACTTGCCGGGTCCGTCCTCACTTGTACCGCCACTGACGCTCACTCCGCCGCTCTCGCCTCATGAGGAGCCTGAGAAATTACTGCAAGACAGTCCGGCGCAGCCTGGCAAGCTATCGCCAACGCTTGAGGGCGACGCGACTGTCGCGTTGACTGCCAGGGGTCGGACCTTATCGCCGACCGGCGAAAAGAGACGACACCGGCGAACGCCTTCATCCTCTTCGCCCGCAGGTAGCCCCGTCGAAAGCTTCCTCGATACATTCACACCAACCGAGGACAGCAGTCATGCTGCAGCTTTGCTCTCTTCCAGCCCGATCCACTCGGAGCCTCCGCTAAACGAGCAGCGCGCAACCTCGCCTGTTCATAGCGAGCCTCGCGCTATTGTTTCTCATCCTGGGCTTGAGATGCCGCCGCCTTCAGGCTGGGATCTGTCCGAAGATACGGATGACTCGCCGACAAGCAGTCCAATTCAGACATCCGCTGTGCTACAAGCTCAGCCTGATCCCCATCAGCAGATCGACTCTATCGACCCCTCAGAACTGACTGAGCCATCTTTCTCTTTCCAAGCGCTGGCAGAGACAAGCGAGCCCACCATGTCTGATCTGTCCGATACCGGTCTCGATCTTGAGGACGAGAGCCTGAGTATTCTGGAACGCGTCTTTCTCTATGCGAAATCAGAGAATGCCTGTCACAGGCAAGCTCACATGCATTTCTCGATGCAGCAGGCTGATGGCTTGTTGACAGAGTTACTGTCGCGCAAGCGCTAGCGGAATGGCTCGAAGAAGTCGATATCTGCGAAAGCGTCGAGTTCATCTTGCCACTGCTGAACGGTCTTGCGCAAGACGAGGAAGATGTCAGAATAGGACTCGCACGAACGCTCGACAAGATTCTGCTGTACTACTTCACTCGATGTCCGCTGGCTGAGCTCGATATGCCCGAGTCGGCCCCTGCGAGCACTCCTGCTGCAGGCACCTCAAAGCCAATCGAAGGAGGGCGACCCCCGAGCCTGTTGGATGTTGCCCACATGCGCGACGCTGTTCATAGCAGCGATCAGGTCTCGATTGGCACGACCTCCTCCTCTTCCACACTTGTAGGCTCGTGTGGCAATTCTACCGCGGATGACACTCCGAAGACGGAGCATCAATTAGAGGACATCACACCTCGCAAGATCGTCGCTCGTTTGCCAACAGTCTCGGTCGGAGCCTTCACGCAGCTCTTGCTCGGTCTGTTGACGGACGAGCTCAATGAGATTTCCAGCTCTGCCCAATCTGCGCTCATGCGTTTCTTATGCCAACTTTGCGGCCGGGAATACGAAGAGCCTGCGTACCCCCCGCCGGAAATACCATCGTTCGCTGCGCACGCTCCAGAGGAGCGAAGCCACGCGCATCCGCCGTACAGCGTGAGCTCGGAAGCACAGGAGCTGATAAAAACAACGATCGCACTCGATGTCGTTCTGACACTGCTGCAAGCAGATCACGAGAATGCAGCATCTTCTCAGATGCAAGGTGTAGAACTATCGAGTCCGCCGGCGCATGATGCCATACACCTCGACGATCGCGCACAGTCGCCAAGTGCAGCCTCTCCGGCAACCAGCGAGCCTGAGCTCAATCTGGCAGACCCTGCCGAGCTTTACTATCGACAAGATCCTCATACGGTGAAGAACGAGGATGGTCACACCTTCGAAGTGGTCCAGGCCGAGATCATGGGCTTGCATTTGCTACATTCAGTGGCGGACATCGAAATATTTGAAGGCGCCTTCCTGGCTACCAACTTTATGCGCGATGTTTTCATGCTTGCCCAACGTCAGCATCCCAGTACAAGGCTGCTTGCTATATCTACTATCGGCGCACTAGCACGCACGATACCTCGGGAACAGGTCACAGATGCCGTCTTGCCGCTACATCATAAGCTAGGCTTCGACAATGACCCGCAGACGCGAAGGGCAGCCTGCTTAATACTTCCCGAGATATGTAAGCGGCTCGACTTGCATGGCCGATCCGCAGAAGTCCAGAGGGCTTGCGATAGCTGCATCACCGACGCGTCCGCAGACGTGCGCATCGGCCTTCTGGAGGTCGCTGGCCAACTTATACATCTGTTCGCCGAAGCGAGTGACCGCGTGCCGCAGCAACTCTTGCAGTTCTACTTGGCTGAAGACGACAGACCACCTAGGCAGGAAGCAGACATGGATACATCAGAGGATACCCCCTTTGCCCCGCTTGTGCCTTCCTTCGGCGAAGACGAGACCGCGTCAAGCAGCAACGGGGGTGACCAGTCTCCTTGGGCAGCAGAACATGCGTTGATAAACGCATTCAAGTCTTCTCGTCGGAGCTACGAGCGTTCCATCATCTGCGCCTTCAACTTCCCGGCCGTGATTCAGACTTTGGGTAGAGACCGGTGGCCAGAAGTCCGAGAATTTTATCTCGAACTTGCCCGCGAGAGTCAGATGGGCGTCAGACGAAGTCTCGCCGCTTCTATCTTCGAAGTCGCACGCATTGTTGGCCCAGTGATCACCAACAGTGACCTGGTCGAACCCTTCTCAGCGTTCGTAACAGTATCAGACGATGCCCAGGCATGCGTTCTAGAGCACTTTGGCGACTTCGTGTCTAACCTGACGCCAGAGACAGCCAGCTCGCAGATAGCCATGCTGATTACTGTGCTCAAAGGCGACAGTACCCCTGCATGGCGAGTGAGGCTGGCAATTGCGAGCCAACTATCCGCTATCGGAAATGCCTACGGACGAGGAGGTGCTGATGACCCATGGTGGCACCTGATCTCGACATGCCTGGTCGATGAGGTTTCCGACGTACGGGTTGAGACTGCCAATGCGGTCGCTCTCATGCTTCTGCATGCCACCGATCAGAATTTAGCCTCGCGGTTGATACGCAGTCTCCATCTTGAACTTGTCAGCGATGCTTCTTACCGGCGACGCATGGTATCGCTACTCCTACCGCGCGCATGTCTTCACCATCTAATGCCCATCGCGGACTTTATGCGGTATTTTTGTTCAACCCTCTTGCAGCTTGCTCAAGATCGCATCGTGGATGTGCGATTAGCCACCGCTCGCATCGCGCTCACATTATGCGAGGAGGGTCAGTCATGGCCGCAACGATGACCAACACAGGCTGATCATTGCGTATAGTGAATCGGAATTCCACCGAAAGTGACCACGATGCCATAAGCGAGCTGCTCGACTGCTTGCGTGACGATACGTCAGCGACCATACGTGAATTGTTCGACGGGGTGCGATTATGGACTCCCCCGGGCTCAGGGCCTTCTACGGCATTTGACTCGCGAGCTGCCACCACTAGCTCGTTCGACGACGATGACGACGAGCTGCTCAATTTGCCAGACGACCTCACCGACTCTGCTATCCGCGAATTAGATGCAAACGATGATGCCTTGGCCGAGGATGCGCAGATCGAGACCAAATTTACCGATAGCGATGACGAGTCGGACACATCATCTGTGCTTACGATCGCGCTTGACAAGACACATCACGCTGCAGATGACTTGCCCGATGATGTCAATTCCAAACGATGGATTCCACCGCGTCAGACGGAAATCGATGGCTTCGTGCATTTAGATTCAGCGAGCTTGTAGCGATCTATGCAATCGCTCTTAATCCTTCGCGGCTGCTCACATACCCGCTAATCTTCTTCGTCAGCCTCGTCATCATCGAGCGCAATTTCGTCTGCGTTGGTCGGAACTGCTTGCGCTAGCTCAGACTGCTCATCGACGCGCGGCTTGGCAGTCGTCGTCGCCCTGCGGACAAGATATCAGCAAGATCAGATCAGATCCGAGCGAGTACTCACGGCACGAATGCTGGCTGTTGACCTGCCGCATTGTCGAGCTGAGCCATCGGATCAGCAGCACCCCGTACGGCGTCGGTAGCGTCCGCTGATTGTACGTTGCCTTTACGGGCATTAGCGGCGCGAGCAGCAATGTAGGACGCTTCGGTGTTGAAGCTGGCTTGCACTGCTCTCTTGATCCTCAGCATCTCTCTGAACGTGTCCTCGGAGCCGTGCGAGATCTCGAAAGAGTTCCAGTCTGACCAGAATTCGGGATTGACCTGCTCTCGTCTCATCAGCGATATGTAAGCTGCGAGTCAAATGACGCACCCGGGGGTCGCAAAACTGCGAGCCATGGGCGTAGATGGCCCTCGCGCGATCGATCTCGCCGAGCTTCTTCTCGAGCCCAGCAAAACGCAGGCACATTGTAGCAGTCTCGGCATCGGGCAGGGCTTCCAGCGCCTTTTCGTAGATCGACCGTGTCGCAGGCATGCCAAAATTGGCTGTTGCTTTCGCAATAAGAACCTCATACATCTATCTCGCGTGTCAATCCCGAAGTAAGGCAGGAAAATCGACACGTACTGTGAAGCGATCCTTGGCATCGACAGCTTGCGTTGCTCGCTCGTAGACACTCATTGCGCGCTTCGCCAGGCCGTGCTCTTCCTCGAGCTGACCATAGAGCAGATATAGCGGCTTTACGAATTTTGACGGACAGCCATCGAGCGCCTGCTCGAAGAGATCGCGGGCTCGCTCAATCTTTTCGCCTCCGTATCGTCTGATGAATTTGGTCAGGTAGGTGTTCCAGATCTCGAAGACGACCGGGTATGTGAAAAGATCGACGCCGCGCTCGTAGACCTTGAAGCTATCTTCAAAGTAGCTATTTTCTTCCAGGAAGTTGGCAAAGTTGATGACAATCTGAGCATTTGCAATTTTGAGCTCAAAGATCTTGTCGTAGACCTCTTTCGTTGACTCGACAGATCCGATGGATTCCTCGAGATCGACGTAGAAAGACCACAGCTTCAAGCTCTTGAACAGCCGTTGCTGAGCTGTCAATGTCTCGTCATGGAAATTGACCTTTGTCCGGCGAGGCAAAGCGGTCGCGCGCTGCATTATCCGAAGTGCTTCGTCGTAATTCCTACTCAAGGTGATCAGCCACGTATGCGGACGAACATGGTGCATGACGTACTCGTTGCGAACTTCCATCTCTGCCCATTCGCACCAGATCTCGGCCAGCTCGTCCACCTTGCGAAACGGTACCGCGATTGCACGCTCGAAGACTTGTCGCGCGCTAGCAAGATCGGATTCTGACCGATCTGCAGCTGAAGCAGCAACACCGCCCTCCTCAAAGAACTTGGCATAAGAGATGAAGATGTGGTGAAAGCCGCCGACGGCCTTGCGCGGATTGATGGTATCGATCGCCCTACGATAAGTCTCATCGACCTTGCTATCGTCCGTGCCGTGCAAAGCGACGCGCTTCTCCCATTCCTGGATATCGTTGGGATTGCGCCTGATGAGTACTTCGTTGACGAGGAAAGGTCGCCGGTCCATGAGACTCTCAAAGTCCTGCATGCGCTGATCAAGCTCTTCTTCATCTTCAGGACCGAGAACGTCCTCTTCGTCTTCCGGTGGATTTGCGATGGCATCCATGAGGGACGAGATGTAGGTTTCTGAAAATTCGGCGTAGGCATCGAAAATCTGCGTAAAGTCACGGATAGTGAGCACTGTGGCGAGGCCCTCTTCGAAAATCTGGCGAGCATGATCTAGATCGCCTTTGCGAATCCAATAGGTTGCAAGCCCGGCCCAGAGCGTACCGGCTTGATCTTTATACGCAGCCAGCCCGTCATGCCGCACGATGGCTTCGACGTCGAGCTTGCTGACACTTGCAGGGTCGACATCTGCATCATAGACGGCCAAGCCGTTCACCGGTTGATCGCCATCAACCTGCATGGCCGTTCCGTTCGTCGCTGTATCGTGCTCTGCGGCTGCAGCGTTTCCTTGCGCGAGCATGTGACGAGCGGCGCCCCCGGCGCTCTCTGTTGACGCAATAGCGGTAGCGTCGGCTTCGTCAAGCCCGACCTCGTCTGCATGGTTCACGCAGACTTCAAGAAATTGCCCAAGCAAGTCGTAGGAGCTCTTCACTTCAGGCGACTTGTACTGACCCTTTGCAGCCCTCCGGGAGAGCGACAGGAGTAGCTTCGCCGCTTCGAGTGAGCGTTCCGGTCCTTGCTCGAGTAGGACAGAGACATAGTGCTCTGTCGGCAGAGGGTCTACGCGCAGATACCGCCTGAAGACTTTGACGAGTGTCTCGCCGCCTATGGCTGTCGCCCATCTCAAGTAAAGTCGCCAGACACGCTCGTGAAGTGAGCCGGGTAGTGTCCTGAGGGCACGATCGAAAGTGCGCCTGGCGTGAGTATGGGAAAGGTAGGCCGGACAGAGTGGTTGTCTGAGCATGTTGAGGTAGTTCAGCCACAGTCGCGGCATCTGTGCGTCGCAATGCACGTCAGCGCGTTCAGGCAGATCTAGCCCGAGAGGAGCTCACCCTGGGGTTGCAAGTGAGCGCACGCTCGAAGCAGGCGGCGAGCGCTCTCCATTCGATGTGTCCGATGGTACCGTTGAGACCTCCCTCGTACAGCTGAGCGACATCGCGGTCATGGTCGTCCTGCTCGAGGCCTTTGAGGTCCTGCAGGATCGATCCAGCCTCTATGTCTCTCTTCTTCTTCGTAGCGGCCAAGTTGAGCTTCTTGGCGGGTATGCCGAGTATGTAGGCCGAGCGAGCGTCGAGGTAAGCCTTCCAGAGCTTGTAGGACGTCGGAAAGTGAGCGAGCGCTCTCTCGTAGACGTCGATGATGCGTTGATAGCTCTCCCTGCCCGGCTGAGTAGCGAGCTTCTTCCCAAGCGCACTCTCTTGCTGCTTCGTCGCTGTCCCTCTTGCGTCCATCTCCTGCCTGTGGTTCTGCTCCTTGACATGCTTGATGTAGCTCTGCCAGGCATGCAAATTCTGTCCGTTCCTTGCGAGCTCATACTCGGTCGTCAGGTCCTCTGCCGGGATCAGACTCGCATGGCTGACAGCGTTCGGCGTCGGCACAGACAGAGGCAAGACCGCCTCGAGCGCACTCACGTCCATTGATGACCTCTGCTGCCGAGCAAGCTCAAGCTGGCTGCAGGCAGGCCGAATTCAATTGCAGGTGTCGCGCGCGCTCAGCAGCAAGATCTGGCCAAGTGCAGCGGTCAAAGTCATATGCATTGGACCTATTCGGCCTCGAGAGGACAGGTCTCTGGCTGAGAGTTGACTTGGATGCCGCCCCGCTTGTCCAGCTTCGAGTCAGGGTAGGGCAGCTTCCAGCCACCCTGACTCTCTGGCGTCGCTAGCCAGAGTCGAAGGAGATGCCGTCTGGGCGCAGGCGGTGCGTAGTCTTTGTAGGCTGTGCGTGCGTGGAAGACATGTGTATCGGCAACAAACTGAAGATCGCCGACGTCCAGGATCATATGTAGCGCTTCCCGACTCGCGATCTGCTCGAGTACTTCAAAGGCTTCGAGCTGCTGAGGTGTATGTGCTTCGATGAGACCGGCTTCGACATGGCGTGCGATAGACTTGACATAGTACGGGTCGAAGAAGCTAGACACTTTGCCGTCTAGGTAGTGGTAGATAGGTTTGGTGACAAAAGGTCGTTGTCCGTCAGAGACTTCGCCCTTGCGGTCAAAGTGAAATGTTGGCGTCGTCAGCAGCTCCGCGATGTCCGGTCGCTCCTTCTGCAGACAGTTCCAGACGTGATGTGCAGATACAATGTCGCTTTCGCCTCCTTCGAGCGCGCGAGCGAGACAGAGCAAGCCGACGAGATCGGACGAGTCGGTATGGAAATATTGCTTAGCGGCAGTGCTGTATATCCTGACTTTGCTGATGTCATTCGGATCATTGCCCAGGTCACGCACATGCCCCAGCGTATGTCCCTTGCGATTTTGCGAGACCTGCAGTGCGCATATGAGCAGGAGCAGGAGCAGCATTCGTCGTCAGAGGAGACACACAACGACGCCAATCTGCGCGCCTATGCCGAGATAGGCAGTGGCCGACTTCTGCACACCCCAAGCATCGGTCGACATGCCTTTGATGAGTGCAAAGCCTTTGCCATTGATGAGATCTTCTCTCAACTGGCCAAAGAGCTCGGCTAGCCTTGGAGAAACTTGAAATGTCTCCTTCGTGATCTCTGTCAGGGGACGGCCGGAAGCAGCCCATCTGTCCGCTGCCTCAGAGAGATCCTCTAGCTGCTGCTCTGTCCAGCGTGAGATCCATCGCTCGGGGGCATTGGCATATTCTGTCGCTGTCCAGACTGTCTTGCCTCTGATCTCCTTGGGAAATTCGCTATAGGGCGCCAAAAGGTCGAGCACAGGATCGTGCTGACCAGACGTGAGTTGAGCGACCGACGGCATCCTTCAGGAAGAGTTGTCGAGGCAAGGCGGCTGGCTCAGAAAGATGGAAGCTCCGCGGGGCGGCGACAACGTGATCGAAGTTGGCCGAGGCCATCACGACATTCGCGCTTGCAAAGGCGACATCGATCCGCTTACATCATCATCATCATCATCATCATCATCATCATCATGCATCATTCTCTGTCTAGTGATCGCTCCGCTCTTCTCAGGCCCAGATTGAACCTCATCTTGACAAGCGCTCGATTGCGCCTTCAGCTGGCTCCTGTCGCAATACAAAAAGCGACAGCGAAGCGGCCTTGAAGATCCACAGCTTGCGCACTGGTAGCTTACAGCACAATGTCCACGCAAGCTGCAGACCAGCAAGGCTTGGAAAAGCCAGGCGCAAGCATCGAGAAGCCAGGCGCGTCGACTTATTCTGCCCGTACGCCCGACGCTTCATCAGAGCTCGGCTCGGTCGACGCCATAGAAGTACACGATGATCCGGCGGCCGAACGAGCACTCACGCGCAAGATCGACTTGCACGTCCTGCCCATGCTTACCCTGCTCTACCTGCTTTCCTTCTTGGACAGAACAAATGTTGGCAACGCCCGCGTACAAGGTCTCGCGACCAAGACCCATCTCGGTACAGGTTCGGCGTACAACGTCGGCCTCGCACTCTTCTTCGTAGGATATGCAGCTTTCGAAGTGCCAGCGAATCTCACCTTGAAGCGCTTCAACCCCCGTGTCTGGCTGCCGACTCTCACCCTCGTCTGGGGAGCAGTGACGATGCTGCAGGCTCTCGTCGTCAACAAGTCTGGCTTTTTCGCCGTCCGCTTCTTCCTCGGCGTCACCGAAGCAGGTCTCTTCCCGGGCACTACTTTCCTCTTCAGCTACTGGTACACACGGGAGCAGCGAGCTGTGCGCGTCGCTTTCTTCTTTGCCGCCGCCGCTGCTGCCGGCTCGCTTGGCGGCATCCTCGCTTACGGTCTCGGTCATATCAATACTTCCGTCATCGATGGCTGGCAGGCTATCTTTCTCATCGAGGGTGCCATCACAGTACTGGTCTCTCTGGTCGCCTATGCCGTCGTACCCACTTGGCCCACGGACAGCAAACGATTCACTGCCTCCGAAAAGGCTCGCTTGTTCCGCCGTTTGCGACTTGCAAGCGATTCTGCCGATATGGAACACTTCAACTGGCACGGTATTAGAAGCGCTTTCACCGACTACAAAGTATGGCTGTACGCCTTTCTGTTCCACGGTGCGGCTTTCTCTCTGTATACGTGTGTGTCTCCATTCAAGCTGGATTTCCGAACTCATCTCGCCCAATAGCATCTCACTCTTCTTGCCCACCATCATAACAGCACTCGGTTACAAAGCTGCAGATGCACAGCTGCTCACTGTTCCTGTCTATTTCCTCGCAGCCAGTAAGTATAGCCTATTCGTAACTTTCAGGAGCTCATATCACGTGACAGTCGTGACGCTTACCTCTGCCTTTATCAGTCAGCGCACCGGCCGCATAGCCATCAACATCCTGCTCTCCTTGTCAGTCTCGTTGATCGGCTATGTCGTCATCATCTCTGTTCAGCACACAGCGGGGCAATACATTGCGACTTTCTTGATCGCATGCGGTACCTATTCCGCCACAGGCTTGTTGCTCGCCTGGCCCATTATTAACGTCTCATCTCAAAGCAAGCGGTCCGTGTCTAGCTACTTATTGTATGACGCGAGCTTATCACTAGCACAAACAGCTGTGTCGCCGCTGCCATCCAGATCAGCGTTGGCAACTGCGGCTCGATCATCGGCGTCCTCATCTATAGGCCACAATTCTCGAAAGACCACTATCGAAAGGCACACATCATCACGATTGGCTTCCTCCTGCTTGCCGTCTTCTGCGCATCGACGCTCTGGATGACTTTGAAACGCGACAACAGACAGCGTGATAGACTGGCTGCGCGGCAAGGCGAGGAACAAGCAGAAGAGAAGCCGCTTGCCTATGTCGATCAAGACGCCGATAGCAAGCATTCGCTGGGCGACAAGCACCCAGCCTATAGATATCGTTACTAAGCAACCAAGCATCATCAAAGGGGTTTGTATGTCTGATGCATATCGTGGGGATCTATTTCTGCTCGTGTGACGGTATAGACATTCCTGAGATCAGCAGGCGGACGACCCGTGCTCAGGGGCCACAGATCAGACAGGTGGCTCGGGTGTGGTGCAAACGCGTTAATAGCTCATTTCACCGACGGGATAGACAGACAAGCTTTTCAGCTATGGTCTCATGAACATCAACATGAACATCAAGAATTGCGAGGAATGATAATGTCAACCAATGTGCAATTGAATAGATTTACATGTGTGCTGCAAGTGATGCTTTTGGCGTGGTTTGCTTACATGGCGAGCGCAGCAACGAGGCCGAGCGCGAGCGACAGACCCACTGCGCCTACTTGTGACGTAAATCGAGGAAGTCCGCCAGATGTAGAGCTGCCAGAAGAAGAACCACCAGACGATGAGCCGCCGGAAGAGCCACCTGAGGATGAGTTGGACGAACCAGCAGTAGCCGTCTCGTTCTTCGTACCAAGCTCAACGACTGCAGGGCCGGCGAGGGTGGTGCCATCGGCAATGCCAGTGTTGCTTGATGAGAGCACGATGTAGACCTGACCGGCTGTGGTGTTGGCGGGGATATCACATTGACCGTTGGCATAGGTGGTGAATGCAGGCGCGCCGACACCCGAGATAATACCGCAGTAAACGGTCGAGCCCGAAGGAATGGCAGATGTGTTGGTGACGGAGAGAGCGACTGGGCTACCGACGGCGGGTGCAGTCGTGTTGACCTTGATGGCAGGGAAGCCGGTGAGCGTCAGCTGCGAGCCGGATGGGCAACTTGCCAGGAAAGGCGCAGCCAATGTGACGACCTCGTTGGGGCTCAGAGGCGTCTCGTAAGGTGCAGGGAAAGGCGAGTAGCCGTTGGAATAACGGATGTAGGCGTTGTGGCGAGCCTCCACAGTGAGAATGCTACCAGCGGCAGTCAAATAGTCGGTATTGTTGATCGAACCGGCAGCGCCAAGGTAAGCTGACACCTGCAAAATGTACATCAGCATGTACCGTGCCGCAGAAATTGCGGAACGCACTCCAACGCCTTCTAGAACTTGGGCAGTCGCGAGCATCGCCGTGGCAGATGTCACGCTCGAGAAATCGTACGTGCAGGCTTGGAAGGGGCTCGCACCGGCAGCGGACAGCGCAGAGGTGAGGAATTGCACATGAGATGCTTCGTCAGCCGATATTTGTCTGTTCTAGACGTCAGAAAAGTAGTGGGGTTACGGAGAAGGCACGTACTGAATGTTCGCGTAGACTTGCGCCGATGGAAAGTCGCTAGCCGAGAAATTGGCGAGACCTTGCGCATAAAACGTAGCTTCGAGATGCTCTAGGGTGAGCTGTAAGGATCACAATGAGGTCAGAAAGCTGCAGCACTGAAAGAGCTTACGGCAAAGTTGAGAATATCAGGATCAGTGAGTGCGCCAGCGGCCTGGCGTTTTTCCAGGGGCGCGGCCAGCGCGAGACCGAGGGCCGAAGCCGATGCGACATAGCTTGCAGTTCTCATGGTGTATTGTTCTGGAACTGTGGGAGGATGGCCGAGTGTGTAAATGAGGAATTCTGGAGGTAGACTGTTCACTTATATACATAAGCGGGAGTGGTACGATGCACAAAGCGTCGGCTGACCCAGTGCAGTCGTCGGTTCAACGCCATGATATTCTTCGGTAGTGCGATCGAATGAGACTTGGCTGTCGGTTAAAGCCTGGAAGCCCAGAGTTCAGGCGGCATGAGCGTGGCCGATCGCGACGCGCCCAGGAAAAGGGAGCCGGCCGGCTGCCGACCGCTTTGAGCCTGCTCAGAATACCAATGCGGGCTTAAAGTCGCCTGGCTGGGCGATCAGCGTGTCGATCCCTAGGTCATGTGAGCTGGTTCAGGTCGATCACAGGCGAGGAACAGAAAGAAAGCTGAGTCAGGGATCGAAGCGCACAGAAGGTGTCCAAGGACGGGGCTATTGGGCCTTTCAAATCGTGACTGGCTGTCCAAGGTCTAAGGAGCGTGGATGGCTGTCGAGATGAGCTTGAACTTCAATCAGATATTCATCTGCTGGACGATGAGATGTAGACTTGCCGCATTGGATTGAGGGCGCTCGCAGATCGTAGGCGATCTATGGGGGACGCATTGCTGGGCTTTCTAAGCCAGTACGAGCTCAGCAGCCAGCCAGTACAATGCCTGCATCGGCTCGCCGCTTTGGGGCATTCAATTGATCATGTCGAGTGGGTCTCTTGATCAGGGGTTGACCACGAGCTGACCAGCACATGAAGCCTGCCACGGCGCAAAGTTGCAGCAGTCGCAGTGCTGCTGTATGCAGATCAAGAAGACGAGCTCAGCGTGGTACTGACGACGAGAGCAAAGACGCTCAGATCACATCCTGGCGAGACCGCCTTACCTGGCGGGCGTCAAGACCCAGAGGATGCCAGCATACAAGTGACTGCAGTATGTGTTAGCTCGGCACGCTCAACACAAGCTGATGCGACAGCAGTTGCGAGAAGCCAACGAAGAAGTCGCTCTGCCATTTGACCCGGAGAGGATGCTCGCCTTGGCAACGTTGCCCGCGTTTGTCTCGCGCAATTTGCTCTTTGTCAAGCCAGTGGTCTACCTGATCGACGCTGCGCTTGTAGCCTTGCTCAAGCCAAACCCAGGCGAAGTGGATGCCATCTTTTCGTGCAAGCTCGCTGCATTTTTGGGCAACGACAAAGAGGCAGGAGACGCGATCCAGCTCGAGCATAGTCATAATGACATGATCTGGCTACTCGACCGGCCTTTCCGATTGCATGCTTTCCGGCACACAAGCCTGCCATCGGCTGTAACGGGCCTGACGGCAGATATCTTGATCGCGACAGCGCTGTGCGCCTATGATGCAAAATCGACGACGTTCGAACAGCGGCCAGCGGGCCAGCCAGACTGGCCAGAGATGGTCGAAGCCGTTCTTGCCGGTCTGGCGGGAGCAGGGAATGATCAGCGGACTCGTATGACCTAGGTGCACCCCTCTAGCTCAAGAGGGGTAAATCTCCCAAAGGCTGATCCGCATGTCGATACTGCCCGCAGCTACCCAGGCTCGCGCGGGCTTGCCAGTCTGCTTCGGCTGCATGACCGGCGCGAAAGCGACTGCATTGACGGTGTCACGATGGAAGCTCAAGATCGCAAGGGGCTTGAATGTCTTGATCGAACGGATTCGAACCCTGCGGCTAGCATCAGCTCCGAGCCAGCTAGTGTGTCCAGACGCACAGGCCATCCCAGCCAGCTATAGCGAGGATCTTCTGATCGTCTCGAGCGACAATGCAAGCTTTACCTGGAGTATCAGTCGCATGTCGCGTCGTCTTGCCCCCCTGAGTGAGGTCGTAGGCAATCACGAGGTGATCCGCAGCGACAGTCCAAGCTACGGAGTGATCCGCCGCGAGCGCTAATGACATGACTGCAGCAACAAGTTCAGCGCAGCCAATCGCAAGCTTCAGATCAACACAAACTGGGCTCCTTGTGTTGCTTCTGCCACCAGACGAGCTCCCAGCCCTCGCTTGCATCTCTGCGCGGCTGCGACCAGTCGCTCGTCTGCAGCAAGCCAAATAGCGCGACGCGACCATCTTCCCATGCAATGAGCACCGACAGTCGGCTCTGCGCGTCGAGAAAGAGCTGCAGCGCCATGACCATGCCTGCTGCGTTTTCAGCAAGTAACGCAAGGAACAGTACACATGACTGACCGACACGATCAGTCGTGACGAATGCATCTGCCGCAACAGAGCGATGCACTCGCGTGAGACTCGGCAGGTGAAAGATGTCCACTTGGTCTTCTTGTAGTATCGACGGCAACGCTACGAGGGCTTCCGCTTGCGAGACAGCCAAAAGTGAGAACTTGCAGAACCCGAGTGCATTGATGCCCGTGCTGCCCATGAGCTCGACAGTCGACGGTGAAGCTATAGATGGCACCTGCAACGCCGCAGCTCGTGACAGCGTCTTTGGCTTCTCGGGTACTTGCCACAGCTTCAGTTCATTATCTCTGCCTTGGCTTCATGCGACGATGAGAACGAGCTCGACGTCGCATCTGTTGCCTCGAGCTTACCTGATGATCGTCTTGTTCCAGAGCTGCGCCTGCAGGACCGAATCGGAGTGTGCCTTCCATAACAAAGTCGGGCGGAAGCTTGCAAGATCGTATAGCGCTACATGGCCTTTCAAGTCGCTGCAGGGCTCCATTAGATCGACTAGCTTTTAGAAAGTGTGGCCCTGCTGACCCTGAGACTAGCTCCTCGCCGCTCGCTGAGAATTGCAAACAGTTGACTTGGCTAGCATGGGAACGCAGGACAAAGACTGGCTGAGGCACCGGCCCTGCAAGGCTCATGTAACGTTCAAGCGCTCAAACGGGTCATTAGCATTTTATGCGCGCGGTGAGATGCACAGGCACAACATTGATCGATCTCATCTGCCCGCTCGTCGCAACGGCTTCATCGGCCTGCTCGACGAGCTCGTTCCGCCTCCAGAGCCAATGTTGAACATGATAGGCGCTCCAGAAGGCGTGCCTGGCGTCGGTGCCGTCGGCGTGATAGCAGGCGCACCAAAAGGGTTCTGAGCTTGAGCAGCTGGTGCGCCGAAGTTGAAAGTCGACTGCGGCTGAGATGACTGCGAAGAGCCGGCGCCGAATGCGAAGGACTGAGGCGTCGCATTCGTAGGCGCGCCAAAGGCAAAGCTAGGGGCTGCAGGGGCTGGAGTCGGCGGCTGCGTGCTTGATTGACCAAAATTAAACGCGGCAGCAGTACCTCCAGTCTGACCGTTGCTGCCGAAAGGGTTCGAGGTATTCGTACTGCCGAAAGTGCTTGGTACGGCCTGCTGGGCGCCAAACATGCTTGCCGAGCTGCCAAAAGGGGCTTGTGAGCCATTCACGACCGGTGGCGGTGAGCCAAATGCTGGCGTGGATGCGCCGTTGACTGCACCGAAAGGCGAAGCAGCTGCATTGCTTGCTGCCTGGCCAAAAGTGAACGTGCTCGGATTGGCTGGCTGCGCAGTTGCGCCACCAAACGCATTCCCAGCATTGTTACTGCCGAAAGCGCCGCCTGTATTGCTTCCAAACGGCGAAGGCGCAGCTGGAGCTGGCGAGCCGAAAGTGAAAGGCTGACTTGCAGCAGGCTTCGTGCTCGTTGTCGGCGCTGAGCTCGTGGGCGTGCCAAACGTAAAGGGTGTGCTCGATGCCGGGGCTGCCGGCGCGCCGAAAGTAAAGGCCAGTCCTGACGAGCTCGCTGGCTGCGCGGATGGGGTTTTCCCTACTGCTTCAGGCTTAGCGCCAAACACGAATGTTTTCGGCGTCTGGCTTTCGCCGGTAGAGCTCGTAGGACCTTCTGCATTGCCGTTGACGGCCTTGGGCACGCCGAAATTGAAGTTAGTAGGCGGATCTGCCTTGCTTGCTGGAGCTCCAAAAGATGGATTAGGCTGCGTGCCGAAGGAGAACGCAGCTTTCGGTGCAGCATTCGCCTTCGTAGCGTCGAATGGATTGCTGCCGGCGGCTGTAGGCGAAAAGAGGCCAGTTTGTGCTGCTGGAGCGGGTAGAGGCGGGCTAGATTGCATCATCACGCTATCGTTCGCTGCACTATCTGCATCGTCTGCTCCTTCACTTCGGCCTTCTTTGACCGGCGTCTGCTCGGTGAAAGACGGTTTGCGCTTGACTTGCGTGGGCCCGCTGCTTACCGCGAGTGCATTCGAAGCGGGCGCAGCGAACGAGAACGCAGGTGCTGCGGCAGGCTTTGTTGGCACGAATGGCGGAGCGTCCTCCTTAGACCGGGCAGCCAGGTCAGCTCTGTCATATTGACGTGCGCTGCCGATACTTACAGGTGACGTCGAAGGAGCAGGCTGTGTGCCCTTCTTGAGCTGCGGTGGCACGCCGGCATCTGCGATACGATGCGCTGCAAAAGGGTTGCTTCGCTGTGTCGAAGGCTTTGGCGTACTCTCTGCTATCGCTGGGGCTGCAGAGGCTGCTTTGGGCAGCGAGGCGCTGGCTTGCGCGCCGAAAAGTGGCGTAGATGTGCCCAGCGATTTAGGTATGGACAGAGGAACGACGCTCGTCGGGGCGGGTGCCAAAGGCTGTTGTGCGGGCTTAGCGGGTCGCAATGTCTTGAGCGCTGATCGCTCCGGCGTTGGAACAGCAGGCAAGCCGCTAAAGCCCTTGAAAGGTGATGCGGGGATCTTTGACTCTGGCGCAGGTAGCTTCGCAGCGCTGGTCGACGTTGAAGGTATCCCTGACTCTACCGGCTGATCCTGCGACGATGACTTGCTTGCGACTGGCACGCTAGGCGTCGTGCTGAAAGCAAAAGATTGGGGAAAGGTCATGGGCGGTAGCTTTATCTTTTCGAGGTCTTCAGCTTCTGCTGGCGGGAGATCTTCCTCTCGCGCGGAGAAGCGACTGAGAGCCGCAGAAGCATGGGTGCGACTACTGTGCGTTCTTCCCGGGCGTAGTGAGTCACTGCCACGCGCAAACTGTACAGGTTTTGACGTCTCTGGCTCGGCGGTTTGAGAACTTGCGGCAGGAGAATCAGGCTCTTCCGCAATGGCCTCTTTTGCTTTTCCTTTTCGTCGAGACTTGGCAGCTTTGGCAGCTTTCGCAGGAGCAGGAGCGTCGCTCTCGCTCGTTGGCAAGATAGAGGACTCTTTTGTCTTTCTACTCTTACGAGTACTTGGGGCAGGTTTGGGGGAAGCTTGAGTACGCTTGCGAGGACTTCTCCTGGGCTGCGGCTCTGGCTCGTCTTCAGAGGACGTCAGGTCATTCATGTGGGAGTCTTTGTGAGGCGCAGAGACAGCAGGAGCTGCTTTCTGCGTATTCGCATCGCGCATCCGGCTCGCGATGCCAGGGCGGCGATCGATAAGCTCACGTTGATGACGACGTGCGTACGGCGAGACAGCGCTGGAGATGTGGCTCGTGTTGGCAGCTCTGTGCATCGAAGCGGTCATGAAGGGCTTGTCAGCCGGTAAAGCGCTCGGCAAAGGCACATTGACCGCAGTAAAAGGCTGCGTTCAGATTTTCAGCCTTACATTTAACAGACAGGAGATCTGGCTGACCTTGGCTTGCCGCGCGCCCGCCAGGGGAGTGCGCATGCTTTCGAGCACACTAAGGATTCGCTCGGCTTCGTTGCGCGGCACGTTGACGCTTGCGCTCTCTTGACGTTCTTGACGCTCGCGACGCATGTCGTCTGCCGAAACGAACATGCGCTTCGAGGGATCCCAGACAGCTTGCTTCTTCTTAGTGTGCGATGTCGGACTCGGCGAACGGAAGGGCTGAACCCGCACAGAAGGTGTAAAAGAGCTTCGACTGTCTTGCCGTCGCGTAAGCCTATTGTCACTCGTATACGACCTAGGCAGAGATCGATGTGAAGCTGTGCTCAGGGTGACATCCACACTGCGTTCCCGCTTGCCTAGTAAACTCGGCGACAAAGTCCCGGCAATTGCAAGACCTGTGGCCAGTGATCTCGAAGCAGGCATAGCATAGGAGGTGCGGCTAGTATCGCTCGCCAGCGGCTCGAAGGGCGATGCTGAAGATAGTCCGTATGTCATGCTGGAGGTGTGAGGCAGACGGGTAGCACCGAATCGCGATGATGCAGACGCGCCGGAGACCATAGACATGCGATCTGGCGAAGGCGATCTGAGCATACCATTCGCTCTGGGCGTGCTTTGCTTGTCCTGGTGTGCAAATGCTTTGCTTGTCAGAGCGCGGGATGCGAGGCCGTTCGTATATGTCTGCGAGCGCGGCACCTGGCGCTGCGAAAGTGAGTAAGACGAGTCGTACTCGGCAGTCCTATCTCTGCCAGATGTCAGCGGAGGCGGTGACCTGTTCAGCTGCAGGGTGGAGTGCGATGTTCTGCGCCTGTAAGCTGCCGTTTGTCCACCGTGATCGACGGAGGACCTGCCAGACTCCGACATTTTTGACATTGACCTGTGTCTCGTGGAAGTGGTCGAAGGTGGCTGCTTGGGAGTCGCTCTGCTATGCGAAGCGCCATGAGAACGCTCTGGTATCTGTCGGGCAGGTCTGCTGCCGCCTGACTTGCCAGCGTTCGCCTCGACATCGCTCGCCTCCGGCTTGCCGAGCAGAGAGCGCCGCTTGCCCGAGCGCGCTTGCTCAGCATCGGCCGAGCGCTGCTGATCCGAGGCCTGAGAGGCTTGTTGAGGAGCGGGCGTGCCTCTGAGCCAGCGCCAGCTTCGAGTGACGATGCTCGTGAGGCCTGCCGGTGTTTGCGAGGCAGACGAGCCGTGGCTTTCGAGGTCTTGATCGACTTCCATAGCAGAAGAGCCCATCATTCCTTCTTGCTCGCTCTTCTGACTGCTTGCGAGCTCTCAATACGTCTCGTACTGCTGCTGATGGGCGCGCAAGCTCGCAAGTACGAGATGCTGCTTCTCGGGCAGGTACTGGCGGTTTACAAACTGCTCACCCGCTTCAGCGGGTCCAAAGAGACTACTGCAAAGCTGTCGCGCACCTCGCAGAGCCAGTGTAGCCCGCTCAGGATGCGTATATGCGGCTGCAACGAGTTTCGAGCTCCTTTCTCGAGACACGCGCGAGAAAGAAATATTATCGGCAAGGCTCAGAAACTGCGACATCACGATGCATTCTGCCTGCTCAAACGCTTCAGTTTGACCCCTTCCAGCCGAATCTCGAGCCTGAGCTGCTCTAATTGATCCCGTCTGCGCTCAGCCTCGGCAGCCCGCTCCTCTCTCCTCTCTTGCGCCTCTCGCTCTGCTGCTTCTTGCTCAAAGTACATTCTCGAAATCTCAACGAGCGCGTCCGGTAGCGTCCGAGAGACCATCGAGTCGTCAACGATGACATGATCGATCGTTCTGACTTCAGATCCAGCATCACGCGGTGGTGCTGACCTGGCCTGACTCTGATGACGCGATGTCGCTGGGCTGTGAATCGCTGCGTCAGGTGAGCTGCGCAGCCGCTTTCGTGAGTTCTGAGCTCGTTCTGTGGCTGGTGAACGTCTCGACAAGCTGGCGAGAGCAGGGCTGACGGATGTGAGCGATTCGGACAACCGCAATGAGGGGTTCGATAGAGTGTGACCGAGCAGGGCATCGTCATCACCATCGTCGTCGTCGTCGTCGTCGTCGTTCGATAGCATAATATCGTCTCCGTCAAGCTCAGCGTAAACTCGCGGCGGCGTGCCCGGCGGCGTGTAAGAGACCTCCTGTCGCTGACTTGTGCTCGCTGTGGAGGTCCTGAAGGACACAGCAGGAGCTGACGCGTCGATAGGTGCAGCGAGGGGTGCAAAGGACGATGCGGGCAATTTGCCCGCTCCTGGCAAGGTCTGCAGCAGTGCCGGGGGTAGACCGTAGTTCTGCTTGAGGTCTGGCGAGATCAGCTCATGGAGAATATAGAAATAGGGACACAGTCGCAACACTCTAGCTGCACATTTGCGCTTGAGCGCTGGCGGAGGAGACGAGCCTCGCACTGACTTTTGACGAGTCCTGATTCCGATGTACGCAGATTGCTATGATCCGACTGTGACAGGCCCCAGGCGCGTTGGGTGCATATTTCCCTCGCTTTCGTGTACGTCTTGAGCATGTGCTCAATCTGACGATACACAGACTCCCATGCATGTTCCGGACTGCTCTGTCGGAGCTCAGGTAGGTCGACGAGTGCAGCTTCGGCGGCCTGTCTCCCGAATCCTGACTTCCACGCCGCCAAATTGGGCTGATCGTCTGTCGATGGCTCTCGACGGACCAGCCATTGAGCGAGGGCTAGCGTTTGGTCAGATTTCCATGCCGTCTCGCTGCTAGATCTCGCCATGGACGACTGAAGAGGGGGGGGGGCACTGTCTACGTGGCAGCAATTCGGTTATGGCAGTTTCGCGACAAGCCGGCGCATTTCTTGCCATCGAACGGCTCGCCATCGGAGCAGAATCAAGGTCACGCCGACAGACAAAGCAGCAGGATGTCATCATCATGGATGCAACCCGGCAAGACGAGCGCCATTCCACCTCACATCGAGCTTCCCAACTCGCTCAAGGAGACGATCGGAAGTAGCGGCGGCAAGCTCCTTGCAAGTGAGCGAGCAAAGGCCAGCTTCTCCTCGAACGATCTGTCTGTCTACCTGTATGGTCAGGCACACATCGATCGACTCAACCGGATCCTGGCAGTCATTGAGAGCGAGGAGGCATTCGACAAGACGAGGATCCCTTACATGTCACGAGGTGAGAAATTCAGGCATGCTTTGCGAAAGGAGAAGCGCCTCGTTCAGATCGTCAAGGATCTCAACTGGAGCAAGGAGGACGAAGACATGGCAGAGGTCCTGATCGACATGCCAGGCCCATATGGACTCCACAAGTCAATGTTCATCAAGACCTTGACTGAGCAAGGCACCGATGAGCAGCACGAGCTCTTCCTCAAGCCTGCACTCGACTATAAAATCCTTGGTTGCTATGCCCAGACAGAGATGCGGTATGTTGATCGTTCTGTCGATCAGGCATGACATGAACTCATACTGGCCTACAGACATGGCTCCAATGTCGCCGGTCTAGAGACGACCGCCACCTTTGACAATGAGACAAAGGAATTCATCATCAACACGCCTTCTCTCGCGTCAGCAAAGTATTGGATCGGCAGTTTGGGACGCACAGCAGATCACGCAGTCGTCATGGCTCAACTTTATTCCAATGGCGAGCATCGCGGCATCCATCCCTTTGTCGTGCCCATTCGCGACATGAAGACCCGTCAGCCGTTCGAAGGAGTCACGATTGGTGACATTGGCCCCAAAGCTGGCTACAATTCCATGGACAACGGCTTCATGATCTTCCAGAATCACCGGGTTCCATTCGTCAGCCTTTTGTCCAAGTTCTCTGCCGTCAATGGCGACACGGGCGATTACAAGAAGCCAGCCAACTCCCGACTGGCATATCAGACAATGGTCTACATCCGTGTCGGCATTGTCAAACAAGCTTACCAGGCACTCACTCGAGCAGCGACCATCTCTGTCCGCTACTGCAGTATCAGAAGGCAATTCGTCGATCGAGATGCGAGTGGCTCTGACGAGTTCACACGCAAGCCATCCGAGAACCAAGTCTTGGACTATCGCACAGTCCAGTATCGACTGTTCCCCGTCATCGCCACCGCTTTTGCCTTTCACTACACGGCAGAAGCAATGCTCCGTCTTTATGAAGACAACCAGGCTCGTATGAAGCAAGGCGACTTCTCCTTGCTAGCAGACACCCATGCTGCTTCGTCTGGACTCAAGTCGATCTGCACACTCACAGCGGGTAACGCTATCGAGGAATGCCGTCGCGCATGCGGTGGTCACGGCTTCTCCCTAGCAGGCGGTCTTGCATCTCAATATGCCGACTATCTGCCACAGCTCACCTGGGAAGGTGACAGCTGGCTCCTACCTCAGCAGACCGCTCGCTATCTATTCAAAACGTTCAGACAAATCTGGGAAGATCGTGATGTCGAGATGCCCCCGACCAACGAGGCAGCAATTTACATCAAACATTATCTATCTCATGTCGACGCAAAGGCGCCCATTCGTTTCTCGGGCGATTTCCGTAACCTCCAAATGTGGATCAGCGCGTTCGGCCATCGTGCGGCGTATCAGATCGGTATCACTGTCCGCAAGCGTGATGTCGAGCGACGCTCCTGGAATGCCATCTTAGTCGATATCAATCGGTGCTCAGTGGCACATTCGCAATATCTGCTTGTGAAGAACTTTGCCGATGCCATTGCGCACGACGAAAAGCTCCAGTCGAACCCCGCCTTGCATGCGATCATGACGACGTGCTTCGAGCTCTATGCTTGCTATGTAAGCACTGCATCCTGAAGATCTTCGTCACTGTGCTTACTTTCCGCTGTGTAGACAATGGAAACTTATGCCGCCGACTTCATGAGCTCGGGCTATATCAACCCCGAGCAGCTCAACCTTCTGCGGAATGAAGTTGATCTGCTCCTGGGCGCGATCCGCCCTCAAGCAGTCCCACTTGTTGATAGCTTCAACGTACCAGAGTATGTCTTCCCTTCATCGTAGTGTGCGCACAGGCTGACCAGCTCATAGTTACCTGCTTGCATCTGCACTTGGCAGAAGCGACGGAGAAGTCTACCCTTCGCTCTTTGCATTCGCGCTTCAAGAGCCCCTCAATTCTGTCACAACCAATCCAGATTATACTTCGCCTGAGCTCGTCTTTGGCGAGCCTCCTCTGGCGAAGCTATAAAGTCCACGCACAAGGACATGTTGTCAAGACAAAGCGCATGATTGCACGCAAAATGTACAACACAAAATGACACAAGTGGCGTGTATCTAGAAAGTCAATTATTTCATATCTTCCATCGGTTGATTTCTCCATCTGCTCCTGCCGCTCGTAACAGTGCGTCCAAAGAGCCATGATCGCGAGTGGTGCGCATTCTATGAGAGTATATGCACTCGATCCCTTGATCACCCGTCTGAAGGACGAGCTCGCCTCCAAGTGCAGACATAGGACCAGGATTGAGCGTCTTGAGTTTGAGGCCTTGCGTGGTCGACCGGATAAGATTCTCGCCCATACCGAACGGTATATAGTCGCCCTTGTCGGCGCTAGAGCCTGGATCCAAGGATTTCTTGAAGCCGAGCAACTTGTGCAGCTTCATCGACGAGTCAGTGTAGAGGTCATACGGACATCCAGCCAATTCTGATTGAGGCTCGATCAGCGTCACTCGAGCAAACAAAGAAGCCAGCTAACCTTTATAACGCTTGATCAAGCTTGCACCGGCACATCCGATGATGACGATGCGCACGCCGAGATCGCGTAGCTCCGTCTGATCGAGCTTCATGAGAGCTTGAAGATAGGACAGACATAGAGCACAGCTCCAGTTGCGAATGAAGATGACGATAGTACGATCGCCATTGAGTTGCCTGAAGGGATCGATGAGCTGCGAGAATTGGATGCTCACGCCATCTTCGTTCTGCACGTAGCACTTGAGTGCATTGCGCAGAGCCAGACCATTGGGTGGAGGCTCTTGCGGTGGCAGCTTCGACTTTTTGCCAGGCTTGAGAGGAGGCTCTTCTCTCGCGCAAGAGAAAGTGTCGCTGTCGAGCGTCGGAGTGGCATAATCGCTAGGTCCGCGCACACTCTCATGAAAGCTAGATGCGGTAGGTGCAGGACTGAAGGGTGCAGCATTCGAGCCTCGTCGTGCTGTGACTGACGAGACTGCAGAGGTAATCTGAGATGATTCTTGGGGTATGGCATCGATAGACGATCTGCGACGATCCGGTTCGCTCCGAGGAACGGGCACGCGGCGCAAAGAATGAGTCAAGCTCGCTTTGCGTTGCGCCTGAGTGGGTGAAGCGACAGAGGTGGCAGTCGTTGATGGTGTAGTGAGCAAAGACGAGCCCGTGCGTGAAGTGTGTGAGATGTCCGAGTCGCTTGTCTGGGATGTCTGCGAGGGTGATTGTGAGAGAGGATCCTGGCTGTCCTCGCTGCGTCGTGCCAAATTGCCTTGCTGCATAGAGGTGGGCAAATGGCTGGACGCGACAGAGTGCCAGCTCGAGCTGTGCCGTAGCGAGCCATTAGATGTGCTTGCTGGCGTCGAGTACAGAGATGCAGCGATCCTGCTGGGCGATCCTCGAGGGCTTGGCAGGCTGGGCAGCGCTCGATCGAGGCGGCCCGAGCGTTGCGGGGTCGAAGGAGCGATGTTGAGCGCGCCAGGAACCTGGGGAAAAGCGAACTGCTCCATCCACTCATTGATTGGCTGACGCTCGACCGAGCGTGGCTGTAGATGTACTGACTCGACGGGCGTGCTGAAAACGGTGGCTTTGCGCTTATCGGCCGTGGCCAAATTTGTGCCCGCAGTGAGAGACGAAAGCATATCGACCAGTCGAGCCTCCTCTTCGTCTTCTTCGCTTAGTGTAGCGTCACTGAGCGTGGAGCCGACCGAGCAGTGCGATGGCTTGCGGTCTTGACGGGCGAAACGTGCAGCGACACCGAGATGTAGATTAGGCACGGGCAGTGTAGCAAGTTCTACTGAGGGAGTGGCAGGCATGGATGCCGAACGTGGCTGGATCGAAGGCTCATCATCGTCGACGGGTTCTCCGTCTCCATTGAGCGTGGGAGGAGGTCGACGCTTAGGGCGAAAAGGCAGTGAAGACCTTCTCGCTGCTACGACAGGCGGTGGCAAGCCTGCCTGTATGATGCTATTGGGCGTAGCAGTGCCTGAGTTGCTCTTGGGATCGACAGCGACATAAGGAGGCGGTGGTATGGCGAAAGCGCCGGACATGACTGCAGATCCTGCCTATCACTTCGGAGCCCGCCGTCTGTGCCAAAGCGCTGTCACTAACGTCTCCTTCCTCAGCTTGTCTGCTGCCAGTCTGATGTGCTTTCACTGGGTAGCGATGGATGAGTGAGTGACAATGGCAGGCAAGAGCGTCTGCTCTCCTGGCTCTCACCCTCCTTTGCAATGATGATGCGAAAGGCACGCTCCGTTAGCCTGGAACTCAGGCCAGGGCCACGAGAGGGCTGAATTTGCTCGGTTCATGAAGATCACTGATTTGTTCCTTCCTTTCCGAGCTAAATTCCGATCATAGTGTGGCGAAGTCGTGGAATATCAATTTCGATCTGACGGGGACAATCTCTCACTCATTGGTCAGCATGACGTGTAGATTGACATCACGCCTCGGCTGGCCGGTCCGTCGCGAAGGCTCTCAGGGCGTATGCGATATGGCGCTCACGTCTGAATGGGACTCTTCCCGGCTACTCAGCAGTATCGGCGAGGAGGACGAAGCTGATCTCGAGGCATGTCAGGGACCAAAGACGCACCCATCAAGCTAATAACCCATTGCACGTAGTTCAAACCGAATAGAGATTCTGTCGTGTTCTGTATCGACCTGACATCGTCTATGCTTCACGCACCTTCGTCGGATGAACCATGCGCGCTCACCCAAGCTCTCAGAGCGATCTATAATCTCATGAAGCGAAAGATTATTGGCTCACCCGCCGATCATGTTGGCATCCTCCTCTTCAACGTACGCAACTTGCCCGCGACTAGCTTTCTGTGACATTGCTGCGGCAGGCAAAGAAGCGCAGCACTATTGAGGAACCTGTCAAGTCCATCTACACAGACGTAGTCGTCTTGCAGGATGTCGGACAGCTCGACGCGCCTGCAATCAAGACGCTAAAGAAGCTCTTTGAGGGTATGCTCGCTTTCAGATATCGACGGCAGCTGCTCAAGCATGGACAGACGTCGAGAATGATCCCGACTATTACAGCAAAACCTACAAAAGTACGAGAGAGGCTCAACAAAGCTCGTCTTTGTCTCGCTGCTTGAATGCTGCGCGTCAGATCCTGGCAGAGCGGTCAGTCCACTGCCAGCACACGTAGTACACCACTCATTACGTACACGCAGATCGCCGAAGGGGTCTTACAAACGCATCTTTCTCGTAACAGACGATGACGATCCCTTCCCTTCGAGCGCTCCGGGCCACGCTCAGCTCAGGCTCGCCTGCGAAACTCATCTGAAGGTCACTTCAGATCCGTGAATGGTGGACCAAACTCAATGTAACTCAGGATGCTGCCGAAATGGGTTATGAGCTCTTGCCCTGCTTTATCGACACCGGAAGCGGCTTCGATGTCGACAAATTCTATGCTGATCCGCTGAGCAAGTATTATCCCAACGAAGCCATCCCGGATCTTGCCCAGTCAGGCATAGCCCGTCTAGAGCGTCTAGAAGCGCACATGCGCGTCAGGGAAGCGCCGAAGCGCGTCGTGTTTACCATCGACTTGATCCTCTTCAATGACTTTGCTATTGGCGTCAACGGGTACGTTCATCCTGCTCCGATAGTCGGGACTTGGCAGACATCATTCTCAGATATACCCTCTGTGCCGAGGAACATAAGAGGCCGCCCACAAATATCGACGGCAGGTCGCAAGATGGAGCAGAAGTCCAGCCTCGGACAAACTATACCGATATCGATACCGGGCGAACAATCACAGATCCTGCAGAACAGCTACAGCACTACTACACGCTCGGGACTACTATGGGTCGAGGCTCGTTTGCAGCCGCTGGTACCGATGATCGAGACGACGGCGACTATCTGGAAGCAAGGGCCGACGTGTCGACGAGTCTGCCAACACGAGCGCCGCCACAAAGAAAGATTGTCCTGACTGACGACGAGATCGATCGAGTCAGAACGTGCGGCATGAAGCCATGTCAGCTCGTGCATGTTCGCGCTGCGATTATTGCTGACGCAAAAGCAGCTTTGCGCATGTTAGGATTCAAGCCCCGCAGAGAATTGCTGCCAGAGCACCACCGAGGCCATGCTTACTTTATCTTTCCCACTGATGCGGTCAGTCTCACGCAATCGTAAGCGCATGCACTGAACGTACATACAGAAAATACTTGGCAGCAAACGCACTTTTCTTGCGCTCATACGCAGCATGTGCAAAAAGGACGTTGTCGGCTATGCTTGCTTTATGCCACGCGCCAACAGCGTACCTGTGATCGCGGCTCTTTTGCCCCAGGTACGACTGCACTCCCTCGCATCAATTTGCGTTGACGACTTTGCGCAGCTTGAGCAGCTTGACGAATACGGAAGACAGAGCAAGCCAGCAGGCATGCACGTCATACAGCTGCCATATGCAGACGACATTCGGTCGATCAATCTGACAGCGACGCGACAAGCCATCGCTGACCCTGATGGTACGATCCAGCTTACAGATGAAGGCAAAGCTGACATACACTTGTCAGCGGAAGAACAGCCGGCAATCGATGCAGCGTTCGAGATCATCAGGAAGATGAATATCAAGGCTTACTTTCCGGACAATTTCCCAAATCCTGCGCTCAATCATCATTACAATTGTCTGGCCGCAACGGCACTCGATGAAGAATGGCCCGAAGTGGATGACAGGACTCTGCCCGCTTACCAGGTTATCGACAGCGTCGGTCGCGTGCCCTTGACGTGTGAATCTGCTGATGACGTGCTGGCAGAGATTCGGCGAGCACCTTAAGAAGCTGAAGCGTATTGTCGAAGAGCACCCGGAGGCGCTGAAGCCTGCTCTCGTTAAGCCCGGCGCCAAACGCAAGCTGACCTATGACGAGATCAATAAAGGCCAGACGATCATCGATGCATACGAAGGTGGCAAGCTACAGAAGGTGTGCACATGAACTTCGTGCGCATCGTGCAGTGCTGAAGCAGTGTCGGTTAGCTTACCAAAGATCAACTGATCGCCTTTCTTGAGCATTACGATCAGGACACAAAAGGCAACAAAGGTCCTCTACTGGAGCGCACAGAGGCAGTCTTGGAAGCAGAGGGCCTTATCAAGCCAGCAAAGAAGCGCAAGACTAGATGAGTCTCGGAGATGATGTAATCATTGTTGTTGCAAAGACGAACGCAAAGGCCATCCGGAAAGCAGCTTGCAATGGGACATCGCAGTACATCAAGCGACTTCGTTCAGGCCTCACAAGTACATCCGGCTGCGACATCACGTCATGACCTACTCGCGCTGGAAGAAGAATTCTTGTTGTAGCGCAGCCGGCAGTTGCTCGATCAATTCGACTTGGGTAGACGAGACTGTACGCTGCGAGCCTGGCTGGCCCGAGGGAGTCATACGAGCGTGTGGACAAGGATTGACGGGACACTTGTAGCGATAGGTGAGCAAAAGTGCAGGCGCATCGACGCGCTTGAACGTTCTCACCGGGTTCCAATCTGCGTCTCTGATTAGACTCAAGGAAGCACTCGTCGGCGAGGCGAGAACGCACGATGTGGACGCAGCGCGGCGCCGCATTTACACTTGAGCAGGTCCTTCTCGACCAGGAGATGTGGCAGCCAGATGAAGCAGTCCCGACTATAGACATCGCGGTAGCCTCGGGGGTCGCCGAAGAATTCGGTATAGATTGCGCTCACGGGGAAGGTCTTCAAGAAGTAGGGCTGCGGAGGCGCAAAGTAGAAGCGGCCAGAAACATAGCAGTCTGGCCAATCGAGACCGTGGGTGAGCCTGTTAGTGTCGCGCTGACGAGCGACGAGGTTTTGAACGCGTTTGCCGTAGGCTGCATCATCCAGCTCGATGGGAGCAGGCGGCTGAGTGGCATCTGTACTCGAACCTGGCTGACCTAGACCGTTGGGATAGAGCAATGCGCCGGAGATGCCGGCTTGGAGTAGGTCTCGCGTCGTTCCTGTGCTGTTGTCGACAGCAATATCGCCCTGTAGGAGGCCATGTGTGTCATCATCGCCCGGTGACAGCGCGTGATCTGCTTGCGAACCGCGAGCGACAGCAGCAACAGCGGCAGCAGCAGCGCCGGCTGTATCCGCGAGATGTGTCAATGCAGGATCGATAGGATGTCCCTCTGTCGTGTCTGCAGCGTTGCGAGCCTCTCCGTCCCCGCCTGCAGGATCGGCACGGTCATCGACGGGTAGGCCATCAGGTTGAGGAGCTGCATGGTTTGCGCCGGACGTAGAGGCAAGAGGATGGTTGTCCGTGGGGATGTCACCGTCTGGTTTGACGCCTGGTTCTGCTTGCTGGGGCTGTGCGGTGCATCAGGTCAATCAAGTAAGGTCGATATCATAAACACGACAATTGGAACGTACCGAGAGTACGAGAATGCTTGTCGAGGTGCAGACGCAAGTGCCCTTGCTCGGCAATCTCGACCTAGTGGCAGGCTTGATGTCACGCAGGCCCGAGATCTCGCCTTGGTCGATGCTCCCGTCCTCATACTCGTCCCTTTCGCTCTTGTCTTTAGCCGGTCGTCCTGCTCCTGCTCGCTTGCCTCCTGCGAGATGGCCTGGCTTGTTCTTGCTGCCTTTTCGGCGTCCGCCTCTGTAAGCCATGGAAGCCACTGTGAGGGTCTCTCGTGTGAAAGGCTCGCGGAGCCGGGCCCCCGCCTTCTCCTTCTGCGGTAGACGCGCCGCCAGCAGAGGCCAGGCACGGCCGGAGGACGAAGCTGACACGGGGAGCTGCACAGGCAGACATGCACAGGACGATGTCCGATCCCCACGCACCTCTCGAAGTAGAGGCTCCGAGACTTCTGTCTCCAGGCGCAGCAGAACGAAGCTTTGTTGTCGGCTCGGCTACGGTGCTCAATAGAGAAACACTCGAGCACAACAGCGACACGGACCAACTCGTGTTGAGGCGTGCCCACTGGCGCGATGAGAGCGGACATGCTCGACAGACAGACTATGTCTCTCGGACGGTCCCCAAGGGTATGGTGCCCTGCAAGCCCGACGCAGTCTACGTCGTGCCCATCCTCACCTTGCCGGCACGAGGCGAGGAGAAGCTCGAGAGATCTGTGATTGTCTGCATGCAGTTCGAAGCGAGCATCAACCGATACGTCTGTGACTTTCCGAGCGGACCTTATCTCAACCTCGCGGAGAGCTCGGATGCGTGCGCAAGGCGAGAGCTTGACGAGCAGACGGGATACAACCTCACATTTTATGACATTGACACAATCGAGGTGCGTTATGCATATGACTAGCGAAGAGCGTCTGGCTCATGACGTCGCACAGGTGGGTCCATTGATAGCGAGTAACCGTACGCGCGTCAAGACCGCATGCCGGCTACGCTGATCATCCTGACTGTAGCTCGCGTCACTTCGACTCTCCTGCAACGCATCGTTCTGGTCAGCGCCTCGTTGCCACACGACTTCGACTCGTCCTGATCGCAGCGTGCCTCTTGCAGGATATCACTCCGAAATCGAGCAATAACAATGAAGCTCCGCCGTATCATTCAGTCTCGCACAAATATAGGCACATCACCGTTGGCGTCATACCCTTGTCGGTCTGCAAGGCCACTTTGGCGGCGCTGCACGAAGAGCAAGGTTACGTCATAGGCGCTGGCCTATGGGTACATCATCTCCTGTATGACAGCTTTCACAGGGCTGAGAACTGCTCCGACAGGATTTCTCTCGCGGCCTGTTGACGCAATTGGACGATTGACTGCACTCAGTTCATCATCGGCGCCTGACAACAACGCTTGTAGATGGATCAGCGGAGCACGAGGTGCATCATGCAGATCACACAAGCAAGTCCCGAAACAGTGTGGCAGACAGATTAGATGCATTGGTATAGCTGCAAGTGCAAGTATCATGAGAGATCAAGATCAATTCGTACATTCATTCGCTTGCGCCGGCAGGATCGCAAATTCTGTGAAGACTCTAGCTCAGGAAGTAGACATCGTGCCGGATGTGCCACTTTCGCTGAGCAGCTGCTTGTGCAACTTCTCGGCAACCCCGTCGACAGTTCGCTCGCATTGTGTCGCATCCAGAACGGATGACCCGGCCTGATCGGCAGTGACGCCCTTGCCAAGGCTGTGACCCTGCGAGGTGAACTGTGCCATGCTGATGGGCTCGAGCTCTTGCGATTGGTGAACGATCGGTGCCTCGTGTGTGGTGTGATGCACGGGGATCGTGGTATGAATGCGATGGTGATCGTGAGTGGTGCGCTCGACGATCGGCTGGATGACGTTGTGGACGTGGTGGTGGACATTCTCGGTGAGAACTTCGCCCTTGTCGACGACCTGACGCTCCTTGGGTGCGTGGGTGATCATGTCGGTATGCGCACCGACTTGTTCGCGGAAAGCGAGCTTGTCGGCATCGGCGGTAGCGTGACCCTCCTTGATCTGCGTAACGGGCACGGCACGCTCATGGTGCTGCGTCTCGTTGACTTGCTCGTCACGCTAAACGAAATCAAATGACGTCAGCGATTGATAAGATGACCAGCGTGAGGAAAACTAACAATACGCTGGGTGGTATGCTGAACGTGGTGGATATGGCGATCGTGTTCGCGCAGACGAGTTACTTCCTCGACCTCGTGATGCTTGACGTTTTCGTGAGTCTTGTGGGCGAGCATCTGGTGCGAGTGGTCGGCTTGGCTGGCATCGATGAGCTTCTCGGCCTCGCGATGAGCATGACCAGCTCCGGCATCCTTGGTGACACGACCTTCCTTGTCCATAGGGACATCGCCAACTTGATGAGACGTGGCACCACTCTCTGCCTCCCTGGCAAGGTTCTTTGCGGGTGAAGTCGTGCTGCCCGTCGAGCCGGTCGTGCCGGAAGATCTATTGGCAGAGCCAGCTGTTGTGCCAGTGCTGGCAAAGTTGGAGCCAGAGCTTGCGTTCTGGGTGCCTGTGCTGGCAGTGTTGGAGGTCGGGCTGGTGGTCGCCGTGTTACCCGAGGTGAGTGATTCGCGGGGTGAGGTGGTCGAGTGGCCGCCGGTAGAGGTACGATGCGTGGACGAGCTATCGTCCTTCAGGGCAGACTTGACGGTAGACATGAGACCCATTTTGTATGGTGTATGTGTTGTGTTGTGTTGTTGAAGTAGTAGTAGAAGTGTTATCTACTGACGATGACGAGGTGAAGAGAAGCAAGCAGATTTCTCCGTCTTATACAGAAGAGCCAGTCTTGACCGGACGATGAGGTCATCTCGCCACCATGCTGGATGGTTTTCGCAGTGCTTCATCCAGCCTGGTCCGGCTCGATCTATGAATGCGCTGTCCCGACATGACGGTTCGTCATCTGGGTGCTGCTGCTATGCTAGTTCTCACCATCGGGCTGGGATTAGTCGGACTTTGTTCTCGCTCTTGTAATCGCACTCGTCGATCAGAGTAAGCGGAGGCGCCCCTTTTCATTAATCTCGTCCTCCACGCTGCCGATAGTTTATAGACTGATCAGCGCAGCCGCTTATATCGCGAATCTAGACTGAATCGGTCGGCTGCGAACTTTCTCGTCGCCTGCACGTTGCGTCGTCATGTGCTTCTTCCTGACGGTCGCGCGTCTGTTCCCTAGCCAACCAGCCTGCGTTTCGATGTCTACTCTGTCAATCCTCCGCTGTCTCGCAAACTTCCTCGACACCTTTCACAACACAACATGCGTGGCTTGTCATTCATTTTGGCCGCTCTGCCCCTCGTGAGCGCAGAGGTCGTGCTCGATCTCGTCAGACGATACCATGGTCCGTCACTCCACAAGCGGCAAGTGCCATCGCCGTCGCACTTTTGCACGACAGCTCACTCCTGAGCAGAAGCCATGACCATCGCTCTGGCCATCATCGCTCGCATCGGGCCAACATGAAGCACCATGGTGCAGGTTACCATGCTGAAGTGATTCCGGGGCAGCAACAAGGAGCGATCCTGCGCCATGGATCGCTTCACTCGCATGCCTTTGCATACTATGCCGTCGACTTCAAGACAGGCACCGGCCCTGGTGGCCAACCGCAGACATGGTCCCTCATCGTCGACAGCGGCAGTCCGTTTACATTCGTGGGAGCCAACCCCGCAAGACCCTACAGAACAGGCCAAGCCAAGACGGCTCTCGGCCCCTTTCAGGAGTCTTTCAGATCGGCCCATCCTGGCGTTGCTGGCCAGCTCACACAGGACTTTACCCAACTCGAGCCGACGCTCAACGCGGAGACTTATTTCGGCGTCGCTGACCCCGCGCAATCCAAGGCGTTCAATACGGGCAGTCCGGATGCTGATGGTGTGCTCGGTCTTGCCGTTCCCGTCTACTCGACCTACTTCACACCAGACGCTCGATTCTCATCCTACGTTGAGCAGATCAAGACAAAGAGTCTCATCTCCGCCAATGTCGTTGGCCTGTCGCTCAAGCGACCCACGACGGGAGATGTTGACGTCGGTCAGATCTCCTTTGGTACACCTACCGAGCCGGGGATCGTCTGGACACCCCGCAAGGATGTACTCGGTCAGCCCGTCTGGGCTGCCGACATGACTATCCCTGGACTTGGCTTGACGAACTTTGCGGTCCTCGTGTAAGCTCTCTATGCGCTTTTGGCGTTTCGCTAAGGCCTTCCGCAGCGATTCCGGCACATCGCTCTTCTTGCTATCTACTTCTGCGCATGCTGCTTTCGTGAAAACGGTCAAGGGTGCCGTCATTGATCCCGCGACGGGCATGGTCAAGATGCCCAAGGCGATCATTCCTCCTGCATTGGCCTTCACTGTTCGTCTGATACCTTTTTATGAGGCTTTGCTGACAAGATCACAGGTCGGAGGACAAGTATTCACTCTGTCGGGTGAGGATCAGCTATTGAGCGAGGCAGACGCTACCTTCAACGGCTTCGACACAGCCTTCAGCTGGAGTATCTTTGCCTCCACGGGCGCTGAAGGACCGGGCAGTGTGATCTTTGGCATGAAAGGCATGGAGGTGCTCAAGACGGTCTACTTTGACTCTGACAATGATCGTCTTGGCTTTGTCTGATCGTATGCATCCCCCCCAGTGGCGCTCCTCTTCATCTGCTGAGCTGAGCGAGTGAGTGACGCGTCTGACTGGCACGCTAAGCTTTGAGCAACGGAACGATGGCGTCGACATCATCTGAACTGCTAGCGCTCTCTGCGACGACGGTGGTGATCCATCCGCTCGTGCTGCTATCTGCAGTCGACCATGCGAGCCGAGCCGCGAAAGGATCAAAGAAACGAGTCGTCGGTATTTTGCTCGGCCAAGAGACCAAAGGCAAGATCAATGTCACCAATTCGTATGCAGGTAGGCACGCATGGCGATGGAGGACATCACAGCGCTCATCTGCTAAGCGCAGTGCCGTTTGAGGAGGACGAGAAAGACCCAAGGACATGGTTCATGGACCATAATTACATTGAGAACATGAACGACATGTTCAGGAAGGTGAACGGTCAGTCTGCCAGCTCTGAACGGTGCGATACAGGCTCATGCAGGATCTGTAGCTCGTGAGAAGATCGTGGGGTGGTACCACTCTGGGCCAAAGCTACGCTCGAGCGATCTAGAGATCAATGAAGTCGTCAAGCAATTTGTCAGTTATCAGCTGGTCTCAGCTTGCCAGAGCTCACACTCTGCTCCTTTGACAGAGTGCACGACCTACCATGGTCATCATTGACGTCAGGCAGAGCGAAGCAGGCGGCTCGATACCCACAGAAGCGTATTTCTCCGTCGAGGAGATCAAAGATGTGCGCGCAGAGTCATCTCAGGGCCAAGCTGTGCTCACCAAGGCTCTGTAGGATGGAACAGCAACCCAAAAGACATTCATGCATATCCCATCGGTCATAGAAGCAGAAGAGGCAGAAGAGATCGGCGTCGAGCATCTCCTGAGAGACATCAAGGATCTCTCGACAGGCACACTCTCTTCTCGCGTCTCAAATCAGCTCGCCTCGCTGCAAGGTCTCAGAGCTCGTCTGGACGAGATCCGGGACTATCTCAATCAGGTCGCTCTGGGAGAGCTGCCGGTCAACCACCAGATTCTTTACAACCTACAAGATATGTTCAACTTGCTGCCTGCGCTCGAAACGGCAGAGAAACTACCGCCGGGCGCTCTCGAATCGGGTGCCAAGAGGCCGTTCACTGTTGCTACGAACGACCAGCTTCTCGTCATGTATCTCTCTTCTGTCATCAGAACCGTCATCTCTTTGCACAATCTGTACGGGGTTCTCTTCTGCCTACGCGCACACCAGCTGACCGAGCTCGCGCGCAGAGTAAACAACAAGATGGAGGCGGAGCAACACGACGGAGAAGCAACAGATGCGTCCAAAGCTAACGGCTCGGCTACGCCGGCAGAAAAAGCCAAGCTGGCTCCCTTGCCCGAGAAGAAGGGTGAAGAGAGCAAACGAGATCAAGACAAGGGCTTGTAGAGACTTGCATACGCCCAGCTGCATAACAACATCACTAGAACTTGAACCTGTCTCGATCCCGTCCTGAGCTGCCTCCCCTCTTTGCCTCTGTGCACGCAGCTCATTAGCTCACGAGGAAACATCGACATGGAGATCGAGCTGACCATCTCTTTTACGCCGCTTGGCAGCTTCTTCGGCGACGAAGCTACCAAAGTCTTCGCGGCCACCCTGACCGCCTGATCCCCTCCGAGAAGCTTCATACTGTTGTCGCAGTTCTGCTTCTGACATGCCTTCCAATTGGGCGGGATCGATCGCAACATCGACACCGCCGGCTTTGCGCTGCAATTTCCGAGAGGCATGAGCTCAATGCAGGCTTGAGCTAAAGCTGGTTCACTCGCCTTTGACTGACGGTCTTCCTGACCGAGGACAGGCGCATCGCCAACGAACCCGCGAACATCGTACGTCCTATCGCTGCCCAGGAAACCCCTGACGGAGGCCTGCTGTTCGGGTACGACCTGGTAAAGATTCCTCGGTTGACCGTCATCGGTCGCAGCAGTCGTATCTCTCTGTTTGCGCAACTCGATAAAGTCTGGCGTTTCCAAGCCTCCCGGAATGGTAGAGGCCACAGACGCAAAGCCAGAGGGAGTTTCGAGTCCCGAGGGCGTTTGCAAGCCATCGGCGGGCGCGGATTGTTGGTCGTCTGCTTCGTCTGCTTCCTCCTCTTCCTCGACATCTGATTCCTCCTCTTCGGGTTCCATCTCGCCCCACAGCGATTTGTCGATAACGGCTTCATACTGCTATGCCTGATCAGTGGCATTTCTCACAAGACGAAACAGAAAGACCGACGGCATCACCAGCTTGAGCGGCAGGTCCATAGACATCGCCATACAGCGGTCGGTTGTATTCATCCGTTGGCGGTTTGCCCCAGCCACCCGGATGGAATCCCCATTGGGCTCCATCGGGTATGGGCGCATTGAGGCCTGGAATCTTCAGACTGGGATAGCTCGCCGGGGGCCCAAAACGCTGCATGCTGATGAGCCACGGTGGCGGCGCGAGGGGTGGTATAGATAGTGCGTCTTTCAGCTCGTCCGACAGATCGCCCGGTCGTTTCTCCCTGAGCTTGGTCTCGAATTCTTTGCCTTCGTAGTATCTGTTTCGATCGTCAAGCTCAATCAACTCTCTAGCCGCGGAATACGTACACCTCGCCAAAGTTTGTCATGGGCGGTTTTGTCTGATAGCGGAAGAAAGCATCGTGTAGCTTCTGGTAGTCAATGTCGATCTTGCCCATCTTTGGTTGCACACGCTCCCGCTGCTTCTGCTTGAGCGATTGGTTCGATTCTTTCTCCTTTATCGCATCGCGCTGGGTGGCAATCCCGGTGTCCGCAATGAACGAGGGCAACATGAAGGGGGCTTTCTCGATTCCCTTCTTGCCTTGCAGGTAGGCGCTTTTGGCGGACCAATGAGCAGGAACAGGTATAGCGTTGCGGTAGGACTTAAGCTGGACGAGCATGTTGGGGTCGTTGGCCGTCACGTCTGCCCATTCGACGACTTCTGGGCGTTTGACGAGTCGCTTCAGTTCTGCTACCGAGAGACGGGCAAGTTTGCGTTGTTTGCGTTTGCTGAGCACTTTGGGCGTCTCGCCATCGCCATCGTCCGACACATCGTCGTCGTCAGAGTAGATGATCTCTCCCTTGCCCACGGGATATTCGCCCTCCTGGGATAGCGCGGCCCTGTGAGTATGCTACGACTACCACCTTGCGACGTCGACTGACCTCGTCCTTGGTCTCCGGACCGGCTTCGAAGCGAGCAAAGACGTTCTTGAACTCGTCTGCCAGGGCAGGATCACCTCCGAGCTGCTCAGGCTTGACATCGTCGGCTTGCTCGATATGACCCATCAACTCGACAGCTCTCTGTCTCCTCGCCGGTGCAGGTGCAGCCATCCTCTCGCTCGTACTCGCAACGGGAGCATGATCTTCCTGCTTGATGATGTCCGAGTGACCGTTGAGTGTCGTGCCTGGCTCGAGTGGGGGGATATCAGAGGAGGGAGTGCTCGTGGAAGCCGTCGTCGTCGACTTCTTGGTCTTTGCTTTCAGTTTGCGGAGCTGTGACTTGGACAGTCCCGATGTCTTGACGCCCAGCTTCTCTGCCGTCGTCGCATGACCGTTCACCTGGGCCATACTCGACCTGACAAGCCGATCCAAGCTCGCCCTGGCTGACACGAAATCCCTTTATATATCAGTCGAAGCAGGCGCGGCGCCACATCATCGAGGACTGTCGCTGCTCGAGGAGGAAAGGAGCCGTCAAAGATGAGCATACAAGAGCTCACAGACGATACCGAGGCCCTCAAGATCAACGAGGAGCGAGAACGACAGCTCAAGGCACAAGCGGCGTCGGACTCTGACTCGTCAGACGATGAGCAGCTGCCTACGACCACCGGCAAATCTGGCATCGTCAAAGTGCCCACCAGGTCCGTCTGACGCAGACTTCCCTGTCCAAACACGTGTGCTGAACGCGATGACGGATGCACAGAGGAGAGGCAAAGGCAAAGAAGGCCCTCCTCAAGCTCGGCCTCAAACCTATCCCTGGCATCTCTCGCGTGACGCTCAAAAAAGCCAGAGGGGTCCGTCCATGCTTTCCCCTTGCGCCCGTAGACTCACAGGGCAAGCGTGACGGGTAGATCATCTTCGTCATCTCCCAGCCGGAAGTCTTCAAATCGCCCAACTCGGACTGCTACATCGTCTTTGGCGAGGTTCGCTCGCTGCTGTCCTTGCAGCTCACTCGAGCTCAATTGGGCTATGCCCCTCGCAGGCTAAACCCGAAGATGTGAACGCCATGCAAAATTCGATGCAGGCACTGCAGCAACCGTCAGAGGGCATGCCAAGCGACGCAGCCACACGCGCACAGATGGCCGCTCTGGGTAATCTGGGCAGAGCCCAACAGGCCTCGGGAGGAGGTGCTCGCTCAGCGACGGCAGACGCTCCTGCGGAAGAAGAAGGAGAGGTAGACGAGACGGGCGTGGAGGCGAAGGACGTCGAGCTCGTCATGCAACAGGTCGGCTGCTCGCGCGCAAAAGCAGTTCGCGCTCTCAAGGAGAACAATAACGATCTCGTCAGTCGCTGCTCGAGTGATGTGACTGTGTGCCAGACGGCTGATGGAGACCGAGGTCACAGATCAATGCCATCATGGCTGCGAGTTGATCGCTCCTAGCATGACTCGCCCAAACGTCTTTTCGCAAATTCTCAGGGGACTTGTACGCCAACGTACGCTCGAACGAGTCAAGACAGCTCAATGCTGTCCAGTCGATGAAAATGCAAGATGGTGCATGCATGCAATTGCAAAACAAACACATGAGACAAAGACGGAGGCAGAGTGTCAGTCTTGATCTGAGCGAGTATAAGCTTTTCCTGATCTATCTCACTGAGGAGACTCGAGGAGGATCATCGCTTGACTCTAGTAAAAATCTTGTGCTCATGTCATCTTGTAGATCCGTCTGAGCAAGAGCGGTGTGGGGCCACTGATGAGAGCTAGAATCATGAACAGGCAGAGGAGCTGGATGATCAGACAATAGCATGGCAAGGCTGCCTTGACGGTCACGACCAGTGCTAGCCGAGCAATGCCTTGTCATATCAGACTCCTTTGCCCGCTCACTGACTGTCAGTCCGAGTAGCAGCGAGCAACCCGCCAGGCAGAATTTCGAAGAATCCGCAAACGCGCCAGTCGGCCGACGTCGACAGCGAACGAGCTGCAGGCCGCCGCTAGCTCGCTCCCTTGAGACACCACAAAGCCTAGCATGAGCGACACAGAGGACGATCAGAGGCCGGTCAGACTGCTCGATAGCTGTACGTTCACCCTCTCTTGCCTGAGTGGACAAAGCTGACTGATGTCTCCATGGCCATCATCCAGTCACTGCACCCAAGGAGCTCCTCAACGAGTTCGCCGACGAGGATGCAGAGCCGGAAGAGTTCTCATCGGGCAAGTCGAGGCAGATAGCAGCTCGGGAGTCAGACTACCAGCGCCGACGGTTCGATCGAGAGGGTCCACAGGTACGAGCAGATCCTTTTGCCCAGTCAGCTCAAGATGGCGAACAAGTCGGTACTTCCTACGTCGACACGATGCGTCAGGCCAAGCTGGAGAGGGAGGAGGAGCGAGTGAGGAGGGCGATCGAAGAGAAGAAGAATGAGCAGGCTGATCAGAATGGAGAGGACACGAAGATGGCCATCGATGCTCCTGATGCCACGCCTCGCAAGCGTAGGTGGGATGTGGCAGATGAGACGCCGAGACAGATCACCCAGAATGGCGATGGTGATACGACTCCACCGTCTGCAAGTCTCGCCCAGCAGGTCGACAACTGGTCCGCCTCGGGTCCCCAGGATCAACCCGTCAAGAAGAAAAGATCCAGATGGGACGAGACGCCCGTACCTGGCTCCGAGACCGTCGCTGCTACACCCAAGCGATCCAGATGGGATCAGACACCCGTCGGAGGTGACATCGTCCCGCCTCCCAAGCCAATGCCCTCCATGCCCGTCGAGTTCGCATTCACCGACATTGACAAGCGAAACCGATACCTATCTGACGAGGAACTCAACACGATGCTGCCTGCCGACGGCTATGAGATCGTACAGCCTCCTCCTGACTATGCGCCTATCCGTACGCCTGCTCGTAAGCTCATCTCTGCACCCGATGGCTCGGGCGGATTTACCATCATGGAGGATGGCATCTCTGCTGCTGCAATGGGCGTCGCGCCAGAGCTGCCGACGGAGATCGAAGGCGTGGGCGCATTGCAGTTCTTCAAGAAAGAAGATGCGACCTACTTTGCAAAGATCATGGACGGAGAGGATGATCCCTCGTTGAGCGTCGAAGAACTCAAGGAGAGAAAGATCATGCGATTGCTCCTCAAGATCAAGAACGGTACTCCGCCCATGCGCAAGTCTGCGCTTCGTCAGATTACAGACAAAGCACGCGAGTTCGGTGCCGGACCACTGTTCGACAAGATCTTGCCGCTCCTCATGGAAAGAAGTCTGGAAGATCAAGAGCGTCATCTGCTCGTCAAAGTCATCGATCGGGTACTGTACAAGCTGGACGACCTCGTCAGGCCTTATGTCCACAAGATTCTCGTCGTCATCGAGCCGCTTCTCATCGATGAAGACTACTATGCTCGTGTCGAGGGCAGAGAGATCATCAGCAATCTGTCCAAGGCGGCAGGTCTCGCTCACATGATTTCCACTATGCGTCCCGATATCGATCACGTAGACGAATATGTACGCAACACGACTGCTCGCGCTTTCTCTGTCGTCGCTTCCGCGCTCGGTATCCCTTCACTCTTGCCCTTCCTCAAGGCGGTCTGCCGATCGAAGAAGAGCTGGCAAGCGCGTCATACAGGTATCAAGATTGTCCAACAGATCGCAGTCATGATGGGGTGTGCCGTCTTGCCTCAGCTCAAGAGTCTTGTCGATGCTATCGCTCACGGTCTAGAAGACGAACAGCAAAAGGTCAGAACGATGACGGCGCTGTCTATTGCTGCTCTTGCAGAAGCTGCTGCGCCCTACGGTATCGAATCGTTCGATAGCGTCCTCAAGCCGCTCTGGATCGGTATTCGCAAACATCGCGGCAAGGGTCTTGCTGCTTTCCTAAAGGCGATTGGCTTTATCATCCCTCTCATGGATGCCGAATATGCCAACTACTACACCCGAGAGGTCATGGTCATTCTGATTCGAGAGTTCCAATCACCCGACGAAGAGATGAAGAAGATCGTGCTCAAGGTGGTCAAGCAGTGCGCCAGCACAGAAGGCGTTCAACCTGCTTACGTCAAGGACGAGATCCTGCCCGAATTCTTCAAGAATTTCTGGGTCAGACGTATGGCGCTCGATCGTCGCAACTATAAGCAGGTCGTTGAGACCACCGTTGAGCTGTCCCAGAAGGCAGGCGTAGCAGAGATCGTCGGCAGAATCGTCAACGGCCTCAAAGACGAGAGCGAGCCATTCCGCAAGATGGTCATGGAGACCATCCAGCAAGTCGTGGCGAGTCTGGGCGCATCCGATATCGACGAGCGTCTCGAGCGGCTGCTCATCGATGGACTGATCTACGCGTTCCAGGAGCAGACCATGGAGGACAATGTCATGCTCGATGGGTTCGGCGAAGTCGTCAACGCTCTCGGTACTCGCGTGAAGCCTTACCTCACCCAGATCGTGTCTGCTCTTCTCTGGCGACTGAATAACAAGAGCTTCAAGGTCCGTCAACAGGCTGCAGATCTGACAGCTAAGCTGGCAGTCGTGATCAAGCTCTGCGGCGAAGACGATCTGCTGTCCAAGCTCGGTGTCGTCCTCTTCGAACAGCTCGGTGAGGAATACCCTGACACGCTCGGAAGTATCATTGCGGCAGAAGCAGCCATCGCCAACGTCGTCGGTATGACTCAGATGAACCCGCCCGTCAAGGATCTCCTGCCTCGCATGACGCCCATCCTGCGCAATCGACACGAGAAAGTGCAAGAAGCTTCGATCAATCTGATTGGTAGAATAGCAGATCGAGGTGCAGAGTTTGTCTCTGCCCGAGAATGGATGAGAATCTGCTTTGAGCTACTCGATCTGCTCAAGGCGCACAAGAAGTCCATCCGACGTGCTGCTGTCAATTCCTTTGGCTACATCGCCAAAGCTATCGGTCCACAGGACGTTTTGAGCGTGCTGCTCACTAACCTACGCGTGCAAGAACGACAGAGCCGAGTCTGCAGCACTGTCGCGATTGCCATTGTTGCAGAGACTTGCGGTCCTTTCACTTGCATTCCCGCCATCCTCAACGAGTATCGCACGCCCGAGCTCAATGTCAGGAACGGTTGTCTGAAGGCAATGGCGTTCATGTTCGAGTATATCGGCGAAATGGGCAAAGACTACATCCATTCTGTGGTGACCTGCCTCGAAGATGCGCTTACTGATCGCGATGCTGTCCATCGCCAGACTGGCGCAGCGATCGTCAAGCACCTCGCTCTCGGTACTGCCGGCTTGGGCTGCGAAGACGCTCAGCTTCATCTGCTCAATCTGATCTGGCCCAACATTGTGAGCTAAGCCTGCTCTCGAAGTGATGCTGCTCACCCTTTTGATCCAGTTTGAGACCTCGCCGCACGTCATCGAGAATATGCTCGGCGCTGTCGAAGGCTTGACTGTCGGGCTCGGACCAGGTCTGCTCATGAATTACATCTTGCAAGGCCTCTTCCACCCGGCAAGAAAGGTTCGCGAAGTCTATTGGCGTGTATACAATAGTGGTACGTTCTCTCTTATCATTTCACGAACGAAAGCTGACGCTCATTTGTGCAGCGTATCTGACCCACCAAGATGCCATGATTCCGTACTATCCATCGCTGCCTGATCTGAGCGATGGACGAAATACTTACGATCGCGACATGCTTATGGTCGTACGCTCTCTTACTCCAGGCTCCCCCGTAGACATCATGCTGACGTTGCTCAATACAGTGGGTTTGATTTGACTTGTACTTGAGCATGCATTGACGTGACCTCGCGTCCATATCGGCAATTTGTGATCGTCATGTGCCTGAGAAAAGGCTGGACGCGACTTTCTCGCCAGACCGGCTCAGCGTCATCGATGAGGTGTGCCTTGCCAGCTATACGATGAGAAGGATAGCAGCATCGCCAGAATGAATGACCTGCCGCCCGAGGCAAGCAGGCCAGGGCATCAGGCTATCCAGAGGGGGACAGCATCGGCGCCTGCCTCTTTCGATGGCTTGAGCCAGCGCTATCGTCAGCAAGCCGGCCTCGAGGCTGCTCCTCCCCTCTCTCGCGACTCTTCAGGCTCCGGCGCAAGTCTACCCAACGGAGTTGTCATCTCAGCACCCTCGCCTCGCTTCATACAACACCACCATTCGTTCTCCTCTCAACCTCAGCGTACATCCCCTCACCTGCTGGCTGCACACCACAGGACGCACAGCTTCCAAGACTCGACCTCGAGCAACGGATCACCGTATAGTGTCTCGCCGTTGAGCGGCAACTCCGTCACCCATGGAGCCTATGGACCGAGCGGCAGTGGCATCTGGGCCAATCTAGCGCCCGGCAGCGCACACCATCTTCGCCATTCTTCGAGCAATGGATCACTCAACCAGCCTTTCTACGGCGAACCGACCAGCAGAGGCCATTCACCCAATCGCAGCCTATCGCCAAATCCGAGAGGACTGCACAGCAGACATGGAAGCTCGGACAGCCTCTTGTCGGCCTACGGCGGCTCACATAGTCTGTCGAAGCTGAGTCCAAGCGTCGGCCTGGGACTGCACCGACGCGGCCATGCTTCTGCAGATATATTAGGCGAGCCAGACTACTTCCAGCTGAGTCGCAGTCCCAGCACAAGTCCACTCGAAGGACCTTCAGCTTCGCCACGCGATCGCTCAAAGGAGACGCGGCGCGAATCTAGGACTCGCAAGCGGTTCGTCTGGGCATTTGGCTTGCTGTTCGGCAGCGTGGCCATCTACCTGCTGCGCTGGCATCTCAACAAGCCGCCCCCGCCACCAATCACCTTGCGCGAACCTGATCAACAGGTGCGGTATAATGACGAAAAGGGAATCGCTTACATCTCGCCCGACCAAGCCAAACATCCGATCTTGGATCTTATGAGACATGCACATATAGAATGGTCAAACAAGCTCGGCCGTCAATCGAGGACGCTCAAGGATGCTGTTCACGAATATAAGCGAAGATATAGATGCGCGCCGCCGAGAGGCTTCGACAAGTGGTTTGTCTTCGCCGGCAATCAGCATGCTGCAGCTGACAAACTTCCAGGTTCCGCTTTGCGCAAGAGAACGGCGTCATTCTGACTGACGAATATGACCAGATCTGGCGAGATATCGAGCCCTTTCGCGGAATGTAAGCTCATCCCACGGCCCAGTGCAACTCGCTGATAGCCAGGACAGACCTTCGCAGATCTACAAGGATCGGATGATGGATGTAATGGAAAGGCCCAGAACCTTCACATTCGTGTTCGACGGCGCAAGTCCAGTCGACTACAGCATCATTGGCGATTCGGTCAGCGAAGGAGACGATTTGGCTCTGCTCATCGACCAAATATCGGCATTGATTCCCGGTTCCATGACCATGACAGTCATCGCGGACGACAAGTCAAGCCACCAGAGCACTTGGGAGTATCTTGACAAGCTGCGTCTGCTCGGCGCGGGCGCTTTCAAGGAGCATCGCTTCAATCAGCCTGACCGACCTATTGATGATCACGAGCTGCTCATGTCCGACACTGCCAAAGCATGTCCGCCTGAGTCTGCCGCGCGTCTCGACGAGCTACGCGACGGTACCGTACCCGATGCGCCGGAGCCGACCTCATGGCAGCCTGCCTCGTTAGAAGGCTTTATCTATGATCACTCGAAAGCCATGGACCCGTGTCTGAATCCGGAGATGCGATGGATACACTCTTCAGCAACAGTCAATGGCCACTTGCACCCCTACCTCATGCCCTTCATGACCTGGTCCAAATCACACTTGCAATCCGACATACTCATCACGCCCACCCAGCAGCACACAGACGAGGACGAAGACTGGGAGATAGATCCCGAATGGGATGACAAGCCGCTTTCGGCTGCCATCTGGCGAGGGTCATCGACGGGATCAGAGTTCGTCAAGGGCAACGAAGTCCGCTGGAGGCTTTCGCAGAGATGGCGGCTGCATAAGCTAGCCAAAGCGACACCGGGCGATCGCGAGATCATGTGGACTGTCGGTGATGGCCGTCTACGAAAAGTCACAAAGCCCTATGCTGAGCTCAATGCGGCTTATCTCAACGCGAGTCTGGCAGGCCGCCCCTTGCAATGTGATCAGGACACATGCTTGGACATGGCCCTTGACGTACCGTTTTCGCCGTTTGTCAGTCTAGCACAGTCTTACAAAGTGAGTCTCGCTTTGTCACGAGGAACCAGTGCTGACCTCGTCGTCTGCGGAAGCACAAGTATCTACTTGACGTAGATGGCAATGCCTTTTCGGGTCGATTCAGGAGGTTCATGTTCACGAACTCGGCCGTTCTCAAAGCAACGGGATATCCAGAGTGGATGACGGAGCGCATACAGCCTTGGGTGCAGTAAGTAGGTCCCATCAGTTTGCGAACGCGCTGACTTGCTCCTCAGCTACATTCCGGTCCAATTGGACTATAGCGACATCTATGATATCATGGCATTCTTCACGGGGGTCGATGGCAAAGGCGCACACGACGATCTTGGCAGAGAGATTGGACAGGCGGGCAAGGAGTGGGCGAGAGATCACTGGCGACGACGTGATATGGCTGCGTACATGCTCCGCGTGCTGCTGGAGCTCTGTCGACTGCAGAACAGAGACGAAAAAGACAGCTGGGACTTTGTCCTGCCCGAAGACACCCAATCTGACGAGCTGTGAGGCTCTCGCATTTGTAATCTGCAGATCGGTGAATTTGGTTCTTGTTGTATCACGACAGAAAATCTGCTTGCACACGTTGTGTCTATGGTACAATAGCAGGATCAGTCTGACTGCGAGCTGCGATGATGTCTACTGCGATTTGGTAATCTTGTCTGCGCTCTCGCCGGGCGGGCATGCCGCCTTCTTGCGCGCCTCTGCTTTGTGAAGCTTGTAGCTGAGATCGGTGCCAAACCAATGATCCCAGTGCCTGAACGATGAGGAGTAACAGCTCGTAAACTTTTCGTGATGCCAGTCTACAAAGAAATATAAAGCGTCAGCTTGACAACCGTCAAAAGGTGCTAGACTGACCATGATGATCGGCTCCTGCCCAGAACGGTATCCAGTGATGTAGCGACCATGGCATGTCGTAGCCGCTATGAGCATCGATAGCCTGAGATAACCTCAGCAGAACAAAGATGTACCTGTCGAAAGGCTCGCTTAGCTCCAGTACACGGACAATGCGCATAGCGACCTACATTGTGAAGATGTGCAGATTGCCGCCGCTGATCAGGCACCAGAGCAGAGGACCGCCAATGGTGCCTGTACCCAGCACGAGAATCTCGATAGGATGGGCGTATTCGGCAGCCAGACCAAAGGGCGCGGAGAAATGATGGTGCAGCTTGTGCACCTTCTTGTAGAGGTATGGCGTGTGCATGGCGCGATGAGTCCAGTAGTGCCACTGAAAGAACGTGTCAACCTTGGGGACCGTCAAAGGCGCGCGAAAGGCTGACCATATCCTCAAAGAGGAAGAACATGAGCACCTGCCAGGCAATGGTGGTGATCTTGGGCAGTGGGACTTCGTGTGTCGCCATGCCGAAGTACTCGGCCAGCGGATGGAATCCCCAAATCTGTCCGCACGACGTCAGAGCTGTCTCGCTTTGTTCGCTGCGGTCGAGCTTACCTGCGGCAATTCTATGGTGAAGTGAGTCCAGAGCACATATTTTGTGCACTTCCATTGCTGTTCTGGTGTGGCCACCTTGTCCTCTTGGATTTTGTAGCGCTTCATCGCTGGGATCCGGTCGACGATGATCCAAGGCACGCATCGTCCGAAATAAAAGACTTCGTGGAGCAAGAAGGACATGATGCCCGTCGCCAGGACAGGATCGCCAATGAAGACATACCAGGCTGCCCACTGCCTCTCCAGCCAGTTCAGGCTATCGAAATCAACGCCGGCATAGATGTCGTTGGGCAGCTTGTTGGCGTGTAGCGCAGAGCCAAAGGAGGATGCTTGGGTATACGTCGATGGCGATACCGTCGTATTGGCCATCGCCGCCATATTCTGCAGCCATCCTGTCGCCATGCTATCGAACCACAATACTTGGAAGGAAGCGTCGCGATGTTGGTGGCGATCACAGCCGCGCTTGCAATCGTACGAGGCTGCTACATGAAAAAAGAATTCATCTGGCTCCACATGATTGACACCATAGCCGGAGGAGCTCAGCGCTACAAGCTAGCAGTGTTGATGACGATGCCATGTCGACGTCGAGCGCCCTGCTTGCGCTTGCTGATGAGCCCGCCAGAGATCGAAGCGATGCGGCAGAGCTAGACATAATGCGCGCGGATCAGCTGACCAGAGCAAACGGCTTTCGCCAAGTTGTGCAGACCCTCACCGGCCCAGGACATCGCGGACCGACCGGCTTGTCCCTCCACACCAATACAGCCATTGAAGCCAAGCTCAGGTGGCTCAAGACGAGCAAAGCGAGCGCGTCGAGTCGTGGCTCGGATGACCCTGATGCACTGGACGTAGACCTGTCGGATGCTTTTCCTTCCTCTGCAGAGTCACTCTCGCGCTCCACGCCAAAATTCATCGTTATCTTCACGCATGAGCACATGACAGAGATGCTCGAGCGACGCGGCTTCACGGCCTTGCTAGCCGGCAAGGGATTTCGTCAGACGAGCGTCATTCTCGATACGAGCGACGCGTTCTTGCATCGCATGTCAATCACAGACGAATCGCTCTTCGCGTCCGAGCATAGTCTGCGACCGTCTGAGCGGTTCTTGATTGACTACTATGCTCGCAGACATCGACGATGGCGGGCGGAATCGATCACATCGGTCCAGCTCGCGCGACGCTTGCTTGACTCTGGAAGCTGGGCGGAATTGCATGAGCGCACAGGCGAGGTCAGATCGCCTTACATGTCACTCCAGACGGCCGAGCGTGTGAAGTCAGTCGTATCCAACTTACTCAACGCGTGCACACCGTCCTCGAAGTCAGGTCATGGCTTAGATGTGATCGAGATCGCATGGCTACAAGCTCAGTCGCCATTGGCCAAGTCAGCCTCATTCAGCAAGCTACCGGGCCAAAGGTTCCCAGGCCTAGGTCTGGGACATGAGCTGGGCAGCTTGTTCGAGCAAGTCGCAGTGGCAGGCCGGACGACAGACGGTCTGATCTGCCTGCCCTTTGCATTCCACAATGCGCTCTACTACGCTCGCGCGGGCTACCATTTTCTCTCCCCAGCCTTTGAAGCCTACTTCCGCATGGCTGCCACTTTCTCAACGAAGCATCTGCTGGAGCCTCACGGGCTTGTCTTCGCCGCTTGGGCATGGACGAACGGGCATGTCAAGCGAATCGTGGAGGATGCCGATGGTGTGGAGGAGTCACGTGGCACGGAAGTCTGGTCACCAGAGGAGCAAGTCCTCCCGAGTGGTATGGCTCTGCACTCCCTTTTCGACAGTCCTGCCTATGCCGGACTGCTGCAAGAGTGCATCAGCCTCTACGATCCAGCGACGGGGTCCATTGAGCTCGAGGGAAAGAAACATCGCCTCGAGCTCGACCTCGAAGGTGCCGTTGAGATCTGGCAATACTCCAAAGATCCTCACCTGCGGTCTAGAGCATCCAGACTGTCCGACTGAGCTAGCTGTTGTTTGACATTGTGACGTGTCAGGCTGTGATCGAGACGCGCGACTAAGTCTGACAATTGCCGGAAGCTCTTCAATCTGTGACGCTGAATATGGTCCTTACAGAGTCAGACGAGGCGCCAAGGCCTGCGCAAGTCAATGGAATATCCAAGGCAGTCGAAGGAGCAGACAAGGTCGTACTCGACCCGATCGAAGATGCCATCGAGGCTTTTGGTCGAGGAGAGTTTCTAGTCGTTGTAGACGACATGGAGAGAGAGAACGAAGGGGATCTGATCATAGCGGCAGCAAAAGTGACGACAGAGAAGATGGCATGGATGATACGGCATACGAGGTTCATCATCCGCGCCTGAGATCACAAGCCATGACTCATCATGCTCCTTTTCCCCTGCGGCTTTGCAGCGGCTACATATGTACAGCGCTACGGCAGGACAGACTGAGCCACTTGGGCATACCTATGATGGTGGAAGATAATCAAGAGCGCATGAAGACGGCTTATACCGTCACTGTCGACTACAGACAAGGCAAGGATGAAGCTGTCGTCATCAGATACTGAAGCTCATCGCAATCCAGGCACGACAACGGGCATTTCTGCACATGACAGAGCACTGACAGCACGCATGCTCACCGATCCATCGAGCAAGCCAGAGGACTTCTCCCGGCCAGGGCACATGGTACCTCTCCGGTCCAGAGACGGGGGCACTCTCGTCCGACGAGGGCACACCGAGGCATCCACAGGTAGGCCTCCAGACGCGGCAATCGATGTCCGTCTGACGATGTTGCAGATCTATGCGAGCTCGCTGGCTTGCCAATAGGTGGCCTACTGTGTGAGCTTGTCATACCTGACGACCCGCAAGGCGCAATGGCGCGACGAGACGATTGCTACGCTTTCGCGAAGCACTGGGGTCTCAACATGATTAGCATCGAGCAAATAGAAGAACATAGGCAACGCAAGTGAGCTCCCGTGTCTTGTTGTACGATCTAGATTGTTTTGCAGCGCTCAAATGACAACAACATGAAAATGCTAGGATATGCTGCTGAGGGCCCAATCGTCTTGCAACAGCCTGTCTATCCAACTGGGCTGTCGCACGAACTGATCGACGATAGCGTACGATACATCTTGCAGTGCGTCGCCGAGATGATGATGGTCGAATGGAGAGTCGCAGGGCCTCAGCAAGCTGCCGGATATGACGCCTGCGCAATATACGACGAGAGTGTACAGCACGCAGAGAGCGAGATGAGCGATGAGGCCATTGGGGAGTGATGACTTTGCTGAGCGCCACATGAAAGTGACATTCGCTTTGATAGCTGCAAACGTCGGTATCTGGGACAGACAGCGTGTCCATCGCGCAGGCGTTCGTCGCTGGTCGCTTGTACGCACCACTGACGAAGAGTCAACATCGATACGCAGAGGAACCAGTCAGATGGACCGTGCTCACCTTGCTTGTTCTTGTCTACCCTGTCTGCTGTGCTCGAGGGGACATTGCCGACTTGCTCCGATGTCAGCTCGAGGCGTGTAGCCGCCGTCTTGCATGCCTGCTCAGCAGTGACCGACGCTTCTGATGCGAGCGTTTCGAGTGCCTTGATGGTCAACTGCTGTGGCCGAGGCAAGGAGATCGATTCGTTGGGGGTCATGAATCCGTTTAGATCTGATCGCGCAAAGATCTCGCTGCTTGTCTTTCGAAGCTTCCGTCGGAAGGACAGTCCAGGCGAGGCACTTTCACTGATACTTGCAAAGAGCTTCATCTTGTCTGAGCCGGCCAGGGAGGTCGACCAGCCGACGACTTGGCTGTGTTCGGGCAGCCGCGCGAGTTCTGCGCCGAAGCTTTTGCTGAGCGTAGCTGCATGACCTTCACCATCAGGCTTTGTTTGCCGCTCGAGACGGAGGCTGTCGAGATCTAGGCGGAGGCGATCGATCGTCTCCTTGAGCGCGAGACCGTGCTGCCGTTCCTCCTCGAGGTCATGTTCTGCCTGGCGCGCGCTCGCTAGGTCCCCTTCGAGTTGTGCAATGGCAGCGTCAGCGAAGTCCTTCTGGGTGTTCGATGTCTCCAACTGTTCGGCAAGAGCGACTGTGCGCTCGACATTCTCGAAGAGCTCCTGCTCCTTGAGCCTGACGATGTCGCGTAATTTCTCAGACTCGTCACATTGCTCTTCGAAAGATGTCTTGAGACTGCTATAAAGTTCTTTCTGATGATCGAGCGTAGCAGACAGTCGGCTGTTGTCGCTCTCGAGACTTGCAATCTGATTGAGCTGATGCCTTTCGCCGATTCGCAATTCCTTCTCCTCGCGCCGCTTCTGACCGAGTTCGCGCTGAGACTCGGCAAGCAGACTCTGATTTTCGAGCATGTCCCGATCGTGGGATTCAATCAGCGACCTTTGACTGGCTTCGAGATCTCGAATCTTCTTTGTGAGCTCGTGCTTCTCTGCAACGAGCGAAGCGATAATGTCGCGTTCGTGCTCGGACTCTGAGCTCGAGCCAGCAGCATAAGAGAAGGCCGAGTTACGCTGGCCGTCGCTACTACCGTTACTGAGCGTGCTACCACGTGACATGGGCTCTGATGCCATCCCAGGGCTCAGCTCGGGCGGTAAGGGAGGAGCATACGACAGAGCTCCAACACCGTGCGAAACGCCCAAGAGGTCCTTCGCCATGCTCGCCATTGTCATCTCATCCTCCTCCTCGTGCTCTTCGAGCACAATGGCGGGACGCTCTGTTCGAGTGGGCGAAGGAGGTGAAAAGGGTCGCGCATAGTAGCTTGTCTGGTCGAGTCCAGGCGAGTCAGGCGAAGATCTTGCGAGCGAGAGGGGTGTGGATACGTTGGATCTGGGCGTGATGGGTCGATCGGACTTGCGTGGCGGTGAGTCGACGAGTGTAGAGGAGGATGATGAGGTTGACATGCCTTGCATAGGCTCAGGTGAGCCGGTGCGCTCGTCAGAGAAGCCGGTACGATCTGGCCTGAAGCCGTTCGGGGACGACCGGCTGGTCTTGATTGGCGAAGTCTCGTGCGACAGGTTGGCAAGCGCAGGTAGACTGACAGACGTCGGCGGCGTACTCGTCCTGAGTGCGCTTGGGGCGGATCGCCTTGGCTTGGCGGCTCTGACGGGGTAAGCTGACTGCAGAGGACTAGAGCGTTGCCCGTAGCCTTTGGATGGTGTACCCAGACGGCTGGGAGTAGATTGGGTTGGCATTGGCGGGGTCTTTGCAGGCGTTGAGTGCGCCTTTGTGGTGGCTGATGATCCGTTGGACAGTCGTGAAGAGGGACGAGGGAGCCCGCTGCCCGGCTTGCTGTCATAGCTACTCTCTGTCCTCGTGAGTCGTGAAGGCGGTCGACTGTTGCTGACGGTGCCTTGACTTGGCTCGACGGGTGGTGATGATGATGATGCTGAGGTGGCAGCTGCCATGTCAAAGAACGACAGCAGCTCCGCCTTGCCCAGCGAGAGTTCTTCGCCGTGCTGATCTGCGAGCTGCTGGAGCAGCTGAGCTTCGTACGCAGGCAGGCTGGGGCCGAAGAGCTTGGGCAAGTCGGCGACGGGCAGCAGCTTGTCCGGCTTGTCATAGACCCGTTCGACTAGCTCTGAGTAGCCTTGGGCGCTCATGCTGCGCTTTGGCCGTTCTTGCGAGCGTGCCAGAGAGCCAGGCAGGGGCGAGGAGGGTGCTGTTCTCGTCTGTCGAGGAGAGGAAGACACGCCCCTTGCGACTCTCGCGAGCTTGAGTGACTCCTGAACGACGATGATGTCAGCGAGCGCCCATAGCATGAGCCAATCAACCCAGGCAGCCAGGAACGCACACAGGCGTCACAGTGCCGGACCATTCTTCATCTGCACAGACCTCTCCCTTCCTTGACGACGGCCGAGGAAGGCTCGTGCACACATCATGGTGACGCTGGCTTGCGTTTGTTTGCCGCTCGCTTCCTCATCAACGACGGCTTCGACTTCCACGCGACTTCGACCGTTTTGACTCGATGACATCGGCTCATGATCAGCTGATCACCGGCCTGACATGCAGCAGACAGCGTATGCCTTGCCCGATCATCGAAAGACAGCTCTTCTGCGAGCACGACTTGGGCTTTCGCGACCCGCTGCGTCCAATCGACGGAGCTTCGTGTGCTGACGCAACCAAGACAAGATGATCTCATCACCAAGCAGCAGAACTTTCATCAGTCGCCATGCATGGCGTTCTCATCGCTTTGTCGCTGACGAGCGTGCATGCAACACAGTACGCGCTCAAGGATCGTATCGTCGGTGCCCAGTTCTACGACCGTTTCGATTGGTACACTGAAGACGATCCGACCCACGGCGCTGTACGCTACGTTACACTCAACGAATCATTGCTGCGCAACATGACAAGCGTATACAATGGCTCTTTCTATCTCGGCGTCGACGCGCACCTCCAGCCAGCACTAGGCGAGAGGGCGAGCACACGGATCAAGTCCAAAGCGAGCTATTCCGAAGCCCTGATCGTGCTCGACCTCCAACACATGCCCGCCGGACCCGGTACATGGCCCGCATTCTGGACTTCGACGGCAAATTACGATTGGCCCTATGGCGCAGAGATTGATATCATCGAGGGCACAAACGATCAAGGGCCTGCTCTGAGCTCCTTACATACCGGGCCCAATTGTACCATGCCGACAAGTGATGATGGCATGACGGGCGAGCGCACGACTTACATCGACTGCGACTCGACTTTTGTGCAGACAGGCTGCGGCGTCAGCAACACTATGCCTGCACGAGTTTCCAACGCAGTCGAACGCGATCTCAAAGACGTCTCTAGACCTGTATATACACTGGACGACAGGTCTGGAGATCCGGCAACCAGATATTCGCTGTACATGTCGTCGAGAAGGAATAGGGATCCAAGCTATGGCCCGGAGTTCAATGCAAGAGGTGGCGGCATCTGGGCAATGCAGCGCAGCCTGGAGAGCATCAAGATCTTCTACTGGCTACGCGATGACCCTGCACTCCCTGCAATCTTGCTCAGTCCTCACCGGACTACCCTCATCGATACGCTCAATTGGATACCATCTGCTTACTTTCCCCTCGATCAATGTGATCTATCACAATGGGGCGCACACGAGATCATCCTCAATACCGATCTCTGCGGCGATCTCGCAAGCGAACCGTTCAGAAGCCTGAACATTACCACCGACGACTGCCCGACGTACGTTCGCGATCATCCGGAAGCCTTACAGGATGCATACTGGTCTGTCAATGCCCTCACGATCTTCACACCACTCTTGATTGCGAAACGATAGGCAATACATCTGTAGCATTCTAATGCAGTACTGCATGCCACTCATGGTCATCCTTGCTCGCTTCGAGCTTCGTCGATGACGGATCTCAACCGGCGAAAGGCTTCGTCTGCTTCTGCTTCGGTAGAGAGACTGAAGCTGACGCGTACATAAGCCGTCTTGCCGCTGAGACCCATAAAGCCTACGCCTGGCACGCAGAGGACACCCTTCTCGACTGCTTTCTCTCTGATGAGGCTTTCACTATCTCCGTCTGATCCATCGCGGTTCAGAAGTAGCTTCGTTTGGGATCAGCATACACACAGAACGCGAGGGTGAGAACGCACTTTGATCCAGAGGAAGAGGCCGGCTTCGGGCGTGTCCCATTGTGCGACACCTTCGAGATGCTTACGCGCTAGCTTGTCAAAGACGTCACGCTTTTGTTTGTAAAACTCTGCAACGCGGGTGCAGTGCTCAATGAAGCCCTGATGTTGCCATCTTTCGACGAGCTGCAATGCTATTGCTTGGGTCAAGGATGGTACCTGTAGATTTGTCTGCAAGTTATGTCAGTCGACGCTGCTAGGAGGTGGAGGGAGCAAGGACGTACATTTGCAGTTTGGAGTTCTATCCTCTCTATGATGCTCTTGTGTCCACAGACAGACCCCAATCGGATACCAGACGACAAGATCTTGGAAACGCTATCGAAACGTAGTACACGTCCGGTCTCGCCATTGACAGATTGCTCGAGAGAGAAAAAGCTTCTAGGTTGCGGTTTGGGCCCAAAGTAGAGAAAGTAGTATGGATCGTCTTCGAGGATGAGCAGATCGTGCTTCTTTGCGATCTTGAGGATGGCCACTTTGCGATCTTCTGATAGTGTCGAGCCTGCCGGATTGCTGCCTGTGGGTATAGTGTAGAGTACCTTTGGTTTTGGCGCGTTGGGCTGATCGCGCGCAAAGCTGTCCAGCACCGATTCTAAATTGTCTGGCACGAGACCATGACCGTCGACGACGCACTCGACGAGGTTACATCGTTCGTGCCAGAGGTAATTCAGACCGCCTGGGTACGTCGGAGCTTCGACGAGGACGGTATCGCCGGGATTGATGACGGCGCCCATGGCTTTGATGAGGACGTCCTGGCTACCCGAGCCCATGCTGAAGGCCCAATCGCCCTCCTGAGGCAGCGGTACATCGTGCACGTGCGCAAGGAAGCCTTCGAACCATTTGACGAGCCGGGTGAGTCCCTTTGTCGGCCCGTATTGCAAACCCTCGTCGAGGTCTTTCCCAGATAGCGTGAGGACTTGGGATTCTTTCTGACCAGGCTGAGGCTTCAATTTGATGTCGATCTGCTCAAATGGAAACGTGTCGGGATTGGGCTTGCCCGCCAGGAGCGAAATCATGCCTGGCCGAAGTTCGAGCGGAAAGAGGCCACGTACTGACTCGAAATTTGTTAATTTGGCTTGAGTGTCATGTCAGATTAGCGATGAGACCTACTCGCTGCTGGCTTCCATGTCCCGCTTGACTCTGACAGGAAGTAACCCACGTCGATCGGCGCCATCGTGGAGGATACAGGCGGCCAGAGCACGGTTGGGCGATGCCTTATCGAGTCACGACATCGATAAAACTAAAAAAGTTCGCGTCACGGTCCACAGCGGAGTGACAATCAGCTCTGCGCTGTCGGACAGCGAAGACGGCACTCGTCAGGCATCGCCAATCACGCGTGGCTGTGTCCTCCGTGATCCTGGCCCTTCTTCTGGTCAGCTTTCGATACTCGAGTCGTGCCCACTGGCGACCACTCGCCCAGAACCGCCTCGTCATGTCTACAAGTGCTGCGCCGAGTCTTACGAGCTTCTTAGCAAGCAGCAAGCGAGACTTCCTCGCGCAACTCAAGACGCGTCAGGGGCTCGATCAGTGGACGCTCGCTACAGGCAATGAAGCAGGAGGTATGCCGCCCTTTAGATTCACCGCGTCCGGCTGACCGCGCCAGCAGATCTAGATTCCATCGCATCTGCAGTCGGCTTTGCCTACCTGGCTTCTCAGAGAGGCAGCAAGCGAAAGTATGCTGCTCTGTGCAGGACGAACGTCAGAGACCACTACCTCCGTCCGGAAAATGTCTGGGCACTCGAACAGGTCGGCTTGGATCCTGCAGAGCATCTCATCTCGCTCGAGGAGCTGCCACAACCCATAGACAGCCTCGGCGTACAATTTGCGCTCGTCGATCACAACAAACTCGGTGCAGAGTTTGGCGGCAGCGCCGTAGAAGCTATAATAGATCATCACGACGACGAAGGACTGTACAAGTCAGCTTCGCCACGTGACATACAGATACCCACCGGCTCGTGCTCCTCGCTCATTGCACGACATTTCAGAAGCGAAACGATACCCATGCAGCTGGCTGATCTGCTCATCTCTGCCATCTTGATCGACACGAACAACCTCAAACCTGCACCGGAGGGTAAAGCCGTCGGAACAGACCGCGAGGCGATGGAGCTACTCGCGCCTCTCTCTTCGCTCTCTGGAGCTGTAGCACTCCATGGTAAGGTGTTTGCGCAGTCGCTCGAAGTCAGCGCAGCGTTGAGTGATCGCAATCGGCGACTCAAAGCAGAGAAGAACAACATCAACTCACTGAGCACACGTGATCTGCTACGGCGAGACTACAAAGAGTACGAGTCGGATCAGGGCTGGCGATACGGCCTCTCGTCCAGTCCGCTCGGCCTGCACGAGTGGCTCTCGCGCGAGAATCACGGCTGGGAGAGCATGCTCGAGGATCTGCGGGCTTGGGCAGAGGAACGTCGATTGGACCTCTTTGGCGTTCTGACGTCTTTTGGCACAACAGACGAAGAGCAGAGCAAAGGCCTCGAAAAGCACGCGCGGGAAGTGCTGCTCATCTCTACCAAAGGACAAGCCGATATCGCCTTGGACGCAATGCATGAGAGTCCCGACATGCGGTTCGGTGAATGGGTCTGGAGCAGCGAGGAGGATTTCAGGAGCAAGACGAAAGATCAGCCGATCCGTGTATGGCAGCAACTCGATCTCAAAGCAACGCGAAAGCAGGTCGCGCCAGCACTCAAGCACGTTGTCGAGAACCAGCTCTCAGGACGACGAGCTTAGATTTGGTCTCGATACATTATGTTGTGCAATTTTATCAACAGGCAGATGGTCAAGCGAAGATCTCCCAAAAGAGTATTTCAGCCGGTTCGTGAGCGCTGTTCTGTACAGTGACTGTTTGACCCTGGAGGCATTCGAGAAAGGCGCCGTCGCCTTCCTTTAGGCTCGCCTTGCTTGCGTCACTGGAGAGCGTCAGAGAGCCCTTTGTTGGCGCATCGGACGTGTATTGCGTGCTTATATAGTGCACGTAGCCGCGCCTGGCTTCTCGTCGTAGCTTAAAGTCGAGCGATTGGCCCGGTGAGAGGATGGAGACATAGGTGGCCAGATCAGCATGGATGGGCGTAGGTCCCTTGGCCTCGCGCGCTTCGACGACGCCCTCGTCACTGCTCGGTCCTACGATCTGACACCATCTATCCTGCTTCTCGCTGTCTGGGAAGTGTCGCGTGTAGTAATGGGGTGACAAGCGAGACTTGTTGGGGGTTGCCCAGATCTGCAGGAAATGACAGGCCTGCTTGCCGCCGTAGTTGTACTCGCTATGCCTGATGCCCGTGCCTGCCGAAGTCATCTGGACGTCACCCTTGACCATGACTTCTTCGTTGCCCATGCTATCCTTGTGTTGCAGCTCGCCACTGACGATATAGGAATAAATCTCCGCCTCGGAGTGTGAGTGGGCAGGAAACCCTTCGCCCGCAGCCACTCTGTCCTCGTTGATGACCCGGAGAGGGCCGAAGCTCGTGAACTTGGGATCGTAGTAGCTCGCAAAGCTAAAGGTGTGAAACGTCTTGAGCCAGCCATGGTCGGCGTGTCCTCGCTCAGCAGATGGCCTGACTCTGATCTTGACTTGCTGTTGAGGTAGGTCTCCCATGCTCGATCGAGAATGTGCAAAGACAATGGCCGAGGGCGATGTGAGAGTGCTCGAGAGCGAGCGTCGCCAGAGTGCTGCCAATGCCAGCGTACAGATGATCGTGAACGCAAGGCGGCCGCTTATGGACTTGGTCGTCCACGCTATGCTGACTGTTGTATGGTCCGAGGGGAGGGAAGGACGGGCCCCACGTCGAGGTTTAAAGTGATAGCGCCTGATGACTAACAAGCCCAGCGAGGTCGCGACTTTCGAGCTTTCGACGCTTCAAAGTTCGATCGACGGCTGGGACGACCGACTGATGCGACTGATCCGCACTGCCTTCGATCCATCCAGGAGAATGACGACCGCGGCCAAAGTGACGTACGCGACCGAACGAGCGACCGAGCTAGCAGAGAATCTCGATGCCGTCAAACGTGAGATCGCGCAAGCTTGCTCATCTGCACAACGCACCCAAGAGGCGAGCCTGACTTGCTCGATCAGGCGTAAGCCTCCATGCTCACGATCACGTGCACACAGCCGAGACTGGTCGTGGTCTCAAAGCTCAAGCCGCCCAGCGATATCTTAGCATTACACGAAAAGACGTCACATCTCCATTTCGGCGAGAACTACGTCCAGGAACTCGTCGACAAGGCCAGCATAGTCAGTGCGACGGTTGCATAGTGCTTTGCAACACGCTTATGGTCGAGTTGCAGTTGCCTGCGAGCATCCGTTGGCGATTCATCGGATCACTACAGAGCAACAAGTGCAAGGTCCTCGCTGGTATGGCGACCGTGCCTTTCTGCCCCTTTCGAAGCTGACACGCTTATCCAAGCAATACCCAATCTCGCTGCCGTGGAAACGCTCGACAGCGTCAAGAAGGCTGATCTCTTCGAACGAGCCTTGTCAGGAGAGAGCGACGATCGCAAGCTTGCAGTCTATCTGCAAGTCAACACGTCCGGTGAGGAAAGCAAGTCGGGTTTGCCAATTCTGGCCGACAGGAATGCCGACGGCGAGCTCGCCCATCTCGCCCTGCATGTCCTCGACCACTGTCCTCATCTCGAGCTTCAGGGATTGATGACCATTGGTGCATACGACAATTCCAACGCGCCGCCCGGCAGCCCAGAGAATGCCGACTTTCGCTCTCTGCGCGAATGTCGTGATGCTTTGAAGGAGAAGCTAGGCGACAGGCTCCCGTCGCTCGAGCTGTCGATGGGCATGTCTAGCGATTTTGCAGATGCTATTCGAAGCGGCTCTGATAACATCCGCGTTGGCTCCAAGCTGATGGGGTCCAGGCCATCAAAGGCAGAAGCAAAGGAAGCCAGAGAGCAGCAAAAAGTCTCAGCCTAGCCAGAGTTGTGACCAGCGATGCAACCGTCGCCAGCTCTCAGCAGTGGAGTCGGCAGCCGCAAACGCCGCTCGGATGGCCATGGGCCTCGCCGCGGTCTGAAATGCGCGGCCTCCTGCGTTCCCTGACGGTGATCTTCGCCGACCGATCACAGGTGCCCCCACGCCGAATGCGACCCTTGTCCGAAATAGCACGGCCTCTTCCTCGGGTGGACATGGGCAAACCACTCGCCCGTTTGCACTAGCAAGCATAGACAGTGGCAACAATCATCCCGCCATGTCCGATTTCTCATCGTTCCATGGTCACAAGTCCGGTAGAAATTCGCCGATCCGTTTGTTCGCGCTGTCTCCCAGCGGGGAGCGCGTTGTCAGCGCTGGACAGTCTTAGCTAAGGGCAAACTCTAAAGTCGACGCGGCGACTGTAGAAGTACGCAGCTCAGACAAGAGCTTCCGATTTTTCGTTTCCACTCCTCGTAAGCTCATCAGGATCTAGATCCGGCAAGCATGTCAGACGCAGCGGCGGCTGAGCGCGTCAGCCTACATAGCATCAGGCACGGATTCAGAGGTTAAATTACAAATCGCTTGCTTGCTGGCAGCTACTGCAGCTCCTTACGTGCGAAAACCCGGAGCTTAGCTCAGGCGCCGAAGACAACTTCGTCCTCGGCGCCTCTGCGACCGGTAACCTTCCTTGCCGCGGCAAGTCTGCGCCGGGTCGTCGAGATCAATTCGCCCTCTTGCTTGTTGTCAGGCTTCCGGCGGCGATCGTGGCTCTGTACAGAAGTTGAGGCTCCTCAAGCCTCGGTCTGACACGTCAGATCAAGGCGACACGCATTGGGCACAGCTCGCTCCTGCGCGACTGCACAACGCCTGCCCGCCTCGAAGCGCGCGAATTTGTCGAGGCCATCTGTCATTCCTCTTCGAAAGTACAGCGAGGAAGCATCTTTGGGCAGTACACGACGCTCCTTAGATCGCGCAAGCATCTGTGTTAAGTGCAAGAGTATCTCAGCAGCCCAAGCAGACTTTTTCAAGCCGTAATCGCAAGTAGCGACAGGTCCAAATAGCAGCAATCGACCGCCCGTCAGCATCCGATCCGATCGCAGACAATCTGTACCCAGTATCTGTTCTGTCAGCGACGACAGGCATCAGTCTATGCATAGCTGGCTAGCACCTCTCTGACCGCGAAGTGATTGCAGTCTGTCGACCTAAGCACAAGGCCGTTTTAGAGGATAGATCATCAGCCACAACAAACGGATCATGTCCGGAGGCAATACACTGCCGTACATGCCAGCAGGCCTCGTTGGCGCTACGAGCTCTTCTGCGTCAGCCCCTGGCTCCCAGCGGCTGTCGCTGCGCAGCGGCTTGCCTTCGCCTGTCACCGCAACGACCGGTCAACAAAGTCATCAAGCCACAACAAGCTCTGCCGGACGTCCTGCCGTCTTCTCCCTCGATGACGAACCGAACCCGGGCGCATCCTTCGCTACGCCTTCTTCTCGATCGAGCATACCCAAGCGTGTTGGCGTCTGCAAGTTCTTCAACACACAGAAAGGCTTTGGCTTCATCAATGACTCTCGTCCCGAGGAGCTTGGCGGTCAAGAGGGTGCGCGGCTTTGAGCTGCCTTTGGTGCTCAGCTGATTCTCTAGCTCGTTCTCAACAGTCTTTGTCCACTATACGGCCATTCACGGCAAGGGCGGCTTCAAATCCTTGGCAGAAGTACGTTGCATGTTGAGAGTTAGGTCCTACTGCGCTGACTTCGATGCACAGGGCGAGGAGGTCGAATACGAGGTCAACGCAGGTCAAAAGGGCTTCACAGCAGCCAATGTTACCGGCCCCGGCGGTCGCCCTGTTCTGGGAGACCAGAAGCCGAAGCTCAGGTGAGTGCTTTCGTCTGGCTGGTCGTGATTCCGAAGCTTATCACGATCGGCCTCGCACAGACCTCAGCACATCTTCCCTGCCCCCTATGGCGCACTAGGCATCGGCTATGGCGATCCCTACTTCCAGGTCGCTCAGATGTATGGCCAGCCGGCCCCATACGGACAACAGTACATGTTCTTGCCCACACCGGCCGGTCAGCTGTCATTGGCGCAGCAGCAGCAACAGCTTTTGCTACAGCAGGCCAATCAGCTCAACTCCCTCGCTCAGCTGCAGCAACAGCAGCAACAGCAGCAGGCACCCTACAATACCCGCTTGCTTGCTACGCCAATCGGTGCACGTACGCCAGATCCTCTGGCAGGCCAGAGCTCGGCTACACTCGATGCATTCAACAATCCAGGCTATAATTCGGCTACGCTTGCAGACTTCAACAATCTAGCCTCGATGTACGGCGGCGTGGCCGGCTTGCCCAACCGTCAAATGCGTCCTGCCGAATTTGCTGGCTCGCCCATCGATGCTGCCGTCGGCTCACACATACGCGCGGGCAGCTCAAGCTTGGCCGTCGGTAGCTCTGCGCCTGCAGCTAGCAGTCCCATTGGCGCATCTCGACCCGGTCAGCCTGGATCTGGCGCGAATCGCAATGTAGGCGCACCCGGCAGCCAGCAGCAGCAGCAGCAGCAGCAGCAACAGCAGCAGCAGCTTCTGTTCGGTACACCTTCGCTCTTCCCGTCACCCTCTGGCGCACCCGCAAAGTCGCCAGCGTTCCGTTGATACACATGTGTACGACTACCCAAAACGAGCCGAGAGAGCTCGAAAGCCCTCATCCGTCGCAACCCGTAGATCAGCCGTAATGACGTTCGACGAGAATCTTTTACTCGCAATCGCATCTTTTACGCAAGATACCTAGTCTTGTAACTGTACTGCATAGAACGCGGAACTTGATCTTCACCCGACATGCTGACTGAACACGCACTCACATTTGCTTTGATGGGAACAACAACGAGGTAGCATGACATCCGCTTGGAGTGTTAAGGTGCCAGTCAGGGCTCTGGCGAAGGTGAGACAACGAACGCATTGCTGCGTGTCAATCGGCGTGATCTCGGCTGAGCGTCGAGCGATGAGCGAGCGGATCGAGTCGCAATTGTCTCGGTGTCGGCAGCGGGCTTCGTCGTCTCTGCCTCGGTTGAGGCATGAGCGCTGGGTTCTGATGAGGGTTCGGGAATCGTAGACGGGCCTGTTGCGGTCGAGGTGAAGTCATTGGCATTCTTCGAACCAGATGCAGCATTGGCAACCTCGCTCGCTGGTGTCTCTCGCCAGATGTGATTGAACTCTCGATTGTGAGCGTCCCTGGCCGTGGTGTCCTCGCCATAGTTGACCCACTGACGCGTGCAGAAGCGACCCTCTGTGCAATCAGGTCGAGCTAGCTCGCCGGCTGCCCTTGTCTCGTTAGACTGAGACATCTCAAAGGAAAGCGCTCAGACTGACCAGGAAGAAAGCGGATACGTTCGACGATCCACCAGTCGAAGAGACAGTCGTCCAGCAAGATGCGACGGCAAGGTTCGCAGACGACTTTGTCGACCGTCATGATGGGCGGGAGATTGTAATCACGCTGCAGAGCGTCACTGAGGCCGAGACCTTCCTTTCCGCGATCTCGGTGCACGTTGAGGATCTTGTACAAGAGGGGCGTGTACAAGTCGCGCGAGCCGGCAAATTGTTCGGCGCAATAGTTGCGAAGTAGACTGGCCTCATAAGGATTGAGAATGCGCGTGGAAGCGGGCGTGAACTCTGGTACGCCATAGGAGGAAGGCAGTGGATCAGCTGCACGGTCGTACAGTGAGCTCGCTACGGTCCGGTGGGTTGATCGACCCACCTGTCATGTCATCGAGACGACGTGGTTGCTCGTAAGCAGCGGGACAGTCTTGGTATGCGCCACACCAGGTCTCCTTGCAGATGGTGCAACGCCAACGGTCATTCGTTTCCTGGTCGTCACGATCAGGAAAATGATCTCCGCAGCCTTCTCGCGATTGTCAGCAAGAAAGGAAGCGAAGACCGTGCTCGCGCTTGCCTGCACAGGTGAGATGATCCGGAATGGGATCGCCATGATAATAGCGACGCTGATAGGGCAGGAGCTGGCGAGGATTGGGAATCGGTCGTGCACAGGTGTAGCCTGAGCGATTCGTATTGCCCGGAGCACAGCAAGGGCAAGGGCTGTGTGATCGTCTCGTGAGCGTGCTGCGCATGTTTGGCAGAGTGAGCTCACAAGACGAGGTCTTCATCCATGTCTGACTCATCGTCTTCATCTCGCGCCATCGTGGCAAAGATCTGTCGGTCAGACAAGCATCAACCAGCGTTCAGCGCCTCGCAAGTACAAAGCTGGCTCACTCGTTCGCCACGCTTGTAGATGGCTTTGGCTTGATCTCGCTCGCCGGTCGGGCGAGCTTTGGTAGGATCATACTCGATGAGTGCCTCGGTGAGCTGGTCTGCCATGCGAGACTCGGTGGCATGGGAGACATCGATGCGGCATTGAGGACAGGTAGCATGTCTGCTCGACTGGACTATCGGCGCCATAGCGGAGCGCAGAGCGTATTTGACTCACCCGAGCAGCCATGGCTTGAGACAAGCGCCGCAGAAGGTGTGCAGACATGGCATGAGCGACACTGCGTCAATGTAGCTGCCTTGGCACACGCCTACGACGGCCAGCACGTCAGACATGGCAAAAGTACAGCTGTGCAGCAGCCAGTGACTTGCCGCAGAGGAGTGAATCTTCGAGTGCGGTGATCAGTCGCTCCAGCTTGAGCTTGCGCTGCTCCTGTTCCTTGCGCTCTTCCTCCTCCCGACCGCCATCACCTTCACGGCTAGCCCGAGGTCGTTTGCGGCCTCTCTTGCCGACCTGACCGTCCGAGCCCATCCCTGGAGCGCTGTCGTCAGTCTTCATCAAGCATCAGCACGCTCGACGAACTCAGCCTCTGTCGTCCAGGCACAAGCGAGCTTATCGTCGGCCTGGCGCTGTCGTCGTCGACTGGCGATTTCCGACGCGAAACGTTAAAGTCTGTCGAGCAAGCAAGCCAGCAGGCCCCTCACGAGCCTCCACAGTCGATGACATCAGCCTACAATGACGCCATAGATCGCATAGCAGCCTTTGCCAAGCGCAGACACTGTGAGCTCGCCTCTCTGCCCACTATACCGCATCGAGACGAACTTGACCGGGCACTCTCTGGCTTGCTACGCAATGTCCCAATTGGGCCTGAGCCTCTCTCGGAAACGTTGGACTGCTTGCTCGGAAGTATTGTACCTGCACTCGCTCAAGGTCAAGCTGGACCGCGCTATTTTGGCTTTGTCACCGGTGGAACGACGGATGCAGCTCAGCTCGCCGACTTTCTCACCACCTTGCTCGACACCAATGCCGCAGTCAATCTGCCAGGCGCGAGCATTGCCACCTATGTAGAGGATCTGGCGCTGCGCTATGTGCTTCAGATGGTCGGACTGCCGCCTGACGTCTACCAAGGCATCCTCACAACGGGCGCAACATCGGCTAATATCCTCGGACTGGGCTGCGGACGCAACACGGTCATTCGACGCGTCAGAGCGAGCGAGGGTGAGTCAGACTGGGATGTATCACTTGACGGCCTCGGGGGTGTCGATGTCGATGTATTCTGTGCTGGCGCGCATGTGTCTGTACTCAAAGCGGCAGGCGTGCTCGGTATAGGTCGACGAAACTGTCACGATCTCACAAAAGACGGCACACCGGCTGATTTCGATCGCGCCAAACTCGAGACCAGGCTGAGAGAGAATGTCGAACGTCGAAGAGGAAGCATCGTCGTAGCCTCGGCCGGCGAGGTCAATACTGGCGCGTTCACAGACTTGTCGGGCTTATCCGAACTATGCCAAATGTACGGAGCTTGGTTCCACGTTGATGCAGCGTTCGGCTATCTAGCTTTGCTCCATCCTCTCTTCAAGCATCATCTTCGCGGGTTCAGCGATGCAGACTCTATCACGACAGATGCACACAAGCAGTTCAACGTGCCTTACGACTGTGGCGTGTTCTTCACCCGATCTAAGCGCATCCTGCTCGATCTCTGCGCTTCCGGACCGGCGGCGTATCTAGATGATATGCACATGACTTGCCACCCGATAGATGAGGATGAGACACTTATGGTGGCCAGAGCATTGTCTGCCAAACTGCCGTCGCCTCTCAATCTTGGCCTCGAGAACAGTCGGCGCTGTCGTGCTCTGCCGCTTTTTGCCTCCTTGACCTCTCTGGGTGTGCTTGGATACAGCGAGCTCGTCGAACGCCAGTGCGGCTTCGCCGCAGCAGTTGCCCATATGATCCGATCCGATTTCGCTAAAGAGCTTTACCTCATCAATAGCGATCAGGACATGTACATCATCGTGCTCTTCGCGCCTGCACGCACCTGCACAAATCCTCGGTACAGAGGCAAAGAGGGTAGCGGCAACTTCACCGACGACATCAATGCCACCCGAAAGCTCTACCTGACAAAGACAAACTGGAGAGGCACTCCGGCAATCAGATTGGCAGTCTCAAATTGGGCAACTAGCATGTCCGATCTCACCATCGTGCGACAAGTCTTCGAAAAGCTGTTGCTATAATCTAGATGCATATAGATGTATGAACATGCCTGAGAGAAAGTCCATCGTGAGATGCTGGCGCGTGCGCGCACAAGATAGACAAATGCCTTCTCTACCAGCTCTCCCATTGGTGGTTGGCGAGAGAAAGCAATCGATTGAAGCACTCGTCTCGTCGCTTGATAGCGGTCAGTAGCTTCGAGTTGCCTTGCTTATCGATGATGGCTAGACCATCGACAATGTCGAGATTGAGTGCATAAGACACTACGAGCTTGCTCTTCCAGCCAAGACCTCCGACTTTCTTGAGCTCCTGGATATCTGCGATGGGCAAGGTCCAGATGGCTTCTGCGCCAAGCGTAAACGTGTTGTAGAATGCGATGCAAGGTGGTGTAGAGGTTGTCTGTACATTGAGATGGCCGCGCTTGCCATGCAGACGTGCTTGGTAATAGGATGGCCCGTCGACGGGCTCGTCCATCGAGCTGAACAAGACACCGATCCTCCTCTTCGAGCTTTCCGAGCCTACAGTAGCCTTGACGCGATCTGCACCGAGGGCAGCGCCGACACCCGCTCGCGTGCTAGACTTGATAAAGCTGACGAGCTTGGATTGCTTCTTGGGTTTTGCGTCTGCTTTCTTATCTTGCTCGGTCTTCTCCTTGCCTTCTGGCGAATCGTGATCGAGTACTGCGCCTTTCTCATCGACGACTGGCGCAGGTGGTGGCACACCGCCGGCAGTGCCAGGAGGGGGTGGCAAAGGTGCTCTGTTACGCTCGGCGACGCGTAGCAGGGTGAGTGTCAATTGAGCATTGGTAGGTACGCCCTTGAGCAGCGAGTGACGGAGCTCGAGATACTTGGGCCAGTCTGGCACGCGCTCATTGAGTTCGTGCACACCACGGTCGATGGCGGGCTGGCCGAAGAAGGCAAAGCCGATGCCGAAAGTGGCCATTCGTACAGCGAGAGCCGAGGTCAGCAGGAAGCTCACGACTAGAATCGGCAGAAGAGCGGCTGCAAATTTGAGCCTGGCGGTATGCTGAGGGAACGGTTTGGTCGGCGAAAGAGCGCTGCTCGACGTCAGTACGTACTGCGGCAAGGTGGAAGAGACATACTTTGCAAATCGCTCCCAGCCGTCTGCAATATCACCGATAGCGTGCATGATGGGTCGCATCTTGGTCCACATAGCTTCTTGCACGGGTTCTTTCGTCTTATCGCTCTTCTTCGAGACTTTGTCGCCTTGCGCAATCTTCTTTGCATCTGTTGCGGCAGTCACATCGGTAATGTCTGGCAAAGTGTCTGGCTTCGCTTTCGGAGACTTTGAAGAGGTACTGGACGTGTCATCCATCTCTGCGACATGATCTTCCTGCGAGGCCGCGCCTTTGCCCACGGCAGATCCAACGGCAATAGCAGCAAACGAGTTGACGAAATTCGAGGCTTCTTGCTCGACCGCTTCGCCTTTGAATTCTTCGCTCGCGCCAGTCAGCGAGTCTTTTGAGCCAAGTTCGCCAGAGGCTGTCTGCTTGCGTTTGCCGGTAGATGCGTCAATGAGAGCCAGAGGTGCTGGCGGGAACAGGTATACACGCGCTGGTGGATGGACGATGAGGAGCAGCAACAGACATACAAAGAGAGGTCCAAGCTTTCCGAAGATCCAGGCAAAGGTGTAGGCTACGGCGAACGCAGTCGTCCTCCTCGGCTCTTGCCACGAGCGCAACCTTGCGATCTGTTTTGCAAAGGCTGTCATTCCAACAATCTGAGATCTTGCGTGAGATGATGGATGCAAGTCCGAGTTGAGGGACATACGACGGTCATGTAGAGACGCTCGATGGTCGCGCGTAGCTTGTCAGGCGAGAACTCCTCCTCGTCTGCGATATTGAGGTCAAGGCCTTGCATGGGGGGTGCCTCGAGCGCCTTGACGTGGTACATCCTAGTACTTCTGTCAGCACCGGTCGAGGTGTACAATGGAGCCAACACACTGCTTGTTGAAACGACGAAGCAAGATCCAGAGCTGGTCATTGCTGACGCCTGCGAGAGTCTTGAGCGCCAAGATCCTACAGTCGAAGCCAGCAAACCTTGTACAAGCGGAGCCGGAGCATCGACGTCAGGTTCCCAGCCCAGATCCTCGACGGGATCCGTCTTGGCAGCGATGACATCTTTCTCATCCTTGCCCTCTTGCGCTCGCTTCTCGGCCAGGTCGACATGCTCGTGGTCTTGCGATGCTCGTTTGGCATTGATGCCTTCTATGGAGGTCTTGATAGGCGCCGCTAGTCCGTCAGAATCTGCATGCTGTGAAATGTCCTGCTTGGGGGCGGTGGGCGCAGTCGGATGAGATTGGTCTGCCACCTGGGCCAGCGCTGCTAGTTGCGCAGACTCGCCAGGCACGTCATCTACATCCTTGACTCCGATAGCTCGCGCAAGCTTGATGTCACCAGGTTCGCCTGACTCGTGGCGGTCCATCGTCTCGGCTGGTGTACTCCAATCACGGCGCGCGTAGCAAAAGAGTCGACGAGTGTTCGACTATGACGTAATTGATTGTTCTTATCCTGGCGCGCCTTTGCGCATTGCACTCCATTCCCCTCCTCTGCGACGCTCTTCTTGTTTGGTACCTGGCGGTGCAAATGTCTCATCGAATCTCAGCAACCACTTTGCCCTATCTACCTCCGCGCCAACAGTACCCTTGCTCGCCATGGCCAAGCTCACTCTCATCGGCAGCCTGACGATTGCGAGCTGCTTCTTACCGGTGTATGGCCGGCTGAACCGACATGCTGAGCACCACAAAGCGCTGCAGCATCGCTCAGGCGTGCTCGACATACCCCTGCAAAAGCATTTCGATCCCCTCACGCTCGCTCAGAGGTGCGCCTCGAGGCAACAACTTGCACCTCTGACACGGGCTCATGCATGTGACAAGCTAGACAAGAGCACAGAGCGAATCGCCTTGCTATGTTCAGCACGACCATGTCCACCATCTCAGCGCCTTTGCAAAGCACTGACTTTTCGTACTACTCAATTCAAATGGTATCCCAACGTTTGCCCACCTGCGCTCAGACTGACGAGGCTGGATAGACGACCGGTACGAATCAGGGCGGCTCTCCTCAGACCTGGTCGCTCGTGGTTGATTCTGGATCGTGCGTCGCTTCATATTACCCATCGTTTGTGATACTTGAATGATCGCCCACAGTCCGGTCACGTTCATTGGCGCCAATGCAAAGAACGTCTACAAGCCCTCGCCCGCAGCAAAGACGGGCTTGCACGACTTTGTGGAGAATTTCGGCGACGGAACAGTCAGCGTGGCCGGTCAGCCCATCTTGGATCAGCCAATCCGATCTTGATCTTGATCTTGATGCAAAACAGGCTCGATGGCTCGCGACTGGAGTCAGATATCACCACAGCTCAACCTACTTTCTGGGTTTGCCGTAGTCGATGCGACAAGGTCGACCACTTTTGAGCAAGAAGTCGAGACAATGGCAAGTCTGCCCTTCGTGGTGCACAGCTGCGCTCAGACTTGCGCAGGACGGCATCTTCGCTCTTGCTCCTCACGAACTGCTCTCGATTGCACTCAAGAATGACACATTTCAGTCTTACATCGCAGGGCTCAAGGATGCCCATCTCATCCCAAAAGGATTGATGGCAATTGATTTGCGTCGCTCTACGAGCCAAAACGAATTGACGGGCAAGATGATCTTTGGAGGCTATGACACAACTGCTCTCTCGGCGCCGCTCATCTGGTCCGCCCGTCAAGACATTGCATCGAACCCCTATTGGGGCCTGAATATCGCGATACCTCAGCTGGGCCTCGCTCTCGATTCTGCAGACGGTCCTGCTCTCGTGTAGGTGACGGCTTCTTTTAGACACAGCAAGCTCAGGGTGGCATACAGAGACACGGGTACATCGCTTGCCTATATACCCGATGCGGCCTATCAGCGCTTCATTGGCTCCATCCCCGGTGCAGTCGATGATGCCACATCTGGCTCGGTTAAGATGCCACTCAACGCAGTCGTACCCGATCTGACCATCAAAGTGGGTTCTACACGCTTTTTGCGATGGACGGTTGACGCCTGGCCAGCTCGTTAATGGTAGCGTCGTCATTCCGGGCGCCCTACAGGTCATACCCGAAATGGAGAGGGACTTGCTAGGCTACTCGAAAGACTTCAAGTATTCGTGCGTGGGTGCGAGTGCTATAATCTCCTGGTTGACACGTAACAAACAGTATTTGGGCAAATGGACAAGGGGGTTCAGGCTCAATCGTATTGGGCATGAAAGCACTCGAGGCTGTCAGTTGCTTCCACCACCCAATGCTTTGAGCTGAGATGGAGCTACAGCTCTATCTTGTCTTCGACTGGGACGGAGGCCAGATCGGGCTTGCGCAGAAGAAGCTTTGATTCGTCCTGATATCTAATCATACTGTTCGCATCGCTTCCGATGGTGCTTGCGGGCAATGCACACATTCACATGCGCACAAGTCATGCAACCATGATGTAAGGACGCAAGGTTGCACCGACATCAAGTTGCATGCAGCCTGATGATGCGCACTATGAACTCTCCTTGTAAGCGAAGCCAATGCGGTCATAGACGCGATCAAAGACGACCGAGCTGTGGCAGAGTCAGTCGACATCTGTATACTTCAGATGAAGCCTGGCAACGCACAACTGTTCGATGAAGCGGGCACCCAGGGTGTAGCTGCCTTCAGAAGTCGATCCGCCGTCTGACCAAATCGACCAATCACGGTTGCGGTCAAGGCCAAGTCCGACGAGCTCGTATTCGGGTAGGAGCTGGGCTTCCGAGCCAAGTGCAAACGTATGCCCGGCGATCTGACATGGGGGTAAGATCAGCTATGTGTCGACCGACTTCCAGCCATTCGACTCACTTGGAAGTGCAGGACAGGCACCTGTGCGCCCTTGGGAACAGAGATCATACCAAGTTTTTCATCGATGACGGCGCCCTTGACAGTTCGAGCCCATGCCCTGAATGCAGACGTCTCGAGATAGCATAGCGTCGTGCCGGTGTCTTTCAACCGAGAAATCCCGTTGAGCATCAATGGACATCCTGACTTATCAGCAACATACCGACGTGCGCAATGGCGCCTGAAATACTGGAATGCGAGACGAGCAGACTTGGTATGCCGATGTGTACGCCCCAGTACGGGTATCCGCCAATGTCGACGCGAGGTGAGAAGACGTAGCTGCAGGGATGCCATCAGTCTGTGTCTGCTCGAGCGTATGCTTTCACCGGCCTGCCAAAATTATGCGATTTGTCGTAGCCCCCAAAGATGACTTCTCCGGAGACTTGGTTGGCAGCAGCAGCGCGCCACAGCAGAACGGTAACGATGTTGGCGTCGATGATCTTGTTCTTGACAAGCTCATCAGGATAGGTGACCCATCCCTTGCCAAGCTGTAGCTGAAGCATCGACGAGGGTGCCAGACCCTGAAATGAACATTAGCGATGTACAGGCTGAAATTGGGACGACTCACCAAGATGCCATCGGCGCGAGTGGCAGCCCAAAGCGATTTGGAGCTGGCGACACTAGCTGCACCAAAATGAGCTCGTACGCCCATACCGGGCACGAGCTCTGTATTGTCGAGCGTCATGATGCCGGTCGAGGACACCGATCCATCGCCATATGAGGCCGTGTAATGCGCGAGTCCGACCACGGCACTGTGACCGGGTCGATAAGCCTTTGCGGGGTTGATGCCGAGCAAGAGTAGCGCGCTGCCGGAATCTACAACGACGCTGAATGTCTGAGCAGACGCGCCGGAGCCGGTTGTGATATCGGCAGTGAAGAACGACCACCTGTGCGAGCTGATGTGTACGCCGGCCGCATCAGCAGCACGGGTCGCGAGAGAGCGCCGAACGCTGATCGATCGATCAGCTCATTGATGTTCATTCGATGATCGCAAACGGACCCGCGGCTGCCAATAGGTCGTACGACATGCGTCAACTTGACTGAAACAGTGCCAGCGCGTTTGGCATGCTCACGATGGCCTCCGTCGCGCTTGACATGATGTTGAAAGCGAGTGTGGTCGTCGGACAGGCTCGCTACCACGTACGAGGCCGCACAAGCAAGCACGATAGCCGTCGTCCTCATGTCTCGCTGCGGTAGAGAGGGCGGCGAGCGTCACGAGGAGCGGTTTGCGGGAGGTCTCTTGATACCATCCGGTGAGACATGTATGAGCAGTTGCTAGCTCGGAGTCAAGGCAGTGTTGCTGAGGTAGAGGTATGTATTGCGTTGCCGAGCCTCGACAGGAGGCCCGCCCGGCACAGCGGACGAGCGCTGAGCGCTGAAGCAGCGAGACCACACGACGACGCGCTAGGATCGATCGATAGGCTCCCCAGTGGGGCAAGGTCGACAAGGCCATGGCATGACTACGATTGCTCATGCGCAATGTCAGTCTGACTTCTCTTCATGCCGCTCAGCGCTTGCAAAGAATGAGTGTGGTGGCTGTCATCGGGACGACTGGCGTCGGCAAGTCGCAACTCGCCGTCGAGCTTGCGCAACGACTCGAAGCAGCAGAGATTATCAATTGCGACGCCATGCAGCTTTATGCTGGCCTTCCTCTGCTCACGAATAAAGCCACGCGAGCCGAGCAAGGCGGCATCAAGCATCACCTGCTCGGAGTGTGCGATCCGATGGCGCCAAAAGCGAACGAGTGGGATGTCAAGGATTACGTGCATGAGGCCACAAAGGTGGTCTCACAGCTCCACGACCAGCGTAAGACGCCTATACTTGTCGGTGGCACGACCTACTATCTTCAAAATCTGCTCTTCGCCGGTGGTCTTGCGCCTACCGCTTACGGCGGCATCTCCGGCGTTCGCGCACGATCAAAATGGCCGCCCATCTCGTCTGACAGAATAGACACGTCCGCATTCGCCGATGCGTCGCTCGCGGCTGATATACAGTCACTACCGAGTGACGAGCATGCCTTGCTCGCCATTTTGCCCGGTCTACCTCCCCTAAGCAGTCCTTTTTCATTTCCACCAGATTTTCCGGTACATCTCTTGCCGGAGCCATATCGCAAAGATTCGCTCAAGCTAGCCAACATGCTCAATGAGATCCTGCTCAAGCTAGATCCTGTCTCTGGTAACAAATGGCCGAAGAACGACGTCCGCAAGAATCGTCGCGCGCTCGAAATTTGTTTGGAAACCGGACTGCGGACTAGCGATGTGTACGCAATGCAGAAGCGTGAAACAGCCGCGGAGCTTCAGCCGTCCGGAGGTACCGCCAAGTGAGCAGCACTCACGTCTCTCGTATCTGGCTGAGAATTACGTAGGTATCGCAGCCTCATCTTATGGCTCTATTCTGAGCCCAAGGAGCTCGAGGCAAGACTGCTTGCGCGCGCCAACAAGATGGTTCAGGTATGCGCGCCTGTTCGTAGGCCTCCCTTCGCTCACAACGCGTCTCAGTCTGGGCTGCTCGGCGAGGTTGCTACCTTGAGACGAGCATTCGATCGCGCCGCATATCGACCATCTCTTGCAGCTATATCTAGTATACTGCGCGACGTCATCTCTCTGCGCTGGCAGTCTGCCTACAGGCGCTCAGAGATGTCCATACGAAGTCTCCTAGGCTTGTCCGTAGCGCCTGTCTCGATCGATTACAGCCGCGGCATTGCACAGAGCCTTGGCTTCAGGCCTTTCGATACTTACCTCAATCTCTTGCCTGGGCATACGGACGAGAAAGCGCTGGCGAAAGCAAATGAGCAGATGTTCTTCGGCACACGTCAGTATGCCCGGCGCCAGGTCAAGTGGATACGCAAGCAGCTTCTGCCGCTGATCGATCGAAATCAAGCGGCTCCAGACCGCGGCCATGACACCTTGATCTATGTCCTTGATGCCACAGGTGCGCATGGACTCGGAACTCACGAAATCCGCTCATGGTCGTCTCAGATCTTTCACAGTGGCAAGAGCGCGTCGCAGATCCAGCCATCGCGCTCACAAGAGGTATGCAATATCGTCTCCACATTGAACGAGCTAACAGATCGGACAGCTTTCCTGGACGAGCGCAACATGCCCAAGACAGATGAAGTTTCGTCGCGGGCGGGAGCGCTACTCGCACAGGCCGATCGAGCGCATGCGCCGTGAGGCGCTTGTCAAGCCTTGCCGTTCGGCTTCCGGGGATTCTTCTTGGCAAGCCGCTCACGAGTCTTTGCGATCAGCTCCTCGTCTTCTGCGTCATTGAACGTCACATCGCCATCCTCGGCATCGGACAGCTCGATGTCCGTGACACCGTCATCTTCCTCGCGCACTGCTGGCTTCTTGGAAGGTTTCGCTGGCTTGCCGACCTTGATCTTGGCAACAAAGAAGCCGTCCACTGCAAGTTCGTAGTCAGCTCGTGAATACATCATCACGACGGGCAAGACGCACTATTCTGCACATGCGGATAGAAGCGCCGCGTCAAAGCTAAGCTATTGTCGAAATGCTTGCCTTTGAAGCTCGTGTGTCCTTCTTTGCCGAATTCTAGCCCGGTCTCGACGAGCTTGACGTGTGCTCGTTTGCGCAGAGCGTAATCGACGACAGACTCGTTCTCGTCGACGGTGACGGAGCAGGTCGAGTAGACAATGTAGCCCCCTGTGGCCGAGTGAGGCGAGACAGAATCGATTGCAGACAGGATGAGCTGTTTCTGGAGATGAGTGAGCAGGATGAAGTCTCTTGCAGACTGCGCGGGCATGAGCCATAGTTGCTTGATAAGTCACGACGACTCACCTTGTTGACCTTGACGCTGGGATCCTTGCTGATGACGCCTGTACCAGAGCACGGAGCGTCGAGCAGCACGCGATCAAATCCGCCCATCACCTTCGGGAACTCCCTGCCGTCGTGATTACAAATGATGACGTTCTTACAGCCCATTCGAGCGACGTTGCCGGCCAGCGACTTTGTACGGTGTTTGTTCGAGTCATTTGCAAAGACGACGCCGGTGTTTTGCAGCATGGCAGCTAGGAAGGTCGTCTTGCCTCCTGGCGCTGCCGACATATCGAGCACGCGCTCGTTCGGCTGAGGAGCAAGTGCCATGACAGGCAAGAAAGAAGATGCTGCTTGGAGTATATAATGGCCTGCGAGATATTCTGGCGTCGCGCCGATAGGCACAGGGCTCTCAAAGACTTGCAGACCGACTTTTGTCCACTTGCCGATCGGCTCGAGGTTGACGCCTCGATTAATCAGCGACTGTGCGAGCTCTCTCCGTCTCGTCTTGAGCGTGTTTGCTCTGATCGTGATGGGACGGGGCGTATCGGAGGCATCTAAGAATGTGATCGCCTGGGATACGCGATCAGCCTTATTCGAATTGTGCGCTGGAAGCTTACCTCGTCTATCGGGAAGAGCTCTACAAGCTTCTCTGCGAGATAGCGGTTGTAGCCGTAGTACGCACACACATCGTTGATAAAGGCATCGTACACGTCTGCTCGTGACTTACCAGTCTTTGGGCCCAGCGCTTTCCAGTTTGACAAGGCCCTCGCGCCTGCCTGGAGTCTGACAGACACGGCTTGTACATCCGGTATATTCGCTGTCGCGCCGTCAAGAGCCAAATGCAGCGCGAGATCGTCTTCTTCTTCTTCTTCTTCTTCTTCGCCTTCTTCTCCACCTGCAGCCTCCTCTCTGAATGCATCATCCGATTCTTCCTCCACCTCTTCATCACCGTCTTCTGCACCGTTCGTCAGAGTGTCGTCCTCTTCCGAGGTGATACCAGACTGTGCATCATCGCCGCTAGCCAACGCAGTCTTGGCGGACACAAATGTCTGATTGCCGTCTTCCTCTACGTCATTGTCCGTCTCTTCGTCCTCGTCGGAAGCGTCAAGCTCTCCGATGCCCTCGAAACCCTCGTCCTCATCAGAGGCCTCCTCAAGCTGGCCCAGCACGGACGATGAGTGCTCGAGCAGATCTACTTCTGAGCCTAGATGCCGTCCGAGAGCCGACGACGGCGGCGGAGCGTTTGAACGCGCAGAAGGTGATTTGCTCGGTCTATGCATGCCGGTAAGCGCTAGGGGGACGAAGATCGGACTGGTAACTCACAGAGGTGTACGTGGTAGGCGCCCGTTGAGCGAGGTATTGTCAGCATCTGAGTCTGTCGCAATGCCGTCGACATCCCCAAACTCGTCCTCCAGGAGATCTGCTCATTTCTAGGCGGTAAGCCAACCTATGATCTCACTGACAGTCTTTGAGCTGACCTTCCATATCACTATCGTCGTTCTCGTCGCCGTCAGAGTCAGAGTCAGACACATCGGAGGCATCATCTCGTCTGAGTAAAGGTAGTGCGCCCGCCGAGGTTGAAGGCACGAGATCTGCAGGGTCGAACATGGCTCTGCAGCGTACAGCACCATATTCAGTATGCATGATGTTCCAGATCTCAACAGCCCCTACTCTCTTGCTGCCTGTAGCTTGGCGTCATCCTCGTCGTCACTGTGCTCGTCTTTGCTTGCACGCGCTGCAGGAGCCTTGCCTTTCGACTTGTTCGATGCAGACGGCACAATCCCATTGCTCTTGGATTTCTTGAGTCCGCTTCTGCCCGGACCGGGATTGACGATCTCCTGAGTACGCTTGCGCTTCTTCACAGCGTTCGGTCCAGAGAGAAAAGTGCTTGTTGTGGATGCAGCTGCAGCCGCACTGGCTGCCTTCTCCGGTCGAGGAATTATAGAGCGTAGGTGAGCAGGGAAGTCGGCCGCGTTGGGCGGGCCCTGCTTGTTGCGAGCCTTACGACCCATCTGAGCGTTCGCTGATGTTGCTCTGAGATTTTTGCGAGGAGCAGGGCAAGTCGCGCTCTAACGCGTCAAGAATATACTCGGGCCGACCATGCGCATCATTGGCGTAGCTGGGCCAGCCATTGTTCTGATGGGTGACGACGAGCCATCGAAGTCCCGTGCCAAGCACTGATCAGCGCAGAGCATACACATCTTGACGCACACAGGCATGCAACCCAATCATCCCAAGGCCTGCAACAATACGAGATAGAGGCGCGATATGCCAGCCCAGGCTTATCCGAGACGGAGGGTGTCCTACGCTCTGCCTATACCGGCCTCGCTCGAGGGGCTGCCCACGTACAGTCTACCTGAGCTGTCATGGCCTCGCAATGGCGATCCGAGGCCAGCAGTATACGATACAGAGCTCCAATCTTTCGTTAGATTACCCCGGCCTCGTCAAGCTCTTTCCACTGCGTCTCCCTCCAAACCTGAGTTTGGGCTGGGAGGCAGCTTAGGCCCACGCAAAGCGCTTACACCGCCCAGTGATCATCCTCGGCACTGTCTTGGCGTTCATGCGCTCGCGCTAGACTTGTCTACTGTCCTCTCTTCAAGCACAAAGTCAGATGCCGCAGAAGCCAGACCTGCCGGGCTGCTCTATTCCGGCGGTCGGGATGGTCTGATAGCCAGCTGGGAACTCGGCTTGCCCATGTGTAAGCGGAAGACGGCATACGGCCGTTCACGACGGCGTAGCGCGAGAGATAGTCGCGATCGGTTTCGCGAGCAAGATGAGGATCAGCGGGACGGCGACTCGGACGACAGCGACGCCGGACTACTCGGGAGGTCCGACTCGAGAGGGAGGGGCATAATGAGATCGAATTATGAAGTCCCGCCCTCACTGCGCCGGGGTAGCTCTGTCGAGCCAGATACGGTCGAGTCAGACTCGTTACGCGCCTCGTCTCAAAACGGGATACCTGACGCCTTGCCATTTGAACAATCGTGGCGTATAGATCTGTCTCGGTCGTCTCAGAAGCAGCCTGGTCCAGCCAGATTCAGACAATGTGTACAAAATCATACAGATTGGATAAACGACATAGTCCTGTGCAACTTCAACCGTACAGTCATCTCTGCCTCGTCAGATCGCACGATCCAGGCCTGGTCACCCCACGACCCAGAATCTGCGATGCAACCCGCCATCGTCGGCACGCATTCTGACTACGTGCGATGCCTAGCGCATGCGAGGATACCCGGCTTCGTTGCCAGTGCAGGCTTTGACCGCAAAGTCAAGCTATGGGATATACAGGAGGGTCGTAAGGATTCGCTGGGTATGCGTGCAGTCTCGAGCTGCGTGGCATACTGATATGCTCGCAGGTAAACCATTTGATCTACTCATGTCGGCTTACGCGCTCGCCGTCGATCCGACAGGCTCGGTCCTGGCAACAGGCTCACCTGTCAAAGTGATACAAATTTGGGATCCGCGGGCAGGATCGCAGATTGCGCGCCTTGTCGGTCATTCAGACAACGTTCGCGCGCTTCTTATCAGCGACGATGCGAAGCTGGTCCGTCTTTGCCCGCTTTACTGACACCTCGCTTACGCAGACCAATCTACCAGGTTTTGTCAGGTTCATCCGATGGCACAATCAAGCTTTGGTCGCTTGCCATGCAAAGGCCAATCTATACATTCAACCATCATGGCAGCTCGGTCTGGTCTTTGGCTTCGCAGCATCCCTCTCTATCCGTGTTCTATTCTGGCGATAAGTCAGGCAACATATGCAAGGTCGACAATGTCGGCTGCGCTGAAGAAGACGGAGATTGCGTGCTCATCGGGCGCGACGTTGAGACGAGGGGTGGGCGCGAAGAAGTAGCTGGCATATGCAGGATCGTTGTGGCGGACGACAGCTACGTTTGGACTTCGTCTACGCATGTCAGACCCAGCATCAAGCGATGGCGCGATGGCGAGACTTCGTCTCTTGACCAGGACCGCAGCGCTAGAGGGCAGAACGCATCTACAGCTCTCTCGACTGACGAGACCCCAATCCTCGCAGATCCTGCATTCCCCATTCCAGTACGGCGGAACAGACCCCTCTCGCTGAGCTCTATGCATGAGCGGCCATCAGTAAGTTTTGCTCCCAATGCGCCAAGGCCGAGGAGCGTGCGGACCATTGAGGATCGCGCGGACGCGCCATACGCGAGTCGTATACCCCTCAAAGCGCCAGACGATGCCTTCATAGGTGGTCGAGCGGGCGCCAGTACAGATCTGCTCGGCTCGTCCTTGCGTGCCATCCACTCAAACAGTTCGGTATTGAGTGGCTTTGGACTTCGTGCAAGCAGTCAGCAAGCGGGTTATGGTCAATTTGGCTATCCCCAAAGCCCGCCAACGCTGCCAGATCATTCCAGCAACACGCACGAAGAGACTCATGATCCTGTCTTTGCACGTGCGTTGCAGGAGTATCTCATGCGAGAATCGGCGGACCAAGCGACGCCCTTACGCGCGCAGCCGGACGATGTCATCGCTGGCAAAGAAGGCCTGATACAGATCCAGCTACTCAATGATCGTCGACACGTCCTCACTGCTAGCACGGTCGGAGACATCCTATTATGGGATATCGTAGAACTCTGCTGCGTCGGCCGTATCAGCAAAGACCAATCAATACTCGACGCGCCGCTCAAGGAAGCCATCGAATTGGTACGCTCTCGTATAGAAGGCGATGGCACAATCACGAATTGGTGCACTGTCGAAGTCAATACCGGAACAGTCCATGTGCATCTCGACGAGTCTCGCTGCTTCGAAGCAGAAGTATACGCGGATGAGATGGGTCTGGAAGAGTTTGCACGTGACAAAGAAGATCATCGCTTTAACTACGGCCGTCTAGTGCTGCGGAACCTGTTCATCGCTTTCGTCGAGCACGAAATCCGCCTGAGATCCGTCCAAGCAGCTCCCATCACGCAAACGCCGGCTACACCGAGGTTACATCGTGGCTCGGTGCCGATGTTCCTCTCACTCGATAGTGCCAAGCAGGTCGATAGATCCGAGCCGCTTTGCGTACGACGTTTAATGCAAGACGGAGGTACAGCATTACAGACGCCTGACGCAGGCGCTGCACTGGCTACACCCGCACCAACGCCTGCCTTACCACCCGCGGGTGTAGCCAGCATGTCGAGGTCAGGAAGCAACGATCCGTATGGCCAGCGACGCCGCTCTGCGATGGCGGAAGCCCCGAGGGACCGGCAGATGTCAACTGGTGACTACTTCAACTATACTACCCACAAAACAGTGCCTGCACCTGTCACGCCGAGCGCGCCGCCCAACCCTGTGACGCCATCGGAAGCACTCTCTTCTCCAAAGCCCGACGCGTCGCCATCCACATTTCGTGGCAGGCTCAAAGTGTTCGGCAAGAGCAAGAAGTCGGTCGATATATCAGAGGCCACGACGCCGACACCGAATGACAACGGACAGGCAAGAGCGCTCGAGAAGCCATCGGAGCCAGCTTGGGCAGCACAAATGATACCAACCGACCGACATCAAGTCGAATTCCTTTCGACGCTATTCAAGGAAGCCTTCAATCCTTGTCCAGAAGTGGACGCACCACTGCTCGCTGTTCCTGCGGATGTTCAAATTCTCATATTTGAAGAGACGTCAGACATGGAGACATGGCGCTTGACCTTCAGGCGACCTCAGGGAAAGCTGAGCACTGAGACCGAACTGCTCGAGATGCTGCTGCCTCCATGGACGCTCGATTATCTCTTGGCAAACCGGCACGTCGTCAAGGAGCCTGTGAAGATTCCGTTTGTCTTGATGCCCTACCGTGACGACGAGACAGAGAGTCTGCCAGAATTGCCAAACGGGTGAGTCACCGACGTAAGCGCTTCCTTGATAGAGTTGACACTTGCGAGGCAGTAATGCGCGCTTGAGCGCTAGTCGGGTGCTTCGTGTCCGCAAGATTCTCAACTACATCTCCGAGCGTCTGGAGTCGCCCGGTACGAGCGGCACGACGCCGGGCAGTATTGCATCGGGCTCCCTAGGATCGACTCAATCTAGCCGGGTCGACCTCACGAAAACATCGCGCACCTCAAGCGAAGCCTCCCGCACCCAATCAGGTGCAGAAGGAAACGACGGAGTACAAAGCCAGCCGCATAATGGTCTTGAGGTGCTTTGCAGCGGCAAGGTCGTCCCTTATACCGCGACTCTCGGCGCAGTCAGAGCATTTTTCCAGAAGCAACCTGGCGATGTCGTGTTGTATTATAGAAGGCAGCAAATTGCATGAAGCAGTCGATGGTAATCCCTGTGTGCCCTTACAACAAGAAATCAAGCACTTGCGTCTATTGGTGTATCACGAGGCAATGATGCTTCTTCGGCCTGCTGCTGCCGAAACAGCGCTGCTTTGCGAGACGTGCCATGCTGAAGCTCTGTGCTTTCCATACCCATGCGGCGGTCCCAGTCTGCGACTGTAGCATCGTTTTGACGCTTAACGATGAGCTGCCAGCCGGCCTGAGCCTGGGGCGGTATATATATCGGCCTCTGAGGTGGAAATGCCTCCGGCCTAGCGTCGGCGTTTTGCTCGAGATAAGTTTTGAGTGGCACGAAGCCTCGGCGGCGTTCCAGATATGTGACCGTGCGTGAGTCTCGCGAGAAGAAGAGCATCGTGAATGTATGATTAATGGGCGGTATGGCTTCGGCTTCCTGGACCTTACCCTCGCGAGTCAGGTCTGCAATCAGAGCTTCGCGGTCCGCGAGACACTTGCGCACGAGCTTCTCGATGAGCATCGTTGCGCTATGGAAAGAATCGCCTGTCGCCCAGGGTATCGAGACGGCAACACTGTGTCAGTGTTAGACCAGTCATACGCCTTCGGTGCAGTAAACTCACAAGATAGTGCCATAGGTAATGTCCCATTCGCCCTGATTGAATCCGATCAGATCACGGTCAGGTCGAACGTAGAGTGTTCCCTCGTAAGGCAAGGCTTCATTCTCGCCGCCTTTGTTGCGGCCTGTCTTGCGAGGATTGCGCCGAGACCAGCGCAAGCCGAGATACCTTCGCCTACGTTCGGCAGACTCGATATCGATGCGCAAGGTCGTCGAGACATGTTTCCAGCCTTCTGTAGCCATCATGTCCACTTCTTCGAATGTCGTCGCCTTTGCTAAGCCTGATTCGAGCATTTCTGGCACTGCCAGTGCTGCCCAAAGAGCTTGTTTGAAAATGCGTTGGCATTTGTCGAGAAGATAGTCATGATCACGGGGATGCTGCAGAAGATGGTTGACGGGCAGAATATCATAGTCGATGTCGGTCATGTGCGCATAGCGCTGATGACCGAGAAGACAGGTCTTCTTGCCTGGAGTGAAGAGTTCTTTGGCTCGCCATCTGCCACTCCTACTCGCGCCCCCTCCTCCTCCACAATCCGAGCAGCGCTGATAAAGCGACCGACAGCGTGTGCAAATTGTCTCGAGGGTAAACGTGATACTTTCGCCGTTCTCCTTGTACAAGCAACCTTGACCGATAGCGCGGGTGCACACATCGCAGCTAAGCTTCTCCTTTGAGCCATTTGTCCGCTTGCTCTTCTTCTTCGTCGACGATCGTGAACCAGTGACAAGGGGCACATCATCCTTGTGTTTCGCGAAGTGATGCGGCTGCAGCTCATCGCGCGCGAGAGGAGCCTCGGGCTCTGCTGGGGTATCTGCAGGCGTGTCGCCTGGTGAAAGGCAGGCCGAGCAACAGTAATCATTCTGAAAGGGCGCTGATATGTCTGCTGCAGTGCCGCGTATCAACAGAGAGCAGAAGCCCACGCCGCACGCCAGGCAAGAGATATTGATCTCTCTGGTGGGCAGACGTCCTTTGCCTTTGCGAGACATGTCTCCCTGAGTCTCCATCCCCTTTGCAGAGGGAGGTCTCGGCGAAGCTGCTGCGCTAGCAAGGGCCGACAATCGAGCTGTCTCTGCTTGGAAATTGGCTTCGAATCTCGCCGACTGACTGCGCTCATCGAACCGATGCCATGGCGTCGGCGACATTTCATGGGTTGGTCGCGTCAGATTATGTACAGGCAAGCCTCTACTGACGGGAGGGTAATGATATGGCTGCGGCGAGGCTTCGTAAGACAGCTGAGGTGGCAACGTCGGGCCTTGTGGCACGCCATATTGCGCATAGCGTTGGGCAAAGGGACTATGGGATGACAGAGATGGGAGCTCTTCGGTGTCTTTTATCCTCTGGATGACTTGCGGGTAGGGATCATAGTCACTAGATCGCGGGCGTAGCAGCCCATTCGAGCGGCCGCTCGTGGGCCGCTGGTTGCCATAAACATGTTCGTGTGAGTCCATCGCATTCTGCCGATCAGTATTGGCAAAATGATGTTGCAGTAGCGACGTATGCGCATAAGGAGGATCCGCGCGAATCAGTGCGGGCGGATAATAGGCTTGCTCGAGACGCGAGCTCTGAGGCGCATAGTCAAGTGGGACGGCATCGGAGAACTGCTCAGCCCATCAGCGTTTGGTAGCGCAGACTGTTTAAGCAATGAGACTGACGCTCAGTCTGCGGTTCGGCGTGGATGCATCAGAATGACTTGTGTCGGCCGAGGATGTTTGGGCGTAAGAGGCGGCTGACGAGCCAGCATTAACGCTCAGGGCCCAGTCGTCTGACACTACGTGGGCGCCATACGGAGCTGGCACATGCGTTGTAGGCCCGTACGACGTAACGTGTGGATCCAATGCCGCTGCATCATGAACAAACAAGTCCGCTGGGCGTTCAGCTCTCGGGTCTGGAGGGAGGACATGACCGCCCTGGAGGTTCAGGCTGCCATAGTGCTGCAAGTAGACATCGTCCGGGTGCGCTAGCCATGACTTGGCAGCGTGCGCATGCTGCTCCATTTCATTACCAGCTGAGTTCGTGGACCGCTCCTTAGTCCTAATTCGGGATCGGCCCAGTGATGGCGTAGCCGTGATTGAGCTCTGCTGCGCACTCAACGTGCCGGCCGCCGGCTGCCGTGCAGACAATGATTGCACAGCGAACACGAGCCAATGGACAATCTGATTGAGCTCTGCTCCCTGCCAAAATGAAGTTGACACGCTGACAATTCTTCGCGGGAAGCTGGATGACTTTGGATTTGACCGGCTCGAAAACGAAAGACGGCTTCCCGGTCGACATCAGCTGGTCCTGTCAACGCGATGTCCCTCATGGTTTGGCCATCGAACAAATTCCCCATTCCCCCTCGCTACGAGCAGGTGATCGACTTCCTGCGAAACATGCCTCGACGTCAACAAGGGCGTCCTGGCGCTCGCTCGCAAGATGTGCCGCCATCGTTCGCACGAACGGTTGTCTTGATCCTGCAGCTGCTCTAGCTCTTACAGAGTGCAAGGCATACTTCATTCGCAAGACGAACGACGTCGTCATTTCTCAGCAACTGCTCGATCGATGCATCGCAAGGGTCCTCGATGGTGCGCAAAGGATCGCAGGCATGCTCGTATCCCGAAGTCATCCGCAGAAATATCAATGGCGAGCTCACGCAGAACGTCTACAGGATCGCACCTTCTTGCCATTGACGGGCACTTTGAGACGCAATCAAGCTGCTCTAGCAGAAGTCACGAAGAGTGTCTCTATATCGCTGCGCTGATAGAAACGACCTCATGACAAACGGGTGCCCGCCTGTTTGGCAAGGGCCTATTGTATGAAGAATGGCATTGCCGTCCGACCCAGTCCACCACTGCTGAGGCATGACTTAGCGCGCAGCTCACTGGCTGCTATTGCAATCAGATGACTTATACAAAATTATCAGCCCCTCACTACCCGTGTGCTATCCCAATTTTGCCAAATGTAAGAGAATATTTACAGAGCAGAAGGAGCAGTCGATCTCTCCTCGGTGAAGATGCCATGCGGCTTCTCATTCGGGAAAGTGGCTTGTTGTGCATGTTCATTGCCGCCAAGGTCGCTATTTGAGCTCTCGGACGGCTTCTCGACGGCATTATCGGCCAGATGAGCCTGGAGCCTCGGATCGTCAGTCTCTGCAAGGTGAGCTTCGAGGATCGCGTCTTCGTGTACAGGCGGTCCTTGGTAGTGCTTTCTGCCCCAGATGCCGTACCAAGCCGCGGAGATGAGGACCACACCGATGAGCACAGCGCTTGCGTAATTGATATACGCAGCCGTGATGGGGATATACGACGGCATACAGAACAGAGGCACTGCTAGGATACTCCAAGCTGATGGCACATCATGAGCAAGCATTTGTGATCACAGACAGGGACATACCGATAGCGACCACATTGGCGACGAAACCGACCGAGCCCCAATAGTATTTGCCAGCCCTGATCTGTTGCCGGCCCTCGGCGAAGGAGACGATGATCGGCACCGCGTAAGAGATCGTCAGTAGGATGACGCCACTGCCTGAGAAAGCATTGAAAGCAGCATAGGAGCCAAAGTAGATGGCGCCCAGGCCGATTTGAATGGCCATCGACAGCATCATCGCATTGAGTGGGACGTCTAGAGACTTGTTGCAGTTGCCCCACCATCTGCTGCCTGGGATAGCGCCGTCTCTCGAGAAGGCCCACGTGCAGCGAGAAGCGGCGGTGGTACAGGCCACACCACAGAGGAGGCCAAGGACAAGCAGAGGGACGAGCAAGCCGAACGCGCCGCCAGAGGAGCCTACTGCCGACTTCAGGATCGCAGGGACTGGTTGTCCAGAGGGCAAAGCGACGAGGTATGCCAGATCAGGCAGAACGAACAGCAGCGGTCTGCGATAATGTCAGTCATACCCTGTTCAAGGGCCCGCACAAAGCTTACAGCAGGAAAAGAACACCAAAGATGCCGTTGACAAAGACAGTGGCGAGCATTGCCTTTGGTACCTGAGTTTCCGGCTTGGCGACCTCTTCGCACATGCTCACGATCATGCCTGGTGAAGGGTCAGCGGACATCACAGTGCACGTCATGGAACTTACCAGTCGATGACGTCGCATAAGCAGCCTGCAAGAGCCCGATCTGTTATCACGCATATGTCAGCAAGCGTGCGTTGGGAAGCAAACCAGAACGAGCCATAAAGGACCATCCCCGCGGCCAGCCAGAATTGGATGGATCGAAATTGGTGAACACATATTTCGCGTTGTGCCGTCCCTCCTTGGCGAGGACGAGGACGACGATGAGGATGGCGATGATGCCAGCAAAATTCCAAAAGATCGCAAATGTGTCCAAGAGCGGCAAAAAGCGATTGCCGAAAGCTGAGATAGCGTTGCAGAGCAAAGTGATGCCTAGGAAGACCAGGAAGACCTGATATGCCTCTGCTGCGAATATTCCTACGCCAGGGGAGCTTTCGAATAAATTGATCGATGCGACGAGGAAGAGCGTCGTTCCGAAATTGACGGCTAGCGTGATCGTGATATTGCCGGCGACAAATGCATAGCCACCTATGGCCGAGTCAGACATCCGTCTGTGGCAGAAACACGCAAGCCTGACGCACAGATGTAGGACGCAATCTTGCGGTAACGCTTGGGAGCAAGCATGAATGTGAAGAAATAGACGCCTGATGCGCTGGGATAGACCGAGCAGATCTCACCAAGACTGAGTGCAACGCATGCTGCTCGAGGCATGAGCATTGGCAAGCTTTATTATATGCAGATCGACCGACCGATGACAAAAGTCAAGCCGACCCATCCCCAGATGACATTCGCCGGTCCGCCGCCGAGGAGAGAGTAGTACATCGTCGTAGCGAGACCGTACGGAATGGACGCTAGCACTGAGCACATGAAGACGACCTGAAGGGTCGATCGGTTGCGAATGAGCACTGGCTGGTAGCCCATTCTCAATAATGCGGCGTCTGCCGATTCCTCCTCCGTCACAGTCACACCATCGCGGCCACCATTGTGCAGCTCGTGTCTTGGAAATTCATCCTTCTTCTCGCTTGACGGCCTGGATTCCATGATGGGTTCCTTCGACACTGGAGCTTGCTGATGGAAATCTGTTGTTGCCATCTCGCCCTATGACCGACGAGCACAGGCAAGGTGAAAAGGGCGGAGGAAGAATTGTTGGCTCTGGATATGGCCGGCGCTCTACGCATTCCAGATTGACGGGAAGGCATCCGATCTTATGTGATCGGATCGATAAGAGCCAGCTGACCGTGGATCATCAAGATTATCAGCGCGCTTGCTCCGACTTCGCCCCCGCCGTGTGGTTTTGGCAGGCGATCTGGGACTGCATGTGCACGATAGAGCGATGGGAGCCGACCTTTCTCTATCCTGGCAGACCACCACATGAGCTCATCGCGCTGATCATTCTCAACACACCCATCACTGACACTGCGACCTTTCGTCAAATCTGGTTTAAAGGTGCTCCTCTCGACCTTTGTCGATACAGCCAGAGCCTGATAGACCCCACAGCCAGCTACAGAGTCTGTGCAGATGGTGGCGCAAACCGTTTGCTCGCCGCCTCCGAGGCAATGCGCCAATCGTGAGCGGCAGGCTAGTGACGCGCCACATGCTCAAGAAGAGGCAGCTTCGTACCCGATCTGATCAAAGGAGACTTGGACTCTATAAGGCCGGATATAAAGCGGCATTTCGAGCAGTTGGTATGTCAAATCAACACGCACGACTCGTCGACTGAGCAATGGGCCTGCAGGGCGTGCCTATCGTCGAAGATCCTGACCAATACGCAACGGATCTCGGCAAATGCGTCAAAGCAGTCGCAGAGCAAGACGCTGCAAAGCGCACAGAGGTATGTGTCAACTTGGCCAGCTCGTCACAAACTGAGCTCTTGTGAAAAGCATGTTATCGTCATTCTCGGTGGACTGCAAGGCCGGCTCGATCAAACCATGCACACTTTGCATGCCATTACCAAGCTTGCGAAGACTCGGAAGCGCGTCTGGGTCGTCAGTGAAGAGTCTCTCGCCTGCGTGCTCGACAAGGTGAGCAGCAAAGACAGTCCCCTGGATTTCTGTGGACACAATGATTAGGGTGAACACGAGCTTGTCATCGATCAGCACATACTTGGGCCGACCTGCGGGCTCCTGCCGATAGGTACAGATTCTGCACTTGTCACAACCAAGGGCCTCGAATGGAATCTCAGTAAAGCTAGTGCAGGAACAATAAGTCCCGCGGCTGATGTGGGTAGCAGGCGATACAGAGACAAGCATGAGCACGATGGTCTCCACGTCTAATCACATCGTCTCAGATCTCGTACAGGTGACAACAAACAGACTGATAGTGTGGACTTGCGCCATATTGGCTTCGTGAACGTTGTGCGGTATATGCGAATACATCGAGGCGTTTAGAAGCAGGCCGGTATAAGTGAGCTCTCGGGTGGTATCAAGTCTGCAGAGCGTCAATGCTGCATGACGTTGCTTCTANCTTTGGTCGAGGTGATTGCTTCTGAGAGCTATTGATGGCTTGTTGAAGAGCATCCAGACTTCTAGACAGCTCAACAAGCTTGATCGACCCTTTGAATACATCGAGGCGTTTAGAAGCAGGCCGGTATAAGTGAGCTCTCGGGTGGTATCAAGTCTGCAGAGCGTCAATGCTGCATGACGTTGCTTCTA